TCTGAGTGGACGAGACCTCCCCAGCGATTCCTGAGCGAGTGGAGCCTGGACAGATTAGCAATCTCCTGAGCGACCTTTCTGTCCGTGATACAAAGAGAAAGCTGTACAGCTGCGAAGGCGAGTTTACTTTACAAAACTGAGGCAAAGGGCTCAAAGCCACCGACGTTGTTTACAGGGAAAAAGGTAAGATTCCATGGCTGGCGACCAATTAGTCACACAGCACTATGTACATGTGGTAGAAGTGCAAAATATCAGACGTGCAAAAATATGAACAATACCCCTATACAACTACTGGTGGTACACCGCCTTTTGACTGTTGAGTTGGCGCTGCATCGGCGGGCACTGGAGTGAGAGTCGGTAGCTGGTATATAAATGGATGGTCGTATGTCTGCGGTGCGGCAAGTGGTATGCATTTAACGCGTCGTGTGCATTTCCGAGGGACTGTCGGACTGGGTGATGGCGGGTTCACGGTAATAGGGAGGATGATGCGCAGGTGGAGGATGGTATTGATAGGCGTTTGGGGAGAGCCATTGTACAATTGAGAGCGGGCGTTAGTAAGAGATGGGTGCGGTTCTCCGGGCGGTGGATAGTAGTTTGGACAATGAGATAGCGGTAATCGAGGAGAATAGTCGTATGTATGGCATTGCACCTGGTATTGACCCGCCTCGCTCATCGAGTTCGACCTAGGAGGGTGGGCTGGTGGATGCGGGGTTGCATAGTGAGGAAGCGCGTCGACGTTGTAACCGACTGACATGGAGTATGCGTGTTGGTGGTGACTGGGTGCATGGGTATAACCATGGAGAGGAGGACGATAGCGCAGAGCGAGGGCCGAGACTGTGTGCCAGCAGGGTGATGATGGGCGGTTGAATAGAGACGAGGGAAAAGAGACTCTGGCCAATGCACAACGAGTGCCTTGTAGATCTCCCGTCACCAATCTACCTAGGATGTATCCTCGTTGACACCGCATAGGAGATTATGGATGGGGATGGCGCATGCATTTGTGTTGGACGAGTGGAACAGACACGTGCCACTGCATACAAGAGGAGATGTGCATCCGCCGCGCTGCGAATCTTGACACTGCGCACAGTAGCGCGTCGACGTTCGCACTGGATCCAATGGCTATCGCGAAACATATCTCTGCAGGCGCATGTCTACTGGAGCGTTCAAATGACGTCCTTTTCCCACCCATCGTGACCATGTCTCTTGTCCAGGACGCTCGCAAGCATAACGACTGACCCCCGCAAGGTACTCCTCGACTAGAAAACACGTTTGGTACTAAATGCAGTTCATGTCTGACTCGAAAGATGTATTCGACCTCGAATATGTTAGCCAGCAAGTCCAGAAAACGCGTGGAGACGTCGAGCGTCCAGTAGAATGAGACTACGCACTCATGATGATTGAACGAGCGATACCAAAGTCACTCCAAGTCGAATAGGGCCCGGCTGTGGCTGCTAGATGACGGGCTCAAATCTCCAACGCTGGAGCGGATCGGCGCCAAAGAAGTAGGAGTCGATTTGAGGTGAGCTGAGGACTCGACCGCTGATACTTCCAAGGCGAAAGAGTCGCATCGTGAGCAGCTAGCCGTAGAAGCGTCACGAAAGACGCTTCCAAGGGCACCGTTGCGGTAGAAAAGGAATCAGCCTGTATTATACTAGAATTTCTTGTACACATTGGTACAACTCGCAGCGCAATGGACCGAGAGCCGCAGACTACAGAGTCGCGGTCGGCACGGACACTTGGTCAAACAAAGGGCAACTCGTTTGGCCATATATTGCCAAATCCCAGCGAGGACTCGCATGCTGGTGGACACGATTAGTACCGCTATTCTGAGGTGCCATCTTATCCGAATACAAAGTCACACACCAATCAGACTCTCGCGTCTATCGAATCGAACTGCGATTGGACGATTCATATCAGTCTACTGACCGGTCATCCGGCTGGTTCGTCTGGAAGCAATGAGGCTTGCTCCCCGACACCTCTAGGACCGTAAGACCCTACAGCGCGTCCTAAGGCCCGTTCAGACAACACTATCGACTCTTCGAACAACTCAAGAGCGCACAATGTCACAAGAGCAAGGCAAAGCACGGCCATTTCCACGAGGTTCTAAATCATGTTGCCCGACTTTGGCAACGAGTGAACGATCGACTGCTGCAAGTGAACATCCTAGAACATTGAAATCCTCTACGTCCAAAACCAAAAAGGAAGACCTTGGATTCCTGGAATTGGTATGCCCAGAGGATCCCACCGTCGAGTAAGCACATTCTGGGCACTGTAGTCGCTTCGTGCTGACCTCCCACTCCAGTATCATAGCAATCCACGGCTTGAATGGTCACAGAGAAAAGACTTGATGACAGACGATGGCGTTCTTTGGCTACGCCAATTCTTGCCGTCCTCATTGCCTCGTGCCCGTATCCTGACCTATGGCTACGACGCCGACACTCACAGTACGGAGTGCGTATCGACCCAGACTATGCGCCGCCACGCCGTCGGTCTGGCTCAAGCTATTTTACGGAAGCGTAAAGATGCTCCTCGAGTGAGTGGCATCCGTAAACCGATGCCTTCTTCCCTAATCACCCTAGCGCCCCATCATCTTTGTTGCTCACGATTTGGGAGGCATCATTCTCAAATGGGTTCGTCCGAGGATGTCTACTACATTTTGACGCTGACGGTCTCATAGGCGCTCGTCATATGCAACAACGAGGACCTGGAATCAAAAGGCGGCCTACGAAATATCCTGGTATCCACCCATTCCATCCTCTTCTTTGGAACCCCGCATTCCGGCGTAGAAGACACGCTTCTTAAGAAGATCGTTCGCCTGGCAGCGCCATGTGTGGAATCGACAGAAGTCATTGTCAAGAACCTTCACGCTCACTCGGATGAACTCGAAAACATCCAGAGCTTGTATCTCACCGCGAGTAAAAAGATAAACAGCGTCTTCTTCTGCGAGGAGTACAGCACCGGAGCCGAAGAACAGCAGATACATTTGGTAGGTGCGCTGAATCGTCTGATGGACGGGTGTTAACAGGATTATAGAATGTTCCGTATCCCTCAGCGGTGATCGCTGGCGATCAAAACGCTATTGCGGTCGTACTCCATAGCGATCACCAGAACCTTGTCAGATTCCAGACGGAAGAGAGTGAAGATTACCAAGCAGTTGCTTACTATCTCACGGAGTGCGCTGAGAACGCCCCCGATGCCGTGCACAAAAAATGGTTTATGGAGAATAACTTGCGCAGTTCGTAACATACTCATCGCTGATTCTTTCCTGACCCACGAGTAGCCGTCGTGAAGGGAGGAACCATCCTCAACCAGGTATGAACTATCTCGTGTACACGAAGGTTTACTAATATTCTCAAGACGACGCGCTTTTCGTATCTCAACTGCCGGTAGTCGCATTCGCCCCATCCTCTGTCCATACCACCTGCTCTACAAGGAACTCGCCAGGCTGTCCTCGAGACAATCTCGCAATGGGCCGATGGCGATTCATCAGAAAAACCGATCTTCTGGCTATGTGATATAGCTGGCTCTGGAAAATCGACCGTCGCGATGACTGCAATGGAGAAGTGGAAGAAGCAAGGAATCTTAGGCGGCGGATTCTTCTTCTCCATGGCAAGCAGCGAAAGCTCAGACACCGAAAAGTTTTGCTCGACCATGGCGAGGGAACTCGCTCAACATATTCCCGAGCTTGGGACACCGATTGCGGAGATAGTAAAGCGGAATCCTGCTCTCCTACGAGCCTCTTTTGATCAACAGTTTCGAATGCTCATCACCGACCCACTCCAGCATCGACAGACGCAAGTAGTCCTCGTCTTAGATGCACTCGACGAATGCAAGTCTGGAGCACAGAGAAAAGAACTGGTTGAGACTCTCGCTTCTGCTGCTCAGGAGAGCAAGAATCTTCGGATATTCATCACAAGTCGACCAGACCCTGTGGTCGAAAGGGTTTTAGAACCTCTTTCTATCAAGGCCAAGCTGACAGATCGGCTCCACGATGCTAGCCACCGCGACAACATCGATGACGTTGCGATATACGTCCATCGATTGCTTGGCCGGCGCCTGACGCCAGATAAGATCCAGCGACTGGTTGATAAGGCCAAGGGGCTGTTCATTTGGGCGAGCACTGCGTGTCGGATGCTCGATGATGAATCATCTGCGGTCAATACAGCGGCCATATATGATCGCCTGACGTCTATTGATCAGCCTGGAGCCATTGACGAGGTATACGACCTCGTCTTCGAGCGCATTGACCGAGCATCCAAACCAGTTATCATTGAAATGCTCGGTATGCTGCTTGCTGCGTTCGAGCCACTCACCACCCACGACTTGGAAGACCTTGTTCAGCATACCAAAGGACAAGGGAGTGCCGAAGCGCTGGTACGGATTCTGGGAAGTGTACTTAAGGAGGATCCGATCACGCACTCGATACAGTTTCGTCACCCCACCTTTTTCGAATATCTTCGACGACGCTGTAGCACCGAAATTATCGGCGATTGCGACAGGAATCTTATCAACATCGCGCGTGCGCATGGCCAAACCGCATCATGGTGTCTTCACACTCTCAAATCGCGCAAGGAGGGGCTCAAGTTTAATATTTGCCAAATCGAGTCATCCTTCTATCTGAATAGGCAGATTACAGACCTTGACGCCCGGGTGGCGAAATTCATTTCGCGGAGACTTCGCTATGCTAGTTTGCACTGGCCGTTCCATGTGGCCGCATTGGACAGTGACTGGGGCCGCAGGCTAAGGAATGAGCTGGCACGTATAGTCAAAAGTTGTAGGCTCGCGCGTCTGCTCTGAACGACGCTGCTACCTCGTGCGAATCAAGGATTATTCTTCATCGCATTAGTCCTTGTCCTAGTTACCATCTCCATTCGCTACATTGTTCCCGTTCTGTTCCTTATGGTCCTCTGACCATCGTCACTCTTTTACCCCTATACCTGAGTCAGATGCCTTCTGCTCGTCCCGATTTACATCCTCAGTTCCTCCATTCCTTCCGATCTATTTCCACACCCTCTATATAGCCTGTAGTACTTGACCGTTCTCGTATCAGAAGAGTAGACTTGTACTCCCTTGTAACCGTCCTCAATATACACGCGTTACACAGGTTCTTTTCGTCTAAAGTCGACTTTATTCATCGTTCCTCGAATACAAGTCTCGACTCGACGTTCACAACGTCTTCACTCTCACCAAAAACCTTACAAAAGTCCATTCGCACTCTATTGGATGGAGATCCTCAGCGTGACTGGAGGAGTCATGCGGGCAGTATCTGGAATGCGAGCTGCGACGCAACATAAGAGTGTGCGTGGATTATTTGAGACCTTCCGATTACTAAAGCAACAGATAGCTTGAGCAAGAGATCCGAGGTCGGATGAATGACATCAGACGGTTTTTGATGGCATTCTCTGTACCAATCCAAGACAGCGCACCACACATCTACATCTCATCTCTCCCATTCAGTCCACGGAAGTCAGTACTTCATACGGAGGGTTTAAAGGAGTATATGAATTCGTTAATTGTGACCAAAGGGCTTGAAGAAACATTTCGTGGGCTTCCCAGAACGCTGCTAGGTCACCAGGGTAGTGTCACAGGGATTTCATTCTCTCCAGATGGCACGCGAATGGTCTCTGGCTCAAGCGACAGGACAATTCGACAGTGGGATGCAGAGACTGGCCTGCCATTGGGAAAGCCACTCCAAGGTCATGAATCCTCAGTGAACGCTGTCGCATTCTCACCAGACGGCACACGAATCGTCTCTGGCTCAAGCGACAGGACAATTCGACAGTGGGATGCAGAGACTGGCCAGCCATTGGGAGAGCCACTCCAAGGTCATCGATCCTGGGTCAACGCTGTCGCATTCTCACCAGATGGCACACGAATCGTCTCTGGCTCAAGCGACAAGACAATTCGACAGTGGGATGCAGAGACTGGCCAGCCATTGGGAGAGCCACTCCAAGGTCATGAACACGAGGTCATGGCTGTCGCATTCTCACCAGATGGCACACGAATCGTCTCTGGCTCAAGCGACAGGACAATTCGACAGTGGGATGCAGAGACTGGCCAGCCATTGGGAGAGCCACTCCAAGGTCATGAACGCGAGGTCATGGCTGTCGCATTCTCACCAGATCGCACACGAATCGTCTCTGGCTCAAGGGACAGCACAATTCGACAGTGGGATGCGGAGACTGGCCAGCCATTGGGAGAGCCACTCCAAGGTCATGAATCCCGGGTCAACGCTGTCGCATTCTCACCAGATGGCACACGAATCGTCTCTGGCTCAAGCGGCAGGACAATTCGACAGTGGGATGCAGAGACTGGCCAGCCATTGGGAGAGCCACTCCAAGGTCATCAATCCTCGGTGAACGCTGTCGCATTCTCACCAGATGGCACACGAATCGTCTCTGGCTCAAGCGACAAGACAATTCGACAGTGGGATGCAGAGACTGGCCAGCCATTGGGAGAGCCACTCCAAGGTCATGAATACTCGGTGAACGCTGTCGCATGCTCACCAGATGGCACCCAAGTTGTCTCTGGCTCCATTGGTACGACAATTCAAATCTCGAGTTCGGACAATGGTGAGTCGATTCTGAATATCTCTTTGGTTTGTAGTGTCAGTTTGTTATGATGACTGACCGTATGCTAAATGTAGGTAATCTATCAAATAGAACACGTTTCTCTGGCCATATCAAGTTTTTTTCCACTGATCCAGTTCTCTTTATACCTAGATTTGGTGATTGTTCTTTGCTGCCCGACGGATGGGTGCAGTCTTCTGGTCAATACCTCTTCTGGGTACCACCTAATAATCGTCATGGACTGAAGCACCCACGTCTTGTTCTGACTATGCCCACTTCAAATCACCTTAGAGCGACCAAACTTGATTTCACTAATTTCCAGTGTGGGACATTGTGGACCAAAGTTCGAACAAGCTCATAGTTATGAGTGAATGTATCAGCCTAGGACATAAATGGTGCTATTGCCAAGTGGGGACAATAAAATTTGATTCGCCTTGCCGCTCCTGCAGAGTGCCTGAGAATATGATGCAGAGATCATGGAGAGATGGGATAAGAAGCTAATCTATCTATCATAAAGATTTCATGAGTTTAGTATAGGCCCTTATTGAGTAATCAGGCCGACAAGCCACCTGTGACCAACATTGGAACAGTTTTAGAGCCCACTGTATCTCAGATACAATGCGGCCTGGTTTGACACTCTAACGAAGGGATGATACGTTGAAGAGACCTTGATTCTGCTCAAAGAGCTTGTTGGGGACAAAAGTCACTTTGGAAAGGCTCATTTGTTGATTCCGTTGATTCTAGGACGCGTGAGGTGAGAGGCAAGACCAGTAATGTCGGAAAAGTGGTGAGCGCCTTGTAAGGCCTTATGAGGCTCTGCAAGTCTAGCCGCCTCAGCAAGACAATCTCACCTTTGTAGGGATTCTTACAAGGTATAGGCCATGGCGCCTTTCAAAGCCTTACAAGGCGGCTTACAAGTCGGCTTACAAGATGAAAATTGAACCAGGCCTAGCCTTACAAGAGGACTCAAAGGCACATAGCGAGCTCTCAGGAATCCCTTCAAGGTGCTCGTAACCACGTGTAATTGCAAGAATTAATCCCCATGATAACAGAAATGAATTATACTTCCGAGCATCGAATGGATTTAGGAGTCACCCGGAGTTAAGTGCTGCACCTTTGAATGCTTTGAGCTTTGCAAGTCTGGCGGATCCAGCGCTGATTGTTTGTTTGCAAGTGTGCAGCGACACTTCTCCACAGCTGTCAGGTCTGAGTATGGAATCGACTGATCTAGGTGCCTTGGTATTGCAACAGCTGCTTTAAGAGACGAATGACCAATGACTGGAGACGTCACGACGACAGGTGGTGGCAAGACAAGTTGCATGAAAGGCATATGAGAGGGAGTATCAAGTAGTGAGTGTGAATGAGGATGATTGGAAAGATCAGGTGGTGGACCCGGTGGAGGCGCATACCGTGGAATGCTTGAGGATGTCGAGGAGACCAATGCGGATGCAGATGTGGATGCTGATGCTGACGCCGGATCTCTCAAGTAAATATTCTCGTGTAAATTCACTATTAAATACTTGGATCAATATATCACAATATGAGCTCTATCAGAGCACGGAGGTCCACTTGAGGAAAGGAGAATCGCTCAGAAAGTCTTAATAGAATTAATCTAGGAAGCTCCTCGATGTATGCAGATCGCTCTTACAAGCCTCTTAGTGATCCTGAACGCACCAGGCGTTGGGATCAATATATATCGGACCTAGATGAATTTATTCAAGATTCTAACGAGCCTGTTCACGCTTCACCTCTCAGGATCAAGTTTGACAGTACATTATGCGAGGATGAGGACGACTATGAAGAGGATTATGACTCTACAGCCATCAAAATAGAAGAGAGGCTAAGGAGCCTGACACTTTGGCTCGTCTCAGGTCCTTCTCAAGGCCTCATGGTTCACCTCATGAGCTTGACCCTCAAGCCAAACGAGTGTATCCCAGCTTATCTAAAGATATATTTATTCAGAGACTAAGTTCACCTAAAGCTCTACAATTTGTATCTGATAACAACAAGTGCTGGCCGCGGTGGCTCCCATAGCTCCAACCACCTTCTATTGAGCGATTGCTTTTGTCATTTAGCGCTCCATTGCATTATTTAACAGAGTTGTCACTCAAGTAACTGTCTCCAGTGCGGAGGCCAGATGGTGTCACAGCTTCGCTATGAATCAAGTCCCAAACTTGGGCATTAGACACCAACAGGGGTACCACCCACCCGTCAATACTTCATCTCGCGAGCCGAGCCGACAGACTCGGCCCCGCGGACATCCCCTAATAAGAGCGCGCCACCTCGAAACAAGTGTCGGTTGTTCAGGCCCAGTGGACACACTGGGCATACTTTGTTTGTTTGGAACACTCCGGCAATGAGTATGTCAGTTTATGCCAGGTGTACGACTGAAATACAAGACGGACTGTTCAGCATGGAGTAGGGTTTCGGTCGACGCTGCTTGCCTAGCCTCAACACCGGCGGCCAGGTCGAGCGAGCGTGCTCGATCGTTTTTTCCCATGATTCCCCTCGACGCCCATACAAAAGGTAGCATTAGTAATGTAATTCAAGCCTAAAAATATGTACAAAATGCGCAGAATATCAAATGGCACTAATATTAACCATCTAAATGCTCCTCTGCATAGATCTCCCATGGCGTCATCAGCCAGTCCACGGTGAAGGAGATGTCATGTCAAAGCCCGTATTTAAGAATTTGAAGCATCTCTATGAGTCGTGGAGATGACTGGGCACGTGTACTTGTAGCTGTATGCTTTGCTGAGGAGAAAACACGCTCGCAGGGGACGGATGAAGCTTGCACAGGTAGAATATCGAGCGCAACTTTTCGTAGGTTGGGGTAAAGATTTGGTAGATGTTTATCCTAAATATGCAATATGAGCCTATTTTCGCCTAAACACCATGTACATACTTGCCAAAACTTGAGTAGGTCTACACCGGTGAGATGGTGCTCAACAAGTGGCTCATTAAGATACCGCTGCACCTCTCTAATAGCATCTTCACGTGCACGGGCATCAATCTGCTCTGCTGTGAGAACTGGAAATGCTGATGGTGGGTGTGGCTGAGTGCTCGACTGCAAAGTAGGTTTTGATGGCTGAAGGGCGAGATCAGCAATTGCAGAAAGACAACAAAAACCCGAATCTAGGTTCGCATGCGCTTTACTTGTAGCCTTTCTGTTCGAATTTGGAGCGTCCAAAGCAGGCAAGTCTTTCTGTTGAGACAGAAGCTCCTTTTTACGAAAGGCAGCAACCTAAAAGCAAGTTAATAAAGACCCCAATATTACAAGGAGATCTCATACACTGTCTATCAGAGATTCCCTACATCTCTCGACATCCTGGTCTGACCAGTGCTTTTGTATCCAGTCCATTTTACTTGCTGGATTGAGAACTAATTACCGTGAGCATTCTTCGCCATGAAATATAGCCCATCGTACCCATAGCAAGGCCATATACGCGATTAGAGCGGGCCAGGCGGATATATTTATCGAGTTTTGCAACTGCTGGATGAAGGGCATGTTCGAGAGAGGGATAAATGTTATCAATGATAATTTTTGAAAGGGTTGAGGCACAGAATTCATATGTAGGAATGGCAATGGAGAGTGTGGGTGTTTGCTCTGATGAGACGAGCTCTTGAATCGAATGGAAGAGGAGAAGAATGCGCTGGATATCTTGTAGAACTCTTCGCTCCTCCTCGCTAAGATTCAGATCCTTATTGATCTTATGGTAGGCTGGCTTGTTCAACATCAAGTCGACAACCTTTAGCAATGGGTAGTGGAGCAATCCAGTAGAATGACGTCCTGGTTCCATTGTAAGATAACGTATTATCATATTGTAAGTTGATGACCAGCGAACAACCATATCGCGGATGAGCTCGAGAGGCTTGCCCTCAAAATTGCCATCCTCAATGGCCTTCTTGAGAACTCGTCTATACTCGTCACGACGGTTGGATGTAAGGCGTAGTGTTGCGACAAGGTTACGGCAGCGTGCGACTGGGTCGGCCAGAAGAGCAGCATGTATGGTGGTATCGCATATTGCATTTGCTGGGATATCCTTAATATGGTCAAGGAATGTTTGAACCACAAGGTTGATAGTATGTGGGAAACATCTGGACTATCCATAAGATCTAGCGAGAGTGAGCAGAGAACATACCGGAGATATTGCTCATTAGTATCAAATTCAATTCCTCTGCGCTGTAGAGCTGCTTCAATTTCCATTGTCATTGACCTGTTATTTGATGCGTTGTCTGCTGTGATTCGTCCGACCTTATGGGCTAAACCACATTCTGTCAGAATGTCAACAAAAGCTTGACCAAGTGCTTCGCCTGTATGGCTGCCAATGATGTTTTTGAATGAGATGAGGCGGCTTTCCATTTTCCAGACTGGACTGCCATTCTCGACTTTCTCAGTGATGAAATGTGCTGTGATGGCCATGAATGCATGAAGTACATTGTCGGTCCATAGATCTGTGGTGAATGAAACTCGACCGGGACAATTCTAACAACATTAGCATACGCAATGGAGATATATATGGAATTTATCTCACTTGCGCATCTGCCATCCATTCGCTTTGCTTCTTCTTGAAGAGGGTGTTGATACCATTGCGAACCTTGTCCTTGTGAGGTAAATCTGTTTCGTTGAGGTCGCGGCAACAATAAAAGAAGAATTGGCGGAATTCTTTTGACTCGACAATACTCAGCGGCTGTTCGAGGTAAGAAACCATACAAGAAACATACAGGAACAAAACATACCTGGTCATCAATCACAATCCAGCGGAGAAAGAAATAAAGAACTCCGTCTTGATTGAGTGGCCGACTCCGTAGTGTCGAGAGGTTGTCATCAAACTTATTGCTGGTGGGCTTTGGCTTGATTCCTCTCTTCAAGCAAGACTCTTCCCAGTTTTCATGAGTGCGTAGATGATTTGCAAGATTGGTGGTTTGTGCTGTCCTGTCGTTTGCCCACAGTGTGCGCCGTCCAACATCCCTGCTCTAAATCAGATAGATCCAAACAGCCAGAGTAGACTTACTCGCACGGGATACAGCCCACATAACGAGACTTTGGCCGGTATGGGATGTACTGATGAGGTGGTAGGACGACAGATACATCATTGTAAACGATTTTATTCTCGACTGGGCGGGCAAATGACCAGATATCACTTCGTACATTTGCAGGAGTTCGTGCTTGAGGCAATGTAGCTCGCCTGGTGGGTGAAGATTGAGGTTGGCGCTGTCGTTTTTGTGTGGGCATAGGTGTAGGAATGGGCCCTAAACCTGGTACACGAGGTCCTGAAGAGGTGTTCCGTCGAGTTTTGGTAGGTGGCTGATGAATCCTTGGCCTTTGTGCATGGTGATTTGGTGTCGATGTTGCTGAGGGTTGTGAAGGAAGGAAAAGTGGCAAATTTCGAGGAGATACTGGTGTCTGTAGCTCTTGAGTCTCGCTATTAGGAGATTCTAGTGACTCGTGAAGCGTTTCCAAATGTTGAAAGGAACGAATTGGTGTCAGCAAGTGACCGGCATTGTGAAGTCGTCGTGGAGTAAGAAAACTTCTTGTAATACGGATAGATGGCACCAAAACTCCATCATTTGGGGCCACTGGGCGTGCAGGTGTTGCGAGGTCGGGTTCAACTTGAAGGCCCCAGTGGCATTGACATCCATCACGATTCACGCACATTCTAAGAGCAAGGAAATTATGCAGAAGGATGTTTAGACACATTCTCTTTATAACTACCATCGACCTTCAGGTTTTGGGGAACCAAGCCCTTTGAGTCGGTGCAATTTTGGTGCGGAATCCTCCCAACATGTAAAGCACCGGTTTACAAAGCTTTAAACCCCAAAAACGTTGATGCTTGCTAGCTACAGCACTGTTCTGGCTCGGGCCGGTGGTGTGGCTCGACGACCCTGACGCTACTGAATAGCGTCGAGCACCCTTGCTCGACGCTGGGCATCGTGGGAACTCGACTCAAAACAAGGTCGATCGCGATTTTGGGCGTCGAGCCGACACCCTAGTGTGGATTATTTGGCTGGTTGAACCAGGACTATCATGCTGAGGCAGACTGCTGCAATTATTACCCTGACCACTACCACATAGACAGTCTAAAAATTGGATAACATTTAGTTATCATCTGGAGTTCGGATGGATTTGCATTCAAGGTTTGTGATTTGGAACACATTGTGAATTGGTTACAATTGGGTATGTGGGTCAGAAAATTTTGCAAAATCAATGACCATGACCTGTCCATTCTGCAGACCTAGGGCGACTTTATCTTGGGATTTAGTGGAGCACATCAGCCAAAACTCATCAGGGATCCGATATCTACGGTATGGACAACAAACAGACCACAGCTCCTGACTGGTGTAGTCAACAGCTACTGTGGAATGCTCATGGCTGGGCGTGACACTTGGACATGGAGATGAGAGTGACTGAAGGCGATTGTGGGAGACATTGAGTACTGGTCCATTGTCCACATGTAAGAAATGTCCACCTTGGAAGAAATATAAATGCCTGGGAACATGATTGAGCTCATAAGGAGGTTCCAAACTGGGTGGGGTGGTGATATCCCACAGGCGTACAGTGCGATCCCAGATCCAGATGCAAGACGGTGCCCATCTGGCGAGAAGGCCAGACACTGGACCCAATCAGTATGTCCCTCAAGCGCCCCAAGGCTTGCACCAGTGGTACCATCCCACAGGCGTACAGTGCCATCCCAAGATCCAGATGCAAGACAGCGCCCATCTGGCGAGAAGGCCAGACACTGGACCCAATTGGTATGTCCCTCAAGCGTCCCAAGGCTTGCACCGGTGGTCCCATCCCACAGGCATACAGTGCCATCCCGAGAGCCAGATGCGAGATGGCGCCCATCTGGCGAGAAGGCCAGACACTGGACCAAACCAGTATGTCCCTCAAGCGTCCCAAGGCTTGCACCAGTGGTCCCATCCCACAGGCGTACAGTGCGATCCCGAGAGCCAGATGCAAGACGGCGCCCATCTGGTGAGAAGGCCAGACACTGGACCAAACGGTATGTCCCTCAAGCGTCCCAAGGCTTGCACCGGTGGTCCCATCCCACAGGCGTACAGTGCGATCCCCAGATCCAGATGCAAGACGGCGCCCATCTGGCGAGAAGGCCAGACACTGGACAGAACTGGTATGTCCCTCAAGCGTCCCAAGGCTTGCACCGGTGGTCCCATCCCACAGGCGTACAGTGCGGATCCCCAGATCCAGATGCAAGACGGCGCCCATCTGGCGAGAAGGCCAGACACTGGACCCAATTGGTATGTCCCTCAAGCGTCCCAAGGCTTGCACCGGTGGTCCCATCCCACAGGCGTACAGTGCCATCCAGATCCAGATGCAAGACAGCGCCCATCTGGCGAGAAGGCCAGACACTTGACCCAATTGGTATGTCCCTCAAGCGTCCCAAGGCTTGCACCGGTGGTCCCATCCCACAGGCGTACAGTGCCATCCGAGATCCAGATGCAAGACAGCGCCCATCTGGCGAGAAGGCCAGACACTGGACCCATTGGTATGTCCCTCAAGCGTCCCAAGGCTTGCACCGGTGGTCCCATCCCACAGGCGTACAGTGCCATCCCGAGATCCAGATGCAAGACAGCGCCCATCTGGCGAGAAGGCCAGACACTGGACCCAATTGGTATGTCCCTCAAGCGTCCCAAGGCTTGCACCGGTGGTCCCATCCCACAGGCGTACAGTGCCATCCCCAGATCCAGACGCAAGACGGCGCCCATCTGGCGAGAAGGCCAGACACTGGACCCAATTGGTATGTCCCTCAAGCGTCCCAAGGCTTGCACCGGTGGTCCCATCCCACAGGCGTACAGTGCCATCCCCAGATCCAGACGCAAGACGGCGCCCATCTGGCGAGAAGGCCAGACATTGGACAGAATCGGTATGTCCCTCAAGCGTCCCAAGGCTTGCACCGGTGGTCCCATCCCACAGGCATACAGTGCCATCCCAGATCCAGACGCAAGACGGCGCCCATCTGGCGAGAAGGCCAGACATTGGACCCCCCGGTATGTCCCTCAAGCGTCCCAAGGCTTGCACCGGTGGTCCCATCCCACAGGCGTACAGTGCCATCCCGAGATCCAGACGCAAGACGGCGCCCATCTGGCGAGAAGGCCAGACACTGGACAGAATCGGTATGTCCAGTCAAAGTCTGGTGTGAGGGCCAATCCACTGATGGTCCTCCAATGATTTTTGGTAGTCGATCTGAAAACTTGCTCTTGTATATTGTCCACAGTTGTGACTTTCGAGGGAGGAATAGTAGCCCTGAAGTGTAGATATCCAGCGCACTCTTCTCTAGTGTTTCTTGATGCCTCTGGACAAGTCTAACTGTATCATGGCATACCTATTGTCACTGCGGTCAATACAAATATTATATGTAGCATTAGCTCACCTCAAACTCATCACCCAACCCTTGGTATTCACAACTTCGCCGAATCTCCTCGAAATTTCGAATAAGATGTACATGATCCATCAAGCTTAACAGCTCCACGAGGTACAAAATTTGACTTGCTAAAAACCTCCGCAGCATCTGGGCAACATGTCCATCCGTTACAACGGTGCTCACATGATAGCCCCAGTACTTTGCCGCATAAGGTAGTGCCGGAGACCTAGCCCATAATTGTTCTAGACGTTTATCCAGATCCACGATGTCCGCATTCTTTGGATAAGGTTTATTTGGCAGGGAAACGCCGCAAATGTCCTCCTTCAGATCCTCCTGAAGCACTTTGAGGATAGATACGGCCAAGTCTGATTGCATTGCTGTCGACTTGAATGGCATATCCACATTGTGTGGACCAAGAAGGTATTCTTGGAACGTTGGATGCAGAAACTCTACCACCGTATCCACCCGAAATACACTCTGCATTGACTCTAAGATCGGCTCTAGCTCAGAGTCTGCGATCCCAGTCATCTCCCCAAGAGCCTCCGTCGACACTGGTTCGAACAAGGTTAGAAGAGTGCCCATAATCTTGTGTATAGTGCCACTGGACGTCTCTCGTCGTAGCCGACGAAGGATGCTTGTATAAACCTGGTTAATATCCCCGCCCTCGCCTCGCGTCAAGAGGGATCTGAGAGTTGCACCAAGTGCGTCCGGGCCATGAGCCCCACGTAGCTCGAGATGTGCTGTCGTGATCCAAATAAAAAGTCCGTTCGAGCGTTCCACAATCTGCTGGCGCTGAGGCGCGGTAAGCAGTTTACCGAGATGTACGTCGACGTAGGCCCTAATATCGTCCAAGTTGGACTGCTGCTCTTTGCCGTGCATCTTGAAATGCATTCCGCGTACGATCGCTCTACCCTGGAGTATCGCCGTGATGTCTGGCTCTGGCCGGCTCGTTATAAAGAGTTTGAGTTTAGGCATTGATGAAAGTTTCTCAACCAGTAGTTTGATCAATTCTCCACGCATCTCCTCCTTGCACTCATCCATTGCATCGATCACGAGGACAATATCTGTCCCTGCAAGTTGCAATGGTTCTTCAATCAGCTTGGAGAACTGATGGCGTAGCCCTCGCCGGAGAAGATTGGGATCTTCTTCCTTGATCGTCTTTATTTGCTTCAGGATCATCTTGTTTTGGCCACTGATATCGTCTGAGATGACAGGACAAAAGTCATCTGTCTCTGACGTCTGTCGAGAGTTCTTCGAAAAGAAGAACCGACCAACCAGAACGCCTTCGGCCTTATCCCATTCCTCACACATTGTCAACGTGACTGTGGACTTTCCAGAACCGCCAACGTCGCAAAGCCAAAAGATGCGCTTGTCTGCGTTGGGGTCCAGACGCCATTGCCGAATTTCCTCCAGAATCCGTACGCGTGTGCCCAGCAGACACGTCTTGTGCTGAGTCCCCATCGGACGAGGCTTTTCGGGCCCGAGTTGGGCTACTTTCCACACTGTAGGGGATCAATATGAGTCGGAGAGTGACGCGAATCGAGCTAACCTTCTGCTTGCAGCTGAATTTGACAGCACTTGGTTGTATCCTATTGCGAATAGCTCAATACGAAACTGGCTTCAAGCGGTACCATACCTCAAATACGCGCGTAGCCTCTGCGATTTCCTGTTTGTAGTCTGCAATATTTCCCATGTCGATCTTTGCGTCCGTGAACTTTCTGAAAAATCCTTTGACGCCTTGATCTCTGCCATGCTTCAACTCGTCCATTTTGGCGAGTATGCCTTTCAGAGCGCTACACAGTTTCAGCCAAATATTCAAAAGCTTGACCTCGGGCCCTACATGATGTAATCTCTCGATGCATTGTTGAAATCCTTCAGCGCTTCGGGCATCTTGTCCATACGTCCATCCTCAACAGCTTGGAGATATCCTTCATCCAAGATGGATATATGTGCTTCAAGACTATCCCTGAGTATTTTGAGTCCTTTGGTGTTCTCATTTATGGTCTACGGCGTAATCAGATCGAAACTTAGCAGTGACGATAAGCCTGTCGTACCCTGGTTGTCTCAAGGAATAGAAGGGAAATTTCGCAAACAGCTTTGAGGGGTCCCAGAAGTGAAGTAGCCTCGGTCCCGGCCTTGACAAGCTTGACGGCCTCGATGAGGGTGTCCCGTGTTCGCTGATAAGCAATATCTGGGTCTTTAGTAGGCGTATTTGCTCTAGATAAATTCGAAGGAGTTGGATTCTGATTTTCTTTGGCTTTTCGGCGCTTCATCTTGGATATGCTTGACGCTGGCGGATACCACGTTGATCGCGTATATTTACCCAAAGCGCTATCCTGGCGCTTGGCCCCGGCGTCTAAACGCGGGTGCATAGGAATCTCGGCCATCGCCGCCATCTCTTTATTTGCATCTCAGTCGTCTCGGAGGGCTGGCAGCATGACGGGATACAAACAGCCTTGATTAGGCAGCTCCCTGCTGACGGCTCCCGAGGAGTCCACGAGTACGGCACAAAGAGATTGGCTTTAACAGATTCTATTACACCCTCCGACAATGTGTTCACTGTCAGCAGTTCAGTGCGAGTAGGCTCTCGCCCTTGGGCCCTGCCCAGCAGCCCAGAGAGAGTGGGCTACTCGCTTATACCTTCGCTTTAGTCCCCTCAATCTACCATGCCTATTTCAACAGACTGGTCCGCTTCCTTGCTGATGGGTGACGGGCTGATGGGCGGTCCAGGAGTAGGAAGCAAGAAAATGAACTCTGTAGGGTACAACAGAACAAGATGACTGGACGACAAAGGATATGTAGGAAACAAAATAGAATGATACGAACAGGGTCGACGCCGATGTCTTTGAACGGTGTTGCGATAGACGCTAGGGTATTAGGATCAAGGGGAAGTTGGCGATGCCAAAAGGTGCCAGGTGAGGAAGATCAGAAGAGGAGGGTGACCGATTCATCTCGTTCGCGGTGAGCATCATGTCATGGTACTGTATACACCTCGGGGTTGAGCACTGCCGATGCCCAGAGGGCTGGTACCCGACATGTACTGAGAAATCGGATACATATGGGTCGCTGCCTGGTTCTACATTGCCGAGAGCGCCCTTGTGACTCGAATGAGGCGAGAAGATTGTGATTACTCCGTCGTGGTCGGCGGGTCGAACATGGTTAGTGCGCATAGTCTGATCGTTTAGAGGACCGACAGCTCGAGTCAGGGGAGTAGATACACCCTACCAAGAGCATCAGGAAGAAACAAGCAAATTGCAATCCACTCACGACGTACGTGCTTGGCTGCTCGAACACGAGGCTTGGGTGCGAAACACCATTTCTTCCTCGTCGTCTTCCAGAAGCGAGTTTGATAAGGTAAGAGGCACATCCAACGACGCTGATAAATTCGCGGACACGGGCTTAAAGCCACCGACGTGGTTTACAGGGAAAAGGTGAGATTCCGTGGCTGGCGACCAATTAGTCACTCGGCACTCCATACATGTGGTAGAAAATGACGAAAGATATCAGACGTGCGAAAATATGAACAATATCCCTATGCGACTACTAGTGGTACAGCGAATATGAACCTGGACCAACTTTCGTAGCTATGGATACCTAGGGATTGTCTCTTACGGTTCATCCTCTTCTCGAACTCTCGTCTGGAGTAAAAATAATACGCAGCTCTGCCCCTCCTGAACGGCATAATCGTATTGCGTGCTGCTCAGTTCCTGGCTCACAAGAGTGCTAGTGATTCACTTCATGATCAACCGGCGATCTCGTTGTAATCGAGCACAGCTGACACAGAAAACCGGTGCAGGCTCCCAGGGCCAATGCGTATGGCCTCACAGATGGTTTTGTTGAGTCACCGTGAGCTCGAGTATTTCTATAAATAGGTGTATTATGCAGAGATCATGGAGAAGGCAGAGTCGTTCTGGAAAGACACTCGTCACGCGGGGAGAATGGGCGGAGCTTAGATGCGTTTTCCTTGTTCAGTTCCTTTGCCCCGCAGCTGAGCCTTTGCGTCCATCGTCTAGGTGCCATACAATGCGCCGCTGTTAAAATTATGACGGATTCTGAGGGTCAAGGCACGGGTTTAGGGGCACTGATTGTGCTAGAGTGCGAAAGCCAGCGAGGTGAGGGTTAGAGGATACTTGTCGATATCACTGGAATGTATACACAACACATCTGTATTTCATCGAGTGTAGAGACATTCTGGCTCATTTTCTTAGCAGCTTCCGACGTTGGAGTAGATGCAGGAAGAGGAATCAGGGCCGCTGGAGACTAGTCAGGAGTGGTCGTCATAAGGTTGGCGACGTACCATCCAATTTTTGTTGGCTCATTTCCTGGTGTCGTGCCTTGATACTTGCAGCACATATCTTCAAAAGATCAATCACCTACACGATAGAAACAATGCTTGACTCACTTGCGACAGATGGCTTTCCAGTTGAGCAGACATTAGTGAATCTGGCCGTGTCTCCGAAGTTTGTATTTATCCCAACGCCACTAGACCCACTCTCGAGCCTTGCATTGTTAACAATGACGTTACGTCGGTAGGACTGCGCACAGTTTCCGCATGCACGATATAGCTTGCCAAAGTCGGAAGCGTAAAAGTTTGAAATGGAGACTGTTCCGGCTCCGTTGTGTTGGAAACTGTCCAAGTTGAGTCAATGTCAAGAATCAGAGCGTTCACTTACATCTTGTCACTTGCGTGGAAGGCACCGCCGCCAATAACGTAGGAGACGTCTCCCGACCCAGTTTGCTTAAACGTTGCTGCGTCCTCGCACACGTCTTGCCACCAAATATTAACAAGTCGACATGTTCCTTTGCGACACAATTGTCAAATCATCTTATCCCGCTTTAAGTGCATACCTTGGCAGTGCTTTAAGATGTGTCAGTGCGTATGAGGGAGAAAAATCCGCACTCACGATGCCTTCGGCTTGATTTGCGCCAATGATCACGTTCGAAATGGTCGCACCTGGCTGGAGACTGAACACGGCGTCCGATTCGCCCGTCTCTGTCTGTCCTTGGCATCCTCCAGATGAGCCTGCACGGTCATATCGCTTCATTCCTCCGTCAAACGATCCGGAAATGACAGACGTGGTCGGCAATGCAACGTAGCCAGAGGACGGTGGTAGCTTTGTAGTGATACCCGTGGGTGTCATTGGTGTAGTGGGCGTGGATGTACTTCCCCTTGTCGTTGACGTCGTCTTTGTCGATGTCGCGGCACCGGGGAGACCTGCAGTGTGTTTAGAAGACGACATACTGAGATTTACCCGCATACATTGAGAGTACCACTCGTCTAATCATGGTTAAGATAGCCCGAGCAATCGATGACTACTCACTCGAGTACACGCACGTCGCACCAGACACACCTACGCTTGGTCAGATACACATGGTAGATAAAATAACGCTCTACATGTCTTTTAACCTGGAATAAATCAGCTTTAGAATGTCTAAAAGGACAATACTTGCCAGTGTACCCACTCCCGCCGCATTGACCTTGCCAGGACGTTGAGTAATCACTCTCTTCAACGATGGAACCCACCATAGAGCGGCTATAATGGATGGTCAATACTGATAATCTTGAATAGTTCGAACACTCACCACAGCAGCTTGGGCAAGCAAAGGAGCGAGTATCGTAACGAGTGCGAATACTGAGATCATTTTGACCTGTGGATTTGACTGATAGTTATAGGTTCGATAGTCCAAGATCTTATATGTCCATCAGACTTAATAGAACGGCCCGCTCAGCGCGTTATTTGGCTTGTCAATATTTGCCGAAGAGGGGCCTGCCATGTGGAAACTCCGAGATATTGATGCGAAATCAGAATAATTAATGGTATGCACAACTAGGGGCGGCTTCGGCAACCTTAGCATTGTCATTTGGGTGGGCTGCCGAGATATTTGTCGCCTCTGGGCTGGCCTCTGATGGTCCTGGCGGAGCGTACAAAGTATTCTACGGGCCGTTCAATTTACCCACAGAAGTCTCATCTGGGTCGATATTCACCGCGGGTTTTACCGTTCATACCAACTGCTTTGTGAACAAACGGAACAACATGCGATTTGTAGTCTTATGGCGGCACTTTATCTCGTTTATATTGGTCTAATTTAAATGCACTTCAAACAGGGAATCATTGCCAGCATGGGGACAGCTGAGTGTTGCCACTTTGGGACAACGTATGTGTAATAGGAAGTCAGTTTATGAGCATTATTGTGATTGTAAGCATTGTTGTAGTTTATTTTAATGTCAGCCATATTGTCAAATGTAGCAGGAGTGCACCACGCCTATCTATGGGGGCAGCTGCGATGGACCCACAAACTTTGACATGCCATGAACACTTCCATCACAATACCAACTCTGAATATATGTATATCTGGCATACTTCGGCATTAAATATCACTGATAGAGGCGCCAGCATTTTGACACCTCCTGGTGGGTGGTATTTTGCATTTTCGCCACGTCTCAAGCTCATAATATATTCCGAGAATCATTAAAAAAGCTTTTCTCTGGCATTAAGTGCCTTTTCCATTGTGCGGGATCTTTGAACTCTACACGGCAGGCTAGCGGTTGGGTGAGCAATCTCAATGAAGACATTTAAATGAACTTTATATTTAAATAAGAATTTAAGACATAGTAGATATTCACTAAGTCTCATGGCTGCAAACAAGGATTGATTGCCAGTGTCACGAGGATCAGATTTTAGACATATACAAAGATTAGATCAATAATTAGAGTTGCATAAACAAAAAAGGGCAACACAGATGCTCCTTTTCACCCGGAATCACATGATGTTGGCTGATGAGCTGATCATGTGATTAATCATGTGACCATATTAGGAATGATCCATCATCAAATCGCAATGATTGTACGATTGTATAATGAGAAATGATGGGTATTGAGTATTCCTGGTGAATTTCAAGGGTCCTGAGGGACTCATACAGCTTGGGTCATAACTGTGTATATACAAGAGGTTGAGAGCTACCCAATGAGTATATTATCATGAATCAGAGACTATTGGATGTTGAGATCGGCCTGTGGGGACAGCATGAGAGGCTATTGTGTTGGCAGCCAAATTAGGAGGTATTTGAGTATTGGGAAGATGTATAGTGTCCTATTATTAGCCTTCCCAAGCTACACACATCAAATCCAGGATGCCACTTGTTAAAGGTTCACCCTTTGACTCTTAGCGCTCACTAAATAGACTTAGCCAATAGTAATAGCTCACGTTGTAACTCAATGTATTTAAGGACGCGGGATGACACAGCCAGACCTTACTGGTCTTGCCTCTCACCTCACGCGTCCTAGGTTTGTTACACCATATATACTGGTCTTGCCTCTCACCTCACGCGTCATAGCATTAACACCACTGGCATCCTGACCGCATAGGCTATAGTGGCAGTGAGACTGTGCCCACAGTTACACAGTGTTCTGTGCACACAGTTCGCAATACATTGTCGTGACTGTACCCACATCTGGAGCACTGTGAGCCCAGTTACATTACTAAGCTTGACATGAGATGAGATCGAAGGATGACAAGTGTATTTGGGCATGTGTATGACTAGGGCTACCGCAGCACAATTCTTACCTAGTCATTTTAAGGAGGCTGTCAAATTCTATGAAATTGGGGATAAGGGAACAATGGAACTGGAGGCACATCTAAAAAATATTCATGAATGCTACTTGTGTATCAGGCAGAGTATAGTGATACGCTGTCAAGCTCTGATTAGTTGCTGTATGTGAAATAGACTTGCAAACTGTGCTCAAGGACCCTACGAGAACTAATAATGATTCTATGCGGGCAATGAAGGCTGGAGTAGAAGCGCAATGCGATCGACAAGCTAATCCAAATTTATCAATTATCCTGCCTGCTTGACAGCAATTCATATTTACATGGCCAGTTTCTTCTTTGTACAGTGGCTCAAACTACTTTTCGCGACATGGTTCCTCAAACCTTATTTCGGCCATAGACGACTACATGTAGAACTAGAATTGTCCAGATATTTACAAGTGAAACATATCAATCGAAATTATCAGAAGAGAGCTCTGAGTGAATTCCAGGACATAAGACGAGAGATGCAGAGGGGGAGAAAATTAGAGGCTTCGCGCGAAGGCGAGTTGGGCTAATACTTGGTGTGCCCTTCATTAGCACGAATCCCGTCCGCAAGCCTTCTAGGCATACTATCGATCGAATCAAGGCATACCTTGCGATCAATCTTGCCCCATTCTGCTAAGATTCGGGCCTCGAGCTCATAGATGTTGGTTGGATGGGTCTCATAAGCATTGAGACAGCGCTTGAGGTGTTCCCACAGATGCTCGATCGGATTGAGGTCTGGGGAATGTGCAGGCCAGTCAAGAGCACGTATATCATTGTCCTCAAACCAGTTGCGAGCAGTGGCAGATGTGTGCTTCGGGTCTCCGTCCTGCTGGAAGATCCAGTTGGTGTGCTGCATGCGGAAATGGCGGACAGAAGCGGGAAGATGCTGGTCCAGGATTTGGATATACTTCTTAGCGTCCATAGTTCCATCAATGAAACATAAATCGCCCACTCCTTGGACCGACATGCAACCCCAGACCATCACAGAGCCGCCGCCATGCTTAACTGTGAACTGGACAGTGCGGCTAGAAAGCTCCTCGCCAGGCATCTTGTAACAATAGCGACGTCCATCAGAGCCCATCCTGTTGGCCTCTGATTCATCAGAGAAAATGACGCGTGCCCAGTCCTCTGTGGTCCAGTGGCGGTGGCGGAGGGCAAAGTCGAGGCGGCGTTGTCGGTGGCTCGTCTTGAGAAGCGGCTTTCTGGCCTTGGCACAGGCTCTGAGACCAGCTGTGCCTAGTGCATTACGGACAGTCTGGTTCGAGCAACAAAGTCCCAGGAGCTGTTTGGCCTCAGGCACGGTGTCGGCATGTCCAGAGCGGATGGCAGCGACAATGCGGCGATGGTACTTGTCATTAATGAGGGCTGGACGGCCTCCCTTCCTCTGCACAAGTGCAATTCCAAACACACGGCGATATTTGGATACAGTGGAGAGTGAGAGGTCGAGCTGGCGTGCAATAGCAGTGAAGGAAATGCCCTTCAAGAGGAGAGCACGGAGTTCGAATTGTAGCTACTTTGAGAGAGGCACGGTTGTTCTGAGGATCTAGCTTGCATCCTACCTAGCTTATATACGTTCTAGGCTATAGTTTGCATATATTTGCGTAGTTTTGGGATGTACAAATAAGCCGTGGTCACATGATCTCTCTTGATTAAAGTTTCACCACGTAATCCCTCGCACTCCACCTCTCCGCCACAACCGTCATAACTAATGCTCAGACACGTCATATACTCCTTTGCTTTGCTCAGTGATTCTTCACATAGTAAGGTATCTACGAGATATATATGCCAGATTTTATCAGAGCTACTGGCGGTTCCATGAGCCTAATTAAATTTCAGTGGCCGTTTCGGGAAAAGTAGTTTGAACCACTGTACACTGCCCACAGAGCAGTTGGTGTCAGCGGTCAGCCAGAGTTGGGTGATGTACCTTATTTGGTTGCTTACTTCAAAGTTGGATTCCCTTCATTATTCCTTATCTTATACCTAGACAGTGTGTGTATTGTTTGTCTAGGTTCATATATTGATTCGGTTGCTTACTGCATCCTCTGAGCATGCGTATATTCGTCTTGGTAAGGATTTGTGGCTTAATTGCCCTCACACTTTTGGTTAGTGATATATCAACTATGTGGACTGTGTAATCCCACTCATGCTGTCAGACAAACTGCCGCCTGATTCCTAACAAATGCCTGAGATGGGCAATGCAAGAATGCTCTCGTATCCAAACACAGTGCAAATGAAATGGTGACCTCTTCTGCTCACGGATCAAGCTCCATGGGATTTGCTTGATAATAGGCAGCCATATCCTTGTTGAAAGAGCCTGGCAATACGTACTGAGAAAGGCTGCAAAATATTGTCGTTAGAGAGCCTTGAATACCGTTCCTTGCCTCTTGGTCAGGCGGAACGACCAGCGTGGCAAACTAGAATACTCCTAAATTGTTGTTCACCCCTCGAGACATTTAATGGCCCCAATCTCGACATGCAGTCCATACATTTGACCTTGCGTGTGAAACCTTGCTCTCACTGCGTATCCCTAGGCTACACTATCGTGCCTAGACAAGGGAACACAAGGCTCAGTTGGTGCGAAGGTCAACCAAATCAATAAACGTACCTAGACAATGGAACACAAGGCTTTCTAGGTGTAAGATAACAGAATAGACAAAGATCCTCCACTTTACCTCAGTCGGTGCAAAGGTTAACCGAATGAGGCAAATACGAACAAATACCGCCACGCTCTTCTCCGGCACGACGAGTGCATTCCTCCATGATCCCTACATCATAGCTGCTATGCCCCTATAGACGTTGACAAGCTCGTGTCGATTATTCTACTATTTACACAAGTTTATATAGCTCTTGTATGACTAATGACTGACTAATGAATCCTAACGTTTATCTTGAACATTCAGCGGTGTAATCCTTGATTACTCTGTGGCTAATCTCCAACATGTGCTGACATCGACTCCACAGCAAAGTATGTTATCTAAGATGCAAACATCACCATCCGTGTAATGTCCAGCCATCAAACGACTTCGTTCTCAGGGTCCACATGGTACACAAGGAAAATAGCATATATATAGTAATAATGAAATCAGTTACAATGAGTCACTAGTTGGTGCTTGCTTGAACATTGGTCCAAGAAGGACCACATTGAAAGTTTGTGAAATCGAGTTTGGTTGCGCGGAAAGAACTCGATGTCGGCATGGTTAAAATAAGACGCGGATTTTGTAGTCCATATCGATTATTTGGTGGCACCCAGAAGAGAAATCTACCAGTGGATTGCACCCAGCCATCATACGTAAGCAAGCATTGGTTGAAGCCAGGGATTACAAGAACATCTTGGGGTTCCTCCGCAAGATATGAGGAGGTAGATTCTCCACCTTCCTGGTTAATATCCGGATCTAATGGTAAGCGTTAGTTTTGTTTGCATTCAGCGTTATACAGAGACTACGCTGACCAGAGTCCGCATGTAGCATCACATTTATATCACCGGTAGAGCAGGAAACAATTCGAGGACCATCCGGTGTGGAGGTGACAAGGACAGGGTGCTCATAGCGCTGAATAAGCTGCTTTGATGAAGATCCAGGAGTATTATCCAATATTTGAACAGTATTTGCAAAGCCAGATGCGATGTGTGAACCATCTGATGAGAATGCAACAGCGTTGACCGAGTCGCTATAGCCTCGGAGTGGCTCTCCGACCTGCTCACCAGTGTTCGCGCCCCAAAGTCGAATCGTCTTGTCTCCAGAGCCAGAGACGATTCGTGAGCCGTCTGGCGAGAATGCGGCGGCACTGACCCAGTCGCTATGGCCTTGGAGTGGCTCTCCGACTTGCTCACCAGTGTTTGCGTCCCAAACTCGAATCGTCTTGTCGTTTGAGCCAGAGACGACTCGTGAGCCATCTGGCGAGAATGCGACGGTGTTGACCCAGGAGCTATGGTCTCGGAGTGGCTCTCCGACCTGCTCACCAGTGTTTGCGTCCCAAAGTCGAATCGTCCGATCCCAAGAACCAGAGACAACTCGTACGCCGTCTGGCGAGAATGCGACAGCCTTGACCCAGGAGCTATGGCCTCGGAGTGGCTCTCCGACCTGCTCGTCAGTGTTCACGTCCCAAATTCGAATCGTTGTGTCCGTTGAGCCAGAAACAACTCGTGAGCCGTCTGGCGAGAATGCTACGGCAAAGACTGCCTGGCTATGTCCTCGGAGTGTCTCTCCGACCTGCTCACCAGTGTTTGCGTCCCAAATTCGAATCGTCGAGTCGTAAGAGCCAGAGACGACTCGTGAGCCATCTGGCGAGAATGCGACGGCATTGACCGAGTCGCTATGGCCTCGGAGTGACTCTCCGACCTGCTCACCAGTGTTTGCGTCCCAAAGTCGAATCGTCTCATCTCCAGAGCCGGAGACGACTCGTGATCCGTCTGGCGAGAATGCGACGGCAAAGACCGACTCGGTATGGCCTTGGAGTGGCTCTCCGACCTGCTCACCAGTGCTTGCGTCCCAAAGTCGAATCGTCTTGTCTGCAGAGCCAGAGACGACTCGTGAGCCGTCTGGCGAGAATGCGACGGCCAAGACCGACTCGCTATGGCCTCGGAGTGGCTCTCCGAGCTGCTCACCAGTGTTTGCGTCCCAAAGTCGAATCGTCTTGTCCCTCGAGCCGGAGACAACTCGTGAGCCATCTGGCGAGAATGCGACGGCATTGACCGCCTGGTTATGGCCTTGGAGTGGCTCTCCGACCTGCTCACCGGTGTTTGCGTCCCAAACCTGAATCGTGTTGTCTCCAGAGCCAGAGACGACTCGTGAGCCGTCTGGTGAGAATGCGATGGCCAAGACCGAGTTGCTATGGCCCCGGAGTGGCTCTCCAATCTGCTTCCCAGTGTTTGCGTTCCAAAGTCGAATAGTTTCGTCTCCAGAGCCAGAGACAACTCGTGAGCCGTCTGGCGAGAATGCGACGGCAAAGACCCCGTCGCTATGTCCTCGGAGTGGCTCTCCGACCTGCTCACCAGTGTTTGCGTCCCAAATTCGAATCGTCTCGTCGTAAGAGCCAGAGACAACTCGTGAGCCGTCTGGCGAGAATGCGACGGCCAAGACCGACTCGCTATGACCTCGAAGTGGCTCTCCGACCTGCTCACCAGTGTTTGCGTCCCAAAGTCGAATCGTGTTGCCTGCAGAGCCAGAGACAACTCGTGAGCCGTCTGGCGAGAATGAGACGGCCCAGACCGAGTCGCTATGGCCTCGGAGTGGCTCTCCGAGCTGCTCGCCAGTGTTTGCGTCCCAAAGTCGTATCGTTTTGTCTGCTGAGCCAGAGGCGACTCGTGAGCCGTCTGGTGAGAATGCGACGGCCCAGACCGAGCCGCTATGGCCTCGGAAGGGGTTTCCCATCGGCTCACCCGTATCTACATCCCAAAGCCGAATTGTGTGGTCTTCAGAACAAGAAGCAATTCGTGATCCGTCTGGCGAGAATGCCACGCCGCTGACCGACTCTTCGTGACCTTGAAGTGCCATCGGGGGCCCAGGGTATGCATGCTCGAGCCCTCGAATCACATTCAAGGTCCCCCCGTACTCCCGTACACCTTCGATCCGTAGAATCGACTCCTTTGGCGTAAATGGAAGAACTGAAATGTACACATGTGGAGCGCTCTCCTGAATTGGCACCGAAAATGCTATCAAGCACCTTCGTATATCGCTGATCCTTCTCCTAGTCTCCCCTTTGAGCTGAGATTCATGTAAATAACCGATATCTGTCACTAAGAGTACTCACTTCAATATGACCCGCAAGAGCTCGTAGACCGGCGATCGCTCGCGGCACGCCTCTAGTCAAGCTCAGAGCTTCCATCCAGTGGAGGACACGTGGGCTCTGAACAACGGCACCAAATTCCTTCTCGAGCATGCATCGCCTCTTGCCGTCTGTCCCCGACATATGGAAAAGCCAATGCGAGCTTGCATATCGAAGTCTCCGTGTAATGAATCTCGATACTCTTGCCTCGAGATCTGGGATCTGTCTATTGAGACGGAAGGAGGACTCAATTCGACATATGTTGAACTTGAGACCATCAGTCCGCGACTTGAGGCATCTGATGCACCACGATGCAACTTGCCCGTGCGCATTGACAGCGTCTAGATATATCTTTTTGCTATCCCCAACGACGGGGGCGATGGAGCACCGTCCCAGGTACTCGAAAAGGGTGGGGTGGCGGAACTGGACCAGATTTGTACCCGGTTCCACGCTGAGTACACTTCCTAGATTCCTGATCAACCTCTTCACACTTCCCCGCACTCCGACATGTTTCACAAGGTCCTCCATGTCGCCCACCGTCAGTGGCTCAAACGCCACAAGAAGCAAAGCGAGCATCTGACACTGGATCGCGTACGATTCCTTGCCTGTGCGTTCAAAGACGAGGTCGTATACCTCGTCTATAGCTCCAGGTTCCTCCAAGGATACCAAGCGATCATATATCTCCTCGGGCGTCTCCATCGTGGTTTCATCGTTGATCATTCGGCATGCGGTGCTCGCCCAAATGAACAGCCCGTTCGCTTTTCCGACCAGTCGCTGTCTCTTCTCCTCTGAGAGGGTTTGATTTAGCGATTGATGAACATAGAGTGCAATATCGCTGATGTTATTAGGATGGTTGACATTGTGAAGGCGGTCCTCCAACTTGGCTTTGACCGAGAGCGACCCCAAAACGGATTCGATGACCGGGTCAGGGCGACTCGTCATGAATACCCTGAGGTTCTTGCACTTTTGGACAGCTGTAGAAAGAGTATCGAGGAGTTTTTTGCGCTGTGATGTAGACTTGCATTCGTCCACTGCATCGATGACTAGCACTACGTGGCCTTTCCAGAGCTCGACGGGACCAGTGACGAGTGTTTGGAATTGGTCGTCAAAGGAGCTTTGCATGATGGATGGATTCCCCGTTACAGCTTGAGAAAGGTACGGTGTGAGCTTAGGGAGGAATTGAGCCAGGTCCCTTGCTATGGAAGAGCACAGTCTGTCGGTGGTCGATGCGTCACTGCTTGCTATGGAGAAGAAGAATTGACCACCCAGCACTCCTTGCTTCCGCCAGGACTCCATTGCTGTCATCGCCACGGTGGATTTACCGGAACCAGCTATGTCGCATAGCCAGAAGATGGGCTTTGACGAGTCACCATTATTGGCCCAATCTTGAATTGCCTCAAGAACAGCTTTACGCGTTCCTTTGAGACAGGTATTGTGGACCGAGGATGGAACGAATGTGACCGATGGAAGGTGGACCATCAGCTCCGAAAGCTGTATGGCTCTTTTCGGTGTGGGCTCCCCAAGTACTACGTCTGCAGTTTGATCAGCGGAGTAGGGACAACAAGGTGGCTACGAACTGCGGAGATCGTCCTCTTGTACCCACTTGTCGAATATTGCCTCGGGTGCAGTGTTAACATACTCTTTGAGATGGTAGTGAACTGCCTTGTAGTTGTCGTTCTCCCTGGATGGGAATCGAACTAGATTACGATGATCGGCATGAAGAATAACCATCGTCGCATTGCGGTCACCGGCAATGCTGGCTGAGTGATGCGGGACGTTCTGTCGTTCCATCAAGATATAATCCTCGAGCAGGAATAGACTCACAACCTCTCCTTGATTCGACATGACGTAATCCTCGCAGAAGAATATGCTACTGATATTCTCGCTCGCTGCGACCCAATCTTTCTGGATGTTCTCAAGCTCTGTCGAATGAGATCGAAGATCTTTGAGAACAGCGTCTGTCGTTTCCATGTACAGCGACAACACGAGGTTGATTCCCTCTAGGAAAGTGGTATTTTCGGCGCCGAAATGTGGGGTGCCAAAGAACAAGACTCCATGTGTCGATACTAGAATATCTCGGAGGTGACCTTTTGATCCCGGATTTTGATTGTGACTGATAACAAGAGCCTACGAGAGTCCATGTCAGAAACAGTTCCTCGGCATTTACTGTTACTAACCCGTTTGAGAATGATACCTCCTATGTTGTGTGCGATAAATATCATAGGACGCTGGTCGTTGTTTAGAGAACGCCAAATGATCAGAGTAGAACTCACCCGAGGGCCCCTTCCCGTATCCGTACAAGCGCATTGGCTAATCCTTCGGCCTGTCGACCGATCGTCTGAGTGGATACGCATTCGTGACTGTCGGTGTCGGCATCGTATCCATAGCTGAGGATGCGGACATTGGGCAGGTCGGAAGGCAAGAGACCGCGCAGCCAACAAACTCCATCGTCCGTCGTCCATGTCTTCTCTCGATGGCCTTGTAGACCATGAATGGCGATAATACTGCGGAAAGTAGCGCACGGACACTTTGAGTGGCAATTACGTGCAAAAGGTGAGTGACTTACTCGACAACAGGTTCAATTCCAGGTGAAATCTCTAGGAACCCAAGATCATCGAGCTTTGAACGCGATGGGTCGGGCTTTATTTCGGGCTTTATCTCAAGCTTTCGTTCTGGGTTTATGTCTGGCGTTGTTTCTGGCTCTGACGGTCGATTTGTTTTGCGCTTTGATTTCGACTTTGAAGCAGACTTCTTGCTCGTCTTTGGAAGGGACATTTCTTGGTCCATGGCGACCTACGAATTGGAAGGATGATGCAGAAAGATTGTCGAGTGCGAGCGGGTACTGGTCACCTTTCACGAAGGAGATGGTCAGGGACAGGCAAGGGGTTAATCGGCGGCACGGAGTAAGAGGATGAAGATGGCACAGAATGCCAGCAATTTATCCCTGTCCTTACAACATGCCAACCAGCAAAGGGACCTAAACAATGTGTCATATGACCTGTCTCTGTATAGTCGATTGACAACGAAGGTACGGCCTCCATAAATAGAAGCTGCTTATGATTTCCAAATGAGGTAGCAGAGAAAATTCGATTTCAAGGTGCACGAGTCTACAAATGGAAAGAGCCCTCCGGGCATATCCGACAGTTGTAACAATTTGAGCTTGAATTTCATTTCAATACCGCTACAGTATATGTTGAGCGCCGTCGCGTCGTCTTTATCATCTCAGTTGGAATTTCTTCCATCCCCGAGGATCGCGGCCAGGGCCCTCGGTCAGGCACGATGGTCGGACTATCCGTCGTACTCACTCGCACCATCGTCTTCTCGCGATCTCACTTACTTTGAATACCAGCGCAATTCCACCGATCTCGACGTAGCCATCAACATTCCAAGATGGCATCGACTTGAAAATGGCATACAGCATCCAGGCGCTCCGGCGCGTTATGCCCTCGCACTCACGTTGCTCAGGCGATTCGAGCAGAATGGGGGCCTCAAAGATCTAGAGGGTGCGCTCAAGAATGCGCAACTCGCATACGACGCCGTCTCGAAACGGGAACAGGGAGAAATTGAATGGTTCCATCGCGCATGCAGAGGCCATTCTCGCAGCGACGCCTCCTGACCGAAATGTACAAGAAAATACATTCGTTTGCGCTACGAGCCGCCGCACCGGCAAAGGAGCCTGCCGGTACATCGCCTGGCGATATTATCGCGCATGTACAAGGAGGTTGAACGCGCCAAGGAGGAGCGAGATCCATGCTGGGGTGTACAGGTGCTCCGACCTTGCAACCTTCTATACGCTCGTTACGAGTCGAACCTGTTCTAAGCAAGATTTGGATCTGGAGCACGCTCTGGACCATTGGAGGGGGATCGCTACGGCTGGCTTGCGGACCGTACCCTCTCCGCCAAGCGTCCGATTCCACGCAGCGCTCAAGTGGGCTGACGTCTCGTGCGGCGACGGAAGATACAAGTCTGCTGTCGAAGCGTACAAAATTGCCATGAGCCTTGCTCCCCGCGTCTCGCTTGCGCGTAGGAGGGATGCGATCAACGGGGACTTTGATATGATCGAGGCTGCACCAGGAGAGGGGAATGAGCTTCTTCTTAATACATTTAGTCTCGCTTCGGACGCTGCTGCTGCTGCCATCGAACGCGGTCAGCCAGAGACGGCAATCGAGTTCCTCGAGCAAGCACGCACGCTCTTGTCGAGAGATGCACACGGTATCCCGTGAGACTTGGACAACCTGGAGCTCAAGAATCTAAACCTGGTTCGTCATGTCACTGACGTTTTGAGGGAGCTCGAGCAAGGTCACGACACGTTCAGCCCGAACTCTCCGATTGCGAACCTGAACATGCGGGCTCCCTGGATGCGCGTATCCGAACCCAAAGTCAATAACAATTTCTCGCCGGATGACAAGTGAAACTCTGTCGTCGGGACCGTCTGCGCTTCATGCTGCTGCGGTCGTGCGCGATGGGCGATCCAGCAGGGCGGAATCAAGATCCAGCGACGACGGCACTGCATCGCCAAAGTCAACCAGCACCAAATACTCATTCTACTATGCCACTGCCCTTCAATCTCTCCTTCATCCTCCCGTGATAGGTAACCGAACTGAATCTCGTGTGCTCGTCATCTCAGACCAACCACCTCCACGTGCCTCACTTCTGGGTGGAAACGTAGCCAGCATCCGAGCTCTCAAGTCTCAACTCGCTCCTTCACTTTCATCCACTCCCGAACCGCAGAGCGAACCCGGCCGTCGAACCTCCACATCGAGTCCCTCGAGGGCCCAGCTGTTAGTTTACACTAGTGTACATTACACCTGTCACGTTGCCTCCCTTCCCCATTGGTCGATCCATCACCGGTGGCAGTGCCCCTCACTCGGTTAATCCACGACCGCTGTGAGGTATGGCCACTTGCTCACTTGTATGATCGATGCTCGCCACCTACATTAGCTAACTAGACGCTGTATATTAGGTAGTGTATTCTACTCGATTAATCCACGACCGCTGTGAGCTAACTAGACTCTGTCTATTAGGATGACAAAGGAAATCGGTCGAGTTTCAAATGGAACTACTATTAATAGATGTAAAAGCGCTCCAGGGGATCGGACGGCCGTTCAAAAGCGTGTTTGGAGCTGGAGCACTCGACAGAACGCCAAGATGAGTTCGAATGGGATGAGGATGAGGATATGATGGAACACAATGAAGCGTGGTGAAGTTTTGAATTTTATTACGGTTACAAACGAGCATAGCCTAGCGTTGACCCTGGCCAGGTGTTTACATGGCTGACAAGAACGCTGGCGACGTACATCACGATCAAGGGAACATCTATTTCCACGAACATACATTATTTTGTATGAAATAGGACAGGGAATGATCGACGAGAGCAATTGGCGCCTGGATGTTGAACGAGCAAATACTCGACGTGCCGCCGCCCCGAAGAGGACCGAGACATCAGCGATTGTGTTGGAGACAGCCAGAGCTAGCGCGTAGGTAGTACAGGTGGACGGATGTGGTACGAGGAGAGCTGATCAATGGGAGCATTTCAGGCAGATTCACCCACCTTACACGGTGGATGGCTTCGACGAGTATCAGCTCGACGAGATGACGGACAGCGAGCAAGTTCCCTTTGAGCACTGGAATAGAGCCTTAATTGGAGGTGTTTTCTATTCCGAGTTGCCCATGCGAGCTGCAGCCATTGCCACGGCGAACGAGCGTTCGGAGCGCAATGCGAGGCGAACATGGGAGTCATCCGGATTGTATAACGGGACCAGGGAGAGACGAGGGTTGCTTATGGACGCACACCAAGTACGTATTACCCCCCACGGTTGGAGGCGATGCCTCGGACCAGGGAAGTGCGCGTTCGCCATTGCTTACCCTAATGTGCCCCTGTGAAATAGTCAGCGCCACAGTTTCAATACAACTTTCGCACCTACAGGTACTTCTGCCGAGCCAGAGATTCCTACGATTGTCTCGAAACCACCGAACTCGAGACATGCTAATCCGCGACACATTATTAGGCGAGGTCGTGACCTAAGTGGGGGATAGGCGCCACCGACGCAGATGGATGCGCAGCCGAAATCTAGAAGGAGTCCGCTCCACTACGGACTTCAAGGAGCGTGTAAACCTGTCAGAAGTGAAGGATCGGATATAGCAGTCATGGGTCACTTTGACGCTCGAGTACTTACTTGCCGTAGCCGCAAAGGCTCGACTGGTAGAAGAGGATGACTGCGCAGTGCCAGCCTCCTGAGATGATCAGAAGTCTTTTCAGAGGCAGCTCTATTGCACCTAGACACCAGATAATGAACGCAAAGTCAGACAGAGCGGTAAGCAAACCGAATGAGGCAAACACGATCGAATCTCCACCACTCATCTCCGCTCCTTCCTCTGGCCACTCTGCGACTGCGTGACGAGTGCTATCAAACGTGATCTCCGCATCACAAGCTCATCGAGTCGTCAGGAGCTTAAGGCCGAACGACGGACGATTTGAGCACGACAGAGACTTGGTGGAAGCGGATCTCGAATGCAAAGAGGAGTCGAAGATAGCAAGGATGGGAGGAATGACTACGGCCATGCCGGCTATGTGAAAGAACGAGACTAAGAAATGAAGTCGACCTTCCCACCTACACTATTTTCCCGTATCGATCTTGCCTTGTGATATTCTCTCACGGGACCCCTATTTTACTCTCGAAATCCCCATGCACTTCCCTTGTTTCTACCGATGACTGTCTCGATACACTCTCTGTCGTTTAGGGAGTCTCCACACGTCTTTGCGAGGTCCTTAAAAGGTCGCAACGCGAGATTAGTAAAATTATCCTATTCCGCGTGCTCTCTATGTCTATCTATTATCATCTCTCAATCCTCTAACTCTCCTACTCCTTCCTACTGAACCGTCTACCGCCGTGTTGTCACCGATAGACCCATTCTCTCTCCGCTGTCGCGTCACACCTTACAGCGTTGATCATGCTACCTGCATCCGATAGTCCCGCGTAATGGACTCCAAAAACCGTCATCTTCACCTTTCAAACTATTTTTATGACGTGCTGGAAATCCAGGCCTCACCAGTGTAGACTTATCGACTGCGTAAGCAGTGGAATGCATTATTATTATCGCGCAAAAGTATCCCTTTGATAGATTCATGAGCACGATCGACAATTTGGCCCTTCTTCGCCGTTCGTTGCAGCGTCGCCGTTTGTCCCCAACTTGCTTCTCCGAATTTTTGTGGCTCGGTTCGTTACTTTGTGCTCGCTAGCTGATAGCCACCGTCCTGGAGACTTGCTTAGCAAGAGGCTGGATAATATGCCAGCCACCGGGCTGCGCAGGCGTGGGTACAACCACAGGACCAAGGAGGACGTGCATCAGATAATTGGTCATACTTCGAATGGAATGACAATGAAATATGGCCCAATCCAGCCAATCGGGCCGACATATTCATACCAGCGACCAGTATTGTACAGCTCGACAGACTCTTGACTTTAGAGAGCGACTGGACCAGGAATGACGCCATTCACTTTGGCTCGCCGCCGTGCCTTAACAGCTAGTTCGCAGGAACGGCTGCCGAAGCCCTCCTTTGTGAATATCAAATGAGCCATAAAGAGTTCTTTGTACAATGAGACAGTTCGAATCCCCGCCCCAAGCAAGGCTGGATAAGAGTGTAATGGACGGGAAGGCCTGGTGCATATGGGAAATTGCTTCCTATAGTCACCTCTGTCCAACCGATGGTAATCCGAGAGTGCACATGCGCGATAGAGTATGTCATGAACTCAGATTAAGGATATGAGGATGGTAATCTCCTTTCTATTACTATATGGTGCAGTTCTCTGATTCGTCCGTGGGGTGGATCTGGTCTACTGGTATTTTAGATTGCATTGATAGCTGATTGGGATGTCAACCTTCAAATCTGGCTCGTATCTTCCTCTTTCGTAGTTGGCCACCAGCCAAGATGGACTGTACGGCTATAAAGCCCAACCGGTATGGCACCGTCCTGATCAGTTGTCCAAACCTTCTCTGTGAATAACAATCATGGACGATGCTCGTTCGTGCGCGCGGGGCATTCCATGTGGCAAATCAACATCTATGAGCCAAAATGGCTCCTACGGCTCCGAATATGAACAGGATTTCGAGTTTGAGTTTGGTTCGGCCTCTCTATCCTCTGGTTAGCACTCACTTCATCGCTGGATGGAACGAATGAAACTGACTTTCCGCCTCAAGTGACGTCTCCCACCGATGCGTCATGCCGTCCTGGGTCCAGAGGCCAGTTGGGCTCAAATATGAGGAGCCAGCATAGCTCTTTATATTTTTTGCTAGCGCCTTCTTCTCATCCCACGAACTGGCAGATACAGGAATCTGGGCAGTGCCAGGCTCCCTCCAGCATCTTGACTCATACAAATGGCACTGGACGTATCACAGGGTTCGATATCGAGATATCTCAGATGACCAGCGACCAGTCATCTCCTACATCTTGCGGCATACTGCCGAGTAATCTCTCTTTGCTTACGAGTCAGATCGACCAGCAACTCTGTTCGTCATTGCCACGGGAGGAGCAACAAGCCATGGCCTCTCCAATACCAATAGTCGAGGCTCATGCTAGAGTGTCGAGCATTGATACCAGCCCGGGCTTCAGCATGACCTCTCAGTCTTCCTATCATGACGAATCACTGAGTTTGCTTCTCGATCATCACATCACGACTCTTACTAGCTCACCCATCCTCACTGGAGTAGGTCAGTACCAATCCGACAAGACGCACCCTATAGTTATGATCGACGATCTTGATAGAGGCTTATATGGAATGTCGCCAAATCCGACGCAGATCACCCCGGGGCTCTTAGATGGATTGGACATGCTCAACACCAGCAACGATGTAAGCAGTCTCTCTAGCACTGAGCTGGTCGCGCCATCCTCCTCCAACCAATCGATTTCGTCTCTTTCCTCGGGTCACATTTATCTACCTATTAAAAGTCGGAAATCTTTGCGAGCACCTAGTATCTCAGTGACCGTGCCCCATCACACACATCCTTACCATCGTCCCACTGGGTTCTCTTCTAGTACATCCTCGCTGAGCCCATATGAACCAACGATGCTTCTAAGTACACTGCCAACCTCACCCTTATCTCCTTTGGGCTCGCTTTCAAACTCGCATGCCCTCTTCTCTGCCCTCTCACCACAGGGTGACGACGCTAGTATTTTCAGTATCATCGGCACTACCCTTGATGATGGTCGTCTATACGGTCAGTTTACTCAGTCGCAGCAGCCAGCAGCTCGTGTGATCTTCAAGTATATGATGGATCACCCAAATGCGGTTATCCCGACTACATATATCACATCGGCGCTGGCGGATATCAAAGACGGTCGTGGGCGATGCTTGATTGGCGCCTGTGTAGCAGACGCAAAATCGAAGCGCGCCGACCATCTGTACGATCATATAAGAGACAAGCATTTCGGGTCCCGACCCTATGTATGCAGCTTCTGGTAAGCTTCTTTTGGTGTTGGTTGTGTAGATATCGAGGGCTGACTAGATCACCAAGTAACTATTCGTTCTCTAGGGAATACGATTTGAAGAGGCATTCTCACATTCACGAAGGAAAGCTTTTGGAATGCTCACAGTGTTCGAAAGCATACACCCGCTTCGATAACCTGCAACGCCACATGCTGCAGAAGCACGGACAATTCACATCTCAATCGCTTCCGTCTACACTCTTCCCATGATACCCACTCCTCATCAGTGGCCCGAAACATAATCTGTGTCTTCGAGGAATACTGCGATTTGACTGGGATTCCCCTTGTGATGACTAATGATTTGAACAAACATTCTCCTTTGCACTCGAGGCATGCTGCACCTTGTCCCTAGACATCAGCGCCTGTGCTTTTCCTTGTGACGACTTACGATTTGGAGCGAACTACGTAATAGTGACGATAAAGTAGCTAATATGTAAGGTTATTGAGGAGGACACACCATAGCTCATAGCTCATATTTGAAGATCTATGGTATAGTTGATTATCAGATGTGAATACGTGACCAGCGCAAGGTCATACAAAACTAGGAACGGCTCGCAACGTCGCTACTTCTTCTTTCCACCCTTTTTCTTCTTCTTGGCGCCTCCCTGTTGACTTGGAATGATGGGGTCCTCATCCACCTCTGGAGGATTTGCATCGGGGCTAAGCATGTTTGCGAGCATGACCTGAGATTGGGTTTGCATCGGTGGTAAAGGCTGAACAATCGACCTTGTCGTGCCAGGTGGAAGCGGTTGAGCAATCGACCGCGACGTCCCCGGTGCAATGTTCATGATGTTGGAACGCGTACTGCCAGGTGGGAGCTGAACAGGTTGAACTTGAGCAGATCCAAACGGTCCCGCTCCGAAACCAAATGCGTCGTTCCCAATAGGCCCCACGGGGATCGTCTGGGCAGAGTCACGAGTATAGGCCCACGTCGTCGACGTCTGCGGCATGATTGCGCTCGTCGGGGCAGACTCGTACACGGACTGCCTAGGCAGTTGGGATGTTGTCGTCCGACCAGTGTTCCACGGAATGTCGGACCGTTGGATTGGTCCCGCTGACGGCAGCGCATTGGTGGATGAACGAGCGCTGGCCGTAACAGGCAGGGATTGCCGCTGAGGTGAGCGGATTGGATGACCGTATTGATCAACGGTAAACGTCGAAGGAAGATTGACAGAGTTTTCGTCAAAATCGGCGGTATTGACATAGGCACTTGGTGGACCGCGCACACCCATGCTCGGCGATGGTGGAGGCCGCATTTGGACATCGGCTCCAAGACGAGAGAGATCGGGCTGAATCGTATCCCTCTCGGGTGTTCGGTTCTGTGGCTAAAAGAAAGCATCAGTCGACGCCAAAAATGTACACAATATACGTACTGGTATAACCTCGCCTTCCTCAAACATTTGCGGAAGCTTGCGAGGCATAAACTTGTTGCTGCGCGTATCCCAAGACTCTGCGCGCTCATCCAGAATATCGACTACACTGGAAGAATCGACATAGTCCGCTTCATCGTGTCTTGGTCGACTGGGATCATATGGCTCGATAGGAGCGTCGAGGTCTCGCTCCATGGCTCGGCGGTCCTGTGACGACGTTGTCGACTTTTGGGGACTGGGCACCGGATTAAACGCGCCAAAGGACGCCGCTGGGTCAAAGGTCATTGTCGGAAGGTTGCCCGGGTTGTGACGAGCGCTCTTAGGGGGCGGTAGCGGGGCCGACTCGTATCCGGGAGTTTTGCGCGGAAGAGGTGCGGATTCGTATGCCGGGGTTTTGCGCGGAAGAGGTGCAGGGGAATAAGAAGGTGTTCGTTGAGGGGCGCCACCCTTTGGCTTTGGAATCCCATACATGCTTTGAACACGACTAGGCGTCGTTAGCGGTGGCTCGGTATCTTGTACGCTGTAGCCCATGGAAGTGATTTGCGGAACTTCGTCATCATAATCGACAAAGCCCTCTCGCCGTCGTTTCTTGTCCTTTGCCGACGACTTTCCCTTCTTGCCAGAACTCGCAGCTGCAAAGGTGGTCTGCGATGGTGTAGGGGTCGTGCCACTTGGATGGATCGTAATCTCTTCCGGGCTCATGTCCAAGGCATTCGAATACCGAAGCGGGGTCGGGTGGGCCAAATCGCTGCGGAACTGAGAAGGGGATGGCGGCGGACCCATGCGTGGAGAGGGAGGAGGGCGATCATCATGACGCGAGGGAGAACGCGGTGGGTCTGGTATGTCATGTCCACGGTGTAGTGGCGACTGCTGAAGCGATGTCGAGGGTGCTCGGCGATGGTTGTTTGCTGGGTGGTATAGCCCTCCATTCGGGTCGTTTCTACTAAAGTCTTCAGGACCAAGCTCACGTCTGGGGTTCAAGGGACTTCGTGTCTGGCCCGGTTGACCAAGGGGGGCGCCATTCTGGCTATAATCACCTGAGGCGACAGGTTGAGCGTTTCCGGGGACAAACGATGCGTAGTTGACATCGCCAGTCACAAATGCCGGGCTCCCCATCAAAGAGGCACCTGCCTGGGCCATCTTCGTCGAGCGATCGCTAGCACGGGCGGGTGGGGTGCTTCCCACGAGCTCAATGTCGGGCAACATGTTTCCGACTGCAGATGGCGCGGTGGACCCTGCGCGACTGTTACTGCGACCTACATGTGAGCCGGCGCGACTGCTGCTGGCGGGTACGTTTCCGTACTCGACAACGGGAGGCGCTTTGCGCTGAGCCTTTGGTGGTTGTGGACTGCGCCGCGGAACCTCTATTACTTCTGGGGGCCTAGAGTATTGGCCAGTCCCTGTCGCTGCCGTTGGCGAGGGCTGAGATCGCTTGGGGATATATGTCTGGCCACCACCGTTGGGCATATTGCTAAATGCTCTCTCTTGAGGACGCACACCCATGGCAGCGTCTTGGAAATAGGCAGTCACGGGGCTTGGACCGGGCTCTGAGCCTGCCTCTAGGATTGGCGTCATTTCTGTCACTTGTTCCCGACCAAAGAGTGAATTGCTTCGCTCTCGGCCGTGAGGTGGACCATTCGAAGCGGGGCCACCTCGTCCGTGAGCAAGAAGGTCAAACTGCTCAGTTGGAGTGGATCCCGCGACGCTCGGAGGAGTCACCGTGCTTCGTCCAGGTCGACTACCAGAGCTTTGTCGAACCTTGACGGGGGCACGGTACCCTTGTCCTGTTCCAATGACGCCACCTCCCCACGACCGTTGTTCCATGGGCCGCTCGGACGGTGCCAAGGGCATCTGAGGAGGTGCCGAGGTGCGCCTGCTGATGCTGCGTCGTGGACTGTCCGCCAGATCGGTAAACTCGCCAGCCCCTGCGAGTATGTTGATGTTGGCATCCGACCGGTCTACAGAGTTGCTTCTAACCGGCACACCAGAGTTGGCACCAATGACGGGGAGACCCAGGACGTTGGCGGTATGCGTTTGTGGATCGACCGTTACGACGGGTGCGATTCCGCGTGGGGCAGGAAACGAAGAGGAGCGACCGTGGTGGGCACCACGAGCTCTATCTATATCTGGTGGCACAAAATACTCTCCGCGTCCATCTTGACCGGGCGTTTCCGCATCCACGACGTGATATGTCTCGCGAACAGCAGGCTCTCGAGGTGGTTCGGGTCGTGGTTGTTCTTCATACGCAGCATCATCCTGGATAAGATCCATCATTGCCTTTTTCTGCTTCTTCTCTTCTGCCCTTTTCCCGTCCTTGACACCATATTTGATCCCCTCTTGCTTTCCCATGCGAGCACCTTCCTCCATGCCCAATTTGCGACCTTCTTGGTACCCTGCCTCGCGGGCCTCTTGGAGCTTTCGCTCCTCGAGTAGCCGGCGAACTTTTTCCTTTTCGCGATACGTCTCGTCTACTGCCTTTTGGCGCTCCTCGTCCAGGGTGTCGATATCCCTTTGGGCCTTTTTAATCTCTTCGATAGCACCTTGGTACTGCGTCTTGAGGAATCGGAGTTGTTCGCGTAGCTTGCTGAGTTCGACTTCGGTCTTCTTTCGCCGTGCATTTCCCTCTTCCTCTTTTTGCTTTAGCTCGGAGAGGCGCGTGTTTGCTTCTTCGAATCGTCGGTCTTGAAAGGCGAGATCGGCTTGAGCCTGAGCGAGACTGGCCTGGAGATTGGCCGTCTTTTGGCGTTCTGTGGCGAGCCGGTTGATGAGAATAGAAATCTCGTCAACGCTAGGAGACTGGTGACCGAGAGATCCAGCGCGGTGAGGCTGTCGGGAGTGTTTGCTCGTCCCGGAGGAAGAGACGCTGGCAGAAGCTCGACGTGTTGGCCCTCGTTTGCGGGAAGCCGAGGGAGGGCTCATGGACTCGAGAAGACCTCGAGTAAGATTTGGGTTCTGGAATGCTTCTTGTAGATTTGTGGCGTGATTCTCCATTGCGTTACTAGCGCACAGGCGACGTCAACATGCGTGCTAAAGAGACGGTGGCGCGTAAACAGACGTACTCAAAGTCGGTAGCATCGTCTCTAAAGTCGATTCTAGACTTTTCAGGCGGTGGTTCTGAGCCAAAAGGTCGGCGACTCGACGGCGTAGCGCATACATTGCAAACTCACGTTGATAGTCTGTAAACGTCGGCGGCGAGCCGAAAGTATCCATCATTGTATCGTAGCTTGTGCTCTGAGCAATAAATCCAGCGTTTTAATCCAAGGCTTCGAGATAGCGGATAAGTGATAGCCAAGTTTGGGCGAGCGTGACGTGAGAAAAAGGCGAGTTGCTGACGTCCTATTGGCGAGTATATGACTGCTAACGGGTATATACACTGAAAGAGACTGGAATCGCGCACGGCGAGGCGTAGCGCCGTCTACCCGCGGTGGCGTCTGGGTCCAAGGTTTATATACTCCAAGCATCGGAAGCGCAGTCGTCGGATTACAACACGAGTAGAGAACAGTCTAAGAGGCTAGTAAAGGGAGAGAGAGATATGACCACAGGAAATGCGTGCAACGGTCGAAGGGAGTCCGCCCTCATCACAAGTGGCAAAATAGCACATGCAAGGTCCCGTCCAGCGGTCACATACGACGAGAGCAGGAGACTTGTTCACTTGTGCTTTGCTTCCTTGGCAGCCTTGATGAGCGGGGTGAGGGTGCGAAGCGATTCGGCCTTGTTGAAAAAGGGATGCTACAGAGGTTTAGAGACGTTGTGAATCAGTATAAAAAGCGCACCGTCAACAGCTGCTGGGCGTCGGGCCGCTTTTCGGCGTCGACCTCGAGACACTTTGCAAGATAGTCTTTGAAGACGTCGGAAAGTGCCTCGGGATTGTTAATGGTTGGAGTGCCGTTTGTAGCAATCAAATATAGGGCCTTGAGCGGGTTTTGGTTGAGGTATGGTGGCTCGCCCTCGATCATTTCTGCTCAACGATTACTAGGCAATCTCGCAAGTTTAGAAATATGCGCACCAATAGCCATAATGCCCAAGCTCCAGATGTCGACTTTGGGACCATACTCCTTTCGGGTCACGACTTCGGGTGCCATCCAGTAGGGTGTTCCGACCATGGTCGTACGCTTTGCATTGGCCGGGTCAGAGATTTGAGCGCAGAATCCAAAGTCGGCTGCAAGAAATGAGTGCTAGGATCTATCGACGAAAAAAGAACGTTACTGAGTTTAATGTCGCCGACCAAGCTGAGCAAGACATTGTCGCTCTTGATATCACGGTGAATGACACCATGTCGGTGAAGATGCTCCAACCCCTTTGCCGTCTCTCGAGAAACGGCACTAATTTGACCCTCTGTCATGAGGTTTGCCGTCACAACGTCGGTCAAGCTACCGCCTTCCATGTACTCCATCACGACCCACAAATCATTCTTGTAGAGAAAACTGTCAATGTAATTGACAATATTGGGGTGTCTGCTCGAGCGCATGACGAGAATCTCGTTGATGATGAGATCCTTCTTGGGCTGTTTATCCAAGTCCATTTGCTTGATTGCCACGCTCAAGTTTGTCCCGACTTGATACGCCGTATAGACACCTCCACTCGCGCCCTGGCCAATCTTGACGAGGTTGCGATAGAGTCTGGTCGGGTCGGCGTCGGTGCAAATGGCCTGGAGACGCTTGACGATGTCCTCATTGTCCTTTGGATCCTTTTTACGCTCCCGTCGTCGACTACCCGTGGCGAGTGGAGCCGTTCCACCAGCTTGAGGAGCAGCAGGACTGCCACTCGCGGCCTTGAGAGCCTGTACGGCGGGTCCGGGAGGTGGAGGCGCAGGACGTTGCCTGGTTTCTGGTGTGGGTGCACTCGCTCCTGGACCAGGGGGTGGATTTGGAGCGGCAGCACCAGGCGGGAGCTGCTCGCGAGAGGGCGCCTTTGGACCATCGCGTTGTTCACGAGGTGCCTGTGGTGCGGCCCGACTGGAGACTGAACGGTCGAGCGAAGGAGCGGCAGGTTGGGCATTCGAGGGACTTGGACGATAGGCTTGTGGCGATTGCGGCGCACGAGGCGCCTCGCTCGTCGAGGGCCGTTTGCCGCCTGGAGGAGCTGGAGCAGGTCGGGTGGCCTGGAATGCGCCCGAGCCGATTCCTGCAGTATTCCCAGAGCTCGGATAGTTTGGAGACGGGGACGAAGGTGCGACTGGGGAGACAGGGGTGACGGGAACGTTGCCCATTTTGTCCCAGATATTGTCCTTTAACGCGCCGCCGCCCAGACCGCCTTCTTGATAAAACTTGACGACTTCCATCAAGGCCTGGGGGTTCTTTTCCTGCTCGAGACGGGTGATACCAGACTCTTGGAGGAGCTGCTGCCACTCCTTTGGCATGCCGGTGAACTCGCCGGTCGACGAGTTGAAGCCGACGTGCATGAGATGGACTGGATCATAAGGAATAGAAATCTCTGGTTTCTTCTGAGTTCCAAACACTGTAAAGAATGCGAGTTAGCGCAGAATAGACACAAAAAGGTGGGGTGCGCTGACCGCTCATAAACGAGAGCATTCCCTTTTTGTTCTTGCCCGAGGTTGTACCACTTCTGGACCGAAGAGGAGGGAGCGGGATGGATGGATTTGAAGCCTGGGACGCGTCGTTTGGGCCGTTGTCGTTGTAAAAGTCGTGATCTGGAGGCATGTTGCTGCTTGGGAGGGATCTACGGCGTTCTCTAGATGCTGGATGACCACCATAGTCGTAGAGATTGGTGGTATTCTGCCTGCTGGGACGGCTGGGTGGGCTGCTCTGCATGCTGGGCGTCGCAGAGGGGCCGTATTGCTGGCGAGAGACTGATTGGTATGGATTCGGCTTATGGAGTGAGTTTCTGACCCTTCGAGCGTCAGGAGTCTTGGATCGCGGTTCCAACGACGGTCGCGGCGGATTCTGAGAGTCGTAGTGATTGGCGGCGTAGTTTGTCTGCTTGATTAAATCCTCAAATTCAGCTACACTCTCTCTGCTCGGTCCTGGCGCAGTTCCACCACCGTAACTGCCGTTGCTGCCATGGTTTGGCATGCGCGAGCTTGGCGGTGGTCTCCCAGCAGCGCTACCATCGCTCATCCCATTTGCAATGGGTTCTGCACCCGTATACGTGTTCTGGGGATGTCGAATAGACCGAGTGCGTGCAGCAGTCGACATGGGTGTCGTCAAACCTTGGAACCCGACCACGTCCTCGTAGCCACGTCTATTCTACTCATTTTGGCCTATTTCTAGCCCCAATTTGTCTTTGGCGCCTTGTTTACACCCACCGAGTCTCTTTCCCTCTTACCCCCATGGCCACTTTCCCGAGATTTGTCGCTGCAGCCTCGAGAACATCCAGAGGATTTCACAGGCAACTTATCGTGTCCAACCCCCGGATTTGGCAAACCCTACATACTTCCACCCACAGTACGCACATGGAAATCTCAGTTGCTGACCACTTCTGATCCTTTCCCAGCCCATGCAAAGAAGAAAAAGCAGCAAGTCGTCAAAGACGACGACATGTTTTTGTCCGAGAGCGACGAAGAAGACTTGTTCGGCGGACTGTCGAAATCTTCACAGACGTCGACAGCAGCCTCTCAGGCAATACCAAAGCGCGAGAACAAAAATCTCACTCGCTCTTTGAAGACAAGGCTCTCCAACTCGTCGAACAAAAGCGCGCAGAAGAGTTTTCAACTTTGCATTCCTGGCTCATCGCGTCTACTGGTATGCGTTGACGTGTTCTACCGACATATTCCAACTCTTTCTTAGGACACAGGGGTAAACAAGGTCGACTTCGACCCAAGAATGAGGACCTGCGACGGCTGGTGTCCATGGCGAAAACGGATGCAGAATTCCACCAAGTCATTACTGTTCTACGGCAATGGCGTGCATACCCTGCTCGTACGCATAGAGTATCACTAGAAGTAGCCCTTCTCGGTAGGTCAAGTCGGTATCCACACAGACTTTGCTGATGGCCGCTTTAGAAAAGGCAATCGAAACATCAAACGTCCCGCTTCTCATTCCTGTTCTTATGCATCACCCACTCTATGGAATCAGCGTCCCGTCATTGCAACTCGCCAGAAGGCTCCTAAAGTCAATCATCTCCCCCGTCAACGCTTACCCTCCTCCCTATTCGCCGTCTAATCGCGTCAACTCGGAACAATCGACCGACTTTGTATCAGAGGATCACGTTACACAAGCATTGCAACTTACCGAAGTCCTCTCAGTGACCATTCTCCCGCCCATCGAGTCGTCGCAACCTCCTCCCCTTTCACCATCCAGCGATCTCGTAGGGGGAGTAATGCTCCTTTCTCTTCTCCTACGAGTCCCAATGAGCGGCATGGTCGAAGATAAAAGCCCACACCTCACCGCCATAGTCGAGCTCGCGCAAAAGCTACAGAGCGGATCCGAAAGGAAGACGATCAGCAGACCCGAAGATGCTCGTGAGAGACTCTGGACGCTCGCGGCGCTTCGCGAATGTCAAGCAGCTCTCATGTCCGAGGAAATCGTCGCCGCGCTTGATCGGGTCAAGTCTGAGGGCAAGCTGAAGATGGACGCAAAGTCGCTTTCGACATGGATAGCGTCCGAGATGTTGGAATTGGAAGGACGTCTTAGTTCGATGGGCCTGACGGTTGTCAAAAAGGCGCGGATTCCCTCTTCCCCACCTCGACCAAGGGCACATGCCGAACAAAGCGCGTCGATATGAGTTACTCTGCGAGGGTTACCGTAGATTGACATAGCTTGGTCCAACGCTTGTCGTGATGAGGAGCAAAAATGTTGCTGTGTCGGGGAGTCGAACCCCGTTCGAAACCTAACACGCAATGGGAAGGTTCCATCATAACCGTTAGACCAACACAGCCAGATCACAGTTTCGCATTTTAGATTAGCCATCTGAAATCCATAAGTCATGCATCTTCTGGCCAACGATTATCGACGGCATGAGGGAAGAAATTGACGATCATCGGTGCATTCTTAGTAGTACAGACATGAATAATCGCATCTACAGATCTCTGGCATGGGCTCTGTCGTGCCAAGGCCAACATATCTACCTGCAATGTCCATCCTCTCGCAAATGAGCGTCATGCAAAGATAAATCGAGTGGCGTTTAACGGTGTCATTTCGGACATATCGCTTAACCATGAGAAAAAGAGAGCAAGGCGGATTCACAATGCCTTAGCCGTAGGCAGTAGACAATATTGCCACCTGCGTGGGAAGCGGTGCTCCCCCTCTTGGCTGCAGTCGTCCAGGGGCTTGAACCCTTTCACAGCATTAATTCAGAATATTCAATATAGGTAGTCACAGCTTGCCAGACTGCATCCAGACTAGCCAAAATAATAGCGCGGATTGCATTACCAAGTGATAAGCGGACATATCGCTTCAGGGAGGAAATATTGACGCTACAGCACTAACGCAGATTCGAGGCGATGCGAATGCGACTTGTTCCTATAAAGGGCATCTGCTCTTCGACCACCTACTCCTCAGACTGGTTCTCGACTTTCACTTTCTTCTTTCACTTTTTCTTTTCCTACTTTTTTTTTTCTCTTCTCTTCCAAACTCGTTCAGCATGCGCACCGGGTTCTTTGCCATCCTTTTCGCCTCGGCTGCTGTTTTGGTGTCCGCTGCTCCGTTCCCTCTGTACGTTCAGACGCAAGGAGTGCATCTCGCTTCTGACCCATATTCCTCTTTCACACAGGTTGCAAGGTGCTGCCGCACACGCACATCACCAAGCCCAGGCAGACCACCACCTACAGCAAGCAGAAACCCACCTGAACCACGCAGAGACACACAGCAATCATGCCAATACGGCAACAGCAAAGTTTGTCCACAAATATATTAAAGAATCATGCGCTGACAATGAGACAGTGGTAACCATCAAGCCGCTGCGCATCACACAGCCCAATATAATCACCATATGCAGCAATTTGATCATCACACTGCTGAACACGAGCGTCACCAAGCCCTGGCCGACCATCATGCCCAGTTTGTTCACCACCGGAGCATAGACGAGTTGGATTAGAGGAGAAACTTATCTAGTGTCTAAAATATAGTCGAATTCCAGCATGAAATGATTCCGCAGAGATGTGAATGCCAGTACGCCACGGCTGAACCAACGTCTGTCGGTGTGGTCCGTGGTCAAAGTAGGTTGCAAAGGACTTGAAGCGTGGTCGCGTAATCAGTGGCAACGTTAAGCACAACGAAAGGGTCGCTGGCATAAGGGTGAATTCGATACGCAGGAATAGACGCGCTCTCGCAACGAGTGTAGATTTGTCGCCGTATGATCCCTCGGATACGATCTTTGCTGCCTTCTGACAGGTCAGAGACCATAGATTCGTTCAAGCGCGGATGGATGAGTCGGCGACGTCTCAGATGAATGCAACACCTAGGTCGCTCTATGTCGCCACCTCGATTCTCTCACCTGTCAATGAACCTATCCCTGTATGGTGCCCATTTGCGAGGCGATAAAAGTCACAAGAATCTTGCAGAGGCCGTGCCCGCCGTGCTACAATGGTCGCTTGGGGCCATAAACCTGCAGAGTTGTGATCAAGTCACCAGTACAGTCACTGCCTGAATCAATAATAGCATAGAACTAGAGTATCACAGGAGTTTCAAACCACGCGAATAAAGGATTGTAGTTTTGGCCGATGCCCTTACCCCTGCCCTTTGCAATTTCGAGCCTCTGAACGATATACTCATCCAGTGTCCTCCAATAAAAGTCTAGCAGTCGGAACCCATGCATCTGGAATAGCTTTACGACACAGTATGTCGCAAACTTGTCACCATCCAACCAATGTGGAATCCATGTTTCCCAATCCCATTCAAGAACGAGGGTGGACACGCCAGATTCCATAATCTTATCGAAGCTAGGTTGAATGGCCCATCTTATGTGCAGGCGTTGACAAACAGGGCAAACGAGGCGGGTCCACTCACTTGGTCGGATTACCTCTAGATGAACTGAAAGCGTGGCGATAGGGTGACCTTGCGGAGGTCGGGTCCAGGGAACCACATTTGGGAGCGCAAGGGAAGTGATCTGTGGGCAGATTTCCCAGACGGTCGGCTCGAGAGTTATATTGGCCACGATTCCGGGCGTTGCTCCCCACCATAGAGTGGACAACTGATGGCCTATATTGCCCAGCCAAGAGGTAAAAGTATCCAACAAGTCTGAAGTGGTCCAGACGCAAAGGTGTCGCAGTTTTGGCAGCGTCAGCGGTTCAAGGTGGCGTAGCATCTTGAATTTGAGAGTAGTGATATCGTGCATATTATACGGGGGTTCAGCATGTCGGATGCTGACGACGAGTTGATAGAGGTGTGCCAAAGATTTGGAATAGGGATCCAGTGATGGAAATAGGAAGCGTACGCCATCGAGTTAATTACCCGCGGTGAGGGTATCAAGAAGATTGGACCAGCGACGACCTTCAATCTCCAATATTTCCACTCTCCATACCCCGACGTTGCTCAGAAATGAGAGTTTGTCGCAACCGTCCTCGTATTTGGACCAGCTGAAATCGCATTTACAGTGAGGCACCTTCCATAGAATCCTATGGGCGACGGCAAGGGCCTCTGCAGGCACTCTGTCATGGAGGACGTCTGCTAGTTCGACGTATCGATGTGGAAAATGACGAAGATATAGCACCCACGCGCGACAAATGCGCATTAGGATATTTCTCGTCCTCTCTGCTGCCCAGTATCCGCCTGGATCGCAATATCGCTGGAGGCCGGGCAATCCATACGCCTCTGCTGGGTCTATTTCGAAGAATATCGGGACGTAGATGGCATAGCGGAGTACGTTTTGCCAGAGTTCGGCAGGAAGGCGACATTCGAGCCTCATTATGATCAGCGGCAAAGTCTCGTGGGCGTAAATAGACATATGTTCAGACGGTGACATCAAATAAACTATTGGGTCCACGTATAATATTGACATCTCGGCCTTGCTCGGTATATGAACCCCGTCTTCGTTCTGGATGGATACTTAGAGCCTGACTTTGACTGAAATGAACCAATGTACTATAGCTAACAGGTGGCGAAGATCTCTGTACTTCCAAGCTCTTTACCTGAGTTGGACTCTCCCCCTTCCACCATTTTCCAATGGCCGAGAGCGAAGAACTGCGCCGATTCCGAGAAGACTGGAAGCGTGAAGTTCAAGCGAGAACTCATCCAGAACCCGTCGTTGTGCCGCCTTCGACGTCAAATACAGAGGCCACGGTGACTCGAGACGCGCTAGACGCGCCTGTTGTGACAAAGTCAGCAGAGCTAGTCGCTCTTGGACCGATAGTCAATCCCACTGTAACCATTACGACGCCGTCAAATGGCCGCCAATCTGCCTTGGAGCTCTACGCACAGGCCATTGGACTCGAGGAACAAGGAGCGCATGATGCAGCTGCTCAGCTATATCGCAGAGCATTTAGACTAGATGGAAATGTTGACCGCGCATATCACAGACTACAGCTACGTCGCGAGCTCGACGTCGGTGGATTAGTCAACGACGTCGGTGCGCTCAGTCTCGCGTCGGGTGACCAGACGCGCTCAAATGCAAAGGATTCAACCGCTAAATCCCATATAACTTCTCATATCCAACCTCTGCACGCTTATGGTACATTCAGCGCGTCCAAAGGTGCTTTAGCCGACCTCTTGCCGTCGTTCTTAAACGCAAAATTTGAACCAGAGGACGAACGACAAGCTTTGCATATTAAAAAGCTACCAGACGAACTGCTTTTGGCCATACTCTCCCACTTTATCGAAACGGCAGATACACGCGCAATTGAGCGGTTTGGAAGCGTATCCAGAAAAGCCCGGCTACTCACGTTGGAACAAGGAATATGGAGGTGAGTCTATGGCCGACCAGCGTCGCTGTGGCTGATCGAACAACATAGACAGCTTGTAGAGCGTACCTACGTACCCCCACAGCTCTCCATAGATCCACTCGTCCTCCTACCATCATTTAGAGAAGACTATCGCCAGTTTTACATTCATCAACCCCGCGTGCGGATGGACGGCGTATATATTGCCGTCTGCCACTATGTTCGCACCGGACATACGGAAAACGCCTGGGTTAACATTACACACCTCATCACTTATCACCGATATCTACGCTTCCTTCCTGGTGGCATTGTCCTGTCCTTACTTTCGTCCGACTCGACCCTCTCGCCCCAGCAAATCATCCCATTGCTCACCCTGGAGAATGCTACGTTGGCAAGCGGTGGTCAACGAGTCAAAGGGTTGAGTATGGGCCAATGGGAGCTACATACTGTCGACGAGTCTGGAGGGTCCAAGGGCCCGGATGGTCCGTATGTGACCATTGACAATATCCTTGATTCTTCGCATGGTTCTGCGCCAAAGTATACATTCAGCATGCGGTTAGGGCTACGATCGAAACCGGTTGGAAGGTGAGTCCATCCTTCAACCTTTTGGTGGTTCATTCCAACATTTGCCAGATGGAACAAGCTGGACATTCTCAACTATTCTTCGATACGAATAGCAACAGACGAAGAGACGCCATTGCTGCTCAAGCACGAACGACCGTACTGGTTCTCCAAGGTCCGCTCGTATGGCTCTGGCATGGATCCAATATAGCCCAGTGTCCTTATCATCTGAATTACACTACGTACATCTATTCAAGATACACGTTACATTCAGAAAGCGTTTTCAAGGCGAGATACGAGCCAAGTTGGCAATCTCAAACGAATCCAAAACCGCCCCCACTGGCGTCGCTCCAGGTGGTGGCGTCCATGGACCTGTCGTGGTGGTTGCCGGCGCCTGCGTAAAGAACGAGGAGAGTTCGTTGGATGGGAAAGGTGGCCAGTCTGAGGGCCATGGTGTCGGCCACCCCCATGGGAAACCAGGATCGTCCTCGGTATCCGATTCTGTAGAAGAAGACGTTTCGCTCGACTCGCTGCTTGTCGACGTAGGAGTCTGGGTTGAGGTCGACGTCGTTTGGCTCGTTTGGGTAGAAGACGAAGAGGAGACAGACGTTGATGTCGTCGTTTGAACTAGTGAGCTTGAGGAGCTACTGCTACTCGACTGAATGCTTGTGGATGATGGTATTGTGCTCGAGGAAGACGGTATTGTGCTCGAGGAAGACGATATTGGGGTCGAGGAAGATATTGGGGTCGAGGAAGATGATACTGTGCTCGTAGATGATGGCACTGTGGACGTGCTACTAGAAACGCTAGTCGGTGTTGTCGAGCTCGAACTACTCTGGCTGGTGCTACTTGAGCTGCTCGAGGTTGGCTTGGTCGTACTTGAGGATGAATGTGTGGTGGATGTCGACGATTTTGTCGTAGTTGAAGATGTGCGAGTCGACGACGAGGGCCCGGTCCGGGTAACGCTACTCGAGGCAATCGTCGTTCGGGTTGGGATGGTGCTCGTACCGGTATCTCGAGTTGCCGTGGTGAGACCTGGGATCGTGATCCCGCTTGGAAGATTGGTGGGCCATCCGCCTCCGATTCCTATTTGTCTGGCGTGGATCTGCCAACGATGAGCTTAGCCGGGGCCGAGAGAACCGTCAACATACATCCTTTGGTAAGGGAGCCCCTAATACTCCACAGGTTAATACCAGAGTTACCAAGGAGAGTCCTAACATTGCGCTGCGAGACGAGTAAGGGGGCACTTGGCAGCCTGTCGTTTATATACCGCCGCTCCCATCAGACGGGAATACTCATGACACAGAATCATTTAGACTCTACAGACACTCGACGTGCCGTGATGGCTCGGCATACTCGAAGGAGTTTTCCTTGCCGCGGACAATGGAACGCTTCTCCCGAGCGGAAACACTTGCACCTCAAAGTATGTACATCACCGGTACTTTTTGACTCTGATACGATCGTCGGACCACCGAAGATCTTCCTCTGCTTCGAAAACTGGATGGGCGTGCGCTTGCGTCTTTGAAGGTTCTCCGATATTTTCAGCGAGTTGAAATTGTGGAAGGTGAGGCGTGTCAACGAAAAGAATGAGTGAGTGTGCCTATACCGCTTCGCGTGGAGAACTGTTGACATCGGCGGACCCCTGCTTGTTTACCTGAGGATACAGATTGCAAATAGTTCCAATTTGAGGGTTTATATGCCTTGAAAAGCGAGGTTCCCAACTCATAGTGACAAGATCCTCGCCTTTACCCATCACCTTGGGATTGGCTATCCCGTCACCACAGTCGAAGTAGATCCTGAAAACCCGTAAATTTCGTTGATGTTGTGCTTTTGAGTAATGTCCAGATCAGCCCAGTGAATATACCTTGATAGATTCTCCAGGTTGAACCATCATCCGGACAGGATGGCCAAATGCTCATAGGTTCGGGGCCAGCGGACAAATGATTATCTGGGTCCGAACATGGAAGCATCCTTGGAGACACCCGTTGATTGCGAATCATATTTACCCGACACGAACATTCAATGGCGGTATTCAGGCCGGAATCTGGTGTGGGAGTTTGCTTGCGATGGGCCGGACGGTCAGCTGTTCGTGGATAGACAAGTTGATCCAGACGTCAACAATTGTCAAGTCAAAACGTCTATTGGCCCTCTCAAAAGGCTTATTTTCGCTTATTTCTTCACGGCGAGGGTCGCTTCTCATCCTCCCGCGATTCTACCTTGATACGTGGAAGCATTTTGTCGCTTCACCATACAAAATCTATTATCTACTTGGCATCCTTTCCACCTTTTTGCGCATACTGATGCCAGCGTAGATCTATTTCCGCCATGCGTGCAGGCTGTGGCATACGAATACATGTACCAAGAAGTAAAGCACGGATATTACCCAAGCAAGATGCATAGGATACAGGCGAGAAGGCGAAAGATGACACTCTCACCTTCTAGGCAATCTTATATCTTTGTTGGATGACTCGCTAGTCGACCTTCCCCTTCAAGGTAATCGTACTGTGAATTTCCGCACACTCCACTCAAAATCCCGAGGAAAGGCAACCAAACAAGAGATCTGACTTTCTTTGATTATTTCCCAATGAGTTTGCTTATACGCTCGGCTCACCTGTATTCCTCAAACCGTTTTCTCGTATTGTCTTCTTGGGTCGGTCTATTCCACTATTCTGGAAACAGTTAAAACCGAGATAGGCAGATGATCCTCCGTAATACCTCCATAGTTCAGCCTGACGTGGACTTTTGATGTACCAAGTTGGTTTGTACGTTTCATGAATTAACACAGGCATTTCTCCACTACCAAGCACCAAGATCATATACATGATTCCCAGTTGATGTTCATATGCAGCTAGCTGACTTCATGTTCCTATATGAACCGTTTGGTAGCCATGTCACATACTATGCACGGCATTCTCCGACTTTGCTCTCTAAGTGAGAACTACGGCGAATCTGGGGTGGCATTTGACCGCAAGCCTGGGATGGAGCCCTCCTCGAAATGACCCGATACGCTGCCTAGCCGGGGACAGGGACCATACGGGCACCCATCCAACGTGAAAGATCCGGTTTTCCTTGCGGACAGTATCATCTACTCAAATGTCTGGAAAAATATCAAGAAGTTTCTAGTCTCGCATGCCTTTGGCTCAGAGTGATGTTACGGCCCCAAACATGATGCGAAGTGTACCCTCTTACACCCACTGCTCTCAGCTATAAAAGGTTGGCTCGGAGGAGGGGCATTCCTCCAGTCCTTCCCGACCCGCGTCCGCCTCGAACCAGCTCCGAGCCCGATCTCTTCTAGTAGCCACACCAATATGCTTAGATCCATTGCAGTGCTACTCGTGTCTCTTGCCTTCGTCAGCGCTGCTCCCCTTCCCGAAGCGCAAAGAGTCAGTGAGGGGTACAATACTGGCGGGTTCAATACTGGTGGCTTCAACACGAACGGCTTCAACACTGTGGGATTCAATACCCAGGGCTTCAATGGCCCTTGTGAATCTGGTGCTAACTATGGCTGGAATGGTGGCTGCACCCAAAAGCCGGCTCCGACTTCGAAGAAGCCCTAGACGCAGGTGAGTATTCAGACTACTTCCTTATATGTGACTGACGTTTTACAGTATTCGATTTAGGGCCCCAGTCCTTACTTGAAAAATTGGTCCTCTCCGCGGCTCTGCTGAGAGGTTGGTTTCTTGTTGTAGAACAGATTGTCATATATACACATTCCTTTGTGATTTAGAGTACGACTATGCATTCTTTATCCCAAGTCGACATGGAAGGAGCGAGTGGTGGCATAGACTTAGTGACGGCGTCGTCTGTAAACGTGACCGGGACCCTCGACGCGGACAGCCAAAAGCTCTCGTTCTGCGCCAGATGGATATAGCAAACAGAGACGACGCTCTCAAGGCGCTGGGGATTGCACGTCGGCATCTGACTTCGGATCCACCGAACATTGCGGCTGCAAAGCGGTTTGCGTTAAAGTCGCTATCGCTATGTGAGACGAGCGAAGCCAGCAATCTCCTCGAAAAGATTCGGGTCGCGGAAGAAGAGGCCAAGAATGAACGGCAATCCGCCCACGACAGCCCAACTGCAAATGGCCACGCAACAGGAGCAGAGGCGCATGCCAGCAGCGAAGGAATGCATCACCGAACTACGCACCATACCAGTTCACCAAACGGAGATGCAAAAGCGTCCAGCAAAGGCACGACAAAGGATGACGAGAAACGCGAATACACCGCCGAGCAGCTCGCAGTCGTAAAGCGAATACGAAAATGCAAAGTGACCGAATATTACGAGATTTTGTCACTCAGCAAAGAATGCGACGAAGCCGACGTTAAAAAGGCTTATCGAAAGGTCAGCAAGCCTTGCATGGTGTCTGCAATGTATGTGTGCTCATTCCAATCCCACTTTAGCTCGCACTACAGCTACATCCTGATAAGAATGGCGCTCCAGGAGCTGACGAGGCGTTCAAAAGTAGGCCATCTTCGCATTGCTTTGAACACGCGGATCGTTATTGGTCGCTAACAATATCTCCTCGTCTAGTGGTATCGAAAGCGTTCCAAGTCTTGTCTGATCCTGCCCTACGGTCCGCGTTTGATCGTGACGGTGGTGACCCAGAATCGAGATTCCCTTCTGGGATGCGCTCAGGTGGTGCAGGTACATTCATTTATACCTCTTCATACTCTACTGCCGATACTCACCCAAGATTTCCAGGTATGCGAAGTCCCTTCGGCGCCAACGGGAGCTTCGAAGGAGAGATCAGTCCCGAAGACCTCTTCAACATGTTCTTTGGAGGAGGATTTGGTCAGGGAGGGTTCGGGCCAGGTGTTCAATTCGGTGGCTCGCCGTTTGGAGGACCAGGTAAGTCGCTCTGGCAGTCTGCGAGTTGAAGTAGACGGCTTACCCTTCTTCAAAGTGTTTACGACGACATTTGGTCCAGGTGGATTCGCCTCTACTCGGGCCCGACCGCGTCAAGCCAATGCACGTCCACAAGAGGCGCCTCGAGGGATCAAAGGAATGCTTCTTCAACTGTTCCCGATCCTTTTCTTCCTCTTCATGGCATTCTCCGGTACTTTTTTCGACCTGTTCGCCTCTTTCTTCACCACTCCCGACCCAACCTATTCATTCGCCTATTCGCCTCATTTTTCACTCGTGCGAACTACAGGAGGCAAACTCGACATTCCATATTTTGTGCACCCGGAATCGTTCCACGCGCACCCAATATATGCAAGTACCAACGAGGCGGGATCAAACTCCAAGGAAGTCAAGAGCCCCGAGTTGAAACGGTTCGAAAAGGGTGTCGAAGAGAAGTGGATCAATATGAAGTACAATGAGTGCGCTCGTACAAAAGAATATGTAGAGCGAAAAGTCGAGAGCATGCGTGGCGTATTTGGTATCGGTGCTGACTGGGAAGGGATCAAAAAACTTCGTAAGGAAAAGATTCCGGCCTGCGAAGCGCTGAAGGAGAAAGGGTACCGAATTTAATGTGGGTGTTACTGTGACTTTCTGGGCACAACAGGACTGACACCCCCTCAGTAATGGCTTGATTGTTATTCTCTTATACTATCCCGAGCTTGGAATGTACTCCAACGATACTCTATGCAGTTGCATCTTGCCGTGCCCAGCATGATCAGAATATCCGCAAATGTCCCCTATAGAGCTACCTTGCTTTGGTCTGGCCACTTTTTAAGAATCTCTAACTCCCACTCGGCCCATCCTTCGTCATCCTTTTCTATCTCTTCGTCCGCCTCCAATTTTTCGAGCGCACGCTCCATGATACTCCAATCGACGCAACGCAATCCCCGGTCTATCTCTTGCTCTGGAGAGGCTACCTCGTTTCGATCGTCCAACACAAAGGCACCTTGGCGCGTTCGCGTGAGCACGACAACATGGGCTGCACTGCCAACTGCGATACCAAGGTCATGCACGACGGACCGGACATACGTTCCCGATGAAACTGTCATTTCCAGCTCGAAGGTGGGAGGAATCTCGTCACCCGTGGTCACTTCTGCTCCTGCACTTTGCTCTGCTTCGTCTGCCTCAGCCGACGAGGGAGGTTGCACTGATGTAGTACTAAGCTCCTTTGATCCGTTGACTTCGACTAAATTAGCCCCTTCTGTGCTACTCGCGACGAGCGCTAACATCTTTTGACGTTCGGCGACCTGCACCTCGTCGAGTCTCTTCTCGGGAAACTTGAACCGGTGTTCTGTCGAGGGAGTAAATGCAGTCAAGTCAATGGCGGATATGGTGACCTTTCGTGACTCGATTGGGCGAGGGAGGGGGATGTTTTGCCGGGCATATTCGTACAACGCTTTCCCATCAATCTTGAGAGCGGAATAGCTATGGTTTTCAGCTACCTAAACTGGAAATTGGGAATAACTTTTGCTCACATTGGAGGCGTCTGCATGATTTCTCCTCTGAACCGCTCGAGATTTTGCAGCAAAAGAGCTCGAGTGACATGCTTCCAGGGCGCTAGACGCGCAATAGCTCCTTCAGCATCATACGAGTCTGTCTCGCAACCCAATAGCCCAGTTGTTCGATAAGTCTATGGCCCACTCGTTATGAATATCAGAGCAGAAAAGTAGTAAATCAAACCTTGGTGCAATTGAGAAACTGTGGAAGATCCTTGGTCCCATTCCCAACTCCTACGACTGTTCAACGTTGTTAATTCTGCATCTTTGCCAACCGAACTCGCGCACTAAGAACTCCGTCTGCCAACGGATCGAGCGTTCCTCCAGAACCCAACTTGACGTACATCTTGCTGACCTTTTTCCAATTTGTCCGTTCTCCTCTGGCTTTGCCCTTGTTTCGATCTTTGCCAGTGCGCTCGCCAGGTAGCGTCGGCCCTGGATACGCAAGTTTCTTCCTAGAAGAGCTTGCTAGAGATTTATCCAGCTGTTCTAATTGATCTGCTGCCATGAAGAGTCGTGACGAGGAGAACAGCGGCTTTAGGCGAGTGAGGAGCGACATAGAAGTCGGCCCAGATGGCTTTGCTAATGCAAATACGCCATGAAGAGGCAGTGGCGGACAAGTTGTCTTAGGCATCTCAACGAGTCGACTTCCGAATCACAGAGGACGGGTTCAAAAGGCAGGGATAAACACTGACGCTCGGCGACTTTCCAGATCAAAAACGGTCCAATTCGACATGCTCATGAACCAACATAGATAGCTAATGGATGCAAATGTTAAAGCCAATGTCCACACCGGATACCTGTGAGTGCGTATAAGCGCCTACGACCAAGCGCACAACCAGCACCTACGACCAGGGTTCGATATTTAGCACAGTTACATTTCGTCACTTTGTTCGTCAAGTTGGTAGGGCTGCAGGTATCCTTCTGGGACGAGACCTTGTGCCTCGGCAGTGTCGCAAGCATTCCTGGTTCCTTTTATCTCTTGCTCTGGAGTCCAGTTTCGCAACGCTACGACCCAGCCCTCGCCACCACCTCGTCCGATGATCCGCACGAGTTGATTGACCTCTACGCTCATCTCCGACGGCCCTTCCGCCTCGAAGGGGTACAAGGCACGATAGACACCAGTCTTCAGTGGTTCTGGATTTACGTCGTCGTATCCAAGCTCGTCACCAGAGGAAAAATCGTCGTCTCCGTCGACCCCGTCTTGACCGTCGACTTCTGGATGAGGATGAACATCATGCAGTGGCGAGTGTTTGAACGTCGTAGAAGGCGTATGGACATCGTCTTCGTTAAAGTCGTCGTCGAATTGCGGCTGTGGCGAAATCTCTTCAAACCCGTCTTCCTCTCCGCTCTCTTCATAGTAGTTGCTGCTCTCCTCCTCGCTGACGTTGACCCATTTACCGCCGAGACTTTTGCTCCCCAAGTTTGCCCAGGCCCTCGACCGATTCTTGAGCTCGCTTCTGGGCCCTCCACCGTGCGTGCTCCCCATGGGAGCAGTACTGGTGCCACCGGAAATCGATCCCAAAGGGAACCCCCAATCATCTTCGTCTTCTTCTTCTTCATATTCCCCGCCCCAAGGGTCCCCGTAATGAACACCGGAGCTATAACCTCCACCGCCTCCTGCCGCGAAGCGGGGCTGGTTACGTCGCCATTCATACGAGCGACTGTGATGGAGGAGTGGCCGGTCGCAACGCATCATTAGTTCGATGGGTTGCTTCGAGAAGCGCTCGTCGCTTTCATCAAACGCGAAATCCCTCACCACGATGGGATGATCTCGGTGCCATTGGAGATTGTCTTCGTCGGCTGCTGGAGGTTCGTTTGTGACGGCCTCGTGCTCGTCACAAATCTCAGTTGGGGTGCCCGCCATAGGTAAATAGATACCCATGCTGGCATATGCAGCTGCCAGTTCGTTGGCATGTCTTGCCGCTGGATTCGAGGGTACGGATGAAGATGAGCCAGAAGTGCTCGCCGAGGTGGACGAGAAATTGCGGCGAATGTGCGAGTGACTCGCGGATAGAGGAGCGAGTTTCTGAGCATTTTGGCCAGTCTTTTGAATTCCAGCCTGGGTAGACGATTCCTGGCTGGTCTTTGGGGCAACAGGCGGCGGTGGCTTTCCATCTACTTGAGACTTTTGCGCCGCGTCGACCTGTGTATGATTGAATGTGATGACCAACGTCGACTGCGTCCCCGAGCCGTCGACATTGATGGATCCAGAGGCACCAGTGCTTGAAAACGACTTTCGCATCGAGGATGTGGATGGCTTGTGTGATGGAAACCGTTCTGTTGGATTTGATGACGACTGAGAATCGTTCGACTCGTGTCGCGAGTGAGACCTGAGGGTTGATTGTGACTGGCGTCGACTGGGATGAGACGAAGCCGGAGACGGTGGTGCGGGCCGATGGGATCGCAGCGATGTCACAGAGCTATGCGAGCTCAAAGCTTTTGATTGCCTGCGACTACTCTTCCTAGAATCGAGGCCGCTGCCATATTTGCTGCTCCGACGGGAAATAGCCGATGGATTCAGAGGGCTGCTCTGTTTCGAGGAGGGAGCATCCGAATCGAGACGTGTCATGCGGGGGATCGCGATGGAGGGCTTCTTTATTGTGCTCGTGGCGGGAACGCCATCAACAGAGTCGACGCCTGTGCAGTCAGATTAGAAAAACTGGAATTGTAACCGAGGGTCACGAGGAGACGGGACAATGAAGAGAAAGGCAACCCACCGTTGTCCGAGTTGCAAAGATTTGCAGTCTGATTGCTGAGCATATCAGCTTCACGTGCCGCAACGCCTGAGATGCCTGCCACAAACCGAGAGGTTATAGTTCAGCACCTTGTACAGGCGACGTCATGCATTCCGTTGTTAAGAGACTGGACATACCAGATTGAGCGTGATCATGGAAAGTCAAAGGCTTTGTCTCTGCAACGAGGGAAGCGTCCGGTGGGCCGGTTCGTTGAGTGGGGGGCACCGGCGAGACTGAGTTGACGTCTGAATGGATGCCAGAGCGTTGAGTAGACGGTGACGCGACAAGACTTCCTCCATATTGTGCCGAATTTCTGTGAGCAGCGACACGGGACTCGGAGTCCTCACTGTGAAGCCGACCGAATGCATAAAACTAGGTCAGAGGCCATCTGTAGACAAGTATAAACTATATACCGCGACGCTGAGGATGCTAGACTTTGCATGTCGCTGACGGTTGTGGCACCGACGTCTTGGCCGACGGGCATTGTGCTCCCGCTGCTCATCCTTTTGTCGATGTGAACAGATCGCGTCGCCTTGTTCCTTGTCCTTGTCAATTATTCAGTGTTAGAGGGATATTCGCTGATATTCCCCAACTGCCACGGACGTGGTTGGGTGCAAAGTTGTCTCAATCCGCGCTGCCTGGCCTGTAGCCTCTAACTGGAATCTATAACAATTCTAACAAACTCGCAAGTTTCCGTGAGCTTGTGAATCCAACCGGAATAGACGGACCTGCCAAAGTCTCGACTCATTCAACTCTTGGACTCCATCCACTTCGACCGTCGAAACTGCGTGGAGCACGTAAATTCTCCATAAATTCAGAAAATACTCTACTGACTGACTAGAGCAGTCTTTAGACACGTCTCAACATGCCTGTCGCCGCCATTACCGGAAAGCTCCGTCGCAAAATCTGGACCGACATTAGCACCGCGCTCGGTCTGGGCGTTTCGAGTGGATATGCCTACTGGTGAGAATATATGTGCTCTTTCAAGGCTCAGTATTCAATGCTAACGCTTCCTTTGCCAGGTACTTCTACTACATCCCGTCTGGTATGTTACCCATTCTCTGCTCGTGATTACGGTCTCGCAAAGACATGCACTACACGTGTACCATGCGTCTACGCTTTGGATTGCGAACGCCACCATGCCTTGTGATGATGGTCTTGACCGACGGTCGAGACCAAAAAGTTTACCTTGCGCTCTAGATGATACAGCACGCTGACGGCCTCCTTTTACCTATAGTGCGACGACGACAAGAATACTACCTAAAGCTCGAAAAGGAGAAGCTCGCTGCGGCCGGTACCGAGTAGACCAGATAGCTCTTACTCGACTATGCAGAGTGGGAATATAGAATCGATTCAGCACTTTAAACAACTTTTGTTTCTAAGCCTCCACTATATGATGTTCGTCGTCAACTCTGTATTGCTTGAAAAAGAGCGACCGGTAAGCCTCGATGAGCAGACCGCTCCTCAGCCATACACCCGCCAATCGACTCTGCGCAAACTGCGTATTGAGACCAGTCGGGGTATGGCCGACAAGGCGGATTGTCGAAACTTTGGGATAACGAGTGATGGCTCGTTCGACAAAGGTCCAGAAATTGGTGTGGTTCTGTAAAATTCGCGACCAGCCTAGGGTTTTCAGGCCGGGAGCTTCAATAACGTCTGTCCATATAGCAGCACTGGCTTTGGGGTCGTCTCTGGTTGAGAGTCCCATAAAGAGCGAGGTCAAGTGTGGCAATTTGATAGGGGTGGGCCGTTCGTGGGGTTTAAAGGGTATTATGAGCTCCACGACCTGTAATGTATCCTTGGATTCTTCTAGTATTCGTGTCCACTGCAGAGGCGACGAACCGGTTATGGACAACACACGCAGCACCCGCATTTTCCATGTACTGGTGATGTGCTTGATCAGGAGGTCCTCGTAGACCTCATGTATCCTCAAATACTCTAGTCGCGGGAAAGGGGTGTCTGCTGAGGTTGGTATGTAAATCTCCTTTGAGGGAGAGTCTTTCATGTCTAAAGACAGGACCCTAAGATTAGAAGATAGAGAATATATGCCATTTAGGTCAATATTCAGCCTGAGCGTGCCTTGAGTGAGCGTGAGGGTGTCTAGCACGCAACCGCTCACAGTGGCTGAGGTGATATACGTACGTGGACATACCAAGGTGCGCATATTCGGCATTAGCTTCATTATTCGCGCCATACGCACTAGAATCTGGTCCACCGCCGCGCCCATTGAGGCCTGGAAGAGGAGTTGGACCGTCAAGTGTGTCACTTCCGTAGCTAGGTCGACCCGATTTTGAAGGGTTGCAATGAGATTATCGAGGAACTTCAGTATATTGGTGACTTGGGCCCCAAACGTCTTCGCATCGACCTTGCGTGGCTCGCGGACCGCAGCGATGCGAACGTGGCTCCAAAGAATAGGATTACAAACAAAGTAGAAATCCTTGCAGACTCTGGTTAGACATGCAAGTTGCTTTATGGAAATTGTTTGTTCCAGGTTTTCCCCAGCAAGTGTGCCAAAGCTTGGTTTTTCGCAGTGTATGATATCATGGGGGTATCGTGCGCATTCCAAGTAGCTCCATCGAGAAATAGAGTCTATTATCATCTCCCATAGTTCTCTCGGAAGTTTTAGAACAGACGATATCGCTGCTTGGTTCATGGCGCCTAGGTGGCGGTTGAGTCCAAACTCTCAAAATGCTCATGGAGACATAGATTCAGTAATTCCAAAAGGCTAATCATTCTCTACTACTCCTTTTTTGCCATGGACTTTGTATTGCTTGAAATAGAGGGATCGGTAAGCCTCAATAAGCAGACCGCTCCTCAGCCGGACCCCTGTCGATCTACTTTGCACAAGCTGCCCTTCGAGATCTGCGGGGGAGGTACAGACGAGGCGGACTGTTGAAACGGTTGGATAACAATCGATGGCTTGCTCGACGATGCTCCAAAAATTGGCGTGAGTCCATGAAACACTTGACCAACCTATGCATGCTAACCGAGGTGCTTGTATACACTTCGTCCATTGAATAAGGTTGGTTTTGGCCTCTTCGGGAAAGCCCATGAACAGGGACTTTAATTGGGGCATCCTGATAGGTATCGGTCGGTCCCCAGTTGTAAAGTGGACCGTAAGCTCCAAAACTTGTAATGTATCCCTGGAATCCTCCAGTATTCGTGCCCACGATAGAGGAGATGCGCTGGTTATGGACAAAACCCGCAGTACTTTCATCTTCCATGTGCGAGTAATATACTCGATGAGGCTATCACTATATACCTCATTTAATCTCAAGTACTCCATTCGAGGAAAGGATATAGTCGTCGTGGCCGGTATGGGAATATAATAAGATCTGCCCGGAGCCGATTTGTCAGACAGGTCGAGAGATAGGATTCGAAGGTTTGATGATATTGATTGTATGGACGCAATTTCAATATCCGTCCAGCGTGGGATCGGAGTCAGCGTCAGTGTGTCCAGCATACAATCGCGGGTGGTCACTGTCGCAGTTGTAACGTACCCACGAGGACACGTCAATGTGCGCAAATTGGGTAGTTTCTGTATTATCTGCGTCAGGCGTACTCTAATATGGGCCGCATCGACTTCAATGGGGTGTTGGATTGTGAAATGTCTGACTTCGCCAGCTAGGTCAGTCCGCTTGTGAAGAATCGTAATGAGATCGTCCAAAAACTTGAGGTTATCGGCGACTTGGCTTGATGACACCACGTTGAATGGGACTTTGAGAAAATGGATACGGACATGCGTCCAAAGGATCGGGTTACAGACGATATAAAGGTCCTTACAGACCTGAACTAGACACGCGAACTGCTTTATGACCGTCTTCCATTCCAGATCTGCCACAGTATCGATGCTTGGCTTCTCGCAGTGAACGATATCTTGTGGATGTCGTGCGCATTCTACGTACTCCCAGCGTGACATGGAATCGACGATGATTCTCCATAGCTCGCTTGGAACTTTTAAAACAGGAGGTATAGCGGTTGGATTCATCGCGTATGGCTCGGATCCCCGTGATTGGTGAGGGTTGAGTCCAAGCGACAGGCCAAACAATACCTAACTAGAATCTGGAAGTACACCTACAAAAATTAGATTTATGGTTCATATTAGCCCTTATTGCCTTGGGATGCTGCGAAAGGGCCCCACCGTGGCACCGACTCCGTTTGAAACCGTTTAAAGCCCATGTAAGCGCAAGATAACTCTACCTAGCGCATGATGAATGACAAGAGAAAACAGATCGTCTCGGCACTTGTAACTGCCATGTCAAGCGCTAATCTGAAATGGTGGTTACTTCTACCTAAACCGAGACAACTCTGAAGGTGGGCGTCTCCGCCTCCTGTTTAAGTCAGCTCACGAATTGGGCAGATGGACTCGCGAGTACCTGCATCATCAAGGGTCCCTGTCGAGCTTTGGCAAATTATTTTTACACTCGCAACGACAATGTCAGCGAGAGACGAGTTCAATACTCAGCCGAGTCACCATCTGTCACGGGATGACGAGGACTCTGCATTTTCTGTCGCACCTAAATATTCTGAACTCCGAACCACGATCGAATCGCGCAAGGCCGTTGTCGGCGTCTGTAGGATGTGGTATGCGCTCGGCATCCAGCGCCTCTGGTCACACGTAGTGATCTATCTTTCCAATCCTCACATCGTGGTCGACAGTATTGTCAAAGCCCTCCGCTCCAACCCACCTCTCGCGAGCCACGTCCGCAGACTGACCATATCCTCGTCACCGTACCAGGGCGGCGTAACCTTTACACAGAATGAAAATCACGAACTACGCTCAGACCTACTGCTCATTATCTCAAAGTTCACCAACCTTGAGATAATTTACTCCCCATCCGACTTGATCGACTCTTCCGTGAATACGCATCTTCCTTCCCTCTCTATTCTTCTCCTCCAACGGGCATGGTCGAACTTTTTATCTACTTCACCTAATCTAACACTTCCTTGGCTCACGATCCGAGCCCTAGTTCTCAATTTGGGTGGAGCATTGCCCGGGACGTCTTCAGGAGAGAGTGTTTGCTTTCCAAATCTCACGCATCTGGAAATTCGGGCATCTCAATACGGTGTCATACGTTATGTCGGAGAGCTCTGGGAATCGCCTCGACTAGAAGAACTGATCCTCAAGTCGTGCTTCTACGACGAGTGGCGGAAGTTTATTGATAGGAACAGAGATCGCCTCGAGACTTTATCGCTTTTCCACATATATGCGGGGCAAACACCGCCTTGGCATGGTACTATGCTACTACCCCGTCTCTATAGATTATCTACCAGCGACCCTACGATGATCATGGATCATTTGACTGCGCCAAAGCTCACAGAACTCTATATTCCCATGGCCAGTGCCACCGTCCGCCTACCTCAGGCATTTCGAAGCATGCTCGTTAGCACGGTCGACGCCCTTATCCAACAATTCCCCGTAGTCAAGACGATCGGAGTATCAGGGAAAAATGGGAAACCACTACAACCTCAATCATCAGCCGACGCAATTCACCATGAAGACATGGAAAAATGGCTGAAGCAAGGCGTCATCGTAAATGTCCGCCAGATCATCCATCCACCTCCCGTATCACCTCTTGTTCCGGCATCTACACCTGCAGCGTCCAAGGAGTCGCGACTACGCGCAATGTGGGAAAGTTACACATCACCCAACATTCCTTATGAGGAAGGTCGCCCTACTGCCGATTTTATCAGGTTAGTACGAGAGTTTATGTCAAAGCCTCTCGTACACGAATATGCCAAGTATGAGTGCCATGCTCTGCATGAGCCTCTACAGGGCATGTTGTTATGGCAAGGCTGCTGGGCATTGCGAACTGGTCCAGGTTCCCTTGTACTCATACATGGTGACTCTGCGTCAACGGTGAAGCGTGCAAAGGACTCGGCATCCGCGAGAGCCATCGTCTACACCCTGCACAAGTTGAGTGGTGATGAAGAGAGGCTTGATGGTCATCCGTGGTTAGTGAGACGTACAACAGATATTTGGTAATCAAATATGTCATTATAAATGAATCTGATATCGGCTCACTCCGACCTGAGACTCGCCAAAGTCAGTGGTTGAACCAAATCCATGTTCAGTAAAGTGCGTGATGTCCGACGCCGGCCCCAAAAATTTATTCTCGAAGCTCCCGAGAGAGCTTTTTTACGATATTGTTACGTTAGCAACGAGTCCTATCGGCAAGTACGAGTTGGAACTCGATCCAGATCTTCATGTCCGCGCCGACGGTGGAAAAATGTCGTTGTCCAAGGCATTTCTTGCCGGATCAGATCAATCAATAATTATATCGACTCGGCTGGCTATTCTTTTAACGTGCAAAGAATGGTATGCGGCCTCCCTCCACATCTTATGGTCCCATCTCTTGTTCGCGTCATCAGCAAAGAAAGACACGGTAATTGCCGTGTATAATGCTGTTAGAAGCAAAGCTTTGGTCGCTTCTTCTGTCCGGCGGTTGACGGTCCTGGCGACCACGGCAAAGGACTATGAAGCTAATGAGAGTCTGTGGAAGGAGTATGCCGACGTTATTCGCCTTCTTCCAAACATGGAGATACTCGTATGTCCCCATCGGTTGACCATTAATCTCACTATCCCGAGCAAGCGGCTCCAAGTTGTTCACCTCCTCGGTTCCTTGACGTTGGGCATGGCGTACACGACTGACCTTTTCGAGGACGGATGGAATAATGTACGTGTGCTGACCCTTTGCGCAAATAGGGTGATAGCGGGACGAGGGCCAGAGGAGATGATCGAGTTTCCCAATCTTACACATCTAAGACTCGATATATCAACAATTCAAAACATTTTACATACTTCTACGAGGTGGGAGATTCCAAACATTCAGGTCCTCGCCCTCAAAAGTTCGAACTTTGAAGACTGGTTGCCATTCATGCGGCGGCACGGGTCAAAGTTGCGTCGCATGGAGATATGCAACCCAAACCACGTTGACATACCGCACGTGGCACGTTGGGGTACCGTGCAGTTCACGAGGCTTGTCTCGCTCTTTACAACGCCCGGTACTGTAGCACTGGACGACCTTGATGCGCCCAATTTAAGCTCTTTTGGTATATTCTATATACCTGGCGCTAGGAGTGATGGTCTGGAATCTTGTGTGGGACACGTCGACGATGCTCTCGAACGATACCCAAAGTTGAGGGCCGTTCATCTTTTGGGAAAGGACTCGGAGCCATTGATTGGGGGGACGGAGCTGGCTTTGAACCAGCATGTGCGCAGGTGGATGAACCGTGGTGTTATGCTAGAAGAATGAGGGACTGGTGTACTGACGCTATAGCGCCCTCGTCAACCTTATGCATGCAGAGGCTTCTAGATATCAAATCCTCCGCCCTCTAGAAAACAGGTCCCATATTTCCGATATTAATCTGTACCGTTGGAACAAAGGAATTCATATTTTAATCAAATCACATTTCTTAAGCGCAATGCCTACAATTCCATCCACCGCGGGAGACGACAATACACTGGTCACCCAATCTACCAAGAGGTCCCAAGGAGGACATGACCGATGAGAGGGTAACGAGAGAAAAAGGACAGAGGATACAGATCACGGATAAGGATAGGGGGATGGAAAGTAGACTCAGATATCTATAAAGAACGAGGGTGGGAGGTGGGTATAGCACGTAGTAAATGAACCCTCAAACGACTGAGGAGAGAGCAAGAGCAAGGAAAAGCGGTAGAGTAGGATCAAACGTCAGCCGCCTGTTCAGCCTTTGCAGCCGACGCCTCTTCAATCGTCATCATGGCATTACTCGCCGCGCGTGAACGCGCACGCTTCCTTCCCTCGGCAGGAGACCCCACGCCGAGCGACTTCATCTTTGGAGACGAGGCAGGGGATGAAGATGCGCTAGAACGACTGACAAAGGGGTTTGCTGGAACAGGAGGGATTGGTACTGGTGGAATATCCTGTCCTTTGGTAGTCACGCTCGATGAGCGGGAGCGGCTGCCTGCACCCGGCGATGGGCGACGAGGAACAGGTGTGCGGGGGGTAGCGACTTCGACAGACACCTGAACTTCACTTTTTGCGTCCACTAGGTTGAGCGACGGTGGTCGCCTCCCAGTCAATAGTCTCCCTTGAATGGGGCTCTGAGTGCTCTCAGGACTATCGGGTTCACTGGCGCTTCCGGTGCCGCTGGCAGTCGTGATAGTTTCCACATCAGTCAGTGAAGGTGTCGATATTGAGCTGGCGTCCCCCAACAAGATTTCTTGTGGCGAAAAGGTCATTTCTACTGGCGAGGTTTGGATTTCGCCAATCGCATCCAGAGGAATAGTCGAAAGCATCGAGTCTTGTGTATTATCGTACGAGAATAGCGTCTCTTTGCGAACCGAGTCGCGGTCCGACATCTCGCTCTTGGTCGAGGTCGTCATGACACTATATGCCGAAGGGCGACGCTTGAGGTTTCCGGGTTTGGGAGCTGGAGTATAACTGTCGTTCTCAGCAGAAGCGTTGGGCGAGGTAGACGAAGATGAAGATGACGCCTGACTCCACCTAAAGGCGGACGCGATGGATGTCGAGACGGCAGGAGTGACGGGCGCAGGCGGGGAAGTGGTCGAGTCTGTACGCTTCCATCTAGATACGAAGCTGCTGAATGCACCAGCGGATTGGGCGGGAGGGGGAGGGGGAGGTGATTTAGTGCAAGTAGCTTGCGACTGGGAGGATGGACTAACAACAGGAGTGCCCGAGCTCGCGCTTGACACAACAGGGGGAGCAGGTTCCGATGACAGCGCTGCTGGGGTGGGCGCACTTGACCAAAACCCAAGGCCCCATCCTTTGCGACTGGACACAGAAGCAGAATGCGCATGAGTGGCCACTGGTGTCTCCATGCCTTCTTCGTCGTCGATGCGATCCGTTGGGAGGGGTGGAAGAGAAAGGCCGCGAAGAGAAGTGGCCTCTCCAGTCGCATCCGCTTTGGCAGCCCCGTCGCCAATGCTATTCTCTGCAATAACTGTACGATATTCATTATTCCATTCCAAATGGCATGAGAGTGGGTCTACTCACACTCTTTCAGCGCCTTTAAACAAACGTCGCTCGCTTCCTTTGCCTCGCTGGCTTCCCACGCTTCTTGCTTAGCTTCGATGAGCTCCATTCGAACGCTAATCAGTTCCTGGCGTAGTGACTCCATTTCCGCTGCATACGGATTCAACAGCGACTCTGTGGGACGGGTATGGGCGGCGGTCGACTGTCGACGAGAAGGTGGGCGCGGAGGACTCGCGCCGTGCTCTTGCGCAGAAGACTCGGTCGACTCCGACTCACCAGAGGTCACAGAGGACGTGATATCCGTCAACGACCTCTCTCGTCGATGACCGCGCCTAGGGTTGGGCGATGGAGTCGCACCGGGCGCTGCGGGCTGCAAGCTCATTCGTTTCTGGAACGGCGAACGAAGGGTATTCCCATCGCTTCCGGCCGACACGGTTCCAAACGTCTGAGCGAGTGGACTAGCGTGGGGGCTGGCACTCGTCAACTGGGAAAGCCGTCGACTCTGCGTCTGCAGCGTCATAACCGCTCTGCGACTCTCCTCGACTTTTCCTCGCAACATGGCTACTTGCTCCTCTGCATCCTCTGCCCGTTTACGCCAGCTCGCCATTTCGTTGAGGAGCTGTACTTCTCGTTCCTGAGAGCCCTCGAGATCCTGCAGACGCGTCTGGGTGATGACGAGATCTCGAATGAGCTCGTCGCGCTCCCCACGGAGCAAATCTCGCTCCCTCGTCGCCGACGAGAGATTTGTGCGTAATTGGATGATCAACGAGGCGAGCACCTCTGGATCGAGCATGACGATGCTCGCAAAGTCATCCATTTGGGTTTCTTTGCCCGACAAATGGTCGTGTGCGTCGGATTCGAGTGCACCGGAGAGTTCGAGCGAAAAATCTGTGCCAAACGGCGTCTCGACGGATGGACCAAGTGAACGTGCAGGGATTGTAATCTCCTGAGAGTGATTTGGCCACGCCATGATTGTCTGATTATCGCGCAAAGGCGTCTGGAAAGGTTGGCGAGCGTGTGATTTGCCGCGCTGGCAACGTAGAGCTTGTGGGGAATATCGAGATAAATCTGTGAGGAATTTAGAATCGAAAAAACGAAAGAGGACTGGTCAAGGACAGCAGTCGTGGTTGGGGTCAAGAAGCAAAGCTCAGCAGCAGGGCCGTAAGCGGCCATTAGTCCGGTCGCAATGGCCACCGGCCAAATCCTCCCGCGACGCTCCCGACGCCCCTTGACAAACTCAAAAGTGTCGTGTAACAGAATTATACGTACAACGAACAAACCAACAGTCAAAGGCCACAACAAGAGGAGAGGAAAGAAAAACCCACAGACCGTTCAGCTTTGAGGGTATCATCAAGTCCTAGTCCCGACCAACCCAATCCACGCTCCGTCCAACGAGCTCAATGCTGTTATCCACCGTCCAGAACAGCCGCTCAACCGCACTCCGCTTGCTCCAACTCTTTTGGTCCCGGAGAATCATCGCCTGTTGCGCACCAAAGTTGCGTTGGTCGTGCGCAAACATGTCCACATTCTCGTCCAATGCATCAATCAGTGCCTGCAAATCTTGCAGCATGGCCTGGAGCGCACGCACGGCCGAAAACGTCAACATTTCTTTGCGATTCCGCGCCTGCGGTACACCACCAGCCGTCGGAGGTGGGAGCTGCTGCGAGACGCTTTGGAGGAGGGTATGCAAAATCCGTCTCGTCTCCGCCAAAAGCCTCTGTGCTTGAGGATAATTCTTGCGCGAGACGAGCACGAGCGCACGCGTGACCATGTCGCTCGTCAACAACTCCATTCGTCGACGGACAATGAGCGCGTCCGAAACGGGCTGCTGCGAGGGCGACTGTGACGGTCGTTGCTGTACCGGCATCAATGTGACGGTGAGGAGAACAGGGTGTGCGAGGCGGGTGACCTGCTTCGCCGCCACGGGATCGAAGAAGGATCCGTCGACTTCGAACACGGGTACCTCGTCGATCATTCGGTCCATCATACCGTCCATCAGATTAGGGCTATCGCCAGAAATATCCAGGCCCATCCGCGCGACAAACGCGTCCGTCGCGTTCATCATCCCTCCATTCCTGCTCTGCAACGGCTCATTGTTCGACGGTATTCCTCCAGATCCCGCACCCGCCATGAGAGCATTCATCCGCATAATATCCATATTGTTGTCGAGTTCCAGCTCGACAAGCATCTCCTTGCGCTCTCCGTATCGCAGCTCGCCCACTTCAATGTGTACGTCTTTACCATCCTGGGCCACAATCGCATTAGGTCCTCCAGAGACTTTGCGAATACGGAAGCGATTGGCGTCTACAATCTTCATATGCAGTTTCATGCTCAGAAGTGCAATGGACATCATCCCTCCGAGACATCCAGCGAGACAGTCTCGAAGATCATACCTAGACGAGATTAGTATGTGATGAAACCATTCGGGTGCCGGCTCACCAGTCCCGCACAAACGTGTATGTGCCGCTCGTATGATTGGAAATGAGCCATAGCGAAGCCGGATCGTGCGAACGACCGTATCCAAACGAATGGATTGGAACACTATCATGTATTAGCTCGAGAGTCTAGACTTAACAGGATACTCACTTTGCCGCTTCTGCTCTCGCGAGGACGAGATCCATCTGGGCCCGCCGAGTCGAATCCGCCGCGTCGGAGACAAGCACCATCCCACTGACACTATTCTTCCCCTTGCGCTGCAACACAACGTCCAAGCCATGGTTGACAGCCGTTACGACATCCGTCTTTTCTTCATTCGCATGCCGCACCAGAAACTCGTCATCATAGTCGTGTCCCCGGGGCGGATCCTCGGGCCCCACAATCCCGTCAATGAACCGCTGCAACCGTTTTTTACTCCCGAGCTTGCCAGGGCACAAGAAGGGCGACTTGCGCACCCGACCACCAGTGCCGACTTCAAAGGTGACCAGCGAGAGGCGATCTCGCTGCCCGAGCTGCGCGAGTACAAAATCGAGCGTGTTTTTGATCACCCGGACCTTGAGTTGGGCCGTGGCGGGTGAAAGGTGTGTTGAATAGGCTTGGGCAGAGGAAGAGGATGGCGGGACGGAGATGACGAGGATGAGATCAAGAGGTGGGTGAGGAAGAGGTTGGAGCGAGTTGGACGCCGAAGCAGCGACGTGTGGTGTAATCGTCCGCGACTCCATACCCATCGCAGCCGGCGAACCAGGGTAACCAAGATGTTCTTCGCTCGGAATCTTGGACAAGTTCGATCCGAATCCATACCCACCGACGCCACTCGTATTCGAACTGGCGACACTCCTGCCGTTCATGCCGAGCGAATCCGGCTGACTAGAGTCGGAACCAGTGGTGCTCCCACTGAGCATACGCGCAGCCTTGGCAGAAACGCCCTTGGGGAGGGCACCTGGCCCATTATTGAGCGCGAGCGGTGCTGTCCCCCCAAACTCGTCCAGCTCGTGCCCCGACCGACTCCCACCAGACGGTCCCACCGTGCTTCCATTCGATGACATATTTTCACCCGTCCCTCTTCCACTCGATGCGGTGCTCCCACCTGCACTACCTCCACCTTGCTGAAAGGTAGCAACCAGGTTGCTAATGTTGGAGCGCCAACTCTCGAGCGTCGCTCGGTCGCGGAAGATGAGAATAAAACTCTCCAATCGTTCGTCCTCCATATCAATGGTGAGGCTGAGCTCGCCAGCAGACGAAGTGTCGTGCACTTGCTTGATGTGACGGATGTAAATTCGGCCCTTTAGCCTAAGCACACCCTTGTTCCCGGAGAACGTAGAGCTATTGATCGAGTTGCTTTCGCTTCCAACGGGCGACAATAGCCGACCGAGCGACTTTTTCTTCTCCTCGAGCACGCAAATGATGGCCTCTTTGAAAAGATAGACGTAAAACTCGCGAACGAGCACGTCTCGACGAACGGATAGGATATCAAACATTTGAAGCGGGCCGAGACCAGACATGGGATGACCTTTCCAGTCTGCAACTCGCTGCCTGAGGTCTTCGGTGATGCTGTGAAAGGGCGAGTCGGCTCCGCTGGAAGAACTACCGGAATTGTATGAGGCAGTGTTATTGGTCGAATACGAGTTTGTGTTTGCGTTGCTCGAGGATTGTGGATATCCACCATAGCCACCCTCCTGACTCGAGGTCGCACCATCTCTGCGAACGGTATTATCGCTATCGCGATCCCGGTAGCTAGCATACGTGCCAGATTCGACAGAGGGTTTTCGACTGATGTGGGAAGGCTGATAGCCCTAGAACCAAGCGAGCGTCGGTGAGCTTAAAATTCAATCTCTGGGCAAGGGGCCCTTTGTCAACGCACCTGATGATATCCTCCGTAAACGCCTTCGTCGGGATTCATCCCTGCACTAGGGGGCACAATACTTCTAAATGTATCCGCCTGATCGATTGGAGCCCCCGCGGCACGTTTGGACGGCAATTCGACGACGACGATGCATGTGAGCGGCTGGACGGGCTGGTTGCTCCTATTGATGGTCGCAAATTCGGAACGAACGGTGATGCTCGGAGCGACGACTTGAACATGACCGGCGGCTTGGTGGTGGTGATGATGGTCCTTCTCCACAGGGTCGTCCTCGGTCGGGTCAAACACAGCCGAGGGCGTATCTCGACCTCGCTGAGAGGGGTGTGAACTTGCTTGGGAGCGCATTGTGCCAGGCTGAGCACCACGGGCAAAAGATGGAGGAGCGGCTTGGTCGCCGATGCCGGTAAGTGCAGCGAGTTCTGAAAAGTGTAGTATAAGCATATTAAACGACGATAGAAAGACTGGGAGGTCCAGCCAGGTAACTGTCCAGCGGCGGTCTCCCGTTTTGGGACATATTGATGCCCGTGAGTGTCCAAAAGTCGCCGTGAGCGGCGCACAGAGGACAGCAAAGGAGGTGAAATCGAGGTGTATACGCACTGTTTGACTTTCCAGTGTCTCCATCAGACACTTTCATCGGCCGTCTACAGACACCGCAGACACCCAAGCTGGACTTGCGCGGAAGGACACCGCCAGCAGGATTACGAGTTGGAAGAGGACCATAGACGGCTGAGAAACACGCCTAGAGATGATTTATTAAGCCATTGATCGTCAGCGTGTCGTGCGAGCGAGGCGGAGATGAGCCTACGAACCTCGTGAAGAGCGTGGCCGCATTCTGGGACGATGTGCGGCTTTTCTCCAGGTAATCTAAACGAAAAAGAAAGGGGCTCCAGACAGACGGGGCATTCGCCCTCGTCTCCATCAATGTCGTGCGAGTTCATGAGCGGCGATGGCGGGTGGTGAACGATGGACGCTGCTGAAGACGAGGAACTAGATGGATAAGCTGCAGTCGTAGATGCGCTGTTGCCCGTGCGGAATGTCGCCTCGGATGCGTAGCTCGACGCGTAGCCGCTGGCAGCGCTGGGAGGTCGGTGAAATGGATTATCAGAGAGTTGGTGCTGTTTACTCGTCGAAATGTACTTGAGCGAACTTGCGGGCTTGGGTTTGTGGTGGAAAAGACGGGAAAACGGATTGCTGGACGACGACGAAGACGATGGAGGGTCGAAAGACATCCACCACGCCCTAAATTAGAGCCCCGAAATGCCAGACAGCAAGCGGCCACACGCAGCGTCGAAAGACAAGATGGGGAGCAACACGCCGCCCATCAGATCTCACACAAATCAGCTTCTCTGTTTCACATCAACATCTAACCTCAAATCAGTCACTTCTAGACGTCCACTCTTCGCTTCCTCCGCCGGCCCTTTTTGACCAATATCAAGGCTAGAACAGGTGTCGGTTCGGGGAAAGTAGAGCATGTGAATACGGCCATTAGAATAGAATATAAACATAAACTAATTAGCATCTGTTCGAACATTTGTCCAAGAGGAACCACACTGGAACCGAGAGAAATCAAGTTTGGTTGCGCGGAGTGAACTCGACTTCGGCAGCGTCAGAAGAAGACGCGGATTTAGGAGACCATGCCGGTTGTCCGGTGGGGCCCAGAACAAAAGTTTACCCGCAGACCGCACCCAGCCATCCGGATAAAGTGAGCAATCGTCGAATCCTGGAATAATGACCGTATACCCTGGATCCTCTGTAACCTCTGGAACCTCCGTAACACCTGCAACTTCCATGATACCTGGATCTTCAGTAGAATCTGGATCTGAAGGCTCTCCTTCATATCGCACAAAGCGAGTCGCATCTGCATCTATTTGGCCATGGAACATGTCACTTTATACAATCAACAGCTAGTCAATGCCACACTCACCGATCTCCGCAGTCCATAGCTGAATTGTTCCCTCAAAGGAACAAACGATTCGTGATCCATCTGGCGAAAATGCGACAGGCACACCAAAATATCCGCCATGTTCAAGTACCACTCCCCGAGACTGCCCAGTGTGTACATTCCATAATCGAATCGTACTGTCATCCGAGCTGGAGACAATCTGTGAGCCGTCCGGCGAGAATGCGACAGCGTTGACCGAGGCTTCGTGGCCTCGAAGTGGCTCTCCCAACATTTGCCCTATGGCTGGATTCCAGAGTCGGATCGTTTTGTCTTGAGAGCCAGAGACAATTCTTGAGCTGTCGGGTGAGAATGCGACGGCCCAAACCGAGTCTTCGTGACCCCGAAGTGGCTCTCCCAATGGCTGCCTGGTTTCCGCATCCCACACTCGAATCGTATTGTCGCGCGAACCAGAGACAATCCACAAGCCGAGAGGCGAGCAGGCGACGGAATTGATCTCCTTTTCGTGGCCGCATAGTGACTCTCCTAGCGACTCCCCGGACTCTACGTCCCATATACGAATTGTTTTGTCGTGAGAGCCAGAGATGATATATGAACCGTCGGATGAGAAAGCAACAGAGCTAACTATATCTTTATGGCCTCGCAATGGTTCTCCCAACGCTTGTCCACATTCTACACTCCACAGTCGAATCGTCTTGTCTGACGATCCAGAGACAATTTTTGAGCCATCCGGTGAGAACACGACGGAGTGAACCTGCCGTTCGTGACCTAAGAGTGGTCTCCCTGCGGCTGGCCAGTCTCTGCGTCCCACAGTCGTATCATTATTTCGTCTGAGGCAGAGACAATTTGCGAGCCATCTGGAGAGAATGCGATAGGGCCACTCAAGTATTCGTGACCTGAATCTCCTAACAGTCGGCCAGTCTCCGCATCCAAAACTCGAATCTCCGAGTCCCAGGAGCCATAAACAACTCGCGATCCACCTGGAGAGAACGCGACGGTACTGACTGGGGCTTCATGTTCGTGGAACGGCTCTCCCAACTGCTGGCAAGCCTCTACATCCCACAGTCGAACGGTACAGTCATCAGAGCCAGAGGCAACTCGCGACCCCCCTGGAGAGAATGCGACAGCTTCCACGAAACCTTTATGACCTCGAAGTGGTTGTCCTAATGGCTGTCCGCTGTCTGCGTCCCACAATCGAATTGTGCGATCGTCCGAGCCAGAGATGATTTGTGAACCATCTGGCGAGAACGCAACAGATCTGACTATCATTTCATGACCACGAAGTGGTTCCCCCAATGGTTGGCCAGTTTCTACGTCCCACATTCGAATATTCATGTCGTACGAACCAGACACAACTCGTGAGCCGTCTGGTGAGAATGCGACCGAGCTGACTCTATCTTCGTGACCACGAAATGGCTCTCCTAGCGACTGCCCGGTCTCCGCATCCCACACTCGGATCGTTTTGTCGTACGAGCCAGACACAATTTGTGAGCCGTCGGGCGAGAATGCGACAGAGCTAACCCGGTCTTCGTGACCTCGAAGTGGCTCTCCTAGCGGTTGTCTAGAGCCCGTATCCCACAGTCGGATTGTCCAGTCTTCCGAGCCAGATACGATTCTTGACCCCTCTGGCGAGAATGCAACAGCAACAACCGCATCTTCGTGCTCGCAGATTGGTTCCCCAAGTGGCTGCCCAGTGTCCGCATCCCATAGTTGAATCGATTGGTCAGCTGAGCAGGACACAATCTGTGAACTGTCCGGAGAGAACACGGCAGCATGGACTGCTTCATCGTGACCACGAAGAGCCGCAGGGAACCCGGGATACATCGCTTCAAGCCCTTGATCCACCCTGAGGGTGTTCACATAGATGTCTAGGCCCTCACGAAATAGGACAGAATCGATAGGGGAGAATGGAAGCGCGGAAATATAGATGTGTGGAGCGCTGTCCCGGATTGGCACCAAAAATGCGATTATAAACCGTCGATCTCATCCATTCTTTCCCTGCTTAACATCTCGAGCTATTTTTGTGTCAAAGATCAACATGTTACATCTGGATAGTCACTTACGGCCGTGTGTCGCATGGCGGCTCGTAGGCCAGTAATCGCTCGTGGTACTTCTTCCGTAAGACTTAGGATTTCCATCCAGTAGAATACGTATGGAGCTTGAATGACATATCGAAGATCGTTTTTGAGCGTCCGTCGCCAGTTGTCATCCGTTCCTGCCATATGGAATAACCAATGGACGCTAGCATATTGAAGTCTTCTGGAAACGAACTTCGATATCCTGTCCTGAATATCAGGTATCTGCCAATTCGGGTCGAAAGATGACTCGATTCGACATATATTGAATTTGAGACCCTCAGTCCGCGATTTGAGATGCTTGAAACACCACGACGCAATTCTACCATGCGCACTCGCCATATCGAGATGGATTTTATTAGAATCGCCGATGGAGGGTGTGCAACAACGTTCGAGATACTCGACCAACGTATAATGGCGAAAGTTGATGGTATTTGTGGTTGGATCTCTAGTGAGCACGCTTCCTAGACCCTGTACCAAGGCCTTGGCGCTTCCGGGTACTTTGGCATGCTTCAAGAGGTCATCTAGATCGTCTACGGTAAATGGTTCGAAGGCTGCAAGCAGCAATGAAAGCATTTCACACATGACTCTGTAGTATGCGGGATCCGTGCGCTCGAAAATGAGATTATATATGTCGTCTATGACTCGATTTTCCCCCATGGAGGTCAGACGATTATATATATCTTCGGGCGCACTCAAGCTGGTTGGGCTAGTGAGCATTTGGCATGCGGTGCTCGCCCAAATGAATAGACCGTTTGCTTGTTCGACCAGTCGCTGTCTTTTGCTCTCTGACAGCACTCCATCCAGCGACCGGTTGATGTAAACCGCGATGTCATCGAAATTGTCCTCATGGTTGACATCGTGCAGGCGGTCTTCCAACTTGGATTTGATCGACAGTGGCTGCAGAACCGCTTCAATCACTGGGTCTGGTCGGCTCGTGATGAAAATCCTGAGGTTTGTGCTCTCCCGAGTAGCCGTGACAAGTGTCTCTAGAAGTTCTTTTCGCTTTGCTCCAGACTTGCACTCGTCGATGGCGTCGATAACAAGGATGACCCGCTTTTGTCGATGGCGGAGTGGACCGGTGATGAGGGTACGGAACTGTTCGCCAAATGAGCTTCGCATGATGGCTGGGTTTTGGCTTATAGAGTGTGCGACGTGCCGCGCCAGTTCGGGCAGATGATGAGCAAGCTCCCTGGCCATGGTAGAGCAAAACTTCTCCGTTGTCGATGCTTCGCTATTGGAAATCGAGAAGAAGAATTGACCACCTAGCACTCCCTCTGTCTTCCACAACGCCGTTGCCGACATTGCGACAGTGGATTTTCCAGCACCCGCAATATCGCATAGCCAAAATATGGGTTTATCTGACATGTTATCCTGGGCCCAATTCGAAATTGCTTGAAGGACGGCTTGACGTGTCCCTTGCAAACAAGTAGTGTGAACTGACGAGGCCACAACGGCAACTGTTGGCAGCTGGAGTATTGCAACTTGAAATGCTCAGCGATGTTTCTGTGCAGAATATTGAGCCTACCACTTCTTTCGATTGCTTGCACTCGCGATGCGTTAAAGAGGCTCAGTGCGCCCTGCGTCTCGGTAAGGATGTAATTTGCATCAACAGTGTTCGTACCGTGAAGTGTCTATGCCGGTCCTCTATATCCCGGTGAAATTTTCGGAGAACTTCTGCGTCGAGTTTTACTTTACTGATCGCGGTGAACGCGCTAAGACCGCTGCTGCGTCGCTTATGTGCATAGTTTATGATCGTCCCGTGAAACTCCTCGAGTGTCCTGTTTCAATCAGCAGCTGAGATGATATACGTGTTTTGACATACTCTACGTAACGAATGAGTGGTCGTCGAAACGCCTCGTCGACGACTCTATCTTCTGGGGGATATTCCTCGAACGAGTCAATTTGATCCTCGATGGCCAACATGTACTCTTCCAACCGCTGTGCAAGATCTGTAAATTCTCCTTTGTTATCGTCGACAGCCTGTCATCGTCAGACAGGGTACAGTTACGCCAGCCCAGTCTACCAACCTGCATGACCTCTAGGATAGATTTGATTGCTCGACAGGCTGCTTTGAGAGGAGCGAGTATATCTGTAGCCTCTGATACATTCGCAATGATGTCAAGGCCGATAGTGGCCATGTTGTGTGCTCGAGCCCTCTTGCGTGATGGTGCCTGCGTGGAAACCAATGATCCTTGGTGACCCATACTTCCATCTGCGGACTCAATCGCCCGTCGGGATGACATTGTAGCCGTGAAATGCGTCCAAGTTGTGGCCAGCGTCTACTTGCCTTTACCACATTCTGCGCCATGATCACTAACATCGAGTTTATTCGACGAGTGTGTCCATCCCTTCTCTGATCTGACATAACGCGACTTTTAGACTCGCACTCGAGCCATTCCCCTTTCGACTCAAGGCTGCCGTGAATGTCTTTCAAGTAGGAAGCAAGCAATGCCAAAATTATTAAACAAAATTTGGATGGCATGATTAACCGCATTTAGATGAAAATGTTTATTTCGTCTCTAGGCCCCCAGATCCCTCCGTTGGATTGTACTCTCCCAAATGGTCTGACCTTCATTGCCACTTCGCGCGGCGATTACTGTGACATCGGGGATATAGGGGTTGCGTCGATAATACGGAGGCAGATTAGCGCGATTGGCCTGATGGTGGCTACATTATTCACGTCAAGGCACGAGAGTTATTCTCTAGACCGTCCATTACTCGAACAAGAGTACATACAGGAGGCGAGAGTCGAGAAGGTAAAGAAGAAGAACTATTATAATGAGATAAGCATATAAAAAGAGGGGTCTCGGGATATGTCCCAAGTTGAATAAAGATGTATGGCTTCTGGAACCTGTCGGGTCGCTATAAGAAATCTGATTATTTAAGATGAAAGAGAAAAAAAGCTCACAATAAGGTTCATCCAACAATTATGAACCAGAAGGCAGCTTGCTTATAACATCGAGCATGCGCTTAGCGGCGTCCTGGCGAGATTCCACCGTGTTTGGGAACCACACAGTACCGTAATCGGTGACGATGCCTTCGTCGTTGAACACGGTACCTCGTATAACTTTACACTTGCTCTTCCAGCGTTGAGCATTCTCAGGTTGGTTTGGTTTCTTTTCATCGTCATAGGTGATTCTGAAGTTATTCGGTCCGTACCGGGTTTGACAGATAGAATTGAGTTGAGTTCTGTTGTCGGCGGCCATGTGTGCTTAAAGACTGTGAAGTGAGTGCGGGGAATGATGGAGAAAGTAGGTGATGATGCTCTGATTTTATGTGTAGGCTATCAGAATTTGCTGTAATCCGCGCAGATAGAACGATCAACACGATCCGATGATTGAGCCATGCCATGCCATGCCATGGGGAGCGAGTGGGCGGAGCGTGCTGGCGCACTCCATAACAGGGTTACCAGACGGACATTTGCACCAGAGGACTGCATTTAGCGCCTCTCAACATGCATCTGAGTCAGAACTCTGTCATATTACTGACGTCGGTAGAGGACGAGGTAAAATTGGGCGGGTTGCGGCGGAGGCGCCCGAAATGATAGTTGGATGCACAGCATAAGAGGTTGAGTTCCGAATAAGATGGCACTAGCGATCGTGCGAGCGCTCTCTTTCGCTCCTGCGTGTTCGCAAAGAGTGTTGTACCGGACGAACGCGTCGGGACTGAATTTCGAGTGACGTGAGAGAGTCGGTGAATGAATTCGAGAAGCCAGAGAATGAACTGGGGTGGCAGTTGACCCGCAAGGCTTGTTGACCTGGAACAAGCCAGAGCGTGGCAGACCTTTATGAAAACTGGGGTTCGTAGTACATTCCTAGTGTGGCTTATAAAAGGTGCCATGTCACTTCTGATAGTTGGAAAGTGACCTGAAGTACTTCAACAGCCTCATTCACGTGACCGTCGCGTCCTCATATCCTTTTACTGTTATCACCGTGTTTTTCGCTCTTAGTATGAGTATAGCAGCGTGATTTTTCAGGGAAAAAGTAGCCAATGACACTCTGCTACTCGCGGTCGCTGAGTTGATGTTTCCCAGCGACGTTGGGGTGGTGTCGCTCGCTCCTGTGGCACAATCTTTACAGCCACTTTTCAGAGCGGTCGTTCTGATTTATTTATGAAATACAGGGGTTCTATTGTGTCGATGACAAGAAGCGGAGGAGCGTGGCAAGGTGGCAGCAATGGAACAACAGGGGCTCTGAGGGGCATTGCGGCACTGGCTAGCTGTAAACTGTGCATTCGCTGGAAAGAATACATACAGGCACAAATAAGTCGAAAATTCGAGCAAGAAAGGAGTAGTACGAAGAATATTTAGAACAAGGAAAATAATTTATCTAATCAGCAAGCGTTGAAGAAGACTAGAGACGAAAATGGCTTAAAGATCCAACATGTCAGTTAATGAAAGGTAGAGTGTACGGTATAGGATAATACGCACAATGCATCATATTTAATAGCAATCGACGGGAGGCCTATGGTGAGTGAAGATAAAGCAACATGCGGTAGGCAGCATCCTCGTGAGCCTTATCCTTGCTACTGAATCCATCTCCATACTCGACAATGTAATTGAAAGGCGTGATCCAGCACTTGCTACGCCAACGTTGCGCATTGTCGGGTTGATCCTTGACCTGCTGATCGGCATACTTGACCCTGAACTTGCCAGCTCCATAAGTCTTTTGGCAGTGAGCATTGAGTTGAGTTCTGTAGTCGGTGGTCATGATGTTACGAAGTGAATGCTAGGGCTGATAGTGCAAGCAGAGGTTCACCTTCTCGGTTTTATAAGTAGACCATCAGACTAAGCTGTGTTCTTTGCAGATATAACGAGCACGACGACTCGTCTACGGAGCCAAGGGGACGAGGGGAGAGAGCGCGGCTGGCGCTCTCCATGGCCAAATCTTAGACAGAAACCTGTGATAAAAGGGCTAGTGTGTAGCACCTCTTGGTCTCTTTTCCAATCCAGATCAGAAGTTTGTCATATTATCTGATGATAGTTGTCGACAGAGGACCAGGGCGACTTGGACGGTTTTCAGCGGAAAAGGCAGAAAAGCGGTTGCCTAGACGAGATACGAGGGTAAGTTACGAATCAGGCAGCGCCTTTTGACTACGGTTGGCATTCTCTTCGTTGCTGCGTCTTGGTGCAGAGCGTTGCGCTGGACTCGTGCGTCGGGCTGAATGTTGAATAATGTATGAGAGGCTGCGAAGAAGAAATTCGAATTGTGCCGATAAGTGAAGGTTGTTGCTACGACATACTGGAGCAGGGCTGGCATTTGACAGCACTGGTATTATCTAATGCATACTGGTGAAGTCTTTCTGATAGCTGCTCGATACTGCATCCGTTTATTCGAGAATGGCATGGCAGCCGTCGGGTCAAAGGCAAGCGTGCCACTTGGATCCGAACTCGCTCAGACAATTTCTTGAAGGGACTCGACGACGGGCCATAATCAGATAACAAATCATTGGATTATCTCGTCCAACTGAAACCGGGTCGCTCGGCGACTGTGCTCGTCTGGAATGACCAGCGTCCTCCACTCGGGCTCGCTGAGCTCGCTCGACGGTGGAATGGGAGACAATCTACTGCATGCATCGTCTATTTCCCTCGACAGCCAGTCCTCACTTGGTCCTAATGACGGTGTGTAATCTGCGCTTTCCGCGTTGGAACCACGCAGACAATCGACGCTGACGACATTGTTGTTGCTCAGAAGATGTAACACTCACTTTCAAGCAAAATGGCCCCTTTTCACCCACCAAACCACTCGAGTGAGCCACTTGTTTCAACTTTGTATCCCCCCGCGGCGGCATTCTATCCGTCACACGCCCTCGTTGCTCTCCGTGGACAATTCCTCTGTTAATTGTGTTTTGCATTATCGACTAGGCGAGAGCCCATAGGGCCTGCCCCCAACGCTGAGAGTGTCCCCAGCCCTTGTCTCCAGTATTCCAGAACAAACACTAACCCCGTCTTCAGCGAACTCTCCTTTCTGGCAATCTCGGCTCAGATTACCGAAGTCACGTACAGCATTTCGGATGTCCAAACGCGGATATTCGGTGCGTCGTGTTATGGTGCCGGAATCGGTCGCTGATGAAATCATTTGTAGAAATACAGGAACTTCGTCACAAGTCAGAAGCAAACCAGTCATCCGGAAACGCTCCTTCTTCCGCCTCTTCGCAAGGACACGCCACTGACACCTCGACGACAAACATTGACCAGGCGCTCATCAACCTCGATGAGCGACTAGAGTCAATCTCCTCGTCGATAGAATCCATCAATTCTGTCATGGCGCCCCTCATTGCCTCTGCCAAAACTCCAACAACATCCAAGACGGTCACAGAAACAAACTATGCCGAAGACGCTACAGGAACACTGCTTCGGAAACATGCCACTATGCTCCAGGACTGGGACACTGTCCAGGAAGACGCGGATACGCTCAAGGGGGAGCTTCGGGAGGACAAGTGGCTCGCTGTATTCCGGACCGTGGGCGAGCAGGCAGAAGCCATGATGGTCTCCCTGGAAAAGGCTGTCACCCATTGTCAGGAATTCATCTGGCAGGTGCATCGGAATCGCAAAGCGCTCACCGACGATGGTCATTCTGGACTTTCGTCTGGTTCAATGTCGGGAGAAAAGCCAATCAACTATGAAATGTTCCAATCGCTCCAGTCGTCATACGAGGCGAAGAAGCGGTATGTCGACCACCTTTTCATTGTTCATGTTTGACCAGTCTCTAGATACTATATGCCGGCGACCACCAAAGTCCTGGCCATCCTCGACCGCTCCGTTCGTGATCGTGTGACGAAGAATGGGGAATGTCTACGCAGGCACGCGGAAGCTCGCGCCCGGTGGAAAAACCTGCGAGAGCGCATCAATAGAATCGACAACGAGATGGAAACTGTCCGTCTTTTTCTCGTCACCAAGGACAAGGAACAGGAACCAGAGCCATCCGAGGCGGGTTCTGCCCTCTCACGCCAGACGAGTCGCTCAAACTATACGAGCAAGTCAAACTATCTGTCCACGCCTTCGACCAAAGTCAGCAATCTGACGAATAGAAGTCGGACAGGGAGTAGTTCTGCCGGGACTGCGAGTGCGTTTTCTCGGAGCATGTCCCCCCTAAAACGGTTCGCGTCCAAGGTCTCTGCGTCTGTTCGTTCTGGTGTTTCGACACCAGCGGTGGACGATAGTAGTCGCAATGCGTCGTCCATCTCTGTTCATTCATCCCAAGTTAGCCGTCCAGACTTTTCGCCATCTCTTTCTGGTGTCTCTGGGAATGAGAGTGGGCCGCCGAGGCCGCCCCCTCGTAGCCCATTCAGGCCACCGGGGAACAAGATTACGGCCATTTCGTCTGGTGGTGTCGATGGCGCCGGTACGACCAAGGAGAAGAAGAAGCGAGACTCGTCCATCTTCCCGTTCCTCTCCAAGCCACCTCCGCCTTCGGCTCTTGGTCGAAGCACGAACCGCGCTCCATCGAGGGCAAGTTTATCTGGTGGAGATACCAGTGCGTCTAGTTCGAGCAAGCCACGATGGAATGCGAGTACCAAGGTGGACAACGATGCGCCGTTACCACCTCTTCCACCAAGCCAAAATGCCACTATACGAGCCACTCCGAGCCGTCCAAGTATCGTTAATCAGGTGTTTAGACCACTTTCTCCTGAAGGTAGACGGAGCTTGAGTCGCACAGAGAACCGACCGCCTACCAGTCAAGGGAAGTACACGCCGAGGAGCTCTGTCGATATTCACAGCCCGACGACACCATCTCGTCCAGGGTCTCGAGCGCAATCAAGAGCGGGTGCACGAACACCGAATGGTGGTGTCTACGGTACATCGCCGCGAACGAGGCCTGTGACTCCATCGCACATCCCGGCGCCGGTGTCCTACTTTAACAAGCGATCGCCGAGTCGCGCTGGCTCTGAGAGCGATATGGATGACGAGGAGTTGCCGACTACGCTCATGCAGCGTGCATTTACGCCGTCTGCTACTCGAGATTTAAAGACTCCAGAGAACCCGCATCGAAGGCGACCTTCAAATTCGATGATCCCCGTTCCAAAGCTCAACGTGACGAGCGGTTCACGTCCTGGAACGTCCATGTCGATGAACCGCTCTGGTTCACCAGCCAACTCGCATGAAGGTGGACGTATGAGTCCACGAGAGAGTCCGAGCGCATGGCGAAACTCGCCTGCTGTGCGGGACACGACTTCCACACCTTACAAAGAGTCACCACCTACACGCGCGGGAGCGCGTAGTCAGACGCCCGAGTCGATGCTTCGCGCGCGCGCGATGCAGATGCCGGGCTACATCGAGAGTCCTAGTCCCAATTCTGGCCCATCGGGTGCGTCTGCGACGCCTGGAACAAAACCACGTCCGAGTGCACCTTCGAGTTTCAAGGGCGAGGGACGGACGTTGGTGTTTGGGCCCGGGGAATGGGAATCCTTCCTCGGGGGCGAATGGGACGCCTGGACGGCCGCAGTCGCGGAGTGCGTCGCGGTTGAATAGTTATGGGTTTGGGCGGATGACGCCTACGCTCGACGCGCCTGGGCAGGTGTATGTGCCTGTTCGGACGGACGAGTTGGACGTCGAGGTGGCGAATGTGATCAATGGGATGGCCCATGGATTTACGTATGTTCTACTATGACGATATTGTGTGCATTGCTGACTATTCGGTGATAGATTTGAGCGGGTTGATCCGCCGCGCAAGACGCCTGCCAAGGCTGGTGAGGAGATCAAGGCCCAGTATGCTGTTTCGAATGCTCTGGGACGCAAGTTGATCACGTGTCGGCTTGTTACTGTGACGAGAGGAGGAGCGCAGAGCAAAAAGGTCATGTGTCGCGTTGGCGGCGGTATGTTCTCTCGCATCAGACCTCATATGTTACTCATGTCTTCCTAGGCTGGCTTGAACTGCAGATGTATATTCTTAACCGACAAGCGGGTCTCTCGTAGATAGGAGGTTTCATTCAACTTATGCCCTAACTTTGTTTTTCGCGATTCCGCGTCGTGCATGCTCTGTTTTTGCATCCATTTTGTATGCTACATGTTTGCCATTATACACTTTTCTTTCGTTTCCCGTATCAATTGTCCGAGTGCCTTACTCTGAGATTTTGGACCCGACTCGTGCCTGCAAATGGCAGACGCGCACCCTCGGCGACATGAGAGACGCTCCCTGGGTTCAAAATCATCACCCAATGCGTTCGTAACCCATCCATTGTCTGTGTTTTGACGCCAACTCACGCCAGCGAAACTGTAGCGGTGGCACTATTCCTCCAGAACTGACGATTCACATCTTGACTGCCGACATTTTACTTGTATTGTCGATATGTTCTGCAAAGTATTGGCTTTTGGCTCGTGGAGTGGGCTCGTTGTGGCTCTCTATCAACGTCCTTGCTGGTGCCGGTTTGGGCGCTGTCGTTCTTCTTGCTTTGAGGGAACGAGTAGCGGTTAGAGGTCTATTTCCAGTGAGTGCATTATACGTCATTGCGGATCGTCTCATTCTGTGTTTCTAGTGGAAGACGGTTGGCCTCGCTGGCGGTCTCGTGTTTATGCAGCAAATTGCGCTCTTTTATAGTCTAAAGAGACTCGAGGCTTCACGGTAGGTTCTATTATTGGCGCAGAATCCTATTTATACTGGTGATAGGGTCCTATTTGTTGCACCATTCATCTCGTCGGTCGTCCTTCAATTCACCAGAACTCACTCTGCGCGGATTCTTGTTCTAACCGCCATTTCCGTCATAATAGCGGCCACTATTGACGTTCTCACATCCGGAAACGACACAGCGACCGACTTGAAAGCCTACCTCGGCCTTGCGGTTTATGGATCTCTCACTTCGATTTCGACATATATTGAAGGTCACCTTGCGCCTTCATTCGAATCTCCATCTGTTGGACGATTAATCGCCATTCTTTGCGCCGCAATCATGACCATCCCAATCCACCTGCTTGGCCGAACCATCGGGCTACTTCCGCCATACCCATACGTTCCCTTGCTGGCACTCACTCCGCTTCCTCTTCTTGCCTTTGTGCTTCACTATTACCATCCACATATGATCTCCAAGGGCACCATTCACTCGCAACGCACCGTTTTCCAGTTGACGTATATCCCTACCGCTGCCATCACGTGCATCGTTACTCCTCTATTCTCGCGCACCCTCTCGGTCGCAGAAGTCCCGCTGGCACTTCTCTTCTACTACACCCAGCGGCCGCCTGCGCCTCGTGCGCCAGGTAGTGCTGGCATGGGCAAGTCTGCCAGCGAGCCCTTTTTCCGGCTCCTTCAGAGTTATCTCAACACTATATTATCCAATCAGGAGAGCAGAAAGATCTTCTACTTTCTCTTGGTCAACTTGGCGTACATGCTCGTCCAGATGCTGTATGGAGTTTGGACGAACAGCTTGGGTCTTATCTCCGACGGTATGTCTCCTCCTCTCAATGATACGTTGAAGGCTGACCCATACGGGCTAGCTATCCATATGGCGTTTGACTGCATGGCCATCGCGATGGGTCTCTTCGCTTCGGTAATGGCAACGTGGAAGCCAAATGAGCGATTTACGTATGGGTACTCTCGAATCGAGACCCTCTCCGGTTTTGCAAACGGAATCTTTCTCATCCTCATCTCCTTGTTCATCATTGTCGAGGCAATTCAGCGATTGTGAGTCGGTATTAGAGGGCAAGAACTTTACTGATCCTACTCTCAGGCTTGACCCGCCACAAATGAACACGAGACAACTGTTGCTTGTGAGCACGGGTGGATTAGCGGTCAACCTCTTCGGCATGTTTGCGATGGGAGGGCACCATCATCACGTTCGTGATTCGTCTGGCTCTTACTCGAGCCCGCTAACAAATTACAGGGACACTCACATTCGCATGGAGGACACTCGCATGGTGGTTCGTCTGCAGCGCACGACAGTCATTCTCATGAGTCTCCACATGGCCACTCTCATGACTCTCCGCATGGCCACTCTCATGACTCGTCATCGCATGGTCACTCTCATGCAGAGGAACAATGCAGTGATAGCGAGCATCATCACTCTCATTCGCATGGCCATTCGCATGGCAGCCCGCAAGAAGTGAGCGTCCGGTCTGATTTTCCGCTCGATACTAACCTTGCTAGGAAACCTTTCAATTCCATACGCACGACCACGAAGAGTCGCATAGTCACTCTCATTCGCACTCTCACGAGGACCACGGCCATTCCCATCTACATTTCCGGCCCAACGCTCCTGGTTCGCACTCTGTGGATACACCGGATATCCGACTCGAGTCGCCCAAAGGCGGACAGTTTCGCGTGTTCGATTCGTCTGGTCCTAATTCATCGTTGCCCATCACGCCTATTACACCAGCCTCGCTGCCTTTCTCGCCGCTTACCCCCTCCTATTCGTTCACCCACGACCCACATCTTCAAGCCCATCACCCAGAGGCACACTCGCATGATCATTCACACTCGCACGAAGGCCATTCGCACAACATGCGCGGTGTGTTCCTCCACGTAATGGCCGATACATTGGGTTCGGTTGGTGTCATCATCTCGACTATCCTGATCAAAATTTATGGATGGACTGGGTTTGATCCCATTGCGTCCATGTTCATCGCTATCCTCATCGCCGTCAGTGTTTTCCCCTTGGTGATGGACACAGGCAAGGTGCTTGCGCTCGACTTGGACGGAAAGGAGACGGATGTCGAGAGGGCTCTAAGAGAATTGTCTGGTATCCACGGCGTGCAAAGTTATACCCAAGCTCAATTCTGGCCTCTGGAACAAAGCAAGTTGGTCGGATCGATTCATATACAGATCACACCCGGTCTCGTTGGTGGAACAATGCAAGGGAATGGAGAGCACTACCATGGGCTGTCCAAATTAGATAGAGTGCGAGAGGAAGTTGAGCACATTCTCAAATCGCGCATCAAGGGATTGGATGAGTTGGTTATCCAACTAGATGGATAAAGTCTCTCGTATATATTCTCCGTATTATTCTTGTGTATTCCCATCGATTTTGATTTCCAGTGGCCGTTATCCGGTGGAGTTGTGGCTTATACCCGTTCATGATTCTTTCAGTCCTGGTGCTAGTCACCATAATTTCTCAAGTATTCTCTTTTGTCATTTTACCATCCAAGGTACTCGTTTCGACGCGTTTGGATCCCGTCGTGCAACCAGGTGTCGCGTCCAGTCACCTCCATAACGTTGTGGGTGGTAACAATTTCAATGCGACGTACGATCCCGACTTTCTACTTGCCTCGACATGTACTACATCACCTATAACGGCGGACAAGTCGAATTATTGGGCGCCGGCGATTTATTTCATCAATCACTCCACGACGCCGGTAACATTTAGCAGGATACCTAGTTCGTTTAACATTTACTATCTCCCTCGTGGCACGACGAACGAAAGTGGAAATGGTGTAGGAGACGTAAAGGCATTTCCGCCGGGATTCAAGATGGTTGCGGGCGACAATGGACGAAATACGTACAACGCTTCGTCTTTTGAGAACCAAGCTATCAGTTGGGTCTGCTTAGATTATAACAACCCCGCTGTAAACGGAAAGGAGACACCAGGTTTTCCGACCACGAGTTGTCCAGGTGCGGCCAAGGTTCAACAATTCCTATCTATATCTCACGAGCGATAGATGGCATTCGCGGCCAAATATTCTTTCCTTCGTGCTGGGATGGCGTCAATTTGGATTCGCCAAATCACAAGGACCATGTCTCGTACCCTGTGCAGAACTATAACAGTGGCGATTGCCCTTCATCCCACCCAGTTAAACTCGTATCGCTCTTCTACGAGCAAATATTCAGTACTGGAGGAGTACCGTTGAATAGCGACGGACTGACATGGGTAGGTACAATCCATCTCTAAATCGCCTTGGTTATTCATGCCTGTGCTTAGATACTCGCCAATGGAGATACGACCGGCTATTCCATGCACGCCGACTTTCAAAATGGGTGGTCGTCCTCTGTCCTCCAGTCCGTCATAGACGAATGCCACGCTGAGAACAGCGGAAATGGTAATATGCGTGATTGTCGACCACTAAAGCCTTATATTGATGAAGAAGCACGCGAAGCATGTCAGCTCAATGCATCCATCCCAATTCCAGACGAGGATGTTGGGCTCTTTGCTAATCTTCCTCGACTCCTGGGCAATAACCCCGTGTGGGTGGCAGGCCAGACAAAGCCACTCAATAACTCCTATGTAGATACTACTGGGTGGGGACGCGTCGGGAGCTTGAGCGAAGGTGTAGGAAGCCGGGGCACACAGCCTGTCAACATTAGCAGTATTTCAGGTGTTCAGCTGCATGACGACGACACGAATGCCAGTGGTTGGGAAGTTCGAGGATGTATTCAGGAAAGTAAACATGGCCGTGCACTGCTCGGTGCCGCTATGACGGAAGAGTCACAGATGAACCTGCGCAAATGTGCGGTTCTATGTGCAAACCGCGGTTACTCCATTGCTGGCGTAGAGTTTGGTGAGTGGCCTCCTCTAGAAGATCCTTTTCGGTGCTGATAGTGTGCCCGGATAGGTCACGAATGCTATTGCGACGATGCATTGCGCAATGGCGTCCGTATGGAACTCATCAATAACGTTACATGTGGAATTCCTTGTCCTGGCAATCGTAAGTCCTCGCTGGCGCGCCATATAAATCATCTAGTAACAATTTATCAGCTTACGAGAATTGCGGCGGAAGGCAGGCCCTTACAATTCTTGCGAAAGAGGGCGTCACCATCCGTACTACGGGGGAAGTGAGCGGCGCGCTGGTGGCATCGGCCTCTCATATACTACTTTTCTGGCTAGCCTTAACGACCTTATATGTCCTTGGATGACCATCTTTAGATATCTTTACCAAATATACCCTTACCCCCGTTTCTCTCACTTTTCGACTGATCAGGTTCGAAGTGATAGATATCTGTGAATAGATTTGTGCATTTAATAGACTATTATACTACCTAGGTGTGTCAATAGAGGCATCTCTACATTGCCGGATCGAGGTTCCAGGCACTGAACATATCAATATGGCTTGCGAGTATTCTCAGTGACATATGTCAGCTTCCTGAAGAGGTTGATAGAAGAGAGAGTGGCATTGTAATGATATCGGAATCCTTGCGCAACTTATGCTCAAGCGCCGTCGCTGTGCCTGCGGGTCAGGACGGAACTTGACCCCAACCAGCTTGGAACAGCACCTGGCTCCGGTCTACGTTGTTAGACCCGAGCGTGCTCTAAATTCGCCTTTCCCACTTACTGTACGAGCATCAAGTCGGTACGGTGTCAATGGAGAGAAACACGTCCAACTTGAATGAGCTCTTGATTCGAGTCAGAGAGTTCTTAGATACCTCACCAGGTACACCCAATTCGGATCGATTAATTACCATTAATGCTAAAACTACTCTCGTTTTGCAGTGGCGGCGCGCCCTCAATGTGAGGGAGACATGCAGAAGAGAGAAACGGAAGAGACGTATGATAACGAGGAATATTCACCGCCATCTTCCATCAGCTCGAGTCCATGGGCTTCTCCGCGCCAAAACCTTCTCGAGCTGCCAGGTGACCTACAGGCTATTTGTCCTCCTTTACCCTCGGCCTCGCCTATAACAGTTCAGAATTCTTTCAAGGATAGTGGTCATGAATTAGCAACGCATAAAGGTACACAATTTCCTCGGTGCTATTTCTTTCCCTCTAATGCCTCTTTACAGATGAACACAGGTCTACGTCACGGCCATTACAGGACGCTCTCCTTCTTGGGGTTTCTGTGCTGTATGGAATGGAGGATCCTGGATGCGCCGACGACGCCGATGAGACAGAGGACGAGGACGAGGATGAAGATGGTGCCTATGGAGATGCAGAAGATTCGCCTACTTCGTCCGACTCATCGAGCCCATCTACGTCACCAGTTAAGCCCAGATTCGCATTTCCTTTCCACGAGTATGTGGAAATGAAAGGAGCAGCCTCGCACCAGACACGCCGCACGCTAGATGACGTCGAATTGGAAACAAAAGCTGGGGTGTTTAGACATCCATTCGTCACACGAGCCATCCTTGGGACGGGTTTCAACCAGCCGCGACTTAATCCTAGATATCGCAAAGGGAGAGATAGGGGTACATCAACGTCTGCCATGAGCGCCCCACCACAGACCATGCAAGAGAAACAACCGCGCAAATGGAACAGTGCGCCGAATTTAAAACCTGGAGTTTTGCGGGTTTCGACAAGGAGCGCGAAAATTCTATCCCAAATTGTCGCACTTGAGGAGAAAGCAAAGTCAAAAGAGGATGGACCTACCACAGCGACACACTGTCAAGGATCCTCGACGAGCAATAAAGGCGCATCAGAAGATTCGGATCCGAGTTCATCCTCTTCAGAAGTGAGTGGCTCGACCACGGCAGGGGGGGACCCTCTCGACCGTGTCGACGTCCTCTGGAATTAAAGTGGTGTATAAATTGCGGAATAATACAGCCAGTGGAAGATGTCAAGTCGTCGATGAGATGCCAATACTATAAAAAAGATACCCAGGTCGGCATGTATCTCCTGTAGTTCCAATTAGATCCTAGTTCTTCACCGTATCTTTAGTTGACTCCACTATAAAATCACAGAGAGTCGACGGGATATTCCAGTCGTAAATTTCAGGTATGAGTGTGATGCGCAGATCGCCACGCAAGTGAGAGTGGCGGGTCCTGGCGGAGTTGTGGCGGATCCTATTCACATTTACCTCATTCAGTTGCTTTAAACCTCGTCTGAGCGTTTGCTCATCGTCTAGGTCGCTACTAGGAGGGAGTGTCAACGATTCGGCCACTACACTTCGCTAAGCCTCGTCGGCTGCTGCGAAAGAAATGGCGCTGAGCAAATAATAGGAGCTTTAATTGAGTTTGTAGAGGTTCCATCCTCGAAAACCTAGCTCGATAGCGTGGTGATACAATTGTATACGCTGAGGCGCTTAAGCCTGCCCAAAAAGCATAGGCACAAATTGAGGGGCCAAAGAAGATATATTTAGCACCGAGCGAAGTAGTTGCTCCTCGTGTGACCGCTTGTCCAGTGCTCGCGCATGTGGCTCTCTGTTTGTCGGGCCTTTTAATTGATAGGAAGGATCCGAATTTGTAGAAAACTCCGCTTGGGGTCGGTGGTTGACCTATCCGCTCGAGCACTCGACGCTTAGTATCATTTGGAGATGACAAGGCAGCTATATCGCATAAATCGATATATATATATATTGGAGAGCAGTAACGTACATTTCATACTTACGCAACTAGCGTGATCCTAGTAATGTCACTGGTCTGCCTTGCTGCAATATCGAACGCCAACCAGAGATCCTCATCTGTTAAGATTGAAATTTGGTCACCCTCATCATCAAGATATCGTAGCTTGATCTGTTGGTCAACATCCTTGTAACCACACATTCGTATTTTTTTCCGAACACGCTGAAGGAGCCGCTCTAGGTTGATGCTAGCTGGAACCGCAATCACGAAGCGATCCTCCAGCCAGCAAATTTTGACCATGACGATGCGATCATGTTTCAAAGATCGCGGTCGAGCCTTGTAAACTTCCTTTGAGCCGCTAGCTGTCGTAATAATGGACGCAGTTGCCTTGATAGTACTAGCACTCGAGCGAGTGAGGATTGAAAATGCGTCGCTGGCTCTTCTTGGATCAGGAATCCGGAGATCCCCTGGGTGTAGGTCTTCGAATGTAGTTGTGGGGGAGGGGTGAGAGGCTGCAGTACGATCTACGCATCATTCTGGAGATTAGATTCCTACCATGATCCTGGATATGAGTGCTAGTGCGTACCTTCCCATGGCGCGAGGTCTGGCAGCAAACTTTCCGCGGAAGAGCGTTCTCTCGAGTCATCAACCGGCTTGGAGGTGCCGAATGCCCTCTCACTTCTGCCAGATGAGCTCTGGGGTGGATGAGAACCAGTCGCGAGCTCGGAGTTGAAAGGAAAAGATCGCGAGCCATCGACCTCCGGATCAATTGATTCGTCGTGTATGTCATCCGGAAGTTCTTCTTTGACCTGTCTCGGCGAGGAGCAGGGGCTGGATGCGATGGACGATGGAGGCGAGTATTCCTCATCGTCCTCTTCTTCTTCTTCCTGCCCTTCTCGCAGAGTTCCGAGGGTATGCCAATCTTCGCGCTCTGAAGACGCAAGATGGCGAGAAACTCCTACAGATGGCGCTACCGAAGATTTCAGAGTCAAACCACAGTAAAAGGTGTTTGAACTAGCCTTCCAGCCCCTTTATAATGGACTCGACGCGATCTAATAGCGCCTGTGGTATTCTTTCATCTGCTGTCGTTGCCGTTGACATTGCATGCCGATGAGGGGCTTAATTGATACAATGAAGGGTCCCTTGATATTGAAACAATGGAATCCCTTGAATAATACGAAGATTCCACGACTGTGCCTCGTCCACGAAGGTACCTCGAACGATGGAAGGGTTCAAATTCCGCGACCAGAGACCTGAGGCCTCATATCTACTATTGGATGTAACTATCTGTAATTTACATATCCCATACAAGTAAATGAAACAAGATCTGTACAATTATTGCGTCCAATTCTCGTCGCTTACGCGACTTCACTAAGTTTCATGTGGTATCTGCTTTGAGGCTCGAGCGGGGGATGAGCCTTGTTCCCTGGAATCATTCCGATGCTCGCAATTTGTAGACGTCCCGTGGGCCAGTCGGAGTGGTAACGGTAACGGACACGCCTTTAGCCGTACTGGAAGTCGAGGTGGTTTGTAATGAAATCACCGAGATATCATCCCTCTCACGAATCTTGTGCCGAATTATCTTTCTTGCTGTCCTAGGAGCCGTCCATGGCCTTGAGTCTACGGAAGGCCGAATCGTAGGTTGCCCTTCGTCGGCCTCCACAGTCGGTGTCACTAATTTCCGCCTTTCTTTTGGTCGTGGTATGGTCAGATGTTTATGTGATGCGTCGATATCGAGAGAGAGGGCATGCAATGGACGCATGCGTATATTTCCTGGAACTGCATCTTCTGCAGCCAACACGGATGATTCCGGGGAAGTAGCAGAGATGGCGTGCATACTTCCTTCAGTAGAACATTCTAGGCTTGTCATGCCTGATAATTCCGATCGAGTCTCATCTCCCGGTAAAAACGATTCGTGCATCAAGAATTCTGCAAAGCCGACCTGATCGGCCATTATAGGGTCTGTAGAGTTATATGGAGCCGATTCTTCGGGTAGTGGTGCAGGTAAGTTGCCAGGCGATGAACAAGGGCTTGAGGCGATGGAAGAAGGGGGAGAATATTCTTCGTTTCCGTTGGCTTCTAGATCTTCCTTTTCTTCGTCTGGAGACTCCAAATATGACGAGATTGCTTGTACTCCCCTCAGATGAGTCTCGCTGCGTTCTGTGCCTAGGACTATAGGCGCATCTGTCGAATATTGTCGGCTATTGGGGAAAAAACAGCATAATTACTCACCCTCCACTTCCTTGATGATGGCTTGGAGTCGTTCGAGCTGTCCCTTGGTCAATTGTTGGGCAGACGAAGGCTTCGTAATGGATGGGACCATCAATACCGAGCTAGATCGACGCCCGAGGTGACTCCTGCGGAGGGCAGTGTCCCTAATCGGTTGCTTCAGCATGAACGAAGAAGTCAGATCCACAAAATCGGGTTCCTCTCCCAGCGGAGGCGAAGCGAGGCTCGATACAGATGAGGTATCAGCACCTGCTCGTATACCAGCAGCATACTCGGCAGCAGAAGAAAGTCTATCCGTCGGCTGGGATGTCCGCGACGTCCTGCGTGGGGTCGGTTCCTTCCGCTTTCTAGACTCTGCTCGTGGACGCTGCTGATCTGAGTTGTCATTATCGAAGTCTGTGGCAACGTTATTTAATCGAGTTTTCGCCACTAAAGAGGTGTATGTATGAACAGAAGGACGGGTATGGGGCAGAATAACGCTGTGGGTGGCCGGTTGCGAGACCGAGGGTATAAATCGGTTCACTTCTGGGGAAGACCGAGTGAGAGCTGTGTATACGATGGAATGAAGGCCATTCTCTGGATCCGACCTCCGTTGAAAAGCGGATGCGGCGGTGCGCCTCGCTGACGGTCCGAGGTGAAGTACCAGGTCACGGGCCCAGATGGTAAACTGTTCTATGGTGATCCGACGTCCAATATTACCTGAGTATACCGCAGGATTCGAAGCATCGTCCTCTACATCGAGAGGCATAGGCGGCTTCAAGAGGCAGAAGACATTACGCGCGAGGAACCCTGCCACAGGACGAGTGAGCCCATCAAACTGACCCATGAAGAAATTGATCGGTTCGCGCAGGAAGTATTCGAAAGAAGGACATTGTCCAATAGCTGTCGTTGTCCAGGGATTACTGTGGTAGAGTAGGTTGATGAGAACAACGCCTAGAGACCATACGTCTGCTGGACCAGTCGCATATGTCGATGTGAGACTATTCTTACATTCTATCGGAAGTTTCAGCATTACCATTTGGCTGTTACGCAGATGCAGCACTTGCCGAAGCTCATGTACGGCGCGCTGCCACAGTCCCTATCACCCGAGTAAACATCTCGGGTAGCGAGACCGAATTCGATAAGTTTAACGGCAAATTTTCGCTCGTATTGACCACTGGATGTGCTGTAGACCCGCTCCTCTGTAATCATAAAGCTTTCTGGCTTGATGTCGCGATGAGAGACCTGATTTCGATGGCAATGAGCGACTGCGTCGCACATTTGGGTGAAAATCGACGCGACAAGACGCAGTCGATCATAGGAGAGTGGCTGGAGGATGCCACCCATGCTGGACGTTGTGGTCTCATAACCCCGCTGCTGTTCGAGAAAGTGGAAAAGGGTTTCACCATGTACATAATCGAGGACAAGGAGGAGATGGGAGGAAATCTCGAACGTCGTCCACAGAGTAACCACGTTTGCATGGATTGGCAGCGAGTGAAGGATGGTGGATTCTTGATATTGAACCTCTTGGTCCTTTTCATCCTTGAGGAGACATTTGAGCGCAAAAAAGCGACCAAATGTAGCCGGAGAGAACGTGGGAGAGTCTTCAATCTCAAGAAAGTTGGACGAATAGGCAATAATCTCCTGAACGAGGTAGAAAACGGCGCAGGGACCCGTTTTGAGCTTTCTGAGTACACGAAGCGGACTCACATTGGCCACACGGGAATGAACGATGGCAATCGGTTGGCCGAGAATGGAGAGGCCAGGACCAATCACGTCACCGTCGCAGAGGATATCTCCACCGAATCTTGAACCGACTAGCGGATGCGCCTGGTGAGACGCGGTGAGATGAGGCGAAGTCGAGGTGGCGAATGCATGGGCGAAACACCTGCAAGGGTCGTTTGAGCCCATCAGAGATGTAGACGCTTTGGAAAAGGTCCTCAAATTTACGTAGCCATTAAGAACTTATAAAGAGACGGCGAACGGCCGACTGAGGGTACAAAAGCAAGGCAGAGCGAGTACGGTGAGCATGTACAGCGCTACGGCGCAGAAGGCCAGCATGAGTGGACACCTTAAATGGGTTCAAGCACGTGTAGACACATTTTGTTACGGGAGGCCGGGTGCAAGTATAAATGGGGATGCTTTCCCATCCCAAACTAGACAGGCATTGTTACCTCGGACACGTATGGGTTCAAACTTTGCCAATTTTTACAGTTTATGTGATTATTGGATGTGGATGATGTAAACATCATTAGATGGAAACAATGTATACTTGTTATTAAACCATCCATGAATAATTTACGCTCGCATTGTACAAAGATCCGAGCCAATTACAGGATACCCGCCTTGGTCAAAGAAGAAGCCAAATCTTCTTTTCCTCTAGGCATTTTCGACGGTCTTAATTTATAAACCTGCTGCGGGCCAAGGGGAGTGACAATGGCAACAGCTACCCCTTTGGCCGTGCTCGATGTCGAAGTTGTTCGAAAGGAAACTAGCGAACAGTCGTCTCCACCACGTATCTTGGAAGAGACAGCTTCTTCTGGGATTTCGAGAAGCGCCTGTGATCCCGATTGCGTAGAATCAAGTCGCTTCACGCGACTGGCCAGATCAGATGCATTTGGGTTCCTCACTGCTCCTCCTCTCGGTGCTTGCGGTCTTGAATGCATGAGACCTTGAATCATCTGTGGCTCCTCGTGACTGGCTGGAGTAGATGCAGTTGGCTTCCTCGCTACTGCTACTCTCGGCTTATATGCTGGCTCCTGACGGTTAGAGAAGCCGAGAAACCGTGTATCTCCGTCTCTCAGCAGCTTGAAAGATAGCCATTTGGTTCGCGCCCGAGACTTGGTCGCTTGAGGTACACTTTCCGGCACAGGAGGTGATGCTTCAGGGTCTGTGATAGAGTTAGGTTTCTAAATACCCGCGGTCAATGACCCTGACATACTAGGGCCGGCCAATGGTTGGGTCCTTGCATCTCGTGGCGGGATTTGTTTTTCGGTGGTGAGTCCGGTGAGTGTAGAGTAGTACCAAGCCATCTCTTCCGGCAACGGTATGGGCAAGTTCCTAGGAGATGAACACGGGCTCGAAGCGATGGAAGAAGGTGGCGAGTATTCCTCGCCACTGACATCTACGTCTTCGTTTCCTTCTTCCAGGGGCTCTAAACGCGATGAGGATACTTCTACTCGGGGGCGTATCTCCGTTTCTGTACGCAGGACAATAGGTGCATCTGTCGGCCATTATCAGATATCGGATGAATGCCAGGGAGAAATGCTTACTCTCTACTTCGTTGATGAAAACAGAAACCCGATTTAACAGGTCGGACAATTGGCGAGTAGAAAAAGGGCTCGTCGTGGATGGAGGGTCCGATGGTTGAAATGGCCGTGGCTTTCGTGCGCCACGTTTCCCTCTGCGTCTAGGTTTTACTATTCTTAAGTCATCATATTCCTGACTCTCATCGTCTAGGATCACTCCAGCATCATTGACTTGATGTGCTGAAGCGAGAATGGAGGCGGGGGTATCGACGGGTGGTTGTGAGAGGGTGGGCATGGGCTGGTTCACCTCTGGAGGTGTATGAGAATGCCTCATGTGTGAGATGGAGTGAGAAATATCATCAGACTCCGAACTCGCTGCGGGTCCGAGGTGAAGCACGAGGTCGCGGGCCCAGACGCCAAACTCCTTTGCAGTGACCCGACGGCCAATATTATTCGAGTATATCGCAGGATCAACGATTCCATTATCTGTGCTGGGAGGCATGGGCGACTCTAAAGGGCAGAAGACACGAGTAGCAAAGAATTCTGCCACGGCAGGAGTGAGGCCATTGAACTGGTCCACGAAAAAAGCGATTGGTTCGCGGAGGAACTCATCGAAAGCAGAGCATTTTCCAATAGCCGTCGTCCTCCAGGGATTGCCGTGGTAAAGCATATTGATGAGAACGATGCCCAGAGACCATACGTCGGCTGGGCCAGTGGCATAGGTTGGCGTAAGATTGTTACCGCATTCTGGGTGGGTAAAAGTGTCAAACGATGGTCATTAAGACGAGGGCGCGCGAAAACGGAGCACCTACCGAAGCTTATGTATGGCGGGCTGCCAATGTCCATTTCACCCGATTCAACGTCTCGCGTCGCACTACCAAAGTAACTGAGTTTGATAGTGACTCTGCGTTCGTCTTGGTGGGTGATCCAGTCATAGACTCGTTCGTCTGTGACCCTAAAGTTTTCGGGCCTGATGTCGCGATGGAAGACACCATTGTGATGACAATGTGCGACAGCGCGACACATTTGGGTGAACACGGACGCGACAAGTCGCAGTCGATCATAGGAGAATGGTTGGAGGACGCCATCGACGCTGAGCGACGTCTCCTCGTAATCCCGCTGCTGCTCGAGGAAACAGAAAAAATCTTCACCAGGTACATAATCGAGGACAAGTAAGAGGTATGAAGGAGTCTCGAATGTTGTCCACAGGGTGACCACATTTTCATGAATTGGAAGGGAATGATGGATGTTGGCTTCCTGGAGCTGCGCCGTTTGGTATTGAGCATGTCTTTTGATACACCGTAGGGCAAACAAACCGCCAATTGAGGCGGGTGAGGGTGTGACGGGGTTGTCAATGCCTAGAACGTCGGACGAGTGGGAGGAAATCTCCTGAACGAGGTATGTTACAGTGCAAGATCCTCTTCCAAGCTCCCTGAGAACACGAAGCGGCCTCACATGAACCGTGCGGGAGTGAACGATAGAAATTGGTTGGCCTAGAATAGAAAGGCCAGGTCCAATCTCGTCACCATCCCGAAGGAGGTCCCCCACAGAACTTGGTTCTTCCAATGAGTTCGGCGGAGGAGATGGAGTGGGACGACTCGTGATTGTAGCCGCAGGTAGGGTGTTGTTGGTAGTGATTTGCATTGGTGGAATGAAATATAAGACTGTGCTTAATTATCTATCGATAGAAAAGGGCGAAAATATGATGAATCAGAGGATCCAGAGGGAAGCGCCGAGTTATTATGGGCCGAGTGTGAGGTGCCAGCAGAGTTTAGAGCACTGAGACTGTTAAGAATTCTGGTCCAGCCGTTGCGGATCTATTTGATATTAGACTCTGAGAAACGGCGGACGGGGTTGGGAGCCAACTTTGCTTATTTCATCCCAACTTTTGATTCATTTCATTGATTCAAGCTTCCTAATTTATGAGTTATCGCTTGTTGAAGAACATGGTATACCGAATATCCAAAATGTTACAGTAGATTACTATCCTGAGACAAACCATCACAGACGGATGTCTTCACTCCAGATCCCATTGGGCGGTCAGAGATGAGCATTGCCAGCGACATGCCATGGTCCTCGCTATCCAACGGCGGTCGACTAGTTGCAATAGACGTTCTGGATCTTGAGTGGAATTGCGTCGAGGTGGGTGGCCCGACGGGTGCGAGTGTACAGGGACATTACATAACCCATATCAGAGAAGCAATTGACGCGCTCGTCGAATAAACTCGGTCTTGGCATCGTGGCCCAGAGTGTGGCACAAAGATAGGCAGGCGCCGACCACAACTTGGACCCATCCACTGCTGTAGTAAAGCCAAATTCATCCACAAATACAAGTATGAATCATCAGGATGCATCACAGTCTGCCGGAACATCATCGCGCAAGAGAGCCCGACTGCATTATACAGCTGCTACCAGTCTCGATGTAATTGCGAATATAGCAGACGCAACAGACATACTCTCTCCTCTCAAAGCAGCCTGTAGAACTACCAGATCCATCCTCGAAGTCATCCAGGTTCGTAGGCGAGACGCACTAAACTTGTCCTAACTGTCATAATAGGCCGATGATGATAACAAAGAGGAATACATCGGCCTCATAGAACGTCTGGAAGGGTACATGTCGGCCGTCGAGGACCAAATTGACTTGTTCGAACAATACCCGCCAGAGGATAGGGCCGTGGACGAAGCATTTAGTCGGCCACTCATTCGTTATGTAAGGTACGTCGAAACTTTGAGCTTGTCTCTCAAGTGCTAAATAATTCAGGGCCCTCGAGGAATTTCAAAATACTATCGAAAAATGCAAACGACGTGGTAATAGGCTCGGCGCGTTGACTGCGATAAAACTTGACGCAGAAGTCATCCGTAAATTTCATCGGGATATTGAGGACAAGCATAGGCAGTTTATGGTGCGAATTTCATCGGCCATGACCAAATTCAGTCTGATTACAGTCTCAGGGGCAAATAACCTCTTTTACCGCATTCCGCGTTCAAGCAATCGAGCGGAATATAACGGCTACCAGAGAAGAGGTACAGACCATCGAACAAAATGGTAAGCTGAAACTGTGTTCTGTACTATCGCTTAACATGTCAAGCTGCCATACTCCAGCTGCCAATGGTAGCGTTCGTCGCGTCCTCAGTTCACAACACCTGTTTGCAAGGAACGCGTCAAGCCGTCCTTCAAACAATTGCCGACTGGGCCGAGGATGGTATGTCAGGTAAACCAATATTCTGGCTATGCGACATAGCGGGCGCTGGAAAGTCCACGGTCGCAATGTCGGCAACGGCGTCCTGGAAAACCGAAGGAGTACTGGGCGGACAATTCTTCTTCTCAATGTCGAACACTGATGCGTCCACTACGGAGAAGTTTTGCTCGACCATGGCGAGGGAACTCGCTCATCATATTCCCGAGCTGGCTCGACATGTCGCACAAGCCATGAGTCAAAGTCCGGCTATCATGCGAAGTCCGTTTGGCGAACAGTTCCGCACACTCATCACAGAACCTCTCCAACATCGGCAAAGGCGTGTCATTTTGGTCATCGACGCCGTTGACGAGTGCAAGTCTGGAGCACAGCGAAAGGAACTTCTGGAGACGCTCGCCACGGCCACTCGAGAGTGCTCCAACCTCAAGATATTTATCACCAGTCGACCAGACCCGGTCATTGGTGCGGTTTTGCAGCCACTATCAATCAAGGCAAAGTTGGAGGACCGTTTGCACGACGCCAACCGATTGGATAATATCAACGACATCGCGATTTACGTACACCAGGCTCTGGATGGAGTTCTGACGATGGGAAAGAGGCAACGAATAATCGAAAAGGCGAACGGGTTGTTCATCTGGGCGAGCACCGCATGCCGAATGCTCACCAGTGAAACTAACTTGAGTTCCCCCGAAGATATATACGATCGCTTGATCTCCATGGACGAGACCGGAGTGATAGACGATGTATACAATCTCGTTTTCGAGCGCGTGGACCGTGCTTCCTACGGAGTCATGTGTGAAATGCTCGCATTGTTGCTAACAGCCTTCGAGCCACTCACTGTCGATGACCTCGATAATCTCCTAAAGCACGTCAACGTACCTGGGAATGCCAAAGCATTGGTGCAACGCCTAGGAAGTGTACTCACTAGAGACGCGACTACAAATCTGATCCAATTTCGTCATCCTACGGTCGTCGAGTACCTTCAACGCTGTTCCGTCGCACCCGAGATCGACAACTCTAAGCGAGTCCATCTCAATCTCGCGAATTCCCATGGTCAATTGGCATCGTGGTGTTTCAAGCAATTCAAATCGCCGACGGAAGGTCTCAAATTTAACATATGTCAAATCGAGTCGTCGTTCTATCTCAATCGGCAGATACCGGATATACACGAAAGAATATCAAATCTCATTCCATGGAGACTACAGTATGCTAGCTCCCATTGGTTGTTCCATGTGGCAGGGACGAGCGACGACTGGCGAGGTAGGCTCAAGAATGAACTCCAACACATCATTCAAGTTCCACACGTACTACACTGGATGGAGATATTGAGTCTTATTGAAGGAGTGCCACGAGCGATTGCCGGCCTTCGAGCTGTGATGCGCCATACAGGAGTGAGTGCCTATCTCGATGGGCGGTGGATTCTGACAAAATGGACAGTTTGAAGAGGGGACTAGAAGAATAATGGACGAGATACGGCGGTTTATAATGGCATTTTCTGTCCCGATCCAGGACAGTGCTCCACACATCTACATTTCCGCGCTCCCGTTCACCCCTATCATAACGATGCTGCATCTTGAGGGGCTAGAGAAGTATGCGAATGCCTTGACGGTAATTCAGGGACTTGAAACTATGTATCCCGGTCTACCCAAAACTCTTCGCGGCCCCACCGGAGGAGTCGACGCCGTCACCTTCTCCCACGATGGCTCCCGAATTGCCCCGGGTTCGTTTGACGGGACCGTTAGACTGTGGGATGCAGATACTGGTCAACCGTTGGGAGAGCCAATATTCAGTGGAGAGGGTCTGATCTATGCCGTTGCGTTCTCGCCAGACGACTCACAAATCGCCTTGGGGGGGTCTGAGGCGGAGATTCAATTGTGGGATGCGGAGACCTTACAACAGCTGGGAGAGCCGTTCATCGGTCACGAAAAAGACGTTACTTGTGTCGCATTCTCCCCAGATGGTTCACGAATGGTCTCTGGTTCGTACGACATGACAATTCGACTGTGGGATGTAGAGACTGGCCTGCCGTCGGGTGAACCACTTTGGGGTCACGAAGACTGTGTCAAGGCCGTCGTTTTCTCGCCAGATGGCTCACGAATCATCTCAGGCTCATCTGATAAGACGATCCGACTATGGGACGCAGAGAGTAGGCAGCCGTTTGGGGAGCCTCTCCGTGGTCACGAAAAAGGAGTTAACTCTGTGGCATTCTCACCAGATGGCTCACGGATTATTTCAGGCTCGGATGACGCCACGATTAGACTGTGGGATGGAGACACTGGACAGCCGTTAGGAACGCCGCTCTGCGGTCACAAAGAATCTGTTTATTGCGTTTCATTTTCTCCAGACGGCTCACGAATCGCCTCGGGCTCGGCGGACAGGACGATTCGATTGTGGGATGTGGACAGGGGCAGCCCTTAGGAGAGTCGCTCCACAGTGGCAAATCCGCAGTTATTGCCATTGTGTTCTCCCCAGACGGTTCAAAAATAGCCTCTGGCTCGGGAGAGGGAGTTCAACTGTGGGATGCGCGGACTGGCCAACCTTTAGGAGAATCGCAGGGTCATACGAGTGGGATCGACTCTCTTGCGCTCTCTATAGATGGATCGCGCATCGTCTCTGGCTCGATGGATGGCACAATTGTCCTCTGGGATGTGACTACTGGGCAGTCGTTGGGAGAGCCCCTCCAAGGTCATGATGATTGGGTCGACTCCGTCGCGTTCTCGCGGGACGGCTCACGAATCGCCTCTGGCTCGTGGGATGCCACAGTTCGACTCTGGGACGTAGCTACTGGGCAGCCTTTAGGGGAGGCCCTCCGAGGTCATGATGGTTGGGTCAACTCCGTCGCGTTCTCACCGGACGGCTCACGAGTCGTCTCTGGCTCGAATGATACCACAGTTCGACTCTGGGATGTAGCTACTGGGCAGCCTTTAGGAGAGCCCCTCCGAGGTCATAATGAAGCGGTCAACTGCGTCGCGTTCTCACCGGACGGCTCACGAATCGCCTCTGGATCCTCCGATGAGACAATTCTACTGTGGGATGCGGAAACTAGGCAGCAACTGGGAGCGCCACTGCGTGGTCACACAGGTCCTATCTTTTCTCTCGCCTTCTCGGTAGATGGCTCACGAATCGTCTCTGGACATCGCGCTATGGACGGCACAATTCGACTCTGGGATGTAGGTACTGGGCAGATGTTGGGAGCGCCACTCCGAGGTCACAAAACTACGGTCGTCTCTGCCGCATTCTCACCAGACGGCTCACTTATTGTGTCAAGCTCGTCGGACCAATCAATTCGGCTATGGGATGCAGATTCTGGACAATCGCTAGGTGTGGTACTCCGAGATGATTATTACGGGGGTGGGCCTGTTGCATTTTCGCCAGACGGTTCATACATCGTCTGTTGCATTGATGACACGGTTCAAATATTGGCTGTAAGGGTCGGTAAGTGTAGCCTTGGCTTGCTGTTAATATGACGTGACCTAAAAAAACGTCTGCAGATGCTGGTCCAAGTGATTCCAGCTGCTATGATCGGGAGTCCACAAATTCTGATTCCGTAAGAGATTCAGAGGATACAATCCTTGTCCCAGGATTTGAACACTGTTCACTTTCATGGGATGGGTGGGTTCATTCTTCTGGTAGACGTCTCTTCTGGGTCCCACCGGATAACCGATATGGTCTCCTAAATCCGCGTCTTGTTCGGAGTATGCCGACATCAAGTCGATTCCGCGCAACCAAACTTGATTTCTCTCGTTTCCAGTGTGGCTCGTCTTGGACGAATGTTCGAACAGATGGCAACTAGTGTATTCTTATATTCTATTCGAATGGGCATATCCACATGCTCTCTTTCCCCGAACCGACACCTGTTCTAGCCTTGATATTGGTCAAAAAGGGCCGGCGGAGGAAGCGAAGAGTGGACGTCTAGAAGTGATTGATGTAAGATTAGATGCTGATGTGAAACAGAGAAGCTGATTTGTGTGAGATCTGATGGGCGGCGTGTTGCTCCCCATCTTGTCTTTCGACGCTGCGTGTGTCCGCTTGCTGTCTGGCATTTCGGGGCTCTAATTTAGGGCGTGGTGGATATCTTCCAGCCCTCCATCGTTGCCGTCGTCGTCCAGGAATCCGTTTTTTATCACGGGAATAATTACTGGACGAGGTGGCGATGAAGAACCGTCGGAGTTGTAAAGCTGGGAGAGTGTAGGCCAATGGAGGAATGGATCCTGGACCGATAGTCAAAGTGCCTGGTTATTTTATTACGTCATTTGCCCCTAGTCACCCGAATCCATGCGATTTCGAACTGCATCATTGCCTTTGCTGGCCTGAGCAAGGCACCTGAGCCGGGTTTATTATTCAGGCGTCTTCTATGCATGAGATCATAAAACTTTCCAGGATAGCCATTCCGTACAGCCGAGCAGCTCTAGTGTATCAACGGCGGAACCCAAGCGCTGACCAAGTAATCGGCGGCTCTGGGACTAGTATTTGTCGAAACCGACATTCTTTGCACAGCTACGCCCTGGATCCAGTCGGCGCTCCTTGACCCCGACCATGCCCGCTCGTTCCTCCGCCTCGCGCCCAAGTGTCGCAGCTAAAATTCCAAGCGAGGTTTGGACAGAGATATTCAGGGAGGCGACGAGATACAATGGGATTGATGAGCTAGAACTCGACCCAGGGGAAATTCCCTTCGATGGACAATTACGGCCTCCTTTGCCTGATCCCGTGCTACAGCAAACGATACTCTCTACTCGTAGAAGCATCATTAGCGTCTGTAGAAGATGGTACGACGTTGGAATTCGCCATCTTTGGTCACATCTGGTGATTTGGCGCACGGCTTCCTTCGTCGACTCGCCGCTGGTCCCTAGTTCGATGATAGAGTCGTGCAAGCGAAAACCTAACCTTGCAAAGCACGTGAAGAAACTCAGCATTATGTACACCGAGGGATGGAGACCCCCGGCTGCTGTGGATATCGGTGCGAGCGAGGAACAGGGGATGGAATTTATCGCAACTCTACCGAATCTTGTATCTCTACGAGTCGATCAAAGGCTTCTATCCCGTATCAGCGATCTCCAATCCCCTCCTAAACTCCGAAACACTTACTTTTATTCAAAGGAGAGCCCTCGTAATGAGGCTATTGTACTCAAAAGTCTCTCGCAATGGAGGCAAATTCATTCTCTCGACATCCAATGTCGTGATTCTCCGTTGGTAGTCGAGGAGGAGCAGAAACTTCCAAAGCTCCGAACGCTCCGCGTCCAAACTCTCAACACGTTTTCCGTCAGTCACATCGCTCTTGGTATGGAGTTGCCGGCACTACAGAACTTATCCATCCGGGGATGGTCCCGCGTCGTCCTCGGCGTACGGAAGCTTCCAAATTCCGCCTGCCAAACGCTGGAGTCACTGGAGCTCATCGATTCGTTTGAGGATAGATACTCAACTCGCTATTGGAGACCAAGGGACGTCACCGAACTCTCTCGGCTTCATACTCTACAAGTCAGCTTACCCGCCCCTATTCCATTCTCGAGTCTCAAATGCCCTAATCTTCGCACTCTTGGTATTCACCAACCAGTACCACGAGTTCCTGATACGGTCAGCATGCAGCTTACAAAGGAGATCAACGCTGCCTTGGAGCACTTTCCCAAGTTGTGCGATATCCAGATCCACCACAACCAGCTCAACGGAGAAGTGAATGTCTGGAACCTTTTATCTAGCAAAAATATTGATGAACGATACCTTGAAGGCTGGAAGGAGCGAGGCGCTTCTGTCACCTTTATACCCCCTCTCCTCCCTGCCGGACATCCTCATGACAGGCTTATTCTCAATCTACAAAGCAAAGAAGAGTATCACGACGCGCATATCGTGTACGAGTTCACGGCAGACGCCTTCTCCTTCAGCCCGGACAACTGCTTTGCACGGTGTAAGGTCAACGATAGATCAAGCAAGTGGACGGAGAGCGTCAGGAATCGGGAAGAGGGTCTAAAGAAGGCTGCTCTAGCGATGATCGCTCTGCTCGAAACCGACGCGAAAACGCCTCCGCGACTCGAATCCTCAGCAGATTAGTTTATATGATCGAATCTATATATAGGAGCACCTTGCCCTTATGAATACAGATATAGCCATATAGGCGCTTTAGATAGGCGCTGCGGCTACCTTAAACACCACCTCTGCCTTGGGCCTGAGTTCTCACGTTGGCAGATAACGTGCAAATGAACCTGAATTTGCTTCCTGAAGCACTTGTCTTCGAAATCTGCAATTACCTGGACATTTTCACTCTTGTCGCCTTCTCTGATGTGAGTTTTCGTTTCACCTCGGCAGCTTATGGTGCCAGTGTTCTAACCCAAGTCTAAAACTTATCAAACCCGGGCTTTTACCGATCACACGACCCATCATTCAGGTTGACACATCACTAAGAAGTCTGGCGACAACGCGATCGTCCTTCTGGATATACACACTTAGTCATTGCAATCTGGTTCTACCTTGTATCGGTGACAAGCGACTTCATGAACACGATGCACGCGAACTTCATCTCGCAGCCCACCGAGCCGTGTTCATCGAGCGCAATCTTACCTCGGACAGCCCAGCGTTGCGCTCGTGGTCCAGAATCGAGTGGCCTTATCCTCTCGCCGACGGTGTGCATGAGACAGAGTACAGTAGTGAAGAAACCTGCAGCGAGGTGACGACGACATACCTCGTGGACGATATGGCGGATTGGATGATCTTTGTCTCGTCGAATAATATCCTCCGTATCGTCTTTGTGCGTACAGGCAGAGTGGGATTGATCTGGGATGGTGCGAGGTTCACCCCAGAGTACCGCGAACGTTACGACGTCGTGATCAAATGGGCCATACGTTATGCTTATATGGATAACGTGAAGATTGTCGCGTCAATGGTTATGAACTGCTGTCTCGAGACCGAAAATGGGTGAGTCCTCTTCGATTAGCTGTGAGGGACATGCTTCTCATTATGTGACAGTATCCGGGCGGGCATCCGCCGTATAGAGCTTGTAATGAACCTCCAAGATGGAACGGCATCCGTTGAAGTTCTTGGGGACTATGAAACCCCGACTATATCTTCATATCTCAATCTGATTGGAGACCTTGTCGTGATGGTCATCCCACGCTCAAGCTCCCTTACCGACAGGTTTGGAGATGTTTATATGCTGAAATGGTCGACTAGAACGCTCGTCACACTCCCACACGTACGTCTTCACCTTATAGTTTGCGATTGGATGCTGATTCATGTTTACTGTAGATGTATCCTTCTTTGCGAATCGGACTGTACAAAGAATATTTCATTAACGTTGGGTTGACTCCCACAAGGCAAATAGTGGCTCAAGTTGTGCCATTCTCGACGGATGATCTATCGCTGGCTGAGGCCAGCAATGCCACAATGCCATTCCCTGACTCCCCCCTACCAGTTTTAACTATCCTATTCCATACAACGGTCCAACCAAGTTCTCAACAAGCCGCTCCTGTCGCATTGGGCACATGTATACTGGTAGACAGATTGGAAGTGTGAGGCTCGGCATTCGCCCAAGCAGGAGGGGTAACTATAGCATTTTCGACTTTACATTCGACTTTTACGGTCTACGCATGGCACTACAGAAGATGCGTCTGTACGGCACAGCAGTCAAGCAGGAGTTCGAAGGCGAGCCCGAGCTTTTTCGAACTCTTGAAGAGTCGAATCTCCGTCACCGTCCCGTGCCCACATCGTCTGTACGGCGCTTAGTGTGGTGTAGACAGACGGCACCAGAGACCAATGCGTCTACCGACACTTCGCCCATTCCCTCCAGCCCAGATCACAAGGGGAGACAAAGGTTCCGATTGTTGACCCTTCGGATTGACGACCTGGCGTCGGCGTCGCGGATTTTTCCAGAAGTCGGGACTTCTTTCAGAGCCCACCTCGATATCGAGGAAGAGCACCCCCCAGAGTCGGCCTGTGCTGTACAGATCAAGGCTTCAAAAGAGCTCCAGCTTCCCACAGAGTTGGCTGAGAGTACCACCGACGTATACGTCTTCCTTCTACTAGAAAGCTCTGGGACAGCGGTGGTCCAACTACGATCGGGAGAATTGTGGGTACTACGGTATGGAAAGGCGTAGGTTCTTAGTCTACGTTGTGATCTGTCCACGAGCCCACCATCCGAGCAGCACGTGTATGCAGCGCTTGACCTTGTCCACAACCTAGGACTTTTTGAGAGTGTTGCAAACCTGTGACATTTCAATAAATAAAGGTTCAGTGTGTCCCGTATAACTCCGGGAGAGGCTCCGCTGCGGATACCCGAGATTCCAGCTAAAAGGTCTCAAAATGTCGAGCATAGTAGCACGTTCCGAAGACAAGACGCTGTCTCCGAGCCTAGAATCTCGAATAAATGCCATTATCGATGCCTTGGATGGTAACCTGTACCTAATCTGTCCAGCGCGTACCTGACAGTCTCCAGACATGATCCTTCTGGCCGACCCAGCGCCATGCTCGCCTTTGCAAGAATCAACAAAGAACCTAGTTAAGCAGCCTTTGGCTGGAGTTGCAGTTGTTGAAAACTGTCCCAACGAGGAGTACTCCCCTCCGTCCTCGATAGCTTCGAGCCCATGCAACTCACCCGGTAACGTCGCTGCACCTTTACCAGAGGATGACGTATTAGTTAATGTACCTGGAAAACTTCCAAGCGTGGGAACCACAGAGATGCCAATCTCAGCAACTACGGAAGAGGAATACATACTGCTTCAGAGGGTCGACCTATCCCGTGAGAAGCACGTTGCTCCTATCCCAGCAAACCCTTATTCTGAACTGGACCGTACATTTCCTCGACAGCGTCAACATAATAATGGTCCGACGAGAAGCAACTCTCCCAACGGAATCATGAGGGCGGCTTTAGAGAGGTCAACATTTGCTCCCAAACGTCTACTATCTCCTCTCTCCAGAACGGTCGTGCTACCGTTGACTCAACCGCTCGTCGACGTTCCGAGCGAGCCACTTACGAAACACCCCAAAGTCAGTGATACCTCCTCGATACCTTCAAAACCTGCTTCCGAAGTATCAATAGGCTCTCATTCCAAAGAGAGTCAAGATGGTCGGTCGGGTATCAGCGACCCAAGTACCGTCAAAGGGGATATCGCTATCGTAGTCACTCCTTCCGGCATCCAACAGGTCTATAAAGAACGACCCAAAACCCCTCTCCCAATCAAACGACCGCTTCCTCCAACACCACTCGACTTGGCGGCCATCCGGGCAATCAAAACCTCTCATGGTGACGAACTACATCGACTATCCCCTTCTCCGGCTCGAATGCGCAAAAGAAGAATACTACCGCTGAGGAGGGGAGAGGATGGATACGAGACAGCCGACGAGTTCTGGAAACGGCGCTCTCGTACAGCGCAGATTTAGGATATATTTTTCTCACGCTACTTGGTGTATGAGGTAACAAGATTCATTTGGTAGTATCAACCACGCAAACAAGCTTATATATCTACCCGTAACTCCAATCATATCTTTGCTTGTATGGTAGCAATGAGGTTCTCCACGGCAATATTCCGAGCCACCGCTCTAGATGAATGGCATCCTATCCCGACCAATTCACTGTTCTTCAGCTCACACTGTACGCGCCATTGCGGCGCATCCAGTGAGTTTTCCACTGACTCCTCCCCGAACATGATTATTTCCCACCGCCCGTCGTCTACCAATTCTTGGGCTGCCCGAATGAGCCTATTATCCAGATGCTCGGGTGGGAGTAGGGGTGGGTCGAATAGCACAGACACGCCCTTTGAGGCCCACAGCTCGAGTTCGCGTTCGTTTGGCGCCGAATTATCGGATAAAAGCTTTCCTAGAACAGAGCAATCAGAGAGCTGTTCATAGTAAACTGTAATAACGGAGATGGAAGGGAAAGAGTCGATGGCGCCGTTGATTGCTTCATACAAGATATTCCTAGATTGTGACATATTGAAACCTGATGGAGGAATGAAACCAATGTGCTGAAGGTTGGGACATCGAAAGCTGGCGAAGGCAGTTGCCGTCGGAATGCTCAGCCGCAACGTGTGAAGGAGTGGAAGATTCATGACTCCTTCAAGCGGTATTGGTATGACATGCTCCGGCAGTACTGAGACCTGGATGATCTCTAGTATGCGTAGTGCGTCGCAACGAGGGAGATCGACACCCCACGACTGAGGGAATCCTGGATAGGTACTATTCATCTGGATTGAGAGGTGTTGTAATCTCGGGAATATACAGTGACCAATCGATCGTAGTGCTTTCACCAGATAATCACAGTGAATCCGGAGACTGAGAAGCGAAGACAGGTCGACCCCGGCGAAGTGTTCAAGAAGGCTTCCACTGCAGCGCCGAATCTCTAAGTAAGTAACTCTTTGCCAGATCGAAACGGGGAACACGGAATCGCTGAAAGACTCAAGGGAGGACAGATAGATGTGTTGAACAGTGGTGCTGGGACTTGCTTTGTCCAACCGGTTCAGTAACGAGATATCGCAATGTATAGAACGAAGGTTCTCGAGTCGATGCAGAAACTCGAAGCTGTGGTCATCTCCTGACTGCGCAATGTCGCTGTCTCTGGGACTTCGTCGTCGTTCTGGATAGTTAAGGACGTGATGAAGGGTAGTAGTGATCTATTCCGTTGGCAGCTGTCGATTACCTTTGTAGGGATCAAGGGCTGTGAGTCGACGACGTATCTTTTGCGCCAGATGACTAGGTGGGACCACAAAGCGCGAATTCCAATGCGGTACCATCTTTTGCAGACAAGGACGGTGCATTTGCGTGTATTGATTACTTCTCGCAGGCAGAGCGTGTTCCATGGACCCGGACGTCTTGGTCCAGGAATCTGAGCGAGAGCCTCTGGGTTGATATCCATCTCGTGAAACCTCGGGTATGCTGTCGATAGTTTGAAAATTTCCAGCCATATCTCGTCTGGGAGAATGTCGACTTGACTTTGGTTTGCATTTGATATGCTTGACATGGTTTGGGTTCAATTTGTCGGGTATATTAATGGCGGCAAGTGTCTATGAAGGAAATAGATTGATTATATTTTATAATTTGCTACGTTGATATCACCTGGGGATTTGGCTCAGCGGTAGAGCGCTCCCTTAGCATTCCAATGCTTGGGAGAGGCGGCGTGTTCGACTCATGCAATCTCCACTTCCTTTTTGCTTTTTGACAACTGGCCATTAATAGCCTCTTTTCGCCTCTGTACTATGATATTGATTGCTTATCAAGAGTACTGATTTCTTATCAAGAGTGACACCGCTGGCCCTTCTACCTTGACTCTGGCCACTGACGTCTATTTACCGTTTGCGCGTATTTGCTTTATTTTTTTTCTTACAGGCATCTAGTCGAGTCCAATTTTGACACGCAATCTCCCGATGTTGGCTTCTACTCACGCGTTCTCATGTACAGACCACGGCAGTCGCACGAACGGTAGCATATGGTCACTGTTCCTGTAATACAAAAACGACCGTCTGGGATTGGACTCGTCGTGAACACCGCATCCCAGCGTTCTCGCCGGCTTGCCTACCCGAAACGAACTCTGCGCTCTGGTCGGCTGTTGACCTCGTGCTGCTCATCGCTATATTGCGGTATACTCTAGTCAGCGATGGAGCATTGTCGCCTAATGCTCTTCCATCAAACCCCGTTCAACCGGTCACGCAGGAGGGGTGGTGCGAAAAGGAGAGCGGCGACAGGGGAGCAAGGACCATATGGCCACGTCGTCCGCTTTTTCGGTGTCATTGAATCACCGTCCCGCGGAATGAAGCAGGCGCAGATCCTTTGGAGAGACGACGAGCAAAAGGACGCGAGAAACTCGCAGTTGTGCATCCACTCTTCCGGGTACAGAGTGTACCTGACGAGACGAGAATAAACACAGTGCTTCTTCAGCCGCCACTCCCCACACTGCCTTGCATCCCATCGGATCCTTTATTAACCCAGGCCTGAAGACGACTTGGATTCGAAACTCTCCTTTCTTACTCTCTTTCTTCTGGATGTCCGACCTCCTTGCTCTCATCCGGGGAGATGATCCAGCTCCTTCAAACTATGTCCACCGACGCTCCAGCAAGCTCCCTAGGCCTCCCAGGATGCCGGCTCAAGAGGTAACCGGTCCGCCGTTGACACTGGTAATATGCTCAACGATCTTCAGTCACTTGTCGAAGAACCAAGGAAAAGGGGATTCTTTAGATCAATAACTTCCAAAGCCTCTAGCAAGACACCCGCGCAACCGCAAGTACTTTTGCCCACTCCTCCTCCAAACTCTCCATGGAGAATCCCACCTTATGCGAGTTCAAACGCGTCTGTGACGTCACTTCCGAGTACCAGATATACCGATAGTTCGTCGATGAGATATGGGGATGGTCTACAAATGGAGAGACGAGGGTCAATGCAGCTACCTAGACAAGCTAGTGCTGAGCCGATGTCAGATGGGAGCTACTCCTCGTCAGCACCTCAGCTCTCACGGCTACCGAATGCTCATATCGACAGAAGCGTCGAGGGACTTCGCGTACCACCATCAGTACCAGCATCAAATGAGCATTCTCGACGATACCCGATACTTCCTGATAACGGTCGACGCCCTAGTATCTCCTCGACCAACTCACAAACAACTGGTACCCATGTCGCGCGTCAAGAGGCCGCGCCATTCTCTAATCTCTCTCGTACGTGCCTGCGCCTCTTATCACATGTAATCAAATTTTTCTAACACGTATTTCTGCCACGCTTTGCAGAGCCGCACTCGTGGGACAGTGGCATTCTCACCATCCCGGTACCAGCAGTCACAATGCCGTCTGCGTCCTCCTCTATCGGCGGCCATGCAGACGATCCATTTCACCGAGACGATTCGCCACCGCCTGCGTACAGCCAGCGCTCGAGCCTCACCGTTGGCATCAAAGCCGCCCTATCCAAACCCAAGCAACCAATCTTACGGTCCAGTTCGCCCTTGCATAATACACTTGTGGCCGAGCCCAAGTCGAGTGAAGACTCACGGAGGGCAGACGTTGATTCAAAGAGCTCCAAGTCAAACGTGTGCGTATCCGTGTCTCTTGGCCCCTGCATCTTTGCTTACCGGGTTTGACAGAACAAACGAAACTCCTACGCCTGTGCAAATTGCATCACGTTCACCGTATCCCACAGCAGAGCAAAAGGCCGCCGCCATCGCTGCGGTCCAATCACGCCGAAAGACGCACGCAGGTTCGCTCCAGCCGCCAATAGCCCTCAGACCGTTAAGCTCGTTCCTAGAACTATAAGTATGTTATATCCTATGTATATCGTGTACCGCTACAATCCAAGTCGCTTGAACACATTCTAAATCTAGCCTAAGAGGCCTTCGACGCGAGTAGAACCATTTCCCGTAAGGGAATCGCTCGACTCTCGCCATCTTCTTTCCCACCTTCAACCAGCCACACCGCATCGTCCAGGATGTACACAATAATCCCGCCCTTTCCGTCTCCACGTCCAGTGACGCGATACATTGGAAGACGGACTTTGACATGCACACGACCAGTTGGCATGAATAGCAAGTCATGAGCCTGTGCATGTTCTTCCGCGATACTCTTGAAATCTGTCGCTGCTGTGCGCTTCGGTACCGCAACGGGTTTGTTGGCTTGTTGAGTTGGTGTGGGAGTAGACATGTACGAGGACGGTTTGGGCAGTTTGGAAATGTTGGCCTCGCCGAGCTTCATGGCGTCTTCCATCATTTGCAGTCCACGATGGAACCCTTGCTGTGTCGCGTCAAGGGCCAATACATTTTCCGGGAGAATAAGTGTCCGCCACCGATCATACCTAGAGCATAAAAATGATGAGAATGATGTATTCAGTGAGAAAAAATTGAGGTACATACCACTCCGCGATCTCGCCATAGCTTGCCTGCGGGTGCGAAAGCCAGATGTGGAGTGCCTCGAGCCACTTGGGGAACACTTCCTTTTCCACGAGTTGATTCATGATCGAGTTTCCGATCACGCCTTTGTCGAACCACGCAATCACTACCTCCAACGGTTTGAGATCCTGTTTGCGGGGGTTGACACGGAAGTCGTCGCGTAAGAGTTCGCCCAATCGCGGAACAATGTACTTGAGAATAGAGTCTTGCCATGCAGAAGGTTCCATCATCTAAACATCAACAGTCAGATCAGAACTCCCCAATGATAAACATCAACGCACCGGTTTCCAGACGAGCAACTCTTGGGGTGGACCAGCGAGTATGTCGACAGATCGGAATACCCTGCGAACGTTTCTCCTCGCGTGGCCAAGGTATTCCTCCATTCGTAACCCCACATGCGGCAACCATGGGAACACAAGATCGTGTAGCGATGCGCCTCCAGGGACTGGCTTCCAATCTGCCATTGCTCGTTCAACTTTTGGAAGCACGAGTTGATCGAGAAAGTTGTCTTGCATAAACGGTGGGATCAAGTCGTACCATGCTTCGTATAATGCGATCACGGGAGCAGCGTCGGATGCGTCCCATTCGTTGCTGGAAAAATCAATTAGATAAGCCCTTGAATAGAAAGGAAAGGGGTTACGTACTTGATGGCACTGCGAACCTTCGGAAGCCATGAATGCCACAACAAGGCCTCCCAGGGAGTCATAGCCGTCGCAATCTCTATCGGAGCTGGACGCGCAGTGGGAACGATCTCATCATAGATAGAAACCAACGCAGAGCTCCCGTCATCTTGCGGCCGTGAGCTCATCTTGAGCGCTGCTCTCCATTTTGTAAAGATTGCCGTCCATCTTACGGGCTGTTCTAGCGGTCGCCAGTCGGCTAGCTCCAAACGAAGCAAAGGTGCGATAGAAGCGACAACTACTTCGTCGAGGCGGTACTTTTCGTACTCGGGTGAAAACTCGCCGAGGAAGCGTTCGACAAACGGGGACAGAGTCTCCAATGAAGACGGTCGATCGACCGTACTACTCTCGTAATCCGACGATAGGGCCACTCTCGAGGACTTTTGGGTCTCCTTGGAGACAGAGGCGATCTCTTCAACAACAATATTGACTTCTCCGAGCCGTCGAATGAGCTCGGCCTCTTCTTGGATCTTTTTGCTGAGCCGAGCTTCTTCCAGTAGACCTTTACGCTTCTTCTCCTCTAGGAGCTTGCCCTCTCTTGCCAGCGCGTTCAAGTCATGGTTTGTCATGTCTACCATGAGTCGCAGATTGTGGCGCAGTTCGGGTAACCGCATCGTCTCCGTGGATGGTGTCCATGACGAGAGTGCTGCTATAGAAGAGACCTCGCGTGGAGTCGCACCAGTGGCATCGATTATAGGGCCCACACCGGCTTGGTGTGCAGTGACAGCCTCGACACCCGCTTCACGCAGAATCTCCTCGTACGTCCGGTGCTCGACGACAGTCTTCTTTGGCTTGCTCTTCTTTTTCCATGCTTCAGACCGCTCTGCCTTTTCTTCATCATGGTGACGGTGACCTTTGCGCTTCGACTTTGGCTTTTCATCTTCGTCGTCGCTGACTTTGATTCCTTTACGACGGTCTTCTGCAACGGCTTGTTTTGTTCGCTCCTTGAAGCCACCGTATGCAATACCGACGTTGCCTTTTGGACGGAGCTTGCTCTCGACGGGTGTGACGATACCTTGACCTTGAGCACCCAGACCCGTTCCCTTGAAAAAAGCATCAGATATTGCTGTCAAAGGTAGTAGAAACGTACCGCTTGCCAGCCCATCTTGGCCATCAGTCTCGCTCCAAAGCTTCCGGAAATGCGGTCAAAGTGTGCGCGTTCTTCTGCAGAAATGTTGGGTTTGGTAGGTGGTGGAGTCGACGTGTCCGTGTTACGAACAAAGGCACGCTGAGCTCTGGCAGCAAAGGAGGTCGGGAGTTCATTTGTTGTAGCTTGCTGAACCGCTGGGGCCGACTGAGTGCTTGTGATGGTCGGTCGTGCACCAATCCCAGTATGGGGGATTGGCGAAGGTGATTTTTCCTTTTCTGGTGGATTCGCTGCTTGACTAGCGGCAGCAAAAGAAGGCATTCCACGGCGAGGTGCGCTCGACGCTCCAATGCCCCGCCGCGCACCTATACCCCCACGGGGCTGCGGTGCCGCTTCTTCTCCATGCGACTCGTCAGGGGTATCAGGAGGTCCATTACTGGTTGGTGCAAATGACATGCCCAGTCCAGAACGAGACCCAATTCCGCGCCTGTTCCCCAAGCCGCCTCTAGGCACATCTTCCTCCTCCTCATCTTGAATCATCGCATCTTCGTCCACATCTTTTGCCTTTTTAGGGTCGATGTCGTCGCTGGCGTCGCTGTCCGAGCCAGATTCTGCCGAGGAGGATTCCTCGCTCATAGAGGCGTCCTCAGGCTCTTTTGCAGCAGATTTTTTGAACACGGGAGTCCTAGCAAGCTGGTATTAGAATCTATTCGACCCTTTAGAATGATGCAATAAAGAGCTGTTCGGGACTTACTTTGCTTTGCGCTTTGGAGCATATCTTTGTGGTTCGTCATCGTCTTCTCCAAAGATTCCATACGTTGCATCGTCTTTTCCCCTGTTATTGAGGCGTCTACGCTTGCGCTGCTGGTATGGATCGTCGAAGAGGGCGCGTTCTGCCTGCTCGTCGCCGTTTAATTCCTGCTCTTCATAGTCTTCTTCTGCTGAATTGTCAGACGAATCGTCGTCTGAGATAAACTCGCGCTTTCTCCTGCCCATCGTCGTGGTCGGCTCCAAGGACGGCTATGACTGGCCGTGGCTGGCCGTCATGAATCCAGTCATGGCCGTGTGAATCCGAAATAATCCTGATAAATGCCGTCTGGCGCAGAGACGAGTCAGAGTGCGAGGCTGGGCCATGAGCGTCTATTGCACGTCGCCCACAAAACGGGACAAACAAATTCTGACCCTCTGGCTTCAACTCCTCCGACTGGATTCTGCGAGCAGTCTCAAAATGTTCGGAGGATGGGGATCTAATACTGCTAATAACACAACAAACACCACACAGCCCGCTGCTGGCTTTGGAACGACAAACGCATTTGGTCAACCCGCTCAAAATACTGGTGAGCACTCTTTGGCGTTGAAATCACGCGTCTTTCGTGCTTATACATCTACTAATCTCAATATTATTCATCACCAGGCGGCTTTGGAGCGTTTGGGCAGCCTCAACAGAATACACAACCATCAACTGGCTTTGGCGCTCCTGCCGCTCCAACAACCGGTTTTGGCGGTGAGTCTACTCGTTAAATTCCTTTTGTAATACAACTAGTTGCTTACATTTCCGTTCGCGACTGCCCTCCGTGTTATACAGCGTTTGGAGGCGGCACAACAAATGCATTTGGAGCCAAGCCGGCCAATGCCTTTGGAACAGGCGGTGGATTTGGCACAACACAACCTGCGACAGGAACTGGCTTTGGTACAGGCGCATTTGGCGCGTCATCGACGCCAACAACGACAGGCTTTGGTGCTACTGCAGGCACGGGTACAGGCGCGTTTGGATCTGGATTTGGCTCTACGACAGCAAATGCAGGCTCTGCGTGGGGAAAACCTGCTACAGGCGCATTCGGACAAGCGGGTATGTTACATTCACACTTTTATACCATCACGCATTTGTTTACAATCTATCATAGCTGCACCCGCTGCAGGAAATGGAACCGCAAATCCTCCATTCTCTGAAGTCACCGAGCGAGACTCTGGTGCGACCAACGTCACCCTTCACTATCACTCCATCTCGTGCATGCCCGCCTATATCAACTGGTCACCAGAAGAACTAAGGGTACAAGATTATGCCGTCGGTAGAAAGACTGCAAACTCCGCTGTTCCCGGTGCAACTGGATTTGGGGCTGCCGCGACCACTGGTTTTGGCGCTGGAGGAACCACAGGAGGCTTTGGACAACCAGCCGCGCCCACGACTGGATTCGGATTCGGTACTACCACAAACACGAGCACTGGTGGCGGTCTGTTCGGAGGGGGTACCACCACCACGGGCGGTTTTGGCCAACCGTCCACAACAAATGCCTTTGGACAACCAGCTGCCAGTGCCGCGCCGGCTAATCCTTTCGGAGCTCCCGCTGCTGGAACGAGCACTGGATTTGGTACATTTGGTTCTACTAGCACGCCCACCAATGCCTTTGGAGCCACCACTAATGCACCCAAGCCTTTTGGAGGATTCGGTATGATCTCACCGACGCCAACTTCAAATACTAATACCGCATAGGCTCTACCCCGACGGCGACTACCGGAACTGGCTTTGGCACGTTCGGTCAAACGAACACCCAAGCGGCGACGAGCACTCAAAACGCCTTTGGACAACAACAACCTGCAAGTACAGGATTTGGTTTTGGTAAGTCGACTCCCCCTGAAATGATTGACATACTCATTTTGATGCAGGTAGCAACGCGAACAAACCAGGCGGCTTTGGTGCTACCACTAATCCGTTCGGAGGCCAAACTACCACTGGTGGTTTTGGAACAAACACGACGACTAATGCCTTTGGTCAGCCTGCGCAACAGGCTGCTGGCGGCTTTGGTGCTCCTGCTCCTGCAGCCGGTACTGGCACGACCGGTTTCGGATTTGGGGCGACCAATCAGACTCAACCCGCCGCGAATCGTGCGTTTCTCTTGATCTCTTTTCTGATTTGCTTACAGGCTTGATAGCTTTCGGACAAGCGGCGCAACCCGCGGCACCTGCGAACCCCTTCGGCGCGTTTGGCCAACAAACTAGTCAAACTGCAGCACCCACTACCAATGCATTTGGAAACCTCTTTGGTACAAAGCCAGCGACACCCACGACGGCGCCCAATGCCAATCCGTTTGGCGGCTTTGGTCAAACGACTACGAGCACAGCTACTAACCCGCTGGGAGGTGGACTCGGTGGCTTTGGTGCGACGACGACGAACACGGGGGGCCTCTTTGGCCAAAACACCAGCAATGCGGGCAATATCTTTGGCGCAAAGCCAACTCAGCCCGCTCCCAATACATTTGGCGGGTTTGGCGGCTCCACACTCGGAGGATTTGGCGCAGCGCAAGCAGCTCCAGCCCCAACTACAAACGCTAACCCATTCGGCGCTTTCGCGGGCTTTGGTCAGTCCACAGCTCCCGCCCCCACTGGGACGACGACGGGTCTCTTCGGGACATCGACGGCTCAGCCTCAACCACAGCAAGCGCTCACTGCCTCGGTCGATCAACCCTTCAGCTCTGGCATCCCCGTCTTCGAGTTGTTGCCAGGCGCCGCCGCTGCAGCAGGTACGCTCGCTGCGAGTGCCTTTGCTACCAAGAAGCAACCCAACTTTTTCATGAAACGCAAGCCTCTCCCATCTGCAAAGGCCGTGGCGTCTCTCAACTCTTCCACTGCCGTTAATCCTCTGCGCGGCTTTGCGGGTAGTGTCACTGCTACCAAGCCTGGTCAATCTGGACTCAATATGATGCTCCGTGGTGGCACGATGCCGAGCACCACGGGCACGTTGAGCACAATGGGGAGCAGTTTCATGGGCGGTACGCTCAGTGAAAAGAAGGCCGGACTCAGTTCAGATGTCTTTGTCTCCAACGTCAAAAAGCTGCAAATCAACAAGGATGTTTCGAAAGATCAGCTCACCTCTTCACTGGCTCAGGTCGCTGCGCGCAAAGGACACAATGGTACGCTTGGACTCCTTGGTAGCTCTCCATCACCAGCACCTGGATCCACATCCCGCCCTGCAATCGCCGCAAAGCCATCTGAGCCATCTCGGGATCAAACACAATCGGACAAGCTAGAAAAGGGAGAGTACTGGATCTCCCCCGAAGAGTCCAAGCTCAAATCTCTTCCATTCAAGGATCTCGAGGCCTTTGAGCATTTCAAATGCGGCCGCGTTGGATATGGTCAGGTCGAGTTCCTTGAGCCCGTCAATCTTACGACCATTGGCGCTGTAAAGGACATTCCCAACAAGTATATCATCTTCGACGAGCGGGAATGTACTGTCTATCCGGACGAACATGACAAACCACCCGTCGGTCAAGGCCTCAACGTACGCGCAAGAATCACCCTCGAAAACTGTTGGGCCGTCGACAGAGCGACACGAGAGCCGATCAAAGACGAGAATCATCCCAAGGCGGCTCATCATCTCAAGAAGCTCCAGAGCATGCCCGAGACAACGTTTGAAAGCTTTGACATCCAAACTGGCGAATGGACCTTTATCGTCGAGCACTTTAGTCGATACGGCCTTGATGAGGGTGACGATGAAGAGGAAGAGGAGATGCTCAGGGCGCAAAACGCCACTGCCGCTGCAGCAGCTCCTGTTCCAGAGGACCAGCCTATGGAAAAACCGTCTAGCGAAGATGATCCTATGGAAGATCCCATCCCACGCCGGGCATCTGTCCGCCCTCGCGATGTGTCGATGCGTCCTCGGGATCAGACACCTGCACACCGTCGCCGTGGCTCAACCGCTCGTCCAGCTCCTGGAGAAGAAAACGATGCTGACAATGACGAGGACGACATGGCTATGGATGACGAGGAGCCGGAGCGTCCTCATCCAAGCTGGCCAGCTCAGATTGGCCTCGACCCTCAGCGGTTGGGACAGATGCAATCAAGCCTATTCGCTGCCCAGAACAACGCTGCATCCAAAGCGGCCCGAGGAGGCGCAAAAGGGTTCATCAAGCCACCTCGTGCGGGGACGCCCAGTGCACTCGGAAAGCATCCGCGTGAAATGTCAATCATGGAAGAGGATGGAGTCCATGGAGGCGCGTTGCAGCGGCGTCAAGCGTCTGTAGAGGTGAATACCGATATTTATTCTTGACCTTCCATCATTCTCCATTCCCTTTTCCTGGCCGAGCCACAATAAAAAAACAAAAACAAGTTTCCGGGAACCGCAGACGACCACAATATTACGGCTCTCCCCATCATGTCCCATTCCTAGTATCGCTTTTGTTGAATGAACACTTTTACTCATCCATTTTGGCAGAGACCGTCGTTCGCTGTCGCGCGACCAGTAGTCGGGTCGCAAGATCAGCAAATGGCGCTCGAACCACCTGCGCGCAAGTTTGTAAAGATTGCAAAAGAGTCTCTGGTCGAGGGCAAGGAAAGTTTGTATCGCGATGCGGGTCTTGCTTTTGGGAGGTCGTTTCGTGTCGGATGGGGTCCTGGTGGGATGCTTGTGCATTTGGGCGAGCTCTGTGCGCCCTATGATGAGACGTGAGGTGATTTGTGTGATATGAGCCACACTAACTCCCGTGAAGGACACCCCCAGAATCGTTCTCGGTGCTCAACATGACATATATCTCGCATACGTCCATGGATGAGGTATGCGCAACCATTTCAATGCTCTCATACTAACAATGAACAGGAGAAAGAGAAGAAGCGGGCCAACGATGAGCTCAAGCTGTATCGAGAACATACACAAGTGGTCGAGGAGAACGGGATCCCGATGATCGTTCCACTACCGACACTCAACTTTCAACCCTTTGCGACCCATTTCCATCCAGATGACACGTCGTACGAGGCGTCACTCTGGCGACTTGGTGCAGCATTATTCGACACGATCCCGCTCGATGTACCTGGCGAGCTTGAGCCGACCAAAAAGCAATGGATTGCGGACCTACGGAGAAAGATGAAGATTAGCGACTGGCTACAGGCTGCAGTCTCACCTGCCGTTGAACAAGTCATGCTCAATGGTTCCTCTTCGTCCATTACACGGGTATTTGCGCTCTTGACGGGCAATGATGTCGAACGTGCATGTCAAGTCGCCATGGACGCTGGCGATTTCCACCTCGCGACTCTTCTTTCGCAAGCGGGTGGTGATCGCGCGTTTAGAGAGTCGATGGGCGCGCAATGGGATACGTGGGTGAAAGAGCAAACGGACGCGTTTATTGACGATGACTATCGAAAAGTATACGCCGTCCTTTGTGGAATCGTGACGATCGGTCGGGCGTCCAAGAACCGGAATGACCCATTCGTGCGAGCGCAAGACATTGACATTGCCGAGGGGTTGGATTGGAAACAAGCTTTTGGACTCCATTTGTGGTATGGGATTGACCTGGCGGACCCACCTACGGCAGCGATTACCGAGTATGACCTCGCGCAATCGTCGAGCGATGTAGCGGCGATGCGTGGAGAAATACCCGAGCTTGATACAGCCAAAGTTCAGGATCGAGAAGGCGGAGAGCTCGTTAACCCGCCTCCATGGTACCTCGTGAGCAAGGCGGGCGAACGGTCCAAAATCGGACGCGAGGGCGACACGCTCCTGCATATGCTACGGCTGTTCGAAAATCCAGAGTATCCACTTTCGGTACTCCTCAATCCAAAATGCATTTCTCCACATGCGCTCGACTATCGATTGCCGTGGCAGCTGTTTGCTGTGCTGAGCGGAATGGTCGCTGGATGTCTCGGACCGGCGATCCAGGAGGAGATTGTGCGGTTGAATGATTTGTTGTGTGTGGCGTATGCGATGCAGCTCGAGGACGACACGATGGTGGACCAAGCGATTTTCGTTGCGTTGCACCTGAGTGATCCACAGAGGTATGGCTTTGTTTCTTGAATACAACTGCGTGGCTAATGTTGCTCCTAGTCGTGCAAGTGCGATTCGTGATCTCCTGATGCGCAACCCCGAATTTTTCGACGAAGAGGTTGTGCAGTCGTACGGTATCCCGGGAGAGTGGATCGCAGCTGCCAAGGTTGGTTCTATTTCCGGAGTTTCCACATGTTTCTCATATTATTTAGGGGGCGTACGAACGATACAAGGGCAACGCAGGTGCGGCGTGTACGTTCTATGTGCATGCTGGCGAGCAAAAGTTTGCATGCGACATTGTGATCTCGGACCTGGCTCCGGATTTGATCATTCGCGAAGAGTTTGTCGTGCTCAAACGGCTATTCGAGGTGTTTACACCAGAGCGTATCGATGATTGGGCTGTACGAGGAAAGGTGAGTATCGAAAAATGGTCATGGAATTTCGCTAATCAATATGATAGTTGTTCCTGGATTACATCGACATGAAGCATTCAATTCCGACATTGGTGACAGCAATTGCAAGCCAGCCGCACGCGACCCCTACACCCGAGCAGCTCGTCAAGGCCGACCGAATCTTTGCGGCTGTCCCCAACTTGTTACGGCTCTTACCGTCTGTACTCGGAGTTGTCTCTTCCTCGGGGTCGTCGGGACAGTCTGGACACAGCAAACGGCAACGGGCGGCATTGGATGAGATGCAATCTGGGCTCGTGACGCTGGTGATGGGACTACAAAATGTGCTAGTGGGTCGTGCGCGCGTCAAGCTGGACCTGCGAGGGGTCGAGGCAGGCGCGCGGCTCAAGGCGGTGCAATCTGCTGCGTATGAGCGGTTTTGCCAGAGTGTGGATGTATTGTAGAATAATTAATAGACTGAGTTGCTGCGGAGACCGGTATTCCGAGATTCGGAGATGGCGTCGGGGGATTTGTCAGGCAGAGAGCTTGCGTCAGTCTGCCGGCATCGACGATGCGGTCGTTGCCGATCAGCACCCTGGCCAGACTTATAAAGTTGAGCCAGACTACGACGAGTTGTTTGTCAACATTTTCATCTACACTCGAATAATTCCCATATGGACCAAGTCCATCTTGTTGGTATTCCTTATATTCCCCTTCTTAAACCTGCTCATCATTGTCATAGCTCGTCGCTGTCCACGGTCTCTGGGGAGAACCCGTCCATGTCAGCGAACTGACCAGAATCATCCGTGAGCGATTCCAAGATACAACAGACGAAACTGGCGCAAAACTCGTCATCCTCTGCGGAGAAACAAATGCAAACGACTCGACTTACGACGGCATCGATTGGTGTGGCGAACGACTCGCAGACGAGGTCAGAATACCATCTCCGAGGTATCCAAAACTAACCCCTCCAATGCAGGTCCAGGCAAAGATTGACCAACTCGCGGCCGATGGCCAGGCCGTGACACGCTTTTCCGTCGTAGGTTACTCCCTCGGTGGTCTCGTATCGCGCTACCTCGTTGGTATACTCGAATCCCGCTCATTCTTCGACACTGTCCGCCCCATCAATTTTACAACCTTTGCCACGCCGCACATTGGCCTCGTGCGCATGAACAACTTTTTCAGCAAACTCGGGTTCCGACTCGGTCCAAAGATGCTTTCGCGTACCGGACCACAGCTCTACGGATGTGATCAATGGAGTAGCAAAGACGGCAAGCCCCTCCTCGAAGCAATGGCAGAGGAAAAGGGCATCTTCTACAAGGCATTACAAAAGTTTGAACGAAGGAGTCTGTACGGGAGTGCATATGGCGATCGCACAGTCAGCTACCAAACAGCACTCATCGAAGCCGAGGATCCGTTCTGGCAGCACGAGACAAACGGCATGTCATTGTACGTCTTGCCTCCAATATCCCTTGTATAAATCATATGCTAATCTGCTTGACATAGTGTTGTAGACGAGAAATATGCACCCATCGTCTCTTCGTACGAAATCCCGTCCAGACCACCCTCCCCACCTCCAGCCCCCGCTTTCGGTTCACCAGAGTATATCAAATCACTTGCCCCACGCATTCGACTCCCGCCATTCCTCCAACTCCGTTTCCCACTCAACCTCTTGCTCTATATGCTCATTCCCGTCCTCATCCCACTCGGCTTCACCGCGGCCTTTATCAAGGTATCGCTCGACTCGTCTTCTTCGCGTAAACGTCTCAAGTTGCTCGAAAGCGACGAAGAGACTTTGCAGAGACGTTTGGTGAATGTGCTTCGGGGATTGGATAAAGAAATGGAAGATGCGATTGTGGATGCGCTCGAGGGTGCAAACGAGGTGGCCGTTGAGAATGTCGACGAGCGAACGGGGATGCCACTTACGATGCCGGAGAATAGTCCGTCGATCACGACGGCACCATCGAGGCCAGAAGAGTTGGACGTGGATGGTCGACATGCCGTCTGTACCAGGCGCCACAAACGGGTTTCTGCAAAATCCTCGAGCTCTTCGCTCTCAAAGCACAGTGAAGAGAAAGTACACAAGGAGCACAAGGCTCCTCTACCCTCAAACCCTCAGGAGCCACAACTCTCTGATCTTCAATACCGTCTCGTCCACTCGCTCAACGGCCTGCATTTCCACAAGTTTACGGCTCACTTCCCGGGCGTCTTTAGCTCGCACGCCGTCATCATTTCGCGCGACGTCCAACGGTTTGCGTTTCACAAGCAAGGCGAAGGTGTCCTGAGACATTGGGCGGACCATTTTATTCTATGATCCGGATCCATGGTTTGGTTATTTCCTGACCAGTGATTCCATGCCCATGTCACGAGCGTTTTTTTATATTAGATGCGGAACTCTCTATGTATTCTAGACTATGGGCTTCCACGATTGGTGTCCGAGTGTACATAACGATCTATCTTATTGATTCAATAACTCAATGGGACTGTGGATAATGTGTCCGAGATGAGGAGGATTTGGTTACCACCACTTGATCTCGGTCCACATCAGTGGTCCGAATACGACGCACGCCGTCCAGAACTAGAGGTAGGGTCAGGTTGGCGACGACAAAGAGGATAGAGTGGGCACTCACCACTGCAAAAGAACGGAAGAAGAGTATGGGCCATTGTAGCACGCTTGGTCTCGCCATCTTGACGACTGTCCTATGCGCCAGCTTCGAGTCTCCATTCGATTGTCCGTTGGTACCGTTGGCATGTCGCTTCTCAAGTCCATTTGCATACGCGTTCGTATGTCCATTTGAATGCCCGTTTGCGTGACCATTTGCATGTCCATTTGCATGAGCTGTATGCCCCTCTGAATCTTCGTCGGCGAGCACCGGTCGCTCGTGCATGAACATGACCCAGAGCGAGTAAAACGCCACGGTGAAAAAGTGGCGGAACAAGAGGAACGGTCGAGGCGCAATACTATCCTCTGTGTAAGTACATCGAACATGAACAAAAGTGAAAGACGTACCCGCCAAGCAACGTAACTGGTCCATTCGTGCACTCGCCTCCAAGCCCGAGGTACTTGAAACATCCAGTTTGGAGTGTTTCGAGATTTGACGCTAAACCAAGGTAAGCTCAAGTGACGAGGAATGTATCGAGCACATACAGCTACCGCCAAACAAGTCGTACAACGCGACGGAAAGAATGTTGATCGTCGACGCGTATCCTCTCCGAGTCCACCACCATCGGTCGAAAATGTCATCCATGACGCCCCAATCACCCAACGTCCACTCTTCGTCATGCTCCGACACGACGTCCAGTGATACTTCTGTTTCTTCTATTTTGACTCCATTACTCGATGTAACTTCTTTATCAGACGAGTCCCCAAAGAGCTGCTTTTCAGCGAGAATCAACTCGCTCGCAAGCGTCACGACGTCGCCAAAGGCAACGGTCATCCCTCCGCCTGTGAGAGGGTGTCGTTGATTCCATGCATCACCAAGCAAGAGTGCACCCTCTCGCATTCTCCCTCCACCCTGCGGCGGCGCCGGGAAAAACGGATTGGCGACACCCTTTAGATCCAAACGACCCGCTCGCTTCTCGTCATTGTCCGCTTCGTCGACTAGTGTCTGCAATCCACGACGGAGATCTTCTGTGGGTAGATTTGGGAGGAGAACGTTGCGGATGTACGATTGTACGTCGCGCTTATAAGGCGAATCGTGTGGAATATCAATGAGGATGCGTGTGTCGTTTGTCCCGACTTGGTAGAGCAGAATCGGACCCGCAGAATTGGGAATGAGGATCACACAGCCGTGTTCGTACAATGGCAAAATGTACTTTTTGTCCGGCGGATTGGGTAAAATGAGACCGAAGAACGTCCCGAGCGTCTTGAGTCTCTAGATTTCGTGTTATTTGCGTTGTCCCCTCTGACGAAGACGATGGTGAAGGGAGGTACAGAGCACGTCGAAACGCCGACGACCCCGTTGCGAAAATGGTCAATTTCGCAAGGTACACCTGCTCCTCTGCATTTGGATCCGACGAAGATTTGACGCGTACTCCGAGTACTCGTCCCGTATGCGGACAGTAGACTACACCTTCCGACTTGACGGTCCCCTCGAGTAACGTAACACCCTCTGCACGCGATGCATGCTGTCGTAGCGAATGTACAAACTCGCCATGATGAAACGAGCGACCGGCTTCGCCTGGAGGGTACGGAATATGCACCTTTTCAAACTCTGTCTTGCCTTCCTTTGTCGTAGAAGAAGAGGGCTTGGGCCGTAAGATGCAATACCCCAACGTCCGAATTGCATCAATCCCTTCCAACGCGCCTTTGAGTCCCATCTTTTCGAGTGCGTGTACGCCTCCGGGCTGCAAAAACTCGCCGACGATGCGGTTTGGTTTGGCGAGCTTGGAGTCGATGAGCAAGATACGAAGTGGTTTTGTCCGCTGGTTTTCTTTGGATAGCGTTTGGCGGAGGCGTGACGAGGCGGAGAGTGCATAGGCCATTGCGGGGCCAGCAATACCCGCGCCAACAATGACAACGTCGTATTTGGTCGATTTCATAGTGTAGACTCTGTAAATGAGCAGTCAGACTGCGTTTTCCGTACTCCGTACAGAAATAGACATACGGACGAGGGACGGAAACCACAAGAAAAGGACGAAAAGCGCTCCTGACGAGTCTCGTCGAGCTATAAGACACTGCAGAAAGTGGCGAGAATGTGGACGAGACCAAGGCTAGGCTCGCACAAATTTTGGGCAGCGTCGTACGAGAGCCGCCGCCAATGCGCAGAATCACGATCCAGAGCCAGACTCACAGCCAAAATCACGTCCAGAATAATAAATCCATTCAGATCGAGAGAGCATTATAAAGTACACGGATCGATACAACTAAAAACAATTACGACGACGACGACGCATTCAGAGACGAAAAGCCCATGGGCGAGTAGACCGACGGGTTGGAAGTAGCCGGGTTTTGCGAGTTGCCATCCGCCGAATACAGCATCCCAAAGTCGAATGGCGCCTCATAGTTGGTATTACTGAGCAGAGCAAGAATATCGTCTGGCGAGGTTTCCCCCATTAGGTCCGTCCCATTCATCGATGCATACGTACTCGTTGGGGTCTCGCCCAAGCCATTCACAGACGACACGGACGGCGTCATTCCAATCGTAGAAGGCGGCGGCGGTGGGTTGATCAACGCCTCGTACGCGTCAAAGGCAGCCGCAGGGTTCAAATAGCCTGGTTGCAACTGTGGAGAGCTCGTGCTTGTTGAAAGCGCACTGGGAGCTACCCCGTTTGAAGGTTGTACGACTTCGTTCCCATGTACACCTCCCTCATGATGGTTCCCAAAGGTCGACGGCGAGCCAGAGTCCGAGGGCGACGTTCCCGATCCAGCGACAGACGTCGTCTTCTTCCGAATAGGCCTCAACCATGCCCGTCTCGCAGCAGGGTTCTGTGTATTGGCGATAAACGGCGGAGCGTTCAACGGAACATTGGAAACTGTCGCACATCAACCTTACTTTCGCAGTATGTAGGGTGTATACGTACTCCGACAAAACTCTTCGATCAGATCAGCACTGCGGAGTCCGCATAGATATCGCACGCTAAACCTCCTGAGCAGCACGACGCAACTCCTCAAAGCCTCGAGACCAGGCTCAACAAGCTGTTGCTGGATGAACGGAGAGGACGTCCTGCAATTCAAGAGGACAGCCACGAGCGTGCGTCCAGCTTGATTGAGCTGATGAATGGCGCCAACACCAAAAAAGCCCATGAGCGCGTGCGTCGCCATCTGGAGTTGCGAATGAATCAAATTGACCGCCGACTGGTAACACGCAATCATCTCGTGTACCTCGGTCTACAGATTGTCAGCACCAGACACCCACACGAAACAAGACCTGCCTCTTCGTCTGCACCATTGAACAGGGCCACGGTAAGTCGTTGACGATGAATGAGCATCCTCACCCACTGCTCCAGACAATGCAACCGGTGCTTTTGCGTTGTCTGAATCACATCGTCATCAATGGGATTCTGCGTCCCATCTGCCGTATACAACCACGGCGAAGGCACCATGCTCATCGCTTCATCTAATAGCGCCTCTTCCTCTTGCATAAGTTGATTCCTCCTAAACCCAACCAACGTCGTCGAAGCCATGGTCAAAAACGACGACGCCGACACGGGGTTGAGTGGAGGCGGACCGTCGAGGACGGCTTCGAGGACGACAATGTACCGAATCGCCGCGACAAACGCCGCTAAACGAGGTGCGACTTCACCCTTGGGCGATCCATTCTGAATTGCTGTCATTTCATCGTCGAGCAATGTCGGCTCTGGAACGTCGCAGTCGCGCAAACGAATGAGCGGGGGGCGTCCAAACGCGGCACCAACTTGTTTGTCCCACATGTACACCGCCCAAAACGTCCTCTTACGAATCTCCGTCTCGATTTGGTCGAAACAGTCGTATGCTTCAGACGAACGGTGCAAACCTGCGTCAATGGACAGCGTGACTGCTTCGGAAAGGAGCGAAAACCCCTTGGAGAGTCGTCCGAGTCCTACTGCATAGACTGCAGCGACGAGAACGGCTTGGACGGTGTAGAGCGTCGGACGATCCGCAGCTGGCAATGCACGGAGTTTGTTGAACAAGCCGAACCAATGCGTTCCGCTCGAAAAAGGATCATTGGCGTCCTCGCGAACACGCTTGTCATCGACATGGCGAGACGCGAGGCAGCACACTGCCGTGACAAACGAGACGAAACCGGGTTCGCCCCATTTTGTCGGATTGCTATAGTCGTGCAAAAAGGTAGGGATGTGCAAGAACGGCATGAGGTAAAACGTTGTCGACAAGTAGGACTGGACGAGTCCATCCATCAGATCTGGGGGGATAGAGGCCGTCACCGTCTTCCACAGCGTCTCTGGGTTGATCGTCACACGCCGTTTGAGAGGCGATCTGGGAAGTAGTTTGGTGCCGCAGTCATGGAACCATCTGGTGCCTTTTGTTCGGAAAAGTTTGCCTTGGTAGCTGTAGCGTCTCCGGATTGGGCCGGCAAACTGCGTTCGACGAGCGAGTCGAGGAGTGGCAGCCCAGACGATGCACCTTGCCAGCGCGTAAAGCCCTCGTCGTCCCAGTAGAGATAGGTGGGGGACAGCGTGACGTTGGCCATGTTGGTGGTGATATTGTCCGTCGCTGATGGTGGAGGGACGAAATGGGTCGCTGGATTTGTGAGCTTTGAAGTCGAAAAGCCCGGGGGTAATACGCCCATAGTAGGAAACGGTGCAATAGCCGGAAATGAGACGGACGAACGCTCGCTTGTCGCTGACGGAGGCGGCTGGTCGGATTTCTGCGTCGTCTGAAAGATATTCGCCGGCATGGACTGAATCAGGGCCTCGAGCTGGGCCATACGTTCCTCGAGGGTACTTGTGCGCCTAATGAAGAATTGAATCATGTTAGATCAAATACGCATCAACCATACGACCGGGGCCATATAGATGCCACAATCACATGCAGGCGTTACTCTATTTCTCCAAGGGTCTAGAGTCGAGTTTCTGGGGTTACTCCTTGAGAGGACTCCCCATGCGACTGGAACATGCGAGAAATGCGGGGAGAGATTATGGCTCTCGATGGGGACGTTGACCGGCGGCGGCGCTAGAGTCTCAATTGTTCGTGCGACCCCCTAAAAGCCACCGCGGGAAAAGTTGATGAATACAGACTAGGAGAAGCCAATCATGTGCGACAGGCGATATTTCGTGTTGGCCAAGTGCCCGGTGCAGCGACGGCAGACGACGAGAATGGAAGAGGACGCTCACCTCGATTTATGTGGATGAGATTTCTTTCCAGGTTCTTCAAATGTACACGGAGAACCTGCTGCAACGCAGCTCGAGCACGGGGTCGACTCTTCGCACCGAATTCGACGGCGTCTACACAGCGCATTGGTGAGTTTTAGATGGAATATAAAATAAAATGGTTACCTGCACCGATCGCATGCTCTTTTGTGCAAAATTAATGTCAGCGGGCCCAGCATTTGCACCCAAAAGATGAGGTAGAATACCTGTTGAGCTTGAAGCGACGATCCTTGAGCATCTGCGTCTGAGATGCTTCATGTCGCTCATGTTGGTCCTCGCTTGGAACAGCGGGCATTGTTCTGGTTAGCAAGTGGCGAGGTCAAGAGGTGCAGAGCTGAGGCTGGGATGACCACGCCCAGTAGACGACAAGTAACACGACGAGTATTGCGTAATCAATCTATAATTCGTGGTGGAATACATTGAAGGTTGATAATCGACACTCTTTCGGGAACCCCCCTCCAAAGTTGTATGTCCGTCTCAGTTTGTCCATGTCGCGCCATTGAGCGCCCAAATAGTTTCTATGACACTCTATAATGCCATGTGGTTTCATCTCACCCTCAGGCGTCTCCTCCGGCATACCAGTGGCCGGAGGCACGCTTATACGCACTCAGCTGCGGATGCAATCGTGGTAATTGTTGCTGTGAATTACATTAACAATGACTCGTATATATACCACCTGGTCTATTGTCCTGGCGACAGTAATCTCTTACTACTTTCCCATCGGCTTTGATCGCCGACTGCTTGTCGGTTCGTTGAACCGTCCGTCTGGAGCTATCGTAATCGCACGGTAGGATTATTTATTGTTCTTAATAAATACTTATACGACTTACTTTCAAGCAGCGTTTGTGGTTCAGTGGTAGAATGGGTCGTTGCCAGTAGAGTATCGACTCGACCGGGGTTCAATTCCCCGCGAACGCATTCTTTTTTATGGTTTTATTCTTTGGTGGGCTTTTCTCGCGGGAACCCTGCGTTCCCAGGGTCCCCCCCGTGCTCCGGCAGCCACCGGCCTCAGCCGCGCCGCATTCGAGGTTAGAACAAGATTTATTTTCATTACGAGACAGATGATATGGAGCAGCTTATCAGAGACCCCACTATTGCTTAGCAGGCAGCCTATGCTCCAAGCATCACAAAGATCGATGAAATACTAAACATAGATATCTTAGGACTCAATTCAAGAGGGCTCATACAGGCCCTGAGGGTTCGAGTTGCTGCAAATGCAACTTTGTTCTGCATCTTCGGGTTTCGTCACCACCACTTCGTCGACTTTTACTCTGCTCCAGCTAGGAGTGCCTAGACAGAAATACGCTACAAGAGAACGACTTGGGAGACGGTGGGCATGAGGGGAATTTAGATCGTCGAATCGGTCTTGACCGAACTCTTTATTGTCAAGCTGCAAATAGATTATCGATCCCAAGTTAGTGACACTAATCTAGCGCCTGTCTTTTCATGAGGTAGTCAAGGCCGAGTAATTAACGCACCCCATCAGGCCTTATCAGTGATTTAATCGATAGGTTCTTAGAATAAAGTCGCAGCTTACGTATGCTCCTCTCAGACGTTGACCTGCATTGGAACCATCCTCTTCCACGATGCCGGTCCAAAAGACAGACATACCCAAGGCATCACACGCACCGACAGGTCCATCTGAACCCTCGTCTCTCACACAAGGCTCAGCGAGCAGGCGGAATCAGGTGTACGATATGCTCAGCGTTGGCCTCGGTGTAGCAGCGAATGTTGCAGAGGGGTCAGATGTACTCGCACCACTGAAAGCAGCTTCTCTAACGACGAAATCGATCCTTGAAGTTATGCAGGTGAGTTGGCGAAACAGCCACGGGGCAGTTCCATCTCATAACAGCTTCGGACAGTCGGTCGAGAGCAATCAGGAGGATTGGACCAACCTCAAGCGCCGCCTGAAGGATTACATGTCTGTGGTCGAGGAACAAATCACCTTGTTTGAGACATATCCTCCCGCAGACAGAGTCGTCGATACGGCCATTAGTCAACCGCTCATCCGCTATGTCGAGTACGTGAACATATTGGATTTGTTTCAGTCGGACTGATAGATAAAGATACCTCGAAGTTATGCATGACAGGGTTGTCAATCTACAGGAGAAACGCAAACGCAGCAAACTCGGCTTCTTGAAAGCGATCAGCAAGGTGAAGATTGACTCCGGGGAGATTCGCCAATTCAATCAAGATATTGAAGACCAGCATAGGCAGTTTATGGTACGAGCTTCACCGGCCTCTTCACACTCTAATAGTAGATAACAGGGAGCATTGAACCTCTTTACAGCATTACGCGTTCAAGCCATGGAACGGAATAGTAAGATGAAATCGAGTGTAGAACACCACCTGAGTATTTCTAGTGGCGATACTCCAGCTACCAGCTGTAGCATTCATTGCGTCTTCAGTTCACACCACTTGTTTGCAAGGAACGCGTAAAGCCGTTCTCAAGGCAATATCAGAGTGGGCTGAGGACGATAAGTCGGACAAGTCCATATTCTGGCTGTGTGACATAGCCGGCTCCGGCAAATCTACAGTCGCAATGTCCGCAGTAGAGGCATGGACGGAGAAAGGAGTGCTCGGTGGCCAATTCTTCTTCTCTATCTCAAGCAGTGAAGGATCAACCACCGAAAAGTTTTGTTCCACTATTGCGAGAGACCTCGCCAACTACATCCCGGAGCTCGCAACGCATGTGGCAGAGGCTGTAAAGCAAACCCCGTCATTGATGCGCGCCTCTCTCAGCGACCAATTTCAGAAACTCGTCGTTCATCCTGTCCGTCATCGACAGCGGCCCATAATTCTCGTCGTTGACGCCGTTGACGAGTGCAAGTCCGTATCACAACGCAGAGAGCTTCTTGAGGTTCTTTCAGCTGCGGTCCAAGAAAGCAACAATATCAAAATATTCATGACAAGCCGGCCAGACTCTGTCATTGAGGCCGTCTTGGGGCCGCTTTCGATCAAAGCCAAGCTGGCAGATCGTCTGCACGATGTCAGCCATAGTGATAATATCGATGATGTCGCTGTGTATGTTCATCGATCACTCGATGGAGTGCTACCAGAGGACAAGAGACAGCGACTGGTTGAAAAAGCCAGAGGGTTGTTCATTTGGGCAAGCACTGCCTGCCGGATACTCAAGAGCGAGACCAATTTGGATACCACGGAGGATATCTATAACGATCTGCTCTCAGTGGACAAGATGGGAGACATAGATGACGTATATCACCTCGTCTTCCGGCGCGTAGATTCAAAGTCCCACCAGACCATGTGCAGAATGCTTGCTGTACTCCTTACAGCATTCGAGCCTCTCACCGTGGACGAGTTAGAAGGCCTTCTGAAGCATGCTGATGCACGCGGAAGTGTCAAGGCCTTAATGCAGAATCTGGGAAGTGTGCTTATCATGGATGAGACTATAAATCTGATTCAGTTTCGTCATCCGACTCTTATCGAGTACCTTCGACGCTGTGCTATCCCTCCAGCCTCTAATGAGGATAGAATATATCTCAACGTCGCCGAGGCACATGGGCAGACCGTATCATGGTGCTTCAAATGTCTGGAGTCGCGGACGGAGGGCCTCAAGTTCAATATATGTCGAATTGAGTCCTCGTTCAATCTCAATAGGGAGATCCAGGACCTTGACGCGAAAGTATCCAAGTTCATTCCAAGAAGACTTCGATATGCTAGCTCGCATTGGTCGTTCCATTTTGCAGAAACCAATGATAAGTGGCGAAACACGCTGAGGAGCGAACTCCAACAGATGGTTCAAAGCCCATACGTTCTATACTGGATAGAGATCCTGAGCCTCACCGGAGGAGTACTACGGGCAATTGCCGGCCTTCGAGCTATTACTCGCCACGCAGGAGTGAGTGCCCCATAAAAATCAATTCGAATCATTGACACAACCTACAGATCGAAGAGACGACTAGAAGCAAGATACATGATATCCGGCGCTTTATGACGACATTCTTCATACCTATCCAGGACAGCGCTCCACATATTTACGTTTCGGCACTTCCGTTTACTCCTAAAAAGTCCCCTATACATATCGAGGGACTAAAGAGATTCAAGAACACCTTGGCCGTGACCCAAGGAGTTGAGCCCATGTATCCTGGGCTGCCCACAATGCTGCGAGGTCACGAGCACTCAGTCATGACTGTGAAATTCTCGCCAGATGGCTCACGAATCATCTCTGGCTCGCTGGACAAGACGATCAGAATGTGGGATGCAGAGACTGGCCAACAGTTGGGAAAGCCATTCGAAGGCCACGAAGACTGGGTCTTGGCCGTCGAGTTTTCTCCTGATGGCTCACAAATTGTCTCTGGCTCGAGAGATCAAACAGTCCGAGTGTGGGATGCAGCGACCGGTCATTTGCTAGGAGAGCCACTCATAGGCCACGAAGGCGAAGTTTCCGCCATCGCAATCTCGCCAGACAGTTCGTACATAGTTTCTGGCTCGTCCGATAAAACAATCCGACTGTGGGACGCAGCCACTGGCAAGTCGCTGGGAGAACCACTCGTAGGCCATGAGTATGCAGTCGAGGCGGTCGCGTTCTCACCAGACGGTTTGCGAGTCATTTCTGGCTCGGACGATGGGACGATCCGACTCTGGGATGTCGATACTAGGAAGCCACTGGGAGAGCCAATCGAAGGCCATGAAGATGCAGTCAGGGCAGTCGCATTCTCTCCAGACGGTTTATTAATTGCGTCGGATCGAAGGATAACACCATCCGACTATGGGATGCGAAGACTGGTCAGCCGTTGGGAGATCCGTTTGAAGGGCACAGGTCCTCAGTTGTGGCCGTTGCATTTTCTCCAGACGGTTCACGAATCGTTTCTGGATCATGGGATTATACTCCGGCTGTGGGATGTAAATACCGGCCAGCCTTTAGGAAGGCCGTTCGAGGGTCATGAAGAGGGGGTCTACACTGTGGCATTCTCTCCAGATGGCTCACGAGTCATCTCTGGCTCGAATGATGACACGATCCGATTGTGGGACGCAGAAACTGGCCAGCCATTGGGAGAGCTACTCGAAAGCGAAGATGATACGGTGAACGCAGTGCAATTCTCGCGAGATGGCTCACGGATCGTCTCTGGCTCAAATGACGGGATGGTCCGAGTGTGGGATGCAGTGACCGGTCAGTTGCTGGGAGAACCACTCTTCGGTCACCTAGACCATGTTTTGGCCGTCGCATTCTCTCCAGATGGTTCACGCATCGCCTCTGGTGGAGCGGACAAGTCGATCTACTTGTGGAATGTGGCGACTGGAGATGTAGAAGAGTTAATAGAAGGCCATATAAGCGGAGTCTGGGCGATAGAATTCTCGCCAGACGGTTCGCAAATCGTTTCTAGCTCGGGCGACGGGACGATCCGATTGTGGGATGCTGTTACAGGTCAGCCCTTAGGAAGACCGCTTAAGGGCCACGAAAGCAGTGTCTACGCTGTCTCATTCTCTCCGGACGGTTCCCGACTTGTGTCTGGCTCGGCCGACCAGACAATCCGACTGTGGAATACAAAGACTGGCCAGCCTTTAGGAGAGCCACTCGAAGGCCATGACGACACAGTATGGGCCGTAGAATTCTCTCCGAACGGCTCTCAAATCGTTTCCGGCTCGAGTGACGGGACAATCCGACTGTGGGATGCCGAGGCTAGGAAACCATTGGGAGAACCACTCAAAGGCCATGAAGGCGCAGTTTGGGATGTAGCATTCTCACCAGATGGCTCAAAAATTGTCTCCTGCGCGGAAGACAAAGGGATTCAGTTGTGGGATGCAACGACCGGCCAGCCGTTGGGAGATTTCCTCATAGGCCATGTAGGCTCAGTATCGGCTGTCGCATTCTCGCCAGATGGTTCACGCATTCTCTCTGGCTCAGCAGATAACACAATAAGATTGTGGAATATCGACACTGGTTAGTGCGGATTCGGTTTACGGGATTTAAACTGAAGTGCTGTTAGATGTGGAGGCAGAAGAATCCAACGCGGATACTTCAGAGTCCAACGCGGATACTTCAGAATCCAACGCGGATACTTCAGAATCCAACGCGGATACTTCAGAATCCAACGCGGATACTTCAGAATCCAACGCGGATACTTCAGAATCTGAAGACTCAGGTTCCAGCGGGGATTTGGGGGATGCTCCCGTCGAGATCGAGGTTCCTGGATTCGAACAGTGCTTACTGATGCCAGACGGTTGGGTGAAATCTTCCGGTAACATTCTCTTTTGGGTACCACCGGATAACCGACACGGGCTACAATACCAACATATTCTGACTCTCCCAACGACGAGTTCGTTCCGTGCAACCAAAATCGACTTCACCCGTTTCCAATGTGGTCCATCTTGGACAAGTGTTAGTGTAAATAAATAGCCTTCAATAAGTCGTTGCACCTGCTTTCATGACCAGGGAATCTTAAGATATTCATGACAAGCCGGCTAAAGCCACCGTATAATTGGCATGGACTCCTCTATCTATGCCTTCTCCTGGTTGGAGACCGAAGGTCTCTCCGTGTTGCGAGAGACAGACGAAGGACAGATAGCGTCATGTAAAGTAGATAATGTAACCTGTTATTGAGCCAATGGGCCTACGTACAGGTGACGAGTAAGCAGGTGGCAAGCCAAGCGAGAGGCTCCGCCACAGCGAAGATAGGCGAACGTCGCGCCCCAACAGAGTCACTACACCAAACAAAGACCCCGAACGCCGTCTGTTCACACACCGCGCTCTAGGCAATGCTCAGCAAACGAAGGAGGGAGTGGTGGGCCACTTCCACCCGTTGGGTGCCCCAACTAAGAGTTAACGGTGCGCACCGGCAGAAGCTGACCCCACAATGATTAACCTCTACACGAAAAGGATGAGACACCGATGCAGCTTACTATGCTGACATCGAGTTCATCTTGCGCGACCAGAATCAATTTACCCCGTTCCAATCAGCCTTCTCTTGGACAAATTTTGCGGACGAGGAAGTGAATTGTAATATTCATGTCATTCCCAACATATGGCGAGATGAACGAGGAAATTTCAGGGCCAAAGCCAGGGTAAAGTAAAACATTATGCTTCTCCAATAGAGGTACCGAAACTATGCGTCCGCTGTCCAGGGACTCGTCACTCTCACGCTGGGTGCGACAAGAATCGGAGCGTATTGCTTTGCCATCGCAGCCGTACCAGCAGGGAACGGTAATCCGAGCACACCTCGTCCAAGACCCTTGTTGACCTCTGTCTTCCCTTCATCTTTACCACCTTTCGGCGGCGGAACTTGAAGACGCCCATTAGCAAGTCGAGCATAGGGTAGAGTAGTGCAACTTACGAGGTTTTCCGGCAGCATCCAAGGTCACCCATTCACCTTCACCACCAGACTTGAGATGGAGTCGGAGCACCTCGCTCTGGAGTCTCTTCTTCGCATCGGTAATATACACAGGAGTCCGCCCATCGTCCGGTCCAGGAACGTTTCCCTATGGAGGATGAGCATTTCATATTTGTATAGAATTGGAGCGGACCTTGACGAAGATCAGGTTCAAGTGCGTATCAACTCGGACGACGTAAAGGTTTTGCATAGTGCGTCGTTTCCCACCCATACGTCCCGGCATCTTTGTGCCTGGCCACACGCGACCTGGATCTTGGTGTTGACCAGTCGATCCAGGAGTACGATGAGCGAGAGAGTTTCCGTGACTGGCGGTGCCTCCAGAGAAGCCCCATCGTTTCATTACACCTTGGAAGCCTTTACCCATCCTATCCCCAAGTAAGATTTTTATCGCGTCTCAAATGACAGTGTACGTACGTGGTGGCCTGAATATCGACATATTGGCCGGGCACAAAGTGGATTGATGATAGTGCAGTTCCTTGAATGCTGATGAAGTAGAAATTCATAGACAAAACACATCGACAAGTACCCAATGGAAGATGCGCGTCTTCGGATACCTCAAACTCTTTGACATATTGTTTGCATGGAACCCTGCTTTGCGGAAGTGACCGCGCATTCCAATATGAGCCTTTTCGGGTGATATATTCCTAGCACCAATCTAAAAGGCGAGAGTGAGAACAATAGCCCCTGGCCGACATCTCGTAAATACCTGAACGGCTCTGTATGGTGGACGGTTTCCAGATCGAACAGTCAAGATATTCGCCGTTACTTGATTATCCTCGACCTATCTTCATTGAGAGTTGTCGTACTTAGACTACGGATGACTTACTTGGAGGACCGTAACAGGGACTCGGATCCCCTTCTCGTCCCAGATCGCTGTCATCCCCTTCTTTACGGCAATGAGACCCACTCGTCTCGATTTTGGGGTCCATTCCCGAGGAGCGGTCAGTCCCTTTCCGTCTGGACTGACGACCACTTCCGCAGGGTCTGGCAGAGGCAGGATCTCTGGCTTGGGCTTTGGTTGACTCGATAAAGAGACATTTTGAAAGCGTATCCGTGCGGCGCGTGCATTCGCTTTCTTTTCATGCCATTTCCTTGTCCTTTCCATCTTCCACGCCTTGAGCATCTTTGCTCGCTCTGCAGACATCCGAGCGTCTGCTTCCGCCCTTTTGTCTGTAGCTACGTCTTCTACACTCGCCGTGGTTTCTACTCCCTCACCATGTTCTTCCGGCGGCTCGTCTAGATTCAGTATCTTTCGAGACGCGAGTACGGTATCTATTTGACGTGTCTGTGGAGATTTTCTTCGACCCAATGACAGAATTCGAGATTTTCCCGCTGCAAATATTCTTGCAAGTCCCGACAACGAAGACTTTTTGAGGCCTGGTGATGTCGAAAATGATCTCGCGGCGCGAAACGAGACCGAGGTTGTTAATGATGGTGAAGGTGAATATATTCGTCTGCTTGAAAGACCGGTAAAAGTGTGTTTGAAGTGCTGGTAGCTCCGGGTTGAAACACAACGAGGGTGTTGTTGGCATTGAAGTTGACGTGAATATGTATTGAAAGACGCATTCCCGAAACGTAATCGTTTCGGGTATACACGCAGCATTCCTGCGGACATGGAGGAGGTCAAGGTCGAAAGGCTTTCGATACCTGTCTGTGTGAAACGGTGAGGGGATTTGTTATGCAGGGTAATTGTCTTCATGAGTATTGATTATACTCCTAATTATATCTTCTGCGTATCCCAATGCTCGAGTTTTGTCTCCTCGAGGGCCGTCTACACTTGGCACCTGCCGCGACCAGGCATCGAGTTCAACACGGCCAATACCTCAAATCAATCGAGATTTAACAGGGATTCGCATCTCTACGTATTGTACACACATCCAACGGGCGAAACATTGACCAGCGGACGGTGTGCCAAAACCATTAGCCATCTCGAGTTCACCTGGAGGGTTAATTTGCGTTACAAGTGCTTATTCCTGCACTCTAATTGCCAGCAAGGACGAAGGAACCTACGACGGCACTCACAACGGGCCAGCGTCAGATCTTCAAGCTTCGGCCTGCCGCGACACCACTCGCGATCGTCCTCGGTGGTTCTATTTTCTCTCTATTTCAACATTCCATCTAACGCAGCCAGTAAGCTAAGCGAATCGACGCGAGGCCTGCCGCTGACCACGGGCTCGCATGTTCCTCCGCCAGACTAGCCAAAATTACCATAATTCTACTTTCTGACCAGATACCTCGCTTTCCGTCTCGCAACTATTCCTTGTTCACCTTTTCCTGATTTCCTCTCCGCTTCAAGACACACGACCGATCAAGATGCAAGCCCCAATGGCAACCCAAGACGAAATCCAGCGAGAAATGGATTCAATTCGCTCTATGAAGCGGATATCCTCGCAATCTGGTCCTGGTTCTCTTACCCTCGACCCAGACCTCCCGCCCCAATCGCCATCGGGCAGCTCTGTCTCCCCCGGCAATGCAGGGCGTCTATCTCCCACAAGCCACTATGCGAATCTACCTGCAATTGCTGGTTTGAATCTTCCTGGTGAGTCTCAAAACCCTTACAGATGACAACCCTCTTGGTGCTAACTTGGTCTTGTAGTCACGGGCGGTACTGGCGAACTTGTTCCTCCCCCTGTGGGCGATGATGATCTGGTCATCTCGGGTAGCACCGGTGGCAGCTTTTTCTGGGTTCCAGCGTCCTTGCATCCAGAGCTTGCGCCGAGCGAGTTTAAAGCGTTTCTTCGTGATCATATGCGAGATGCTGAAGAAGGCGGAGATGATGCCCAAAACTCGGCTGCTGGAGTTGGGAGGGTAGGCAGCATCGGTCTTCGTCGCTCGAGCTCGGGCTTGTCGCGAAGCTCGTCTGGCCTTGGCCGAAGAGGCAGTATGCTTAGTCGACAGTACCAACCAAAAGATGGCGACGACGAAGCTGATGACAAACCAGAGGAGATTAAACCAATGAGGAAGAGGAGTGTATATGCCAATGCTGAGCCTCAGCTCACCATCAAGGACCTCCAAAAGCTGGACGATTTGGCTGATGCTGCCGCTGCTGGAAAGGGCGGTGAGGCGAGCCGTATTCGCAGCCAGCTACGGCGGAGCATTAGCCTTGGATTCCCGCAGGGTACCAGTAAGTGTTTTAGTCCCAAACTACAAGGAGTGCCTCATGATTGTTGCAGGCATCGGACCCATCGAAACTGTCCCAGAGGACGAGGAGAATGCTCCCGTTATAGTACCGGCAAAGGCTCTCCAACGTACCGCGCGAACTCGCATTCGAAAGCCTGGATTGGAGGGTGATGGAAATGGACATCGATTCCCATCTGCTAGTAGACGCGGAAAGCGCGGAAAGACAATGGACGCGAGCATGTCGCATAGAGCGTTTGATGAAACCGGTCGCCCGACCAGTGACCTTACCGAACGCACATCTCTCAGCGACCAAGAGGGCGAGCCCTATCAGCGTCCTCAAGCGCCTAGCCCAGATGCCCTCGACGAAACGGACGCGATGAAGAGGCCTCGATTCGCTGGCAGAGAGGAGGAAAGGCCAGTGAGCCAGACCGAATCGTTCTACGACGCATACATTGGCGATAGCCAGGACAGCACATACTACGAGGCTAGGGAAAGTGGCACCTACGAGCCAGAAGAACCACAGCGAGTGACGAGTGCAGGTTCATATGACCGAGGAGGTGCTCTGTTCGATACAACAGACGATGATGAGCCGTTCTTCGCAGCAACTCCTTCGCATATAGAGGCCGTCATGGGAATGTCTCCGCAGCCCGTGTCTGCGCCTACTGTCGTCCTTCGCCCGCACTCACCGGAGCGAGCTGCGGAACACCTTCCGCTCAGCCAACGAAGTCCACCCGCGAGCATCGATCCACGGAATCGACTCCAAGCTCGTATCCGCGGACTGGTTCGACAGTTCCTTCGTTTGTCAAGGAGTATGGGTATCAGGCACAATATGGCCAGTCGTTGCCTGCTAATCAAACCCATCAACAGCAGCAACACCAACCGCAACAGTCATCTGTCATCCAGCAACCAACACCCAAGCGACACCTAGATGTCCCAGCTACCAATCAACAGAGTATCTCACCACCCTCCTCACCAGAGCTCGTTCGCTCCCCTTCTGTCTCTCCTTCAGCGGAGATTCCTTCTCCTTACAATCGTCCATACAGCGCTCCTCCAGTTACCTCCGAGAGGCCGTCTTCAGCCGATAAAAAGATGGAAAAGGAGAAGGAGAAGAAACGTGGTCTCTTCGGTCTAGGCCGAAGTAAAGACAAAGACAAAGAGAAAGAAAAGGAGAAGGAAAAGGAAAAGGAGAAAGAAAAAGAGAAGAAGGACAAAGAGACGCTAAAGAAACAAAAGAAGGACAAGGCAGACGCAAAGGTTGCGGCAAAAGAGGAAAAAGAGTCGAGCGGCGGTCTCTTTGGAATCGGAATCTTTGGCGGCAAGAAGAAGCAGGAGGACCCGTCTTCGAACGCCTCGAATGCGCATCCGAACGCACCTCAGGCGCGTAGTGCTGGTCACAAGGGACAGATCATGATGTTTGGTGCGACACCACCTACCCTTCCTGGCCAGTACGCCCGCTACCCGCTTCATGTCGAACGCGCGGTCTATCGCCTTAGCCACATCAAGCTTGCGAATCCCCGACGGCCTCTCTATGAGCAGGTACTCATCTCGAACCTCATGTTCTGGTACCTTGGCATCATCAACAAACCTGCAACACCACCAGCCGAACAAAACAAGCTTCCATCTCAGGGAGCGGATGGTGCAAGTCCTGCCCCTCAAAGTGGAACTGCACAACCTGCAACTACTGGTAGCCTTGCTGGAATGTCTCCTGCTCAACAAGCAGCCATCGCTCAAGCAGCTATGGCTGCTAATGCCGCCGAAGCAGCCAGGCTTGAGCAAGAGCAACGTGAGAAGGAACAAAAGGAGCGTGAAGAGCGAGAGGCCCGAGAGCGCGAATTACAGGAAAGAGAGCGAAGGGAACGTGAGCAGCGTGAGCACCTTGAACGCATGGACCGCGAACGCGCCGAGAAAGAGCGAGAAAAGGCTGCTAAAAAGGCCGGTTTGACCAAGGGAGACCGAGAGGGTCGCACACGAAAGGCGGAAACGCCTGTGCGGACGCCAAATTATGATGTTCAAAGCATGACGATGGATAATGGCTATGGCTGGGAACAAGACCGAGCGCGAGGATCTGGTCGTCCAAGCACTGCACCGTCCAGTTCGTCGAGATCTCAACCTTCGTCCCCTCAGCACACAGCTTATCATCTTCCAGTGCGAGTGCAGCAGCAGAGGGTTGGTAATGGACCTCAGCAGCCGTACTTCCATCAGCAAGATATGAACCAAGTCGTCTATCAACCCATCAATCCGTATGCTCTCCCTCCGGGTGCGAAGCCGCCTGCTCAGGTTGAAAACTCGTGGGCTGTCAACTCGGGTGTGGCTGCAGGACTTGAGAGCTCTCGAAGCTCGCCGCCTCCGAACCAGTATACGTCAGATGAGCGACCTCGACCGATGCGTAGTCCACCTCCACAGGAATATCTCTCAAATGGGGCAGCAGGTAGGCCAACTCGATCTCTTTCCGCCACTGCGACCAAGGGACCTGCATCGTCGAACCAATCCGGCAGGCAAGAATATGATCGCCCACTACACCAACCCTCACAAAGTGCGGATCGCGGATTAGATACGCTCAGTGGTGGACAGCAGCCGCAAGCTAGCTCGGGTGGTGGGAGACTCCAGAAGAAGTCTACTGGAAACGTCAGTCCACCGCCTGGTGACGGTACGATCCCGGCATCGAGAAGACGAAGGAGTACAGAAGCTGGAAGAGGCGATCGGAGGGGCATAGTCGAGCCAGACTTGTCGTGGCTCCCCGACCAGAGCCAGTTGGGGTGAGTAATTGTGGGAATGAAGTGAAGTTGGGCTAATTAAGATCACAGTTATAACCAACAACAGCCCGTCGCCTATGGAGCGTCCTCTGCTTCGCAAGGTCAGCAAGGCTACACATCGTATCGGTGATGCGATCCTATTTTCCATCTCTCCTCACGAACATAGCTCTGCGGACAATTGTTTTGTATCTCCCACCCACGTCTGTACCTCCCGGAACTGTGGCTCTTCTCCTTTGACGCTCGTCTTGCACTTTCACGAACCTTTTATTCACTACTACATTATCCTTTGAATCGGTAGCTTTTTTGCCTTGACCTCTACCAGCCACTGGCTTTGTACATATGATTGGTATCTCATCTTCGTAGTGACGAATTGTCCGAGTTGTCAATCTTCTTCTGCTCGTGTGCCGTGCGATTGCTGCGACTTGCTGCGTGTCGACAAGTTTGAACTCTACCGCAATGGCGGACACCCAGCTACCAATCGTCGTCGACAACGGCACCGGTGTTTGTGTTATCAAATCTTGTGTCTGGGTATCTCTAAGTACTGTTTCAGTTTGTTAAAGTCGGCTATGCTGGCTCCAACTTTCCTGAACACGGTGAGCCACCGAGCGATCTCGCAAACCCGCGACGATGGCACGACGAATGCTGATGGATCTCTCACTAGTATTCCCCTCCATCGTCGGTCGACCGATTCTTCGTGCAGAAGAGCGGCTGGGTACTGCGGAAATCAAGGACATCATGGTTGGCGACGAGGCCGAGCAGTTTCGAAACTATCTGCAGCTATCGCAGCCGATGGAGCACGGGATCGTCAAGAACTGGGAGGATATGAAACATCTATGGGATTATACGTTTAACGAAAAGCTAAAAGTCGATCCTCGCGGTCGAAAGGTCCTTCTCACCGAGCCACCGATGAATCCGACAGCGAATAGACAGCGAATGTGTCAGGTCATGTTTGAGGAATATGGCTTTGATGGCGTTCACATCGCCGTACAGGCGGTACTGACGCTGTACGCTCAAGGCAAGTGGCCATGACTGTATCTAGGACTATATTGACCATGATGAATATAGGTCTGCGAACTGGAGTCGTCGTGGATTCTGGAGATGGTGTCACTCACATCATTCCGGTGTACGAAAGCTACGCTATGCCGCATTTGACAGGCCGTCTGGACATCGCTGGTCGAGACGTCACGCGATATCTTATCAAGCTCCTTCTTATGCGAGGTTATGCCTTCAACCGTACCGCCGACTTTGACACGGTTCGACAAATCAAGGAAAAACTGTGCTATGTGAGCTACGATTTGGCGCTCGATTCGAAACTCTCAGAAGAGACAACGGTACTCGTAGAGAGCTATACGGTCCGTAGAGTACTCGAAGGGTGAGTTGTCACTTAATAAGATCTGCAGCTTCCCGACGGGCGAACAATCAAGATCGGCTCCGAGCGGTACGAAGCTCCTGAATGCATGTTCCAACCACGTCTTGTCGATGTCGAGCAACCGGGAGTAGCTGGTGAGCCATGTGCTCGAATCATCGCTCGGACCCGACTGACGGCTCCGTAGAAATGCTCTTCCAATGCATCCAGAATGCGCCACTCGATGTGCGACCGGAGCTCTATCGTCATATTGTTCTCTCGGGTGGCTCGACCATGTACCCAGGATTGCCGAGCCGTCTAGAAAAGGAGATGAAGCAGCTTTATCTCGCAAATGTCTTGAACGGGGATCCATCGCGTCTCAGCGTGCGTGTGACTCGGTGCCTTTAGAGAATTTGCTAAAACCACAGACAGAAATTCAAGATTAAGATCGACGACCCCCCGAGCCGCAAGCACATGGTCTACCTAGGAGGTGCGGTCATTGCAGATATCATGAAGGAGCGAAATGAGTTTTGGATCACTCGAGAGGAGTGGTACGAGTTGGGTGCTGCGGCTGCAATGGAGAAATTGAATAGGAAAGAATAGATAAAGGGGTTCTGTGCATATCCGGCGGTGCGCCGAGTCATGATCAGATACCAAAGATGTCGCTCGGACTTGTACCTAGGGTACGGGGGTTTCGTCGATGACTCGGCGGATAGCCCCCCCAGGAGGTATAAAAGGCCGCTTTGCAACGACGATCCTCTGCTCCCCCCAACTCGAATCCCTTCGCAATAGCTAGCATCTCTCCAGGTTCTAACCAGACAAATCCTGTATAAGCTCCCAATGACATCCGTTGCTAAAGCCGAGTTTGACTCGGCATTCTTTGAAGTGAAATCCACCTATATCAGGCTGCTTGCTAGTGATAGCAGCGCCAGACCATCGATACCTGAGACGAGAGTGACCAAAGACGGCCTTGTGTCCAAGGTCGCACTGGACGGAGATCCAGAGTGTGACAGACGAAAGAGAAAGTGGAAGCAGAAGATTGGACGCTGCTTGGGTGAGCAGTATCTCGCGCTCGAGATTACGGGCTCGCGCAGTGAAGATGACAGTGGCTGGCCGCTAACTCGCTTTGCTGACCCATTTACAGCGACGAGACAGTACCAGCTCGTCGATTTCCCTGACAACTATGTATTCTACGTCAAGCAGAGGGCGAAGAATCCGAAGAGCTGGGATGCCCATCTTCGAGGGGGAGGACACGATTGGCCTTCTCCACAGCAGTTTGTACGCCATGCAGCCTGGATTATGGCGGGTATGCCTCCAGAAAAGTGTGCATGCAACCAGTGCAATCGCAACGTGCCGCAGCGATATCTCAACGAGTTGTTGAAGAGGAGAAAGGACAAGCTGAGGCGAAAGATATTAAAGTGCAAGAGGAACGATAGACCGATCGAGAGGCGGTTGAATGCTGTAGATAATAAAGCGTTTCTGAGGATATCTATTCCTCTATGAGTTCAACCACACATAATGTTATTTATGCGTTTCTATTTATTCTAATTTATTCCCAATCGTCTGGATCTGAATTATCTAATTGTGGGAGCATGAGAGGACGGCTTGTTCATTACTGATCGATGCGCCGTACAATATCTTGTAAGCTCCTGTACATGCATCATTATCACTTTAACACTCTGAGAATTATAGAAACATGCTGCTATGTGAGTTACCGTTTGCGCTCGATTTAAAAGCTCTCAGAAGCGACGCAGCCGCGGCGCCCGGGCACATATCGAGCGGGTAATCGCCAAATTTTCTCAAATTGGCAGTTCCGATCCCGTTCGTCGGTCGGTCGCGACTCGTGGCTGACCAAGCTGCCTGCGGAAGGATGACTCAGTGCACAGCCACATCCGTCAGTATAAAAGGGCCACTTTCGACGGCTGATTTTCGTCTCCCCCAACTCGAAACAGCTAGTGAATCCCACTGCGATACTTCCCTAGATACAAACTAGTGTTGGATTCCTTGTAATAAGCGACTGTTAGAGTAGCCAAACGTCACCAGGGAATTTCTACACGCCCTTCTAAACCACATAGCATAAACAAATAAATACAGCAAATTTCTGTATAGCCGCCGCTTCGAACTTTACATCATAATCGCAGAAATTTCCCCTATCAGCGACCTTGCAACGCAAAACAGAAACAGCAAGTGCCTATGAAAGTCCGCTATCCCAACCGACTTCTACCAGTCTGAACGATAGATACGGAAAGTACCAGTTTACCAAACCAATCTAAACACCAAGTCCCTTTTCAAGTTCGAGGAACGACATCAATTATGAAACCAGAAGGTGGCTCGGCGTTCTTTGAAGTGAATTCCAACTACATTAGATTAATGGCTAGTGATAGCCAAACCAGACCATTGGTACCTGTGACCACAGTGACCAAAGACGGCCTTGTATCCAAGGTCGCAACCAAGGGAGATCCAGAGTGCGACAAGCGACGTATAAAATGGAAGCGCAAGATTGGCAGGTACTTGATTCAGCACTTGCCTATACTTGAGATCACGAGCGGAGGCTGCTCACTTGATGATCCATTTACGGCTGCGAAGGGGCACCAGCTCGTCAATTTCCCCCGTAATTATGTATTCTTTGTCAAGCAGAGGGCAAAGGAACCCCATGTTTGGGATGCCCATCTTCGAGGGGGAGATCACGACTGGACGTCTCCAAGGCAGTTTTTGCTTCATATAGTGTGGATTATGTCTGGTATGCGCGCAGGTGACTGTGGTTGTAATCAGTGCAATCTAGGGATCCTGCAAGGTGAACTCAACAAGCACCTGAGGAAGCGACTCAGAAAGCTGAGGGACAAGAGAGTGAATATTGAGAAGGGAATCAGATTCAAGGGATTGTTGAAGCCATCTATTCCTGTGTTTACAAAGTGAAAATAGGATTTCTTTCTTGACTGAGTCTGAAATTGTCTCCTGAGCCCCGCACATTTCTTGACCCTGCCCGCCACCTTGTCAACGGCTGGCGACATCGTGGAGCGCAATGTCTTCGGTGCTGACGACGGTCCAGAAGACGCAGATTGTAGTTTCTGCGCATTCCGACGACGAAGAGCCTGATCCAGAGCGTCGACAGACAAAAGGCCAGCCGTCGTCACCGCTCAACACGACATCGACGAGCGCAGCACGCGGTTCAGAACTCAGCCCGCTCTCTCACAAGTATCCCCATACACGTTCGTGCTTACTCGGCATTATTCGCGAATATCGGCTCGATAGCGACGCTGACAACGACGAGACGGAGAGCCTGCTCCACCAATTTGTCACGTTTCTCAAAGATGACAATCCAGAAGAACTCAGGAATACACTCAAAGCCAGCATTGAACTCTCCGAGGACGCTGTAAGCACCCGTTGAGCGCTTGCGCGTTGCTCTTTTTTACCGTTCGCTCATGACTTTTAATTTCTAGGCTGATCAATGCATCCTCGACTTGATGCATGCTCACCGTGACGACCTCAACCAGGCGCCGCTCACCGTGTTGCATGCGGCCAAGCGCCCCATTTCCCGTCCATCCTCGCGCGCATCAACACACTCTTTTCGTCTTAATCGCCCAGAATCTCCTTTAGGCACTTATGGTGTATCCACTGGTTCGGCACCGAGCTCGCCAAAGCCCATCCAGCTCGCCTTTAGACGTCCCCATACTCCCGTAACAAGTCCCCTAGTATCCAACTTGCACTCGAATGCAACGTCATATATAACAGCTCAAGGCGTCACTGCGTCTCCAACATCTTCTCCAACGTTGCCGCATGCTGCCGTCCTCAATTTGGCCGCTGCGAGTCCATCCTCGTCGCCCTTGAGTAGCCCACGCTTTCTCAATGCAAAAGAATTCAAGCCAGTTAGGCAAATGTCGCTGGGATCTACCCCCAGCACACCCTCCCAAGACGTTTGGTCGTCCAATGTACCCCCAAGTTCATTAACCCGCACCTCGTCCAATCTCGCAGTTGCACCCCCGCTCGTTCTCACTCCTCGAAGCGCAACTCCCGTCAGCGCTGCAGTTGCTATCCCCTCACGACCGGGATCGTCACTGGCGGCACCCTCTCGACCACCGTTTGACGATGAAGACGACGACGAGTTCTCCCCATTCTCCAAGCCAAAGCCTATCCTCTACAAGGGTTCGGCCGGTCAGGCACACCCTTCGTCAGAGGGCACTGGCGGAACGTCCGAGAAATCCGCATCGTCCCCGTCCAACTCGTACAGCCGTCCCATGAGTAATGACGACGAGCATTACTCCTCTGGACTCAGCAACGATAACCATCGCATCTACGCATACAACCCAGAAGATGGCGACGACTCTGCATGGCTGAGAAGGGAATATCGACCGTTCCGACCCTCTGATCGACAGTACGATAAAGATCAGGAGCGTAAGATGGAAAAGGATGCGGTAGATCCTAGTATTCCCGAAGGAATGACGCCGCTGGATGTGCTCGTCTCCGTCTTTGGTAGCACAATGGCGCCTGCAGAGCTAGAGCACCTTCTCGCACAGCACTCATGGAATTTTGAAGACACGATGCAGTTCCTCATCGAACGTGGTCCCAACGCACGTCCCCATACACCAAATGGCGGCGAGTTTCCAAATGGTCGAAGCGGGAATTACGAAGAACGGCCATCGACATTTGTCGGCCGACAGGTGCATGGCAAAGGCAATTTCCCCTATGGACCCGGCCCTCCAGTACGTCAAATGAGTCGACCCGGACGCGTTTGTCGTTACTTCCTTGCCGGAGAGTGTCTACGTGCCGATTGTCGATTCAGGTGAGGATCACTGGCGCTTGGTCAACCCAATCTGACCTAATCTTTGTCCTAAGCCACGACTTGGATCGGGCTCTTTGTCGATTCTGGCTTCGCAACGCGTGCGCCAAAGGAGAAAACTGCGAATTTATGCATAGACTTCCTCCAAACATGGTCAGTCCTGGGCCCTCTCAACCGCATCAACCGCCATTTGTCGTGAATCCCAATGCGAATGGGAGAATGCGCTTCGACAGATCACCATCTCGTTTTGATGACGATGGAGACCGTTTACGTGCTTCTCAGGAAGAAGAATTCCCTGCGCTTGGAACGACTCCCGAGGAGAGGGACAGGGAAAAGTTTGGTGATCGATCCACCATGTCCCGTCAAGGCAGTTACAATGACCCGTCTCGATCTCGTTTCGCTACGGCAGTCAAGAAACCTACTCAATCTGGACCTGCTCCTTTGATTGTCACTGGCGCCAAATTTGCTGTCACGCCTTCTGCAGACGACAGTCTCGTCGACTCCCCCGTGTCGGCATCGGTCATTACGCCACGACCATCCCCTAGATTCAAACTGCATCCATCGACTCTACTTCCGACCTTGCCGACGGGAGACTCGTTGAACAAGCTCTACATGACCTATCGCGAGCGCCCGCTCCAGCTCCAAGCTGCTAGAAATGCATGCCTCGCGCGCGCTGCAGATGCGTGGAGAAGAAACGACGGTGCTGGAGCGAAACGTTTCAGCCGTGATGCGAATGATCTCAATGTCAAAATGGCGGGTGAAGCTCGGGAGGCGGCCGGACGACTTGTCAAGGAGCGTACTCGATTGCTCGTACAAGAGGTCGTTGCAAAGCGTCCTGGAGGTGGAGCGGGAAGGCTCATTGGATCTGGTCTTGGTGTCGTCCTTGGTGTCGCGAGTGGTGATGGTGCGGCAAAGGTGGAGAGTGACGAGATGAGGACAGAAGTCGCCATTGATCTGCATGGGCTTCACGCTGCCGAGGGAGTCGATTACCTCGAAGAATTTATACTTTCATTGGAGACGGAGCGCTTCCTTGGACTGAGTGAGCAAAACTTGTTAACAATTTTCTTTCCGTCACTCACATGTTTTACAGCGTATGTCATTGTGGGAGAAGAGAAGCACACTGGGACGCAGGACCCGTCTAGAGGCGCATCCAAGCTTCGCTTGGCTCCCGCCATCAAGGAATGGCTCCATCGGTGGGGGTACCCCTGGAACGAGTGGAATGGAGTCATTTGCGTCGACTGCCTCACTCATTATTAGATTAGATTAACGTCGCTTCAACTCGACGTCGTCGCAAGTCCGTATTTCCCCCCCTTCGCTTTTTCTCTCTCTTGCAAAGTTGCATTCCGCACGGGGCCTTTTGTAGTTTGTCCTTCCTGCATCCTTCGTGTTGGATTGCTTGTTTCGTCGATGCGTTTTCTTCTGCTGTCGTGCCAACGTTCAAGGGAGCAGGCGAACGGGTCGGCTTTACTTTATCCGTGGGGAGGACTGTACGAACTGGATTGTAGTAGCTACTGGAATAAAAGACGAACAATATCTTCTTTCTTTCTCTTGGCGAGTAAGTCGTCGCCGTATCTATCCTCGACATTCCCGGCGCCTATTGGATCCATGCGGCCGCGTCTTCCAAGAAGGCATTGCTTAGATGTGTATAATATCGATGAGAAATACCACTAATATGCCATATCAATAGACGTCGCGTTCGACGAATCATCGCGCACGTGGTTCACGCATTTTGCATCCGACCACACCTGCCATGCAGCACAACCTCACGAAATCACTTCCAACTGAGCTTTGGTTGGACATTTTCGAGAAATCAACGGAGCTTCCCGGATTTCACGAAATGAACATTGATCCAGAGATCCTTTATGCGCAAACCCCGGATCTAAGGCGCCCTTCCCCTTGTCATTCAGACATTCTTCGAGGCGTGATTGAGACACGTCGAAGGATCATACTCGTATGCAGGCGGTGGTATCAAATGGGCGTTCGTCTCCTTTGGTCGCATCTTGTCATTTGGCGAGGGCGTTCCGTGGCTAGCGATTCTCCACTAATCCCCAGCGCGGCGCTAGATATATTACTTGACAATATGATCAATCTACGCTACATATCGCGTCTTACTCTCCTTAACGAGGATAGGGAATATTGTGACCGGCACCGGAACAGCGAGCAGAATTTAAAAGTTCTAAAAGAAATTAAGAGTCTTCATACAGTACAATGCAGCATGGATCTATTAGCTCGGGTCGAGGATGCTTTTGTGAAAAGCAAGCTCCTCCGTGTTTATGCACAAGTCGACTATGATCGTTTCTATGCGATTCCTATGCAACGTCTTCTACAAAGCAACCATATAAATTGCCTTGATATAACGATAGGGTATAACCGGCTGGGCCTCCGCTATGAACAGCAGTTTCCACAGCTGACCACACTAAGGGTGAACTATCAAGTCTTCTCCTCTGGTTGGGAGCATTTTGGGAGATTCATTTCAACTCCAAAACTGAGGAACTTGTGCATTCGAGGGTTTGGAAATTTGTGGCACCCTGACAGGTTTCCAAGGGAATGCTTTGGAACGCTTCGCGTTTTGGAGGTCGTCCAAAATTCTAGGCAGTATTTTGATCCACCAAATATCGTGCTTCAATTTCCGTGCCTTCATACTCTCAGAGTGAGCATCCCTTCGCCCGTTCCACTAAAGGCTATTCGATGCGGCCGACTTCAACGATTCGACTTAACTCATCCATTTCTCACTATTAGCGACGCTTATGCCAATATTGCTGAGGCACTCAGCAAATTTCCTTCCATCACCGACGTAACCATCTACCATGATCAGTTCTCTAGCGATACCCCCGTTTTTGGACTATTTTCAAGTCTTACAGCTCCAGACGATGACACGATATCCTTCTGGAAATCAAAGGGGGTGACCGTGGTATTCAGCCCTGAATTGCTACCGTTTAATCATGCCCAGGACCGACTTCTTTGCTGCGCTCAGGCCATTGCTGGTGTTGGGTCACCGGACTATATCAATTATACATATCTCAAACTGGAGCAGTTTCCTCGACCATGCCTTTGGCGGGCTTGCTGCACGACTGACAGTGACGACACTGCGTGGACAGCGACATATCCGAGTCAAGAAGGCGCTCGGAACGCCGCGACTAAACGTATGCTGAAGATCATGGAGGCCAGGCTGCGGAGGGAGAAGGGTGATTGGGCGGACTATTACGACTCGTCGGATTTCGAGAGCGATTCCATAGATGAAATGGATAAATCAGACTGAGATAAAGGAAGTGATTTGATCGCGGTCACCAGAGTTGCAGTAGAGTATCGTTAGTAATAGATAATAGATCAGCTCCTGTCGTCACACAAGCTCACTCCGAACTCGATTGTGCGAGTGATAACGTAGCGCGGGTGATGGCCCAGGAGGCTGGATGTTGCCGGTTTGTCACGCGTACCACAGGATGCTCAGACCATGTACAGAACCTTGTTACCGAAGGCACAACGTAACCGAGAATTCGGAACGATAGAAGTGGAGAAATGTCAATGAAACCTCAAATGAATGTAGAACTTGAGCACAGGGGACGCTGGCATGTAGAGGAGGGGGCCGGATCTGATGCCGAAGGACGAGTGCATAAGTGCAAGTGCTTTGATATTTACTCGTTCGTTTATTACGCACTCGAGGCAACCTTTGCGCTTTATGCAATTTAGTAGGAATAGGCTTGGACTGCTATCTTCATCTCACACTATTACCTTATTTTCTATAAGGTACTGTTGCACAGGTGACCACGCGGTTTACACATGTTGAACCCCACTACTACTCGGAGTGAACGCATGGGCCGACTCCTCGCCCTTCTCAAGCTCAAAAGAAAGAAAAGCTTGGAAACATTGTTACCCGATGAGCTCTGGGTGGATATTTTCGAGAAATCCTCGGAAGTTCCCGCGATAGATATCGATCCAGACACCCTCTGTGCACAAGCTCCAGAAATAAGACGCCCATCACCGTGGCACTGGTCCAACATACAGCGGGCAATTAAGGCACGTCGGAATATTGTACTCGTCTGCAAGCGATGGTATAGGATCGGCATTCCAGTGCTTTGGTCCCACCTCATCATCTGGCGGGGACAGAATGCGAACGACGAGTCTCCATTGATTCCCGAGGAGCTTCTCAATACTTTACACAGTAACTGGAGTCGCCTACGCTATATATCGTGTCTCACCCTCCTTAACGAGGGCCAGGACAAAGACGAATATGACAGACACGACGAACGATGTCAGGTGGTCCTCAAACAAATCTCAAACCTTCATACGATCCGATGCAAAGGTGGCCTTCTACCTCGGCTTGGCGAGACCTTTGCGGACGGCAGAATTCGTCGGTTGTACACTGACTTTTCTGGTAACCAGACGGTTCAAGTACCCTGTATTCGACACAGTAACACCCTTACATACCTTGATATCCATAACCCTGCTTGCACGAGCCTGATATTTCAACACGAACAGCAATATCCACAGCTGATAACGTTACGTGTCTGTTGCGACGTCGAATCCTCAAACCCAAAGTATATCGGAACTTTTATTATCGCCCCGAGGCTCCGAAACCTCTTTATTAGTGGGTTCAAGGAGAAATGGAACCTCTCTTGCTTCCCGAGGGAGTGCCTTCGGAGCCTTCGCGTCCTGGAGGTGGTTGGGACATGTGTTGACGCGGAGCCTATCGAACCAAATTCCGTTGATGAATTGCCCTTGCTTCATACACTCCGCGTCAATGTCCCCTCACCTTTCCCAATGGAGGCTATTCGATGCCCACAACTTCAAAACTTCCATTTGATTCCTCCATTCTTCACTGTCGGCCTTCATGGCCAGATCGACGTGGCCATTCGGTCCTTCCCTTCGATCATCAATGCGAAGATATATCATGATCAGTTCTGCAAGAATACGCCCGTTGAACGATTATTTAAGAGCTATAGTGATAGAATATCTCGCTGGACGCCAGAGGGGCCGACTATCTCATTTGACCCTCCATTGCTACCATCTTCACATCCCCACGATCGAGTGCTTTGCCTTGCTGAGGAGTATAAGAGGTCGGATCTATGCCGTATCAAATACGGATATTTCAAGGCAGATAAATCATTTGGGCGCACTCGTTGGTACGCTTGGTGCCGGGTAGATGGCCTAGATACGGGCTGGACAGAGGCATATCTGAGTCGAGAAGATGCTCGAAACGCTGCGGCCGTGCGCATGGCTGAGCTTTTGGAGGCAAGAGGCCCCAAAATCTCTGCTGTATACTGTTGGGGGCCCCTTCCAGATGACTGGTAGCCAGACTCAATGCAGGCCATAGTAGCTTTAATATTTGTAAAATGTATAAATATCTGACCATTTATGGTCGAAATATATGAAAAAACCATGACTTGAAATCTGTACCATTAGAAAAGAAGAGTTCTAAACCACAAGAACATTAGATTGCACCTCGCGCAGCGGCACATTTCCACCACGTAGCAATTACTTGATAGCGCGCATCAGTATGTATATCTCCACCATCACCGATAGGTCCAACTGCAGATGTCCCCCTGAGCCCTCCTCGATTGCACCTTGGAATGTCAGATATAGACGTGGGTGAGTAGCTCAAACTTACCCCATGCCAAACTGATAGCCCTTTGCTGTACCTGCCATAAATTCGAGGTCCCAGCTCAATTGATCCTACCCGCAGATTCCACCAGCCTAATGCCACGCACAATCAGGATGTTCACAACGCCACCAACCGTCTTCTGGGAGCAGAGCGGGCAGGCAAATCAACAAATGAAGTTAACCTTGAATGCAACAGGAGCGATGCATAGACAAACAGAGTAACCTTGATTATGTTGACTCACTTGGACGAGCCAAAAGCCGGCAGGGAACCACGTGTTTACGAGTGAACAGTTTATTTATGAATATTATAGACGATATTAAGGTTAACGATGTCTCGATTATTTATGTTTGTGTCGCTGTGGCCATCCTGCGATTCCCGCATGTTGAACCCGACCACAACCACGAAGGAGCGCATAAGGCGCATTCTTGTCTTGCTCAAGCTCAGGAGGAAGAAGGAGAAGCCAGCGATATTCACAGCCCACCTCAGTCCAGAATCAACGCACGCTGAACCTGACCGCAACTCTGAACATGAACATACCCGAACCCGGTCAACAGCGCAGCACATCTATGAAGAGCCCAATGGTGATCCTGAGGCCGGCTCTGAAGAAACACCTAGTGGATCGATTCATTCAGCTTGTACCCAAATAAGCGACGGCCCTTCAGTATCACCCACAGCATATCCCAATCTGGAGAAACTGCTCCCAGACGAGCTCTTGTTGAATATATTAGAGATTTCTACGGAATATTGCGGATACATCGGGATGGACATTGACCCAGAAGTCCTTTATGGGCAAACTCCAAATCTACGACGCCCACCGGGCGCTGGGTGGGACATCCTGCGGCAAATCCTCAAGACACGTCTAACTACTGTACTCGTATGTAGACGTTGGTACAGGATTGGCATCCATCTCCTTTGGTCTCATCTCATAATTCAGCGGGGTCTTCGTGCATGCGACAAGACCTCTCCACTGATTCCTTGGCATATAGTCGGCACTTTGCTTGAAAATCCAAGATATTTACATCATGTATCACACATCACCTTCCTTAATGCGGGGAACGACAATCCCATCTATGACAGACACGATGAATGGACTATGGAAGTTCTTAACAGGCTCCCGAATCTTCGTCGACTAAGATGCAGTAGTAGCCTCCTATGTCGGCTTGGAGATAAGGCCTTTCCAGCGAGCAAAATCAATCGAATACGCACATGGTTCTCTGAGGACGTCACGATGCCATATATACCGCAAAAAGAGAGCATATCCTGTCTTGAGATCCTTTTATACTCTTCGACGCAGTTGCAATTTCCACAAGTGCAGGAATTTCCACAATTGACAACGTTGTATATCAACCAGGAGAGAGACCCTTGGAGATCGGCATATTTTGGACCATTTATAATCGCCCCAAAGCTCAAGACCCTCTGCATACAACTGCCCAATCAGGCATGGTCCATCGATTATGGTTTACCCAGAGAATCCTTTCGCACTCTTTGCGTCTTAGAGGTGGTCGGGACAGACCGTAAGGGTGGGCCGCCTAACTCTGTAACAAGCGTTCGCACACTCCCCTTGCTTCATACGCTCCGTATCAGCCAACCCGCGCCCATGTCACTACAGGATATCCAATGCCCGCGGCTTCAATACTTCCAATTGACCCCACCATTCCTTGATATCGAAAACACCTATGGTACCATCACCGAGGCCATCAGTACGTTTCCTTCGATCGTCAAAGTTACGATATACCATGATCAATTCTGCAGCAAGACACCCGTCGCTCAATTATTTTCAAGCTCCATCGATCCGACTGGCAGGATAACAGACTTCTGCGGATCGAAAGGAGTGGCTGTCCTATTTGAGCCCCCGGTGCTACCCTCTAGCCATCGCCATGATCAACTGCTTCGCTTGTTGAAGGACCGTCCGTCTCCGTGTTATATCAGTTACTCATTTCATAGATACGAATCATCTTCATCAGTCGCTTGGAGCGCTTGGTGCGAGGCAGATAACGAATCTAGTGGCTGGAAATCCGGATATCGGAGCCGAGAAGATGCCCAAAATGCCGCTACTCAGGGAATGATTGAGGCCTTGTTGTTCAAGTGGCATGCCCTGGAAGAGGCAGAAGAAGATCCGTGTCATGGGATGATGTACGACCCTAACTGGGGTTGGTGGTAATCAAACTTGATGCAGGACATCTTTCATGTCTGTAAAATATGTAGAAAGGCGACGAAATAACTATGATTTTACATTCTCAGATAAGACCAATGAACATACTAGAATGAATCTCTAAGCCCGCCTTGACAAGAAGAGTCTTCGTACAATAAACCGTACGACTGCATCACAAGAACATTTGAATCGCACCTCGCGTAGCGTCACATCTCCACCGCGCCGCAGTCGCTTGATAGCGCACACTGATATGTACCTGCCCACAACCCTCTACAGGACACGCCCACTCGTACACTTCCTCCTGAGCTTCCCACCTGTCTTCGCCGCCATTCGCGTCCGCAACCTTTTCCTTTTCGTATTCCGCCGCCCGTTCGAACGCGACGGTTCATTCGGTGCTTATTCTCCTCGAGCGGGTATATCACTGATACAGTTAGAAGGGAAGTGTTGCTATTGAGAACAGGGAACATGGGGTTTGAAAGATCGAGCGTGGGTCCAGAAGAGGTGAGATTGGGTGGAAGCTGTTCGTCAATGTCGTCTGCAGTGATAAAACGACGACTACGACGATTGGGAGCAGGAACGACACCACCAGGTCGACGAGAGGAGGAAGATGATATAGAAGCGACGGGCGCGAGTTCGGGATCATTGTCCTCTTGATAGACAACGCTCCCGTTTTCGGCAGTGACCGAAGTCGCATCGGCGAGCTTTTTAGACGTTCTTATCTGTACGTTTCGCTTGGAGAGTTCCGCCTGAAACGCTGCAGAATCGACTGTCGAAACGCCCATAGAGTCATCCTCTGCAGGGGTGCCGACTCTCCACAGACACTTTTCGTCAAGAACGTGTCCACATCGAAGACTATACAACCTTCTCTCTCCCCCAATCATCAGCGGATCTCGACAAGAGCAGCAGACGAGCGTGAGCACCGTCGTGGGCTTGGGCTCTGGCGTCGGTTCTCGTGCCGCCTTTCCTTTACCCTTTTTACGACGCGAAGACGGCGTCTCGTCGTTGAAGAGCGAGCCCTCGTCGCTACTCCCATCGAGCGTAATCGTGTCCGGTTCGACAGGTTCGAAATCGGCAGTGAAGCCGGCGGGAATGTTTGGGTGAGTAAACGAGACTTGATAATCGGGAGCGTCTGGAACTCGGATGGGAATGGGCTCCTCTGCACGAAAGAAGTGGATGCCAGAGGGACCGACTATCTCATTTGACCCTCCATTGCTACCATCTTCACATCCCCACGATCGAGTGCTTTGCCTTGCTGAGGAGTATAAGAGGTCGGATCTATGCCGTATCAAATACGGATATTCAAGGCAGATAAATCATTTGGGCGCACTCGTTGGTACGCTTGGTGCCGGGTAGATGGCCTAGATACGAGCTGGACAGAGGCATATCTGAGTCGAGAAGATGTTCGAAACGCTGCGGCCGTGCGCATGGCTGAGCTTTTGGAGGCAAGAGGCCCCAAAATCTCTGCTGTATACTGGTGGGGGCCCTTTCCCGATGACTGGTAGCCAGACTCAATGCAAGCCATAGTAGCTTTAATATTTGTAAAATGTGTAAATATCTGACCATTTATGGTCGAAATATATGAAAAACCCATGGCTTGAAATCTGTACCATTAGAAAAGAAGAGTTCTAAACCACAAGAACATTAGATTGCACCTCGCGTAGCGGCACATTTCCACCACGTAGCAATTACTTGATAGCGCGCATCAGTATGTATATCTCCACCATCACCGATAGGTCCAACTGCAGATGTCCCCCTGAGCCCTCCTCGATTGCACCTTGGAATGTCAGATATAGACGTGGGTGAGTAGCGAAGACTTACTCCATGCCAAACTGATAGCCCTTTGCTGTACCTGCCATAAATTCGAGGTCCCAGCTCAATTGATCCTACCCGCAGATTCCACCAGCCTCCTTCCACGCACAATCAGGATGTTCACAACGCCACCAACCGTCTTCTGGGAGCAGAGCGGGCAGGCAAGTCAACAAATGAAGTTAACCTTGAGTGCAACAGGAGCGATGCATAGACAAACAGAGTAACCTTGATTATGTTGATTCACTTGGATGAGCCAAAAGCCTGCAGGGAACCATGTGTTTTACGAGTGAACAGTTTATTTATGAATATTATAGACGATATTAAGGTTAACGATGTCTCGATTATTTATGTTTGTGTCGCTGTGGCCATCCTGCGATTCCCGCATGTTGAACCCGACCACAACCACGAAGGAGCGCATAAGGCGCATTCTTGTCTTGCTCAAGCTCAGGAGGAAGAAGGAGAAGCCAGCGATATTCACAGCCCACCTCAGTCCAGAATCAACGCACGCTGAACCTGACCGCAACTCTGAACATGAACATACCCGAACCCGGTCAACAGCACAGCACATCTATGAAGAGCCCAATGGTGATCCTGAGGCCGGCTCTGAAGAAACTCCCAGTGAATCGATTCATTCAGCTTGCACCCAAATAAGCGACAGCCCTTCAGTATCACCCGCAGCACATCGCAATCTTGAGAGACTGCTCCCAGACGAGCTCTTGTTGACTATATTAGAGATTTTTACGGAATATTGCGGATACATCGGGATGGACATTGACCCAGAAGTCCTTTATGGGCAAACTCCAAATCTACGACGCCCACCGGTCGCTGGGTGGGACATCCTGCGGCAAATCCTCAAGACACGTCTAACTACTGTACTCGTCTGTAGACGTTGGTACAGGATTGGCATCCATCTCCTTTGGTCTCATCTTATAATTCAACGGGGTCTTCGTGCATGCGACAAGACCTCTCCATTGATTCCTTGGGATATAGTCGGCACTTTGCTTGAAAATCCAAGATATTTACATCATGTATCACACATCACCTTCCTTAACGTGGGGAACGACAATCCTATATATGACAGACACGATGAATGGAGTATGGAAGTCCTCAACAGACTCCCGAATCTTCGTCGAATACTATGTACTAGTAGCCTTCTATGTCGGCTTGGAGATAAGGCCTTTCCAGCGAACAAAATCCATCGAATACGCACAGGATTCTCTGAGGACGTCACGATGCCATATATACCGCAAAAAGAGAGCATATCCTGTCTTGAGATCTTTTTATACTCTTCGACGCAGTTGCAATTTTCACAAGTGCAGGAATTTCCACAATTGACAACATTGTATATCAGCCAGGAGAATGACCCTTGGAGATCGGCATATTTTGGACCATTTATAATCGCCCCAAAGCTCAAGACCCTCTGCATACAACTGCCCAATCAGGCATGGTCCATCGATTATGGTTTACCCAGAGAATCCTTTCGCACTCTTTGCGTCTTAGAGGTGGTCGGGACAGACCGTAAGGGTGGGCTGTCTAACTCTGTAACAAACGTTCGCACACTCCCCTTGCTTCATACGCTCCGTATCAGCCAACCCGCGCCCATGTCACTACAGGATATCCAATGCCCGCGGCTTCAATACTTCCAATTGACCCCACCATTCCTTGATATCGAAAACACCTATGGTACCATCACCGAGGCCATCAGTACGTTTCCTTCGATCGTCAAAGTTACGATATACCATGATCAATTCTGCAGCAAGACGCCCATCGCTCAATTATTTTCAAGCTCCATCGATCCGACTGGCAGGATAACAGACTTCTGCGGATCGAAAGGAGTGGCTGTCCTGTTTGAGCCCCCGGTGCTACCCTCTAGCCATTGCCATGATCAACTGCTTCGCTTGTTGAAGGACCGTCCGTCTCCGTTTTATATCAGATACGAATTTCATAGATACGAATCATCTTCATCAGTCTCTTGGAGCGCTTTGTGCAGGGCAGGTGGCGAATCTAGTGGCTGGACATCCGTATATCGGAGCCGAGAAGATGCCCGAAATGCCGCTACTCAGGGAATGATTGAGATTTGGTTGTCCTGGTTGAATGCCCCGGAAGAGATAGAAGATGATCCGTACATGGTTTGGGGGTAATCAAACTTGATGCAGGACATCTTTCATGTCCGTAAAGTATGCAGAAAGGCGACGAAATAACTATGATTTTACATTCTCAGATAAGACCAATGAACATACTAGAATGAATCTCTAAGCCCGCCTCGACAAACAGAATCCTCGTACAATAAACCGTACGACTGCATCACAAGAACATTTGAATCGCACCTCGCGTAGCGTCACATCTCCACCGCGCCGCAGTCGCTTGATAGCGCACACTGATATGTACCTGCCCACAACCCTCTACAGGACACGCCCACTCGTACACTTCCTCCCTGAGCTTCCCACCCGTCTTTGCCGCCATTCGCGTCCGCAACCTTTTCCTTTTCGTATTCCGCCGCCCGTTCGAACGCGGCGGTTCATTCGGTGCTCGTTCTCCTCGAGCAGGTATATCACTGATGCGGCTTAGAAGGGAAGTGTTATTATTGAGAACAGGGAGCATGGGGTTTGAAAGATCGAGCGTGGGTCCAGAAGAGGTGAGATTGGGTGGAAGCTGTTCGTCAATGTCGTCTGCAGTGATAAAACGACGACTACGACGATTGGGAGCAGGAACGACACCACCAGGTCGACGAGAGGAGGAAGATGATGTAGAAGCGACGGGCGCGGGTTCGGGATCATTGTCCTCTTGATAGACAACACTCCCGTTTTCGGCAGTGACCGAAGTCGCATCGGCGAGCTTTTTAGACGTTCTTATCTGTACGTTTCGCTTGGAGAGTTCCGCCTGAAACGCTGCAGAATCGACTGTCGAAACGCCCATAGAGTCGTCCTCTGCAGGGGTGCCGACTCTCCACAGACACTTTTCGTCAAGGACGTGTCCACATCGAAGACTATACAACCTTCTCTCTCCCCCAATCATCAGCGAATCTCGACAAGAGCAGCAGACGAGCGTGAGCACCGTCGTGGGCTTGGGCTCTGGCGTCGGTTCTCGTGCCGCCTTTCCTTTACCCTTTTTACGACGCGAAGACGGCGTCTCGTCGTTGAAGAGCGAGCCCTCGTCGCTACTCCCATCGAGCGTAATCGTGTCCGGTTCGACGGGTTCGAAATCGGCAGTGAAGCCAGCGGGAATGTTTGGATGAGTAAACGAGACTTGATAATCGGGAGCGTCTGGAACTCGGATGGGAATAGGCTCCTCTGCACGAAAGAAGTCTTGATATACCGGTGGGTCCGGATTATTCGCTCCCCAACCGAGCAAGTTGCCTAGGGCGCCAACCGTAGCACGAAGGCCACCCATAAAATCAAACTGCCTATTTCGGGCAGCGGCATTGCGACGGTACTGATCTCGTAACTGATCTTGGGCGTACAGGGCTTCGAGATAGAGATCACGGTGATGCAAAGGTCGTCTCTCTCGTTCAAAATGCCCACCATTCCGCGGAGCGGGTCGAGGCAAATTGTTTCGGAATGCTGGTACTGGGACTGGGAGGGCGTATTGGTCTAGATTAGGATCAAAGGCCATGCCTAAGAGGCCGACAGTGAGCCCAGACGGATATCTTTTGAACCAAATGAGCATTACCTCGTCGCCTACGTGGCTCATCCATTGCCTGTTCGACCTGTCTTGCTCGCTGGGCGTGTCTCCGCGCGCGATGGACGTCGTCCTCGACGAGCTCGGGCTCTTCTTCATCACCGCTACTGATTTCAATAACCTCTCGATCTATGAGTGGTGGATCTGGTGACGCGTACGGGAATCCGTTTCTCTGCCACGGCCGTCGCGCCTCGCCTTGGTCAGCGGGCGCATCGTCACGGCGTTCCTGTTCTCGTCTACGGAGACGTTGAATGCGGAGTCTGTTTGCTGCAGAAATGCGACGCGCAATCTCGTCGTCGGACAGGTTTTCGAGCACAACTTCTTCAATTTCCGAGTCGCCATCTAAAGTCGCTGCAATCGACTCGTTTTGTGATGCATTGTACATTGTTGCATTGTTATCTGCGTCTGGATGTCCTTCGTCATCGCTGCCCGTGAGATCCACGACGGGCGCGGACATGGCAGTGGCCAAGGAGAATGCCATTCAACACCAGCCGTAATCAAAATAAGCCATTTCTTCATCGTAAATGTCGTCTACGATACACATTTTTAACATCATTTGTCCGTGAATATACGTATTGGTATATGGTAAGCGCGTCCAGAGTCCATAAAGCTCCATGTCCGCGGGGTCATAACAGAATTCAGTCCCGGGCGTGGTCTCCATGCTAAAGCTGGCAGTTAGACGGTGGCATTACGGTAATAAAGCATCTGCTCCCGGAGCCTCGTCGCTTGTCCAGGAGTGAACGAATCTAGGCAGGAATCGTAACTACACGACCGTGAGTGAGCATCCAAAATCAAAAGTTAGCAGCAGACATACCTGTAGTCCATAAAGTTGTGGAATGTTATCGGGTCCTCCACCGATACACGAGTCTTGACTGACTGGGCAGCCATACGACGGCTTGACTTGCGGAGCCGTATCCGAGACAAAGTCACCATCACCGTAGCAGCCTCCCTGGAATGGATGATACAGTCCCAACCAGTGTCCGACCTCGTGCGTGAGCGTCTTGCCCTCGTCGTAGTGGAGCTTGCTGCCACCGGGGACGGTCGAGTGGAGGATCACGACGCCGTCGTCAATGGTGCTGTTGGCGTACCACCATGGGAACGTGGCGAATCCGAGCAATTCGTTGTTGTGACCTACCTACTGGTCAGCATGATGCAGATCTGAGACGGCATAGAGAGACGCACTGGTTCCAAACCCAACGGTGTAAATATTGAGCGTGGCAACGTCTCCAACCCGTAGAGCACTCTTCATTTCGAGTTCGACCGTCTTATATATCGGGTCTGTCTCGATAAACCATGTGGTATTTTGCGAATAATCGACATGGTCGAGCGTGAAATTGACCCCAATTCCTCTATAGCGCAAAATAATATTAGTAATGGTCTGGGAAAAAAAGCGGAGAGAGACGTACGAGTAATGGTCGTTGAGCGCACTGACACTCGCATTGATCGTCGTCTCATTCAAATAGCCGCCCTCAACCGTCTGGTTGGTGAAAATAACATGCCACGCAATCGAAATTGGCGATGGATCCGCTCGGTTGTCGTCGAGAGCCTTGAGCGTCTTGTACTCTGCAAACTTTGCCTCGACGGTGCGCATCTCGTCAGGAGAAATCTCCGTTGCACAACCTCTGCAACATTTTCAGTAAGTATGTCAATTTCTGGCCATTTTTTGGATGACATACCGCCGGGGAACATCGTTGAGGGCGGCGCCCAACGCACACGCGGCGGGCGTTGAAAAGACATAATCGACGGAAAAACATGAGGAGCGTATAAAAACGGGGCTAGGAGAAGGGGGAAAAGGGAAGCAAAGGGCGCGGTGAAGATCAAGTTGTTGAGCCCTAGTCGCCTCTTTTATGGAGCAGCCAGCTTTGTGCGCGCCATGGCCTCGGCCTACGGGAAAGGCTAACTGCCCAGCCACCGCCAGGCGGATTTACAAGGAAAGGGCGCGGAACAAAAACGCATTTCTTATTCACGAGATAGCAAATTGGAAAAACAACACGCGATAGTGGATACAGTTGTCAGTCGGTCGGTCGGTCGTAGCGCCAACGAGTAATTGGCAAGTCGAGGTCTGCTGGTTTATGAAAGGTGGAAACTGCCAGTGCCTTCGCGCATCGCAATCATCAACTTCTTCTCCATGATTGCTCGCGAGCTGTACGAAGGCAGCTTGAGGTAGTGCGCGCACGTCATCACACTCGGCAGGTAGTCGTCCGGTGTTAGTGGTGCTTCGTGAGGCTTTCGAACGACAGTCAGCTGAGGATTGAGTGCCTTGAAGCCTATGTGGACCCGCGTCAGTAACCGGTGCAACGAGCGCCAAAGCGACGACCGACCTCCGATGGGTAGTTTTGGGCTACCAGTAATAAACTGCAAAAAGTCTCTTCGTCCACTCTTATCATATGCCGCCATAATCTCAATCAAGTCTCGGATTGCTGCGCTCTCTACGTTGAAGCCATGGTCGGCCTTGATGGCCTCGTGCAACGCTATGCAAAGGTCAACCGCAATATACGACCATCACAGCACCACTCACTTTCTGTGCTCCAATCTTCATCAGCATTGCCAAACATCATGACCAGCTCATCTGCCGAAAATGCGCAAAGGTCGTGCACGGGAAACACGGTCGAAAAGCCTGCTTTGAATGCGTCGACAGCAGGACGTGCGCCACGACCAATAATAGCATCAATAACGAGCTCAATATACTCGTCCACATTCTCCATCGTGACGGAAATGTCTTTCCCCCCAGCCTAACAAGACAGTCAGCCCCACTCCAAGAACCGAGATGACAACAACTCGCCTTGAGCTCCAGATCGTCGTATCCAGGCACCGTAAAGTCAAGGCACATGTCCTCTAGCGTAACGCCCTTGACGTCAACTTTGGTGATGGCTTCCTTCTTGGCCTTTGCGTTCATCTTGGCGTCTGCTTGAATCTCCTTCTTCCTTTGGACAAACTGCTGTAGAGTGGCAAGCGACTGGCCCAAAGATGGATCGACGACCTTGATGGTTGATACCGAGAGTGGGACGCTCTCTCCAAGTATCATCTTCAAGAAGACCTTGTTGAAGGAAATGTCGATGATGCGAGAATCCAACAAGGCACGTGCAACAAATTGTCCCAACAGCCGGTAGAGACGAATTTTCCTCCTAGGAACGGTTAGAAAATTGACTCATCTACAGCTTTGCAACTCACCTGTCTCGCTCAGTGGCAGTCGGGCCCTCGACCACCGAGTTGAGCATGGGCGCAGGGAAGAGGCCGAATGGGTGATGGACATACTTGCCAGGCAAGGTGCTGTCAGCATCTCGCCAAAGCTTGAGATCACGCCACGCAAACTCTCTGCAAACAGACGCAAAGAACTCGAGAGTCGGACCAAGACCCGTGCCTACTTCGCCTTGGAAGTGAACGTCGAGAATCGACGACGAGGCGCCGAATAGGTCGAAAACCTTGAGCGCGACTTGCATCGGTGAATCGCGTGGGACTTCGACTTTGCGACGTTGTAGGCGCCCATACTGTTCGAGGCCATCTCGACGGCTGTTGTTGGCAACTTCTCGAGGATACTGAGAGATGACGCGATTGAGAAGACGCGCATAACCGAAAGAAGTGCTTTGAAGAAAGAGATAACGTGTCGAGAATGGGAAGAGGAAGCCAAATTGCTGCGGCAAATCGAGTGCCCAGTCAGGTAGGCAATTGCTATACGCGCGTAAGCACGGAATCGTCACAAGTTAATGTACATACCTCGCAAGGATCATAATCTCTTCCAGTTGACGAGCAAGTTTGGCAGTGAGTTTGTTATTGATAAATGCAGAGTCAGGAATTGTGATAATCTTGACGTGTGCATCCACATGTTCTACTCCCTCGGAGTTGAGGCGATGAAGTACACGGAGAAGCCGAAGAATCTTGGACGGAGGGCTGTCAGCTGGAAGACCCGCCACTTGGTCCGTCTCCATGTTCTCGTTAGGGGAGTTGGGGTCTGGGACAGGGCGTTTGCCTGGAACCTTGCGGAACGTGATCGTATAATTGCCGTTCCACACTGCATGAGGATTCGGCTGGCCGTCACTGGACCTCTGAGTCTCGTAGTGGTGGCATGCTCCGTACACAGTCATATCTGTTGGCACCACTTCATCGTTCAAGCGGAATTCAAGGTAAAAGTCAGTAGCCTTGTCGGCTGCAGCTGCGGCGGCGCCAGCGTATGACATTTTTGAAGGGGTTCCTGCAGCAGCTCTCAGAGAATTATTAGCAGCCATCATTGCCAACGGAGATTCGACGCTGGGTGTCGTTCCTGCAAGAGGGGTAGCGATACGAGTTCCATGGGGTGTAGAGGCCGTCAAGTTATCGGCTAGCCCAGCGTCAGCCAAAGCATCTGTATATTCGAGCTACTCACCACCATCGAATGCAAGATTGAAGGCTCTTTCGGTGATAATGTCCTCACCATCATCACCCACCTGGAAAACAAAGTCAATGAGTAGTCGAACAAGGTACAAAACCCAACCTCGTCGTCGTCCATGTCATCCATATCACCATCGTCCACGAGAAGTTGATGGAGAAGAGAAGACGCCAAAGCCCGGGCACCAGGGTCTGCGCTTGAGCTTGAGCTAGGAGCGGAGGATGCGACGGTGGGCTCCTGCGTGGTCCCTTCCGCTGATCCCTGGTCGTCTGAAGGTGCAGGTGGCTGCCCTCTGAGTCGAAGACTGCGCCTACGCGATTCTGTTCGATCCCCGGCGGTTTCTGTGGTCGTTGGTGTTGTAGGGGCCGAAGCTGCAGTCGTCGCATTTCGACCTGGTATCGAGATTGGTTGAGACGTTGCCGCAGAGCTTCCACCACCTATGACTGGAGCCGACAATGGACCACTGGAGGATGTCGCTCCAGAGAGCGCATTGAGCAGATTATTCAGAGAGTTGATAGCTGCAGTGGGACCTGTGCTAAGTGATCCACTAGTACCACTACCAGAGCGACTAAGGAGCCGCCCCAATACCGATTGAGCCATTGTAGATGATGGGAGACCGGAGCTTGTAAGCGCCTGAAGGAGTCCGGAGGTGAGCTCTGGTCGGAAGGACAGAATCCCAGCGATGCGTGGCTTGAGATAGTCCTCAAGTGCCGAGAATGGAGCGATGGCATGAATAGAGACCATCAGACTTTGACAAGACTTGGGAACTTCTGACGGAGTTTCTGCTACAAGCTTGAGCCTCAACGTCCGACTAATCAGGGACATGGAAGAACGCCTGGCATCTGTAGAATCATGAGAATGCGCCCACGGTTGTCCTTGCAACGTACCTTCCATAGAACCCGGTGACGTAGTCGCAACTTCGAATGACTCCATTCGTGTCAGACTCTCTTGTAGTCGCTTGACAAGAACCGCTAGGGGTGTCTGCGAAGACGGCGTAGCGTAGCCGGAGCGAGCCGAAAACGCATCCAAGAACAATTCTTTCCTCCTCTCAATATCGACTACAAATACGTCAGGACAAGCAGGTTCAGAAGATGGCAACTTGCCGGTTCTATTCGAAGAGGTGGCAAACTCGAGCAGGCCATCAACGAGTCCGCTCTTCATCAACTCAAAGCTCGAGATGGTCGGACCAGATACCCCAAACAACTTGGCCACCTCTTTCAAATTCGCCGAGATCTGCTCCTCGGTGGCATTTGAATCCGAGAGCTGCTTGATCATCGCTCGAAGCGACTCAAAGACGGCGTCCCCTCCGGCGTCAGACCCCCCAGACAGATACTTGATCTTGATGAGACGACTTCGGAGGACGTAGGCATCCTGAGGATCTAGAGGAACAGAGCTAGACTTCTTGGGTATTGGTGGTGGAACCGCAAGTGTGTCGTTGTCTTCACCTCCTTCGACGGGTGGAGGCGGAGGAGGCTTGGCCTTTATCTTGAGGTCAATCTTTGAAATAGTGGAGACTTCGTGCAAAACGCCTTCTTTGCGCAGCGAGCTCCGGAACACGGAGGGAGACTTGATGAGGAGCAGCTCGATGAGCTGCAAAGAGTTTGTCACGATGAGAGGGTTGTCCCGCGACGTCAATATGGAGCCAATGAAGCTCGCCACTGGTACATTCTGCAGAGGTGTGAGGGAATCCTGAATGGAGTTGAAGAACCACATACCCTATAAAACGCCTCCATCGCATCTCCTTCTACAAAGCTTGTTGCCTTCAAAATCCCAGTAAAGCACCTCATCCTCACCGGAAGCGTCACACTCGCAGAGTAGACGTCGAAGAGTACGGGAACAATGAGCCGCAGGAATCGCGAAATGACCTCTGGATTGGCTCGCAAGAGCTGCAGCCTTGCTTGACTTTGACTCCCCTCACCATGTCGATGTCGATTCGAAGAGCTGGGTACAGGAACAGGAGGCGTCTCGACTGGCGCCTGGCTGGATGAAGTAGCGTCTTGCACGATTTCGCCAATTATAGTTGGAATGCCCGCATCGTCCAGGATCATCGCCATCAATGGCTCGCCTGCCTCGTTGGTGAAAGCTGCTGACAATTCTTCGTTTCCCCCGTTGGTTTGGCTTTCCTCCAAGCGGCCCTCTGCTGGTTCTTGACTCGTGCTAGCTTGAGTCGTCGGCTCTTCCTGGAGGACACTGGGTTCTCCGAGACTGACATCTGGCTTCTTCTCTCCACCTTCGGTCACACTAGGAGCGGTGCCTTTGTCCGTCGCACTTTCATCTTGTTCACCACTTCTATCCGTCGCTGGTGTAGGTAACTCTCCCTCGAGAAACGGTAGGTCCGCAACGCCAATGTCCTGCACCGTTTCTTCTATCTTTACGACAGGCACAGCTGCAGGAGTTGGCTGTTTCGCTTGGGTTCGCGCCTTGGAGTCTTTGGTTTTGGCCTTGAGCGCGCGACTGATCGCCTTCTCCGTATAGCCTCGAGGATCGAAAACACCATCTACACAAATTCAGCTCCTGCAGATTCGCATGTAGAAGTAAATTACCTTTTGGAAGCGGCGGCATCAGTTCGCTGATCAGGCTGAGGGCCTCTTCGACCTGGTCCTTCGGACGATGAGCCAGATTCTGCATTACTGCCATGTCCACGACGCCACTTCCAACGCCCTGGCCAGATTCTCCTCCGCCATATTCGTCGCTAGTAGCTTCTGGGTGATTTGGAGGCAGTACCCCGGTCAAGAACGCGTATACGGTGCTGCCGATTCCACCTCTAAGAAGCGTCATAGAGATGGCCGGAGAACATTTGGCTGCACCACTCAGTGCGCGCAGGAACTGTGTTGACGTCGTGGCCGAAATCATGGGCGTGGCACCGGTTGATTGCGGAAGGAGGAGCGCGTTGATGGAAACCACCAAGTCATCTGTGATCAGCGTCTCCAAATTCTCCGTTTGGTTTCGGCAAAAAGATTCAATAGTTCGGATTACGCACATGGCCGCGTACTCGACAAGTCTCGCGTCGCTATAGGTAAGTACATTCTTGATTGTCGGAAAGACGTCGCGGACCATGTTGAAGCTATCCGAGGACATGTTTCGACAACAGTTGGCGGCGGCTTGTAAGGCGGTGCGTTGGACATGGGTGGAGAAAAAGTCGAGATAATTGAGGAGGGCTGCCAAACCACCTTCGCGAACGATCGCACTTGGGTATTCTTCAGAAAGTTTCTCTAGCGTCTATAGACAAGTTAGAAAAGAGATCAAGAGAGGAGAGAGGAGACGTACGCTGATGGTCTGCTCTGCCAGGTCTATGAATGTAATTTGTAGCAACTTGCTGCAAAGGACCGGAACTGCTCCATGGTACACCAATGTATGCGCGGAGCCTGGCATAGCCTCCATTAAATTGGCCAAACACCTGCAAGCCAATAGCTGCTCCTCCAAATTCTCCTCGGGTAGTAAGCCGCCCCCACTCAGAGCAAGGGCTGCCGCCAGCGCCGCATCCTCGTCGTCTGGATTAGGAGAGCCCTCTTCGTCGTTTTCCTCGTCCTGATCACCGCTTTTTCGTGGACCACCCATGATGTGAACGAGCTCCTTGACAAAGCTGTCCTGAGAAAAGTACCCGTTCAGATTGTCTTCGGTACTCATACTCAAGATCTCGCTCAAGTCCTGAAGTGCCAGGAGACGAGAAGTCGGGTCCGCAGATGGCTTCAAATTGTTCAAGAGGCCTTTGAGTCGGGTTCCAAGTGACGCCATGTAAGCGCCGAATTGGAAATCTCCACCCATGATAGAGGTAAATGGGGGCTCAGGCGCGGGTGGCTGCTCCTCGGAGGGTACTGGCTCGCTCGCTGGCTCTCCCGAAGGTGCTGGATTATCATTTTCATTCGAAGTTGATGGGCGAGGATCATCGGGGTCTGCGACTTGAGCGTCTTTACTTGTGCTCTGTTCGGGACTTTCGATTGCTAGCTCTGATGATAAAGTCTGATCTTCCATCTCCTTGACAGGATCACCCTGAGAGTCACTGAGGCTTTCCATATCGATATCGTCCTCTACAAAGTCGCGTGAGGGACCTTGCGGGCCGTCAGTATGATCTTTCTCTGGAGCCCAAGTGGGTGGTCAGGTTGAAGGTGCGTTGCTTACCGGCTGCATTCGAGGTGGAAGCCCTTGGGTTCTTGCTGAAAACGAGCCGGAGAGCCGAGTCAGCGTCTAGATCATTGTGAGTGAAATTTTGGACACGCACCGAGTTTTCTTTGGCATGGTCGCTGGCGGATTGTTCTTCTTGATGTCAAGAGCTCTGAATGAATAACGAGGATTTGAGGTTCTGGGACGCTTTCGGGGTGGCGGGCGGGTCTCCTCGTCTTGGTCGGATGAGTCGTCGTCAGAGGAGGGTGCTGCGCGTTTCTTTCCTTTGCGATCTTGCAAGGGCTCGGTGATTGTCAAGGGTGCGTTTGAACGTCTCCTGGATGGTAAGCCGGCTTGTCAGCAAAGAGCTCCAAAAATTCAAAGTACTCGAAATCAGAGTGTAAAGAAACGAGACGAATGATCATTTCAACCACGAGTCGTGGCCTCACATTCGCCGGCTGGAAGCATCGCTGAAATGAAGCGGCTTACGGTCTGCGGGTTTGGGGCGCTGGAGCCTTTGCTTTCCCCTTGAGAGATCTAGTGCTCGTAGAAGTAGATTCTGTAGCTTCTTGCTGGCGCTGCTGCTCTTGCCGTTCCCGAGCCGCTCGGACTCTGGCGCTCGTTCTAAGTAGACTGGTGTCGTTTGCGATGTCTTGCTGATGATTTAGAGTTGCTGGTGATAGTGTTTGCTGCGCGGTATCAGTGTCTGCCTCAAAATCCATTCAGACACATATTCCTCTATCGACGCGAGGACCAAGTTTCTACACTTTGGACTCTGCGTCAGCCTCGCCACAACTGCAAACTCCGAAACGCGTAGCAGCTTGGAATTATGCATACTTTACTATTATCAGTCTCATTCTTTGACGTGGTGTAGCAGACGAAACATCACCAATGCCCTTTGAAACCCTACCTGGAGATGAAACCCAGACTTCCTAGAATCGAGGAATGAAACATTACATGGACAGGTCTCGATGTCTGCTGGTGCGGGCCATGACAACCCAACGACCTCGACAGGAAGATCGGTAAGTCTGAATTCTTCTCACCTGCTTGCATTCAGGATACTGATATCTCAATTATAGTCAGGATTTTCACATGGTTGGGTAACCGCGGCTGCCTGCAGTCGAGTACGGAGCATCAGAAACGGTGCGACACGAACAAGACCTGATTCTCATCGCTTCTTTCACTCCATCTGGCTGCGGTGCAAGTGTCTGTTTAACATCTGCGTCTGGAAGCGAGTCGCCTCCTCCAACCACTGCGTTTTGCGTCTAATCGACGCGTACAAGGTCTCTGAGATGCTGCTTTTCGTCGGCTCATGATCAACATCCTAGCCGTCCCGGTTATATGTGCCGGCATGTGCCGAGTTCGGTTCCGTGGTGGCTTGACTACGCGAAAAGGCCTGTACGCGTCTAAATTTTGGAAACGTTGAGACTAATATGCCCCCTTTCAGATCAAATATGATGCTCAAAGAACATATATATCTCTATTAAGCTCTCATGTACTTGTGGTCATTGAACGCAAGCTAGTTTCTTTTGCTGCAGGTCCCGACCTCCGGATCATCCAATGGTCTCGAACAACCGATGGCAGCTACCGCCACTCCCTCCATGCTCGCTATTGCGCTCGCATGTGCTTCTCTCACTTTCGTCCAGTGAGGAACCGGATGGATCTTGAGAGCGGCTGCCTGAGCCATCTTAAATGGTCGAGCGAGAGCAGCATTTCCCGCCACAGCGCCAAACCTTCACATACAAGCAAAGATGGCCATCAAATCTGCTGTAAACTCAATCATATCAACAGTGGACCAAGAGAAACAATCTTTAGACAATTCAACTACAGAAGATCTACAACGCTATGTAGTCCCGACACTCCCCAAAGGTGTCAAGAATGCCCTCACACAGCCTGCCGGAAGATGGACAAAGTTTCGGATTTGGTACAACACTTACCGACAAGTGAGTATATTGCTCTGAAGCTGGCGGGATCTAAACTGGTCTGTTCTAACCTGGTCACTGGTAGCTTTTTACACTCACCTTCTCCGCCAATATGATCGCACTGCTCCTCACTTCTCTAGGCCACTTTCATTACGGCGATAAGAACGCGTCTTCGATCGCCCTAGGGAACATTCTCGTGGCCGTTCTGGTTCGAAATGAACTCTTTCTCAGGGGTTTATTTTGGGTCTTGGTACAGTTATTTCAAAAGGTTCGTCAGTCGTCTCTTCCTACCCAAATTTACTTCTTCCAGTGGTCACCGTTTTGGTTTAGAATATTCCTCACGGCCTTTCTCCAGCACCTAGGTGGTGTCCACAGTGGTGCAGCTACCTCTGGCGTGGTCTGGCTTATAGTGAGTGCGCCTCTCTCCGTGGACCAACGACTAACTAAGACTTTAAAGTATGCCGTTCTTCGGATATTTCAGGACCACAGATCAAATCATCTCGTTCTGTTGGCGATGGGTGCAATCGTCGTCTTATTCATCTCTACCTCTGCCATCTCCGCTCTTCCCGTCATTCGTGAACGACATCATAAGCATGTACTTCTTTTCGATGGAGAGAGGTAGACCTGACCTATTCCCTAGTGTGTTCGAACATCACCACCGTTTCGCTGGATGGCTCGGTCTTCTCTCCACATGGACCTTTGTCATGTTGACGATCGGCCAAGTCAAGGTTGAAACAGAAGATACTATCAGGTGGCACTTTCAGGGCTCGGTACTTTTGCACTCGCAACAGTTCTGGTTCACTCTCTTTGTCACCATTCTGTGAGTATTGACCTGTGTCCGCTACCTTGCTAACACAAAGCAGAATCTTTGCTCCTTGGTTCACCGTGAGAAAAGTGCCCGTAGAAGTCACAACGGTGAGTTCGTCTCAGGGCACCATCTGTATCCTGATATGGTTCAGCCGTCTCCTCGCGTCGCAATTGTCAAGTTTGACCGAGGTATCCAGCAAGGTCTCCTCGGCCGTGTCAGCCGTGATGGACTCAGAGAATACCACGCCTTTGGGATCATCTCCGAGGGCATCGAGTCTGGGTGTCATTGTACGTTGCATTCCATACAAATTCGTGACTAACGACAATATGTAGATATGATAGTCGGTGCTCAGGGAGATTGGACTCGCAGGTTGGTCAACGACCCGCCAAAGTATCTCTACACGCGGGAAATGAAGGCAAGAGGCTTTGCCCGTGGAATAATAAGAGCTGATAACATTGTTCAGTTCGCCGGTCTTCCATACCTTGCACATCTTTACAAGAGAGGAATCATGATATGCACAGGGTCGGGCATTGGCACAGTCTTGTCGACGTGCCTCCAGCTCGACAACTGGTTTCTCATCTGGATTGGGTCTGGTTTCGAGGAAACTTTGGAGGGCTGCTCCTGGATATGATCAGCCGCAAGATTCCACCTAGCCGACGCATCTTGTTTGACACGAAAAAGGAAGGACGAAGGCCTGATACTGTAAAGATGCTCAATGGGATTTATACCTCATTCTCTGCCGAAGGTATTTATACTTCCCATAACGCCACTTCGCACTGATAAGTAGCAGTGGTCATTATTACCTCCAATCCACAAGGCAATGCAGAATTGATGCAAGCTTGCAAAGAAAGCAATATGAATTCGTTTGGTCCACTTTGGGATTCCTAGATAGTAGACAGAGGACATAAAAGTATGATCTCCTTGCTTATAGATCCAACTGGGCAATCGCCTCCCAGCCTTGCTTGCCATGATCTTTCTCAACACAGATTTGCTGGGATGAACTATCCTCGAACCATAGGTTGGGCCCGTAAAAGATGCAGAGCTCTTCACCGACGTGAAGGTCACGAGCGGCCGTGTATTCAATGTATCCCATATCCTTCTTCTTGATATAGTTGACGTTTGGTGAAGACGAGTGGTTAAACAATGACCCTAGATCACATTAGAGAAGTACAGGCACCAAGTTTCGTACTCACCGAGTCCCAGTGGCAGGGCCATCTCTCCATTTCCCCATACAAATGTATAGTGATCCAACAGCGTATGTTTTCCATGATTTTCATACTCTTCCCTGCCGAATAGCAAGACTGGCGAGATTTCGACCACGGTGCCAACACTTATTGGTCTCGAAGCTCAAGTTCTCGAGTATTTGTGAGTCTGATGTGATGATTTTTGGTCTATTCGCTCACCATATACGCCCCTTCCTTTGGTGGGGTGCATACGGATCTCGAGTCCATGCGGGTTGAGATGTGGAGTGCATAGTGGATACTCTGATGTGTCCATGATGAATAATCTGAGCAATATCGGGTCTAAGCCGAGGATGGACCGACAACGGGCAGTCCAAGTCGCAGTTGCCACTTTGGACCCGACTATAACTGATGTCGCTCATTGACCTCGTTCGGACGAGTAAGCCAATGCTTACATCTCCATTATCCTCACTGTACTCCCGTCTTCAGAATTCCTTGAGGCGATTTCGAGCTCTGCTCCCGGCCAGTGGAAGGTGCTCGTAGTTGATGAGCACGCGAAACGACTCCTCGGCGCAAATCTCAAGGAGAATGATGTGCTCTCAGAACGAGTGACAAGTAATGACCTTATTAGAGCTCTAAACCACGTCCGCTGACGCGCAAACTCTTACGCAGCGATTGACCTTATAACCACGTACCGAGCACCGGAGCCGAATATGCAAGCCATGTATCTCCTCATGCCCACCACGCAAAATGTCGATCGTATTATCAAGGACTTTACAGATAAGCAAACCTACGCCGGCATATGGCTCTATTTCACCGACAGTCAGCGTCTCCTCTTGAAGCTGTTTATGGTATGCTAAATTTCATTCAGGACTCACCGAGAGACTTCTCCATCGACTTGGACAATCTCCCGCGAACGATTTTTTGCAGGGTGTTGCAGACATGTACATCAACTTCTGGGGTGAGCATTCCGCATGGTGTCGACGAGTCTAACCAGAAGCAGCAATCGAGTCGCAGGCGTTCTCTCTCTATACTCCCTCTCACTTCTTCTCCATGTTCTCCCCACCACGAACGCCGTCTGCTCAGAGAGCGGCACGGGACCGACTCGACGATGACCTACGGTTTGCGGCTCGCTGTGTGAGTGAAGAGCAAGTTTACTTGCATGTACTGACAAACAGCCGAAAGATTGCCAACGTCTGCATACAGCTGAACGAGAATCCGATCATTCGGTTCTACCTCCCCTCACACCATCCAGCTGTTGGTCCTCTCGCTTCCTTTCATCGCCCTCAACATAGTCCTCAAGAATCCACAAGCAGATGGCGAGACGCCATTGGCGTCGGCTCGCGCGTCGACTACTCTGGCGACGACCACTTGTGCAAAGTTCTCGCGACAATGGTCCAAGAAGAACTAGACATTTACAAACGGATCAAGCCGAATTGGCCAGAACCCTCGGCTGTTCCTCGTCCGCAATCCATCTTAATGATCACCGACCGGACGATGGATATGATCGCTCCATTCGTCCACGAGTTTACTTATCAAGCCATGGCCAACGACCTCCTTCCTATCCAGGACGGTGTCAAGTTTCGGTACGATTATACGGCTGCCAATGGATCCATAAAGACGGCGACAGCGACCTTGTCTGAGTCGGATTCACTATGGGTAGCCACCCGACATTTACATATTAAAGAGACGATTGACAAAATTATCAATAATCTAAAGGACTTTCAAGAGGAACACGGCGTGTTTTCAAAGACGTACGTTTGTAATGATGGATGGGGTAAAGGGCTGACCAAGGGCAGAGGAACGACATCGATAGAGGATGTCAAGGACATGTTGGCGGGTTTGGGTCAGTACCAAGAAGGACAAGAGCAGGTCTATCATCCATCAATTCTCAGAAACGCTCGCTCATCTATACTAGTTCTCCCTGCATTACAACATGGCCAAGCAGTGCATGGACTTGTTCGGTAACCCGAAGCGAAAGCTTGCTGCCATGGCCAACATTGAACAAAATTGTGCGACCGGGGTGACCCCCGAGGGCCGGACGCCAAAGACGTTGGTGGAAGAAATGGTACCCTTGCTCGCAGACATGGACGTCACGTATGTGGATGTCTACCTTCGCTTCATGAGACTGATTATCTCCAGGAACTTGGACAAGGTTCGCGTGATCGCGCTGTACATCATGTACCGTGATGGTGTTCCAGAAGAGGATCGACGGAGGCTCTATGAACATTGTCGACTTACTCGCCAGGAACGTGCGGCTGTGGACAATCTCGTGAGCTTGTGCGTTCGCGTCACGAGAGTGCGTGCTCTTTCATCCATGTCTCTCTTGACTCATCTTCCATAGGCGGCAGGGGAAAGAGACACGAAGCGTGGTCTGAAAAACCGGTTTGTGGAGTCGGACTATGACTTGTCGCGCTATCGACCGCTACTCAAGACGGTGCTAGAGGTGATATCTCCCTTCTCTTATTCGACTCGAGCTCACGTGGTTTATTTAGGATCTGATGAACAACAAACTCGACGTGAGCGTATTCCCATTCCTCAAGGATCCAGCAGCAGAGGCAGCAGGCTCTTCCCGTGCACCGGCAGCAGCGCCTGTCGCAACTTCGTTGCGGAATAAGCCTGTATGGACCAAAGGCGCGGCGGCGGGGAGACCTGGTGCGGGACGAGCGGATAATCGTCAACGGGTGTTTGTGTTTGTGGCGGGTGGAATGACATATAGCGAGATGCGATGCGTATACGAGCTATCGAACACGCTCGGAAAGGACTTTTACATTGGTGCGTCTCCATGTTCCACATTTCAGGGCAGATCTCTCCAAAAGGCCACTGTGAGAGAACGATTGGTGACTAACGATTGTTCTTTAGGCTCGACGCACACGATTGTGCCTGAAGAATTTATCGAAGATCTCCAGACACTTGATGTTGGTGGGCAAGGATCCAAGGCCTTGCCGAGCGGCATGCCAGAAGTTCACACAGCGCAACAGAGGCCATTCCAGGTCTACTATGACCAAAAATACTTTACCAAAGACGAACCACCACCGCCACCCAAGCCCGCAGCGTCCCCTGCTTCCAATCCAAAGCTCGCACCGCCGTCGAGTAGTGGACACGCGCCTTCACGGCCAAGTCTGTCGGGATCAATTAGTAGTGTCGGACGGAGTACGTCTCCTGCGCCTGGGTACGGGTCCGGGGCGGTGAGTGAGGGTGAGAAGAAGTTGAAGAAGAAGCGGTTCCTTGGTTTCTGAGAATTCGTCGTACTGCATTGGTTCGAAAGCTCCTCTAGCCTGACAGAAGGATCTGGTCTGCTAGAGTACCCGTATACCTACACACGTTGTGCATGGACATGATTTTTACGCCAATTCTCGTGAAAGAAAACATGAAGCGGATAATTCATATTCGCGCGATTTACAATCTCAATACGGACGTGGCCATCCGGTCGAGAAGTCGAGCTTATTGACCGCTGAGTGCCAATTAATCATTCGTGATTCAAGTGGATTAGAAAAGGGCGCACCGAGATTGAATCCCGAAGAGGTGTAGTAGTGGTAGACCAAGTATACGACGCCTCCGGTTTTGAAGACAGATTGACCCCCTGGGCCGACGATCTGAGCCACGTCAACGGTAAGTATACGGGGTTTGCCGTGAACGACCACAAGTGGTGGATACGTACGCTACCATGAGTCGAAAGGATGAGAGTGCCTCCGCCGCTCTTGAGACTGACACCCGCTTGGTCGACGTATGTGCCCGTGATGCTAAACATATCAATATCATCAGCACTTGATTGCCTCACTCGGAATGAAGCGAGTTTGCCTACCTGCTCGACCTGCCGACCCGAATGTTATACGTGCTACTCAAGCCAGCGCAGCATGTATCCCAGCTAGTGAAGAGATAGTAATAGGACCCCTCTTTGATGATGACGGGAGCTTCGATGCCATTGCTTCGGCTTGCAAGGGCAGTGAGGGAGGTACTGGACGGCTTGCCGGTCGACGGGTTCAATCTGTTAATCCAATGCCATAATTATCATGTGATGGTTTGTTCGAAATCTGATTAGGGCTGTCTCTCTAAAGGAGAGGGAGAAACATACCTGAGCCTAAAAACAACTTTTGGTAAGCGTCGAATGAAATGAGAGGAGTAACGTACAGTGCGATACCCGACGACCAGGATCCAAAGACAAGATACCACTGGCCGTTATCTGCAATAGCCGTGAGCACCCTACTGGTCCCAATAACTGAGCCGGCCTACCAATGATGAGGCCTGGATCAATAGCCTGCAACGATCAAGTTCGATATAAAACAAGTTGCTAAAACAAAGGAAGCACGCACATTATAGCTGCTACTCGTCGTCGAACCATAGACAAGACCATCGTTCGTCCAAGATCCCGATACCCCCGTTGACGAACGGGCGAGGAAGATGCCAGAATTGCGCGATCCAAATGTGGAAGCGGAGTAGTACAACTATCACGCTCGTCAGCTTGTGCAATTTGTTGGAGAAGAACGTCTCGACGTACGTAGAATTGCCCGTTGACAAAGGTACAGTCAGGTGCCCAGAGGTTTGCGTTGTCTTCACCCGTATAGGTCCTGGTCCAAGGCGCGCCGTTCGGCCAGACGACGCCTGCGTTTGTCCAGTTGCTGTAAACTTCCAGTTGAGCACCAATATGAATAGAAAAGCGAGAAGTGACACACATTCTATCTTTACTCGTCCTAATTGCGACGCCGACGCTGGGATACCATTAGAATCGTGGGCAAGTTGTAGAGTAGTAGATGCCTTACGCAGTAGAAAAGAGATACCACGTCCCATCTGACCTCTGACACATTGCCGAGGGATCGTGGACTCCCGTGTATGCGCCGGTGAGAGTCATTGGGTTCGGATTGGCGGGGAGATTCGTCGTAGTAGGCGAGCTAGAGCTGGATGTTTTGGAGGTCGTGGCCGTCCCGGGGAGACACTGGCGACGTTAGCTTGTGTCGACAAGGAGCCTCGCAGGCGTACCTGCGAGTACCCTACAGCTGTCAGGACGCGTCACGAAAGCATGATGAGTGCTTACATTCATTGGAATAGACGCATGTCCACCTAAATACAAATTAGAAAGAGGGTGTAACCCAGGGTGGTCATACCCAGAATTGCATGTCGTTGGGCCCTACCCAAGGATTGAGCAACAGATTTGAAGAAACGAGGTACTTACACTGTATCCAGAACCTCCACATTGGCCGTAGTTGACTTGTTGTGCTAACGCACCGCTAGTAGCGAGTAGAACGAGTGCCAACGTTGCCTTCATCAGTATCCACAAGGTCGGAGAGGGACCTGAGAACGTTGTGGACGGTTGCTGCTTATAAGACGAGCCGCGGCCCGTGTTTTGGCCTGATGTCGGGAATACTGCCTGTCGGCAGCAATTCTAAGAATGAGAGACGAATCGGGAGTGAAGGAGGGTTGACTAGGGCTGATAGAAAAGTTTATACATCGAAGCAGCGGAAGACTGGCGTTACTGGACGTCCTAGTGCACCTATTTGAGTGGCTAGCGGAGATGATGCGAGATATTCTCCGGCGTCAACAGCCATACAATGACGGTGGTGTTAATTGTGGCCGGGTCCAAGCTTGATCCTTTACCCCGACTCCATTAATTTCTACAAACAAATCCTTTTCTTGTTACTCATCCGTTGTGATGAAATATCTTGGCCGAAAATAGACCGCTCCTAGCTGCGGATTCGGTTCAGCACAGCCATCTCGACGGTCTCTTCCCCTCCACTTCGCAATGCGGTCCAAAGCCGTCGTCTTTTTCCTTCTTTCGACGCTTCTCGCGCCTTTGGTCGCCTCTGAATCCTTCACAGGCCCCGTCAAAGCAAAACGGAGTCCCCCGGTCACATACCCGATCCACCGACGCGGCTCCTTGTACAAGACAACCGTCGACGAAGATCAAGATGCGCATTTCGAGTGGTTAAAACTCGTTAGAGAACGGGATATCATTCGCGGTCAGCGTCTACGTGCCAGCGCGGACGGGACGGGCGCTAGCAGTAAGAACCGTCGCGGTTCGTGGGAGACGGCAGCATTGAGCAGCTGGGCGGGAGATATATTCTATTTTACAAACATTAAAATGGGTACTCCCCCGCAAAGCATCGATGTTAACCTCGATACGGGTTCAAGGTATGCCCACCCTCTACCTGCCAGCAATCTCCATATTGAGTGATGAACAATATAGTGATCTCTGGGTCGCAAGTAAAACGTGTCTAACTTGCAACACGACGACTGTTCAACCCTACTACGACAACTCGTCTAGCACGTTTGACTCGTCGACCTCGAGCACATTCAGCGCCACTTCTGATGTAGCCACCGTCTCCTATGGTGACGGCAGTGCTGTACGTGGCATTGTATCCAGCGACACTGTCTCTCTAGGCTCCTTTACTGCGCCTAACCAAACTTTCATCCTCGTCACTGCTCAAAACGAGGATTTCAGCGTTGCGGGACTCATGGGTCTTGGGTTTCCCAGACTCTCTCAGAGCGGTGGCACCCCGTGGTGGCTCAACGTCCTCTCCGAATTCGAGCAACCAGAGATGAGCTTCTATATGGCTCAATGGAACAACCAAACCGACCCGGTTATCCCTGGTGGCCAGTTCACCATGGGCGGTCGAAACAGTACGCTGTATGATGGAGAAGTGCAGTTTGTGCCTCTCATCTCGCAAACATATTGGACGGTACAAATCGATGGGGTACATGTCACCGACACCACGACGTTGAGCTTGACAAATCAGTACAATGTCGCGATTATCGACACCGGTAGCACCCTCATCCTGGGCCCCGGCGAGGTCGTCGATGAATTCTACAAAGCTGTTCCTGGTGCAGTCCGGGGCACAACTTTGTCGCCGCAGTTGGCAGGGTACTGGCTTATTCGTACGTCTCATCCGCCGATGTGCCATCAACGATTGACCATAGTTTGATAGCTTGCAACACAACCATCAACGCCAAATTCCAGTTCTCAAACTCTGTCACCGTCACACTCCCCGCCACTCTGCTCGGCTTCCAACTTGTCGGACGCGCGTTACCGGGATATTGCACAGGCTCGATCCTTGGTTCGAGCAATGGTCCGTACGAGCAACCAACACCATCATCAATCCCTTCGTGGATCTTTGGCGACGCGTTCCTTCGAGCTACCTACACCGTGTTCCGCAAAGGTCCCCTATCCAGCAATGATACTGGAACCGACGAAGCTGGCGTCGGATTCGCGCCGCTCAAAGGTGTCGATTATAATACGAACGGACTGGCGATGTTGGGTGTCGATGGCAATGGCATTGATGGGCGGATTGGGAACGCGGGCGTCATTATCCCCGGTGGAACAGATGGGACGACCATTCCGGGTCCGACTGGGGTGCATACGACAACGGCAGCGTACGGGTCGTCTGGTCCAGGCAGTGCCTCAAATACCGGAGGATCCAATGGGACTTCGCAAAATGGGAAAGGGTATTTACTCTTACCAGGACACAAAGTAATTTCGTTAGCATTGCTCGCTCTCGTGCTTGTACTCTAGCGATTTGTTTTACCCTTTTTAGGCCCGGACTTTTCCCCTTGGCATTACAGTCTTAGTACATACTGTATGTAGCATGTATACATCGCCTGCTTCACTTGCTTCGATTTCATGACTTGGCCTGATGGAGGCCTCGTATAGGGTGATACACTATATTGATAACGAGAAAACTTGCAACTAAGATTTGAGGCCGTCTGTTTGAACGTTTGTCTGAGAGGAAACATTGAAATTGGATGATATTAAGTCTGGTTGCGTATATGAACTCGATATCAGGAAGTTCAGGAACAGACGTGTGTTCTAACGCAGTTTCCCGATGGTACCCAGAGAGGTTTTATATTGATAAAGCGGACATTGACCATCTTTCACCGTCGTCCCAGGCGGATTGCACACAGACCCGAATCAGTCGAGAGGCGGGGAAGCACCGCACATTATTAGAGTGACTTTGATGGATCAAGGATGCGAAAAGATTTCATCTGGTCAGTATGCATTGAACAAGGGAAAGTAGATATGTTCGACTCAGGAATCAATCAGACAGTTGATAATTATTTGAAAACGCGAATTGGTAAAGCATACGACGGGCAGCGTCTTCGCGAGAATCTGACTTGTTCTTGAACCCCTCCTCACTATAGCCGACATAATGGTTGAATGGCGCAATGTTGCAGCCACTCCGCCAGACCATCACAGGTCCGTCTCTAAATCCAGAGTCCTTATATTCGACTCTGAAATTGCTATTTCCGTATACCCTTTGACAAAATTCATTCAGCTGAACTCTGTAGCCGCCACGTGCTTGAACCTTCCTGTGTGAGACTGTTTCTGGAGAACGCAACGGTTCTTGAAATCCCGTGGCTGTATCTGTGGGTATTATTGGCTTTTCGAGGCGAAAAAATAGCGATAGCTCACAGATTTTCCCAATTGCGGAGGGGCCTGCAACCGGACCTTCCATAGGGACAGCTTCACTCTGTAGCTCTCGGGAGCGCGGTTTATTCCGCTGATGCTGATCACGAGAATCGAAAATCAATTTTGGGTGTAGGACTTTGCTGTCAAACCGGCTGTAGATATCGCTGGAAACATTATCATGATTGGAAGAGCCATGAAAATGCAAATTCTTTGAAGATCCGTGCGCGTGTTTCGACCTTTCCTCGTCTCTGTTAGAGGATTTGTTTCCTGTGGTCTTCGAAGAGCCGTGTGTTTCGTTAGATTTATTGGTGCTGGACAATCCACGGAACTGGTGAGGACTCCGTGCGCTTCCGATAGGTGAGAATGTCGGTGAGTCCATTGGAATATCTGGTATTCGCAGATCAATGTCAGATGGTGAAGAGTATCCTTCCTCAGAGCTCGTCAAACTCTCGTCATCCAAGATGGGGTCGGCCTCGATGAGGGTTTGGTCATATATAAGGAGATATTTGACATCCCACTGTACTGAGAGTGGTAATGTCTCGTATCGGAAGCCGTACTTCCTCTCGCATTGCGAGACGTCAATTTGTCCATAGTCGATGTAGTCGGCGAACGAGCGGCGGATGTCAATAGATCCGGGAAACTCGCTGCAACATGCAAAATATACAAGATCCAGACGTTGACGAAGGCCTGATAACATATCACTGTCACCGGGCATTTGATTGATCTCGTCGAACAGCTGATCTAGATAATTAAATAGACTATAATTGTAAGTCTTGTAGAACCCTATCTGAAGCAACCTACCCATTGAAAGTAAATATACTTGGTGGGGTGCGACCTGCAGCGCAACCAATAAGCATATGCAGGATGCCCTCGGCAACATGAAGGCATTGCACCGTGAGGAATTTACAGAATTTGGCTGTATCAACAAGGTGCTGACATCGGCTGAGTTGAAGCTTCCAGAGAGCGGTAGTGTTTAGATTGGTCCAATCGGTCTGCCAAACACGCTAAATTTGAATCAGTGGATTCATGAAGTTTGCATATGGATATATTCACTTTGGTGGCTGATGGGCGAGTCAGTTTCTATAGTTCAATAAGTTGAACGTACCAGGATTGAGTGTGAGAAAGAAGACTGTTGGAAAACTCGGCATCTTTTCCATGGCAACATGGTCATAAAACATGTAGCGAACGTCTTCAGATCCGTTGTACAATGTTACCGTTTCGGCGCCTGTACTAATGGCAAGGCGCGTTTGTATTAGCTCCCAAACCGTCATACTAGTAGTGTTGGAAGGTATTTCTAACGATTAGATTAGTGGATTTTGAGTGCAGTATCTTGTGATTATATACCTAGTAGCATTGGGTAGTCATCCCAGCTGCTTCGCACCACACCAATAACAACACGAGATGCAGTGTTGATGACAAAGAGGCGAGTAGTTGTCCGTGGGATTTGATCTTCTGACTCGTTCATTGCCCAACGTGGCCTGGGTCCCAGCGTTTCCTGCAGAGCCTTATAATGCTTGTTCCCCGTCAACGAGTACAAATCGCGGTTGATCTTGCCAAAAGTAGTGTTTTCGTTGACGACTTAGTTTGTGTGTCAATATCCAGAATACCAAGGAGTTGGGAAACTTGCACAGAAACGGTGGAATGCCTATCATCTCAGGGAACTCTGCTGAGAGCAAGATCAATGGAATCTTCCTTCCTCGTCTAGTAGGTTCTCCTTTGACCCCAGAGTATTCGGAATACGGTGTCCTTTTGGACATGTTGAAGGTGGATCAGGGAGATGTGGCAGTGTCTGACAGATACGGCCTCAACGACGATCTGCGAGATGGCGACACATATCTTGGGACGCATGCTTGGACGCACTCCATACACCGATAAATGGCATCTAACAAACGATTTATGTACTATCCGTGACAAGATCACGAACCAAAAACAATTCGCTCTCTATGCAAATCGTGCTTGGCAATTACGGGGGAAACATGAGGGTTCCGGGCGCATCAGGTGATTAGATAGACTTAAGCGATCATACCTAATACAACAAAGGAGTCGCGAACTATTGAAGCTCGCTCGCCAACTAAAGGATCGATTGAATCAGTGTCCACTAGATAGTTCACTGGCGTGCCACAATACATGTAAGGAAATCATCAAGGAGGAGTTTCAACATCTCAACGCGCTCAAGGTGGTGTAAGCCCCTTCATCACAAATCTTACTAACTCCCAATAGCTGCGGTCTACAGCTGAGCAAACAAAGGATGAAGGTGACGAGAGGGCGGCGATTGACCAGGACCTTGAAGCTCTTGAACGCTTGATTCAGCAGATGACCTCTGCAAACCAGGCAACACCTCTTCGGGAGCTCATTATTCGCAGCATGGACGACGTTACCTTACAACCCATTAGGATAAGTGAGTCTTCCTACTTGGAGTCCCCGTACCAAGTTCAAGTAACGAACAGCCGAAAGATATACCCAATACAGTGAGGTGGTGCGCCATTTGAGAAAACATCATGATATTGAAGAGGCAGAGATCTGGGTTCGACGAGAAAATCAGCACACTTGGACCAAATGTGGTTACCGTTGGTTCCCAGTCGACAACCCCGAGCCCATTGGAGATTGTACCCTCGATTTTATTAGCGCCAAACATCGAGCACTATATGTTGTTGTCTTGGTGGATCAGGGTGGGGATGAATTTCCAGTCGCGCTAGGCAAGTATATCTTATATCATGACCACGATCCAGCATATAACCTCCCAGCTACTAGATATCAAGCGACAAGGAACCTCGGAAGAATGCTGCACGCCTCGCTGCGGAAATCTCGAAAACCATCTAGAGGCCGTTTGGCCGACACGCGACGTCAGATTCGCCTATAAGATAGATGCACCCAACGACGACTCTGTGGCGATTCTCGGTCGGGTATTCGACACGAGTTCGTTGATAAAGTACACGCATCAGCTATGTTTCAAGTGTTGGCCTCGCCCTTGACTCGGATGGATACTAAGTACCTGCGCATATATATGTGACACCAAGTTCGTTTTTAGGATGCCTGTTGACTGTAGATTCGAAATCAGGAAACAAGAGTTCCCTAATATCAAACTTTTCGAGGTTCCCGCAGTCAGTAGAGGTTCGAAGGGTTTGCAAACGGGAATCAGCCAAAGCGGTACGGCTGCAAGTAGCGCACTCATTGAATAAATTGACGTAGAGTACATTTGACCACACGAGCGATTGGCATTTGCCCATAAGCGAAGTACGGTCCGTTTATCCTCGACAAGTGACTGGGTTCACCGAAAGGACGAGCGGTACGGATGTTGCACTCTTCACTGCCTGGGAATCAATGCACAGTTCGGGAAGATGTCTCCCAGGCTGAGAAGAGAAGCCGAGAGGGAGAAGCAGACGAGGGATTTCACATGCAGGAAGCCTGCAATAGGTCGTGTCGGCATGTTCCGACATTGGACGCTACGAATGATAAGTCCATGTCGCACAATTCTCAACGAATCCTCTGCCTATGTATACAGGCATCAGATGGACCGATTTTCATTGCTCCCATCACGAATCGAAGCGCCTCTTCTTGGCGTATACGGAGGCGGAGCCTCTCGACGGCCTCTGATTTGCCGAGAGGAAGACGCTGTCGTCGGATGCTATGAAGTTCCTGGATGGATATGCCGAACCAGTGTATATCCGACATTAGCTAGTACGGCCCGACGCCTACCGTTCGTTCGAATGCAACGGCTCAGAGCACTACCACTACCGAGCATATAAAAGCTCGTTCATGCTCCTCCAGTCGCTAGGTTGAGGGTAATAGCTACATCGACGCCTGTCGTGGAACAATCCGAGGATACGGAAGGAGACTAAGAAATTCAATGCCAGCACAACCTACCATGAGCACTCTCTTTGCAAGACTTGTTGTATTAGTAGCGGGTATCGCAGCCGTGTGGGCTGCCCAACCCAACTCGATCACACTCAAAGGAGCCTATACAGGCGTACACGATCCTTCTGCACTATGCCAACGTGCTGATGGGACGTGGTTCATGTTCTCTACCGCGTATGCTGCCATTCCTGCGAGACAAAACACACTGAACGAACTGCCTCCAGTGTCGGAATCGCGATTCGGACAAGCAAAGATCGAGTGTGGGTGGCTGATACTGTGTTTACACTAACCAACATACGGCCTATAGAACGTGGACAAATGCTGGTGTCGTATGGCCAAACGGCGCGTCGTGGACTGCACCCTATACTGGCTCGAACAATGCAAATCTCTGGGCACCGGATTGCACCTTTGCGAATGGACAGTTTTACGTACGTGGATGAAAACCTTGTATTGAGCGTTTTGGCTGATGGGAGAGATATGGTAGTTGTACTACTCTGCATCGACATTTGGCTCGCGCAATTCGGCCATATTTTTTGCGCGCTCGACGACTGGTAACCAAGGGACGTGGGTCAATAATGGACTCGTCTACAGCACCACAACTAGCAGCAGCTATAATGTACGTGCGGTCCGGCCGAGATAAATCGAATGGCTAATTTCCGAGTAGGCTATTGATCCGAATCTTATCATTGGTAAGGAGAAATGCGCCCTCGATGATGCCTGACATGAGTAGACAACGGAAGTTGGTACCTCGCCTTTGGTTCGTGGTCGGCTGGTATTGGATTGTGCGTACAGAGTAAAGTCAGAGTCGCCTACTGATGACATTACAGGCTCAAGTATGCGAAGCTGTTATGCCCATTTGTCGCTCTAACTCGGTCAAAGGCTTAGCTCGTCGACTGGTAAACCGTCAAGCACCAGCGTCACACTCTTGGCTACTCGTAGCAATGGTATCGAAGCTCCTGTAAGTTTTGATATGTCGAATGCATGTTATGTACTGATTCTTTGTAGTTCATCGTGAAGAATGGGTCGTATTATTACCTCTTCACCTCTTGGGACAAGTGCTGTGCGGGATTGGACAGCACGTACAATATTCGCGTAGGTCGTGCTTCGAGGTGAAATACTTCTCGTCAGAAATTTGGTAGAGCTGACCGTTGACAGCATCACGGGCACGTACAAGGACAAGGCTGGGGTTAGCTTGACGAGCGGTGGGGGTATGGTGCTTTTCATTGATGAGTGGAATGCTCACTGCTTCTAGGAACCGTCGTCCTCTCCACGCATGGAAGCGTATGCAACACCCCATTCATGCCCACGCCCATGCTCACGTTGTGCAGATCGTTGGACCCGGTGGACAATCTCTCTTTACGACTGGTGGCGTTACCTATCTAGTCTACCACTACTATACCTCCACCGGCTCAAACCTCGGTGAGTGCCGGAGTTGGTTTGTCATCTTCCACAACGCTGAGTACACTCTAGGCATCAACAAGTTGGATTTCTCGAGTGGGTGGCCTGTTGCTGTCTGAGTGTGTATGTCCTGTGAAATGTCAGACTCCTGAAGTATACCCGGTCAATGTGGTCCATGCCTTGTAAGCCAGGGTCGCCTATCCGAGTTGTTGGGGTAATCCTCTTGCGCACCTGACGCCGTCCAAGACCAGCAATTCTGGTGACTGGCCATTTCTCGAGTACTCTCCTGACGTCTATCTTACGATTAACGAGTCCAACTTCTCTATGCCCGTCGGCTTTCTCCACGCGGCGATCCGCAAGGTCGCATCGACGGCGCTCGCCGGTTTCTTTCGAGAAGTGCATGTTATCGGCGAGGAAAATGTGCCACGAGATGGTCCATTGATCGTCGTTTGCACGCATCACAACATGATGATTGACCCAACAATCCTCTGTGAGTTGTAGACTTGTTGGCGTAGGACTTAGCCAACTGTAAAGGCGCTGACCATGTTACTCCATTATAGCAAGTACAATGCCAGATCTGAGACCATTACATTATTGGGCAAAGGCGTCGTTGTTCAAGCACCCCATAGCGCGCAAGATTCTCCTCGCTAGTGGTGTCATCCCCGTCGACCGAGGCTCCAAGGACAACAGGGTAGGCTTACATTCTAGTACAAGAAGTTTAATGTCTCACCGTGGATGCAGAAACTCTTCGCCGGCACGTTTGACGCGTTGTCCCAGGATGACGCCGTCGCCCTCTTCCCAGAGGGAACAAGCTACACGCTCCCAAGAATCGTCCAGGTAAAGGACGGAGCATCCTGGTCGGCACTAGAATACATGAAGTGGGTCGCCGAGGGAGGCAAGAACACCAACAACGGCAAAGAGCTCGTAATCATTCCAGCTGGAATCACCTATACCGACAAGAGCAAATACAGGAGCTCGGCAGTCATTGAATATGGTCCGCCAATCCCGCTCGCAGAGTTTAAGCGGCAGTTCCTCTCGACCAAAGAAGGCGACGCTCGCGCAGCGGTAAAGGCCCTCACGCACGCGATTGAGCAAGCCCTCGTCGAGCTTACGATCAATGCACCGAACTGGGAGGTCTTGTACTCAGCACGAATGGCGAGAGACTTGCTCTTCGAAAGCTGGCGGGGTGTACCGCTTCATGACTTTAAAGATGTTGGCCAAACGTGAGCTCATTCTTCACGCTAATCTCCTGTATTCTTATCCGAATGTAGGCTGGTTGATCTCTTTGCGACTCCTTGGGACGCCGACCCGTCCTTTGTTGCTCTGAAAAAGGCGCTCATCACGTACCATTCGCTCCTCAAGTCGACCCATCTCACAAATGGAGCTCTCTCGACGCTTCCGTTGTCCAAGAGGAGATCCACCGACTCGGTCCCATCTCGCATGTCGACAATTGGACCCCTTCTCCGGGAAAGTGTCGCTGTTGGTATCCGGCTACCGCTATTCCTCGTCCCTATGCTCGTCCACCTCCCCATCTATTGGGTCACGCGATGGGTGGGTGAAAAGTCGGCCGAAGACGAAGAGGCCGTCGCGCAGAGCAAGGCTGTCGTTGGTCTCATCTTGTGCCTTACCATTTACAGCGTCTGGTTTTGGATTATATCGGCGCTCTTCTGGGCAACAGGTCTTGGTTTCGTCATTGCGGCCTTGACCGTGTGGGCAATGGCCTCGTATCACAGCAAGCTCATCGACGACAACTATATCCGGTATGCTCTCTTCTTCCTCTAAACCTACTTGCTGACTATTTTTCAGCGCCAAGAGACTACTATCTGCCTACCGAGTGCTGGTTGGAGTTTGGGGCCCTCAACGCTGGGACATGTCGCTTTCTGCGCTGACGCAGTACACCGTTACCCAACCGCCTCCACCAAACCCGTTCCTCAAGCTCCCGGATAGCGTAAAGGACGCCTTTGTCCGAAGCAGCAGCAGCCCGACGGTGCCCACGTTAGCATCAACGAGCACCGATCCGTCCTCGTCTTCCGGTGCAGGTGCTATTACACCCACGACACCCAAATCGAACAAACGACCGCCTTCTCGCAAGCTCATTCGTCACTTGTTACGCGCACGTGCTGAAGCCGTCCGACGACTCGCAGCATTCATCCGCCGAATTGACAAAGACGACGTGCGTGTGGCAGCGAGTGGATTCATGGCGAAGACGTATGGTGGTGGACTGGATAGTTTGTTCACCGTCGGTGGTGGAGATATCGAGACGGTGTCTGGTGGTGTCGAGGCCGAGTTGAATCCTACCGGATGGAGGAATGGGAAAGAGGTGGTTGCGTATCTCAAGAGCAAGGGTGCGATGGTCGGCAAGTTGCTCCGCGAGGGTGAGAGTGGGGAGCAACCGTATCAGTGGGACGTGTTGAGTAGTGAGGGGGAGCTCTCTTCGCCTGGCTCGGCGGGTGTGTCGATCAAGCAGGAGGAAATGGAATGGGTGATCCCGGGTAGCAAGTAAGGCGAATTCTAATTACATGTTGCATACTTGAACGTATTTGATCTCTATGAAACTTGTTTATCCTTTAATCTTTGTTGTTCTCTTAGTGATGTTTGACGCCTGACCCCGACCCCGACCTTGACCGAGCGCCGCGACGCGATATGCCATTTACGCAGGGCCTCCAGTTAAACAACGGATAAAAAACTATTATTTCGAGATAATAGACGAATCCTTCATAAGCTACATAGACCATAAAACCGATGCTACATAGGACCAGCCGGGCAAAGTCAGTTGACTGACTTGAGAAGTTCACTGCTACAATTAGAGGAGTGAATTTTCATGCTCTTGTATACGGAGGCCTATTAAGAGGTCAGTAATAGCATCACCTGTGCGAGAACGGCGAAGACGTACGAATTCCAGCATCCCTGTGCTCCTTGACACCAGATACACGAGAAGTTCCGAGGTGCATCTCAAGTAAATGGCGTTTATAGTCTCCCTTCCTTATTATCTGATTACATTGACTCTGTCGCCAAACCGCCAGGCCATCCTTGGGTACCTCGTATTGGAGGCGACATTTGACATAACCTATGGAATGTTTACGGGGACGATGATCCTTTGGAAATTTCTTGTACAGCTTATCACCCCGTGTGGTTGGAGGCCAATCCCGCATTTGGCAGAGTAGTTCATATGGATCGGGATAGTCTACTGTCGAAGTGAGTGGACGCTTTTGCTAGTAGAATACAATGACTCACGTGGAACTGCTATCTGCTGGGCAGTCGACTGGACAAGAGCTGCGACTGGGGGTGCGACTAGGGGTGCGACTGGAGGTGCGGGCGGGAAAGGAAGGTTATGGCCACGCACGAGCTCCGCTGCGAAGGGAACATTCAACGTTGATTGCCCCCATAAGATGCTATCCGCACTCGAGGAGGGCACCAATGCTGCGATACTGGTCAGCGACAGGCAAATCTCGTCAATGAGATTATCTTACCCCCATCGAGTGACTGCTTGGCGAGAGCCAATGATGAAGAGGGCGGGTTGTCGTAACCATCTGGGGTCAGGGGGACATAATCCCTAGGACCGGACAAGGTTTTCGCTGTGAATGCAGGGGTGTGGGTATCCGCTGCATGTTCAGGTGCGAGAAACCCATTCAGTATTCCGGGTTGAGGATAGTAACCCCTCGAGCCGCCTGCTGGTTCTGCGAGACTCGGTGGGTAGCTGGATTCTTCGATGAGCGAGGCGCCACGAACGCTTTTATTATAGACATACCCGTTATATTCACCTTGATACGTTCCAAAGACGTCGGGAGCTGGGTCGGCGTCCGCCTTTGGCGAGTGGAGAGTAGAAGAGTCAAGGTATAAGTGCGTTTGGTACAGGCTAGACTCGTCAACGCTCCACGTTGATTGGTAGTCGGAGGAGTCTTGCATTTGGAACACAAGGTCGAATTAGCTGGGGAGGAAAGTAGTATATGATCGAGTGGGGAGATGGCATTTTTCGCCGTTGAACGGTGTGTCCCTTTTATATGCCCCGATGCATCTGGTTTCTCAAATGGACTCAGTGAAATCCTACGTCTGCGGCGAGCGAGCTGCCACACGCCGCACTGGTCGCGCAGAGCACAGACGGCAGTGGTATTTGTCAATTATTGCTTGATTCTAACATGAACTATGAGAAAAAAGTCATATGCACATTCATCGTCTCCGCCTCCCTTTTTGGTCCCGGTCATTGACCACCTGCGCTGACAGCGGCGCAAACGCTCGTGAGCTGTGCTGTTCCAATCTCTCGTTGCGAACCTAGTCTCGTGTCCGAGGTGACCATGATCGTAGGTGAAATTCGACTGCAAATCCGATTCATACTGGCGATCCGGAGACGGTAACATTGGATTCAGGGAGTTTAACCACACTGAGTGTACTGGCGCGCTCAATGCATGTCGGCAAACTCCTTTCGTTGCTTTGTATCGGGGTTCCCTTTGCAGCTCTGTCGGAGGATCCAATCGTCGACTATGGGGTGGTATACAAGGAGACCGGTCTACAATCCTACAGTTGGACAGGTAAGACTCATACAATCACTCCACTTGCTGCGTCGTTACCCGTATTCAGTCTCCTGTTCGCCTCTGATGCTCACCAGGGTCATGGGCGTTCAGGCAGTGCGGTGCCGCAGAGAGCTCTGCCCCTTCCAGGACAACTCGGAGTCCAGTTTAGGATACATTATGAGTCTCTGGTCTCTATGGCAGATTAAGTTCCAGGGTTACTCGACCCGTACCATCGTTCATGGCACAGCTGCGAAGGAGCATCATCGCTCACGATGCACTGGCAGAGATTCCTTATTCAAGATGAATTCTCGGAATAATTAGGCGAGCTGAGAACATGATGGCAAAGGACGACAGTTTCCCGGTGAGCTTCTCGGACTGATTCTCACATGCAAAGTCGTAGTGTCCAACTTGATTATCTAATGAAAGCACCCATCTCAAGCGGTGCACCTCTGCATCCTACTCTCTGACCATCCTATTCTAATTAGAGAGCTAAAGAAGGCGCTTTCTCTCATAAAAGTGTCTTTATTGTCCCGAATACAGTCGAATGGAACAACGCCTGTCGAAGAATTTGAGTGTGTTTCAGTACTTTATATCCCAGATTTACTAATATGATTTGAATGTAATACATTTGAATCACTATTCAGTGCCTCTGGGCCCTTTCTGTCAGATGGTCATACTCTGTGTGGCTCCGCATCAAAAAAGTTTGGACCTAATGCCTCTGGCTGACTCGCGACGGATCGCAGAGATCAATTGAAAATCTCGAAATAAGCGGCCTTAAAGGTCCTCTGAATGGCAAAATACATGACTTGATAGATTCCAGCATCAACCAGCGGTACGTGTTAGGAGTTTCGGCCCTTTGGCTTCTCGTATGCGCCGAATCGTCGTTTAATAAGACTCATGATACCATTTTCCTTAATCATGTCCCCTCGCATGCTGGCTTTGCGTGCTCTTCCTCGTTGATGCGTTGAGCCCTTGCCTAGATCTTCTGACCAGGCACCCCAGGAGGCGCATCTCGCCGTGGACTCGTAATAATCGTCAAAATTAATCGATTTAGATCACTATCAAAGCCTACAAGCAGTCCATCAACGAATCGAAAAAAGTGACCCAGGCTGGCTGGCCGCTCCGTCCGAAGCGAGACGTCGACTCTTTGTCTCACTCTAAACGCCTCCTCTTCGTCGAAGGACCTGCTTGTCCCCCAGGGAAGGAAGCGAAGAGCTAGATGAATTGCTCTTCGTTTTTCTCTCCCTGCGCAAGCCAACGTGTTGCTCTTTAATGTGTCTTGTGCAAGTTTCTTTAGAAATGTAGGGTCCGTAGCAACATTGCCTTTCCTTCGTCCATTGGCGTCTGCCATCTTTGTGGATGATTGAGCGGCGCCACCTGCAAGTCCACGACTTGCGGCCGACTTCCAAAGGCGCCCATTCCTCGGGGACAAGAGCGTACACATGCTCTCCCCAATGTTTGTACTCTTGGCTGCTGACCAAGTCTATTATCTTCTGTGGGTCGGGCAAGCCTGTCACTGGTCACTTCATTGCTCGCTCTATGCATCGTGGTGGAACGTACCTTGGTTTGCCTGTGGCATAACTGTAGTCATATCGTTTCCATTTAGCGGCCTCGTGCCGCTCTTTCCTTCTCCCTTGTCGGGGTTTACCGGGCTCGGACCGCTATGTGACGCCGGGATCACTATGCTATCATCAGCGTGTTTTAGACTCTATGGAGGGCCGCTCACATTCGGCGTCAGCGGACCTAGCTACGCGACCACCTCCCCCATCCTTCGGCGGGAGGCGGTCTAACGTATAGTTGTGTTCGCTGGCTAGGAAGGGGCGACTGCTCATGACTCTCTGGACTGGCATATCTGGTGTCGACATTCGTTCAGGCGTCGCACTTGACCAAGGCGAAGCCATGGATGTGTAACCCGTCGAATAAGGCGTCGATGCTGCCGAGTCCTGAATGCTGGGAGACGTGAAGCGTGTCATTTTGTGGCTAGTTGCGAATGTTGGTAAATAGTATCGCCATCGCAAGGCGCTCACCTAGGGTGATCATGCGTTGTGTTGACAGTGTGGTCATTCCCCGCCAACGACAGGACTGGTGTAGGCCTGCTTGTTGATGTCAGATGGTCCTCGATATACCAGGTCCGCTTACCGTCTCGTCAAGCTTGGAATTTGTGGCACCAGGATTTGGTCTGTTAGGTTGTTGGGGTCCTCAGTCGAACGAGTAAGAGTGATGCTCGCGAATTCTACCGGTTTTGGAGTCACAGTGTCCCCGATGACGAGCGCCGCATCCTGCCCTTCGTCCAATGCCCACAGATAACTCGTTTGACGGTCATACCGACTAGACCGAGATCAATAAATTATCTGTCGGCGTAGAAGTGTGCTTACACACTAGAGTTCCAGTCATATCCTGTCATCGACGGGTGACTGATAGGGACGACCCCCTCAAATGGGAGGGCGCCGACTACGTTTGGCCCGAGGGAGGACGCCACGTTACCAAAGGAACTTGCATTTGCAATATATTGTCCAACAAATCCCCCATAATTCTCCGTTGACCATTGGCTACCGGGCTGGCCAAGCTGGCTACTCGATGTCAGAACTCGAAGCAAAGTTGGCAGTGGGGCTCACACATAGGGTGATCCGGTATTTGCGCTCGCCCATTGATAGGGGGGCGTTGAATCAACTTCATTAGCGTATGTTGCGCTGAACGACAGTCGTGTCCCCATCCCCGGCAGATTCTGACCGACGAGCCAAGGACCTTGCGAGGTCCCATAGTACGAAGCTCTGGACGAACCGAGACACGTTAAGACGCGTAAATATCCACACCGAAGCGTGCGTACTGGGAGAAACCCGTCTGATCCCCAGTTGGCGCTACGCCCACTACCGCTCTTCTTTGCAACGCGGACAAGCTATTAGTCACAGACGTTAGCTGTTCGTTTATATATCTTCGGAAGCTATAGCACACCTCGGTTCATCGTCTGGAGGGGCGGTAGAATCACCGAAGCAGTCGTTGAACACCCGCCTTGCATCGGCTTCGGCCTCGGGTGAGGACTCGAGGACTTGATAGGAATTATAGATGGGGTTAGACATTGTATCGAAACAGAAACTGACGATCAGTCGGAGGTTGGGAGCTTCGGCTGAGTGCAGGGTACGCTGGCTTATATACTGACGGACATTCTGTAGGTGAGAATCAAAGCAATACTGTCCGTCGGTAATCCGAGTGGCAACTCACAAGCCTCATGGCAGCAGCCTCGCTGCTTTCTCGAGTTGGCTCTCCTGCCTTTCGATGGTTGGGTTTCGCGGCGACCAATCACAATGGAGAAACAAATGTTCGAGAAATTCTGCGTTGTACCATCAGGCAAAAAGGCTGTTCTGTGGTGGACAGGCAGCAACCACACCAGCGAGGCACGCTCGATGGTCATTGCGTGGACACTTGCCATGTCTCAGATCACAAACACACAACGTTAGCCATGATGAAAGGCCGAAGGTCCCGGATATCGATCGTGCCCGGCGTCCGTTGCGGACATAGATACAGCGGCGGTGCTTAAATTGACAGACTCGTGTCACCGACGTTGCTTGTCATCAGATGCGGCAGTTCTAGGCTTTTTGGAATACCCTGCCAGCGCTACGCTTGGATAAGGGCAGGGGGCTGGTCCGTTATGTATGAGTGGGTTGGTTCGTGGATCTAGCTTGCTGCTTGCCATCGACGGCTTTCAGTATAACTCAGTATTGCGAATTGGAGTGCCTTGCCTTAGGCTCTCGGTCCGAATTGCGAATGTAGGAGTAATTATAGGTCCGCACATTGAGGTTATGTTATGCCGAAAATAGGTAAAGGACACTTCACTAATGCGCATATGGCCAACTATCCGCAGGTGGCACATTTCGATCCGAGCTCTGAGAACCGTGGTGCGCCTGAGGGCCTAGGGGAGAGGTCAAATGCCTTGAATAGTAGATTTTAGTAGTACAATTTGAATGGAAATCTGACTGAATATCCATTCAGCTTTCCGTGTGTCCTTTCTGTCAGATGGTCATACTCTCCGAGTCTAAAAAAAAGTTTGGACCCAATACTTCCGACTGACTCACGACAGATCGCAGAGATCTATCGAAAGTCTCAACAAATACGGTCCGAAAAATCGGATTTACTGAGTGGACGGCAGAATAAATGACTCGATAGACTCCAGCATCCACCATCAGGTATGTGTTGATTGGTCTGAGCCCTTCTGGCTTTCCACGTGCCAAATCTATGTCTTTTGAGACTCTTGATACCACGTTTCTTTGTCATCTCCCCTACCATGCTGCCATTGACCCCCTTTTCCTTGTTGACGCGTTGAGCCCCTGGGAGGATACTCTGACCAGTCGCCTACAGGAGGCCTATCTCACTATGGATCTACAGCTTTCGTCGAAAATAATCGATTAGGATCACTATCAAGGTCTGCGGCCAGTCTATCAGCGAACCGGGAATGCCAAGTCCGTGAAATAAATTCGGCTGTCTGCCCTATCCGAGATAAAGGTCCGAAGACTCGTCTCACTCTAAGCGCTTCCTATTTGTCGGAGGTCGATCCTTCTTGCTCGTCTTCAGGGGATGAAGGGGGAGAGCGAGATTCTTCTCCCTTGCTCTTTCTGTGTCTTCGGATGCCCATATGGTGCTCCGTCACGTGCCTCGTCCAGGTACCTCTGGTCCTGAAAACTCTCTTGCATTGCCGTTCCCCGCTCCATTTGACTCGTCCAGTCTCTCCGGGGACGATGGAACGACGCCATCGACATTTCCATTCTTTGTCGATTTCCTTTGATTTCCATTCAGGTAACAGTTTGTATACGTCGTCCCCCCAATGCTTCTGGGCACGAACCCTGTCTAGGATCGCCTGCGGTTTGGGCAAGCCTGTCACTAATTTCCTTAGCACATGTTGTACGCAGTGCTGCAGGACATACCTTGGTTCGCTCGAGGCATAGTTCTGGCCCTACCCCCTCTGTTCAGTGGCCTTGTGCCGCTCGGCTCTTGCCATGGGATGGACACTCCCTTTCCCTCTCTGGGACTATCCGTGCTCAGACCGCTGTATGATGCCGGAATGACTATAATACCATCAGCAAGTACCCGTATCGAGGGAGCTTCGCTCACCGTCGGCGTCAGCGGGCCTAGCTATACGACCGCCTCCTCCACACCTCGTCGGGAGGCGGTCTTTCGTATATTTGGGTTTGCTGAGTATGTCGTGGTGACTGCTCACAAGTCTTCCCTGGACTGGCGTATCTGGTCTCGACTCGAGCATCGGTGTTGCATTTGACCAAGGTGACGATATGGATGTGCCACCGCGCAAATACGGTGTCGACCCCGCCGAGTCCAGAATTTCAGGAGAGTCGAATCCTATCTGTTTGCTACTGGTAGTGGCTATTAGCAACGCTAGTACCACTGTGATCAAGGCGCTCACCTATATCGACCATGTATCGTATGGGCGGTCCGATTACTTTTTGCCAACGGAGGGATGGGGGAGGTCCTGTTATCCAATTCCAGGAAGTTCTCTTATATAATTACATGCTTACCGTCCCGCCTCGTCTGGAACCCGTCGTCCACTGATCGAGGGCCCAGTGTTGCCGCTGAGTTCAGCCAAACTATGAGGCGCAGCATCCAATAATGGCACCGATATCGGAACTATAGCAGTTTCGGTGATAAACGACGTCGCTTGCTTTCCGAAACACGGCAGTGGTTCGACTTGAGGGTCACAGAGGCTATACCAAGATCAGGAATCAGTCTCTATATGTAGGAATGTACCCACAAGCTGCCATCCCAACCATCTCCGATCTTCGACCAGTCTTCGAAGGCTTCAGGGATGTAGCCGCCTACACTTTCTCGCTGACCAGAGGGTGCTGCACTGAAGGGATCAGCGTTTTGCTGTCCAATAATGCCCCCAGAACTTTCCACTGGCCATTGGTGAACTGGGTGGTTGCGCTGACTACTCGACGTCAGAACAGCGAAATACACTAGGTATCAGGCGCACCTATTCAATTGCCAGACACCGACATTCATCGGCTCCTGAAGGGAAAACGGAGCGAATCCGTTCGCATACGTCGTGCTCAATGACGGCTGCGCATCCAGTGCCACTTGCGCGGGATTCTGCACCATGAGCCAAGGTCCGTCTCGCATGACCCCATGGTACGAAGTTCTAAACGAACCGAGACACGTTAAAAACGCAACAGTCTCCACACACACAAATGCGCGTACTGGGGCAAACCCGTCCCATCCGCCATGGTCGGCGCTGCGCCGGATATCGCCCTTCCTTGCGGCGGCGCGGACAAGCTATTGGTCACTGGCATTAGCGTTTTGTCGTCGATCGTCTGGGAGTGATCACATACCTGGGTCCATCAAGTGGATCTTTTGTGGGGACAATAGGGCCGTGCAAGCACTCGAAGACCACCCGCGCTGCAAGGGCTTCCGCCTCGGGTGAGGTCTCGAGGCCTTGAAAAGGATCGCAGAAGCTGTTAGACATTATTCCGATAAAAGTGGCGCCTGATTGAAGACGATTTGCGATCGGTCAGAAGATGGGGGCTTGAGTGGGAACACAGTATGCGAGCTTATATACTGACAGTTATTAATGAGGAACTAAGCATACTGTTCCTTTTGGAATCCGAGGGGCTCGTTACGTCCTCGAGGCAGCCGCCTCGTTGCTCTCTGGGTTGGCTCTCCTGCCCTGAGATAGCTGGATTTTGCGGTGGGTAATCACAAAGCAGAACGAGTCATTCGCGAAGGTTTGAACTGTTCTTTCACGAAAGAAGACGATTCTGTTGCAGACAGACGCCAACCACACCGGTACGGGACGGTATCGCCTCGGGTGGATCCTCATTGCATTTCATCTAGTCAATACACTATTCCGAGCGTAGTGCGGTTCCGATGGACCCTGGTATCGATCGTTCTCAACTCCTATTGCACACCCGGTCGTAGAGACCAGGCGTGGATCGACAGATTGGCTGCGCGACGTCGAATGTAATATCTGTAGTTGCTTAGGTTTCTAGAACATATCTCAGACGATCCTATTGCCAGGCCTGGATACACCGGCGCTATCTATCCATACGGAGAGAGACGAGCCCTCACGCGTGTTTGTTTGATGACTTGTCCTTGATATAGTTACAGAATGACTCAATACTACGAAATTGGATTGATCCGCCGTCGGATAGCTTGAATGGATATGGACATGCGGACTCAATGCACCTCAAAGTTGGCTTCTGCTGGAAGAATTCAAAGGATCTTCATTGGATCCAGAGCTTTTCTCAGATTTTGGCCTTTTGGCTCGGAGTTTCAATCTTTCAATATCTGATAGGTGCGTAGCTCAACCTCCTGAGCGATAGTTGTTGTCACTAGGCCTAGGATAAGACCTGCGGCCCGGGCGCTGTGGTCTTGGATGCCCACTTCCGACTCTCATGGGACCCGGGACAAGGTCAAATGCCTTGGATTGTAGATTTAGTAGTACAATCTGAATAGAAATCTGCATGAATATTCATTCAGATTTCCATGTGCCCTTTAACGAAGTTTGGACCCAGACACTGCCGACTAACTCGCGACGGATTACAGATATCAGTAGGAAATCTCGAAATATGGGTCATTAGATGTTCTATGGTCTCACTGAATGGCCAACTACATCACTTGATAGACTCCAGTACGCACCAGTCGGTGCGTGTTTGGGACCAGAGGCCTTTTGCCTTTTTACGCGCAGCAGATCGTCATCTAACGAGACACCTGATATGATAGTTCATTTTACTTCTCCGAATATGCCGCCATTGAGCGTTCTTCCTTGTGAACGCGTTGAGCCCTTGCCTAGATCTTCTGATTCGTCGCCCATAGGAAGCGTATTTCACGATAAATCCACCACATTCGTAGCAAGAGTTGATTGAGGCCACTATCAAAGTCTCCAAGGTCCGTCAACGATTCGACCACAATGACAATAAAGTCCGTGAAATAATGCGGCAAGGCGCTCCCTAGGCAAATCTTCGAGAATCGCCTCACTCCAAGCGTTTCATCTTACTGAAGGACCTTCTTCCTGCTCTTCAGGAGGGGCGAGTGGGACGTGAGGTGCTTGGTCGTTGCCTTTTCTTTTTCTTGGAATACCCATATGATGCTCCGTTACGTGGCTCGTCCAAGTACCTTTGGTCCTGAAAACCCTCTTGCATTGCTCGCCTCTGCGCCATTTGGGTCGCCCACCATCTCCGGAAACGATGGAACAATGCCATCGGCATTCCCATTTCTCCTCGATTTCCACTGCTTTACATCCGGGAAGCAGTTTGTATACATAGTTTCCCCAATGCTTGTGGGCACCAACCAAGCCTAGGATCGTCTGCGGGTCGGGCAACCCTGACCCTGACTCCTGAGCATAGATCGTATGCATCGTTGTGGAACATACCTCGGGATGCTCGAGGCATAGTCGCGACTGTATCGTCTTTGTTTAGAGGCCTTGCACTGTTCGCTTCTTGTCCATGTTCTAGGGTGGACATTCCATTTTCCTTGTCGGGACTGTCTGGCAGGACAACGACTATCTAATAATCAGCGCGTCATCGAATACAAGGGTATTCAATCACCTTCGATGTCAGCGGGTCTAACTATCCGACCACCTCCCCACGTCTCTGGAAGGTGGCCCATAGGATAGTGTGACTGGCTGATTAATTTGGGGCGATTATTTATAAATTCTCCCTTAGTTGGCGTAGTTAGCGTAGAAACTCGTCTCCGGATTGGGAGGACAATGTTATTGGCCTGATCGGCCGGACTGCGAGGTGCAGGGTTGGCAAGTTGCACCGATAACGGAGCTATAGCATTGTTTGTGACAAACAATGACCCTTCTTTTTCATACAATGCTAGTGGTTGACTGGTTTGAGGGTGGTAGAGACTATACCAAGATTAGTATTCCAGGTCTAGATGCGGAAGCGTGCTCACTATCTATGATTAAAATTATATCCCATCTTCGACAAGCGGTCAATCGGCACGACAGCTTCAGCGGGGTCGCCCACCGTGTTTGGCTGGACAGAGAATACTGTAGCGATAGGAGGTGCATTTACAAAAGATTTCTATCCATTCGCCACTGGGGATCCGGGTGGCTGAGCTGACTACTGGACGTCAGAACTTGAAACAGAGTAAACAAAGGGCGCACCAATTGAACTGCCCGACACTCGCATTCACCGATTGGTCAATGCAAACTGCTCCGACACTGTTCGCAGATGTTGTGCTAAACTGCGAGCCCAAAGCCACCCATGGCGGGTCTCGCGTGGCGAGCCAAGGACCGGCTCGGAGAGTCCGATGGTAAGAAGCTCTAGACGAGCCGAAGAACGTTAAAACGTGTAATTCTCCGCACAGAAGCGTGCGTACTGGGGAAAACCCGTCTGGTGTCCCGTCGGCGTTACGCCTGTTGTTCCTTGTGCTCCTGGCGCAGTCAAGCTATCAGTCACTGGCGTTAGCATCCCGCTTATCGAGTTTCTGGAGTTCTCGCATACCGTGGCTCATCAAGAGGACCGTCTAGGGAGACGATAGGCCCATGCAAACACTCGAAGACTACCCGCGCTGCATTGGCTTCCGCCTCGGGTGAGCACTCGAGGTCTTGATAGGGATCAAAGGAGTTGTTGAACATTACATTCGACAAGTTTAGAGACCAATTTAAGACGGTCAATAACCGGATGTTGAGGGGCTTTGCATGAGTGAAGCCACGAAAATATATACTAACGGTCTTTCAGGAGCGGAGGCGGAAAGCAACTATACCCTTTGAAAATCCGACCGGTTCGTCATGTCCTCGAGGCAGCCGCCTTGTTCTCTCTGTGTTGGCCTTCCTGCCTTGAGACAATTGGACTTCGCGGTGAGAAATTACAAGTAGAACGAGTCATTAGTGGAACCCCTGGATTGTTCCATGACTAAAAGGGAGGCTCTGTAGTATGTAAACGGCAGCCCCGTTTGTGCAGCGCCATGAATAGCCTCGGGTGTACTCACATTGTATTGCATCTAATACTAAACAATTCTGACTATGATTTGGTCCCGGATATCGATCGTTCTCAGCCTCGTTTGCACAATAGTCAGAGGGATGCAGCGTCAGTTGTCACATTGGGCAAGGAATGTCGACCCTCATCAGATACAGTTGTTGTTTAGGTCTTTTGGAGTATATCTCTGACAATGCCATTGCTAAGCTTGGACACAGCATGGCTAGTTTCTCTGTCAGTAGAGACAGGTGAACACTAGGCGGGTTTGGTTCAGGAGCTGTCCTTGAAATGGTCGCAGAATGACTTTATGCCGCGAAATTGGGCTGCTAGAATGGATAGATGCGCGAGCTTCGTCTCAGTCCCTCCCCGCGAGTTGGATTCTTCTGGTAAGGTAAAAGCTCTTCATTGATTCCGGGAGGCTATTCTCATATTCTTTTGTTCCAAGCTTTGGCCGGCGACCAAGTCTCTGTATCCTTCTGAATATCTACCGAATAGCTTTCATTCGGGGGTTCTTCATCCTCTTTGAAATAATTTCTCGTTTTATGCCCATCAATAAAAGGTGGCCCAGGTTGGCCAAACAAAGTTTGCGGCTTGGACCCGCCCACGTCTCTTTGCGCTTCCTGCCTTCTGCCACAAAGTATTACCCAGAAGAATTTATGCTGAATACGCATCAAGTATTCTTCTTCTCTCGTTACCTATTGTTTTGGCACTGTTAGAGCCTTGTTGTGTGTACTAGCAGCGTGATATGTGATGCCCTTATTGCCCAGGTATTACGCCTTGCTGCATCAGATGGGCAGGAGCTACCATATCCCCCAAAGCTCGTACATTTTACTGGGTGAAAAACAATAATATTTTTTTGGGTCACGTCCGTGTCTTGGGCGCTAGACTGCGGTTGCGTAATATTATTCGAGGCACGGAGCGGAACGTATGTTAATACTTCTTCAGTGTCTCATGAAACTCGCAATGTCCCTCGATTCAACACCTTTGAACTCATGCTCTTCTAGCCTTGGACTAGGAGGCATATCTCCGTCAATGACAGGAGCGTTCAAATGCTGATAGCTCCCTTCAATTGGGATGCGTGCTTCATGGTCTGTCGACATCGATTATTGTTGCAGATACCTGATGGCACTCAACAAAAGAATGGTGGGTGGACTCGCGATGTTCGGATCTGTCAGGTATCCATACGGTTTCCAGTGTGCGAGTTCGTGCACTCATTCTCAAGTATCTTATAGAGTGCAACAATGCGCCAATCATATCTTAATCATTGGGAATGTTGACGTCAATGCCTACCAATAGATTTGGAAGAGGCTCTCCACCTGAATCGATAAGGTGGCCACGGGTAGCCGAAACCCGCTTCCTCAATTCTTTTTCTGAGAGATATATCTCCATTATAGGGTATAGAAGTATATCGTAGGCAAAGGGAATGATGATAAACTTATTTGTCCGGAATTGCTTGCGTCGACGCTCCGGTTCTGCCAAACCACGAGTCATCAAACTCGATTATTCAGACTATTAAATGGCTTGCAGTACGTTTTGGCATTTTCCGGGAGTCGAGATGCTTGTAAATGGTTGGATGATCAGAGGCCCTCCTGCCTTTCCCATTTGATTGCCATTATCGACAAACTATGTTGTCAGCTTGAGTCACAATAGGAACTCTGCAAGTCTTTACGAACCAAACCTGTTTCTGTGCTGCTGTCGAGCCTTGGAGAGTGGTGGCGTCAACTCCCTCGCAAAACGTTGCCAAGTCGAGTTGCTCAATGCTGGGTACGACATTCGTCTGCTTGTGAAGCGTAGTCTATGGTGCAGCATTCATCGTTAAGTCGTTTATTTCTGTCAATACCCCCGTTCTTGGTCGACGCGTTACTTGTGGCAATGACACTGATTCTATGAAATCCTCGTTGTTAGGTAGCATCCAACAGGTCATGAGTCCTAAGCTCGTTGAAGCAGGTTGGATCTGTCTGAAGGCTCAATCTCTGCCACTACAAGCCTAGTTCTTGTCATTGGCGCTGAGAATTCGAGGCGAGACGAGGGTGTTTACAGGAGTCGGGCAGTAAAGCACACTACAAGCTGTTCGGAAGAGCGAAAACTGGTCATTCTCGACAGAATAATCGCATCTCTTGCTTGGGATACGTGGGTGGGGGAAGCGAGGCCCAGGCGCCCATGAATGGGAGTTGCGACATTAGGTTTGGACACCGTAAGCCCTGACATTCTCGTCATGGCTATAGATACGAGCAGTCTATGTTAGACAAGTACACGAATAGAAGGTGTTGCTCAACTTGTCGAATAGCTCATTCGGAATGTCGAGCCGTGTCTCTTTCAATCGACTAGGTTGAGCAATCTAGCGAGATCGATCACCAAAGTTACTGCGTATTCATACCAAAGTTTGGAAATAGAGCCGCTTTGAGCCGCGTCCAAATATAAACGCGCCTGGTTCCCTGCGGCTTGTGTAGCCGAATTTACGGTCCCCGTATTTTTGGCGTCATGATGAGCATAAAATGAACGGGACCCACGAAAAACCCCTGCCTCTTTCCTTGCCTCACTCGCGACTGACCCGCGTGATTTTTCCGCTCGGACTTTTGATGTTTCAGGGAGAGGCATGAAATATTCAACACTTGTTTCTTCGTTGCTGTTTTTGGCCTCGTCAACCGCCGCGCCCTCTTCGTCCTCATCCACGACGCACGTCCGACGCAGGCCGGGAGACAAAGATGCCCAGAAGCTCACTTTACCCATCTCTTCTCGTGTCCACAGGACTGGGTACTCACATCCAGATACATTCATGCGCTCAAAGAGCCGGCGGCGGCGACGAGTTCTCAAGCCGAACATGGAGAAACGGCTAAGCGAGACGGTGCCGATGAGCAAATTACATGAGGATCAGGCTGTACTTTACACGACGATATTCGTTGGAAATCCTCCACAGCCACTGGACGTTCAGGTGGATACAGCGTCTTCGTAGGTACTGCGACATAACGCTTCACGAGGCTGACCACTCTTCCTCTGAACTTTCAGTGACCTGTGGATTCCAATTTCCGGATGCACGAATTGCAATACAACTCTAATACAGACCAAAGCGATCATACTTCTTCATTATTTAACATAAGCAGCTCTACTACGTTTATACCCACGTCTCGTGGTGTAAAAATTGCATATGGTGATGGGACAGGTGTTGGTGGAGTCGTCTCGAAAGATACAGTCTCCGTTGGTGGGTTCGTTTCTGAATCTTTTACAAACACTGACAACGATCCAGGAGACTTTGTTGTACACAACCAAACTCTCATTGCGGTCGAGAGTGTACAAGGACAGTTCGACACTGCCGGTGTATTTGGACTCGGCTGGCCGACACTCTCGACCTCACGAGGGAACCCATGGTGGATCAATGCAATCGACCAGTTTGACGAGCCTGAATTTGGGCTATACCTGACCTCGTGCGGTTTTTGACCCTTGTTCCGTCTCTTGCTGACCCCAGAAATAGACCAACCAACGTGACCATTGCACCTGCCGGACAACTTACTCTCGGTGGACGGAATGAATCACTCCTTGACGGCGAGCCGCAGTTTGTACGGCTACTGGAGCAGAGCTTTTGGGCCGTTCCGCTGACGCAAGTCACTGTGACCACCAATTCAAGTTCAGCTACCAATACCGCGTCGACATCTTCATCAAGTGCGACTGTTAGTCTTGCCGGCGACGACGCTGTGGCTATCCTAGATTGTGGGAGCGAGCTCATCTACGGACCGACGGTATATGTAGATGCGGTCTACGCGAGCATCGAAGGAGCTGTGAAGAATGAAGCCGATGGAGACGATGATGATGGATGGCTTTTGCGTGCGTGTTCTTGCCTTCTTTGGGGGTATGGCTAATGCAATCTTGGCAGCATGTGATACTAGAGCAAGCTTGGTCTTCTCATTTGGGACCGTAGATGTGGTTCTCCCTTCGTCCCTTCTGGTTCAGCCCTCGCCTATTGCACAATCTCCGGCGACCAGCACAAGTAGGACGAGTACGAGTGCGACTCCAAGTACGACAGCGCGGAGATACTGTTCTGGAACTCTTGTTGGTGACAATGATGCTTCGACAACAAACGGTGCTTCTCCTGCGTGGATCCTCGGACACGCGTTTCTCAAAGCGACCTATACTGTCTTCCGCAAAGGGACGTCACCGAGTGTAGGATTGCAAAGCTCAAAAGTGGCTACTCAACTTCTTCGAATGGTGGGGATGGGATTGGGAATGCGGGCGTGGGCGAAGAGGTTGTGACGGCAAGCCCAGGGTTGGATGGAGCACAGACGTTGGACTCTGGTTCGATAATGTTGGTACCGATGAGTGAGTTTTGGGTCTGGACTCTTTTGTGTACATTGATGCTAGTCTACTGAATATGCTACTTGATAACGATTTTAGCGTGGCGCTGAACCGGTTATCACGTGCTTGAGCCGGCTTGGACCCGACCATAAATCGCAGCGGGCCCGTTAAAGCGCCCCCGACCAGATTGGATGCCACCCTCTTCGGTTCTCAGACTCCCCGGTCGTCTCTTGCGGCTCTCTTCGCGTTCGGCATCTGCCTTTTGCCCACCATCTCTCACAACTCGGAGCTTGAACACAACTCGCTCTCTCACACGCAATTCCAGTCAATCTTGGTCTGATCCGACTCCTAGCTTCGTGAATTTGTCTACAGCAAACTGCCGGAACATGTCAACAACCACTTCCCGAATGCTCCCAGTCGGCTTGAAGCCATCCGAATATGCGATTCCACTCTCTAGCATGCCAGAAAACTGGAAAGAGCTCGCGCCGTTTCCGCCAGCACGTGAACGCACGCAAACATATGCGCACCAAGATGCACTCCCGCATCTGCCTGTCCCGCCACTCGCACAGACGCTTGACAAGCTCAAGAAGAGCTTGCATGCGATGAAGATGAGTGAGGAGGAGATGAAAGAGGCCGAGCGAAAGATTGATGCGTTTGGTGCCCCCGGCGGTGTCGGCGAAGTGTTACAAAAGCGATTGGAAGAGAGGAGAGAGATGGAAGAACGAAAGGGTGGAAGGGGTCATTGGTTGGAGGCGTGGTGGGATGATCTGGCATACATGGGCTACCGGGACTCGGTAAGGTCTTCTATCGGCTCATAGCCGACTCTGACTCTGATATCCAGGTCGTCATCAACGTTTCATACTTTTGTGAGTTTTCTTTCTATTGATCTATCTGGCTGACCATGTCACAGATGGCTTTGACTTACCGCCGAATACGCCTACACCTCTCGCAGTGAACAATGTCGACCCAAGCACGCCAACACCTTTTGCATTGCACAGGGCCGCATCTACCGCTCGTGGTGCGCTGCTCTTCCGACAGCAACTCCTCACTGGCCAAATCGAACCAGATGCGACAAAGGCAGGACCAATGTGCATGGACTCGTGGCGCTGGATGTTTGATAGCTGTCGTATCCCACACAAGCCATCTGATTACGCCCTCTCTTTCGCTCCTTCTTCGCGTGATGCAGATATCGGCGTCGATGGACACTTTATCGTCGTTCGCAAGAACCGATTCTGGAAGGTGGTCAACACGGTGCAGGATGCCAATGGGAAGAAGCGACTACTATCTACGGAGGAGATACAGAAACAACTCGAGTATATCGTCTCGCAAACGACAGAGCGCAAGCAAGCCGTTGGCAACTTGACAGCAAGCGACCGAGATAACTGGGCAGATGACTATATTATTCTAGCCGGAATCTCTGAGAATAACAAGGGAGTGTTGCACGACATTCACTCCGCGGCATTTGTCGTCTGTCTCGACGACACGTCTCCGACGCCTTCACAAAGCCCCTTTAAAGTGACCCCGACGTCCATCATGAAGAACGGAGACTCGACCTCGACCGTCTCTGGTGCGGATCCTGTCTCGTTTAGCCGCTGGCTGTGGCACGGTGGCTTGGCCGGCGAGAGTAATCAACTGGGGAACAGGTGGATGGACAAGGCCGTCCAGTTCATCGTGGCACCCAATGGAGAGATGGGCATCCTCGGCGAGCATTCGACAATGGACGGTACCCCCACGACGCGAATGTGCGACCAGGTCCTCGATGCAATCTACTCGCCCACATTTGATCATGGTGTTGCGTCGGCTTCTTCGATTATCCCTGAAGCCCTCGACTTTGATATTTCACCCGAGCTGGAGAAGCGAATTTCGGAAGCGAAGAAGAGGAGTGATGAGCTCGTGTCGAGTCAAATCTTGACCTACTACTTGACAGAATATGGAAAGCAAGAGATCAAGACGTATGGGATTGGGCCAGACAGTTGGACGCAGATGGTCGTCCAGTTGGCATATGATCGATGGTGTCGCAAGCATGGTAGGGTGTTGATACTCTCTAATGCTACCATACTGATGCCCCTCCAGGTAAAGCCCTCGGCTCAAGGGAACTGGCGGGACGTACGAAGCCGCCACGACCCGCAAATATAAAAAGGGAAGAACAGAAGCTATTCGGGTCGTCTCGAATCCTGTTCGACGATGGATTGAATCCATGTCTGCACCCTCGTCTTCCAACGAGGACAAGAAACGCTTGCTTTCAGAGGCGGCCAAACAGCACATTTACGACGCAAAGGATGCAGGAAATGGTATGGGTATCGATAGGCACTTGCTCGGTTTGCGACTGCTAGTTCAAGAGTCTGATGGAGGTACGTTTTCGGTACTCGCTGGACGATAGAGGCTGACAGAGCTCAAAGCTAAAGCCCTCGAGCTCTTTGATGACCCGCTCTTCCAACGCGCAAAGAAATGGGTACTCTCAACCTCTGCAATCTTTTCCAAGCATTTCCCCGTCTACGGATGGGGAGAGGTGGTCCCTGACGGATTCGGTGTGGCGTACATGACGGGCTATGATGGTGCGTATCTTCAACTTTTTTTAACAGTCTTGTTCTTTGATCCGTAACTGATTCGTACCCTTTAGACCGCCTTCAATTCACCATTACGTCCCGAAAGGAAATGGACAATGAGGGCTTTATTCGCGAGATTGAGCGTGCATCAGATGATATGCGCGCCCTCTTCCGATCGCAAGATATCCCTAGTCCAAAGATGTAAACATTCGCTCTTGATATCAATCTACTTTGCACATAGTTAAGCAATACACTGGCACATTTGTCCGTCAGCCGTTTCCACAAATCCATGGATTCACTGCGAAGGGATCAATCGGAATCACGATAGACCTCGACCAAGATCGAGGCTTGGACCGCCTTGGCCTTGCGATCCTTTGTGGACGGTATTCGACCTGGAGCCGTCCACGTACTGGCCCTTTTAGGGACCGAAAGCGTGGGAGCAGGAGCACCGACTGCTTCCAAAACGCCCACATCCCTCCTAGTCTCCATATCCATACACAGAGACGTAGAAGGGCTACTCGTACCGATTCGACGGTCCTCAAATGCATCTCGCCGCGTCGTAGAGCATCCAGAGACACGAGAAGAAGGTATGTCAAAGGACGGGCCCACAATGTCGTTTGACCGAGATCGAGTTGCGGCTTTCTTGGGCGCAATGAGCGGTATCCACGCGGACCTCTTCTCCCTGGATGTAGATTGCATTCTCTTGGTGCAGGGGCTCCCGGCTGTGCTCGGTCGCGGCCTTGAAGTGCGTAGCGTCTCGACCCGCTCTTCGGATATGCGCTGTTCAACCAACGTCGAGGAAGAGGTGAATGCTGATGGGGCCGTCTTGGGACGATCAGAACTCGTTTTGGAAGTGGGCTTGGCTACGGCGTCCCGTGTTCGGCACGTATCTTCCCGCTCTTGGATGCCTCTTTCCATCGTACAGGGTCGGCAACTAGAGGAGGCTACTGGGGACAATGGACCCAAAAATACATCTGCCGGAGACTGGACATAATACCAGTCCTCATCCAGATCCTCATGGGTACGCATAGCGGTATTATGGATTGACAGGACGGCGAATTCATCATCCTGGAAGAACCGAGAAGGCGCATCTTGAACACGAGTCTCGGTATATTCTTGAAGCTGCGCTAGTGCAGACGGCAGTGTATACCCAGACGCACTCCAAGGTATTGTGGTAAAAAGTGATGCCGAATCGTGTCTTCGGGCGGGCGGAGCCCATCGAATGGTCGTTGAGCAGATGGTTTGGGCGTGAGTTGAGGGAGAGTAGAACATCTTGCGTAGACGGAGGAACAGTCGCGCAACAATCCTAAAGAAAGTCAGCTCGGCTCTCAAGTAGGGGAGTTATGTACGTCGAAAAGATGCTCCAGTTTAGGTAAACGAAGACGTAAATCAGATTGGGAGATGTGTCTCTTGGAATCAGTAGCCAAGAGATACCAGATACCAAGGAAAGGATAGAAACGACCTGGTAGTTGTCAATATCGCTAGGATATATGCACGAGTCACGTACGATAAAGTAGATGACTCCGTCTCGAAGCAGGAGGCTCATAACCGACGACATGTCCTTGAGTGTTCGCAAGGGCGACGGGTACTGGTACGCCTTCATCACTGTGAAAGCAGTCACCAGCCATACAAAGGCGGCCTGGACTCCTGGAAGAATCGTTTGGATATGTGATCCAGAGATGGACGTACAAGTTCCAAGAATGGAGTTGTACGCCAGTGTCGGCAGCATCGAAAAGTAAACGACAGCGGCGCCGGCACCCATGGTGAACACCATGACCACCAGTGTCGCCCATAGGAACCAGAAAATACGCATGTTGGTTTTCCATAATGCAGCGACGCGGAGAACCATGATGCCACCCCATGACGCGACGCCGACTACGAAACCGACGATACTGACACCTTGTTTACAGAATGTCTGCGAGAATGGAGGGTGAAACGGGGAGAGGGAATATGCCATGAAGAGGATGCTCGCAAGGCTAACGTAGCGATTCCCAAAGTAAAGGAGGGTTGGAAATGTCCAGAGGTCGCGCTTCCAAACTAGCTCAATCTTTGGGGAAATATAAGCCCCTCTCTCATCTCTCAAAGTCATTACTCACCTCGTCCCCAGAGTGAGGAGAATGTCGTAAGTGAACACGGTAGCTGCGGCGACGAGCGCATACTGGGAGACCATGACGGATAGCTTAGCAGAGAGGAATTCCTGCCACATGTTCGAAGGTGCCAGTTCGTCCATGGCGGAAGGGAGAGGCAGGCTCGTGGAGACAACCTGTAGAGCCCCTATATTTACCCAGACAGGCGCTCTATCTCTGTAAAAGAGAAGCGTCTGGTGAGATGCATGGGGCGCCGATAATGAAGAGGGTGGAGATGTTCTGGTACCCCATCGCTATTGAACAGCAGCTCGGCTGCGATAGCGTGGCAGCACCCTAGACCACCGTCGGTCGCCATAGCGGAAGATGGATCAACGTCCAAGGATACTGATCGGTAGCGTGAAAGGGTGATCGATTGAGAGTAGTTGTCTGCTGACCTTGACCAATTGCGATTGTTCCCACCCAAATGACGTCGAACCACCAAAAGATGACAGATGAGTTGAGAAAGAAGATAACAAACGTGTCCACACTGTGGCGCGGCTTTGAGGACGGTGTTGGCGTTGAATGCGCAGCCCATATGGACAGGCCAGATAGAAGTAGAGCTGGATCTGGATGTGGGCGATCAGTCGCTTTATCTATTGAAGAAGCGTAGGTGCGAAGGCTTTGCTTCGTAGCGTCCTCGCTAAACGCACCTCCATGACCACCGGCTCGATACCCGAGCCATACCGCGTGAAAATGGATCAAAGAGTGGCTTTGATGCCGAAAAGACGGAGCAAGGTGTTTCAAGTCGCACGTGGAATCGAAGATTCACTAGTCACGAGCGGCATAGACGGGTCTATGGACAGATCCAATCCAGGTGATGGGTTTGAATAGTTTGGTTATCGCTATAAGCGATAGAATGATACATCAGGATGAAAGGTCGACATGGTCAAGAGTCAAGTTGCGACAGCACCACATCCGCTCCCTCGCCTACAAAGTAGGAAATCCAAAACTTTAGGAGTGGCTACGTAATTTAGTGCATTCGAGGTTTCTGTTCTCACGCAGCGAGCTGTCTCGTGCTTGGTGGTGAAGCAATTATCACGAGGCGGATTGAGTGAGAAAACTAGTTTATATATTCGAGTTGCGGACAGGCCGTCAATGAGGCTAGTATGATACAATAACTCTTATGGCTTCCTATTAACCAATAGCTGTATCGGGGTCTCTGAAGAATACCTTTGGAGGAGCGTAAGAAGAGTAGTTTTAGCAATTACAAGACTAATCTAGTCACAAGTCGAATGTTGGCTGCTCACCACTTGGGCGGCAGCAGGAGGTTCGACTTGTTTCCACCAACTTCCTGTTGAACATACATTTCGGCCGCACCAGCTGGTTCGGGGGAGTCAATAGTGCCCAAATGAGTTCACTTCTAATGGTATTACACATTTCGTCACCCAGCTACTTTCAATCGACACCGTCCTTCAGTTTAGCGGCCAAACGTTCTACATCTTTCCGACGGAGCGGGACGTCGAGGTGATGGACCTAATACAACTGATCACTGTAAGTCATCTTCCGTCTTCCGTAGAGGTAGCCCACTCATTCCACCCTAGGACCATGGAGGGGTAGTGTTTGATTATCATAGGAAAGGCTATTATAAGAACGATCCTGCACTCAAGCAGGGTCATGGCATTGTGCTGGTCGACCCATCCCAACCCTATGCACCCGAGCTATTCCAGAGAAGAGTTCGGGTGAACGAGGCCCAAAACACCAGACTGGAATATGTCAACTGGGGTTATATCCGATTCAGCCTTGATACTAACGAGGTATTGAGTGTGGATGAAGCAATGGACTCTCTCGTCTTCAATCGGACGGCGGAGAGCAACGGCGGATGGAGGATCCACCTCTCACCAAAACTTGGATTCAGCGAGCAGCGCTTCGAAAAGATCAAGGAGCAGATTACGGTACGATGATATTCTCACCTTGATTCTACGGCTCATACTCTTTCAAGCTTCGAGGTGGCCAGATCGTCGAAGACAAGGAAGAGGCGGATATAATCATTCTCCCCGACGATCCTGACATTCTTGAAGAAGGTCGAACCAACTATCGAGGGAATCCAGAAACGCGTGTAGAAAGCTATAGATGGTTGGTTGAGACAATCAAGAGACAGTACATCAAATTCACCCCACCGGAGATTAAATTTATGCCTGGTACTCCCGTATTGTACGTAATCTTCCCGGTTTTGTATGTGAGCTCAAAATGATTCTCAGGAAACGGACTCCGTTTACTGAACAAGAGAGGGAGCATCTTGTGAGGTATATGGGTGCGCACTGTCATCCATCTGGGAGCGGAAGAATGGGGCATAACCTGTACATCAAAATGTGTGAGGTATGCTGCTGTCTATCCATTGCATGTCCAGCGAGTGACCCACGAGATAGGAAAAAGAATGGGCCAAAGCGCACCCATGGCGATCTTGGCGGGAGCAGTATAAGAAGAACTCGAAAAAGTTTGACGAGGACATATACAAATGGCAAAAAGCTCATCCTGCCAAGTTTGCGGATGGACATGGCAGAGATACGCGGCGCAATCCGCCAGGGAGACGACGAATCCAGGCCAAGAGGCTTGTTAGAAAGGCGGATATGTATCAGTCTGATGTCGAAGAAGAGGACGAAGGAGACGCTTCGAGGACGAGCAACGAACGAGACCAACGTTCCCGCCATCTCGCAAGCGAAGGCAACCCGACATTTCATCCGAAGATGAGCAACCACCTGCTTCGGCAGATGAGGAAGAACTACAAGACTATGGAATTGGAGGAGACGAGTGAGTCTTGCGGTCTCGTCATGCGCCGGTGGGTCTCATACGCGAGCAGGGTTGGAATGGATACCGGAGAGCAATTCGATGAAGTGCTCGATGCTATGCCAAAGTCGACACCCCCACGAGTCGAAGCAGTCCCGCCCAGCAAACGCATGAAGTACAGCACTGGAGATGACGTTTCAAGGACACTCGTTGGCCGACCGTCTTCAGCTGTACCCAGCTTTTCACGCAATCAGCGAAGCACTCCTCAACCACAGAGCTCTCGCGCCGGCCCAGCGGCTTCAACTGCAAAGAGCGAGCAGTACTATGGCATAGTGAGCGACCTCGATGAACCAGACGAAGAGGACGAAGATTGGGAAGAGAAATTGGTTCGTGAAGCGAAGAGCTCCACAGACGATCACTATAGCGGGAGCAGCAGACCTGCTGGTTTGCCACCAAACCTGGACCAGCAGAGTGTGAGAAAAAGCCTAGCGAAGAAAAGTCGTGGATCACTCAAGGCATATCCTACCACACACCAAGACGAAGAAGAAGAAGCGAGAGAGGAAGCAACGATCCCCGCTCGTACTTTCAAGCGTGTGAACAGGTTAAAAGGTAGTTACATATCTACAACTCGGTTCGATATCGTTCTAACGTACTGTTACAGCCGAAAGCTCGCCGACTTTCAAGCTCTCAAAAGCCGGGCAAAAGTATTCAAGCAACTTACTCAAACGGCGGGGTGGAGATTCCTGATATCGATTCAGTGCGTCTGCGGTCTGTTGCTCGCAAGCAAAGGTGGCCCATCTTGGAGGTCTAGTTTATATATGTCGTAATCCGGACTATTTGCTTCGGCCGGTGATTGAAACGGGGCTGCTATATACAAAAGCGTTTAGTGTACATTCTAAGAGTCGGTAATTCCTTTGAGTGCGTCGACGATGCCATAAAAGGCGGGCTTGGCCTTGTAGTTTTCGTCGAATGGGAGAGCAGCACCCTGAGGAATTGTGAGCCAAGAGTGCGGTGAATGCAAGGAGGGACACCTACGTAGCCAGGGAAGGTGCCAGGGACCCAGCTGTACTTGTCGGAATAACCGGCAATCGTCACGCCTACGCACCGCGGAACTGCCATGCAGGCCCTGACCGCCGTGTTATAGTCCTTTTTCTGCTGATCGAGCTTAGCAGAGGTGATGGGGAGCTGAATGCGAATGTCAAGTTCGGTAATGGCGACATCAACACCTGTCGCCACCAGTGCGTTGAGCGCAGAGACCATAAAAGTGAAAGAAGGCGTTTGGCCAGAGATAAGATGGGCTTGGGAGCCAACTTGAGTAATCTTGACGCCACGTGCCTTGAGTCGCTTGACAAGGGCGATATAGGCGGCTATTTTCGAATTGTTGTTATCCAAATTGTAGCTGATAGGTGATCAGTTATCATCTCGTTGGGTACGAGTCGACTTACTCGTTGGCTGCAAGGCCTACACTGGGATCTGCGGCAGCCGCAGCACGGAAGCTAATAGAAAGGTGAACCAGAATCGAACATTTCAAGGCTGTGACGCACGCAATGTCAACAAAGTATTCACCAATGGTCTTGTAAAAGACGCTCTGACGCCACGTCCCGTCCTCGTTGAAAATCTCATTCGTCACGTCCCAAGTTTTCACCTTGCCGGAAAAGTGCTTGACGAGCGTAGTGACATGGTTCTGGAGCACCGAAACAAGTGTGCCGTTGTTAAAGTTGCTATTGCTGACCCACGAAGGAAGCTGGCTATGCCAAACTGTGGGTATGGTTCGGTCAGGAAGCAGACCGGGAAGTAAAAGACACACCAAGAGTGTGCCCGCGCATTTGGCGTCCGCCACTCAAAGCCCAATTGACAATATTATCCGCAGCGCCGAATGTGAACAGGTTCCTGGAAGGCTCCGTGGCATCCCATTTCATTTTATTTCCTGGTGTAACTTGATCTAAAGATGAATGAGTAATCGATCAATCGTTTGGATCCATCATGCGAAATGCCTTACTGAACATATGGACGTTGCTCGCAATAACCATGTACGCAGAATTTTGCATCTCTGTGGTATCAATCATTTGTCCCTTCAGGTGTGTGAGTTGTCGAGGGTGCTCATTTCCAGCCCGTCTTACAATGTATTGTTTACCAGCGGCAACGGCCAGATCTGCAAGTCCAGGAGTTGAGGAGGAGCTCGTGCCACTACTCGTAGTCGTCGTCGTTGTGGTCGTTTGGGGGCGGGTTGTTGCGGTCGAGGATGATGGCAGACACTGCGAGTACCAGTCATTGGAGTACACACAACTCGCACCGGAAACGCAAGTAGTGGCTCCCATCCATCCAATCTGACCTGAAATGAGCGAAGGCACCAAAATTCGCTTGACGTACCCCGCTAGATTGAGATTAGCACCGGTCTCGACCAGCGGAGTGTTGGACGTACCCGCATTGACCCCATAGAGGTACATCAGCATAGGCTTGACCAGCTGCAGCTAAAAGGAGAGCAAACCCGTATCTAACCATGGTTATAAGTCCTTACAGAGATCATGCTGGGACCGGTTCGCTCCTTTTATATCCGCAAGACCACCACCATGCTTGCTTCTATCGACAACCTTGAATGATCCAAGGTGAACCCGAAGTAGTTTGCCATGTCTATTCATAGCGGCTCTTGCAGACATTCGGGACAGCCGGATGGACGCGCCGGGGTAGCCGCAAAGATTGATCGCCCGGATGTAGCCAAGGCGTGACCATAGCCTCTTGGGGAGTAAAATTAGATTCTTTCCCCGTGGCGGCTGTAGATGTACGCCCTCTCGGCCTATCGCCGCCCCAATCTTCCTCCGGCTTGCGACCGTGGAGCTTATCATGTCAAATGAATGGCACCCTGCCTACGAGGGGCCAAAGTTACTTGTTCAAAGTTGACTATACAGTCTCATATGCTGTCTGATAAGGGGGAGTAAGTCGAACTGCAACATTAATGGTATGATCTCCTACCTTGTAAGGATTCGTGACCTTGTTGACTAGATGAAGCAAGTAGAAATGAAGGCAGGAGTGCATGTAATATTCACGATGATTAGTGACTAGATGTGGTCGGGTCCAAACCTTGCAACCAATGAACTGGCTGAGTTGTGATTGAATCAGATTATAAAGAACTATAGTGATTGAATTTGTTACTTTGAATGAGACATCGTGACTTTGGTCGTCGCGCCAACTTGGAGTCTACAATGTCTGGATTTTCGTTTGGCAGCGCGTCAAATACCCAAAACGCGTCAAATAACGCGACAGGAAGTGGAACAGCGCCTTCTGGTAGTCTATTTGGAGGTTTTGGAGCGGCTACTCAAGGCTCAACACCCGCCCAAAATCCATTTGGAGCACCAGCTACGGGCGGCGGGCTATTTGGAGCGTCAAGCACGACTGGAACAGCGGGAGCTGGTACGACGACGCAACCTGCGAGTGGAGGCTTGTTCGGTTCTGCACCAACAGGCGCCTTTGGAACGACGAGCTCTACACCGTCGTTGTTCGGGACCACATCGACAACGACTGGAACAGGGACAACGGGTTTTGGAGGGTTTGGTTCTGGAGCTACCGGTTCTGGCACGTCGGGTGCACCGAGTACAACTGGGACGAGCACCACGCTGGGCGGTGGCGGACTTTTTGGCGCAAACAAACCAGCGAATCCACCAGCTGGTGGTAGTCTCTTTGGAGCAGGACTTACCACGCCAACGAAACCGACGGACACATCCACCGGTGGCGTGCGGCTAGGAGGCGGTGGAATTTTTGGGTCAAAAGCACCAACAACACCCGGTACAGCATCACCTGCCCCATTTACTGGGTTTGGAACGCCGGGCACTCGTGAGTATCTTTTAGTGGGTCAATCTCGACTGTTTTCGCTAAATGTCTCTCCTACTTGTCAGCTACCCCTGCCTCTGGAACAGCTGCATCCACGACATTCAACTGGAATAAGCCTGCAGATAAACCAGGGACGCCAGCGCCAGGTGCCACAACGACAGGAACGACACCAGCCCTAGGTCTCTTTGGCAGTTCTGCGACGACGTCAAACGGTACTTGTATATGTTACAATCGTGGCATTTTACTTATCTATGGATTCTAGCCCCTCTGGAACGACGCAACCAACGACGAGCTTTGGGACATTTGCATTTGGTGCACCGAAACCAACAGACACCACTGCATCAGCAGCTACTACGACGGCACCCACTGATAAACCAGCTACAAGTGGGGGACTCTTTGGGACAGCTGGAACCACGACGGGCAGTCTTTTTGGTGCAGGCGCGGCAACATCTGGGACGACACCCTCACTCTTTGGAGCGCCTCCAGCTTCGAGCACTCAACCTGCTTCAACAACGCCAAGTCTCTTTGGCGGGGCCAGCGCTCAGCCTGCTCCCACCACCACAGGCCCCAGCCTGTTTGGTGCGGCCAGCACCCAGCCTGCGACGACAACAACTCCGAGTTTGTTCGGCACCACTCCTGCAACTACCCAGCCATCTGGTACTCTGTTCGGAGCTGGTGGTTCGGGTACCCAACCGGCTACGACCGCACCTTCAAGCTTGTTTGGTACAAAGCCCGGGGGTCTCTTCGGTACAACGACTCCTGCTGCGACGACAACAACCTCGACGCTTGGTGCGCAGGCACCCTCGACTGCTCCGACGACTGGCGTTCCAGCATCTACGACGACCCCAGCCGTTCCATCGCTGTTTGGAGCTCCGCCCGCCGCAAGTGGAACGACGAGCACTCAACCAGCCACAAATACAAACCTTTTCGCTCCGAAGCCCGGCGGACTGTTCGGGGCGCCTCCAACAAGCAACACTGCGGGTATCACCCCTTCGTCCGCTGCAGCTACGAGTGAGTTTGGGACTTGTTGATGAGTATATTCTGACGATGATATGGCGCCTGCAGCTACAGATGCATCCAAAAGTGGACTCAATGCTTTGGGTCAAGCTGGTGCGGCCGCTCCGAAGCCGGCAACACCTAATTTAGGTACATTCTCATGGGGAGCCAAGCCGGATGCCACTGCTACAAAACCGGGAGAGGGTACAAAGCCAGAGGAAAAGGCCGACACAGCGGCTACGGCTGCAAAACCTGGAGAGCCTTCGTCAACAGCAGCCGGGACTTCGAGCGCGCCATCTCTCTTGGGACTGGGTTCGAATGCGACACTAGAGCAAAAAAAGGAGGGGCACTTGGCACTTCAGCTGGAGTATCGCTGCCCAAGCCCCCGCATCTCGCACCGGGACCAGCTACCGCGGCGGCACCGTTGGCCAGCGCAGCACCATCTGTTCTCAAAGGCAAATCATTGGATGAGATTGTCTCGCGGTGGGCTGCCGACATCGACAATCATGCCAAGGATTTCAGTAGTCTTGCAAACGAGATTGCGCACTGGGATAGGGAGCTGGCAGAAAATGGACAGCAGATTGCGCATCTCCAGTCCAAGCTTTACGAGGCCGAGGCGACTCAGATCGCTATTGATAACAACCTCGATCATGTTGAACAGCAGCAGCGCGAGCTTGCGAGTGCCCTCGAGACGTATGAGAAGCAAGCAAGGGAGATCCTGGAGACGGGCTCTACGGGCACTATGCGAGTGTTCGATATGGGTCCAGCAGATGCCGAGCGTGACAGGAGGTGAGTAACCAGTGCTGGTACAATATAGATACTGACGCCCGCCAAGCTATGCACTGGCTGCAGAACTCAATGTACAGCTCGATAATCTATCCAAGTCTCTCTCTCAAATGATAGAGTCGGTCAATTCGCTGACCGTCCCGACTCAATCCGCGGGTGCTGGGACCAGTGGCGACTCGGATGGTCAAAGGGCGGAAGATCCACTGACCCAAATTGCCGCTGTTCTCAATGCACATCTGAAGAGCTTGACATGGATAAACGCGACAGTTCAAGAGGTTGAAGGCAAGGTGGCGGAAGCAGAGAGCAAAGTAAAGGAGGTTGCTGGTGGAGGACGAGTCGTCCATCATCCTACCCGTTCACTGGGTGTCTCTGCATTGGGAATGGGCTCGTCCATCTCGCGTGAGGGCTCGGGAGCTTCAGGAGCCCCATTGGCAGCGTTTGGCAACATGTCGCTGAGGGCGAGTGAAGGGCCGCGACCGCGTGGATTCGGACTCGGTTCTACACGATACTAGTCTGTTTGTGATGTCAAAAACTTACCGTTTGTGCAATTAGATCTGCTCTGCCCTGAGCTTACCTGGCTTGAATCTGACCTCTGCATGACAGTTCTGATGAGAAAAGGAGCGTGCTTTCCGCACGTGTAAAATGGACGGTCTGTTTTGGAAATTGAACCTGATATATATCCTACCAGGCTCCTATCTCATCTGAATAGCTGGCCTCCCAGTTATGATCTCATGATGACTGACAGGAGCCATTGCACCCAGTAAGCTTCCAAAAGGATAAACATCGCCGCAAGAGGTCCAGCCAGGTGACGAACCGTCATCGTTTCAGAATTACCAAAACCTCGTGTCGTGGTAGTCAATAGTATTTTTTTCAATACTGGACAGGCTCGTCCAAGGCTGAATTCATCTGTCCATGTATAGTGCGGCGCGCTCGCCGCCAGGTTCTCGCGCCGCTACGTTCAGATCAATCGCTTCTAATTATGAATATCTCGCAGGCTGTTTGTCACGCAATCTGACAGTTGATAATTTAAATCTGTCACTCTGATCAAGTTTCTCCGTATATAATACCCATACTCAGCTCTCGGTCCTACATCCATCCTCCATCAAGAAATAGGGACCTCATGATGAATACCGCTCCTTATCCTATTGCATGGAATCGTGCCCACACAAAATCTCAGCAACAAACGTTCGAAAATCAGCACGCTATGCTTTGCCAGTATGATGCAGACTGGGTCAATTTCCTGGCCTACCTCCGACGAGTGGATAAAGAGTGCAGGATACGAACTTGGGCACAGAATGTGTCTCAAGCTCTCGCAAAAAGCGTCAATGGATGCCGACCTCCTGCGCTTCTCCCAGATATGGAAGATCAGAAGGAACGGATACAAGAACTTGCAGCACAGATGAGTGCTCGGGAGTTTATAGAGATGTTTACAGAGTGAGCATCTCATAGGCCTCTTCGTTTTCTTTACTGATTCCCTGGGTCGGAAAGTCCTGAACTCCCCAGTGGTGCAGAATCATCGTCAGTGGTTATAGCCCGGTGGAATACAAACTCACGGGAGCGCAGGGATTTCATGACGCAACGACGAGCATATTCGATGGAAGTATATGCAGGACAGAGCTGCTCCTCAGATGCCCCCTTGCCCAATGAGGATGAGCTCTTTGAACGATACTTTTCCTCCCTCCACAGCAACCACTACAGGTCAAGAATGTGGACGGTACGTGATGAAAAGCGTGGATTTACGATACACTAAAACTCGACAAGGGCCTGAGATGTGCTGTCTGTATCCCACAGCTAAACCACCAGTGTCTGCCTTTCACAGCACTCATCTTCTCAATCAAGGATGTAGAAAGCAGTAACTTATAAAACGTCTCGCTTGTAGCTATGGGTATGGTGACGGGTGGATGTACGCTTGACAAGCACGCCATACCCGCCTCGACCTAATTCTTCAGGATTACGATTATAACTACTTTATGCCCTATAAGGCTGTGAAATGAAACTTGACACGGCTTTCTTGTGTCTGCAAGGGCTAATTATCCGGCTGAGACTCACTGATAATGGGCGGCAACGGGATACCCTAGACAGAAAAGGGTCTGAATCAAATGTATACAGATTATGGACGACCTCACTACATCCGGCGACGCACAACCGGCTTCGCGGAGCGTTGTTTCCGCTGACCCGAGCTATGAACACAACTCCAATGTCAATATTTCGGCACTACTCTGGAGGATTCAATGAACCGAACCGAAATCTACAGGTTCCTCAGTTGTATAAAGTTCCAATCTGTTGCGTTGCATGGGCGATAGACCACAGACATGAACCTCTACGCATCTATCCTCCTCGCAGCGGGACACGCATATGCTGCTCAGCCCCTTTGGGGTCAATGCGGGTACGTCTAACACTTGCTTAGAGGCCTTTACTCATCTCATCTAGTGGCGTACGTCTCATACTTTGTTGGAGGCGATGATTCACTTAATCTAGATTGGATGGACGGGTGACACTACCTGCGTCTCTGGAGCGGCTTGCGTATTCTCCAATGATTGGTACTCTCAGTGCCTGCCGTCCTCTTCTACCACCATTCGCCCTTCGTCATCGTCGAGCACGACTCGACCGGTCAGTACGACCTCGGCCTCGACCTCGACAGCGACTGGTTTCGTAGACTTGGCAGTAGCAGCAGGCAAGCAATATTTTGGTATCATGATCGACAACTCCGACCTGGAAAAGCCAGAATATATGGTGATAGCGGGTAACACACACATTTTCAGTCAGTCGGCATTCTCGTTTCCGGCATTTACGCTCATTCATCCCTGGACCAGGCGACACCCGGAAACAGAATGAAGTGGGATGCTACGGAGCCGTCTAGGAATCAGTTTTCGTTCTCAGCCGCTGACGCTCTCGTGACTTGGGCGCAGAGTGGCGGGCGACAACTGCGAGGACATACTCTTGGTATGTAGTATACTCTGGCTTATATTCACGCTCATCCATACGCGGGCAGTCTGGCATAATCAGCTTCCTGCGTGGGTCACTAATGGCGGATTCAACAACGCGACACTCGTCTCAGTCCTACAAAACCATGTCACCAATGTTGCCAAGCACTTTGCTGGAAAGCTCAAGACGTGGGATGTGACAAATGAAATCTTCAACGAAGACGGGACCTGGCGCCAGAGCGTATTCTACAAGACGATTGGAGAATACTATGTCGATATTGCGTAAGCTTTTTCTCGTTCTTCCTACATCTGAACCAAACCGTTTCTAGATTCCGCGCAGCAACCGCAGCAGACCCCAACGTCGGGCTCGCCGCCAACGAGTAAGTCTCCACGGAATCACCAGATAATGACCGACGTACGTGAACAGCTACAATCTCGACACTACCAATGGCAAAGTAGCCGCCTATGTCGCCCTCGTCAAACGACTCAAAGCGCGCGGCGTCAAAATCACCCAAGTGGGCTCCCAAGCACACCTCACCGTGGGTCAAACACCCTCTTTCAACTCGATGGTCTCGGCCCTCAACTCTTTGGTGGCGGCTGGCGTGGACGTGGCCATCACCGAACTTGACATTCGTATGCAGCTCCCCGCGACGTCTGCCAAGCTCGAACAGCAGAAAAAGGATTATAACACCGCGATAAGAGCATGTATGGCTGTTCCGAGATGTGTTGGTATCACGATTGCGGGCTATACGGACAAGTACAGCTGGATCCAAAACGTACGTCGCGTGCATGCCATTTTTCCATGTTTGGGCTAATATGACCCTGTAGGGCGCTCCTTTACCGTATGACGAGAATTATCGGCCTAAACCGGCATATTACGGTATCATCGACGGTCTCAAGGGCATCGCCGATACCTAAGGCGCTCCGTCATGTATAACATGAAATTCCAACGTCACATTGCCTTTCAAGCGAGAAAAAAACGTAAGCGACATTTTGAATGTGATTAGCCAAAGTACACCGAACAACTACAAGGGGAGGGAGGGCTAGGTTTGGATATCATACAAGCGGGTGGGGGAGGGGGTTTTTCGACAACGTAACGACAGGATTGATGATTCTTTGTGTCAAGGAATGGACGTGGCAAGCGAGTGAAGTAGAGTTGGACGGTCACCCGTTGTGTGTCGGCGGACGAGTTGACGGTGACAGTGAGGCATGGTACGCAAATCGTACATGTGTAATAAGATACCAATGTCCAGCGGGCAAACAAGGAGCGGATCCATGTGGACGACCGGTGGATAAGGCTATGGATAGAGTACTATGATAAGGGCGGAGCGGATAGGGTGGTAGTGTGACACGGTGACGGAGGGGGATGAGCTTCCTCGAATACAGCAAGCAGACATGCAAGTTTGATAACCGCCTGTTTGCCAGCACAAGGAATACTCGAAGACAGAAACAAAGGTGGAGAGTAGAATGGATCAGGGTCGTTTAGGAAGCTTATCCAAGAAAAAAAAGTCCAGAAGGTCCATATCCACCGGGAGGAGGGGGAGGAAGGGAGGTATGGTTCCCATTCGGCTCTTCGAAGCAGCAGCCATCCAGAATTCGACAAGGTACAGGCGAAGACGAGACATATTTGGGTTTTGAATGTCGGAGCCTCTTCAAAAGGTATGGAGAACCCATAGCGCGGAGAAGAGCGAGGCAGCACCGACAGCGGACAACCCACCGAATATGCCATGATTGAACACGGACGAGGCCCCACCGTGACTGTCGATAGTCGCCGTCGTCTGTGGAGGTTGGGCTCTGTATCGAGTAAGCAAAACCACAAACATGGGGATCAATGCCGTGTTGTTGGGGGGGTGGGTCGAATTGTTAGGAAGAGGGAAATGCCGAGAGTGCCGCAAATGGAGGACGGCAAAAGAATGTGCATACGGAAACATACGATCAATAACTGCCGCCACAGAACTGACGAGATGAAACTCACGGAGGTGTGTATTCTGGTCCAAGTGAGCCGACCGTCGCGGATGGGTTGAGCGCGCGAGTCGTATTCGAAGCCACAACCCAGCTGACACCCCCCATGATGTGGGACATGAACATATCGTCCTATGATGTGAGCCAAGACTCCGTTAGCGTCGGCTATCAACGCTGCCCCAGGGCGAGGTTGCCCTCATATCGGAGAGATACTCACAACCCAGGAAGCGTTCGAGTGACCGAGAGCAGTGTACCAGCTACGACCGACGAGACCCGTCGAGTTTGTACCCCTAAGTTTCTCCATGTACCAGGCTAGAGTTGTTTCGGAGAATTCGTACGACCGTCAATATTGGATGAGCGGCCGCCGAGGGTGACAGCGGAGGTCACTCACCAATCGGATGTGGACTACCTTGACCGGGTGAACGGTCTCCGTCATCTGTGTTGCATACAAAAATAAGTCAATACAGACATCACACGCGGCGTGAGAAATGGAATGCGGGGAAGAATGCAAATAAGGGACCGGTCAGAATGACATGTTGACAGAAGAATAGATAGGCAATTACCGTGATAGCTTCTTTCGTCGACGGTGAGGACGACGACGGCGCCCAAATCACGCGGGTCATGGTTAAAGTTGTAGATTTCGTCTCTAACGCGCCATTGTGGAGGCAGCGGAGCCGTGCTGGGATGATTGGCATCCAGGACGACTATGGTCGCATTCGTAAAGTCGGGATGATAAGCGAATTGAGAGCCTGTTATTAAAGATGCCACGGGGTCGGCAAGAACGGAGACGCGGCGAATGTCAGCAAAGAGGTGGTCGTCTGACCCAAAAATCATTAAACAACGAACCGAGTGTGCGTTCCATCGTCGTAAAGTTGAGTAGACAATTTGCTGCAGCGTGAACGCCAACGAAATTGCCACCATTGTCGAGATAGCGTTGGAATGCAGCTTTGCCACGAGAATCGAGCACTGATGGGGGTGGAGAACGGGGGAGGGTCAGAACTCGTAACTCTGACCGGGCGTCGGAGGGAACTCATATGACCCGGCGCCGACGGCAGTAGCAACAAGAACGTACCTTCTTCAGTGGTGTGGAGGAAGAAGAGAGCGTCAAATTGGGAGAGATACTCGTCGTTGAACCTCGTTGGATCCTCGGTATTGACAAAATTGATGCCGTAGCTTGAGCCAAGCTTGCTGAGAGAATCGACAGCGGTGGGAATCGAGTCGTGGCGGAAACCAGCAGTAGCAGAGTAGACTAGGACGTTGGAGACGTTCATTGCGCTCGCACCCAGGAAGGGGCTGAGGGCCAAGGCGGCGGCAGCGGTGGCGACGAAGGAGAGCATTATGGACGAGGACGATAGACGACTAGCTCCAAGGAGTTATAACCAGAGAGCGGGGGGGAGCCAGTACGAGCCAAAGGGAACGGCGAAGAAGGACGGGTCCAAGAAGACTGGGAGGCAAGTGTACAAGGGGTCGGAAGGTTTTTTTTGCAAGGCCCGGGGACACGTCCACAAGGGTCCTCATTTCCTGTAAGCGAGCCTTTTATACACATGATTGTACTATCAAACACGCCTCAGTCTCTAGCTGCCAGCAGCGCGGCCATTGCGGCGGGCATTCAGGCAGTACTCCCGAGTTCCCAAAGTAGCCCTCTATCCATCTTCTACAGATTAGGACCACATTGATCCCGATTGTGACCCTCGACGCTCGCCTTCCGTCGAACCCTCTTTCCGCGCCCCCCCAAAAGAAGGTGGCTCACGTTCCCAGAGGACCCAAGCGAGAATTCGCTTGGCCCCATATCAGATAAGTGCCACGAATACACCACCTGCCACTGCCGCTGCTTCCACGCCAAGCAGAGCTCGACTCCGAGGGCTATCCGCGGAGCCCGTCGACGGCGTTGGCTGGTCGCTGTTCGCATGGTCAACGACTGGGCACTTGAATCTCAACTTGGAGGGTCACCTCGTCGTAGACGGCGGCACAGCACCATCCGTCGTAGAATTCGCGCTCGTGCTTGTATTTCCAACTGTCGCCGCTGGATTGAATGCCCGCGTCGTATTCGAGCTTAACGTCCATTGTATGCCTCCGAGGACGTGTGCTAGAAATGTTTCATTCTATTCATGGGCGGAGGGTAACGTTACATCCACAGGAGTCCACCCATGGAGATTGACAGCGAGGTAGGTCGCTCAGTATGCGAAGCGGGGCGGTGACAGAAGATACACTCACCTCCCAAGTCGCGCTTAGATGCCCGAGAGAAGTGTACCAGCTGCGGCCCACCATGGGGCGGTTCAGGCTGGACACTCCAGCGAGCCGTTCTTGATACCATGCTACAGCCCCCAAAGGTCAGTACTGCCTCGATCAAGACAAAAATAGGTCACCAATGGGATGCGGAGTGCCCTGGTCATACGTCCTCGTTCCATTGTCTGATCCAATTGTCAGAAACGATCCCTGCGACGATCTACTGCTCACCCGTATACGTGCTCTCATCTACCGATAGAATCACTTTTGCGCCATGGGTTCGAGGGTCACTTCGAAAATTGTACATCTCGTCCTCGACCTCCCAGCGGGTGGGCAGCATGCTCGTGCTCGGATGATTCGCGTCTTCCACCACCACGGTAGCATTCGTCAGCGGAGGATGATAGTCGAAGAGAGCTCCTACGCTTGGTCAGTACCCAGCCGTTGCAGTACTTTACGTACTCACCAACGGTCCTGTTATAAAACGACGACGTATAGAGACAAGCAGATGCGGCATGAACTATTCCGCTTCAGTGCATGCTAACACACTAACAAGGTACGTACTGCCCACATAGTTGCCGCCAGCATCGAGGTAGTGCTGAAAGGCATCTTTCTTAACCGGCCCCATCACGTCAACACGACAAAAGCATATCTTGACCGACTAACCCCATTTTGATCCAAAACTATCCTCAAAACGGCTATGAGATCCTTGCCAAGCCAGACCAAGGGGGTGTGTACACACCTTCCTCCGAGTTGCTCAGGAAGAGCAGTGCGTCAAACTGCGACAAGAAGCCGTCTTCAAACTTTGACCTGTCCTCCGTGTGGTCAAACGCAATATTGTGCTGCGCTCCTAGCTTTTGGAGCGCCGAAATCGCAGTGGGAATCGAGTCGTGTCGATAACTGGCCGAATTCACCTCAGAAATGCAGCCATATATAAATCAAATATATTCACCCTGCTGTTGCGGAATAGATTAAGATGCGCGGCGTCGTCATTATCGGGGTCAGCTCCGAGTTGGACAAAGTGACAATGACCAAATCAATCTCTACCATATCTAAGCACCCAAATATCTCCATTCCGCATCGTCATGACAAAACTCCTCGCGCTCGTCCATGCGAATCACGCACTCGAGCCTTGCAGCGCCATCATCGTATGCATTCGTCACCACCGGTGTAGTGAGTTCCTTTTTATTGTATTTTTGTGCTTCCCGACGGCCAAACGAATCTTCAGCCATGTCCCAGCTGGTCGAAGGCTTGAGATCATGCGCGTCAGAAGCAAATAGCCGGACGCGCTTGAGCCACTTTCGACTATTAGCCGCAGCTACGGCTTCGTCTACCGTCGGCGCTTGTGTGGGATCGGTAGGCGACGCGTCTGCGAAGCGGAACCAAAAGAAACTTCGTCCCGTCAAGCCGGGGGTCACCCAATGCGTCAATCCGAAGGGTTCACAGATTCTTCGGTGCGTAATCGTGTAATAGTCATCGCTTGGCGAGAACTCACCCGTTTCTCCTAGCGCATGCCATCGCCGCAGCAGATGGTCAAAGTCGAGATCAATCTCTAGTATGGTCCACATGAACCCTTGGTATGATGGCACGTTTTCTCGGGCCCAAACTCGGACGACATTTCTTGTCAATCCACGGTAATAATGGCAGATACCTGCCGTCTCCTCGAGCAGTGGCACCAGGTTTGTGGCCAGTGGTGGGAGTTGAATAGTAGCCACCACACGATACATATTCGGATCATCCACTCGGACATTTGGCAAGTCGGGATATAGTAAGACTTGGAAATAGAGTCCCAACGGCTTTCTACGGGCAATAGATAGTGTGTACTCTCTGAATGTGAGAAGGGCGATGGAGGGCAATAGCTGTGATTGGTGATGAGTACACTCTCTTGGGAATGGTGGCAACAAACCTCCTTTGGGAGATTGCAAAACGTCCCAGTATCCCACAGGTGAAGTCCTAAGCTATACGAGGACTCTCCGGTTGCTTTAGCCGTTTCCGAGTTGTTGATAGCCACAAAGATTCTTGGACTGTTGATGTCGACAGAGTGAGCAAACCCGGGAAGAGCGATGGGGGTGACCGGTTTGACCGTCGCCTCCGAGGTATCAGGATTCAGGTCAATCTCTGAAATAAAGAGCTTGCAAGCTGTGGGCGTTTCATCGTCACGGATTGGATCTCTAAATAGCGGTCAGAGGATGTCTAGCACATGGGTGTATTGCTCACCCGTCGTTGGCCACCAGCACGAATACAGATTTTGAAACGGACACAAAATCAATAGCAAACTGCACCAGGACATTCTCGAGCTCCGAGACCGCCTGGGGATACATTGGCTTGCCCTCGTACGCCAGCTTGCCCGTTCGGAGGTGAAAGATACGGAGTTGGTTGGCCGTAGACACCGTATATAGCCATTCTCCATGAAAATCCGTCAACTGCTTGTTCATTTCCCAACGGGCATCGCCTGGATCTACACCAGCGGTGGTAGATGGCACCTCGGGGGAGCCAAATGGCCATTTGATGTGTGTATAGGACCTCAGTTGGACTTGATCTTGGCGCATACTTCGTTCTCGGTGAACGACGTCGCGCACAGCGAGATGCAGTTCCCTCGCCGACCGATGAAACAGCGACAAATGCGGGTCGTCAAAGAGCAAGATGGCATCTGGTTCATTGTGAATCGATGGAAGCCAGTAGGACGGTAATGTTGTGGCAATTGTCCATAGACGACGGTTGACCTCAATAACGCTTAGACGCTCGAAAGCTCGGTGAGCCGTCCGACGTACCTGCGCGAGCGATACCAAAGATTCCAGGTTTAGATAGTTGGATATGTCGACCAAAATCTCGGTTGGAAACAATCCAAGGCTCATCGCAGGATATGGGGGAGTTTACGTCAATTGATCACCATGCACAAGTAAATATAGCGTTACAGGAATTTTAGATGTATCTCAGTACGTCAATGCTTCCATTCCTCCATATGATGACGACCACACCGCTCGCCTCTTCGCAGTCCAGCGCATACAGATCATGCTCAGGGTCTGGAGCGGTAAGCCCTACGATCCTCGTCTCCATGCACCTCTCCGGATAGTCGATGGAGCGATCGTCCGCATAAGAGAAGAGATCAAAGTCATCGGCTAAGTATTCAGATTCGGCCACCGTTGAGCACTCTGAAAGGTTGGAGCTGTAGAGGAGAAAGCTTCTCCTATATAACTTTCCCTTTCTTGACGTTCCATCGACAGCATCGACTATTTCTGGGGAATTCTCTCTTGACATTGGCCCGTCTTCCGCGTAGAGTTCCCATTCGTCCCATGACCACCAGAAAAAGCGTTTCCCAGATCCGACTGCTACGATCCAGCGCGTGGGATCGGGCCTTTCAAAGACTTGACGGTGGATGATACTATACTGGTCGAGAGCACGCTGGTATGGGCTGGCGGTACTTGAAAGTGGTCGCGATACAAACCATTCCAAGGGACGGCGGCTAAAATCCACGGGGATCTCGTACACACTCCAACATGCACTCCAGGACTCCACGAACTGGTCGCGAACCCATATCCGGAATTGATTCCGAGTAGCGCCTTTATAGTTATGACAGATGCTTGCGTATAACGGGGAAAGGTTACTACCATTTGGTGATGGTAGTTGAATGGAAGCAACCAGTTCATAGCTTCTAGAACTGGATGGAGACTTGGGGGTCGCTGGTTCCAGGGTAACAGAGTCGTTTCCCTCGGTTGGAAATGAGATTATTTGAATAACAGGATCCCCCTTGGATAGTCCTAAAGAGACGAGGTAGCTTTGAAAGGTGGAGACTTGGGTAGAAGGTAGAAGCTGAGACTCGAGTCAGTTGACAGTCCTCTGGTTCAAAAACTTACCTCTGGGAGCTTTATATGACGACCAGTTGTCCAGTTTGTGAGATGCAGAGGCGCTTCTCCATACACACTGTCTGGAGACGCCGTCTCGACAAACGCGATATGGTCCCCTGCTATATCAAGTTGTGCCGGTCGCCAAGGTAGGCGGTAGCGAGTAATTTCCGTTGTCTGAATAGAGATATTGACCGAGTTGAACCTCACGTCTACTATCCTAATAAACGGCTGCAGACTTTCGCCCTCTTGTATCTGTGATGGTGCATCCCCAGTATCTCTATAGGTTGTCAGAACCAATTCGTGCATGGTATGGATCGACTTGCTCGTCCGCGACTAAGATGACCATCGCTACGCGAGCTTGGTCGTCGCCCATGAAATCTACAGCAAAGCAGATGTACGGCATGGTCTCCTCAAGCAATACTGGCATTACATTGCTCCATTCCTCCCATGCGACAGTCCCAGAGGGAAGGTGCAGCACCCTGATCACATTCTTCTTTGAGACCATGAACAGCCATTGGCCATTTGGATGGGTGAGATGCATCCAAATGGCCTCGCTTGGTGTCTCTCCGACCGTCGACGCTGGCATTTCCGTCGTGCTGCACGACGGGCTTCGAGAATAGGGCCATGCGATGTGATTTGATGAGATGAGTTTTGGATATTCATCCATCATGTTGCGTTCCCGCTTAAGGGCGACAATCGTCGCAGTCCGCAGTTCTTCTCCACTGAAAGCCACCAGTGGGAGATGAGACGGTAACAGTGGAACAAGTTCTTCACGAAAGAGTGCAGATAGCCAATAGGACTTGGAACTTTTTGAAAGGGAGAACAACGAGCTGCTCACCTAGAGTTGTGAAAGGTGTTTCATAAGAACTTGCAGCAAGCTCACCTGTGAGAATGATACGAGGTCTTTCAGATCTAGATGGTCACAAATCTCCAGGATCACAAGTAATGGGAGGCTGTCCAATGTAGGAGTCTTCATCATTTTCAACGGCCGTCGGCGTCAAGTTGTTCCTTGGCCGCCAACCACATCGTTCACTTGTAAACATATGCCAACAAAAGAGCGTCGAGGGTAAACGTCAAAGTATACTGAGAAGCAGCTCGAGACACCGTGTCATCTAGTACTTGTGGTCGCCTGAAAATGCACATTGGCCTGGTATTCTAGCCAGGAACGTAAACCTGGGACTATATCACTCTTCATGTTCCGCCCGTGGCCTCCCTCTTCTCGAGTGATCAGCAGGAGACGATTGGCTCGGGCTTTTATGCGAAACCAACGCAGTTTTTCCAGTGTGGATACACTCGAAGGCTCCTCATAACGTAGACAAAGCAGTGAAATCGGGTGGATGTCCGATGTCCGTACAAAGGCGATGGATTCCGTCTCAGGTGCGACTTCAGCCACCCGACTTCCTCGTCACAGAGCTTTATCAGCCAACGTGGGCTCGGTGACTAGGTTCCATCCCTCCCTCACTCCGTCGTCTTCACTCGATGCACCATTTGGCTGCAGCGAGCTCCGAAAATCTCTCGATAAATCATCCAGAGAGACCACTACCATGGAGGCAGCTCGGCATGGACAGTTTTCCCCGCTTTGTCAGCTCATTAACTCTCGCCAGGCGTACTACTTCTCCTCAATCTCGCTGAACCCATATCCGCGACGGTCATCTATCCATTTATTGCTCAGGTATTGGTCAAGTTCTGACTGTAGAGCTTGGTCTAAGGCTTTTCAGCTCATCGAGGAGCTTGGGATAGCGAGCAATAAATCCAGCGTTGGCTACTACGTTGGCTTAGTGGTCAGTGTGGTTTCAGCTTGCTCCCAAGAAACTCACAGGCTCTCAGGAGTCGCTCTTCTTCCTCACCGAAGCCGTGTTTATCTTGCAATGGGGACGACTTTCTGATCGTATAGGCCGAAAGCCAGTCTTGATCACCGGGTTGTTGGGGCTTGCAGTGTCCATGTTTGCATTTGGCCTCTCTCATACTTTGCTGGGTATCATCGCAAGTCGTGCATTGGCTGGTCTTCTAAATGGTAATGTGGGAATTCTAAAGTCGGCCATTGGAGAAATTACAGACGAGACGAACATGGCTCGTGCTTTTTCTTTCATCCCTCTTATCTGGTTCGTTGGGTCTACCATCTCGTGAGTTTCTCTCTTTCCCGTTGGGATATCGCTCATTTGGATCCAGGCCAGTCATGGGCGGATATCTGTCCCATCCAGCGGAAAGGTTCCCCAATGTCTTTGGAAATCCATTTTGGATTAACAATCCCTACTTTCTGCCATGCTTGGTTGCCGCAATCTTCGCATTCGGGTCAGCTATGTTGGCGACGATCATCCTCGAAGAAGTGAGTCAGGCTTCATGCTCCCAGCACGCCATAACGTCTTCTCTAGACTCATCCCTCACTTCGAAGGCGTCATTCACGGCGCACAGATTCGATGTCGAGTGAGATGACACTGTTCTCCGAAGAGCAAGGGGAAACGTTACTCTCAAAGGAAGAAGCGCCTCAAGGATCACCCCCTGTATCTATCCGGGATCTCCTTACGCACAAAATCGCCATCTCTGTTCTCAACTATGGCCTACTGGCCATCCTAGAAATTTCATTCCAGGCCCTCTTGCCCATCTTCCTCGCAACCGCACTTCATTTCACACCCTCAAGCATTGGGCTCGTTCTAGGCGGAGTCGGGCTTGTCAACGGATGTGTCCAACTCTCCGTATTCGTGCCTCTACATCGACGAATTGGTACGAGGAACATCTTTACTCTCGGCTTGTCCGCTTTCGGGGTCATATACGCCACCTTTCCATTTATCCATCGACACTATAGCGAACATGGTGCCCTCGGTTTCAAAGGATGGTCGCTTATCCTGCTCATTACGGTAATGTGTCCAATCGAAAACATGGCATTCAGTACGTGCCCTCCTTGAATTCGCGAATGCAACTGACGAGGATGCAGATGTCATCTTTCTCTACGTCCAAGCATCTTCACCATCGCAAGAGACGCTTGGCGCAACAAACGGTATCGCCCAGACGGTTGCATCCATTGCGCGTGCAATTGGACCAGCGGCCACGACCTCGCTCTTCGCTGTTACGATGCAACGACCGGATATTCTTGGAGGCTCGCTGGTGTATACGCTCCTCATAATAGTCACTATCGGAGCAGTCTGCGCATCGCGCAGACTACCAGCTGAACCTTGGGCAAGGAAGAAACGAGCAGACCTTTACTGACGTAGGATATAGTTTGTATATAGAACTCACAATGGTCGCAAGCACGCTTGACCTCTAGTGAATGAATTCAGAATAGCCTTGGATAGGTATCAACATGTTTTGTTCTGTTAGTTGGTGATACCGTTGAGACCATCAACAATGCCGTAGAAGGCCGGCTTGGGCTTCAGTTGGTCATCAAACGGAAGTGCAGCGCCCTAGCGACAAGATTAGATATGTCCAATCAAAGGGTGAAACCACATACCTCTCCGCTAAAGACGCTCGGAATCCAGCTATAGTAGTCGGAGTATGCCCAGACGGTCATTCCGATACACCTCGGCACGGCCATACAGGCGCGAATAATCGTGTTATAATCCTTCCTCTGCTGAGCAAGGAGTGCATCAGTGACTGGCAACGTCATGCGAATGTCGAGCTCCGTAATCGCGACGTCGACTCCAGTCGCGACAAAGGCATTGTAGTTGGAGACGAGCGTCGAGTAGGATGGCATGGAGCCAACGATGAGATGAGATTGAGACCCGATTTGGGTGATCTTGACGCCGCGGCTCTTGAGTCGGTTGACGAGATTCACATATGCCGTTACTTTTGATCCTCCATAGTCAAGATTGTAGCTGTTACGTGTCAAATTGGTTCATATGTAACGGAGATACTGACTCGTTTGCTGCGAGGCCAACATTGGGATCGGCAGCGGCTGCAGCGCGGAAGCTGTCGAAAAGATGAGCACGAGCGAACAAGACATTTGGGAGACAAGCGCACGCAATGTCGACAAAGTACTCTCCAATCGTGTTATAGAACACGCTGGATCTCCATGAGCCGTCTTCCTATACGGGTGTCAGCCACCCAGAATTCCATCACGATTCGGGCTTACTTCGAAGATTTCATTGACAACGTCCCAAGTCTTGACCTTGCCGGAGAAGTGGGTCACAAGGTTTGTAACATGGTTCTGCAAGATGGAGACTAGCGTCGCATTGTTGAAGCCACCGTTGGTGAGCCACGAGGGAAGCTGATTATGCCAGACTATCGATCTCAGCCATGGATACGTTTGGGCATAAAGCTACTCACCAAGTGTATGTCCACGAATCTCCTTGCCGCTACCTTGAGCCCAAACAACGAGCGCATCTGCGTCCGAGTAGGTAAAGGTATTGCGCGAAGGCTCGGTGGCATCCCACTTCATCTTGTTTCCAGGAGTCATTTGACCTATGCGATGTCAATAAAAGGCTTGAATCATTGAACATTCTCACCCCAAAGGTGGCGGTCGTCCAAAAGCACCTTGTACGTAGCATTTGCCAGTTCATTTGAATCTACAGCGACACCGAAATATTGCTTGCCCTTTGATACAGCAATGTCGTGAAGGGGCGAAATGGTCGCGGAAGGAGAGGTCGTCGTAGTGCTGCTTGTTCGCGTGCTCGTGCTTGTGCTTCGCGAAGAAGTCGAAGAGCTGCGAGTGCTCGTGCTCGAGCTTTGTCTTGAAGAGGAGCTGGATCGCGTCGACGAGGGGCTGGTGGTCGTGGTTGCCGGGATGCATTGAAAGTACCAATCATTGTATTTGTAACACATTGCTCCAGAGACGCAAGTCGTATCGCCGGTATAATTGATCTAGTAGGCATTCAGTACGTAGAAACCATGCCAAGCACGCGCTACAGACACCTCCACATTGCTGCCACATGCCTACAGCGGCATTTGCGCCGCTAATAGCGACAGAGACTGCTGCAAAGAGTGTAACCTTCATCTTGGGTGTCAGCGAGACATGTGCGCAAGCGCGAAGGGCCCTGGTTTATAAGGAGACAAGTCTTAGCGTTCCGCCATTCCTCCGGGGAACCTCATCGCTAGTGCGAATGCCGCCAGGGAACGTCCGAAGTTGGGCAGAGAAGGAGTGACACAATGCACTAGAGCCCAATGAAAAAAGTTTCAAGGGCTCCGGCCAGTGAGCTGATCACTGGGACCATCCCACGAGTGCCTGCATTGGAAATTGTAAGCCCATCCCGGCACTAATTGTAACTCGCGAACCTACAGAAAGAAGATATCTTCAGGCTGTTCATCGGCTCAACCAATTTACATCGGTACGAGCTTAGAGCCCTCCGGTGAAGTGAATGGCGCATTGGAGAATGAATGCGCATGAAGGGAGCCATCTTGACAGGGAGATGGAGGGGTCCAAGTTTATCGTGTTGTCATTCGACCAGGCCGCGAGACCGAAGTGAGGCTATCTCCATCCGTCGAACCAGTAATTGAATGCAATGATCTAATCCTCATTCATTCTTCAATCTCTTCACTTCCAGTTCCTCCACTCCTTATCTCTTTTCCGCATCAGCGCTCCCCAGATTCTCCGAGTCAGCTGTATTGCCAGTGGGTGCCATTTCGTTAGTAGTAGTGCATTCACTTCTTGAACGTAACCTTGCAATTTGGGAATCAGACCTAAGTAAAAGCGTGATCAAGTCAGTCACTAATCGGACCTAGTTGTTGATCATTACACAGGTGGTCTATACTATTAACAACTCATATTCACGCTCTGTCCATCTGCTTTACCCGTGTATATCATATCCTCATCACCACTGGAAGCAGGCGCAATAGCCAACCAACCCTGTTGGCCATATATCCTAGCTATGAGATTGAAAATTTCCGATCATCATACTACTAGACCACACAGCCGTTAATTTGACATCCTGGAACAAAATCTCGTTTTCTCCCATGTTTCTGGCCAAGAACTGAGGTGACCGGTGGAAGCCGGCCGTCTCCAGCCTCACTTTGTTTCCTATATGCTAATTTAGTCTATCTATAACTTTATTACATCTTATTGTCAGCCCTAGATGCTCCCCTCGTCACCCAATCGACAGAGACCTGCGCTTCACCGCTCATGTAGAATCTTTCCGAACGCTTTCCTCTGTACGTGATTTCTTGTTCACGCAATACTATATATCAACAAAGGGCAATTTTGCTAATATCTCATATCCAGACCACCGCTGTGATTGCAAACGCGCGGGAACACAGCCAAGGACGCGCGAGTATGAAAGCGACTCATTGGGTTTTGGGAAACAAAGAACGAGTTTGTAGCCGTATTGCATGAACAAGAAACCACGTACAGAGGAATACGTTCGGAAAGATTCTACATGAGCGGTGAAGCGCAGGTCTCTGTCGATTGGGTGACGAGGGGAGCATCTAGGGCTGACAATAAGATGGAATAAAGTTATAGATAGACTAAATTAGCATATAGGAAACAAAGTGAGGCTGGAGACGGCCGGCTTCCACCGGTCACCTCAGTTCTTGGCCAGAAACATGGGATAACATGAAATTTGGTCCCAGGATGTCAAATTAACGGCTGTGTGGTCTAGTCGTATGATTCTCGCTTCGGGAAACCCCCGGAAATATTTCTATTTCTGTGATTGCGAGAGGTCCTGGGTTCAATTCCCAGCTCAGCCCACTTTTTGCGCCTCCATCACCATCCCGAAGGTTATTTCTCGTTCCGGATCTCTTTTTGCTCTTGTAGGCAATGCTCCGGCCCGGAAAATAGCCGAAACGGACACCCGGCGCCTGTATGTTAGCGACTAGGACTGGCTCGTTCAGATAAACATACTACAACATCGCCTTTGATATTCTTAGTGAATGTAGACCCAGTCAAGTACCTCTAACTAGACAGCTCCTGAGGAGATTGCCTTTATCAACCCTACTGTGTACCGCCTAATAGCCCAGCATTCATGACGCCAGCACTTCATTTCAGGCTCAAAGCTACATAGACCAGGAGTATTCATGTTATATCAATTTGAAAAGGAAAGGCTCCCCGGGCAAGCGAGCCCTGACGGGGTCGCCGCCCTCTAATGAAGCTCGTGAATCAACCAAGGCTCGATTTACAGATTCACTGGCAAACTGTTTCCCAATCATTGGATACATTTCGACTACCAATACTCCTCATGTCTCGGTACGAGCCCACCTTTGGTACTCGGCTCCCGCTCCCGACGCTTCTTCTCTCCCTCCCACTTTTCAAACCACGCACTCATCTTACTACGAGACTTGGCGTTGTGTACGTTCACAGTCGCAATCATTCGAACGTAAGAGATTGAAAGAGCAAAGCAAGTCAACTCGAAAAAGGAGCTGTTTTGAATAGTTAGAGGACATAGTTGCAAAACGATAGAGGAGCACCTATGTTCAGAGTATGGAACGCCATAGAGCATCACATTTGGAGTCGAGTTGCGCATGGGCCTCAGCGAGGCCCAATTATAAGTCTTCCTCTGATCTCGCTGAAGGATTACTTGTAGGTTTGCCATATCAGTTCCAGCGGGAGGTGAATATCTTTCCAAGTCAGCACTATAACCGACTGATATCTACGGTACTCACGTCCATCCAGTCGGCTTGATTCCGAGCACCTTTTCCCATCGGCCTTTCCACTTTTCCAGGTACAACGGAAGAGCGTCTGAAGTCACGTCTCCGAGACTGATGACATGTACATCACATTTCAGTGGATCATCGCCAAGCATCTCGAGTAGTTCTGGATCTTCGGAGGATTGACATTCGAAGAACCGCCGTTTGCGGGGTTCACAATAAATGGACGTGTTGAGTGCGCGAGCAATAGCCTTGACGATTCTTTCCTTGCCAACGGTGTAGGTCCTGCCCTTAGTGAGTAAAACCGTGCTCCTAAGACCGATACGCACCCAAGAACCACTAGGATTGGTTTAACCGCAGACGAATCCTGAGCAAGAGGCGTTTCCTCCTTATTCCCAAGCCAAGTTTTGACTGTCGAGTTGGCACTTGCGTCGAGGAGGTTAGTGTCACCTCCATTCTTGACTATTCTCAGTGCCAATTCCGCGCACGCGTCAATCACCATTTGTTGTGGAGGGAAGCAATACTGCATCGAGTCAATAAACACCCGTAATTGAGCCCAATTCGCCAACTACCTTTGGGTCGAGATAGGTAGTATCCAAATAGATTAAATCCAACCGCTTGCCTTGAATCATCGGGTGCGAAACGTGTTTTGGACAAGCTCGAAAGTCTCCACAGTGAAGGTATCGAAAAACACGAGCAGTTCCGACAAATGCCGAGTGAAAGCTGGAATCTCCAGCATTGACAGTCTGCTTTCCCTCGAAGAGAAACAGACAGGAACCCGGACCTAGACAGTCTCAGACTATGTAAGCGATTTGCGTGATCGACGTACAGTGGTTTGCTTGGATGAGTGTGACCGTGACTCCCCCCGTATCGGGCAACTCTACTTTGGTGTCCATAGGAAGCGGATGTACCCATTTCGGATCCACATTCAGCATATGAATCACGAGATTTGCCGTAGTCTCTGAACAATAAATTGGACCGTGCTTCCAGCTGGCAGACAAGTTGGTGTAATGGTCAGAGTGAGCATGCCTTTCAGCCTGTCAGCGCGCGAGGCAATCTAGGACCGAAGAGTACATACGTCAGAAGATATGCAGTAACTCCAGGTATCTTTCCGTATCGAAATGCGTCAACGGCAATGGGCATGCCTTGCATGACTTTATAGAATGGAGCAGGACGTCTCGCAACGTTGCCACTTGTCGACGCTTGATTTGTCGATTTATTCTTTGTCTCACCACTGTCAGATAAATCTTCAATTTCTTCAGTCTTGGGTTCAGCTTTCGCCTTTCCCTTTCCCTTCGTATCCATCTTGCGCCACTTGGTTTTTCCGCCTCTGATGCCTCTTTCCAAGCCTCGTTCTCTTTGTTATGAGACATGAGAAACGCAAACGCATTCAACGACTTTTGATTTTCGGTCGAAGCAGCTGGCTCGGGTGGTCGCTTGTGGGAACGCGGTGGAGTAAGTTCTGGTGCATTGGCTCTACGCTTCATTGCCTTATCAAGGCATCTATTGACGTGATTGGAGGACGCCTGAGAAGGGTATCAGTGGTTATCATAGGAATTCCGCTCACGAACCGCCTCGTCCAGATTCCCGAGATGAAAGTGACATATAGGACACGAAGAGACGAGAGTCGGAGCTTCATCGTCGCTGAGGTCGACAAGCTCTATTGGCTCATCATCTGCCTCGAGATCCACAACCTCCATCGTGTCTGCGGTATTCTCTATGGTGTCAGGAGCAAATCCAAAAGCTTCGTCTTCTGGTTCGCTCGCACCAGTGCTGAGAGTGTCAAAAGCCACACCCTCTCCCTCGCCCCACTCCTCTGGACTTAGTCTCTTCAAGAGGTTCTCAATCTCTTGTTCTGTCTCTTCAATATCGTTGATAGCATCTGCAGAGGTACTTTGCAATGATGTCAGGCTCGGTGCTGGGACTGTCGGTCGAACAGGAGGGGAATCAAGGAAAAAGGATGTCGTATCAAGGGACTGGACTCCTTTCGATGTGTTGAGATCGCTCTGGATGATGGGTGGGTTCTTCACCTCGTCGAGATTGCGCGCCTTTGGGATCGCTTTGCCAAAAAATGCCCGGGAACTAGACACGTCCCGGTCGGCACCTGAACCCCGGGATGGCAACTCCTCGTCTGAGTCATCAATTTCGATGACCTCTACGCCATCGGGAACAAACGTCTTGCCGGTAGGGAGAGAGGAAGACCCTACTTCTTCACTCTTGCTCACCCAATCCTTGACGTTTGTAGTCTTCTGTTTCTTCGTAAGAGGTGTCCCTTTCATGGGAGAGACGCTATGGCTTGGCCGACGGCCAAAGAAGTCGTGGAGCGTCGCAGGTTGGTCTCCTTCGGCTTTGCGCTTCTTGCTCATGACTGTGTAGAAAATTTTGACAAACTAGGAGGGACTTTGACGCGTTCCAGCCGCGTTTTGGATTTGTGGTTGATGGTGTTCGGGTTCAACTCTTTCTGCCACCGACGAGACTTACTCAGCAGGTGCTTTGAAAGGAATGGCCTTCACACGTGCTCTCTGTATTCTATCCTCTTTCAGCACTTTAATAGACTGCTCCAATTGACCCCGCCGAGATGGAAACAGTTTGGACTTCGCCACGATTGAGCACTGACGGCAAGAAGAAACAAGGGGAAAACGAGAACAAGACTAGAATCACCTTGGGCCTCTTATTCACTCCTTTGACTCGCCTTTGGTGGTGGAAGAACCTGTCTACAGATCCATAACATGGACGTCCAAATGCAAGATGCCTCGCCTGTTACGGGCGTTCAACCCACCCCAAGTCTTGCCACCTCGCTTCCGGGATCCTCTTCTTTGACTCCTGCGACGCCAGCTGCGTCCTCTGGTGCTCTGGACGCCGCCAAGCTCGATGCCATTCGCAAGGCGACGCTTCATAGCTACAAGAACAAGTTCTTGAATCTTCGAGACAAGTTTGACAAGATCAATGCAGTACGCTTGTTGTGCATTTGTTATGGTATCGGATCCACTGAGCCTTTGCAGACCAATGTCGAGTATACAAACACTCTAGCGAGTGCAAAGAAGAAAGAGGAAAGCATGCAAGAGGAAATCAAGTGAGTAGGCCATTGCGGTCCTGCGACTCATTTCTGATGAGCCTAGTATGCTGTTGGACTATTTAGCAGAACACGCAGCCTCTGATCCAGAGCTTTCAAAGTGTCTAAATCCTTCAATTGCATCTTCAAAGGTGCAGAATGGAGTTTAGAGGTCGTTGGGAGTAACGCTTGTGATGAACCCGCGTAGTCATGTCGGTGTATTGTTTTTGTTCTAATCTAATAGATGTTTTCAATTTCTGGATATTTATTCATGCTGGCGTCGCGCTCACCCAAAGGCGGCGCGTGAAACCTTATTTCGACTTTACACCGACCCACTACCCTCGACCCTTGGACCGCCAACACGCCCGCGGCGCCTTGTTTTAGTGGAATCTAGGGATCGTTAATCATGGTCAGTTTGCAGCACTCGCGAGCCGCAGGAGGGACCAGGGAATGTCTGGAAGAGCTGGACCTCAACGCCATGGCAAATACATTGCAGTCGATAGATGGCATATACTCGTCTTAGGACGTGTCTCAACATTTTATACACTGGATCTAGCTGGCAAACGTCCCACGCCGTTTGTTTTGATCCAGCTTCCGGCTGCCTCTGGTCCTCCTGCATCGCAATAATCGACTCTCTGAATGATTTTCTAATTAAATGCTGACTATCTACTTTTCTCTTTACCTTCTTTATTCCCCGCAATCTGGAAATGCCCAACAAACCATCCTGTTATCCGACATATTATAGGCTCGTGGACCCAAAAAGCATTTGAAGCGCCTTGCTGCGCCGAGTTCGTGGATGCTCGACAAGCTCGGGGGCACCTATGTACGTAGCCGCACCATCACCGTTTGGCTAATGTTAACAAACTGACCTTAATAGGCTCCTCGACCTTCTCCTGGTCCTCACAAGCTCCGGGAATCTCTTCCTCTTACCATCTTCCTCCGTCGCCGTCTCCAATACGCCCTTACTGGTCGTGAGGTGACTACCATCCTTGCCCAAAGACTCGTCAAAGTCGATGGAAAGGTCCGAACAGACATCAAGTACCCCGTCGGCTTCCAAGGTATGGATCCCCTCGCTCTTATTGGGCACGTTCTCATCTTTTCACCAATAGATGTGATCACCATTGAAAAATCCGGAGAGCACTTCCGTCTCCTTTACGATGTCAAGGGCCGCTTTGCGATTCACCGCATCACCCCCGAGGAGGCTACCTACAAGCTCTGCAAAGGTGCGTCTCTACCATAAACCAAAGGCCGTCTCTCATTAGCGATCTAGTCAAGAAGGTTCTCATTGGCAACCGTGGTGTTCCATACATCGTCACCCACGATGGACGAACTATCCGCTACCCAGACCCTGACATCAAAACCAACGATACCGTCAAGTACGACTTGGAGCAGGGCAAGGTGCGACTTTTATTTTCGCTATAATTCTCTTCTGACCACACCACAGATCACCGGATTCGTCAAGTTTGATACTGGAAACGTGGTCGTCGTCACTGGTGGTCGCAACATGGGACGTGTCGGCACCATCACCCACCGTGAGCGACATATCGGAGGCTTCGATATTGTCCACGTCAAGGATGTGCTCGACAGGACGTTTGCCACTCGGTATGTCGACTTAGGCCTAACATTATCCGTCTCTAATCCATTGCTAGTGTCACCAACATTTTCGTCATTGGTGAGGGCACCAAGCCCTGGATTTCGTTGCCAAAAGGCAAGGGTGTCAAGCTTACCATTTCCGAGGAGCGAGACCAGCGAAGGCGGGCCAAGGCTCAGGAGTAGAGCATTTCCTGGGAGAGAGGGAGATGGTTGGGAGCCTATTCTCACTTGCAAGTCACCGTATGACATGCGTGTATGCCGTCGTCCTAAAAGATATGACTTTCTTGTACCCAGCCAATGGATACGATGCGTCTCGATGTGAATTATGAACCCCATACATTCTTTCGGAATAGCGACGATGTCCATCTATAGTTCAACTTCTGGAAATGCTAAGAGAAAAGGAGCAAATTACTTGTGTCAAACCAGCCGCACATACACTCGTCGAGCTGCAGCCTTACCCAAGCGAATTCGCCCAAACAGTCAAACAGTCCCTTCGTATGTCCTTGGCGAGCGTGGTAACCTATCTCTGTCGTCTTTGGACAACCGATGAGCGCAGGATTACAGATAGTTTCTTGGACGGTGTGGTCGATATGCCCGTGCAATATGTATAGGATATCTTCAAAGGTGATTATTCGTCCGCTTCGAGGTCGAACTATGATATTCAGGTCGCGGTCTTCGGAGGTGATCATCAGAGCCGTGATTGTAGTGGAAAGTGGACATGGAACAAGGGTCTCGAGGTCGTCCACCCGACATTCATGCAAAGGCAGTTCTCAGCGAGACTGCATTTGAAAAATTTCCAGGTTTCAAGGGGTTTCTTGACCAGGGATATGAAAGAGGAGCCGCCCGAGCGATAATAAGGAAGTTCAAGGCAATATTCGAATACCCTATTTGGCGAGCATAACTCACTCGACTGTGAATCCTCGCGATCCGTGCTGAGAAGCAAATTGAGATGCATCGAAGCTAGTGCTTGATACTCACTCGTTCCTGTTGGCCTCATGCCTCGCCTCCCTATCCAGCAGAAATGATGATTGGGAGATAGAGGATCGACCTCCTGCGGGTGTAAATAAATATACCATCGCCTTTGAACGAAGCGTACCCTCGAATAAGGTAGTTGTATGGGTTGTGCCTCGAGGAAGAAAACAACCATTCATCCCCCGTACGTGGTATGTCGGAACAGGAAGCTCGAAGCTCATCAGCTTCTTTCCACCAAACTCACTCAGTTGCCGAGTAAGAGCAGTGGCTGAACAATGTGCTATACCACCATCGTGGTAGTCACAGGTCTCTGCATGGGTGCTCTGGTTTCCTTTTGTTCCAACGATTCGGCTTGCAGACGTGAAATGACTAGCCCCTACCCACACGGAGGAGCGTCGATGCAGTCCCCCTGTACAGTACTGATCGTGCGGCCGTTTGATAATCTCGTTGACGTTCGGGATCATCTTGAGTAATTGTGAGAGTCTCTGATTATTGCAGTAGGAGCTGGTGGTATGTTGAATTTTGAGGGTGGCAACTTTGGGGACAGTGTTCGGTAGTCGAATAGCAGTGAATTGCATTGTGGGATCCGAGCACACGTATTTTGAGTGTCATATATCAGAACATGGCATGCCCACATCACTTGGAGGGTGATACTCGGGAACGAGTCAGAGTTGCAAGAGAATATATCAATTATGATCACTAAGATACTAATACTAGTGAGTTACTTGGTCTTTGTTGTTATAATGACATTACCCGCTCTCTAAATTACACGAAATCTGTCCTGGAGATTATGTCGGAAACATGACCTTAGAACATACGGTAGAAATCCATTTCCACAGAGAAATAGAGTATAAGAGAAAGTGTACCAGAGGAACCTGACTGTTCGGTGGCGTCTGGGGCAGGGCTTGCACGTTCGTGAGCCGGTGCCAGGGTTACTTCTCGTCCTTTGACACGTCCTTGAGACCTTTGTGTGGTTCTGCGGGCTTCCATACATCTTTCGACGCATGCATCAACTCATAGAGCTGTCCCAATTGTTCGTTTGACATCTCGTAAAATGTGAATTATTATCCACCAGAGCAACGAATAGAATACCTTTTCGAACATTGAATCCTCCATCTTTACACCTCGAAAGGTGCTCGAGTCTCCGACGAGATGTGTCTGCAGCTGACTGAGGTATTTGTTCCATTCGAGCAAGAATCCCATTATATGAACCGGGTTGTCCGCTGTCTTATGTCTTTGGAACTCTGCCTTTACGTAGTCATCTCCGAGCGAGCGCATCTCCAATGGTAATCGACGATGGATGCGAAGTAGATGTCTGTACAGTCTGAGGCCAAGAAAAGGGTCAAAAAGGCCATTTATTCGAAGGGGTGATGTCGACATACGGTACTGGAGGCAGCAGCGTAGACTGTGCTGCCCTGACCGAAGGATCCAATGGTCTTGCGCTGAGTTGCACAGGCTGGGCGAGTCGCAGCAATGTGGATCTCATTGTATTGGTGATTAAAGATGCCTTTCTTTAGAATGAAACACCTTGAGGGTTGAAGGTATTGAGGAGGGGTCCAAGTCGTGATAGTCGGAATCGGGATTGATAATACCGACGGAATACAAGAAACCAAAATCTAGTGCTACGAGAATATTCGGGGTAGATACGCAACAAGCAACGCAGAAAGTTCTATCGAAAAGTCTTTCGAGAATAAAAGACAAAAGTTGACGCTTTCTCTTCTTCGACTTATCTGGATTATCACAATGGTCGCGCTCAACCTAGAAAAGGCATCTCCCTGAAATCCTCAACAAACCATATTCACCACGTGCGAGCAAGCTGGCATATGCATTGCCCACGCACTGCGTTGTCCTAAGCATCTAATAGGCGCCCAAGGATCCCCACGAATGAGACAGTTACTTTTGCATTCGAGCGCTGGACAAGTGCATATCAGCGCTACGATGAGCGTCTGGGGGTGCCCTCGGACAGGAAGACAACCCCCGAACGTATAAATTGGGGGTCGACAACAGCACTCTTTCGACACAACTTGAAGCTGACTACTACAAACTTGAAATGGCTGAAAGTACATGCAACTCATCCAGCACCGTCTTCCTCTACCGCTTCATCAAAGACCCAAACTTGTTCTGCACGGTGCGTAGTTGGGCATAGAGTTTAAGCCGTTTTTTGACATTCAATAGTCTCCGTTTGTGAACAAGATTGAGGCACTCATGGTCTTCTCTGGCATCAAGGATCTCCAGTTCAGGGCTGGCAACCCCTTGCAGGCCCCTCGACGAATGCTTCCTTTCATCGAACTCAACGGGCAGCAGATCCCAGACTCGGAGCTCATCTACGAGACTTTGATAGAGCGAGGAATTGTGCAATGTCTCGACGAAAAGGCCGGGTTGGACGATAGGGAGCGAGCAATCTCAACTTCTATTCGCTCGTTTGTGGAGAGAGAGTTGTACGAACTAATTGTATACGAGCGGTGTGTACTTTATTTTGTCTATTCGATTCGTTTGACAACTCCATAGATGGATCGTAAACTACCAGCAAACCAAAGAAGCGTTTCTCGTCGACGTACCCGCTTTTCTTCGCTCACCTGTTGCCTATTTCTTTGTATGGCGTCCTGTAAGTGGCACTATCCTATCCAAAAGAATGCTCAATAACTTCATCTTTTAGAATACGCAACGTTTCTGGCTCTCTGGTCTGTCACGACTGACGGACCAAGAGCGTGCAAGAGACACAAAGCGATTCGTAGTGTCCGTCTCGACACTAGTTCCTCAAAAAGGTTACATAATGGGAAAGTCTGAACCGACTCGAGTAGACGCCACTATATGGGGTTTCCTCACTGGCGTCTACCGAGCTCCTCAGTGAGGTTTAGACCATGTTCCTGAAACGTTTCTTGACAAGCTTTCAGACTCTGCCCAAAGATTGCCGCAGAAGTGCACTCTTATCCCCATTTGGCCGAGTATCACCGCTTGCTCTCACTCAAATTTTGGCCAGAGCGCAAGCCCATAGTGTAACAGAGGTAAGTTTGGTGTCCCCGAATTGTGTTTTCCGAGATTACCTATGATATGTACAGCGTTGTACAAGTACAGATTAATGAACATTCCTAAACCCAAAACTTTTCATTACAATCTTAGTCTCCTTGAATGCTGCCTTTGAGGAGGGCGTTCTTCTTTTGAGTGCGGTGTGTCGCAGCATGTTTTGGTCACGCAACAGGCGAGTGGGCGTGAATTGTTCTCTGCGATGGCTGATACCGACGATGTGTCCTTTGGGATAGTCGCGCGTAGAACCCCTTCTTCCGGGAGTGGGATATAGTCAGGATTCGGCGAGCCATCCGCATCTATATCGTCTCCACTCGTCTCCGTAAGCGCACTCCATATCGCTTGAGCATCCCATGAAGACATGACACCAAGATTTGAGAGGTCTACGTCCAGCGATAGCGGCAACTGGTCGACGCTCATGTCTTGATGGAATGTAAAGGTATTTGGCATGGAGCCATACATGCTCGAACCATTTGATGATGGATGAGCAAAGCTTGATGGCCAGGCGGCACCATGTGTGTTGTCTACACACGACGGGCAATCTACCGGACAGCTCATTCCGTCATGAACCATGGACTCTGAATCACCCTGGTTGTGCTGGGCGCACCCAACACATTGACAACCTGGTCCACAAAGGCATTCCATGTACTCCACGGCAGGCTGTGTCTGAAGAACCAGTCCAGACTGGAACCCAGGGGATGGAATTGCGCCTGGAGTCACGTTGGCATGTGATGGAGCAGCAGTCTTTGGAACGCTCCCCGTGGTAGGCTTCCTAGAACAGCATGAGCGAACGGGTGCGCACGTTTGCTCTTCGACAGGAGAAGGAGAAGGACGCTTGGCATGTGCCTCGGGGATGCTCGCCAATTTGGAGATGGACATTGCGTCCTCGGTGGTCGGAGAGGGAATCGACTGGAGGTCCTTGATCCCGTTGGGTAATGTCGGGATAAGAGGAATTTTTCGTCCGACTGTGTAGCGAAGAGCCCTTAGCAATCAGTTCACCGATCTCGATGCGCGCTTACCAGTCTTCCCGCTGGAGGCACATGGAGATTGGATCTCGACAGGGCCAATATCGGCCTCTGGGTCTCGTCTCCCATCGCACAGACACTTTACGTGCAGTTTCTTGGTCCGTCTGAGATCCCGACAGGCATCGCATTGGGAGACAGGGCGCCCTTTTTTACGGATCTCGAACAGGGGCCGGTCCTTGTGGTTGCAGCTGGAAGAACGGTGGCCTTTTATGCAAGATTGGCTAGAGGAGATGCTGCATCAGCTCTAAATTTGCACGATAAATAAAGATACATACCAGGCAAACTTTTGGCCGTTGAGAAGGACCTAATTTACGGTGGCTTAGCCCGCCAGATGGCGCAGAGAGCGGCCCAGAACTGACCATGGTATACCCTAGTAGATGAGGGAGAGATGAGGAAGCGAACAAGCCTCGGCCCGCTGGGTATTCCAACTTAATGAACGCTAGAGAGTGTCAGCTGGACGGCTCGAGTAACGTCTGTTCACGTACCTTCTACACTTTCGGTGTCTATCTCGAGTCCAGATTGCGGCTATCAGGAGGGGTTCCCTTTGCAATTTCAATGAGACTCTTGTCACACCGGCGCAAAGGTTCAATGGCCAGAGGGAGTGATTGGCTGTGACCGTATCCAGATAACGGATAACGAAAAGGTGCCACAAAACAAAGACTTGGGGGCGAATACTCCTCGCTGTCGCCAGTGGCGGTTGGGTCCAAGGTGCGTTGCCGAGTACTTTGGGCGGAAGCCAGCGACCCGCACGCTTCAGGACGGGTCTTGTGATGCAGGGAAGTCCTGAGAAACAGACACGTCAGGGGCTTCTAGGGCAAACAGTTCGGGTCGGATATCCCGCTCAAAGTGCATCTTGTGGTCGACAAATCCGTCATTGTTGCGAGGTTCTTATAGGAGATAAGATTGTACGAGTTCTTTTACGACGATTTACAGCGCTACGACGGCAGAACGCAGAGGGAGGGTCCATGTAGCGAAAATGCCTCACCTCACCCAGAATCGAACCGGATTCTCCATCGCTCGAATCTTTGTAAATGAGTATCATCTAGTCCCTCCATACTACCCATTTCTCTCTTTGGATTGGGGAGAAGAGCATACGCGGAACGCAAAGCATACCAAAGAGCTTCGTGGGATGGATACCGAGTTATGAGCTCCATAAAGTGTCTCATGAGAGAAAACTCGACCTTTACCTCCTCCTGACGATCAGAGTCGTCCTCTACACCCTCGTGGATGTGTATATGTTGGACGCCACACTCGTCCATTGCCGCATAGAGTTGGCACAGGTACTGCATTGACGTGTAGTCTGCCACATGCAGTTCTGTCCATTTCTTTAACCCGAACTCCTCGGCTCTCAGCAGTTGGGCCAAGGCAGCTTGCTGCTCTGGATGAGCACGACAGCTGGATACAGCTCCGCGTAAGCACATATACCGATGCCTCCACGCATGGTAGTTTCGCGGATATATCTCTCCAGCAGTTGCGACTACTGCAAACTCGGCGAGCACAGCGTCCATTGGGAGCTTACAGCCCTCGAGGGTGTCAAATGGAGACTTCTCTGCATTAGTTGATGGCAAAGAGTAGATTCTCCTGAGGAGCCATCGACGATGGTGCCAGAGAATGGACGATTTCGACCCGTCTGAAGTGAGCTGGAGTGCACCGCAGATGCAAAGCTCATCCTTTTCAGACATATGGCCGCGTTCCACCAGACTCTTGCGTATGTTGAGAGCGGATGCGTGTGCCGGGTTGACAAGGAGTACCACAGCTGTGACCGAGAGCAAGGTAGCATCGTCCAAAGACGTCAAGCCACCCAAATACTCATTGAGCCGATCAACAGCCTCGAGGTACAGTCCATAGTATACCTTCTTGGGTATTCCGAGGTTGTTTTGAGCAAACTCGAAAGGTGAATGTGGATTATCAGGTGTTGGACTGAATCCTGGAGGAAGAATATCTACTGATACTCTGTATTGTTCATTATTATTTGTGGAAAGAACTGCAGATGCACGTACGGCTGAGACTGGAGTAGTTTGTATAGCTGTGCGACTTGATCCGCCATTAGGAATCTATTTCGTTCCGTTTTATGCTCTCTACGAGTTATTTAGAGAATTATGTGCGCCAAATTTGAGACATTCGAGTTCCCGACGCGAATGGAGAGGATCAAGTGGCGATCAAGCGAGCCTTGTCGTCCTCTGCCGCCTGCCGCTACCAGGAGCAAGTCTGGCTTGAACGCTGGCTGTTTAGGAGTGGACGCGTTGACGCTGCTCAAGTAATTGGAAGTAGTATTTCGATGAAGAACATGCCACAACACCTGCAAAGCCACCTTTACGAAGCTTTCCTTTCCGGAACAACCTACGATGTGCTCCTACGCGTCACTGGAAACTGGGATGCAGTATATAAACTTCATCGAATCGTTCTAATTCAGGCCGTACGTGCCGCGGCAGACGCGTCCCTCAAGACTCGTGCTCATTGGCAGCTCTTTGACCTTCGAACAGGACTTCTTCCGCTCTCTCTTTACATCTGGATTCAAGGAATCTACCTCTCATCCCAAGGGTGCGCAAGGAGAGGTGGTCGTGCGCTTCGATCATGACCCGAATGTAACCAGAGCAGGTGCGTAACGTCTGCTAAGTCTGGGCCTTGTCCTGATCATTTACTTCAGCTTTCGAGTACGTACCTCGTATGCTGCAATGACACCAGGCTCATTGACTCGCTTAGGATCTGCTTGGCGCGGCTTTACGGCGGGGGACCGTTGATCCATGTCTGTCCAACCCTCAAGCCGTCGACGAAGGATCCCCTCTGCCCGGCGTATGTTCGGCCGTGGGAGAGCAAACCTCCCGTCCCCGCAGGCCAGCATCCGGCATCTCCGCGGTTTCTTCTCTCCCTTCTGTCTACGGCATTCTATCTGTCCATTCCAAGTCTGGCCACCGAGGCTCTCGAACTCATCTTTGCCACCATTAGTCCATTGACAGTGGTTCGGTACCTCGACTATGCTCTCGGAAAGGGTATCGGTCCCGCGACTCCGGAAGAACCCGAACGTGCCCGGACGCTGGAGCATATTGGCCAGGATATCAGCAGCGAATCAAACTCGAACCATATTCTCGAATCCGATGACAACGACGAACACAGCAGTGATCATGGTAAACAAGGCGAAATGACGAGCACAGACGAGGAGAATAGTCCTTCTCTCCTCTATGGCATCGCAAGCAACAAGATAGGAGAAGCCTGTGCGGCCTTCCTCACACGGTGGGGAATGGACCTGCTAATACACGAAGAGGAGCAAAACTCTGCAGACGTCGTGTCACCTGTCCCCCGACGATTGACCACCAACGTGACCAGAGCCTCATTTAATGGATCCTCTACATCTCTCGCATGGAAAGCTACCTACCCTAACCCTCGAATATGGTCAAAGGGATTGTCCGCAGAGTGGATCCGTGGAGTCATCTCATCCGACGAGTTCTTTGTCAAGGATGAACTTGCTCGGTATGATTGTGCAAAGCGCGTGGTTGAACTACGAAGGCGAATGAACGGAGTTGTTGAAGCCGACGAAATCATTTGGCAGAGGCTATTCGACGACGGGATCTATTACTCCCATCTGGTGAGTGAGAAAATGACATTTTCCCTATCTTTCATGACATTCTCTTCTAGCCTTTTGATGAGCTCCGTCGCCTTATGACGGACCATTCTCCGACCACTGGAAGACCATATGTATCTGCAGCGTGTCTCCACCAAGCTCACTGGAACTACTCGGATATGCAGAGGAGGATATCCAAGTACTCAAACTACGGTCCCAGCTTTGGCGGTGAGCAAGCTACTCAGAACCAGCGGCTCAGGCTCGGTCTAGAGACGACACCGGAGACCGCACGCCGAAGTCATCACGAAAGCTATTGGCCTGTTCCGATCGACACATCACTCCGCATAGGAGATCCAGGAAGCACTATGCAAGCTGAGAGCCTCTTCAACTATTCACCCGCAGAGTCTCACCGAACTGCCACTGCACGAAATTTCTTTGGAATAGCAAGTAACAGGCTGTCACGGGAGCAGCTCCCAGACTCTCCTAGTGCCAGATGGGTGCCCTGCGAACCCTTCCGGTTCTCGGTCGAGTTTTGGGGCGTCGAATCTCTCAAAGAGAAGATGAGATTATACTCTCACACCATCTGGTACGCGGGATCCTGTTACAATGTGTATACACAGGCCGTCCGCAAGAAAGGCCTACAGCTTGGCGTCTACTTGCATCGCCAGAGCAATTCCGACGCCATCCCAACTCCGAGTAGTCCCCGGCGTGCGAGTATCTACTCACAATTAGGAATGTCCTCTGCTGGTGTTTCTGAGACCACAATAGCTGCCCCCATTGCCTCGCGACCTCACGCACGCTCCGTTCCGTCTCCCGAACCTTCCACCTCTCGCAATCACACTCCGGTACCTAGTCGAAGTCCGCCGCATAGGTCGTCGACGCCACTCCTCATCTCGTCCCCTCGCTCACCATCGCGCGAGATTCAGGCAAGCGCCTCTTTCAGTCCCTCTTCACCCCCAAGTGCTTTCAATGCACTCCCTACTCAATCATCGCACGGAGGTCAGTATATGGAGTCTTGAATCTGAACTTGGACTAAGTCTGGAACAGCCACAATCAATGCCACGCCACCGAACCAGCCTTACCGCGATCCTCGTCCTGCTATTTCTGCATATTTCAGTATCTCGTGCCATTCAGCCACCGGTTCCAGTCTCACTAGATTCTCAAGTGGACCTGATACGGTTAGTCGACCACCCGTTCTTCTCCTTCCCATTGAACATTTCTAGTTTGCAATTACTCAGTCGTGGGGCTGGAAGAGCTCCTCTTTGGACGTGGGTGAAGCCGCTGAAGATTCAGCGCAGCAAGAACTCAGTCTGCGTGCAACCGTTGTCATCGGTCTTGTCTAGAATGCTGTTGAGCGCAGATACTCTCTATAATGCTACGTTTATGCTAACTTTAGAGGTCATACATGTGTATTTGTCCTCCCGATATTGACAAAGTCGCCTATCTCCGAGAAATACTGTTTATTCCTGCCAGAGACATATGCCACGAGATTACTCGGCGAGTCCATAACAACGTCTTCCTCGTCGCGGATCTGTCCAAGTTGTTAGACATTGTCCAAGTAACAAAGGGCAATTTCAGAGAGAAACCTAGGAAGGAGAAAGCCGGATATAAAATCGTTGGATCTCCGCGAACAACCGCGAGCCCCTCTTCTGGCCCCGGCGAATTGCATCATTGAATTAAGAAGAGGCGGCTCGAACTTACATTAGAATTCGAGCAGGTCAGAGGTATTCAACTCGGGCTTGGGAGTTGCCTTTGGTGGCGCTCGCTCCTTTGCTGGCCAAACAATGCCTTTCAGCGCTCTTTCCCAGTCCTCCTCCAATGTCGGCCGTTCGTCGATAAACTGTTTCAAATGACGCGAGAGCTCCTCTACGACGCTCACGAGCACATCGACGTTTCCTTCTTGATGCATTTTGGACGACGGCTTGAGGCGATCCGCAAGGGTGTTTATAGCTTTCCTCTCCCCACTGCCTGAGGTGAGATCGATTTATATATTCACGAACAAAACTTACCTTAATCTCGTTATCCTTTCCATCGTATCTTCCAGTTCATCATGCTTAACTTGTTGGGCACGTTCAGAAAGTTGACGCTTCTGCCGGTCCAGCTGGCGCTTATATGCCTCTACGCATACCATAAAGTGTGGGAGCGGACCACAGAGTCTAACACGGTAACGAACTGTGCTCGAATGAGCGACCTTTTCGTATTGCGCGAACCATGTATCGAGCGCCGTCGCCTTGGTTGCCGCAAGGACATGTTGGCGATACTGACGATATAATTTTTGTATCCGCGTTGCAGCGACCTGGTGGTCTTGGTTGAAAGACTGAGACAGCTTGGCCTCGTCGATCGTTAGAGTCGGGCCACTCATTGCGTTTGAGGTGTCCGCTGCAGTGGACGAGACCGTGTCCTGTTGTTGGGCAGAATCGGATGCTGGGAGGATCCGAGGGTGAAACTCGACAGCATTTGCTCTCAAAGTGGAGTGTTGAGCAACTTCGATGAGAGGGGAGGCGGCAAATGTATAGAAAAGACTTTTGGTGTCCTCGAATGGCAGATTCGATACACCTCCGATCACATGCGCTGTTTGATGCTTCGAGACCAACTGGACAAGTGAATCCGATCCGGTGTTCATCTTCGAGTCAACCATGACCCGGAAAAGATCCTCCCATCCACTCGCTTGTATATATTTCCAAGGCAGGGCGACATCATGGTCCGCAGTACCTGTGTATCTAGAGAGGCTAGCAATATTCGAGCCAATGAGATTGCAGACGACTTCTTTATGTGAATTATGACCAGCTTTTTATTTGATTAGCGGCATAGTTCGTGTGTATAATCTCTCCTGACCTAGAATCAAACACCGGAAGCTGATTTCATATGTATCAGAGAACTCCACTGATAGTTTGCGGAACTCTCACATTCTTTCAATCAAAGATATTCTTGGAGTCAATCCGTGAGATCCCAAAGGCCGTCGTCGAAGTTCCAGATTATCTACGTCGTGAATGAGACACGCCAACACATACACACGTCACTCACTAGCACCCTTGGAAATTTCTATAGCAAGATTGACCAACGGTTTGACCAGATGTGAAATGTACGCCCAGATGGTGACGACCGGCCAGGTGCCCCGTTGTCCCAGAACAAATAGCCATGACTTTGGGATGACAACGGCGTGCAGGGAGGGGTTCATTCCAGCTAAAACCACTGCAGTCACTAGCTCCAAAACACAGACAAGAGAATGAACGTCTACACGCGTTCTGTTGGCAAGTATTGTTCTTTACGAATTGTTAGTGACTGACAGACAATAATCAAGGGTCTCACATGATAAATGCCACTCCTATCTCAGCCGTGCCTTGCTCGTCCACAAAAAGACAGTTAAATAGATCCAGGATGAGTGGCGTACGTTGGCCTGTGTCGGAATGCACGCGATAACCATCACTTAAAAGTCTGCGCTCCAGTCGCGAATGTAGAATATATCGTGGGGCAGCATAGTGATCAAAGGCTGCGCAAATGTTAATAAGTATGATAACCTAGATTTGGTATTGTACCAGTTGCAATGAGGAAGAGTTCCAAGATATGATCCATGCGGTCTGGTTCAAGGTTGTAAAATCCTTCCTCGATCCAATGCCTAAGAACCGTGAGCCCTTGAGAGACCAGTGGTTCTGTTTGCGTTAAATGAGTAACAAAATCAGCAATTCGGCCAGCGGCAACGATGTCTGGGTAGACACATCCGAATAGCTTGGAAATCCAGAAACTGCAACATATCAGAATTGAACGCATGAGACTAGATCACTGACGTGCGTAATCTTTGACGCTCCGATTTCCGGAGAAGAAAGTCCATGTCATTGATGACAATAATCTGCCTCAAGTAGAGACGTAGCCTCCGGTTGATAACACTCTTTCCATTATCCGTCGGTATGTGCAAACGAGTACATGGGTTGCTTTGGCAGTTGCCGCCGAGATGTGCCATGCATATATTGGCGAATACGACCGCTTTTGCAGCAGCATGAGAATGGCGTTTTATTATTGATCTGAATGCATCTACTAGGTGCATTCGAGCAAGTTCGCCTACGCGTTCGATAGTGACGACGAATGCCCCTGTCGTGTCTTGCCTGAGGGCCTGGAAAGTTTGGCGGGTTGTCTCTACAGCAACATGGCAATTGAGGATAGAAGCTGGGAAAATAGTCGCTTCGGTCCCAGAAGCATCGATGGTGTAGCCCATTAGCCGCTGTGTACGCACATCGTGAATGAAAGCGAGATTGTCCACGCGCAAAATGGACCGCATGCAGCATCCAAAGTGGTGCAAATGCTGAAGTATTACGCGCATTCCGTCGATAGAAACGTTAGATATATCATCCTGGTCTCTATAGACGTGTCCGTAGCATCGAATAGCGGCAAGTGTATTGTTTGACTTGAGAAATGCCCCAGCTTGTAGGATGAGATTTTCCCTATCATTGTCAATGATGCCTCGAAACATGTTGACCTGGTACATATCAGAATGAAAGCAGTCAATAAAGAGGCATGACCAACCTCTGCAAGCCATGTGGGAGAAGGCGATAATATCTTCTCGGTAAACGAGAGCAGGCGATCGATGGTTGGCATATTTTGGATGTCTGCGGTCGTCCCAAATGGTAGCATCTTCCACCATTGGTCGAGAATGAGCCCTTCTGTCTTTGCTATGGCCGCAGGTGATGCGGTTCGAATGTATAAATCGATGGCCTCGAGCCAATTGCCGGACTTGAGTTGAATCTCCGCGACTTCCTCAAAGCGACCTAGTTTGAGGAGTACAGGACTCTTATCGAACCCAAACAAGTCGAAACGTTCAAGAAAATCCTCGTCAGAGTCGAACAAGCGGCGTGCTTTGCTATGCAAGGGCTAAGCAATTCAAGCCAGTGATTGGTTGCCTGTACTAACCTATACGCCTTTTCACGGAGGTATACAACCTGGCACACTGCTCTGATGGACGCAGCAACATGCTCGTCTACTTGGCTAGTTTGAATAATCTCGACGGCGCGGTCAAACGCAGCCGCCTTCCTCGCATATTGGGCGCCTTTTGTGAACTCTTCGGCTGCACAGTACGCATCCGAGGCCTTGCGATCGTCGCCAGCCTCTACATAGCACTCTGCGCAGCGAACCCAACAGACCCGACTTTGGTCATGACTTCCTTGAGCACATTCTTCGAAAATTTTAGCTGCCTTCAAAAAGGATCGCTTCCTCGCGTCGGTCCCTGCTTCTATAACCCGGGCCAATTTGCGAAGATGAAAAGCTTGTGATATGGCACTTAGGAGTGGGTCAGATGCCCGATCAAAGCACACCACGGCTTGTTGAAAGTTCTTGCGAGAAAATAGGATACGTCCCATCTTGTACCATTCCTCGGGCGTCGAGCTCACTAGAGAATTATTAGATTATTACGACGAACTCCTAGAAGGCTTGCCTGCAAGGCGCGGGATGTCATCTCCAGGCCTTTTTATGTCAATTAGACCTTTGGCCTCCCAGAACAACTGCTAGGATGTCAGCGATTGCACCTAGAAATGACATGGGGCTTGCCTTCATTGCGTTTGCTTGCTCCGAATTGTCCCATATCCAAAGGTGGTTACGCGCACGAGTGAGTCCGACGTAAAGGAACTTGAGCTCCGAGCATACACCCAAATGTCTGAGCTCGTCAAAAGTGGGAACAGAAAATCCAGCACGTTTTCTATCCTCGACTTCGTTGAGGATCACTCGCCATTCGGTAGAAACAAGTGAGTCTTGGAAGAAGTTGTATAAGAGAACGTCGCTGAATTCGAGGCCTTTGCTCTCATATAGAGTCCTAACGAGGAGTCAGTAACATGCCATTCGACGTTGATTAGACACCTACATAATCACTCCGACGTCTCCAATGTGACTTCGTAACTGTTCCTTCGCCATCTCATTCCGAACCAGGATACCTACGTAGGTCAGTCAAGCTGCGATTGATTTGACTATGCCCTAACTTACATTGCTGAGCTCCAAATTCATTTCGATTGGATCTAATCATGATCAGGCTGATAAGAAAGTTTCGAAATTGACCTACACTTCTCCGAATAAGAACTGCTCGTAGTGCACAGATTCGACGTCCCAGCCACTGAAGAACATTGGCTTAGGACCATCAACGAGACCTTGCTCTCGTTCTAAGACATCAATAGAGTCGGGCCATAGCTTGGTCAACAGCTGGACCACGGAATGGGCGCAATTGATGATACCCCCGTGTGAGCGATAATTGATTGCAAGGGTAAACTCTTTTGGATGAATTGCCTCCCGCTTCCTGGACAGAACTGCGGGATCTTCCTCCTCGATGCGATAGAGAAACGCCTTGAGATCTGAAAATCGAAATGCCGTGGACGTAATCTGTTGCGCCGTGTCGCCTGCCAGGAAAATTCCGTGTGGATTTCGACAAGAGGTGCGAAGGACTGGCATTCTTTGAGCGAAGTCGTCGTGTATAACAAAGAAACTCACGTTTTGCGTCGATGAGGAGGTTGTCTTGAATCTCGTCCACATATCTGCGAGTGCTCAGCAGGAACACACACCACTAAGGCAATACAAACATATAATCAAAGTATCCGGACGATTGCAAATTTGAGAGGTTCTTGAGCAAGGCATGTGTCCTATCAGCAGCGTCGTGCTCTCCGAGCTTTCTCTTCTTTTTGCAATAAATCTCGAAGAGATCGTAAAGACGAGAGCGATGCCTGGCAAATGTCGCTTGCTTGCGGTAGCTGATGGCGTCTGAATCATAGATTCCCCGACTCAGAGCACCACCTGGTTGCTCGATTGAGTTCTCTGATCCGCATATGACACCTTGTATCTCATTCCAGACCAAGGAAGGATCTGATCGGAGGTTAGAATGATCACCGATAAAACGTAAATCGTACCCAGGCCTTTTCGCGCTTTCTGAGGGAAATGCGGCCAATATTTTGATACGAAATCTTCGTATAGTATGCGCTTTCTACGCGTGGATCGCCTTGTGGAGCCTTCCGTAATCGTCTCGGCGGTCCCCAAGTCCAATATCACATCAGGTGCGTCGGCCAGACGAAATCGTTTGGAAACCTGGGCTTTTTCTGTGTCATGGATGACGTTCATATCCGCCTCTAACAGAGAACAGAGCTGCAGAAAGTCGTTGGGCCAATGGACAGCACACAGAAGTCAAGCTTACCTTGTCGAACGTCAAGAACAGCGGAAAATGTCGATCCTCGAGCTCGCTAAACTTTTTGGGCAGTGTCTCAAACTGATCGTCCTCTTCGTCGAGCTCTACGAGCCTCTTTTCGGCCCCCTTCTTTCGTAGAGAAGTATCGCCTAGTATCCCAGAGTCTCCAACGTCCTTGGCACATGTCTCCATTAAGCTCACAAAGTACTCTTCAACTCTGTCCGCAAGGACACGAGATTGAGTAACAAATACTTGGCGAACTTTGCGGGTGTTCAGCTGTTTGGAGGTCCTCTCAATTGCCAGCATCTTAAAGAGCATCGTCGTGGTCTTTCTGTGGGTTATAATGAGTCTTTTGGCCCTGACTTATAGACACCACAAACCCAGTGCCGCTACGTCCAATCACAAAGCAAGAGGACGGATGATATATGATTTCTTGCTCACGATGCCTAGCGCCCTTAGTATACTAAGTCAAGTTGTATCACAGACTCACGACACTGCAAATGGATGGGTACTCTCATCGTCTGCAAGGATACCTATGGCCGTGGTCAATCAGGTAGATCGATCGAGACCCTGAGAGAAACATACTTTCAAGGACGGTTTGAGTGAATGGAACAAACTTTTCGTGTCTGCAGAGGTCTTAGAATAGAAGGAGATGATGTAAACTGCTCACGTCAAGAGCGCATGCAACTGTTTGAGTATTAGTTCGGGTTTCCATAAGGGTGACGGAACGTACTTGAAGCATAATATCCGCATCTGCCTGAATTGCTGGAGAGGCCGCCTCGTATGACTCTGGTAAGGGAGGCCAAGAGTACGGGATCACATAGTCCCGGTTCTGCTTTGATGTTTCGCGAAAGAGACATCTACAAGAAGAAATGAACAATTGCCATCAACATCAACGTCGAGAAAACGGACCGTCTCCTGTACTCTGCTCCTCGACGAGTTGACCAGCTGGCGACGGCAGCCCAAAGACGACTGTTGATCTGCGCATGTGTGTATACGCCGAACATTTTGATGACTATGACACTTGAGCCAGTACTCAACCTCTAGTGAACAAGTACGCACCCTGTGTAACTCTCTACGCGCGGGTGAATCAATGCTACTACATGGAGAAGGTCCCTACCTCGCCTGAAGCATCTGGTACACAATCAATCGTATATACGAGTCGCGTATCGCCTGTCATCTTCGCCTCGTAGACGGGAACTTCGGAATCCTTTCCCTCAAGCCGTTTCTGATTCGACCTCGAGAAGAAGCCTTCCGACAGCTCTCTGCATAGACCGTGATTAGTCAGGGTTCACACCCAATCACAATGAATCACCTCAGCTTCTTGCGTATAATCTCGAACATGTGCCGATCCGCCCGACTAAACTGACGAAGATGGCGGACGGATTCTCCCGAGAGCAGAATACGCCATACTCCGAAATCCTTGATGTCTTCTTCCATAATTTGAATGCTCTTGACAGGGTTGAGGGCTTGCGAAGCGACAGACATTGCTTCTGTATCAATTGCCGTTCGTTTAGAGGACTCGTCTGCAGATGTATTGCGACGCTTGTGCGCAATCGAGTCTTCCTGCTTGGAGATAGGATCGCTCTCCTCGCTTGCTGCTCTCGCGATGAGCCTTTGGGCATGTCGCAGTGAGCTGGGCCGTAGTAGCTTCTCCAAGTAAGCCTATTTGGATTGTCAAGAGGTCGAAAAAGTTGCGCCGAATTGCTTTTCCCTTACCTTGAGAATATCTTTCCGTTCGTTCAAGATATCCGACTCCAGTTGCTTTAATTCGGCCTCATTCCTTGGACAGATGGTGCCAATACTGCTGAAAGCCGTTTTGTCCACTCCCAGCGACTGACTCGCAGCTCTTGATCTCTTCTTCTGGTGCTTTTTGATAAAGAATGGGTCGATTTCCACTTCTTGGTCAACGGAAATTCGTCTCTTTCCCACACGCCCAGTCGACGATATAGTGGGCGATGTAATTAGAGGAAATTCCAACTGGGAAAGTGCGACTAGCGCAGGTTGCGTCTTGAGGAGAGTAAATGAAAAGTGGGCGACTTCCGGGTCGTCGGCATCGTCCTCTGTGGGTGGAAAGCAGATATAGAACGCGTTGAGGATATCCAAGAGTTTATGGAATATCGAATTGGGCGAAGTATAAGATTTCGCGGTTGTTGGGAACTGATCAACCAAATGTGTGAAGCAAAGTTTGTGAAGTTGGATGTTATCTATTGGCGAGAAAATAGTCAGAATTATACACCTCACCATGGTTTTGCCAGATGGACGTCACGTACAAGAGAGCAGTAGAGGAAAGGTCCAGAAGCCAACTTCAAGAAGCCGAGTTGTCGCCGCTTGCAGGGCAGTGAAGACAGCATTCGAATTTCCGTCCGTCTCCACTTTTGCGATATTTGGGCTCGCCATTCCTTCTCCGAGGCCTCCGTCACCTTGCTCGTATGCGGCCGCGTGTATTGCCTCGAGCACGACCTGAGCCGCCGTTTCGAGTCCCGTGTCCTGAATAAGTTCATTTGGTTTGAAAAAGTTGTCGTCAAGGGTCTTCAAGTAGCGTGACAGATCGTGACTTTGGTCGGATGGGCACGCTGAAGCTTCTGGGATGTTAATATGCATACTTTTGTGTTTTTTGTGTGATATATAGTCGATTGAGATCGCATTTGTGCTCGTGTTTGATCCAGCGGTCGATGTGGAAGGCTCCAAAACCAGTCGTCTCTTATCCCGTTGGCGCGTCGCATTTTTACTGTCTTTGTTCATGTTTGTGATGTTGATTCTGCGCTTAGATCTGATCTAGAAGGTGATTATGCATCAGCATTAGCTTGACGCTCTCCAAATTCGAGCATCTGTGGTCTACCTTCCTTGGCAGTGGAGACTGTCGGGTCTAGGAGTTCAAGTGTATGTTCTCTGTAGTTTTGTTCAGGAGAAGCAAGAACTGTGGTTGAAGCTCAAGCTCTCTCACAAGCCACACTGGGACGCCCTTTCGCGTCAGGCTCCCATAGACTGGTCACGCGGCCTTGCCCAATCACGAGGCTTGTGATTGAATATTCATCGCATAAAGATTCACAGGCGATGGTTTGGTATTGTAGCTCTGTATTGCAACCTATCCGTCCAGAATCTAAGAAAGCAATCCTATAGACGCCCTCGCATTTCTCATGTAATAACGTAAGCTGCCATAAATGTCGTAATAATGATGAACCAGGTGCTAGAACTAGCCATCCTCAGCGCCGCACTAGCGGCAGTAGCCTTGTGGATAACAAACAGCTGCAATAACATGGTTAGTCAAGCTCCTTATATATCGGTGGGATAATACCTCGCCAGTGGTATCAGAAGTACCGAACAATCTCCCTCGAGAATCAAACGCGAGACCCACTGGCCGGAAGCACCCGTTGGGGCACGCCGCCAAATCAGATGCTTGGAGGATGAAACTGTATCCATCCTTTGCGTCCGCTTTGGCAGAAGGTTCATTTCCGGACCATGGTATCCTAAAAAAGACGCGTCAGGACGATATTGGTGATGATGATTACGACAAACCTTACGATTCCGTATCCGGTGGGCGGATCTCTGTTCCAAGAACCGTGGAAGCTGACAAATGCATGCGTATTCCAGTCTTTTGTAACAGCCACGTTTTCATCGACGCCATCTGCTTTGTAAAATTGAATGTCGAGCGGTGCCGAGTGGGCTTGCATGCTGAGCCTCGGCGGGGTATTATACGTCGTGTTTCCACATTGCGCGTCTGTAACGTTGGGAACGATAGAGAACTGGTCTCCAGTGGCAAGAGACGTGCCAGACACAACCGAACCCATATCCCACGCAGTGAAGCAGTTCGGGTAGCCGTAGAAATTCCCGATAGAGTTCATATCCACGACATTGAGCTCTTCAGATGGATTATCCTATGCAAAGTGAGAGCTCTGAATCGGATGCCAGCTGCGGAGCATGCGAACCTTGTGAATGTCGACCAAATTACCTCCACTTGTATAGTTCAACTGATCCGCAGAGTTTTCGACTGTCCATAGATGCCTGCCGTCTGCTCCCATCGTAATCCCGACGGCGTTTCTCATACCAAAAGAAACGAGCTCCCCATCGAACCATCGATAGCCACCCGATGGTACAGTCCCGTTCAACGCAAACCTACGAATCTGAGCAGTCCCATGTGAGGCGTCGACGGACTCGTCCTAGATGCGTTCGGCATGAGTTCAACAATTCGGGGAAAGGTCGAAAGACGAACCTCGAGATTTCCGCTGGCACCTCCGCTGACAAGAATCCAATTTTCATACAGCTCCAATGTTCTTGTCTTGTGATCTGAGAAAGTTTTGGTAGTCAGCGCCGTATCCGGCGTACGGCAAAGGTCACACTCACTTTGGGCAAGATTCATTCCCTGTATAATTGTTTCTGGAGATGATACGGACCTATTGGACCAATTGATGGTATATCTGAAGACATTGTCCACTGAGCTCGCGTAAATTGTGGAGCCTTGGATCGCCAAGCCGTGGTTCAGGTCTAAAGGAGAAGGGCACTGTCAGCAAGCAAATAAAATTGAGAAAAGTTGTGTAGACTGACCTGTGTTCTGTACGAGGACAGACTTGGACCAGCCGTTTGCGCAGTCGTTGCCTCCTTCGACAAACGCAACAAGACCCACGCCTTGGTCAACGACAATAAGCGTATCGTTTGCCCATCTAACACTTCGAGGCTTAGTTAAGCCGTTGGCGATGACATTTGCGCTGATGGCGTTGTCCTTGACGTCTGGCTTGTGCCTCCAGGACAAACCCGACGTCGTCTGGCATTGAGCGCTGACGAGTGGCAGCGCGTTCAGCGCAACCAAGACGCCAGCGGCGACTGTAAGACGGGTGTTCATGCTGTTGTGGGCAGGTCCAAGCAACGATGAAGCGCGGGTTCAGCGGCCCAGTTGCTCGGCAGCATGACGTTATAGGATCAGCATCGGAAATGAGCGACGGCCGCCATTGCAAAAGCATGATATATGCCAGTGTGAAAACTATGGTACAAAAAGATAATTTATACAGTAATCAATGACAACTGACCGAGTTACCTAGCATCGCTCAAACACCTTGTAAAGATCTGGCAGGTTGGCGACTTGGACAAAATCCTTAGTTAAGAGTGCCTTGGAGGGAACAAGGTAGCGCCGTATTGTGGGAAAGAGCACATGTTGAATCTGCCATCGTATTGCCTTTTCCCCTTCAGATCGCACGGTCAGGCCTTGGGCACCCACTTCCTCAGACACTGCTTGTACGTCGGCATTTTCTTCGGCGAGCTTGAGCTGTGCTAGAGCTTGCGAGATGTGTTCAGGGACGTCTGGTGCATAAAAGTAGGCGAGCTCTCGTAATAATGTCTCAAAGCATCCTCTTTCTGAGCCCCAATCAACCTGCAGAATTGTAGCAGTCATTTTACGTATCTCTACATTGCACTCACCTGCGGCCCTAATCGCATCAATAACAGAGGCAGCTTGTCGAGATCTGGTTTATAGTCTCGAAGCAGGAGGGGAATCTCTTGTAGCCGTCCCTCGGCATCAATATTGAGGGAAAAGTACTCATCCAGCATGTCACGGCGAGCCATCAAGATGTCTGTGATGGCCTGGGGCAATGAGTGCGGTACTTATCAAGATGATGGGCTCACATTGGTTCCGGTGTCCACGTCAAGGCCAGACTCGTGAAATGCTTCATCTGCAGAGACCGCTAACTGAATGAGCTCCCGCAAAGGGGGAGGCGGTTCGAGCTTGATGCGGTGAAAGTCGCCAAACTGGCGTAGGCCCAATTGATAGAAAAGCTCTTCCCTACACCAACTGTGTCAACAACTCTCCCAATTCTAGAGAAAGGTCGTACGCAAGAGAGGCATGGTTCACCAAGTACAACTTGGTATCGGCTTGAATCAACGAGAGACACTGATCGAAATCAGCGACACCGACGAATGTATGCTTCTCAATAATCTCGCACATGCCTTCCATAACGATCAATCATTGCTACAATGTCACCTGCGACATACCAACGTGCTTTTGCTTCTTGACTTCGTCCCGCAGGGCGAGCACCGAACTCAGTCGGCATATTGACTCCTTTATTTCCCTTGCTCGTATCTTTGGCGCCTGCTCAATTTGCAATTCATCCATTGCCTTCTCCTTTTCACGATTGGCCGACGCGGATTCCTTATCCTTGACGGGTATCCATTGATCAAGCGTCTGGTCTTGTGCTGATGTCCGAACTTTATGGTGAGAGTAAACCTTCTTGGGCTGTATATGCACCACTACTACCCGTCAGCTACAGTAACTTCGTTCTCGTGAGCATACCTTCGGTTGTTGATTCTTCTTCTTCCTCGTCAATCTTTCGTCTTTTGCTTGGTCTCCGCTCAGCCTCATCAAGAGTACCACCAGTCAAGAGCGTCTACAACGCGGTAGATGAGTTTAGGAAGTAGCGAAGCAACTCAAGTCGCACCTGGGTGACAAATGTTCTCGTTGTTCCTTGTTTCGTCACGGCCAGCTGTACTTGGTCAGCAATGATTTCGGTGATAGCTTCTTCATGGAGGAAGTGAACCTCTCGTTTCGTTGGGTGAACGTTGGCGTCAACATCCTTAGGGTCAAGCAGGAGGCTGTGGATACGTTAGTATGTTCATCAAGTGGCTAATATAACCAACCTCAGATATACAAATGGGGCAGATCCCTTGGGGAGAATGCCATTGTAAACTGCTTCCATTGCCCTTTTGATCCGAGAGGAATCGACTAGTCGATCTTTGGGACAGTTAGGGAGAGGCGAAGAGTGTGAGTGACATACGATTGATGAAGAGCAGAAACGTGAATCGTTTGGATTGGTGGTTGGGATTGGAGGCAAACGCCTCGGCGCTCCAGATGGACGAGTCTTTGTCGATGGCCTTCTGATCATCCAATTTGACGTGAACCAACTCCTTTGAAAGAGAAGCCCCGTACAGCAGAGCTATAGCTTGTAACACGGTCGCACTACCCGGAGTGGATACATCTGTTTGTGCTTGTCCAGCCTTTCTTTCATATTAGAATACCCATGGTATACTAGAGAACAGCTCGCCTTTTTACATTGAAATGCGATGGAAGGGTTGTGGACCGCATAGTTCGTGACGACGTCCAGGATTCGCTTATATTCGTCGGCACCAGATCGTAAAGCAGCTAGTCGCGTTGGAGTGTTATAGAAGAGGTCCTCCACCGTCAAAAGTGTACCATCATTTCCAGCACATGGTTTTGGGTCCACCGACAGTCCGGGCTTTGGCGGGGCGAGTACTCCGTCTGAGTAACAAGCTCTACACGTTTTCAGCTTCTCAATACCGAGTTCGTATGAACTCTCACCGCCAGGCACAAGAATCTGCCTTTGTCTTAGTCACGACCGACAGATGTGCAACGTGCGAGATGGAGGCGAGAGCTTCCCCTCGAAAGCCATAAGTGGTTAACGCTGAAAGATCTTGGAACGAGGTGAGCTTGGAGGTTGTGAAGCGCTCGCATAATATCGGTAGGTCCGCTTTCTAGGCATCATCAGTGCTGAAGCCGCGTGCTACCGGAGAACATACGCGTATTCCACTTCCATTGTCCTGTATCTGAAGTAATTTGAGTCCACCATCCTTCACAGTGATTTTGATAGAGGTAGCCCCTGCGTCTAACGCGTTCTCAAGCAGTTCTTTGAGGGCGGATGCTGGTCTATGAATGATCTAGTTCATATATTAGTACATAAATTTCGCGAAAAGCAGTGGCAACAAACCTCGCCGGCAGCGATTCGGTTGATTAACGATTCTTCGAGACGACGAATAACAGGCGTCTGAGTATTTGTAGCCATTTTCAAAGGTCGTATAGCGTCGTTCTGCGCTTCAGCGTCAACCCGTGGTTGTAGTCGGGGACACAAACAACCTTGTAGCCGACGACGGCCACTACGATGGGACAGTATTGGCTGCTTTTCAATGTGGACAAGCGGCAAACAGAACCCTTAGAGAGTCACAAGTTTGCCGACAACTTTTGTTATAAAACGTCGGCCATCTTTCCATTGATCGTCGAGGGCGAACAGGCATGGTCCAAGCACGACCGGATCCTCCTTGTCGGCGACGAAAGCGATGCATTTCCTCCCCGGACAGTCTCAAAGGCTGAGCTGAGGGAGATGCTTCAGTCGATAATGGAACGCTCTTCCAACCCTATGGAGGTACCTCCAGTGGATGATGTCAGATTTGATGAAGCTATGAAGTATGCAAGTCCATATGGTTATGCTGCTTGCTGCGAAGAGACGGGCTGGACGGAGAATCAGTCGGTTGCAATAGACTTGACCCAAGGAGACGTTTGCCTGGCCAATCTATGCAACAAAGAATATATACGCAACGCTCCGTTTATTCCTGGTGAGATGTTCGTAATATGATTTCTTGAATACCCTTACCCTCCCACAGAGGACAATCGCCATCACACAGGTTTGAGCCAGGCCATGTTTGCAAAGATCGCCTGGAGTCAAAGTCGTAGCGTATCGCTTCCCGGGCCAGCATTATTTCACCAGGGTACATGGGCTGGGGCAAGACTGGCTATTTTGCCTACAGCAAAGGTGGAAAGCCACGACTTCGTCGACATTACGAAGCAGACCTTTTTCGAGGTTTATACTGTGCTCACTACACATATGTCTCACGACCACCTGCAGTGCTCGAAGGAACCGTGTCAAAAGCTACTGGAATTGCAGAATGCCAAGTACGACCCCTATTCGGAGAAGGAGAACTCGGAGCCGATACGAGACAACTACGAATATCCGAATGCCATCCCAATCACCTCTCGTGAAGCAGTTTCACTGCCAGCAGCGAATCTTACAAGACTGGAATTACTCCCGGCGGAGATCCATGAACTCATCATAGGGGAGCTGCCGCCTAAATCAGTCTTGGCATACCTGAAGACCAGTCGCTCTCTCTTTATGTATTCCGTTCTTCAACTTTACCAGACCGTCACGTTGGGCTCAGCCCGGTACACTTCCACTTTCCTATTCACACTCAGAAAGAGGCCATTTCTGCGAGACGCAGTCAAAGAACTTGTCGTGACCATACGACCTCACCACTCTTCCCGGGCTGACATGCATCTCATTCTCCTCCAGCTCCCAAGTCTAAGGAAACTCGTAATTCGTCCAAGTTGGATCACATATGGACCACTCATGTCATCAAGATACCCATTCAAGCTGCAGCACCTTTCGTGGGGGTTGATCGTGGATCCCGCAATGAACCGCTTCCTCCGGACACAACCAACCATTAAACATTTCGAGTTTCCTCAATGGGACGTCATGCCACCGGAATGGTTCTATTTCTGGCCCGACCTGCTGCCGAACCTGCGATCTATCAACGCACCGCCAACCTTGCGCGAGAAACTTGCGAATCTGATGGTATGAACTCCATGCCTAGTGCCATAGATTGACAGGAGATAGGTTGTGATGTCTGGCAAATGCTCAATCATATGCTATCCATCAAGGCGGTTGCGAATAACTGAAGAAATGGGCGATGATACTCTCATCCAAGCTGAGAATTCTGTAGAAGAGCTGCAGCTGATGACATGAACTGCTATTCGAGTTCAAAGGGGGCACATGGTAGAGACTATGGAGACATATAACGCACTATATACAGTAATTTATAAGACACATAATTATCCTCCATTAATGAATCCTGAAGAGTGTCATACTTTTTATATCGAGTCTCTCGGCTTTGAGTTTCGTAACTTTCTTGCTGATCGTCCACGCTCGACATCCATGGGCGTATTTTGGAACGTCGTAAGACGGTTGAACGTTGGCCGTCCGGGAATTGGGATAGGCGTCGAATCACCATGTGCTCTCTCTGCCTCTTCTTCGTCCGCAAAGTCGATCAACCTTCGAGAAGGCGAGGTTCTTCGTCCGGTCCCCTGGACCACGACTGCGACTGCTAAGACCGGTCCGTTGTTGTCTGAGTCCCCGACCACGCTCGACAGAGGTCGACCGAGAGCTTCCATTCTCTGAAGGAGTTCGGCTCAGGGGTGTCAACGATCGGAAATGGACGTGTGACTCCACAGACTTGGTATCGCTCGTCTGCTCGGGAGTGTCCTCGTCCATTGAAAGCTCAGGGATCTATGTCAAAGTCAGTTACAACATATCAACGAGCTTCACAACTTACCGGTAGACGAACAAGGAACGCAGCAAACGTACAAGCTGCCGCAAGCGTGAATACGGCTGTCAGAGCGGTCGCGTAGGAGTCTTTAACGGGCTGCTGAAGTTCGCGAGGAAGTTGTCGAACAATCTCAGAGGAGCGCTTGATTCTCTCGATGAGCTGACAGGCGGTGAGAAGTTTGGGCATATTCCACGTAACTTGACATACCTCGGCAGAGTCTGGTCCAGTCAGACGTGCTTTGAGCTCTCGTCTCAAAATGTATTGGAAGATGGCTGACGAAACAGCTACTCCAGATACTTGCCCAAACCCACTGAAGAGTTGAACAAACCCCATGGCGACAGCCATGGATGGTCCTGCCTTAATTTCAGTACTTTGCCACTCGAGATAGAGGATTTAACTCACGATCAACTGATGCCAGTAAGGCTATGAGAGTTGTTTGAAGCACCACTGAATTGCCGAATCCGAGAGGAATCTGGGGAACATGAGCGGCAGGGGTATAATCAATGGAATATACGTACTATGCTACCCCATTCCACCCACTCGGGAGACCTCTCGTTCAGAGTGGCGATCAGAATTGCGGCGATGGTAGGGAGGATACCAAAGACGACGTTTAGCGTTTTATACTTGCCAGTACGATGCATGAGCCAGCTACAACTATTAACTCAATTGTAAATATGGCTCGCAAGAGTGCTTACCCGGCAAATAATGAGCCGAGTGACATTGAAACACTATTTGGGGCAATGTGTGCACCTGTTCGTCTTTAGTAACTAGTCTAGCGGTCATCCACCGGCTCACCTGCTTCTCCAGCGCTGACCAATTTGACCGTCTCAAACCACATCGGGAAGAAGTAGGTGATCGAGAAGTTGCAGATTGATACGAGGACATTATTGATGGCGACTAGTGTTGGAATTCTCTGGTGTAATAGGAATGGAGGCATAATCGGCTCTGGCGTGAGATATAGCTCAATAACGATGAAAGCAATCAAGGAGACGCATAGCACAATCAACGGCGCAAAGACGTAAGGGTGTGACCACTGTATGAGATATGAGTCTGTGAAGAGCAATATTCTGAAGGCGCACGGAGTAGTCTGCATTGAACTTGCAAGCCAAGAATGTCAATGCGCTTCCGACCTGTCGTCGTTGAGTAGGTGCGCTCGTATTTGTATAAACATACAAAGAGAATCAACGAAAACACGCCTCCATAGTCGATGCGCTTCAATACGTCGCGCGGTTTCTTTGCGCTGCCCTACGATTGATGAGGATAATTGCAGGTCAGGTTGAAGCGTGCCTACCGGAGTATCATAGTCCAAGAATAATGTGGTCAGAGTGAACGCAAGAAGGAAGAAAGGGAGCTGTATGAAAAAGGCCCAGCGCCACCCAAGACTACTCGGTTGAGTAAGACCTTGACACCGTTAAGCTGCTTACCGGTCCATAATAGCACCTCCAAGGAATCCTCCAATACCCAATCCACCCTAGAGTAACATGAGTATCGACTCTGTCACGAGAAGAGACGCTCACTCCATTGACAACGGAAGCAATCCCTTGGGTCAGACTTCTATCCTATCGGAAGTGAGTCGAATCAATAGTTGATTCATCGCGACATACTCGCATAGAATACATATCCGCTGTCACAATACTGCAAGCATTTAGCGGATCCCTCGAGCAGCGCATTCGTGGCTTACCCAGCCGTCACGAACAAACCACCACCACCAAGACCAGTCAAGAATCTCGCAGCGATCAACATTTCGATTCCCGGCGCCAGTCCGCAGCCCAGAGTACCGAGTGCGGCAAACGCAAGAGCGAGCTGATGAGCACCACGCCTTCCTAGCACCGTACAAAGCCGCCCATACAGCGGAGTGAATGTACATGTAGCGAGAAGGAATGCAGTCCCAAGCCACGCACCCTGATTTGCTGAGCCATAGCCAGAAGAAATGGCACTCATTACTGTGCATATCGTCAGCCGCCATCGGAGATGAAAAAAACAATCTTTTTCATACAAGTAGCAACTAGAGTGGCTGTTTTTGCTTCCTCGTCAGCGACTCGCAAACCGGAATGGGGCGCAGACGACGCGTGATGTCACCGAGAAACACGACTCACTGTTCATAGCCTGGATAAATGGTAAGAACAAGATCAAATGGAGCACATATATAGTCAAAGATAGCAACTGACGCCAAGAAATGTGCCCAACCAGAGCCCAGCGAGAATTCCTCGTCTCCGAGCGGCAGATAAGTCGGTTGGATCCCGTCTCTGCTTTGTAGAAGAAGTCGAAGTCCTTCGTAAAAGAGATGTACGTTCATCAGGAAGGCCATTCATGATCGCCCTTGGCGAGACAGGGTCAACGCCAGGTCCAAATGGAGAATCTACCACTTGAACTCGCCAACCAATGACCGGTGACTTGGTCATTCTTGGTATATGTCAATATCACTGAGATATCTCATTATCTGGCTGAGGCATGTCCGATTCCATGAATGTATATCGAACAGCAAGCTGCCTCTCATTACTGAAATAGTCAGAGTAATATTCGTGTACCCCTCAGGATTGCCCGGTCTTGGTCGGGAGCAAGGTTGCGGTGTGGCCTTTGTCTCGACCCTCACTGGCACAACTCTCCTTGCCATGTCTTTTGGCCGACCAGGAAGTTCGTCAATTCTCCAAGTCAACCCTCCTGATAGAGGGTCATTTCCATTGGACCATGATGGTAAGACACGTCCTGTTCTGTGCGTATGACCTGATGACGGTTGCAGGAGAGTGCAAAGAGATGATGAAAGTCTATCTCAAATGTCTCAAAGAACATGGAAGTGCAAGTACACCCTGTCGTGGTGTATCCAAAGCGTATTTGGATTGCCGTATGCAACGGTTCGTCCGCTGATAATCCCGCAATGGGAACCACGCGTACCTTCACTATACTTAATGGTTCACAGGGGTCTCATGCAGCGCGAAAGCTGGACAAACCTTGGTCTTGGTGAGGAGACAAATGAAAAGACATCTGGGCAACCTTCATAGTCAGGACATGCTTAGGAGAGGGTAGCCTGTTACATATACTTGTTCAAGCATCTAGTTTTACTATGGAAGTCATATTCACCCTTCAAACACCAAAGGCATGGGATCTAGACCATTTCTTACCAGGTGAGTCCTACAAATTGGAACGATTCCGTCTGTTCTTCGAAAGGACCCGGTAAATTTCGCAAACGTTCTCAGATCAGTGCAATAGATTCACCTATGGAACTGCCCTGAAATATCCCCCTCCACTCGGGAGCCAGCATCCTCAACGACGGTAAATAGGATCTGCCCGACGTCGAAAAATATTCCAGTTGTGTACTACATCCAAATATCACCTGCAGCAGCGTGCGAAGTAGTCTAGCTCTTCGAGACGTTCTGCGTGGCGATTGAAGAAGTTATCGCCATCTATTCATTTATCTGTTGGAAAGGATCCCGCCAGCTTAAGTATCATCAGCTCCGGGAAGTCTCAGGTGGAAAGGGAGCTGTAGTGGAATCCAAGTTACGGACAACTCCATCGAAATCCTTCTCAAGGCGCTTATCTTATACCATTAGAAGGCAGGCGCCCAGTCATTATACCGGCTCATAGATATGGGTGTCTGTATGTAACTAAATGACGCCAGCTAGAGGAGCTTCGGCCTCTGTAAGGCCTCAGGAATTCGGCTAAAGCTCGATAAAGGGCAGATTATCGTATTATTTGTTCGCGCATATAGTTTCGATACTAGAGTCAGATTCATCCTTTGAGAATAGTATGTGAATTATCCTGGTCTAGGCCTACCAGTAATATCCATTCTGTGCGCTTTCTCAAAGGAAAAGAGAAGTCATATTCTAACTCCACAGACGTTTTAGAAACTCTGCAGCAGAGTCACTATTGTGGGGCTGGCCCAAGACGTCTTCCACTCGGGTGCCGGCATCCTCAACGACGGTAAGCAAACTCTGCATCTCCTCGATCATTGAAAGATGTCCCCTTGTACTCTTAGTAGGTCCAAAGAGCTCCGCATAGTACGACCAACGATGTGGGAGGACAAAATGTACCATGGAGATCGCCATTCGGTGGGCCTGGAGAGTGGGATAGAAAGTGCTTTCATTTCTACATTCCCACATCCATGCCTCGTTCAATATAATGCGGAGAGGTTGGAGGTGTGTTGCTACCCAGTCCTCCAGAAGACGAAGATTCCCAGCCATTTGGCTGAGACTGTCCTGGTAATACGTCTTAAGATGGTGAAGAATTTTCCACTCGTGTACTATGTGTGGTATACGGTGACATCGGACCGAGTAATCCAGCTCCTCGAGATGCTCTCCGTGGCGGTTGAAGAACTCGTTGATTTCCGTCTGACCATCCGCTGCAAAACACCCGGATAGTCTCAGCATTTTCAGTCCCGGAAATTTCCAGGTGGAGAGTGTGCCATGCGCCCCGTACTGATTACTGCAGTTGACAGAAAATCGCAAGATTAGACACTTGAGTTCTCGTAGCACCAAATTACCAGGCGATGGGCCAGGAGGGAATGGGAAGTCAATGAACAATGAAAGCACAGTCAACTGACGAAATACTGGGTGATAGATGGTTTGTAGCGTATAATGATCGGAGCTTATTGAACCCAACGAACACTCTATCCCGAGGGCACGAACAGGGCTAGTCTGATAGCAAGTAACCCCTGTGTTCGCTGGGGTGACAAAGTAGCATGATTCGAACATCATTGTCTTTGCCAAGGGCTCGCTGAATCCGACCTGTATTATGGGACGAACGTACAAATCTGGCCTTGGTCGCTGGTTAGACACTGTGCGGTACGTTCGTTGTTCAGACAGTGGGCGATAATGAATTCGGTCTGCTTTCGAGATGTCTGCATTGGGTGGCCATACATAGGAGGTATCCCCACAGCTCTCTACAATGCGACGACCCTCCATCTGATCCGCGAGCTGCTGCCATTTGCGGCAGACAAGAGACAATGTGCTCCGTGCTTGTTCATACTTTAGGTACATCCGCACAATTTTTGATCTGGAGAGTAAGGCCCCGAATTCTTGAAGACTCGCGACTTGCTCTACATCTGGCACAGATGGTCCTAGATAGAGATGGAATATAATACGCCATATTTCTACTGGTGCACGCAAGGTAGCGGGTTCCATAGTCAGTTGTGGTAGAGGCTAAGTTGTTTGGCCAGTCTCCATCACAGTCACCGCGCTTCCGCCATAACTCATAGCTCGAGTTCTTAAATTAGGGACTCTTCCCGAGGCACTCATTTCAAAATTGATTTCACCGGAGGACACACTCTTGGTCCCTATACGCTTGTTTCCTGTATGTAAAGACTAGTGCAACCTTCGCAGCCCTGACTTGGTCCGGCCAAAGGCCTAGAAAGGGTGGTATGTTATCGTATATTTATAGACGTATACAACTTTACTATCAAGGTTGATACGGACTTTCATACATTCCAACGCCTGGATATCTCGACCATGTCTAGAAATTGGAACTAGCCTGTGCACCTCTTCGAAGGGCCGTGAAGGGCCACCTATAATTTGCCAACAGTTTCCGAAATGGCGCAGCGGACTCGCTATCATGACACTCACCGGAAACGTCTTCCACTCGGGCGCCGACTTCCTCGACGACGGCAAATAGCTTCTGAGCCTTCTCAAGACTGGACCACAAGTATCTTAGTGAGAGATTGGAAGGCTGCAAAAGGTCGGCGTAATATGCCCAGCGATGCGGGAGAACAAATATCAGCATGGAAATGGCTTCCTTGTGTGAATTGAGGTCGAGAGAGGGTGGGAATGTATCATCATCGACTTCCCCCATCCATCCTATACTCAATACGATGCGGAGACGCTGTCGATGGGACGCTGTCCAGGCTCCTAGAAAAGGAAGATTATGGGCTAATGGGATGAGACTGTACTGGTGATATGCCTTCAAGCGACGAAGAATCCGCCAGTCGTGTACTACATGTCGCACATATACCTCGCGGCAGCGAGCAGAGTAATCCAGCTCCTCTAAATTTTCTCCATGGTGACCAAAGAACTCGTTTACGTCATTCTGACTTCCCATTGGAAAGGATCCAGAGATTTTGAGCATCGTCAGCTTCGGGAAATTCCATGTGGAAAGTATATTGTGGTGTGTGTCATGTGTACCAAACTGATAGTTGACGTTGAAGGATAATTGTAAGATTAGGCACTTGAGCTCTTGGAGCGTGAAGTTGAAAAGTGATGAACTATCACAGAATGGAAATTCAACGTCCAGCGAAACAGCAAGCAACCGGCGAAATGCTGAGTGAGAGAGGGCTCGCAACGAGTTGTTGTGCAGGAGGTTTCTGAAAGACGTATAGCTTATCCGAATGGCACGAACAGTGGCAATATGATCCGGTGTATCCTCCCCTCCATCTGGGACGATAAAGTGGCGCGACTCGAATATCGCCGTCTTTGGTAAAGCTATGCCGAACCCGACTCCTACTGGGATAGAGTTGTAGTGTCTTGGGATAATCCCCAGCTTCTTTCGATAGTTGAAAACCGGGTCGTACGGTGACCCATTTGTTATTCGGTAATGAACTCGGTCTGCTTTCGATAGATCACTGTTGGGTGGCCACAGGTGGCCGTCTCCATAATTCACTACAATCCGAGATCCCTCCATTTGGTCTGCAAGCAGCTTCCACGCGCGGCAAACGCGACGCAATGTATTGCGCAGATTTTCATGCTGTCGGTATCGCTGCAAGAGCTCGGGCTTCGAGGATAGGATTATATCTCGAAATTCCTGAAGATTCTGCGCTTGGTCCACATCTGGTATCGGTGGTCCTAAATATTGTCTGAATATATCGCGCCACAATTCCACAGGTGTACGTGAAATAGCGGATTCCATGGCTAGAGGTGTTGGGGAATTCCAAGTTGCAAACGTGACTGACTCCATCACGCCATCCCCGTCACAGTATATAACAATCAAATTCCCAGTCATTTTCCTCTCAAAGCGCTCATCTTCGAGCACTGGAGAGTAGACGCCGAGTCACTGTCCTGACTCATTTGTATGCAACGCGCCAGTTGGAGAAACCTCGGCCCTCATCGTGAAACAATCACAAAGGATGGTTTCACGTTAGAGCCTTGTTGTCAAAGCTTCTGAATATCGCCGTCTTTGGTAATGGCACGCCAACCACGACTCCTACTTGGGACAAACCCCAACTTTCAAATGATATTTGAACGTTCGATTCGGTACCGACTGATTGATTGCCATTCAGTAATGAGCTGGGTCTGCCTTTGACATATTGCGGTCGGGTGGCTATCTCCATAGTTGACTACAATACGAGGTTTCTTTTCCACGCACGACAAAGGCGCAATGTGTTCCATGCTTGGTCTATATCCACATGACAGCTAGCTCTGAGGATATGGTTACGTCTCGACACTGAAGACTCTGGGCTTCCACTGCTGGTATCGGCAGTCCTAGATAGTCTCGGAAGATATGATGCCACAACTCCACAGGTACGTAGGATGGCGGACCGAGGCGATGGTGGACTTCAAGTTGCAAACTTAAACCGCTCCATCACGTCGGCACCTGGCCCAGGTCATAAGATCGCGATGAAATGCAATCTAGACACTCTTCCTGAGGCACTCATTTTTGAGATCTGCAATCACCTCGACTTGGTCTCATTAGTGACCCTCTCCCAGGTAAACCAGAGCTTGCGGACGTTATCCGTGTCCAGGTCGTCATTCTGGATCCACACGCTTTCAGCAAGCGGACTCGTGATTCCAGTATCAGAGCCGCGACCAATTAACTCGTTTACACCAAAGGAGCTTGCTGTAGCCGCTCATCGGATGGTGTACATAGAATCAAATCTCCGAGCTCCCATACCGCGTCTACGTGGGTGGCAGAAGATAGCATGGCCATATACACCTGGAAACGAGGAGATAAAAGATGCAAACGATCGAAACTACGAGACACCAACAGACGCCCTCTATATGCACCTCGTGCATGATGATGCAGAGTGGGCATTCTTTGTTTCAGTCCATAATGTGTTACGTATTGTTCATTTGGTCGGCGAGGGAAAGATTTCCAACGTCTGGGACATGGACAAATGCCCCGAGGGGGAGCATAGCGAAGCAAGAGTGACCTGGGCAGTCGATTTGGTGAGATGAAATCACTTTCGCTGTATACTACTGACAGTTCTCTCAGCGGAATTGCCATGAAGGCATCATGGTCATGAACTGTCGCCTCAAAGGAGAAAACGGGTATTCGAACCCATGCTAAACTGTTGCATACTGATCTTCTGTAGTTTTGAAACGCCAGGATTCCGACTTTTGGATATTGTATTGCATCCCGAGACTGGTCTTGCCACCATCAAAGCGATTGGAAGTTGTCCTACGAAGGGATCCGCCACCCATCTCAACATATCAAGAGAATACATACTCGTCGTCATTCCTTCGAAACACAGTCATGCCGATATTGGGGAAATATCACTCGTCCGTTGGAGTGATATGAAGCCAGTGAAGATACCTCAAGTTGGTATCCTCAATTTCTTGTACAGGTATCTGATCTCTTGTACAGTTGTACCCATCCATTCGTCTCGTGGCGTACGAGGAGTACTTCATTTCCGTTGGCGTCTCGCCAAATCACCAAGTATGGGTACAGATCGTAGGTCTCCCACCAGCGGACATGCCACTTCCCGAAGATTCCAGCGAATCACTCGAATGGCTTCCTGTCCACTCTTACCTCCTTCCTACTGTCGGACCCATCTGGCGCTCACCAGAACGCATATCCTGTCGAGTGTGCCACTTGTATAGTGGGGAACCACGGGGAGATATCCATGTATGGTTACGACCACTCCATCGAGGCACACGGTCGATTTATACGATGGAGATGGATTTGGATGCTTTAAGGGTATCGGCAAAACGATATCTCTCTGGAGCGACCGTACAAGGAGAGTCGACAAAAAAGTTTTTTGTTGTGGAAAAGGAGTCGTTCCGAGTGCTCGAAGAAGCTGGGCTGAGACACTTGGTGATGCCTGCAGCTTCGGGCAAGCGGATGATCTGGTGGCGCGAAGTCAAGGGAGACCCAGACGCGGAGGAAGCCAAACCGTACATCTCAAATATGGGACTACTACCTGTAAAGCCAGGGGCGGACAATGAGTGTTCCCCCGTGGAAACTTTCCAACTCTACCTCTCGGTGATCGAAGACCTCGCTCCCATTTCGCAAATAGAAAAGCAGAGAGGCGGTGAGAGGTTGATGGTCGACCCAACAAACGAGTACGAAAGGTTGATGATCGACCCGGCAAAAGCAAACGAGTACTCGGAGGGCTCGGCTGCGGCTATCCAGCTTAAAGCGGCAAAGCGACTCGAAATTCCTCGAGGTCTCGCATGTCGCGCCGAACAGGTATACATGTTTCTGATCGTGGAATGGAGCGGCACATTCCTAGTACAGTTACGATCAGGAGATATGTGGATTCTCAAATATGGAAAACATTAGAGCGAAATAGGCTCTTTTATCTCACTATCTGCAGGCTAATTCTGGCTTTATACCATGCCTGCTCCCCTGTACCAACGAACGATCCCATCCTCTCCACCAGTCACGAATCCCATTGCACCGCTTCCTCCAATGCCCCCAAAGCCTCCGCTCGCCGTCGAATTTAGACCGTCTTCCATGTTGCTGTTTGTATTTCCGACTGGCCGCCACCCGACACCCCATATGGGACGTCCTTCTCTCACGACGCCGACGGCTTTACGCATGCCGACGTCCCATATGCGCACGGTACCGTCTCTACTTCCGGAGAGCGCAAGTCTGCCATCCCCTGGGGAGAGAGCGACGGAGAGGATTGGTTGTGTGTGGCCCGTCAAATGGGCGACGGCTCCACTGGAGGTCGACGAAGTGCGCGAGTCGTGCAATACAAGTCTCTTATCATCTGATGCGGACATGATAAGCTATGCGTTGTGAGGTCTTTGATAGTTTAGATTAGAATGAGGTTCACATTACCGTCTCCACTCCATCCTACCGAACGTACTGGCATGGCATGGGTTGCCCAAGAGACGGAGACCTCTTGCTTCTCGACATCAACAATGAAGACCTAAGAGAATTAGACGGCATTCTTTATTTGCGTCATATTCACCTGTCCAGTTTCACTGCTCATGGCAATCCGATTGTCATCTGTCGGGCAATGATCGACAAAGAGACCAAATTTCACTCTTCCAGTGGGAATATCGGCAATTCTGGTGCCGAACGCGTCCTGTTCCATCCCATCTTTGGCAGAATTCGAAGGGTTTGCAGAATGGATCGTCACAGAGCCCGATCCGCCCGTTGAAGCATAGGTCGTTCCACTCGAGGACAAGGAAACAGACCATGCTGGCTCTGCGTATCCATCGGTCGTACCCGGACCAGACTGCTTCTCTCCAATCTGTTTTGTGCCTAGGATGTCGCCCGTGGCGTAATCGACGAGCATGGTCATTCCAGCGATAGAGTTGACTAGTGCTCGGTGTCCATTGGATGCGACGGAGAGAGAGACCCATGCGAGAGGTTGTGCGGGCCAGGTGCGGAGACGTGTCCCTGGTTGGACGGCTGCAGTCGCGTCGACGTCCATCTGAGTATCCCCTCCATGTGTACTCTGTGCAAGAGGTGTTGATGTCGCTGACGCATGCAGGGCGAGGGTGCCATCTAATGATGCACTGAGAACGTCGCTTGATGGAGTGACGGCAAGGGCCCATATAGCTGCAGTGTGACCTATAGAGGGATAAGTTGCCAATCTTCAGGTCTGAAGAGGCTCACTTTGTAGGGCATCATGCGAATGTACAAATTGCAAACTCTTTGCTCCAAGACGCGACTGTCAGGATCCACTTCTCATTTGTAGATTGTAAAAAGTACCATTTCTAGTCGTTGTTAATCGTGACTAATCGTTTTGGAGGAGTCGAGGTCGAGAGATGGCGAGGTCAAAGTGGGAGTCTACGCCTGCTTCCCCTTTCGACATTTGCACGAATGTCTCGTGCAGCCAAAGCGACATTACTGGGCTCTTTAATCTTTTGTGGAGTGACTGTATGGGGAGTACACTACTTGCAGCGCAAGGAACTCGAGGTAAACGCAAGAATACACAGAATACAGGAGCTATACTAATATATTCTGCAGGATATGTACAAAGGAGTGATCCGAGACGACGAACGACGAGCTGCAAAGCTTCGAGAGCGACAGGAGCTGCTCAATGAGAGTCAGCGAAAGCGCGAGCTGTACGAATCTGTGCAAAAAGTTGGAAGAGAAACGTGACGGCTTTTGTGATAATCTGAAAGTAATAAATTAATGATGGTTGCTGGCTGCCAAAGGCCCTTTGGTGTTGGCCGTGTGAATGCGAGCGGAGTTGAAATCACTCTTGTTCTCGTCCAACGCCTCGCTCTCCGGACAAGTCGTCGTATATCGTCCTGTACGTTGCTGATGGAGTGTTTCAAGACATTTCAGTACACTTGCTGATCCGTTTAATGCACAGATATTGGACCGTCCATTCGTTTTCAACGTCGCCGCTCTTTAAACAGACATCCAAATCCCCCCGCGTCTCTCTTAATATCTCTCGAAAATGAGCTACAACAGGATGTACAGGCGCTCTCCTACTCTCCATCGCCGCCAAGGTCCCGCCCCGCCCGCATCGTTGGCCTCCACGGCCTCTACGTCCACGACACGCCCACTCCCAGCTGCAGCATTGACTTCGACTGTTCCACCCCGTGAGTAGACATATTTTCCGCTATTTTTGGCGGCACCCCCGATGGGTCCTGTTGCGCCCCGGGCTCCGTTCTGACAATTGGCCGAGCAGATGGTGTTGGCCCCTCCACCACGTCGTCAAGCTCGAGCTCGAGCTCTTCTTCTGCAAGCTCTTCTTCTTCTTCCTCGTCCAGCTCGAGCTCGTCGGCCTCTGCCGCCGTTTCCTCCACTCCTGTAGCCCAGTCGGCTTCCACCGCCGCCGTTTCGTCGCGGTCGACTGCCGTTGTGGCCACGGTGGTAAGAATATTGTTATATTGTTGATGATTTAACAAGCTAAACACCTAATAGACACAATCGACGACCCGTTCCGCTACGACAACTCGCGCCGTTGCAACTGCTACCGGTACGGGTGGTGATTCCGACGGTATGGGTATCGGATCTATTGCGGGTATCGCTGTGGCGGCAATTGTTGGCATTGCCGTCATATCCGCCTTTGTCGTCTGGCTCATCCGTCGCAAGAAGAAGAACCAAGACATTGACGAGGAGCCATTCAACCGCAACTCGTTTATGCGCAACTCGACGGTCATTCCCGACGACGACGTGGGAATTCCGTCACGCACCCGCCCACAGCCGAACATGGCGGAACGGCAGCCGACGTATGGCGGATCGCCGACGTTCAACGACACCGGTTACAACTCGTTTGGCTACAACACCCAACCCAGCTATGGTGCCCCTCCTCAACCAGGCTACAATGTTAATCCCTTTGGGCCAGGCGGTGCCCCCGCGACCCCTCTCCCACACTCGCCCGGATATGGTAACACTTACGATCAAGGTTTCAACCAAGGTGGATACACTGAGCTGACGCGTGGTGGACCGCACGACTATCCTCCGTCCCCCCACACGTTTGATCAGCAATTCCCTCACCCTCAATCCCCGTCGTATGTCGGCCATGACAAGTTCCCTGCACCTCCGGCATCGGCCACCAACTATCCAGAGCTGAGCCCCGCACCTGCTTCGTCCCAGGGCCATGTTGTCGTTGCCAACAACAATATGCATGATGGACGTGAGACTCCTGTACAACTCGGATTTGCTCCCGGCCCTGCTGCTCCTGCTCAGAATCAGACTCGTGGACCAAATGGTGCTCCAGCTCCAGGACCACACGGAAAGGCTCGCCCCGAGACGGTCTACGACCCCGAGGACGCATACGGTGGAATGTAAATTGTGAAAAGGGACGGTACCCACGTCAACTTAGCCTATTCACATTTATTTTACACGTCCACGCGCCCCTTGTCTCTTCTATCCTTTTACCATAGACCGTCGCTATGTCCAGCGTATCGTGGATCACTGGCAACAGTGCCCTTGATACCCCCTCTCCCGCCCGCCGTCACTTTTGGTGGACGGCACTCACAGTCCCCGCTAATGGCTTACGCCTACGCCTGGGCTAATCTCCTTTTTTATTACCTGACCTGTCGCTACGAATCCACATTTTCTTCACCTGTTAACAATACTATTTCTCCTCTCCCTTTACACCTGGGCTTACTGGCTACCCCTGCAAAAAAAAAATCGAATCATGGTCAAAAAGCCTAGATGATCATCCTCTGCCCCTCACCCTTTTACGATCCGTTTTGCGTGTTACATCGTTGGACTGGAGCCCCTGCTTGTGCGCATACGGTGTACCTCTTTCCTGGATGTATATGCGGCTCGGATGGACCTCGTCTGACGATAATGCAGTGACCCTTTTAACCCTCGACAAAGTTTGACCTAAGAGCCTAAAAGTTTGGCCCCGACGCCGACATGAGTATGCATACAGTGCTCAAACTTTCCGATAAATCGCAAGAGAATGGAACTCTTGAGACCATTTCACCGAATTTGATGCCGTTTCATATTGCGTATACCGGGCCCGCGCCGATTTCGACGTATTTCATGCCCAGGCCGTTTGTGGATGAGCGCGAGGAGCGCCGACGAGCGTTGATGGGCGTTTCAGGGGGTCCTGAGACTGATGATAAGGATGGTCTTGCGTCGAAATATTTTGGAGACGCGGGCGAGGCGGGGTTGGAAAATGACGAGAAGGGCAAAACAAGTGCTTCAATGGGAGAGGAGAAGAAGAAGGAAAAGGTGGATGGAGATGGAATGGTATGCGCGGCGTTTCGTGGACGGATTGTTGTTGGCCAGCCGATTCGTGTTCCAGAGGGATACACTGGTCTGATGCTCCTCCGGGAGACTAAAGACGGTGATACGAATGATCAAGGAGAGAATGGTGGTGCGGAGGGAGTGCAAAAGGACAAGGCGAAAGTGAAGAGCTCGAGCGAGCGTGCAAAGGCGCTCAAGGCAAAGGCTGCTGCCAAATCGAAGAGTAGAGCCGCCAAGAGGTCGAAGCGGTATCAAGAAGATGAAGAGGAGGATGAAGAGGGGGATGCCGAGCTTGCCGAAGAGATTGACCCGTCGGACGGACGAGAAAAGGCTGGTTTGAGGAAAGAGTCGCATCCGCAAGTCTTGATAGCCAAGGGCGTTTCGACGAGTTTACGCTGTGGCATCCCGATGGACCAGTGGACAAGACGCGAGACGAGTATATTCGCAGCTTGAACGATTGGATTACGCTCGCTTCAGAGGTGGGTCACTTTTCTAATCGCCTTACAGAACGAACTGAATTGTTTTTGGCAGATTCATCGTGTGTAACATCAACAACTGTACGGGTATCTATTCGTCCTTTGCGTTGTGCTTATTGAGTTGCATGACCATCTTTTCGCATCTACGATAGAGATGATCCAACCCATCGTACACCTGTACTGTCTCTGGGTTGGGCTTTGCGACGAGTTGAAAGTCCTCCATATGGAGCTCACGCTTCAAATCGTCCAAGTCGCCTTCAGCGCCTTGCAACTTCCACCACGCATACAATGCCAGAATCGCACCACCAACGCTACCGCCTTCCTTTGACTTGGCGACATAGGTATCGAGATCGAGAATATCTGCCGCCATTTGTCGAATCACTTGATTCGCACTCCCGCCACCTGTGAGCAAGAGCCGTTTGAGTGGTTCGTCGTTTACATCTTCTTCCTTTGTACCGTGACTTCCGGGAACGATATCCTCGATTCGGACTTTGAGACTGAGGAGCTGGCTCTCGAGGATGGCGCGTGGGTGAACCTTTGTGTCGTCAAATGCCCGCACGGGTTGACCATTGTTGAAAAAGTAGTCTCCAATGACATTTTGAGGGATGATTTCAAACAAGGGAAAGTAGAATCCCATGAGTCCGTTGTTACCTGGTGGCGTAGATTCGACGAGCTTGTTAAAGGTGTCCCAGTCCTTTTGAGCGTGATGATCCCGCACGTATTCACGGGCCAGTGCACCGTTTTTGTAGCACAGCATGGCGATGGAGCTGCCCTTTGAGGTTGGATGTGCGAGGAGGTGCGAGGTCGTGGTGCGTTTGGGCATGACGACGGCTTCGGAATGACCTGGATGCAACGGTGGTATATCGATGAGGAGTGTGGTGGATGTACCGAGGGAGAGAATCACGTCTCCGGCAGAGGAGAGTGAGACGACCGTCGAGGGATTGTCGCCTGTAAATGGCGCGACGATGCATGAGCTATGAAAGTTCCATCGTTTGACCCAGTAGGCGCCCACGGCTCCAAAGGATGTGCCGCCGAGGACTGGGTCGGGTCCGAGCTTGCTTCGTAGGTTGGGACCACATACGTCGAGAAGGGCGTCGGACCAAGTGTGCTTTTCAATGTCCATTAGATTCATACCACTCGCGTCGGAGACTTCGATAGGAGCAATGTCGCATAAAAAGAGCGATGCCAAGAAGGAAGAGACGAGGGAGATACGAGACGTATTCTCGTACACGCGTGGATGTTTTCTATAAAGCTATCACATGTCAGTTTCGTTTTCAGTTTTGATGGAGCCTAGGAGTCACCTTGAGGATCTGTGCGCCAGTGAAACGCTCATAGGCTCTGCTGCCACTGAGATCTGCGACTGCCTGGTCGCCACCGAGGGCATTTTCGATAATCTTGCATTCTTCAGTGGTCGAAGAGTCTTGCCATATCGGGCACTTTGTGGTCGAAAAAGCCTCGGGGACGAGCTGAGAGGCAAGGGCTTGAGACGGGTCGAGTGAGTGTAATAGACTGTGGGCTGCGCCGTCCCAATAAACAGAGCCGTGTTGCTGACAAAATACAGTCAGGGGATTTACTAATAAGTATTTTGCCGACATTACCTGAGCAGCACCCGAGACGGCGACGATGCGGTCAAAGGCTACGTTTGCGGTGCTGAGACGGGACATGAGGACATCGAGGGCCTCTATCCAGACGATGACGGGACAATAAACCTCTCCTGGTTCGTCACCATGCAACGCGCCGTTTGTGGTCCCAAACTGGGGGAGATCACGGTCAAAGTGGACGGCGGATTCATGGACGAGGTGGCCTTTGCGGTCGATGAGGGCCGCTTTGAGCTGCTGAGTGGAGAGATCAAATCCGAGGAAGAGGGGATCTGACATGGTAGAGTCCAAGAGTTGGAGTAGTGCAAATGCTGCAAAGTGGCAGAAGTGCTCGAAACGGAATCACGAGCCAACTGAATGCAATGGCTCTGAGTTGTCCGAATATTCTCCATGCTTCTAGATAATCATCATTATTGTCTAAGACTGATGGGTAAAGCCGAGTACAAGATATCAAAGGTGGTGGGAGCAGTGCATCAGGTGACTTGTAGACTCTAACTATTTTCATATGCATCGCCGATCCAAATGTCGTTGGGGGCGTGTTGCCCGTGCACCTGCCCCTGCCCCAAGCCAGCCCGCTCGACGCCCCAAGCATTGACGACGAAACCAAACAGAGACCCATCATCTTGGACTCTTCCTCTTCCCTCCAAATGTCCAATCCCTCTCATCAAAAAGTCGCCCATTTCATCGGTATGTGCTCCTTGTAGACTACTCAGTCTCCTCATCGTCTCCACAGGCGGAAACTCGCTCGACGTCGCTCCTCCAGGTCGTGTTCACGAGTTTGTAAAGGAACATGGCGGTCACACTGTAATCACAAAGGTATGCTCCATCTCACCTCATCTCTCCTCGCCTCGGTTTCTTACACCTTCTCAACCCTAGGTCTTGATCGCAAACAACGGTCCGTACTAGTCCCAGTTTTGTGGGGAGACGACTAACCCCGCGTCCAACAGGCATCGCCGCCGTCAAAGAGATCCGCTCCGTTCGTCAATGGTCATACGAAACCTTTGGCTCGGAACGTGCAATCGAGTTTACCGTCATGGCCACCCCAGAAGATCTCAAGATCAACGCAGAGTACATCCGCATGGCGGACAGATACATCGAGGTCCCCGGAGGAACCAATAATAACAATTATGCAAACGTCGATTTCATCGTCGATGTTGCCGAACGTGCAGGCGTCCATGCCGTCTGGGCCGGATGGGGCCATGCTTCAGAGAACCCGCGACTGCCAGAGAGCCTCGCGGCATCAAAGCAAAAAATCGTCTTCATCGGTCCCCAGGGAGCGCCATGAGGAGTCTTGGAGACAAAATCTCGTCTACCATTGTTGCCCAGAGTGCTCAGGTCCCCACCATGGCGTGGAGCGGTACCGGTATCGACGATACCGTCCTCAATGCCGATGGACATGTCACCGTCCCCGACGACGCATACAAACGTGCCTGCGTCACCACCGTCGAGGAAGGTCTCGAAAGGGCAGAGCGCATCGGCTGGCCTGTCATGATCAAAGCCAGCGAGGGTGGTGGAGGTAAAGGTATCCGCAAAGTCGAGAACCCAGAGGCCTTTAAGATGGCCTTTAATGCCGTAGCCGGTGAAGTGCCAGGTATGCTTTCATCAGCACTCTGATTTTTTGGTGCTGAATCTTGTCAAGGTTCCCCCATCTTTATCATGAAACTCGCCTCGGCCGCACGCCATCTCGAGGTACAACTCCTCGCAGATCAGTACGGTAATGCCATCTCCCTCTTTGGTCGCGACTGCTCCGTCCAGCGACGCCACCAAAAGATTATCGAAGAGGCCCCAGTCACGATTGCCCCTGGCGACAGATTTGAAGAAATGGAAAAGGCGGCAGTTCGTCTCTCCAAACTTGTCGGATACGTCAGCGCAGGAACGGTAGAATGTGAGTGCGCATCCCCGTCTCGTTGAGCATAGAACTTAACTGCTACGCCAGATCTCTACAGTCCCTCGGATGACACGTTCTGCTTCCTCGAGCTGAACCCTCGTCTCCAAGTTGAGCATCCCACGACCGAAATGGTCACTGGTGTCAATCTCCCCGCGGCCCAGCTTCAAATCGCCATGGGTCTCCCCTTGCACCGAATCCGCGACATTCGTCAACTCTACGGGCACGCACCACATGGCTCCAATGAGATTGATTTCGACTTTGTGCGCCCAGAGTCCAGTCAGAACCAGCGCAAGCCGCGTCCCAAGGGCCATGTCGTCGCCGTCCGTATCACGGCAGAGAACCCAGATGCTGGGTTCAAGCCCTCGAGTGGAAGCCTCCAAGAACTCAATTTCCGCTCCAACACCAATGTGTGGGGTTACTTTTCCGTCAACAGCGCCGGTGGCTTGCACGAGTTTGCCGACTCGCAATTTGGTCACATTTTCGCATACGGTGCGGATCGTGAGGAGAGTCGAAAGAATATGGTCGTCGCGCTCAAGGGCATGAGCATCCGAGGTGATTTCCGGACGACCGTCGAGTATCTCATCAAGTTGCTCGAAACGAGTGCCTTTTCGGGCAATTCGTTTACGACTGGATGGCTCGATACGCTCATTAGCGAAAACCTTACTGCCGAGAGACCAGACTCGACGTTGGCGGTGATTTGTGGTGCGGTCACAAAGGCCCATATTGCGTCCGAGGCGTGTTGGTCCGAGTACCGAAGGATCTTGGAAAAGGGTCAGGTCCCTGCCCGAGACACCATCAAGACTGTCTTCCGCTTTGACTTTATCTACGAGGGCGTCCGCTATTCGTTTACTGCTACTCGGTCGTCTTTGACGTCATGGTCTGTCTATCTTAATGGTGGTCGAACGATGGTGGGCGCCCGACCGCTAGCGGATGGCGGCTTGTTGGTGCTCTTGGATGGCAAGAGTCATTCGGTATATTGGAGTGACGAGGTTGGCGCTATGCGGCTCATGATTGACTCCAAGACATGCTTGATCGAAAAGGAGCATGATCCTACCCAGCTCCTCAGCCCTAGTCCAGGCAAGCTCGTCCGCTTCCTCGTCGAGAGCGGAGAACATCTCAAGGCCGGAGACGCTTATGCCGAGATTGAGGTTTGTTGCTTCATTTGCACAATGACAGTCTTGCTCATCTTTTAAAAGGTGATGAAAATGTATATGCCACTTGTGGCCAGCGAGGATGGTGTGCCGACGTTTATGAAGAACCCTGGTGTCAGTCTCGAACCCGGAGATGTGATTGGCATTCTCGCACTCGACGACCCGAGCCGCGTAAAGCACGCCAAACCCTTTGAAGGCCAGCTCCCTCCTTTCGGACCTCCCTCTGTCATCGGCTCGAAGCCTCATCAACGACTCGCAGCAATCCTCAGTGTCCTGTACAGCACACTCGACGGCTTTGACAACCAGGCCATCATGAACACGACTCTCAAGGATCTGTTGGAGGTCTTGCGCGATCCCGAGCTCCCTTATACCGACGCCAACGCCATTCTCTCGACGCTCTCAGGTCGTATGAACCCCAAGCTCGAAGAGCAGATCCGCGCAACGATTGAGCGTGCCAGTAGTGCCGGTCAAGAGTTCCCCGCGGCACGCGTCAAGAAGCTGATCGAGGCATACCTCGCCGAACTCAAGCCCCAAGACCGTACAATGGCGCGCACGACCAAAGCTGCCCTCATCGACGTTGTCGAAAGGTTCCGCTACGGCCTCAAGGTGCACGAGTGGATGACGTTTGCTGGTCTCTTCAGACGCTACGAGCAGACGGAGAAACTGTTCGGAGGTGATATCGAGCAACGCGTGCTCAAGCTCCGCGATGAAAACAAGGACAATCTCGACGCAGTGGCGCAGCTAGTGCTGAGTCATATCAAGGCCCCCAGCAAGAATAAGCTCATTCTGTCACTGTTGGATTTAGTCAAAGAGGCTGGATCGGCCGCACTCGCGCCCGAGACGGGGTTGGCGGAAGAGTTGAAGAATTTGGCGGCTTTGGAGAGCAGGTCGACGAACCCCGTGAGCTTGAAAGCACGCGAGGTGTTGATTCTGTGCCAGATGCCCTCGTACGAGGAGCGTTCTAAGCAGATGGAGGCCGTCCTCAGGCAATCAGCGAGCCCAGCATACTATGGCGAGTTTAAGAGTTCTCGAGGGTGAGTTACCTGGCTTTGAAGAGATTTTCAATCGCTCATGCTGAGAGCAGAGAGCCAAACCTCGAAGTCCTCAAGGAGCTGACAGACTCTCGGTGGATCATGTACGACGTGTTGCCGACCTTTTTCAGCCACGCCGACACAAATATTGCCCTTGGTAGGTTGGCTCTGATGAAATGACTGCATCTGACACATGGTAGCTGCATTGGCGGTCTACGTCCGAAGGGCATACCGTGCCTACACGGTGCTGACCATTGATTATGAAGAAGGTGATGGCCTTGATGATGGAGATGCACCCCACGTTGTCATATGGCGCTTCAAGATTGGCCAGAGCAACTCGCCGCCTTCTACGCCTCGTATCGACGAGCAAAAGTGAGCCTTTGCAACGGATTATGTTTCTGATTACTGAGCTTTGGCTAGCACCTCGAAGCAGCGCCAGGGCTCCGTCAGCGATCTCAGCTACCTTATCCTCAAGAACGAGTCCCAACCCATCCGTACCGGTGCCATCGCATCCTTCCCCGACGTCAACGCTCTTCACAAGGGCTTTGACAAGGTGGTCGAGCATCTCCCGCTCTTTGAAAAATCGGATGCAGTTCCCGAACCACCGAATGTGCTCAACATTGCATTGAGGATCTTTGAAGAGGCCAATGATATGAAGGACGACGTGTGGAGAGAAGAGTTCCTTCGCCTCTCCAATGGAAAGAAAGACCTGCTCGCTGCGCACGGCGTGAGGCGTGTGTCGTTCATGCTCTGCCGAAGGGGACAGTATCCTTGGTACTTTACCATTCGCGACAAAGAGGGAGAATGGATCGAGGAAGAGGCCATTCGTAACATTGAGCCTGCGCTCGCGTATCAACTCGAACTCAGCAGACTCTCCAATTACAAGATTACGCCTTGTTTTGCCGACGCCCGTCAAGTCCACATTTACCATGCCGAAGGTCGTGATAATCCGGGTGATCAGCGATTCTTCGTGCGCGCACTCGTCCGTCCTGGTCGTCTGCCGCCGTCGATGCGCACTGCCGAGTTCCTCATTTCGGAGACGGACAGATTAGTTGGTGCCATCTTGGATGCGCTCGAAGTCGTCAGCAACCAGTACCGCAATACAGATTGCAACCACATCTCCATGAACTTTGTGTACAACCTCAACGTGAATATTGAGGAAGTATACGAGGCACTCGCTGGTTTCCTCGACCGCCATGGCAAGCGTCTGTGGAGATTGCATGTCACTGGCGCCGAAGTCCGTATCACATTGGAGGACAACGAGGGCAACGTCACCCCGATCCGCGCCATCATCGACAATACGTCTGGCTTTGTCGTCAATGTCCACACCTACCAGGAGATTACGACTGACCGTGGTCATACCATCCTCAAGGCCATTGGCGAGAAAGGCCCACTTCATTTGCAACCCGTCAGTCTACCATACGCGACCAAGGAAGGTCTCCAACCCAAGCGTTATCAAGCACATCTCATTGGCACGACCTATGTGTACGACTTCCCCGACTTGTTCGCCAAGGCTGCTCACAACATCTGGGTCGATTACAAGACCAAGAACCCAGGTGTCACCATTCCAAAGGACATTCTCACCTCCAAGGAGCTCGCAATGGATGAGAATCGCCAAATGGAGGCGGTGGATCGTGTACCAGGGAACAATTCGTGCGGAATGGTCGCCTGGCTGCTGGTGATCAAGACGCCCGAATTCCCGACAGGGCGTCGTGTCGTCGTGATCGCAAACGATATCACATACAAGATTGGTTCGTTTGGACCCGCTGAGGACGAGTACTTTTACCGAGCTACCCAGTATGCGCGTGCGCTCGGTGTGCCCCGCATCTACCTCTCAGCCAACTCTGGTGCTCGTATTGGACTCGCCGAAGAGGTGATGAACCTATTCACACCTGCGTGGAACGTTCCCGGTCAACCTGAGAAGGGTGTCAACTACCTATACTTGACGCCGGAAGCAGAGCTCAAGCTCAGGGAAAAAGGCGGGCAATCCGTGCGAACACAGGAGATTGAGGAAGATGGAGAAATTCGCCACAAGATTACCGATATCATCGGTCTCCAAGACGGTCTCGGAGTCGAGTGCTTGAAGGGCTCTGGCCTCATCGCCGGAGAAACATCCCGCGCATACGATGACATCTTCACCATTACATTGGTGACCGCTCGCTCGGTTGGTATCGGTGCATACCTCGTCCGTCTCGGTCAACGCGCGGTCCAGGTTGAGGGCCAGCCAATCATCCTCACTGGCGCACCAGCACTCAATAAAGTGCTCGGTCGTGAAGTCTATACATCGAATTTGCAACTCGGTGGCACTCAGATCATGTACAAGAATGGAGTGTCACATCTCACAGCTGGTAGCGACTTGGACGGTGCCACGCACATTCTCAAATGGCTTTCCTATGTGCCCGAGCACCGCGATGGTCCACTTCCGACGATTAGCCCTCGCGATTCGTGGGATCGGGATATTGACTATGTGCCACCCAAGGGACCGTATGACCCTCGCTGGTTCATCGAGGGCAAGCGGGATGACGTTTCCTCCGAATGGCTCAGCGGCTTCTTCGATGAAAACTCGTTCCAGGAAACACTCAGCGGATGGGCACAGACGGTCGTTGTGGGACGAGCGAGGCTCGGAGGAATCCCCATGGGTATTATCGCTGTTGAAAGTGAGATTGCTTTTCTCCGACGGAGCCGGATGCTAACGCCGTCATAGCTCGTACTATTGAACGCATCGTGCCAGCTGATCCCGCGAATGCGGCTTCCTTTGAACAGCGAATCATGGAAGCTGGTCAGGTTTGGTATCCAAACTCTGCCCACAAGACGGCCCAGGCCATCTTCGACTTCAATCGAGAACAGTTGCCCTTGATCATCTTTGCCAACTGGCGTGGCTTCTCCGGAGGTCAGCAGGACATGGTACGAAGTGCAGTCAGAGATTCTCCGTGATATTCACTGACGCTGTGCTGCGTAGTACGACGAAGTGCTCAAGTATGGTTCCAAGATCGTCGATGGACTCTCTAGCTACAAGCAGCCAATCTTTGTCTACATCGTGCCCAATGGAGAGCTGGTAAGTCATCACGCTCTAATTGGGAAGAACCGTGCATTGACAAGATCCCCTCGTTTCCCAGCGCGGTGGTGCCTGGGTCGTACTGGACCCTTCGATTAACCCCGCACACATGCACATGTATGCTGACATTGACGCCCGCGCGGGTGTTTTAGGTGAGTGGAAATTGGGATCTCACCCTGTTCAACGTCTGACCCTGGGTCGCTAGAACCGGAGGGCATCGTCGAGATCAAGATGAGAAAGGATAAGCTTGTTTCCCTGATGGAACGCACCGACCCTACGTATGCAACCTTGAAGAAGTCGAGCAAAGACCAGACTCTAAGTGCCGAGGAACGTGCGGCTGCGACCTCGGAGCTTTCCAAACGGGAGAGCGACCTTATGCCGACATACAAGCAGATCGCGTTGCTATACGCCGACCTTCACGAGTACGTACCCCTTTTCCACAGATTCTCCACATTCCTGGTCTTTTGAATGTTATTGACGGGAACGTTTCTCTCCAGTCGGGCTGGTCGTATGGAGGCCAAGGGATGCGCAAAACCTGTTCAGTGGAAGAATGCTCGTCGACACTTCCATTGGGCCGTCCGTGCTCAACTCGCCATTTCGGCTGCGGCCGCAAAGTTGACCACAGTCTCGCCACAACTCTCACTCGAAGACGCCAAGCGACGTGTGTTTGAGCAGATTCCTCAAGTGGCACACGACGATGATCGTGCAGTGGCAGAGGCGCTCGAAAAGTTTGACATGTCCGATCTCGTCGCCCAGCAGATGAGCGCACATGTCACCGGTCAACTCATGGCGTTGGTGCAATCCCACCGCAAGGCTGGTCTCGCGGGACTCGTAGGCGTCGTTCACGCGTTGACGGACGAGGAAAAGGCAGCGCTCGCCGTCGCTCTTCAGAGCTCAGGTTCGTTTCCACTCGCCGACTCTGTTGTCCGCGTTGGAGCTGATAATCGTACGCCACCTTTGCAGGTCCACCATCCTACTCTTAAGGAGGCTGTGGATTTCGTCCTGTTTTGTTTCTTCTTCGTGTCTAGCCTGTTGTCTACTAGTCTGTATCCGCCCGAGGTTCTAGATAAGAATTAATCTCAATCGGAGGATTTCTACTCCAAAAGTTGTGCTCTATACTTCAGAGGGTTTTCGATAGCTCTAATCGTACATGAAATGTGTATGTATGGATCGAGGGACTACAGAATGTGGATTATGACCTGCCATTGTCCAGTCACAAACCAAATGAGGACAAGACGACGAAACAGATGCTAAAAGGAGAGAGGAGAGAACAGAGAACGACGCTGCCTCTGTCACGAACGAAAAGGGAGAGTGGGATATACGGGAGCGATACGCTCCGCAATCAGGGAGTTTTTTTTTTTGTGTCAAGCTCTACTTGTCGGCACCATTGGCGGACCACGCCCACACACGCTCTTTGCCACCACCACCACTCTTGATGCTCGAACGTTCTGGAAGCGGGACCGATGCTGGTGTACGCTCACGATCGCGCGCAACATCGATTTCCCGACGTACATTTTCCAACAACCTATCCGTCTTATCCATCAAGTCTTCCCAAATCGCGCGCTGCGTGCGCAGTTCGTGGTAATGCACCTCGAGTTCTCGAAGCGACATCACGGGGGATTGCACGCGACTCGATGGACGAGAGTGTGGTGTCAGTGGAGGTGGGTGGTGTGGAGAATACGTTGTGGGTGCTGCTGCTTGTTCTGAACGGGAATAGTACCCGCCGCTTCGCTGGTGGACCTCGGGTGAATGAGTGTGTCGGCTCGATGGGTGGCTGCTGTGAGAATGCTGATGGTGATGGCTCGGACCCTCGTGCGAAAAGGTTTGATTCAGGTTTGCAGATGGAGGTCGAGAATCTGGGTACCCATTCGAACTTCGATGGCCATTAGGGGTATAGTCCATGTGCTCGTCCTTGGGCGGCAACCGTGGACTCGAGATTCCGTTTGGACCAAGATGCGCTTTGCTACTGTGCCCATTACTCAACGAAGTAGGGGTCGAGAGCAAAGGTGGTGGGGACGTGTTAGGACCGTGGACGTTATTGTTGCCATTTCGGTTCCGAGCCTCATCGTAAGCGACATTGGGCGTCCAAGACGGTCTTCTACCTGCATATCGACGCATGTCATCGTCTCTTCCAATCTCGGCTTGTATGTCCGCCAAAGGGGGAAGGTCCATATTCTGCCGGCTGCGCTTCCCATTCTCATTTTTGCCATCCGACCCTGACGAACCAGGGGGTCCATAACTGTTGCGACTACTATAAGCGTGTTGAGTCGATGGATTCGGGTTGGGGTGCCGAGAGTTGAGTTCTGGTGGGGACAGGCGAGAATGTGATTGTGACGTGGGATGGTCCGATGCATGACGGTGCGGGTAAACCGGGGTCGAGTGCGAATGTGGGATAGGGGCAGGCAGTGGATTATTGGTGGAGGGCTGTGGAACCGATTGGGAACGCGAGGCTATCGGGGGTGGATGGCTATCTCGCGTGTTGATCAGGTCGACCGGTGTTCCGCTCCTACTCAAACCACGACCAACAACTGAGTTTGATAACGTTAATGTTGTCGTTTCTAACCGCTCCGAAGGCGGTGGGGGTGCAATGGTCGATGGACGGGGAGTGCCGCCGCCGGTTTGGTGGCTGCTGCCGTTTGCCTTGTCAAATAAGCGTGCGTTACCTCCGATGGACTCGTTGCTCGGGCTCTCCCGTTTTCGAGGATGGCCATTACCTCGGGCACTCGAGTGGTCGTTAGGGTGCAGAGGAGGTCCGTTTGGAGCGTTTGGTCGAGAGGAAGGAGCGCCGGGGGCATCCATGTCGAAATCCTCGGAACGACGCTCATCGTGCACAGGCCCGTCGATACCCTTTCTCTGCCGTTTGCGCTTTGGTTCACCATCATTCCAGCCGTCTGGACTCCGTCCTCGAAGCGGTGTCGACGAGTTGTTGTTGTTGTTGCTATTGTAAGCTCTATCGGAGCGTCCAGCACTGTCTGGGTGGTGGCCATTGGTGATGGGATGACGCCTCTCAGCGCGGCCGACAGCCACGAGGGCCTCTGCGGCAGCTCTTTCGGTCATGAGCATGTGGGAGGGGTCAAGAGGAGTGTGCTGGAGGCTAGGGTGGTGTTGATAAGGCGGCGCGGAGGAAGAGGTAGAGGTTGAAGCGGGGAGATTGTGGTGATGATGTTGGTCGACCGTTTGGCCCGGTACTTGCGCTAGAGGCTCGGTGGCGGGTGCAGGAGTTTTTCCGTCTGGCCCTGAGGGGTGACCATTGACGCCGGAGGATTTCGAGGCAGCAGCCGCGGCGGCAGCAGCTGGCACGCGTTTTCTTCGCTTAATGACCGTCTTTTTCATTGAGTCTGGGCGATGGACGCCGTGTAGCTTGTAGTAGAGACCTATGAGGGTGGGAAAACGCATCAGAACCATGCCAAAGGGGATTGTCGGTGATGATTGATGGGAAACGGGCAGCAGACGGGTAGACGGATTATTGGCCAGAAGCTGTCCCAAGGTTTTCCGGATAAAGAGACCCCTGAAGGGCGGAAAACTAGGACAAAGCAAATGGGGGATGGGCAATAGAAGCATCACGCTGGATGATGGGTGCCACAGAAAATGGGTCACTTGATGATCGCAGGGCCCGGAGTAATAGATCAGATTAGATCTCGCCAACTTCCGGGATTTCGCGCGCTGGCGAGGAAATTCATCGGGAACGAGGGGAATGATAACGCGGTTCCCTCGAGACGCGCGTGACGGGCCCTTTCCCTATCGTCGATTATCGCATTCTCTGGTGTGTGGTCCGAAAGGGGGAAGGCAACTGGAATCATGTGGGCCTTGCTTACCGCATGCATTACAAATCGTGCTGCCCATATCGTCTCGTCTCCAGAGCGGGGTCGCGCTCGTCCCACAATTGGCGCAACTCATGGCGCCGACGGGAGCAAATCTTGCCCTGAATCGAATGTTCAACGCGTTAGAACCATCGTCGTCTTCTGGAGATAGTTGATTTGTTGTTCCGTACTCGGTGTTCGTATTCGTCTGCTGACCTCCTGCCATTGGCGTGCTAGTCGAGCCCGGTCCATCGAGATCGGGTGACTCTTCCGAGCCTGGGGACGCAGTGCGCTGCTTGGGGGCTGCACTGTGTGCTCTCGAGGGCTGATGATTTGCAGTGCTGCTGCTACGAGTCGTGATGGACGCCGCCCCATGAGTGTTGTTAAACGTCGGACAACCTGCACACGCAGACGAGCCGCCCGTTCCATCACAGCGACCATCTCCAGGACATGTTCCTCTTGCATGATGTGTCATGTGACCTCCCTGGCTCGTCGTCGTCGTCGAAGACGGTCCAGAATCCACTGCGGGGGTCGCTGCGCGTGCGGCTGCAGCCTTGACGCTATCTGGGACGGGTCTCGCAGTCCTCCTCGCTTTTTCATACAGACCACAGGCATTGCAGATTGTATCCCCGCCGCTGTTCCTGCGCCAGAGCGGCGTCGTGTTCGTCCCACAATTTGAGCAAACGGTGGGCTCTGCGCCAGCCGCCTTTTGAGCATTGTATGTTAATTAGCAGACGTGTATAATAATCTAGACGAGCAATACGCACCTTGTCTGATCTTTCACGGGACATGGAGAGCGGGGCCAAAACAGAACGGGATCGGTCGGTTCCAAGAGTCGAGGTAACAAACCTGTTGAGCATCCCGATTAGATAATAGATAACAAGTCAATTATGTAAATAGCCTGCTTCTCATTGGCCATCGGCTATCCATTCAGTCTTCGGTAATCTTTTTTTCATTGTTATTTTCGATTTTACAATCTAATCGCAAGCGTGGCCTCCGAACTATCGGACAATGCTTTAAACCTCCGTCCTCCAAACTCCCGTCCGGTGGTTGAGGATTATCGCATTTATACGACAAGTCTCGCCCATTTTTCCTCTGACCGTATTCAACATGTCGACCCATCCAGACGGCTTTATTCCCCTCGGACATGGCGCATTTCTCGTCAAGGGAAAGGAATCAAGTAATGAATTACATCCAACGTATGTCATTCTCCACATATTAGACAGTTTCTGACCCCTTGCCAGCCTCGTGTTAATCTTTGGATGGAGTCAGTAACCATAGTAGGCTGTAATTCAAGACTGATAAACGTGTCTAGTGGACGGAAACTAGCCCACGTTGCAAAGTTTAGTGCACTCTACAAGCAACTCTTCCCATCCGCCGACCAGATTGTCGTCGCTTCCACAAATGACATTCTATGGCGTACAAAGCCCGCCCTTGTATGTCCTTTTTACACCCATACTAATCTCTTACGCTTACCGTAATCCATAGGATGCGAGAGTGCAGCCCATTGTAGACCAGCTCATTGCGCTCGACGTCGTGGGACCGACGGCGACCACACCGTATCCTCACTCATACATTCTCTAACGGTATGTTTACCCCACTCACTCCATCCAAACACGCTCACTCCTTTCAGGCGGAAACATTCGACTCGACCACCTTTCCTCACTTCTCAAACGATCCAACCTATCCGTCTCTCCACAAACACTCATCCAACCAAGTGCATTCATCATCGACAGCGCTCCAGGCGGTGACAACCTCACATCTGCCCTACATACCTTCAGGGCTTATCCCATCACCCTTTCTCCGTTACCCAACCCTCGCAATCCTCCTCCTCTACTACTGGGCATCCCTCATTGTCACACTCTCCACTCGACGCTACTTTGATCCTCTGCGAGATGCCCTCCTCTCCCGCAACTGGGTCCCTTGGATCACCTCACCCGCGCAAACCGCCACCACGCCTACCCAGTGGCTCTTCATCTACTCCAAAAGTGACGTTACTGTCCCCTATCAAGACGTCGACGAAATGGTCGCCCGTGCAACGTCAAAGGGTTTACCCGTCCACACACAAGTCTACAATGACACCGCTCACGTCTCACATTTCAGGCAATATCCTGATCGATACACTCAACAAGTCTTGGCTCATTGGCAGCGTGCCATGGCTTCGGCTCAAAAATCAGCCTCCTGACGACAATAAGCATTTTGCGACATGAACTCTATTGGGCGCATGGCGCATGTCAAGACATAACTACACATGACAAGCCACCTTGTTATTTTCCTAGATTTTCAAGTTTTTTGTCGGTTTTCCTGCATATCTGAATTCTCGACGAGAAGCCAACCGCGCGGTTGTCTCGGAGATGAGAATAATAAGGTATTCAGTCGATTAAACCCCATCGCAAGCAGAGATCAACATTGAGCCGCTCAGTGCTAGTTCTGATGTCAGAGAAGAAAAGCGGCAAGACAACAACAGCACTTACCCAAGTTGCAAGTAGGCCCCTCAGGCGTCTTCTGACTTTGTACCTGCAAGATGTTGAACCAAGTTGCCAAACGTGGGAGTGATCGGGCTGGGCTCTGGTGAGGATGGTTGAGAGGATGGAGTAAGCCCTGGAAGCTGAGACGGCACATTCTTGACCGACTCGGCACCACGAGCAAATGCTGCGTCTCCCTGCACAAATGAAAAGGGCGGGAGACCAGGTGAGATGCCGCTGGGACGACGAGAATATCGAGCTGAAGGAGCATTCATGAGGTGATCGTTGAGAGTGGGAATGGGTCGACCGACATCCGCCGACAGGTTAAAAGCAAGAGAACGATGAAGGCTCTTGTCTTTGAGGCCTTGTAGAGGTGGCTGGATTGTCGGCGTCCAAAGTGTGTCTTGATGAGAGTTTGGTTCAAGGCTAAAGTATGAAGTGGCTCTTCTAAGCGATGAAGGAGGAGCAGAGCTGAACAGCAAGTCTTGCGCCAGCACGGCCGCTTGAAGAGCGTAGAGAGTAGCTGGCGGAGCGCCAACTGCAGATTGGAATTGAGTTTGTTGCAAAGGCTCGGATGCTGGACTCGGAGTGTGAATGACTGGAAGAGATTGACCAAGCCCCACAGGGCGAGCAAAGGTTTTGCCTATGTTGATGCCCAATCCAAGACGATCATTCTCAACATTCGCAATGTTTATAGAAGAGATCGAGCGTTGCCCAGAACTTTGAGCAGAGTCGTAGAGCTGCACCGGAGGAAGAAGCTGTGGGGCAGTCCCCCGTAGGTGGGACTCGATGGAGGAACTAGGGACTGCAGGTGACCCCGATGCTGTATGGTGTGGCTCGCTCATCTTCATAGTCTCCACGAGGCGAACGATGTCGTTTGCTTGCACTTGTTGATGCTGGTAGACGCCAAGAGAGAGAGGCCGCGACGCTGAACTGGATGAGCCTGGATGTTGAGGTTGCATGGATGCAATCTTCTGTTCTAGGCTGGACTGACCGAGCGCAGAAGCGATGCCTCCGTCGTGTGTCTAGAGACTCAATGAGTGAGGCAACGACGAGGCAGTCAAGACGCACGGAAGGAATAGCCTGGATTACTAGATTCTCCGACCACCCGAGTACACTTGAACCATGAAGGCGTTCCATGATCTCGTCCACAGCCTGCTTGCTCTCCAATCTAGATGGAGTCAAACTTCAAAAGTTGCATTGATAATGTCATGCAGTACCTGATAAATCCGATGAGGCGACGAGGAGTTCCTGTCGTGTGGAAGAACTTGCTAGCCTTGATGACTTGAGGTGCGAATAGCGCGCGAAGGGTCTACACATGCCATGAGATGGGCACAAGAGATCAAGAGGGCACGTACCTGCATATCGACCGAGATAGGGAGGCCCAAGATGGAAATGTCCGCATACTCTTCGTCGCGTGAGACGGGGATGATAGGATCGGCGATTGCATGCTTCGAGTTTGTGGTTCCAGGGACTTTGATGGTCTGGACAGTTTATCAGAGGTATAGAGGAATGAAGCGAGTTTGCTTACCTTTGCAAACGATGGGTGGAATTGGGTGTGCTGACGTAGAGTCGTGATGAAGCGCTCTGCATCTTCGACACAGTTGAACCTTGGAGGGTATCAGCGAGGTGATCAAAATTCAACTGCTGAACACACAAAACAAAGCCGTACGCCGAAGGCTTATCCTCGAGGTGCCGGGTGAACATCTTGACGCTCTTGACAGCTCCAAAGCCTCTGGTTAAGCGATAGAGATCATCGTCCGTCCAGCGAAGTGGAAGCCCATTGATATACACATTTGTCGTTCTGCGCGGATTACGTTAGCCTCAAGGGTCGACAAACACAAGGTGCACCAACTTCAATGGATTCTCGAGCGGGTCCGGCTTGGGAATAGGGCACGCTGATTGTGCGGTGCTTGTGCATGCTGCTGAATCAAGGCCCTCGAGAGAGGCACATTCGACGCCAACCGGTAGCTCAACAGCAGTCAACGAGGGAGCCTGCAATTCCAAATTCCCGGCAGGAACCTTCTCGATGAGTTCTTTAGGTGCTTCGGAGATATCGAAGGAACTTTCGAGAGACGGTGCATTATGTTGATGCTGAGTTTGTTGCAGCTGATGTTGTTGCTGAAGTTGCTGATACGAAAGAGAAGGGAGTGTGTTCGAAAGTGTTTCGATGTAATGAACCTGAGACAAGATTGGGGTGCCGACGGCGGGCTTGTGTTGATTGGAGTTGATGAGGACCTTCTGTTGTTGCTGATTCTGAATTGCCTGAGAGTAGAGTGCAGACCGTGCTTGAATCTTCTCCGTCAGAGGGATTTGGGAAGAGGGCATCCTTTGTGGCAAGGTGACAGGAAATTGTGAGTTCGGACGTTCGTTCGAAGAAGGTGGAGTCAGGAGAGGTGTGGAACGGAGCGGTGTCTGGCTCATTGTATGCGTGGGTTTGTTGGGCGTGAGATTCGTAGTGGGACCATCGGGCATGTTGACGTGATGAACAGAATGATTGGACTTGACAGGAGCGTCCTCAAGCGTGCGCACGGCCAGGGGCGATGGAGTCCTTGGGGGTCAAAAGTGAGATGAAGCGATGATGGCTCGCAAGAACAACTTACAAGGAAATGGAGCCTTGATCCAAATCGCTAATAGACTCTAGCGAGTGCATAGATGTCATAGAGATGCTGCCGTCCACGGGCTCGGGGGTCAATGCCGTCGGAGAATGCATAGTGGCTGACTTTGTTGGTGTCTGTAGAGTGAGTGCTTGTTGAGTTTGTGGGACGGCGGCGATGATGAATGTGTTCGTAAGTACAACTATAGTAACGTAGAATAAGCCTGCAAGCAGGGTGTCAATGGTCTATGGCGGCCAAGTGGTAGCGAGAAATGGACGGGCCAGAGAGTATGTTGAAATTGCCAAACGTGGCGAACAGCATCAAGAGGAAGAGGCAAAAAAGGTCCTGAGACGAAACATCATGGAGCTGAACGTACGGGCTTCCAGTAAAGTCGGGATCGACAGCGAGAGCGAGGATCACGAGTGCGACGCAAGCAGCCGCAAGCCCCAGTAGCTCAGTGAAGAGCTACCAGATTAAAGCGTAGACCTAGAGGCCCAAACACTCTTGTCGTCGTGCGCGACGACGAGGGCGAGAAATGGACGGGAGAAGTAGAGGCTAAGTTGCAAACTGTGTTTACGCCCACTTTTACCCCCAAACGTTTCAGTGCTGATGGCAGATTAGATTCACGCAGATTATCTATGCAAATCATCCATTGATTTCCAAGTCACCTCGGGAGTTCCAAAGTGTCAAAGTTGCTACAAGCTCACGACCCCGTGAGTCGATCTAAAGCCTCTTGGTATCGCTTCTGGGTTCCTTCGACAACGTCTGGAGGAATTTCCCAGCCATTGCCATCCAGCCCCTTTTCCAATCCTTTCGTAAAGCCCGCCCCCGTCATCCAGTCTCGGAGATATTGCTTGTCGTAGCTAGGTTGATTCTTGCCCTCTTCATATCCTTCCAGTGGCCAGAATCGTGACGAGTCGGGAGTCAAGACTTCGTCCACCAAGATGAGATCCATGGGCTGGCCGTCGACAACAATTTCAGACGAGGCATTTGGGGAAGGAACTAGTCCAAACTCAAACTTGGTGTCTGCGATGATGACTCCTCGGGTAAGGGCATACTCGGCGGCTCTGCTGTACAATTCCACAGCTGCGTTTGAGATACGCTGATATACAGCATCTCCGACAAGCTTCCTTGCTAAGAGGAGTAAGACGACATCACTGGAACTGGGGACGATCGCACCTTGATCTGGATGGATATTCTCATCGTGCTGACCTGCATCCGCTTTCGTAGACGGCGTAAATACAGGGCTGGGGAGTTTCTGGGATTCTTTGAGGCCCTCTGGAGGCTTCATTCCGTGCATAGTACCCGTCTTTTTGTACTCGGACCATGCGGATCCTAGAGGGCTATCAGACGAGAAGCTCGGAATATCTACACGCATACCAGTGATATAGCCACGGGTAATGGCTTCCAAAGGAACAACCTTGGCTCTACGCACGAGCATGGACCTCCCTCGAATCAAATCCGCGTGAACTTGGATATCCTGCGGCATTTCTTCGACATTTGCTGTAATCAAGTGGTTTGGTATGACATCTCTGAGCTTTTCAAACCAAAATAACGACATTTGCGTCAGAATTTCTCCTTTTCGCGGAATTCCCTGATCCACAAAAGCCAGATCAGACCAAAGATCAGAGTTTCCCATTGAGATTGAAAATCTTACATTGTTGAGGATGACATCGTAGGCCGATATCCGGTCACTCGCCACAAAGAGGAGTGCGTTCGGGTCTGAAGTCTCGTAGACGTCGCGCACTTTTCCACGGGATAGGAGCTTCAACCCATCCAAGGTAGAGTTGGTAAGAGTGCTCATCTTACGATCGGCGGTTTGAAATATGAATCGAGTCAGGTCGAAGCGCAGAGCGGCAAGCGAAGCGAGAAAATGAGAATGCCATTTCTATTTTTGCCAAATGCTGGGATGTACGGGGTGTATAAGTTAAATCAGTCCAAGTGTGATTTCTATCTTAAACCTCGACCAATGTCAATGCTTGGATTTAGATGATACGAAGCTCCTTGGTCCGCTGTCGGGCATATTCGTCCTTGTACTTTTCCCATATCCTGAAACGGAAATCATTCAGCAGCAGTCAAAGGTGAGGAATACGCGTCTTACCGCTTCAGCTCTGCGATATACTGCGCGTGTACCTCGAGCACCATTTCCATCGAAGGCTTTTCCACCTTTTGAGTAGGAATTGGCCTTCCGAATACTGATACAATGGTCCGTCGATATGGCATCAATCCGAAGTTGTCTGACAGAGGAGTTAGATGCAGTTGGGCTACAGAATTTCACATACAATTCAGGATTCCACGACCGTGAAACAGAGGTAAAGTGAACCCAAAGATTGCTTGAAAGTGTTTTTGAAGAGTGTACAGCGTCGTTCCCTTCTCATTTGGCATCTGCTCATAAATCTGCTCAAAGGTCAGCCAGATGTAACATTAAACGATCTGCGACTTACATCGTTTTCACCGAACGAGAACACAGGAACGAGGTCGGCACTCCGGAGGATCAGCAGCACGCCGGCAAATCATGGTGTCGACATACCCATGTTGCATTGCAACTTTGATGAAGCCAACGCTATTCTTTCATCAGAAGAAGTACTACGTCGATTCATCCCAACATACCGATTCTGCAAAGTGAGGTCGGCAGTTCCAGGATGTGCACTCAAGCTCTCAGCAGCACCTCCGATAACGATGCAGATTGCGTTGCCGCTACCCTTTTCGAGGATGTAGTTGCAGCTCTTCTTGCTGACGGAGCAGATTCCAAGAGCCATGAGCAAGTCTCGATAGAGCGGCATTTTGAAATTTGTCGTCAGCGTCATCAGGTACGGTGTGATTCCTGGAAAGTGCTGAGAGAATCGAGTCCCTGTTATACGTTAACACAAGGAACAGTCGATACGAGGTACCTACCATCCGTTCCGAATGTCGCAATTGCGCCCCTAGGATGCTCAGATTCTCATAGCCAATATTACGCAGTGGCTTACATTCCAATGATGCCTACAGTGAGCCATAATTAGCACCGTTCGTCATCGTGCGTGTGTCTGTGCCCTTACCATGTGGATGATAACCGAACAAATAGGGCCTGTCCGGGGGTAAGTCGACTTCCTGTGGCATTTGTCAGAGCACTGCAAGGGAATCTATGAGGATGTAATAGCCCACCTTTTTTATCCTAGCGAATGTAGAGCGTATCGGTGTTAGCCAACAAGCTAAGATCTACCCAAAGAGAGACGTACGAAGCAGGAAAGTAGCTCGTATAGTAGTCCCATATCCTCCATGACCTCACCCACGCACTGCGTCGTCCGCCCTTCTCTGGAGCCTCGTCGAATATGACCCACAGGACGTATATCAGTATAAATGGCCATAACGGCGGGAACGAGCTACCCAGCAAAGTAAACTTAGCAATCCTGACCAAGAGACTTGGTACACGTACCATAGCAAGAAGAAAAACGCGAGTGAAATGGGAATGAGGCAGACTACAAAAGCCACTGCCGCCGTCTGCAGTCTCCGATGATGAGGAACGTTGACCGGTGCAAATCTGATCACGAGGTCAGCTGATGGTTCATGTTGTCAGTACGAGATCATTTTCGCATACTCGATTTCGGGAAAAGTGCTGCTCAACGGAGGAATTTTGAGACGCTTTGACAGGTTTGTCGCAGACAAAGACTTGAGAAGTGTTCCAGAAGGTGCAAGTTTTGCGTCTGCTTTGCTCTCCATCGTCAAAGGATGTTGCGGTCGGGGACAGGGTCGCTAACCGCCATTTGCCGGTGGAACACAATCTTCTGCGGGTGCAACACAAAGTCTCACACGTAAGATAATGTGGAATCGACAAGTCTTCCAGTTCTAAACAATACTACAAAGAATAGGGACCCAGTGGCCCGACGTGCTAGGGTGCAAAACATTTTTTACGCGTAAAGGTCGTCTTCTTCTTGCTCCTGGAAACCTGCATTCCCCTGATTGGTCGGTGCACCTCCAGTGGCACTCGGTTGGCCTCCCTCTGGGAACTTGAATGAGCCGAAGCCACGGGATTGTTGCAAGTTCTGGCATCACGGTCAGAAAATCACGAGCCTCCGGATCTGCATGAAAGCGACGCTTACCTGAGCAAACATGTCATAACGGCGGATGTCTTGTTCCGACACTGAGCGGCGCGCATACTTCATGGCCTCTTCGAAATGTTCACTGAGGAGACAGTCAGCCATGGTGGAAAAAAAAAGAACCCACAAAAAAGGAGAGACTCACATTGTAATCTGAGGGACTGGGTCCTCTTCTTCGTCCTCATCCATACCAGTCTCGCCCGCTTCCTCACGCGCCCTCTTCTCGCGCGACCTACGAATGTCGGCGTCGATGCTTTCACGAATTGCCAGCTTGGCAGCTCTTTGACAGATTTCAGTCAAATCTGCACCAGAGAAGCCTTCGGTAGACTTGGCCAAGAATCCAAGATCGACATCGGGCGAGACTGGCGACTTCTTGAGGGTCGCCTTCAAGATGGAGATACGCGATGGAAGGTCGGGGAGCGGAATGTAGATGAGCTGATCTAGACGACCAGGACGAAGGAGGGCAGGGTCGATTTGGTCTGGTCGATTGGTGGCGCCAATGATGAACACATTCTTCTTCGCATTCATACCGTCCATCTCCGTCAGCAACTGGTTCAACACACGGTCACCAGCGCCTCCAGCATCTCCAGACGAGCCACCACGGGCCTTAGCGATCGAGTCCAATTCATCGAAGAACATGACACAAGGAGCAGCTGCGCGTGCCTTGTCGAAAACGTCTCGAACATTGGCTTCGGATTCACCGAACCACATTGTAAGAAGTTCAGGACCCTAGAAGGCTGTCAGCAACGTCAACTCTGGCAATATGCTGTCACGTACCTTGATCGAGATGAAGTTGGCCTGGCATTCATGCGCAATAGCCTTGGCCAGAAGAGTCTTACCCGTTCCAGGAGGACCGTAGAAGAGAACACCCTTCGACGGCGACATGCCGTACTTGAGGAACTTCTCGGGATGTTCGACTGGGTACTGGACAGTCTCCTGTAGCTCCTGTTTGACCTTTTCGAGACCGCCAATGTCGTCCCAGGTGACGGTTGGGACCTCGACGACTGTTTCGCGAAGGGCAGACGGGTTCGAGACACCAAGGGCGAAACGGAAATTTTCCATTGTGACACCGAGGGCATCAAGTACTTCGGCATCAATGGTATCCTCGTCCAGATCGATGAGGTCCATCTTCTCGCGGATTTGCTGCATGGCAGCTTCTGAGCAAAGAGAAGCAATATCAGAACCGACGTAACCGTGTGTGTCGGCGGCAATTTGCTCAAGGTCGACATCATCGGCGAGCTTCATATTCTTTGTGTGGATGCGAAGGATTTCCAGACGGCCAGTCGGGTCGGGAATACCGATGTCAACTTCACGATCGAATCGACCGAATCGACGCAGGGCGGGATCGATAGAGTTGGGTCTGTTGGTCGCAGCCATGACCACGACATTGGAGCGAGCCTTCATGCCGTCCATCAAGGTAAGGAGCTGCGAGACGACACGTCGTTCGACTTCACCATTGGTCTAAGAGAGAGTCAGAATATCGTATCGTGTCATGAGAGCCTCGCACCTTTTCACGCTTCGGTGCAATGGAGTCAATCTCATCGATGAAGATGATTGCAGGCGAGTTCTTCTCTGCCTCTTCGAATGCTTTGCGTAGATTGCTCTCGGATTCTCCGGCCATTTTGCTCATGATTTCGGGACCGTTGATGAGGAAGAAGAATGCACCGGTTTCGTTGGCCACCGCACGAGCCATCAGTGTCTTGCCGGTACCAGGAGGGCCATACATCAGGATACCGCGTGGAGGTTTGATACCGATAGACTTGAATAGTTGTGGGTGACGGAGCGGAAGCTCGACGAGTTCTCGAATTTGAGCCATTTGTTTACGGCATCCACCAATGTCGTCGTAGCCAACATCAGCGAGATTGTTCTCCTCATCTTCACGCTTGACAGGGTCACCCTCTGAACCATGGTCAGCCTTGCTTCGCCAGGCTCTCCTTCGACGTACCAGTATGGATCACAGTGTCGGGTGCGATGATACAGAATTCTGCTGGGTCCGTCTCCAGAACCTTGAATTCGACGGTTCTCATACCACCACGGACGAGGAAAGTGTCTCCCTTGCGGACTGGGCGATACGCTTCCAAGAAGTATGGCTTTGTTGCAAGTTCAGCGCCGATAAGTAAACAAGATGCGCTGCATACCTTGAGGTAGACCTCGAAAAGGTTGCCACTCAAGCCCTCGACGGAGTCATCAAAGGGCACAATGTGAACGCGCTTGCCGTATTGAATATCAGGGCACGCGTGTAGATTGCAGACGTCTCCAAGCTTGACACGGATATTGTTACGAGCAACTGTCGAGGAAGATTGTTGAGCCACACCTCGAATCAACTAAACTTTGCACGGACCCTTGTTTAACAAGATCTTGCCCTCTTCAACACTATCGTCGCTCATTACGATGAGGACTTGGGAAGGGACCTAGATTAGCAAACACGAGATGTAGCTCGCAGACAATCGCGTACCTGTATCGCGCCTCTTTTTTCCACTGTAGAGCGTCCGTGAGCAAGCCATCCGGTCTGAAACTGTAGATAAACGCACCGAACAATAACAGAGTCTCCTCTGAACAGCTGGAGTGTCTCCATGGTCGCGGGATTGAGGGTGGCCACTGTCGGCGACGCGTCAGTCTGCGCTGTTTGGAAACCATCGCTGGGGCGTATGAGAGCGTACCAGAGTTATCGTCGTTTGTTGCATCGTCAACAATCAGACGATTCGGGCTGTTAGACGCGTCAGCGATGCGAGACACGGAGATGAAGCATACAAGACTTACGATTTCTTTGGCCTGAGGATTGCCGTCGAGACATCGTTTGGTCCTGGTTGAGGAGGAGCTCCAGATGGATCAGCCATTGTGAGATGCAGAGGTCGTGGTTGGGGTTCAAGATGCAAAACGACAAAGTGGGTACGCGTCTCTTTTACCAAAGTCAGCGCCATTTCCAGCATGTTCTCACATATCATGTAATAACACAATAATATTCACGATGGATGCTAGGAACCAGCAAAAAATCGAACTCCGTCCCCCTCACCGCTTTCAATGATCTGCGCTCGGTTCGTCTTGGTCAAGATATCAATGGCCCGTTTGAGGAGCGGCGTTGGAATGTCACTGAGCTCGGAAGGAAGAGAAGGAGCCTGGATCTCGTAAAAGGTCATGATGGTGTTTAGCTGGCCCGTCGAGACGGCCTATAGGCAGTCAGACGCATATAAACGATAAAAGTAAAGTACTGACCCAGCTGTGGAGGACCTCTGCCCATTCTCCTGGCTTTCTCCAGTATAGTAGAACGCTATCATCCTGCCTCGGTGGCTCATACGTGGCCTGTCCCCTCGCCACCAGCATCTGGAGGAGCGTTCGGACCTGCTGCTTTGTAAGGCGACCTAATGGCGTTCATAGTGTATTCAGACAGCCAAAGAGACTCACGATTTATCCTCTCGTTAATCAGCACTTCCTCCCAGTCCGAACCCGTCTTCTCCGCGTCATCCACAGTAAGTGTAAATAGCCGCCTGAAACGAGCGTAGGACAGTATTAATTGCACCCATTGATCATCTTGGGATACTCTTGTTTTTGCAGCTGGTTGAAAACTGCCTGGATCAGCCAGAAACTCGACTTGGCCACCCAACGATACGGACCAGAAGAAAGGAGGGAATGCGTGTATAGACGGAAGTTTGTATCCTAAAGATAAGCATTAGTTCCAAGTTTATCAAGAGCCATTCAAGCCTACCAGATGGCGCTAGATGAGTTTGGAGTTTGCGAGACCCCATCGCAGAAGGGACAGAGTGGCTACTAACATGAACATCTAGAAGTCATTCTTCTAACAAACTCTGATACCGTTCTGAGAGCATCCATAAAGTACAAGGCAAATTGGCCCATATTTAGTATCATCTCGCGCCTACGCTAGCATCATTCTGTTCCAAAAACGCATCAACTTCCGCCATCATACCCTCGTCATCTCCAGAAAGCTCGGCAAGGTCGCTATCATCCAAATCATCTTCATCTCCCGCCTCGTCGATAGCAAATGCTTGTCGATTCTCCATAACGGCGGCAGCCGCCGCGTTTGCCTTGGCCAGAGGAGAAACGTCCGTGAAGGGTGAAGGCAACACGGGGGCAGGTTTCAGTCCAGCGGATGTCGGAGGTACGAGAGGTGCCTTCTCCAAGTTGGACTGAGACGACATTGGCGACGCCGAGACTCCTGACGGGGTGCTCGATGTCGGGGTCGTCAAGCTGCTTTGTGACCTGAGTCGCTGCAAGTGACGTGTGGTCTCTTTCAATGGCTCTTGTAGTGCCAGGTTTCGCTCGTGTTGATTGATCGACGGCCGTACGGTGACCTGTACCCGTTCAGGAGGCTCCAGGCGATGCTCGACGGTGCTTACCTGATGCTTGCCAATGGCTTTGCCCATATCGTCGACGAAACTGTTGAAGATCTTCTTGTTATCATCCGTGACGAAGGAGGATAAGAAGCCTCCAACGTTGCCCAAGAGGCCAAGTCCTGTTTGACCTCGTGCAGCGCTCGAGTCTTCCACGGGTTGAAGTTTGAACGAACGCGGTAGGTCGACGTCAAAGAATGCCTCCAGTAACGGATCAGCCAGTACGACCATGCGAAAGGTCGCCCGGTTCAGGTATGGCTGGTTCGAAGGGAGTGAGGGTGCCAGCTCTGTGTTTGCCGAGACTTCGTTGGGAATAGGTGACATCTTTTCTCCTTCTTCAGGCAGTAAGGCGTCTCCATATTCAAAGGCATTGGTCATGAATCTACTGACGGTGCCTAAATACGCGTCACCGACCTCCGAACGGAATATGAACTGCAACATGTCAGCACTGATTCAAATATTATACAGTATCTCACCAAAAGTGACTCTGATAGGACGAGGACCTCGTCCTTTGTTAGCCATCCGTCCTGATCTTTATCGTGTCTAGAATAGTGAGACACTTGAATCCTTGCGTGTTCGCACGTACAGTGTGAAGAACCACTCGATGCTTGACATCAGGTCATTGAACATGATACCATCAAGGCCATTAACAAGATCCTAAATGAGTGAGCAAGGAGATACATTTATCATGGTTCATACCTGGAACGAGAGGGCGCCATTGTGATTTATATCCCAGAAAAAGAAGAGTCTGTCCACAAACTCGTGTTCGGCTACCCGTCTTTCCACGCGTTCCTCGAGAGGATTGAGCCAGAATCAGAACATCGGAAGTCACACACCTGGAACCCGTTCGAGACGACGTATTCGTCCCTGGCCCATGTTGCAATCTCCGCCAGAAATATCCGAAACGTCTTGAGCTCTATCCGCGTCTCTGGCCTCTCCATCTCGTCGTCCGTCCCAGGAATCAAACGCTTTGTCATGACCGGTGGCGGGGGTGGAGCGACGACCAACGCCTTGAACAAGTTATCGTAAATGAGACCGATCTGGTCTTTGGAGAAGCGCCCAAACGATGATAGGTTTCGGATGGCAGCCCGCTTCGCAAACGACTCGATGCTGTGAACAATCTCGCCGCGATATCGTCGACGTTCATTTTCAATCATCTCGTCGTTGATGATAGAAAACTCTCGGAATGCGACGAGAAGCAGCTCTTGGAACTTGATAATGGCACGGGACCGAGGGTCAGTGGCTTTTGGATGTGCCGATTCACCGAGTGAAGCAAAGTACTCTCTCATCAGGCTTATGCAGGTGTTAGTCGCCTTTTTGACGATTGAAAGCGGGCATACCTTATAAAGGCACCATCATCCTGGATGGATAGGAGCTTCTCGCCATTTATTTTGAGAATTGCTGCACAAATCAGGAAGAGTCTCGTCAAATATGACGACGGGCGTACCAAGACTGCTATCGTGAGCAAGTTACAAGAGACAGCTCAAAGAAACATACCCGACTTGGAAAAGCACCTTGGGACCCATGCAAAAGAAACAATCCACAATGCGAAACGCGAAGATCATAGGCATGCTGTTTATAAACCTAGGACAAAGTATAAGCTCAGGAATCATGTACTCCAAAGGCTTACAAGCTGAGGAACCAAGGAAGTGAAGCTACGGAAAGTTGCACATCGACGTCGTGAAAGTGATCGTGAATCATGGGTAGACATCGTTGTACGAGGGACTCGAAAACTCGCTGGTCCAGGAGGGTGCCATACATCGACGGGCTAGCGTAATTAGCTTCGGAATTGTAACAAGAAATAATCAAACCTGTAGTAGCCTGGTAGTAGCCTATCACATAGCACCTCCAGGAGCCAGAAAGCCTGCTCTTCTGACATATAACTAGATAGATATCAGCGCTATTGTAGTCAGCGAAGATCAGACGTACATTAAAAGGGCCGCTGTTAGAATGTTCATGGCCTGGCAGTAACCGAGCTCTGGGTTCTTCCAGCTGTACGCCGTTAAAACCCTCCGAAGTGTTGCAATACCCTTTTCGTCTTGGTATCCAGAATACTCCGGTAAACTTCGATTCAGATCCTTTTCAATCTCCTCTGTGCTAGTACTGGTTTTGCCGGCATTGTCACGTAAAATCTTCTCGTACACTCCAGGATTGGAGAAGCGAAGGAATATTGAGCCGGAGAGAGTCTCCCATAGTTCTCCACGAAGTCTATTTGGGAGGCCAACTTGCACAAGTCGCGTACAATGAGGATAGCGGAGAAGAGTGAGATTTCGCCCATGAGCTACCGACGTCGATCAGCCACGAGAAACAATGAGCAAGTCAAACTACCTCGTAGGTATGTCGTCCAGAGTTTGAGTTTGGACCCCTCCCGAAGTCTGTGCGCTCAGTCAGACTATGACGAGGTAAGCGCGCGGCATACTTTTTCGCGTCGCCTGGAAACTTGAACGTGAGGCCGAGTCCACCATGATAAGTAGTCTTTGCGAGCGCATTCCCATCGCCACCTTCGGTCATTATACTTCCGTCTTCTCGCTCGTTGTCTGCTTCGGGATTCGAGACGGGGATGAGGACTTCTGAATAGCACGTCTTGACAAACTGCTTGACTTGTTTCATCCGACCGAGATCGAGCTGTATCTTGAGCGCATCTCGAAGGTTTGCACAGAATGCGTCTGCGGTCGATCGAAGCGCGGTTAGCTGAATCTGTTCATCCATTAGTAAATGCATGGTAGAGCTATTATCCGTACATTTAGACGCATCCCATGCCACAGCATGAGACCGAGTTCAAAGACGCCGGCGCGACCATGGTTTACTCTTTCGACGCGTCGAATTGCAGAGAGTGGCATTGTCATCTTGACAGACCGTCTATCCAGCGAGACGAAGCAGAGATACGGCGGCAGTAGATACAGCTTGCCGGCCTGGAATCGACAACACGCAACGAATGATCAGCTGCAGAACTTTCAAGAGAATCTAAGCATACATAACTGTCCTCCTGACCCTCGTTGAGCATCAGTACAGCGTTAATCTCGAACCGATAATCCGTTGGGCCAACATCTTCCGGCGGCGGGTTTGGTGGCAGCGAGAAGAAGAGTCGCTGAGCTTGCTCCTTGGTCGGTTCTTTGAAATTTCTAAGGTGTGTAGAGATGGTGGCCATTCCTCGTCCTGGTGGCTCTCAAGCCTCTGAGTGGCTGTGCGCCAAATACTTAGGTCGGAACAAGGGTAAATCAAACGAGACTGTACAAGGTTTATGCTAAAACTCGAAATCATCATCCCCAGGTTCTTCTACGTCCGAATCTCCAAACATCTCCTCCAGAAAGTTGAGACATCCGGGTCCACACCCGCGATACTGCAGAGGCACCCTCCCGCCAGTGTCGGCTGCACCAATCTTCTTAACCCAGCGATAACGAATCTCCGCTGGTGCTATAAACGTCTTGCGTACGCCAACGCCATGCTCCTTGTTGGGACACACCGAATATCGCAAGTCATACTGAGGATCGTTCTCCTCGGGTCGTTTGCGGGGTGCCAAGGGATCCATCATCAGCGAGGTCTCCAAGTCTCTGGGATTGGAGACAGTGGTGGGCTTGCATGTCGCGGCAAAGTATTTGATGTAGTGAGTCCCTACCGAGTTTGCTGTGCTGGATTCCATTTCGTCCATGACGGTTTTAGAGCTTCCACTGTTAAAGGAGAGCAGAATCCGCACGCAAAGCTCCGCCAACGAAGGGACGAGAAAGTTTGTCTCGAGCAGTGAGAGGATACTCTTCTCTGCGCTCTTCTCCTCGGTGCACTCCAGCCACTTATTCGGGTGGAGGTTAAGAGATTTGAGAGGGAGCTTTTCAATCTCAGATGGGAGGAACTGGAGCTGGTTACCTCCGACCAAGAGCTCAGAAAGGTTTCGTAATGCGCCTATGGCAGGCGGAAGCACCTTGAGGCGGTTGTTTCCTGTAGCAGAAGATGAGATATCGATCAAACAGTCTGAAACACGTACGGAGTGCAAGAACAGTCAGGTTTTCAACTCTGAATAATTCTGATGGGAGCGTGGCGATTTGATTGCCCGATAGATACAGTTGCACGGGGGTCATGCCAGGTTTGGCATTGTTACTTATGCTAATCGCCGTGGTACTGACTCTCTGAATTTGGCGGGTGGGTCCCGGCGAGTTTGTTGGGAGCGAATGGGTCCTGGCGACGGATGGTGAAGGCGGACTGAGCGGCGCGAGTCGCACGATATTAGCTAGACTCGCAACCTCTGGGGAGATAAATGTCAATCCCGAATTGCTGAGCAAGCTGTCAGTGTTGGTTCAAGTTCCGTCCGCGACAACTCACCTCAATTCGACACCAGTCTCGCCCACCTCGTCCACGAGCTGTGAGATCGCAGTACTCCAAATCCTCTCCTCCTTTTCGTACAGAGACTCCCTGACTGGACTTCTAGGTACCACGGATTTGTAGGCAGGAGGGGTGATGTTGCCAAACGCTGGGGGGCTGCTACTCGTTGGGAATATCCCGCTCCCAAAGGGACTGCTTGGGTGTACATAATCCGTCTGTCTCTGTCGTTTTCGGTGGATTGGGCTTGAATTTGGGGAATCTGCTGGACTCCTATTACGACGTTTCTTGGCTCCCAGCGCCTCTGAAGGTGGGATCCACGTTTCTGTTCGCCTTGTAGTAGATATTGCTGCAAACGGGTCCAGCACTCTTGAGGAACATGGGGAAGATGGACCCGACGAAGGGGCGGGTGAGGAAGAAGGGGGTAAGTTGTCCATTGCGTTCTTAGACCACATTCGCCCGCTCTTGATTGAGTTATGGAGATGCTATTCAGGATCCCTAAACTCGTTGGAAAGTTCTGCTTCGAAGGAAGAACCTTGAAACGCAATTCCACCCGCGCCTCATGACCACACAGTTTACAAATGCAAAGCTCTGCGGGCACATTTCGTCAGTTACCCTGCTTGTCGAAAATAATTGTGACCGTTGGGCGTACACAGACTCGTTGCGTGGGTTTCTCAACTTGCTCTCTCCCAATTTCTCGTTGTCTACTCGTCCACCATGGATCCAATCATAGTTATTGAAAATCAACCTCTTACATCACAGCAGTATGATTTACTCGCCCAGATCGAACAAGCTGCTGCGGGATGTGCCGGCAATTCGGATGAGATTAGCCACGTGTTGCTCCAAGAATACAATCTTGCTACAAGAGAGGCTAATAATGCTTGGGAGGCGGCAAAGCCATCAATTAATAGGCTCCCTTCCGAGATCTTGATGCGGATATTTCACGCAGGACGTGGGCTAGTGGGAGAACAACAATTTCATGGGTTCCTTCTCAATGCCATCAATGTGTGCCAGCAATGGATGTCTATACTAGTGGAGAACGCAGTGTTTTGGACTACAGTCATTGTTGATGATAAGATGGAAGACTTGGAGGCAACTATAGCGACAGTCCTTGTGCTATCAAAGAATTTGCCGCTGAATCTGGATTATAAAAGGGGCTCTTACAGTATCAACCTCGTGGCGCCCCTCATCCGCCCACATCTTCATCGTATTCGTCGGCTTATGGTAGCAGAAGGAGAATGCAGATCCAACGAGGATGTCTTCATTCCAAATTGTGTCTTCGTTGCTTTGCAGGATGTCCAAATCAACAGCACAATAATCAACGCGCAAGAGTTCTTATTGATTCAGCCAAAGTTGGCGCAGTATGCGTCTTTAGCTAAAGATACAGGATTGGTCCACCTCATCGTAGATGAAACTCGATTGAAAGACGTAGAACTTTGGTATTTTCATTTGTCTCAGCTCCAGCGGCTCGACAACTTGGAGGGTGTAAAGCGGGTGACTCTTGCCTGGCCTAATGCAGTGTCCTCTGACTGGACGGAAAACAGGACACCGTTAAAATGGAGTTCATTCTCTGCATACGGGATGGAGTGGAAAATCGTCCGGAATATCATTCAGCGGTGTACAAATTACGTTGTCGAACTTGATATGGAGATCAATGTCCACGATACTGAGAAGTTTCTGCGCTCTCTCGAAGCATTGATACGCCTCGAAACACTAAGCGTGTCTCTCATCGAAGCTCGTGGATCCCTCAGACCCTTCAAACAACCCGGTGTTCTCGCTCGTCCTCTTCCGATGCTGCGTACAATTAGGCTCCGGTTGAATACAATGCTTACCCTGGCGGAAGACACCATATCAATCTGCGATGCTTTCATCCGCAGAGGATGTTATATTCATCACCTTTACATAGCAGGGTTTCCCAATTATATGGTCTCTTCTCAGTCACTTAAAGGGCTCGATCACCTTCGTTCTCTCAAATTGAGCGATAGCAAAATCCAAATCGACGATCCCCAGCCTCTGGAATTTCCTCTCCTTGGAACATTAGGGATCGAGTGTCCAATTTCGACTCTGTGGCTCTTCAATAATCCATCAGTGAGACGTCTTCAGTTTTCCATTGACGCCGATGAATGGTCTCCGAGTCATAATTTGCCACTTCTTATCCTCTCTGACGAACAATGGCCTAACCTGAAGAGCCTCAGCATCTCACTACTGACAAGGCGATATGCCATACTCACTGTTCAGCTCAGACTCTCGAACCTCCATGAGCTCATTGCATCAGGAGATGCCCTTGTCGCTGGCATATGTTATAATATGGCCTTGTACCCGGAGAGTTTACCGCTCCTCCAAGATTTACGTCTTTGGACGGCACCGGAATGGGATATCCTATTTATTCTGCTTGAAAGGCGGAACTTTGTGCGACTTCAGGGCGTTCGGCCAATCAAGCGGATTACATTGTATCGGTTGATTCCAGAGCATATGCAGCTAGCGATCTCTATGCTCCTTGGGGGATATATTGTCACACGACCCCCTACCTACGAGTTATCGCGTCAAGCGATATCCAAAATCCTTATAGATCCTAATACGTGAGTAATGTTATCTGACTCTCGCGCAGCTTATGCTTATACTCAGGTAGCCCGGCATGCATCGAGTGTATACTTCACCTCGCTTGCTGTCCTCTGAACCTCGGGAAACAGGTTTTAGAAAGCGCAAAGGAGCTCATAGACACCAGCCACCAGACAGGGTATTATCCTAGCTCTGTGGGCGAGGTATTGGCCACTTGGCCCGAGCGTTACAATCGCTGGATAGAGATTTTTTCAGGAGAATTTGAACGGTATACAAATTGTTGCGCATCTTTTCCTCTGGAGATTACTCCTTACTCCGTCCTGAACTTTGGATCCTTCCTTGGTGGTAATTAGTCCGTTCAAATGTTGTATATCACCTTGTGTTTACAAAGAGCTCGATTGGTCCTTTTAGTGGTTCATATTCCAGTGGTTCTCGCTCACAGCTGATGATGGACACTCATATTTGGTGATTGCCTCCAATTAGTCGCAGAAGGTGCCTCTGTGAGTATGTGGGCGGAAAAGATAGGATCCCCAATGATTTTGGGTTAGAGAACATCTAGTTGAGCTCACCTCGCCTTGTTGCATCGAGACCTTGTATATACAATCAAGACGACATTATTTGTCTTCCTATAATGACTTGAAGGAACTTCCTCATCCAGTCAGAGAATAGGATGGTATTCAGTTTGGTATGATTCCAGTATATTTATCGGGGGCATTGGTTTGCTCCCAATAAAGCGCTCAATTTTCTGATCTGCAGTCGAGCAATGGTACACAGATGTACACATAAACTTCAAGGAATGAGCTTGAATCTGTGCTTGCCATTTCAGATCCAGCAAGGTGGCGATTCTTCTCCTTTCCAACATCGTCCAACGATTTCAACCGATGACCACTACAAATCTATTTATATCAAGATGTGATACACGTGACAGTTCTCTCTTTATCTACCAAAGGATCACGGTATTTTTGCGGCCCGCAGAGGCTTGAAGAATGTGTCATGCTGTAGATCCTGATCCGATCATGTTACTATTTCATAAGTCACGGTGGAATATCACTGACCTTCATCCTCTGATCGCCGACATCACGCCGTCGATATCGGTAGTTGTTGAGATCCAAATGGCTTCCCTCGGGGCCAAGATGTTCTACCCGACATTATGGATGTTATAAATCCCTGTGAGGTTTTAACACCGGCCAGCGCCCTGTCGCATTGCTGTGTCTGCAATCCTCAGAATCAGGTCGACATGGTTCATGTCCCTAGCCTCTCATTCATTACTTCTCTGGCTGCGCTTTTCGGGCTGGTCGATGCTTGCTCAATGACTACGGTCAGCTCGACGACAAATTATGTCCGTGCGACACCGACTACGAAGCCAATTTCGTACACCACTCCTCCTCCTCCGAGCACAACCAGCTGTAGTGGCTACCTGTGGTGAGTTTTTCGCACCGTTCATGACTTTGGCTAAGGAACGATGCAAGTCCAACAGCCTGTGTGCCCACGACGACACGAGTAACCAATTATCTTTGCGACGTCGATTGTCTCGGAAAGTCGACGGTCACTTCAACCATCACAGTCTTTGATCCTCCAGTGACAACTTCCATCCTTTGCGGGCCAAGGTACAAGCGTTTCCTTGCCCATGATGAAGAACCAGTACTTGAGAAGCGCCAGACGTGAGTAAATTTGCATAAAGGTGGTGTGCAAATCGTACTCATAGTCAATCCAGGTGTTCCAGTGGACCATGGTTTACGACCTCCAGCGAACTTCCGTGCACGGCCTGCAGCCAGTATTCGCCTACCACTTCTGTGACAAAACGGATGCCCGTCAGTACAGTCACGCTAATTGCGCCATGCATGACAACGGCAACTTCCACGTCGACCAAGAGACCTACGTCCACCATGTAAGTGATACCAGAGTAGAGACGCGTAGTTGACCCCGTAGATAGCCCTTTGCCAACGGTGTATCCGTGCTTTTGGGTGTGCACAAACTCTGTCACGCGCACGACCTATTATGCCACTGCGACACCTGCACCCGGATGGGATTGGTGTGGACAAGCTTGCCCTGCCGCCAAATGATCCCAAGGCTGTCAACATTTGTCGCTGATTAGTGAAATCAGTCCAAGTCTCAGATTGATAAGTGATCTGGATGATTTCATCTTATACAAGACTGCGTATAACGAATAAGTGACGGCTGTTCGTTCATATAGCTGGAGTCGACCCGAATGCTCGACGTCTATGTCGCTTCTCCTCTATGACGGTGAAATAAGTTGAGGAACCAGGCCGAGTTCGATGGAGAGAGGCTGGCCATCGACCTCTTGGGTGAGGTGAGGGATGGTGTGGACGGGATGGACGACGGAGGTGAATCCGTTGACGCCGCCGAGCTTCCGCTCGACTTTTCACCTGTATCCGGCACTTCGAGAACTCGTCGAAGATCTGCTTCGTTGCTCTCGACCGGTGAAAGGGTGGGCGTGGAAAGAGAAGGAACAGTGACAGTCCGTTCCTCTTGCGAGCTTTGGATCGCCAACTCTGTAATGAGCATCGTGAGCTCTGCCTCCTCCCACTTGACCGCGGGTTCTGCACCGGTCTCTATCACGTCTGCCAGGTTTCTGTATAGCTCCTGATAGGAGCCTCGAATGGAGGGTACCACTTCGCTCCTCACATCGTTTCCCTTGTCGTCGAACGCGGTTTCAAGTGTACCCCACAGTTCTTCTGGTTCGACGCCAAAGTCTTCTCTGTTGAATGCGCGATGCCCGTCATGCTGCATCTGTCCCTCTTGTGCGTCAAATCCATACTTGCTGTAGGTTGCTTTGGAGCCACGAACGATGAAGCGCAGTTGCGGTTTGCGGGCGGAGAGAAGGTGCCCGCGCAATGTCGCCGTCGTGGTATGCAATTTTGACCTGGTGGGTAAATAGTGTAGTATGACCGTAAACTAAGAGGGTTTAGCTTGGCCTTGATAACGAAGCTAGAGGGGACGCACATCATCGTCGACCTTGGGATCACCAGTTCCGCGAATGTTCTTGATGAAGGCGGTCACTTTGTCCGGCCGTCCAAAGCACTTTAGTGCTTGGTCGATCAAGTGCGGTCCAAGACTGTAGAACTGTCCACCGCCAGGGATGGCACTCTCCTTCCAGCTGCCTTTCAAAAAGTTTCGGTAACGATCATAGCTGACGCCAGGTTCAGCTCTCCGCATCCTTTCGAGATATTAAACTCACTGGGACTCGTAGTCTGTAATGTTGCCCAATCGTCCTTGCCGGATGAGCTGTTGGAGGGTGAGGTAGTCCGAGTCCCATCTTCGGTTCTGGAAGGCGTAGAGAACTCGGTTGCGTTGCTTTGCAATTACACCGAGACTCTGTGCCTCGCTGTAGGATACCGTGACTGGTTTGTCGAGTAAGACTGCCGATAACGATCAGCCGCGCTATTCGGCCAAGGCGGATTGCGCACCGTGCTTTCCGGCCTCGAGTGCAGACTGGAGATTATCAATCAGACAAGATCAATAGCTCTAAAAACACTGTACCTTTGCAAAATTATAATGTGTCGCAGTTGGCGTGGCCACCACAATCTGTGCCCCTTCGGTCAGAGGATCTCCACAGAAGTACACATGCTGAATGCACTACGCACCAGATCAACGTCTTCTTTCGTTAATACGTCTTCTAATCTGGCTAAGTACTGTGTTCCTGTCCCAAACTTGTCCGCGAATGTGCCATTTTCGAGCTCGGGAGGAGCGGATGTGTCAACGACGTAGGCCAGGGTGAACAAAGGTTGCAAGCTGAGAATCAGAGGTACATGGAATCCGACGCCTGCGATTCCGAGACCGATTACGGCGGCGCGGATAGGCATAGCTGGGTGGCAAGTTATCAGGCGGTAATATCAAGCTGCCCTGTAGATTTTAAGAGAGGTGCTGCTTGAGCCGGAAGGGATATCGAAGTCGGGTTCAAATAGCAGCGCTGAGCACGTTTGACATCAGAAGTCGCTTACTACTACATCGCCGATGGTGAGACCGCGCCTTACGTCGGGTTACCAAGATGCATCTTTTGGCGCAAGAGTCCGAAATGAGACTGACGTATGATTGGCGCGTCAGCGATCAATGCTCTAGTCTAAATCCAAGATCTTACCGGCTGGAGATTTGCGGCTCTTATCCCAGATAGTAAGTCAGCGAGTTAACATGGCCTTGGGATGGTGGATAACCTTGATCTGGGGATGATAACCGCGTTAATGAGGCTCCTGACTTGAATGCTTGTAAGTCAATCAGTGGCATCAATTTGACTCAATATTCTACCGTGTCCCAAGACTCACGTATGCTTCAAGGCCCAACGTATATTACTCCACCCGAGGTCGGCGCTCAACTTCAAAGTCACTCCGTCCAGCGACGACGCGGAGTTGATATAGTAAACTGCAGTACAGTTTCTTCTGTGAATCTTCATGGGCACTCTCCTACTTGCAAGATCTACAGTACCTGACCGGGATTCATGAATCTGCAGGCTTATAAGCGGAGAAATAATCACTTACCCTTTCGAGTGATCACTGAGATTCCTGAGTTTCGTAACACGTCGTTGTCAGCCCAGTCGGTGTAGCAGAGAAAGACCAGGATTATCTTGACACAACATTGAGGTACCACAACGAGCCATTTACGTATGTAGATTCGAGGACGGGTTCAAGTAACACCTCCAGCTGCGCATACGCACATACCGGACACAACTTGTTATGAGGTCGCCAATGACCGCCACATTCGGACTTATCTTGTAAACTCGAGCATTTAGCTGGTTTTTATAGACATCTCGCCGTGAACTCGTACGCATTTCACATTGTCCAGCTGCTGGCGCGTGATCCAAGATGTGCTCCAGCCGGTGTCCAACACCCTAAAGAATTGAATGGCCATTATCGATATCATACCTAGCCATGGCTAGTTTACAACCCTCGGTACCTCGACAAACACAAAGTCGAATATCTCTTCCTCCATCAGAGCCGCGTACTCGCCTCCAAACTCTGCAGTGTCCGCGCCTCCACTACCACCCTTGGCCTTGGATCCCTTGGAACGTGGAGCGAGATAGGAAAAGTGAGATGAAAGATTTGAGACCAGCTTCTTTGACGCTTTGGCGTCTGGGATGATGGCAAGTCCAACAAAGTCGGCTGGAGGACCATATCGAAGGACACTCTCGACAAAGAGTCGGACAACTTTGAGATGAACAAACGCTTGGAAGGCTTCTGAAAAGTTTGTTCTGGATAGCGTCAAGAGCTCTTTCTGTACAGGTGGTCAACTTGAGCGTCTCGAGAGGACCAGGCGTACCCAGAGTTCCTTTTCGGACACTTCCGACGACGCTAGCTCCTTTTGCTGCTTCTCGAGCGCCTCTTCATCGAATGTAAAGTCGCGCAGGATGTATCTAATGCAATGAGGGATTGCCTCTCGCAAGAAAGGGCACCCACTTGTTTTCTCTCAACTTTTGTGCAAACTCGTCATGCACTCTCTTGAATATTGTCACGGAGTAGAGAGCAAAGTCATCGTCGGCGGCAATCTTCCTGAGGGAACCATTGGCATCTGGATGTCATAGGAGTCTGAATACCTACGATGACGAGCGAGGAACAACCATGGAGGCCAGTCGTTCATACTTTTGCTCCCAATCCTTGGTTTGCATCCTATCGGGGCGAGGCTTCAGAAGGGGAGGAGGCAATTCTGGAAAACTGACTTTGGAACTGCCACTAGCAGTGTCTCAAGATATTCCGAATCGACCACGAAATCATCCCGTTTCACTACGTCGTTGAGTGTCCGGACGGAAAGATTGCCTCTGTGATCCGTCAGGGGTTGTTCATAATGATGCGAGTACTGACGTTCGTTTGCGCTGCATCTGCACAAGTTGTCCCTTGGCGAGATTGTAGCTGTTCAACTTTGCCTTCATGACGCCGTCGATCGAGGTCATCTCCTGATAAGCCGTCAGAGCAGCTCGTTTGTACGTATCTGCTAGCTCGCCTTGTTCAAAGTATCCACAATGTCCTTGAGACTTCGATTGATGCCGTATTTGCCAGTGTTCCATCGCCACCCTTTCAAGATGTAATCGTCGCATAGTTGTTCGTTGACGAGAGTGTGCTGCTCCAAACGCGTAGGATCATTGTTCAATAGATTTCTCAACGTCTCTACAATCTTTGCCACCGCAGAAGTGAAGAATCCGTCAATCTTTGGCAGTTCCTCTGAGATGGTCAAGAGATCGTCCAGAGTTCCTGCCTTTGAGAAGCCCAGAGCGTATACATTTCGAGGATTGGATCACATATAGACGCGCTTCGTCAGACAAAACTGGCCAAGGAGAACAGAGCACAGACCTTGAGCTGCGGCACGGCCAAGTCGCTAATGCTTGTACGTGGGAGTGCACGCGCGTACTCGAGTTTCTGTCTCAAATTGGGCAACAAGTTTTCCGCATCACCATCATTTGGCACAGCGATGAGCCAGACGCTGAGATCGGACGGCATCCTTTAAGTGGGTGTATGGCGCGACGGGCAAATCCCAACAACCAAATTGCTTTAGCTCTCCCGAATTCACCGAGTCGAACTATACAGCTCTAGACGGATCGCCAGCCAAAAACTCGCCGTCGTCGCGGTGCTCAAGTTGCTTGGACCGCACGTCGCCACCGTCATTGACTGCGTGGCCCGAATGCGACTCTTAACGTGTTCTAGAATCGGATCATCAACACTATCGTCTCCTACATTTGGAAATTTGCGTCGTGCGGCCATGTCGAGCGTGGCAAATACCCGCAGGTCATTGCTCCTGACGCCCAACGAGGCCCATACGCTCCCGAAAGCGTCTACAAAGTTTCTGGATGCGACGTGGTTTATGCCTAACTCGCCTCGGAATGCCAAACAAGAGTTTGTCAAGCGGCATATTCCTGGCGCGCAATTCTTCGACTTGGATGAGGTTGCGTCGCCAAACGAGCTCGGGTTGAAGCATATGATGCCCTCTCCTCAGCAGTTCAAAGAGGCTTGCGGTGCGTGATTTCCTGCCATGTGGATGATGATAGCATCAGAATTTGCCTCTTTGTCGTTTTGCAACTATCACAAGCGTCGACTAATTTGAGTTTGTCAGACAACTTTGGTATTTCACGTGAAGATGCGGTCGTTCTGTGAGTTGCCTTTATTGCTGATACACCGTGATTACTTACCAGAGGTAGTTACGACACACACGGGATATTTAGCTCGCCTCGAGCTCTATTCACCTTCAAGGTACGCGGCTTTGCCTAGGCCCTCCCCTTGCACTTGGCTTTTCGACGCCTACCCCGCGTCTGTTTTCTCCAACTCTATATGGGCCGGAAAATTCGCTCCTCCGATGATTCTCATTGATCGATCTAGTCGTTTGGTCACCCCAATGCATTTGTTCTCAACGGCGGTCTACCAGCCTGGCTCGACCAGGGGTTGAGTGTCGAAGATGGCAGCGGACATGCCTCGACGACAACGATCAAGGGAGCGTATCCCATACCAAAGCTGGATCAGGGAATCATTCGATGTATGTTGTTTTCTCTCGCCCTCGGTCCCTTACCCCTATGTTGATGTGTGAACACTCTTTCCCAAAGCGTACGAGGAGATGATAGGAAACGCCGAGCGCAGTTGCCCGACGCTGAACTTGTGCTAGACGCTCGACCTACTGCAAGGTACGAACCGATACAGATGTTCGCTTCTTGTCCACTCGCTCGCCCCAGCCCGTGGTTCCCAACCTTGCTCATGCCTGCCCATGATCCCCGCACTATGTGCACACGCTCCCCATGTCGAATTTGTGCATATTTGCACGCTCTGTACGCCAAGCGAGTCCGCTGCTGATGGCCTTCTCACACTGCGTCAAACAAACCCCGCGCCACCCCCTTGGACGCCAAACCATGACTTCTGACCGGTAATTTCACAGATTTACGGGAGCCGCGCCCGAGCCGCGCGCTGGCTTATCATCTGGTCATATGCCCAATAGTGTTTCGATACCGTTTAACGCGCTACTGGCTACGCATAGTGTACGTATTAAACGTCAAATTCAAGGCGCGATGGGAGATGACGAGCGGTTGATAGGGGTCCAATGAGGGGCAGGCGACATATACGACACTATTGCCGGCGGACGAGCTCAGGGCAAAGCTGGTCGAACTGCTATCTACACCATCGAACTGGGCACGTGGTGGTGGCGTAAAGGGATCCGAGTCCGGGGCGGACGGAGAAGCCATCCTAGGTCGCATCTTGCGCGGGGAGCAGCCTGCAGTAGCGAGCTGTGGCAGTGGGATGACTGCGTGTGTAATTTGGCTCGCGTTGCAGGAATTAACGGGCGGTGCGCAGGCGATTGCGCTGTACGATGAGGTGAGTGTCTCTCACGGTAGAGGACCCCGGCAGACCCACTGCTATTTTTCCCTTGGGGTTAAACGTCTTTTAGCGGCTATTGGCCGGCTGTGGTTGGCTCGAGCTATCATCGCCTCATCCTAGATTGGATAGCAGATTGTCTTTGACCCGTTAGATCGGAGATTGTGGACAACCTCGGAGGTGAAGTCCTTTGCACGCGGACGAGCGATTCGAGCGATTCGAACCATTCGACCCTGTATAGCCTCTGGGCGCGGTGGGATCAGCGCCTTTAGATTCTGCACTGCTGACGAGTTGTTTGTCCCTAGTCGTGGACGGGATATGCGATGCGTTCTACGAGTCGTATCCTGAAGAGTGTTGACGAGACCTAAGCCCAAGCTGTCGCCCAAGCCAGGGACCGAGGAGTGGGAGGTGTGTCTGTCCAGCAAGGGCGCCATAAGCGCAGATTTGGTATTGCAAATTCACATCAGCTTTCTTTTTGAATTTTGAATGGGTATTTAGTTAATGCGGGCCTAACCCCCCGCATATATAACTGAGCCCATGACCATTACTTCGCCCACTTCTTAGAGTCGCCCCACCTGCCCGTTCCATCCATTCGACCCGCCGTCGTCTGCGCCTCTGCGTCGTCGTCGTAATTCTCGTCGTCTGCACTCGACATTTGCCGACGACGCTGCTGATTACATAACATCATGGCTTCTACTGTTCCCTCGTTGCCACTCAGCGGCGGCAAGCACGCAGCCGTCATTGTACGTCCTTTTTACAATGCCTAGATGTGTAGAAAAGAGTTAACCAATGCACGATTGCAGATGACTGGTGTTATTGGTACTATTTCGACACTTTCAGTCGCACTCCTCCTTCTCCATCTCTTCTCCGTCTCTTTCGTTTCCAACCGCGTCAATGCCAACAAGGATGAGCGAATCTTTTTGCGCATGCATCTCGGGTATGTCCAGGCGGAGTTTCCTTTCCCGGCCCATCCCTCCCGCCGCCTTCGCCTTTGGCCGATTTCTCCCTGTTCTGACACATCCCTTTAGTGCCTTTGTCGTCTGTCTCTTACTCTCCGACTTTGTTCAGGGAATCTCCGGCATGTTTCAGCTCGTATGGGCCAGCCACCGAGCCGTCACGATGAACAAGCTCTGCACAGCTCAGGCATCAATGCTCCTCTTTGGTGACACGGGTACCGCGTTTTGGAACGCCGTAGTCGCCATTCATACGTTCTGGACCGTCGTGCTCGGTGCGTGACTCTATAGCGTCAGCCACTATGATATCTAATTTCCCACAATCGTGTCTGGTGCAGGCAAGCGCATGTCGACTGTCGCAGTCGCCCTGATCATTGCTACCGGATGGACATTTTGTCTCATACTCAGTAAGTCTTCATCCCTGAGCCTCAGGCGCGCACCCCCATATTCACGCGCATCTCCCATCCAGCCGTCATTGGTCCGCTTGCAATCCAAACGCCTGAGCGCGGGCCGTTCTTTACAATTGCTGGAGCGTGGTCAGTATAAATCACATTCGCGCATCGGAGTTCGTAACTGAGATATTTGCAGGTGCTTCATCCAGAATGAATACTCTAAAGAACGAATCTACCTACATTACGTTCCAAGTGAGTTTGGAATCCTTCTGTATACCAGAAACATCGGCTGACCCCGATACAAAAGTGTTCATCTCTGCCTTTATCATCACCGTCCTCTATCTTCTAGTCGCCCTCGTCCTCTTCGGCATATTAATCGTTGATGGCACTAAATGGCGCTTTCGAGCACCCCCACGCCGCAAAGGCAACGGCATCCGCGACTTTTTCGGCCAATTTTCTTGGGGCCGCCTGGGCCTGCGACCAAGTGCGAATACCAATACACTCTCGCATTCAGTTTCCTCGGGAGGCACACGATCCTTGGGCGTGCCGGGAGTAGGAACGGGCCGTGGCACAAACTCGATCCGACTTGCCAGCGTCCCCCACCGCTCGACAAACGACCTCCACGATCCAATCTCCTCTGTCAATGGCGTCGCTGTTCAGAGCATTGACCTCACGAGTGCGCGTCCTGCGACTGGATCGACTGCGCATACGCGCGACGACTCGATGGACCATGAACGTGGCAGACCGAGCACGGCAAAGAAGATTAGCCTCCAGCAAACCGACAAGCGGGAACAAAAACAGCAAGCCGCACAAGCGGCAACTCAAATGTCTGTGGGGCCCAATCAACCCAACGGCCGGAGTCTGCAGCTCAAGACGTTGGCCATCAAAATGTTATGGTATCCTGTCGTGTACCTCATTCTCATCCTCCCCATTGCCATTTCGCGTGTCGATTCGAGAGTCAAAGTCTCGCTTGACGTTATGCTCGGCTTTTTGTGTCTGCTCTGGCTGATGGGCACGGCTAACACGATCATTTACGTCTGCACACGCCGTTTGGGTCCGACTCCGTGGGCGAGGAGGAACACCATGTCGTTTTCGCGCACCAGGAGCAAGTCCGGCGGCGTCGGCGGTGGACGCGTCGAGCGATTCGATGCGACTGGGACCTCACGCAGTGTCGCTCCCGTTCAGATCCTCGTCAACCAGTATACGCATCATGCCACGGATGAGCAGCTCGTCAATATTACGCGCGAAAAGGCGACTTCGTCCATTGGGAGTGCGTACACGGGACCGGATGTCCCTATCGTAGCCATGACGAAGAACGCGAGTGCCTTTGGTGGACGGGAGAGGATTCCTTCGGATAGCAAAGTTGGCTTTGACTTGGAGGATAATCGACAGAGCACACCCTACCACCTCCCGCGTACGTCTATCTATGGACGTCCACAGCCTGTCCCGAGCGTAGTACCGCAACAACAACAACAACAACAACAACAACAGCAGCAGCAGCAGTCAACAATAGAGACTAGATCACCACCACGACCATTACCTCCACTCCCTACATCACCACCAGCCACCACGGAAATCCGCTTTGAAGAACCGCACCCATACTCTCGCGCACAGTCGCCCTCTCATCTCAACCGCAGCCTCTCTCACTCGAACGCGCAGACGCAGTCAAGGAGACACGAGGTCGCTGGATCGTATTACCTCGACGACGACCAAGACAGCCTCTACGCACCCTCGCAGCTCCGCCGATACTCGTCGACTGGTCCGCGCGCGTATTGATCGCCACCCTTTCCCCCCGCCGACTCGTACTTATTCTCTAAATCGACTCGTAATCTGAGATTGTAAAAGAATCATTTGCCAACCACCCTCGCCCACGCACCCACCCACGCATTCAATGGGAATTATTCGACCACACGCTCGGATATTCCATCTCACACCATACCAACTACCATCATTTGTCCTAGAAAAATGTGTAGTTTTTTGACGTCTTGTTGTGCCTTCATCCTGGTCGTATAGCACCCATTCGTGTATCACCACCTAGGTCAATTATCAGGGAAATGCCTAGAACTCGTTCTGATCTTAGAGACTTCGAGAGTATATCTATTGCATGGCTGCCGACCCGAGGACTTTGCAGCATAAAATTGCCTACTATCATATCGCATAAAGCATTCTTCCAAACGTCCTCGTGATGGAAACCTACCGGTAGCCGTACTTGGCTGCTCGTTCTTCTGCAAGGCCCAAGGCACGACGTCCTCGACGAACCTTTGCACCACTCTTCTGGCCTGCATCGTGACTCCGAAGAGGGTAAACTGGTGCGAGATTACTCCGTGTACCTCCTCGAGCTTCGGTTCATTCCGTCAAGCCTTCAACCTTTTCCCTCCGTTACGACTCCTCCGCCGGAGGGTCGTGTTATGCCAGGTTGTCGTGGCATGATCACGTCTCCGTGTAGACACTCCCGCTCCAGTCAGTCGCATCCGCTCACTTGGCATGTAGCTCGTGTAACATGGAATAATGTCCCGGGTTATGTGCGTCGTTTGTCGTGTCTAAACCTGGGTTGGTCCTCGCCTCGTGCAAGGACAACCACATGGGTAACTAATGAAGCGCTCGGCACGTCAATTCCAAGACAGGAAAAAGTGCGATGTCTTACCAGCGTTGCCGAAGGCGTCGATCTTTGTCCCTGCTGGGCTCTCCTTGTTACCGATCTGAAATATTGCCGATTCGTTCGCATCGGGGTAAAATAATATCTTCTCAGGATGAGAGAGGTGCGATCGTCGTAGTATCCCGCCGTTATTCTTGCCTCGCCTTGCTTGCTGGGAAAGAGTATGCAGGAAGCCTTCGCTTCTTGGCTTCTCTTGCTATCCGGCCCTACTCTATTTCTGTCGAGAAGGCCTCGACTCGATAGTTATCCCTATAATTAACCAGGTTGTCGAGGACGATGCCGAAGATGTCTATACCGAGGATGTACGGGTCGGCGGCGTAAATAGGTTCAATGGCTGCGGAGCGAAATGCAGATGCCGGTTACTTCATGGCGAAGGTAATTATGGGTGGAGTTAGGCCCGTTCATGAGTATGCTGTGGGATCAAGATCCTACGCATCGAGGTGCTCTCCTATTGCTCAGTTGGGAGCGCATCGATTTGGGTGCGCAGTATGCAATAGTTGGTCAACCTCTCTTGAATGCGCTTTGCTTATGGGTGGGAAGCCGGGAGGTGCAGGCAGTTGGGGTCCACGTTCGATAAAATCCGATAAAAGGATATTATTTACTTACCTCTTTTTACTCTTGCGACCTTGTGCGATCTTGGTGCGATACTGTGTCAGATGGCCCCTGGAGGGAAACAGTGACAGGGAAGGCGATCTTGTACTTATAGAATTTTATTTGTCTGAGTATCGACAGAGATTCCTCGCGGCACCCTTTGAGAAACGCAGTGGCCGAAGCTCGAGCTCAGCCAGACCAATTGAACAATTCGTCAAATAGACCGATCAATATATGGACAACGTTGGTATGTTTGCCTCAACTTTGAGAACAACTCCGCACCACTAGAAAGCCCAGCAAAGGGGATGGTGGCAAGTCGATCTCACCCGTGTATAGGAGTCGTCATAGGCATACTCTGGAATCAGACCTTGTTTGGAGCGGCCTCTATATTTCGACAAGGGTCTGACTTGAAGAGCTGCAGATGTACTCCCCCACGCCATCATCCCGCCTCGACCGCAAACTCACTCGAAAGTCTTGACCTAGTCACTGCACGCACATCCGCTACTGACCGCTCGTATACACCACCAACCTGCCTCGACAATATCTTCATCTTGGTCTCCCCATACTACCGATGTGTATCACCTCTCGATCCATAAACCACAGCCTTCCAGTGTCTGCTCTATCTCCTAAGAATTAGAAAGCTTAAGAGATTATTTTAAGACAACTTCTATAGCCTGGTCATATCATAGCACATAAACATTGTTCCACGTGCTCTTGAAAAGTGGTTCCACTACCAGAGACTCCGTGGCGACTAGTGACACATCCAGATGCGCACGATGCCAATCGACAGAGATTTGTCCGTCATGATTCCCGATCAAATATCTTCAGTATGTAGGTGGGTTGCCTCGTTCCAGAGATAACTGGCATCCTGGTCCCATATTTCCAGTGCGAGTTGAAAACGACTAGGACGTAAACACCCGCCCCCCTTTGTCCAGTTCTGGCGGAGCTACTGTCCTCGCGGTTGTTCTCATCCAATCACTTGGAAATGAGTGGACTGGAATCTTTCAAGACTCTTCGCGTACACCCATGCTGCCCGTGCTTGGAGGGTCCTATCGCGGGTCTAGAATCAACAATCAAGTCGTTGAAGATCTGTCACGAGCGATTCAATGAAAGATGCTTGACGTATGGGTAGGTGGCGTGAACAGGCTCAGCGGCTGTGGAGCTAGATGCACACGTTGGCCGCCAAATGGTGAGGATAATTGTGGATGAAGCCACGGCTTCCATCTCTATTTATTTTCATGAACATAGTATTCGAGACGGTCAAAGTCACACGTACCGAGGGGCTCTCCTGTTGTTCATTTGGGAGCGCATCAATCTGCGCGCGCAACGTCGCCGCCGAGATCGAGTCTCGGGATTGATCGACCACACCACTCCCTAGACTGTTCTTTGATGCGTTTCGCTTATGCGCGAGGATTGCCGCACGCCGAGAGGTGCAAGTACTTGGTGGGTCCGTGTTCAATGAGCCTCGACGAGATTTTGGCTGTGATGAAGTTATCAGCAGCAATTCACCCCTTGCTCCGCGATCTGCTAACCTTTTGTATACTCTAAGCGTCGGAATAAGAGGGAGCTTCAATTGTATATGTGGCTGGCGTACCTTCTTTTCTGATATATTGGCAGCGGGAAGTAGACTGGGTATGTCTGCGACCTTCATATGCAAGGGTTTCAGCTCCTGTTCTTCGTGTAATATCGTGGCAAATGTATTATGCTCGAGGAGGAGGGCAGTGGGTAGGACAACTTCCATGGATTCTTGTCTGCCATAGACTGGAGAGTGCTTGGAAGGTGTCAGTGGTTGCTTTTTTAGTACCTTGAAGAACGCACCTCGCCAAAACTCAAGCCCAAACCCAGGCCAACAGGTGAGGTACTGAGAGTGTTGTCTACGAGTCCAGCGAGAACAAAGTTCGATCCCTCCGCAACCGGTGTTTTGTTAAAGTTGGTTTGCAACGTAAGCTTTGGTGTTTTCGGCGGTGAGCTTTCCGTGGATGAAGTCCGACTCGCGAGTGTAGGCGTCTTCTGCTGTGAACGAGTGGTACAAGTCGACTGTGTAGATTGCCGTCTCGTTGGTTTGGGAGATTTGACCACTTGTTGAGGTGCAGAAGTCGGTGCCTTTGGTGTCGGCGGGTCTCGTCCATTGGAGTTAGCGATCCCACGGTGCTCAATGGCCTTCGTTTCGGTGTTTCGGTTCTGAGTTGCTGGATATGCTGCGTTGGGCTCGAGTTCTCCTCCTCCTCTTCTTCTTCTTCACCTGCGTACTCGGTTCCTTCCTCGTCATCCTCCGCTCCTTCTTCCTCATCATGAGGCTCGACGATGAATGTCTTGTTATACTTGGGTGTTGCAGGTTCTGGCGTCGTCGCGCGAGGAGTTGGAGCGCTGCTCTGCTCTCCATCATGCATAGACAGGTCAGATACTGACCAGTTGTCCTTCATGACGACAGAGAATCGATTGTACTCGACAGGGGGTTCTGGTATCTCCACTGATTGAGGTTCTTGTGCCGTGACCGTTATGGAATGTTGGATTGGTGCGTGCCAGCCATTCCATACAGAATCGACGTTCATCGCATCTTGGCTCTGCTCGACATAATAAGTACCGCTATGAATAGGAGAAGACGTGAAGCGGTCAGCCTACCTTTCGTTTTGTACGAATGCCAACGCCGGAAGATGCGCCTACCGCACCGGCGATCGCATTGCGCAGACGCCTCTTTACACGTTGGGTGACTTCGGTAAACACGGCGATGCGTTCAAGCGCGGAGATGCTCTTGCCACGCTTATGCTTTGGCGCTTGAGGAGGGAGGGCGTACGGATCGTCGGGGACGATGAACTGGTTGACAGGACCTGGGTCGTATCGTGGCATCACTGCTTGTCGGTTGGAATATATAATTGCTCGATACTAAGCGCTCTGAAGAGAGAGTGGATGCGTAGGTTCGGTTGGATATTTGTCTTCGAGGGGGGGGAGAGGGCGAGAAACAGGCGTTTCGTTGGTTGGCCGAGTGAGTTTTGTAGTGCGGCCTAAAGCCAATGTTGGAACCTAGCCGTGACCGCGAGCGAGTGATCAATCGGAAGGATGGTCAGCCCCCTCTGCGGCGACTCCGCGTTGCAAACACGCGGTGGGTGGACACAACCGTATGCGGGCTTGAAGCTCACTTGAACCATAAGACCATGTCCTATTGAAATGCTTCTTTTGTTCCCTGATTGCCATAATCACTCACGCGAGGGATTCATGTAGCCGACTGAGCGGTGGAGAGTAAGGGAGCCGGGCACTGCTCCGGTGGAGACGTGACGGCACTCTAGTGGATCAACAATTCTGTAGCGATAGCGTTATTCCGTGGTTCCATCGTGCTCTAGGTCTCAGCCAGTTGAGGTCGCCAGACAGTTAAGGACTTCACCAATGCCATATGAATAGCTTCCACTTTAGGTTCATTTTGACTTTTCCCTTTAGAACTTGTATCCAGGCCCAGCGAGCCGAAGCTTTCTCTTACGCCCACAATCCGTTCTTGTCAACGCTTGTCTGCACAGTAGTCGTAGCATTTGAACCATCGGGGTGCTGATTACTAGCGCAGGCGTCTTTGACGTTGACAAAAGGGCGACTCGCAACTGATCAGCCCACGACGCTCGCAGCCAAAACCAGACGAGGCTCAGATCGAACACTGACTGTCACTTGGGCAGTGGTATTCACATCCGGCATCTTTATAATGCGTTGTATTGCTAATGAAAGTGTCACGATTAATCATACCTGCCTATGGCATTCTGCGACTTTGCAGAATCCGATTTTGTACGAAGAGTTGACCTATTGCGTATTCATTTATTGATTGAGATGTCGAATTCGATTATTTAGCCCGACTCGCGCTGAACGTGGGCCAGTCGACTTTGTGGTAGGGGCCAAGCATCATCGAGAATTTCCACGTCGCGACGAAGCACAACCAGTTAAAATTGGGATTCAATGTGCAGTATATGATGCCATATAATTGCCAGGTCCAACAAGGCGAAAGCACCTCTACTTGCCAGTTTGGATAAGCGAGCCACTAACCTATCCTCGAGGACGGCCACTGCAATTCGCGTAAACAAACTTTCTTGGTTCTTTGATCACCCTTTCCAACCGTCAGGGAGTAAATATTGGCAGAATCTACTGACCTCGCCCTGGTCATAAGACCGCTTCAAACCTTTGCTACTTGATGTAGAGGTTGTATATGGGGTACTCTACTCATTATCATGTTTTCGTCACTTGACATCCTTTGGTAGATCAAGGAATCCATCGCTGTTATGCTCCATAAGAAAGTTGAGGATCAGTCGCTGGAATACTTTGCAAAGGTACTCGGGGTCGTCTCGCCTGATCGAGAGGTTTTTATTATGCCAGGCGACGTTCATGTCCAACTTTGGACCGACTTGCCACCTCTATTTTCGCTCACTTCCGGATATGCAGTCGCTCAGATACAGTATATTTGAAACAAATAGACGCTTTTTACAGTGTTGACGATGAGAATGGCGTCGTCGAACGGCTTCGTCAGGTATCTCCATTGCGTCTGGTCAGACCTGGACGAAATCGCATCCCATTAGAGCCTGAAATGTAACAAAAGTCAAATATTCGCTCGATTAACACTGATTGTGCATCCCTAGACAAATTTTATGTGGTCACGAGAAGAAGACGCAAAGACCAGTCGTCCCGAAATTAGTCGAGAATATCATAAGCCATGTGGGTTCTGTTCCCTCCATTTCGTCATAGGCTGCCGGTCGCCACTGCCGGCGGTCCAAAAACTTTGTCACCACTTACGCCCACCCTTTGTAACCTCGAATGGAACCGATTCGCACAGCGGTAGTCGGCGCTGGATTAGCAGCGACAGTCTTCCATGTCCCACTCGTCCTCAGTCTCCCTCTTCTTTTCAACCTCTTCGCCGTAGTCGAGCGAACACCACCCGCCCAGGCGCCAGAGGGGACCATTGCGAAGAAGTTTGGAGTCAAACCCAAACTGTATACCAGATTAGAAGACTTGTTGGACGATCCAGAAGTCGAATTGGTACACTATCAACCCCATCAGTCGAACCACCTCTGACAGTGTCCAAATAGGTCATCGTCGCAACTCCCAATTCTACCCATTTTGAATTCTCCAAGGTATTTGACCCCTTCTTGCATACATAGGTCTCACGATGAACTAGAAAGCGTTAGAGGCCGGAAAGCATGGTGAGCCGAGATCGCGATGAGTGGAGGGGACTGACGCACCCCTCAACAGTCCTCGTGGACAAGCCCGTGACGACGACCTACAGCGAGGCCCAAGAACTCGGAAAGCTCGCCAAGAGCAAGGGTCGTGTCCTTTACGCATTCCAGAATAGACGATGGGACTCTGACTATCTCACCTTGCGGGAAGTCCTCGATGCCAAATCGCTCGGAGACATTACAGACTTTGAGTCCCAGTATGTTTTGCTTCATGAGATGACTTTTATGCCAGAATATCGCTCACTCTCTCATAGCTACGACCGATACCGCAACTTTTTAAAAGGATCCTGGAAAGAGTCGGCCAAAGCTGGCAGCGGTCTGATATACGATTTGGGTACGCACTTGATCGACCAAGCTCTGCACACATTCGGAAGACCAGCAAAGCTGACCGCGTTTCTACAAAACCTACGCGGAATCGGCGAGGACGAGGTCGATGACAATGTACGTCTCTCTCTCGTCCTATTACGGTCCTTATCTCACGTTTGACTGTTTCTATAGTTTACCATCATCTTACATTACCCGCGAACGGACCAAAATCCGTACCTCTTGACGGTCACGCTCCGCGCCCACCCGCTCTCGCAGAGAACACCGCAGCTACGCTACGTCGTACGCGGGTCCAAGGGTACCTTTGTCAAATTTGGACTCGACGTGCAAGAGGAGCAGATGAAAGAGCGCGGCGTCGAGGCGTTTGGCAAAGACTGGTTCGGGCGTGAATCAGAGGAGATTCACGCCGAGCTCGAGACTGTACAGCAAGAAGGCGACAAGGCGCTTAGCAAGAAAAGGATAGTCAGCAAAAAAGGAAATTATCAAGCGCTCTATGAAAACCTGGCGGGTGCGATCCGCAAGGGGGACGCGCTGAGTGTTCAATGGAGCGAAGCTGAGACGGTGATGCTAATCGTCGAATTGGCTATCAAGAGTTCAAAGAAGAGAGAACGGTGGAAGTTCCAAACAGTTAGCTTAGCCTTGAATGTTTAATTGAACAAATTGACATTGCAATTGATGTGATTGTCCAGAGTGTGAAGTGTCCAAAGAAGAGGGAAATCTTTGCTTCTGTGGCTATTGATCCTTCCAGAAGTCTGTTGTTCGTTCGGTCTAGGTGCACGCTTGCGCGCAGAAGTCCCAACCGGCGGTGGTGATCGAAGCCGAGTTATAAATGGTGGTGCGTGTAGTCGAGTTGGTACACAACCAGAAGCAGTACATACTCCATGTTGGCACACTATACAAAACATTGAGTCAGGTACCGTCTGATGGATTCGAGGTTTCGGGGAATGGGGAATCGAGGGAAAAGGGTGATTGCGCGTGCTTACCTGGTGGGTGGCGGCGTGCTTGTGCTTGTCCGAGACGGCGTGGAGCTACTCGGAGGACACGTTGCATAGACTGTATTCGTACTGACGACAGAGGTCGTAACGACTGTGGTGTGCGGGTAGACCTTGCAGGCCGGGCATGGCAAGGTAGTTGCTGAAGTTGACGTCGGACCGGGGGGACAACTACCACGTTGAATCATATCATTCAGCAAATCATTGCCCAACGGAGCGAGGTGCGATAACTCACGTCCATCGCTTTTCCAGTTCTGGCTCATCCTCCACATACAGTGCCCTTTTTAGATACTTGACACCGCAAGGTACCGTGGCAGTGATAGGCGGTGGCCGAGTCGTAAACGTCGAGGTGGTGGTTGACTTGCCGAGGCATCTCTCGTCGCAGATGGAGTAAACGACTTTGGTTGTGGCCGGAAGACAGCTTGTACTTGCGCCACTGACAATTTTTAGTATCCAAGCATGTCAAAGAAATGGTCTACTTACCAGCTCCATCCGACGCAGGCCGAGGTTGTGCGTGAAAGGGAGGTGGGCGTGGGCGTCGCTGTTGCTGTTGGTGTCCCTGCGACCGTTGTTCTAGTAGACGCTACCGTGACGTACGAATACGCATTCGCCGTCGAAGCGGCCACCGCAAGCCCAGCGAAGAAGTTGTAAAGGAGCATCGTCGACGAGCCGGCGACCCTCCCCAATCACGAGAACCTATATATATCTATGCCAAGAATCCGATATATGCCAAAAGATCCGAGAGATTGATGGGTAATCCAACGGCGGGGGAAGAGATACATTGCGGCAGGATGTCGGCACTGTTCGAGGGGTAAATTTTCTATTGGTATAGAAGAATCTTGGTTGACTGTCCAGTAGTATGCCACGGTGGATGTCTATTCGAGTTGAAGACGGATGACGTGAATTCCAGGGGGGGTCAGAGGGTCCTTAGTCTGGACCACGGTTGATCCAGTCCTTCAGGGACGTATATTATCAGTAGTGATCCTGACAGATGGCAGCATTGACATTTACAGCCGGCAACATTGAGCTAAGGAAGTTGCACCCAGTCCAGTCGTCCGAAGAATCCTCGTGTAATCTTGGAATGAATAAAGTGTCACGTTTTATCTGATTTCGCATATGGTCGGGTAAAACGGATGAGGTCAGGGTCAAGCTTTGAGGACGTCGAAAGATTGAAAGCGAATCGGTCACGGGTATCAAATCTCATGTCGACGTACTAGGTAATTGTACAACTAGAAGATTATTCTCCTCACTGTCGTATCAAGCACACACTTGGAAACATGAATCCCACCCGCTCGTATCTACAGTGGCAGAGTGATTGATAATGGTTCCTGTAGAGGTGTTGGTGCATGTCCAATAGCAATATAAATACCGGGTGGGTAACGTCGTCCTGTCTGGTGTCAATATTTACCAAACTCGCTAAACTGTCATACACACCCAGTATAAGTTGGCGAGGCTGTGATTGTTCCGGAGCTTGTTGATATCGTGGGCTGTTGCGTAGACATACAGGACGTCTCGAGCACCGTGCTCGTGGTGACTACCGACCGGGTTACGACGGTTGAATGGGGATATTTATGGCATTTCTTGCATGGTAAATGGCAGTCTTTGACGATGGTTGGGCCGGGAGCGCATCTGTTGGAGAGTTATGGATTGAAAAAGCACGAGCGAAAGAGGACATACGAAGAGCGCTTGTCCAGCATAGCGTCATCGCCAAAGAGGTAATCTCTGGGGTGATACTTGGCACCACATACGACCGTACTTGTAGCAACCGGCACGTAGCTGGTGAATGTCGAAGTCGACGTCCACCTCGCCAGACAGTGGTCCTCGCAGACGAAATAGCTGACCATCACGGTGGAGGATACACATCCCGTAGACTCGCTGCTATGACGTTAGTATTGCTACTGGGCGCAATGAATAGACCACGCACCACACGCCTGCTACGCATGTTGCAGTTGTGCGCGACGTCGGCGTTGGCGTGGGTCTCTGAGTTGTCGCTGGAGTGGCATACGTGTAGATTGTAGTCGAGGAGACGGTGACCGAGCATGCCAGAGTGGCGAGCGGTTTGAAGAGGAGGAGCGACAGGAGCAACCCAACCGTGAACATGCTTAAACGATGTCGAGCTCCAAGTGACGATGCTTGTTTTCATCCCGAGTTGCAATGGTCTATCTGGGCTGATTACAGTGGCCGCCTCCAACCGCAATGTGGCCGCAAGTGAGCTAAGACAACGTGGGTTTAATGATCTGTATATGGTATAGTTTATAGTGATTAGGCCAAAGGCAAGCTTTGTCCTGGGTTGACCCTTTGCTCCTCGCAGCATCTTGATTCCTACCTCTAGGTTGACAATAGATCATACGAGATAATGGATTTGATGGCGATTTAAGCGCAGTACTGCTGAATCTGAAGGGGTGAATGGCAGGAGCTGTGGCAACAACGAGGGCGGCTCCAATATCGGATGGTATAGACCCTTTTGAACGAGTTGATGCGCAAAATGAAGTGGATAGATTATCTCTCATTTATGCCGTCGATGGTTGCGGGCAGCACAGCGTGAGAACCTTCTTCTCACCCGTAACCTCTGACTGCTTGCGACGAGCACAGCAGACCAGAGATTTTGCAGACAGCGAGCAAACAGCAAACACCTTGACTCTCCTCCACACCGTCCTTTGCACCAGAATGGATCCTGATGGCCACAGCGAGCGTCCATATCCAACTTTATCTTCAACAACGAGTGTAAAACCATCTACAAATGGCCATTCAGCTCTTCCAGGCGATTACACTGCGCCCCCGCGCTCGTCTGCCCATCGCACCTCTGACTCGCGCGATTTTGGCCACTTGCTAGATGCAATCAACATTGGAGCTTCTTCTCCAGACCGTTCGCGCTCGTCGCATTCGAGAAGCGACAGCAGCACTTGGGTGAACCAGGTTAGCCTCCCTTTCTCTGCAAATGTTGACCCAACCAACGTGATTCCTAACTGTAGAACCAAAATAACGCACATCAGCAACGTGTACAGAAGCGCAAGCGTACAGACTCGGATATCGGAACGACCGCGGTGCCAAAAATTCGACGGGTCATTCAGGACAATGTCCTCCAGCGCAACGTCGCCGCTCAGAACATGACGACCATTGTTACCTATCATGCCGCTGCTGCCCAAAAGTCGTATGGACAGGAGAAACGGTTCCTTTGTCCACCGCCGCTCGTCCGCGTTTCGGGCCCGCTTAGCGCGCATTTACGCCACCAGCAACTCAAAATGTGCGTCGTATCCGAGCTGGGAAACATCCTACAGGACCATGTCGGTCAATTTGACGCCGAACATGGCATTGTCTGCTTCAAGCAGCTCCACATCAGCTCGCAGGGAAAGGACAAGCAATTCCAGCTCTCGCTCTCCATCTCAGATATTTCAGGTCTAGAGACTAGTGACCAACAGCCCGTTGCCGGCGCACCGCCAAAGGCGCCGTGGGCTACGCTCTATTCTGCTCCTGTGCACATCATCTCCAAGCCATCCAAGAAGACAACGAGGGGGAATACGCCGGGCATTTCTAATATGGGCATGATCGCCCTCTTCAACCGTATCAATTCCCAGACTGTTCGCACAAAATATCTTTCCCACCGCCCGCCGCAATCCGACCCAAGTGCTCCTGCTGCAGGGGGCCCGATCACACTCACTACGTCTTCCTCACATTGGGATCCATTTACCATCGAGATTGTTCCACCCGAGGCGGCCAATGCGCCCATCTTATATGGCTCGCGCATCGTTCTCAGGACAGGGCCAAATGCCACGTCGTACGAATTCATTGTGCGCAAAGTCGAGAAGCATCAATCGCTTGCGTCTGAATATGGGCGCCAAGTGAGTCAAATGCAAAAGATTGCGCTTATGCGCGCCGACCTCGAGCCGGTCGACGGCAAAATGTGTTATTTGAGCGCATTGGTCGAGCGACCGGGTCCAGAGCCGATGCCCGTCGTACCCGGAAGTACACATCCGACAAGTTGGCGATGGTGCGAGGTTCGACAGCAGACGGCAGAGGATGGGACCCAGACAGAGTACCACGAAGTCAACGACTATGCTACATGGATGATTACGAGCGTCGGTACGTATTTGAAATTATTCATTTGAGTAGAATACATTTCTGATCGTTGGTTGCCGTAGCTCAATTCGAGACGACCTTCTTCGACGCCTCTGGAGGGAACGTGATGCCGCCCCTGGCACCCATCACCCCCGCACCAAGTGCCATGCACGGTTGTCGCTGGGTTCCACCTTTGCTTTCTTCTCAACCAGGCCAAGACCCTGTGGCGCATACCTTGCACATGGGCATTTCTAACTTTTTCGCGCACTACCCATCGTCGCCTCTAGCAGCTTCTTGGATCAAGACGCCACTGCAGGTGTGGTTGGGTGATCTCGGACCACTACCGTTGACTGCGGAAGAAGGCGCGATCAATGTGACCCAGCAACAGCATGGCTTTGTCTTCCCAGCCACCCCCGTCCATCCAAACGTCGCCAACGGCTCAGCAAACGGGAACGGTACTAGCGGAAGCAGTGGACAACTTGCCGGTTCATCCTCCTCTCACAATGGTCCTGTGGCAAGTACGAGTGCAGGCCCTGGGCTTGGTCCAGGTGGTGGAGTCGTCGTTTTGGGCAACTCTCCTCCGACGCTCCGAGACCCGCCGTTTGCGACGTACGTCACTGTCTATCTCCCTCCGATGGAAGAACTCGTGAGCGCACTGCTGGACAGTGTACGCACGCGTCGACGACACGCACAAGCGACAACTTCGTCAAGATCAACATCTGCTACACTCCAACGCAGTGGACACTCGCGCTCAGCAAGTATCAGTGGAAGTGGAACGCCGAGAGGTGACAGAATGTCCGTCGACAGACCGTATCACTCTCGACAGCCCTCGACGAGCAATCAACGATACACCAGTGGCAGCACACCCATGCACGTCGACGACAGCGAGAATGATATCGAACAGGATGAATCCTCCCATCGCGATCGTCCAAGCTTTGCGGAGCGCTTGGAAGAAGAGAGCGATGCTGTGGAAGAAGAAGACGTCCAAACACTCTGGGAACGTAAACCTTCACTTCCCATCTTATTTATTCGCGGTCCACCAGACGAGACGGCTCAAAATATCCAACACTATCAACCGCAATACCAACAGAGGATCGCGTTCCATTCTGGACTCGCACTCCGATGTGTAGCGGCGTCTGGAGAAGGTCCAGAGAATCTGGATGGGTGGAGCGTGAGGATTGATAAAGTGCAACTTGGAAGCACAGGTCCGACCGCCTCTCCATAGACTGGCTCCTTTTCTCTATCTATTCATCCTTCGTTTTCTGATTCTGCCTCTTTCTTGAACATGTAGCCATGCACTGCTCGTCCTCTCGCTCATCGATTCCCGTTTCTTGACCTCACCCCGGACTGCTCGTCGACTTCTTAGTGTCTTGGTAGAACTGAACCGTGCCATAGATCAGTTTGGTGATTTGGACGCATAGTTTATTCTGCAGAGCTAAGCTATACACACGACGATTTGAACACAAACGAGGCAACCGTGGGCCACGATCGTGAGTTGGTGAAGAGGCGGTGTTTAGTGTCGAGGATGGTATGCTAATCTAGTAAGAGAGTGTGTGCGTGCGTGCGGTGGGAATAAGAATAACGAAGGGTTCATGGAGGGTGAGGGTCAGTCGTGTCCAGCCTGCGGAACCGGGCTGGTTTTTGGTCAATGATGCGAATGAATGTCCTGAAAACAATCCCCTAGATAACGCAAGAGATGTAGAGAAACCTAGTCAATCATATTTGACCGTCTGTCCACGCCATTGGCTGCACGGATGTTGACCATGCCGCCGGCGACGGAGCTCATCGCATGGGCGTAGAAGTAACTCGAGCCGTGGCCAATGACTAGATGAGTTTCGTCAGTCTATGTCCCATACATAAAGAGCAAAAGAACGCACTCTGCTGCTCGACCAAGGCGATAATGTCAGTAAAGAGGAGACCCCAACCAAAGTCGCGACGATCTTGTGCAGTGACAACATTGTCGAAGAGGAGTGCACCATGCTCTTGTAGGTACCTCAGACCATCGGGGCTTCGCTCATCCGTCGCGAGGTAGATACTAAAGCCAAAAGTCAGCGCCAGTATTTGGTGATGGAGGAGTACATACAAGTCTCCCTCCTTTGGTGGTGGACGATGCGAGAGTTCTTGGTTCACAGTCACGTCTGGAATGTTATACGTTTCCCATTTCGCTGGCGTAAGCTCTTCGAGAATCTTGCGTCCAAGAGCAAGTCGCTTCTGGATACGCTCATAATGCTCTAGAATATCGTCAGTCCCAAATGAATCAAGTTGATAAAAACGCAAATAACGCACTCTCAATGGTCGATTCCATCGTCCAACCAGCGGTAACGACTACAACCCCACTTAGCAACCAAAGCTCCACACGGCTGCAAATACACTCACAATCACCACGACGCATATGCGACGCCATCCATGCACGACCCTTGTTGATATTATTCAACCGCTTGTCGACCGTAGCCGCAAGGTCGCGCACGCGCTTTGGAGGCAAAATGTCGTGAAGGACAATACGCGCAAACGCATCCCGCGCCTCCTCCGTCGTAAAGCGCATCAATCCAGCTTTGCGACCGAGGTGGACCTCGCCTTGGAGCCAGAGAATGTCCTGGGTCACGCTCTTGTAGTCTTCGACCCACGCACGGGCGTCGGACATGCGCATCACCTGACGAATGGGCTTGATGACCGTCTTGGTAAAGTCCATACCCATGCTAAAAAATGAAGTTGAATCAATACGTGGGATACTTGGGAAAGGGGAACTAAGAGAGTACGCACTCGCCCTCGAATGTATGCATCGTGAGCCAATTTGCCGAACGCAGTGCAGCTTCCAGACCAGCATCGTCTTGCAAAACGCCGATAGACGAAATGGCATCCCTAGCGTCTTTCCAGCTAATAATGCCCGTCTTCTTTCCTTCCGCCTTTTCCGAGAGACGCCTGTCGTATTCGACAGCCAAACCAGTGAGGTTTTGACCAGTGGGCGCGTTGGGAAAGTCAAATGTGTCCACTCGCCCGATATTCTCGGGGTCGTAGATGTGGTTCGGAACGATAAACATGGACGGTTTGTTAGAACCAGAAGTGTAGTAATCGCGATCCCATTGTCCATTGGTCGTCTCGTGGCTTGCGTTGAGACCCTGGAGATGGAAATATTCGCTAAGCATCATAAACTTGTGCGTCTTGCGTAGATGCGGGACGTCAATCATCATTTCCATGGGGATCACAAACGACATTTGCTTTTCAATCGGCCAGGATGACCATTCGGTCGAGTAGAATGCGTCGTTCTTGTTGACCATTTTTGCATACTTTGCACACACATCGCTGAGAATAGATGATCAATATGTGTATAGAAGACTATGTGCGTAAGACTCACTTGGGGAACTCGCATGCGCGTGCATAGACAAAGGACGGGATAATAAGGGTCCTATTGAGTAGCTGGGCCTGCATGAGCGCGCCCTCGAGGATATACCGCATCTTGAAAAAGGACAGAAATCAGCATGCATTCCACAATCCGCGAATCGCCGGGGAGCGTACATTGTTCCACCCGAGCCAGACGCTCCAGTCGCGGGCAAAGTAGCCATTGGTGCTGGCAAGCATGGCTCTAAGCTCGTCTGCAGACATGTCGAAGAGACCATCTTCCGTCTTGTGGTCTGGACCTGGTTTCGGAATGTAGTGATTCCAAAAGTCTGCGTCGACGGGTCCATTTGCGAGCGCTTCTGTTGCGTTGGCGGCGTCGTTGCCCTTTGAAGTTCCAAACAGATATTCTTTGCTCTTCTCTCGCAATCCAGGGCGAGAGAGGATGAAGGAAAAGATGATGAGGTAGAAAATGAGGCCAGAGACCATGGCCGTCAGCACAAATGTGAGCATATTCCTCCATCTGTAAATAGACGGTGATTAGCATTAGTATGGTGGCTGGATACAATGTTTACCTGGGAGCTGGCGGTTGGGAGCGGCGCTTGTAGCCGCCCTCTGCGTGTTCTCCGAGGAGACTCTCCTCTTCGAGTTCTAGTTGGGAGAGAGGCATACTGGTGGCCTTCTAAAGTTGGGAATAAAACGAGAGTCACGGGCTGCTGGTCGTCGTCGCGGAGGTGCTGTCCAAGGTGTAATTCTAAATGTAGGCGTGTCAATATGGACACGGCCAGGTGCCAATGTCCGGATGCTACCACTTGCCAACGCATATCACAAGGAATTCTATTATATTATTATATTGCTATATAGGATACGGAAACCACTCCGAGGTTCAGGCCATGACAGCTGGTGCCCGGCCGTTTGGGGCAGTCAGCATGGGTCACTAGAACTGAATACTCATATTTGCTATCAGCTTCTGTACTTCCTTGGCGCATCCCTCGCGCGGAGCGACGTTGGTCCGAGCTTTGTCGTCGGCGGATCGACAATCTCCCAGCCAGCTATCCCGCAACCACTTTACCATTGACAAAACGATAGCTATTAACGCGACAACAGCTAGACTTAGAAAACAAAAACGAGCGAGGGATATAGGCGACAGCAATCCACAATAACAATACCCAAGGGGGAAAGGGGCCAATAGGATCCAAGCCCGTCTATCTCTTAATCCACCAAACCCGTACGTTCATCACATCCATTCGCCGCGCGAAAGTTGATCACTCCTCCGGCAAACTGCCGCTCGCGTCAGCACCCGTAATCTCCGTGTAGAAAAAAAGGTACATACCGAGCTCATAGCGTGGGCATAAAAGTAGGATGAGCCGTAGCCAATCACTAGCAAGCCACGTGTCAGTCTTCCATCTTGTTAGTCCCTCAGGCAAACTGACCTTGCTGCTCAACCAGCGCTACGATATCCGTAAAGAGCAGTGGCCATCCGAACTGCTCCCGGTCCACTGGTGCAATCAGGTCGCTAAAGAGCGTCGCACCGTTTTTGCGAAGCCACTCCAAGTTTTCCTCCTCGCGCTCATCAGTGGCGAGGTACATGCTACGCAGGTCGTCAGCCCTGTATTCTCACAATAAATGGGCTCTCGCCTACCTATCAGAAGGTTTTGGTGGTTCTCTCATCGTCAACTCGACGTTGAGGTGTGCATCCGGAATCTTGTACGGATGCGGGTCCGACGTGGGTAGTCGTTCAAGTAGCTCGCGTGCAGTGGCCAATTTCCTCTTGAGACGATTAAAGTGGTCTAATTCTAATGTCAACCCTTTGTCGCACGGTCCCAGTCATTACGCACCCTGAAGGGTCTTTTCCATAGCCCAACCCAGTCGGTCGACTAACAAAGTTAGTATAAAGTTTGAGCGAAAAGACGCTGCACTCACAGTCTCCACGACGCATGTGAGCCGCCATCCACGCGCGACCATGGTTCACTCTATCCATCCTACTAATAACAAGCGCCGCAAGGTCCCTGACGTTGGCCGGTGGTCGGAGATCATACAAGACGATGCGTCCCATTTGATCCCGTGCTTCGGTCGTCGTGAAACGCATGAATCCAGGCTTGCGCTCGAGATGCACTTCACCCTCGAGCAATAAGACGTCCTCCGTCTTGTCATAAAACTGGTCGACCCAACCTCTCAACATAGACCTCGGGGCAACTTGCCGAATAGGTTCGACCACGGTCTTTGTCATTTCCATTCCGATCCTGTCAAAATATATGAGCGTCTCAAATGGCGGCCAAAGGGGGCTGAATGCACTCACGCTCCCTGCCATGTATAGGTCGTAAGCCATCCCGCGAGTCGGAGCGCGTGTTCAAAGTCTTCGTCCGTCTTGATATTGGCAATGTCCTTGATCACATCGCGTGCAGTGTTCCAATCCAACGCGACCCGATTCCGGTTCTCCTTCATCTTCTCCAGCAGCATTGAATCGTATTGCGTACCAGTTTCGGTAAGGGTATTCGAAAGAGCTCGGTACGAGTCGACGTCGAGCGTGTCGAGAAGGGTAATCGTCTTGGGGTCATAGTCGCCGTTCTTAATCTTGTACAATGACGGGTGGACGCCAACATGCGAGCGATGGCCGCGGAATGGAATATCGTTGATACCAGTGTGGTAAAACTCTCTATCCCAATGTCCGTTCGTCTTCTCCTTGGTCAGGTCGGTAATGTTCTGCAAGCGGAAGTATTCTGACACAGTGACAAACTGATGCTTTGCACGAAGATGTGGGATGTCGATCATGAGCTCGAGTGGGATCACCCAAGCCATTTGCTTCTCCAGAGGGAGCGACCGCCACTCATCCGAGCCCACAGCGTCTCCACGGTTGACCATTTTGGCGTGTTTGGCACATACATCGCTATCAGGAGTCGGTAAGTCGAGTTCCAACCGAGGGTTCGAATACTGAGTGGGAGAGGGTATGGCTGTGTTTTTCGTAATGAAAAAGGATCTGACGACTTACTTGGAGAACTCGCACGCCCGTGCGTAGACAAATGAGGGCAATACAAGAGTACGGTTGAGTAGTCTCGCTTGCGAAAGACCGCCCTCGATAATATACCGCATCTGCAGAAGCGCAACGTGGGTCACGACGGAGAGAGTTTCGAGTGTCAAATTCGATCAAATCAAGTCAAAAGCACGTACATTATTCCATCCGAGACTGAGACTCCAATCACGGGCAAAGTAGCCATTCGTTTTCGAGACACGTTCGCGCAACTCGTCAATCGAGAGTTCTAATAGACCTTCAGAGGCCAGGAGTGGTAAATCCGATATAGGATGCGACTTGTTGTCGAATATTGCCCACTCGCCAGCGTCGGCGGTATGCAGCAAGCCAAAGCCGGTCGAGGAGAAGAAGATAAAATAGAGAAATAGGCCCGCAAAGGATGCAGAGATTGTGTACAAAACAGATGCCCGCGAACGCGGTATGAATGCTTTGAGGTTGAAGCGCCTCGAATGGTACAAATTCTGGAGTCGCTTGTGCGGTGCGGGTGAATTTCCCAAGAGACCCTCCTCCTCCATCTCGAGCATTGTTGGCGATGTCATTAGATTATTTTCTGATTTTTAATGTGTAAACCCGTGGTGGTGGGCAGAAATGAAAAAGGGAGCAACAGGCCGTTCTCACGTCGGACATGGATTTAACCTCGTATACATGGCAGAACGCCACAACACTACAGACCATTTTCCAAACTGCATCGACTTTCTTCACGTCCAAATCTTTTAAAAATACACGTCCAGAAATAGAGGCGCCGCGTTGCTGTCAGAAGCCTCCGGTCATTCATCGCCGTCTGTATTGATGCGTCGCGGATCTAAGACGGCGGATGGAAAGGATCATCTCAAGATCAAGCTCAGACCGTCTGCAATTGCAAAGCAGCTAAATATCAATGGTACGTTATTCGCGTGGTAAAATCACTGTGCAAAAGTAGTCCTGCAAGAAATGAGGAGATATTCAACCTAGAACCCGTCAGTCAGGTTATTAGTAGCGGGAACCTGGTTGAACCTTTGTCCAAGAGTGACCACGTTGGAAATTGGTGAAATCAAGTTTGGTTGTGCGGTATGGTGAGAAGAACGCGCAAGTTTCTCAATCCATGTCAATTACCTGGAGGCAGCCATTAAGAGGTGTTTACCAGAGAGTTTCACCCGGCCATCCTGCTCAGATGACTTGCGCGGTACAATGAGCATAGAAGGAATTAAGAAATCAGGGCGCCGACTAAACTGTCGCAACATACGAATTACGTCTCTGCTGACACAATGCTTGTTCGCGAGAGAGTGATCATGCCTATCCGCACGAATGACAACGATAATGGAAACGCTGGAAGGGCCTAGCGCCGAAATATAGACATCATTAGATACGAATACATAAGAGCAGAAATTATACGCCGCGTAATGCCAGGACAACAAGAGCAAACTGCACGTATGTGAGAATGCAACGAGGATGCAAGACAGAACGCACCAAAGAGAAGACCAGCGATGATGGAATAAACATCCTGAATGCTTATTCGAGTTAGACAAGGACGAAGTAGAGCGGCGGAGACGAACCAGAGGATGCATGAGGCGAGCCACCCGACTGGACGGACGCAAGGCTACACTGCATTAGCAAGTTCAGAATAAGAGTCTACCAACGTACTCTTTGACCAGCAATGCATACACACCGCCGATATCTGGTCGATTGGAACCACCCGTGGAGGTTCGGTTCCCCATGGTGCTGCTGTATCTACAGGGAGTTGGCATATAGACGCATCTTTTCACGGTTTCCACTTACGTGCTAGGCCAAGGAAGGGAGTCCGCTCCATTCTGCAGGTAATATTGAACCTTGCTCAGAATCGCATCGCGGGTCTGAACATCTGGAACGAGAGCTGCAGCCCAGACCATCCAATCTACAGAACATTTAGCCATATCAGCCACTGGCAAATTTGGACATACGAGGAGACGTCGTCGTGGTTTCGCTACTCAGCGGCATTCCATATTTTTCTGCCTACGCATCAGAGCAAATAAAGAACTCTCAGATGAATATACCTAATATACCACTGTAAAGCGAGCTTAGGGTCGTGTATACACTGTCAGGGAACAACCCCGTCTTCAACCACTTGTCGACGAAGAGATTGTAGCAAATCGAGTATGTCGAAGAATCGCCATAGCTCACACCAAACGCATTCGATGCCTTGGCCAATTCTTGCCATTTCGCCGCGTAGTCGCGAGCGGCATTCTCGTAGGCTTTGCGTCCTCGCCCATCGACGTCAGTATATCCGCGTATGCTTTCAGAGCAATAATGGCTTTGAGCGCTAGATTGGTGTCATTTGTGGGAAATCCAATAGTCTCGCCATCAGTCGTTTGCCTGTGGGGTATCAGCTACATCATGTTCAGTGGCCTCCTTCGTCCTTACTGTTGTCCTGGATATAGTGCGTTGTCTTTTAAATAATCTGCCCATGTCTTATACAGATCCGCCTGCAGGTCTTGGTCAATATCGAGTTCTCAGATGGAGCTCAACGTACATTATCTGAGAAAAGAGACATGTCCCCAGTGACACGTATCAATGCTGCAGTTACAATGAGCATATTCCCAGTCGACTCGAGCGCTTTGGGTCGCAAGGCAGAAGAACTTGGTCCAGTCGCAACCGGATACACATCTCCTATGTCGTCTGTGACATAGGGCTTATCCGACGAACGGCGGTGATAGTCTATGATGGGTAGGAGCATCGCTCGAAGTAAGGCAGGGTTTGCGTAGATCCAGAATGGCGCAGATGCATAGATTTCTTCCATGTTATTGACACTGAGAAGGGATTGGTTAGTAAAGGCCGTCCATGGTCATGAGTAACTTACCCTTTTAAACCTAAAAACGCCAGGGTGTCTGTGGTATTGAGCTTGCCGTCTGAACCGGTGGAGACGGTGAGCTCCATGTTTGCAAATGTTTGACGCGCTGCCATGATGGCCAGATCTGAATAGGTGCCGGAAATTTGCGATGCAGCAGCACTGAGTTTGTTATCAAAGCCGTTCGCAGAGGCGAGGGAATTGGTAAAATCGGTCAAGAAGAACGAGAGCTGGGTCTGGTGAGCCTATGCACGGTTTTCCAAGCCATGAGCAGGCACTCACTGCATCGGCGTCAGAAGTAAACACTGAGCGATAGTATAGCGAGCGGTCCTGCTTTTGTCCACTACGTGTTGTGTAGGAGACAGCTTGGTCTCTTGTTAACCCAATGCCGAATACGACGGGTCCGGCAGTCGATGAAATATCCCCAAAATCTCTTGAGAGAGCTAGACATGGCCAGTTGTCACCAATGGCTCGCGGATTGGTGTCTGCAGTGCCGTTTAGCCGGCCGCCACTTTGGAACCCAAGTCGGAGGACAGTATCCGAGGCAGTTTGGTAGGTCACACCAGTGTCGAGAAGCATGCCATAGAATAGCTGACCATCGCGTATTCGGTTATCTGATACGCCATAAGGTACCCTGGTAGTAAGCTGTGCGCGGTGGTACACTATCTTCTCTGTTGTTTGCGTTGACCAAGTCATATTGTCCGTAGTGCTATCGCTCAACCACTCTGTAGCAGTGTCAACGAGTGGTATGGTTGGTGATATATTGGCTCACCGCCAGAAACGTCCGCATAAATTTGCACGTTGTGCGTTCTCCCATCGTTGGGTGTCGCTGTGACAGCAAGGTAGCTGAATGGAAGCGATGTTCTCGTCAGGTCTTGCGGTTCGATGGGATTGAGGAATCTTGCTTCGATGTCAATCCCTCCGCAGCTGAAGCTGTGATATTCTTCAGCCATTGATAGATAATTCTAGACCACTGACGTGTATACTGTTTGTGAAGCAGTCACCTGTACAGGAAATAATGGGTTCATATCAACATTTACGCTCGGTTGCAACTCACCTCGAGACTACGCGGCGTAGCAGCATTACCAATCCAGGCGCCTGCAGCAGAAGCGCCACCCATGAAACTATAAGTCGTATTATCCACTCTAGCAAAGCCTTGCCAAGCGGTTATTCCGCCATTTCCGCCTGAAACCTCCCAGTTACGACCCATTTGACCGGCTGAGCCGCGTCCTCCAGTAAACCATGTGTTTAAATAGGGCGTTTTCACTGCAATAGGGACGGCGATGGGATTGTAGGAGAGCGCGCTACTGTACTCGGAGAATAGCAACGTCGTCGAAATGGCCAATAGTGTCGCTGACCATGACCACCGAGACATTGCGGGCTCTTAGAATAATAAAAAGAAGGGACACAGACGTAGTGGTCTGGTGGAAGGGTCCAAAAGGCGGTGGGAAGCAAATAGGCCAAGATATATCACTAGCGCGCGAGAGAAGGGCCAGAGTCCCGGTTACATCCATCATGGAACCGCTACATTTTGTAAGTTAGGAATTAATACTATGATACTCTACGTGTCTCTCTCTTCAATGGTATTCTGCTCGACAGTGGTGTGAATGCTTTCACTTTCGTTTGGTCTTTTCCTTCGTCTCCTTTTCTTCTTCGGGGCACCATCCTCTCGCACATCACCATCCTCATCGTCCCTCTTGCGTTTCAGTTCCAGTGTGTCCAGTCGTTGTGGCTGAGGTCGAGGAGAGATCATAGGAAGCTTGGGCTGTTTCTTCTTCACACTCAGAGGGTTTGGACCTTTTGCCTTGCGACGTGGTTTGGCGACAAACTCGGCCTCTTTCGGGGCCGTCGACGGGAGCTCCTTCTTTTCCTCTTCCGGAACATCGAGAGCCTCTTGCGTGAGCTAAGAGGCGAAATTAGTTCGTCACTATGAGGTCGAGGATGCGATGTACCTCTGCCTTGACTCTGATGGTTTCGTCACTTGGAGGCTCTAGGATCATCACCGACATTTTGATATGCACAAGAGGCACAGCTTGAACTTTTCGTAGCTCTGCACGTAGTTCTTGAGACTGCGACGCGATTATATATCTATGTTTGTTGGTGTCGCCTGCATCAAGATACTGTGAGTGTATTCAAACTATCTGCAATCGAAACGTACCCACAACACTCTTTAGACACGCATTCCCATCGATGGCTTCTCGGTGATTACATTTTCGTCGTTCAAACCCTTTCGCCAGGTCGACTGCTGGCTGGCGCTCCTTTCCAAGCTTGTATAGTTCAACAATACAGCATTGTGTGATCACTGGTGTGAGTTAGGTGAGACAAACTTGTCACTCAAATGGCCACTGACATACTTGGCTTGATTTTTCCCTGGAGAACCGTCTCCAGTTGCTTCACGAGCTCAATTTTATGATCTTGGGCCGACATGCACATTCCGGAATCCACTATGGTGAAAGTTAGCCGGTGTAAAACACTACTATTCTACGTGCCCAACACCTGGTACGGTTGCCGAAAGCCAAAGACGAGCTCGTACATGCCCATGAGCTTCTTGTAGGCTTTTGCGCGCTTTTGCCTCATCTTTGTCTCGCTTGGCCGATAAGTCTAGACGAGGGAGAGTTGAACCGATCGGCAAACTCTCTGACCCCTTCACCGTCTGCCATATCTTCAAAATGACCCGCAAATTCTTCGTCGGAGGTTGATGTGACTACATTAGTCTATAGATGATTGTCTGACACTGTAGCCAGGAAATTTCAAGATGAACGGCTCAAAGGCGAGCCTCATAAAGCTCGTCGAGGCTCTCAACGATGCGCAGCTCGATCCGAACACGGGTTAGTGATATTATGCTTTTCAAATGGTGATCTGATCATCGATCTGCTTCGTTTTGCAGAGGTCGTGATCGCCCCTCCTAGCTTGTATCTCCTCACTCTTCAGGAAATCGTCAAGAATGGTGTACAAGTTGCCGCTCAAAATGCCTACTTTAAGGAATCTGGAGCATATACTGGCGAGATCAGGTAGCTATGTCGCCTCCTGTGCCATCACCGACGAACGTGATTGACGGTATCGGAAGCCCGGTGCAGCTCAAGGATGCAGGGATAAACTGGGTGGTACTTGGACATTCGGAACGCCGCTCTTATTTCGCAGAGACCTCCGAAGTGATTGCAAAGAAAACCGAGGCGGTTAGTCGAGCCATTACGCCCAAATAGTCAATAGACTCTGAGTATTTTTCCAGGCCCTTGCCGCGGGACTCAGCGTGATTCTTTGCGTTGGAGAGACCCTCGAGGAACGCGAGGCTGGCAAGACCGCGGCCGTTGTCGAGGCCCAACTCGTCGAAGTCATCAAGGTCTTAGGCCAGGACGCGTCCAAGTGGAGGTGAGTTTTGACTTGTTGTATACTAGCTTATCTGAGATTTCTTAAAGTAAGATTGTGATCGCCTATGAGCCCGTATGGGCCATCGGCACTGGCAAAGTGGCAACGTGCGCTCAGGCAAGCGACGCCCTCTTCTGCATACATGCTCAAACTTACCGCGTCTCCAGGCCCAAGAGGCTCACCATGACATTAGGGCGTACATATCCAAAGAAGTCTCCCAGGAAGTCGCGGAGACCATTCGCATAATATACGGAGGATCGGTTACAGGCACTAGTTGCGGAGAACTCAGTGCGTATCTTCTGATCACTGGATTTGGCTTTGGGTACTCACGTGGAATTCCTGGTTGCAGGTGCGCAGCCGGACGTCGACGGCTTCTTGGTAGGAGGAGCTTCTCTGAAGCCCGAGTTTATCAACATTATCAACGTCAACCAGAAGTGATAGAATTTCAAATTGTCTTTATGCCCCCGTGGCTTGTTGTGAAACCGAGATACGTTGCGCTCAGGGCCAAAAACTCGGACATCTTAGACTCCCACCTTTTTCTCCGATGAGATGAGTAGCGTTAGAATTACGAGCATGGACCCAATTTTGTTCAAAACGCCTGCTCTTTCTTCCGAGACGCTCGAACGACCGCCCTCGTATGGTGCCGACGAGCAAGATGACGAGCGTGTAGGATTTGCGGTTAAGCAGACAACGACGACGGTGACAACGACAACGACAACAACTACAAGCTTCTTTCCTCGTCTGAAACGCAGAGTTACAGCCGTCAGAAAGCCCTCTGAGCCCGTGGTGACCATCGAGAGTGAGCCCAGGGCAGCGCTGCTGATCAACAAGGATCTTCCAGATATCCCTGTAGCTCACCCGAACGCAAAGGTGGCCTCTCAGCGTCGTCCAAGAACTGCAGATCCCGTCGTTTATACGACCTCGTCGACCGTTGCGGCATCTGTCCCGTTTGCATTAGCCCACGCATCTCTAGGTGCAGAAGTTTCTCAAATCATCTCACAAAACGCGTCTCTGCCTCTGAATCCCCAAGCAGAGCCCCTCCATAGACCGTCCACGGCGACCAAAGCTGAGCGGAGCACCCACAAACGCCTATCATTATCATTATCAAGCAGTACATACACTTCACCTTCTGTAACCTCACCTATACCTCCCAACTCGGCTTACAGTGGTCTGGGAGATTCGAGAGCAAATAGTACAAATTCACAGACATCTCCCACCTCCTGGAACTCTCCTCCAGCGAGCATCTTCGACTCTTCTCAGACGAGAAACGGATCCTTCAACTCTCCCACCGATCTTTCGGGCGGTAAACAAATCGCTCGACGTGCATCTTGGTGGGGACGACGACGACAGGACTCACCTTCTCCTATGACGGAAATCTCTCCATCACCGCGGGGTACCGAAGGAACGAGCGAACCACCGCTGTTCCCCTCCGAACTCAAAGCCCCTCGAGTTCCTCATCGAGCCACCTCTTCGTCGCCCCTTACACCACGAATGGACGCATCAGAGAAACATCGTGCCCAGACGATTGGAACGTCCGTCACCGGTGTCGTCGACTTGACGCAGTCACCCTCCGCGGAACTAGACGCGCCAAACTTCTCTTCCTCGCCGAAGCAAGGCGGGTCCCAATCTGACCACGTCAACAAGTCTGCATCATCCCTCTCTGGAGAAAACTTTGCTTCCGCATTGAGCGGGCTCACGTCTGGTGCCTCCTCTCGTAATAGACCACGCGCTCTTTCCCTCTTCCTGAGGCCATCCACTGCCAGCTCCGAGTCTGCATCAGTATCACACTCGCCATTGGCTCCGAGCTCTGGTGCCGCGCATCCACGGGTTCGAGCAGCACAATCTCCCCCACTCCTTCGCCGAATATCGTCAACTCTATTCTCTCATTCACCCTATTCATCCACATCTCCTACACCCAATTCTTCCCTTTCCGTCTCCGGCATGTTCTCAGACGATGCAGTCGTCAGCTCTCCAGCTCCTTTTATTCCAAAACCCAGGATTGACGAGGAGACGCCCGAGTCATACATGGAACGGCTGCTCGAAGCCGTTAGCAAGGCAGAGGTTGCGAGCGTTCTTGCCTCAAAGTGAGCCGATTGCTTGCGATGTTGAATCATTCTAACCTACGCCCAGGGGCGATGAGTTCCATGTCAAGGCACTGAAGGCGTATCTGCAGAGATTCACATTTACACACGACCCTCTTGATATTGCCATTCGCCGCCTGCTCATGGATTTGTCTCTCCCGAGGGAAACCCAGCAAATTGATCGCGTCATGGAAGCATTCTCAGCACGGTATATGGAGTGCAACCCCGGAATTTTCACTGACAAAGGTAACGCTCGAACCTTCCTCTCCATGGTTGCTTATACCCAGCAGATCATGCCTATATTCTTGCTTTCAGTTTGATCATGCTCCACACAGATGCCTTCAACAAGAGCAATAAAACGAAGATGACCAAGGCGGCATATGTCAAGAATGCTCGACTTCCTGGTATGCGCCCAGAGGTCCTCGAGGTAGGCGCAGTTTGTCCGGTCATACGTCGACTTATGTTCCAAAGTACTTCTATGATAACATCGTCTTTGCGCCATTCATCTTCATTGAAGATCCCGTTGATATCAATGGGCAGCGCGGGTTCACAGCTGATTCCGCATCCTCAACCTCGAGCTTCTTGAAGCAGTCCAACAAAATTGATCCATACTATCTCATTGCACGGGTATGCTGCACCTCGCTTCTCCCATACTTTCATCCACTGACATCCCTCCTAGAACCTATTGGATCCTCTTCGTGTCGACGTCGAGCAATATGTTCCCAGTATCGATCCCTATCGCTACCTGGGAACAGCAGAGTCCTGGGACTACGAGGAGCTGCGTCAGGCATTTGCTCGGGCAAGCATAGTGGAGCTCGGGGATCGAGATCCCAGTCGTCGAATGTCGGCAGCTCATCTCAACCTTGCATTTTCGGGCTTTACCAATACTGCACCGACCGTCATACCGCTCACGATGGCGACACATAGTGGAATCTCGCCAACGGCGTTCAATGACGTATGGACATTCAAGTTGACCAAGATTGGGATCATGAATCGCAAAGGTTTGAGTCAGCATATACTCATAAATATATTACTGAACTTCCGTGACAGAGGACACAGTAGAAGGCGGGAAAAAGGCGACAGCTCGCAAATGGCGGCAGTTCAAAGTTGCTCTCACCGGCTCGCAGCTATTGTTCTTCAGGGATCTGCGATGGGATCAGGCTCTGATCCAGCGCCCGGGATCGAGGAATACATGGATGCTTCCTCCTGGGTACATGGTGAAACCGGACGAAATTATCTCTGTCAACGATGCGGTGGCTATCCTGGATCTATCCTACCAAAAGGTGAGAACGGCAGCGTCGTGCTTAAGCTTTGACTGACATTCCCAGTATCGCAACACATTCAGGCTTCTCCTACCGAAAGGGCGACAGTTTTTGCTGCAAGTTTTGGATGAACATGAGCTTAACGAATGGCTCGCGCGCATAAATTATGCTAGCGCATTCAAGACTGCAGGCGTGCGAATGCGTCCAACCGCTTTGTCGAGTAAGGATGTAGAGTTGACAGGAATCGCTGCAGCAAATTCCCATGCGCGAGAGAGCCGCTTGGTGCAGCCTTATCCCAACGGGCACTCTCAAGGGATCCATGATTGGAAGTCTCCTGCCGGTGAGGAGCTTGAGACCCCACCAGAGGACAATGATGATCAGGATAATACTGCCTCAGAAGTGTCAAGCCTGCATCCCCCGACTAGGACTGGCCTCCTTCCCATTAATCGCTCTACGGCGGCGCTCGACGTTGAGAGTGCCGAGGATCTCGTCAAGGAGGATGCCGCGCAAATCAAAGCCACGTTTGAAGACGTCAAGGCAGAACTGGCAGCTGGACCCCGCACATTGCCAGACTCCAAGGAACTGGGCGCGGCTCGCGCTCAGCTTGCCGGACCTTCCTTGCGGAAGCAGCCGTCTTGGACGGCTCGAAGCTCTGAAGACATTGAGCTGTCGAGGGAGCGGCTGTCCTCTAGAGGCACCGTTTTGCAATTGAAGATTGCAGAGATAGAAACGAGGATCTCGACGCTCCAAACCCAGCTCGATGCTGACCTTCTCTTCTCCCGCAATGTCGCCATCAGCACTCCCTTCCAAAACGTGACAAGGACCAGGCTCCAAGAACATGTACGCCGCATTTCGAGAAGAGTGGCGCAAGCGCGTCTGGAGTTGGTGAAATTACGATGTCATTTGGAGGTTCTCCATACAGATTTTGTGGATGAGGAGCGCCAGCGATATCACACGACAAGAACCGCTCTGAAGATCGCGACGGCCACACTTCGACGACGGTTGGAAGATCAGCCAACGCCCAGGGTACCGTCACCCGAGTCTATTGCGCTGGCGGCAGCGGACAGATTCTCCCCTCCTTCACAAAGCAGTTTTCATACACGACACGGGTCGTCATCTTCGTCTGCACCGAGTAGTACCGTCTCCAGTGGTACGGTCAATGCCCACCTAGGGTCAAGCAAACCGACGAACCCGAATCCGTTCACTCTTCGCCCAAGTGTGGCGAAACACAACCAAGAATTCCCACTCTCGCCTGAGGATCCTGACGCCGCTGTGGATGATTTCTCTCCCGGCGGCAAGCCAGAAGAGGCAGAAGAGTGGAACAAGACACGGGCTGCGAAGCGAGTTTCGCTTGTCACGGTTCGTGCCGATGCTCTCCGCCCTTTCGTCAATCGTGGAACCGCCGAAGATGCTCTGGAGCAGCTTCAAGAGTAAGGCAGTGATTGATATTGCTTATTCGTGGACTTCATACGGACTTGAACCGACACTCGGTTATCTATCTATCACAGTATTTACATGTTTCTCCATCACAGGTTTGTTCTCGATCCGCCCTAAGCTGTTTTAATCCTCGTCCACAGTGTATCTCTCATCTATATTCTAATCAACCGAGCTTTCCTTATTGGATAGATAATGGTCCACGTTTCGGATTGATCTAGGTCAGACTCGGATGGCGCCTGACAATACAGGAGCCTGGCATCTCTGCTTTATAAACAGTAGGTTCGTTGTCATAATTGACGCCACACAGAATGGAGCTCTTCGTCCGCAGCGTCCCATATGGCGCTGATGAACACCAAGTTACCCGCTGTTTAGAACCGATTCTTCATGGAGAAAAGTTCCGAGACTTGTTCGTCGGTGGCGCGCCCTATAATTTCATGGTGCGCTTATTCAAGAGCAAAAAGCACCATCATCAAAATCACTCCGGGAATGGGGCATTATTACTGCCCTCGGAGGGCATTGGACAGCGCCTACTCGCCTTGAGCAGCAGTACATGCCCGGTTGAAATCCATGGGCGTCGTCTCAAGTTCGAACCCAGTAGGAAGCCGGCATTCAGTCAAGGGGACATACTCAAATTACGAGAACCATATCAAGATCCAGAGATACGACAGGAGCGCGAGAGGACACGTGCAGACCTCCTGAGAGCAGGTATTCATGCATCCAGCGTTGCCTTTGGGTGGCCCTGCCAAGATGGTTCCATCTCTTTGGAGCATGAGAGTCCAGAGAGCACGACCTGGGATGTTCTGTTCAACCTAGACGATCGCTGTATCATCCTGAAATCGTCAAAGGAAATCCGCATTCTACTACATCTTCGTGCTATACAGTCCACTGCTTTGGACTCGGAAGGGGCCGTCCTATGGCTCGAGCGACCCCCACTCTTTGAAAAGCAGCCAGAGGTGGATATGGACGCCATTGGCGAGCTTTTTGCGAGCCTTTTAGATCTCGAGCCCAGGCCACCAATGAGGTATCGCCTATCATCGCCAGGAGGTGACCCTTCGCGAATTATCCCCTATCTGCGCGTTCTCTACATCCGATTTGACGATTCTATATCCAGCCAGGAGTTTGAGCGGAGGGCGAAGAAGATGGGGGTCTCCACCTATAGTTCTGATCACGATCTGGAGCGCAGAGGCTTATTCATGCCTGGTATTATCGAGCGGTATCAAGCCGCCCGCGCCCGATTACCCTTCAAAGTTGCGTTCCAAGTCCAGGGTTTACTTAGCCGTTGTGCCTTCAATCCTCAGGAGATATTGGAGATACTACGTGACATACATGCGGCCCTAACGGAGCTTGGACGTTCAGCGACAGCGGAATGCGTCAAGGCCTTGGAACAAGAACGAGAAGGAAACCCAGAGGCAACCCCAGCTGCCCTATTTGCTGACGTTGTTCAGTCTTTCCGCACCAGTAACAACGTAAAGGCGATGTCCGACGAAGAGCCTGGAGTGTTCGAATGCCACAGGGCGACCATCACCCCGAGTTCTATAATTCTTACCGGGCCACTACCGGACGAGACAAACCGTGTCATTCGCAAGTACAGAAAGTATGCTCACAAGTTTATCAGGATCGACTTCACAGAAGAAGACGGGTTGCATTTGCGAAAGGAGAAGAATGTCGACCTCGGCGCAATATTGGACGATAGAATTGGCGAATTTATGAAGAACGGTCTCCTCGTTGCTGGCAGACGGTTCGAGTTCCTGGCTTACAGCTCTTCCGCATTAAAGGAGCATGCCGTCTGGTTCATGACACCATTCACCACGAGCGACGGCCAGTATGTAACGTCAGAATCAATACGGCGATCCCTTGGAGATTTCTCCAAAGTCATCTACTGCCCATCTCGATATGGAGCCCGGCTCTCTCAAGCATTCTCGTCCACCGAACCATCCATCACGATCAAAGTGAACGAGATACGCTTTATCCCTGACAAGGAGTCCGACCAAGGATCGCTTTACACGGACGGAGTGGGAACAATGAGCCCGCAGGTGGCTGAAGAGATCTGGGCCAAGTATACCGAACCACGCTCAAAAAGGAGCCGGCGTCGGCTCAAGACACCTAGCGCATTCCAAATCCGACTGGGCGGACTCAAAGGAATGCTTTGCGTGGACAGTCGACTCCAGGGTCGAGTAGTCTGCGTCCGTGATTCGATGAACAAGTTTCATTCCAATGATCGCGAGGTGGAGATTGCGCGTGCCTTTGATCGACCAATGACAATGTTTCTGAACCGGCCTTTGATTATGCTTTTGGAGACGCTAAAGGTGAGCTTATCCGTAGGTCAGTAGCCACAGCCGATACTAAGACAAGAAGGTTCCGCTAGAGCCATTCATGGCACTCCAGACCAAGGCTGTCGAGGAAACACGCGACGCAATGAAATCGTTTGACACTGCAGCTCGTCTCCTCGAGCAATACGGTCTCGGGACAGCATTCAGACTGACTTCTGTATTCTTGCAGTTACATAAACTCGACGTGGCCCTCGCACTCAAGGACCAAAGTCAGGGCTTGTTGCCGTTCCTGGGGAGGATGCTCCAATTCGTGGAAAACCATATACTTCGTGACCTCAAATACAAAGCGAGGATTCCAGTCCCAAATGCTTGGACGCTCGTAGGAGTGAGTGACGAGTATGACTACCTAGGAGAGAATGAGATATACGGTACGTGGTAGCTACTGTAGGGGGTTACTAACCAACCGCCGAATAGCTCGAGTGCGTACAATTGACGGCGAAGAACAATATCTTGAAGGACCCGTTATGATATCACGCTCGCCCACTGTGCACCCAGGTGACGCTAGAATGGTGTGGGCAATAGGCAAGCCTTCAAGAGGTGCACCTCCCGGTCTCGAAGATTTGACAAACTGTGTCGTGTTTCCGTGTAAAGGACATCCTTCCTTGCCCCAGTGTTTGGCGGGAGGAGACTTGGACGGAGATTTAGTCAGTGCAAGTGCAATATTCACCACATCTGCTCACCTCTGCATAGTATTGCCTTGTGCTCGACCCTCAACTGCACTTTAGGTGGCAGTTCCAGCATGGAGATTATGATCCTCCTCAACTCGTAACACTTGATCGTCCGTCGACAATCAAAGACGTTGCACAGTTCGTAATCAACTACATCAAGGTCAACTCATCGTATTCTATAGTATTTCGCTTACAATACCCCAGAACGACCTCCTTGGAGTGATTTCGACGCGGAGTATGCTGATTGCAGACATCAGAGAGGACTGCTTGGCCGACGAAGACTGTGTCAAACTGGCCAAGCTGCACTCTATTGCTGTGGACTATCCAAAGACGGGACGGCATGTCGAGTTTGAGCAGATGCCGTCTCTGGAATCCAACCGAAGACCTGATTGGCATGCAAACGAGTTGAACGACAACGATCCGGAGCTCTACCAGAGCAACCGGCACATAGGTCATTTGTTCCGCGCCATTGAGCTTCCAGCGCTTCCTGAAGCGAGGAAATTGGCACATCGTCAGCGCCGACGGATCCAACGGGACGAGGGAGAGGCTCTCAATACCACTGACGTACTCCAAGCCCTCTCTCATGACAAATCCGTGGTCAGTCGCCATCTTCGGCCAAAAATCAATACATACGTCGACATAGAGGAGTTTGTAGAAGGCCAGCCAACCAATGTCGTCAACGAACTACTTGATATCTTTGACAGATACTGGCTTGAGTTGCAGTATATAGCAAAGACCAACAGCTTATCCAAGTCAGTGTCTTTTCGTTTTTGTAGACGTACTCTTATCTGTCCTAGTGCAACCGCCTTGTCAGAAGAAGAAGTTGTGGCAGGATCAATTGTCGCAAAGTGTTCACAACCGGTACGTTTCATTCCAGTGTCCCTACCAGCGTCTGATTCCCATTAGAGGAGACGCCAGGATGTGATCGCCGACATGAGACGGTCGTCCACCTCGCTTTGTGATCAAGTACGAAACAGTATCGAAGGAACCGAGGACACCTCTGAGGAGGATAAGCTCCTGAGGGCATGGGTGGCCTGGAAGATATCCGAGAAGTATCACCAAGCGTACGCAGCGATGAGCTTTGGCATTTTGGCTTTGGACACTGCATTCAACGCAATGCGTAAACTGGATGGATCCGACTGATGTTTAACAAGAATGACATTTCGTTTCCCTGTGCGCTACATTGTACTGTGCTGCACTTCTGCGAGCTGAGCGGGCTGTAAATGGTAGTGTGTGCTATACTGGTCTAGAGTGCCACGAGGCGTATAACGGGAGGCGTCACGACCTCTTCTGTGGGTGATGTTGGCCAGCAAGTCAAGGATTCTAAGTGCGGTTGGCAATAAGGAGATGTATAAGATGTATTATGTGCCAGTAAGTCCCCAAACCGCCGTCCACTGCTTGGCTTGTCGTGGCCGCTCCAGTCTTGGACTATTCACGCTTGGGATCGATCTAGGTCAGACTTAGATTGCGCCAAATAATATAGTCCTTTCCTTTATGAATATTCGGCTGATAGTTGACGATAGATTCCATAAAACGTCCACGGGGCGTTTGGGCGCAATCACACAAACACCCACACCCACAGAATGTCACTGGAGCTCTTCGTCAGTAATGTCCCATATGGCGCCAATGAGCACCAGGTTACTCGCTGTTTAGAACCAATTCTCCACGGGGATAGGTTCCGGGACTTGTTCATCGGTGGCGCACCATACAACTTTATGGTGCGCTTATTCAAAGGCAAACAGCATCGTCATCAAAATCACTCTGGAATGGGGGCAATATTACTACCCTCGGTAGACATCGGGCTGCGCCTACTCGCCTTGAGCAGCAGTACATGTCCAGTTGAAATCCATGGGCGTCGTCTCAAGTTTGCACCCATCAGAAGGCCGGTATTTAGTCAAGGTGACATATTCAAGTTACGAGAGCCATACCAAGATCCAGAGATACGCCAGCAACAGGAGATCCTATCCGACGAGCTGCTCAGCCCAGGCATCTCGGCACGCTCTATTTCCTTTGGATGGCAATATCAAGATGATATCATCTCCTTAGAACATGAAAGCCCCGAGGGCATAACTTGGACCGTCACATTCAATCTGGCCGATCGCTATCTCCTCCTTCAATCATCTAAAGGGATCCGAGTTTTGACCCATCTACGTTCTATACAGTCTATTGCTTTAGATGCACAAGGATGTGTGCTATGGCTTGAGCGGCCACCAGTCTTCGAGAAGGGTTGAACGCTGCGAATGTACATCGATTATCATCACCAGGAGACGATCCGTACTGCATTATACCTTATCTTCGGATTGTTTACGTCCGGTTCCAGGGTCTGCTCTCCAGCCAGGAGTTTGAGAGGAGGGCGAAGAAAATGAGTGTATCAACCTATACATGCGATCAAGATTTAAAGCGCATGGGTTTATTTGAAGCAGGAATTATGGAGCGATACCAAGCGGCCCTCCCCCAGTTGCCTTTCGAAATCGCATTTCAAATCGAGGGTTTAATGAGTCGTTGTAGGCTTAGCCCTCGAGAGATATTGGAAATACTAGGTGACATTCATGCCGCTCTAAAAGAGCTTGGCGATTCAACGACAGCGCGTTGTGTCAAGGAATTGGAGCAAGAACGAGAAGACAACCCGGAGGCAAACCCAATCGCACTGTTTACTGAGATTGTTCAGTATTTTAGATCTCGTGGCACTGCAAAGGCGAGATCTGATGAGGAATCCGGAGTATTTGAATGCCACAGGGCGACCGTCACTCCGAGCTCTGTAGTTCTCACTGGGCCACTACCAGATGAGACCAATCGTGTCATTCGCAAGTACAGGGCATATGGTCACAACTTCATACGGGTTGACTTTACAGAAGAGGACAGACTGCACTTGCGAAAGGAGAAGAATGTAGACCTCACTGCAATATTGGACGACAGAATCGGCGAATTTATGAAGAATGGTCTCTTTGTTGCTGGTAGAAAGTTCGAGCTTCTGGCCTATAGCTCCTCGGCGTTAAAGGAGCATGCCGTCTGGTTCATGACACCATTCACCACGAGCGACGGCCAGTATATAACGTCAGAATCAATACGGCGATCTCTTGGAGATTTCTCCAAAGTCATTTACTGCCCAGCTCGATACGGAGCCCGGCTCTCACAAGCGTTTTCCTCCACCGAACCATCCATCACCGTCCGAGTGGACGAGATACGCTTTATCCCAGACAAGGAGTCCGATTATGGATCACTTTACACGGATGGAGTAGGTACAATCAGCCCGCAAGCTGCCAAAGAGATCTGGCACAAGTACACCGAATCACGTTCCAAGAGAAATCGACGTCGGCTCAAGAGACCTAGTGCATTTCAGATTCGACTGGGCGGACTCAAGGGTATGCTTTGCGTGGATAATAGACTCCGAGGCCGAGTAATCTGCGTCCGGGAATCGATGAACAAGTTTCATTCGGATGACCGCGAAGTGGAAATTGCTCGTGTATTTGATCGACCAATGGCAATGTTCTTGAATCGGCCTTTGATTATGCTTTTGGAGACGCTAAAGGTGAGCTTATCCGTAGGTCAGTAGCCACATCCGATACTAAGACAAGAAGGTTCCGCTAGAGCCATTCATGGCACTCCAGACCAAGGCTGTCGAGGAAACGCGTGACGCAATGAAATCGTTTGACGCAGCAGCTCGTATCCTTGAGCGATACGGTCTTGGGACCGCATTCAGACTGACTTCTGTATTCTTACAGTTGCATAAACTTGGCGTATCCCTTGCACTCAAGGACCGAAGTCAGGGCTTGTTGCCGTTCCTGGGGAGGATGCTCCAATTCGTGGAAAACCATATACTTCGTGACCTCAAATACAAAGCGAGGATTCCAGTCCCAAATGCTTGGACGCTCGTAGGAGTGAGTGACGAGTATGACTACCTAGGAGAGAATGAGATATACGGTACGTGGTAGCTACTGTAGGGGGTTACTAACCAACCGCCGAATAGCTCGAGTGCGTACAATTGACGGTGAAGAACAATATCTCGAAGGACCCGTTATGATATCACGCTCGCCCACTGTGCACCCAGGTGACGCTAGAATGGTGTGGGCAATAGGCAAGCCTTCAAGAGGTGCACCTCCCGGTCTCGAAGAGTTGACAAACTGTGTCGTGTTCCCGTGTAAAGGGCATCCTTCATTGCCCCAGTGTTTGGCGGGAGGAGACCTGGACGGAGATTTAGTCAGTGCAAGTGCAATATTCACCACATCTGCTCACCTCTGCATAGTATTGCCTTGTGCTCGACCCTCAGCTGCACTTTAGGTGGCAGTTCCAGCATGGAGATTATGATCCTCCTCAACTCGTAACACTTGATCGCCCATCGACAATCAAGGACGTTGCACAATTTGTGGTCAACTACATCAAGGTTGGATCACAGGAGAGCGCAATTACCCACTCACCCTAATACAGAACGATCTCCTCGGCATAATTTCGATGCAATGTATGCTGATTGCCGATGTCCGGAAGGACTGCCTGGCCGATCCAGACTGTGTCAAGCTAGCTAAACTGCACTCAATTGCCGTCGACTATCCAAAGACAGGAAGACATGTCGAATCCAGCGAGATTCCGTGGCTAGATTCCAGAAGGCGACCTGATTGGTACGCTAACGAATTGCACAACAACAACCCCGATCTGTATCAAAGCCAACGGCATATAGGTCATTTGTTCCGCGCGATAGAACTTCCAGCGCTTCCTGAAGCAGCGAAATTGGCCCGCCGTCAGCGTCGACGTATCCAAAGAGATGAGGATGAGGAGCTCAACAGAGATGCTGTACTCCGAGCCCTTTCTGACGACAGAGCGGTTATCAGTCGTTATCTTCGGCCAAAAATCAATACATACATCGACCTGGAGGAGTTTGTACAAGGCCAGCCAACCAATGTCATCGACGAGCTACTCGACGTCTTTGACACGTACTGGTCTAATCTACAATATATAGCAAAGACCAACAGCTTATCCAAGTCAGTACCTTTCGTTTGTGTAGACATACTCTTATATTTCTAGTTCAACCGCCTTGTCGGAAGAGGAAGTTGTGGCAGGATCAATCGTAGCAAAGTGTTCACAACCGGTGCGTTTCATTCCAGTGTCCCTACCAGCGTCTGATTGCCATTAGAGGAGACGCCAGGACGTGATTGCCGACATGAGACGGTCGTCCACCTCGCTTTGCGATCAAGTACGAAACAGTATCGAAGGTCCCGAGGACACCTCTGGGGAGGACAAACTCCGGAGGGCATGGGTGGCCTGGAAGATATCCGAGAAGTATCACCAAGCGTACGCAGCGATGAGCTTTGGTATTTTGGCTTTGGATACTGCATTTAGTGCGATGCGTCAACTAGATGATTACGAGTAGTGTTTGACAAGAATGCCATTTCATTTCCCTGTGCGCTACACTGTACTGCGCTATTATTCTGCGCGCTGAGCGAGCTGTAGAGATTGTGTGTGCTTTACTGGTCTGGAGTGGTGCCACGAGGCGGACAACGGACAGCGTCACGGCCTCTTCTGTGGGTGATGTTTGCCAGCAAGTCGAGGATTACGAGTGCTGTTGGGAATAAAGAGGTGTATAAAGTGTATTATACGTTAACAAATCGCCAAAAAGCCCGCCAACGCCATCGTCGCTGCTGGGCTTGTTGTGGCCGAGTCTAGTCTTGGACTCACACTACGACCCACCGACGATGCCTCTTGCGCGCCGTAAAAAGGTTATCATTACAAAAGACGAAGAAACACTGCAAAACGCAGACCCAGACACGCCAGTCTATCAAATTCCAGAAACGGGAGAGATATTCAGGGACTATTCGTGCGTCAGTCTCGGCGTCGGGCGGTCCAAAAGCTCACTACAGCGCAGCTCTTTCGTGTCTAGAATGTCCTTCTACGGCCTCAAGATCTTCCAATGCGAAACCTCTGGAAAGGGAAACTTGACCTTTTTCGAGGCGCTCGAGAGTGAAAAGGCGGAGGCGCGAATGCTCGATGCACGCTTCCCAGAGCCCCTCAAAGCAGCGATTCTGAAGAGCGTTCAATGGCGTAAGTCTCCTGGGACGAACAGGCGTCGAGCTAACCCCCCGCTTTGAACACGACAGAACTCGTTGGTCGTTTGGATCACCTTGTAGAAGCCGTATACGATCGATTCAAGGATCGCTACTTTGAAGACGAACGTGAGTCTAGACACGACCCGCCAAAACCAGCTCAAGGCGACGGACCATAGGTGTTTTCGTGGATTTCGCGCTGAATTCTGGCGAAGAAGACGCAAAGGAATCTACTATCAAAACTCGCTACTCCGTGCGCATTATCCAGGTCACACCCCCAGCCAAAAGCAAACCCACCAACGGCAAGCGAAAAGCTACCCAGATGTTGAGCGACGATACGGAAACGCAAACTCCCCCTCACGACATATATGGAGACCTCAAAATTCCCGTCGCGCAGGTAAACGCGCTCGACAATCCAAAGGAGTATGTCTACACGGTTCAGCTCACAGATGAGGCTGTGAACACAAACGACACGGGCGCACAAGCCGTCGTACACGGAGACCTTCGCAACGGCGCTACGCAGATGGACGTCCACTGCGATGTCCTCTCCCGCGATCGCCTGGCGTTTTCCAAGTCGATTCTCAAACGCTTCATTCGAGAATGCGTCGACCGTGATGCAGCTGTCGCGAGTCCCTGGATTGTCAAACCAGAGATTGCAACCAAATATGGCATCAGCGTGCAGATGCCCGACGAGATTCGCAGAGACGTCGACGCAGTCAAGCGCTCTGAGACGGAGAAGCGAAAGAGAATCAGCGAGGTAAAGGAACTTCCATCACCCTCAAAGCGAGCAAAGCGCACCAAGCCGCCCCTGACGGAAGAAGAAAAAGCAGCAAAGGCCAAAGAGGAAGAGGCAGCCCGGGCAAAGAAGGAACGCGACGAGATGCAACGACAGGCGTTGACTGGGTGTAAACGCGCTGTCAGTCGATGGCCTGTCGAAGATCTGGACGTGATCCTCACCGAAAAGGAAAAAGCCTCCGGGAAGCCCGTCGTGCGCCCGTTGCCACACAGAACCTCCGAGTTTGCTGCACCAGAGTATTTTGAATCCTTTCTCATGGCGTGGAACTTTATAACAACATACGGGTACGCGTCATCTTTTGACCTTTGACTTCTCACTCAACCCTCATTAGACACGCATTCAACGTTTCTCCCTTCTCATTGGATACTTTAGAAGCAGCTCTACATCATTCTTCCGACGAACCATGCTTCCTCATCGACTGTTTACATACTGGCATAATCTCGTCATGCCGTTCCGTTGCCGCCGCCATTACAAAGGCTCAAATAGGTGTTACATCGCTGTCAAACGAATATGGAGATGAAATGGAAACCGATGACACCGTGGATATTCGAACGCTGTGCTCTGCATTGATTGCATTTGGCTCGGGTTGGGAGAAAAAGGCTGTCAACCATGATACGTGGTGTAATGCACTTGTTAGCATTCTCAAAGAGGTACGTGGTATTTATACAGCAAATCTATGTTCATGATGTCTCTCTCAGCACGCCACCGTCCAAACATTGCCTCAAATGCGACCCATCCTTGCTCACCTTCTCTTCCAACCGGCGCCGGCACCGGAGCCTGGAGTGGAATCTACGACCCAGCCGGGGACCTGGATACCAGCCAAGCCCAAAGAACGGTATTTCTCAATGGCCTTTCACCTCAAAATCGCCGTGCTCGCCTTTTTGTGTGATCTATCTGCGACGGGAAAGGCGGTCCACAATGCCCTTGAAACTTGCGAGGCTTCGTTGACGGAGATGAGGAAAGAAAAGGTCGAATTGAAGCGTCAGCAAAAGAAGGTCGCCGACCAGATTCTTGCCATGTCACCAGAGAAACGACGACTGGCCAACGGAAAGAACAAGAAGAAGCCCGGTTTAGTGGAGAACGGTGACGAATCGGTTGCTCAGGACCAGGACTCGGCAGTCAGCGAGCACGACTCGGACGAGCAGGTTGCCGCTGCAGTCGCTGATCTCTCGATGGATACTGCCCCGTCCGAGGCAGCGTCTGATGATGTTGCTGGTTCTTCGTCCATGTCCGATGTAGCATACACGCCCTCCCGCTCAGCCGGTCGCAGCGCACGCGCGTCTCTCCGCTTTAAAGCTCAAGATCAGGCCCGAGTCGCCAAGGAGAAGAAGAAAAAGGTTGAAAAAGAGCCCCCACCACTCACGAAGCAAGAAGAGGACGAACTTAGGCAATATGAGGAAGAGGCGGCGAGAATCGAGCAAGCGCTAAACACTCTTGAACTGGAATTTCGGCAATACCTGTTACTCTCGCGCATGCAACCCCTCGGTTATGATCGATTCCACTCCAAGATTTGGTGGTTTGATGGTGTAGGGTGCATGACGCTTGTGGACAAGGATGGACAGATCTTGTACGGCACGGGTAAATTGTTTATTCAAGGCCCGTCGCAGGACGACATCGCCGTTATCGACGCGAAAGCGCAGGTGGATCCAAGTATTGGTCTGCGAAGGGAAGCCGAGGAAGGAGAAGGATTGTTGGGCGTGGGCGAGTGGGCTTGGTATGAGACACCAGAAGAGGCGAGTGTCGTGATCCAATTCTCGGCAACCGCTTATCTTTTGCAGATTGAATCATATATCGAGTGGCTCAACACCAAAGGAGTCCGGGAGAATGCTTTGGAGAAAGCAATTGCACAGTGGAAACCATACCTTGTCGGTGGCATGGAGGCGAGGATCAATGTGAGCCCAAAAAAGGATAGTTGAGGAGTGCGCTAACTTGGTTTAGGATTTGAATCTCCAGAACAAGTCCGCAGAAGCGCGACGCGGACGGAAGAGCAACGCATCGACGACGACATCGGATACAAAGGCACCGTACCTAAACTATGTGAACCTCTACGCGACCAAGTAGTCAGTATACAGCATACAATACTTACCTGTATCCCTTTTGCCCATCATAGACATTGATGTCACCTATGCGCCACCGATGAGCCAATGTCCAGGCACTCATGACGTTATTGAGCGGCCCCAAGGGCATAAAACTCGTACATATTCATACTTCTTATTTTCAAATTCTTTGCTCTCTGTACATTTTGTACCATGTCCCGCACGGCTACTGTAGAGCCCGTCATCCAACTGGAGCCGGCCACGCCCAGTCTCGACGAGGCGCAGCGAGAGAATGACTTGAAGACTTCCCCCGCCACTAGGTCTTTGACGTCTCTCAACTCTTTGGTCCCGTCTGAGCGGATCTCCAATGTCATTAACAAGATTCAGGAAACGGTTCAGTCGCCAACGACCGCATTCGTTCCTGAGGAACCTGCAACGGTGACCATTACCGATGAGAAGACTGGACTAACGCATGAATTGTCAACGGAGGAGCTCAGGCGTCAGTACGAGGACGAACAAGTCGACCGATTCCTTCGCGTCTTTTCTAGAGTATGTATTCCTATGGCCGACGCCAATTAAACTCAAAAAAATTGCAGCAAGTAAAAGAGGTTCAAATGCAAGAGGATCTTCCACCCGAGATCCCAGGAAAAGACGACAAGGACGTTCCAAAGGAAGTCCCCGTCTCTCCCAAGGATGCAGAGGATGACGAAAGTGGAGAGGAATGGCGTGTAGACCCAGGTCAATCCGTTCTACCCGCCATCATCTCCCAGACCGTTTCCTCGCCCGTCGCAGCCGTCAGTAATGCGGCGAGCGTGGTTCAGGAGAGCACGATCCAGGCTGCACAAACTATCAAAGAAAATTCGAACCACACGTATACACTCATCAATGAGGGTGAATGGCGCGGACGATCCCCGGCCGAGTGGGTCGCAATGGTACGTTTTTAGCACAAGTTTAGTTATGTCTAGCTAATTTCTGCAGAACTTGATTGTTCCTATCCTCCCGAGGCCTCACCGCAAAACCTACACGTTTACCTTTGGTGGACTACAGGGCACTTTGACTCGGTATGTTTCGGCATTTGGGAATTACATGAACTCATATGCATAGACTTTATCTTGCTTGCCAGCCTCTCTACGCTCCATTCATCCAGCGCATGGTCGCATTGATGACCTGGGAGGATCCCCGTCGCAGCTTCTTCTACTGTGTCGTATGTAAAACACTTTGATACCGAGTATTTCCTTACTTTATGTAGCTCTTCTGGATCCTCTGGTTCTTCGACCTGTTGCTCCCTGCATTATTTGCAAGGCTTACCTACTCGCTTCTTCGACGCCGCCTTTTGCCATACCCGACTGCGCAAGAGCTCGTCGAGAGACGGTCGGCCACTGCACGAGCTGAAATTATGGGTTCTGAGATCCGAGCGTATCTGGACTCTGGAGTCACTGGCGGTGTTGGGATGAAGGATGCCTGGAAGATGTTCCGACTCGCTACTAAGAATAAAAAGCAAAAGGCCAAGGATGCGATGGGTAGCAAAGATGCCAAATCCGACTCGACTCCAGACGATGTCGACTATGCTCGCGAAGACGAGGATAGCAAGCGAGCCGCGCTCGCTGCAATGGAGGAGATTGCCGACTTCCATGAGCGATTTGCAAAGTATGTCTAAATTTGCGTTTGTTTTCCGAATCCTAACACGCCTGCTTAGCTTATGCCACTGGCGAGATCCTGACGCCTCCATGCGGTATACTATTGTAAGTCCTTGTAGAGTGGCGTCTAAAAATGTCTGACAAGTGCTTAGATACTGGGTATCATGGTCATTGTCTCTCTCTTTACGCCAGCCAAGTACGTCGTCAAGGGCATCTATGCTGGAGGTGGCATTGGATTCTGGTTTATTCCCAACATCTGGGCTGCCTTGCCACTTGAGCATAGGAGTCGTATTCCAGCACCTCTTGGTGACGTTCCAACCGATGCGGAGTATGCAATGCGTATCATTGGTGAACGTGTCGACCGCGGCGAGGCTGTTCTACCTTCTGATCTCCGCAAGAAGAAGGACAAGAAGCGCATTGGTACCCTCAATGGAGACGCGACGAGGAGCGCCAATAGTCTATCGCCTTCTACTTTCACCTCGGCAAACAAGTCATCAACGACCATTGGGTCTCAAGACGAGGCAAATGTTGCAGACCCGGGAACTGGTAAAAACCCGATGGGTAAGCTTAAAGCCAAAGTCAAGAACGTCGTGTTTGCCGATCAAAAGAAGCGATCGGAGACGCATGATGAGAACGGAGAGCCCTTGCCAGAAGAGAGTGAGTCACATCTCCTATTCGTTTAACTAGACTAATGACGGCCAGCTTTCCCCGCCAAATATCACGCGTCAATGGGTATGCTCACCCTCACATCCTCGTCTCTGGCCTTCTATGCCATGATGTCTTCCAATGCCAAGGTTGTTATTCCGCTCAGTGACATTCGTGGTGTGAAAAAGGCCGGTCGTATGGGTGGACTGCGTATCAGATACGTCGTCCGAGATGGTAGCACGACAACGCCGGGTTCCCCCCGTCGTTCGATGGACACTAATGTGTCCAACGCAGATGGAAGCATTGCCCAACGTATCCAAGACGAGGACGCGCAAGTCGGGGTTGCCATAAATGGCGAGCCGCTCGAGCGAGAAGAAAAGTTTGGATGGGTCTCTGGCAGAGATGAACTCTTTGCCAGGCTTGTCGGATGGGGCAACCGTCGATGGGTCAAGATGTAAACTGCTCTACAAGCAAATGCACGCTGGACGGAAATACACGCATATACCAGTCATGTCACTCCAAGACACACGTATCACGGCTTGTAACACTATAATTTACTGTACAATGACATACCTTATCCATACATTTTATCGTTAGCCACTTGAAAAGTAAACCTTGACCTAACCACCATGGCAACTCCGACTGCATCCGCCACAAGAGAATGGCTTCAGCCTTCTAATCGACCAGAGATTATTGATACGTTGATTAGCGGAGTTGGTTTGTATCGAGTTTCGACGCGACAATAAGCTCAAGGCTGATTGCGACGTCTGCGCAGATCGTTACAACCCTTCGAATGTTGGAATCCTAGAGGACTACTTGTACCATCAGACTCGAACAAACGAGTACGACTGCCTGGCCAATCTAGCCATCTTAAAATTGTATGCCACCTTGCCAAACGTGTAAAATCGCTGACAATAGAATTTGCTACACAGATATCAATTCAACACCGTGTTGTACAACGCCGATGTTGTCGTTAATATCCTCCTCAAGGCTCTCACCGCGACACCGTCGCCTGATTTCAACCTGTGTATGGCGCTCTTGAGCGAAAAGATACCACCATCTGGAGATGAAGCAGATTCAGAGCACGATCCAGCGACGCTTCTTCCAATCCTGTCCACGCTTTCGCGGCATCTCCAGGAATGCCAATTTCCGGCATTTTGGAGACTTTACCAAGACGATTCTTTGGCCTATCTCCGTGAAAATTTCACCGTCGAAGTTTTGGGCTTTGAAGATGGTATCCGAGAAGTCGTTGTAAGGGCCGTCAAGTCGACATTTACCAAGATTGGAGTGGCGCGGCTGGGCAGCTATCTCAACCTTTCGGGTAGGTATCCAGATATATTGGGATAGCTCTAATCGATTGATTTAGGTGATGCGTTGGAAGATTTCATTAACAACGTCGGCTGGTCTCTTGACGCAAATACTGGCACTGTCACCATCCCGCCCAACCCAGACAATACCGTGCAACCGACCATAATACGGGAGACGATTACATTACCTCGTAAGTGTTTCGCCTTGGTACCTATGTCTCCTCACAGCACCGTAGAATTGTCGCGCTTGATTGCACATGCCACGTAACTTCACTATAGTCGTACAAAAAGAGACTAAACTCCATTCAATTTGACATCTGGTTCGTCAAACCATAAGCGGATCCCAAGGTCAGCGTGAATGGCACCGGATGCGATGATCTTTCGACTGGGATGAGTCTGGAGAATAATTAGAGAAATACTCTATTTTGCCTATTCAACTTACAGCGACTGCGAGAACGACATCTGGAGACGTCAGAGTCTCGAAGTCTCCTTGGGGCGTCAACTCACCTGTATGACCCTCTAAAACTTGGACAATCTCGCGAGACTGGACGTCCCACAAGTAGATTTTATGGTCTTCCGAGCCACTAACGATCCAATTCCTGTCTTTATCGACAGCTAAGCAAGCAGGAATAGCATACAGGTCGTTTTTGTGGCCTTTGTACGTCTTTACGCAGCGCGAAGTATGATAGTCCCACAGGCGAATTGTGGAATCCAGGGTAGAGCAGAGGATGAATTGTGCATTTGGCGTAAAGCAGACGCTCGCGCATGGGTCATGGGATTGTGGCTCGACGACAGTCTTGAGACACTGTCCAGATGTTGTATCCCACACTCTCCTATTCACTCATGTGTCAAACATGGTATTGACTGGAACGAGATGACGAATACGCACGCTAGACCGTCAAACGAAGAGGTCACAATGATGGTTCCATCGTAGCTAAACTGAACAGAGGTTACTGGATCCGAATGCGCAGAGATGGAACGTAGGATTGTTCCTTTATCCAATCATTGAGTCGACGTGATCGTAAAAGAGTTGAAATGAGGAGTCCCACCTCGAATAACGTCCCAGATCTTGACAGTCTCGTCAAAGCTACCCGACGCAAGCAAATTGGATTGTGAATTATAGTTGACGCAGAACACGGGGTTGTTATGGCCATTGAGCGTCTTGACTTGAGTGCCCTATGCAAAAAAAGCGTCAAAACAAACTTGACTATGACTAAGAGTCGTCTCACCCACTCTTTGCGCATTCCATATTCGCACAGAATAGTCGTCCGAAGCGGAAGCTACGTACTCGCTATCGTTGGACCATGCAACGTCATTGACACCTTCAGTATGCCCTTGTAGCGTCTTCAAGTGTACTCCCGTATGAATATTCCAGATGATGATTGTATGGTCAGATGCTGAGACGATGTCAGTCAAGCCCAAGAAATTCTCAGGGCAGAACAAACATGTAGAGGCCAAAAGAAGCCCATCTGTACTAAACTTTAACGATGTCACCGCTTGAGTGTGGCCAAATAGTGTGATGCGATGCTCATAGTGTGGCGAAGTGGAGGTCAACATTAGTTGTCTACAAGAGTACAAGGGAGGATTGCATAATGTTCAAAAGTATAAGATACGTTCTTCCTTGGTTCACCAGGGAATAAACATCTCTGCGGGATAAACGGCCAATCTTCATGAAGAAGGAATCGGAGCCGCTATACGAAGCACGTAAGACATAGGACGTGAGGACCCACAGATGTTTACTTACGACAGCAAACCTGATCGGCGTCACAGTTTCCGGTTGGACAAGCGACCAAACAACTGCCGATACGTTCGTCGTCTCCGGCGAGATCCCCAAACTCGGGCTGGATAGTCGCGTTGTGAATATCGTGACGGTGTAGAATCCTGCGAATATCGTATACGGCACGCATATAATCCGCTTTCTGCTCCAGCCGAATGTGCACAGACGCGATCGTTCTCGTCTCCGAAAGTTGCCAGACATGAAGCTCGTGGATTGATTCGACACCCACGACACGACTGATTTCCTCTCGCACGTCTGCAATGTTCACATTTTCCGGAACGCCTAGGATCTGTTAGTTCATCCCGCACAGAAAAAATGACCATTCTTGCCTTGTAGGAGGATGAAAGACGCCGACTTGACGAGTGGAAGAGACGAAGAAAAGATGATAACCGTAATAACGAGGGAGATGACCGGGTCCGAATAGAATCGGTATTTCCATGTCGTAAGCCAAATAATGAGACCGCTAGAGATGACGCCGACGTTTCCGAGGGCATCGCCGAGAACATGCAGTACCAGCGCGCGCATGTTCATGCTGCCGTGATGGTGATGTTTCTTGCCACCAGCTTCGGCTTCCTGCTCGTTTGCAGCCCTCGAATGGCTATAAGCCCTAGACACCGAGCCGTGACGATGTCCCGCATGGTCGTGGTCATGTTCGTCTTCTTCTTCGTCCAGGACAACAGCATCAGCTACATTGGAAGCACTGGCATCCTGTAGAGGTCGATGAATAGACACCGATGTGTTCCGGCGATGTAACTGAGGCGATGACGGTGGAGAGGTCGCGCCAGCATACGACGTAGCAAGATCTTGTGCCTTTGCAATCACATATTGACGATTCTGAATCGGATGTCCGAAAAGAGAGATCGAGTCGCTCGAATCACGACGCTGGCGGACGATATTTACATTTGTAGAGCGTGGCGATGCCAGTGGAGACCCGGTGGGCGTGGTAGAGGTGTTGATAAGCAGCGGTTGTCGTTCCCCATTTGGTGCAGCGGTGGACGGTGTGGGCATTTTGGGGGCCTCGATAAATCCGTTGGATGGAGCGTGCCCGTGTCCATGATCGTGTGAATGGCCGTGACCGTGCTCTATACAGGGTGAGTGTGTTAAACATGGGATGATGAGAAACCTCACCGTGGAAGAGGAAAAGGCCTAGAATGTTGCTCAGGAGGCCTAGAGAGCCGACGACGACGACGAGCTTTGGGTTCGAAATCTCTAAAAGCTGGTCAGACGGCGACACGATTGCAAGTGACAGCGTGCGTACCTGGAACCTCGAAGAAGCGTTCGATTGCCTCCATAAAGATGGAAAAGCAGAGCGCGAGAAGAAAGACGCCGTTGATAAGAGCTGCAAGAATTTCTGCACGATGCCATCCATAGCTCAAGCTAGACAGCAGGTCTTCAGTCTCCTTTTGCCCAAAAATGGACAAGTCACCAACCTGGTACTAGCGCTTCTTCCAGCGAGCTTTTCAAATTATGAGTGACAAATCATGACTTTTAGACGATAAATGCACCTTGATAGCGTAGAGGGCAACGATCAGACTCATGACATCGCTGCGGCGGAACAGTCAGCGCACGCTCGAGCCACACGAACGAGCAATTCTGAGGACGCACTTGAGCATATGGAAGCTATCCGCAATCAACGCGAGCGATCCGACGGCATATCCTACACAAAAACGAACAGTTTTCAACACGGGCCACACGCAACGCCGCCTGGGAAGACAACCGACCAACAATGAGCTCAATAAGGAAGAAGAGACGTCAATAACGAGCAAAATCTTGATCTTAGTAGAGCGAGACGCCATTCGGGCAAACGGTCGACCGACGAGGTCGACGCCAAAGCTTTACCGAGCACAGTAAACCACTGCACATGGGCTTAGAAGGGCTCAGGAAATAAGGAAGAAATGAAAGAGATGTAGAAATTTGTTGTACATGTCTGCGCGCCAGGTGACTAGACATTCCATTGCACATTGTCTGAAATCCTAGCCAAAGAGCGAGCATCTTTCCTTCTCAGTCGTCTATTTCTCCATGATTGTCGCCACTAATAGGCGGAATCTAGCATACGAAATTGCGACTTGTCATCTGTTAGAGTTTAACCTGTTTGCACGCATCGCTACCCTATATAGGATTCTCTCAAGGGCGGGCCCCAGGGCCTTAGCTTCATAGAGGCGTTCGCCAGAGATGCGTCCGACAGTCCCAGGAGCTACTTGCAATGAGAGACGGATCATTGAGCGACCATGCACACGCGACAACGAATTCTGTGTGCTTGTCGTAGATGGCAAGCAGACTGGGCATTCCAGGGGGGCGTATTTGTGGACCATCTACTAGGTCTTAGCGCAATGCAGGTTATCCAGCAGACAGTTACTCACATTCGACAGCTCATATCGTAGCTTGCACTCGCCAATCTATCCGGTGCAAAATTGCTCCATTGGACTTTACGCACTGCATATTCATGCCCCGCGAGTTCTTTCACGCATGCGCTCATGTTCCCACCAGCCAAGACTCCAGGATGAGTGGGAACTGGAGGAGCACTATCGTTTGGTTTCACCATCCGACGATCCCATATACGCACAAGTCGGTCGACCGATCCCGTGGCAAGGACATGGGGCTGCCATTTATTCCAGTCAAGTGAGAGGATCTCCGCCTGATGGGCATAGAGTGTGAGTGCTGGTGCTGGGTATGCGAGTGTCGAGGGTGCGCGCAAGTCAAAGAGGTGGACGAGCCCGTCCGAAGCACACGACACGAGGACGTCGGGTTCGTGTGGCGAGAAGAGTGTTTGGTAGATACATTGATTCGGATGGGCGGGTATCGCTTTGAGCGAATGCGGTCTCTCGGGCGTCCACTGCCGGACAAGAATCAGAATCATGCCCACCGGCCCATATACAAGAAAGAGAAAGACGCACGATGCGGATTGTACCATCCCAAGAGGCTGAACAGAATACAGACTTGTTGATATTTGACCAGTCGAGGCTGTAGACTTCTTTGGTGTGCTCTCGCCAGGCGCGGATGGGGTGTTGCTAATCTGCCACTCTGCTGAGTCTAGGTCAATGCGCAAATAGTAGTACGTGCGTTGAGTGTGATATCCCATAGTCGAATTGTCCCGTCACCTCCTGCAGTCACGACCTGATTCTCGTGAATCTCTGACCAGGCGAGATCAAACAGCGCGTCTTGAGTCTCAAATCTGCTCCAATGAGTGTATGTTCTCATTGAAAGGAGATTATACCTACGTTTTATCAATCACGGCGTTGTTCGGTGGCGCTAGCGTTGCAACGCTCAGTCGCCCGTTTCCTAGGAGTCCGTAATTTGCAGACGCTGCAATTGCAAGTTTGTTCTCATAAAACGGTGACCACGCGACGCCGTGGTGTGCAAAAGCAGGTGTCGAGAGTACAGAGACCGGATCCATCTTTGGCTATTACCACCATGAAACCGCCAACGTTAGACAATCTCCTCGCGACGCTCAATCAATCTCCATGGACAGCATATGCGACGTGTGCAGCTATAACACTCACTCTTTACATCTTCTCGCGCCCTCTGCGGAGTTATGTGCGGATGGGCCTGTTGTACGCAAGTATCGTCCTCTCTTCGTCCTATGGGATCTTGGTTTCGCTCTTTTGTGGTGCAGAGACGAATTACATCTCAACAAAGGCGTTTGCCGACGTATGCGAGTGGACAGTTGGACTGAAATTCGAGGTCGAGGGCAAAGAACATTTGGACATTGGTCCATCCGTGGTAGTTTACAATCACCAGTCTCTTCTGGACATTGTTTTCATAGGACGTACGTATCTTCCTTTACAGTGTCAACTATACTGACGTGTGTGTTAGGCGCGATGCCCCGCCGTTCTACCGTGCTCGCGAAAAAGGAGCTCAAGTATGTCCCATTTTTTGGGCAGTACTTATATTTCAGCAACGCCATCTTCGTCGACCGTTCATCCTCTCAGCACGCGCAATCTCTGGCGTCGCTCCATAAAGCAGCGCAGCAACTCTTGTTCACACAATCCTCGCTACTCGTATTCCCCGAGGGCACAAGGACACTCAGCAAGGAACATAACATGCGAACCTTTAAAAAGGGCGCTTTCCATGTGGCCATTGAGGCCGGTGTGCCCATCGTCCCTGTAGTGTGCGAAAACCACTGGAGAATATACAGGCCGGGCGTGTTCAATGGTGGGATGTGCAAGATCTCTGGTTCGTCTACTCTCCTCTAGAGGCACAGACTGATAGGTTCATAGTCCTCCCACCAATCTCGACCAAAGGTCTTTCGTCTGCCGACGCGACGCGACTTTCCGAATCGACACGAAACCTCATGCTCGCGGAACTAAATCGCATCTCACAATAGCTCAGCTCACGTTAATACCATTGGTGTGTGAAAGTCGTATCATGCCCTATCTAGTCCGTCGAATTATAAAAGGGAACAAACGAGTCCGTGTAATCTCGATCTAAGCTAATGCAAATGGAATGGAATGGTGGAGAGCCGTTATACCTTAAGGAGGATTGGGGACCTAGTAACCAGCCATGGCGGATGACACATAGTTCATCATCTGCTCCATCTGGCTCCTATCCCAGGAGCTCATGGCGGCGTACATCTGCTCCATGGTTGGTGGAGAGGTCGCGGTGCACTCTGCTGCACCCGAGACGATGGTCGAGGTCGCATGTTCGCCGGCAGCAGGCGCCGTTGTTGTAGCTTCATATGCTGCGCTTGAGGTCTCGGCTTGACCCTCTGCGGTAGATGAAGCGTACTGGCCTTGGCCCTCAACGGTGGAGGATCCAGCGCCCTCGTGGGCAGCGCTCGAGGTTGCCTGTTGGCCCTCTGCAGTAGAGGATTCGGATCCCTGGTATGCTTGTGTTGAGGTCGCGTGCTCGCCCTCTGCAGTCGAAGTCGCTTGCTCGCCAGCTTGTCCTTCATAGGCAGATGATGTCTCGCCTGCTTGTCCTTCATAGGCAGATGATGTCTCGCCTGCTTGTCCCTCGTACGCGGCACTTGTCTCGCCTGCCTGGCTTTCGCCTCCTGCGTATGCGGAAGAAGTCTCACTGGCTTGACCTTCGGCTCCTCCGTAGTACTGCGTCTGCTCAGCGTTACCCTCTACAGGGGTCTCAACCGGGTTGCCGTTATAGTTGCCCCCAGCACCTTCGTAGGAGGATTGGGTCTGCTCAGCTTGGCCCTCTACAGAGGTCTGCTCAGCTTGGCCCTCTACAGAGGTCTGCTCGCTGCCACCCGCAGAGGAGGATTCACCTCCATTGTTGTTATTGTAGCCTCCTCCGTTGTTGTAATTGCCTCCGTTGTTGTAGCTTCCACCCTGGGGTTGCTGGCCATAGCTCGAGTGCCACTCCATACGCGAGGGCTTAGCCTACATAGCAAAAATGTCAGTACATGAGACCAGTGGAGTGGAGATGTTTGCTATGCAGCCGATGCCTCGAAACTCGGCTGGGTCGTCAAAGAGCCCAAGGCCGGCAACGAGAGCGAGCCGAGTAGACACGTGACAAGAAGGGAAGAAGGCGTACATCATGCCATGGTGTAAGGTACTGGCCGAGGACGTTGATCCCCCACGAGATTGCTGCCGCCGCATTTGCTCCCGCGTGCACGCTACCTCCAACGTTGAGCTCACCGCCCACATTTACATTTGCATTTCCTCCCGCATTGGCGCTCCCACCGCCCCCATAATTGTAGTTGTAGTTGGACGTGGGGGCCGCCGAGACGGATGACACGCAGAGGACAAGCGAGGTAGCGACGAGAGATTGGAGATGCATTTTGTAGAATAGTCGAGAAGAAGAGTTGTGTAGAGAATGTGAATGAAAGTAAAGAAAGAGTGACTATGCACTGATAGTTTGAAAGAAGAAAGGACAAGTAAAAACCCGAGTCGACGGGAAATAGGGGCAGATAGACGAGAGAAGTGAGGAATGTGAGCCAAGAGGTGCGCTGGCTATATAGCGCCAGTCGGAGAACAAGAGCCCCATTCGACATCGAGTCGGTTGCCGACACAACAGACACCTGACGGCGGCGCGTCTTGTTGAGCGTCGGCAACGGAAAGATACAATCGCATCGTTTCTTATTGTACCGCCTTTGGTAGCCATGTTTCAGATCGACGTGTCCCAAAAATACACGGGCGAACGCTTGCCATATACTGCTAGTCTGACATCATTGTTCGTGGGTCCTGGGATGTCTGTCTGTACATCGAATACGTATCATTTCATGAATTTCTGAATATGGTAATAGACCGAGGAAGGATGCAAGTCCCGGACATTCCCTGACTATCGACTTCTGCCTGGTATGGCAGACAACCCGCAATTACCAGGTGATTTGGTCCTTTCTGCTCGGGGACCAAGCTGTATCACTGTTGATTGATCGGTCGCAGTTGGGCGGATCGGCCTGAAGGGTTAGTCAGACGAGCAAGTACAGTCTCCTGGTTATCACAGTATCAAACACGGTGATCGTACTTCTTCCTCATCACATGGCTCGCATCGTCCAGATTCCAGCATGGCCTCAGGTCCGTTGACATGCACCTCTACTTACCCCACTGACGTAGGTCTGATTGGATGCGAATGGCAAGTTTCAATATCGGTCACGGGTTTCTTGTTATGCTGAGATATCAGCGCTGTCCGGAACTTGAAAGAGTGAGCCTATACCTCGAATGATGTTTTTAAGTCTCCACTATGGGATGCAGGCTCTTTACCCATGGAAACTGAGCAATAGTCTTATCTTATACATGCAAAGATAATTCCACGACTGTAATTTCCATGGGTAGGCACTGCATTCCACCGGGACCATGGATATGTTCTCTACATCACATCCACCTCTCGGCTGAGTGTACCTAAAGTCCCAAAGATAGTGAAGATATGTTTGTCGTTGCTAAGAATAGGCTATACGACAACAGCAGTAGATCAGCCATCGCGCACAACAGATTTAAAACGAAGGAAAATACCGTTCATCACTACTCCAGATAGGTTCTATACCTTGAATATAGAATTTAGCCCATACGAGAGGGCGGCTAGGCCAAAGTGACATACTTTTGGAGGGAGTATGAGTCGCCATTCCATGTTCATTGCAGCCCAGCCGAGGCGTTACACGAAAGACACATTCTGCTTGGACTATAGTTGGTTGCTCCCTTCGGTAAGCCGCGGAGCGCAAGTACAGAGCTGCACAGTCGCAAGAGTAAGCGACAAGATCATAAGGAAAAAGAGAAGGAGGAAAACATACAAATTCTGGATCCCATACTTCTTGTTAACAAGTAGAACTCGTTTCATCGTGAGTTTTATAGGACTAAGGTTGAATTAGTGAGGAGACGGCTCAACAAACTACTGGCACGCAAGTTTTCGTCCTTCGGTATGTGTCGCTCTGCGTTGCTGGTTTTGCGTAGAGTTTCAAAACAATACTACGATCGAACGCCCGGGTCACTTGGGAGAGAGAAGTTGGTGACAAACTCCTCGGCTGGGCTCTTCCAGCCTTTCTAATAAGCTCCAACCTCTTGAGCAATGCTCTTTGACGGCAAGATTCATCGTTACATTCAAATTGCATGAGTTTGATCGGACGTACGGCCATCACGTGGGAAAAAAAGAATGACCTTAACGGCATACACTAATTACAGGTGTGCGATGAGAGACAGTCATAAGCCGTTCCTGTCCTGAGTCGAGATATAAATATCGGCTATCATGCAGAATCGTTCACACCTATGTAACCGTATTGAGTGGCGTAGACTGGATTGGACATTATCCGCATTCGGCGGCTATCACCTCCACTCGGACGGCGGAGATTAAGTATTTGGTCTGATTCAGAACAATAAATTTATACTTTCGCTACCTTTCGCCGCCTCCTGTATCTCATGTTCCGCCTTCTCTCCAGACCTTGACGTAGCTACTGTGATTAATAGGCCGTGGTCACTATTGTATATCTCTTAAGAGCTAGACAATACAGCACATGCACCCTGTTCAAAGCTCGCAGAGCCTCGGTCAGAACCGCTCGAGTCGTGGCTTGGATTGGGACGAGGTCGGCCACAGTACCCAGCCCAGACCTCGCTTGGCTCTCCCATCTCGACTATTAATCCCTGATTATCTGTCCTCGTTATCCTATCCGGTCTTCTGTTTAGTCGAGACCCTTGTTTCTAAGTCAGTCTCCGTAAAAACTTTCCTAGGCGAAGCTTGGGAAATGCGTCAGCTGACCGACTAAGCGTAACCACGCATATCTCACCGTCTTCTCTACATTATCCATTACACATCCGAGTACATGTAAAAGATCCTCGATCCGAATGTCCGTCTACGTCTCATTACAAGCCAGTCAAAGGCACTCGTTTGCACGATAATATTCTATCCCTCTTCCTACGACCTGAGCGGTTGACAATACAGCCCAAGAGGTAGTATTCCGTGTCCCTTCCGCTGATTGCAGCCTCCTTACCGACTCCTGTAAAGCGCGGGCATTTATTCTTTCGGGAGTAAATGACACAAATGATAAATATACTTGGTAGAATACTACTCATAAATCGTCTGAATTTCGACGTGGAGACTGCTAGGGCCCCGAGGACTGCGAGGATTTGATACAAACAGGCTATTCGAAAAGAAGGAGAGGTCAGCTACATAGTAAAAAAAACCAAAGAAGCAGTTTACTGTGTGTTCTCATTCCAAACCTGATCGGCATCTTCGAAAGCGGGAGATTAACACACACGAGCGACTGACTAGCCCAAGTGCACACTTACTTTCGATAACCATAGGCGTTCCATGGTCTCTACAGGCCTTGCATTTTCCTTGGGTAGTAGCTGGCTCCCTGTGATTGGCCCGAGAGCGCAAGAGGGAGGCTACACGGTCAGGCTATTGATAATAGGCATAAAGGACGGGAACGTGGCACGTACAAATTCTAGATCCCATGGTTCTCCTTTACAAGCAGGATTCGTTTGGATGAAGAGTTGCTTGCGCGAAAATGGACGGAGCACTGGCGGAGGGATGAAGCGTGGTTTGATCAACGGACAAACTATACCAACCTGCATCGCCACCTATGAGTTGGCTCGTGTATGTCGCTTCACATGCTGTTTCCGCATTCGGAGCTGCGGCACGTACGGATCGTGGTTGGGCTGCACCAAATGGATAAACTAATCACCTTTGGGGATATGCATTACTGTAACACTCTAACAAGATGAGTGGTTTTAATTCTATGTCTGGGAGTTGATACCAGAAGCATTCACGTCCTCTTGGGTTCGGTTTCTGGAATACCGACGTGTTATTGCCACAATATTTGAATGATACACGGTAATTTGACACTAAGAACGCCTAATGATATGGCAGGTGTTATTAAAGACGATACGCGGCTTGCCCCGGAACCGAAGCATGACAAAAGTACTCAGCTGTCATATAGTTTCAGTTGGAGAGACTGTAGGATCTGAGTACCCATAGCGAGCGGTGTGATTCAATCGGATGCACTGGTCATCACAGGTGAGATAGGTTCAGGAGCTGTGCGCTACATTCAGACAGCGAAGAATAAATATCACGTTCGAGCAAGGATGGCAGACTCACTTTCTGTCGGTTTCGTCGTTCACTGCGTGTCAAGTTCAGCTTCTTGTCTCCGTTCTGGTAGGGCACACGTTGAGTGTGGGGTTATGACTTCGCTTTTGCGGTAAGTTGATCCTTGTTAATCGCCTTTTGGTAGCCGAATGACTTAGGCTATTGTGCGTTTGGTCGGTCCAGCATGAGTAGACGTCGTCAAACATTCAAGGGCGAATTTCTGCATGGACAAGAGTATAAAACTGATATATTGGCGCGTTTCGGCATGATCTCGAGTCGCAGTTGGGTAGAAGGTTGAAGGCCCCTGATGGGCCAATCATGAACAAACTTAGATTGTACTCGTGATTGTATGAACGTCTTCGGCTGAACAAAACTCTAACCCTACCAGAGTATGTGAAATAATATCATATACACTTTGGCATCGTGTTTTCGACCTCTGTGTCTGAAATACTACAGCGAGCAGGTCCGGTAAACCACCGATGGTTTGATATCATCGTCGCTGACCTTGGTCATGGGTCCATATTTCAGAGTTTCCCTCTCTTACGAACACATGAAGGCCACGATAGACCAAAGACCGTCACAGGTTTGCAAGGTTATATATACCAGGTGTCGGTGGGCTTGATTTGCCAAAGTGTCAAGTAAATTCCTAGTTACCCAAGTTACTATTTCAACTCTGATTCTATTTCAGCTTGCCGATGGGAGCATCAACACGGCTTGGCCTAAGGGGCTTCCTCGTTGTGAATGCCTTCGATTCAACTTTAGGGATACGAAATCTTTATCCAAATTCCGTGGTCTGGTTCGAATGTCAGTTATTTGCACCCCAAAATGTTACCTCTGAAGCAAAAATAGTTCCCGCTAAACGGGCGCCATCGGGAATTCACTGCTTTGGTTTGGAATCAGAGATATGCCTCGATTGACGATAATCATTGTCAAAGTTCATTGGCTGATTGCCTGGGAGCCCGTTTTGATCACTCACCCTGCTGGGCAGGCACGGGACATTCGCTCACAGATACTGAAAAGTGGGTGCATGATATACTTCTAGATATCTAAGCTAACGGTCCACAGAGAGTAGTTTACCAGAGGCCTAGAGATAAATACGCTTCGAGTATCCTCTGGTACAAGTGTCGAAGATTATGTTCAATTGACAACTGAATTGCCTAGTTCTCCAAGGATAGTGAAGATTTGCGTGAAATTCCTACGAACATACTATTCCGATAGGGTCGGGGTCAGCCGCGGCACACGATGAACTTGAACCACCCCACTTACCGGTCGCTCTCCCTCCATACGTGTCTAAGATCTGCATCATGGGATGTGAGCACGCACGAGCAAGTGAAGAGACTGAGAGACAGTGCTTACTCTCAGAACCAGTATCATTGACATGATTTTTGCAAGTAAATCCAGGCTCTGGAGAGCAAGCATCGTTCACTTGAAGCACAGCGGACTCCTCCCTACTGTTGGCAATAGATTTCAAGTATAAAGCTGTGCCGCAATGCCGAAAGGTAAGCGTCGAGCTCAGGAGAAAAGGCAGGGGCTGGAAACCTACAAATTATGGATCCCATGATACTCCTTGACAAATACATCTTGCTCAGAGGTGGCTATATATGTAGTATTTGCTCACTGAAGAGAGAGTGTGTCAAGTCTCTGAGTAATGCCGACTACCGGTTACATCCTACAAAGCCACCCCATGTGTGCCACTGGACGCCACTGGACGCCACTTGATAACTGAGACTTGCATGCGAGGTGTATCGACCGTCTGGTTGTGTCTTCGTGTGGTGGGCGAAAGCGGTATGGAGAAAACGCAGGCCGATATTACAAGGTAGATCCACTCAAGGTAACCAGCTAACTGTCGATATGTGATGCAGAAACCCGACCCTTGAACTCGGCGACACAGCTGCCTGAGGCGTGTGCGCTTATTATAATTCCAGATTGAGTCGAACCGAAGCTATCGCCAGATTCCCAGCAAGAGGTGGCCATAACAAAGACCTTGGACGGAAGAGACTGTTGGGCCGGCCTAGAATATCATCTCTTCTGCACCCAGTCGTCGGCACCAGAGAGATGCTTTCCTCCCTCTTCGCTGCGCATGGGTCCGGCGTTCTGCCCGTACTCTCGCAAAAATGCGCAGTGTCATGGTACTGATGTCCTCAAGCCATAGCCAAATCATCCCATCAGACGCCTCCATGGCTGAATGATATATATAAATGCATGTTGTGTTCGCCGTGCAGTGCTAATCAGACCAATCAAGTGTTGACTCAATGCCCCGTTTTGTACAGATGAAGAATTGGAAACTGCAAATATAAGGTGTCTCGAGTCGTGGTTCGGTGCAAGGTCAGCGCTATATACGTGGGCCTCCCCGAAATACGTTTCTTTTGTGGTCTGCCAGAGTATCACCTCTTTGCGAGTGTTGCCTGGACGCTGTAGATGGAACACCGAGTTGAGGTGCGTAATATTATGTCATATCCGTAAAGCAGCAATAATACCTGGCTCGAATACATTTCGAAAACAGTCATTCTCCAGAGTTCAGGAGCACGAATGACGCAACCTGGAGCTGAGTCCGAAACCTCCAAATGGCTCCTATGGCGCCTGATCCTACACATCAATGGCTGGAGATGAACCTATTGAGTGGAGTCCCCTCCTGCGTCACGAAGCATCGCCACTGCCATAGGGCCATAAAAGCTCGGGTTCCTTCGTTACAGAAGATCAAGTCACAATAACACATACCCAACCAAACCAACCAAGTCATTCTAACGAACATGTTCGGATTCGGATCTCGCCGCACCCACCGCGCTACCACGACCACTGAGCCTCATACGGCTGGTCGTCCTCGCCGTCACTTCTTCCGCAAGCGCGTGAACCCAGACCAGAGAGCTGCAGGTCTCAAGGTACGTATATGACCTTTGGGGAATTGATGACGGTTGCTCACATTTGAACTCAGGCCGCGCTCGCTAATCCAAACACAACCCGAGAGGGTCGACAAGAGGCAAAGATGGAGCTGCACTCGATGGGACGAAGTGCCCACGTACCGCTCTCCACTCGCATCAAGCGCACACTTGGTATCCGTTCCACGCCAAGAGCCCAGCGCAAGCGTGCTGCTCGTCGCCAACGCCTCTAAACACCTACAATGGTTTCTACAATACTGTACTCCTATAATCAATGGATACTGTAGCCATATGAAAATATTTACTTTGCGCCATTTTTCTCGAAATTGAGCTCGTAAATCGAATTGGAAACTATAATCGAGACTAGTCTCGCATTTGATCTCCCTCGTTACTACTCTTTTCGTCATCCTCTTCTTCCTCTTCTTCGCTGCTCTCCTCCGCGAGTAACTCTGCCAATAGACTTGTCTTCGTATCACCGCCGCCCTGTTTGGTCTTCCACGCGAGTGCATTTTGCAAAAACTTGAATGTCGCGGGGTTTGCCTCGCGCTCGTCGTCGGCGAATAGGATATCCCAATCTGCCATGACGGTCAGGATCCCAACAATGACAGAGACAATCGTGAGGCCAAAAGACGTACATTCTTCCATATCCCCGCTGTCCAACTTGCGCCATCGTTTCGTGACTTGTGGCATCCGTGCCTCGACTCGCTCAACGTCCTCTGGCGTCCCATGCTCTTCTTCAAACTTTTTCCATCCTTCGAGTAGCACCACGCGCTGCATCAAATTTTAGCAGCAGTCCATAGAGAGGGAAGAAGCGTACCTCTTCTTTGAGCCCCTTATCTTTCAAGGCTTTGTACCCGCGCTCAAACACTTCGCGTGCCTTTGTTAGGTCAGCCGGTAGCCCTTCCTCTTCTTCTTCCTCTCCTTCCTCGACCGGCGGAACGAGTTTTGTCCCTTCGAAGATCGCCCAACTGATCCACACTTTGACATGTCCCGTCCGCTCCACCAAGCGCTCGTACAATTTTCTCACCCGCGTACGATCCCGCTCGTAACCACCTTCTACAACCTCAAAGTCGATGTACGACTTCCAGAGAAGCTCCGGCATTGCTAGAGTCGGTTGACCTACGCCCAGCTCGTACACAGCTCGTGCACGCGCAATGTCTTGGAGCGCATTTTCGAGCGACGCGAATGCAATCCAGGCGCCTGCGTTGGTCGGGTCATGCGCAATGTATTTTTCGTAGAGCGTCCGTGCACGATCGAATTCTTTCAACTATAATCGCTCATCAATGCGTTGTGAGGATAAAGAATAATGTGGACACGAACCTCCAGCTCTAAGTCAATATAGCCTTTGAAGAGTTTTTCTTTAGGGCACATTCCGATACTTGTCCCAAGCACTTTGCGTGCCGTCACCAGATCCAACCGTCGGATTTCGAACCGCGCGTATTGCAGCCATAGTTTTGCAAATGTAAACTGCTTGTGAGGTACAACCGAAATCGCGGCTTTGTAGATGTCCCGTGCGCGTGAGTAATCCTGTAAGTGTTCACTACTGTCAGCCTTTCGACAAAAGACCAAGTCATACCTTTGTTTCAATCTCCTCAAACACCGCATAGTAGAGCCATAGAAAGATGTACCGTCTCCACATCCTCTTCTCATTGGCCAACGGCACCGTGGCAACCGCACGCTCGTAGACCTCACGCACACGACCTATAGCCTTTTCGAGCTCCTCTTCAGATTCACCATCATCACGTAACGCTCGATACGCATCCTCCTCGAGTCGAGCGAAATCGAACCAGGTGTCGTAATTGAACGGGTCTGCAACTACTTCATCCTCGTATTGAATCCGGCGTTTGCTCCATACCGTAGCCTCGACCGTGGTCCGCGTGCCGTGTTGTTTTTCGAATTTGGTGTAGGCGGCATAGAGTGAGGCTGACTTGGAACGGGGCAAGCGCGAGAGCGCAAACTGTAACGAGTGTCAGATTGTTCAGAAGTCGAACAAACAATCAGAGGCGACGCGGGTGGTGGCGGGCTAGACAGACGTATGACAGAGGGTGTCGGCTGTCACCAGGAAGGTGTCGATGCGACAGGGACGCACCTTGTAGATCACCCGGCGCGCTCATATTCCTTTAACCTCGTTTCCATCTTAGCAAAGGCCGCAAATACAGCTTGCGCTTTGTCGATTTCCGTCTCGTCATCACCAAAGAATCGTAGCGCGGTATCAAACACGTCGCGTGCACGGTCAACCATCCCACGATCCTCCTCAAATTTTGCCCACTTGACCCAGATACGAGGCTCGGGGCGAACAGCGACCCATCGTTTGTAAATCTCGCTCGCACGCTCGAGCTCTTGGTAGCGTTCTTCGAGCTTGATGTATGCCGCCCAAGCCTTGTCCTCTGGCTCCCACGCCATCCATCGCTCAAACACCTGTCGTGCCCCTGGGATGTTTTCGAGGAGTTCTTCGAGGTAGACATACTTGTACCAAAATAGGTCCACCCGGGGTAGTAACGTCACGGCACGGTCAAATAGATTCCGCGCGTGCTGCACGTTGCGGGCTTTGAGTTCCATTTCGGTATAGGATAACCAGAGCTTGCTTGCTCGTGGGTCTACCTCGAGGGCTCGTTCATAGACGGAGCGTGAGCGGTCATATTGGCCTTGTGAGGCCTCCCAGGACGCGTAAGACGTCCATTCCTTGAGCTAAATGTAGTTTGTTTGTGTAAATATCGATGACAATAGTGACAAACGTACGTTTCCGGGCGTCCGACGGATTCGCTCCTCAAATTCTTTTCTCTTACGACCTCGATACTCGTCGAGCTCTTCAAAATCTTCCACGCGTTGCCTTGGGGCCCTGAATTGGGCTTCTTGCCTTTCTTGGGCCTGGAACGAGTGCTGTCAGAGCACGCGAGCCACGGGGCGGAAACACCGTCACTCACATCTCTCAGAAGCTGCTCCGCTGTGATCTAAGGGGGAGTTTTCGAATGTCCATCAGTCTTTTGTAGACGTTGCACGCGATTTGCTACACACCTGGACAGCAGCAGGAGCGCGGTTCTTGACTCTGGACGAAACGTGAGCATTATTGACACCGAAAAGAAGAAACGACATACTTTGCGGTCCTGCCATCCTGCATGACCGCCGTGGTAAATGTTGTGGGCGGCAGCAACGTTTGACTTGCTTCCGACCGCGGCTTTGGATGGCGATCCCGGGTGTCTGATACATGTTTCTAGGAGGATTTAGAAGCAAAGGAGCGAACGCGAACGGATCGGGAACGTGGATTGCACGTTGACGAGGAACTTTGCAGACAACGCCGACGAGCCTTTGAGAGGGCGCTGCGGCCGACGACGGCTGTAGGCGACCAGGACACGCTTAAACAACCTCGAGACCTGGGAGAGATCATCGCCGTATACCGGTGGAAGAATAGGTGTCGGGAGCAATATCCGCATTCAGCCACCAAGCCCATAGCGGATTCATTTGTTCGATCCTTCGTCTTTTCACGCCACCTATAAAGCCATCTTAGTCCCCGACCATCCTGCAGACTCACGCAAACCATACCCGCCCGCAAGCTATTGCACTAGTCCTCACCTCCTATGGATCCACTGCCAAATCAGCCGCTCGTCGTCAATCTCCCCTCGTTTCAGATCCCTCAGGAGGCTTCAGCGCAGCCCAACGCTCCAGGCGAGGATGGTCCGCAAGCACTTCGGCCCGCACAGTCGACTGCTCTTCCAACGAACAGCTGGTCTGACCAACCCCCAACCCAGGCCGGGAATGCACGGGCCCGGTACGCCATCTTCTTCGTCGTTGCCTTCACTGCCCACCAAGCCTCACCCTTGCGTCTACCTGTCGACCATCACTCATAATGATTACAGTGTCTACGTCGCATGTGCTGCATGCAGGTCTCGCAAGACAAAGTGCGATGGTCTCAAGCCCGTATGTACAAGGCATGTGTCCTTCTCGTTGCAAATTCGTCGCCCTCTTCGCGTTTCAAAAAGTCCGAGTCTAATTTGTTATTCCCATTAGTTGCCTGAAAAAGGAATACGCTCCGGGTCCTCCGTATCAAGAGTATCTACCGGAGAGCGAAAAGTACAAGCTTGCAAACGGCATATGTCTCTACGATAGTCTGCCGAAGCGGCGCGGGCCCGACCGCCTGCCAGGGGCTCGTGTCAGGAAAAAGGCGTCCAAGATTGACGATTCTGGCGTCGAGCGCGTTGCTGCAGTTCGTAGACGCAAGACAGATGATGTAGATCCGACGTCAGATCCCACATTTGAGTCCAGCAAGCCCGAGTCCTCCAAGCACCGTAGTCGGAGCAATGCTCCCACGGCCAAGGACAACACCCCGCTCTCGCTCCTTGTTGATGCTGCCAATCGCCTTGAAGCCACGAGTATATCTGGCCCTAATGATCAGCCGACAAGGTTGACGACCTCGAGTCCCACTCGTGCCTCGCCAGAAGATATTCCATCGTGGCTCACGGGCTCGACCGGTCTCTCTCCTCCCATAAGTCATCAGCGTCTCAGTAACCAGCCGTACATCCTCCTTTCGAAGTCTTCCACTTCTAATCCGGCGGCCCAGCATGGTGACGACATTCATCACCCTCATAACCCATATCGATCTATCCCGATGCCCATCCAGCCACATGGGGACATAACGCGAATTGTTTCAGCCTCAGATGACCCGAATTCTTCGGTCACAGTAAGTTTTGCAGAGCCCTCGATCTCGCGCATTTCTCGCGGTAGGCAAGATAGCTGGTCGCACCAGCATCGCCCCCACACGGCAAATGAATACCCAGCGGCGAGTGTGCAAGCTATTTCTTACGAGTACGTGCCATCCTCGGGTGCTTATATCCAGTATGTTCCTCCACGTTCGCTGTAATGCCATGCATCGTGTGTGCCAATAGTTTAAAGGTTGATTGATGAAAATGATCAAACGACAAACGACGAGCATACGCTAACGCTCACCGATGGACTCGCGGTCTCCATCCCACCCGAGCCCAGCTCACAATTTGTGCGGCGATCCTGGTTTGACGGCCTTATCGACTTTTATGCCTCGTTTGATGTGCCTAATGCGCGCCCGTACTACTCAATGACTACGGGCTTCCTCACTACAGACATGCGAAACCAGGCGCAGGCGTCCATTGTGTCCTCTGTACGCACCATGTTCGCGCGCTCGTCCTGGTGGTTCTCTCTCATTCACGTCCCGACGTTCTGGAGCAACTTTCATCACCACCAACTTCATGGAGAGAGTAACCTTCAGCCAGCGCTTGTCTGGTCTCTCCTCGCCATCTCAACCTACTTGAACAGCAGTGAACTCGAAGGGGGTGCGTGGGGCAGAGAGCGGGCGAATCGGTTGCGCGACGAGGCAGAGGCGTCGATAGCGAGTAGTCTTGCCATCGGGTGGGTGGACTTACAGCTCGCCCAGGCTGCATGGGTGCGTAGACGGTTTTTGTAGTACTCAGACTTGGTGCGGTTGGCTGACGTTTCGCCTCTCGTTTGGCGCATTGACGGACAGCTGTTGGCCATGTACGAAGCATGCCCACATCCTTACCATACTCTCGCGCGATGTCGTGAAGCGATCATGCGTCTCGATAATATTCTTCGCCTGCTCAAGTATTCGTCCCTCGACGCGGACAATCCAATGGTGACACGGTTTGATAGCCGTGCGACGCCCATCACGCAAAGACTCCATGGCTGGCAAGACATAGGAATAGTCAGCAATCAAGGGACGCTCCCTGGTTCGCACTCTACGAGGCCTACGCACCATGAGCATACGCTCATTCCCAAAATTTCGCACATTTCTCGCCCTTCCTCTTCATCGTATCCTCAAATTGTGGCCCGCGGTCAGCAATATACCACCAGCACGCCCAGCAGGCATAGTTGCCACTGTCACGATTTAGCGTTGGGCGAGACGGAACCAGGTGTCGCAAAGCTAACGCCTATGTGGCACTACACGTCCAAATGGCCGAACCAGCACGATCCAGCAGAGATTCAGAAAGAGGAAGCTCGACGAACCGTGTGGTCATTTATCACCCTTGCATCTGCCTTTGGCAACCATGCCGCGACACTCGGAGCGGACGAAGTACATGTAAACCTTTGGTCCACAGCCGCAGAAAATGTACGTTATCCGTCGTTTATCGTCGCGATAACCTTGCTGATCGAAACGGGAAAAACGTCAAGTTCGCCCTCCTCTTTCCGGGAGAAGCAACCTTCCAGGCGGAATATGACAGGTTTCAGCATAGTCAATTTGATATGAAAAACACCGTTTGGGCCCTGTACGCTCGTGCCCAACTCTTGTGGCTTGCGTGTCTCCGGATGCGGCAAACTCCTGGCCCTGCGGACCTTATTCCACTCCCGGGCACACAACCGGACGAGCTTAATCTCTATGCATCCCCGGCGGGAAGTCCACGCGAGATCACGGCCGGCGGTTCCTCGAGCGCGGACCTGACGGCATTTGCGATGCACGCGTGGATGCAGACACAGGAGATTGAAGACGCCCTCAACTCTCACACATGCAACCTCGAGCGAGCGTTTATTTTCCATGGCCGTGAATACTTGTCCAGGTACGGAATCTTCCGCTTCCTGACGTCTGTATTTTACTGAGGGTCTGGGCCGGTCCTCTGACAGCATCCGAATGCTAATAACTCACGACTTTAGCCGTTACGTGCCCTTTCCGACCTCGTGAGCGTCTTCCAACGCGTTACAGCTCCACAGATTTGTGGGCTGAGCCGCCGTCTGACCTTTTTTGCAGGGGCAACCACGCGCTTTTCAACAGACATCAAGCTGATGACTGGCGTGAGTTGTTCTGTGGTTGCGTCGTGTCTACGCTGAAACCTTCCAAGTTCAACATCAGACAGAGGTAGTCCGCCGCATGCTCTCTGGCCTGTCAAATATCACCGGAAACTCGAAATCTGCGCTCGCTCATAGGCCATTCTTCGTCTTTTGGTTTGTCGTCCATGTGTTAAAGTAAGGCCGCATTCGCCCAGAGGTTGTTTCCCTGCTGATCGACCGAAAACTAGGCTGCTCAATCTATGGTCGAGGGATCACTCGATGACCCAAGCGCTACGATTCTCATTTTCGTTTTTACCTGCAATTGATTACTTGTCCCGTCTATGGCCGTGTCAAAGTGGGTACAATGGTTGAGCTTAACGGCGGCCGTCTGTTGACATCGGGTTCTTGCTAACGTTCTCGCTGCAGATCAAAGAAGCAAATACCTCGCAGTGCGAAAGCGTCTGGACGACGCGTGTCGTGAATGTGGTATACCTTTACCTCCGCCGCCTCAGCTAACTCTAGAGTCGGCGGAGCGAAACGCAACAATATGAGCAGAGACGAAAAGTCTAATTTCCTCGCGTGCCTCTGGCCGGATTTTGTGTTGGGTATCAGGCCCTCCGCCGATTTGGGTCTTCTGAGAAAGAATGTATTTGTAACGCCATGACTCTTCTCTTCGAATTCTTCTATGGACTTTTTTTTTTTTTTTGGGAATTGTCAATCTTGCGTGCCTGAGAGGACACAGAGGACGCACATAATAGTCGCAACCAATGTTCTCCGATGCGGCATATGCCGAAATTCTGTCAGATAGATGCCTGGATGTTCCGTGAGCGTGCTCCTCCGGTGGCAACGGTAGGCGGCGGCATGCCTTGCCAAGTTCCCAAGTTGAGCCTGCCATTGCTAATAGGAATCGAAATGGATGAACCTATAAGAGAAGCTTTGGTGTGGGAGACCCTGTTCCGCATCGTGGGCGGGACGTGCAATCAGTCAATTTCACGTAGCTGCGTGTTCGAACGAGGTATGGATACGCACGAGTCGTCTGGGCCCTCGTCGACATGAGTCCATTCCAAGCTCTCGGGAACAATTGTGTCCAATGCCATGTCCATGTCTTTGTATAGGCTGTATTAGAAAAGCGTGTCTTTTTTCTGACGAATTGCAGTACCGCTTCGAACATCTGATTAGCTCGAATGTGAGCTAAGAGGGCGGCAATCAAAAGCATCCGAATACCAGGGTCACAATTCTCGTTTACTGTGAGTGATGCAGAGGTATGCTGGCTGATACCCTGTCGTCAGAGTAAGGCCCGAGGAGTGTCAACGCTCCTACATGAATAAGTGCAGGATCCCAATCTATAGCATGGATCAGAAATAGTACCAAGGGGCATGAAAGGACGTACTGGAACATTCTGAAGACCATCCTGGATCGCATTGACGACCTCGTTTGTGATCAAGTGGCAGCTGGGAGCGAGGAATGTTCCAGTTGTACACTGTGCATAATCCACTCACCCTTTTCGTTTGTTACCGAGCGTAAATGTCTTCTGCCACGGCATCGGAAAGCAGAGTCTGTAGTAAACCCTCGTTGGACCACAACTATAATCAAAAATGGCGTCGATGGCAGCCGCAATCGCGGCGTCTCTTCCAGCTCCAGCTGCTGCTACTCCCTCGAGTGTAAAGCCGACTTATGTGGACATTCATCCATCCATGGCAAAGCTCATCGATCCCATGGGCAACATTCCCGTCACAGGTGTACAACTAGACGCAATGGTACTTTATTTACTTTGCTTTTACATCTCTTTTAGTGCTGATTCCACCCCCAGGTCGTCTCCAAGATCATCAAGCACGGTCGCGAGGCGGCATTTGGCAGTGGCTCGCTCTTGGGACTCGATTTTGATGGCACTCTCGAAGTCTCAAACTCCTTTCCACTCCCAGCCTTTTCAGAGGAAGAGGACAAGGCGGCAAAGAACGTCGCCCAAGGTATTCAAAATTTACGTTCTCTCGGGCCTGATCATTGATGGGATACTCTTATAGCAAACTATCAGCGAAGGATGATTACGTACCTCCGAGAAGTTCAAGGAGATGAAAGCGTTGTCGGCTTTTATCAAATCTCGTCAGTCCCGCTCAGACAGTCATATGTCGAGCTTCAGGCTGCCGATTCTGAACGACTACGGCAAGGAGGCATCATCTTAATCCACGGTATATAGTTTTGATTGCGAAAGAGGATGACCTTGACACGGTTGCAGATCCTTCGCAGTCGACTAGAGGTATCGCCTCCTTCAAAGCCTTTCGGCTCACCAAAACATTCCTCGCTGCACATAAGCAGAAAAAGTTTGCGACGCAAAGGTAAGCAGTCAGTCTTCCAATCGGCCTCGACTTGACGACTCGCAAGCTTGATCGACCACGGCTTGACATTCTCAACCATCTTTGAGGAACTACCGATTCGGATACACACATCCTGTCTGGCCACCGCGTTTTTGAATACCTGCGCAGCCCCAAGACCACCGACCACCCTTCAAACCATTGCGGCAAAGTCCATGATGGCAGTCCCAGCGCCGTTTACATCTATCCCATCCGACTTTACGCAATTGGACCTCGGACTACCATCGACCATGATTCGCAATTTGGAACAAGTGGTCGAGGGCCTCGACAGCTACAAGACGGAAGAGAACAATGTCGCTTTCCTCTCTCGGCAGATTGCGCGAGAAAAGGCGAAGGCAGATGCACACATCGCATCCCGTAAAGAGGAAAACGCACGCAGAGTTGCCCAGGGACTACCACCGCTACCAGAGGACGACGTCTCGCGTTTGTTCAAGATTCCTCCGGAACCCAGCAGACTCGAGAGCATGCTCATCCTCGGCCAAGTAGATGCGTCTGCCAAAACGCTCGAGGAAGCGACCAGCGCCGGCCTCGTGAGGCTCTACGCAGCGCAGGCGCCATCCTAGGTTACGAAAAAATGCCAGTGTAGTTCTGTCATTAGGTACAAGACTATAATGCCCTTGCATAAATACTCGGTCTGACTCCGGTCATCTTCCATATTCGTTCTAGTTCCCTCTGGGGTCGTCTCTCCTTTTGCATAATCTTGCTTGCATTTCGTCCAGCGCTAAGATTGGGCTCGGCCAAAAAGGTAATAACCTTTTTGACGTCTTGCTTCGGGTTGGCTGGTGCGCCCATACGTCCTACTCGTCCGGACAGATGAATGTAGTCTACTTCACTCTCTGGTACACCGGCAATAAACACGTGCGAGAGGAGGGGAAGGTCGATTCCCCGCACAGCAGATTGGACGGCAACTAGCATCACTGGGTCATCCATCGCCTCTTCTTCTGCATTTTTGTTTTCCTCATCTCCTTCAGTGATCGGCAGTGAAAAGTTTGGCCGTTTTGTCCGCACCCCGAGCTCGTGCATCGTCTTGCGTGGACTCTGGATAAACTCGTCGAGATTGACGGCCTTTACACCAAGCTCTGCGAGATCGTCTACCGTCCCTTTTGCTGATGCCTCGGACGGGATGACGAGCAATGCAAACTGTGGCACGTCAAAGACAAAGATGGATACAATGGCATCCAAAAGCTGGGAAGGCAGGCGATTACGACCCCATAGTACTGTAAAACAGAGTCAGTAGGCCATGTCGTGAGCCGCTTCCAACTCACAGCTCTCGGGAACAGATGACAGTGCCGTCGATGTTTCCGCATCCTGACCTTCTTCGCTTATTTCAGAATGTGGTAACACGTCCTCCAAGTCAGATGCCATTGCCTCCTCGCGGTTCATATCGTACGCCGCCTCGGGGTCCATGATATTCCGTACGCGACCGGAAACGTCGACGAACAGGCCATAATGACGAACAGGATCGTTACGTGGATCCATTGCCTTGGTGCTTTCGATGGTCACCGTCTGACCCGGTTTCTGTGATAACCACTTTGTCTCGAGATATAGAAACTTGCGGACAGCAGGTCGTAGCGTGGCGGAGACCAGTACCAGTTGAATAGGGGTGATGGTGGTGGGGATGTCTGGGACGGTTGAGCGAGCGCCTGGTCGTTTGACTTTGGTCGTAGCTTGAATATTTCCGTCAACATGTCTCGTACTACCGGCGGATGCTTCCTCCACCGCCTTTGAACTGACAAAGGCGTGTTATTGCTTGGCACGCGAAGCAGATGGTCCGCCTCATCCAACACCACGGTCGAAACAGAGTCCAGAGTGAGTGTTTTCTTGGCCGTTTTCCAGCATGCTTGTAACGCGTTGGGGGTAGTTACGAGTATATGCGGAGGAACTTTGGCAATCCGGGCCAGCTGATCGTCGAGGCTAATCTCTGGGTCCTTGAGCAGTGTCCGTAGGACCGTCGAAGACGGCGACAGATGCATGCTCTTGACCCAGTTGGCGAATTGATGAGCAAGGTCGTTGTGCGGAACGATTACAATGGCCGTTATCGCCTCTTTTGCCTCGAGACTTTTCGCCGCGCGCTTTTTCCAGTATTTGGGTAGCTCATAACGAGCTGCTCGCTGCTTGGAGAGTAGTGCGAGGAGCAATCCCAGTGACCTATGTCAAGACGTTAGTGGCACTTCTTTTGCAAATGGCTTTATTGGCACACCTACTTGCCGGTCCCAGTTTTGTCCTGTAAAAGAACGTCCTTTCCTCCCAGAATGGCTGGAATGAACTCTCTTTGAACTGGAGTCGGTTCTTTTATGTGAGGAAAGGCGTCTTTCAGAGCACGCAGAACAAATTCATCGACTCCTGTCGCCTCAAATGTTGTTGGCTCTTTAGACTGTGTTGAATAGGTACGTCTGCATATGCGAGAGAAGGTATAATATGAATGGTTGAAATGAGAGCGAGTAAATAAAAATCTCGTAGGTACGTTCATCGAGGTAGGCGGTCAAGAAGCGACACCACGGAAACCCTTATTCCTTCTTCTTCTTCTTTTTCGTACGTTCACTCTCTGGTGCATTATTTGTGATACCAAGAGCACCCTGAGCCTGTTGTTCGAGTAGCCATGCTTGACATTCATCAGCAGTAGCTCCGGGATGTTCCAGTTGCCAGTAAACAACTTTCTCCATCAATGGAGTCATCTGAGGACCAGGTCTAATCTTGAGTGTCTCACAAACCTGCTTGCCCTACAAAAGGTTCAGAAGGGTAAGGTCCGAACACGAGATGGCTTACATTGAGTATTGGAGGAGCGCCAATCGCCTCGGTCAGATCTAGCTCGACTATCTTTTCGACTAGCTTGTTATACTTTTGTATGCATTCTGTTGCTTTTGCGGCTGGCGATGCGTTAGAACGGTTCATCTCAAACGTGGCACCTACTATCCAATTCTCCTTCCCAACAGTCGACAAGTTCTTGGAGTAACGAGAACAATGCCGAAGATTTCCATTCAGACCCGATGATAGGATTGTGAATTGAGGGATGTCTGAGGAGCATACCTGCACTTTGACTCGGCAAAAAAACCGCAAGAATTTAATAATATCTTACCGATCTCTGCTCGAGATTCGGTCGCGAAGGTGGTGGAGAATGCTTCCCTGATCAGCTCGGCTGAGCGGAATAGATGGGGAATGCCATCCAAGTAGTGATTTCGGCCCCCAAGCTACAATTTAATCAGTAACGGTCTACATTATTGATGTTGCCACCTTTAGACCGTCCCGGATTACGCTGTCTACAAGTGGGATCGACTTCTTCTTTTGCTCAAAAGTGAGTCCTCGAAATGGCGTGAGAATCGATGCAATTCTGAGTCTTGCTTGAGTAGAATGGGTTTCTAGAGTTGAAGAAAGTAGAAGGGGATGGACACCCGGTAGATGTTCTTCCGACCGTAACAGTAGCTCTATGATAATTATTCCACGGAGGGCGTAGTCCATGGATAGGGGAGCTCCACTCGATGTCGATGATGCCTGGGCTGTGGGACGGAGGACAATTGGAAGCAGACCGAAAGAGTGGAGCAACTCCATCCCGTATACAGGGTCCGGTCCTACGCACGATTAGTAGTAATCCAGTCACCTTATAGGTCATACCCTGAATCATTTTATCAATCTCTTCACCGATCCTTTCTCGGCTTATCTTGTTATCGAGTGCTTTCTAAGAGAACATGATCAGAACCTACACTCAGCAAAGCGTCCTACATACCTGTATTGTGGGGTCTTTAGCTGCCGCAGCGATGCTCTCTTCAACCGTATAGCCCAGTCGACTCGCAAACCGTACACATCGCAGTATACGCAGTGGATCATCCTCAAAGGTCGTTTTGGCTTCCAGAGGCGTTCTGACTATACCAGCTTTGAGGTCGTCAATACCCTGAGCAAAGCGTGAGATAACGAGGGTGTCGAGAGAAAGACGGCCTGACCCTACCCGTAAAGTCCTCCACCTTTCGAGAGTGAATATTGTAAAACATTGCGTTAATCGTTAGATCTCGCCTATCTGCATCCTCCTGTGGAGTGCCGAATTCCTGCAAGGGTCAGCAAACTTGCTGTTATTCTTTTCCTGACTCACTATAGTGGGAATGCGACTTTCTCCGGTATAGGTTTCGCTTCTCAGGTTGACCAGATCGACCCAGAAATCATGGATTTTAAGACGTGTTGTTGCCAAATGCTTTGATTGGTCTGGGTTGACGGCGATGGTCGTTCCAATCGAGTCGACTTTGCCAGCATCGAGAAGTTTCTGCGCGAATGCTTCTCCAGTCATGGTGTTGATGGCGATGTCAACGTCGTGGCTCTCTATGCCCAGCAGCTGTAATGCGCGATTAGATGGCATTTGAGAGTGTGATGCATCCTACTTTGTCTCGCACCCAACCTCCAGCTATGCGACATGCAACAGGTTCTCCATCTGTGACATCTTGATTGAGCGTTTGACAAAATTCGTCGATCAAACGGCAGACATTTTCCTCCTGTGGCGTCAAATGAACTTCTAGAGGCTCTAGAGGTTTACGACGCGATATACTGGGCCGTGTGGATAACATTCGTCTGAGAAACAGAGCTGAAGATGAGAGGCCGGGAGAAGGACGAGTCAGAAACATAACGAGGGTGGCAGGCTGCCGTCTTCCATGCTAGTCAAGCTATATTATTTTGGTTATTATCAGAGGCAATGGTGCGCCACTTTGCTTGTAGCACTTTTGGTCCTGACCTATTGGAACACTTACTGCTTGTAGCGCTTGGTGATAATTTTAGATAATCATGCTCATGAACAATGTCAACTTGGAAGTCCTTGACATTGTTCGCGCCGGCTAGAACAAGCTGGCGACGGTTCGAGTTGCCCGTCCGCGTCGTTGCGTGGTGGCAACTTCTACTGGGGCTTAGACATACGGGTCAATAGTAGTTACAATCAAAACGAAGCAACATGAACGCACCCGAAGACGGAAATGATTGGGGCCCCGTTGTCGTAATCGTCGTCGCGGAACATGGTTTCAACTAGGCAACGACCAACCCGCTCCTCGTCCTCGAGTTGGCGGCAGAATCAAGCGAAGGAGATACAAAGAAACATGCATGCACGTCACATACCATGCCAAGGACTCGTTGCTTCACGCCCCACTGATGGACCCGTTGGCATGCCTCCTTGAGCGGCAACCGACGTCGGGAGAGGGTACTTAAACTCTCAAGAACGATAACTTACTGCTCTTCATCCGCTGTGCGTTTCCTGGTCCCTCCTCTCCTTACTTTCACCTTCTATCGCTTGCGATATCCCTTTCGTTTCTTTGCGTTCCAGTTTCTTCGCTACTCCGACCAGGTCGCCTTTCCTCATTCATTGTATTGCAAAATGAAGACCGCAAGTCTTCTTTCCCTATTCATCACCTCGACTACACTTGTACACGGTCTCCCGGCCATTTTCAATCGACGTCGTGACATTCCTGCCGTTGCAAACCTTCCCGTTGATATACCCGGACTTGGAGGTGCAGCAAACGGAGGTGCACTCGGCCAGCTTGGAGACGTACTCGGAGATATACCTGGGCTTGATCAACTCAAAGCTGGATTAGGAGCCGGCGCTGCTGGCGCTGGTGCGCCTCAGGTAATGTCCAGTTGCTCAGTCCCTTCCTTTTCTCATCTATTAACAGGCAAATGAAAACATTGCTAGCCCAGAGGTCCGTTCTACGGCTCACAGATTTTCTTTGGCTAACTTTCGGACAGCAAGGAGCAGCCTCGAGTGCTGTAGCCAGTGAATCTGAGGTTGCTGGTGCATCCCAGACTGTAAGTCCATGCGTCGTTTTCTCTGGGTGCTGGCTTAGTCATAACCGCAGGCCGTCGAGACCACTAGTGCCGCTCAAGAGACTGCAACTGGTGAGGCTTCTGTAACCACCACCGCAGTGGAGGGTACCGCCACTGGCTCGGCAAACGAGACTACGACGACAGCCGTCGAGAACAGTGCTAGCGTGAACGGCACAAGTCTTGTGGAGACGAGCACTACCACCGCAGCTGGAGCAGCCGAGACCGGAAATGCGACTGTCACAGTTGTAAGCAGGCACACTCTCTACCCCATACCTTCATATCTGACCCTTTGGATAGACGGTCACCGTCACCGTTACCGCTGGCGCGGAAAATGCAACGTCCACGAGTGCCGAGGCCTCAGTAACTCCACCAGCCGGTAAAGGACCAGCACCCCCTGGGCCTCCAAATATCACGTCTCTCAAAGAGGCCCTGCCGACCTTCCCACCAATCGCCACCCCACCCGCCGCGACTGCCCCGCCTACGCCTCCTGGCCGCGGTCGTAATGGAAGGGTTGAGCCCCCTGCTCCAGCAGCCAACGTGACTGCACCTGAACCTCCAGCGGCTGCCGGAAATGCCACCCCGCCTGCTAATCCCGGTCGTGGTCGACAAGACGCCCCAGGAAGGGTGGCAAAGGCTGCTCGGCCAAACCCACCAGGAAGGGAGGCCAAGGCTGCCAAACCGAACCCAGGCGGAGGCCGCAATGCCGCTAACCCTGCGGCTGCGCCAGCCGATGAAGAAGACGACGTTTGATCGAGCATAGTTTCTCCAACGGTTTCGTCTCGGACATTTCATCGTTGCTGCGTAGACCGCATATATATCATTGTAGATCAGGCGTATATAAATAGAGAAGTTGCAAATAGTAAACAGCAACCTCAGACCCGGCGCTATTCGAGCCTGGGGAAATTTTATCCTTATTTAAACCCAGAAAATGGAAAATCAATTTGTATCATCTCCGATAACTCTTACAAACCTACTGGTGGGCTCTCCGCCCCGCACGTTGGGACACGACGAGTCCTTACACGACCAACACGCGCAGCAGGCAGATCAAATCATCGACGAAGACGATATATACCGAGGTCCAGATCCAAGGAGTCCGCATCTGACGAGTCCAAACACTCAGCACGCTGGTCAAACGGCGTCAAGTATCTCATCCTCGAGCTCGTCATCTTCAAGCTCATCTGGCATCGGTTTCAACATTATTCCATCCGTTATAGAGAGGTCCATCACTCGATGGGCCCGTGGGCGTGGCCTACGACGTCGTGGCTCGATTTCTTCCTCGTCTTCGTCCTCATCCAATTCGGACACGACGAGTACAAATTCCTCTAATACCTCACATCGTCAAAAGCGCAAGAAGCGAAGAAGACACTCGCCGTCCTCGATTTACTCACATGCAACGTCACTCACGACGCGAAGACAGATGCGCGCAGCGTCGCGGGCACTGCCAAGAGAGTTTATGCTCTTTCTTCCATCGCATCTGAGTTCTGGTCAGCCAAAGACTGGGCAGCTCGAAGAAAAGAAGAATGGGATAGAAGTTCGGACGACCTCTTTAAAGTTGATCTCTACCCATTTGGAAGTGGCACTAAAACGGAATGCCAAAACACGCCAGCCCCGGCCACCACGTTCTACAACAGGACGTCTCTGGTGGCTCCACCCCCAGAGCGGATGTGGTGCCGCTCCCGGGACAAACTAGCGAGCGAAAGAGGAAGAAAGACAATGGATTACATGTCGCGTTCGATATCCCTTCTGACCATCTCGGAGACGTTACACCAAAAGGTGGCCCAGGTGCGAGAAAAGGGAGAGGACGCCCAAGAGAAGTGGCTCGTCAGTTCTTCCTCCAAGAGCCAAAAGGAGGCATTCCGGCAGATTTAACACCATCATCGTTTCAACCCTCATGGTGGCTTGAAGTCGCGAGTCCGACCTGGGATGACATGCGGGCGCTGGGAAAGGTACGACCGCGCTGATACCATAGATCCGTGAGCTCACCAATATGTAGCTACTGCAACTTCATCCACTCACGCTAGAGGATATTCTCCAAAAAGAGTCTCGCGAAAAATTTGAGCTCTTTCCAAGACTCGGCTATTACTTCATCGTCTTTCGAGCAATTGAACGACCGAAACCTGGACTCGTTCATCAAACAGACTTTAATGCATCTATGGATGATCTCCCGGAGCTCACAGAGGTGCTCGAAGTGACCAACGTCTATTTGGTCGTCTTCCGAGAGGGCATCTGCATATTCCACTTTGAGGACATTTCGATTCATATGAGCTCAATTCGCAAGCGGATCCAGCAACTTCAATATGAGGGAACCCTTCCCATGGGATCTGGTACGTATGATGCATAGTGTGCAACAACGGCTCATAAAGAGAATAGACTGGGTCGCGCACGGTGTTATGGATTCGATTGTCGATGCCTTTTTCCCGGTTCTCAACGAAATTGAAAAAGAGGTAGAAAGAGTCGAGGAGCTTGTTACGGGTCTGGATGAGCAAAAGGATACGGAACATCTTGCCATTGACTCGCCAGAGGGTGGCTCTTCCGAGACGGCACTCAACGGTGAGTCAAACGCAAGCCCCGATGCGGAGAAAAAGGGATCAAGTCCTGATCTCGTGGAGGAAAAGGATGCGACCAGACACATCAAGCTTTCGGCGAGGTCTAGGCGTCGAGGAATGTGGAAGCAAGTTCGACGCGTCCTTGTTTGGTGTTGGCAGCGGATTCGCCGCAAGAAGACGTTGGAAGACTCGACCTTGGCAAGAGATATGAGAAGACTGCGAAGGATGACGGCTACTAGGCGGCTGGTGACCACCCTTGGTCGACTCCTCTCCTCTAAATACGAGGTGGTAGCCCAAGTCCGCAAGAGGCTGGCAGGGCAAGAGGTGTCCATATACATGGGCGATGTTCAGGACCACATCATCACTCTCCTACAATCACTCAGTCACTATGAGCACTTGCTCTCGCACTCACACCCGGCCTATCTCTCTCATTTGCGAATGTCCCTGTCCGATGCCAAGGGCGGACTTGACGAGGCACTGTTGCTACTGGGCCTTGTGAGTCTGCTGGTTTTGTGCTCCCAGAGCATTGCATCTATCGGAGGGATGAATGTGCATGTGCCGAGGAGCGCGGATTACAGTGCGTTTGGTGTGTTTGTGAGCGTTGCTGTGACGCTGTCGATGATTTCTCTTGGACTTGCTCGATACTGGTTCGTCAAAGCCCATGGAAAAGCCTCACGGATGGAAGAGTTATAGATTTGTCGCACGGACGAGCGGAGGAGTTGTAGATTTGTTTGTACATGTTTACGCGTCGCTCCTTGTTCTCTGCGCCCACCAGATTCCGCTGTAAAAATGTTAGAGGCGACTATCCAGGAAGCATCCACGCTCAAGCGTCTCCTCGATGGTGAGCATTCTGATTTATGCACGCGCGCTGAGACTGGACGCGTGCGCCTGTAGCCGTCAAGGAACTCGTGACGGATGGAAACTTTGAGTGCAACGATGAGGGAATTCATCTACAAGCTATGGACAACTCGCACGTCGCCCTCGTCTCGGCCAGCCTTCGCAGCGAGGGCTTTAGCAACTTTCGCTGCGATCGGCCCATCACGCTCGGTGTCAATCTTGCGTCGCTCACCAAAGTCATCAAATGTGCAAAGGACGACGACGAGGTCAGGCTCACCGCCGCAGACTCTGCGGATAACCTCCAGCTAGTCTACAACTCGAAAGGTATTGTCTCCCTTTGTTGCCACTTGTCCTAGCTCAGCCTGACAATAATCATCGTACATAGCATCGGATCGTGTTGCGCAATACGACGTCAAGTTGATGGACATTGACCAGGAGACGTTGACCATCCCCGATACCGACTACGACGCCACGGTCTCGATGTCCTCCGCCGAGTTTGCACGTCTGTGTCGCGATTTGGGTGCATTGGGCGAATCTGTCGCTATAGAGGTCACCAAAGAAGGTGTTCGTTTCAGTTGCGAGGGTGACGCTGCCAATGGGACAGTGCTCCTCAAAGCCGATTCATCAGGTGGACGACACTCGGGAGGGTCGAGCAGCAAGATGAAAATCAAAAAGGAGGAGGATGAAGATGCGCGAATGGACGAAGATGCGTCCGAGGACGATGGAGGAGAAAAGGAGGACGAAGACGAAGACGATGAGGAAGAGACGAGCAAGAAACGTAAGCGATCTAAAGCCTCATCGGAAAAGGCGCCAAAAGGCAAGGCCAAAAAGGCCCGCAAGACGGAAGAGGAGGGGGACGTGCAGGGTGTGCAGCTCGTCATGAGCCAGCACGTCGCCTTGACGTTTTCCATCAAATACCTTCTCAACTTTGCAAAATCGGCCAACCTTTGCAACCGCGTCACACTGTCCTTGAGCAATGATGTACCGCTGATGGTGAGTGGCAACGAGTCGTCTCGTCTGTTTTCACTGACTTGACCACAGGTTCAATACGACTTTGGACAAGGAGTTATAAAGTACTTCTTGGCTCCCAAGCTGACAGACTCGTAAAGTCTCATCTGGGGCAGAATCTACAAACGAACAAAAGTAATCACAAGTCTTGGTAGAAGCATCTGAAGCATCTGTATGTATATAACAGGGAATTGACTATTCCTCCACAGAACCTTGAAGACGATGAGACGATGGCAGTGCTGTTTGATATTCCAATAAGCGATCTGGCAAATTCGAAGATGCGACTACGGCATATTCGGGAGGAATCGGAATCCAATTGTGGCGACCCCACCCAGAGAGCTCCTTGGACTCCGACCACTATCCATTATGGCGCAGTATCAGCTACCTCCTCAATCCTTTACACCAGATGTGACGACACCTCCCAAAGGCACCTTGCTGGCCAAGTACAAAGGTGCCCCGGTTACGTCTGTGCGGACGCCAGCGCTCTTTATCGATCAGGCGGTATTCAAGAGAAACTGTGCAAGGATGCACTCGAGCGTCAAAGCGTGGGGTGCCAGCTTTCGTGCTCACGTCAAGACGCACAAGGTCCGCGTTCAGGATTAGTTGCGAGAGTCCTGGCTCATGCGACATTAGACAGTAGAAGGGGTCAGATTGCAGTTGCAGTCTGGGGCAGGTACGACGACAGCGGTCGTAGTTTCGACCATCATGGAGGCTTGGGAGATTGTGCGCGGGGGGTTAGTGCAGGATGGGACTGTAGATGATGCAAGTGTTTCCTTTTTCTCAGGGCAAATCTTTCTCACATTTTTCAGATTCTCTACGGGCTTCCAGTGGCGCCTAGCAAGTTGGCAGATCTTGCCAAACTCGAACACGCCATGCAGACAGTCAATCCCAATGCGTGCCTTCGTCTGATGATTGACAATATATACCAAGTTAGAGCTCTGGAATCTTATGGAGAAAAGGTCTGGTCAACGTTCGTCAAAGTCGACCATGGTGGACAGTGAGCCTCATTCTCCGGTGTGGAAGAGACACTGACAGGTAATAGTCGCGCTGGACTTCCTGTGGGCTCGGATGCACTCCGTGAACTCGTTACTACAATGATCGAAAGCCCCTCGGTGCACATTCACGGATTCTACTGCCACGCCGGCGACTCGTATGCTTCGACAACACTTCACCAGGCATCCTCATTTCTAACGGTGGAGATGCATGCCGTAGACGCGGCTGCGACAATGGCACTATCTATTCTAGAGGCTCGTCCGGAAATCAATTCGAGCAAGTACAAGAAGCCATTCGTTCTATCTGTTGGATCGACACCAACTGCGCACACGACACACCTTGTCTCTTCACCTGCCGACGCTCTGGCACAAGAATTTACGTCTGGAGGTGTCTTGGAGATTCACGCGGGGAATTATCCCGTGTGTGATTTGCAGCAGTTGCACACGGGACTGATTGGACTCGGAGACGTGGCGCATCGCGTGCTTGCGGTGTCATTAGTGCGTATCCCGCGCGTGGTGAAGGTGGTGTGGACGAGGCGATGTGTGATGCTGGTGGGATTGCTATGAGTCGGGATACGGGACCCAGTGGTGGATTTGGAGATGTGGTGCCGTGGTGACTTCCTCTGGCGAGAGTGGGGTGCAAGGTAACTATGGAATGTTGGAGGATGGATCCGTCAAATGCGACTGGAGACTCGGAAGATGCAGCCAGGAGCATGGAATCCTCACAAGGAGCAAGACGAATCCGCAGGCTTCGTCGTCCCCTCTGCTCACCCCGGGAGAGCACATCTGGATCATCGGTCAACATGCTTGCCTCACTCTTGCGGCATATCCATGGTACTACATTGTCGACTCGGACGCTCCTGGTGGACTGGAGACGGTAATGGACGTATGGGTCCCTTGGAAAGGGTGGTAGAATTCACGATTTTTACACTGCTGCGATGCACTCGATTTCTACATCTACATCTCCTGGGAGTTTGGCTGCTTGAATACACGTACGGGCCGGCTTGGGTGACGGGAGGAGCTGCAAGGGTGCATCAAGTGGTGGTTAGGGGAGGCAGGGGAGACATACGCGCTCATAAACTGCATTCATAGCAGCAAAGTCGTCCATATTCTTGAGATAGACGTTGACTTTGACGACCTTTTCCCAGCTGCTCCCCGCCGCCTCAAGTACGTTGGTCAAGTTCTTGATTACTTGTTCCTACACGACCCGTGTTTGATATGAAAGATGCTGTTTGAAGTTACTTACAGTATGCTCTGCAATCCCACCTGGTACGAGAGCACGATTCTCGTCGTGTGGCGTGGAACCGCTGCAGAAGATGAGACCAGGGACTTTTACAGCGTGTGAAAGGATATGGGAGTGGTCTGCATTCTTGGGTGTGTTGATCTTTTCAATCGAAGTCATTTTGGGCCGAGAGTTGTCAAAGAGGGGGGTCGAAGGAGCTGAACCCCCTTTACCACACAGGAGACTTTATATCATCTCAGGAGTATTTTATTATTATTCTTTTGATATCTCATGTCTCATTGTGTCGGGCAGCGTCGGAAGAATGGCTCGCGTCTTGTACCCGACCATTTCGTCGTTTCAAGGAAGAACCACGAAGCATTAGTGCACTACGTAATGCCGCTATTAAAGGATCCATATGGTGGTCGATAGACGAGTTAGAATCCAGAAGCACAGTGTATTTGGGGCTCATGCTCTTATCGGCCTATAGGCGACCTCTTCTTCACCGCGGTAGCTCGTCTGATAACGAATGAGATCCTTGGGGACCATTTACCTTGATCCCAACCATGTCGCAGAAACCGTCATCTCGTACCTCTATCGACAAAGAGCCTTCTCAGGAGACCCATGTCGAAGCTGCCCTCGAGTCGACGAGGAATGCACTCGGAGAGGAGACAGCACACGTCACAGATCATGCCGCGGAGATGAGGCTCACCTGGAAGCTCGACACGAGACTACTAGTGCGTTATTGTCTGACTCGACCAGTAACGTTCTGATTCCGCGCAGCCTGTTCTCGCTTTCATGTACCTGTGCAACGCCCTTGATAAAGGAAATCTGGGAAACGCAAAGACGGATCACATGGATACTGACCTAGGCAAGTACTATGGCAGACTTCGCTCTTTCACGCTGACGAGTGCATAGGATTTCATGGCAACCAATACAATATTATACTGTCCGTGTTCTATATTCCTGTGAGTCGCCTTGTTCCTTTGAGCGCCATCTTATATCTTCCGCAGTACGTCTTGTTTGCGTTTCCCATTGGTCTTTTGGGGAAAAGATATGGGCCAGCCAACGTTTTGCCTATCATGATGTTCAGCTTTGGATCTATGACGCTTCTAGGGGCTGCCGTTAGAAATTTCGTATGCCTTTCTTCCCACGGAAATGTCTACTGACTTTCATAGGGCGGTATGATGACCGTGCGGTGGTTCCTAGGCATGGCAGAATCAGCATTCTTCCCGCTAGTCATCTACTATCTGACATGTTTTTATCGACGAGGCGAGCTTGCGAGAAGAGTATGTTTTAAGCTTGTTCTCTGGCTGACTCTGATCTCTATTTAGCTTGCCATATTTTACGCTGCAAGCAATATTGCCAATGCTTTCTCTGGTTTATTGGCCTTCGGAGTGTTCCAGATCAAGGGCGGAACGCTCAGAAATTGGCGATACCTGTTCCTCATCGAAGGTTCCATGACGGTACTGTTCTCTATCTTTGCATTGTGAATAGTCTGTATCCTGAATCGAGCAAGGCTGATAATTCTCAGCATCTATCTTCCTCGAAGCACGGAGAAGGCACGCTTTTTCAACGAGGCAGAAAAGGCTCTTGCGTTTAAACGGATTCAAACGGACTCTTCTGCCATCGTTAATGAGAAACTTGTCGTCCGGGAGGCCATCAAAGTCTTTCGTATGCCACAAGCCTGGGTTTGGCTGGGCATCGAAATCTGTTTGGGAGTACCCTTGCAATCCGTGTCGCTCTTTCTTCCTCAAATCGTGCAGAGACTAGGCTATGAGTGCGTATAGAGCCATTAAGGAGAATATTTGCTAATATACGTTATAGTACTGTCAAGACTAACCTGTTAACGGTCGCTCCGAACATTAGCGGTGCCGTGATGCTCCTGATTCTGGCATTCGCGTCCGACTTTACCCGTCTGCGGTTCCCATTCATCACGCTTGGGTTCTCACTTCCTGTCATTGGTATACTTCGATTCAAACGTACGGATATCGCGACTAACAAATGTCCAGGCTTTATTATTTATGCAGCCATTGACGTTCTGGAACACAAGCGGGTCGCCTATTTCGCCTGTATGTGTGAATACGCAATTTTGACTCTCTTGACCGACCCGCACAGGCTTTATGATGACATGGGGCACCTCTGCACCATCTGTGCTCCTTAGCTCGTGGTACAACAACAATGTCGCTGCGGAGTCTAGACGGATAGCCCTCACTAGTATAGGGGTTCCCGTTGCTAATCTCATGGGCATTCTGTCTTCAAATATCTTCTTCCCATCGAGGTAAGACAATGCCTCGAACTCAGGCCAGACTATTGATGCATTATGGTCTAGTGCGCCTGCATACCTTCCTGCTTTGATTACGACTGCTAGCTTCGGGGCGGTGGGTATGGTTCTCGCATTCACACTTGGAACGTGGATGAGGATTGACAATGCGCGTCGGGACAAGCGGCAGGGTGTTCGCCTCCAAGCGCAAGACGTCTCTACGGCTATCCTGCATGAAGGTCCGGCGAACCCAAGCTTTCGTTGGTTCCTGTGAACCTTGGCTCGATTGGAAGTCCCTGCATGCCGCCTCGCAGGCGGAGGATCTCCACCGGCTCATGTTCCGAGAGAGCAAGGCGAGTGACAATGGGAAATCTTGGGCCTTTTAGATATCGAATCGTGTACTCTTAAAGGAATGTGGAAGCCTCGCGTTTGTTAGAGTGAATGTCGAGCCCACGTGCAGTTTGGGCGGCAGCTGGATTGTTGGTTCTCTCCACGTCTGCTTCGCGTCGTATGTGAGCCAAATAGGTACCTAGAACACTGATAAAAGTACTCACAACGTATAAAGAGCCCTCAAGGCGTGCTCGTACGACCCAAGGCCTGAAGCGCGGCGAGTGAACTCATGTCGACGACCTATGGCCCGCCTGTAGAAACGGGGGAGATGAGAATTGCGGATGACACGGATCCATCCATCCTGTACGTCGTTTTGTCGTGTCGCCAACCAGACTTATTGACCTTGTGCATCCCGCATGTTGCAGCTATTGGCAGCCCGCAAACTACACCGATGGGTGGCAGTTGGTGACGAATCAGATTGCCTATAACCAAACTCTCCATGAGACCAAATGCATCATCTGCACTGCGAGTCTCCTTTTCAACGGTTTGTATGCCGGCTGGTACATGCGCTTGGTCTCATGTTATACTTGGCAGGTACCGGCATCACTCTCACATCGCTCCTGTCACCGAATGGGGCCAAGTTCTATGCTATTCTAGACGGCACGGCCTCTGGCCCGTACGAACTCTCCAACTATGAGGAAAAAGTCGGTGTCGTGTACGCTGTGGAGGGCTTATCTTCAACCTCTCGGCACAATATTACCTTTATAAAGGCATCTACAGACGGACAGGATACCTCGGTCTTTAATATTGACTCTCTAACGTGAGCTTTCTTCTTGCTGGGGCTGACGGAGACTGAGCCTGGCAACATAGAATCATAGACAGGCCTCCTACGAGCTCTGGATCGTCTGCATCTCCCACTGCCACTGGTCGAACGACGGTGACGCAGCCAGGTGGATCATCACAGACCTCGGCAGCACCAGTTCCGCAAGCGCAGGCGTCCTCTCCGCCACCCATAGGTGCAATCGTTGGTGGAACCATTGGTGGAGTTGCTGCCCTCATCGTGGTTGTCGTTTGGTTTATCCTTGTGCGCCGAAACAAAGCTCAACGAGCTCGGCCTGCAAGAAGATATTAGGATTTTTTTTTGCTGTAAACTGTCATCTATTCTCGTAGATTGCCACTATTTGTCCTATTTTTTTCACCGACTGAATGTATTTGATTCTCATCTTGCACCAGACTTCGACCTGAGTTTCGAGTAGGTTTGGCCAACCGAAATGGAAAAGCGTGTCTAATTTTTTCTAGATGAATGCTTAGAAGAAATATTCCGATTCGACGGTTGGGATTAAGCGGGCTTGTCGCTCCTTTCCGTGGTGCACATCACAGCGGTCAGCCTCCGCCGCACCTCAAGAAAATCAAGCCCAGATTCGAGTCCATCAAACCGCTCACCAATTTGAATGATCAAATCCTGCGCTCGGAGTTCAAGGCTTGGCCCAGCACCCTTGAAAACGTACTTCTCGACCCGCCAACAGACTTTTTGGCAAGCGCTCCGGAGCCGCAAAAAGTCGACCCAACACCTCCTAGAGCTCGATACGAGCTTGGACCCGATTCTCAAGCCTCGGCTGCTCTCAACGAACTCTGGGGAGGCATTGCACGAAACGAAATCGAGCCCATCCTCGCCGGATTCAAAAAGCTGCGGGAACGAAATGCTCTCGCCAAGCTCTTAGACGCAGATGTTATTAAAATCACCCAGCTCCTTTCGGACTACCTATCAAGAGCGCCGGACGACCAGACGCGCCAGCTGGCTCAAGTAATGGCCGCGCATTTCGCTATGCGGGGGGTCCCGGAGCCACTCAACGTTGCGATGGCATTTCATCTTCGAAAAGGAGATCATGAGGCGATTTTCGAGCTGTGGGACGAGACCCAAAACTGGGGCAAATCCCAAGAGCTCCTCTCCAGCAAGCGAACATGGGCAATGGCCAAGGATGATAGGATACTCTATGTCGCTGCCGCTGCCGCCATCTCCCAGGAATTTCAACGAATAGTGAACGCTATACGGACGACCACTGCCTCCTTTGACGGACAGCGGCTCGAGGACTTTATCCACAGGGAGATGTTCGAGTTGTCCCCAGCCATTCGTCAGCGGTTTAGAGATTATCTTCATGATGCGGTCCTCTGCAGGGACGTCCAACAGCAGCAGATACTATTCTCTCAGGTGGAGGATCTTATCCTCGCCCGCGACTCTGCTGCCATGGCCAAACTCTTCAACTCGATTGTTGATGCACTGGAGAGAAAGGTTCTGGTCACTGGAGCTGTGAATGTTCCGAGCGTCTCGAAACAAATCTTCATACCCATACACGTCGGAGGCGCCCTATGGTCATTGCTCGTATGGGGAGCGGTCCATTGCCGGGACATCAAACTAGCGGAGAGGATCATGGATGGGATGCAAAAATACAACGTCAAGCCTCCCATCAACTGTTGGAACTACCTCATGTACGCGCACGCCAAGCAGGGAAGAATCGACGAGATCCATAAAATACTCGCCCGAATCCAAGAATCCAACACCGAACCAGACATTCGCACCTACTCTATTGTTATGAGCTCCCTTTTCGATAGACGCTTGGTACGGCAGGCTCGACAGACATTCGACCTGATCAAACAGCTTCCCACTCCTCACGATAACGAAGCTGCTGCCAAACACCCGAGCCTTCTCCTTGGCGCATACAACCTAGCCATCAACGGCTACCTTCGTTGCCAACTGTTCGAAGAGGCCAATACTGTCTTGCAAGAAATGGAGGCGGGTACAGGACCAAAGCCAGACATTGTGACATATAACACATTTCTTAATCGTTATATGCACATGGGAGATCGTGGGGCGGTGGCTAACACGTTGCAACGGATCGCGGAGGCGGGGTTGGATCCAGACCTCTATACTTTCACGATTCTGTTCGTCGGAGCGAGCAAAGACCGCGATTTAGAGATGCAAACGGACATCATCAAGCGGATGCAGGCCATGCACCTGCAGCCAGGCGTCGAGCTACTCTCGGCGGCGGTGGATTCCATCTTTAACGGTGGCACCAGGGAAGCCCTCCCAGCAGCTATCGCCTTCCTTGAGCGTATGGAGAGAAATCCTCGTGACAATAGGAGACCAAATCTCGTTACATATGCCACATTCCTGCATGGTATTGACCGACTAAATGAAGCAGGTGCCATTACCTTTGGGGAATTCAAATACTATGCCGAAGCGATCTATCGACGGATAATCAAGCGAGGTTTCACTCCAAATCGGGCCGTTCACCATGCCATGATGCGAATGTACCTTAAAGATAAAGAACCTCAGGCGCTCAAGACTGCCCTATCTATATTCAATGAACTCAAGCAAGCGCAAGCGCTCAATACGGATTCATGGCACTTACTTTTACGTGGACTCGAGATGCGAGGAGAGCGTGAGCTCGCCAAACGGATGGTCGATGAACTCAAGAATGCCACCTCGGAACCACTGAAGAGCTCACTCCTCCGTCTGATCGAGCGGATTTCTGCGAGATAATGTATTGAATGGTATGATATCTACATTTGATTCTTCCGTTTCAGATTTCGTCTCACTCGCAGCTTCTTAGCACCTTGCGCGTCCCGCTTCGTCGAATGCCAATGAAGGAATGGGACATTCGCCATCTCCACGCCCGCAACCTGGCCAAGAGTCCTAGATTCAGCTCGATGATCCAGCATTCCGATAACTGGCAGTTGAATCTCTCCCATAACAAGAACCCGAACATTTGTGAGTCGCTCTATCGGGACGGGGGTGAGGATGTGTAGGGTTCCGCTCGACGCTCGTACACCACGTATCAACGCGTATCCTACGCAATGCGAATGTTGCGGCGACGGCGGGGGTCTCCCCTGAACGTATGCAACGGTGCCAGTTGTCGAAGATTCAGAAGCTTGGCTACGAGAACTCTCAACCATCGCTACGATAGCACCGTTGAGGACGCGCAATATCTCTAGTAGCTCGACGCTCTCGGACCCACTGCCTACGAGGATGATGGCATCTATCGCTTCAGACCATTTGACCTCCCAAGGTGGCATCGCGCAGAGCGGCAAGTCCGTATTCCATGTATCTCGCTCAAATGAACCCCTTGCCGTTATAATCTTTGAATGATGAAAGTAAGACATCATCATAAGAGCGCGCTTATCGGCCTGGTTCTGGTAATGTTGCGTGCGAATGGGTTTTACTGGTTGCAGTGTCACGTATTGGACGTTTAGCAGTGGTTCTGCTTCTTCCTGCTGCCATATTGGATCGCTCGTCGACGAGTCGAAGGCGAAGACATGGGTCAATTCCGCAGAAGTCTCGATGCGTGAGATCAGCTCTGCGCCAATTCCTTTGTTCCACCCAAACGTGTTGATGACGAGCGGAATCTGGTCTAGTGATTCACCTTCGTCTTCGGAGAGAAGTGAGTAGCGGACATCTAGCCGATAGGCGTCGAGTAAAGCGATGATGCATTCGAGAAAATGGTCGGGGGAAGATCGTGGAGACGTTGATCCTACGAAGTGCGCCCGCAGCGGGTCTCGAGGGTGTGAGAAGGGAGGACCTGATGCTCGTTAGATCTTTGCACTGAAGAAGAAAGTAAACGAACAGACCGAATACTGGTTGAGTCAGAAGATGTAATGATACCATGCCTTCTGGAGTGAACTCAGTCTGGCCAACGTCACAATCAAGATATGCGACTTGCTTGAATCTGTGATAATTAGATTGAGGAAGCTCATTATATGTCACTCACCGAGAGAGGAGCCTATTCACGAGCATTCGAGACAACATACTTTTACCCGACCCTTTTGGTCCCTGAATGAGTATCCGGGGGCTTTCAGGATATGTATGCGCAATATCCAATGAAGCTTTCCACGAATATGGCTCCTGGAAAGTGCGCAGTTGAGGAGTCTGCCTTTGGATCTGTTCCAAATGAACTTCGTGGTAGAATATAATTTGTCGCGTACCGGGAAAAATTCTCGGAGACCCCAGTCCCCAAAGTCGCTACGTGAAGTAAAAATTGATGCATGAGAGTCAAAGAGCTTCATGAGACCTTCGATCCCCGAATTCAGATCCTGAATCGATATAAGGATGTGGTCCGAGGAGACAGCGTCCGCGATTTTAGCAGGAGGCGGAGCGAATGGTGCCGAATCCGCTTCGAGTGCTTCTATGGTGGCTGTAGGATAGTCCTTTGAAGCGAAGACGGGGTGTTCGATGGGAGATGCAGAAATTGTCGATCCTAGCAATGAAATGGAGCCTTGAAGCACAGTAAGATAGATAGTCCCAATAAATGTTAGGGTCTCCTCTGGCTTGAGCATGATATAGATGGCCATGCCACCATTTTCTTTCTGACAGGGAAAGATATTTTGGTTCCAAGACGGAACGAAGGTGGAAAGAAGTTGCTCGCTATTAATCTCTGAGAACACTCCATTGAAAATAAGTTATTTTGCTCACCTTTCGGGCTCCAAATCGTATGGCGACTCATGAAGGACGGCAACACTGGGAGAGTATGCCCTTGGTACGAAAGGGGAAGAGCTCAAATGTATTGGTTTTTCCTCTAGATTCATGACATCATCTTGAACTTGTGTTTTGATGTCCTTTTTACGCTTCCGCGAAGGGGGAGGAGATTTGCTGCTGGGATTCTGTTTTCTTTTCGCAATTAACGAGGTTGGAGTAGGAGCTACAGTCGATTGTTTTGCCAGTGCGACCTCTTCTGCAGAAGTCTGTGTTGCATCGGCTGTGGCTTGGGCACGTCGAGCCGCAAACGCGCTGAGCATACTTTGGTCTCCACCAATGCCCACCCATCTCACACGACAAATCGATGGGCAACACACAGAACTCCTGATACAAAGCTTTTCAGATAGGACAATGATCCTCGTTACTCAACTGGGCAAAGTTGGCGCATTGGTGAGCATCATTCGCAGTGAGAATCGCACTAACAATCAACTAGGTTCAAGCTACAATACCGCCTACTATTCCAGTGCCGGAAAAACCAGAATCACCTGCCGGTGCACTTCCCGAACCGCCAGTGGCAATTTCATTGACCCATTTGATGGGAACAGCACAGGATATAGAGTCACAAACAGTAACGGACATATATGTTTCCCAGATAGCGACCTTAGTTTGGTGCTACATGTCGGGGGTACGAAATCCTGTAGTCGTAGGATTGGCGTTGAAGAGAAGACCAGCCCCCGAGATCGATGGATCAGGCGATGCGGACTACCGCACAAAGTTTATCGAAACAATGTGCTTGGTAGTTGATGGACTGGTCCAACTCGAAGGTTCGCAGACAACTGCCATGTAGGCCACAAGATCATGAACCGCCAACCACTGGGACAGCGACATCCCACTCTCCGCGTATTTCGCTGTATTCTTGTCAGAGAATGCCGTAGAAACTATTGCAACTTACTTTTTGTACCGCTGAGCCCAAACCATTACGGCAGGTGAAACGAAGTTGATGAATATCAGAATGAGGGAGACAATCCACCCGACCATGTGAGAATGTTCGCTCATGAGCACGACGGACGTGGTTGAAAGGAGGAGAGTCAACCCAAGACGAACCGCCGTCGGTGCGTACTAGCAACAATTAGAGGACGTTTAAGATATCAAGAAGGTGCCCACATGAAGCTGTCTCCGTAGTAACGGGAACAAGGCGAATACCTGCAGCGCAAACAAGATTAACGCAAAAACTGAGAGATCTGAATCCAAACGCGATGCTAGTACGACACTAGCGGATATGGCAGCGTTCATCGAAAGAACAGAAGTAAGACTGTGTCCCGTAAATCATCTATATGACTGAGAGACGGATGATACGAACCGTTCGTGGCTGTCGTGGGGTAGTGGAGCAGTGTAGTCTGCCAGTAGCGTGTGTAGGGCAAATAGAGAAAATGATAAAGCCCATATCGAGTCCGAAGATGTCGCTTCGGTGAGCGTCCTGAGTACGGGAGCGAGGGCCAACAAGGCGAGGAAGACAAGGATGGCCGACCTCATAACCCTCGATCCTAGAACAATCAAATATTTGTCTTTAATGCAGTGATAAGAACTCACGAGAGTCCTTCCTAAGGGGCGAGCCTTGAAAGAAGAAGAGGGCCTCCCATGAGGCGTATCCAATGACGAACAGGAGAATAGATATCCAAATAATATATCTCGGGTCGCTCTTTCTTTCCTTTAGTCGTATGAAGACGGAGAGAAAGGTAAAGATGTTGGCAATATGCTGGCAAACGGATGTAGTCGCAACCACCATCGGAGAGTACGTATATGGCGTAAAGTTGGCTACAGAGGATTAGAAATCGACTGAATGTGGGTATATTCTCACCATTCTTTCGCAACGACTCTAGAAACCGTCGAGGAGGCACATAGTTATCTGGGTAAGGAAGTCGCCTCCAAAGCACCCTTTCCCAATTCTTGTCGTCCGTTGGCGAATGCTGACGAGTGCTGTCCATTTGCTTGTAGGCTCCCACTCCTCTTGAACCTCTTGACCACTGCCTCGGCAACAGCTTTCGGCACTATATGGCCACGAAAAGTCTCTCCAATGTCGCAGTGTTAACACACGAGAATAAAATATGGTCGCGCAAGAAAAAGCAAAAGAAGGAGCAAGTTAAGGAGGTTTTGTTTGACGACACGGCTCGTCGGCAAGTCCATTCATGCAAATGACCTCGATCAAACTTAGACTATCATAGAGAGTTTCTCACAGGCTTTCATAAACGAAAGCTGGCTCGAAAGGAAGCGGGAAAAGCAAAGGCACTTGAAAAGGAGCGACAGCATCGGCTGGAGGAGCGAAGAGAGGTACAGATTCCATGTCCACTCGTTTATGCGGTCAATTTGAACAGTGTCACATAGCGACGGAGAGAACTGGCCGAACGAGCCGCTCAAAACGCCAAAGAAATCGAACGGAGCTATGGCGCAGAATACAATTCCGGTAAAGTGACCAAATCGCAAACCTTTCAGTCCCTAATTTTAGTTCAGATGACGAGAATGCCTCTGCTTCCTCGAGCAAATCCGAGGTAGAGGACGTGCAATTCGAAAACGAAGAGCAGCTCGCCACTGTAACAGTCGTAGACGAGTTTGATCCGAGCACCTTGGGCCACATGTGGCATCACACTCGCATCGAGAATCTCGCTCGTCACCTCCGCCGAATCTCAAGTCGACAAAACCTACTCGTCCCAAACCTACAGTCGCTCCAAAGCCCAAATTCCGATACGAGACCAAAGCAGCTCGCAAGCACGAGAAAATGAAGCAACGAGCGCGAAGGGAAGAAAAGGCAAAACGTGGCTCAGGTCGCAAAGGCAAACGATAGCCCCAGGCTAGAATCATACACCCACATGTAATCTGAAAACGTGCTTTCGTGTTGAATTTCACGAGTTACATGAATCGAATCCTGAGTCCATTACGCACAAGAGCGGCGAGAGTGTAGAAAGGATAGGGATGGGTCGAAAAGCGTGCACGTGGTCAATGCAGATGAGGTCGCAAATGTGTGTAAACGAATGGGGGATGTATAAATGATAGTGAGTGATAATGTATGTAAGGATGAACGTCATTAGTCCAGTAACCGTGAGACGGTTTGTCCGAGTGAGCAAAAGGGGACCTCAATGGTCAAATTCGGTCAATAGAGTTGTGATCGTGGCCTTTGAGACGGAAAGGGTCTCGGCGACCGCGATCTAGGCATCGTGTCGGATGCCTTGCGAGTCCTGTCCTCTTCGATATAAGAGGACCGGTGCTGCGGTTGCTGTTGCTGTCGCTTGGTACTATCCTGATATTTCTGCCAATCCTGGACCTTGGCAGTGGAAGTCGGCCGCTCATTCAAGCCAAAGGTACTACGAGAGCGAGCATGCGGTTTTTGTCCAGGGTCTTGTCGAGTCTGCATCTTTTCTTGCTCCTTTCTCGTCATCACACCCCTCTCTACAGCCACACTTCGTTCCCAGCGTTCTCTCGCAGAGTTAATGGCAGCTTGTTCGGCCTCTCGTTGGCTCAGAGGAGCCTGCAGCTCTCGCATCTTTCCTCGATGTCTTGCCGAGAGCTCTTCAAATGTCCTGACTACCGGCTGTTCTGGAGTCTTTGGTGCTGGTGCTGGATTGGGTGGGAGAATGACAATCTGGGATGTGGTCCTCGACCTGGGCTGGGTTGCTGACTTGACCCCGCTACTCGTGCGACGCCTGTGAGACAGAGGAATGTCTTCGTCGTCGTTAGGTGTTCCCGGGACGTTGAGGAATGTTCCAAGTGTGGCAGACGCAGGGCGGGAACCGTGACCGTGACCAGAGCTACCGTTGGCCGCCTCCATGTAAGCGTCCATACCACCAAATTCATAGGCGCGTTCCTGTCTTTGCCGCTGTTCGACTGCTTGAGCAACCGCCGAAGGAAGAGTAATCGAATGTGGGCGATGTCGCTGCGGCGCCGGAGAGATTGGTGCAGAAGTACCAGTAGGAGGTTGGAAAAGCACTCGGTTCTTGACATAGTCATCCCACTCGTTCAATGCCGGAGTGCTAGTCGGTCTCGCCGTATACGTAGACGCTTGAGGACGAGGTCCCGTACCGACAGTATTCGAGATTCGAGATGTGTGGTTGCCATCAGAGAAAGTAGGAGACTTCCGGTCAGGGTCGGCGAGCAAAGGTGAAGCGGTAGACTTGGGACTGGCAACTTCGTTCCTCATCAAGCTGATGGTATTTCGAATCCCTCGAATCTCTTGAAGGAGCTGGATATTCTTTTGCAGCTCTGGATCCTTCTTTTCCTCCTCACTTAATCTGGTCTCCAATGCCTCCGAGGAAAGCATCTTTTCGGGGAGGGCTTCCTCGACGGATTTCCCAAGGTCAAGGTCGAGCTTTGGGCTCGTTGCACGCTCTTCCTTTGGAGCGGCTGGCTGAGTTTGTGAGAGATCTGCCATGGTGACGGACGACCGGCCTTTAGCCGTCTTTGTATTTCGGAAAAGGCTGAATTGAGAAGAGTTGCGGGGAGTATCTGGTGTCTGAGTCCGGCTGGCTTCCAGGTCATTTGGCTTCCTGGGCCCGCCATTGCCGTGAGCGAGCTCCCATTCTTCGAGCTCCTTTTCCATTTGCGTAAACCGAGCTGCTGCCTTTGCTTCAACAGCTGCATTTCGACGGTCTTGCTCGCGATTGATCTCGCGGAGTCGGGCTTGCAGTGCGATGAGAACGCGTGCTTGTACACTCGCACCCATGATGGCGACGGCGCCAATCATTCCCAACTCTATCTGCATTGTTTGCGAGACTGGAAAGTCGATATACGCATATTTCGGGAACAGTCCTCGGAATCCCAGGTTGTAGACGTAGAATTCCTGAAACGAGTTTAGCACGCTTCTTGGCGCATGGAAAAGTATGCCCACCTTTAGTCCGGCCGTCGTGAAGCAGTCTACTCCGAGCATGAAAGCACTGGCACCGACGATCGCCGTGCTCACGAGGAGGATATGATAGTGGATCTTTGGGATCGTGCAGAGGACGAACCCAATGACTGCACAGCCTGAGAATACAGTCAAAGAAGTCTTCGATATGAGACGGGCAACGTACCAGAATAGAGAATCCATCTGAAGCCGAGCGGCTTGATCACGCCGCCGTTATTCATGCACTGAATGAAGAGGCCAACCGCGAAGCCTCCCCAGGCCCCGATAAAGTATTTGGTTCCTTTCCAAAAGAAGATGGCGAAACCACCGCCAACAAAACCTGCGACACTGCAGGACAATACAAAGAGGCCGCGAAGTGTCTGGCTCGGCGGATTGATGGCTTGCAGGACACCGAAGCGAAGGATGAGCGCGAGACAGACGATGGAAAGCGTGTAGAATCCGATAATGAAGAAGGACGACCTATGCGGGAATCAGTACCCGACCCGGCTGTGAGCAAAATGCGACCGACCATCGGTTCTTGTGGCCCCAGAATGCGCTCGGTAGACCTGTAGTGGTATCAAGCGTGAGCTAGTTACTGTATTTGGGATGCGTAGCGTACCCGAGAGGATGAGGAGAGTGCCTAGAACGGCCCATGGCGCGTCCACTTTGGTGTCGAGGACAATAGGAGACGGTGTCGGCGTTGGAGACGACGTAGCAGAGGCCGTTGCGGTTGAAATAACGGATACAATGGTGCGCGTGGACAGCACTGTCGTCGGTGCGAGCAAGACTGAGCCAGAACTTGTCACCGACGTTGTGAGCGTCGAAACTGGGATCCGCGTGACGATTGTAGTCGTTATATTCTGCGCCCAGACGAGCTGGAGCACCGTCAAGAGGACAGCGAGATACCCAGCGAGCATCTTGTGATGGCAGTCGGGGTTCAAGAAGTCGAGGAAGCCGCGAGGTTTGGCAAATGGCAACGTCCGTGTCGAATAAAGCAAAGAAATGAACAAAAAATGAAAGAAATTTACTACTTCTTTGCCCACTGCTGCGCTGAGGATGGCCAGGCCAGACGGAGCAGGGTCGAAGTTGAGAGGCCTCCGAGTATATAGCCGATCGACATTGACAGACTATCTAAGTCTACCACTGCGGTTTCATATAGACACTTCATTCCACCTATCATATGTTGTCCCAGAACCGACCGCCTCGAGCCCACCGCGAGTTGACCAACTCGCCATACTCGGATCCAAAGCCCATCGCACCCGCTGAAGGCTCTCCAAATGTTGCTTTGAGTGGTGTAACAGTGGCCATATTGTTGTGGATCCCCCACGCGTCCGTTCCATAGGGCAAACTGTCCTTTGCCGGCGTCAACAGTCCCGTCCATTCAGGCGAAAAGGAGAACTTGAGCTCATCCTCCCTAGTCGGCTCCGTTTCGGTTTGAGTCTCCGTGATGGCTGCCCGACCTTTGGGCTCCATGTCGCCTCGCTTAAAGAGCCTCTCATACTGATTCCGCCATAACCGTGTCCAGACGACTCTCATGCCTTGAGCAGCGTCGGTACTATCGGTATGTTGATGGCATATAAATCTACTTCACCGTCGCGTAATCCGCGGGCTTGGGTGAGTATCCGGTCTCGGTCCTTCTCCTGGTCCATGTGCTCCAGGACGAAGTTTGAGACTGCTTCTGTATCTTCGTCTCTTCCCCAGTCGTCCCACAGTGCTTGGATGATCTTGACCGAGAGCTCGTGCGCAGGATCGAGCAACTCTGGGGGTGGGGGATATTGAAAATTACCATACGACAAGGCGATAGATCGAACTTTGGACAGCGAACCAGACATGGCAGCACCCACAGTGCCTGAAGATAGCGCAAACGCGGCAGACGTGTTACGGCCTAAGAGGGCGATCCATCAGTGGTTTCGACTTAAGCGATGTAGGCGGCCACAGACCATAGTTGGGACCTGAAATTACCAAGTCTATTTGTCCAGGATAAAGGTTATGAAGTGCAATGTTCGTACATGTCGCAGGTGTCTGTTCTGATCAATGAACAATCTCAAGCATAAAACAGCGCACTGACCGCGTCTAATAGAATCCATTCACCGATTTCTCCTTCCTTTAGTGGTCTTCGTGTCTCTGAAGTCTCTCCGAAACCATCTGTCACGGAACGTCTACAAGTGAGGCGGAGGCGACAATCAAGAGCATACCAGGTTCTTGTGGATAGTAATAGCGACCTGTGATCAAGTCCTTGATCTGAAATGCTTTGCCTTGTTTGCAAGTCAGAACGTTGTCGCATCAATGGCCATAGGATGGGCACCTATCCAACTCTTCTGAGAGGATGGAACAACGACAGATACATTCCATCCTGTAGATGCATCAACATGATCACAGGGGATAAAAAAGCAGGTTCACCAAGCTTGACCAATGCGTGGTAGAGACCAAAGACATATGGTGATTCCTTGCCTGGAGGCCCGTCGTCGTTCTCCGGAACACCAATAAGTCTCAAGAATCATCTAGGAGCTTCGAGTCGCTTACAGTAATGAGTACACGACGAGGAACATTCGGCATGGCAGAGGCGTGCGCTTGGCCCGATGAGGCGTGATCCAAACTCTTTTGCGACCACATGGATACAAAGATCTATATTCCCTCGAAAATTACACGAACCATTGAATTATCCATTATACTCTCTCTCAGAAAATACCATGGGGCCCAACATCTCCTGACCATTAACTGGCGGAAAGGTTGACGGTCGCAGCTGGTTGAGCCAAAATCGCCTTTTTGGAGAGTCCAGTAGCGCGAGAGGCAAAGCTAGACAACGTCTCGCCCGTGACATGCTGCCGCTCTCGTCCGCAATCCTGCTCAGCCTTGTACTTGAACACCCACGCCACCTTTGGGCGAGCCATGAGGGTCGAATGCCATCTAGCGACGTTGGGAAACTCTTTAGAGAGGCTGAAGTTATCATCGAGCAGATAACGCGCAGCATACTCGTTGCACTTTATAAAGGCAATGTCTGCAATCGTACATTTGTTGCCAACGAGCCTGTCAGAGGTCAGTAAGGTTTCGATCATCTCGTTTGTTGAGGAATTACCATTCACGGTCCTGCAGAACCCGATCTAGAACGCCAAAAATGCGCCGTGTCTCTGCCGTGTAGCTGAAGATGATTCAGTATCGACTATTGAACGATCAGTAGACTCACCGATGGACGGCAGATGGGATTGCCTCTTCGTGGTAGAAGGAGAACCACTGTAATTGGCCGTACATCGGCCCCTGATGAGAGGATTGAAAGAACAACCCTAAAGGACAATTCAATGCACTACACATGCGAATCTAAACAGAACATACAAGTGTCCATTTCGCTTTGGAGTTCGGGATTGCTCACTGTCAATCGCTTCTCGGTATCGTACCGACAGAGATATTTGAGCATAGCGTTGCTCTCCCACACGACCTTGTCGTCGTTCCAGTGATCAACCAACGCGGGGATACGGCCATTGGGCATCATCTTGCAATACCATTCCTCCTTGTGCTCCTTCTTGCCAAAGTCAAGGAGACGTTCTCTACTCTCTCGTCAATACAAACCCAGAGGGAAGAAAGGGGACATACTTGTATGTGAGTCCCAGCTCATTGAGCAGAATGAGAATCTTAAAGATATTGACGCCGCTCTCGTGATTATAGACGGTAAACTGATACGAAGAGTCGGAAGGCATGACTAGAAGACGGGAAGGATGAATAGGTGGTCGAATTGAGGGTGAGATGACTAATTTTGATGGGATATGGGTTGTTGACTTCGACGACAGGAGCAAGCAGGCTCTTTATACCATTCCGATGATGCGTTTGGAAATTCACCGCGCTCCCAAGATGCAAATGCCCTCGATCGAGGACTCACGGCACAGATTCCGGCCGTAATTTGTGCACTCATCGGTCCCAACCTTGACATCGGCGGAATACTTTTAGTCAAATCCGACCCCCCTAATTCTCCGGCGGAGTGCATCGTGGCTTCGTCATGCCAGGGGATGGGGATCGACGCAGTGAATCAGAATTCCGGCTCCGATCGGCCTTTTAATACAATTACTCAAGTCCAAAGCTCCTGAAATCCGATAGCTAAGAACAGACTACAGCTCTTCATCGGACCGGACGCGCCATATCACCATCGCTCCGCCCGTCATTCCACATCCTTCCATATTCTCCTAGGACAGCCAACAGACCTGCTTTAATCCCGGACCGTCCAAAGCACTCCCTCGCGAGGACTTGTCCAGCGGTGGCGATACGCTTTGCAATGTGATCGTTCGCCTCGAGAAATAGCAAAATTGTTGGCAGGTCACTAAAGTCTGGTTGTATTGGGATATAATGCACCTGGAATCTTCATCAGTCAGCTGGCCCCCACGATCAACCGGCGGTGAACGACGCACCCAAGGCTTGGCTTGTGAAACCCAAAAATCTTGAAATAGGCTCGATCTCAACACCAGACTGCCAGAGAGAAGAAGCTGGCGGAACGAGGTGGTCGACTCCGAATATGATTCGATGTCAAGGACAAATTTCGCCTGCTCCCATTGCGTTTCAGACACATCGACAAATCGATATCGCTCGTGCATGTCATCGCAACCCGTTCTATCACCGCATGAAGTAAAGGCGAGGTCCACGCGAGTGGATAGGAGCTCGAACGGGCGTTTGTTTTGTACTTCGAACCTATCATCACTGCGTGGAACGAGAACATGCTGCTTCCCTGAAGCGAGATTCCGTCTTTGATCGAGCATAGCCATAAGTCGGTTAATTGGCACTACCAACTCATCAGTTGATCCCCCTAGACTTGCTGGACCTCTCTACTCAAAGGTAAGTTTGGACAAATGAATGGGAAGATATCTGACCCAATACAGTGTTGGGCTCTTCTTACCCCACGGGACCTTTGATGGGATGGTCTGACTCGTATCTGGACGCGGAAGTAGGATATCGCCATTGATAGCAGTTTGACTGAAAGAAAAGACTGGGACGAGTACACCAAAGTTGGGTGCTGGTCCAGAAAAGTAGTCCGAGAGGGTGAAGAGGCTTGGGTGGCGACAAGGCGACAAGGGGCGGTTTGCATGGATAAACTTGACCGTATTGTCTGGAAACCGTAAGTGATTGAAGGGGTTTATCGTCGCATACTGACTCGGATGCTCTTTGATTTCCACACCTTTATTCACTGGGTCGTTTGCGGCACACGCTTCAGACCAATCACGAAAGTTGTAGACTCCATTGCCCCCATTATCGTCGTCACCGGCTTCCGAGATGCCGAAGCGCTCTCCGAGCCGTAGAAGGTCCGCCATATCCTCACGAAGCTTGTAGGGAACTGGATTCCGTGGAAAATCGACTGAGAGCGTGAAGCGAAGATCTGGTCTGTCCCAATCAGTGCAATTTCGAGGCCAAGTATCCGGGCATACAAATACTCGCCAACTTCCAGCAGGATATTCATCAAGTGTCTCGAGATATCCCTTGCAACATGCATCCCGTCTTCAGCCTCTGCCGCGCCACCTCCAGCTCGTCCGTTCCTGATGATGATAGTAATAGTCATCGGAGAACCCTCCAAGCTCGTCTCATAGCTCCGCAGGAGATCTGGAGCGAGGGGTTTGTAGAGGTATAGCGAGCTGACTGACGGTATTGGACACTGTGGGGCAAGAATGCTAAACATCTCTGGATAGGAGGAGGGTGGAGGTCTTCCATAGGTTGTCATATATGCCTCATAAGCCTCACCTATCTGCGGGGAGCGTCAGCCTTTGCCACTCGCCGGCGTCCATACGCACCGTCAAAGGCCTGAAGTCAAGCTCAGTCCCCTGCTCCGCTGTCGCGATGACTTCAAAGAGCGGATGACGGCCTTGGGCAGATGTAAGTTTCTTCAGATACAGAGCTCTGAACACGAACCGTCCCAATCACCGACACGGACTAAACCGTCGTCTGACCGCGTCATTGGGGGACGTATGCGCGAGTTCCATTCTCTTTCCCTCTCCCTCTCTAATCTTGCCTCTCTATGTGACCTCCTGGCTTGAGAAGTGTGCTGTACAATATCTTCATCGGTCTCCTCCATGAATTGCATGTCGTATTCGCCCCTCGGGCTCTGTTTGAAGAAAGTGTAGTATACGAGTACGATGAACGTAGAGAGAAGAAGTGTTCGTCTGAATCCTTTGCGTCCGAGGAAGAATCGTTTAGCCACTTGAACAGACCCACGCCGGACAATGTGCACACGAGGAAGTGTAGCTTCGAGCTTTGGAGAAGACGGCATGTTGAACTGTATATAATGATTGATACCGACGTAGCGACTACTCGAATCGAATGCCACCAACTGTCTTCCGCCTTTGGAGATTAATTACCTGTAGATTCACTCGATGAATGATATATTAGCGAAGATTGGAGTAGAATACGGGGATCCAAGGCGCAAAGTGCTACGGGTATGGCAGTGGCGAGGAACAAGCAGTTTGCCACAACCGCTTCTGAGATGCACAGCACATTCATGTAAAATAGAATAACACATATATTATCAAGGCTTGGTGCTTTGCATACGCGCTTCTATCGCCCTCGCTCTCCTCTCCCGCTCGAGTCGAGCGCGCATTTCTGGTGTAAGCCCCATAATCCCAGATGTCGTACTCGCACCACCAAGTTTCTGTGGTCCAGATGCCACTTGAAGCCCCCCTGGTGGTGTTGGGGCCACATCCTCTGTATCTTCCTCAACAGGGGCACTGTTCTTCGTCTTTTCCTCCCGCTCTTTGATTTTCTCCTTGAGGCCCTTCCTTCGAACCTTTTTCTTGGTGTCTTGTTCTTCCTCCATCTCCTTACTCAGTACGCTGGGGACACGTGCATCTCCTAGCCAGTCCCACTTGTCGGGGTACACACCAGCAAGCCGACGAAATACGTCTCTCGTCCCCTTCGACCCAGAGACCTCGTATGGTGTCTTGCCATAGTTGTGAGTTTTGGTACTTGTACCAACCTCCTCTGAGGCATCGAGATTGATAGTCGTCGTCGGATCCGCCCCCATATCCTCGAGGAGCCATTTCACAACAGCCTCTTGCGACGCTGCAGACGCAATATGAAGCAGCGTCCATCCTGCGTCGTCTCCTTCTACCCACGACGGACATGCGCATCGACACCTCCAATGCTCGAGCCAGCCTTTTCCCAAAGGGCAATCAGAGGATCCAAACGTCCTTTACGTGTCATATCCAGCAACCTCTCCCATAAATTCTTGAGTGTCTCTTGCTCCTTGGTCAAAGTTGGCACTTCGGGCTTGGGTTTGGGCTTTGTGGACTGTGGATTGACAATGGGAGCGGGCTTGGGTTTTGGGAGTGCTGCGAGAGCTTGCGCGTCTTGCTCGCGCAGTTCATCCTCGGAGAAATGTGTCGTTTTGGCGTGCAGGAGTTCATTGAGGCAACGCAACAGTTCGGTTTGTGTCTAGATTATTGTCAGTCTTATATCATCCTCCCCTTCCTCTAGAAACGTACTGGTCTGCGTGTTGGAAAGGGAAATGTCCGGAGGCGCTCGTCGTCTGTACACCATTAGAAGGGTATCGCATGGAGAAAAGACGACGTACTCTTTGCAAACGCAGCATCTTCGTAGTCGTAGAAGATGCGCTTATTTGAGATATTTGCACGTATCCAGATTCGTTCACTTGCGGCAATGTCCTCTGACCACTCCGCCATAAGATTACGGATATCATCTCGCAGTGCCTGCTCTCCATAGCGTCGCAACTGAGCCCCAGCGCTTTTGGCAGGACCTTTGGCATTATCATTGACTGACTGGGAACCACCCTGCTTGCGTCGAGCTGCACACTAAGCATCAGCACACCATTCTATTCTATACATCATCGGCACTCACTCGTATATCGATGAAAAGTCTTGTGCAGGACAACTTCGTAGTCGGGCAGTTTATGCTTTTCCCTTCGTCTTTCCAGCGGGGGCACTCTTTTCCTCTTTCGCTTGAGTGACTCTGACCACCATGCCCGCGAAATGACCTCCCGCAATCATGAGCATTGTCCAGAGTCTTCCGTCCTCTGAAGGATGCTCCTGCATTCTCTTCAATTCCGTAACGTACTCCTTTTCATCCATCTTGAGAGGAAACACCGCGTTGTAGATTCCAATCTGGGTATTCGGTGCAGAGTGAAACCAACGAAGAGCAGTTCGTGGGATTGAAGCTCGGCCTGCCATCTCGTCACCGTCCTCTGTGGCAGACGAGATATGTGCACGGCGAAGGGCACCTGCGACGCGATCCTCGTCTTCGCTCGCATCATCACTCTCTGAAGATGCGGATCCGGAGATAGAGTCTGACAAATCTACACAAATCAGAATCCAAACGCACCAGGTCATTGTCATATTAAGGAGAGCACTCACCAGCGAGCGCGTTCGCAAACTGTGCTTCTGAGAGGATTGGTTTGCGTACAAGGTTCGCCTTGACGTTGTAACGGTGCCAATCGGAGCGATAATGGGCCTTTTGCTCGTCGATGTCGTTAAACGTAGCTTGGATACAAATTGTACACGCCAACCCTCTGACCCCGCCAATATTATGATGTGTACTTTGCGGAAACGCATCTCGTCGTTGTGGCTGCTCGTCATCCGCGACGACGTCAGGCTCGGAGACGAGCGTCCGCAAGACGATATTTTGCAAGAGATCAGGAGGTAATTGGAAGATATTCATGGCGAATCTAAACACCGAGGCGAGGAAAGTCAAGTGAAGGAGATCTCCAAATGTAGCTGAAGTTTATATCTCTAGTGGGCGCTTACCAATAACTCAACGAGTCAGCTCGCCTAACCCGCGTTCCAATTCCGTCCAAATTCCAAATTGGCATTATTGATTCGCATGGTTTGTACAATCAGACGATGACTAGACTGTCATTTCGACGTGCTTCCCCTTTGGCTTCTCCTCGCTCGACTGCGACTGCTCCCTCTCGAGTCCTTTTTCGGGGTCATCCTGGTGAGGAAGCGTATGATGATGGGTTGCCTCTTCGATCCCATCACCCTCTGCCATCTTGCGATCCTTACGCTCGGGGCCAATGAGAGTGAGAATCAGGACGTAGAGCTATACGTTATTTAGCCGTGTTCGTATCGGAATGAATAGACTTACGAAGACGCATCCCAGGAAAATAGAGATCACCTTTCCGTACACATAGCGTTTTGTACCACTCGCAGTTGGAGGGAGCGGGAAACGTTCACCCAGCCTGGCTTCGATCGTAGAGCTTGCACTACTGATCAAGTTTCCAAGCTGATAAGTTGTTCCAACTACAAATGTCCTGAAACTTGCGGGACTAAGTTCCATGAGATGAATAGGGGATGACTCCCCATGCTCCTTGGACAGCGAATTGTTCAAAGAAGGCAGCTGCAATAATTCGCTCATCCTTGAGGAATCCATAGGGGTACAACAATGCGCCACCAAGGATGCACACTGTTGCAGAGATAAAGTGTGAGTCGTCTGTACCGTGGAAGTTAGACTGTACGCACTGGCAATGATGCTGAGTCGGCGACCAAATACTTCAGAAGCATATCCGACGACAGTTCCGCCGGTTATGGCACCGAGGTTGGCCACGACTTGAGTGACTGTAACCTGGTTAGGAGTAAACTCGAGTTGGTTTTGAAGCATCGTGGGGTAAAGATCTTGGCTTCCATGAGACTGTAAGCGTTTTAGCATAGATTCCGGCGCCAATATAGCGACATACCATGAAGTTGAAACCAGCCATTCTTCGAAAGATGGTTAGAAACAAGGGATTACAGGAAAATGAAACTTACAAAAGCACGAGGTAGATTAACATGAGCCAATACCTCTTTAGAGCAATCTTTCCTTCGCGAATAAACGTCTTCTCGATTCCATCTCCTTGTTGACGCAGAGCCATGCGGCGTTGGAATGCCTGGGTCTCGGGAAGGAGCAGACGACCGATAATTAGGAACACTGGCAATCCAGCACTGACGAAGCATCAGTCACACCGGATATTCGAAAATGTCAAAAACCTTACGCAAACCAGAACAGTGGCCTCCATCCATGCGACGTGGTATTAACGAGTGCGCGGGCAAAGACAACAGCCAATAGGTATCCGAGTGCATATCCCTGCTGGAGCATCCCAGAGAGAATTCCTCGAGCTTCAGGAGGCACATCTTCAAGTGCCGTGGCGGCGGCATTGCCGTACAGTCCACCCATAGCGATACCAAAGCAGGCACGCACTCCAAGGAATTGTTCATACGTTTGACAGAAACCGGTAGCCTGCAATCAATAGGAATTAGCACGGATTAGATAGACCCCACGGTTCAGATCTACTTGCCAATTCAAAGACGATGAAGAGTACGTTGTTGATAATCCAAGGCCACTTGCGCCCATAGCGATCCGCAGCGAGACCAAACGTAATGGCTCCGACTGAACGAAGCATCAACACAAGGGTTATGCCCCAGGTAATGTCTGTCTTGGATTTCCCGAATTCCTTTGCCTATCAAGTGTCAGATCAACTGACCCAAGAGCATAAAGTTTTCGTACAAGATCCGAGACTGCACTATGTCAGCATTTTGGACGAAAATAAATGGGAAACGTACCTGTAAGGCTCACGGTGAAGAAATCCAGGGCATCGACAGTCCTGTTCGGGGGGTCAGAAAACAAATCATGACAGAGGCGAAAAGAGAGGGCCGGCAAGGGTCGGCAGAGCACGGAACCATCTCTGGAGAGAGGAAATTGGGAAATTGAGCGACATACCATCCAAGCATGGCGAGCGTAAACTAGTGGTGATAAGCCGATGTGACGACATTGCGGGGTAAGCCATAAAGACCAAACAAGGAAATAGCTGGAATTGAGCAATCTAATAATAGTGAAAAGCTCAAGGACGAACCATTGCCCAATTCATGGGTGTAAGTAAACGAAGAGCCTTGATGGGATTCGGAGGACGGTCGAGTGGAGGCCTCAGACTACTAATGCGCGTTCTGAGGTATTCGCTTGCAGACATTTGCTCGCCTCCCATAAAGCTCTTGTCATCGTCATGAACTGTGTCTGTGTGCACGATCTGGCTGTCCTTCTTTGAGCCTTTAGTGGCGGGGAAATGAGAGGCCATGATCGTGGAAGTGGAGCAAGCTGCCCTTGCGGAGGGCCGATAGTCGAACTTGGGGGTTATATACCCCAGTTGGGAATTATAGTCCTCTCGAGGCGGGGCTGCAAACCAATTGATGTGAAGAGAAGCCACCGTTCGCGCGTTTGCCGGCGTCTTGCTTGAGGTTCTAAGAATAGCACCCCCTCTTCTGTTCGACTCGTTCCGCACTGCCGATTATTGAAAAGAAGGATGCATGTGATGACCAGGAGCATCGTATCTCCTGCCGCGGTAGCGCTAGATCCTTCTAGGCCACCGTATCAATCGCTCAAACTATCACCCTGATATCTCGAATCCCATGTCCAAATACAGAATACCGCCTTTTGCCGCATCTACACATCTTCTCAGAATTGCAGAGTGGTGGGTGGATCCAAGGTGCATTCGCCAAGTACAAAAGCCAAGCACTACTTTCCGACAACTGTGACCCCTCGTCCCGTTTTGACGATACTCTTCAGTGCTCGGGCCTTTTCCTCCTTTTCCTGTGCCTTCTTCCCCCTTCCCCTTGCCCCCACCGTTCGGCTCCCCGTCTTTTGATGGCTTTTGCCCTTTGTTCATCCGCGAGTACTTGTCTACACTCGCGTCGAGTGTCTTGCGCATCTTCATTCGCTTCTTGCGGTTCTTCATCCGCAATGCCTGCTTTTCCTCCGGCGTCATTTCCTCCCTTGATGCTATCACTCCGGGCGCAGTCGTCGAAAAGACCTCCTCTGGAGCCAAAAGGGACGAGGCAGTCTTTGCCGTAGGCAACGCAGACTCCATCGTCGTCGATGGGAGGTTCGACACCACAGAAATCACGCCCTTTGCCTATTCGCCTCGTAAGCAAAATGTCACTTGGTCAGGGAATCTCCAATCAGACGTACTGATTTGGGGGTAAAATGCGCATTGCATAGCGCGTCGAGTTTGTTCGCAATGCCCTCCCAGATCGCCTCCAGTTCTTCATGCTCCTTTTTCAGCTTGCCATCCCGGTCGTCAACTACACCACCCGAAGAGGCCGCAGTGTACTCGTCTTCGTATATTTGAGCAAGAGATTGTGCAGACTTGGTGTCCTGCAGCTCAAACAGGCGCGAAGGCAAAAACGGCTTGTCATCCAATGCTCTCCGACGCACTACATCGTCATATCGTCCCTATAAACTCATTAGTCTTCAAATTTTGCCACGAGAGTAGACTAACCTCTATTATCCGCGCCTTGATAATCTCCTCTAGGCTCTTGACCTTTTCCTCGGTAATGATGGGCACGACCCGCTGGCGATGTTCAAACTCTAGGTCTTCTTCCAGTAGCGAGTTCAATGGTCTTGCTCGAGAGTTGGCTTCACCAATCATCGTCCACTCCTTTTGCGCGACATTTTCCCTTTCCAGCTCTTCTATCTGCTGCTTGAGCGCGAGCTGACGCTGAGCAAAGGTCGATAGATCTTTAGAGATGTTAGCCTGATCGACTGTTTTGATAATACACACCCGTTTGCGGCTCCTCGTCGTCGGCGAATAGATCATCTTTGGCTCGCTCCATTACATCTGCTTCGCTTCCTTCACTAGCCTCCTCCTCGTCTGAATCGACCTCTGAATCGCCCTCATCCTCGTCCATCCACTGCTCCATTTCGTCCTCATCCTCCTCGTCGGTGTCGTCTTCCAGTAAAATGGCGTTTGGTGTGTCGGCTCTTCGTCTGTTCTTGACCATTTTCACCCGCACCTCATCGTGGAACCGAACTTTGGACGTCTTGGACGGTGGACTCTCGGACACCACATCCGTATTTGAATCGACCGTCTTGCTCGGTCTTTTGCCCGGTACGCGAGCCGGAGCCGACGGTGGCTCGAAAAAGTCGCTGTACATAATGGCTGAAACCATTATTATGGTTCGATGATTTTGATTATCGACTCGACTCACGTGCACCGTCTCCATCAGAACCATTGTCCTCTGCCTCCTCGCCAACGTCGGCAAATAAGTCGACACTTTCGTTGTCTTCTTCTTCTTCATCATCACTCCCAGCCCTTTTGAGTCTTCCTCTACTTGACGAACGTGCCTCTGCTCCCTCGATTTCCCTGTTGAATTCTTGTATCGAGAAAAAGTCGTCGTCTAATACAGGGTGCTTTGGCCCCTTTCTTTGTCGTGTTGATTGATGCAGGTTTGTCCTATCGAGGTCAATAGTTGGACCATTTTGTTTTGGTTTGGGGGCTTCGCCAGAGAGTGTCATGATGTGCTCGCCCAGGTCTTCGCCTTCAGAGCTCTCCTCTTCCTCCTCTTCTTCATCTTCATCTCCACCCCCGTCATCCTCCATATCCCAGTCTTCGTCATCCACCTCCATTTCATCCGCCTCTGCTGCTTCGTCGGAATCGTCCTTGAGCAGCGTTTCTGGATCCAAATGCTCGCCTTCAAAAACCAAATCCACCAAGTCACAGATATTCTTTGCGCGGAGCTCGAGCTGACTCCATATTTGCTCTATACCCATGCCATTGACATAGAGCTCGCTCAACGGAGTGGGTTCGAGCCTGTCAGCTGCCTCTACCATTCCGCGCATCTTTGGATGAATCGATGGCCCTGCTTCGTTGTCTGCTGCGTTTGCCCGCGAGAGTTTTTGCGCTCGTGTTTCGCGCGGCTGGTGGTTCATGTCCGCTACAAGGGATTGTACAAAGCGCTTTATACTTGATAGTCCTTCATTCTCTTGTGATAATGCTTTTACGACGCGTGTGAGCTCGAGAAACTTGAGATTGGTAGACTGACCGGAATCGAATAAGGATTTTGTCGCGGTGAGTGCAGCTGTCTGAATACTACTGTCTCCTGTTGCAAACAGGTGATAGTTTCCTTTGAGCGCATCTGTGAGTTGCTGCTGCTCTTCTGGGATTGGAGCCACTTCCATGATAGTCGGGGTCAAGATGCAGACTAACAGTCTACTTTGGGGTGTAATATCACAAATTATAGTCTATCAATTGTGAATAACGGCGGCAGTGGTGGTGCTCTGAAACTTGGACCTTTCCATCTCAATCCCGACAAATGTCTTGGTTCCGCAAAGACAAGTCCGCTGCGCGGACGCCTGAACCTCAACAACCCTCGCAATATGATCCCTATGCTCCTCGTCCAGGCGAGGAAAATATTCCAGACGAATACGAGTCCAACCGGCGGGCACTCCTAGCGCCTGGCGGTCAAGGCAGAGGACCCTCGCCCGGCCCACAATCCCAGTACAACAGACCACAGCAGAGAAACCGCTACGATGCAAGAGATGACGAGGAGGATGCATACGGCAGCAGCAATCGAATCCGAAAGGCCGGGCCCCCTCCAAGTGCTCAGCAAGTTGCCAGGGAGGCGAACAGCATTCGTGCGATGCCCGATCGTGTCAATAGGAGCGGTGGTCCTAATGATGCTTACTCTCGTGGCGTACGTGACCTGGACCAAGATCGTGCTAATCTATTCGCGGGTGCTACGGTCAAGCCAGGACCTGGTGGACCCAGTCGCTACGACGAGCCGAGTGGCGGTCGTGGAGGTGGAGGGAATGGAGACGAGGAGGAAGAAGATCTGGAGACACTTCAGAAGAATACCAAAGATATCAAGCAGCAGAGCGTGCAATCCACCCGAGACGCTCTGCGCATGATGCGAGAGGCAGAGGAGACGGGCAAGAATACATTGCTCAAGTTGGGCTCTCAATCCGGTAAGCTGCAAGTCTGCTGACATGGCAAAGGTGCTGACAATGTGCTTAGAACAACTCGGAATGACTGAACGACACCTCCAGGTCTCCAAGGGCTATATCCGACGTGCCGACGACAACACGGCAGACATCAAGACGCTCAATCGCTCCATCTTTATCCCAGCCATCACCTTTGACAAGTCGAAGAAGCGCGCAGAGCAAGAGGCAAAAATGGCACGTCGCTACGAGGAAGAGCGCACAGAGCGTGAAACCACGATGAATAACATTCGTGAAGCACACGAGCGAGTCGCAAACGTCACACGCGGTGGTCGCAGTGATGGTCCACCTGGAGACGACGACGAGAGCCTTGGTGGTGGTGGGCGCTTCCGGACACCACAGCAAATGGCCGCACGGCGTGCACAGTGGGCCAAGTATCAGACGCGCGATGACGATGAAGAGGATAATGCGATGGAAGATGAGATTGCGACCAACCTCGACGAGCTGTCACTTGGTATCGGTCGTATCAAGGCCATTGCGCTCGCACAGGGTGAAGAGGTCAAGAGACAGAATGCTCAACTCGAGCAGCTTCACAGGACGGTTGGAGATGTCGACCAGCGTTTGGCCGCAAGCACTGAGAGGGTACGTCGTTGTCCTTTCTACTTGAACTTTAGCTCATCATTATTCAGATGCGGAGACTCTAGACGAACGCAAAGACGTATTAAACGTGGCTCTATTATTTATAGTACATGGACGATATATCGTGAATACAACGGCGGCTGGCCAACTCATTCCGTCTTTACTCTCTTTAGTCTCGGTGCACTTGCGGTCCTCGACCTGCGCTTTTTGGTCGGCGTTTCGCCGAAATAGTCCGCGTCACTCTCAGTTGGTGTCGGAGGGACAGACGTTGCAGGGGTTTCGGGCTTTGACGGCGTGCTATCCGGCGATGCGAGGCCATAATTTGCAAAGGAGCGCAAGTCGGCTGTGAACAGGACACTATGTGCCCAGCCAGCATAATCACCCCACGTTTCGACGAGCTTTGTGCAGACAGCTTCATAGATTTTGGGCGTCATAGGCACCTTGCCGCCCTTTCCCTGTGGTGTCCCTCGAAGTCCGTAGTATTTGAGTGCTATTTGGTGAACGTGAGTATCCACTGGGACGACGTTTCTCTAGAGATGTGTCAGACTGATTCGCGTAGGCAAACTATTCAGAGGCCTACCTTGTCTAGCGACATGAGAAGAATACAATCGGCAACCTTGGGACCAACGCCGCACAGTTTCAGAAGTTCAGCTCTTGCTTCCTCCCGGGTAGCTTCCTGAGACCGACGAGATATGACTCGGGATCTTCATGTTCGTCACAAAGCATTTGAGCTGTCCTTTGAACATATTCCGCTCGATAGCCAAAGCCCAATTCTCGCAAGCGAGTCGAGACGGATTCGTCTGTGAGCTTGTCCGGCGTAGGGAATCCGTAATACGCTATGGCATCTCTCGAAGTCTCCTCGCTGTCCTCGGGTGGTGGAAGAGAGCATGCAAGTGGTCCGTATTCCGTGCATAGCGATTGGACCATCTTGCCTATACGATTGATATGATTATTAGAGCTGCAAATGAACCTTGAAATCGTCAATGCACAGACACGAGTTATACATGTGATTATACGCACGATATGGTGTTTTCAAACGGGTCCTGCCGCAAAATTCGAATTCCGGAAAATCTCAATGCGGTCTCCTTGAAGACGACGTCGCGTTCTGCCCAGTCCGAGTAAAGCTTTACGAGGTCAACATCGAGTTGAAAGTAGTCCCTGAGCCATTCCAATGTTTCTTTGTCGCGTTTGGCCGATTGGTCTTCTGACAAAGGCACGTCGGGGAACGCGGCACGGTAAAACAACGTATCCTTGTCTTGTCTCAGACAAACGACGCGATCTCGAAGCGCGAGACGATACTCGTGTGATGGGTACGCGTTCTCTGGTTCTTCTTCCTGCTTCACGCCGGCGGCCAATGGGATCGACGACCAGCGAAAACTCTGCCCGCACTTTAAGACTGCAGCAAGAGAAAGTTGTGCAATGGGAAGAGGAAGAGACTTGAAGCCTTTTGGGATATTCGCCATGTGGTTGGAGCTCAAAGCAACAGCAGACTGCTCTCCGCCACGATTTGCAAAAATGCCTCAGATATTGCCCGAGCATCCTACCGTTGCGCACGCCAATACAATGATATATGGAACGGCGTGTTTCTTCGTTTTCGGAGCTTGGGCTCTTGCTGGTGGCCCACTGACCGGGATTTCTGTATGTTCCGCCCTTTCGAACCGGTCTAACCACTCATAATTATAGTTTATCGATGTCATTCTCAACGATTCTCATTATAAATATCTCATCTTCCTCGGAATCCCTCTCACTGCCTACTTTGTGATCGCAAACTGGGTTGGCTGGCAATATTACCGCCTCTCGTAATGGGAAATTGCATCTTTATCTCGAATCTAGTGATGGAACAGCCGCAAGTTGGTGTGTGCAAAGACCATCTTGTGCTCGTCTGCAGCCTTGATGCACTCGGCGTCCATTACACTTCCAGACGGCGCCGCCAAATACTTGACACCACTCTTTCTCGCTCTGTGGACATTATCCGAGAATGGGAAGAATGCGTCGCTGGAGCACACGACGTTTGTCAACGTGGCGGCGTGCTCCTCCTTTTCCTTGGCCGACAATGGCTCTGGGACTGCCTCGAACAGACTCTCCCATTGCTTCTTCTCTCCGCCTTCCAGAACTTCACCCGTCACGAAGAGGTCAATCGCGTTGGCCTTGTCAGCTCGCTTGGTACCAGCCTTGAAAGGCAAAGCAAGGACACGCGGATGGTGGCGCATCCACCAGTTGTCGGCTTTGCTTCCAGCAAGTCTCGTGCAGTGGATGCGGGACTGCTGACCGGCACCCAGACCGATAATGGCGCCATGATAGGCGTACGCGACGCTGTTCGATTGCGTATACTTCAACGCCAATGTTGCGACGATCAAGTCGATTACGGCAGATTCAGGGAGCTAAAAGGCGTCATTTGATGCAGCTTGACCAAGACATCACGCACCTCTTTCTCCGCCGTCACAATGTTCTTGAACAGGTCTGCGTTGATCTGCGCATCATTCCTGTTCTGCTGAAGCGATATACCATATACTTGGCGTGTCTCACTGTTCTCTGGCACGTACGCCGGGTCCATCTGCAAGCTCTTGAACTGCTGCTTGGATCACCAAAGCCCACACACCTGTAACACACAGTACTTGCCCGCCTTTTTCTTCTTGAGGACTGCAAGTGCTTCCTCCGAATATCCAGGAGCGATCACACCATCGGACACTTCCCTCGAGATGATGCGAGCGGTGGCCAAATCGCATTCCGCGGACAGTGCAATAAAGTCGCCAAAAGACGACATTCTATCCGCACCCCTTGCGCGCGCATATGCATTAGCAAGTGGCGTAAGAGGCTCTTTGAGATCCTCAACTCCATAGACAATTTTCTCAACGTCGCTTAGCTCGAGACCGACGGCGGCCCCTGCTGGAGAAACGTGCTTGAAGGATGCCGCGGCGGGGAGTTTGAGCGCTTCGGAGAGCTCTTTGACCAATGCCCAAGAATTGAGGGCATCAAGTAGGTTGATGTACCCGGGCGACCCACAGAGAACTAATAATGGTGTCAGCTTTGTTGACTAGGCTATAGTATACATATACTAACCTTTGAATGGCAGTGGCCGACCTTGGATGAATGCCTGAGCAGGCTTTTGGTGAGGATTTGCTCCATAGCGAAGAGGAAGTCGCTGAATGGGACCCGCAAGTTTTCGGGACTGAGATCAGCAGACGCGTATTGCTGCCTAAAGTACCCGCTAATGGCCTCGTCGTATCGCGACGTCATTTCGAATGCCTTGAGAGCAAGTCGATTGCGCAGCGCGTCAGAAATTTGCCCAGATGACTCTGTCCAACATTTGACAAACTCTTGGTAATCCTGGGGTCGGAGAGCACGGAGACTCGTGCATGGTTCTTCGCCGCAGCACGCAGAAGCGTGACACCTCCAATATCGATTTCCTCGACGGCATCAGCGAGTGTGCAACCCTCTTTTGAAATGGTTTCCGTAAAGGGATATAGGTTACAGACGACAATGGTAATTGGTGCGATACCGTTTGCTTCGAGATCTTTTTGGTCCGCCGGGATGGAGCGCGCAAGAATGCCTGAATATTGTTAAGAATTGACCATTGACGTATTCATACAGGATTATTTACCTCCATGAACCGCTGGATGCAGGGTTTTGACACGTCCTCCCAGCATCTCGGGAGCTTTGGTCACATCAGAGACATCCCTGCCCTCACACGTCAATTAAACCCCACTTTGAGTCGAAATCTACTCACTCTATTGGAATTCCAGCATCTCTAATCTTTTTTGCTGTTCCTCCCGAGCCCAGCAAGTGGATGCCACTCTGGTGCAGCGCAGTGGCGAGTTCCAACAAGCCAGTTTTGTCATAGACAGATAAAAGAGCTGGATTCATACTCAGTAACTGAGAAATCTAATCATTTCTTCATACCGATCGGGGCTGATGCCATGGTCAGAGGCCAACTTTCGGCGATAGGGAAAAGAAGGAGCACAAGCGAATAGCGGGCAAAGCGGCTATATTCACGGATAAAAAATCAGATAAATCACTTCTAACCCCCAAATACATGTTCAATCATCTGTTTCCCAGTCAGCTGGAATGGATCGAGCCGAAGGAGGCGCAGGGAGTTTGTGATGCTTGTGCTGGGTCGTGTAGCAGGATTCAATGGTGCAGGCCGGAGCGCAGGACTCGTTGTCGAAGCAACAGCGGCCCATGCTCGAGTGCCACTGGCTGAGAGAGTCGTCGAAGAACGAGCCGGAGACGCTGGTACACTTGTACTTGTCTGTAGCTTTCCGAGTGTCGTCGCAGGTGCCTGAAGAGTGCTTGAAAGCAGCGGAACAGGGATACGAGTGTCGAGACGCCGAATAAGTTCGACGCTGCGTTGAGGTTCGACATCGATCATCCGTGTGTCGATTCTGTAAACCTTTGCAAGCTATTGAAGAAATGAGGTCTCCGTTTTGATACGACAAGGTACTCACATTATAGACAAAGCTTCGCTTTGCTTCAGGCATGTGTGGTAAGGCGTGGGCGGCTCGCTCCGAAGATACAAAGCTGAGATTTGTGAGTCTGATTTTGAACACCGATAATAATTACTTACTTGGCGAGTTCCTTTTCCACCATTTTAACAAAAGCTGTGTTGGCTCTCGCAAAGGCAACAAGTTCTGGTGAATATGTCGCCATCGTGCGCTCGCTGACGGCTCCGGGACTCCTGTCGATTCCTAAGGCTTCGGCTAGCCGGGCATTCCGTTGTGCAATCTTGCAGTCACTATTACACTGCGGACGCATTGCAGAACGCCCGGTCGGAGCTGAATCGCATCGACCACAGGGTACCTGCCTTTTGATCCGACCACATGGGCATTCAAGAGTCGTTATAGCTTGGCATGGCTCGACCTCTGAGCATGCTGAAGGTGCGTGGCATGGATGTGTGCATGGGTGATGATCCGGAAGACTGAAGAAATTGAGTATTGTAATAGCAAGAGAGGCGAAGAACTTACCAAATCTTTCTATCTTTGCCGCAAACGCTTTCGCAAGGCCCACATTCGTCGCTGTGGCAGAGACGAGGACACGAATGAGCCCCACATGATAGCAACTTTCCACAGGGTTTGCCGCAAGATACTTTTGGCTGAGAGCATCGAACGTTTGGGAGAGTCATTTTCCCACAAGCGCATACTTTACTTGTGAGGAACGGGCAAGGAGGACATCCTTCGCTCTCGTGGCAAGTATGCGAAGATTTGGGATGGCCACATGATGGAGGAGGACGATTACAAGGGTAATTGCATTGAATCTGTGTTCCGCACGGGATTGGGGGCATTAGGGTAGTCCGGCCACAAACACATGTCAGCTCATCAAACGAGCTTTGGAGGCACGGTGGACAAAGGCCTTTGTGATCTTTTCGTTCGCAACTGGATAAAGTTAGAAGAAAACGGTAGCATGGGTTTAGAGGCGTACTGATGCAAGCCACAATTCAGCAACTTTGAGCACGGAAGGTCACATTCGTGCAGGGAGAGATTCTCGAGTTCGGGATCTACACGTGATTGACGGCCTTTGGTCTTGATAGTTTTGATGTGCGACAATGGACAACACGGCCGATTGCAAACGTGCTTTCCACAATTTCGCAATGCGCGGCAAACTTTGTTACAAGTGACCTCGTCCAGCTTTGATGTCCGCTGCCAGCAAAGGAGCTTTTGCACTGTCTCCCCGCATCGGCACGGCAAAGTGATTTCGACCTGGCATGGAGGACAGGGTCCACGATGGCCTTTGCAGGGTAAGTGATAGCTCATCCAAGAGTCTAGGAAAATATTCTTACATTGAGCTCCGCAACCGTGGTCGCAGTCCGGCAGTGCCTTTCCGCATCTTGATTGGCAGGAAGGGATGGAATCGGTACATGCCGTCCTCGTCACTCCTAAATTCTCCAGTGACATCTTTCCGCAATGACATGTGGTAATACGATTTGGACTTCGAGGGCATTCTACGTCTATGGGCGAGTGATAATGGCAAGGCTAGGGAAACGTGAGTCTGAGTCAAACACTTGCAGGTATCGTTCCTACCTCGGTACAAGAATGCTTTCCGCACGAATATTTGCTGAAGAGTGATAAGTACCGAATGTAAAGGGTTGAATAATCCAACTCACCGGTCGCAAGTATCATCACACGAGTATTCGCCAACCCATTCCTTCTCTCCATCCGTGCAATCCATCTTGTGTCCTGTTCCACAAGGAAGTAATCGCTGGTGGCGGCCACAGTAACACGACGAAGTGTAACTTTCTGCACATTGTATGCAATCTCCAGGATGGCAAATTTGCTCGCATTTGTGGTTGCCACAATCAAGCTTTTTAGAACACACAGAACCACATGTAAGAGGCATCTCGCCACTCTGTGTCATCTTTCCACACCGTACGCTGAGAGTTTGAGCGCCGCAGTAGCATGGACGAACTATCAGCGCGGAACAGGGCGGACACGGTCCCGGGTGACAGGATAGCGGGCACGGATGTTCGCATGTCGCACGTTTGCGTTGACAGGACATCCCGCAACTATGCGGCATCGCTAGTCGTCCAGGCTTTGGATCTACAACTGCACCACAGAAACATCTGCTATATATGAGAAAATTACAAGATTAAGCATTATGGACATACTTGTAGGGTCCAGGAGGCTGAGTTCGCGCGGTTTGACATCCGGGACAACGCCACTCCGGTTCTTTATCTTCATTTCGTGCTTGAATAACTGCCTTTGCCTCTTGTATATCTTTTGGGATAGTTTTAGTCAGGTTTATATATCAGCGTTGCAGTTAAGCTTACTCTTTTTGCTCCATGAGACGATACACTTGTTATGGAAGACACCCCAGCAACATCGGTTTGTCTCCTCTGAGACAGTGCATGCCCAAGTAGGCTGCAGGGGGTGGATAGGAGACCAGCAGATCACACAGTCCGCATATGGCGGTGACTTGAGGGTCTCGATCAGCCTATTTGTCAGATCTGGCATATTGACGCCCTCTATGCGGAACATTTGCGTAGTTTTATGCTTTTCTGGCATCTTTTCTGCCTGCTTCGATCGATGTTCTCGCGACGGATTACTAACAGAGTCTGGTGTTACCTCACTGGGAGGTACATCTGCGATATTAGACGAAAGTTGACCTCCAAACTTGCGAGATCTAGAGGATTTGCTATGGTTCATGGAGCTACTTGCGCCTGCTTGGCTCGTCTGTGACCGATCGCCGCTTGGAGCCGCCTCTCCAGACGGCTGAGGGCGGTTCTTGCTATATCTCCCACGTCCTCTACGATTTGAGGACTTATTTGAAGTCGAGGTGGATGCCTCGTGATGCTGAGCTGAACTCATGAAGGATGAGGGGTGGGCCAAGATTGATAGGTGGCTGAGTCAAATCGACAGGCTTAAATACAGAGGCGCTACTGAATGGCTCGGAGCCGGCACTCGTCCAAGAAACAAAAACCGAACGTAGAAAGATGACTCTCTGGATCACGGTTGGAAGTCTTTGGTGCTCGTGTCAGCCCGCGAAATACAAAAGCTTGAGCAATTACCTTCTTCGTTCGCCAGCGTGTGCTCCTCGGCACAAAAATGAATGTAGTCAATCAGTACAAAGCGGCGTCGTCTGGGCCTGGAGAAGGCGTAAGCTCAGTCTAGGCGGCGATATAAAACCGACAATTCCAATCGGCGCATAAGTGGGATGCGTCTACTTGTATCTTCAGAGTCGAGGACAACATGAGTGATGCTTGCGTCGTTCAGATTTTCTGAGATCCTGCCTCCGAACTGGGTAACCAGTCCAGCCGCCTCTTGAAACCTCGCCTGAATCGCGTCCTCCTTTCTGTTGTTCACTATCATGTCGTTCTTGCGAGCGCAAGATGGGGAATCAAGGTAGAAGACCCTAAAGGCTTAGTCAGCAGACACCAGGCGCCAAGTCGACGCCACGTACAAATGCCTAAATGTGAGGATTGGATCGTATTCCATTGCGTCTGCGCTTTCTCCCATGGCCTGGGTCTAAAACATAAGCCTGACGGATTTTAAGATTTGAATCGTTACCGGATGCAAAAGGTCAAGCCAGCTTTCTCCCCCATCTTCACCCTCGTCAAGCTCTTCATGATCCGTAAGTTCTTCATCAGAACTGTCTGGAGGCAGTCTCCCTAGGCTCATATTGTCCACTGGTTCAACCTTGATCCAGTCCCCATTTGGTTGTGACTCGTAGTCTCCCAAGCCTGTTGAGGACATGTCTTGGGTTGGCTCGCCAGAACCATTTTCTTTAGAACCCACGCTCGACATCTCCTCTTCTTTGATGGCCAGTTCTACCCCTTCGTCGTCATCGTCCTCTGTGTCCGAACCTTCTGTAGCAGAATGGTAGAGATATCTAGAAAGGTTTTTCAGTTATCTCTTGAGTCAAGATAGCCAACACTACTTTGACTTGAAAGGGAGGAGTCGCTTTTGCTTTGCACAGTCGAGCACCCATTGCGGCTGCACAATATTCTGGGTATTATCTCGAACAATTGCTTTGACGTCAGGCGCTGAAGGAGAATTAGATAAAGTATCGTGAAGGTCCATGCATAGACGCACGCTGATTTGATCCACCATATATCAATATCTCATTTGGCCGCCTCGTTCGTTTGGCCCGGACTGTTCCACCGTTTGCGCGTATTCTATAGAGCGTTAGAGATGCTATAGAGGCGATTCGGCTCCTACATTTGTTCAATATCCGCCTTTTTGTACGGTACAGTAGCCTTTACAGCCGGGATAACAACTATTTGCCGGTCAGCTCGGAATATGACCCTATAAGAGACTCACGGAATGTTTTACCAGCAAATATATCGGACGCTGAGGTAGTCAAACTGTCCTTCGACGCTTGGAATGCACTGGAGACAACAGCCTTTGGGTGATTAGACAGTATGTGGATGAGTCAGGTGATCACTAACGATTTTTCTCTTTCCAGTGTTCCGTTTCTTGCTCGGGCCCCTACGATGGCGGGTCGTCAGCAAGGCATACAGTGATTGTGGTGCTTTTACCCATCCTGCTCCTCTTGCTTACGCTTCTTGCCGGAATTGATGTACTCGAAAAGCTCTGAAATAAGTAAGAAGATATAATTGCAAAACCATATGGACACACCAGAAACTGTCGCTGCGTCCTCCGCTGTGAATTCGTCTCGAATGCGAACGGCTCGAGGGAAGCGAAGAGTATACGGCATATGATATTGGTCTACAAGAGACTTGAGATAGCGGCGATTCAAGCTATGTTACTCACCGGTTCCCGTAATTTCGGCCGCTTTGACAGTGACGACAAACGCGCTATTGTAAACTCAGTAGAAGTCCAATGAGGACCACAGTACGTACTCCTCTGGCTTCAAATAGAGATCACACTTGTCGTCAGTGTTGGCTCTGGGTGCGCTCTGGAGAAAGGGTGGCCCATTCTTGCCCCAGTCAGTCCACGGCTTTGCACGAATAATCACATAGTCTGCAAAGGATAATCCTGTGCCTATTCTTGCAAAGGTGCTCCACCTGTATAGATTATGAACGATTAAACGTCAAAGACGGATGCTCCTACATTTTGCCATCACCAGGGGCCCCTGAACGGTCGTCTCGAAGCGCACAAATGAATGTAGAGACCCTCCTCCGCGCTTTCCAGTGCCAAAGTTGCCACCTTTCAGGGATCAGAACCAATACGATAGAGTGTGTGAACCAGCCTGACCAAGTACAAGCAAGTCGAACGTTTCCCCTTGTCCATCCTAAACATGGTTGAATGAATCTTCTGCGATATGTAACGACGTACCATATACTCGGGCTTTATTTTGATCCAATGGTCGACTCTACCATTGAGGACGTATGGAGATCTGGGATGCTTGAGGATCAACCCTGCAAAAGTGAGCAAATGGCAATGGTGTTAAAGAGCGCCGGACCTTCACCTCTGGTAATGAAGCCATGAGTACATGCGAACATCATTCGGGTAGTGGCCTACCTGTCCTCCATTACTCTACGCAGGAGACTCTTGACACCATCAACTGTAGAGGCATCATACTGTTTCATGATTTGCAGCCGCCCTTCGACTTCACTGAAGACATTGAGGAGGTTCATTCGACGATCTTCCAGCGCCATATTGGTAAGGGACCGTCCGTTAAGATATAACAGATCGAAAACTTTGACTAGAAATCATGAGAGAATGCGAATTATCAGAGATTGCACAAACAGCATGGCCGCGGATGATAATCGCCTTTGATAAGCTTATCTAGATGATGTCTTAATGACAATTAGCAGAAATAATTGCACTCTTTACCTCCTGCATGAGACTTCAGGGTGCCAAAAGGCAAATACCGCTCGCTGATAGGATCCCACACAAGCATCTCTCCGTCGAGTATGCATCTATAGTGTCCCTGTCAGCTCTATACACGGGATGGCACTACTAACTCTTTTACGTCTGGATGGAATGCTTCATGGATAAACGGCGTCAAGGATCCTTCTTCTGGGCTTTTTCCATAGAGATATGTGTAATCCTTGGACTTTCTCGAGCAATAAAAGTATTGGTTCCCTCGCTTGTGTAACTGGATTCGCTCGCCATCAAGTTTTTCCTCGACTTTGAAAGTGTCGCCGTTGAACCTCTTGACAGCGTCTTCTAGATTTTTCGGAGGTTTCTTTGAGAGCATCGGTGCAAAGCATCGGAAAACTTGCACTGTTTTATCCTGTCGTAATATGGTCAACAGAGCCCTCGAGAAGACTGACGGCGCATGAACGTACGGAATCATCAATGTGCTGTGAAGGATCCCAAAGCTGATAAGCAACGCGCTTCAGATCAGAAGTTGAGTTGAAGACAGCGGTGGCGTCGGGGTGGAAAACACTGAAGACGGTTGTCTCCTTGACGCCGACGCTCAGATCTACATGACTGTCAGAACTCTGAAGTCGTATGCGAGTGAAATACCTTTCAAGATGATGCGGACTATCCAACGAATTTCTGCAGGCGTACATTTTTGAATCAATTCTTGAAAGATACGCCTCTGGTGCTCCCTGGGATGCGTAAGTGGCTTGAGAGGTTGAGTAATTGAACAACTCACATCTTCGAGCCACGTTTCGACAGGTCATCCAACAAAGCATTGAGTTGATCAATACGGAGAGTGCCTTCGGTAACGGAAGAACGCTTCGCAACGACTTCGTATACAAGACCCGGGAAGTCACCAGCTGCTGATTTCTATCTTCTGGTCAGCATAGAGTATTTCGAAGTCGTCGCCTACTTGATGGCCTGTCGGGCGCTTCCACTGCGTCAGAGCAACGCTGTCTGGGGCCTTCTCAAGACCGAGAACAGAGATCAGAGCCTTTGCAATGTTTGCCTCTTTGATATGGTAGATAGCGCGTTCTTTGTCCTTCTAAATTCAAGCTCAGCTATGACAACGTTGATGTAATGTCGGCGTACCTGAGGTAGAAGGAGACGTAAACTGTGCTACAAGTCAGAATATGCCAAATATTTGTAGTAGGTACTCACGCAGGGTATAGATTTGGCCCAACTTTTTCACGCCACAGCTGTCAATGAATCCATGAAGATTTGCCACACTACTACGATCAAAATAATATACCTGAAACCATCTATCCAAGATAGCTCTGCGTTTATCTTGCTTCCTTTCCGCTTGCAACACATCAAAGAGAAGCGTAATGACGCCAAAGGACGGTTGAACGCCGTGATTCGGAGGTTCAGGCGGAAAGTCTTCTTCATTTGCGTTTCCTGGATTAATTTCTAAATTATCATTGTTGGGCTCTACGGTAGTGAGTTGGCTGGCCATCGTGTCGGGGTTCAAGCAGTAGGCGACAAACAATGATCCATCACCAGTTTATACATTCATTATACATTCACTCTTCCTATTTTCAAACATTCGGATCTGCGTTTGGCTCTCCCTTGATGAATATAAACCAGTCTGAAGCCGGTTGAATGGTGTCGAAACGGTCATCCTGCTTCAAAGCAATATTTCCAACGTGGCCAGCAACCATTGAACAGTTGTAAAGGGTTCCAGCCCAGTCCACAAGCACTGGGACCTGGCAAAACCCATTCGGGATATCTTGCGTATCCACAACGGGGTACCGCATTCCGGCGAGGACAAGCGGTGGCGGCGGCCCAAAGTGTCTCCTACGTCTCTAGTCAGAACGGAACAAGGTATAAATTTTCTTACTCTTGAGCTTGTTCAGCCGAAAGGGGCTCTTGAATGCGCGCAAGATCACCACCCTGCCATTTCCCCGACGAGTTCCAAACACAGAATGCTGTAATCCAACCCCCAAGATACGAGGGCCCTGAGCCTCCACTTTTCCAATGGCATATCCTGCTCCAAAATGCGAGATTCGGAGAGTCCGGTTGGTCGAAAGCTGCGATGAATTCGTTTAGAATAGGACGCAAAAGGCTTGCAAATGCGGCGGTCTCCTTTCCAAACTCTTCGAGTCGGTCGAGGCGGTGCAGTATCTTGCGATAGTCACCCTGATCCCCTAGTAGTGTAATGGAAGGTATACCACACCGAATCGTGAACTGATAGGAAAAGTATCTGGGCCGTCATGAGGGATATAATAGACGACTGGAGGTATACATACGCTTGCAGAGTACTCATCATCATGACAGAACAAACGACCATATCGTTTGGCGTTGTCGTAGTAAAATTTGGAAGGATCCACTCATGAAGAGACCCGTCTAAGATGTTCTCTTTCAGGAGCTTAGACATTTGATTGGCCATTTCACCGAAGTCAATTTTTCCACCATTTGCTTCGACCTCTAGCCCTCGCTTGTCCTCGTGTGCGACAAACTTGGAGCGAAGCTCTTCGGCATGTGCATTTATGCTACAGCAGAGATGAGGATGTTAGGTAGGTTCGAATGGATGGCTCACTAGAAGTTGACCTGGCAGAGTATACTCGTCCAGAGATCGTCCGGTCTAGTTTCAGTGAGATATAGCTGCAGAATCGACTAATCCATGTACCTTATGATCAGCTTATGGTGCGAATTGTATGACCGAGTGACCGCGTCTACGAAACCGTTGGTCGTTGGTGAGTACCCTGGGGGAGGGGACCCTAGAGAAGTCTGAAACAATTCTGTGCTGTCTTTAGCTCGAAAAATAAAACTGAAGGGTTGAATTCATACTTCCCGGGGCGATGCCAGAGGTGGCGCCAACTCCGGCGAGTATTTGGTCTGCTGTAAAGGCTCTCATGTTTCCTTCCTTGCACCAAGATACCTCCTCGGCGTCATGCTTAGCAATTTTGAGGGTGATGGGCATGGTCACTTTTGTGTGGCTGGAACCAACTGATAGACGCTACAAACATGGATTGCAAAGATAGGCACAGTTTCCTACTCAGAAGATCTCACAAACATGAACCAATCCGACTTCGGCTGGAGTGTATTGAATGTGTCGTTTTGCTTACTGGCAATGCGCCCAACGTGGCCAGCGACCATCATACAGGCGAGGTTGTCTCCATTGTCGTCGAGCAAGATATCAACTTGGCATATTCCCGATGGAATATCTTGAGTATCAATGACTGGATACCTCATTCCCTCCAGAACAAGCGGAGGAGGCGGTCCAAACATACTACTGGTTTCCTTTCGTCATTATGTTTCGGATATGCCCGAGTGGACTCACCCTTCCATGCGCTGCTTTTCATCCGTCGTCAGTTTTTCCTTGATTGATTGTAAATCTCCACCCTGCCACTTTCCCTTTGCATCCCAGACACAGAACGCTGCGATCCATCCACCTAAATATGTTGGTCCCGAACCACCACTCTTCCAATGGCAGATCCGACTCCAAAAGGAAGGGTTGGGTAGTTGATGTTCCTCTTCGACGTAGTCGAACGCCGTCGCAAACTCTTCGAGCACAGGTCGGAGAAAGTGGGCGAATGTGGTTGGCTCTGCCCCGAATTCGTCGAGCTTATCCAAGCGAAGGAGAATGGCCAAGTAGTCTTCCTTCTCGCCAAGGAGAGTGATGGAGGGGATGCCGCAGAGGATGCCAAACTTGTAGGAAAAGTATCTATGGATCTTGAGTGACGGTTTTGACCAAGGTGAGGGCTTACTCTCTGAGCGTAGCCATCATTGCCACTGAGCAAATCACGCGATCGGTGTCTGTTGTCGTAGTATAGTTGGGCATGACCCAGTCGTAGAGTGTTTCATCTACAACGTTCTTCTTGAGGAGCTCGCTCATTTGCTTAGCCATATCTCCATAGTCGACAGTATACCGGCTCCCATTGGCTGTAACCTCGAGTTCCTTCTTTCCTTCATGTGCTACAAATTTGGAACGAAGCTCCTCTGCATGGGCGTTGATACTATTTCCATCAATTTATTGCAACGCCCAGGACGGCCGACATACTAGAAGCTAAGCTGCGTCAAGATTGCCTGCCAAATATCATCGGGACTTTGATACTTGAGTTTCCATCCGATAATCTTTGAGTAAGAGCGTACCGGATCACTAGGTGATGATGGTGGTTATACGCCTCGGTGACCGTGTCCACGAATCCATTCCCACTTGGACTAAAGTCTGATCCAGGATCCCGGAGAGACGACTGCAAGAGCTCTGACAACACCCGATCAAAAAAGTGATAATTTGATAAGGAGCGAACGCACCTTTACACGAAAGGCCATCGGCGCGCCAGATTTGACTGAGGACGCCTTCTGCGGTGTGTACTCGGTTCTGAGATTCCTTGCACCAGGAAACTTCCTTGGCGTCGTGGGCAGCGACCTTGAAGGTGACAGGCATTTACTAAAGCAAGTCGAGTTCAAGGTTTACGAAGTTTATCTCCACCATAATCCCAAATGAGGAGAGTGACTATATATGACGTCAGAGAAACGAGGTATGACTTTAAAGTTGCATTTTTACTGCTAATAATCACATATTCTACTACTTAGGTCGCCTAAGACCCACCACAATGCTGTCCGGCTGCTGGGTGTCAGCTGGGTCGGTAGCTGACAACACAAACTCACCATTGATATGGATGATTGAACCTGTCATGTAGTTACCTCCGGGACCAGCGAGGAGCACGTATGCCTCTCCAATCTCTGCTGGCTGCCCTGCTCGACCGTGTAGAGGAACCTCGCCGACTGACCAATCCTAAACACGACCATGAGCTATCCATTCTCAGCAAACCAAAGTCACTTACCTCCATGTTCTCAGGAGGACGAGAGGCGGGCTGAAGAGGAGTGTAGAAAGGTCCAGGAGCTATGAAAATCAATAGAAGTTGAAAGGATCATATAGTACTTACCAATCCCATTGACTCGGATGCCCTTGGGAGCAAGCTTTACGGGTGTCAGAAAGAGTACAAAATGATGAATTAGATAACTCACCTGAACCGCCAAGCTGCGGGTGAAAGATACGATTGCCCCCTTGGTGGAGGAGTAATCGATCAGAGAAGGGGACCCCTGCACAATAAATCAGCGTTTACCCAAGGTACAGAGAGGTACGCACCTTGTAAGCGGTCACGGATGTCGTATTAATAATCGCTGATCCTCGGCGCATATGTGGCACTGCACAGGTCGCCATTTGAATCATGCTGATGATGTTCAACTTGTACGTGCTTTCAACTTGCTTGATCTAAACTAGTCAACAAAAGAAAGCTTTGCGGGGGCAGAGGCGTACATCAAGGTCTTTGATATCTTTGCACATGATCTGTTTAGATGCATTGTTGACAAGAATGTCTATGCGACCAAACTTGTCGAGATGTGATTTGATAATCTGGGGTGCAGATTCGGTCTGTTCTAGGTCGGCCGGGATGAGATGGACGCTGCGTTTGGTGGTCGATTCGATATGGTTCTTCAGCCAATCGGCACTAGAGGATAATAAGTATTCGTAAGTAACTATATATGCCACGTACTCTTTCTGTTCCTGTGGAAGATAGACGATACTGACGTCTGCTCCCTCGCGAGCAAAGAAGATGGCGACAGACCGGCCAATTCCCTATGAGGCTGTTACAAGCCTGTACTATTTATGCTGAAAGACTCACGCTATCACCACCTGTTATGATCGCCTTTTTATTCTAATAGGCCAGATGAGTATTCAGCTGCGTGATAGTATCGTGAGCATACCTCAAGCTTGCCAGTACCCTGGTACTCTTTCCTGCACAATTTCAGTCTCAGTGAGGACACGGTAAACAGACGTACAGGTATGGCCGACCGTTCTCGTCCCAGTATTCCTGTTTTGCATGTTCGGCAGTGGGTGCCATGTCCTCGTCGACACCAGGCAGGTCCTGGGTCTGTTTTTCAATGTTCTTCGACGCCTAAATACCTTTAGTAAATACCGAATCACATGTAGCATACACACATTGTAAGCCGTAATGGGTTTCTGGTCGCTCATGCTGCGTGCGCTATAGAAAATCTGTGGACGAAGGATAGTCACTGGTCTTAGGAGAGTTGCTCGACGGGCAAGGATCATCGACCACCTTCCGCCACAGCTCCTGCAGTTATTACATCTGCCTGATAAACGTCAGCGATGATGTTGACTGCGCCCCACTTGCTGCTTACTGATCGTCACACCCTGCTCTATATTGAAGAAGCAGGCCTAATGACGCTGACGTGCATATGAGAATCGAAATCGTCAGAGGTAGGGGACAAATTTAAGGGGGTCAGCTGCCACCACAATTGAGCTGCATTAGATAACGAGCAATAGCATTATGTACATGGTCCATTATGCACGTCTCAGATTAACGACGCGTGTTGTTGTTGCTGCTGTTGTTGTTGTCCCGCTTGTAGGTTCGTGTTCGGGAAGGCACCGGTAAACGACGGGATAGTGGCCAGGGTAGGCTTGAACCCAGAGCTGGCGCCACTGAATAGATTCGAGCCCATCGACGAGCCCTGCTGCATTCCAGTGAATCCTGTCATATTTGGTGCCAATGACGGCATTGGAGGCTGCTGAGCTCCTGTACCGAATTGAGAGCCTCCCGCCATCGATACGCGGAAAGGATTGATTCCTCCTCCGCCAGTCATCTGCGGTCTCAAACCGACGCCCACTGTACTAGTCGCGCCAGGTGTCGAACCATTTACGCCAAACAACGACGCGCCAGTCGTCGTCCCTGTTGCATTCAGGCTGCTCGAGAAAGCGGATATGCCAGTGGGCTGAGAGTTGAGCGCGCCCGATGCTCCGGGTGTCGTCGATGTAGGACTGGAGCCACCAGGAAGCGTAAAGCTTGGCAGACTGAGCTGAGAGCCAGAGGTTCCGGTCGCAGTTGAACCAGGTCCGGTGATTGGACTTGTCGCTGCCGAAGGAGCAGCGCTTGTTGTAGTTGATGAAGGGAGCGATTCGAGTAAAGAGGCTCCAAACGAAGAAGTCGGCTTGAATGGCTTGATGCCCGCAAATCCAGTCGCCTGTGGCTGCAGTGGTGAAAATGGCGCAGTTGTGATGATTGAGGGCGTGGTGTTAGACGTCGCTGTCGATGGAGCAAACGAAAGGTTGGAGAAGCTGTCCGATAGCGCCGTGGTCGACGTCGTTTGAGCCGTAAGATTAGGCACAATCTGTGATGGAGTGCTCGAGGCGGCAGCATCAGGCTTATTGGGGTCTGAAAGTGCAAAGGCAGAGGCCACGGAGGACATATTCGATGTGGTCGGGTTGGTGCTACCTCCAAGCGCATTGGAAAGCTGGGTCGAGAATGGCTGTTGAGGAGTCGCATTCAGTTGCTGCGGTTGAGAATTAAAAGCACCCGTCTGCATTGGCTGCATTCCACCGAATGCACCGGTTTGCATAGGTTGCTGTGTTCCAAAGGCACCAAATGAAAGCTCTCCTAGTGTCGGGGGCTTTGGCACTGGTGGCGGAGACGGTGCCTTTGGTTGACCGAATGGATTGCGCGAGCCCGTCTGATGCGATACTACCGGTTTCAGCGCGGGTTCTTTCGAGGTGATCGGCGTCGAGGCTGGTCGATTGATCAACGCCGCAGCAAATGGTGACTGCGAGTTCGTCTGCTGAGACCCCGCGGCACTCTGAGGGGCAGATGGTGGAGAAAAGTTGAGAGCTGACGCACTACGGGGTTGGCCGTTTGCAAAAGGGAATGCATTCGAGGCTGTAGGCAGACCCGTGGCTTGTGGCATCAAGATGCTCTGCCGGAACGGATTTGTTCCCGTTGTCTGGGGCACCAAGAAGCCTGTTGGCTGGGGTTGGACCATCGGAGTCTGGAACGGTTGCTGGAATGGTACGCCCGTCTGCATCCCCATCTGAGGCATGGGTTGTGCGAATGGCGAGTTGCTCACTTGAGGGAAGGGATTCGTGGTGGATTGGAATGGCATGCCCGTCATCTGAGGCTGCATAGCAGGTTGGGAGAACGGGGATGAATTTGCCTGGAAGCCAGTCGGCTGTGCCATCATAAATGGCTGTTGAGCTGGCATGCCCGTCATCTGCGGCATCATAGTAGACTGTCTGAACGGATTATATGCAGCCTGTGCATGCTGCTGCTGGAACCAAGTGGGTGAGTGGCTATCCGTTTGCGGATTGAACATGGTGGGCTGCGATTCTTCGATGGACTGTAGAAGATCGATCGCGGGTTGCAACGAGGCCGGTCTTGGTTTCTCCTTGGATGTGCTTGCCTCGGGTTGCTTGGGTGCCGAGGTAGTAGCTTGCTCCTTCTCTGTTTATGATAAGTTTAACGCAACCGACAGCGAAGAATACGTACGGGTCTGGGGTTTTGCCTTGTTCGGAATTTTGCCGTCGGCTAGCGCCTTGTTCGTCTTATACTCTATCCGATTCTGTTCAAAATTGGGGTCCTGAAGGTACTCCTCGAGTGCACCGGCTAGTCGTGTAGGGGCCTAGCCAACGGTCAGAGACACAAGCTGGAAGGATACGTCAACTTACATGCCGCAAGTTTGGGACGGGCACGTTGAGAAGGTTTGCCAGCTTGCGTGCAATGCTCAGATACTCTACGACGCCTTCGGTCTGCGTACAAAACGACTTGTAGATTCCGAGACTCTGCTCGGCATCTACCTTGGACATCTCGAAGTAGTGCTCTGGCCTAGGTAAGCACTGGCATGAGGACAGAGGTAGACATACCGAGCACATTGATTACCCCTTCATTACCAGCTTGGAAGAGAATGAGCAAATCCTTGACGAGAAGCCTCAGCGTCGTGATCGTCAACTCGTCTTCCAGATTATCCATAAAGAACTAGGCAAAGATGAGCCGCTTATCCGGATGGGAATGATAAGATGCTCACTTTACATTGAAGTAGCGCATCAATCTGTCGTTGAACGCCCCTAGTTTCTCGCAGTAGACCTTTTTCGACTGTCAATTGCCGCAGCTTTTTTGCGCGGGGTGCACTGCTGGAGGCATTGCTTGGCCGGCCTCCATCCCCTCCGCCGCTCATCCTGTCTTCCCGGTTGCTCTCATTTTGGATTCGAATGGTGTCATGTCGTAAATCGCGGAACGCTCTTATGCGGGCGTCAAGGTAGGCGGCGTAACTCGCGACATGGCCCGTGACAAAGTTTCCTGGATAGCAATGAGACTGCTATATGAGCAAATGCCTGAAATGGCTATACCATCATAAATGTGACGAAGCTTGAGGACATCGTTGCTCGAGCTGGACAAGAAGCCAAGCACGTTGTCCGTATGACCCGTCCGAATCATGGTATGGATCACCAGTAGAGCCTTGTGAACGACCTGTACGTTGTTTAGTCGCTGCTTAGCGTTTCACAAGAGACACTGACCACCAGCGTCGGCTCTCGTAGCCTGACAGCGAGCGAAGCAAAGACATCCCGGAGCGAGCTTTCGTCGGAATATGTGGCAGCTATGATAGGGTCGAGATACTAGCAGCCATTGGATCAGCCTTGCGGGGCCTACAAATACTCGAGAACGGCCGCTCTGTGGCCTCTAAGCGCGCACCTTTGCCTTTGGAGCAGCCGATTTTGGCTTACAGGCCAACTTGACGACTTTATCCCAGTGAGACATGGACGATAGCGGTGGACAAGGTCGGGTCGAAGAAACGAATTACCCACACGCCCAGGCGTCCACCCACAAATTCACAGAAAATCACAAAACATGTACAAATATATTCATTTCATGCGGTAGAATGTCCTATTTAGACGTTTGGTCCATCTCCGTCCAAAGCTCCTCGTTGATGACGGTAAGGATCAGCGTAGACTGTTAGATATCGGAACCCTCCCCACCGTACCGCTTGGGTAGTTCACCCTTGTCAATGACAGGAAGGAGGGCATCAGAAATAGTCTCGGGCCCGCTCCCTACGACGGACATCTTCTCCCGTGTAGCAGGGGAAAGCAGCGCCGTAAACGTCCAGAATATCCACGTCAGCACTGCTGGGACGGACACGAAGAATTTCTTGTACTATGGGTCGTTGAGTCACGGGACAATCTGTTTTAACAAGCAAGCTCACAAGAAGCTCCGGGTAATAGTCACTAAAGATTTGACTCGCTTGCTTTGCCGCTGCTTTGGAATTGGCTGTCCTACCGCCCATTATACTGACACCGGCATAGTCTGGTCAGAGTGTCAGAGGGGTATCGCGGGCGGAGCGTCACAACGTACCGTGAACTTGCACCATGCTGTCCACAGTCTCGAAATTGATGAGCTGGATCCCGCGTTCCATCAAACCGACCCTCCATCTGCTCGTGTCAGGGAATCCTCTGTTTAGCCTTTGGAACAATACTCACCTCAGAAATTGATCCACATCTTTGAATACAATGTTGGGATCCGTCGAGCCGTAAAAATTATAGGTGACAGGACGTCCACCCTTGTCGTGTCCAGCAATGACACCGACTTTGCCGAACACATCCTCGGGGAAAGACTCGCTGGTGATTCCGTCGACTTTAAAATCCTTTCTCCACTTTAGGGTCGACACTAGCATATCTTTGGCTGCTTCCAAATTGCCGGGTCTAAGTGTGATCAGAAGTGGCAATGGTACGACGCGAAGACTCAGGGTCGTACCTTGCACGGACAAACTTGACCAAAACCACGCTTGATTTCGCCGTAGGTGCAGTTGGTGACAAGTCGACACCCCAGAGGGAGATGGTCTTTCCCTTTTCCGAATAGACCTCTTCTGCGATTTCGGGCAGTTTAGACCGTAGAAACTTTACACCCTGAATGTCTTGCTCTGAGAATGCCTTTGTGAGCTCGTTCTGGGGTTCTTCAACTTCGGGAACCGTAGTAGACGGTTGCTCAGGAGCGTGAGCTTCAGCTGTGAGTCCTGTCAGAGATGATAAACGAGGAATGAAACCGCGCAACTTGGTTGTTCTGCTGACATCTTATCAGATAGAGAGGTGGTCGGGACCAAGTTCCACAATCTTCTATCAACTTGCAAGGGCCGCCGTGCCTTGCTTACTTGACCTCAACAATGACCACTGAACCACCGAAAACAGGACAAAGGCTGCCTCCTGGCATGGTTATGGGCCCAGACGGGAAACCATGTAAGGCTTGCACCTCGTTGGAGTCTTTTTCGAGCGCGGCGGGGACTAGAACAAGTTGAGTCAGCTTTCAACATATCGCTCCTATTCCTCATGAAAAATGACAGAGTCAAGAGCAAAACCCTTGACTGCAGCTGGTGTCGCGGGAGCCTCGTTAGCCAAGGGTCCTTTGGAGTGTCCTCCAGGCTCCGAACAGATTGGACGAGCAACGTGGACATTCTTACACACGGCTGCTGCATACTATCCAGTCAACCCGACACCTCAGCACCAGCGGTCCATGCTGTCTTTACTGCAATCCCTATCCGTGCTCTATCCATGCAGCTATTGTGCACAACACCTCGGAGGGGAGATGCAAAAGAACCCACCAAATGTTTCTGGACGGGCACAATTATCTAAATGGCTCTGCGATGTCCACAACGAGGTGAACGAGCGGTTGGGCAAGGACAAATTCGATTGTTCACGAGTACTCGAGCGCTGGAAGGATGGGCCAGCAGATGGAAGTTGTGATTAGAACCTAACTCGACAATAATGCTATCTTTCCCCGCTCTCATAGTTGAAGTCGGACACCCTTCTTCTCCTTTGTGAGCTCCTCTACCTCCTTTTGGATAATCTTTGCCCTCTCTTTGCGCTTCTCCAGGACCTTTGCCATGATTTTGGCACGAGAAGTCGCGAGTCCAGGTCGGAAGACAGTTGCCTTGTCTCCGAGAGCAGTCCGCGGGTGTCTTGTAAGCTCTACCTGCTCGTCGCGCATTCTGGTCCGATCCTTGAGATAGAAATCAGTCTCCAAGGCCTTTTTCTGCGCAACCCGATCCGGTTTCGCCAGGTCCTCCCACATTTGGGGAGGATAAAAGGGGTCGACGAGACCAACCACGGCACGTTTAAAGGTGCCTCCTCTTTCGCGTACTTTTGTCCGCGACTTGCCTATTCGCTTGAATTTACCGATATAATTGTCGGTGCGAATATAGGTCGTCTTGACGCCGTACACAAAATACAAGTACGAGCGCAAGTCGTGTTTGGTGAGACTCTTGGGAATCCGGAATGTCGCTTCGTAGGGATTATAAGGTTGTCCAATGGGGGTGCGGTTTCGGATGAATTGAATGACGATATTCGGGAGATAAATGCGTTTTCCAATGATACGAACGCGTCCACTTCCATATCCCATCCCCTCTCCAATGTTGAGTACGTCGGGACTATCATCGTCTGGCGCGACTTCTTCCAAGCCTCTGATGCGTGACCTTCTTTCGTACAGTGCTTGACCCCAGAGGGTAGGACTGTCAAGGTCCTCGCGCGCAGGATACAGATTTCTCAACCGAGCATAGGTATCCTCTTCCGACGCTGTCAGATTCTTCTTAACCTGGTCTCTGTTTGCCTTTATTCGACGTATACGAACAGCCATTGGCGTCGAACTACGCCGTGCTTCCGCTGCATAGCGAGGCAGCAATTTTGGCGGTTCTTCTGGTGCACTGGGAGCCTGCTCCTGCTCCTCGTGGGATAAAGAAGTGGCGTTTAGTTGATTTGCAAGTGCTTTGGTTGTGGATTTCGGCGCCTTAGTCGCGTATCCGCGTTGCAGGATGCGAATGGCTCTCATGGTCGACGCCAACTTTTGTTGGCCCTCGCCATCATGGCACATTTGAAGAAACGGTTAGGTCAAGCCGGCGTAGATTTAAGCAATCCAAGGCTCAATGAATCATTCGTTCTTGTAAGTTCTTAGATAAATTATCCGACGCCGAGGGCTAACACGAGCCAAGATTGGCACTCCTTTGCCCCCCCTAGACAAGACAAAAGATGCCAACGAATTTGTTCCATTATGGAAACAAGAGGTTAGAATGCGTTACACGTCTAAATAAGCCTCATGTCGGTGTAGGTCAGAGACGAACAAGGGAGACGACGCTTGCATGGCGCGTTCACTGGTGGATTCTCAGCTGGCTACTTCAACACGGTCGGATCCAAAGAAGGCACGTATCTGAGATCTCTCTGAGCGACCAATGCTGATACAATGTGCAGGATGGACGCCTTCCACCTTTAAATCTTCCAGAAACGATCGCAACAAAGGAAAAACGATGCGTCCAGAGGATTTCATGGATGATGAGGACCGTGCTGAAATGCAAGAAAGCCGCAAACTAGTCGATATGGATGAGGTTGCCGAAAGCCATCGGGGTCATGGCATGGCGGTGGACGAGACAGAGTAAGTGGTCTAATCTATCGCGGCAGTTATAATTAAATGCGCTCAAGCACTATCACAGCTGCATTGGCGAACATGCTTCCACCCGTGAATGAATCGATAGGAGCCCAGCTGCTGAAGAAGATGGGATGGAAACCCGGACAAGGAATAGGTCCAAGACTAACATATGAACAACTCAAGCGACGCTCCGAGCAAGATGGCACCCCTTTACCGGCAGTCGATGATGCAGAGGCCGTCAAACACACCTATGCACCGCGGGACACCAAATTGTTGACCGTTGTGCGGAAAGATGACTTTCACGGTCTAGGATATACCCCGGCTGGTAGCCTTCGTGCATCTCAAACAGCGTCTACCTCTAGCGGACCTCGTATCAGCGGTAGGTACTGTAGAATCGGTTATGGCCGAGTATACTCAATCCTTGATAGCTGGGTTTGGACTGGGTGCCCTCAACGAAGCTGACGAAGATGACTTGGATGTATACGACAGTGGACTGACGTCAGGGAGTCGACGTTTGGCATTCGAAGCCGGCGAAGAGGATGAGGATGATCGTAAACCAAGCAAGGCTGATGCACAAGGGGTGAGCTCTTCAGCCTTCTTTGTCTCCTGATGCCAACACCTTGCAGAGGCCAAAAGTTCAATCAGCGGGCTTTTTCAAGAATGGAGCGCCTCTACTTGGAGGCTTCGTGGTCGCAGAGGTTCCTGTACCAGCACCACCAACGTGAGCCTTCTTTCTTGCCCTCTTCCTGCTACTAAAAATAGGAAGTTTTGAACCTCCAGTCGTACCTCAGTCGTGGAATCCTGATCCAAATCTAGTGTGGAACTCTGAATCTGCGCCACCCACAGGAAATGAACCGATCTCACATCAAGAGTGGAAAAGGGTGTCTCTGCAGACGAGGTCCGAGAAATACGCTTTCTGTGGTTTAATCTGATAAAGTTCTACAGAGGGGTAAAATACTGGGTGAGACACCGCTTCCAACGGCAACTCGATCGATATGGGACTACATTTCTGCCAAAGACCGCGAACGGATCCAAGGGATCAAGGAAAATAAGGATGGAGGAAGCCAACCCACTGCTCCTCCACCAGTCTACATCGTGAAAGTGCCTCCAATAGAGCCGGCGACAGCAAAAGCCGCTCTCTTAGGATTTCAACCTTTCAAGGACGATCCCGCAAAACAGTCAAGATACACGGCATACCTAAAGGCCCAAGCGTCATCGTCGGCCATAGACCTCCAAGCAGCTCCTGGACAAAGCATTGAGGATTTCAACAATGAACTCGAAAGCTTCGCAAAGGCCGCTCAGATATTCAAGCCAATGTCGGCTGCCATGCAAAGCCGGTTCAGAACCTCTTCGACAATCGAAGTGGCGAAGAAGCAGCAAGAAGGTCTCTATCAACCAACTGATGAAGCGTATGCCGCGCACGAGACGAAAGCAGAGCAAGACACAAAAATGGAAGTCGAGGAGACACCGAAGCAGCACGCAGCAAAGATGGGCATGTTTGGCGCAATGACCCGCGAACAGACAGACTGGCTTCCGATGAAGCTGCTCTGTAAACGGTTCAGGGTTCCCCAACCGAAAATTGCTGCAGCGGAAGAGGTCGCTGACGATTCAAGCGCCAGCAATTTGTATGGGGCCAGCGTCGAGCAAGAGCCCGTTTCGATGGAGGTGGAAACTTCTTCTGCTTCTAATGCCATCCGAGTCGTAGCTGCCGGAGAAGGAACAGAGGATGGCGGCAAGCGCGACCTGACCAATATTGGGTTGGGAGAGGATGACACTCAGGGGCGAGATACTCTAACTTATGAGCGCCCCGGGATGGACATTTTCAAGGCAATTTTTGCAAGCGATGAGGAGAACAGTGATAATGAGGAGGAGAATGTCGACATCAACGATCTCGCGCGTCCACCAGTCGAAGCCAATACAAAGCCACGGCCCGCGATGCAGATAGTAGAGCCCGTAGATCTTTCCACCTTCAAGCCAGTATTCGTTTCTCGATCAGGTCGCGACCCGAAACGGGAGGACGGAGAGAAGAAGACGAAGAAAAAGTCTAAACCCCAACCAACAATGTCCTTTATGGATGATGATGAAGGCGGTCTGACCGTCATACCAACTGCTAAGAAGAGGAAGCGGGACAAAGATGGCGACGCCAGGAGCAGCAAGAAACGAAAAGACAAGGATGAAGCAAAATCAACAAGCAAGGCTCCTGTTACCACATACGAAGAGGATGACGACGAGATGTGGGTTGAAAAGGAAATAGTACCCGCCCCTCGGGTCGCACCAAAACCGCCGGACATGCCAAGCAGAGTCGAAACGACAAACAGGCGACCAAAGGCGGCCGATTTCCTATGAGACGCTTGCTTCTGTAGTTAGTTTGGTTGTAAAATCCTCGCATTTGTTTGACTAGAAGAACAAGTTCCTCAGCTCTCGCATGGTGTCTTCCGGGCTCGTCACGGTATGCCCTATGGTCCTGCTATCCGAAAAGATTTCGTAGTCGTTTCCGCCCTATTTTCGTGTCAACGAATAGATGAGACAGATTTCAAGCATCGTACCAGATGAGTCTTGTCTCCGAAGAAATGGATCTCGGTGAATCCTTCATCCTCAACGTGTCGAAGAGCATACGTCTTGTCCCAACCATGTGGGAAAATGTCAAAGGATAGCTGTCCACCGATGGCGTACGTCAAGGGATAGTCGGGGAATTTCTCCTTGAGGACCTGCACAAAAGCCGCTCTTACGCCGTGTTTCTAGAAGCACTTAGAAATGACCAAAAATACATTGCAATGGATAATACCTTGTCATATTCGAGGAAGTCGAGCCGCTCCTGTTGGCTGTGGCTGGTGAACAGATTTCGCTAAAATGAACAGAGTACGTACGACGCATTTCTCCCTATTGGACTGACATTGATCATTCCATTTCTAAATTCGACAAATGTTCCTCTATGAAAGTCAGTTCTGGATGGGTGGCTAAAAGCAAAGGGTACCAACCGCTTGATCGGGATGTCCAGGTCTGCGATATAGTGAAGAATAAAGTTGACAAGCGGCTTGTATCTCTCTTCCCCTAGAAACTTGATGAATGATTGGGATTGCAATTGCTTGCCCATCTTGTATGCAGTCAGTCCGTTCTCCGCGAAAGCGTAGTCGAACATTTCAGTTACTGTGGGTCATTAATGACATTTTATCCGCCTTGTATGCGTTACATGCCTGGCTGCCCGGTGATGGCGAGCTGCTCGCTGATTTTGACGAGATCAGAACCACCGACAAACCCAATCACGACCTTTTTCCTCAATTCTTTGAGAAGATCAAGCATTTCTGTGGATACCGACTGGCGAGCGCAGATCAGGGATCCAACGAACGTGGCTGGAGGTGATATTGTACATACCAAGCGAGCTGGAGTAAGAGTGCCATCTACATCGAATAGCACGAGTGTCTTGAGCGGTCTGTCTGCAAAAGTTGACGTGGCCATGGTCGAAATGTAGACGTGGAGGGCAAGATTTACCGAACCGGTACACTCTCGTCGGTCGCGCTAAATAGCTGCTGCGGAACGTGCGGTTGTATTTGCATTCAATATGCCCAAGAGATACAAAGAAAGAGCCGAGCGTCGGAGAAAATGCAGCTTCCTCCGCACACTATGCACAAAGCCAAGGCTGGACTGAAAAGGGAAGAAATATCACCAGCGTCGTCCATGACCTTCAGTGCCGTCCCAATTTCGGACCCGGTCTTTCCATCGCTCGTTATCCCGCCTTCTTCGCGCAGCTTCTTCGACATCCGTCTTATTGAACAAATTTCCGTATCCTGCATCCGATGCAGCAGTAGTAGAAGGCGTCTCAGCGCCCATTCGTTCTCGCTTTCTCCGAGCAATCAATTCCGCTGCCCGTTCTCGCTCACTGGCTTCGCGAGATAAACGTGAATCAAGTAATGGGTTTGAGGTTGTCGAAGATGGTGGATGCATTGGATGCTTTTGTCGCACGGTTAGTGCAGCCTTTGCAGATGCACGAGAAAGAGAGGCTTCCACGTCCTTGAGAGGATCATGCTTTTGCTTCCGCATTTCGTCTCTATCCCTGGAGAAGCGCCCTTTAGTTATTATATCTCACTCGTAGTATTATGGCGTACCGCTTGTCTGCGTCTAGTTTCGGCTGCCCCTCCTCCTTCGACTTTATATACCATGGCTTTCTATCAGCCTCTGAGGGTGCGAGGCGATACCCTCTATCCGTTTCCGCGTCGTCGTCTTCCTTTTCCTTTCCGCGCCTCTTCTTTGGACGCTCTGTTGCTTGGGCTAGAGAGGCTTCATTCTACAAGATGTCAAACGTCAGGAATATAGCGGGTCCTCAACTGATTCTCGTACGTTTTCAAGGTCGGCAAAGAGATTGATGTGTCCATTGGTCATCAAGCCTTGCAATGCATCCGGTTTTGCCTCCTTATGCTCTTTGAATGACGCCTTTACTGCCTCTGGAATTATGTCGTCCTCTTCCTTGTCCTTGCGAGACGCTTTTGACTCTCGAATGCCTGCGCGTTTCCGCAAGAGCTCAATCCGGGCCTCCGAGTCCTGAATATCGACTCTCAGTTGTTTCAGATAGACAAGGACATAGTACATACAGCGAGTCTAAGTCGTCCTTCCTCCTTTGCCTCTTGCAGGCGTGCCTCTTCCTCGTCTCGCCGAACTCGCTCGATATTCTCAGCCTTGTAGGGGTGATAGCTCTTGTGGTGAGCAATGACAAGGCGACCCATAGTAATTGCTGGTGATGGTCGGTAACAGAGAGGTATCGCGACACTTGAGCCCGCCTTCGTCCATGTATTCTCCTTGTTACAGCAGAAATTTCGCTCATCACCTTTCTTATCAGCAATGGGATGACTCTGAATCATTCATAAATGCCCGGCTGGCTTCGTTGGCCGCTACCCTGGAGCCAGAAGTAGACTGTCAGCAGGTGAGATGATTCAGAGACTTGCCAACTCAAGAGATTATTCACTCTGAAATGCCTATCAATCCGCCACATGCAACGGAGTGAGTCACATCTGCTGGCCAAGCCAGACCTGACTCCTTTAAATAGTCAAGCAACGCTTCGAGCAACTCCAATGGACGTCTTTCCTACCGACCCAGCAAAGCTTGCGCCCCTGCTCATCGACGAGCGCACTGGAGAGCCCTATCTCCAGCTGCCGTCACCGCATGAGCGCATTCGTATCACTCCTCCGCGCGAAGCAGATGTCGACTCGATTGTGCAGCACATGAACGACCCTCGGATTTTCGAGTATCTTGCCAGCCCCCCTCACCCGTACAGCCGAGACGACGGCATCAAATGGAGTCAGAGAATTCGCACGGCCTCGCAAGCTGTATTCAGGGAGATTGAAACTGGCGCCCAATTTGTGAGCGGTTGTCCAGTCAGGTCGATACGCGAAATCCAGGAAGACGGCTCAGATGTCTACATAGGAGATATTCTGATCGACCGAGAGAACGATGATGTCGCATGGATATCCTCAAGCGATGCCAATAACTCTGCAAAGTCCGCCGGCGACCCGTCTATTCTCTACAGCATTGGAGGTGTGTCAGCGTCGAGACTGGAGGATGACATTCTGATGCATATTTAGACTATCTTTCCCCTACCCATCATCGCCAAGGCATCATGAGCGCGGTGTTGAACACGGTGCTTGCCTCATGGGCGATCCCGCGCATGAACTGCCGACGAATTGTAGCGACTGCGTTTATAGGAAACGTGGCGAGTGTCGGTGTCTTTAAAAAGGCCGGCTTCAAGCACACGAGGGATCAGAAGGATGCAGCCCGGCTTCCAGAAGGGCGAGGTGGCCACTTGAGGGATCTGCACATTATGGAGTGGACACATGAATAAATAATTATAAATGTTTGATTTCCATGTCAAAACTTGCTGGCTATTGGCTGGTCGACCAGCTCTGCTTTTTGCCGTTTATCTCTTGGACCTGAACCACTTTGCCTGTGTCCTCTGCGGGCAGCGCCCAGTCGTGCCCAGCTTGTCAGTTTATGGAACACGCAGATTCCTCACTCCCATCTACGGCGTCCTTTCATCACTATTCGTCGTCTATGGCGAGCCAGGCCCAGCATCAGCATGCCCTAGCGTATGCTGACCATCGTCAGCCCTCGCCGACGCCGAGAACACGATCCAGTACAGAATCTTCGCACACAAAAGCCAGCGGGGTGCGAAGAGACAGTCTGCAGCAGCCCTCGCCAGACGCACAAGACGAGATTGTGCCGACAACCTTTGATGAAAGCGCGCTTCGGGTGCTTATAGACATGGATGTACGTACCATCATCCAATGACAGCGAGCTCACAGTCTTACTCTTCCCCCAGGGCGGTGTGAACTGCATCCTGGACCGTATCAAACAGGGAATGGCGTCTGCACGAGTAGGCACCTATTCATCAACGAGCTCTCTCGTTCTCATCACCCATCTCAGGAAGCCGCGGTTTTCCTTCAGAAACGCGGCGCCCTAGAAGACGAACTAGGCCGCAGCATGCACAAACTTGCCGTTGCCACCGCCAGTGCGTACGCGGCAAACGAATGCAAAGCCGGGTAGTTACCACCATATTTTGCGGTCGATACATGTCTTCTCATGCACCTGCAGGACATTCTCCGCCGCATGGGACCGCTCCATGCAACTACACCAAACGATTGCTGATAATCGGCTGAAACTCGCAATCAACCTCACCGAAATGAGTGATCAACTCTCTTCTCTTGCAAAAGAGATCGACAGGAATAGAAAGACGGTGCGAACGCCAACTCGAAACCCTGACATGTCTGACATTCTGTTAGATCAAGGACACGCATTCCGGTTACGAGCGGACCTTGCTTGAGTCCGAGGCGACCACAGACAAATACAGACTCCGATTTGAAGCCGCGCAGGATGAATTAGAGCGTTTCCTGGTCGCTAAGGAGGGTGAGAACATTAAGGATGCGCGAATGCAATCCTCCCCGCAATCCTCTAGTTCAAAGAGAGGGCCCATGGGACTAGGAAAGGCTGTTGTCAAAGGAGGGGGCATGCTCCTCAAGGGCAAGAACCCTGTCGCCCTACAACGCCAGGAGGAGGAAGTCAGAAGCAGAATGGCCAGCACATCCGACGCGTATCGAAAGGCTATTCTCGATACACAAGCATTGCGTTCAGAATACTTTAATTTTCAACTCCCGAGAACACTTCGTGTGAGTTCCAAGTTGTCGACCAGGCGCGGTTCGCAGACTTATGCAAAACGACAGGCTCTAAAAGAGTTGAACGATGAAATAGATACGGCTATGCAATTCCACCTGTCGCGCTATGCCTATTTGTTGGAATCGTCACTGCTAAGTGATGCAGTCACACTCGTGCCCAAGGATGAAGGCGACGGACCCGGTCTCAAGTCGATCATGGAATCGATAGACAACCGTGCAGACTTCAAGGCGTTTGTCTCCAACTACCGTGTTGCCCATCAAGGCATGAATCGAGGTCCAAGACGAGAAGGGCCGCCGGAGCAAGGCTATGTAGGTCTAAGTAGTTGCACTCGACGAGAAATTGACGGATTTTTTTTTAGCTACCGCCATTGTCGGCGTATCCAACCGGCAACTATAGTGGTGCTTACGCTTCTCAGCAAAACCTGGCCTCGTCACGAGGGGCCGATGCCAGTGGTACATTTGGCGTCGACCTTGTAGAGCAAATGGAGCGAGATGGCGGCGAGATTCCTAGGATCGTGGTCAAATGTTGCGAGGCCATCGAAAAGTATGGACTTGACATGCAAGGTATCTACCGGGTCAACGGGACGCAAACGAAGATTCAGAAGCTGAAAGAACTTATGAATCGAGGTACGTACCCGTGTCGGACAAGTTGCCCAGCACTAATGGACAAATGTAGACGTTGACTCGGTTGACCTCGATGCGGACGAGTGGACGAGCGACATCAATAACGTCGCGAGTCTGTTGAAGATGTGGCTGCGAGAGTTGCCGGAGCCGTTAATGACAAATGCACTCTATACGGGCTTTATCGAAGCAGCTAGTAAGTACTCTCATTACTTGTAGTCGCATCTCATCTCTTATTTCAGAAAACGACAATGAGCGGCTTCGACACATCCGAATACATGAGCGTGTCAATGATCTTCCCGATGCAAATTATTCCACGCTTAAGTATCTGATGGGCCACCTATCAAAGTTGGTTTTCATGTCATTAAAGACCTATTCTAACGATCTATTTCCAGAGTTGTCGAGAATCAAGCGGTCAACTCAATGTCCGTGCACAATCTCGCCGTGATCTTTGGTCCAACGCTGTTCGGTTCCCCTGGAATCTCCGCATCGATGATGACCAATGGTCATGGAGGCATGAACGGTGTCCCAAGCCCTGGCCAAGGTGGAGCAGGTGGCGGGGTGATGAACGATATGGGCGCTCAGAACAAGGTATGCTTCATCTTGTTAGAGTATGAAAGATCTTAATTGGTTTTTGCTAGGCTATCGAAATGATCCTTGACAGGTACAAAGATATTTTCGTCGAGGAGGCGTGAACCAAAAAAAGATCCGGCTTTCTTTGGAATCGGATACGGCTAACTTTATTGGAACCTCTTGTCTCATCTTTGTTGCATCTGTTCATGTCACGTTGTCTCATCGACTGCCCATTCCCTTTGGCTATCCCAGCGATTGGCCACTTGCTGTTTATTTTATACCCACCTCGAATAGATATGATGCACATTGGCCTCTACTAGTCGGACCGTGAGAGAGCGACGGCAGGCATGCATGCATGAAGTTGGCTAGCCCCCGTTACCGTACACCTTCGACTTTGTCTTACTCAGATCAACTCATTCAGAAGGATTTGGTTGCCGTCCTTCTGCTGATCGCCTTCACTTTTATGCAACTGCCTTTGTCTTAGGGCATTGTGCTCGTTTGGATCTTCCCTCTCCCCGTATGCCTCCTCTTTGTCGCTAGCCCTGCCTTTTCTCATATATCTTTATTCAAGGAGCTTTCAAAGTGATGCCTGAACAACGAACTGCCTTCGTAGAAGCCTGTCAAGCTCACCATGAAGTCCATTGGAAGGACCACAACTACTGATCCACTATACCTATTGGTAATGGCTATTTCGTCAAGTTTGGCCCACTCGACACCCTAGAGCCCGAAATTGCCGCATAACGTTACATCTCGGAGTACGCAGAGGCTCATCCGACGGGCACTCCCGACATGCCATTACCACGTATTGCGAAAGTGCTTTTCGACTTTCAAGAGGGTCATTTTATGTACCTGGTCATGGAGTATATCAAGCTCGTAGGTTCTCCTCTAGATATGATCCAGAGGACAGCTGTCGCCGTCAAACGGCTCTCAGTGGTGCCCCTTCCAGCCAACCATATAATCGGTCCCTTGGCGGCTGGTCACATCCAGCATAGATTCTTCAAGGATTATTGGGCGCCTCTCAAATTCTTGGGTGTCGACGCGCTCGAGCGACATATAGAGAAAGAGCCTCGTCCTGTGACTACCCGCTAACTTGTAACATCCAATCAGGGGCACATGAGATTTCCGAAACTGGGACGAGACGATGTGCAGCCTGTCAGTCTCAGCAATGAGCGATCTATGTTCATGCAGGCCGACATGGATCCCAGTAACTTTGGTGTCGACGAGCAGGGGAACACCGTTATAATGGACTTTGAACAGATTTGCTCGTTGCCTGAATCGTTTGTCGTGCTGGCCATGGGATCGGAACGCCTTGATCCGGTAGTCAAACACTTGGGTTTGTCGAACAATTCCAACACCTATTCGATGGCCAGAATTTCTGGCACTTTGTGGATGACAGCTGACACAAGCCTCGGTGCGTTGACTTGTGAGGGAATTTCTACCGACGATTTTATAGGCCTGAACGATGACGGCTATCCCAAAACGTCGTAAAGAAGAAATTTAGCCACGATGTATGCAAATTCCTCCTCTCAAACCTGAACCTTGCTGGGGATCTTGAGTGCGATACGGCTTCTTTGGCACCCTCCTTTAGGAGACGCAATCCGTTTGTAATTCGCCTGTAAGATACAGTATTATAGTGGAGGCAAGTATCCACGACATTGAGGACAGATGCTCTTGATCTCCATCCATTGTTCCAGGCAATCAGTGTGCTATGAGGATAAGTATGCAGAAATCTGACTATGGATGAACGCACAAAGTTGTGTCCGCACGGAGCAAGCGCATAGACGCGTCGTTTCTTGGCTGCTTGCTTCCAGCAAAGCTGCAATACTTTTCCACGCTCAGGACCGATATCCCCTTGATCCGCTGAGATGGGCTCCATGCAAATGGAACAGTCACCGAGCTTTGATTCGGTCGCTTCCTCGTCGGACTTGACAATATCGGGGTGGTAGTCGTAGACGGGACCACGGTTCCACTGCACGACGTCAGAAATCTCAAATAGACAAATGTGGTTCGTACAAAGTCTGGGATAAACCAGCTCGGCCCAAAATAGTCCTGTCCAAGCAATACGGCTGTCTGCAGGATAACCCAAGCAGGTATTACCCAGATCCATTCTGTCATATGTAAGTGATCGCGCTCTACGCATGAGTCATTCCATACCTGCTGGTTCAATATTAAGAAGGTTGTTAGGACAAGCAAAGATATCTGGGGAAAGATTAACAAGAAAACGTTGAATGGTGTGAAAATACTGACACAGTGGAGTGAAAAGTCGGACAATAGAAGACAACACTATCGTATCGTGGCGCAGAACCCTGCGTGTCCGTTGATACACATTGCGCGTGATTTGACCCGACCACGTCGACGCAATCAAGATGAACCAAACTCCGTAGATGGGGACTCCAAGGAAAAGCATACTAAAGATGCTGAAACCAAAGACGATTGCCAACCAGGCGCGAAAATCGTTGGCAAACAAAACGGTCCCTGCTCGCAATAGAAAGCTACCAGTGACTGTAGTGTCTGGTGACGGTTGCGACACTGTGGGTGCGGTCGATGAAACTCCAGTAGTCGACGCGGTTGGAGCCGTCGTGGTTATCGGTGGTGGTGGTGGGGCTGGAGCTGGTTGGCTGAGGAGTAGCTGGACCCCATTCAAGTACGTGAGAAGGCGGATATCTGTTGCCACGAGTACTCCACCCAGAAAGCCTGGCACCAACAGTGCATACCGTACCTCGGAGGTCATGACCGCGGCCATTAGATGCTACAGCATATCGTTAGAGACGACTAGATGAGATGGATTTCCGTACTGAGATGGCAGCGTACGAATCCGCAATCAACCAAGTCGCCATAACTCCTCGGGAACCTCGCAACAAGGTTGTAGTTGTTCTCCATTGATCGCTGACTTGGAGTGAAAGTTGAATAAGGATATAGAATACCGCAGAGGCGATTGCTGCATCTATGAACGGTCAGTATCCAAAAATGCTGACGGGTATCGGACTTGCAAACGACAATCCTGCGACTCATACGAATAGAGCTTCTTCTCGTCAGCATTTACCAGAGGAATGGCGCCATACTTACGAGATGCCCTTGACTTCTTCAAGCTCGATGGCAATCCCACACTCCTCGCTAATCAAGAGCCCGTTGAACCCAGGAGCCGCAAGCTTGGGTAGCGGTATGCCTGTTGGTGTCTTCTGTTCCTGCTCATACAGGTCGACCATCGACTGATGAACGAGCATAGGGTGAAGATGGCCCCGGAAGATGAACGAACATCGTGTTACTGGGTCACTATCAGAGTCCAGCTGCGCTGTCCCATCGGAGATACTCTGCTCGAATTCCTTGACCCTCTCCTTCAACTGTTCAGTGATGACGTGGGTGGTGTCATTGAAGAGTGATGGAGGTACAAGGCCCGCGAGATGCCGTATGTCTGGAGCGACGCTGTATTTCGTAAGTGGCGATTGCGGTCTCTACAAAATACCAACTCTTTCGGTTCGACTAATGCCATTAAACTTCCTTCTTCGGGCAAATGGATGCCTTCGGCTCTGAGGCTCACCGAAGGCCCGTCCACCAGACCACGGCTAGAAGAAGGAAGTTCGAGGTCGATAAATCCCTATGACATGTTAGAGTTTATGTGATGAACAGGCGGCTAAACTTGCCCTCCACCGATAGAACAAGGTGCCATTCTCCGGAAGGAAGAGGCTCTTGTATGAGAACATTGAAAAGCTTGCCACCAATGGTTGGGACCAATTCCAACCTTGTGCTCTTTCATGCACGCGTGTCAAATTTCTGTCTTTGTACAGCATCTTCGCCAGCGGTGCCCACGTCACTTCGTCAGGGCTATTAGTCAGATTTCTGTTGATCACCGTCTTCGTCTTGTAGTTTCCTGTGATGTTGTTATAGTACGCAGCATCGACAGTTGGTGGAAGATGCGGTGGATGTAAGAGTGCGCTTTCCAATCTGAGAAGTCCCAGACTTTCTCTTTCCTGTACCTTGTTAGCCATCAAAATTGCTGATATAGAGCCACCTACGAGCGTAAAGTTGCTTGGTCCGCCGTCTTGCCATGCTGTATAATTAGCCAGTTCGTATTTGAGGGATTGAAGCGAATCCTCTAACAGAGAACATTAGGATGCGTCGAAACCATGCTTTCCTTGTGCTCACGAATGTCGTGTTGAGTCGCAGGTGCTTCGCCTGGGCCACCGGAGAAGAGCATAAACATCATAACGAGCAGAAAGAATAAAGAGGATCCAGAGGAACTTGAGGGCCTCTGGGTCGTCTGAGTTCCCTCATTCTCCTGGTTCATATGTGGTCTCGTGGCGGAAGACAAGTTTGACCTGCTACCCGATGCCGACTTTCCCGTGCACCAGTCTCACATTGTGCGAGGAGCTGACTGTAGCAGTCTACGGCGGTCATTTATATGTTCTGCAAACAGAGTAGGTCAACCCGGCCAGGCGGTGGCGAGCGTTCACTCACAAACGCTTCAAGGTCAGGCAAGCATGTAGCATCAACCGCTAGCAACACATCAGAATCCAAGCCTCCAATTCGTCAAGTCGCGCTCTCTCTCAAGCGGAGACGTCTTGTGACGATTGACGAACAAAAGTCTCTCAAAGTGTGGGACGTCGACCGCCTGGATCTTCTCAGCTCGAGGTACGTGTGACCATTCTTAATGAAAAGTGTTGAAGTTTCTAGAGAAATACCTAAAAAGGCGAATCAGCTATTGATCACGCAAGACGAGACCATTCTCGTCGCAGACAAATTCGGCGATGTATTCTCGTGTGTATGGTTCCATTATTTGTGGGTGGGAGAGAATCTTTATTGATTTTCATCGCTAGATATCCAATGGATGCACCTGAAATCCCGCCTCCTGTGCCCAAGCCCAAAAACTCGTTGGAGAATCGTAAAAGCGTCGCCTCGCATTCGAATCCGTCACTAGGCACGCTCATTGTGGGACATACATCGAGTCTATTGAGCATGACTCTGAGCAGGGACGAGCGTTTCCTCGTTACTGCGGATCGAGATGAGCATATTCGAGTCAGTCATTATCCTCGAGGGTACAACATTGAACGCTATTGCCTTGGGCATACAAAGTACGCCTTCTGGTCGCTTGCAGGATATTGCTGACTGAGCGATCAGATATATATCCGCTATCCATATCCATAGACACTTGCCTCATCTTCTCATAAGCGGAGGTGGCGACCGAGCCCTATACTTTTGGGACTACCTAAAAGGAACGCTTCTCCATCGCCTGGATGTCTGGGAAGTCGTCCATGGCTCCACAAAGGTTTCAAGTCAGCGACGTAAGTGGAAGAGAATCGAGGTCAAGCGAGGAGAAGGCTGGCGAGCCCGTCGAAAGAGAGAGAGAGAAGAAAAGAAGCGTCTCAAAAGTCAGCAAAGTGGACAAGTTGAGCCGGCAAACAGCGACCAGGGCCAGCAAACGCAGTCCCCAGATAGGACTTATCAGGATGAAGTCGAAAATGAAGAACGAGACATGATCGAAGATGAAGAAGACCATGTGGGTGATTCGTCAGAACGACAAGAGATTGGTGGGGGAATCATTGTCAGCCAAGCAAGAGCGAGACTGCCTTCACTCGAAGAGGTGATCGCAGTATCCAAGATCGAAACACTTTGCTTCAAATCTCAGTATGCCTTGCTCTTCTCTGCGTTTGGGTGAGTTGACTGCGTTCGCATTACTGGCGGGTTCCCAAGAAGGAAGATCCGTTTCAATGTTCTAATAACCCCGTGAATAGGTCGAATGGAGTCTTCTTTGTTCCATGTGACGCGAATACCGGCCTTCCATCACAGGATTCACTGTTCGTTCATTACTTCCCTGCGCCCATCCTAGATATTGCCGTTCATACGGTAAAATCTCATCCACGAGAAGATCCGACAGAAGGCCCCGTCTCCCAAATCTATGTTTCGATTGACACGGGGTTTTGTGCAGAGGAAGACGCGGCAGGCACGCCTATGAGCACTAGGGATCCTGAAATGAACAATGGTGCAACTGGGGTCTCCCGCGAGAAAACCACTTCGGAGATAACGACGGACATTAGAGAGGTAGGCGGGAGGGAGCACGGCATCCACCTTCTAGAGTGGCGAGGCGGTGATATGGTAAATAGCTTTCGTATTCCGTCTCCAATTATGAGTTTTCTGACACTGTTCGCTTGGATTATTGTTTACGTTACCGCCTTGGTTATCGTCACACGCACGCACACGACATGGGAGAGTAGATGGTGCGAGTCGAGCCCGAGGCTTCTCCACTTCTCGCGGGATTGCATCGCATTCCGACTATTTCAGGTTCGTTATTTCGGCACGCCAGCTCATTAGCTCGTCACTAACGGTTCCGTCCCCACTAACCTTCCATTTACCGCGGTGTGTATTGCCGCTGTCTGCATTGCCGCTCTCTCTCTTTTTCGGGGGGGCTGTGACGATAACTTTGCTTTTGCGATAACATGTTATCCCCTCGCAACATGACATCCCCGGTTTGGCCCAAAATCTAGCGTCAGCTGCCGAGATCCGGGCGCTGGACCTGTACGGGGCGTTGACGGCGCTGCCCAAGACGGAGGAAATTGAAGGAGAGGACAACGAGGGTGAAGGTGTCGGTATGGAGGGGATTGAAGGTACCGATGGGCAGCAGCCGCCAGGGAGCACAACCTCCAAGGACAATGAAACTCCGCATAAGGGGCTCAGAAAGCAAGCAAGGAAAAAGTGGGCTGACAAGATGGCAGAAGAGGCACGCAAACGGGTTGGCACAGAGGTGAACACTCCGACCATTTCGGAATCTGCACTTCCTGCTCAGTCAAGCGAATTCATTCCTACATACTCGCCATCTGATGCCAACGCCAGCGCTGTCAATATGTCGTCTACTAGAACGGGTGTGGAGGTGGACGGGCCGGGAGGGAGTGGCATCGGTACGGTCCGTAAAGGGCGGGATGAGATGACAGATTCCGGAAAGACTGGAAGAGTTGATGATGGGGATGATGGGGATAGTGGGCCGGCGACAAAACGGTTGAAGAAGGAAGTGGACGCCTGAGCCCGTGTTTTGTGAGCCCATCACGCTTGTCGGTGCATAACCTGTCTCTTCGGTGATCAAATAAAAGGAATCTGATTTCATACCGCCAACGGCCGTATACACTGGCTGGTCCTTTTTGAACGAAAGACGCACACCAATAGGATCCGATCGCCCACTAGTAACTGTGAGTAGGGCAAGCTTCTTTATGAGCAAGACTGTATAGGGTGCATACGACGTTAGCTGTATCTGTCGGCTGTCGGCGATTTCACGCTTGATCTACGGACGGTTGCCGTGATAAGTCAAACCGATATCATAGTGCAGGGAACTCGAGGACAAAGAAGGTAGATATAGTGAGAAAGTCAATATGGGCAACCGGCTGCTCTGGGGGGGGAGCGGGTGCACTAACGAAGCCGATGGGACCGGTGTTTGTATATTGAGATGGTTGGGGGGTTAGGAGGATGATGCGAGGTTCAGACGATACTATGTGCGGGTACAATTGCAGGTGCCGTCACTTTTCGGTGCCTACGTGCTCTCGAAGAGGGTAAGGCGCGGCGAGCCTGTCCTTGACACATGTGTCCAAAGGAAAAGAGAAAAACGGAGAATAGAGCAGTGCAGAATAGAATAAACCCTTGAAGGAAGAACATGTTAGAACTATGATTTACCCCTTGGTTGAAGATTGGGGTTGTTTGGCTACCGGAGTCAACCAAGGCCCTGTACAGCTGCGTCGTTCATGAATAGCTTTGACGGGAAAATCACTAATACAGTGCTATACATGGCGCAAATCGAAGCTGGCCACACCCTAGGCGCGCGGGAATACCTCTATGTCGTTTCTCACCAGCACGCGCTGGGGGCCCCTAGTGTAAACGGCTGATATACTAACTGAGGGACCATTGACATAATTCAGAGGTTGGATGTGCCTTGACTTTTATGTTGTCCCTCTCGGTGCATCCGCGCAACGACCACACACGGATGTACCTGTATGTATGCGGAATGAAAGAATGGGTGTAATAGGGGGTGAGTATGGGAGGATGAGGAGGAGGGATCGTTGCTGGAAGAGGTATGAGTGAAGAAGAGGGGACTCCAAGGGTTGTACATTGATGGACAGCGCGGCCCGCTCCGATGCGACACGACGTCCTCTGCGACCCGCGGCGACACTCGAGACATTTCCATTTCCACGGCGTCATAACCTCGGGTGTGTGGCGTTTCACTTGACAATTTTTCTTGTTCATCCTATAATGTTCACATGCATGTTGCCCATGGATCCCTTGGGCGCTAGTTGTTATAGCCCAGGAGTGCTGGGTGAGACAAGTTCATGTGGGTTACATAAGGAATAAGATATAGCACAAGGGCGAATGATCCGGATCATGGCGCTAGTAGGAGACACACGCCTTGTCCGCGTGGTGCACTAAGAGCCGCGGGCTGTCGATCAAAAAGTATGCACTCACGGCGGGCGAAACAAGTGCCGTCTGCTTAGAGTTTTAAAACTAGTGAGATAAACAATTTTGTGGGTTATGGTTAGCTAAAGAGTTATACGTGGCGATGATAGGGATAGGTCGAACCCGGCTACACATTGTCTGTATTTTTCTTTTTTCACTTGTGACACTGATTCCCGAGCGGAACGCATTTCTAGTATCATATAATGGGCATCCAGACCCCGGTACCATAGCCTATGGCTTGACCCGACCGCCGGTTAGGGAAAGGATAGCCCAGACAACCCGGTCCCGTCGCGTCTTCGATCAAAGGACTGGGATCGTAGAATAGTTGTTGTCGCAAGGGAGCTCATCCACCAACTAGGGGCGGGTGTAAGCACAAAGGAAACGGAATCCAGTTTTGATGGAGATATAGTTCAAGTGGCGCTCTCCGTCCGTCTATTGGTTCTATTTGGCGTTTTTGTCTCATCAGCACCCATGATTGCAGCCGGTGGTCGTTCGGGTGTGTGTGTGTGTGTGTGGTTTAGGGTACGGAAGAGGCCAAATGCAGTAACACAGGAAGCGGGTTTCTGTCTATTTCGTGTCGATACATACGCGAGAGAGAGGAAAAATGGCTATCCGGCCGCTGGGATATAACAAGAGGGGGCAAGCAAGGGGGACTGGATATATAAATGGAGGATGACACGACGGCTGGATAGGGGAATAAATACGCGCTCGAGAGCTGGTGGGTGGAGCGTCCATAGAGAGAGGTGTACAAGCAAAGCCATGGCAGATCCTTTTTTGGGTCTAGAATTCTGTTTTTTTAAAAAAAAGAGTCAGCCATAGATTATTGGAAAAGAAGGACGAGTGCTAACCATTCGATCGTCGTTTTGGGCCATGGTTTTGGAGGGATACATGGTCGTTGAGATGGTTCAAAGTGCCATAGGCCTTTGTGCATCCGTTCCAACCACAGAGATAGCGACGCTCAATCTCTTCATATTTTCTCCTCTTGCGTCGTGGTTCCATGCCCGTCAAGCCTACAGCGCCTCCGTGTCCACCGCCTCCAATCGTTGCCGTTGTCGTCGTCGAGGTGGGTGTGCCATCAGATGAAGTGTCGTTGACGTTGACAGTGCCGTTATTCATGCCACGTGGAGGAGGTGCAGGGATAAAGTGGACGGTATTGGTCGAGTGAGACTGGCCGAGAGAGGAAGATGAAGACGAAGAGGGCGGAATGTAACTGGTGGGTGTCGAGAGTCTGTATGCACTCGTGTTGGTGCTATTTGTGCTTGAACTGGTGCTGGTGCTCGGGCGAGAGGGATTCGAGTGAGAGGGACGACGGGTTGGATGGGATTGGGAAGAAGCCCGACTGCGACCTCCTGGTGGGTAGATAAAAGGGGAAGGTTGGGTATACGAGGCAGAGGCAGATGAGACTGAAAAGTCGACCGAGGAAGCAGAGGGCGAGGTAGGAGCAATAGGCGCAGCGAGTCGGAACCGAGTGTGCTCCGGACTGAGGCTATTACGATCTTGCTGAAGCTGCTGGGAATAGACATGATAAGGAGGAGGGGGAGCAAGGCCGGCTTGTTTTAGATTGGGAGAGGAGGAAAGTGAGTCTGCTCGTGTACGTCGTTGATGTTGCTGATGATGATGGTGGTGGCGTACAGAGTGCATGGGCAAAAAAGGCGAGCGCGGTGCTTGCTGCTGCTGCTGGGAGCGTGAAGACAAGCCGGCGGCGGGGTTAGAGAGGGCACCGAGAGCAGTCTGGGCCTCGTACTCGTCGAGAGAGAGATCGAGTCGGAGTTCCGCGATCGAGGGCAAACGGATAGATTTTTGAGCGTCGTTGGAATCGTCTACGGTCGGGTTATGGAAGGACATCAGTGGACTGTCGAGTGTAGATGGACGCGGAGAGATTAAGGCGCTCGTAGTTTGTAAGAATGCACTGCCAACAGTTGGGGGGGCACCAGAGGGGCTAGTAGTACCGACGGCTAGTGGTACGCGTGGCAGAGGGTGATAGCCGTCGCGTTCTTCACTCGCTCTAGAACGATGTTGGCGATAGTCTACTGGGGGCCGATAGGGGCTGTCGGTGCCCACAGACGGCGCGTAGACGGCGTGCGGAGGATAGACTGCCGATGTGGGCGGAGCCAAGTGGTGATTTCTCTGTGGATAATGTTGACTAGTCGTCTGAGCTTGCGCTTGCTGAGCTGCGTGCATGGCGTGTTCCCGTAACCGTCGCGACTTGCGCTCCTGCCGCCAGATCCGTCGCGCCTCTTTAAACTCTGTACAACTCTGATCAGCAAATCACTCGTCTTTTCAACAACATTATTTCGTTACTCACCATGTGGCTCTCGTTTCTCCCCGTGTCGTTGCAGGCGGACGTGGTCATTCAGATGGGACAGGGTCCCATATGATTTCTCGCATCCGTTCCAGGTGCACTTGTACAATCGCTCGACCTCGTCTGCTCGTCGTCGTGGTCGTCGTGTTCGATGGACACCCGTATTCGTCGTCGTACTATTAGGGATTCCCCCCGGATGAGCATTGTCCAGCTGATTCCTGTTCACGGTCGCTGGCAAACTGGTGTGGGAACGGTGATGATGAACACGATCGTCAAACTCGTCGTCTTCATCCTCCATCTCGTCTTCGTCCATTTCATCCACCTCGTCCTCTGGAGACGGATGACGACGCTGTGTGGCCAGTTGGGGTGGGAATCGAGTCGAATAGGTCTGCATAGTGTCAGTTGTAGACCCAGTCGTCCACGCGCGGGCTCTGAGGGATGGATGGTGGGTTGGATGATGCACAATCGACGCTGCTGGTCCACTGCTCGCCATGGGCAACACGACGGCCATATATCTCTGCTCTTTTTTTCCCTTTTGCGCTGGATCTCGTTTGCAAGTGGGTGGCCAGCTATCTCTATCCAGGGCTGCGTGTGCTCCCAAGGCTTTGCTCTCGCTAGGCTCGCTAGTCGTCCTTGGACACGCGATGGCGTTGAACCCGTCAAGCAAAATTGTCGAGGGGAGTTGTCAACGTTCTTGCAAGAGCCTGCGCAGTGTCTTGTAATCTGATCTGACCAGGCTCCCCCCCTAAAGGTCTAGGCTGCTAGCACGGCTCCTCGGTCAGCAGCACTCGAGCAGCAACCACCAGAGTCTGAGAGAGAATTGGTTCCAACAAATAGGAATATTTGTCCTGTGGGCGTCGACTGGGCAGCCACTCGACGGGCAAATCCAACCGAAAACGTGAACAAGGGGAGGGGAGGGAGCGACCTGGGTCTCTGGCGGGGCGCGGGCGAGTATAAATCCCTAAATGCGCTCTGTGTTCGTCCCGCGCTCGTCAATCGACGACGCGGCTTCTCAACGAAGAAGTTTCCCTCCCCCCTCTCCCCCAGAAATGGCCCTTACTCGCAAACTATTTCTTGAGCGAGAAGGCACCACATATTATTTTATAATAATTCCAATAATAATTAATTAATTCCCCAGTTTCTCCAAAAGCTCGGTCTATTCCATCTTCTCATCGAATTATATAATACACACCTTTAGTGCACCGCTTTCCGCCCCGAATTGCTCCCGTTTTACCGTCTTTTTTAGTGTCAAATCTCACCCCCCTTGCAACAGCGTCCCGATCACTACCAGTAAGCTACTCACCATCACACTCTGTCAACAAACCCATGGCATTTTCCTTAGGGGCTCCCGACGGCCTCTTTCATCTCGAGCATAAGCGTCATCTTTAATCGAATTAGAAAACAACGTGTAACAGTTCCTGCCATCACTGGTGGCTGCTCGCGGCTAGCAATCTGACCAGCGCACGCCGCATGCATCCACACAAGGGTCACCCCTCGCCTAGATTGTCTCCCAAGGGGTGCGTGCACACATGCAAAATGGTTCGAAGAGTTAGAATCGTTGGCGGAGTATTCGCGTCCCTACATCGACCATTCCTGCCACTCCCTCAACCGCCGAGGCAAGCATCCCGGCCCACGTAGGGACACCGTGCGACGTCGACTCTAACCGGGACACCACCTCTTCCCTATTCCCAAGAGAAGAATGTCCACTTGCAGCCTCTGCGCTAGCAGTTGATATCCCCTCTCGGTTCTCACTACGCCCGATATCCCGGTCTGAACACGTCCATGTGAGTTAGCCAGTTTGGAATAACTCCCCCCCAAAAACTTATTCAGATTACTTACCCGGTGTACGGCGTCTTACGACCCGATCTGCATCTCCATCTGCACCCGCCACGCCCATAAACATCCGCTTCAGCCCATCGAGCTCGTTGATCGTTTCCAATCCAACGCTCCTCGCCCACACGATGGGTCCATTACGCGTCCCGTAGAGCTTTTTCAACTTGTCGACCGCGCTCAACATTCCGTGATTGACCAAGTACCGTTGGCGTGGGTACGATTCCAATGCGGTAAATGACCCGACATCTTGTCCGAGTGAATGTGCAGTGTGAATTGCATTGGCGAGCGATTGGCAGTCGCCTAACCCCAGATTCAGACCTTGACCAGCGAGCGGGTGTGTCGTATGGGCTGCGTCGCCTATGAGAGCCGTCCGTACTCCTTGTCCGAGATAACGTTCCGCATGTGCCATTCGTAATGGGAACGATGCTGCCGACCGTGCTTGGATATGTCCGACGAGTGGTGGGTAAAATTCTGCGTCTGCAGATGGAATCATCCCACTACTCGTCCTCGTCGTCGCGTCGGGTAGAGATGAGAGTGCCGAAGATGCATCAATCGAATGTGCATTCACGCCACCGGATCTCGCCCTCAATTTCGTCCACGCCCAAATAGCCCTTCTTGCTCATCTTGCCATCTGCTCCTACTTCAGGAACGGCCGCGTGCCATCGGTCGAGGATAAATTGATGTAGATATCGCATAGATAGATCCGGTAATCGAAATGCTGCATTCACCATTCGCGCTAACACATCGTCACCTGCATCCAACAGGGCCTGCGCCAGCTCTGGCGTGGTGCTCCACACGAGACTCGCTCGCGTCGTCGACAGCGGTAAGAATGCAATGGGCCCCGTCGGGAGAAAACGCTGATAGGCCGTCGTCGTGTTCCGTGGGGTACCAAACGACGTGAGTAGATTGCCGTCGTGCACCATTGTTGCGACAATCGCACGCGCGTCGTAGGACCACCCGTACGTCTCAATTTTTGAAAACGCTCGCACGGGTGAGGATGGCCCGTCGGCGCCCACCAACAACCGTGCGCGCAACGGCAAGGGGGAGGTTTGCTCTCGTCGTTCAGGGGCTTGGTGTGCTACCCCGCTGCTTTGGCTTGGGTGAAGATGGACAACCGGCCAGGTTGATCTTTCCGTGTCGGGGACGATGGAGGATACTTTCGTCTTGTCAAGAATGGTAAAGGTTGGAGAAGAGAGGTTGTCCAGCCGTCTCAGCAGGGCTCGTTGCAAGTTTAGGTTCTCGGTCAACCGAGCCATCTCTAGACCGCGTCCAGACGGCAAAGTAGCTTCACCAAATTCGATTCGCGCGTCGCTTACACCGTCCCAAACCTGCATTTCTTCAATAGCCATCGTACGCGATTCATCGACAAGGTCCCATGCCCCAATCCCTACAAGGGGTTGGACCCTGGCAGTCAGAGGTTATCACAAGAGTTGTACAGGAGAAAATAATTCACCTTGGAGGAACTCCCGAGATGCGTTGGTAATGGAGCTCACTCGATTCGAAAAAGAGTCCCCCTCGGGTTGCCACTTGCGCACGGCGGAGAGGTCGGAAGCTTCGATAAGAGCGACCCGTAGACTCGAGTCTCGACGCAGAGGCGAAACTGTACACGGTCAGATTGTCCGACAAAGAGAAACAACCAATTTTCACAAAAGGAGAGAGAGAGGCTTTGGGGCGTATAAAGAGAGTAACATACCCAATGCACATGCCAATGCAAGTCCAACGGGTCCTCCGCCAACAATTACAACATCATAGTCTTGGACACTCGCCGTGGACGCATACGTTTGTGAATAAAGCCCGTTTCTCGTTGCTAAAATGGGTCTAATTCCCCTCGACCCAAGGCTTACAGCTCGCGTCCGGAGCATTGACAGAGGTCAGGTTAAAGGTGTATATCGCACGTTTGGACTCGATAGCCACTGCGCACGCAGGCTCTGTAGGTCGCAAGAACGATTCACGAAACATAGTTTGTCGACAGAAATGGGGCACTTGATCACGCTCGCAACGTTAGTTTCTCTTTGCCTGCTCCCGGTATGATAGCGGCCTTTGCGGCCCTGTTGGTCGCTCGATATCCTAAAGTCAAAGAGGAGGACCCGCTTTCGTTCAGAATATCTCTTAATTGCCTGTTTTCTGACTGCCGATTGATGTCTGACTGTCGTTATCCTTCCGTCCGGCGGCATTTTGGCTGTGCGACTCTGATTCCCCGTCTGTTTGCATCTATATCAGCTGGTTCGTACTCAATCAACTTCAAACGCCTCGCACGCGCTCACGGGCGGCCGTATAGTTCGCTCAATCAGTGGGCTCTGGACTTTGAAGTGAGTCGTTCTTCTCGACAACATCCATCGCGTGACATTTCGATGTCTTGTCAAAAACGCACAGCCTAGCGTTCAGACTATGCCAGCCCGTTCTACAACCACCTCCCGCCCTTTCCCCTCTTTTCGCCCGCTATCCCGCCGCAGCTGGATAGCGTGACCTCGAAATCAATGCTTCTTTCCACTCTGTCTATTCTGTGGCGTCTTACGACGTGGCTACAGGCTACGGCCCGACGCCAGATTACTCGTAAATACGCACTTACACTCATTTACCGCAGGGCAACTGCCGAAGAATTCTCGAAAGTATCCGAATTGCCAAAGAACGTGGTGCCTCGCTTCGAGTCGGCCCTGAGCTGGAGATCTGGTGCGTGTGTGCTTAGCTCCCTCCCCGTCCGATCCTATTGGCCTCTTGTCCGACACCCATTCTCCCGCACTAGGCTGTGCCCTTCGTTCGTGTTCCCTCTTCGCGTTCTGAAAACTGCCTGTCCTGCTCATTCTCCCTCTCCCCCCCCTTTTTCACCTTTGTTCTGGCGCAAAAACAAGGCTTCTCTCGCCGGCCAGCGCTGTATTCTTCGGATTTCGGTTATCTCCGGTGTTTGTTGATGTTCTTTTTTTCTTGCCAGCGGTTATGGTTGCCTAGATCATTTCCTCGAAGGTATGTCGGTCCCAGATTGCATCCGCCTACCGTGGTCTGGCATTGGCCGAGGACTGGTTGGCGTTCTCTCAGCTAATTCCGCATGGGTCCTCTTCTGTCGGCACCTACTCCCATTTTCCATGGAGAATAGTCAGACGACTGACTGGTTGCGCAGGGGATACCGTTCTTCATTCATGGGAAATTCTCGCCCGCATCTTGGCATCTCAAGAAGCTATGGATATTGTGTGCGATATCGGAATGTGAGTCCTTCTTCATGCCGTGCAACTTCCCAAACTGGCTTTTCGTCGGCGCATCTCGGTGGCTAATCGACGCTCTCCCCCCCTCGCCATCTCCACATAATTGCTGCGCCTCCGATCACGAAAGTTGCCGTTATTCGCTTCTTCGTCATTGGCAATTGTTAACCTCTTTCTCTATCTCTACCAGGCCCGTGATACACAAGAATGTCATCTACAATTGCCGCCTCATCATCTACAATGGCAAGATTCTGCTCATCAGGCCAAAGATGTGGCTCGCAAACGATGGTAATTATCGCGAAATGCGCTACTTTACGGCATGGGCCAAGCATCGGCAGACCGAGGAACACTACCTGCCACGGATCGTCCAGCAGGTCACGGGCCAGGTAATGTTGCCATCACAAGATAACTTCTGCTTTTGACTTATTCTTCCTTCGCGATAACCGCGGACTGGGCTACATGTCATTTGCCGCTGAACGGTAAATACACTCTAGATCAAGGTCCCTTTCGGTGATGCCGTCGTGAGTACGGTAGATACTTGCATTGGTGTGGAACTCTGTGAAGAATTGTTTACACCAGCAAGGTGAGCTTCTATTCCTCCCGCGTGCTCCGCAATAACGCCGGTCTTTAGCCCGCACATTCTCATGGGCCTTGACGGTGTCGAGATCTTTACCAACTCTAGCGGGAGTCACCACGAGCTACGAAAGCTCAACACACGCATCGACCTCATCAGAGAGGCGACGCAAAAGGTGCTCATGATGGCTCACCCATCTGCTTTTGCTCACATGATTTTACCAGGTCGGAGGTGTCTATCTGTACGCCAACCAGCAGGGTTGTGATGGTGATAGGCTCTACTATGACGGTTGTGCCCTTATTGCCGTCAATGGACGTATCGTCGCCCAGGGCTCTCAGTTTTCTCTGAGAGACGTCGAGGTTGTCACTGCAACCATTGACATCGAGGACATACGCTCCCACCGAGCTGTCAAGAGCCGCAGCATGCAAGCTGCTCAGGCCGAGCGATACCAACGCATCGAAGTCCCCTTTGCGCTGTCAAACGACGATTTTGGACGGCGTCCAACGACTTTCCAAGAGCCCCGTTTGCACATACCCGAAGAGGAAATCGCGTGAGGCTTTTCCTAGCCCTTGCCGTTGTAGAACACCGGCGACTCACTCGAGTTATAGACTCGGCCCTGCCTGTTGGCTCTGGGATTATCTTCGACGTTCTCGCACTCAGGGTTACTTTGTCCCTCTTAGTGGTGGTATCGACAGCTGCGCCACAGCAACCATTGTCTATTCAATGTGCCGTCTAGTTTCAGAGGCAGCTGCCAAAGGAGGTGAGATAAAAATTCTATTTCACATCGCTTGTTCGCCTCCTGAACACCCGGGACAGACAAGGACGTGATTTCCGACGCACGGCGAATCGCGGGCGAGCCCGAGAGCTCCGACTATATGCCCCTGGATCCCAAAGAGTTTTGTGGCAGAATCTTCCACACGTGCTACATGGGAACAGCCAATTCGAGCGCAGAGACCCGCAGCAGGGCCAAGGATCTCGCAAAAGCCATCGGGAGCTACCATGTCGATCTCAACATGGACACCGTCGTCACAGCTGTCCAGACGCTTTTCTCTCTGGTCACCAATAAGACGCCACGCTTTCGCGTCCACGGCGGTTCATCCGCGGAGAATCTCGCACTACAAAACATCCAAGTGAGTCCTTGCCTCGCCCGTCGGGACCGTGTTTGTTTAGACGAATAGGCTCGATTGCGCATGGTTCTAGCCTATTTGTTTGCGCAACTCTTGCCATGGGCGAGAGGAAGGCAAGGCGGTCTCCTCGTCCTCGGGAGCGCAAATGTCGACGAGAGGCAAGTTTTGTCATTCGGAGATCACTAGACGACTTATGGGACTTTTCACAGCCTGCGGGGATACCTGACAAAGTACGATTGCTCATCAGGTAAAGCTCAATTTGACCCTATGCCGAGTCTGTGCCTAAAGCCTCGATTCCAGCGGATATCAACCCCATTGGAGCCATCTCCAAGACCGATCTGAAGAAATTCATCGCATGGGCACAGAGGTCCTTTGATCTCCCCATACTGGAAAGGCAAATACCTGTCAACGTTGTGCCGAGCCCGTGCTGATCCGAGATGGTAGTTTCCTCAACGCGACTCCAACAGCAGAGCTCGAGCCAATCACGGAAAACTATGTCCAAGCAGATGAGGTCGGTAAAACAGACTTTTGTCCATGGATGAACCGGATTAAAATCATTGACAGGCTGACATGGGAATGACATACAACGAACTCTCCATCTTCGGCCGCCTCCGCAAGGTCGAGAAATGTGGACCTTTCAGCATGTTCTCGAAGCTCGTTAATGAATGGGGTTCCATGTTTTCACCGCTACAGGTGCGAGTGTCAAGCTGTCAAAGGGAAAGAGCGAACTGAGTGATCGGATCAGATTGCGGCCAAAGTCAAGCTGTTCTACTTTGAGTATGCTAGAAACCGGCATAAGATGACCACCCTCACCCCATCCTATCACGCGGTAAGTCTAGACTTATCCACATGGACGGCTACACGCCGGTCATTTATTCGAGGTGTTTTGTTGGTGGCGACCGCTAATTATACCATTCTTAGGAATCCTATAGCCCTGATGATAACCGTTAAGTGAATTCCCTTGACGGCATGGATAACCAGTGCTGACCCTTATGTTCTCAGGCTTCGATCTCAGGCCTTTCCTGTATCCAGCAAGCTTTCCCTATCAGTTCAAGCGGATCGATGAGGCTGCCAACTCGCTTCCCGATAGGTCCTCTGAGGGCGCCACAGGGCCAATATCCAAGTAGGAACCAGAGGAATCCGCGCAGAAGAGGGCTATCCAGACCACAACTAGAAGGAAATCTCCGCCCAATCCACAAATCCCATCAGCTTCTTTGTGATTTGTATAGGCCGAGTAAAAATGTACAAGCGCAGAAATGAGAATTAAATAGCCCATCACCCGCGGAACTAAGCGACAAGGATGCATAGCGGCGCAGACTGCTAGGCCCTACTAGCTGTCAAAAGAATAGGGAACTGCGAAGGCCGCACTATATTGGGAGGAAACGAGTAAGCGACGATTGAACCGTGATTTTCTTCATTATTGTGGGCTCAGGCGCTGAAAGTAAGTCGCAGTTAGCTAATGGTGGGTACGGAGGCTAGCGAGCACGTACGGTCCGTGATATTCTCGTCCCTAACCTTTTTCTTGATTGATTCCATGACCTCATTCGCGGCTGCCCTATCGAAATCATCTCTCGCTCGAATAAGGCTTTCCACATAAGCTAGATTGGGGCCATACTGCTGGGCGAACCGGTAGAAGGAGAGGAACACTAAGCTTCGGGAGGCAGAGAGGATCTCGAGCGAACGTTCAACTACTTCGAAGTTCGCCTCCAATTCCCGTGGATCTTTCAGTGTGCTGAAGAACTCGAATGAATCCGCGACGTCGTCCTTGATTCGATTTCGAGCCGCAGGCATCCGTAATTTGGAAGACCGGGCTAGGGCACTGAGGTAGGTGATGATGAACATGTCCAAAAGGTCCTCGATCATGAGGTCGAGTAGCGACGGGTTGAGAGTCGCTTGAAAGTCGGTCATGTAATCGCGGAGCGTTTCTACAATTTGAGGCATAATTCCGTCATACCATGGAGCGGTGAATAACTGCTTGACTGCGGGTTTCAGGTCATGGAAGATGAGTTCGATCAGCGTCTGTACACATTTCTTCGCAACGTCCAGGTACCCGTCGATGACTTCATTGAGTTGATCTGCAATTGTAGCCTTGTACTTGGTCGATACTAAAGGCTCTAGTCGTGCAGAAAGCTCCTCGGCAAAGTCTGCACTACGAATCTGGTCGTTGGCGAGAGCAACAACGAATTCGGAAAGTCCAGGTGCGATTTCCTCTGGCTTTCCCTCAACGCTCTTCTTGAGCTCCGAATCGACCAGTTTACTCCACTGAGCTTGTGTGGATTTGATGACCCGGTTGCTTTCGGTGACGATGCGTGCAAGCACGGCTCCTTGATTGCTTTCTGTGGCCGCGTCGACTTGCTCGTTTATGATCTTCCACAAGATGACGGGTCCGGACATGCCGTATAACCCGTCTGGGTCAGTCTGTGGTGGAGCTTCTCGCGTGGTAAAGTCACTAAGCTCCTGCTGCATGAGATTTCCTGTCCATTCCTCTAGTTTCTGGACGATGAGCCTAGAGTAGTCGTCGATGAGGCTTTGCTCCTTGCCGCCCATCAGGGGTGGCTCAAGGTATTCGTCCGGTATCTCGATCTCCTTCATCTTCTTTTTGTACGTCTTGACCCATGCATGCATGGCAAGTAAGACGGATGCAGGCGGTAGTGACTCCCTAATCTGTTTGAAGACGTGATCCAACTCCTTGTGGTATGTCTTGACATACATGGCGTAGACCTCGTAGTCCGGTGGGAAGCATGGAGCGACGTAGATTTCGATCCAGCTTAGATCATCGAAGAGCCACTCGTCCAAGCTTTCGATGAACTGGATAGTGTTTCCCTCTGCATCCCGGAGGCGGCTTTCATACCCTTCTCGGATTGATTCACGAATGGCAGTCATGATACTCGAGCGGTAGTGCTTGAGTATACGTGCATTCGCCTGGAGCGAACGGAATTTGGAGGCTGCGTCCATCTTTGCAGCCTTTTTGAGAAGTCGAATTGCCATAGCCTACGAATCGTCAGATGGATGTTTTCTAGGATCTGATCAAAGAGACCTTTTCATCCTCCCTTCCTTCCATTTCTGCAATCTTCAACAACTTTACAACGACATTTGTATATCCGGCTCGGACGAGTGGCAGTATATTCTTCGCCAGCACGATTATGTGCGCATCAAACGCCGTGCTGAGACGATTGAGGCGAGAGAAGTATTGAGTAAGCGTACTCCTTGTCTGTGGAGTTGCTGATTTCGCCATGTGCATGGTCTCATTTCTGAATGCCTCGAGTTGATTGAGTTGATAATGGAGCTCGAGCAGGTGTTCGTTTGGTCCTTGTGGATCTCGTGAGTCTGCGTCAAGCATATACTCGAGATTGCCGAGCTTGTCGTCCATGTCCAGCAGGTTGTTGACCATTTCCTCTGTCTGAGCAAAGTTTCGATGAACCCTTGACACCTTGATACCGGTTTCAGTCTCGGGGAATAGCGCTGTCAATGGTACGGACCTCTGCAATTTGATCAAATGTCTTGATTTGCCCAATGGAGTCCTTGCCCATCTTGTCCATGGAGATCATCTCATCCTTGACGCCTTGGAGATCGGATCTTGTGGATATAAGTTTCCTGAGACCATCTCTCGTTGCGTCCAACTGCTCCTTGACGCCGCTCTTCAGCTTTGCGTCGATGGAGGCCTTTTCCTTTTCGAGTTTTTGACGAAAGGCTTCTAGCTTTTGCAGGTCGTCTGGAGATTGAAAGTGTTCCGCGACTGCTTGTGCCGCGCTGAGCTGAACAGACATTCACTCGCAGGTGGTCGGGGGTCAACTTTGGTGGCACAGCTTGAGCTCCTCCATGTCTGCCAATCTAACCTTCTCTCAGAAATATTTATCACCTCTGGCTGTTTACGATGGTCAGCAACTGACCGAGCTGCCCACGGGCTTCAATTCGGACGGCAAGTCGCTAGATAATGGCCCACGACCACAAGAGCCTTCCTCAGAGTGCTATAAACAGCACCCAGCTCCCATTCGTGCGATCAAGGAAGGAAACAGTTTTGATTTCCACAGTGAGTACAAGGATTTAGTCAACCACTGAATTCTAGCAATCTCCCTAGTCTACTATCATCCAGGGAACGCAGATGAGACCAAATACGCAAAAGAGCTCCACGAGCGTATCCGTCGTGAGTTTCCAGAGGTAGGTTATCCGTCTCGTCGTCCTACAATAGCTAAGTAATTTGCACAGATGCGAATCTACAAGTTTTGGGATCGCCCAGTTGGACCACACCCTGTTCCTATGTTCGAGGTGAACACATTTACTCCGATTGAAACAGGCGCGCTCTTTGGTTTCTTGACGGTTTGGAGAGGGCCCCTCTCGTGGGTAGCATAGGCGCAATTCCTAAGGTGACTGAATGTAATTCTAGGGTTCTGATCCATCCCAATACCGACGATGAATTGAGGGACCACACCGAACTCTGTGCATGGATGGGGGAGAAATGGCCAATTGACGTTTCATTTCTGAAGCGCGGGCCACACTAGTATGTCAATCTTGCTTTCCAGCATTAAGATTGGCATTTTCTCTCCGTAGCTCCTTGATCACTGTCTACTCGAGGAATGAGAATGGTAGCATTTGCAAAGAAAAGCTTACAGCCAATGCCTCTGGATTGACACCGCTCTCAATCATGCTGACACACGTTGCAAGTGTCTCTCGATCGAGCTGGGTGTTCAAGAGCTGCGAGATATCGTGGAGAACTGAGGCGTGGTGAGCATAGAAGCAAGAAACGCCTGGGATGTATACCATCGAGCGTCTCCTGAGCTGAAGATGTTCTGTTCATGTCGCGCGAGGACATGTTCAAGTCCGACAAATCGAAGCGGAGGAGTCCAAGTTATGCTTGCACCTTTCCTTGTCGGCTGGCCCATTGAGATTAGCAGCAGGATACAATGAAAACACCAGAAATCGTGAAGAGGATTCTGAAGATGTCCTTCAAGGGACTCATCTTCCCAGTGACCACTTTCGTGGGCTTTGCAATCGTTCTGTCATTCGTTCAAGTTCTCTACAAGCCATCAGCAGGCCCCACAAAGTAAGACACCGTTTCGGTATATTAATTATATGCTAATCGTCGACATTCTGTAGGGCCCAGCGGATAGGATGGCAGGAATGGGACCTGGTTTATTTCGGAGAGGCGACGGCACAAGATAAGCCTCGTCCTACTCCTAATAATACGAATGGGGTAGAAGATACAAGTACGGACTGGTGGAATACTCCAGACGACAGTCAGGACTGGACGGGTTCGAGTCTTCCGCTGGACCAGTGGTTGCCGTTGCAGCCTCACGATACTGGGCTCACAGAGATTGCATTAACGAGATGTTTTGTTGATCATGCCTATGGCTTCTGCTATCCGGATAGTACTCCAGAGCAGGTACGTGGCAGATGGGATACCCTGTGAATAACACGCTGACATCTACACAGGATAGGTACGCCTCGCTGTGCTCTGATACTCGCTGCTAACACCATACCAGCAAATTTGGAAAATGGACTCGCGTCGAGCGCGACGTGCAGGCTAAGACGAGCATATATTACCTCTCGTTCTATTATAGACGGACGAGGCGTCTGGGTATGTCTATATATGTTGTCGGACCTATCCAGCTCATGAAGTTACAGACGTTCCTCTCATTACAGATCTCAAGCTCCTCGCAAAGGGAGAGGAAAACACCCTTCCCAACCTCAGCGAATGGCGTGGTGTAGCTCATAGTGTGCGTGATGGAGTGATGGGACAACCAGCACTCTTCCTATGGTATAAACTCGGACCCCCCATGTCCCAAATGGATCTTGTCGACGTCGAGCACATGGTGACGGAAATCGACATTCTCAACGGGGAAGGGCGACCATTCTACGGCTTTGAAAAGCTCTCACCTCCCCTCGCCACTGGTCGAGCAGGTCAATCCGAAGACGTTCATCTCGTTTATCGACGTGGGATCAAGAGTGAGTCACGGCTTGAATTTTCGTGTTCGTCTGCTTACATGGTACAGACCCGCCAAGGGCAAAACCATTGCACTTCTCTCATTCGGGTCATTTCAAAATTATGCAGGTTGCGGATCTGCACTTTAGTGTCTCGCATGGCCAGTGCAAGGACACAGATTTGACTCCATGTGAACAAGGAGACGATATGAGTCTCGCTTTGCTGGAGCGTACACTCGACCTGGAAAGGCCGGACCTGGTCGTCTTTTCTGGCGATCAACTCAACGGACAAGGCACCTCTTGGGACCCGCGAAGCGTACTGGCAAAGTTTGCTGGCCCAGTCATCGACAGAGGAATCGCCTGGGCAGCAGTTCTTGGCAACCACGACGAGGATGACGGTGATTTAACCAGGACGGAGCTTATCAAGGTTATGCGGAATATGCCGTACAGTCTCGTCGAACTGGGACCATCAGACGTACATGGAGCCGGCAACTATGTCCTGAAAGTGCGCAGCCCGGACCCGTCTCGAACTCAACTCCTCACACTATACTTCCTCGACTCTGGATCATACTCTGCTGGTGTATGGGACTGGTATGTGTTCAATTCATACCGAGAGCATAAGTGGCTGACTACGTGCCAGGTTTGGGTTCACTCCTACCGAGTACGACTATTTGCGTCAGTCTCAGATCGACTGGTTCCTTCACGAGTCATCTCTTGTCTCCAAACTCGAGCGTCCATGGCATCCAGATGGTGGTCGAGACCTTGGTCATTCATGGAGACGATCTACCCAAGGGAAGCGTCGACAAGAGGAACAACGCAAATTGCTCAAGCCCAACGCAATGATGTTCTACCATATCCCCATGTAAGGATGCTGTTGACACGTAGTGGATGACTAACAAATGCCTGCAGTCCAGAAACTTATTCGACTGCTGATATCGACTATTCTTCCAACCAAGCCCTCGAGATTGGCACGCCTGCAGGCAAGGGAAGCCCCAAAAAGAATGATGGATTCTTTGAAAAGGCATTGCTGAATGCTACGGAGAGCGAGCAGGGGGGGCGTGAGGTAAAGGTAGTCGCCAATGGTCATGTTCACAGTAAGTTGGCCCGAGATGCGACTGTATTCGGACTGACGTTGCTCTAGTCGCGGACAACTGTCGTCGTGTACTCGGGATATGGTTCTGCTTCAACGGTGGCTCGTCTTACTCTGGCTACGGCAAGGTTGGGTTCGATAGAAGATTCCGCATCTTCAATATCACAGATTGGGGAGAGACAATCACCACATACGAGCGTACAGAGAAGGGGAAACTGGTCGATCCGATCGTCCTCGTCGGGAATGGAGGGCCTTCGCCGTATGACGGATGAGCTTACCTATCGTTATTGATTCGGACTGGTGTATGCTAGGGTATCTTAACAATCGCATCTATTAGCATGAATGTGAAGATTACGTGCCAGCTTAGATACCTTCCTGCGAGACCAAGCCGGAAATTCTATCAATCACCCTGGAAATGACCATTTGCTCCTCTTTCCTGTTCTTAAAGCCACCGAGGAGAAACCTGTGACTCACGTCGTGACTGAGCTTGGTGCCGAGCATACGTAGTCCCTACCTCTTCATCTCCAAGTCCGCTGGAGACGTGACTGTGTCCTATTCTGCGCGAAAATGCTCGGAATACGATGTTACAGTGGTCTTCGAACCGCGTTCGTCAAACCATCTCCGTCATGGGGTCGAATGCGACAGGTTACACCGTTGTGCCAACGGTTTTATTCACCTCGATCTCATCCACCGCATTCAACACCGGAAAGAGCCTCTTTAGAGCTGGAAAAGGAGCGCTCTATTCTTCAAGAGCCAATGTTTAGCAATGCCTCACCAAAACCGCGAATAGCTGTTCCAATCCTGGTCTGTTTGAATTTATGGTAACCTTCTTTCTTTTATACATCCACAGTTTGCATTATTGGTGTCTGGGCTGGGCTTTGGAGTCGCGGCCGTGCGTACAAACGAGGAGACTGAGAAATGGCGAGAACGCATCTCGGTCGTGGCTCCGATTTTTCCGTGGGGTGTAACCTCTCAGAGCGCTACGATGTATGGCGAATGGAGACAAGCCAAAGGCCGAGTATGTTCAACTCCTTTCGTGGCCTGGGTCGTGCACTGACACCGTTATAGGCATGGCAAGAGGCTTTTGATAACTTTCAGAAGAAGACAGTGGCACTCCCTGCTACAGTTCGCTCTTTTTTCAATTATGCCTACTATTACGTCGCACAGTCATGGGTCAATTTGACCGAGGGCAAAGAGATGAGCTACAAACTTGTGGGCTGCTTCGCTGCAGTCTACGTGATGGGCTTGATACCTGTTGCACGACAATTCGCGCATCGGGCGTTTAGTCATGACCCGCTGTCTGGCCGGGTGACGACTCTGTTTACATCGCAATTTGGGCATGCCGGACTATTGCACATGGCGGTGAATTCCTTTGCGCTGTTGGGCTTTGGTAAGTCAGGCTGGATGCGAGAGGAACATACCTAATGATCATAGGTGAGTTTGCTTGGAGCTATCTGCGCCACAAGCAAGTATCTGGCGCTGGAAAGATGGATGAAGCGCTAAGCGGCTACCATTTCCTCGCCTTTCACCTCGCAGGTATGCATAATAGGTTAACGATTGTGAGTGTATACTGACGCCCCGGCCACAGCGGGGACGGTAGCGGCACTGACATCGCATCTGTTCGCTGCCCGAGTGCTGGTCCCCCGGATGATGTCCGCAATCTCAAAGGGGGGCGAAGTGACCGCAACACAAATTCTGCCTAGTACTGGGGCGTCTGGGGCGATATGGGCGAGTCTGATGGTGACCGCGCTTGGATGGCCACACACGACGGTGACACTGGTGTTCCTGCCCTTTTTCCCAATATCGATTGGCACAGGCGTTTACGGACTTGTCGCGCTTGATATCATCGGACTGATTCGCGGATGGCGGTGAGCAGAAGGCACACCCTAACGCCGTAGCGATTCCTGACGACCGTCTACAGGTTCTTTGACCATGCCGGTCATTTGGGGGGCGCTGCGTTTGGTGCTCTCTACTTTTACTATGGACCAGGTTGGTGGGAGTGGTGTAGAGAACAAGCAGCTAGGCTCTCTTTGTCGCGGCGGTCGCCTCCGCCTGGCTCGACGTTGACGGTTGCCTGAGGCTAGCGGGCGGAAGGTGCCCAGACATGTCTTGGGTGATGATATATATATCGGGTCTCGGCGTCCATAAATAAAACTGAATTGAACAGGGTGAAACGCGGGCACTTCGCTTTGGCGGCTTTTTCCACGAGTGGTACATCGGTTGTCCACATAAAAAGGGATGCTTGTATGCGCTTCAAACATTCATCTTCTTGGTCTCTCCCTCGACCGTCCCCGCTCGCTTCCAGTAATCCCTCTAATCTTTGAGAGCTCTTGAGCACCTACACGCCCACACGCACCTCGCTTTTTCTTCTAGTCTACTAAAAATGCATTCCGTGCTCGCTGCTGTCGCACTCGCGTCGAGTGTCGTCCCCGCCGTCCTTGCCCAAGGCGTCCCCCTCGCCTCAAAGCATTTCACCTGGGGTGCTCTCGTCAGTCCTTTTTCTCTCTCTTCCGTCCATCGCATCGCTTGCCTGCCAGCAAATAGCCCGCGTCTTCCTCCGCTCCTCGTCGCCCGTTGCTAACTGCCTCTGCAGCCATACCAGGCAGACACTGATACTGGTGAGCGTGGTACCCAGTACGGTTACAACTTGTGCAACAGCACCGTGAGTCTTTTCTCTCTACTCTTCCGAGTCTGTGCTATTTTGGGACTGACGGCTTCCTAGACTGAGGGACCAACCTCGTTGTGCCAAACCGCCATCATCAACAGCATCGATGGTCCGTGCAATTTTTCTCGATTTTTTTTAAGGTTTGCGAAGCTGACTCTACCCGCTCCTAGACTTCTGCCTCTGGGGTCCTCCTGAAAAGGATTCTCTCATCGGTAACGTCGAGGGTGAGAGCGTTGCTTGGTGCACAAAGCCAGGCTATGGTACCCGTATCATCCCCAAGGGTGCCATCACCGGCGTTCAGTTCATGAAGACGCCCGACTACATTCAAGTCACTGGTCGCATCACCCAGAACCTCATCAACATCCAAGCCGATGACTCCGGAGGAGAGTTGGACCCCCACGGTGCCGACCAGCGTGGTAACCCCCTCGGCGGTCTCCTCTTCTCCAATGCATTCACTGGACAATTCGTTCAAGCTGTTGAATGGCACAACTTTATGGGTGGAGGAACTTTCTGCCTCAAGGCCTGCGACCCCGCTGGTCCCAACGCTGCTCGGTACGCCTCCTCCTACCATCTACATCCTTTTCTAACCCTTAAAAAGCTTCTGCGAGCACATCTTTGATCGAATTGGATGCGCATACAACGCCCCAGCTGCCTACGAAGATGGCGCTTTCCTCAGCTGCGAGGGTGCCAACCAGGACTTCCCCGGAATCTACACCGACGCTGCAGGTGCTGTTCAGACCTACACTCAGCCACCAGAATCTCTCGGTCCCATCTCGACGATGCCCTACCAACCCCGCGTCCCAGCATCGTCAAACTGCGTGACCCACGACGTCGCCACCCTCTGGTCTGGTGCTCCCACTGCAAGCGTCGCTCCTGCTTCCTCGAGTGCAAGTGGAACGCTTACCCGCACCACCTCGCGCGCCGTCTCCACCACCCGCGCATCGACCGCTGGGTCATCGGCCACCGGCACCCCCAACGGTGCTTCATCGCGCCGTTCTCTCCCTCGGCTCGCTAGCAGGAGCTGCTCTCGTTGCCTTCGTTGCCCTCTAAGCGGACGTTACGACTTTTAGATAGGGTGTGCTCTCCTCTCTCGGACCATTGGCGCGAGCTGTGTCGTCTTACTATCACGGACTTTGATATTACCAGGGACTCGCTTCGCTTAATGTAGCTAATCCCATCGCCGCTCTTTCGTACGATTAGAATAGTACTCTTTCAGTTATTATGACCCCCCGAGACCAATTTCGCATGAGCGTATTAAAATGAGTTAAGTACATGCATTCCTCATCACGTCTGGTCCATCGCGTCATCACCGAGCACCTCGAAAAATCCGGAGAAGCGAGCCTTGTTCTTTCCGGCCTTTTTGGTGAGCCAGTCCCTGAGCTTTGGTTTCATTGCTGGTCGCTTCTCAACAAGGTCTCGCAACTGCTCCTTTGGGAGCTGTAGCAGCGCGTCAAACGAATTTGGCTCTGTCCGCTCCGCACACAAAATAAAGCCGTTCCACAGTTGTCGATCCGTCCATACTTTCTTGGTGATCAACCGCGACAGGAGCGTCGTTGATACCCACGCCGCGAGGTGCTTGTACGTCGCGACGGCTTGCAAAACCTGACGACCCCAATCGCATCAGATTCACCGCAACCGACGAGACCGAACAGTCCCTTACCGTCCATAGAAAGAGCATGGGAAGTGCCTTTGCATCCAGGTAATGTTGCATCACGGACGCTAGAACCTCTGATTTGAATATCTCGGGCATGTTGAAACAGACGCTTATCGCTGTGAAACAATGATGAGCTTTGTCCAACCGGGTGGAAGAGAGCGAGCGTGCCTTCTTTCGCTTTTGGCAATCCCACCTCCGTCTCCATGTCATGCAGCTGGATCATGAGCTCTTTCGGTGTCAAAAGCCTGCTCTGCGCCTCGCGGACTTGATTCGTATTCGTGAGTTGCGGGATTTCGACAATGGACGTGAACATCTGGCGCACAAGTGCACGGTTCTCGGCCGTGCCATTCAGTGTATCGACAAGTTTGGGCAAATGCTTGACAATTTCGGGCTATGTCATAGTTTAATACTAAATAACGTATATGAATGAGAATCACTTGCCTTGTCCATCTCACTAATGATCAGCATCAGGAACCGCGCATCGGCACCGCGGTCGGCGATCAGGGTTTTGACGAGCGTAAACACGCTGGGCGTAGGTCGCCCTGACTCAATAAAAATGTTGAGAATGCGCAGTACAAGCCTCTCGGCGCCTTCTGGGTAAGATTTGAGGTAGCCAAGCAACTTGGCGTTCGGTCCCATGGCTTGGATGGGTCGTGTGAGAAGCTCGTGCAGCGCATCCTGTACAGTAGAATCCATCTTTGAATACGTCTCAAAGAGACTAGAAAAGTAATATGTTGGTGACATGCACGAAAAAAGGAGAGGTACGTACGGCTCGAGAAAGGACGGATCTTTGACCGACAGCGCCAACGAACTTTCCACGTATTGTGTTATTTCATTCTTGTCGGCAGGTAATGTAGGTGTTGGAGGTAAGTACGGTCCAAGTTCCTCCATTGCCGGATCGCTGGTGGACTCTTCGCCCGCCTTTGCTAGCCTCTTCAAGGATGTGGTTGCATAAGCGCGAATCCGACTCGCCATAGGCTCAACATCTGGCCACCATCTGCGAATGGTATGGATTGCACCTTTTCGCGTGGGCTCCGCTGCCAAAAAATGTGAGCTCACGTGTCGATCAAATAAACAGGATGCCGGGATTGGAAACGCAGGAGAATGACGACAAACGGCACATGGTAGTGAAATTAGAGTGGGTCAGGGAGTCAACCACCATATCACGTTTTCCAATGCCGGGTGACGTCGAGCAGTGTGAATACAACAATAATACGTACACGGATGGGTCATGAGGTGAAGGAGAACCGACATGGCTTGGTCGCGTAGAGGTATCCGGAGTTCGATCACCGGTCGAAGGATTGCCATGGCCGTAGGCATACTGGTACCGAAATGAGCCGCGCACGACTGATATTTATATAATCTCACCGATCTTTGTCAGCCGCTATTTCGCCAAGGAGATCAAAGAGATTCGACGGTATCTCTGGTAGATCAAGCACAAATTGGGAAAACGAGTCTTTGTCACTTTTCCGAGCCGTGGCCTCGATTATCTCTCGCGCCCAATAATCAAAGTTCTGTCGCTATTGCCCGTCAGCACCTCCCAAAGTCTGGAGGACCTACTTACTGCAGACGCGCTGGCTTTTAGCTGTACGCTGTCATTATGCCATTCTTCATTGAGCCATAGGGATGCCAGATGCGATCGTGCTTAAATTCGGCTACGATGTAGTTGAATAGCATCCTCCGCATCCGGTACTCTGCTTCGAGAGCAGAGCCTTTTGTCGACTTTTCAACCGCTTTGCCGTCGCCCATCTTCTCGCTCTCGTCTTGTTCTTCCTCCTCATCCTCTTCCGGTTGAGAGTAGGCACCACGAGTAATCATCCGAATCAGGAGGAGAGACCACATTTCTGGTGTCGGCTTTCCACGTTCTTGAAGTGGCACTACATTCGAGGAAGGGGGACTGAGCATTTCGCCGCGTTGTTGTACCCGCTGGAGACAAGAATTGACTAGTGCAACTTTTTGCTTCTCGGACATCTTGCGAGGGCGCGGAAGTTTGAAGGTGCTAACATGGGTTTCTGGTGTGACGGATTCCTAAAAGAGAAAGGTCAATGAAGAGTTTTATAGGTGCTGGCAGACGAACCAGCTGGTTTGCTTCCTGTGTCGACGCCTCCATTGGAGCTTCTTCATCTTCTAGGTCCATGATGAGAGGATCAATCGGTTCAGCCTTGATCTCAATTTCCTCTGCCAGCGGTGGGCTTTCCGCCTTTGCGGCTTCTTGCACGCCGAGGCCTTTGCCGTCGAAGTACGCCATTTCTAGAGAGAATGAGCTCTTATTTTTGCAAATTCTGTATACTTACTTGGACTGCGGCGTCAAATTGCTCGTCTTCAATCAACTTGAGACTTTCGATGACGATTTGCGCAAGGATGCGACTTGGGACGGTAGAAAAGTCGAAATTGCGGAGGATGGCCGGATCGACGGCCCTGAATGGTCTCAGAGCAGGAGTTGCATTGTCGTGCGAGACTTTGAGTCTCTTGAGATCACCGGTGGGGACTTGTTCATCCGCTGATACCGAGAGCGCACGCTTTCGCCGCGATTCCTCCATCCGTACCATGGTCTCTTGCGATTTGAAGTCGAGTTTCCGGATTGCGTCGTCTACTTCACCTCTATGTCTTCCGTGAGGATGTGTTCTAGCAGGTATGAGTGAACAAATCGCGCATAGAGTGAGCCATACTTGTTGAAATGAATAAGGGTGATCCGCATAATCTTGTAGATTGACCGTATAGCCATTGCGGTCTCGGTACCGAGTTGGGCTGGATCCCAGCTCAAGTAGACGCCATATACAAATGGAACGAGATCTGGTCGAAGCTTTGCAAGAGCTCCAAACGATTGGACAATGGCTGTAACCAAGTCGATTTGTCTAAGACCCTTCGTGAGCTGGAGGCCGAGGAGCTCATGCTCACAGACCTTGCATTTCGGAAGGACAGCAAGAGTTGCTCGGTAAAGGTAATGCCTTCCTTTTCCATCGCCGCAATATTAAAGAACGGATGATTGCCTGGGATGAAGAGGAGGTGAGGGTCGCTGGCATTATGGAGCTATGTATGTAAGTACTGTTGAGATGTGTACTTTTCAGAGACATACTCGAGGGTCACTGGGTCCTTTGGAATGCACTAGCAACACTCGCTGAAGGAATTTGGCCACGGCGATGCGGACACCGAGAGGACTCGTCGGATGTAGATTATAATCCAATATTCGTGTTCTCGCATCAACCATTTTGATCCAATGCTGGTGCATATTAGGGTCTAAACAGCTAAGACGAGTCAACCTTGATTCGACGACGCTGGCGGAGACGCACCAGAGTCTGAAGACCTGAGGGTAGATAGATCCAAGAGTTTCGATGGCTAACTTCATATAGAACGGGTTGTGGTCTGCGAGGAGGTCCCTTAAGGCGTCGACGACGTCCAAAACGACTGTTAAAGTGATTATATTTCAGCAAATGTGTTTACAGAGGTGCATACAACCCGCGGAAGATGAGCTCAAACACCTTTTATGCACGTCTAACAACCAATGGTTTACTCACATCGAATGCGCTCCTGGTCGTGTGGGTCTGTCGGCAGGCGTGAGACGACATACCAGACGAGCTCAAAAACCCATTGCTTGAACAGAGAATCAGGCTGATGCTGGACGTTTGGGACGAGATTTTTCAGGAGGAGGATTGCAACATTTGGAGAGACCGTCTCTAGATGGTCTCTTAGATTCCGGAGAACTAGAGCCTGCTCTGGTGAGTCACTGGGCAGCGTTAGAGCCTGTCTCAGCGCCGCAATTGGGTCGACCGTAGATGCCATCAAGTTGGAGGCAGCTCCAAGTGGCCCAACGAGAGTTTGGACCTTTCCTTATCGCCCCATGGTCAGCCAAGTCGACATAATCTCACTTGTTCTGCATCTCACAGACGATTAGGCTGCTCGTTCACAAGGAATTCAGACACTGCTCGAGGCAGAGAAGGACGCGGCAAAGGTTGTCCAGGAAGCTAGACAATGTTGGTCCATCGGAGCAGATTATACTACCTAATCACTGAAGTATGACGCTTAGATCGCACTCAGAAGCTCAAAGACGCCCGCAGTGAAGCGGCCAAGGAGCTCGAAGCGTACAAGCAGAAGAAGGATGCCGAGGTCAAAGCTTTTGAACAAAAGGCAAGACATTCTGCTGTGTACACGCTCTACAAACTCTGATCTACGTGGCAGCACGCTGGCGTCACTCAAGCAAACCAAAAGGCGATAGACGAGGAGACGGATCAGAAACTCAAGGCATTGGAAGCATCGTACAATGAAAACAAGGACAAGGTCGTAAAGAAGCTCCTGGATCGCGTCCTCCTCGTCAAGCCCGAGTTGCATCCCAATCTGAAGAAAGTCTGATTGAATTCCAACGTAGTAAACCTTATGAATACAGAATCACGTCTGTTATAGCAGAACCCCAAATGATACATTCACAGTGACCATAATCGGCTGGTATACTCCATTTCCTATTTCTACCAGCTGGCCCTGAATTAAGTGCCAGCGAGGTGGAAATGACATATTGATTTGGTGGTGTTACAGGGACCTCGGATTTCTTCGATCAGAGCCCAAAACGATATAGCTCGGTGAAAGGGCAGTCGCGTGGCGTCCACTCTCACCAGTTTAGCCCCATGTCTTCGTCTTCCAAGAACTGTCCATTGTAAGGTAACATCAATGGGGACGAGTTCTTTCGCCTTTGCAATGGTTGTAAAGCACTGACTGATGGGGGAACTGGCGTCATCCCTGATACAATGATCGCAGGAGCACGACGAAAGAATCCCATCGAGTCGTCGTACGTTGGTCCTGTGGTTGAGAAGGACGGAGGCGGTGGACTTGTCGATTGGCTGTCACTGTCATCTGAGCTTAGTTCAGGGTAGATTGCTCCACGCGAAGTAAGCCCAGGCTCTCGGACCATGAAATCACTTCTCGGGATAGTGGGAACCGGAGAGCGTGCGGCCCTCCTATTAAGCCACGGGCCTCCTGAGGGGAAAGCCGATAGGGGCGCGCCCACGGGCGAGTCCCCAAACGCCACGTCTAGCGTAGCGTTGCGGAGCGTTCCAAGAGACTCGTTCCCAAAGCGTGTGATTTCTAAAGTGGACGAATCGTCATCCAGCGATGCTTGGCTCCTACCACTGGCCGACAAAGCCGTATCAGGCCTTGTGACCTGCCTTAAATTCTCCATGCCGTCGCCTTGGGCGTATATTGATCCAATTTGTTGTCCTGTCGCGGATGCAGGCCTGAGGGTCATGTCGGCGTAATCCAACGGATCACCCATTGCCTTTTCGGCGTCGAAAATGCTCTGTATCGATTCGGACGAGGTTCCAGACATGGAAGAAAACGCTCGTTGCCCGTCCACGGCCCGTTGGTTGCCAAGTAGAATGGCTGGGGACAGCGGACCTGTCTTTCGCCAAAAGGCTCGGAGGTGGCCATTCATCAATTCTTCATAGGTAACTCCCCACATTCTGTAGTATTCATCAAACCATGTCAGGACTTGCGGATGCTGAGCCGACAAGGATTGGCCAAGGGTGGCCAGTAGCGTGGACACTATAGCCGTAGTGAGTACCGGCCGGGTGATTGTTTAAACAGCAACGCTTACTCATAAATTTGACCCGGCCGCGGCATCCCATGGCAGTTAAAATCATGGTGAGATTGGCAACGGCCTTTTGCTGTCTCGTCGCCGTCGCAGGGGAAGCTGAACCCATCTCCGCAAACTGCAAGGCAAACGTCAGGATTCGAATCACGTCGAAAAGAGGACGACTGGACGCACTGCGTGTAGAGCGATAACTGAAGACTCTGCCAGTCCGTGCATCATGATGAACAAGCCGGCACTGGAGCCCGCAGCGCCGTCGAGCTGGGATAGATAGAATTGAAGATTGTCCTCTGTCAGCCTGAGGTGGTCTGGCAAGAGCTCGAGCCATCTCTAGAGCAGAGCGAGAATTCAACATATGCCGCCGGCACCTCGTCGTAATAGACGCACCCTCAAATTCATCTCCTGTTGACTCACAGACGGCATACCATCAAGAGTTGCCGATACTCCTTGCTCCCAAACCCGAAGAACGTGTTCTGCGGTCAAAGTATATCGGTATCCGTGGTTTGCGCATAAACGAGACTGGCTGCTTACCCTTTGTCGCAATTGCATCCAAGATGGCGGCATAAATCTCACAAACTCGAATCAAGTTTCCAAACTCGCTCCGGCATGACTTGGGCCCAGCGGGTAGCGGGAGGTATTCATACGGCGAGTCAAATCCAGCTCGACTCTCGATTCGCGGCATGTCAAACAAAGCATCTTCCAGTGGAAGTCGGATGAGGCCAGCACGCTCTCGCCTATCCCTCATATTCTCGCCGGCTCTGGGCGACAATAGTTCAATGCAGTGAAGGTGCCAGAATACCCTGCGAAGAGCTTCGATGCGAACAAAGTTGTGGTGTAACGAGTCGTCTTGGCTCTCGAGGGTGAAGATATCGAGGGCGTCCAGGACAGCATGGGTGAGCTTCAAGAGTCTATCCGATTCAGTGTGCGCCTTCATGACCCGTTCGTGTGTCTGCAACAGACAGAGGGCTTGTGCGAGTTCGAGAGAGGGCTTGACGCGCAGACCGTCTACTCCTTCGCGAATTCTGGGGTCGTCCACATTGTCAAAGATTAAACGTTTGGCTTCGACGGCGAATCGTTCTCCAGCATGCCAAGTGGGCGTCGTTCGAAGGGTGGGCCGCAACGAATACGGCACCGCGACGGCGAACATGCTCAAGAGGAGGTATCGGGGGACTTGAGCTTGGGACAGTGACAGAAGAAACGAAGGTTGGTGGAGGATAGACGTCAGGGGATGACAATGGGCGAAGAACACTAAACGGCGGTCAACTCGGTGATCCAAACGTAGGACTTGTGGGTAACTCACAGTGAACCAGCTCTCGCGTGAACATGACATCGAGTGGGAAACAGTGTCCTGGGTCGTGGTTGGCGTGGCTATCGATGCAATCTGGCCTTCGGCGTCGCCAAACAAGGGGCTCCGCACGATAAACGAGCCTGAGTCGACATAACTGTCTCTACGACCGTCGGTTGCATTTCCGCGAGGTGCAGGGACCGGAACACCGGACGAATTGGTATAAGTGCAAGGCTTTCCCGCGAATACACTGACAACAGACGAATATGTTCAGAGGGGGGTTTCTTCCGGACACATGCTTTGGAGACGCACCAGTTTGCACATGGAGCTGTACCACAGCATCGTCTTTTAGACTTGTGACACATGTCGCATGCCTGGAATCAGCCAGGAATACGGAGGCCGATCAGGTCGCGGGCATCGAAGACGGGACACGAGTGAGAGCAGGCGGGAGGAAAGATGAGCACAACCGTCTTACATATGCATCACTGGCGAGTGCCTACCTTGGCTAGGCGCTTTCGTTTCGTTGGCCTATGGGACATTGACGATGTTGCGGCGACTGGTGAGTTGCCGGCGTTGGAGAGCGAGCTCCCATCCGTCTGAGAGATACCCTGAGACTGATAGATTCCAGGACTGACAGATTCAGAAACTTGCATTCCCGAGCTCAAGGAATCATCCACTGCGCTGGTGACCAGCGTCAGCGTGGCGGGACGGTTGGAGGAAGAGGCCATATCTGCGACCACAGACTGATCAATATCCAAGGGAATGGTTCCAAGATTTGCGTACGCAGAAGCAAGACGTTCAGAGCCCTGAATTGCGTGGGCGGATTCAAAAACGGTGCCCGTGGCCGGTGGTCACGGGAGAGAAAGCAAGTACCAGGTAAATGAAGCGCGGGAGAGTGGATTCGTTGACCGGGCTTGGTAAACCGCGAGAGATGCGGAAAACCAAGGTGGATTACGCACGGGTGAGCGCCCGTCTCAGGGTTATGTGAGATGGGGGCAGAAAGTTGGAGTATGAGGAAAAGTCGAGAGATACCCTGCAGCTATAAGGGTTCTAGTATTGTCTCAACTCCCGCGTGGAGCGAACCCCCTTCGCTTCCAATAGTAAACCAGTGATGGCCGGGAATCACGCATAATTGATAGACGTGTTGGGTTACTGACGATGCTTCCACAATAAGCTTAATAAAACCCGAGGTGTCAGGATGATCCATGACGCGAGGTCGAAGACGCCCGATGATGGACAAAGCTTGTCCGGCTCTCGTGGCAATATGTGTGTGTCAAAATACCATTTTCAGGTTATCCCATCTGCTTACTACCTCAGATTACGCGCCGATTTGGCAGGTTACGAATTCGGTCTTATTCCAACCCCAAGGTTTCTGTACGAAGAATCGTCGAACGGAACGGCTCTCGTGGGGCCGTCCTCCATTCATACATTGCATTTGTACCTAAGAATCAGAGTTTAGACGGCTAATTCATCGGATGGCCGATCGAGCCCTGCGACGACTTACCACTTGGACCTTTGAGTTCGCCGCCTATCAGCCCCAAGTGCACCGCAATCTGAATACAAACATACCTTGCTACCACTGCCTCTCGTCGGACAACTTTGGATCTGTCGTCCAGCACCGCCTGAAGTTCTCGTAAGACGCGTGCTTTGAAGGGCTGGAGATCCTCCTGTTTCACAACTCCAACAAGACCCTCGAGGAATTGAAGTGCGGATACTTTAAGTTTCTGTTGGTGGGCAGGTGTCAAGAGTGCCTCCCGAATCGTTCCGGAACTCGGGACGTACCAGCCCTGGCCCGCGCTCGACGTTTAGCCGTGCATTATTCAACATCGCGCCCACTAGCGTCCCCAAATGGGCCGTAACTACGCTCATCCCGTTTATATCATCCGGCCTTGTCACCAATGTGACAAACGCCTCGACGATATTCGTCCGCAGCTCGAGTTCAGGTAATTCCAGCCCACGCAGAAGCAGGGGGAACAACTATCGAGTAGTCAATGTCGGAAACTTCCATCTATCTAGCTTGGTTACCGTCTCGATCGTCTGTCCATATGTGCCTTTGGGGAGAGAAGGTATGAGTATTGAGAGGGCGATCAAGTATGGGAGAGACTTGGTGGCGGCGTCTGCCGAGCATATCGGGTCGGGTTTTCAGCCACTGTAGTCCAATTTGGCAAATGCGCTTACGGGGTTCCAGGCCCATGGCCTTACTAATCTCCGGCGTGATGGCGCTGAACAGTTTCTGAGCGTATAAAAGCTTTAATGAAACATGGGAAATTAGTCGTCTTCCTCGAGTTCTGTCGCTTACGCGAATCGTGGCATGGTACTTTTTGACCAGGACAGTTCCCTCTAAGCCAGGAATTCGACCCAAGCTTCGCGCGGCGTTCTCCGCCATGTCAGCGTCGTCAAACAACGTGAACAGCTTCATCGATAGCGCAACCCCTCGTGGGTGATTTCGCACGACAAGAGCTTGCACCATCTACGAGAGATCTCAGGGCCAATAATAGCCGCATGTGAAATTGACCCACCATGGTCCATACTTCTAGCGCCGCCCTACGCGGTTCCGGCGGACTGGCCCTACTAATACGCTCCTCCCAAAGCGTTTCAAGATCCTCGTTGATGAAGGCCGAGCATTCTGCGAAACACATGTAAGCAGTAAAAGAATTTCACGTCAGAACCCTGCATACCGTTGCCATGTTTATTGAGAATGGATGCTGCGACTGTCAGGAGCGCACGCCTGCCGCCCTCGTTCTCAGTCGAAAGGGCAACAGATGTGATCCGGCGGAGTAGTTCATTGATATCTGGAACTGGTATTGGCGTCTATACAGTGCTCTTGTCAACGAAACGAGATTTCCACGCAAAGAGGAGTCCTCTGACCTCGGGACGAAGTCCAATTAGACCCGCGGCAAACAGAGGCGAAAGATCGCCGGGTTCGGAGGCCTGAAATTATTTGGTTCGGAAGACACCGTGAGTCAGGTTCTTACCTCTAGGGAGTGGAATAGGCGTTTCGCTTGGACACTGCCAGTTGCCAATCCTAATCGAGTCCATTCTCCTTCAAAAAAAGCAGCGAATAATGCTTGTAACCATGCCTTTTGGCGTCTGAATAGTCTATGAGAAGCCGTCGGCTGCTATAGTCCTCACTCACTCAATGCCAAGCGATGCAACGACAACAGAAATGATATCGGATGCATCCTTGATAAGGACCGTTTCCAAAAGATTGATCGTATGCTCGGGTCCTCTCGGTGGTGGTTGCACAAACAATGCATACAGTTGTGGCACAAAGCGTTCGATATACCGCGGTACATCGGGGTCTTGCGCTTCCGACTTTTTGCTCAAAGCTGTGTAAATGGTTCGAAGAAGTGCGTGTCCATACGCGATCGTCGCATTGGCTGCTTCGGACCCCATATGCTCTTGTCCGTTGACAAGCATCTCCAGCTTCGTCAGAAGATGAACAGACAGACGGGAGAAGAGTGCTGGAGCAACACAGAGCGTCTCGAGAACTGATAGGGAGTGTATGCATCTACCCCTGGCTGTCTCGTCAGAAAGTGAGGCGGCATCGTCGGGAAGTAAGGCGAATAAGGCAGGTAAGGTGACGCCTTCAACAATTTCCGATGAAACAACAGCTAGATGTTGAAGCACGCTGACAATTTCAAATGACAGATCGTCGTCCGAAACGCACATGTCGAGTAGGGAATTCGTCAAGCTATGTGCGACATATCTGAATTCATCTTGAGATAATATTCTCAGCCGTATAAGCTTTTGAATTGAGTCAAGACTTGGCTCCGACGTTGCAGGACTTGACAAACTGGACACGAAACGGCTGAGCACGGCGTCCTTTTGAGCTAAAAGAGGAAGAGGTATTTTTGCGTCGGGAGAAGAGTTCGCCGCGAGCTGAGCCTCTAGCATACTCGCAAAAGTTTCGAGTACGACTACGCGAGTCGATTGTTCCGTCGCTTTATCGTACGACTCGAGGAGCTGTGTGATCAGAGGCTCCCAAATCCACGCAGCAATATGATCTGAGAAGGTCAACAAACTAGTGTCCGAGGCTAGTTGGGACTTGCCTGAGCACGAAACCAACGACGCAAGAACTTTAACAGCATTTTGACTGCGAGCCTTTTCAGGTTCCTTCAGGATCTCGAGAGAGGACCGAAGGATTCTGAGAGCTATCCCGTCGACTGGCCCGTCAGTTGGATGACTTGTACGAACGAGTGCGACCATAACAGCCAAAGCTCTTTTCTGAACCTCGTCATCGACAGGTTGGAGGATCTAAAGAAAGTGAAGATTGTGGTTTTGAAACCATATATGGCGTACCTCTATCTTGAGACCATCCCAAAGCTTGTCTGCAAAGCTTTGACAGACCGCCGGTCCATAGACAGGAAGGCAGGCTTCGATTGTCTCCATCGTATCCCTCTGTCATCTAATTAGCATTGCATATGATAGTAGGGGGAATTGCTACTTTGGTGGCTGGGGATCCAACGTTTAGTTTTTCGATGAACAATGGCATGCCTGGTGGTCCAAGTAAAGGAGAGGCGCTTAGACATTCCCTATAAAAATGTGTGAGCAGATTTATAACCCGTATGCAATACCCACTTGAGTGCTTGGACTAGATCTGTTCCACTGACCCCGTAGGGGTCATTGGCGGGAGCTTTGAAGGTGATGGGGAAATAGCAAAAGGTAATATCATAGAATTGCTGGTTTATGCGTTAATATCTGCATATTTTAGGGGAATAAGACTGACTTCGACAAGATCTGTGATGTCGAACTCAAGCAGTAGAATCCGGTCGAGTGCAAAAGCAATCTGAAGGTTTCGAGGATCCTTTTCCCCTTCTGCCAGAGCCAGGTAGCATTTCAGGAATTCGGACCCCATGTCCTTCAAAACTTGAGTTGGTTAGTCGCGGTCGATATTTCGGCTATGTCCATACCTTGACGATGTCGAGTAAGAAAACTGTCCAGTAAAAGGAAGACATTGTGCCGGACGGATTGAACATAGCCTCGCATATTGAAGGCGGAAAGTCTGTAATGAGTTGAGACGAGGCCCGGAGGATGCGAGATATAATCACGCTTTGATGATCTCCTTGCAATCCGTGGGTGTAAAAATTGGTATGCTACTAAGTCGCAAGAGGCCTTTGAGCGCTGGGATAGCCTCTTCGCCACTATCCAGTTTTGTATTGAGGAATGAAACCATGGTCCTGCACGATTGCCGATTGAAAGATGAATCTGGGAGTTTTGCGATCACTTCCACCAAGAGCTTGATACCTAATGGGTTTGTCAGGTCGCTGGACCAAGGCGATCACGGTAATAAAGTCACCATTGACGCGTGTTTCGGATTCCTCTGAAGTAAGATACTCTCCCAGATGCTTTACGACGGTTAATAGCGATGTTGACGCGCTTTGAATTTCTGTCCCTCGTGGTTAGCAGGCCTCCAAACCCAAAGGGAGACATCGCGAGCCTTTAGAGATGTAATCAATCTCCTGTTCTTGTTGTGTGACCATCCATGTTCGCACTGAACGCTCGACAGCGTCCGCCATGATCAGAGTGGCAGCCAAGTTTCGAGAGACCACTTGGAGGCAACTGCAACTCGAAATTTGGCCATGAAGCTCACGCTGCGCCATGAATGGAGACCACGGCCGTTTCGTTCATTTTTATCAGTATTGGATCTCAAAATAGGTTAGTTTGGGACCCTCCGTTGGAACATGACGCCGGCTGACAGTTCGTCTCAGGCGTCCAGCTCGCACTCTACTTTGCTGTGAGCTTTCTAGCCGGTTGAATGTGACTATTGAGCTTAGTCTCACTGCTTTAGATCCTCAACAAGGTCGCCGGAGTCTACGGTTTGATCGCGCTTTTCACTGGCGGTTCGTTGGCCCAACTGAGCCTCTATATCTACTCAGTTTGCGGCCTCTTTGCGTATATGTGGGGACTACGTGCGGTTTCATCTGCAAGTGACGTTCTCCAAGCGTTTCCACTGGCCTGACGATTTTCTAGGAGAATCCGGAGAAGACCACTTTGACGGCTCATATATTCCTGCTCGACCATCTCATCGGAACTTTATGGACGGCATTTTTTGGAGTAGCCTGGTGGATCTATACGCCTCATGATGGCAAACGTGTAGTCAACTCGGCCGCACAAATCGAGCTTGCTACGGGAGGCGCTGCCGTTGGCCATCATCCAACGTCAATTACAGAAGCCCAACGCGCTGCTTCTGCCCTTCAACTTTGGAATCAAGAAAAGGCGTTGGCCGCGTCTGTCATTGTCATAGGTTGGCTGTTCAAGGTGAGCGACCGCCCGTGCACTTTGAAGGATGTTCATCTCTGTCCAAAGGTCTACTTTTGCCTGTTGCTGTACTCGTACAGTTTCCACCTACGCAATGATTCGTACCGTTCTCTTCCTCTGTCAAAGCCCAACGAAGCCCCCGTCGAATATCTCAACTCCCCCGAGCTCCCTTTGGGAGATCAAGATCTAGACGATGTGGACGCCTATCAGATCCCTATATCTAGTGCAGCAGCGTCTGTCCCAACCTCTGCCAGACCGACGAGCGCACGACATACACCAATGCTTTCTGGGGCGTCATTCACTGAGTTTGTGGGCGCTCATACATCGCGACCTAGTGGCTGGCCAGAGTATCACAACGATGCGAGCGAAACTGTCGGTGAAGAAGAGGCAGCAGCCATCGCGACGCATGCTCGAGGCAGCTCGACCAGCAAACCATAGCCTGACTATCCTTGTCTATGTAACTGGGGATGCATTCTATAGGATAATTTGTCTTAATACATGTGATAGGATTTCGTGAGCATTACTCTCTCGTGCACAGACTAAACACCACATCCCGTCGCACCTACACAGTCTTTTCCCCGGATGACCTGCTTAGATCCGCTCCTTGCTCTGACATTGTTGCTACCGCTGAGTCCTGCGAGCTGCCTGTACTGCTGGGAGCGTCTGCGCGTCTTCGTCGCTTGGCACGTGGATTGAGGATGAAAGCAAGGACGACGATGGCACCATCCAGAACCTGCATTCGCAATTCAGAAAGGAAAACAATAATAAGTTCAAACCGATTGGGAACGCACAATGACCCCAAGAAATGTGATAGCGGCGACCCAATCCATCTCCTTTTTAAAGGCCAGGGACAGTATCGAAAAACGCCTCCACTGATATCGACCGTTAGGAAGAGGAGCGAGATGCCCTTGACTTCTCTGAGCTTGTAGATCTCGATGAATTGAGGACTACCGGTATCAAGAAGGATCCGAGCCAGTTAGCATCCTCGATAACGGAGGGACAGATAGTGTTACTCACATGAGCGCTACACAAATCAGCACCCCTGAGAACACGCCAAAGAATCGGAGGAGCTTGGTGTTCCCGGTCCTGAGCGTCGCCTTGTTCGGACATTAGAAGGAGACGGCCCTCAAAGGACAACAAGGGGGGACATACTCGGACGGCGTAGACCATCCCGACTTCGATAGCTGCAAAGAGGATGCAATACGACACAAATATTCCAACGCAATACCGTCGCGAACGTTTCGAGCCATAGTACAGGCACTGCACAAAAGATACAGCCGCCAAAGCGCCAAAGGCTTGGGGTTGTATGATGATCTACGCGCGACATGAGTTCATCACGACAACAGTGACGCCAGAAGACCCACGGGAATATTGATGTTCTGCACAATCGCATACGTCCCAAGGAAGATGCCTGAAACTGACCAGATAAACCTAGAGGACGACAGTGAGCAAGAGACGCGCCACAGCTTTGAGGGGGGATCTACATCAACCATGGCGAGAGCCCGAGTGTTGATTTTTCACGGTAGCTCTTCCATACTGCAAACACTCAGTCAGAGGACGAGCGAGTTCCATATACTCACTCTGTGGAATAATCTGTCCAGTCCAGAGGATGGTGCCTTTTGATCCTCGGTGAGTGCCGGTATGGGTCGGATCATGCCTCCACACCTATTGTCCCAAAAACATTTTCTAACGTTGCATTCGCGTGGGTCATTGGAAGGAGAGGAAAAGAGGTAGATTCCAAGAAAGAAAAGCATAACGGCACTGCAGGCGGAGCAATATAGCGTAAACGGTTGACGCGAAGATATGTAAGCGGTCCGAGGCTAAGGTCAATTAAGCCTTGGCTTTTTAGTCTTGCGGTCTCGGGTGAATGAAGGGTCAAACTTGCGCGCGTACGGCATTGGTATCTTCGCGCCTTCAAACATCCAAACGTGGCTGCAGGGCCTATGAACATGCATCCCGTAAAGGCCCCCGAAACTCGTACCTGTCTCCTAGACGCCGAGGATAGTCACCTCCAGCATTCACCTCTTCGGTCTTCCGTTTCCGGCGTGGTTGTCCCTTTTCCTCCATCTGCGACGGCAGGATATATCCGAGCTCGTGACACAAGCGCGCCACAATGTCGTCGCAGTCACTGTTGAATGAGTCGTTTGTCAGGAGAGCCAAAGAAGCGCCATGGGCCAAGCCACGCACCCTAGCAAGACTATATCGGGGTTGGCGTGTTCGATCGGCGTCTTATTGATGAGTATCTGTGGAATCGAATGTGGTATATGACCGAGGATTTCGGAAACAGGTTTCACCTACGACCTTTCAGATGCCATTCAGCCAGTAAGAGATTGCGCCATACCTTGAGAGAAGTGCCCATGATCAAGAGTAGGTCCACCTCTTCCCTGTCCGAGAATAGCAAGTTGTCGAATGTGCTGTCCAGCGCCTCCCCGAAGAACGTAATGGACGGCTTTATCACGGTTAGTTTACGTACAACGGTGACATACATCCTCGACTTGCCTTCATGAGCCCGGGAGTACGCTCGGCAGCATTGTCACCATCGCTATCTTGGTCTACTTGAGATTTTCGCTTCTTCACCGCCTTGGCTTTGGGACGAATGGTCTTCTGGAGCGATGCCTCGCGCACATCCTTATCGACGCATGGTTGGCACCGAGGTATCCTACCATTGATCGCGTCATCTTTGATCATAGAACCAGGAACCTTTTTGCCACAGTCCATACAAGAGGCGGTGGCGAAGCTTCCATGACAGGCAAACACTGCTTCCACTCCAGCTACAGTCTCCAGAGAGTCGATATTCTGTGTATAGTTACGTAATAGCTGTATTTGTGATGAATTACAGACGCGGTGCAACAGATAGTTGCATACCTTGCCCTTTATCTCTAGATGCCGGATGAATTCGTGGGCTAAAGACGGCTCGATATCTTCTGGCCAGAGTTGACTACGCTTTGTCAGCACAACTCAATGGTGCTTTCACACATACCCTATGAATGAATAGAACATTGCAGGGCGCCGGACAAACTCGGCAAGGGAAAACCTAATGATCACTTGAGGTCAAAAAGGAGAAGATTATCGTTAGGACCTACATCTCTTGCGGGTAATCCAACTCATACTGGCCGTTTGCTTTGATTTGGGCATAGATCCCGTCGGGACTTCGAAAATCTGGTACTCCACAGGAAACACCTGAAAGGTTGGGGTTAGAGAGGAAATTACCTTGCTCAAGGACACTGACTGATTCCGGCTCCAGTCAGGACCATTATCTTCTGAGCTCGCCAGATGAGTTTGACAGCATCGCTGAGAGTATTATAGGTCTCAATACGATCCCGTTTCCGAAGACTAGAATAGTTCAGAAGAATATGTTAGGTTAAACTATACAACTCACGTTTGCCGCATTACGGTGTGTAATTTATCCACAAGCACATCGGTCGTCTCCGGTGCATCGTCCTGACTCGCATTCAGAAGCAGTACGAAAGGTGAGTACGAGGGTTTACTGGTATATTCTTTCCGAAGGCTCGAAGCATCTTCGGGACGCTGTACTTCTTTTCCGTTAGATATTCGTGCAAGCACTCAACAATTCCTGATGAGGATAAGAGCCGTGCAAGCATCATTGAAAAGGATACCAACCATCTTCCTTCAAGGAGTGGATCATGTCTTCGTATTCCTCCTTGGACCATTCTGGGGTCGACTCTATCCATAGTCGCCGGTTAACATCACAAACCAACCACGAGAGCACTCTCTCACCTCTATCAGATGTTATAGGTGATATATCGGCAGATGAATCGTTTCTGCTACTGTGTCTGCCCAGTCAAACTCATCACCCGGTAGACTATCAGAGTATGATCACGTACGAGGCATTGCGACTAGAAGCGTTCCTTAACCTGAGAGGGAGGGCTCTCTGGGGGGAGAGCAGTTCTTTAAACGCCTCGCCCAACTCGTCCAGCTCACTACGCCGCCTTTTGGCACGAGGCGTAGAGGTTCCGCTATTCACATATCCAGATGCGAGATTTGAAACTCCTTCGGGTCCTGTATGAAGTCTAAGGGGATACAAATCGGGCGACGGGCTTCGTTTGCCAATGCTCGGAGCTCGGCTGGAGAGCGGCGTAAGAGTTGAACAAGTGCTCCATGGATCAGCAAGAAGAGCAACTGATTGAGGGTTCGGTGGAGGCGTGCGAGGCAGCAGGCTGGACTCTGAGCTTGCACTGGAGGTCATGGCCGGGACCAAGTTTGCACTTCCCAAACTGAGTCCTGTTCACCTCCGAGAATCTGTTATCACGTTCATGTGCTCACGAGCGCGTAACTATACCGAAAACTTTTCTCTTGATTGCGATATCGAATTAGCAAGCGGGAGGGGGTTCTACATAAGAGGGGCATTCGTTGCCACATGCCAGCGAGACTCCAAGAGCCATATAACTGCCTACTTCCAGCCTTTACCTTTATTTCAGCAAGAGCTCATCATCCGATGTATCCATATCAGCCGGAGGTACACCACGCGCTGTCTTGTGACCCTTCTTCGAGTTATGATAGCGTTCACGGTACTCCCTGAAATTGCCTCCGTTGGGTGCACTCTGACCGGTTGGCGTCGCAAAATGCACAGTCTTGGGACGGCCCCTCTTTCCATACACGCGCGGAAGCTGCTTCTTCTGGACGGTAACCAGTGCAGTAGACTTTTGTTTCTCCTTCTCCTTGGGATAATAGCGTGGGTCAAGGAGGTCCAAAGGGTCTGAAGAGGTCTCATAGTCCACCGTCGGACGTTTCGGAAGATGACTCAAGGGTTTCAGGTTGATCTGGCGGAGTTCAGCCTGTATATTTTGCGGAACTTGCGTCTCTTTGCTGGGAAGCGTGCAATCTATGTCCATTCGTACCGGGGTCGGTGGGGCGCTAAACAGATCTGCTTCGTCATCTGGTTGTGGTACGTGAGAAAAATCGGGCATGAAGACCAGTCGAGCGTTTGTTCTACTCGGCGTTCCTTCGCTCGAGTTGATGTGTGGGATACGAGGTGGCATCTGTGAGGCGTCTTGAAAAATGGACGGAGACGTGGTGTCAACTGGGGCACGACGAGGTGGCGACGTAAAGGTAGATCTATGCAAAGCTTCAATTAATGATTGTTCTCGCGCAAGTTGCTTCTTCTTGGAGCGCGGTATATCGGCGAGATTCCTCATGTATATAGAGCTACTACGTCGGCGAGTGCTTGAGTCCCTCGCCTCTGAGTGCCTTCTGTTGCCCTTTGGAGTTAGAGGTGTTCTGCGCGACGTAGCTTCCGAAGGGCGGCGCTTGCTTGTATTTGGTGTATGTGAGGGCTCATGATTCTGCGAGCGTCTAGAAGTCGAGCGAAAAGGAGAATTGAGAACAAGAGAAGATTTCAGTGAACCTGCGATAATTGGAGAAACTTTGGTGCGTCGTGGTCGCAGCAGTGAAGAGGCATCAAGAAAGGCGGTGTTCAAATTATGAGCGGTGAGTGACGAAAATTCCATGACTCTGGGGAGTTTTTCCTTGTTGGGAGGAGTGCTTTGAAGCTGGAGGGATAAGCCACTGAATGCCGAGCGATTCTTGAGCGATGGAGCGATGCTGGGTAGAGTGCTGGATGGCGGAGAAATGTCCATTTCAACACTAGAATCTTCAATTCGACGCTTTTTTAATGGGCGAGGTTCGCCTTCGTGAGGTGTTGCGGCGTCTTCAAAGACTGCAAACGCTGGGCGGGAATTGCGACGCGTCGTCGACGTTTGATTGTCGCGAGACGCCATCTTAGCTTCGTAATAATGAGCTCATGGGCTGAATTCAGCGCGTCACGCGCGTCTTTGCCAACTACTCACCTAACGGAGTGCAATCTTGCAGGCCTGAAGAGCGCTGCCGCTTGAAAGGAACATAAAAGTGGACTTTACCACAGAAGTAAACTCGTTTCAAGAATACGGGCCGCAATGATAGGCGGCAAGGTACAAAACCACCTGCCAAACAAGGTATAAATAATACTAAACAGGTCCATGGGTCGTGATCGTTTTCAACAAGTCCATAGTATACTTCTTCACCTCGCGTAACCGGCCTGCATGGACGGTGGAACGACACCAGGGGAAGCGTAGCTTCCAGATCCAAACGGCCCTTCATCAGTTTGTCTCCAAGAGGGGCCGCCTGCCGTCTGTCCGGTTGGATTCGGATAATACTGCGGCCCATACCCAGAGTTTGCGTACGGGTCATGGTACTCTGTCGTAGGCACGGGGGTATACGTCGGGGTAGAGGTAAATGTTGGCGGGGCAGGGGGTAGATTGTCCACTGCAGGTGAATTGTCCACTCGTTGATTGCGCTTCCGTCTGCGTAGGATCACGAGAACGACCACAAGGGTAATGATCGCAATGCCGCCAATCACGCCGCCAATAGCCCCTCCGATGATAGCAGGAAGGTTCGGCTTCGAATCCGTGCGAGTTCCGAACGCACGAGGGCCACGATATCTAAGAAAGTTAGAAGTCACGAAAGAGAATTCGTCTCTGAGGCTTACATGAATCCACCAAATTCAACCTGCCCCCGCTGGGTGGTTGTACCTGCGAGAGAGCCCTTGACAATGACCGTGATGTTGTGCTGACCATCTTCAAGTACGTTGCTCGTGAATGGCTGAGAAATGATACACTCGTCTCCACCGGAACCCGAGACGGTAGGATCTTTCCAGCTACTATACGTCGACGCGGGTGAGCCGTCTACTTGAACCGTATAATTTCCACCTTTTGAGCCATTGCAAATTAGAAGTGCGATTTGTTTTCCTATCTAATTGAGCACAGCTTCGAGAACTCGACTGATAAACTTGCCTTCGAAACCAAACTTGATCGAGGAACCAGGAGTCGAGGACACCTTTGTACCATTACGACAATTCCCGACCGTGCTGCTAGATGATGTAGAGACCCACGCATTCTCGGGATCGTATTGTATCCGTGGATCCCAAGGGTAGACGTAGGCCACTGCATCGCTGCCCGCCACGAATGCGTCGTTTGCGGCGGTCCCCGAAGACGATGAAGAAGGGAGAATAGCATTGGGGAGAACAGTCCGAGATACCGTCAAGGTACTACCGCTAGATACGACAGTCTCTTGCGTAACGAGAGGGCTGCCGACAGGCAAATCGAGAGTAGAAGAAGAAGGATTGATGTCAGCTGTGGCGACAAAAGGGAAAATTTGTGGGGAGTCAGAAGTTGGCACTGACGAGGAAGCTGGGCCTGTATCCGACGAAGCAGGAGGGTCGACCGGTGGAGGAGTGCCCTGAATGACAGCAGAAGAGTCAACAATCGTATCAGATGGCAAGGCATCAATGGAATTAGTTGGAGGGTCAACGAATTGGGTAGGTGGTATAGTGTCTGGAGGGATAGAGGGGTCATCTATAGAAGGAGAGGGGCCACTAACAATAGGGGTGGGATCATCAACAGTAGGAATGGGGTCGTTTATAGTAGGAGACGGATCATCGGTGGTAGGGGAAGGATCGTTCACAGGAGTGGAGGGATCATTTACAGAGGGAGAAGGCGTCGGAGATTCATCGATAGGAGTAGACGTTGGTGTGTCGTTAGGCGTTGAAGGGTCTTGGGGGAGGGGTGTTGAGCTACTTGAGTCCGTGTCCGAACTTACAGACTAGAAAGCGTAAGCCGGTATCCAGGATGGGACAGGGATGCGCTCACCGTGGAAGTTGAAGTAGTGGTCGTGGTCGTTGAAGTACGAGTAGTAGTTGTACTAGTGGTCGTGGTCGTTGAAGTACGAGTAGTTGTACTCGTTGTCGTGGTCGTTGTTGTTGACGTTGTGGAGTTTGTCAAAGTTGAGCTGGTTGACTACAAAGAGTGAGTATGTATCCTTGCGCTGCTTCGCGCATCTCACCACAAGTACACAATATCCATCTAAATAACAGTCAGCTGGGATATAGAACAGATCACCAGACATACCACTACAGACTTGGCTCGATGCGCAACAGATACGTCCTACAAAGGGTCAGAGTCATCTCTAGCAAATAGAAAAGCAGCAAACCGCAGCAACTAGTAAACAAGATGAGTTTCAATAATATCCCATGGGAGAACGACTTACGTTTGGCCGCTTCTGCAGATTCCGCGTCCACAACAGGTTTCACCTTCACCTATACATGCTGAACAAGCCTCAGTAGTGATGGAGAGCGATATATAATAGGTGTACCTCCAGTAGCCCCGTTCGGACATGCCTGGGCGCCAGAAGGACAGCACCATCCGGCTGTTGTACAGATAGCGGCTTTACTACAACAGTACTGAGCGCCTGCTCCCGAAACGCAGCATTCAGGCGTGGAACTTGACGCGTTGCAATATTCGCAACCCTACGCCCAGAGTCAGCGAGCAGCGAGCAAAGAGGGAAACACTTAGTACAGCTCGACCAACAAGACGAGTGGGTACATAGACAGTCCTTTCCATCATCCCTTCGTATGGCAGTAGGGGTTCTGACCCTCCGAAGAGATTAAGCAGATTGGGCTGATCAGTGGGTGTCTCTAGCTGGTCATCCTCTTCATAAATAACGGCATGACGAGTCGCAAGAATTAGAGGCAGAAGGAAAAGAGAGGATATCGTAGCCTGCTTGAGGCCTCTCATAGTGAGCGGGTCCAAAGTTTAGGGCGCCTGGTTGATAGCCGCCAGCAGTCGGGGAGGGTGAGGCACCCGACAGCTCAACATACGTTCAATTCACATGTTGAATGCGGCCGTTCAGATGGTTGGGTGACTATTTACGGAGTTTCGGTCGCCCAAGTGGCCGGAGCCGCGCATTGAATGGGCTCTAGCATAAATCCAAACGAGCCGAAAGGCCTGGGCTTGCCTCGAATGAAGCCTTTTGGATCGTTGGCGCACGTATCTCTAGGCCCCGAAATGGGGTGCGTTGTGAGTAGAAGTAGGCTGTAGGGAAGACGAGCGCTCTGCGCTTATCAAACCTATCAGGTCGTAAGTCTGGATTCAGTTGTAAGACCGAGAAAACGAAACTGGTGACTACTGGCTGGCTTGAGAATCTCGCACGGAGAGGTTTTGAATCGGTACCCTAGGACCCACCGCTGATGGAGTTTTCCGTCACAGTGTATCCATATCATGGAAAATGCAGAGCCTCAGTCTCTGGTTATTGTTCTATGGCCGAGCTGGTATGATAAGCGGTTGGCCTGCAGAGGAAGACTTACGCGAGATTGTCTTTGTTAACTCTCTTTACCATTGAAGTGATTTCTCGGCAACAAGGATAGAATGCCCGAAGTCGAACAGAAAGGGAGTGTTGCCAACATGGCATTGGAACCGGCGACGCTTCATCGACTCCGAGTCTAGCTAGGGCTGGAATTTTAGAAATATAAAAAATTCCAAGGTGCTTTCTGCGGACGGCCTGGAACTTTCGACCATCGTCTCCGCGGTGGGTTTTAGTCAACGGCAAGGACATTCAGCGGATTGAGCGTATGCAACCCAAGGGAGAGCATGCAATCGACTGGATTGAGCCCGTATCTCTGATTTACAGCCCAAGGTGCGCGCGTATCGTGTTGTCGAATCCCCAAAGTGGCACTCCTCTTTAGCAAATATGGAGAAGCATTTGGTGTTCATCTTGCTCTATTCGATGCATAATGATATCCGTTTCGAGTCGGACCAAGGTGGGTCTTCGTTGAGCCCAAGTGGCGAAACAACTTGGGACCCAACCTCTTCCTCGCCTGAGAGTGCACGCCATCATTTTCAAAGCAAAAATTATGCATTTGGACATGATCCATGTTTCTCAAACCACACCCGCGGTCTGACCATAGCAGCCGTCGTCTATTCAGCCCATGCAATACGTTCTGGAATCGATTACCTTGTTTCATATGGCGTATGGGCCTTTAAGACTTCCTGTTAGGGGACGAAAGATACTCTTGCACGCCCGCCTACCGCGCCGAATAGCCGCAGTACCTAAAGGTCGATTGCTGCTCTTGTTCACTCGACCATGATGTGTACGGTGTACATGGCCTCGTCAAGACCCCGAACTTTGAGCCCAATGGCTCAGGGTATGGAACAAGAGTATTCATCTACTATAATGCCAGCCCGTGCGCGACTGTTCGCCAGTGAGAGTTGAAAGGTCAAATTGGTGGGTGCGAGTAATGTACTCGACTTGAAAGCCGGAAACAACCGAGGCGCCAGAGACGCGACGGAAGCAGCAACAGCGGCTCGACGGAGCATATTCCGTAGCTCGGTGCATACGGGCCGAACATTGCGCACGGACTTCTTGGGGCAATATCATGTGGGGTGTTAATGATGTGGTTGCTACCTATTCTATGGGCGCGCCCCGTGGGAATACGCTTCTAGTGAAGGGACTCAACATATTTTGGAAAATCAGGCCCGGAATCAAGATTTAATCGTTTCAAGAACTCGAGAGCCAGACAAGTGAGGATAACCCCAAGGCTAACGGATGACGAGCCATCGAACGCGAGCCTTGGACGATGATAGTGATGATGATGATGATGATCACGGTGATACCCCGTAGGCCGTAGGGAATAGTGGAGCCAATTATTCCCGCTGCTGTCAGTCGGAACAATTCGACGGCAGAGGAATCTCCGCCGAGTCACAGCGAGATGATAACGCGCATGAAAAAGCAGAGTCCTTGCAAAACTAGACACGTTACTTATTTGGGTGAAAACCGGCGAGGTTCGATCAGGCAACGTGAGAGGGTGGGCGACGACCTTGATCGGGATTGACAGGTCGACGGCTTACTGCGGTTGTGCGCGAGGGCGGGTCAAGAAAAAATGGGCAAAAGTTCGAGGCGGATTCTTAGCCCAAACGCGACGACGAGAAATGCCGAGCAATGGACGGGGGGCGGCGACAGACAATATTGACAGAACGGAGACGTGCTCTCGGTAAGTCGCCACCCGACCCACCGTATGTTTTTGTCGAAAAAAGGGGAAAGTATTGCAATGAATCAAAGCCAAGGCGTCCAGCGGCTTCCTTGGCTCGACGTTTGTACCCGACGACAGGGCGGAGCGTGTCTCTGGCTATAAAGCTCGGGGGAAATCATTGCCAAACCAAATTCCCGTGTTGCACTTCGCACCCATCCACCTCCCTTTACCGCTCGACCAACGCAAACACACGCCTTCGCCTTCAAGTAGAAAGCTCACTCGACCATGCGTTTCCAAATCATTGCCGTTGTTCTTGCTGCTGCTACCTCGTCGGTGCTCGGCGCTCCTGTCTCGACTACTGAGCCTGTCCCCGTGCGTACTTCTGGATTTTGGGATGCATTGGCTTTGCTGACTAGCTCCTCTAGGTTGCTGCAACTGGCTCGACCCCTGTTGGTGGTGCCGCTGCCAATGCCTTTTGTGCTTGGTGCAAATGGGATTGGTAAATGGTTATGAGCACGTACACCATAGCGGACACTTGGTTCTCTTCTTGTTCAAACTGTTCATAGTGAGTGCATTGTTTACAGAATACTCATTGGATGCCTCGGCTGACGGTTGCCCTTTTGCATCTCCGCCGGGGAAATACTATGATGGTGATTCAACTCAGCTCGTCGACTGCGTTTCTACAAACTTGGTAATCTACAACACTCTTTAATCAAGCCACCAATCGTCTCGATGACGGCTCCTCGCTCCCTAACCCCTCCCTAGCCATCCACAATTGGCTTCGCCGCTCCTTGACCGAACCCCCCCTTCTCCCTCCTCCCCCTCGTAGACAGGCGTACCAATGGAATTCTCACCGCTTCTGTCCACCTCCCGCCGACCTGCCCACCTCTTCCCATTCTCCATTCCTCCCGTCAATACAGCTCACTGGGCCGGAATTCCATCGTCGCCTACATCGTTTGCTCCCGTACACGAACATTGCTCTCCATCGACGTGCTTTCTATCTGATGTAGATCTCGTGGCTGATCTTATTCGACATGCGAATTTTCCCCTGTGACATCGGCCTCGACAACAAAATTGAGCAAACCAGTTTGGACATTGAAATGGCTGGGCGGTCTATCGTTCTGCCTTGGTTTCTCAGCCTCTGACCGGTTTTACTCACACCGAGGTTTCCTTGCCCTTTTGACGCGGATCAACCTTATGTTCCCGGGCCTTTCGGTGCGGATCTACAGGGGAACAACTGGGCTACTTCTCGCAGTGTCCCATTCTCCTCAACTCAGCCACGATCTCCAACGGTCTATGCCCTGTTCGGACTTGTCTTACGCGTCAGTGACGTCTGACGAAAGCTAACGAGAGCTGGGCTCTAGACCCGACTTGCTCGTCCATGGCTCAATAACGGGCGTTTGAGAGTTGACACACAGAAGAGCATTGCTGGACGGCAAATCGTTACTCTGGTGTTCGCTGTGAACGTGGGTGATGGGGACTCGACTGACACTAATTGCTGCCGCAGAGTCTGGAGCGGGCTTTTTACCAAAAATAGACAAAGGTAAACAGTGAAAGTGATTATTCAACGAGCGGACGCTACAGGTGGGTAGGTGTAGACAAGGTGAGAAACAGAGTGTTCGGTCGGGTGGCCCATTCAGGACAGTTGATGATCACGAAGAGAGGGGGGAGCATATGCTACTTGGACATCCCGCTCGTCTTCTGTCACTTTGTCGAGGATAGCTCGACAAGCGGGCAGGAATCTTGAATCTGAACAGTTTGGAGAGGGAATATGGGAATGCGTAGGGTAGAACCAGGGGACAAATCTTCAGCCAGACAACTAATGTCATCGACGAGGAGGACGGGGACTCTAGTTCTTCTTCCATCCGGCGCAGCCGATGCCGACGTTGAAGCTGCCTGCGCCGACGCCGCAGGCCATATTTGCCGTCACGTCTGCAACGGGTGCAGGCTCCGTTGCGTTCGGGACATCGGGAGCAGGGACCGGGGCAGCCAAGGCGACGAGGGCAGAGGAGAGGAGAGCGACGAGAGTGAAGGCACGCATGGTTTGGATTTTGCTGGTTCTGGATTTCGCGGGTACACAAAAGGTGAGATTGGTCGCTATCGCTATTATTAACACCAGTCAGTGAAAACTGGAGCAGCCGAGGACAAACAGGGGGAAAACGCACACGCTTGAGAGGTTCTAGAAGAGCAAGGGGGTTTGTAAAGAACGGCAAGCGACGAGATGCTGAGAGAGAGAGAGGAGAAGATGTGACCTTGTGAGACGGCCGTAGCACAAGCCCGCCTTTTATCCTGCCTCTACCCACGCACTGCCCGGCCGGTCGGGGAAACGGCTCCCCCCCAGGGACATTGGCATGCAAACAGGCACCCAACTATATACGAATGAGCGCATGCAAACGTCTAGGAGATACATTTCGTTGGCTTTGCTTTCTCACGCATTGGATGAGCGGCGAACAGCGACTGTACTCGTCTGTCTATCGAACAAGGGACCATACAATGAATTGTCGGGGGCACAGCCACAAACCTCCCTCGGATCACCCTGCCAGAGCCAAAAAATCGCCGACTGGACTTTGGAAGCCAAAATGTCAATCAAAAGAACGATGCCGTTGGAACACAAGCACGGCCTCGTACATCATCCTCTTGGTCATGCTTTTGTACTCAGGTATTTGGACCCGTCAGGCAACATGCCACATTGGGATATATGACAAGATTCAAGTGAGGAAGGCCATAATAGATAGGCCAAGATATCGATGGAACCGGCGTTTCGACCGGAGTTTGTAGTTGCGCGGTGGCCCTGGGGCTTGACAGCGTCCGCGTTCGACATAATGATTTTATGTAGATCAACTATAACTGGAACATGGGCGAGTCGCCAGTCGGTGCTTCAGGTTTACAAGTTTCCTCTTCTGTCCCTGATCTCCGTCGGTCATCGTCAATATTTAGATGGGAGAACATCTTTCATCCACGTCTCATATCTAGTCAAAGACCTCCATGTCTTAATGAACTGCCCCTGCCATGGGTTGGTGGGTAAAGTTTGACCTTGGCTTCATACAGCGATGGGCGTATGCTTCGATGTGGACCCAACAACGACAGGGAAGCGTCGAATTATCACCCTCAGCTATGTGTTAACACCGACAACATTGCAGAATTGAACCATGGCTACCCAACACGACGATGGAGGCCTTGCGGACATCCTCATTCGAGATCCTGGACAATTACAAGCAAGAAAAATCGCATAACTGACGCTTGCTGCCCACCCCTCACCCACATGTCAACAGATGAACCCTGTCATCCAGCTTTTGAACTCGACCCCGCCTCACGAATCCAGCACAACGTCCAATGCCAGCACAAGAAACGAATGTCTATCAAATGCATACATGTTCCGGTTCCCTTTGAGCTATCAAGCACGAGTGAATAGCAGGTGCTGGACCTCTGCTCCAATCACAACGTCTTCCCTTGCTCTGCAATCTCAACGATCCCCAGTGTAAGCGGTGGTGCCAAATAGCCTTCCATGCTGGCATTTATACCCAGGATAGATGGCGTGAATCATATATAAATACCATCTATCTTCAACCCAGATTCGGGCTCTTCCAGTTCTCTTTCATCCCGGACCAAACGAACACAAAATGGTAGAACCCTTCGCAGTTCTTTCACTGGCCTCCAATTGTACAAAACTAGCCCAAAAGCTTCAGGAAATCCGCGAAAGGTACAAGTCTGCCAACAAGACGTTAGGAGCCATGTCCTCAGAGTGCCATGTTCTGTGCATTGCACTCGGTAAAGTGCAGTCAATGGCGAAAAAAGGTCGACGCGAATGGCTGATGGTCGGGGGCCCTCTCCAACAAGGACTCGAGTGTGCCCTCCAAGGTTGCGACATCACTCTCAGCACGATATGGGAGGAGATTCAAGCTCTCGACGCTGACCCTCTGACGCCTCGGTCGAGCTCCTGGTTCGTCACCATGAACATGACCGCCAAGTTTAGGTTTCTCTGGAACGAGAGGCAGATGAACACATACCTTGATCAACTTCGAGGCCAACACAATGCGCTCCAGCTACTCTTGTATGCATATTCTCTGTAGGTTGCACCGCTGGCACCCACGTTGAGCACAGCTGATGTCTATTCAGAGAGACTCTAGAGAATATGCAAGCAGTGCTAGAAACGCTTACCCCACATCTTATCAAGATCAAGGAGGACACGGCATCGCTTAGTTCCCGTCGTCGAATCTCTAACAGGAGTATCAGCGTCCTGTCTGCTGCACCCATGAGCAATGGGAGCCATCACACGTTCACCTCGGCCATATTGGGGAACGTAGGACCGACTTCCCTCGCCGAAAACACGCAACGGCAGAGCCGCCAGCAGCGTACGATGGAACCTATCAACGAGAACGAAGACGAGTCTCATTATTTCATCCCATCACCACTACCACCACCACCACCTCCTCTCTCGCATAGACACTCAACATTCTCTATGCTGTCGGAGTCCGGCACGAGCGCCCAAGGGAGCAACGCGTCGTTTGACAACGGGAGCTCTTTTGGTGTCGGCTCAACGCGTTCGTATGAAACAGCCTCTATGGCGTCATATACGTCCTCTGGCCCAAGGGGCAACACTAGATTTGGGTTCCTTAGAAGCTGGGGTCACAATAAAAGCTTTCTACATGACCCAGCGTATGAGGCAACGCTACAGGAACTTCGGACCATGGCCGGCCCTCATCACTGGGTGACGGTTTCAAAAACGGTCCACCGTCACGATATACACACGGTTGCGACACTATTCCGTCAAATGCGCTCCCTCGGGACCGGCGAGCACTTTCATATTGCCCTACTTTGTCTCAAGCGGCACGACTTCGATATCGTTTATATCAGCGGAGCCTTAAGGCAACTTCGCGACCTTGGTGGAGAGTCAGATTATGGATACGTGATAAAGTACCTTATAAGTCACGACTACGACATGGACAAGACACTTGTCACGTTCGTAGACCTGCATCGACTGTTTTCGACAAAGAGTGCGTATGCCAGCATTCTTACGCTCTTGGAGAAATACAAATTCAATTCAGACGAGATGATGTCCACTATCAAGACAATCAACAAGTCCGCTTCAGGTGGCGAGGCAACCTATTGTGGGCTTATCGGCTTCATCTCGGGTCGAGGCTTCAATATGTCCGTGGTCGAGAAAGAGTTTCCAATCCTGATGGCGGCAAGCTGGAAACAGACACCAATAGGCCCCAAAAGGGTGCCAATTACTGAGGACGTCCTCCTCCGCGAGGAAGCAACGCTCAAATTGCTGGAGCACAACTCTTACAACGTGCAACTCACTCTCTCGCAAATTGATTCGCTTTGTGGGGAAGACACTACTGCAATCAGAGCGGCTAGAAAGGGTCTCCTCAAACGCCAACCACCGCCAACTAGGAAGTCGCTCCATTCTTTGAACAACGTGTCTTCATCATCTCTGACCAACTCGTCGCGCAGTATTGCCCGCTCTTCAGTGATGAGCACAGAGAGCTTTCGCGAGGCGGCATTGTTTGTCTGCCTTCTTCCAGATCGACCACGCCTCCCTCTCAAGGTGCTCCAAAAGTCCAATTACGACTACCGCCAAACACTCGACAATCTACAGTGGCTGAAGGGGATTACAACGACACCAGACAATCTGCGCAAGGCGTTGGAACATGGACAATACGACATTGGCAATATCAAACCACTCTACAACAAAATGTGCACCATGATATCCGGTAGCAATGCGCCTTTAGCGGTGGTCAATGAGGTACTCGAAGCACACGACTGGGATTTCGGAATGACGGCTGAGCTTTTGGAGCGGTGGAATCAGAAAGTGACGCCTGACAGGGATTTGAGGACGATTGTCGAGGACCTGAAAGCCGCAGACTGGGAAGAAGAGTGTCTATGGCCTGTTGGAAAAGTAGGAGCAGGACAGATCTCGCCTGTAAGCAGATACAGACGTTGAACGTCCGATTTTCTGAAGTTGGGCCTCTGACTTTTCCGTCGGTGTCTCGTTCATAGGTTCCTGTGCCCAAACAACAAAAAATTGAGCCTCCTGTACCAGGAAGCCAACAACGACCTGAACCTACCGAGGAAACCAGTGAACCAGAGTCTGTCTCTCCTGTACCAGGAAGCCAACAACGACCTGAACCTACCGAGGAAACCAGAGAACCAGAGTCTGTTTCTCCTGTTCCAGTAAGTATAGATCTGATTAAAGCGTCTTCATCTCAGTTCTGTGCAGTTCTCGGTAACGCCATGTCTCGAGGCAGAGAAGATCGAGCTCATTTGCGACGAGTGGGACCAGCTCTCGCCAATTGGGAACCACTTCTCTAGCATACATAACGCGCTTTGGGGATCTTTGATGTCAGATGGGCAAGCAAACGATGTCAGGAATACCATGAAAGCATTCAATATGTCAGCGTCGAAATTTGCCGTATACTGGGAGGAGTTGTGCACCCACATGAGGTCATTTTACACCTACATTCCCTGGGTAGTTCCAACCTCTCCACTCTCGGACTTTTTGCAGTTCTGGAGTCTTTACACCGACTCATATCCCCAATCAGTCGCCAGAAAGGTGATCACTACGGCCTCGTCTGCCGAGGCTTTCTTACAGGCGGACCTGCTTCCTTGCAGCGCACGACTCGGCTCCTCGCTTCAATCCTACCTTGATATATGTACCACCCGGTACGAAGAAGCACAACAGACACAGTCAATGCTGCCCTACCTCGTCCAAGACCCCTTTCAGGGACAACACGACGTCGACTTCCCCTCTCCTGGAGAGATAGTACCTCTCAAGAATGCCTGTAATATCGGCGAACTACGCCTCCCATATCTTGGAACGTTGTGTCGAGAGATACGCTGGCATTTCGAAGCAATTTCCGAGCTTCCAGAGATGAATATCGGTATTGAGTATATGCCTCCAGATGCGTGGACGCTGCAGAGACTCTGTTCTGAGTGGCAAATCGCTCGAGCCGCGGTCGTACGGGAACGACCGAAAGTCTTTGACTACATTCCAATTAGCACACCCTAGAAGTCTATTGAAACCACATATTCATGTTCTTTTGTAGTATTTGTACGCCATTATATCTTCGTGGGAGCAGAATCTGAAACCATCTATGTCTGATCCATAAGCCCCCTAGCTCGTTTCTCGGGTGGCTTGTTAAAAAGCACCGCAGTCTCAAGGACAAGGCAAGGCATACCAAGAAACATCTGTTTGTATTTTGGAAGACGATTGAGGACAAGAATGAACTGCCACATGGCATGACGATCGTAGCAGACGCAAAAAGAAGAGGAGAGTGAGAGGGAGGAAGAATTTTTGATCAAGGGCGTTTGGTGATGCGCAGACAAGAAAGGGAGACCGGGAAATGGGAAAGAGAAAAGGATGATAATGCTGAGGTGAGATGCTGAGAAAACAGGTTTCTACCTACATGGGAGGGGAGAAGAAAGACAAACGAGCAAGCGAGCTGACTGTGGCTACAGGGTGAGTGTGTGAGAGACAGAGAGGAGAGAAAGAGAGAGAGAGGAGAGAGAGAAGCGAGCCCAGCAATAAGGGAGATGAGACCAAGGAAATGAGATCGAGATGGTTACTGATCACAAGACAGAGTTGACGGCCCGACTAGTGAAAGTGGCGACAGTAGAGAGGTAGCGCGCTGCAGATGTGGAGAGAAAGGAAAAAAAGGGAGAAATAGAGTGCACGGTCGTTGATGCCGATGGTATGTCGAGTCAATCTTGAGTTTGTTTGCGTGCATTGTTTTTTTATTGTGTGGCTCCCTCGGCGCCTTGGCCAGGTTGCTGATTATAGTATCCTAAAGCATGTTAATGAGATAAATTAGTGAGATCAAGAGGACATACCACCCCAGTAGGAGTATTGGGCGCCCCAATTCGAAGCCGCGTTTGGATCTCCTCCAGGCGACGCAGCGCCCGTGGCTGCAGGGGCACCAGCCGCAGGGGTGGCGCCACCAGTGAAACCAGGATAATACTGGTTGAAGCCCGGATACGTCGTTGGGCTGGGCATACCATACATGGGCTAAGAAGGCGGAGTGAGAAGACGGACATTGGCATTCACGTTGTCAACTCACCATGCTACTGTACGGGCTCGACGTTCCCGTTGGAGTCATACTCGCAACCGGCGTACTCGTATCACCAGCCGCACGATCCTTGCCCCAACTACACTTGATCGGTCGACCCTGGACGAGGTGGCCCTGGAGTTGAACGATGGCGGCAGCAGCTGCCTCGTGCGACTCGAGCTTGACAAACGCAAACCCTCTATCGGCTTGGATACGAATTTCCGAGACGTAGCCGATTGTTTGGAACAAAGGGATGAGATCAGACTGGGTCGCATAGCTTGGCAGGTTGCCCACGTAGACGGTCGTATTGTGCGGTGGCGCCTGGGCGAGAACTTGCTCGTACATGCCCGCTGCACCTGGCATGGCCAAGGGAGGAATCGTGGGCGCAACGGGCGGCATGCCCATTTGTCCGTACGGTGGCATACCAGGGCTCATGGCACCAGGTGTACCCGCTGGACGCGCGAGGCCACTCGGTGCAGACATGGGGGACGCCATACCCATCCCACCCATCGGACTCATCGCTCCCATGGGCATTGGCGGCATCCCTCCGCCTCCCATCCCGCCCGTCTTTTGGTTTGCCCAATTGACGCGGATGGCACGCGAGCCCAACCACTCTCCGTTCATCGTAGCAATGGCTTGTTCGGCGTCGGTCTTGTCGCGAAACGCGAGAAAGCCATAACCACGCGACTTTCCACTATTCATGTCCCACATCACCCGGGCGTCGGAAAGCGTGCCAAAGGCGGAAAAGGCCTTTGAAAGGACATCGTCCGTGACCTCTGGACTGAGATCTCCGACAAAGACGTGGTAATGATTCGTCGTGTCTTCCTTGTTGGTCGTTCCCTGGTACGCCCAGTTGACACGGATCTCTGTATCAAAGATTTTACGTCCGTTGAGCGTCTGGAGCGCAGTTTCGGCTGCTCGCATGTCCATGTACTCGACAAACCCATAGTTGAGGCCACCGTGCTGGTAATTGCGATCTGGGATGATCTTTACGTGCTGTACTGGTCCCGCCACGGCAAAAATCTCGGTGAGCATGTACTCTGTCTAGAGAATGCAACGTCTTGTCAGTTCATGGACGTCAGCGCCCGGCATAGCGCTTGCACGCGGCAGGCAAGAAAAAAAAAACTACGGACAACTCGAGGGCTGAGATTGCCCACATACAAGTGAGCACGCTTTGGTACCATTCCACTGGGATAAGTGTTCATTTTCTGGTGCGTCGCGGCCGGACAAAGTGGTTCTGTCTGGACCGAAGATGATGGTGGAATCCAAGTTTGGAATTGGGTGGCGGCGACGAAGTATGAGTTAGAATGCAGCGCTTTATCAACAATGTGACATAGAAACGAGAAAACTATCGATCAGTCGGTACATTTAGCAGCACGTTGCCGTTCCCGCTCGGGATATAGGTCACATTCTTGTTCTGGGCCAGATTCTCGACAATCTTTTTGCTCGCTTCGATACGTCTAAACGTGACGAGAGCATCCCCGGCCTTTTCCAGGGCTTTGGAAATCGTGGCAGCGGCCTCGGCTTCGCCTTCTGCACGAATGACGGCGGCTTGACGTTCTTGCTCAGCCTGGAGAGCAGGTCAGGAAAATGTCAAGACAATATTTCCAAACTTGCCTTTTCCACAATGAACTTGGCCCTCTCGGCGTCTGTAAGAGGATTTAGGGAGACTCGAGATGCAAAGCGATTACTGACCTTGCTGCGCAATTTGCTTCGCTTCTACGGCCTGTACGAGCGTCATTCCAAGTGCAACTGTCGCTTAAGATTTGTCTTACCACTGTGAATTCCTGCATAGAATGAGCCTATCAAGACGGAACGGATGGGGCAAATGCTCACCTTTCCAAACGTCAAGTGGGTAATAGACACATCTTCTAGTCGAATGTTGAATTCACGGGCTCGTTGGACCAAGTCTTCACGGATGCGGGCGCTGACCACTTCTCGCTGGGTGATCAACTCGGCAGCATCAAATTGCGCCACAATGCTCTTGAGGACTTCATTTCCAATGGATGGAATGACACGTTCGTCGTAATCCAAGCCGAGGCTTTGGTAAATCTTTGGAAGCGCATCGACGTCGGGTCGTAAGAGCACTCGAAGTGTAATGGAGACCATTTGCAAGTCCTTAGAGCCGGTTGTCGTAGTAATATGCTATCCAGAGCTCGGTCGGTTTGTCACGCGGCAAAAAGGATGCAAACCTTTGGTTTCGTTCGAGTTTCCATCAGGATGGCTCGCTGCAGCCATGGAATCAAGAAATGTGTTCCCTCAGGTGATGGCTACAGACACAATGCGTGTTGAGGGATACAAGCTATGCGGGTTTTGTGCCGGGGTATACGCACTTTGTCTTTTACTCCTGAAAAGCGGTCGAACATGACTGCACGATAACCACCGCTGAAATAGACTAAGTATAGCGAGTGAGGCGTGCTGTATACGTACGGGACATCGTAGATGGATGCGTTGAGGAGGGAGAGACCTACGAATGCTGGGACTATTTTGATGGAATTAGCCATAACAGTATTGTTCACTAATGATTTGCAACGTTACCAATAAGCCTGCCCAGATTTTGAACAAAAGCCATGGGGATGGTCGATGTCAACTGTGGACCCTTGGACTCGACCACCTCAGATATCCGCCCAGAACAGCTGGAGAATTGGATAACTGGAGAATTAGGGCATTTTGCTTACTTCACGTAAGCGGAGGGCAATTTGTTTCGACAAGCGGCTTGACTTGTCAACAACGGCGCTCACCGCCGTCTGCTCCCTTCCTCTTCCTCTGATACGGTAGAATCCTCTCCAAATCAGTTAAAAGTAACGCTTACACGTTAAAGGATCGTCTCGTCTCTATTTGCAGGCATTTCCGATGGCCTCTGCCTCTGCCTCGCAGTCCACTCCTTCCAGTTCCCCTGTCCCCACCGTTTCGCAGTCCTCTTCGTCGAGACCTGGAGTTGCTGCACCCGGCCCCGCACCCACATCATCAACTCCGAGGCCGTCTTCGGCATCGAGCTCGACGCCCGCGGTACCTACACCAGCTCCAGTTCCCTCAACCCGCTCTAGCTCAACAACAACAAGCACCAGCAGCACACACAGCTCATCTACGGGGACAAGCAATGCAGCACCGGCTCAGACTACGGTCTTTGTGGCCCCCTCGGAGTCGCGTGGCTCGTCCAGCGTAAACGTCGTGGCCCCCATAGCCGCTGTGGCCGGCATTTTGATCATCATCTATGTTGCATACAGGATATACCTCTTACACAAGAGACGCAAGGACGAAAAAGTGCCTCCCCCGCCGCCCCGCATGCCCGCCATTTTCGATCGTCCTCAATCTGTCATGTACCAAAACGCACCGATGATGATGCCCGGTTCCGCCCCTCCTTCGTACAGACAGAGTATGCGTCCAGTCTCCATGCTCTACAATCCAGATTCCTCTTCATCTTCATCCCTTCCCACAAAGGGAGCGCAGACGTCCGCCTCGGGTCACTCGACGCCCACACAACCTGGATTCCCAGTAGCAGATGAGACAGGCCGTCAATCCCCACTGCCCTACCACCTGCAGGAACGGTCCTTCCGGGGAGGAATGCCTCCTCGGCCCCATTCCGTCGCATCCTTTGGGTCAAACAGATATTCGTCGTATGGCACTCCACGTACGCCATACATGAATCGAGTCGAGGTTGTTCTCCCACAACCGCTTGCACCCGAAGCCTCTGCGTTATCCTCGGCATCCGCGCGCCAAAGTCGCTTCTCCACGTACAATGGTCCATCGAACCCGGACATGCGTCCTCAGTCAATGATTCTCCCTCCCCTCGCCATCACGCCTGAAGGAGGTAAGCATTCCTATTCCCGATTACCCGCGCCTGGAGCCGCCCGTACTGACAAAGCTGGTTCAGACTGGGCCCATCGTGTGACAACGACTGCCGAAGAAAGGGCATCCTCGTCTATGGACCATTCGGCACCCCCTCCTCCTCCGAAAGATCGCCCTAAATCTGCTATTCTCCTTAGCGGAACCTCTTCCGTGGCCACATCGCGAGACCACGCAATGCCGGGAGGCTACCCTTCTTCTCCTGCAGCACATGCGCGGAGCGTTTCGCCTCCCGAGCCACTGTTGGCAGCTGGCGTCTTTGCCAGCTCGTCTTCGGACTCGACCTCGCGCCCGCATTCTCTCGACGTGGCATCTGACGAAGCAGCAAAGGCTGCCAAACCCAAAGTGTAAACGACCCTGCGCTACCTCTTGGATTCTTTGGACGGACGAGTACATTTCCCCACCCGTATCAACCCCTTTAACAACCTCCTCTCTCGACGTATCTTATTCTTGTTACTCCACATAACACCTACAGTCTTTACAACACACGCTCTCTGATCCCCTCCCAATTATAAATCAGCATAGGCCCAATCCTAGCTCTAGCGACATCTCCTTCCTCTCTCCCTAATCCAGATGACGACACCCCTTCTTCCTAGTCGCTATAAAACGGTGCTCATGCGCGCCTTTCTGATTCCTTTGGACACTCCATGTGCATAAACCTTTCTCTGCAAAGATGTAAAGGAAGATTTCTTCTGTACAGATTTATGGAGTCTCTTGGCCTTGGAAGAGTGCAGAGTCAATGTGATTGAGATACACCTTACATATCTACAGTGGAAAAGAAAAACAACCAGAAAATGGCACAAGAAAAGGGCAAGAGGTGAAACAAACCAAGTGTTCTTCCAAGAGTTGTGATAGGTTTGGTCAAGTCGTTTAATGAGGCGTGTTCCTACCCGCATCCGTTCCCTGCGGCGTCGAGTCCTCTGCTGGTGCAGGCACGCCCACACTTTCTGCACGCACACTCCCGCCAGCGGGGCTCCCCGCGCTCACGCTCGGCGCATTCCCCGTGCTCCCACTCGTACTATTCGCCACGCCCGCCAACAAATTCTTCAACATTCTCTCCACAGCCTCACGTTCGTCCTTTTGACGTATCTGCTCCTGTCGACGTCGTTCCTCTCTGCGCTCCTCGACCTTGTTCATCAATCGGAGCGAGCCAAGCGCGGCCATCATTTGCGCACGCATCTGTGCGTCTGCGTCCGAGAGCGAGCCTGCGCTTGCAGACGACCAGCCGCCACCGGCATTGGATCCCATACGTGGGATGCCCCACAGAGGTGGAGAGAGCGAAGGAGGTGAGACGGATTGGAACGACTCTGTGCGTGCAGAGCTGGGAGGGGAAACGAGAATGTTGTGGTACGCCAGACGCGCGTCTTGCGCGCGTCTGCTGTAGCCTTGATCACGCTTGATGGACCGCGAGATGGCAATGTGAGAGACTGGAGGTCCCTGTTGACCAGCCAGGCTCGAACGTGGCGGAGTAGCGAGAAGGATCATGGGTGTGTCGGTAAGTCGATCGAGTTCGTGGAACTTGGAGAATTGTCAGTACCAATTGGAACAATCAACTTTACACTCACGGCCTTGACGAGTTCGCCAAACTTGATCTCCCACTTTCTGCGGCGTTTGGCTTCGTCGTGGATAAAGCGTGGATGATACCTTGCGGCACCATCATCCATCCATTCCAAATCCGCCTCGAGATCCTCGTCTGAATCGACTTCTTCCACCCACGGCTCAGTACCAACGGTCGTCGAGCTGACTGTCGGAGACTGCAACTGCTGTTGCAATTGCTGCTGCATCTGTGGTTGCGAGCCAAACGCGCCTGGTGCAACGCTTGCAGCTCGGCTCTTGATAATATTTTGGAACAGCGGATACAAATCATTGAGTGTCGTATGATTCTCGTTGAGATTCGTCGTGCTTTGCATCGCCATTGGCAAAGAGGCCCCAAGCGTCTCGTTTGTCGAATTGTCAAAGTTGAGTCGTAGACCACCGGCAGCGGCTGTTTCGTTACTTCGTGTATCCTCTTCCGTCGTCGTGCCTTCGTCGTCGTCGTGGTCCTCTCCAGCACCTTCTGTAACCGTGCTGGGCGCATTGCGGCTCACCTCGGTCTCCCCGTCACCACCGAATATACTGCTAGCAGGAGCTCTCCTTGGTGGGCCGTTCATGTTGGGCACACGCCTGAGCGTCTTGTCGAATTCGCCCGGCGGATCACGCGGGGACGAACGCGCACTATCTGGCATCTGTTGCACAGCCTGGTTCTGTTGGATGAAGGGGTTGAATCCAACAGGCGGGAACGGTGCTTCTGACTTGGAAAAGACGCTCCCCTCAACGTTTTCTGGTTCAGACGCCAATGCTGCGAGTTGCATCATGAGTACGTCGCGCATAGACGGTTGTTTGCCCGGATTGTGTTGCTCATAGAGACTCATGAGCTCGCCGTAAGACGGAGGGTACCCGTCAGTGTTGGGAACAGGAATCCAGCCGTCTCCGTTGGCAAGTACGCGCGGGAATTGTTGTCCATTGGGAGACGTCGCACTGAACGGAGTCGGCGGAATGGGATTGCCTGGTCGGTGATGCATATGGGAGCTCGACGCATAAGAGCCATTGGGATGAATGCCCATCGCTGCCAGCTGCTGCAGCTGATGCTCATAATCCTCTGCTGCCTTTTGCTTCGCCCGATCTCCTGGAGGTAACACGGCATGGCTTGACGGGTACTGCGCTGAATTGCCCGTATGAACAGGGCGATGGGGGTTCTGATCACGCCAGTCCCTGCTATCCCAAGAATCGAGATTCATCTCCATTGCACGTCGCAAATCTTGCAGTTCAACAACCTCTCCGGCAGCCTTGTCGAGTGTCTCGACAAGTTTACGCTGGTTATTCCCTTGGCCATTGGCGCGTTGTAGAGTCTTTGGATCAACCTTTGGTGTACGCAACGGTTGAGCAGGTTGAGGCTGACCAAAGCCCATCGCACGTAGATCAGCCGGGGTAAGGTTCTTGAGCGCTGACAGATTGGTGGCGTTCAAGGGTGGATATTGCTGACCATTCAGAGCCGCAATTCCCTGATCGAGGGAGAAGCCCATCGAGTGACGTTGCGACTGTTTGGAGCCTAGACCGTGTTGTTGAAGCTGGGAATAGAGTTGCTGGGCTTGTCGACTGGCGTGCCCTTCTTGAATGAACACGGAAGAAGACGGTCCAAACGGTGGCCCAGGAGGCATTCTTGGCTGGGGATGGGGACTACCGACAGCCGAAACGCTCTGAGAAGGCGAAATGCTGCTCAGAGCGGTCGCCATCGAGGCGCCGGTGTACATGGGGAGCTGCATTGCAGGCATCCCACGATGTTGCTCGTACATCGGCTGTGGATTTTGACGAGGTCGGCTGACAATAGCAGGGGGTGGCATCGGTCTCGAGTTTTGAACAGGGGGCTGTTGCGGCTGATTGTGAGGCGGGAGTTGGTGATGGCCCTGAATTTGCTGTGTGGGAGAAGGCTGGTAGTGTTGAGGAGACTGCTGAGCGCTGTTTGACGCGTAGGAAGGCGCGAGGCTCGGGATTTCTGGAAGTGCAGCGTGTGGCGAGCGCGGCGTGTACGAGTCGGACTCTTCACTAGAAGTATTTTGGGCTATATTATTTGTAAGTGAATAGATCGAAGAGAAGAATAGGGGACCGAACCCTGTACAACAGGCTCCCTGGCGAGAGGGGACGAAGGGCGGCGTGTCCACTGCTGCGACTGAATGACTTGCGCATGCTGCGTCTTTGGAACTGGTATAATGTTTTGGCTTATGCTATTGCTATGTTCCCGTGGGTGTGGCATGGTCTGCGATTGACCGGGGATTGGCAAGTCCCTTCGTCTCCCTGCGGGTTGCTGTGCCGTCTGAGTCTACAAACCGGTGTCAAGAACATGGTTTTAGACGAGGAGGAAGGCAAAACTTACAGCCTGTGGCCTGGCCTGCTGACCCGGGACGCGCGGTGGGGACAAGATTTCCTCATCGCGCTCATTTTGTTCTTCGGCGAGAGGATATCGATCCGGGGAGAACCGAGAATTGTTGGAATAACTCTGATTACCCTGTTTTCGATCCCACTCTGTTGCGCTCCGAGACTGATGAGGATCAGCACTGTCGTAGCTAACCCAGCCGCCGTGCTCCCCGTTTGGCAAGTCGAGCGAGTCGCCACTTCCCTGCCGTTTCTGCATAGACCCGTTGGCCCCACCGCCGGGCTTGAGGGACTCCAGGGATGCAAGACCATTGTTCGGATCGTATACCGGCGAATCTCGTGGATTCCCAAGAGATAACAGGTCCGCAGACGAGTGGTTGTCGGGTTTGAGGGTCGAAGACGAGTCGAAAGAGTAGGGAGACGGTCGCGAGGGGAGGGGGCCTCCTTGCTGAGTGTTTGTAGGCGTCCTGCGTGCCTCTAGTTTATCCACCGAGTTTGATTTCTCCCGTCTCTCACGTTCCCTCGATTCTGGGCGGTCTCGCTCTCTAGCCGCGCCGACGGCGGCAGGATCTTGGGGATGAAACCCAAGCTCGTTGAGAGTACCTATGGAACCCTTGTTCTCTCTGGCAATGCGCTTGATCGAGTTTGAGGGCGAGATGCCGTTTGGCGGCGAGATTCCATCGAGCTCGCCGTCGCCCATCGAGGGCGGGGGAACTCTGTTTGTGCGTTGATATGCTCCATTTGAGCCATTTGTCGCCGTTTGCGATTGCTGGACACCTTGCTGGGGCTGGCCAGGCGGCTGGGCAGTGGGCGAACCGTCTCTGAGAGGGTTGGGCATCATGGTAAGGAGATCCATGCGTTCTGCACGTCCGTCGCGGTAAATAAGACCTCCTGTCGAGTCTATCGAGTTTGTAGGAGACGCTGGGTCTGGCGGCGTTGGCTGGCGGTGGAACAGTGCAAAGGGCAAGTTGCGGCGCTGAGAGTTGTCGGGAAGCGCTACAAATGGGATCCGGGATCCAACAGGCCAAGGATAAAGCAGGGTCCAAGAACGGGCGCAGGCAAACGACAAACAAGACCAATAGAACAAGGTCAGCGAGCCTTGACCATATGTAATCCTTGGTCCGAGACATTTTTACTCACGGCGTCTGACACCAGGAGGAGCAGCGGTAGCAGTGGCAGTAACAGCAGCAGCCATCGGCGGCTTTCAATCTCCGCTCAATGCTCAAGGGGTCCTGGTACTCGCAGTCTTACGGTCGTGGGCAGCTGCTATTATCGTAGCCAAAATGCGCCTCTGGCCTACGCTCATCGTCTGCACTTATGCTCTTCGTCCTCGAGGCAACCGTGCGCTCGTTCTCCGTCGCCTCATGGCATCACCCAGAACCCACAATCGCGATCAAATGGGCGGTTATCCAAACCTATGGCATTAAACAATCTACGACGGCGCATCTACCTTTTCGTCGGTGGCTAGCCACGCCGTCTACGCACCCCCCAGTCCGGCGGCGCCTCTAATCACGATCCCCAGTTTCCACCAAAATTGAATGGTGCAGCGGGTGCCTCGCCACGTTGCAGCTGCAATAAGCACAGCACACGTCAGCCCTCGCTGTCTCGCACGCTCCCGAGCCACAGACACACGCACCTTGAATCCGCCATCATCTGCAATCGGCACATCGTCCTCTTCATCTGCAAAATACGTCTCCATTATCCGGTATGAAATGTTGTAAATCTCATTGTTGTCGTGCGACTGCAGATTGTGGATCGCCACCATCCCTCCAACCTCTTCGACAATCGCCGCATATGGATTCGACGCGCCTTGTCCCAATGCAATCTTTAGCAACTCTCCATTCTTCAATATATTGTCCAACGCCTCGAGCGTCACCTTGATAATCCGGTTGTCCATCATCGACAGCATCGCGCAGAGTGGGCCGAGTGTGTTCTGGTCCACAAAGTATGCAATCTGATCCGGAGATGCGCCAGAAGTGGCGTTGGAAACAGCCCAGCACGCTTCTCGTCTCGTGCGTGGCTCAGTCGAACTCAAGCAATTGACGAGTTCTGGCCAGATTCCGGCATCGATGATTGCTTGGATTTGCTTCGTCGTTCCAGCCAAGATGTTACTGACAGTCCAGCACGCTTCCTTGCGCAAACCCTCCCGGGACGTTCTGAAGATAGGAAGCAGTGCAGGCAGCGCACCGGATGCGATCACAACTTGCGTTTGTAGGTCATCTCCCGTCACAATGTTACCAATGCACCTCAAGGCTGGTGTCTGGACCTGCGGGCTTGGGTGCGTCAAGAGGTCCACGAGACGGCGACAGACACCAGCCTCGACCACAGCTTGGATGTGCTGATTGGATCCATCTGACAGGTAAGAGAGTGCCCATGACGCGTCAACAAGTGTGTCCATGTCCGACGAATAGATGTTCTTAGCGAGCAAGGGCAGCGCTTTTGAGACCTATCCCGTGCTCAGTTACCAGCGGGCTACAGAAGAATAAATGACCCACGATTTCCCAGTCTGGAGGAGGGTTCTTGCCACGGCAAAGATTGCTCAGCGTCCAGATGGCGTTACGAACGAGGTTGAGGCTCGACGAATCATTCCCAATGACGGCAAGCAAAGGCTCCATTACGCCCGACTGAAGGACATAGTCTCTGAAGTTGGCGCCATCTCCAGCAATGTTTCCCAGTGCCCAGACTGCTTGTTCGCGAACTTCAGGACTGGGGCTGCTCAATAATTTGACCAGCGGCGGAACGGCACCATTATTGAGGATGAGCTGGGTCTGTTCCGATGTCCCAGAAGCAACATTGGTGAGTGCCCATGCAGACTCAAACTGCACACCGGTAAGCCACAACTAATCCAGCCACCTTGGGACAAGCATACCTGAAGCTGCTGATCGGGTGACTGCAGAAAGTTGACAAAGTATGGAACGAGGCCAGCTCTGATGACTTGTTCGATAGGAGGGTTATCTTCCTTTGAAAGGAGTCGACGAATGCGAGCAGTGGCCTCGATCTGTTGGTGCAGTTCACCGGAGCGGACGCCTTGTACGAGCATTTCACCCTAATAGCAATAGTGATGCTGTATCAGCTTTAAACTGCGAGTGGTGTCGTCTAGAAAATGGATGTGGCGAGGACACACCTCGGCCTCCCATTCCGCCGCGCCCTCGTCGTCAGAGTCGCCATCGTTCGTGCCCGATGTGAATAGATTCCTCCTTTTAGCGAGATTTTCCTCGCGCTTTTGCCTCCGAATCTCAACTTGCTGCTCCTCTCGCCTCTTCCTCACTTCATTGGACGACATTTGGCCGCGGCCCTTGTAAACTGGATAGATTCGAGATTATTGTGTCATATCCATCAGACGAGAGCGAGAAAAGACGCGTTTTGAGACGAGTCGCGAACCCCATGAGCCAAAGGATGACAGGCGTCGGCGCGGGCGAGTGGCAGACCAGTTTGAGAGACAACGATCCCCATTTAGCGCTCATTATTAGCGTCCATGGGCGAATAACTCACGATTTCTTCTGTCTGCGCGACCGTCCATGGCGACTTGTCCGTTCTGGCTGAGGTTCAAGTGTCGTTGCTTTGTCTGTAGCACACTCTGATTTATTTCTACAATTCTGATTACATGACCATCGAGTTTTCTTCGTCGACCGTGGAGCTCGTTTCATCTCTAGTTTGACCGTCGTCGATTGTCTCGTCCATTCCTTCATCGCTCGTGAGGTCGTATGCGTGACATCTCCCAGCTTGATGATCGAGCAACAGGGCGACACCACGTTTGCTATTGACCGATAGGGAGACACTGTCTCCCCCTCGGAGGCTAGGGACAATGCATGAACGGCCAAGTTCGATCGGTCGAGTGGGATGCTAATTGGTGTCGTCAACGTACATTTATATTACGAGGGTAGGGACTCACTGTACTGTCCATAAAGAGCCTTATAATATCCTTCTCAACATCTATCACGTCTTCAAAACCCTTCACCACATGATATGCCGCGGATGCATAGTCCACCAATGCCAATATCCGCCCCGCTGTAACGCCGTCAGTAGGAGTCGACGAGTACTAGCCAGTTACCATCAGAGCTCTTTGTTTGTAGGACAATGGCGAAATGGGTATCATCGTAGAATTGGACGTCCAGGGCGTCAGCCACTATAGATTCCTTCGCAAAGCTCTCTTCTATTGCTTCTTCTGATTCTCCGTTCGACACATTTGTTGTAAGGATTAGACTGAAGATCACGGCAGCCACCTCTACGGTATGTGCAGGGTCTCGCTCGTGAATGAGACGCATGACTAAAACTGCCTTCATCAGTCCACATACCAAACGCATGAAATGAATACCCTACTGCTTTGTGTACGCTTCATGGGGTGAAGATTTTGAACTGTCTTGGAATCGCCATAGACAGGTAACCGCAAAAGAATGTATTGACGCGCACCCTGACATCATATCAGTAAGGGACTCCTTATTATTGAACGCTTACTGTGTCGCTGGTGACTATCGTTTCGCGTAGTAGTGTGTCCTGCGGTCCCATGATTTGAAGGCTCTCTTCTCGAAACAGACTCTGCTTGACACCCGGAGGAAGCATGAGAGACTTCCATTCAGTGAACCTGCGGACATACAACCCGCAATCTCCCAGCCTCGAGACCGACGCTCCGTCAACGGTTCGGCGTTCAACAGAGGTGATAGCCGACGCGATGTTTTGGAACATTAGATTGCATTTGCTTCCGAGCTCAGAAACGAGATATCCGATGCTACACTGCGTCGAGAGCTGTTGATGTGATGCTTGTGGTAGCGTTTGCTTCAAAGATTAGTTGATCATCGATTGAAGCCGAAACAACTAACGTACTGCGTCGTTTTTGCGTCTCTCTTTGAGGCGCTTTAGGTACTCTCGTGCATCTGTCGCCACCATAATCAGCGTCCCTGGTGCTGGCTTTGTTTCTGTTTCCCGAGTGGCTAGCTCCAGTGGTGGCGAGAAGAAGGGATCAATCGCGCTAGGAAAGAGTCCGTTCGAGATATAGTCGTTTACGACTATTACATCGTATGCCTTTTGAGGATACTCTTGTGGCGGAAGATTGGGAATTACTATAAAAATGAGCGCAGAGAATGACATATGATACAACTACTCACACCCTCGTAACCATATCATAAAGTGATGGAATCCTCTATTCTCTCGTCTGATTGTCTCAACCAAGAGAGATAACGTTTCTAAAGTGGTCTCTGCAGCGTCGATGCATTCTTGGATTGCGCTGCGGTTAAGAAGAAAGTGTCGAGCTACATCATCCCTATATACAAGTTAGATTATTTTTTCCTAAAGAGTACGTACATTTCTGCCAGTCCCTGTAGGTCCCTGAGTAGTATCACAGTCCTTTGGATAGCAACGGAAGACAGCTCAATGACGCGCTTGATGTGAGACAAAGTATCTCCCACGGTACTTTTCCACTTCTTAAAGTTCTATTGGTATATCAGCGAGAGTTGGATCACTACGTGAGAGAGAAAGAGCACACTCGTTCAGTGGTCTGGCTCCCATTTTGCAGATGATCAGATAGACATGTAGTGAGAGGAATCCCAATCATCAGCAGGTTCATCAAGTCGGCTTTGGCTCCCTTGACTGGTATATTTAGATGCGAAAGACGAAGGAGGCAATATGCGCACCTTTCGGAGGGTCCTGCCGAGCCTGCATAGTCTCGAGCATACGACACCACTTCTCGTTTTGATCTCTCGCGCCTTCGCGACCACCACCTCCGGACCAGGCGATCCTTGCTTCCTCGATGTTTCGGGCAGCATACAGAACGAGCTCCTTCGTGGCACTCGATATCCTTAGGACACTTCTAATCTGATACTCTTGATCTAGAGAGAGGTCAAAGAGTTCTCAGATGCATAGAGTAAACCGTCCAGCTCATGCAGGTCTAGCATGACTCCTTCTGCATGGCTCGAGAGTTTTGAGAAGTAGGCACACTGTTTTGCGGTGACAATACTTGATACGCTTGAAAAGGTGGGCTTGGATTCGATCGCGCCTGTTGCGTATGTTCCATGTAGAAATGGGTAGAGACTGCCGTGGCTATCCCCAGCGAAGAGACAAGTGTTGCTTTGAAGACTGTACCAGATCTTATTCGAATCTGTTTGCGTGGACGATTCGTTCGGTAAGACAGACTCTGCGGCAATCGATGCGGCTGAGGGATTCGGAAAGAGTGACGGCCAATTGTGCGCCGGAAGAGATAAGATGAGTCTCGGTGCACGATGACTCGAGGAAAGCTCGGTTGGACTTGGCTTCCTGAGTGACGTTCAGCGGACACGTTGGGATAACTGGAGGGTCTAGCTCACTCCACAAGAGGCTCCTTGTAATCCAGTTCAGGTAATGCCCTCAAGAGATATAGAGCAGAACCTGGATCATCGTATCCTCGTCGATATAGTTGAGATGGAGGCTGTTTTGAGATGTCGGTGTTCCAAAAGTGCGTCCATGGCATTTTGATCCATGTCAGTGCGGCAATCTTCTGACCAGGTTTTGCTTGCTCCCCAATGGTGGTCTCAGTATATCTAAATTCTTCGCAGCCGTCAAGAAGGGAGTGGACCGTGAGTCTCTTCACATGGTGGCTCACGGCGAACTTGCTTCCTGGACGGTGTGAGCTAGAAACATGCAATTGGACATGCGCACCATCAGGGCTCCAAGCTATGTGTCGTATTGATCCAACTTGATCAAAGTTGGCTATCACATCAATCTCCCAACGTTTCACCCCTTGGAGTTTCCAGAGTGAAATTGTGTTTCTAGGCTCGGAGCGATGGATTAAAAGTGCAAGATCCTTCTCAGGATTGCAAGCGCCCTTGACCAGACGGGTATCTGGGGGAACATTGAAAGACCCAAGCAAACTGAAAGAATGAGTGCCCAAAGTTGACACCATGAGGCTTCGACGAGGAATTGTGTCTTTACGATTCTGTGTTCATTGGCCTATTGGCCAACAAGTAATGTCCGGTTGAAGGTGGCGGAAGACAACTTGCTTTTTCATGGACGACCTGATCCGAACATTGGACTCGGACGTAGAAGTCGAGTCGGAGGAAGAATTTGCCCAATCAAAAGGAAGGCAAAAGCGCAAGGAAAAGCAAGAAGATGCTGGCGGTCTCAATCCAGAGTTTGTCTTTGACCTGACGGATGCCACCTATGGTCAAATCCTTTCTGAGCACGCCTCACTGGGAGACGTCGTTAATTCTGGGACAAAACCCGTTCGTTAAAGTGTTTTACCGTTTTATTCGCTCTAACAAGCCATGTTTAGCAACCCATTTCGGTGGACGATATAATAGCTAGAAGAAAAGTCGAGCGTATCCCTGAATCCCGCAAAAGAAAACGTGAAGAGGATTCAGAGGATGAAAGCGTGTCAGACGACGAATCTGAGATTCAGCCCGACGGTTCGAGTGAGTCGGAGAGCCAATCGCCAAAAAATAGCTCTCAGAAGGACGAAGAGGACGAGATACAGAGTGACGCAGAGTCCTCTTCCGAAGAAGAAGAAGAGGAAACAGAAATGGACAAGGAGCGGAAGGCCGCCTTTTTTGCCGCAGAGGAGGAACAAATGCAGGATATGCCCTCGACTTTCCTCACCATGAACCTCTCACGTCCCATCATGAAATCCCTCACCTCCTTGTCCTTTCATACACCAACGCCAATCCAAGCCGCGACCATCCCAGTTGCCTTGCTGGGCAAGGACATTGTTGGCAATGCAGTCACTGGTTCAGGAAAAACGGCGGCATTTATGATTCCAATATTGGAACGCCTTCTTTATCGTCAAAAGGGCAAGAATGCTGCCGCTACTCGATGCCTCGTTCTTGTCCCCACGAGGGAGCTCGCGGTTCAGTGCTTCGAAGTCGGCACAAAACTTGCAGCACACACGGACATTCAAATATCGCTCGTTGTTGGTGGACTGTCCCTAAAGGCGCAGGAAGCGACTCTGCGATCTAAACCAGACCTTGTTATCGCCACGCCCGGGCGACTAATAGACCACCTACGGAACTCACCGACATTCAATCTCGATGCGCTCGATGTGCTCGTCCTTGATGAGGCGGACCGCATGCTCTCGGACGGATTCGCGGACGAGTTGGAAGAGATTGTCAAGTCTTGTCCGCGATCACGACAGACCATGTTATTCTCAGCGACGATGACTGATTCCGTGGACGAGTTGGTCAAAATGTCCCTGAATAAGCCTGTGAGGCTGTTCGTGGATCCCAAGCGGGCAACTGCCAAAGGCCTGGTGCAAGAGTTTGTTCGGGTCAAAGCTGGAAGGGAGTCCGAACGAGCCGCGATACTCGTCACACTCTGTAAACGGACATTCAGGGAGCGCGTGATCATTTTCTTTCGCAGCAAGAAACTTGCTCATCAAATGCGAATAATGTTCGGCCTCCTGGACATGAGAGCAGACGAGCTACATGGAGATCTTACTCAAGAGCAACGACTGACGTCTCTTCAGGCGTTTCGTGATGGAAAAGTTGATTATCTGATGGCGACTGACCTTGCCTCGCGAGGATTGGACATCAAGGGCATCGAAACGGTCATCAACTACGATATGCCTGGTCAACTGGCCCAATATCTTCACCGTGTAGGACGAACAGCACGTGCAGGAAAGAACGGTCGCTCAGTAACTTTGGTTGGCGAGGCGGATCGAAAGATGCTCAAGGCTGCCATCAAACATGGATCCAGCGAAGACAAAGTCCGACATCGTCTCGTTCCTGCAGAAGTCGTGGAAAAGTGGTCCGAGCAGATAGGCTCGCTTCAAGATGAAATTCAGATAGTCTTGGATCAGGAGAAAGAGGCTAAGCAGGTATTGGCATCGCTTTGTAACATTTCTATCACTCAGGCCTTTTAGATGCGTCAAGCAGAAATGGAACTTCAGAAGGGGGAGAACATGCTAAAATACGAGGACGAGATCTTTTCACGACCAGCTCGTACTTGGTTTCAAACGAGTAAAGAGAAGGAACAGGCCCAAGGTTAGCGAGATTCCACTTTCTTAACATTCATTCAGAATCGTATAGAGAAGAGTCGGAGACAGTACGAAGCAGGCCTCGGAGATAACAAGGCAGCCAAAGTGGTGGCAGGAAAGGCTACTATTAAGGTATCCCTCTCACTTTCTTATATTGGCGCCGCTTACCCGAGGTAGCCTAAACGAGACAAGTTTGCTGGTCTATCACGTAAAGCAAAGCGCAGGAAGCTGGCGCAGGAAGAGGATGCGCAAATCAAGGATAGTGTAACCATCAAAGCATCCATTCGAGAGGCCAAAAAGGCGCAACGGCCGACCAGGATCGGACTACCGGAGGGGCGCAAGGCGGGGAAGGAGAAGAGAGGAAAGGCCAAAGCCATCAGGAAGAAGACATCTACGAAGCTAGGCAAGGGCTTAGGGTTCTCCAAAGACGCAGCCGAGACGAGCCGGCGCGGGAGAGAAGGAGCGCGTGCTTCCAAGACCGACGCGATTGGTCGCCCAAAACAGCGACAAAAGTCGAGTAAAGGATAGTAAAGGCGAAATTTAAATAGCAACTAGCTCCTTGAGGCAGCTAGATACGCTCACATGCTCAATGACGTCGTCGAAGAAAGTTGATGTCTACCACGTCTGCCGACGATACACGGAGTCGCTGCAGACGCTTTCAGAGGATTGTTAGTTTTCTTTCTTCTTAACAAGAGGATCTTTGCGACCTCTTTCTCTACGTTCACATCAGTATAAGATCCCTGTGGAGTAACCTCCACCGCTCTTGTTCACACTTTGACCACAACTTCATCAGATACTCGGCGAGACTTCAAGACCGTTTTTTATGCGCTATACTCGCTAAAACTCGAGAAGCATGCCTCCAGATCCTGTGGGCACTCGGGTGACCGGCATTATGCAGAAGGGACGCACGAGTGAGTAAAGGTTCGAGTTTCAATAGTGCAACTCACATCCGTCTTATAGACTCTGAGATGCAATGGATCCAAGAGAGCGGGCAGGACGTCAGGATCCAGGAAATGCCTGCATCTCCTGTGATTCCCGCGATATCTCCGACAGACCTTGCGTTTGATCCCGGCGTTAGGACTACCGCTGCACCTTTGACTCCGACAGCTGATGCATTTCGCGCACTTTACCATCATGACTCAGGTCCCAATACACCGCTCACTTCTTTTTCATCCGCTTCTAGTCTGGAGGCGTCAGACACATCTGCTTCAGTTCCTCATACTGCCTTCAGCTCTGTAGACTCCATTTACTACCTTGCAAGTCCACGAGACCAACCGACTAGCTACCCAACATCGACGCAATCATCCCAGTTGTGGTCAGAACCCGGGGCCGCTAGCCGTTCCCGTTTTCGACACCCTTCGTACCAAAACCAACCTTCCGACATTGCGTCTAGGTCCGCACCAGATTTAAATGCGCCGCTGCTATTTGGACCGGAGAACCTAGCATTCAATTCGAGAGCTAGCTTTCTCTCTCCTGAAACTCCAATATACCCTCTACATCAACCTGCTCATTCATCTCCGTCTCTCCTTGAACAACCTTTTGCAAGAGTTCATAGTCCTTATCCCTCTCACCCAGCACAATGGGGATCAGCATTTGGACGGCCAGGACATCATGTCAACATGACGAACAGGAGCGAACCATTGGAGGATGTTTGGATTCGGCAAGGTCAAAATCATCCTGTGCAAGTGCCAGGTTCGACTACAAGCAGTCAAGGCACCCTGCCAGGTGCACCTCTCGGGGCTCACCAGCCGACACCCTTTCCATCGAGTCCTTTCAGACCACCCGTTAGTATACCTTTTTGGGCTCCAAGAACATTCCTCGGGACTTCCATTGCACGAGACGCAATGCTTGCATATGCCCATCAGCTATATAATGCATCAACAGACTCTGGAGGGCTCACGTCTATCCCACTGCCGTCAGAATCGACAAATAATCCGCCTACTGACGCGCAACATCGGCAACTCTTCAATCTGCTCAACGCAATTCGCAGCCAACATCCGAACCACCTGCCAACGCTGTTGCTCTTGAGCTGCGCTCAATTCTCAGCCAAGGAATATGACCAATCTCAAGAGACGTGTAATACTATTCTATCTATGGACCCAAATTACGTAAGGGCCTCCCGTCGTTCGTTAGGTCTCTAATCTTCCTCAGGTTGAGGCCATGTCGAACATGGGGATGGTCATGAAGGCCAAGGGCGCCTACAAGGAAGCGGAAGCGCTTTGGATCAAGGCAATTCATCTCCGACCAACTTATTGGGACGCTATCGTACGTACCCGAAATGGATCTCTGCTGTTGTAACTAAGCATTCCAGGATAATCTGGTCCATGTATTGTGTGAACCTCAACCCTCTTTGGACGGCAGCATGCTTGTTCCAAGATACGACAAAGCCTTGGAGATACTTACCTACGTTCTCAACATTCTAATCCGCCCGGATGGCCTTATACTCGTATTGATTCCCCAGGCCCACATACATAGGCTCCAGAACCTCTTGTTTACTCGGGGAAACCTGCGTGGCATTACAGGCTCCATCGGTGCAGGTATCGATGACTATACGACAGCCTTGGAGCTCGTCTTTAGGGCCCCCGGATCCGTTGAGTCTGGGATGCCTCTCCACTTGGGAGACGTCGTCATGGCCGTAACAGTCATCGGGCTGCTAGCAAGCCACGATCCCGAGTCACCGGCCCTTAGAGAGATCAGCCATGCTTTGTCCATCGATTACTCGCGTTTCACCATGCACATGCTCGAACGTAGCGTTGATTGGCTCATCCTCGTTCAACGTGCCAGGTCACAGCTCCTTGCGGCATTACTTGAGATTGGAGATGGTGCGCTGCCAATAGTGTTACTCACTCCGGAGATGGTAGCTCGTATACCCAGCGCACTGTTCAGTGCATTTGCGCACAAGCTACCTGGGTTGTGCACTCGACAATCGTACGAAGATCTGTGGAGAGCGTCTCCAGGTATCAATGAAGAAGCGACAAACAAGTTGACGTCTTCCATCCTGCTGACGCTTGCAAAGCTCTTCCAGACAATGGATCAGGGGCAAAAGGTGATATCGTGGTCAACAACGCTCACATTCCTCGGAGTACGTCTCTTGTCATCATACTCTACTACATGGCGCTAGCTCTACACCCAACTGCATCCACCTACAATAACCTCGGGATCATCTTCTATACCACCCAAGATGTTGCCACAACAATCAACGCGCATGGACAGCGAGAGTTCATTACCGGATCTCTGCTGGCGTTGCAGTACTACAAGAAGGGGCTCACGCTCGACCCAAACCATCCGCATATTTTGACCAATTATGGTTCTCTTCTTAAGGATCAAGGCAGGTCTCTCGACGCCATCAGGTCAGCCATCCAATCGTGTAAAGTCTCCCTGCTCATATACCATAGCATGTACAAACGAGCTTTGCAAATCAAACCCGACTTTGAGATTGCACTCGCCAACATCGCGAATGTTATCAAGGACACTGTGCGTTTTACTTCATCTCAGAGAGTGGTGATCTCAATTTTGTTCAGGGAAAGATAAAAGAGGCTATCGAGTACTATCAGAGGGCCCTCCTGCTTTCTTCATTACTCCCAGATGTCGTCTGTGGATACGTAAATGCCATGGCTTCTATATGCGACTGGAGGGGTGGCAGAGGGGCGATCGGAAATGAGCCAATTGTTGACGATCACTTTCACCTGATTCAGCGCTCAAGCAGGGACGACCGCACCCCCAGCGGGTGGATGGGTAGACTGGAGGAGACTGCTAGGAAGCAGCTCAACGAGGTATATGCCGCGAATTCTGGACTTTTGCGCAGATTTGGCAGCCCGGAATACTGGTTCAGTCTTGTGGAGACAGCATATGGTGACGGAATAACGGCAGGCGAACGACAGTGAGTATTCGTCCTATCAAAACTCTCATTCAGATATTTTGCTAGGAAGTGGACGTTTCTTATTGGTTACTACTATACCGAATTCAGCCGCACCGAGAAAGCTGTTAACGAGCTGGCCGTAATCATTTGCCTCATGGAAGCTCTAAATCGAGTGCTTCAAAGACGTTGCTATGGAGAAACCCTCGATGGAAGAGCAAGTAATGTCGGAGAAAATACCAACCTGTCCTCCGGTCACTACCTACGCCTTCGCCTTCCTCGGGCTTTAGGTTCACCAGCGGTACCCGCTCTGCTTCCTTTTCACTGCGTACGTCTATTTCATCCGAATACTTCATACTGAAGCTATGCAGTTTCCCCATGCCCTTGATGTCCGGGTGACTCGCTTGGTCGCTCATCGAAATGCCTTGAAGATATCCTACTCCGCATTGACATCATCTTGGTTACCTAAGGCTGTGCACACACCCCCTCCCCCTCCCGCAGGACGATTGAATATCGGATACGTATCTAGTGACTTCAAGTATGTCCTTGTCACTGCTATCCTATTTGGGCTTATATTGTACAGCAATCATCCACTCGCTCATCTGATGCTCTCGGTCTTTAAACTGCATGATCGCCAACGCTTTAGAGTGTTCGTGTACGCTACTTCGGTTTCCGACAATTCCTATTACCGACAGCGTATCGAACAAGATGCTCAAATCTTTCGTGACGTATCCAAGCAATCCACCGAGTTTATCGTAAACCAAATCATCAACGATCAAATCCATATCCTAATCAACTTGGGAGGTTATACAAGGGCAGCGAGAAACGACATTTTTGCCGCAAGACCCAGTTCGCTACAAGTGTCATTGATGGGTTATGCCGGCACGTCAGGGGCTTGTAGGTTACATTTTTGGAATAAACCATGGCTTACACACCTTTAGCATGGTGCGATTACTTAGTTTGCGATAAGCAAGCATGTCCAAAGGAGGCATTTGGCTCGTATCGCGCTGCAGTTCGGAGGCTCAGACGGGAGTACGAGCCTGTAATTCACCAAGATGGATCTCTGCGCGAGGTTCTCGAGGAGTATGTGGACCCAGAATCCTTGGACATGAGTTGGGCTTTGTAAGTCGGCCAAGCATTTTGCAAAGCATACTAATAGAGGGCAGGACCGAAAAGTACATCCATTTACCGGTATGCACCGTCTCCCTTTTCCTGTACTCTCTAACCTGCAATAGCACTCTTACTTCGTCACCGACCATCGGCAAGCCTTTCGCGAGGAACATCTCGAGCCACATTTGGATCCAAACCAAAGGTGGCTGACAGAGGAGAAGTTACGAGCCAAGCTTCGGCAAGAGATCTTTCCCGATCTCAATGAGTGAGTGAGTTCCCTGTCGTACATTCTTCTCTGAAGGTGGTCAAGGAGCACAGTGATATTCGCCTGCTTCTCTCAGGTAAGTGTGAAGTGTTCTGAATAACGCCCTTCTCACCGCTACTACCTACAGATATACAAAATCTGTCCAGTACGTCTCTGATAAGTATGTTACAAAGCTCTGAATTTGGTCAAAGGCCGCTTTCATAATCTGGATCCGCCTTTTGCAACGAGTACCAAACAGCATCCTATGGCTCTTGCGGTTTCCCGCTGCTGGAGAGGAGCACCTTATGAGGACTGCGCTACTCTGGGGTGGTCATGAGATTGCCTCTAGAGTAAGGTTCACAAATATTGCTCCCAAAGAGGCTCATATTCGGCGATGTCGAGTGGCTGATTTAGTATTGGACACCTTTCAGGTAATTATCGCCAACGTCAATATCCTGCTGACGTTCCTTAGTGCAATGCGCACACCGTTGCTACCGAGTGAGAACTGCATCCTTTTTCGAATAAGAAAACTCACCGAGCGTCGACAGTGTCTTGTGGTCCGGCACGCCACTGCTTACTCTGCCGAAGGAGCCATATAAGATGTGCAGCAGGGTCGCGTCGAGTATCGCATTGGCAACAGGGTTTGGAGAGAGTATGATAGTGGCTAATGAGCGCGAATACGAGGAAAGGGCCGTATCCCTGGCATGTAGCATCTCTTACCGGGACGAAGTGAATTCGGACGGTACTACAGACCGTAGAGGTGTAGGAGAGCTCATGGAGCTGCGCAAAAACCTGATCCTCAATCGGGATAGGATGCCCTTGTTCGACACCGCTCGGTGGACACGCAATCTCGAAAAGGGATTCGAAGAGATCTGGCGGCGCTGGGAGGACAGCTGCAAGCCACCCTGGACCGCGAAAGATGAGGATGGAGGAGTCACTGTATCTGATAGCCAGCCTTTCTTTAGTGGATAAAATGTAGGAAGCTGTAACAATACAGCTATATTTTTGTCCTGAATTATATCGACAAGCCTCAGTCGTCCACCCTCCGTCTCTTAGCACTTCGACTTTGACTTCGATAGGGTGACCGTGATCTCGAATGGCGACGGCTTGATCGGTGTGGCGATCGCGAGCGTTGACGCGGCGAGCCTGTGCGATGTTGTTCTGAAGTTCGAGGGTTTCCACGGTAATCGTCACGTCGTGGACTTGGACTTCGTCTACGCTGAGGGGAATGATCTCGGTCTTTCCAAGACGATTGATCTCGTGAACGTTCACCCCATCTGCGCTCCGAGGCTGCAGGCCGCGAGTTGCTACCTGTTGCTTGTCCACCGGACTGAACGTTTTGAGGACAGTCTGGGGAGAGTGAGTAGTAAATCTAACAAGGCCCGTGAGACCTTACCCTTCTTGAGGTGTGGACCTCCACACAAGAAACAGCCTTGTCCGCCAGGGGGTTGGGGCAGCGTTGCACCACCAACCTTTGGTGGAGGGGCAAGCGTTGTGTCTTGATCTTTCAAGTATGTGTACTTTGTCCTACTTCGCTTGCCAAAGTCTTTGACTTGCATCACTTTTGGTAACAAGGATATATCCACCTGGGACTCGATTGGAGCGGTGTAGTCCCTATTCTTGAGCTCGTCGAGATCCTGTACGAAGATTGTATACAATTAATGTAGATGAATGGGAATAAACATACCTGATAGAAGGCTCCCTTGTGCCAATACTTTTGCAAGAATGCCCCAGAACCCTGTGGTTTAGCCTCGCGAAGCTTTTTAGCACGCTCCATATCTTCTTTGAGCCGCTGTTCCTCTGGAAGTGCCCGTCTACGCTCAATCTCGAGTCGTTCTTCCTCACGCGCTCGCTCGGCTTCCTTTTCCCTCTTTAGGCGCATGAGCTCGCGCATTCTCCACAGATTAAACTCGGCTTCCGGGTCCAAGCCATCTGTATCGTCAATTTCTTGACCGGGCATCTTTGCTTCCTCTGCGAATCTGTCAGCGCAGCCTACGAATGTGTTGGAGCGATTTACTCTCTTCCATTCCACGCTTTATACTCTCTCCGACCATGTTCACGCTCTGTCTCTTGCGTTCCTCGGCCGCTTGTTCTCGTTTTTTCATGGCCTCTTCCGAGTCAAAGGCAATAGCATCACGTTCTTTCAGAGTTTCTCTCTGCTGTCTGAATAAGAAATGAGTCTCGTTTTAATACGTGTTCTATATACGCACTTGGACACGAAGACTGGGCGTAGTTGAGGTCTCGGAGGTTCGTCTTCCTCTGACGACTCTTCTTCGCTGGACTGTAGCCGAGTTAGTATTTTATGTCAGAGGTGGTAGCTTTTGGTGACCTCTTCCTCCTCTTCGTCACTCTCGCTCTCTGAAGACTCTTGAGCCTTTTCTGAAATGCCTGATGTCAGTGTTTCGCGGATTGCAGCAAGCACAGTGACGAATTACGTTGCTCTACGACTGTCATTCCCGACTCTGCTTTCCCGTCGACGAAGACTCGGCCATCCTTGACTTCTACATTTCCAAGCGCGACTTTGACTGTCTTTGCGCCTCGCGGCCGTGCTGGAGTTGCTGGTACCAACGTCTTTAAGTCTGTTTCCTCTTCTTGAGCATCATAGTCCCCAATTTGCACGTCTCCAGCGTCTTCTGCCTGCACTTGTTCCTCCTCTTCATCACTAGACTCGTCTAGATCACGTGCATCTTTCGGAGCCTTTTTCGCAAAATGCCTTTGGGCGGGTTTTGCGTGACGAGGTGCGAGTTTACGCACGGCGCTCATTGTAGTGGCAGGCAACTTTGGAACTTGGACTTCTGCGATAATGACCGATGCCTACTAAGCCGACTTAATGGCGCTTTCATTTCACGATTATCAATGTTTAGAATTCAGAGTCAGCACTAAAATATGAGCCAGTGCACCGACGCAAGACTCCATATGCGGGCGATGCCCGTCTTCTGGTCTGGTCGGAACCTGAACGGCCCCGGGTACGAAAGCGTTCAGCTGGAGGATTTAGTTGATGGAGAGTGGGCACTGCCAGCTCATTCGCGTTCTCTGATCGTAATTTATGAAGCAGCCCGACGGCTTACACAGACGAGAATGACGACGAATGACCTGGCTATGTGTCAAGGCTGGATTTCCATCGAATACTTGACCCGCAGCTCATAACCCGGCGTCAGATCCCTTACCAGACAGCGCCTCCACCCACCTCTCAGTGAAGACGCGCGGTCGTTATATATGATCAATAGGCTGAACAACTAATTTTTCATCTCTTACTCATGCTGGACCCAGAATATCTCCATGTTGGGGCCCCAGACACCCAGCCGCCTGCCTTGGACAAGCAGAAGGAGCCGACAACGCCCAAGCGGATGCTCAAGTCCCTCAAACGCGTCTACAACGCGTCTGTGACATGCTTTGAAACACATATACGGCTCTCTTCTCATCAATCTGCATTGCAAAGGAAACTGGCTCTCAAGTCCATCTCAAAGGACGACATACAAGACGTTAGAAAGATTTCGGAAGACCTCATCTTTATTCTACAGTGGGTGGCCTCTGGACTAGCATGTACTTTGCTAATTCCATCTCCCAGATTGCCACATGATCGCAGTACATATAATCTTGCATTAAGGTTACTTTCATCGATTGCAACGGCATCAGACCCTTTGGCATTTGTGCTGCTAGAACGACACATCTCGCCCATCCTCCGTTACACTCTCGAGACATCGCTCGAGCTTCCGCCCCAAAAAGCCACAGCTTTGCTTCTTGTGCTGGACCATTTGGACATACGGCACCGCATTTCAAACGTGCGACGCATACTCACCGACGCATCGGCTGCCGAGTATCCCGACATGAACACCGTCACCGCCGTCGAACGAAGCTGTCGTGAACTCATCAGCCTATTCGACTCGGAGATGTGGGTAAAGATGATGGTGCAAGATCTATTGGCGCTTGTAGCCAAGACGCCCTCCATTTCCTGGCTTCTATTGCAGCAAGACATTTACCCTGCAGTGGTGAAAATTGCCGGAAATAGCGGGCTCAACTCCGCAAAGCTGTCCAGAAGGCTTGTTAGGCTGGTCGCAGAAAGCAGCACAACAATACTTCGTCTCAAACAACGCGTGTACCCGCTTCTCGGCAAGAAGGCCCTTGATGACGAAGAACTCGTCGCACAGGATGCCTATCGCTCTTTGATACATCTCGCACGGTACGACCCTGACCCTGCAATACCTTCTTTTATTAATTAATGAGAACAGCTCCGAAGATCGGCAGGAAAGGCTGGCGGCAATTGGCATCCTCGAGCATGTTGCCCAGTCTCGGTCAGCGGCAACGGCTATTCTAATCCGACCAGAATACTATGAAGCAGTGGAAAGGATGTGGGCTCTCGGCTCCACGTCGCTACCGGTCGATAAACTCTACCGATTACTTAACGAGGCCATTGTGGACAGCCTCGCAAATGCGCGCGCCTTTATCGCTACATGCGGCTTGAATGCACCACCCGAGGTCGGTGTTACGGACAGATGGGCTCCATGTATCATATTCACGATTATTACAGGGCGAGCTTATCCAAGCGCCTCTTCAGACGTTGCCAGGTTTCTACTTCCTACCGAACTTTCGGACCAGCTCGTCGGTTCATTCCGAAACTTACTCAGCATATGCACTGCTTTGTAAGTAATTTTGGCGCGGTGGATCACCGTCCCTGTGCTGACCGCCTGCAGGAACGTGTATGACGAGAAGACGATAGAGGAAGCACTCGACATTCTATCGGGTGCGACGGATCAGTCGGACACTGTCTCGTTTGGCCTGGTGGATCCCTCGCTGTTGCCATTCTATGCACTGCTGGCAGAGGGGCAGCCGTCTGCCTCGGTACGGCGTTTGCAGAGCAAGATCGAGCGTATTCAAACACGCAAACAAGCCATCGAGACAATCACGTTGGTTCAACGACTGAAGCGCACACGGAACTGGTCTGGTCTGGACGGTGACAATGCTCGGCCGCTATGCCAGATACTGATCTCATGTGCATTGTAAGTAGTCTCCAGCGACTAGGGGACTGACTAACAGTCTTGTAGAGATGACAGATTGCACGATGTACGAGGACAGGCGATCGATGCGCTCATCGAGTTGTCAAAGTCTCCGCCATCGTGCTCTTCGGTGCTACTAGAGCCAGATCTTACAAATGACCTACGCAAGCTCTTGTCGAAGTCGCGGGATCAGCCCTCATCCACTCTTTCCGAACGTATAATCACTTTGGAGCTTCAGAGGAGCATGCAGAATGGCATCTCACGACTCGTTGAGCTGTCAAACAAGCGATCCGACGGCGAGTGGGATGAGGCAGAAGAGTATGAGTCTACTGTTCGTGGTCTTGCACGGGCATATGATCAGCATAAAAAGGACGAAACACTTCTACGCACGCTGTACAAGTCGATACTTGTCGTAGCCACTGGTAATGATCGTGGCCGGAGATTGCTGGAGGCCTATATAGGCAATACGTCCGAACTGCTTTCGAAAGCGGAGAACGAGCATACTCAAGGTGCTGTAAGGGACGTAATACGGCACCTGGAGACGTTGGCAGATCGACTACTGCAGCAATCGCCACCACCGAGCGCCTTGATGTTTGCTCAACCGTCGCCGCGTCAACGACTGGACCATTTACGGACGCTCTCATCCTCTTCTTCGAGTTCTCCTGGCCGCGATTTGGTGTTGGAGAGACTGGCACAAAAGCAACGGGTGGACGCCGAGGCGCTGTGCTGGCGGTTGCTCGCAATCTGCCGGCTAGGCCTGAGTGAGTGGTCCGTCGATGCCGCGTTGGAGCTATTGGGCTCGTTAATCAAAGGCTCCGAGGCTGTATATCTTTGCTTTGAGCAAGACGGACTTCGGCGTGCGTTGCGGGGATTGGCTACCAACGGAGCTGCTTCAGGTCGGTGGAGAGAGCACATGGGGCAAGCTGTCAGGCGTCTGGTTGTGTTGATCGAGGGTGTAGAGGTGGGCGGGAGCACCTAATGAGGTCTTAGGTCCGCAGGGCGGAGATAGGAGATTCCATGGGACACTGTAGAGCTTGACGAGTGATCGAAAATTTGGACTGATGGACAGTCTCGTGAGGATTATCAGTGCGGACGGCAACCCGGGCACTGCCAGATTTGAGAATTATACGAAGGGCGCTTGTAAAATGAATCAGTGGAAACCTCTCTTAGACTCGACCTCTTCCAGCAGCTACGCTCAGAGCCCTCGTCTTCGTCGTCCGGTACGGCGTCGAGCACGCGCTATACGATGCCAGAGATTATTCCAAGCAGCGTCCTGGCTTCCGAAAAGGCATCGTCATCGACCCAAGCTGCTGGCGGTCATGGCTATCACCACTCGACGAGCTCTTCAGTATCCTCGTCACCACGTACAACGTCTCTCATCCACTCTCCCAGCGCTCCATCATCCACAGGTCTCCTCCCGAGCTCGCGCACACATAGCAACTCGCCCAGGATAAGACCAGGGCCTTTTGGACGAGCAGAATCCTCCATTCCCAGCCAAAGGACAAGCTTGTACTCTAACCCAAGCGCAACGGCAGCTGCACTTTCACCTCCACCGCCAGCACACTATTTACGAGGCAGAGCGCGGCTTTCGCAATCACAGGAATCAGTCAGACATCTAAGGAAGCGCTCAGAAATCTTTACGAGGGCAAATCAAACCCCAGGAGCTGCCGGTAGAGCCCAGGGATCTACAAGCCGCTCGAGGAGTGTAGACCCAGAGGAGGGGTGTCTCCTATTCACTGCTACTCCCACTCGACATGATCGCCAACGATCCAGCTCCACATCGGAATGGCCACTGGCGTCCGTCGAACCGTCATCTGCACCCGCCACGACCACCGCCATCCAGGGACACCCTGCACCTGATAACGATGAAATAAATCAATGGTCATTTCTCCAGACGGATCCCATGGGGAAAGAGCCACCGCCACGACGGACACGACATGCGCCCAAGGGCAGCCTAGAGATCGCTGCGTCCGGAGGTCGAGGGAGCATCGATGTCAAGTTGAGCAAGTTGGAGATAAGACCAAGAATTCCCTCCAACAACTCGGATTTAGTCACTCCAAAGGCGGGAGACTACTCAAGGCAATGGAAAGATTTACATCATGGTCCACCGTCAGAGACCGAATCTCCTCTTTCGAGTACTTCCAATCTCTCTGGATATTCATCCAACGACTATAGGTTTGCCTTTTTGTTCTTCCTCCATGCCGTATGCTCACAAATCTGTTGGTTTTTAGCTCTAGGCCAACTTCGAAACAAGGCGTGACTACATCATCTCCCCCTGCTCGCCATGCGTTCTTACCGCCCAATTCACCTCTGTCGACTCCGATGTCGCCCGTAATTCGCGCTCACCTGGATGTGTGTTCGTACCCGGCGTCTGCCTGCAACTGTGCCGACCAGGAGTTACGCAGTTCTTTCCAAACTGCTGTTTCGCTACCAGGCACTTCTTTGCAATCATCCACCCCCTTAGCCCTCCCAACAAGCGGTCCAGCCGCATTGTCCGAAGTGCAAAAACGCCGAAGAGCATATGCATTTGATCAATTTGTCACCTATTCAGAGGCGTTGCCTCGGCCATTGCCGATGCCTGTGCAACCGACTACCAGCTCAGTCAGCCAGACTGATACTTTTGGCACTTCCAGTTCCACTGGATTCATATCCTCAAAAGGCGGATCTGGTTCGGGCTCTAGCGCCGAGGAAAGTCTATCAGAGTCAGCCGAGTCTTCCTCTATTCTATCGCGCATGGCGTCTGCCGCTATGGACTACAATGCATATCGCCATAGCGGGTATCAGACTCACATGAGCCCTCAAGTAAATGCACTTACTGCATCCCCCACATCTTCAGCATCCTCACTCGCACCGTCGTCCTGGAAAAACGAAAGCATGAATGGTCACGTCGTACAGCCGTCGAGGTCTGTGCCAAACATCTCCGCGGCCTCTTTGGCCAGTGATAAGACGTCATTCTCCCTATTCAGATCGCGCTCGGGATTGTCTATATCCTTGACTTCAGGTACCCAGCCAAAAATCAGGAAACGCGGCGCATCCGTGTCTGCATCTTTCTCTGCATCAAACTCTGTGTCTTGGATTGACACGAGTGTAGAGGATGAAAGACAGGGGCGGAATGGATTTGAACTTGCCCAGGATAATGAGGGCCAGTTTGCCATTACGCGTACAGTTTCGTGTGACGATGAAGACGAGTACTATGCGTACTCAGAGTGCCATGCGTCTCACTGTCACCATCATGTGATGGACGACGAGCCGACTATCAACGAGCAAGGAGATTCGGTGCTCAGCGAGCCCAATACACTCAAGAAGGACCGATCGAGACGGAAGAACCCGCATGGTCTCCAAGGATGGAAGGCTAAATGCCCATTATGCAGGTTCATGGCCAGTATGAAATCGATCATGGCACCCTCGACCCCTACCAATCCCGCAACGACAGACAACGACCATCCTATAACAGCACCTGCGTACTCCACCACTGCTGATAAGCTCTGAGAGGGTTGCTTTGGACTCTCGTTTGTTCCTTGTATCCGTAGTGTACATCACCATCAACCTATGCATATCACCTAATATTATTGCCTATATCTTATCCATACATTTCCAACTAGACTTGTACATCAATCTATGGCTTTTTCCGTATTCCACCTGACCTATAAATATGCTTTTTGCCATACTTCGACATAAAACCCTAATGAGTGACCAACTCATCAATGGGTGATCGCTCCAGCTGCTTGGACGGACGGGACCTTAGGCGAGGGATAGGCCATTAATGACGAGCTCGTCCTGGCGTTTAGTCGCGGCGGCTGCGTTCCAATAATAGAGCCCGTAACCAAACCCGTCTTCGTAAAACTCGATACGACTCGTCTTGGCACTCGATGATCCGCCGCTTACTCGCCGCCCATGGCCGTATGAATGCAAGGCGCGGTGATTGAGTCTTGGACGGCGCACGGGTGGGGAGTGGGACCTGATGTCAGGTGAATCAAGGACAATATAGTCCTTTGACGGGAGCTGCCCGTATCCCGTGTACTCCTTGGTTGGTGCTTGACGGAGCGCGGCGATGTCTTCTTTCAGCTCCACTTCACCTGATGCGCAAATCGGCATAGTGGAATTCTGTGAGCTCACCGAAGCTGCGGGTGACTCGATGCCAGAAGGCGAGAACGAAGAGGGATAATTATATCCAGCCATTGCGCCAGCGCGACGAGTGGACAGTTTGGGAGGAAAAATAGGGCGATAGGTATGAATTTCAGTCAATTCATGTGCTGATGATGGTTTGATAGAGTCCTCCATGCTCAGCTCTTCAGCGTTGGTTGGTCAAGTCGACGAATGGGAAACCGAGGACCACAAGGACACAAAAGAGGTCTTTAGATCCAAGACCTCTGCGATGGAAGATGTGGCAAAGTCTGAGGAAGCGGGCGCAAAGGCGTCTGGCCAGCGTCTGCTGAATGTCTGCTAAATGTCTGCTGAATGTCTGCAGGGTTCCTTTGTAAACGGTCAGCAATTTAGTCTCTGTGATATATGAATTGCTTGTAGAAGTAATATTAGTCTTGTCAATTGACTGCAAGTAAACGTCCATTGCTTCGGAACGTCTATCCAATCATCACGGGTCATTTGGGCATGCACAATGATATATAGGAGGAGAGTGAGGATCTCTTACTTGGGTAAGGCGACCGTGAGCGGCTCGAAAAGTCAAAGGGTAACACAAGATATTTCAAACGGAGTTTGAAGTATGGGTACCACAGCTCTCCGTGAGACCTAGGGCATCCAGGATTTCGAGGATAAATTGATGAATAATTCACGACTTGAGGCGTCTACTTTTTATCTCAGAGTTCGCCCGGGAGCGATTCACAGCAATCGACGGGCTATAAAATGTATGTGGTATTGGATACAGTAGGTGTCGACGCAGACATGCGCGAGGCGAGATATCTACATGATGGGAGATGCTACAACTCTAAATTTCCAATTGGGAAGGGAGGGGGAGGATTGCATCCGACGTCTAAGAGGTCGGTATCGAGGACTAGAGTGTGCGTGGGAAATACTCGAGAACGACGGCGGTAAGTCTGGGAACTGCTCGAGAGTGACAATATGGCGTGGCGGTCGTAAAGGGTGATCGTGTAGAGGCATACAGTGGGCATTCACTTTCTTCCCATTAGCTTTCGTGCAAAGCCTTTGATAGAAATAGAACCTCGTTTCGCGAGGCGGCTTGTGCCCTCGTCGTCTGGGTTGAACGTAGGAGGTTGAAAGGAGGCGGCAACAAATTCTTGAACGGCCGTCGGATCAGCCTTGTTCGTATGATGGGCTGAAGGTACTGGTGGAATCACAAGAGGGGCTGAGCCTGCACGAAGGGATTCCGAGGTCTTCACTCTCCGTATGCGGGCTTTCCCCTTTGGTCGGATCGTCCGTTGGTCAGGAGGGATTTCATCGTCCTGTTCCCCTCGAAGTCTAGCAGACGGCAGTTGCTCTTGGAAAGAGAATGCCTCTAGTATCTGTCGAGGCGGTGGATCGTGAGCGCGTTCGGCCGACTCCTCGTCGCTCTCGCGACCCTGCTGTTGTTGGAAATCGACCCAAGAAGTTTCGGTTTCGTCCTGGTCACTCATGAGCGCTTCAAACTCCTGCTTTTCCTCCCAATCGAGCCAAACCTGGCCTTGTTCATCAACGACGGGAAGATTGTGGCCTTTCCAATCTCGCTTTGCACCTGGTCGCGACGAGTCGAGGCAGATGAGGGCGTCACGTAGCGTGAGCGGGATGCCGAGGTGCTACCACGCTGCATGGGCGTTGGGCGCGTCGCGTGGGACATGTTACTCCCTCCATCCATTAATTGCTGGAGTGCAAGCGTCGTCGAGTAGGGCACCGGACGAAAGAAGCGACCCTTGGTGCTCGGTGTACCGCTGCGTGTGGATGATGCTGCAGAGTGCGGCCGCGAGGGCATGGGCTGCGACTTGGACATTGTCAAGGAGGAGGACAAGGTCGAGATGAAAGAGGGCCAGCGGCTTCAGCCAGAGGAGGACACGCCGGGTTCTTGAATCTACTGATGTAAAGGGACGAATACACAGAAGCAACAGCTGCGTGTGCGGAGCCTTGGAAGGAAGACGAGGGGTGCCTGCGCTTGCAGCTGCGTTGTGAGCGTTGCCAGAGCTGGGATGGTACGAGTTTGCATGAATCGCACGAAGGCAAAGATTCCAACTTTTCTTTGTACTGCCTTTTGAGCTCTCGTCAAGCTGGGCAAGTGCCCGAGCCTTTTTGGGAAAGGACAATGGGATCGGCAATGGCGAGGAACGTGAAGCGCGGCAGACTTGCCAGAACCCGTCCAAAATAACGAAGAAGCAGTTTATACATTCATTCGAACACCACGTGGGCCGGAACGGAACCGCCATTGACCTCGTCAAGCAATTGCCAGAAAAGAAAACTCGAACCCACAACTTTGGATTCTCAAACATGCCGAATATTCATTTGTCCATCTCAGAGTGCGAACCCCCCGAGACCACGAACATATCGGAGCGCTGCATTCCAGACTTGTAAGAAGCCGAGCCGAAACCTGTTGATACTTGTTGTAGCTCATCGTATTGTACTCTTCGAGGTTTTCTTCGGGCTTTAACCTTCGTCGAGGCAATCCCGGCAGGGGTGATGTATCACAATCGCGCGAATTTGCTCTGAAATAGACAGATATCAAACATTGGACGCATTATGACTTGCATTGATGATATCCATGGCTTCTAGTGCGGCTACTGCGTTTGAATTCTGGCGCATCGCCTTGAGAGGGCCGTTGAGCTATGTTTCGTCCCTCTGAACGAGCATGTAGACGGGTTCAAAGACGTTCGTAGGCAAATGCTGGTATGGTGCGGTACAAAAACGGCTCGAGCGTCTCGACGTTCACCTTTATTCAGCGATCGTGGCATATTGTCCCGGTTAGATGGGATCAAATACAATCATTGAGTGCTACAGTCACAGGCCCGACACATTGTTCAAAAGATAATACCGAAGTGACCTCAGCGACGCCTTCTTCCAGTTTCATCCTCATCGTCATGTTCCCATTCATGGTCTTCGTCGTCCCCTCGTATTGGTCGCCGCGAAATTGCCTCGGGAGTAGCATCCGTGCTGGCATCTCGACTAAGCTCCCTGGCCGACGCCACAGGGACGTTGTGGTTATCGTTGGAAGCTGAATTATACCACTGCACGGTCAGTTTACCGAGTCCTTCGATGGACGGTGGACCTCCTCTCAAAGCCTGATACGAGTTAGTAGATGATATCGCTATGCTAACGCCCTTACCAGTTCAGCCAAAGCTCTCGAGCTGAATGTGACAACGAGTCCACCAGAGTCAGCTTTTTGAACGTCTTCAGCTTGACCGCTCGGCTATCTGCGCATGAGCACAAAGTAATCAAGACATAAGTAACGTACCAAATAGAAACTTTGTGCCATCTCCAGAGCAAGATCATCCGTTACACCTGCTTCATCGTACCCTTGTAGGAGCAGCTTCTTTGTCCGGTTGTCCAGCGATGCATTCGCCAGTGCAAACGCGCCGCGTCCTCGCCCCCTTCCACGCACGCGATATCCACCTCGCCATCCACGTCCACGACTACTTGCACCACGATATCCATACGATGGCTGCCCTTCCTGCTCCTGGTCAACAGCAGTAGGATCCAGGCCACGTTCTGCGGCAAGCTCTTGTAGACGGGCAAGAGCCTGTTGAGCTTCCTCTTGTGTCATCTGACCAGCGCCGCTAGCAAGCATATCCAAATCCAAGTCGAGGGCATCCTTGGAGGACGACGGCTCCGTCTTAGCTGTTGGGGCGGGCGTTGCGGGTGGTGGTTGAGGCTTCTGAGATTTGAGAACCTTGAACTTTGCCTTGGCTTCCATCTTTTCGGCCTCTGTCGCCGTGCTTGACTGTAGTACGTCCATAACGGCCTTCATCTTGTCCATCCACACCCGCTGAGCATACTCAAAAACCTCTTGCGGTGACATTTGTGTCGCCTTTTGCTGTGTATTTGCTCCTGAATGAGATGATGATGGATATCCGCCTGTAGGCTTTGGATATGTCGATCCAGATGCGGTGGATGTTGATGTGTCTTGCATCTGTACATCCTCCGCCCCATTCGCGACCGCATTGAGCTTTTGAACCTGTGACGCGCTAGCCTCAAGAGCCTTTTGACCAGCGACCCCTCTTCCTGGGGCCGGTCGATGCCAAAACACGACGACGAAGCGGTTTCCGAAAATGGCTTCTTCAGATTTCCATGCCGCATGGGCCTCTTGGTGGGTAGCAAAGGATACGAGAGCACGGTTCCCTCGCGTGTCCAGCCCAACGTTTGTCACCGTTCCAAACTTGCCAAAGTATGCTGTCAAGTCTGGGATGTTGACCTTTTCGGGTGGTAGTTTTTCTACGACGATTGTCACGGCGTTGGGATCGACCACATTGTTGCGGTGACTTCGTTCAGGACGCGTCCCCCTGCCTCGACCACCGCCCCGAGACGGTCCACGCTCATGACGAGGGAATTGCATCGGTTGCTGTTGCCCTGTTGCAGAGTCTGCGTTCCCATTTTGTCCCCCATCCGTCATCATAGCGTCCTCACTTTGTGAGGGGCCCCATTCTGTCGATGCTGTTGGCCTCTCGGAGTCAGGTCTTGGATCCCAGAATCATTCATTGGGGGTTGATTTGGGAAGACTGGCATTCCGTTGAAAGGGCCATTCATGCCAAAGCCGGGGCCGAACATTCCTGGATGAAAGCCTGGGGGAAAGAGCCCGTTTAGCATTTGAAGGGCAATTGCTGGGTTCATGTTCGGTGGAAAAGGCAGGGGCATCCCTCCAGGCATTCCATTTGGGAAACCCATGGGCGTTCCATTCGACATCACCGCGTCTTCGCCATGATAGTATGGGCAACTTGGTCCTACGTTACAGTAGCCGATTTCTGCGATAGATTGAGCTGGCTGTATCACTGTCAAGGTTGAGCACGCACCATAATAATTACGACACTTTTCGGGGCGTTGGTCAGCCCTTGGTCCTGTCGGAGGAGTCCTGCGAAAACGAGACGAGGAGCTTAGTCCGTCCGACTGGGTCCCATCAGCCTGTCCTTGTTCAGAATTGCGGTCCGGCGGTTTTTGGCTGTGGCTTCTGGGGCCATCGGGTGGTTTACGTCCTCTTCGCTCGTCATGGAGACGAGGGCCTTTTGGTGGGCCTCTTAGCTCACGCTCTTGGACTTTCTCCTGCTCGTCTTGTTCCAGCCCGCGTTTCCTGCCTCGTGAGTGTGGAGTTGGGCCAGATGTTGTAGTATAAGGAAGATACGACTTGGATCGTAGTGTAGAGAGTAGTCTATCTACGAATGGTGCTGATTCTGGATATGGTGACTGATTAGCCCGCTTTTCTTGCCATTCGGTCACAATGCACACACCTTTTTGCAGGAAATCGGCGAGTTCTTCAACAAGACGAGGTCTTACATCCTTTTCCGGGTCATTGTTCCACATAGACAATAGTTCTATAATGTATTTGGCGAGGGCACCCGGGTCGGCGTCAGAGCTAGAGAGAACGCGTTTAATAGCAGCCCAACGACGATATGACAAATACTTGCATTGCGTCCAAATTCTTCTCGAGCCATGTTGTGAGCACGCCCGCGTCCTTGGTGTCATACAGTCCCATCAACGTCTGGTTCAAGCTTGGATCACCACCACGGCGGCAGACTGCTGCCAGAGCCGCAAAGAATCATGTCTGAAATCCTTAAACCAGCATCATCTTTGGGTAGCATCATCACTTCAATGCCAACCGCACTCTCCATTGCGCCAAATGCGGCCACAGAGCCTATGGATATCGTTCAGGAGGGTAATAGGGTCTTCAACAGTGGCATACGCACTCTGCTCATTATAACCACGCAGGATGGCTGCTCAAGAAGAAGCGAAAGAAACTTCAAGGTGCCTCTGGCCCAAGGATGGGGCGGAACTGTGCTCATTTCTTGCAGGCTATGCTCGGAGATACTTTACACTAACATCTAATGGAATACTTTCCTATTCATTACGACAAGGAGACGAGATCCGGGACCAACTTCATCTCATCAACGCCGTGTTCAGTTCTTCGCCTTCGCAGCGATCCATTCACGTCGATTCTGGTATCTCTACATTTCATCTTCGTGCCCTTACGGAAACGGATTATGAGAAATGGATGTCTGCACTGCGGTATGTTTTCTCTTGTGAAGTGCTCTTCTTCGGAAATGGATATCCTACAGGCAGTTCATTACCATGCCTCGACCGATGAGTGCCATGGATGGCACTTTGCGACATTCGACAAATTATGCCCGGACTGTCAACTTTTCCATTGGCCATGCGACAAAGATGAACGCACTACTAGATGATATGGAAAAGGTGAAGTGCATAGTTCGTGTGGTCAATACTAACATGAGCTTAGACACTCCACGATCTCCAAGATGCTGCGCAAGCACTTCATGATCAAAGCGTTGCCTCTGTGCGCAGCAAACGTGAACATCCAAAAGAGGGGTCGAAAGAGGCCGGGTTCCTTGGAATATTTGGAAAGCCAAAGGGTGAGTGACATTTCGTATTCTCGCTCGTTGTTGATCTCGACAGTGTCCAAGCCCAAGCCGGCGGAGGAACATGAGGATACTGGGTCCGTCAAGAGCTCTAACAAGCCACGGGAATCAGAAGAGCACATTCCGCAATCCCTTCCTGGGATTTTGACTGGTCTTGCGCGGCTGCAACGACAGCATACTCAAGTCGTTGGAACGTTCAACGCGCTCCTTCATCTGGATAGCCTCACGAGCCCAGTGAGGGCAACCTCACCTCCTCCTGTGCATCCAGAATGGGTGTCGGTCCGTGTGCCGAGTCGAGCAGGGACGACAAGGAGGACCATGTCCGTAGGAACGACGAGTGACGAGAGTGTGCAATGGTTCGATGCAGACGATGGACCTGAAGAGTATGTTCTAGAAGAACCAGAGGCAGAGAACGAGGTAGAGGACGCAAAGATGCAGATTGTTTCGGACAGCGAGACTGAAGAGGATAAACCGCCACCACCGCAATCTTCAGGGGACGAGGAAATCGTACCAGTGAAGCCACCAATTAAACGACGAACTCGTCTACCGGCGCCGGTCACCGGCGACGAGTTGTCGCTTTTGGGCGTCTTGCGCAAGAACGTGGGCAAGGTATGCGGTATAGCTACCCGGTCGACCAAGCTGACTTTGTTGCAGGATCTTAGTCAGATCACCATGCCTATTGGATTCAATGAGCCCATTTCCATCTTACAGCGTCTGGCCGAAGATCTCGAGTACAGCGAGTTGCTCGACCAAGCTGTGGCCACCGACGACCCGATCGAACGAATGTGTCTCGTTGGCGCATTTGCCGTGTCTGGTTATGCGTGCACACGTCTGCGTGCTGCACGGAAGCCGTCTAACCCAATGCTGGGCGAGACGTTTGAGGACTCGCGGTTCAACTTTATTGCGGAAAAGGTTTCGCACAATCCACCCGTCATGGCATGTCATGCCAGTGGTTCTGGATGGACATATGACGCTGTCACGCAGGCTAAGCAGAAATTCTGGGGACGATCGTTGGAAATCATCCCAATGGGAACAACGCGGCTAAAGATTCTCGATGACGTCTATTCATGGTACGCATTTCTCTCCCTCGTCTATGAATGGATCATTGACACCTAGATGTAGGCAGAAGCCGTCATCGTTTATGCGCAACATTGTCGCAGGTACAAAATACCTCGAGCATGTTGGACCGATGAAGATTATCAACGAGACTACGGGTGCCCGCTGCGAGATTGAGTTTAAAGAGAGCGGAATGTGGGGGTCGGCAAACGTCGTCAACGCAGCTGTTTATTTGAAACCACACTCGACGCATGTCGATGCCAAACTCGAAGGCAAATGGCATGAATCGCTCGCGCGTATCATGTCGCGCAACCACTTTGAAGTCGTCTGGCGCGCACACGATCTCCCACCGTACGCGCCAGAGTATTACGGGTTTACGTATTTCGCCATGACGCTCAACGAGCTCACGGACGATTTAAAGGTGTTGGACGCAGAGGGCATATGGGATGGTCAAACATATGTCCTGCCCGTGACGGATTCTCGATTCCGGCCCGATCAAAGGGCACTGGAAGAGGGTAGATTGGATGAAGCGGATGATTTGAAGATCAAGGTAGAAGAGATGCAGCGTGCGCGACGTAGGACTGGTAACGAGGTCCAGCCTCGATGGTTTCGCAAAGTCGGCGAAGAAGATACCGCATGGGAATATGCGGGTGGATATTGGGAGATGCGGGAAGAAGGATGGGGCAAGCAAGAGGCGTTGTGGTGATTGTGATCTAGCTGTCAAGCCCTCGGGGCGATTAAATCTCTGGCCGTGGTCGTAAAGTCCACCAGACCGTCCAAGCATCCAGAAAGGATGTCAGAAAGGCCTTTTCACCTGTATTTAGACCTCCTGCGCTGCTGCCTATCGAGATGGCATAGCCACCTCGTCCCGACAGGACAAATGGGTGCCCTCCTTGCGTGTTTGGACGCTTTGTGCGCCAAATCTTACGCAAAAACTCCTTGGAGATACACATTGGAGTACTTGTGATAGCAGCGTGGGACAAGAACACAACAGATGAGATGACGTTTTTTGGACTAGGGCTGTCCAGCAAAACAGAGAAAAAACGCCCGAAGAGTGAGTTTCAAGAACGCTAGTCTCTCCCTCGGTTCCAGCTCAGGTCCAGAGAGAGCAGCTTCCTCGTTCACGAGGGCCAGGAAAGCGGACTGGGATGCCTGAGGTCCGAAGGGGATCCTCGCGTCCTCTCAACGCATCCGAGTGTAACAACACGAAGAAAAGCGCTCACATCCTCATTTTTTCCCGCGCGGTTTCCTGACGGGTGAGATTGTCCTCCCATCGCCTCCGGTCGCGAGTGCGCTCGCGTTCCATATCTTCGACGGTGTAGTCTCTGTCCTCTTTCCCGTCGCGTTTAGAACTGCTCATCCACGGCCGGTCGTCCAAGGGTGTGAGGGAGCGCTTACGGCCCAGACTATCTCTCCTTCGATGCTTTGACTCTCGCTCGCCCCGACGTGGGCTTGCGCTCCTGGACCTTGTTCTCCCACCAGAGCGCTCACGACGATCGTAGCTGTGACGATGCCTGTCCCGACTGTAGTCCCTATCGTCGTCGTCGTTGCGATGTCGAGAGGACGAAGAGACGGCTTGCATGGCGCGTCGTTCGCGTTCTTCGCGCTTCCGTTCTTCTTTGAGACGTTTACGTTCGGCCTTGAGTCTTTTGCGTTCTTCTTTGCTCAGCTTTTTCTCTTCTTCATTGTTTTCATCTTCGTCGTCGTTTTGGTCTGGCTTGGGAGCGACGGGAATGGCGTTTGCACCGGTCGTCGACGTGTCTCCGGCGGGCTTTGAGGGACCGTAGCCACTGTGATTGTGAGTAGGTAGTTGTAGGAGATGCGAATGGAACGTACAGTGCAGCAGCCATGGCCTCTTTCTCCGCCTCTTTAATCTTCAATAGTTCTGCATTACGTTCGTCTTCTGGCTGCTTCTTGTCGCGATTGTACCAGTGGACATCCTTGTTCTTCTGCCATCTGCCTGTTGGTGCGTTGACAGAATGGCCAAGGTAGTGCTGTCCCGAGCCAATGCCAAGATGTGATTATATAAAAGTATGACACGTCAGAGTCTACATCGACGAGAATTGAAGGCGAAAAAATGAAGAAAAAACACAAACCTCGCGATCTTTGTCTGCAGAGACATCTGACCACTTGAACTCGCCAGCGCCGCCTCTTGTACCTCCGCGGGTTGGCTCGAACATGGTGCTGGCGTGGCAGAAACGGGGGGAATAGAGGCTAGAGGAGACAAGGAGCGTTGCAGGTGGTTCGACGCGTCGGGCACAGCACAGCGGTGGCTCTGCTGGTAGCAGCCCGTAAGGATTCCGGTGTGGCGGGGTACAAGGTAGAGGGTCAGCAGCGGGTAACAAGTGGCAACTACACGCAGGTGGTGACGGTAACCACTGGATATTCGAAAAATCGCCAAAAATGGAGAAAAGTGTAGGAAAAGGGACAAAGGGCCGCTGGACCGCTTAGTCGTGGCCGGTTCATCCGCAAATGGGCGCCAGACTGGCTCGGGCACGTCAACAGTTGGCCGAGGGAATTCAGTCGCTTTGTTGCTGACTAATCTGCCCAACTCCATCAGAGGCGTCGGGAATAGTGGCAGCAAGTCTTGTGGTACCTTTTGGCTGTCCATCCCATCTTTGCACTTGAACTCGCCCACAACTGGCTCAGTATGGGTAAAGCCCAGCCTGTCGCCGTCAATGGCGTTCCTCCAGTCCTCAAGCGCAACATGGTGAGAGCAGGTTCATCAACTTTTAATACAAGGTCGACTCACATAGTTTCCGAAAGGCATGCCATCAGTGTCGAAAGCGCAAGCTTGCAAGTCGTCTCAAACTAGACTACAATCCCAGTTTTCTAATCTAATCTCTCTAGAAATGCGACGCACAACGTCCTTGTTCGACTTGCAAACGCTCACATGCAAACGCGCTCGCCACCCAGATGCCTGGCACAGATGTGCCCCCAGAGCCCGTGTGCACCTACGACGAGCTTCCAGAGCCAAAGGATCATGTCGAGAGAATGCCAGGAGATGGAGGCACCCGCGGCAGATACGAGCGGCTCGAGTCCCGCATTGGTGTGTCTCTACTCTACACGCTCGCTGCCATGCTTGCTTGCTCATAATCTACACATAGCTGAACTCGAAGCTCAACTCCGTGAACGAGAACAGCTGGACGCGTACACCTCACTCCGGGCACAGCTCAGTCCCCTTGGCCGGCTCTCCATCTCGGATCCGTTTGACCAGCTGTACCAACAACAACAGCTACCCAATCTCCCCTTTGATTCCAATAATGTTCTTTGGCCCAATTGGCCCGAAAGACTACCAGCGCCTCCGCTCCTGCACAACCTCGCAGAAACGTTCTTCTCGTGTCATCCGCACGCCACGAGGTTATTGCATCGACCGACGTTCATGGCGTCCCTTGCACTCCCGCCCAATCACGCAGATTTCCCGGCGCTCAGTCTCCTTCATGCCATCTGCGCGCTCGCAAGTCTCTGGAGCCCGCTCGTTGAGCGCAGAGATGTCCAAAAAAGTCCACAAGAGGGCGATAGCCCGGTCGGGCGTGGCGATTGGTTCGGCGAATTACATGCACGATGGAGTCGAGAAGAAGAGGAAAAGAATGCGACTGAGGGCACCAGTGTCTTTCAGGGTTTGCAATGTCGGTACTTTTTCCCATTTCTACACTTTTGCGGTCAACTGAATCAAACTCACCGCAGCCATCGTCGTCCTGACCTGGTACTATTACGCTCACGCACGTTGGGTCGAGGTCTGGTTGTATACCTCCAAGGCACTCCGTTATGCCGTCCCAATGGGCCTTAACACGACACCCACGCACGGTCCCCTTTTGCGTTCGTGGACGATGCCTTCCATTCTGGGCCCGCCCAAGAATGCAATCGAGTCGGAGATGCGACGGACGACGTTTTGGCTCGCATACTGCTACGAACGATGGCAGGCGGCATCCACAGGATGGGCAATGGGTCTTGACGACGAGGATATTTCCCAAGTCTTGCCACTCCCCCTTGTTGACTTTGAACAGGGTCTCTCTATCCTGCCAGAACTGAGGCAGAGGATCTCGACGCCGCGCATGCTGACGCTGCACATCCCAGAGCAGACAGACGCGTTTACTCTCTATGTCAAGGGCACAATCTTGTTCAGTAAGGTCAAAAACTTTAACATTCGTTTCAAGAGCAAGTACTATTACGCCGTTGCATCCAACTCGGCCCACGGGGAACGATTTGCACCTTTTGGAGGAATGACCCATCCACCACCACAACCGCAACAACAGGTAGCGCTTGCACAACATCAGCAACAACAGCAGATGGAACAGGCTCAGGATGATGTCAAGGGTGAAGGCACAGCATCACCCGATGGATCCTCGAACAAGGACTTGCCATATCTTAACACATCTTACCAATCTAATTCGACCTCTACTCCCTCTGGTGGATACGGATTTGGCATGGCGATGGGTATGGGATCCAGCTTCAGCCCAATCGGCATGGGACCTGGTCCTGAGAGGATTGATCCCGAGATACGCCTAGTTTCCGTGCCGTGGACGGGCTCATCGAGGGATTCAGGACCAGTTTCCCAAAGAACCTGAGGGATCCAGTTGCTGGAGGACGCGTCAATTCAGAGCTTTACGTGGCCTGCTTGGTGCCGCATGTGTACGTCTTTTCTTTTCTTTGTTCCCATCTTCCTTCCATCTTTCATTTGTGTGGGTGGGGGTCACCTTAGGCTGGATCCATCCCGTCTTGCCACTTACCGCCGCCGACGCAAGGTCAAGTCACACGCTCGCTCCCACGACGTCGTCCTTGATCCCTCTTCGCACGGCAATTTCCATAATTTTCTCACATCAATTTTGACTCACCGACGCTGACATTTTTTTTGGCTCCATCCGATCACCTCGCAAACCGTGCCCTGGCTCGACGCTTCTCTTGCCACCCTTGTCGTCCGTGTATCGACTGCGATCATCAACCGCATCAATACGGATGATGAACCAAAATTTCGGCATCATTGTGGCTGGGAATATTCGGTCTACAGTGCGACCATTCTCCTCCACGACCCTCACGCCGACCCTGCTGCTCCAACGTGTCGGTCAGCGGAAAAGCTGCTCATTGCAGCACGTGCAATCCTGGACCTCGTCTCCATTCTTTGCGCCACGTCCTTTGACATTACGTTGCTCGACCCCGTCGCTTCGTTTGCGTGGTTCCTCGCCGCACGTGTCTTTGTTCGTTTCCTTCGTGCACGGCTCGATGGACGAAGACATGCTGAAGCGGTTGTGCTGAGAAAGGAACTCGAGGTGATTCGGATCGCGCTCAAGAGGATGGGAGAGCGCGTTCCCTTGGGATGTGAGTCCACCCTGCGCTCTTGTCTCCTGATACTGATGCATCAATATAGATCGACAGAGTAAAATGCTTGATGATCTCTTGGCGAGTGAAGTCGGCAATGCCCTCGACACGCCGGCTGCGCATGCATTTGCCTTTGCCAATACGTCGCCTGATGGACAAACGACCACTCTTCCTCTTTCAAATAATGTCAACGCATCGCCTTCAGGTGGATTCAGCGCGGACACTGCATCGCTGTATGTCGCTGCAACGGCAGGCCATCGTGGATCGTTTTCCGCGCCAAACGGACATGTGGATTTATCCATCGAGCATCTTGCTCCACAGAACCCATCTGGACTCGCAAGTCACCGCAACTCGTTTTCCGCCCAAGGCGGTTCGTCTGATCCCACCCGCGGAGAAGGGAGTGGAACCGCAAATGGTGGACTACCACTACCAGATGCCGCGAACACGAAGAACATGATGTTACATGATCTGCCACCCATGCTTCTTCCCGAATTGCATGGTTACGACCCGCTCCTCCCTCCATCCGCACCAGAATCCGCCACGGCGCTGCATACCCCATCATATACCTTTGGCGTCGCGGAGATTCACCAGAAGTTCCTCGAGAGCATGAAGTCGCAAGACGAGATCCTCGCCGCTGCCAACAGTGGTCCTAACGGGCTTAATGTAGGCGGTGGCGGCAGATTGGAAATGCTTCTCGGCGAGATGGTGGATGATGGCGACGAGGGTGTGTTTGGTGGTGTCGCTGGGATGGGTGTCCTCGGTGCTATGGGCGACTCGGGGATTGGAATCGGTGCCGGCGTCGGAGTGGCGGGAGCGGGGATTGGCTATGTGAATGACTATACGCTCGTTAATGGTGGCGCATGGTGACATCCATCCCCACTTCTCACTCTCTAATGCTCTCATCGGACGCTGTCACTCCTATTTCGACTGAACTTCTTGGATACGGACAGTCGTCTCATAACTCTCGTTTCCGTTTACGGTATGACACCGCGGACGATCCGTATGTTACATTTATTTCGTTTGGACTTTCGTTTCTTTGTACATTTATTTGTATGATCGCCTATTCGCTCCCAAAAAATACCGCTTTCTTGCAGCTGGCCTAAGATGCCTCACGACTTCGTCGCAAATCTGGTCGACGCTTGGTGAGCACATCAAACGCTTCGAATGCACTCCTAAGTGCCACCATGCCAAAGCTGCACTGCGCCGTGCGCCAATCCTGCTCATCGGCTCTCTTGCTCTCATTGTACCCAGTAGAGTGCAACATTGAGCAATACCAAGCACAGAGTGCGCGAGCGAACCAGTCTCGAAGCGGATCCTCACGGCAACCCTGGAATGCGTGACGGACTTGGTCGACGAGCATACCCGCAACGTCGCGTACTTTGGAGGCCATGTCGTCTCGTCGCTTGGTTTGCGAAGACGCTTGGAGGATAGTCCCCATGACTACTTCTTCCTCTGTCAACGGGGTACGACCGATCGTGTATATTCTGCGTATGCTCTTCAGCTCCCGAGCATATTCGTAAAATGTACGCATGACTCGCTCCTTGTGTACCAAGGCATCTTGAATCGAGGGGCAATATGGTCTGCCGATGAAGAGGAGTGCGTGAGTGATCGGGTGCTCGACAGGGTCAAAGGTTGGGTCATAAACAATTTTGTCGCGTTCTGGTACCTCGCGAATGTGTTTAATCATTCTGTAGAGTACGCCGAGCGCCTTGGGTGACTCGTAGTAGCTTGTCTGATCATCGAACCTGGTTTCCTTGTGCTGAAAATCAGGAGTATACGGAAAATAACGCTTTGGGAGATCCTGGAATGAGACAGGTTTGCCTGATTTTGCAAAGTCGACCTGTGAATCGTTAGGTCAGGGAATTGGAATGGGCCAGGGATACTAACAGCCTTCGAGTGTAACTCGGCCAGTTTAAGGCACTTTGGGTCATGCAAACCCGAGTTTGATTGATCAGCTTGAATTATATCAGGATGCTTCATTATCATGCTATCTGCAAGTACTGACCCAGTATGAGATGCTGGATGGCCACGAGGCCCATCTTGTCAGAGTTAATGTACTCTACCACAAAGTCGGCAATGTCTTCGATAGTCGTAGGGCGTTCCAGGGTCAGTGTATCTTCCACTTCATACGATGCTGGCGGTCCGACTTCTAGCTTGAAGTCGGGTTTCTCCGGAATGATTTGGAACAAGTCCTGTATTGGCATCAGCAACGTTTCTCTTTCCGTACGAATAAACATACACCGTCTACATCGCCTCCCCCAAGCATACTGGCTGGAGGTCGAGCCCCTACCCAACCATTAGAACCGAGACATTGGTTGATGCGATAATCACACCTTTACAAGAGAATACGACTGCGTTGACAACCGGATGGTTGTAGTAAACCGAGCCCCTTGGTGGGTGTTTGGCCTTGAATTTTTGGACTATGGCTGGTCAGCCAAGTTCACGAGGCCTGGCGCACGCACCGTCTCCTGGATGAATCGAGGGGCTGCGCGTGATGTAAACGTATCCTGGCTTTTCTGGGAACCATTTAGGTTCCCTGTCGCGCTCCTGTTTGCAAACTACACGAGTCAGAAGTGGCGCCAATAGGAGGAAAGCCAACGACATACTATAAACCTCGTCGGCCTCCAGTTCCATATGTACATCGGGCACGCCAACGAGCGAGCAGCCAAAAGGTACAGGAATGCGCGCCTTGTACTTGAGTTCGCGGTCAATGTGCGCCTTTGCAACATCCAGACAACGCAACCAAAAGTCGTTGAATGGATGATCGTATTCCTGGAGCTTTACACGCGTGACCTCATACTTCTCCAGACTCCGTAGGATACGCGGGAGGTCAAATGGCAGGCCAAGCCGTCTTGATTCAAAAAACTCGGCGGCGCCCTCATCGATGCTAAGGAGTGTGCTGTTCATTTTACTCTGTGCATTGACGAGGAGACGCTTGAACCAGTCAATCTGGACGCCAAGGTGCTCCAGAATAGCAATAAGCGGTCTTTCACGACATTGAGTAATGGTCGGGACGAAAATGCAAGCTGACCTGTTCAAAAAGAGTTTGAGTGGGTGATCAAACTTGAATGCAATGTGCAATCCGTAGTCTTTGCTCTTGAACTTGACCATAGACCTGTGAAGGACGACCTTTCGTCCCTCGAGAGTGGGATTAATTCCAAGTACGCCTTTTGCGCCCCCTAGAATGCGAATCAACCAAGTGCAAATCGAATGTCGCCAAATTTTTCATACCCAGTCGAACCTGCGGACAGAGTTAGTAGGGTATGAGGCTATAAATGCGACTCGCCTGGAACACCGCCGGCGCAGGGATGGGCAATGGGTTCACCCCCGGGTTAAGAGCCCTCCATATCTCGTCTCGAACGGCAAGAGACATGCATCCATAGCCGTCTGTAAACTCTGTGGCCGTCTTTGGTCCATCAGACTTAGTAAACTTTGGATCCACCATAATGTCCTCCTTGATTTCCACTTCATCTTCTTTGAGCTCGATAGCAGGTTCGGTGGTCGAGAACGCCTGTGCGAGTCGGGCACCGAATTTGGCAGGTTGTTTCTCCAACTTGAACTCCGCGGTATCGCCACCTTTCTGCAGTTCAATGTCCATGATAAGGTTTCGAATAATCTCTGCATTGACCTGGTTGTTGTAGCGGTCCCGAAATGGCGCAACAAACCACATCTGAATGCGGATTAGAATTTATATTGGCATGACCGCCTACGTACTGAGTGCTCTCTGAGACCAGAATTGCTGTATGCGAGAAAGTCAAAGTGTCGGCCACCAATGTCAAAGCCGTTCTTTAGGAAATTGCCCACTCGCTCCCTGACGAATGAGGTTCCGTCCACGTCACGATCCCATCGTATTTGTAAACGCTCTTCGTCTGTAAAGTTGACTCTGAGGAAGTGTTCTGAGTGTTCGACATATCTGAACAGAAAAACGTCGTGAGTTTCTTGTAAATTGGGGGGGGAAGTGACGTGCCGTCGGATTACTCCATTGGACTGGCCGTGATGGGGCCCCTCTAGTCTCATGGTCGTAGGCGTTATCGTAACTGAGCACGCCCAATACCAACCCGGAGGGAGGTCTTTCGAAAAGTCGGTCTTTCGTTTCCAGAATTCGTTCTGAAATGCTGCGAAGCGCTCCTCTAGTGTCTTTGTCGTAAGTTCCTGAAACGTCCATGCGGGGATCGATTGGGAGAAGTGATATAAAAGGTCAGAAATCTGTTGTTCAGACCGTTGGCTTGTCTTGAGTATCCTGTGCACGATTGAACACATTGTCTCGATATCAATCGGGTTCAGAAGACCGTTCTTCAAAAGTGCGGCGACTTGAAAAGAAACTCGGAGTGGAAACCGGGCCAACCATTTATCGTCTAATTCCTTCATAGCGCGATCACTGAGCCAGTCGAGGTAGTCTCCTGGGTTGATCTTCGTACGTTTCCCCCGGTGCCACAGTGATCCCAATCCGTCATCATTGTCAAGATAAACAGACGGTTTCAGGAAAGGAAGACCGACGACCTGTGCCATTTGTTTGAAGATGCTAAGTATGCCGGAGGAGTAGAGCGAGACGCGTAATTTTTTTGGGCAAATCGAGATCACCCGTTTGTGCTGCTCGTTTAATCCGATGAGACGAGTTCTAGGAGTAGCGTTGTCGTAGCTCTGCTCATTATGCCTCATTGCACCGTGTTCCAGGATGGGCGCAGTATACAGAGATATGATGAGAGTGAGATCCTTGACGGTAATTGATCTGATGTTTTCATACCGCAGTTTAATGAACGAGCGTGTAAATTCCTGCGGGTTTCCGTATGATACGACCACCGTATTGATTGCATCTTGGAACTCTAAATCTGCCCTAGAATGAATAGTTCCGGAGAACTTCGCGCACCATTCTACGCAGAATCGATGCATGGGCGTCTTGTTCTTAATGTGCCAGTGGTCGAAACCGAAGGCGATCTCAGACACTTGACAGCTGTGTCGAAGTTTTTCGAGACGGTCGTTGTGCTCCTTTTCCAACCTGGGGTCATGCCATGGCATCGTCTTCAGGTTGCTGATGTCGGCAGCCGTCCATCTTCTTTTGCGGTCAACTTGGAACACGAGAGCTTGATGCTCAACTGTCTCCCTGTCGTTCCAGTCCGGATAAAATGGAACATAGATGTGGTTTTGTTTGGTGTACCAAGAGAAGAGGCCACCCCAGTCTGGAACAAGAAGTGAGCCAAATGGCATAAGACGGCCACTAGAGTCGTCTCTCTTGTGAAGGGTAATCGAGACGCTCAAGAGTCTCGTGGCCTCATCGTCGTCTGCTGGTTTACGGCGTGATCCATTTTCTGCGATAGCCTTGTGGTAGGCTGTAGAGACTGCCCATTTGACATCGTGTTCTTCGGCTAGACCTTCGTTCAGTATATGGGCTTGCAGGGGTACAATGAGCCACACCTTGGGACGGGATATTCAAGATCCTGAACGCGCGTGCTCCACGAGGCTCTTGGAGCGCAGGTTTATGTCTTTCTTCTTCCTCCATTAGATGCTAGCTGCCTCGTCGTCCAGAGCCTGGCAAGGGGAGGAGGCAAAGTCCGAACACTGCCATCGACAACTTTTTGCTCCCATCTATTGCCCTGTGGCAGGCATTCTACACGCCACTAAACGACACATTGCAAGTTCCGCAGATATTAAAGGGCTTAAATGAACTGAATATGGCCTTGATTAGGTTTTGAAGATATCCGCCACATAAATTTTACCCAACCGAAAATCCACAATGTCTGCTGCTCCTTCAGAACCACAAGTCTTCTTTGCTCGTGCAGTCATTGCACGACTTGCAGTATGGCCGGTTCTGCGCGTCGCCGTCGACTCTGGATGGGGCGGTCCAGAATCCAAGCAAAAGCGAACATGGATGGCGGGTGAGATCATCGATGCGTTTGGCGCATCAACAGGGGCCGCTTCAGACCCCGACGAGACATATATCGAAGAACTCCTCCTCCAGATGATGGCCGACGAGTTTGATTGCATGGTCGAAGACTATAGCGGGGAAGATGTCGCTCGCGACATTATTCGACTACGAGAAGATTTTAAAAGCAGCAGAATTGAGGAGAGCATGAAGCACTGGGAAGAGCGGGAGCGGGCAATCGGTGGGAAAAAGGTCGAATACACCTTTACCAAGAAGGGAGACGACACGGATTGGGTAGACGACGATGAAGAGGGTTCGGGTGAGGATGGAGAAGACGAGAACGAGGAGATGGAGGACGAAGAAGTGCCCCAACTGATCGAACATAGCCAAAAGAAAGAACCAGTTATCGATGAGGACGGTTTCACGTTGGTTCAAGGCAAGGGAAAGGGCCAGAGACGAGGGTAATTATGCGTGCTAGATATGTAGCATCCCAGTAGATAACAGCATGGACTATCACGCTCTCCCCGGTTTAAACGTGGCGTTGGAACTACAGGGGGATTAGAATCATCAACGTACTTGAAAATAGATGACTGACCGATTAGCGACCGCTAGCTTGTGCATTTCTGTCTTCTTCCTGAGAACCTCACTTTCCCCCTCTATGATCCGGACGACCTCCTTTGCCAGCCGTTCCTCAATCTTCTTCTCGCTACGGTTCTTGCTGACAGCTAGGAGCCATTTAACGGCAAAAAAGGTGCGTTGTCGATCGTTGAGTGGAGTCGGAATCAACGAAGATTTTGCATTCTTCTTTTGACTACGCAACCGGACAGACGGAGATGCCAGGTCGACAGCCTGACGAAAAATGGGCAGCGCAGGAGCGTTGGTGAGTTTGTGAATCTCCGCCAGCATTTTGGTTACTGTTCTTGACGCCTTTTGACGCTCTCCATGGCGCATTATGTGTGACGCTAGATAGTGCAGCAGGGGGTCTTCGCTCGGAGGGAGTGCCATTCGAGTTGCTGGCTTTGCAGAGGATGAACCAAGCACGCTTGTAGGATCTAAACAATCCAAATTAGTGATTAAATACTATTTAACACGTCATCATGGACTGAGACAGACCAGGGACACCTTTCGACAAAGTCGTAGGGAGTAGTGACATCCTTCGTACATATACGAGCGTCTTTCCCGTACTATAGATATCATTTTGCAGCGTCTGCGCTGTCCTTGAGCGCAATAAGCGTAAAATGTGGGCCATGGTAGGAACAACAAAACTTGGCACCTGCGTCCTCGCTGTTACCGCTGCCTTGCAGCTCTACTTCTTCTTTTTTCCTCATCTCTAAATCATTATTTGGAACCCCAAATTTGTATTCGCTTGCGAGAATGAACCACAGTTTTCTTTGACTGCAACACCGACACCGGCGACAGCTGAAATGGCAGAGGCTGGCAAGGGAACCGTCCCAGACCACTCTATTCGCATATGTGCAGATAGAGGGGGAACATTCTGTGACTTACACGCGTAAACATTCCTTTATAGCTTGTCTTCAAGCTCTCAACCTCGCAGATCTTATCCAGATCCTGAGGACAATAGTTCAAGGAGAGAATTTGTCGTGAAGCTCTGTAATCCACTTGCCTACAACTCAACCACCGCTGACTTCCCCCAGTATCGCAAGACCCTTCGAAGTATCGCGACGCGCCGACTGAAGGGATACGAAGGATACTCGAGAGAATAACTGGCGAGAAGATTGAGCGTGGTACCAAGCTGTGGGTACATCCTTGCTCTCCTCTGATATGACTAATCTGTAAACCCCCAGGCCGACCAACAAGATCGACTACATCAGATTATCTACAACGGTGGCAACGAACGCTCTTCTTGAACGCAAGGGAAAGAAGCACGCATTACTGATTACAAAGGGCTTCAAGGACCTCTTGCTCATCGGGAACCAATCGCGGCCACGCATCTTCGACTTGAACATCAAGCGACCAGAACCCCTCTATTCAGACGTTGTTGAAGTAGACGAGCGCGTTACGCTTGTCGGGTATACTTCAGATCCCGAAGCAATCGAACATGCAATCCAGTTTGACGATCACGGAAAGATTGTCAAAGAGTACTCTGGAGAGGCATCTGCTACTGCATATGACGGAAATCCAACCCCAGAAATCGTTCGTGGGCTAAGTGGAGAAGCGGTTCAGATTCTTCAAAAGCCAGACCTTCAGCAAGTGGAACGCGACCTTCGTCGGCTCTACGATCAAGATTTTCGCTCAATCGCGGTCATTTTTGCACACTCTTACACATTTCCTGATCACGAAATCGCGGTGGGAAGGCTGGCGGAGAAGCTTGGATTCACCCAAGTCTCACTGTCATCCCAGCTCTTGCCAATGATCAAGATGCTGCCCCGTGGCGTGTCTTCCACGGCGGACGCGTATCTGACACCCATCCTTCGCGATTACCTCGACGGGTTCTTTGCCGGGTTCGACGAGGAGTTGCGTGGTTCTGGCAAAGGTGCGCAACAAGGTCGCCATGCGCGTGTCGAATTTATGGGATCAGATGGGGGGCTGCTGAATTTGGACAATTTCTCTGGTCTCAAGAGCATTTTGAGTGGTCCAGCTGGCGGCGTCGTTGGATATGCACTGACATCTTGGGATGAAAAGTCAAGGAAGCCGATCATTGGGTATGTACCACATTCAAATTGTGTTCTTTACCTGACAGTCATCAGTTTGGACGTCGGAGGCACTTCTACAGATGTGTCACGGTACGCTGGTCGATATGAGGTTACGTATGAGACAACAACGGCAGGAATCTCGATCCAGTCACCTCAGCTGGATATCAACACTGTTGCCGCCGGAGGAGGGAGCTGTCTGACGTTTAGGAATGGCCTCTTCAGAGCTGGTCCTGAAAGTTCGGGTGCTCAACCTGGACCTGCATGCTACAGGCGAGCAGTAAACGGGTAAACCGGTCTCCTTTTGACATTCGAATAGAAAAGGCGGACCACTATCTTTAACGGATGCCAATCTGCTTCTAGGAAGGATCCTACCGGAATACTTTCCTAAAATCTTTGGAGAATCCGAGACAGAGCCGCTAGATGTCGAGGCTTCGAGGGAAAAGTTTCAGGCGCTTAGGGCCGATATCAATGCTCAATCCAAGAGCCAGCTTACGCTTGACGAGATTGTCTATGGGTACTAATTCATACTGCCTCGGGGTGTTCTCTGATCTTGTCCAGATTTATCAAAGTGGCAAACGAAACAATGTGCAGGCCCATACGGTACGCTACCTGGTCAGAAATAATCTAGTCCTAACACTCCACAGAGCTCTCACAGAGGCTAAAGGATACTCTACTGGAAATCATATGTACGTCGAGATCTAAGACACGCATGTTCTCTAATGAATTTCCAGACTGGCCACGTTTGGCGGAGCAGGAGGCCAGCATGCTTGCGAGATTGCTCGTCTTCTCGGTATCAAAGACGTTCTCATCCACCGATACTCGTCCATTCTCTCTGCCTATGGACTTTCTCTAGCAGACAGGGTGTATGAGATCCAGGAACCGTCATCCACTGTGTACGACGAGTCTACACGGGCATCCCTCATCAAAAGGCTAAATGAGATGGAAGCAAAGACGACAGAGGTACTCAGAGGCCAAGGGTTTGACGAGAACAAGATTCAAGCCGAACGATTCATGAACATGCGGTTTGACGGTACTGACACCTCGGTCATGATCCTAGATCCTTCCGATGGCAGTCATGACTTTGCAGCTGCGTTCAAGAAGCAGCACAAGGAAGAGTTTGGCTTCCTCCTCGAGGGCAAGGCGATCATGGTCGACGACCTGAAGGTGCGGGGGTTGGGCAAGACATTCGACACGCTGGGAGATACTGTGCACGAGGAGTTGAAGACACTGGATAGAAGAGAGGTGGACAAGGCAAAGCAGGCATGTACGCACAGCGTCTACTTTGACGAGGTTGGGAGGGTGGATGATACACCGGTGTACGAGCTGCCGTCGCTCAGTATTGGAGATGTGGTGCAAGGACCGGCGATGATTATCGATGACACACAAACCATTGTCGTCGTGCCAAAGGCTACAGCGACTGTGACGACGAGACACCTTGTAATCAACCTCCACAGCTAATAAGATTTTGCTGTGAAGTGAAGCTGCTCTGCCCGCAGTCGTCGGGTTCCGGTCGGCCTTGACGTCGAGCATAAGAGTTGGAGAAGTTTGGGCTCCATTCCGTTCAGTAACCCTTGGTCTGCCCTTCGATACCGCATTTGCTGCTAATAATTGTCAAAATGCTCGCTCGTGTTGCTGCCGTCTCTGTCCTTGCTCTCTCTGCTCTCACTGTGAAAGCGGACCCTATCCCCGCCCCGCAAATCGACAGTTTGATCTCGTCCGTCGTCGGAGGCGCCTCATCGATCGCAGAGGGTGTCACAAGTGCAGTAGGAAACGGTGGAGAGGGCGTTTTCAGCTTCGTTTCGAGCGTTGGCGGCCAGGCTGCGACGGTCATTTCCGAGTCTGGAGGAGCTGTCTTCACCTTGGCTCAATCCGGCTTTGGACAAGTCACTACGATTGCTGGACAGCGTACGTGCTTGTGTATTCTCTGCCTATGCTTGCTTACACTGTTCTCCGTGCAGAATACACCGTCGCGACGGGTGGGTTTGCCGACTTTACGTCCGGCGTGGGTTCCGCTATCAATTCGTACGTATTCCGGTCTTGGCATGAACCTCTGTTTCTGATACGTTGACTTTAGAGCTACGCAGACTTCAAGCAGAGGCGCTGCTAGCAGTCTCCGATCACCCGTGTCTCTCCCGGTCACCTTGTCCCTCGTCGGGACAATCACTGGCATCTTCTTGGGGGCCGCCTTTGTTCTCTAAACTACCACGGACGCTAGTCGCAGATGTAGCTTTAGCTCGACGTACGTATCTTGTGCCTTTGGCGGGGCATTTGTTGGAAGATACCCCCATGCTGTTTATACAATTAACTAAACTATCTGTGTACACCTGAGCTAAGACTGGACGTGCTGGCCGTCGCCCGGACATTGCCTCGGGGAAACATATGGCGAGGTCCCACCGGTAAGGGATTGTGGGAACCTGGCATGCTTGCAGGCGTCTAATCATCTTCTTGTACCCCTCCTCGACCATCTTGTACCCCTCTCAGTGGCTACGTGGCATACAATAATGCAGCGTGAAGGCGGAGGAGCCAGAGCGCGTATTCACAGCATTTCGCACGAAACATATATCGACAACGAGCCATTCCAGGATGTTTTCAGTGAGGAATTGGAAAAGGGCCATTCATGGAACTCTGGCTCTCGCAGGGTTTGTTCAGAACTTTGGACACAAACCATCACTTTTGACAGAGCAATTAGGGCCGCTCGTGGATTACTTCGACAATCCTCTCAGTTTTACATCACGCATCCCCTCGAAATATAGTGCGAAATAGCTTCCAAAGGCCAACTTACGCCCTCAAACGACTGCCACTCTTACTTCTGGCACTCCTAATTACATGGTTCCTCTTCAGATCCGATGTAATTGTCAAATCTAGGCATACGTTGATCTACCATGAAGAGGACCTTCGAAGAATTATCGAGGTTTGTGAATCTGCAAAAACACATCTGGCCTTTGTTTGACACGGGCCACAGTGGGAGATACTCTCTGGTCATTGGATGTCATGGAGACCATGTGAGTCCTATCTTTACGCGATGAGTTCATTCATTGACCCTGGACAGTGAGTTCCTGGTTTGGCCCTCCGCGAAACCCTTCATTACCATCGCCCGTCGGCTATGACGATGGAGATCATCCAGGAGGTGTGACTGGCTGCGGATGGGCGAGGAAATACATCTACCCACAAGACATGATCGCCAATAATACGAATAGCAACAGCACGTTTACTCGGTTTCACCCCTTTCCACCACGTCCGATTGCAGGAAGTATCGTCGACTTTGATGTAATCAGTCAAAGGTGTGACCATGTCACCGGTCAATATCTTCGCGACTGCCTCGAGTATCTCCAAGTCGGCGGGGCGCTCAATGATGGCCTGGCCCATGTCCATCCCCTTGTCTTCAAAAAGACAGACGAGCCGGAAGAAGAGGACGCGATGATCAGACCCACGTTTCTAATAGGCAGTAATCGGCCACCAAAACGGCGACCTCTCCCTCCGCCATCCGAATGGCGCTATTTGTATATGGAAGATAGGTGGAGCACGCATGCACCAATGATGGAATGGTCGCGCTATGCCGGTGGAAAGGGGCTCGAAAAGCCTCTCAGTCTACCTACGCCAGTTCCCCCACCAGGAGGTATCCCCGCGTATACGATTGGTGTGGGAACTGTAGCAGTTGGAAAAGCTCCAGAAATGACGAGAGAAGATGCCAAGAAGAACTTCAAGTGGGCTCCAGGTCAATGTGACGCCGAGTATCCTCGACGCTTTCATACCTACTTGGAAGGCGAGCTAGATGAGACGACATACATGACCCTATTATCCTTCCTCTACACCCAAAACGTTGGACTGCATCTTCCATCGACCAATCAAACGTCTATCCCTTGTCGACCAGAGTTTTGGGTATGGGTCAAAGACTTGGGGCCAGACGAGTCCCAATGGAAGAACAAACTGCTCAAGAGCCCTTTTGCCCATATTCTTCTCAACGGACGTTTTTCGCATGTCATCAAATTCAAGAATTGGAACGCGACGGAGCAAATGGATGCCACACCAGAATGGTCGTCCGAGTGGCGTGACGCCGCGCGTCTCGACAGGCGACCAAAGAAGAAAAAGCTCATGCAAAAAGATGAGGCAGAAGAGCCAAGCTTTGTCTTTGTGGGGCCTACCGCAGGCGATCAAATACATCAGGTGTACAATATCAGTATGGCAAACACTGCTCGTTGGACAATCCCGCATAATCATGGTGGCATCTTCGTCGAACGAGGTGTTTTGTTCATGCGGGATTGGGAGGAGATTTGGAACTATCGAGGCGCATTTGCGACACGGTCCGCTCCCCATACATACCGCAACGCCGTAATTAAACTCAACAAGCACTCGGCTTTGGGAAAGTTTGTGTTTAGAACGGCGTTGAGGCATGGGCTCGCACTGGATGCGCGGTCCGTTGGGACGTATGCGGATGATGGTGGACTTATCGAGTTGCTTTATCCGTTCCCGGATATGCTTGCTGATCTTGCTGGATGGAGCCACGATAATTATCAAAAGAAGCGGCCTGCTGTGCCACTCCTTTCTAGGTGAGGGCGTCTGTGGTTGGATGAGGGGAAGTCTGACTGACAGGCGGAATAGCTCGAATGAGTTTTTCGACCACAATCCTTCCCATTCGCCGCCATCTCAGCTTGGACTACGAAATTTCTTCAGAGGTGCATGGTTCTACGATTCGTCACCATTGCTGTGAGTCATTTATTCTCCGTTAGATGCCACTATGCTCACATATAGTAGACAAAATACACATGAAACCAATTCTACACAATCGATTTCGACCATGGAGGCAAAACCTTTGTCGGAATCGTCCTGGGCCGCAGTTCACAAAAGGACATACGAGGCGTTCCTCCATGGCGAGATTCCAAATATGTATGGTGAATCCTCTAGATGATGGCTTCTGCGATTATGACGGTAATTTATGTGTACTTATTGGTGCAATGTGGAAATAGCCGCTTGATCTATCCCACTCTTGGTATCATTTGCATTATACGAGAATGGCGGAAAGAACCACTGAAAAGCAATTTCCAAATGTCGATGCAGCAAATGCAGTTCGTGCGTGTCCGAGGGCTCGGGGTTTCGATTTCTAAAGCATCTCTGCATCGATTACAGCCTTATCACAACTCTCAGAGCAAATGCCGAGACGAATGTGTGTAATAATGAACTGCCATTCCCGAGCTAGATGTGTGTCATTTCCATAGAGAGCTTGGGAGTTGGGAAGCATGGCTGTCACAAATCTAATACTTTACTAGAGGAGACTATGATCTCAAGCTTTATCGGGGAATTGACGCGCCACAGGGCCTAAGGAAAGCAATGTGGACCATATACCAAGATAATCTCACCTCCATGCGAGTATTTCCTCCAATCTCGAGGCTTATCTTACGCCAAGATTCAACAGATTGAAGGAAGAGCTGGATGAACTTCAGAAGAGCGATGAATGGTTTCATCCTCACTCGAGGCTCCTCGTATTGTCTAGCCAGCCAACAACAACCAGCGAAAATCAAACCACTAATCTAAATTCGAGCGTGGTTGCCTACGGTGTGTTTCGATTTGACACCGAGGAGAACGAGGAAGACGATGGATACGACGAGGTTCTTTACTGGTGCACTATTTCCTCTCTTCTTTTAAGTCAAGAAAGTAATAGCCTCGTAGCTACGAGCTCCAGGTTGCAACGTCCGCAAGGAGACAAGGACTCGGACGGCAAATCCTGGAGCTAATGAATGACTTTGGCCGGAAATACAAGATGAAGAAGACCATGCTGACGTGCCACAAAGGTGCTACTTACTCTCCTTGATTCGTATGGTCTGATTTTCCCCAGTAAATACATCTGCCATCGCTTTCTATACTCAACTTGGGTGTGTGTCCTCATTCTCTCTGATTCAGCATTAACATGCTGTAGGTTCAAGTACGATGTCATTTGTCCAAGTCAATGGGTAAATTCGGATTCAGATGAAGAGGACGAAGAAGAAGTCGATTACTTTATACTCTCAAAACCACTCAAGCACTAGACACATCCTCGCCTTCCACCACCTCAAACGCCGCACAGAACATGTCCTTGTCCATCAGGATAAGACCCTTGCCATCCGGAGACCACCGGATCTCCTTGCATGCAAATCTTTTCTCGCTCGGCACGCTCACGCACTCTGCCAATTCGCCCTTCTGTCCACTCTCGTCCAATACACGATCGTCATTCCATAGATAAATGGCGGCGGTGCCTGTACACAGTGCGATCGTAGTTCCAGAGATTGTGGGTGAATGGCTGACTTGGGCGTGGAGGATATTCTGCGCACATTGGATCACTGATCTCAAGCGAGGTATACAAGGTTCTTCCGGCGAAGGAAAATTGTAAATGAATGCGAGTGTGGGGCATTGCTCCCATGTAACAAGTAGGAGCGCGCCGCTTGCGGAGAATTGCATGTGCGTGACACCAGATTTGGGCATCACAGAAGCGTTAGCAACGGATGCTGTCGGTGCCATTGTTGAAGGTTTGGATATGCCAACGAAAAGTGGTGCAGTATTCGTTGCTGTTGTTTTGGTAAAGGGAAGAAATCCGCGATTCCGTGTATTGGCCAGCCAATTGTGGGGCTCTTTCCACTGTACCTATGGCCCTATAAGTATATCAAGACGAGTGGATGGTGCAACATGCCGTTGATGAAGGTAGTCGGGAGGCGAGCTGTATTGTAGCGACCACCTTCCATTCCAGGCTGCTAAGGATGTACAACTGAGAGGCGTTAGGTAGGATCCATTATTTTTTTGGTTGATACCTTTGAATCCCAGCCACCGACAAGGAGATATGTCCCGCTTGGATGCCACAGGATATGTCGGACCCCGAGCAAAGGATCATCTGTTGGAATAAACGTCGCAATATGTTGGCCCGTCAAGTTCATGATGACAACTTTAAACTTGAAATGGTTAGAAACGGCCATTTGCACAGTCTGTAGACCGACCTCTGATGCGGCCTCCCAGGCTGCGACATGATTACCAGTAGGTGATAAGGATATTGAAGCAAGAGAGGTGGTAGGCAATGCAAAATGCTACCTCATGATGAGCCTTTGTATTGTTATGCAGGAGACCTACCCTAATGAGCTTGTATCCGCTGGGGCAGTCGTAAACCCCCATCATATCTTTCGACTTGTACCTCTCCGCGAGGACAAAGTAACGGCCATCCTTACGAAACGCATAGCCTGAATAAATCAGGACTGGCCTATCTCTTAGCAAAGAGCTTACCACGATCTGGATGTTTGGGGAACTGGATGTAGGTTGCAGTCCCTGTCGACAGAGACCATATGGTCACTCGAAGCTACCTTTGACCTCTGAGTGGTTGATGACCGATTCAACGTTTGCACTCACTCCCCATTCAGAGAAACACAGTATATTCCGGCTGTCTGGAGCCCATTCTGCCTTTGTTAAGCCCTCTACGCCTGCTTCGATTCTGGCTGTCCACTTTTCGTCACGCATGGAGAAGACGTGAACGATACCGCGCTTTGCAACGGCGGCGAGTATGTATTCTGAATCGGGGCTCCATTCCGCATGAGTGATCCATCCCTCAGATGGTGCAGGTTTTACTGCGGCTTTCGCGAGTGCTGCATGCGTTGCGGATGGTGCATTGTCGACGAGCCATGTTTGGACGATTCCCTCGCGATCAGACCGTCGCACAACGAGTCTATCTTTGACGGCGGAGAGAATAAAGTATCTCCCAGGGCTGAAATGTACAATCCCAGCTGTCTGCGCAAAGAGGTCGGTAAAGTCCATGTCCAAGGTGGCAGCCACAAGCTGCCTCCCACCAACGACGAGTTCGAATCATGGCAGCGTCTATCGCGGCTCTTTTTGGGTTTAATTCTAAATTGCCCAAGATTACGAAGCGAGACAAGGCCATTCTAGAGTGCGTCTCTGGTGTTTCAGGTCCATGACCCCGCTGACGTGCTGGCAAGTGCAGTATGAAACACCAGCGAGACAATCTCAGACAATATCAGAAACGAGTAATATCGTTTGAGTGTGTTATCGGAACTTCTATTGACCCAGTGAGTAGATACAGTGGATCTTGGATCAGGAGACACAGCTTGCGAAAGAAGCACTCAGAAAGGGCGAAAAGGAGAAAGCCAGAAGAGCCCTCAGACGAAAGAAATACCAAGAGAGTCTACTTCAGCAAACGGACGGCCAGCTGGAGCAGCTGGAGCAACTCGTATGACCACGTCTAGACTATGCTGCAGTCACTGATCCACCTTAGGTAGCGAACATTGAATTTTCGCTCATAGAGGTCTCTGTTATGCATGGACTCAAGCAAGGAAACGAAGTTCTCGCCCAGATACACAAGGAAATGAGCATTGAAAGCGTAGAACAGCTCATGAGCGAGACGAGAGAAGCAATAGAGTATCAAAGGGTTGGTTTTATCACATCTACACTGCGTCGCTTACATCTTGCATAGGAAATTGATGAAATGCTATCGTCCAAGATGACTGCAGACGAAGAAGACGAAGTGCTGAAAGAGCTTGAAGCCATACAACAGGAGCTAGTGAGTGATTTGATACCTCCAGACGCACGGCTGACCTTGCCCAGGCTCCAACTGTGGCACTTCCAGATGTCCCGACCACTGTCCCGGTCAAAGTTGGTACTCCAGGTATGTTTGCCCACTTGTATGACCTCTGTCTAATGAATCCTCAGTCAAGGAGCCGACTCCCCTCGCAGACGAAGAAGATCGTGTGGCCGTCCCAGCCTAGTCTTGCATTACTGTATCTAAGGATGTTATCTAATTGGTTGACTTCGAGAAAGCCAATACACGAGAAATGTAACTTGGACTCTACTTCGTCGACGATGCCACGCGCAATCATTTCACCTTCCGTACTTGCTTCCGACTTTGGAAAGTTATCATCTGAATGTCAAAGGATGATGGATGGGGGAGCAGAATGGCTACATATGGGCAAGTATTGACCGTTGTCGATGATTGATCTTGACGGGCGTCCTATAGATGTCATGGATGGGTAGGCCTCAGTTCCTGAGCGAATTCTAGGATCTAAAATTACACAAAAAGTCACTTTGTACCAAATATTACTATGGGTATGTGACAATTTGCGAGGATAGGCGAAACTGATTGACTCCCAAAGGGCCACCGATCCTCCAGTGCGTTCATAAGGGTGTCCCAGGAATCTTTATGGACTGTCATATGATGGTATCGGATCCAGAAAAGGTCCGCCCATTTTGTCTCTATGTCGCCACTGCTGACGATGGCAGTGGGTAGACGATGTTGCGAAAGCAGGGGGAGGATTGTACTGCTTTCACTACGAGGCTACTAGTGAGTACAAAACCGAGGAATCCAATATACTAATCTATCGCAGAGGACCCTCTCGCCCTCGTCAAGCAAATCAGGTCCGCAGGTATGAAGGCTGGTATTGCTATATCACCGGATACACCTTCAAATGTTATTACGGATGAGATTGGAAATGCTGTCGACATGATCCTCGTCATGACTGTTCATCCCGGTCCGTAATCTCGGTTGTACGAGAGGCAAGGCTGAGCACGATATAGGACGTGGAGGACAAAAGTTTATCGAAGGGTGTGTACCCAAAGTCTCTGAGCTGCGTGCAAGATTTCCGCAGCAAAACATTGAAGTGGACGGAGGGGTCGGGCCAAAGACGGTCGATGTCTGTGCTAATGCGGGTATGTTATTCAATTTCATGACATTTCAAATACTAAGAGAATGCAGGAAGCAACGTTATCGTCGCAGGGACGGCCATCTTTGGCGCGGAAGATCCGGAGGGGGTCATTCAACAGTTGAAAGCGAGCGTCGAGACTGCGCAGGCGAAGATTAGCAGACAGAATTAGGAAGCTAAACGAGTTTTGTATTCTATTCCTTCGTCCGATCGGGCGGCTGGAACTAGGCGAGCGACACCAATTCTCCGCCTGACAGAGCCGAGCGGCGTAAATACCAGAGGCCCCAAGCAATAAAGCTCAGACTCTGTCCACGACAAACGGCCTTGCATCACCCATCGCCAGAGAGATCCAGAGAATATACGGGATAATGAGCAGCAAGCACACAGCACAGGGCGCGTCAAGGCTCCAATGGCTCTCGAGCCTCAACTCTACAGGGACCGTCGATCTCCAGGAGCAAAGGTATCTGAGAAAGGTGAGAACACGCCGACGAGTAGATCATTCAGGAGAGCTTATAACCGTCTTTATCGTCCTAGACGGCCATCATCGCAACCATCGGTGAGCAGAAACGTTCAACTCCCCAAGACGCGTGCAGACGCTCAACGAACGTGCAGGCCCAAAGGTCAATAACCCGGAGATGCTCCAGAAGCTCAGAGAAGCTGGAATGAACATTGGTGAGCCCGTTTGGGAGACGATGTGCAATCGCTCATGCCGCGGCCACAGTTCGAATGAACTTCTCCCATGGCTCTTACGAGTATCACCAGAGTGTCATTGACAACACTCGCAAAGCCATCGCAGGTGAGATGTCTTGTACGCCCCATCGAGTCCTTATCTCACCGCCCCGTATAGACAATCCGTCGGGACGACCTCTTGCAATTGCCCTCGATACCGTATGTATGCTTGTACACGACTCGATTAGAGCTTACAGGTATACAGAAAGGACCAGAGATCAGAACCGGTTTGATGAGAAACGACCAGGATGTATGTCCGTTCTTTATATCCAGACTCGTTGCTCACCCTCAGTAGATTCCTATCAAAGCTGGTCACGAATTTATCGTTTCTACCGATGAAAAATACAAGGAATGCTGCGATGACAAGGTCATGTACGTCGACTATGTGAGTACACTTTTGCCTTTCAAACTGTCACTGAAGGAGGATAGACAAACCTTCCCAAAGTTACCGAGCCAGGCAAGATGATCTACGTCGACGACGGAATTCTCTCCCTCCTCGTTCTGTCCATCGACGGCACCAATGTCCACGTCCGCGCCGTCAACAACGGCACCCTCAGTTCCCGCAAGGGCGTCAACCTCCCAAAGACACCCGTCGACCTCCCTGCTCTCTCCGAAAAGGACAAGAACGATCTCCGCTTTGGTGTGAAGAATGGCGTCGACATGATCTTTGCCTCGTTTATCCGACGTGCCCAAGATGTTATTGACATTAGGGAGACGCTCGGTCCCGATGGTGCCAACATCAAGATTATCGTCAAGATTGAAAACGAACAAGGTCTGGAAAACTTTGATGAAATCTTGAGGGAGACGGACGGTGTCATGGTCGCTCGTGGTGATCTCGGTATCGAAATTCCCGCCAGCCACGTCTTTTTGGCTCAGAAGATGATCATCGCCAAGTGCAACATGGCTGGAAAGCCCGTTATTTGCGCCACGCAGATGCTCGAATCGATGACCGTAAGAGCTTGCCACAAAGTGGTAGATATATTGCTGACATGGCCTAGTATAACCCAAGACCGACTCGTGCAGAGGTTAGCGACGTCGCAAATGCCGTTCTCGACGGTGCGGACTGTGTCATGTTGTCGGGAGAGACCGCCAAGGGTGCCTACCCAATCCAATCTGGTCAGTCGCAATTTCTACACTCTTCACCTTTTTAACGCATTATGGCGCAGTACAAATGATGGCCGAGACGTGCATCCTCGCCGAGTCTGCCATTTGCTACCCACCACTCTACGACGAGCTCCGAGACTGCACAGCCCGTCCGACGGACACTGTCGAGACAGTCTGTATGGCCGCAGTTGGCGCCGCATCCGAACAAGGTGCAGGTGCGATCCTCGTCCTCTCGACCAGCGGTAACACGGCTCGCCTCATCTCCAAGTACCGTCCCAACGTTCCGATCATCACCGGTGAGTAAAAACAGGTCAAAGACTTCGAATGGATACACTAATTGTCTGCGCAGTTACGAGGAACCAGCAGACGGCGCGTCAGATCCACTTGCACCGTGGCTGCTATCCGTTCTGGTACCCAGAGCCACGCGGTGTGCGTGCTGATCAGTGGCAGACAGATGTGGACAACAGAATCCGGTATGTCAACACAACTTTAGGACGTCATGGCTGATTATGGATCGTGTCTAGCTTTGGCCTGAAGAGTGCATTGGAGCTCAAGATTATCCAACCCGGATCGGCCATTATCGCTGTCCAGGGATGGAAGCAAGGCAGCTTCAACACGAACACGCTGAGAATCTTGACTGTCCCAACGGACATGGCCGATTTGGCGCACATGCCACTCACCGCCTAGTTTCTCGTGCAGCAAGACCTAGACTCGTTTAGATAGATTCCTGAAGTATAAGAAAACATTGAATGATACCGTGATTTGCACACAGAGGTCCTGACTGATTGGAGTGAAGCTTTGGGAGAAACAAAGCTCAGAGTATATTCCATGACAAGAAAGGGAAGTATACGTATCGTATTAACCTCGGTCATGACCCCGCGTGTGCTTGGTAAGAAACGCAGCGAAATCTCTATCACGAGAGGGAAAGTCATTGTATGCCACGGAGAAAGAGGATGATCGACGTAACCCCACGAATAATGTAAAAAGAAAACACAAGAATTACTGAAGACCTGTAAGATAGGTTAGTAAGGGACGAGGAAACCAGTGAATTCTGACCTGGTTCAACTATTCTTCAGCAGTTGCCTCAAACTTGTGCTTCTTTTGTTGTGAGACTTCTGTCATACCTCTGCCACTCCCGGTAACTCCGACTAGAACTTGTCAGCGTAGCAAGCGGAGGATAAAGGTATGCTCACCCTTGCCATACGGATTGTCTGGAGTCTTGAAGATACTGGTACCAGCAACACCAGCGATACCGACGCCCTTTTTGACGCTCTTTGTCGCAAACTTTTGCCACGACTGTTTCTTCGAGTCTTGTTCCTGCGCCTTTGCTGCACGGACTTCGAGTTTCTTTTCATTCTTCTTCTTTTTGCGCTCACGCTCTTCTTCTTCCTCCTTGGATAGTTTTCGCTTCGTGCCTGCTAACGCGCTGGGTCCACCTGCTGACCCATAGTTTGGGGGAAGACGCCGGAGAGCATTGTGCGCGACGAGCTCGGTCGAATTGTACCCTCTAAAGACAACAGAGTACACTCGCTTTTCCTCAGAGCCGCCGACCGAGGTGATGCGTGCTGGATACCATTTATCATCCCCACTGTACTTTGCCAGACACTCGTCGCCGGCCGTCCACACCTTGGGACCGTTTGTTTGCGATGAGGAAGACGGGAGATACGGATTTCGCGCAGATGTACCATTGCTCGTGCTCGCGCTTGCGCCCGCGCTACCAGACGACGTCGAAGGCGCGCCTTCTTTCTTCTTGGAAGCAGCTGGTTGTGGACGAGATGCAGCAATCGTTTGTTCTGTGAGCGCAATGAGCTCTTTGAGCTGGTCAGCGAGCGAGAGAAACTCTTCGTTTTCGGGATCAGACTTTAGAGCCTGTTGAACCTGCTCGAGCTGTGCTTGAAACGTATCGAGATCTTGTTCGCTCATTTTCTGGCGTGTTTAGCGTGATTTATGGAATTGGCTCAAAGGTGAAGTTGGGTTCAAGTTATGCACTCGAGTTTGGACGAGTTAACACGCAGGGCCAGACAGACGCGCTAAGCCACCAGAATTCCCGATTTGATTATATTATTTTGGACTGGGCTGCAAGCAGCACGTACACGAGTGGCGCCCTAGGATGACGTCTCGAAACCAGCGGCCACTCCATCTTAGACCCAACCACGATACACTAGTAATTGCAGAATATCGCTAATGGCAGCTATTGGACGCGTCTACAACCAAGCTTTTGACCGCTCGCCTGCTGGGACACTCGCGGTCACCAACGGACTTTTATCAGGAGTCGCAGACATTGTAGCTCAAGGCTCTCAGATTGGTGTACGTGTATACAGTCTCTAGAAGTGCACCATGTCTGATGGTTCGCCTTGCTTTTACAATATTGAACATGGAACGACTTAACCTGCGCGCGTATACAAACCTACACGCACCCAGCTCGCTTATCGCGACGCAAAGAATGCACCTGAACCCAACCCGCTCACCGCTCCTCCCGCACCCGTGAGCATACCGGCCTATGACCCGGTGCGGACAGTCAGATTCATCGTCTTTGGCACCATAATGGGTCCAGCACTTGCAAGATGGAACCACTTTCTCGAGCACCGCTTTCCTCTACGCGTGTCATCCTCCAATGCGGCCAAAGGCGTCGTCGCCAATGTGAACAAGGCTGTCGGAGCTGGCTCGTCGTCTAGCCAAGGAAACGTGAGTATTACAGCACTTGCAAAACGTGTGGGTATGGACCAAGCCATCATGGCTCCTTTTGGGGTGAGTACTTTTTCTCTCCTTGGCCCATAGCGACTTATTCACGTCCATTCAGCTGTTTGTCTTCCTTGGATCCATGGGTGTAATGGAAGGACATTCCTCTGGTGCAATCAAGCAGAAATACATCGACCTCTATCCACCAGCCATCAAGGCAAACTGGACCGTCTGGCCCGTTATCCAGTTTGTCAACTTCCGCTTCATGCCGCTTCCGTACCGTGTCCCATTCCAGGCGACATGTGGTGTCTTCTGGACGCTCTACCTCTCCCTCCTCAATTCCAGCAAGCCTACCATGGCAAAGGAAAGCGGGGAAGATCTCGTGCACGATGCCAAAGTCGCTGCAAAGAGACTCAAGGATGCGGAAGCCAGAGCAGAGAGAGCAGAGAGACGATAATCACGACGATACATGGGCACTTACGTTTATCACTATTACACGATAATGACAATACTGTAGCATGCTCTTTAGAAGTGACTGCATCAAATTTATTCCCAAAAGGGGTTTAAGATATTACACGCATTAACAAGAAATCAGTGCCTCGGTTCTAGGACGGGCTTTCATGGTCCTTTGCGTGAGGATGCGTTACAGTGGCCTTAGTGGACTTCTATCACAGAGTCAGCCACAAGGCATACTCGAATCAAAGATTACTAACGGTATTGAGATGCGTGAGGCGGTTGCGCAAAAGAGTAATCTCATGCTGAAATCGGACAATCGATGACTGCGGCCCAATTACTCAGTCGGTTTCTATACGCACATAAAGTCACACCTTTGTGTCCTTCGCTCTGAGCTTTTGAATTGCTGGGGGAGAATTTGCTGCCAGTGACAGACCATTTGCCTTGAGCGTCTCATGGAGTTGATTACACTGTTGCTCGAGCGAGTTGATGTAGATTCTTCGCCGCTTCGACGCAGGCAATCTATTGCTAATCCTTTGTCAGACCACATATCAAGGCAAAGAGAGGAGCGTACTCTTCGGAAGTGAGAAACACCTGCTCGAATTTCGTGGGCCATGGTCGCCGCATGCACTCGTAATTATGGGCGCTAGAGCGAGGGGATGTCGGTCTGTCCACCTCGAGGGAAGCACTGGTGCCCATAGGTGAGTTGGCCGATATAGAACGTAAATTGTTCTCAACGATGGGTGGAGGCGCAGTTGGAGGAGTGTCGTGTCGAAACTCTTTTGTAGGGGAAGACGCTTTGGGCACGGTGCGTCGAGGAGAATTGGATGCAGCACCAGACATTGCTTGATCAAGATGATGAGGATGCAAGAAAGATTGAGACGGATTAGTCGAGCATTGAACAGAACTCAAAGCCGGTAGCCTCGGGAGCAAGGTTGCCGCAGTGTGATCCGAGGCCAGCTCCTCCTCCGAGGGAGTGTGTGCGGGTGGCGAGCGAGGTGAAATTGGACGAGGAATTGGATGGAGGATGGGAAGAGTGACTGGAGGAGGTTGCCAGCATTGAGAACGCTGCTCGACTGGGTTACTCCAAGAAAAGGTCGTCGCTATATAGCCAGTTCCATTATTTACCTGCTGGGGCGTTGGCGGCCTTAGGCGGGGGATTGGCGAATGGTGATGAAATGATGGAAGAGGTTGGCCAAAAGCGACATGGTGGGAACAATTTGAATATTGGGGCTGCTGGTGGACAGCAGACGTTGTCAGAAGTTGAGGTAAATGTCCAATGATGGAGGCATCCCCACGGCAATCGTGGAATTCCATCGAAGGGTGAACAAGATAAGGATACACCGGATGTGGTTGCGTCGGAGGGGGAGGTGCTGCATACATGGACTGCTCTTGTGCAAGAAATCGGGACTCGGCTGATGGTGGATTGATGACGACATGCTCGCATGCATTCTGAAGCAGCTCGGTACTACCAGAGTAAGCAGACATCGAACTTAGCGTCGAGGTGGACTCGTTGGTGCTTTCGGTGCTTATGGAGCCTGTTCTCGAGGGAGGTCCTTGGAGACTGTCCTCAGAGTCGTTCCAGTAGGCGTAGGAATAGTTGCATGTCGTCGGATAGAAGCCCCCTTCAGTCGGTGGATCTGCAGCCAGTGTTGAGAGGGATGGATAAGAATATTCAAAACGTGTGTTATAAGGCTGTTGGTGAGTCCAATATTGGTTGCGACGACCTGGCGGAACAATGCCATAGTCGTCCGCGCCGTGAGTGTTGGCCTGCATCTGATTGGTAACCCCCTGAACCTGGTAGCTCTTTATAGGGTCGAATAGAGGCGATGGTACGACGATGTATGGGTGTTGCTCGTGTGATTCGTACTTGCCAGAAATTGGCTCTACGAGATGATCAATTACGGCGATATGAAAGTCACGGGAGCTCACCGGGCATAAGATCTTCAAGAAATCCTCGACCAGTCTCGAGACGGAGAGCGTCGAGACCAAGATGCACCCAGTCACGACTCGTAACGGCGCTGGGGCCAGACTGCGAGGTACAAGGAATACAAATCAAACGCTGGTGATTTTTCGAAAAGGTTGACAAGGATTCAACTGTCACCAGTCTCTTTAGGTTAGATTGATAAAGCTAGGACGCGGATACCGTCTCTGCGTGCTTGCTCACGCGGCGAGAGACGGCCATTAAACTCCATTGGCCCGGTATCAATAGCTTGAATATGTGTTTCGTTCCTGTATTAGAATCTTATTTTTTGCGTTTGTGTCCTAGTTGCAAGGTTCGATCGAGGCAGAGTCCAAGTCCGACGCAATTCGAGGTCAAACCCATCCTCGACCGTCACTTTGGTTAATCATTTATTGAACACGACAACAGCAAGAAATAAAGCCTGGTCGGCGCGATACTCAATGTCCTCCGTCTACCTCCATCGCCGAACAGCAGCCGTCGTCGTCACCACCACTCTTGTTCTTGTCCTCTTTTACACTCTTTTCCATGCATCAAATAGGAATATTCAAGCTCCGCTCAGGTCGCTATGCATAAACTCGGGATTCTACGAGGGCTCTCTCGAGGAGCCACAGGGCGACATCCCAGACCTCAGCATCCCCGATGGCGCACTTTCGGCAGCAGAAGACCCTCAAATCCTCGCAGAAGTGTTCCCAGAACCGTTTCCATTCGCGGTCAATAAGCACAAATCTCTGAAAGGTGACCCAACCCCCCATTTCAGGGGTAAGTCTTCTCAGAATCCTTTATGTTCATTTTGTGACCGAAAAACTACAGATAACCTCCTACCAGACATAAAATATATCACTGGTTGGCATGATGGGGGATTCACGAACCAGTTTATGGCGATAACTAATCTCATCTATCTATCAACACTCCTTTCCCATATTCCCATTATACCAGGTTTCGTGGCACGTCCGCACGTCCCTGTTCAGGCTGGTTATCGAGCGGTGAGCGACGTATTTGACGTCGACCGATGGGCTCGAGCGGTCGGCAAGGATATCCTCGAATGGAAAGATGTCAAGGATCTTCGGGGACTGCAAAATCGCCGCGCAGATGATGGTACCCTCGGTGCAGATGAAAGGGATGAGCTCGGCTGCTGGAGTACGTGGGCTGCAAGTAATTTACAGGAACATCGTCCACATGGGTCTAATTTTATCCTGGGCCAACTAAACATAGGCAAGTCCTCCCCTCTTCATCAATAAGATCGACCCTCGAGCATTCACTGTAGACGTATCCCATACTGCAGTTCCTCGTGCCGCACGGCTGTTCCAAATAGGCCGTGACGAAGACCTGCACTTGACATTTAGCGGCCTTGCAACGCTCGCGCAGAGCACTGCGGCCAAACCTAATCCGCTTTCCTCTGAAGAGCTCGGTGCCATCTATCCTGCACAGAAATCCGGACACAAGCGTCTACCAGACACGTAAGTTCTCTGTTTCGAGCTCCTATACTATCTCACGGGTTCACATCAACCATGGGACTGGGAGCAACCATTCGGCGTTGCTTGGAACATTGTAGGCCGGCATGCGCGGTGGTCAGATCGCGTACGCAGTCTCACCAGGCGGGTACTAGCACTCACTCTTGGTCTCTCGGAATCTCAAATCCTGGCTCCATGGAGAGGTGACCATGACTGGGACGAACGCAAGGACGGCGTGCGCTACACAACGTCTCGAGACTATTATGCCACACTCGACGAACGCGATCGCATTCTCACCCCATATATTCTTGTACATGCCCGCCATGGCGATTTCTTGAACAACTGTGATAGTCGAAAGGCACAGGGCAAACCGTGCTCGCCTCCCCTATCCTCCATCGCACAGTATGTCAAGGAAGTTGAGGACGAGTTGAAGCAGAAGGGAATTATCAAGGAAGACCATGGCTGGTCCAAGGACAAAACGCCCGTCATCGTCACGAGCGACGAGGCCGATTCTGCATGGTGGAATCAAGTCAAGGCGCATGGTTGGAAGCGGGTCGTCTTTCCAAAGGAGCTTGAGCTCCCACCTGGTGTAAAGGGGAGAGAGGATGGATTGGATCCTGAGACGCACAAGAAGCTGTGGGATCGAATGTTCATCGAGGTCGCTATACAGGGGTTTGCTACTGGGTTTGTCGGTACTCAAGGCAGTACGATGAGTTTGGTAGCGCAACGGAGGGTCGAGCATTGGCAGGGTGGCGTCGCGAGGACAATGAGGTACGACTTTCAACTGCTCCAAGTAACATCTAATGTATCTTCTCAGCTTTTCTATCTGGCAAGAATGGGACTTATGATCCTCACGTTGTAGATAGGATCTAATTTGGCGCCGAGTAGCATCTTATGCAAAATACTATGGTTCACCCTCACAAGGCAATGTTGACACTGCATATATATCTGGTAAGTGGTACACAGGATGACTTGTTATTTTCAGATGTCTCGCGAGCATGCCCCGAGGATAATTTCTCAGACAGAAATAGATCCAGTAAGACTACGAATGCGCGAAGAGGGACCAATGGTGATCCCGTGTGTACCAGAAGGCACGACAAACTTCTGGCGCGCTGTGTCCCACATGGCCAAGTCGAAACGGGACAGCTTCATCGTCACCGTGGTGCTTGCTCCTGCTGCGAGGTAGATGGAGTCGAATCCTTTGAGGATGTACGGAGAGGACTGAGCCGACGCCGGGGGACTGACGTAAAGCTGAGGAATCTCTGTACCGGCACGCGAGCCAGTGTTTGAAAGAGTGAACGTGACCGTAATCACTTTCTCGTGGAGCCAAGGCGAGACCGAGGTACCAAAACCGTCTGGTGCGCTACCCGATCCCACAGAGCCGGAAATGCTCAACGATGAGTAAGAGAATGTGGTGTAAGAAAGACCGAAACTGCAAAACGTTAGGGGAATTACTGTCTATCAGGCAGCACATACCCGAATTCGTAGCGTGGTGTGATTCCTCTGCTGTCAAACCAACGGTAATCGACGTTGAGTCCCTCGCTGTAGGAGATGGAGGAGGCAGAGCTGATGGAAGCAGGATAGTCCGACGCGCTTTTTGCAATGGCTGCAAATGGTTAGGAGGATATTTGATAAACTCACTACTTACTATAAGGAAGACGGCCAGATGGGTTGACGACGCCGTAAAGAACGTCGACAAGTCCATTTCCGACTTCTTGGCCCGCAAGTCCACCCCAAACCTGGAGTACGTCAGCTTACCAAGAACATTACCACAAGGATCAACGCACAATTGCAGTCACATTTGGATGATCTGCCCAGCTTTCCATGAGGACTTGGCCGACGGAGTGAACGACCACGATGGTATTGGGATTTACGGCAGCAACTGCCGCAATCTACATATTGTAAGCAATAGAATAGTAAACCTCTAACCAAACCCACCAGGGAGTCACCGTTATGCCAGAGGTTGAGATTGTTACTGAGAGGAATCAGCCAAATCATTCATCTAGTATGCCTATTCTTTACCGATCACCGACATTGCCTTCGACTACGACAGGTTAGGTCGACTGACAGATATCAAGTAAATCGCGTACCAGTAATGTATTCTAGCAGAGCGCAGCATAGGCTCAGTCATCATGAATGGATGTCGCGCTCCTCTTACCTTCACCAGAGTCCGCTAGATTGGTGTCAGTACTTGGTTCACGTTTTGGGCTTTGGCGTACCAGTGACGAAAACCAAGGCCGCAGACTTTCCACGGGCTGCGTTGGCAGCGGCGTTCGTGTCAGTGTCACTCGTACTTGACGTGACACTTGTTCCATCGAGCTGAGCCTGAGCCTTGATCGCAGAGAGTGGGTCAGACAGGTAGGGGTATTCTGCAGTGCCCGAACCCCTGATTTCCAATGTTATTAACAGCAAGAAATAAAAATTGCTTTGCGCACCATCCTTGACCGAGGGTGCCAGTGTTGCAGCCTCTATCGGTACAACTATTGATTCCCGAAGGATTTGGAGCAGCACTGCTTCCTAAGACAAAGTCAGCCACTAATAGTAGAAGACCTTTGTGGACAGCAAACCGATGACGGCCAAAGACGCTGGCCTGTTCAGTGGAAGAATGTTCCTCGAGTTCTTCAGAAGGACGGTTGATGCGCCAACGATTTTGCGAATCAATCTAATGGATATTTTCAGTATGAAGTATTCCAATCGAGACTTCCTTACGTCTTATGGTTGCCCTGAACATCTACATGCTGGTTGAAGCCCGCATTGATATCCCACGAATCAAAGTTGACGCTCGGGAATCCAGAGTCTTGCCCAAGTTGGTACCAAGCGGCAAGGATACGGTTTGCCATATCATCGATACGCGACTGAGGAATAGCACCGCTTTGAACTTGGTTTATCAGGTTTTGACCAAAGTATGTTTGACCCGACTTGTACGTAGTATCCCCAGGCATCGTCTAGAGCTGATGAGATACGCTTGTTAGCAGGTTGGTGGGACTAACCATGTCAAGACCCTTCGCGGCAGAGCCAGTGCTCATTGTGGCCCACCAATCTAAAGACCATTTCAGTGATCTACGGACAAGAACCGCATGAGCTGCCTACCACTGACGACGTATCCTGGGAAGGCAAATTCTTGTTTGAGGATTTGATTGAGTACGCGATCATTCTCGCAGGCAAATGTGCCATTGATTTTGTCTAGAGGGAGCGTGAATCCTGGTTCGGAAGTGGTAGTCGGGACTTACTATAGGAGCACATGACGGACGCAACCTATATCATGGTGAGAATGAGTTGCATTCGCAATTTGAAATCGCACCCCTGCTTGAACGGATCGTCTAGTGCGAGTTAGCTGTCGTAAGTAAGAAGTGAATGAACGCACAAGAACGGCAGAGCGTAAATCTCGTGCTCAACCCTGAAATTATGTTAGTGACCATGCTCTCCACGGATCAGTCAGAATTACCGGTCAGAAACCTCGCTGGATGAGGAAGCACGGTTCTTTTCCTGCTCACTATTCGCTTGTGAATACAGCTCAAGCCGTGTCCGAGAAATACTGACTTGTTGATGTAATGCTTCGCACTAAAGGTTGTTAGTGGCTGTCATATACTAATGAAAGGAGAATACCAGGCCTGAACTCCGTTAGACTGGATGCCGAGAATTGTCTGGTACGCGGCTTCTCCTGACAGGTAGGCGTCGCCACCAAAACCCTCCCAATTTCTGCCTGCTTGAGGGATACGAGCAATGTTCCTAGAAGTTAACAAGTTTGTATTCTCACTTGTCGATAAGGTGAAGAGCTCACATAGCTGGTCCGAGGGCTACGTTGATTCCCCTAAAGTTCATTAACACAAATGCAAATAAACGAGGGGCCAAGTCACGTACTTTCCTCTGAACTCGGCACCAAGTGCTGCACCACGTTGCTGCATCAGATCGCGGTTGAACGTAGCAGCCGCATTGATGCCTGCGGGGAAGACGGAGATTTTGTCTGCGAAGCGAATACCTATACGAGGCGTCAGCTAATGTTTGAATGTGCTTGTTGGAAATGTCTCACCTAGTGGGCCGTCCTGCAAGCAAAGACCCGGGAAATTGATAGTGCTGATGGCGGGCGTATTACCTGGAAAGCCGGAGTGAGATCAAGTATGAGCTACTAGGTTCAAACTGACCAACTAAGAATCAAAGAAGGGGTCTAGTCAAGCAAAGCATCGTTGCCACCGGGAAAGTACTTGCCACTGACGAAGCCGTCAGCAGTGTACTACGGACTCGTGAAAAGAATCACCAATGCCCACGTTGCCACTGTACCCCCGTTGCTAGATCTACCTTTTGGGATAGCGATAGCTTGGAAACAGCTGCCTTTGCCTTGGTATAGGCAGCCTGCCAATCCGAGTTGACGGCTGCAACGGTCAGCCGCGAATTTTAGATCCAAAATCACATACTTGGGGTAGATGTTGATGAGCTTGACGTTGATGAAGTCGAAGTAGAGACTAGAAACTCGTCAATCACCCTTCGCCAGGGCCCACCATGGCAACAGCGGCGAGCCAGCCAGACGGGCACCAGAACCGAGATTCCAGGAAACACCCGATACCAGCTCCATAGACCCAGTACCAGTCTGGTTGACTGGCCGCTGTTACCACGGCGATAGCAGATGGTGGCACACACCAGTGGTGCTGCTGGAAGAGCGTGTGCTAGTGGTGGTTGATGAAGAGCGTGTGCTCGAACTAGTGCTCGTGGAACTAGAAGTCGATGAAGAGCGCGTGCTTGTCGAGGTCGAGGTCGGACGCGTGCTTGTGGACGTCCCGGGCAGGCATTGATAGTACCAATCGTTGACATAGGTACAAACCGAACCGGAAACGCATTGCGTCGGGCCCGTCCAGTTGATACCTCGAAATCCTCAGCCATGCCTCTCGACCCTTGCAAAATAACTAACCTCCACACTGACCCCAAACTGATTGTTGCGCAAGTACGTACTCGCTCGAGATAACGAGAGTGATAAGAGCGACGAGACCCTTCATCTCCGAAGCCAAAAAGAGTGGATTGTCCCAATGGGGGGCGACTAGGAGGTCGGTCGGGAGGATGTGTCGTGAGTATTTATGCGTGTGTATTCGCTTCTCCTTCGTCGTTGTCGGCATCATCACCATGGCTTCTCTCCTCCATGGACGAATCGAGGTATAGCCGGATAGTCGCGCGAAGCGATGGCGGGGAATATCCGGTCAGAAGGACGGAATAGCGTCTCTAACCAGCTGTTTGCGGCATATGGAGGGACCTGCCGCTCGAAACCTGGCAGGAACCGACTGTATTCGAGCGCAGGATGGCTCATCATCGGTCCGATGCGCCCAGGACGGGAGTAAAAGAGTTCTCTTCTGTAGTTTACATTGACCAAGACCAATCCATTCTCGACTATTCCGTTCTAAGATGCAATCAACATCGTAGAATTGCCTCTTCGTTCCTCAGCGGAAGCCGTCGCCCAAGTATAGAATGAAGAAGACGAAGCATTACTCGGAACACATATTCTTGGCGAGGAAGCGTTCTGGACGGCCAAGGTGGTCTGCTGATCCCTAATCCGAGTTGAGGCCGGTTTACGTCGATGAGACGGAGGAAAACGGATCGAATGTGTACAAATATTGTGAATGCTGTGACTTTGCGCAAGAGCTATTTGCCTATGATGGGTGTCGAGTGCAACTTACAGAGATGCCGCAACTCTGCACCTGATCGTTGCCTTCATGAGCTGTGATAGAACAGCTCCTCGTGGGTATGATTAAGTATCTGATTGTTCAGGGTGATAAAATATACATTCAATAACCACAAGGCGATCTTACCACTCGGTTTGAGATTCGGATTCGATGTCCTCCGCAGTGAGAACAACGAACTCCTTTTTCATGCTATGGAATGAGAATCTCGCTCGTGAAATCGCATCGGAGACGACGATATATCTCTGATCCCATGTAGCAAGTACTTTATCCACTGACGTTGGATACGATGACACAAATATCGGAGTATCGAGATCGGTTGCAGGATCTGAGCACCAGCGTAATTGCACATGGCAATGGAGACAGCCAGTTCTACAAGGGGAATTCATGAGTCGCGTGCTAGGCACGATCGATTACTATGACTTACACATTCTTTTTCTTCAAGGTTTCGAACACATGTTGGAATGAGAGATCGTAGTTAGAGCGTCGTTCCACCAGGTGACCACGCAGTATGCTACAGATAAAGTATCGCAAATCTGGTGGAGTATAACCAAGTTGGATCATATGGAGCGGTTGTATCCCATGGGACCGAGCAACCAGTCGCCGTTCCAGCATGATGCAAAGAATGTCCCACTCCACGTAGCCGGACATAGTAATTATCTGTAGAGATGGAAACAAATCCGGTTCTAAAGCCATCTGATAGCACGCACTGACCACAGCTATGCGTGAAACAGAGAGTTTGCGCAATGATGATGTTGGTTTGAAGCGCAGCTGATGATGATTCATAGAGACCTCGAGGTGCATGAGTTCGGGCCATGCCTCTTGGGATGTATTAATACGGAATATATTTAGTGGTTCTCGCGCGTAATCATCTCCGTCAGGATCCTTATATGTAAGATGATGAACGGAACGGCTCCGAAACTGATTGAACACACTTGAGCCTCCGAAAAAGAATAGCCGTCGAAGATGCAGCGGGGCAAGGCAATACGTCTGGTCATCCAGGACGGGGAATACGCCCATTTGCAAGTAAAGAGAGGTCAGGCACGTGAGCTGGTCGGATAGAGTAAAGTTGTTGGCAAAGCAAGGCACCTCGACAGTCTCAAGTAGAGGCGCATTCTTGCAAAAGGTCTCGACTAACCCCGCGTAAGCATCCGATACCGGAGACGGACTAAAGGTTGCTCCTGTCATGTACGTGTCATCGCTTGTCCGTACCCGAAAAATAAACCGTTTCAAGGGCAACGTAGCGTTCTTGGATGCCAGATCAAACTTTGGGCTTATGTATACTTGGTTTGGTTTCATGACAATCGTCACGTTCAACCTCTTGAGATTGATCATTGTATTAAGTTGGGGTAGCAAAGAAGAAACAAGGTCAACGTTGATATCCACTTCTAGGTCTGTGAGTGTGGTAGCCGACCGGTTTAGCAGATTGTGGACTATGTCCCAGCGCATGTGTTTACAGTAGAGTATCGTCCAGTGTAGAGGAGTGTGTTGCACGTCGGAGTCTTCTACATGCTGACCGTCGGGAGAATATTGTGAATGAAAAGTGTCAGAACGTGGGTCACTTTCGAGTTTGAGAGCCCTGACAGAGTCTATTCTCTCCAAGACCTGTAACTTCTCGTGAGAGACCAATGGGAGATCGACTTCCGTTAATTGACCATCCTCCATCAGGAGTTTAATGTAGCCGATTGTATCCGTACGATTGGGCAATATAGATGACAATGCCGGCTGGTGTGGTGCGAGAGCGTCCAACTGGGGGATCTGGTGGAAGTAATGGATACTAGTTTCTAAATGTCGAACCGAGGAGAAGCTGGTGGTTGATAAGAACTGGTCAGAATTCTGACTGAATAAAAAAAATAGCGTAATGAAGAGAGCGTTGACTCGGTGGAGATGGGGTGCAAGCAATGGGGCGGTCACTCGAACGCTGGCAGCACTGTGATCATAAGCCAAAGAGAGAGAAGATTCTCCTGATAGGTGAAGAAAGATGGATAACTTTGCTTCTAGATCTTCTATATGATCGTTCACCACAATGTTGCTCCAAAGCCACGGAGTGTGAAGAATAGGAGTAGCCAGAGATTTGTTCACTTGGGTAAGTATCAGTAGCTGTTGATTATTGGCGTCAAACTGTCTCTGGATATCAGCGACCTTGGATGATGTCGCCTCTCTGACGATACCCAACCATATCTCAACTGGAAGGTCGCTTAGACCGCATTTTGGGGGAACATTACATCTTCTGTATGCAGATTCCGCTGCTTGATTGTATTCAAGCAGCAATTTAGGGTCTATGCTCCTCGTCGAGCCCGAGTAGTCCATTTGGGGGCCAATTTGACGCAAGAGGTCAAGCATCTTCTGGTCTTCAGACGATGCCATCGATATGACAGGTCCCTCCATAGCTCAGCACGTAATGGACGCTGTGTTCGGCGTCAGGTGCGGCTGAAGCTTACACCTGCAAGTGACTCGAGTGTCTAGCACTTGTTTTCCTCGGCACCTCAACTTCTCTGCTCGGCCACCGGAATCTGTTTTCTATGCTGACAAGGCTGAATATTTGGAGTAGGAGTACGCCATTGCTCAAGTCGCTATATTCGTCCTCGAACTGCGCACAGCAAACGGTCGCTCCAGATGGAAATCCGGTAAATCAAGCCCGAACTGCGGCCTTGTGTGTCGTGTAAAACGGCCTGCCGAGTCGGAGGTTTTGATCGAGGACCCTGCTTATGTGAGAACGCGTACTTTCGGCAGCCTCCTATTGCTGCTCGGTCTAATTACGAGTGTTGCGCAGCTAAATTGCTCAAAGGCCCGTATATAAGGACCCGCCAGAACGAGATAAAGTCGCTACAGATCCATCTCTCCCAACAAACACCCACCAACAACCATGCACATTTACGCTGTCGGAGCCTCGCGCAACATTGGCTACTATGCCGCCCTTCGTACGCTTTTCTCGCATGTTTAGCACACACTTTACTCAGTCGTTGGTCCGTAGGATTCCTCGCAAAGGGAGATACCGTGACGATTGTCGTCCGTAATCCAGCAAATCTCGAACAAGACCCTGCACTCAAGGATCACGTCGCTAGCGGCAAGGCTCGCCTCTTCAAAGCGGATGCTACCTCGTCAGAGGACATGCAAGCAGCATGGGAAGGTGCCAACCAAGTCGCTCCCGTGGATGTAGTTCTCTTCACCGTCGGTGCGACTCTTTCGCTCGTGTAAGAAACAACAAGTCTCATCCTTCTGCAGGCGCAACCACTGCAACACTCTCCCTGACCAAAGGATTCATTGTGCATCCACATGATCTCTGCACTCGTGCCCTTTTTACCGTCGTCAGGACGATCCAATCAAGGCAGCCAAATCAACCCATTCCCAAGCTCGTTGCCCTCTCCTCGACAGGCCTCACTCCAGCCACAAAGCGTGTTCTCCCCCTATTGCTTCGACCACTCTACGGCTGGGCTTTGCACGCCGCACACGACGACAAGCGTGGCATGGAGTCGATCATCTTCAACGGCTTGGGTCAACAGTACGAGGCTGGTCAAACACCCGGAGACCATATCATGCCAGCAAACTGGGAACAGGAACTACGCGCACAAGCTCCGTCTGATGGTCTCTGGGGACCAAGGAGCGTGATCATCCGGGCTGCTTTCCTCACCGACGGTGAAGGAAGCGGACGATATCGTGCAGAGAAGGGAGACTTTTCTACCTATACGGTGGCTCGACGAGACGTCGCACACTTTATTGTAGAGAAACTCGTCCCTGATTGGGAAAAGTACGAAGGAGGCGTTGTGACCGTGGGTAACTAGTTGTATCACTTTGATAAATTATTCGTTCTTACCTTGGCTTTGTCGCAATACTCAATCTATACAAGCTTTATTGGCTAAAATGGTGCATTGAGTGGATAGTGGATAAATAGAGTTCAATGAGACCATATAGGCAACCCCTCTGGAGGCTCTTCGAGGAAACTCTGCTCAAAGACGCCTCGTCTATGACAAAACATTGCCCTCAGGACTTTGCCAAACGAATAAGGTCGGTGGTACATTCTTAGGCGCATGTATCGTTCTTCCCATGTCTCAAGCAACTCTTTAACTGTGCTTGGGTAGGGTGGTAACTTTGGCGCATCCTCTTGCATGGTCATTGGACCTACCGGCGGTGCCATACAAAACCGCAATCGGAGATGGCAGTCTGTGCAGCCAGATCTACATCCCAATGTAAGTAAAAAGAGAGAGTTGGTGGCGCATTTGACCTACATCTTATTGTCAATTAGACTCTTAGAGATCCGCGCCAGGGATAATTCATAGTTGGACCTCCGCTCTATAATTTGTCCTTGGAGGATCGCCTTTATAAAATGACATATATCGGGCGGGGCATATCCGACATAGACCCTTGTTAATCCTCGTACTCCGTTTACTCGCGCAATCAGCCGTTTCTCGAGCATAATGCAAAAATATCCCATTCAGGGGGGCTCATCAAGTCGAGCTCTTGCAATACGGGAAATATTTCCGGATGAAGCGCCATCTGGTGACACGCGCTAGCGACAGCGGCAGGATAACGAAGCGTAAGCCTGCATATCATGAAAGTACCGTGAAATTTGGCATGTGACGTGTATAGAATGATGCTGAGATGCAGAAGGTTAGGCCACTGATCCGCTTGGAAATGACTCGAGTGGTGAGAGAAGTAGCTATGAGATGTCCTGTTATAATATGTCAAGCTTCGAAGCTTGGGAGCCGCCAGAAGAAACATCTGGTCTGGATCGCAGTCCAATGTCAGGGATAGGAGGCTTGGAAGCATGGTCGACCGAAGGTCGCCGGAAAAGGATGGTGGGGGATCCAGTAATACTAGATTGAGAACCAGCAGATGTTGGAGCTGGTGAAGAAGACCGTTGTGCCCAACAAAGCGCTCCCATTCAACTTCCCTCAGATTGGGAGCCCGTTCAAAAAACCAAGAACCTAAGGACGCACACCTTTCTGGCGTATAAAGAGGATGCTTTTTTGTAGTTACGCATCGATAACCATCAGAGGTCTCGTATTCATTGATTTTTAGAGAGAATGTGTGAAGATGATGAGCCATATTCCGGCGTGTCTCGTCTAAAATAGGGAATCCCTCTTCCATGTTCCACTCGACAATCAGATTCAGCCGAATGAGAGCAGGCAGATCCGCAAACCGCCTCATAAACGCCGTGATATGTCTCATTTCGACCCTCAAGTCCAAAGCGACAAGACTTGGACCACAACGCATTGTCAAGTTGTCCATGATGTCCCAAGCTGCCCAAGTACAGTTTAACGTCTCCCAGGTTAGTGGTGTACTTTGTTGCGGAGCTAGATGGGACCTTTTTTCGATTCCTGGTGCGAAATAGCGGAAGAAGTTGAGGCCCCTTGAAGTCAATTTGACATTCTTAAGAGATGGGATACCCATAATAGTGGCAAGTTGTTCAATCCGCTCGATTTGAACGCTAATATCGGTCAGCCTGCCTTTGGTCACTCGAAGATAGCCAGCAGTGGAGTTATACATAATAAACGGGGCCCCGGGCGACAACAGCGGAGTTTTTGATGCAAAATTAGCAATGTTTGGAATGGGCTGCTCAAGAATCCCTCTTAGATCGTGTGAATGATAGGGATACTGGATCTCAAGCCGCTGTAAAGCTGGAAAGGGAACACGGGAAATAAATGGGTCGGCTCCAAGAAAAGTTTGCTCTCCCTGAAGCATGAAGAGCGTCTGGATCCGGCTGACATGAGGGAGAAGGAGCGGTGCGACAGCATAGATGCTTGCTGAACCATATTCATACTCCAACGAGAGTACAGAATCTCCAGAGAGAGTGAGAAAAAGCGAGGTCACTGCCTGCAAGTCCTCCACGTCGCTGTCCACTGCGATATGGCTCCAAAGCGTGGGTGCCTGGAAAATAGCTTTTGCCAACGTTTGACTGACCTGGGTGAGAATAATGAGCAAATTAGCTCCATTGCGGCTGTATGGTTCAGGCAGAGTCGCCTCTTTAACAATCGCGAGCCAAATTTCGACGGGTAAATCCTCCAAACTCCTCCTTGGACGGTAGCACCTAATCTCATTTATACTCTGCACTGCGCTGTTGTATGAATAAAGTAGGCTTGCATCGATGCTGGCTGTAGAGCCGCTATAATCCATCATCGGGCCGATGTGACGTAGGAGATTGAGCGCCTTTGCGTGCTCAGAACGGATATCCGACGAATCCCGGTCATTTAAATCCATATTCACTGTTATGACGGGATCTTAATGGTACCTTGTGAAGAGGAGAGGTCCAGGGGGCGACTCACTCTTTCAGGCGGTAATATCAAACTCAGTATGAATGCCCTAAACTCTATCAATACGGCGGCCACTGAACACTCGCGGAGGTCTTTCGGTAGAGTCTATAGATTGTAATAACTGAAGCTGAGTGGAAACTCGACAGAGGTCAAATCAAAGCAAACGTCGTTTGGGATATAGATCACCCGAGTGCCACTACATGTCCTTCATATCTCTCCCAATCCTTCAGTAAGGTGTTGGAAACAAAGTCGGCCAAAACCTTCCTCCACATTACCGAACCACCGGCGGTATCGACAAAGACGGCATATTTCCCTTTCTCTTTCCCTTCTGTGAGACGTGGAGGCCTCACAATGACAACATGCTTGGCCCATCCTTCCTGCGGAAGCATCTTCTGCCAGTCGGGTGGCAATATCTCATCCTGCGGCAAAGGTCTCGTATTCCCTCTCCCAACCATGGAATACGAGGGCTTCCATTCCACCAGTCAGGTGGCAATATCTCATCCTGCGGCAAAAGTGTCATGTTCTTCTCGTATCCCCTCTCCCAACCATGGAATACGAGGGCTTCCATTCCACGCTTATCCAAACTTGGAGCACGAAGTACTCATGACACGATTTGGCGAGCGGGAAACGGAATGTGAGCCATCGAAGCCTTGGTAACTGCACCTGCCGACAAGATGACCATCCTTGGAAGGGAAGTGCGCTGTGCAGAGGAGATAGTCCAGACAACGTTGAGCAAGGCCACCGTGTTGACATTTTTCTACGTCTTCTAGTTTCATTGCGTCACACTTGTATAGCACAAGCTGATTTGTATCAAAGTAACGTGTCATTCTGGGGTCGTTCTCGAGCATCAAGGGTGACCTAAGGGGTATCGAGCCTTGGTGACCCTCGGAAAGGAGCTCTACAGCGGAGGCACAGGTCAGCTCAAGTACACAGAGGGTTTTCAGACGAGGCATACTTAGAGCAATCTCGTATCCAGAGGCACGGGATGCCCCGAGTGCGAAGAAGTGCATTTTGATGAACATAGTAACGGAGACGGAGCCTGTCATATAGTGATTTTGGTCATCAGTCAACCAGAACGATCACCTTACGAATCCCGTACTGTGAAACACCCGCTCTCCGGTGGTTTCCACAGCTAGAATAGAAGACGAAAGTTCCGGTCGGAGGTTCTAGGCAGGAGAGTGTACTGAAACAATATGCATTCATAACTAGGAGATAACTATCAAATTAAGTAAGCGGCGACCGAACGCCACCAGAAGAAAACACTTACCATGTACATAGATCGTCCTACTAACGGAGAGTAAGCACGTTCGAGCCTACAGATTTTGATTTTGCCTTCTTGGGAGGCACCTCCCACAGTTTCCAAAACTTGATATTCTCATCTCCTGCTCCCGTCACAACCGTATCACCGACAGGACTGAGAGCCGAGTAGAGGACACGCGAGTCGTGCGCGTCCTTGATCTCTCCAATCTTTGTCATGGAGGGATATGAGTGGACCATAATCGAGTTTGTCGGATACCCATGAGTGGTCATCACCTCTTTGGCAAGAGGCGTAAAGTGAATCGAAGTGACTTGCGCAGGCGTCGTTAATGATGCGACACGTGCTCCCGTGTTTGTGTTCCAAAAGTGAACAGTGGCATCGCCTGTACCACCTCCAGAAGCGAGTAAAGAATCTTGCCATGGACACCACGCCAGGGCCTACAAAGACCGTCAGTCGAATCCACTTTTGTGACATGTACAGTACCTTGACGGCTGCAGTATGATTCCGTTTCGTCCACTTGGCCGTGCGCTGCTCTTCGATATCACCATCCGCATCCGAGTCGCCCATGCGGTTGTCCCAAACGTTTACAACGTTGTCATTCCCACCACTCGCAAGTAGCATTCCATCACTCCGCCACTTGAGACCGCACACCTCGCCGACATGGCCTATCAGCGTCCCTTGGTGATGACGCGCAACGCGAACGTCGTGGTGCCAAATACTTCCATCTTGACATCCACTGCTCAAGACGTGGTTGTTCCAACTGAGTGCACCAACTTGAGCCTGTCGACCCGTCATCGTCCGCAACTTTCTTGACGCTTCCGGATCCCAGAGTTCAACATCGCCCGTCGAATATCCAATCGCCAAAAAGGCACCATCCGACGACCAATCGACAGATGTGACCCATCGACCCTCGGTACTCTCCGCGAGGTGGACGGCTGCACCCGTCGACGCGCGCCATACATACGTATTCTCCTCTAGGCCCACTGCGAGTTCATTTCGTGCTGACCACGAGAGCAGATTGAGATAATAGTCGTCCAAAATCCCAGGCGCGTCCAGGACACGGTCTGGTTGCGTCGGAAGACGTCGCACTTTGGCCGCTGAACCAGAGGCAGCAGAGGATCCTCCACTGGCAGACGAGGAGCCTGCCTTCTCCTGGGCATACAGAGGCTGAACATGCGTTCGTTGCGCCGCGAGCATGGGGTCTGCATTGGACGATGGAGGCGGTTGGTGGAAAGTGAGGATTCGACCGTCTGGCTCGAGATTCGCAGCCGATGCAAGGCGCTGCATATGTGCAGGCGAGTTTTCCGTCGAACCAGCCTTGGGCGGGGTAAAGGACAATACTGTAGCGTTTGGATTACGATCCGCAATGAATCGGTCTCCATACTCGTCATGAATCGAGCGTGGGCGCTTTGGAACATTCAATCAACACCGAGAAATTTGATAATATGTATAAGGCTCACCGCATTCGTCTGTGACTTGGACCGCTTGCGAGGGGTAGGGGTCGGTTCCTTTGAAGCAGCGTCCTTTTTGTTCAATGGCCACTCTGAAATGTCGACGATATCCAATTTCGTCTCCATCCCATACAAATTGACCGTATTCTTTGGTCCATGCGCACTCTTGCTGCGCTTATTCGGGCTACCAGGACGCGATCCGGTGCGCGAGCTCGGTCGACTACCGGTACGACTAGCAGGTCTCGAGCTAGCCGTCCCACCTACACCACCACTCGTAACCCCAGCACTTGTACTACTCCCACCCGTCTTAGCCGACCGTCCACTCGAGCTAAACATCTTGAGCGGCTGTCCAAGCGGGACAGACGTCTCAAGAAACGGATTAATCGACTCATCCGCATCCACATCACGACTGTCATCCCTCAACGAAACCCCTCCCTCACCAACTCTACCACTTCCTCTACTCGCCCCGGTATTTCCAGCCGCGCGCCCAACGACAAGATTGATCGGCGACATCAACGAATCATCTTCACCACGCTTGCTTCGACTCTTCTCAGAGCCCGTCTTGGTTTTTTCCTTGTCGCCTTGTCCACGGCTGCTCGCGTTCAGATTCAGACCCCCGAGCGCGTGGCTCAACGAAGGCGTCAGGGGTTCCCTCTGCTCTTTCCGACCCCGAGACGGTACAGAAGACGTCTTTGGCGTCTTCGATTTGGATGGCATCTTGCGCGCTGCTGTCGACATGTTTCCCAAAAGAGGTTGAAGATGCAGCGGAGTCAAAGCACGTGATCCACCCTTCACCTTGACCTCCCAAACGGCTCTCAACAAAGTCAAAAATTGACGTGCACAAGGGGTTCAATTTCATTTTGTTCTTCTTTCTATGCAAATTGTACAACCAGCTATCACAATCATCGAAAACCATACCGGTCATTCAAGCATGGGGAGCAAAACACGGAATCGTGAACGGAGAAGAGCGGGGAATCCACTGTCAGATACATCCAAATGCGAGGGGTGTAGGTGATGGGGCTAATTACGAAGGGTGACCACCGTGGCAGTAACCAGTTGTCGCGGCGGGAGACGGGGAGTCGGGAGTCAATGGGAATAAGCACACCAGGAAACAAGACAGTCGGGAGTCAATAATTAAAATATAGGAAGAATGCGTGGATAGAGCTACGAAAGCCGAAATTTTTGTTGCATGAAAATGGTCCACATGCAAAAACTGTCGAATATGATCTTGCCTTTTCGTCACCCTCAAGCAACGGGCTTGCTGATCAAACTGAGCTTGCGTTGCTTGGCCCGCTCCGGGATCGAATGCACAATGTCCATGATTTGCTGCGCCTCAATCACCTTGTTCGTCCCATCACATGTCGCCTTTCGCGCCAACTCGGCACATAATTCGTCAATGTCGCATTCCTGTTCGGCGAATAGTCGAAAATCAGCGCACAGTCGTCCAAAAAAAACCGTTCAAGGGTCGACAACACCAACCTCAAACTGTGGATGTTGGCGAACTGCTCTCCACGCAGTTCCAATGTCCAAATTCAACTTTGTCGAATCCGCCTTTGCCATTGTCGTGCACACTGTCGACGCTGGGTCCGCCATCGGTATCGACTGCACCGGCGTTTCTTGCGGTCCAAACATGCTCAACCCAGATTTCTGAATGGCATCTTCAATGTCCTCCTTGGTCTTTGGACACGACTTGCCATCATGCATGACGGGACCCGCCATCGAGTGGTCTTGTGGTCCCGAGGCTGGAGTCGTCACGTTTTGACCGCTGGTGCTCGTGCTACTTCCCGGACCTTGTTGGAGTGTCGAGGTGGCAGATGGTGGTGTGGGGAGATGGGATATTGGTGAGATTCCACCAAATTGGCTACCAGTATTCGAAAGGTCGGGGATAAAGGAAAAGTTGAGGTCGTCGAGACTACCCTGCATATTCGAATCCTCTAATGAGCTGGCATTGTTTGCGGGTGGAAAAGTCGTGGTACCTGACGACGGTCCCGCGCCGCCAAAGAGCTCGTCATATGTGCTGAGCGAAGCGCCTTGCGACGAATTGGGACCGAAAGACCATGCGTTTGGATTCGCTGCTGGATCGCGGTAAGAGGTGTATTGTGGATTCGCCGCAATGGTTTGATACGGCATAAATTGGAACAGAGGTGCGTCACCCAGCGACCCAAAGTCCATTGTGGACGAAGTCCCTGTGGTGCTTTCGAAAAACGAGGCATCCATGAGGGAAAAGGATGAAGTCGCTGGTGGCGTCAACCCCGCCAACGGACCTGCACCCCCCGTCGTGTTTGTCATTGTCGAAAAGTTGAGATCGGGTGTGGCTCCTCCACCTAGTGTAAAAGGATCGAGCAAGTTGAGCTCTGACGGAGGGGAGACATTGTTTGTCAATTGTGGGGTCGCCGGCTTTGGCCGCGCACTGGCAAGATTGCCATTACTGCCATTGCTGAGCATTCTCGTTAATCCGCCCATGTCGCTTGCGGGTGACGTCGAGGTGGATGGTGGCGATACCTTGGGCGCCGCGAGACTGGAATCGCTCGATGCATGGGTTGTTGGTCGATATCCCTGCTGCGCAGTCGATGTCGATGCATTGGCGCTTGTACTGCCAAAAGGCTGGTGAAAGGTAAAACTGAATTGATTTTGTTTGAGCTGCAGATTCTCTTGCTGCAGGCGGGTCAAGAGCTCGCGCAGATTCTCATTCTCCGCCGCCTGCGAATCCGTCTTTTCCTCGAGCATCGCAACCTTGTCCTCGAGCTAATGACGTCCAAGGAAGATACGGAGATCGAGATGAAAGTGCGTCAGTAAATGACCGCCGGGTGATCGGGAGGCGGGGAAGCCGAGAATCGGAGGTTTTAGACGGAGGGCAAAACTCACATCCTTTACATGCCGTTCTTTGCGTTCACGGAAAGCGCGTTGAGCCGCTCTGTTCTGTTCTTTGCGCTTCTGCAATCTTGATTCATCCTAGAGGTAATAAACGACGTCAGTCCTTCGATTACGAATCTCCAAACGGCGCCTCTCGAGATTAGCCATGATGACGCCCAAAGTGGATGTTGGCAATCAGGTCCATATGGTCGCATTGGCATTGGGGCACACATCCCCCTGGGCGGGACCACCCGCCACGAGAGACCAAGGGGAGAGGCTGAAAGATACCTACCTGACCGCTGATAGATTTTCTCTTGGTAGCTGATTTTTTGGCTGTTTTTGTGATAGAGTTGCGTTAGCGTCTGAACCCAGGAACGTGTGGCGGGGACGCGAGGTAGGCGGGGTGGAATGAAAACACGTACTAGAAGAGTCTGTATGCTGTACCTTGCGCTGGGGCTCGTCGTCGTCGGATTCTTCGTCGAGATCGTCGAGGACTTTGCGTTTCTGGGCGGGTTCTGCGGTAAATCCATCGCGATTGCCGCTCCTTGTCGCACGCGAGGCCATGGATGAGTTCAAAGTGTTAATTGATGGGTTTTGGAGCGATGCGGGCTGGACGGTGATTGGCGGCGAGGGCGAAGAGTCTGCCGTGTCTGCGTCGTCGAGTGGAGAGACGAGTGGAGCACTGGTGGGCGTAGAATCGAGCGCAGAGGGGAGCGAGTCGAAGAAATGGGTGGATGTGGTAGAGTCCAAGATGCGAGCGGGCTTTGTCGATTGCTGGAGCAGGGCCAGCAGCGCGTCGTCGTCGAGGAGTGAGCCCGACGAGTACGGATAGCCAGTTGGATTGGGCTCGTTGGTGTACATGAATTATGGGAATATTCACCACAAAAACGCGTTGGCGTGGTCGAGGACGAGCTGTAGTTGTGTGTGACTGGGGAACTTGGCTCATATCGGCAGCGACCCGCAGTGGCCCATTCAGTTCGGAAGACCGACATGTAGGAGCTGACAAATCAACCAGAATATTCACTATCTTGCCACATCTTTGCTCTACAAATTACAGTAGAATACTCGAGACGCGTCTTGACTGCTGTCTAGCACTCTCCAGCACCCACAGACTCCTATACTGTCCATCGCGGCAAAGGGTACGCGTCCTGGCGCCGGCTCTAGCGCGCAGCACTGCCACAATCATCCGTTGAGGAGAGACACAGGTCACATTAGATGGTTACCACAAATAGCTGGTCCTACTACTACTACCATATGAACTCTCCGGGCTCAGGGGAGACGCCATCATTAAAAATGACTCGCCAGCCACGTACACTTCAGACTTGCGCCGCCGCCGCCGCTGCTCTTCCTGTTCGATTGTCTGTGCAATATCCACGTCCAGGCAGAGCTTAATCTCCTTTGTGACCAGCACCCTTCCATGCCTCTTTTCCCGACCCACCGGTTCACAGGGGTCCCCTTCCTCTACTTCCTCCGCTTCCTCCGGCTCGCACGGAATCGGCATAGCGCTCGGCTCTAAATGCCGATCCATAATATCCTCTTCGTCCTGATCCAGCGTCCGCACGTCGACCGTCGGCGAACGTGCAAACAGGCTGGCTACATCGTCTTGGAATGCGAGCAGCACGTCCGAGTCTTCTTGATCACTGTCGACGAGCACTACACTAGTAGGATCAGTGCGAGGTAGGTCCATGGTCTCGCTGAGCAAATCGGCTAGCATGGCATCTTGATGGAGGTTGATCACTGGCGATGTCCAACGGTCGTGCAAGTCATCCCAGTCAACTGGGATATCCAGAGGTGTAATGGACAAGTCACCCATGGGTGTCGGTTCCGGTGCAGTGACAACGACAACCTTGTCTGTCAAGGGCTCCTTCTACAATCTATCAGCATCGATCATTTTCACTCGAAAGAATAAAAAAAAAACTCACCGAGGCGGAAACTGCCTTGTCCTGGCGGGTTTGAGGCGGTAGAGGAAAGTCGAGTGCCAAAAAGCTACTTTCGTCCTCGGAGGACTCACTGCTCGTCGCACTCAGAGGTGCGTTGAATGCGCGAGGCCCACGGAAATGAGGTGGACGAATTGGAGCGGGAACATTTGTTCGCCTCTTGACTACTTTTGCAGGAACAGCAGTTTGGAGGATACGCGAGAATCGCTTGGTTTCTGACGATGCCGTAGCGGTGACGGTAGTGGTGATGGTAGGTCGGGCAAGCCCAAGGTTGAGTGGCTTCGTAGGGGGGATAGTAGACTTCTTCTCGGGCACTGAAGGGAGCTTGCAGGCATCATCTTGCATCGGCGATAGAGTGCACGCATACATCGCAATCAATGCCGACGAAGGCGAGAGCTCGACGCCGCTCAAAATGGACAAAGGCGGCGTCGGAGGGAGTTGCTTCTGAGCATAAGTGCCAGCGCTGGGGACAGGAGGTACAGGTGCTAAAGGAACCGCAGCCTCAAACTGGCAATTGGTTGTCTGCCCCTTTCGAGCATTGCAAGGCGACCCCCGCGTCGGACTCGGTCCTCGAAGAACAATCGGAGCTTTAGCACCATTCGCCATGGACAAGAGTGCACGTCGGCTATCGAGGCGTTCGGGATACCGACGCGCCAACCCGCCTGCGCACCCGCCATTCTTCGCCAAGTCTTTCTCCCGCTCGGAAGCGAGAAAGGTGCCGCGGGGGATCTCGTCCTGGGCGAGAATACGCGCAATCACGTCCTGCGGCGACATGGTTGCGAGACATTGGTTACTGTGGTTTCGTACGTGTTTGAATGGGTTGGAGCTGAACATTTTGCTCATGGAAACGGATGCGCTCCCGCTGCGTGTGTGACCACTTGGGTTGGCGACGTCAGGAGTGCCAATCGTAATGTCAGAGGTTGCGCTCCCCGTCGAGGCGCTATGGGCATGTACTGCACGAGGAATGGATTGCATAGGTCCTCTTGGGCGGTAGGATGGCGCTGCCGACTCCGAATTGGTGTTATGGTGGCGTGGATAAGAGAATTTGAGAATATTATTGTCAATGGCTGCACTGAGATTCATGATTAGTCGTAAATTGTAGCGAGTGTGTATTTCGAGCGAGTGAGATCTTGAGTGATAGATAGATGGGTGCTAAATAGATGGTGGAGAGCGATAACTGAGATGGGGTCGTAAGGTGTGTCGTGAGTTCTGGAGAACTAGCCAGTGATTGATAGTGTTGTCGTAAATAGTTCGTAAATAGTCGCGGAGACTGCGAGTCGTCAGAGCAGGCAAGCCAATGGACGGGGGATGCGGGAGAGGTGGATGGACCTTTCACGGAAGCGGCGGCTGATATACACGGAACAATAGAACCCAGTGCATATAGAGACTTTCAAACACGCTTCGGAACACATCGCGGGTTTGCGCGCTCCAATAGTAGCGCAATGAACGGCGTCTGTCAAAGCAGAACAACTGTTGCCCATTCAGGCGACCTGAATGGCGGGTCTTGCTGGCGATGCCCACCCCTACACCAGTTCAGTTTCCACCTTCCATTGTCCCAAAAGGGCACGTCCTTGGTCCGCATTCGGTCCTGTCGACCGGCTGTGAGAACGCTGACGAGGGACGGAAAGAGGAACGGCACGTCGGAAGTCTCTGTGGGACATGGGAAATCACCTACGTATGTTCCAAGAAGCAGAAAAAGACAATGGTATTGTGACCGACGATCCCCGCTTTGGGCATGGGAGTGACCAGAAGTGCAGGAGGCGCGGTAGACACTCAGTGGTTATTGATCACCAAAGAGACGGGTTTACCTCTCGAATGAAGATAATAGACATTCCATCCTTGCCCTTCTCAAGCCGAACGTCTCTTGTCGCCAGAGTAGCTGCCCCATTCGTGCGCCAGGGACCACTAACACGTTTTCTCATAGTTTTGACCTGACCTGTATCCACGTGCTGGTACCTGAGGTTAGTGGACAACGTGACAAGGATTATCCCGATTGTGGGAGACGCTTCTGCATTTCAACGCTTTGAAGGGAGACCCAGCAAACGAGAATACTCTTCTACATAGACAGGGGATTGACTGGGCCACGGCTGAACCCAAAAATGACGAGGCTGCGCTAACTCTCGACAAAGGTGAGACTATGGGAACAGAAGCCGAGTTAGAACCTCGCTGAAGAGGTCTCGATTCAAGACAAGACGCATTGAAGGGCCATCTTGCCTGGTTCGGTCGGAGACCAGCTGGGCAGCCAACGCGACCGCCACAAATCGTAGTTTCAAAATATAAACGAAAGTTTGTATAGCAATCGATGATGGCCTAACGAGTGATAGCGGTCGAAGCCTCGTTGTGGTTGATTGTCAAGTGGCGACGCCTCACTCAGACCCAGCTTAAAGGGGTGCCGACACCATCTCGCGTTATGAACGCTATAGATAACGCAGAAATCACACCTCTCGACTTCGAAAATGAAAAGGCGCTTAATCTCCTCCGTCAAGTGGGCGCGGTCATGGATTATTCTGGCTCTACAGCCAGTATCGATTCAAAACTCTTGAAATAATATAACGAGACAACTAAAAATCTAAACAATGTCATGAATAATCGCCGAAGACGGAGCTTGGAAGACCTACCCGTCGAACTTTGGCTCGCCATCGTCAAAGAGGCAACCATGTCGGCACCATACCACCGATATGGAAAAAAGTTGCTCATTATCCTCACCCAGCTCAGCCAAACGTTGGCAAGCCCCATTTTCCGCGCGTCAACGCTTTGGAGCCACATTGCAGTGGACGACGACGTGGAAGACTTGGAGACAATGGTCTCTCTCTTTCTCTCTCTTTCCGGGGACTGCAGTCTCTCGTTGGAATATAAATATGGCTCATCAAGCATCCAAGCAGTCGCGCCACTTCTCCTTCCGCATGTCAATCGGATACATAGTCTGTTCATGCTTCGAGGAGCGGGACCCTTCCCTGATGATGATCCGTTTATTCCTGACGTTTACTTTCCGGCTTTACGGCGGCTCGACATCCAAGCTCCTCTGTATTATAATATAGGTCCAATCATAATATTGAGGCAAACCATTCCACACATCATCAGTTTCGCATCAAATGTGCTTGTCATGTCTCCGGGTGCACCCTTTCTCATCCACATTACCCTTAGTGGCCATCTTCGAGCGACCGGAGACGAACTGACAGACGTACATATCCATGTAGAATCGATTGAGGAACTCAAAGCTCTCACAAGTATTAAGTCTCTGAAGAGGGCCATCTTGAATTCGAATAGCCTAGACTCGTTCAAAAATCCGGCAATATCGATCACAGGAAGTCTCGCTTTAACTAACCTACCGACTACCTCGCCCCTCTGGGAGAGCTTACACTGCACTTGGGCAAGCTGGGATATCTTGGAAAACTTGATAACCCGTTGCGGTGCAAGCCTCATCGATTTAACCATGAAATTGGAAATGAAACAGATGACAGCATTCATCAGGCGTCTTAAGGATTTACCTTCCCTCATCTCTCTGAGCGTGTCCGTAGACTGGAACAAGTCGGAACCCCTCCCTACTCTCGACGGAATATATAAAGCTAAAAAACACCATTTACTGATCTTCTTGCTATCTCTTCATACGTGTGAGATGCCTGGCAGCATTCGGCGACACATGTCAGTGGAAGAGCATACCTGTTATGCACCAGAAACTGTACAAGCTTAGGCTCTTTATTTTTTAAACGAACGCCAAATCTGAGGTAACTCCAGTGGGAATGTTTCGTGGGTCATTATGGGCGTTTACACCAGCTACAACAGCTCCAGGATCTCGATCTCACAATAATGAGTTCTCTGGATCCCATTCCTGACGATCATCGCCCACTCAAGCTGGCCAACCTCCTGTTCCTAACCTTGTGCTCAGCTCCAGACCAGTCACACCTTCTCACAGCTCCGAAGCTTCAGAGATTGACATATTACTTCTGGGGATTGAGGGAGTTTTACACTCGCCCGATTGACTTCCATGGAGAGCAGTGGCCTGAGCTCTTGCACCTCGATCTCCTTCTATATCATGAGCTCCGTGTCAATTTCCATGGAAGATTCATGTTATGCAAGCTTACACTTCGCTATCCTGCTGGCGTCGCCAGTATATGTTACCAGATGGCGCTTCACCCAGGACTATTCCCAGTACTGCAAGAGTTGTACCTGATGAGCCCCCCTGAGTGGGACATATTATGCATCATGCTGGAGAAGCGACTTGTGGCTCGAACCAAGGGAGTGAAAGGGCTTACAAGACTCTACGTCGGATATGTCGCACCTGATATCCGACATTTCATACAGACTATACTCAACGGACAGATTTCCGAACGAGGATCCAACTACGAGTTGTCTTTTTTGCGGATTTCCGAGAGCTTGTGCGATAACACGATGTAAGCATTGAGCCTTTTCAGAACTCTCATGACTAATACATTCATGTAGATCTGGCTGTATGGACTGTCATCTCCGATTCCGTCTTTGCATGCGGCCCTTGGTGAATTACCAGTGGGACATATATACATGGGAGGAAGTGCGGCAGTCACTATACTATCCAGGGACAGCGACTGAGGTACTCGAGACGTGGGAAGAGCGATACCGTCGGATTGGCGTACATTGTGATCCACACAGGTCACCTTCATTCTCAAGAGTTGCTTTCTGCCATAAGCAGTTCATATCTCCACAAGGTTCCTCGAACGGATATCTAGAAGGCCTCTTTACGTGGACCCATTAACCTCAGATTAGAAACCCACTCTATGTTCACCCTTTGTGAATAAAACTTATGTCAATCTAGATTGATAACCGAGGCGCACGAAATGAACCAACAGTCTCTAATGTAAGGCGACAACTTGCTCCTCCCACACTGTTCTCGTTGAAAGTGTGCGACATCTTGCGAAAAGGTAGGGGAGTTCTTTTCCCGAGACGGTATCGTTTTTGTTAGTCGCGTTTATGCATATCCCGATTGATCACCCGTCTCATATGCGCACTACGTTCACAAGTATACCAAATGCCTTGTTTTGTCTGTTCAGAGCTGTTGGCCCAGGTTCGCACCTGTCACTCCTCGGCCGAATCGCAACCGCGATATTTGCCAGAGCCAACTTGACCATGACCATGTCGAGCAAAGCTCGAGGCATCGTACAAAGATGCCAAAACTCATCACTCGTTATCCAGAAACGTAGTTTAGCCACACCGGCAGCGATTCCACTGACGACGAAGCAAAAGGATTGTACAACAATCACACCACCATACGAGTCCTTGCTTGCAAAGCTCGAAACGGTTCGGAAAATACTCAAAAGACCATTAACGCTCGCAGAAAAGATTCTGTATGCACACTTGGACAATCCCCAGAAAAGTTTGGGTGGTGGAGGGCCAATACGAGGAGAGGCATATCTCCAACTCAAACCTCAGAGAGTTGCCATGCAAGGTATCTTCTTTCTATTTCATACTCTCTCCAGGATCTGATATGCCTATAGACGCTTCCGCACAGTCAGTATATCCCTGATATCTAGTTCTAGATTCACCAAGTGACTTTTGATACAGGATGGCACTGTGAGTAGATTACCAAATGGCCCTTGGTTTTCTGACCGCATTCAGGCTGCAATTCATGACATGTGGTCTTCCCGCGTCTGCAGTTCCGGCGAGTATCCATTGTGATCACTTGATCCAAGCTGTCACCGGCGCAGAGGAAGACCTCAAGGTGGCGAATCAGTTCGTGGTCATTTCTTGAATCACTAACGGACGGGTAGCGCTCTCTGGTGACCAATGCGGAGGTATTCGATTTCCTAGAATCAGCAGCAAAGAAATATGGTATTTCTGATGCCTTTCCCTGTGACCTGTTGACTTATATTGATTATAGGCATCGAGTTTTGGGGACCCGGTAGCGGAATTATTCATCAAATCGTCCTCGAGAATTATGCCGCGCCTGGAATGCTCATGCTGGGCACTGATAGTCATACTCCCAACGCTGGTGGTCTTGGTCTGCTCGCTATCGGTGTCGGAGGCGCAGATGCGGTGGACGCGATGACTGGAACTCCATGGGAGCTCAAGGCACCAAGAATCACTGGAGTGCATCTCAAGGGAAAGTTCCCCGAACATGGGTGGGCCAGTCCAAAGGATTTGATACTTCATCTCGCCGGCAAACTAACAGTCAAGGTATATTCACCTTTACAATCGACAGAGGGATTGATATAGTTTCAGGGAGGTACAGGAAGAATACTAGAGTACTTTGGGGATGGTGTCTACAACCAGTCGTGTACTGGACTCGCGACCATTGCGAACATGGGAGCAGAAGTGGGTGCCACCACTTCCACCTTTCCCTATACGCCTTCCATGCGGGCGTATCTCCATGCTACAGGCCGCTCACCCGTCGCGGAGGCGGCAGATAAAGCTGGGGCCCAAGGATATCTCAAGGCGGACGAAGGCGCGGAGTACGACGAAGTCATTGAGATTGTCAGTGGCGCTCTTTTTTTAGAATGACCGAACTCACGAACTTCAGAACCTGGCTGACCTCGAGCCAACGTTGAACGGACCTTTTACACCAGACCTTGCGACCCCTCTCTCCAAGTTTCCGACGCTAATTCAGGAGAAAGGATGGAAGGATGAAGTATCTGCGGCTCTTATTGGTTCATGCACTAATAGCAGCTACGAGGATATGGTAGATCACGTCTTTGCCTCGAGCTTCCCATTGCTGAACTGAAACTGTAATAGACTCGCGCAGCAGAGTTGGCAAAGCAGGCAAAAGCGGCAGGATTGAAAGCGCAGATTCCATTTCTCTGTACGCCGGGTTCAGAACAGATCAGGGCGACCATGGAACGCGACGGACTTACGGCCGCACTTGAGGACGTTGGAGCGACTGTTCTTGCCAATGCCTGCGGGCCTTGCATCGGCCAGGTACTTTAACTTCTTCACCTATCACCAGTGACTATATCTCTTCTTAGTGGAAGCGACCGGAATCAAACGATGAAAACTGTGAGTGAAAGAACTAATGACAGTGTAAACCAATTAATTATCTCCAGCCATCTTGACCTCTTTTAATCGGTATGTGCCTCCAGCAATCTGCATCATTAATCAAATTGACCTCCCGATTAGTAACTTCAAATCTCGAAATGACGGCAATAAGAACACGATGAACTTCCTCGGCTCGCCATCAATTGTCACGGCCATGGCCTTTAGTGGGAAGTTGTCATTCAACCCAGTGACGGACACCATTACAACTCCCTCGGGTGGACAATTCAAATTCAAAGCTCCTGTCGGACTCACTCTTCCTGAGAAAGGCTTCGAATCAGGTATAGACATTCTTTAAAGAATGCCATTACGCAAAATAACCTATAACAGGCAATCCTGCATTCTATCCTGCACCAAACCCTACTCCCCAGCCGGATACACCAATTGTGATCTCACCTAGCTCTTCTCGACTCGAAGTGCTCCAACCTTTCGAGTCGCATTTCCCCGGGAACGTTCCGGGAGAGTTGCCACCAATGAAATGTCTGATGCGTGTTCGAGGAAAATGCACGACGGACCATATTTCGGCTGCTGTGAGTATCTCCCGTCCTCTCACCTCTTAGCTGACCTGTAGTAGGGACCCTGGCTTAAATATAAAGGTAAAAATCTTGTGCAGTCATTTCCTGCCATCTGAAACCATCAAGGTCATCTCACGAACATCAGCGAGAACCTGTTGATAACTGTAGGTGCTGTTTTGTGACTCTGGGGACAAAAAGCTCATATGGCAAAAGGCTGTCAACGACGAGAACGGAGAAGTCAATGTTGCGTTTGATCATGATGCCAAGGTGTCCGACGGGCAAGAAGCAAGCAGCAGCATCCCAAAGATTGCACAGCAATTCAAAGCACGAAGTCAACCTTGGGCACTTGTTGTTGATGAGAATTACGGAGAAGGTGATACCTCTGCTCAAGATTACGGAATAATAGCTTATGCAAACGTTTCTAGGTTCTGCGCGTGAACACGCGGCTCTTCAGCCTCGGTTCTATGGTGCGACCACCAGCCAAGCATCTACGATGACTAAATTATAACTAGGCTGCGCTTTGATTGTCGCTCGCTCTTTCGCTCGGATCCATGAGACCAATCTCAAAGTTCGTCCTCGACTACGCTTGCCGACTGTCTCTAATCATTAAACAGAAACAAGGCGTTCTTCCGCTTTGGTTCGCAGACAAGGCTGACTATAACCTCATTGCGTCCGGTGATGTTGTTGAGACCGTCGGTTTGACAGACCTCCTTTCCGGGAAGGGCAACCAAGTCAGCCTCAAAGTCACCAAAAGGGATGGACAAGTGCTGAACATCAAGACTACCCATACCATGTCAGAGGATCAACTCAAATGGCTTCAAGCAGGATCGGCGCTCAACTACATTCGCGCTCTGCGACAGTCTACATAAGCACCTCTCGAATGACATCACACTAACTGTCAAATTATTGTATATCTGCAAATATAATACAGAAATAAGTATATTCATTCCCTGACGAGACGCTCGCCCAATGAGCGCAGCTCTGCTGCCCTCGCGAGCCATTGCGTCTTTGTACTACCATGAAGATGCTCGAGAGCTTTGGAGGCCACCTCTAGGACCGAATTTGGCATACCGCCGAGGCGTGCCACTTTCAGTCCGTGGCTATCTCTATTCACTCCGGGTCGTAGTCGGTGTGAGTATGTGAAACTACCGTCCTATAGTACATTCAGCCTCTACGGAGCTTGATATAGAACACTGACTTACCGGTCGCTCGTCTACATCTGTACAGTAGAACGCAATGTTCTCAAAGTGACCTTCGGCCCTGCATGTTTCCTCATTGTACCCTAGCATGTCCACTATCTCATGAAAGTGCGTAGCAAACAAGCCTCTGCATCTGTTATTGGTATAAAGGTGATGGATCGTTGCGAATGCTATCGCTAGTGCGGTAGAGATGGATGTTCCACGCCCGACCTCATCCATTATGACCTGCTGCTATCAGCAATGGCACATATACCATCACAAATGCTCACCAAACTTCGAGACGTTGCCCGGTTAAGAATCTCTGCAGACTCGAGCATCTCGACGAGAAAAGTGCTCCTATCACGGAACAAGTCGTCGTTGGCACCAACCCGTGAGAAGACCTTGTCGACGATTCCGATTTGTGCAGAATCCGCCGGAACAAATGAGCCAGTTTGTGCGAGAATGGCAATAACTGCTGTCTGTCGAAGGAGTGTCGACTTGCCTGGAACCGGTTAAGGAAGGATCAGAAAGAAGCGTCAGACCACACCGGCCATATTTGGGCCCGTAATGACTTGAAGTCGGGCATCCGGATCTAATGAGAGAGTGTTCGGGATAAACATTCGCCGAGCGTTCAAGAGACCGATTTCGACTGAAGGATGTCGGCCATTCTTGATATGAAACTCGAGCCTGTGAAGATTTTAGAAAGATGAACAGTGAATTCATAGTCTCGACGTACCCCTCAGTCACCACCGGCCGGACAAAGTTCCTCTCAACGGCGAGCTCTGCAAAACCTAGGGTGACATCCAGTTCGTCGATGATTCTGGCATTCTTCCGAATATTCTGGGTCTCTTTGGTTACCTACAACAAGATCGTAAGCCTATAATATCGATGGGAAGGACGCTTACCGCCTCTCGCAGCTCGCTAAATGCGGCTCGCTCCTGTTCAGTGATACTCTCAGCCGTCTTGATAATACCAGTTCCCAAGTCGAACCATCGCTGGACATTTATCAGTACTTGTTATTTTGTGTCGAGCTAGAGGCATACCTGGTTGAAAAAGGTCTTGGTACTCCCGCTCTCTGAAAGAGGGCTGAACTCGTCGGAGTTGGCCATAAGCTTTGATGCTTGCCTCTTCTTGACATGGATATGAAAGCCAAGTTGTGGAGAGGCTCGAAGGCTCAGCGAATTGGCGACTTTACATGTCAGCTTGGCTTATTTCAAAAGAGTGAGCTTACAATATCGCGCTTGTAGGTCCAGCTCTAAATTCTCCTTTTCCTTGACAAGCGCATCGAGCTTCTTGTGCAATTTTTCCAGTAGTGGATTGTACCTGAAAAGATGAGCCGCGCAAAGAGGCCTTGCCTTTGTGTACTCACTCCGGCTTGATTGTCCATTTGTACATGGCGAATGGCGTAGTCTTTGGCGTACTTTCTGCGACTAGCGGGTCGACGGGGTCCTCGGGAGTAGCTTCTCCTATCTCCGTTTCATCTTCGTTAATCAGAACAGCAGTAAGAATTCTCTGGCTCAGCTCCCTTAGCGATGCCATGCGCGACACGAGTGCGTCCACCGTCTCCCAACCAATCAATACATTCTGTTCTTGCATCTCCATCTTGCGCTCGAGCGTCAGCCGTTCACGCAACTCTTCCCATAGCTTAATTGCCGTCGCTAGGTTCCGTAAGTCGTCAGGTGCTCCACGGCCCGCTAAAAACTTTTGGACGATTCGAGCCGTGTCTTCAATTCGACGCAAGAGTGCGATCAAGTCGACGCGTAGATGCGGTCGCGCTTCGAAGAAGGATACGACATTTTGGCGAGTGGCAATCTCGGAGACCGATGTGCTCGGTGAACAGAGCCAGCGGGCTAGTAACCGGGAACCGCTATGTGTGTTTGTGCGATTGATGACGCTGAGGAGCGTCCCAGTTGTCCCTCCTTCTCTCATTGTTTCCATTATCTCTAGCGAGTCCAACGAGTGCGCATCAATCTGCATGCGTGCGTCGGACCCTTGTTGCAGTGGTTTCGAGAGGCGGGGCATATGTTCCAATAGATTTTTCTGAAGGAAACTGGTGAGTAGAGATATTGCCGTTGCTTCATCAGAGGCATATCGAGGAAGGATTGGTGCAGGAAGAGAAATGTCATCCGAGTAGGGTATCTCTTCTTGGGTGATTGAGACCGCATCGTCTCCTGAATTCGCGACGTAGGATAGGAATACCGATGGCTTCTCGGCAAGAACACGGAACACAGCGTGGTCTTTGTGCGTCTTGAGTTGCTCGTCTAGCACAATCTCCTTTGGCATAATACGAGCAATTTCATCGTGAAGTGTCCCTAGCGTCGCGGTTTGGCTGAAGAAGTCGCCAGTGGAAACGTCCATCCACGCGAGTCCAATGGGAGTGTTCTCCTCGAGCTGGTTGCTGAGGGGACAACCAATCGAAAGAAGATAGTTATTCTCGTAAGGGTTGATGAAATTCTCGTCAATGAGTGTTCCAGGAGTGAGGACTCGAGTCACTCTCCGCTCAAACTGGGACAGTGGATTTGGAACCCGGAATTCTTCGCAGAGGGCGACGCTCTTCTGGTGGCCACGAATGAGAACCTTGAGGTATTTCTCGAGGTGCTGCAAGGGGAATCCGCACATGTGAACCCGTTGGCCGCCCCAAGATTTAGACGTAAGCTATCAATCTTGAGTTTACGAGGTACCTTTCCCGTAGAGCACACCTTGATGTTCAGAAGCCTTGAAATCTCTACTGCTTGGTCAAAGTATGACTGAGATTTTGTTAGTCTTACAGAGGGCTATAGCGGTGATACTTACTTCGTAGAATTGGCCCACTCGTGTAAGGAGCAAACAATGAGGAAAGCGTTCGAGGTTCCTGAATATCTCAAGAGCTAACTCGGTTTTTGGACGTTTAACCTCTGTCGAATTGTCCAGGTCTGTGGATGAACAGCCCAGAAAACACGATACCTGAGGGTTCGTCCACTGGAGTAGCGTCCTTTTTTGATGCGCGTGATTTCCGTGTCTTCTTCGCTGCACATTGTAAGCTGTAATCGCGAATAACACGTCCAAGACGCACGCGTGTCGACAGGGGGAATCATAGGCTCAACAGCCGCTACGGATGATAAGAACGCGTGAAATACACAGTCCAGAAGGATCAATCACCCTTTCTCGCCGACTTTCGACCTGATAGACCTCCATTCCACTCTGGGAGTGGTTTCGCGCGTTCGCCGGAGGGCAGCGTGGCCATTTCTGGGAGATCCATTGGCCTTTTTCTGACGCGAGTCTTGACTGGGTTTGGGACATGTTCTGTGAGCCTTGTGACAGATGTACAAAACCGGCGGACGGTGGTAGTTCTGGGCAACATTTACATTAGATTGCTTGATAACAGTGAGACTAGCCGCATATAATCTAATCCCAATTGTCTTTTGTAGCCCCCGTTCAAAGGGTCACCCGCATGTGGTGAGACTCACTTTCAGTTTCAGCCTCGTCCAGCAAATCCTCTTGTCGACAAAATCATGGCCTCTCGCAGAAGAAACGTCAAGAAGGGAGTCCAGTTCACTATTATGGTCGTTGGTACGTCTTTCTTGTCGTGTTCCGTCGCGTCCGTCGACCTCCAGCTCACACATTTTCACTAGGTGCTTCGGGCACGGGACGAACGACGTTTGTGAACACGCTCTGCGAGTCGGAGATTATCCCACACAAGGTCAACGATAACCCAGACACGGCCCATATTGAAGAAGGCATCCGCATCAAGCCCGTCAATGTTGGTGAGTTCGACACGGAACACGGGCCAGGACGGACACTCACGGTCACGGTCTACAGAGCTCGAAGAAGACGGTGTTCGTATCTCTTTGACGATTGTCGATACCCCAGGCTTTGGCGACAATATCGACAACGAATTTACGTGAGTTTCAGCCTTGGGTCCCGACACTCCGACAGTTTGCTCACGGTCCCTGCAGCTTTGGAGAGATTGCCGGCTACATTGAGCGTCAATACGACGATCTCCTCGCTGAAGAGTCTCGCATCAAGCGTAACCCACGCTTCCGCGACAACCGTGTCCACGCCCTTCTCTACTTTATCACCCCTACCGGACATGCGTATGTCGCTTTAACACGGATATGGACCATTTTCTGACACATTGCAGTCTCCGCGAGATTGACATCGAGTTGATGCGCCGTCTTTCCCCCCGCGTTAATGTCATCCCCGTCATTGGCAAGGCAGACTCACTCACTCCTAGTGAAATGAAGAGCTTTAAGAAGCGTGTAAGTGCCTGATTTAGCGCGATATGCTGGCCATTCGCTAAACACTGCTCGGCAGATCATGGAGGATATTGAGCATTACGATATCCCGATCTACAACTTCCCATACGATGTCGAGGAAGATGACGAAGAGACCATTATGGACAACAGCGAGCTCCGTAGCCTCCTTCCGTTTGCCATCATTGGCTCGGAGGAAGAGGTCGAGGTCAATGGCGAGCTCATTCGTGCCCGTGTGTATCCATGGGGTCTTGCCGAGGTCGACAATCCAAAGCACTCTGACTTTAGCAGGCTCCGCTCTGCGCTTCTCAAGTAAGTGTGAAACTCCGCGACGTGACACGCTCGCTGATCGTTTGAACTAGCTCCCACCTGACGGACCTCAAGTCATTGACACACGACCTGTTGTACGAGACGTACCGTACCGAAAAGCTGTCGCGGGCCGTGCATACCGAGCAGTACGTACCTAGGTTGTGGGCGCGCGCTTGTAGATCATCATTACTAAACTTGGACATAGCGATGCGTCCATTTTGCCCGAGGACCTGGCCACACAGAGCATCCGACTCAAGGAGGAGCAACTCCGTCGCGAAGAGGAAAAGGTACACACCTCCCCTGGCTTATTTTTACCTCGCCGATCTAACCATGAATACAGTTGCGCGAAATCGAGCTCAAGGTTCAGCGCGAGATCAACGAAAAGAGACAAGAGCTGCTCGCCAAGGAGGAGTCGCTCCGAAACCTGGAGAGCCGTCTCGCTGCTCAGGGCTCGACTGCCGAGTTCTAAGCTTTGTTTGGGCAAACACTGCCCACTACTGTTTACAGACCCCTTTTTTACATCCTGGGAGGCAGTCGCCGCGACCACTCTCCCGTATTCCCTCGTTGTCTCTCCTTTTGCCTCTCGTTCGAAGCGCCCCTTCTTTGGTCGGCCCGTCCTTTTGCTTGTTATTAGTCCTGCTTCTTAATACACTCGGTGTTCAGGCTATTTGTATACGGGCGTGTCCTGGCAACCTGATCCCAGTAACCAACGGAGGGCTTGTCGGCTACCTACAAAAGCAACCCGTCCGTTGACATGAGCTGAGCACTACTCTCACCTTGCCCTCTTCCTCTTTCTTTCTCTTCAACTGCAAAAAGTCTCGCGTAGTCGAGTTCTCTTTTTTTCACACTCTCTTCAAGACGTATGTAGATGGCCTTGCACGGACAGGATTGGGGACTTATGCTGTTCTAGGCTTGGACGCCCTCTTTCTTCAACGCAAGCAACACTCTTTTTTCATCGATAAACAGAAACCATGAAGTCTCTTACCTTTGCACTCGTCGCCGCTGCGGTTGCCGTCCACGGCTCACTCGAGGCTCGCCAGAACAACAGGGTAAGGTGGCTTGCAGGCAATATGATGTCCGCTTTACTGATATTGTTTCAAAGAATGATATCCAGTCGTCGCTAGGTACGCGCTAAGCGCTTCGGTTCAATAGTCTCACCCCTGGGTTAGTATTGGACCCCTCTGTCCTCTGCACGGCTTGCACGGATAACGGCCAGAACCCGCCTGTCGATCAACAGAGTCCATCTCTGACCTCGAACAACAACTTGTACGCCCTCCGTGCTATGACCTGCACTCGGACTGACAATGGCTAGCATCGACTTTTGCAAAGGCAAGACGTTGACGAATGGCCAACAACTCGTTCAGGGAAGCTGCAATGGTGTGCCGATTGGAGATATCATCCCTTCGAGCAATATGCCCGCTGCAAAGATTACGTTCCCCAAGAATGGTGGCACATTCGAGGCCAATAAGCAGTTTACTGCGACGATCAACATCAAGAATATGGTCACTGGCAACTTTGTCAATGCGCAAACAAACTACTATGGCGCTCCCCAGCAACTGCAGGGCAACAATGTCATTGGACACTCGCATTTGACCGTCCAGAAGCTCAACTCGATTGACTCGACCGATGTATTGGACCCATCCATCTTCCAGTTCTTCAAGGGAATCAATGCCGCGGCCGTCAACGGTGTACTGACCGTCGATGTCACCGATGGTCTCCCACCAGGCGTGTACCGCTTCTGCACCGTATGTTTCGACTTTGGCATCGCTCTTAAGTCTCTCTAATCACATATAGATGAACACTACCGCGAACCACACTCCAGTAATGGTGGCCATCGCTCAACACGGATCCTTGGATGACTGTGTGTACGCTACGGCTGTTGTTGGTGGTGAGTTCTATTCTCTGCTGGGGGCAGGCCGGGCGGTATAAACGGTCTCGCGGTGTGGCCGTCCTCCTCCGGCGCCCTTTGACACTTTGCTGATTTCGTTTGGAAGGCAACAATGGTGGAAATAACAACAACGGTGGAAACAATAACAATGGTGGGAATAACAACAACGGTGGAAACAACAACAATGGCGGAAATAACAACAACGGTGGGAACAATAACAATGGCGGAAATAATAACAACGGTGGAAACAATAACGGTGGAAACTCGAACAAGAGCACTTCGAGCACCAAGGCCGCTTCGAGTGCAGCAGCCAGTGCCACGTCTTCTGCAGCAAATAACAACAACAATGGTGGTCGTAATCGCTTCCGAGGAGGACGCAACGGTGGCCGGTTTCGTCGCCCGCAATAGGCGAGACGCGTAGCCCACTTTCTTTCTTTCTCGTCGACCATAGTAGGCGCTAGGCGCTATTTATCGACCTTTAGAGTGTAGTTGCTGGCATTTCCTTCGCCCACCCCTTTTCGTCGTTCCTTCGCTCATCCACTCATTTTATACACCCCTTTTACCCTTTGAGAGTTGACACCTGTACACTATCCTCGTTTTCGACAATTGCTTTCTGAGGACACAGGCTAGGACAGTGAACCAACAGCGGCTGTGGCTCAGCTAAGACATACGTGAGTAAACTGGGCAACTTTGTGTCTTGAACCCGACCATGAGCTCAGTGGACCCTCCACAGTCCGCAACAAGAAAACGATTCACTAGAGCCAGAGAATCTTCGTCCAACCAATCATCTTCAGCTATGAATGTCAACGGCAAGAGCTCTCCACAAGCTGGGAATGGACGTGCACACGGACATTCGTCTTCGGTGGAACACCTGGAGCCCCGTTCGCCGCATTCTCGAGCAGAGGATGAGCAATATCCCGTAGAATTACACGATGACGGTGTCGAAATGACTTTACTTGGACATGGCGCACGCCGTCCAGAGGTCCTGGAGGAGCAAGAGGAAAAGGACAAGATGTCCAAACCACTGTCTACAAAAGACAAAAAGGCCATGGTTTTATTGATTATACTTTGTACGTGCGGCTTGTCTTGCGTTTGAGTAATTCTCGCTCATCGGACGTGGCGCGTTTAGATCTTATTCAGGGCGTCCCGGTACGTTAAATCTGGTACATCTACGCGTCGATGCAAGATTCCTAATGATTCCGCTATAGCTGGGACTTGCGTTGGGCTCAGTACCGTTCTTGTTACGAGAACATCTCACGTATAAGCAACTGTCATGGATCTCCCTTTCATCCTACCCTTATTCACTCAAGCTTCTATGGAGTCCTATAGTCGATTCAATGTTCGACTTTAGAGTCGGTCGGCGAAAGTCGTGGATCATCCCAATGCAAATCATCATTGGCACCATGGTACGTCTGTGGGTTTGTCGTCTATTTTATATGCTGACCACTCCAAGATGTTCTGGATATCAAATAACGCGGCCATGGTCATGGAAAATGTGAGTCGTGGTGGATATTCATGTACTACCTTGCTGACATTCTTTACAGCCAGATGGTCATGTCCTGGAACTAACTGTTACGTGGACGTCACTCGTATTCTTTGCAGCGACTCAAGACATTGCCGTGGACGGATGGGCGTTGACACTCCTCTCGGACGATGCAAAGGCATATGCCTCAACTGCGCAGACCGTTGGGCTCAACTGTGGCTATTTTGCCTCCTATACCGTATTCCTGGCTTTCAACAGCGAGTCCTTTGCGTATGTTTCCCGATCTCTTTGCCCATTAGATCCTCATTGCTTTCCAGTGCAAAATATGGCATTCCTCGCTTGACCCTATCGGCATATCTCAAGTTTTGGTGTGTCGTGTGCTACAGTGTCACAGTGTGGCTCATCTTTTTCAAAAAGGAGGCAAGTCTTCTCGCTGTTTGCATGCGGCAACTGATCATTTCTGCAGGAACCAGTATCTCCTGATGACCCAGACATGCGTCTCAAATCCGTCTACAAGAGCATGTGGAAACTATGCAAGCTCGAACACTTCCGACGCCTCTTCCTGGTGCATCTCTTCGCCAAAATTACATGGCAAGCACACGACAGCATCACCTCACTCAAGCTAGTCGAAAAGGGCTTGCCAAAGGAGGATCTCGCCGCAGCCGTTTTGGTCGACTTTCCTTTCCAGCTCATTGCTGGGTGGCTAGCCGGACGCTGGTCTCGAGGGAACAAGCCGCTCAGGCCATGGTTATACGCTTACTGGGCCCGTGCTGGCTTTGTAATCGTTGCCATGATTATTGTCGCGACCTTCCCAGGCGCTCCCTTAGGATGGTCATGGTTCATTATGTTTGTCTCCGTCCTCGTATTGAATGGCTTTGCCGGGTAAGGGCCAAACCTCGACGACACGGGTGCCTTTTATTGACTTTTAATCATATAGAACCATCCAGTTCGTCGGTGTATCTGCCTTTCACACTCGCATCTCCGACCCCACTATCGGTGGTACCTACATGACTGTGAGCACTTTACTTACCAGAAACATTGTGCGTGTACCCACATCCTTTAGATGCTCAATACCGCGTCTAATTTGGGCGGAACATGGCCGGGACCCTTTGTATTCCTCTTGGTGGACGCCTTTACAGACTCGAAATGTCGGACATCCACTGGTTCGGTACTGACCCAAGGTACGTTATCTTCATTTCGAGCACATCAGAAGATTTAATCCGATGTTCTCAGTCTCCGAATGCGTGAGTGAGGTGGGCAAACACCAATGTAAAAATCTGTCAGGACATTGCGACATTGTTCGCGACGGATATTACACCGTCTCGTGCATCTGCCTCGTATTGGGTGTCACAGTCTGGCTGTTGTTCGTTCGTCCCACGGCTCTCAAGTTGCAGGGTACGTGCTTGCTATGTATGCCGGCGCTCTCTTGTAAGCTGACGTGATTTGTGCAGCGCTACCATTCTCCAAATGGAGAATCAATCAACCTCGGTGAAGGGTTTTCTCTTGCAGCTCGATGGCTGTTTAATCCTTTACAGCGATGGCTTGCCCTCGTGAGCCTACCCAACCATTTTTTCCCTTATTTATTGGTGCAAACTCCTCGAATAGGACGCATCCACTATTTCATTCAAGTAATTGTACGCAGCTCTCAATCAATGGAGAATGTTACGTAGTAGACGCGACCGCTTGGATACATTTCATATACTTGCGTAAGAAACATAAGGTATGCTGCTGAATCCTAAGAAAGGGGACACTGGGTGCCTTCGAGGGAAGGGTGGAAACGGCGGCGAAAGATGGAACGAGGATAAGAAGGATCAAGCACAAAGAAATACTACTGCTACCTGGAGATTATTACAACCCTGCTGCCTCCGGGACGAGTATTACACATCATCATCCGATGATGCCAACGCATCTCTAACACTCCTACGGAGCTCTGCGTCCCGTTCCCCAGGTAGGTGTGTCGCTGTCCGTCTGTTCACAGACGAAGCCGCGCTCTCTGCATGTCTCGACGTGGTCCGTCCATGGCCGCTCATGCTGCCCACGGGGACCGAGTTTTCCGGCATCTCCGCATCCGAATCAAACTCTCCATTAACGTATTGGATAATCTTTTTGGCGAGAAGTGTAATCTCTTCTTGGCCGTTTCCGTCACCGTCTTCCGAAACAGAGTCACTCTGCGTCCGGCTATAGGTGTTTGGTGAAGAGGGCTGAGACACCGAAAGCTCTTGTATGCTCGGCAGAAGAAGATTTGATTCGCGGATTTTACGTGTGAGCTCTGGGTCTGGAGAAGGGTGAGAAGTTGAGAAGCCAACTTTACGAGAAACCTCACCTCGTGATTCCAGAAGTTGCACTATTGTCCATACCGCGATGTGCTGGAAGGTCAAGTCTGAGCTCGTGAGGAAGCGGTGCAAATAAGCGTGCATGCCGCCTTCGGGCTTGTCCCAGACGTCGTTGAAAGGCGTATAATCCTCGTCACTAACATGCATATCTGGGCTTATGTTAGCGTCACGGTAGGAAGAAGCGTTGATTAGGATACCTTTCGAGGTCAGATTGCCCAACGCCGCGGCGCTGTTTCCTTGCACTTCAATGCTGGATGAGTTTGTGAGGGGGATAAGAACATTGCAGATCCCCATCTCTAGCAGTTGGGGCTTCAAATCCTCTATACGGTGCTTTAGTACGAAGCAAGCCCTTTAACAAGGCTACGTACCACTGAGGGCCAGGACTGCAACGCAGGCAGTCATTTCGCTTTGTACATTCATGGGAACGTGCATAACCAAATCTTTGATCTTTTGGACGGCGCCAGCCTGAACGATCTGGAGCTTGTTCTTCTCTGACGACGCTGCGAGGTTGCGCAATGTCGAGATAGCGTGGCATTGAACCTCTTCGTTTTCTTCAAAGGAAAGCAAGTCGACAAGTGGATTCAAGAAGCCAGCTTCGATGATTGGCGACTCGTTTTGAGGGTGAATGGAGACGTTTCGGACGCAGGCAGCGGCGGAAAGGATAAGAGGAAGATAGGTGGAGCATAAGAGACGAAGCAAGGGTGTCAAACCACCAGCTTTGACAATGTCAATTTGATACTTGTCGTCGCTAGCTAAGTTTCGAAGCGCTAGAGCTGCTTGACATTGAACCTTGAGACTCGGACTATCCATCAACACAACGAGACTGTGAACCAACTTTGGTTCCGTGGCTGCCAGCTTGCGACGGTTATAGGCATCGACGGCAATGTTGCTCAGGGCAGTGGTGCAGTAATACTGCACGTCGGTATCTGGGCTAGTGAGAAGATTGACTAGTACTGGGACGGCCCCTGCGCTAACGAGCTGTTGCCTGTTCTCGTCTGAATGTGTCATGTTCAAGAGAGCGCCCGTGGCGTTGCGCTGAACCCGCATATCCTTTGACCGAGCAAGCCGTGTAAGTGGAACCAATGCGCCTGACCTCGCAATCTTGGTCTTGTTTTCGTCTGTGAACAGGGCGTTAGTGTCTCTGCACCGGCGCGGCCTCAAGGAGCGGCTCATACCATGTGTGGCCAAATTAGTGACACACCCGACCGCATTGCATTGGACTTCAATATTTGGGCTAAGCATCTGCCGAATGAGGGGCTCAAGTCCGCCCAGCTTGACAATCAGGAGCTTGTTTTCAACTAGTAACGCCGTTGCTCAGCAAGCAGAAAGAGCGCGGTGCATCCAAAAGACATACCATTGACTGCAAGATTGCCCAGGGCCGCAGAGGCCGCTCGTTGAACATCGGTATCATGGCTGCTCAGGAGGAAGAGCAGCGGATCCAGAGTGTCCCTCCCAACCGGTCGAACCTCCTTTTCTGTAATTTCTGCAAATGCCAATGCTGCACTTCGCTGAAGGTCAATGTTGTCCGAGAACGACAACGTCGTCAGCGCTGAGAGAGGTGACCCGGTGAAGAAATTGGTTGTTGTTCGGTCTGAAAGAGAACACTTGAATAATATATACACGAATTAGACTGTTTGGCGTACTCTCGAGGTATTGGAGGAGGTCAGCAACCGCTTCGCGCTCATTCTCAAGCAACAGAGGCTCGTATGCCTGAGACTTGCGCGACTTGACTACACATACGGAAATTTAAATGAATAATCAGTACGCTTTATGTTCATTTGGACGCACGACATGAGCTGCAAACTCCCATTGGTCGCGTTGGTGAGGGTTCAAGGTTGTCTTGCCCTCTTCGTCAACGCCCTCGACGACATTAGCGACACAAGTGATGCTCATAGAACGATTTTCATACTCGATTTAGTGTCCTGTCAACATTTCAGGGCCCGAAAAATCTCCCAAAAGACGCGTGTGCCTCTGCGGGCTCTGTCGGGATGAGCGTCTCGCAAAATAAGCCACTTTTTGTTCCCAAGAGCATTGATATTGTCGCCACCTTGTCCCTTTTGCTTACTGAGTGTCATACATGAGCTGCCGCCAAGGTTTTGTATCAACGTCAGTGAGAGCGGGCGGTCCATATGGAGTATCGGCAATTATGACACTCAATAGGTCCAGGTCAACAAATCTTCGCTGTTTTGCCATCTAGCGGAACATTACGGAGGCCTAGGAATTGATCTCTTGACCAGAAGTCACTGACCTTGCTCAAGGTTCCCACAACTCATATAGAACAAGTGCAGTAGGGAGGGCGGAGACCGCGGGTTCGCACAAGAAGAAGAAGTCCCGGCCACAGAGAAGCACAAATCGAAGCACCACCCTCTCAAAACACGGAAATATCATCTCCTTGAACGTTTCGCCGAGCTCAGGATCATAATCTGTATGAAAATGCGGTTCTAAACGCTATAAAGCCTTCCACGTCGGCCTCAGCGGAAGAAACAAGACTCCCCCGTCTTTGTCCACTCTTTCCTGCGATCTTTGCCCAACAGGCAAGATCCTATCCATTCATTACCCCACCCGGTCTTTACTGCTCTGAATCATGCGTTTCCTCCTCACCGCCACGAGCTTGTATTACATTCTGGCTGCGTCGGCCTCACCGACCCCACTGGTGCATGAGTCGAAGCGAGGCCTTGACTTGAATGGTGTGTAGTCGTTTGAAATATCATCCAATTTCTGAGAATTTTCATCAGCTGTCAATGCGAACTGGGCTGCGGCCTACAGCAAGGCCAAGGCGGCATTGACCAAATATAACCTCACAGAGAAAGTGGCACTGACAACGGGAGCTGGATGGCAAGTTGAAGGCTGCGTTGGCAATATTCCCGCCATTCCATCCCAAAATTTCCCTGGTATTTGTCTCCAGGTGACTACTAGCCGGCCGTGACATCCCCTATGAGTTACTCATAAAACTCTGTACAGGATGCGCCTTCGGGTGTTCGTCTCGCCACCGAGGTCAGCTCATTCCCTTCTGGCATCAACACAGTGGCCACTTTCAACCGCGACCTTATGTATCAACGTGCCGTCGCCATGGGTGCCGAATTCAAAGGAAAGGGTATCGGTGAGTATATCGATTCGATGAGTTTGCGCCTCTTATGGGACCTAGGCGTCGCGCTTTCGCCAATGATGAACATCTTCCGAGCCCCGGCTGCTGGACGTGCATTCGAGGGATCTTCTGAGCCCTATTTGACTGGAGTTGCCTCTGCTCTCACCGTTCAGGGTATCCAAAGCCAAGGTGTTCAGGCCACCGCGAAACATTGGCTGAATAACGAGCAAGAGCATTTCCGTGACTATTCGTCCTCCAACGTCGACGATCGTACTCAGCACGAGGTCTATGCTTATCCTTTCATCCAATCAATCGTCGCCGGTGGTGCGTTCTTAATTCTGCCAGATTCACGCAACCTCTCACACTTTTCAAAGCTGCTTCGGTGATGTGCTCCTATAATCGCGTCGACAACAAGTAAGTAGAGCCTGGCTTCTTTTCCGCACTGTCACTCATGCGTTATAGATACGCCTGCTCAAACCCCGAGCTTCTCAATGGCTTGCTGAAGAGTGACATTGGTTTCAAGGGCTACGTAATGTCCGATTGGTGGGCCAACCACGCCACATCGGACGCTTTGGCAGGTCTCGATATGACGATGCCCGGTAACAAAGTGTACGTTCTTCATCTCACTCAAACATGTTTATAATATCAAGAATAGCTACGGAAACGCTCCAGACTCGTATTTCGGCCCAGAATTGATTGCAGCCGTCCAAAACGGCACTGTACCCCAATCGCGAGTCGACGTACGCAACTTTAAAAGTATAAATTATCTTAAATTCACTATTTATAGGACATGGCACTCAGAATTCTTGCCGGTTGGTATCTCCTCGGCCAGACAAGGGCTTCCCAGCGCCGAATATCTGGAGCTGGGACTTCAACGACCCAAGGAACAAGCACGTCGATGTACAAGCTGACCATAAGAAGATCATTCGACAAATCGGCGCAGCATCGACCGTCTTGTTGAAAAACAAGAAGGCACTCCCCTTCAAGAAGCCGCGCAGCCTCGCTTTGATCGGTTCGGACGCTGCTGTCAATCCTGCAGGCCCAAATGCGTGCCCAGATCGAGGTTGTAATAATGTAAGTGTATGATTCTGATAATCCACCAATTCGCTGACAGCTCCCCACAGGGAACCGTGAGCGCACCGCTCGTCATCCAAAAATTGTCCTAAAATTCTATTTAGCTTGCTCAAGGCTGGGGAAGTGGTACAGTAGAGTATCCGTACCTCGTGGATCCTCTTTCAGCCATCACCGCTCGCGCAAAACAGGACGGCACCGTCGTTTCGAGCTCCCTGAGCGACACCGACCTCGCCGCGGCCGCGGCTACTGCAAAGGGTAAAGATGCTGCTATTGTCTTCATCACTGCAGACTCTGGGGAGGGGTACATTACCGTGGAAGGTAACCAGGGTGACAGAAACGACCTATTTGCATGGCACGGTGGAGATGATCTCGTCAAAGCAGTAGCTGCCGTGAACCGCAACACCATCGTCGTCGTTCATGCTACCGGTCCCATTTTGATGGAAGCCTGGATCGAGAATCCCAATGGTACGTTTCTCTCTGCCATTGCCCACCACCCCTCCCTCTGGTGTTAATTTTCATCTTTTCTGACTTTTATTTAGTCTCTGCTGTCGTATGTGTCCATATTTCTCATTTTCCCGCCTCTGACACAGTGTCAAGCTCTGGGCTGGTGTCCCTGGTCAAGAAGCTGGTGAGTGCCTTTATTTTCTGCGACAAATTGTACTGAAAGACATTCAGGCAACGCAATCACCGACGTACTCTATGGCGCAACCAATCCTAGTGGTCGTTTACCGTTCACAATTGCGAAGCAGCGCTCGGACTATCCTGCGGACATTTTGTACACCTCGACCGAGGAAATTCCCCAGATCAACTATACCGAGGGTCTCCTCATCGACTACCGGTGGTTCGACGCCAAGAAGATTGCCCCCCGTTTCGAGTTTGGGTACGTATCTTGGGAATATGTCACTGCTTTGACGCTTATACACCCCAAAGATTCGGTCTGTCGTACACCAAGTTTGACTATTCTGCATTGGCAGTCTGGCCCTACGCATCGAAGGGTGGACCTCGTCTGACGACTGATCCAACGTAAGTCCGTTTCAATTCAGACAATTTCCTGCGTGTCTAACCCCTCTTTCAAAGTCTGTTTGAGAATATTGCAACTGTTACGTTCATCCTCTGCAACAAGGGTCCCCTTGAAGGAACAGAGGTCAGTACCACTAGAGCATTATAGACAGACTCTGATTTTTATACAGATTCCTCAACTGTACCTCGAGTTCCCGAAGAGCGCCAACTCTCCTCCTCAGCTCCTCAAGGGCTTTGAAGCCGTTTCGCTCAAAAAGGGAGAGACCCGCGTCGTCAAATTTGACCTCACGAGACAAGATTTGTCCATCTGGAATACCAACGCTCAGCGCTGGGTCATTCCAAGTGGCAGCTTTGGTGTCTCTGTTGGAGCAAGCTCGCGCGACAAGCGCCTCAAGGGAACTCTTGTTCTCTGGTAAACAACCACGACCCAAAAAAGCTCGACCAAGAGGTCGCAAACACTCTTTGTAGTTACCCAACACGCTCATTTTTGCACCACCATATCAAGGAAGCCAAATGGAGTGGATTCATAATAGAAGAGCTCTGCGGAGCCGTAAGAGGCGTGTGTGTGTGAAGTGGATCATTACGGGGGGTTCCAGTCGTTAGATGAAGGGCAAGGTCATTAGCAGCTGCTGCATCCACCAGACGGGGATGGCGAGTCGATTCTGATTGGATCCGGGTAATCCGGCGAGCTGTTGGACACGTTGAGCAGCAGGTTTCGGGGCGAGTAGCCGGGGATACATACACGTCGATATCCGTTTCTTGCAAGAGAGCATTCTTTGCAATTGTTTGGAACGCCTGCTCGACGTTGATAGCTTCCTTGGCAGACGTTTCAAAGTAAGGGATGCTGCCCTTTGCCTGGCACCAAGCCATCGCACGCTTCTGAGTGACCTGCTTCCGGTTAACAAACAGTTTCTCGAATGTTATACGTGCATACCTGTCGCTTATGCTCCTCCACGTCGATCTTGTTCCCGAGGACGACAAAGGGGAAATTCTCCGCATTCTGGGGGTTAGCCTGGATTAGGAATTCATCTCTCCAGCTGTCCAGTGTCTCAAATGACTTTGAACTGTTGACGTCGTAAACGAGGACGCAGCAGTCGGCGCCACGGTAAAAGGCGACTCCAAGGGATTGGAAGCGTTCTTGGCCGGCAGTGTCCCACAGCTGTTTTTTGACGTATGAGAAGGGTTACAATTTATTAACAGGTAAATGCCTACCTGCATCGTGACAAGACGGTCATCAACCATGACTTCTTTGGTCAAGCTACCAGATTGCGTCGCTGGTGAGCCAAATGATAAGGGATGCGCTGAACATGTACGCACAAATCGGCACCGATAGTAGCCTTGTACTGACTGCTGAAGCGTTTGTTGACGTATTGATTCATGAGAGACGTCTTGCCGACGCTGGCCATCGTTGAGCAGGCTGGACGCGCATCTGAGGGCCTCGAGAGCTTACCCGCTGTCTCCTAGAATGATCACCTGGATGTTATGAGTCTACAATTGGGCGCTGACAAGTCGCAATCGTACCTTGAGCAATACACGACCCATTATTGGATTCCTGAGTGAGATAATACGACAATTGATGGAAAATCGAGGCAGAGACGCAGACGAGGGCGCACAGACTTGAGCGGCGAGAGGAATGGCACGGGGTCAAGTGTTGTTGGCGCTCAGCTTCTCCTGGTCCCGACGACAACCTGCGCTCAGCGCTGAGCGGCGCCGAAATGTCCTGGCAGGAAGTGCTCAGACAGCGATTAGTCGATAGGAATATCAGAGAAGCCTCTCATGGGCCCGTTATTGACCAGTGTACGTCGTTTTGTTAGAACGGCGTAGCGGAGATGCTGATTAGTTCCCAGACCGGAGATTAGCACAGCATACAAGACTTCTTAATGCCCGAAATCAGACGCTGCTCAGAGCAACAGGCGCAGCCAGGCCAAATCCCAATAGCTCGACGGTCATGGTTGGCGAAGAGTACGTCTGCATATCACAAAGGATCAGAAACTGACGTTGATATTGTTCAGCAACCCCGTGCGGACAGCATACATCCAATCTCTCGAATCGCAAGTCTCCGCGCTCCGAGATGAGATGGCCGCGAGCTATAAGACCCAGGGTCAAAACGCACAACGACTCCTCGCCATGAACGAGACACTCCGAGAGCGAGAGGACGCGGCCCGGATCGATGCGGAAAACTTGCGACTCGCGCGCGAGGAAGTCGCTGTCCTGCGACGCAAGGTCGAACAACACGCGGAGCAAATGGCTGAGAAGGATAGAGCATTCCAAGTGAGTAATTTGATACCTCTTCCGTCCCCGTTTATACCTCCCGTCAGGACTTGACCGACGAGTACAACCTGCTCAACCTAGAATTTGGTCAAGTGGAAGAGCAAAAGGACAATTTGAAAAAGGACAATGCTACGCTCATCCAGCGGTGGATCGACAAGCAAAACTCGATCGGAGACGTGCTCAACGAACGCAACGAAATGTGGTATGAGACGATGCAGACGCGACAGCAGTCACAGGATGGAGGAGGAAACGGGATGAGGAGTAGACCGTCCCAGGAATCGCTCGCCTCGTCGTTTTCGCATGTGTCGGGAAACGGCAGTCGCCCGTTCCAGCCGCCCGTGGGACGGGAGCAGTACGATCGGAAGGGCGCAGATCCAGCAAAGGGGGGACTCCTTCTGAGTCCGAATGGCTAATGGTGGATGAGGCCTAGTTCCCTTTTGTTCGGCTGGCACGGGGGTTTCTTTCTCAAGAGTATTGATAAACCCTTGAACACGTTTCTTTTCTCCTAGATATGAAGAGACTGCGGTGATAATAAGCGCCTCCTGCGTCTGCCAGTAGGCTGCGAGGCTATGGTACAGCTTGGCCACATTTTAACCCCATACCCTACACTCGAGCTCTGGCCCAACTCTTGACTCGAACCCAACCGTTTCTGGTCTCTAGATGTCTACCAAGCACGCAGAGACTGCCTCGTCATTAGCTGAAGAACACCACACCCAGCCCGGTAAAGGTGAGCTACATGCCAGCTCGGTACGTTCAACTTGGATCAGAGCAGCAGAGTTGATGAACTTACAACTTGTCAAGGTGTCAACCAGCGGGCCTCCTTTATACAAAGAGCCCGTGCCAGCCTCTTCTACAGCTGGAATCAGTAGGTGGTTACCCAACTACGTCACCTAGCTGAAATACGTGCAGTATATGGCTTTGGAAGGCCAGTGATTCGTATGATGCCTTTACCAATGCCACCGCCAATGGCAGATGTAATCCAACTCGACCCAGGATCGCCGCCTTTCTATATTGTAGCCCATGATTGGAGGCAGCTATGGAAGTTTATATACATCCAAGCTGCAGTTCGCATCGAAACTTTGGCCGTTGATGAGGAAGATAAACTCCCAAAGGCGACTCTGCAAACTGTGTTACACTTTCTCGAGGTGAGTGTCCAAAACCAAAAAAAGCTTGTCGCTCATGAATCAAAGTTGCCTGATGGAAGTCGGCGTGTTGTGCTGTACATGGCCATTCGCAGCAGCAATACTCCTGATGAAAGTTTTTCGGTGGATACGTCTCTCGTTCCGCCCGACTTTCCGCACCCAGACCTTGGTCGACCGCTGTTACACACCAGGGAGACACAGGTGTACACCGTGCCCACCAGGCCATTCCCAATGATACCACTTCTCTTACCCAACTTTGCACTCTATCTCTCTGCCGCCTTTGACGAGTCTTGTCGCGCTCAAGACTCGAGAGCTCGCTTGAGGATGCTTGTTACAGGTGAATCTTCGCCAATAATGCCACCTGCACGATCCATGGAATCCGTTGGCTGGTTCCAAGGCTTGAAAGCCAGCCTACGACTCCGACGCAAGCCTGTGGTTAAAGAAGAGCAAGGATGTATATGTACGTCTACTCCATGCTATCCCTGGTTATCTGCTTACTGATACCTGCAGTGGTGACTCCATATGCCTAGACATCTTCTTATCCGTACTGTACGGGATTTGCTGAATAAATTCTGATTTCGCACGCCAGTGACCGCATAACGCGGTCCGAGCTCTGGGCGTAATGGGTCCTCTATTTTGTGTTCCGAAATTTACGGCAAAAGGACGAGCGGGCCGGAGATTGGCGACCTTGAGAGCTGGTTAAGCGGCGCTCGTCAAGCTTTGGGGAATCTTGGACCCTACGACATTCTCGACGGCCCACTCTCGTCTGCAACAAACTACAAACCACTTTAGAATCATGTCTGGCAATCTGTAAAGCCATCTATCGTGCTTGATCCTGTTGATGTGCTCATTCCGCCACTTTGCTCGTCAGTGCTGATATTGGGCTCATCGGCCTCGCCGTCATGGTCAGCGTTCATACAGTCGTGCTTTTAGTGTACTAAACTCGAGATTAGGGCCAAAATCTTATCCTGAATATGAACGACAAGGGCTTCACTGTCTGCGCGTTCAACCGCACAACCTCAAAGGTCGATCACTTCCTTCAAAACGAAGCCAAAGGTGTGTCAAGTTTCTGATTACGAGCGATTTTGATTCACTCGGCCTCCAGGCACAAAGGTTATCGGAGCCTACTCCGTCGAGGAGCTCTGTGCCAAACTCAAGAAGCCGCGCAGAATCATCCTGCTCGTCAAAGCGGGCTCTGCAGTCGACGATTTCATCAAGGCCCTCATTCCTCACCTCGAACAGGGTGATATCATCATTGACGGTGGCAATTCGCACTTCCCCGACTCGATTCGCCGTGCAAAGGAGCTCGAGGCAAAGGGTCTCCTCTTTGTCGGTTCTGGCGTCTCTGGTGGTGAAGAAGGTGCTCGATATGGTCCCTCCCTCATGCCCGGTGGCAGCCCCGCCGCTTGGCCACACATCCAGGAAATCTTCCAAAAGACGGCTGCTCAAGTCAACGGTGAGCCCTGCTGTGATTGGGTGGGTGAGAACGGTTCCGGTCACTACGTCAAAATGGTCCACAACGGTATCGAATATGGAGACATGCAGCTCATCGCCGAAGCCTATGACATTCTTAAGCGTGGTCTCGGACTGGAAGAATCAGAGATTGCCGACATCTTTGCTCGATGGAACAAGGGTGTCCTAGATTCGTTCCTGATCGAAATTACTGCCAACATTCTCAAATTCAACGACGATGATGGCCAGCCGATCGTCACAAAGATTCTCGACCAAGCAGGTCAAAAGGGAACAGGTAAATGGACGGCACAGGCGGCGTTGGATGCGGGTATGCCCGTTACGCTCATCGGCGAGGCCGTCTTTGCTCGTTGCCTCTCCGCCATCAAGAATGAGCGTACGCGTGCCAGCAAGGTTCTCGCCGGTCCTCAAAAGGAGCCCTTCCGTGGTGACAAGCAACAATTCATCGACGATCTCGAGCAGGCTCTGTACGCCTCGAAGATCATCTCGTACACTCAGGGCTTTATCCTCTTCCGTCAGGCCGCCAAGGAGTATGGATGGAACTTGAACTATGCCGGTATTGCCCGTATGTGGCGCGGTGGATGCATCATCAAGGTCAGTCCCTCATCCCCTGCCGATCACGACGATCGACAATGCTGATCATGACACCACAGAGTGTGTTCCTTGGTGACATCACTAATGCCTATACAAAGAACCACGACCTCGAGAGCTTGCTGTTCGATGACTTCTTCTTGAAGGGTGAGTGCGGACCGCGGCTGGCTGGCAACCCCCGACTGACGGATCGCGCTAGCTATCCACAAGGCTCAGCCCGGATGGAGGCGTGTGTGCGCCCAAGCAACACTATGGGGTGTTCCTATCCCCGCATTCTCGTCGGCATTGTCCTTCTTTGACGGTTACAGGAGTGAAGTCGTTCCAGCCAACTTGCTTCAAGCTCAGCGTGACTACTTTGGCGCGCACACATTCCGTGTTCTGCCTGGAAAGGAGAATGAGCGCCTTGTTGCCAACGAGGATATCCGTACGTCGCTCGTTGGTTACCCCAAAGATACCTACTAACTCTTTGTGCTAGACATCAACTGGACTGGTCGTGGAGGAACGACTGCTTCGACGTCGTACGTTGTCTAGAGGGGTCGTTGTTGTAGTAAACAATGAACAAAGAAACTTGGTCCTCGCCACTTTTGTCCTTTTGAATCAGACAACGTCAACGACTTATTATATACCATGCAAACGACGATCACCTCTGTAGAAGGCTCCGTGGGGACGGTCCAGACGATCGTGAACACCGTCGTGGACGTCAGGGTCCTGTCGCCCTCCCTTTCTCAGTGGGCTGGAGCCCATTCTACGAATGATGATAGTAACGACGATAATGAGAGTACTTTCTCCATTAATACAGATACCAGCAACGCTCAGGCCGGGTTCGCCACTGTCCTTGACCAAAGGATAGTCTCGCGAGCCACGTTTGACGTGCATGACTGGAGGTGGAACAATGATATCCCTGGAGCTGTTCCAGAGGACGGAGGACCCACTCCTCGCGTCCGGACGCTCTCGCTCGTCCAAGGCATCCTCAGGCCCATCCCGCAGTCCGTCCCTGAGACGTTGCCGTCTCTATATGCGCCTAGTTCGGGTGCAAATGGCGAAGAAGACGAGGACGATAGGACGGAAGCCGATTCTATCTGGGCGCATGCGCTCAACTGCGACAACTTGATTGCCACGACGGCCTCTCAGCAGAATCTGTTCCCTGGTGTCCCAGATGATGCACCTCTCATTCATAATCCTCCCGAGGCGTTTGAGGATTTCCCAGACTTGGAAATTATCATCGCCAGCCTGCGCGCCTGGGACACTGAGGGCGGAGATAATACTCCTGTCAATCAGCAGAATTAATACTTTGGAAATGTCTGGATGAATCTTGAAATGTCGAGGTGAGCTCCCGGACTTTGCATCTGGTGTGGGTGGCTGACGCGTTGCGCAGTCGACCATATACATCTGGCATTATCTTATTGCTATACTGCCTTATAGGCGATTATATCATTCTCTTTCTTTGGTACATCCTATGTGTAGTCTTGTCCCTTCTGGCCTCGAGTTTTTCCCCGTAGGATCTGCTCCTTCGTGCCTGACCACCATATTTTTATCACCTGCTGTATCATTTTAGACCCATCTATGGATCCTTACAAACGTCTTTGCGTAATTGGTATTGAACGTTGAGTTTGGCTCTACTCATTTGCCTTCGTATACAAGCTTTATGGTCTTATTAAAGTGCTATCGTCTCCGGTTGATTGGCTACCAGACGCAAAAGGTGGTCATATAATTTGGACCTGACCTCCATCGTCAGTATAGAGTCCTCGACTGGCAGACCGAGTTTGCAGAGGTCATGCCTGTTGGAGCACCAGACCACTGTTTTCTTACCGGCTATCCAATTCGCGTCGATGCCTTTGCCACACCAAATGACCCGTCGTTTGCTCCTCCGTTGCTGCACCTCTTGACACATACACATACGGACCATCTCGACGGTCTCAATTCGTCTTCTTTTGGTGGGCAGATTATTTGCTCTCAAGTTGCAAAGGACATGCTCCTCCGCCATGAACGCGTCGCGGACCGCGTAGAGTTTGACAGGGGCATCTCAAGCAGTCGCAAAAGGCCTTATGCTCATCTCAGGGTCGAAGCCATGGTTATGGATGGGAAGAAGATCTCTCGATACACAAAGGATTTGCTTGTGAGTTGATGATGTCGGCGTGTCCCGGTTTACATTGTATCATTTCTAGAAACCAATTCCACTACAGCAACCAACGGCAGTTGAACTCTCGCACTCTATGAAGGTTCGGATTACCGCCATTGATGCCAATCATTGTCCTGGCGCAGTCATGTTTCTCGTCGAAGGCCCAGCAGGAGCCGTCTTGCACACTGGAGACGTCCGAGCAGAACGTGTATTTCTCGAGAGTCTAAAGGGAAACCCCGCACTACAACGGTATATCCCGCACCCAGCTGCACCGTGGCCCGCCCCACCCACAGCTCCTGTCCAGACACTCGAGGCCATTCATATCGACACGGCTCATTTATTCATCACGTCAAATCTTTTAAGCAAAGTAAATGGCATTATTTGGACCACTCATTCGCTGATGGAGACGTAGGAAGACGCAGTCGAAGGGCTACTCACCTTGATGGCACTCTTCGACCCAGAAACAACGTTCCTGATGAATACTTGGTGTTGGGGTTACGAAGATATTGTATGGTGTCCTGATACCCGCGTGGATCATCATCTCATAGTATCTAGATCAAAGGCGTCGCCAAAAGGTTTGGCAGTCGGGTGCGTCCCAGCTCTCCGCAGGTGCTTGCTATTCATGTTCCCCAAGGTACACGTAGATCGTTACAAAGATGAGATATATCGACATAGCCGCGATCCAACCCTCCTACAGTCCATTACCAGAGCCGAAGAGACGCGCTTCCACGCTTGTGAACCCACCAACCGCTGTGGAACCATTGTTTCAAATGCCGGTAATGTCGTCTATGTGAATCCGGTGGAGATGTCCATAGAACACTGGGAATTGTACATGGCAGAGACGATGCAGTCTCTGCTCAACGGTGAAAGGCTTACAAATCTAGTGGGTTCAGGCCATCACTCGTTTTATTACATCTCATCTCGACTAGCTGGTACCCTTTTCCCGTCATTCGGGTGTTCAAGAGCTTCAAGACCTCGTTGCACTCTTCAAACCCAAAAAAGTGATTCCCAACGACTTAATGTCATGGTTTTATGGGCTCGAATGGATCTGTTTTCCAGCCATGTTTGGTCCCTATCTCGCTCCCGGAGGAGAAGAACTTGTCCAAGATCAAATTCGCAAAGCTCAGCTACCGACAGACCGTATACTCGAAGCTCTGGACGCAAAAATGCGTGAAAGTGCGGTGGAATTTGCTATTGGAGATGGTTCGAGGAGTCTGGTGGCATTGTGGTCGAGCAAGAACCCTATGGGTGGCGAGTCTCTCTTGACGCGTCTCAGACAATATCTTCCAAAATACGTCCAGGAGCATATAGAGGCGAAATGGATGGACCTCGGCCGTCCAAAACTGGACATAGGACCCAGTGAATCCGAGTCATCACAGGAGGAGTGTGACGAGGAGGATTCTCAACTTCGAATGTCCTTTTACGGGCTATCGAAACCCTCAAACCTTGATAAAGAGAGCCCATATGCGCGAGTCTCACCTACAAAGTCGACTGTGGAACAGACACCTCGCCAGAAACCGTACAAGCTGCCTGATCCCAGCAAAGTCATTTTCATTGATCTTACCGTCTCGCCCCCAATGTCTCCTAAACGGGAGCGAGAGGAGATAACGCTTGTGGAAAAGTCACAAAAAAGGAAGCGAACTGAGACGGTGATACTTTCTTCCCCTGTTCAGGGGCACCCTCGTGGCACCCTGAGTGCTCAACCGTCGGCGAGTACCTCGAGGCGACGCTCGATGGAACGAACGCAAATCGCAGAATCTGGAGCAATCACGATATATAACAAGGTGGACAATGACATTTCGGCGCGGAATTCAAGAGACGTATCGCACTCTCAGCTCATGAGCCGCAAAATACCTCTAGAGCAAAGCGAATACATAAAGACGTGGAATAATGCGGCACTACTGGTCCATAGTTCATCAGGAAGCAGAATATCAGCTCAAGAACTGGAGGACGAGGCTCCTGCAACGGCCACAAAGCCTGGTCGCACAGTCGAACCCTCGATAGAATCTCCACCAGGTGTTGACAGCGTTCGCGTCAACAACCTCTTCAATGGTGTAAGGGATGGATCCACGGAGTGGATGGGCCTGAGTTGCCTCGGCAGTCAGAGTCAGTGATGTCTCCTTCTTTTTGATCGTGTATTGCTACTAGAGTGTACTCCTTGGGTTATCCAATAGCGTATCACATTAGCCAGCTCTAGTTCAGACTATCGACCTTTCCATTCCCTATTCTCCTGTCTTGACTTGCGGTGTCTCGGATTGAGGTGCCGTCGTGGGTGTCATTTGCTCGGTCCTGAATCGTTCGGGAAGCCCTGCACTGATTTGTCGCTCGTATGGATCGTCCAGGGGTTCACAGCCTGGTGACAGAGTTCGATCAACAATGCACTGAAGAAGAGTTACTAACCAACTGCAATATACGCGAGACAGGTGATAAATGGATCACAGAACCGTGACGTCCAAAGCCATCGCAGTGGATAATAGTCGAGGATAGCGTTGCACATAATGCCAGAGCGCACAGGGTAACGAAGCGAAACGAATCCGTACGGATTTTATACCCGCAGCCTCGGTGAGGACAGGCGCTGTACTTTTAAACCCGATGAATTCTATCAGGCCTCTAGGAGATGATCATACAATGATGTACCATGAGTCACGCCATTATCTATGTTTCATGGGTGAGCTTGCCGTTACGCGTACGCAATTGTTCTGCAGACGTAATTCCCTGGCTCTCGAGGCCCTTGTAGCTCACTCGGTCACCCCCGAAGAGCTCTCTGGCTTCAATGTCGTTGATACCTTTTAAGAGGGCTTTGATTGCGTTGTACTTGGTGTCGCCGACTTTGTCCGGCGTCGTACCCTCGGGGTCTTGTGGAAGATCGGTGATCATGATCCGCTCACTGGGTGGAATCGCATCGAGGGCTTCTGCGTCAAAGGTATAGAGCGATGATCGTTTTTCGAGTTCGGCGCGATTCTTCTCTGTCATGAGGAACACAGTATTCTCGAGATGTTGGGGAACGATAATTTTCAGGTCGCTGGATTCGATCTGGTAGAGCTTGTCGATCGAACTTGCACTACTTTCGCAGCAGCAGCAGACTTCACAACCTGAGAATCTTGATCAGTCCTGAGGAGGAACCAAGAAAAGAAGGGCCTACATTTCAAGCAAGGCTCACAGAGATAGCAAACGGCAACACAGCCAAGGCAAATGACTTCAAAGAGGTCCCCCATCGCTGAAACTGAGAGTTTGTGGGCAGTCTGTGGACGGTTTGGGGAGTTTTGAAGCAAAATAGGCTCTTTTATGGTGCGAGCCGTATGCAAGGTACACCTGGGATGTCAATCTTGTCCAATTTAGTTTCCACTGACAGGGCCGGGGGAAGTCCGAGCGCTCGTTCCCAATCTATCTTCATGAGTAGCGATAGGAGGCACCCAAAGAAACGAATAATAGAACTGGCTCGCTTTCGCAGCTGGAGTACGGACCATTTGCTCGGAACCGCCATGATCAAGACCTGTGACCAAGAACGTACATTCTTTCCGAGAGTTCCTGTCTAGTCAATCCTCAAGTTGAAGAAATAGGCCAAAGTCATAGGCGGCAAGTGGCGAGGCAACAGACAAACCCTGGCCACAACTTCTTGCAAAGCCGTCGGAGACCATGAGCGACTATGACGATTATTTTGACTCCATAGATGAACAGGCACTTGCTGAGCTCGACGTCGTCGAAGCAACACTCAACTCGTGCGAAATAGCGCCACGCCCGCCAGTGAAAAGCGCGTCAAACAAACCACGAATATCGCAAGCAAGCATGGATTCAGAATTCGGTGACCTGACGCTCGATTTGGACGACATGGACGCGCTTGAGGCTGCCGTGAGCAGGCCCAAAGCAGACTCCACCTCGCGACCTGGACAGTCGTTCAATCGAACGATCAGTGGAGCAAACGATGGTTGGGGTTTCCATACGGACTCAGGAGGATCGCTTCAAACGGATTTGCATGGCAACATCCTCATTTCTGAGGAGCTCGAGGAGCCAGCAAGGCAGCAACGGCCTCGTGTGCCTCTGCTCGGACAGAGGCTCCGGAAAACCAAAGTTTGGGATCAGACTGCATTTGCAAAGACAGGGTGGAGGAGTACAAAGCCTCCAAAAGGAAAAGGAAAGGCGCGAAACGATGATGGGGAAGAAGCAGAGGACGAGATAGATGCATCTGCTCTTCCAAGCGCTGATTTCTCCCGTGAGTATGGTCAACCCCGCTCAGATACACCTGATCCTTGGCACAGTGCGACCTGTTAGCGTCTATTGGTCTATGTGGAACATCGACTAATGCTGTATAGGCAACATCGATGCATCTCGAACCTGATAGAATCTCGATGAGAGAGTGGATCTATCCACTTAACAGAGACAAACGAGAATACCAATTCAACATCGTCAAGGCCTCCCTGTTCGATAACTGCCTTGTCGCTATTCCAACAGGATTGGGGAAGACATTTATCGCTGGTTGTGTGATGCTTAACTGTGAGTTATGTCTGCACCCTTTACCGGTCTGACGCTAGTTCAGACTATCGTTGGTTTCCTGAAGGCAAAATTATCTTCGTTGCACCAACGAAGCCACTCGTAGCGCAACAGATCGAAGCCAGTCACGAAGTATGTGGAATTCCAGGTACAGATGCGATAGAACTTACGGGACAAACCCCACGCGACGTCCGACAAGTCTTGGTCCGTAATATCCGCACAAAGTCCCCCATTTCTTTCTAATATTTCACAGTGGAAAACAAAACGCGTCTTTTACATGACGCCTCAGACCCTTGTGAACGATTTGGCGAATCAACTCGTGGATCCAAAGCACATCATCCTTCTCGTTGTCGACGAAGCGCACAAAGGAACCGGAGACTACGCCTATACGCAGATTGTGCGATTCATGATGGCCACTAATCCTTTCTTTCGGCTTCTCGCCCTCACAGCGACACCTGGAGGCAAGCCAGAAGCGGTACAAGTCATCGTCGATTCGATGCATATCAGCCACATTGAGATACGCAACGAAGAAAGTATGGATGTTCGTCAGTATATGCATCACAAGGTCGGTTCTCGATCCTCACCTTGATCTGCCTCTCATTATGCACAGACTATCCGAGAGCATGTCGTCGTATTCGATGGAGAGCTCCTCAAGATTCGAGAGCTGCTGCTGAAGGTCATGGATGTATGACCGGAACATGATTTTCCACCCCCTTCGCTGACCTTTTGGCAGCGGGTGCTTGGTCCGCTGCGGGCCAAGGGCATCCTATTTTATCACGACCCTGCTATGGTTAGCGCATTCGTTTGTCAAAGCGCCATGGGCAAATTGGACAACCGGAGCGAAGGGTGGGCCTACAAGCCTTTGAGTGACCTCGGAGCACTGGCACGTGCTTATGGCTATCTCGTAAGTAGAATATCGCAACAATTTTCGGTTCTGACCGCATCTTAGATGGAACACAGCGTCGAGATGGCATATAACTCACTTCAAGATTTCGCCAATGGTGTCAAGAAGAGCAAGCCTGGTTCCAAGCAACAGAACACTAAGCCAAGCAAGGTGGCACAAGATCCAAATTTTGTTGCCTGTATCAACGAGATTGAACGTCAGCGCGACTTCAAGAAGGCATTTCCTACTCATCCAAAGATGGAGAAGCTGCGCACACTGGCCATTCAACATTTTGCAAATGCAGAGATTGTCGAAGAGGACAAAGTTCTACCTGGGGAGCAGCCAGCAAAATCAAGCACCAAAATGATTGTCTATTGCTCGTTCAGGGAGTGCGTTGACGAGATCACAGCCATGCTGAACGAGCAGCAACCCATGATACGAGCCCACCGGTTCATTGGTCAAGGAATAGATAAGCGGGGTGCCAAGGGAGTTTCACAAAAGGAACAATTGGCCGTGGGTCCTATAGCTGCTATTTCTCCAGTTCGCTGACGAATAAGCAGGTCATCAAAGACTTCTCGGCAGGCAAATACAATGTCATTGTGTCGACCTCAATTGGGGAAGAAGGTCTGGACATTGGAGAAGTCGAGTGCATCGTCTGTTATGACGCTCAGAAGACAGCTATTCGCTCTGTACGTATTTTGGCCATGAGTTACTATCATTCTGACCAGCTTCCAGCTGCAAAGAGCTGGGCGCACAGGCCGTAAAAAGGCTGGCGTTGTCGAGGTTCTCCTCACAAAAGGACGAGACGACAGGAACTGGGCTACAGCTACCGCCGCATACAAAGAGGTCCAACAATCCATTGTACGCGGGACGGACTTGGAGCTGTATGGCGACGTCCCACGGTTGCTGCCTGACAACGTTGAGCCCAAATGCATTGAGATGAGGATGGAGTGCATCCCATATGTCCGCGATGAGCCGAAGCGTCGAGGTTCCGGAAACACATCACGAAAATCATCTTCCAAAACGAATGCGACTAAACAACCTGGCTCGCGCAAGCGTGTGCGCGAAGAGATTCAAGAGGTTGAAGAAGAGCAGGAGGCAGAAGAGGACGACCCAAGCTCTCCAAAGAGAAAAAAGAAGTTTGTGGCGACAGATGACGATGACGAAGAGTTACTCCAACCGAAAAGACGTACAAACAAGAAGGCTTTGGCATCGACCAAGCATAAAAACTCTGCACCTCGCTCTTCCGTCCCGATGACCAGCTTTGTATCAGCGAGAATGCTGGCTCAAGAGGACGATGAAGACTCTGATAACGATGCACTGGACAAACTTGTCGCAAAACATACCCAAGGCGACAGTATCAAACCCTCCAAACCCTCCAAGGCGCAAAAGAAAGCGATCCCCAAACAAATTCCAACTAAGCCAGCCGCGATGAACTGGCTGCTGGATTCAGACTCTGATGAAAGTGATCCGCCACCAAAACCACAACCCAGAAATACGGTGGCTGAACAGAATGTACCCATCGACCTGACAGAGACCGAAGAGTCTGATGTCGAATTGATCGAGGAGGTGCAGATCTCGCCACCCAAATCCCGTCCAACTGTCTCAAACGTCAACCGTAGACTGGTCGCGAAGGATGTGAATACTTCATCTCCTGAAGCTTCTTTCCTACTCGAAAAGCCTGCGAAAAGAAGAGTTTTGCCGCCGCCGCCAGCAGACGATTCTCTGGAGCTTTCGTCCCCAGTCATCCGAAGACTCAGGAGAAAGGGAGACGAAGGCGACAGGAGGCTCATGCCACCACCCCGTGCTCCTGGCGCAGCTACTGCTGATACAAACTCCAAGGCGCGTGGTTCGGGCGTAAAGTATTCAGTACTAGACAAAAACGAGTTCCTGGAGATGGAAGCACAACACTCTGGAGACGAAGTCGACGCAGGATCATCCGACTCGGATGGCATTGCGCATAGCTCTGATATCGAATGGCTAGTAGACACATCGGGAACACAGGCCCCATCTGGATACGAGCAGAGTGTGATTTACAGGCAAAGCCTCCTCACCCAGGCACCGAACAATGCAGCCCCAGTTTTTGCTTCGCGACCCGTCAAGACGGGTTTCCTGGGTAGAGGCCGCGCTTCTATCGGAGAGCCGAGGAGATACGGCGCCACGGGGTCATCACCAATGAGAAGCAGTGACATAGATAATTATTCTCTGGGCAGTTTCGTTGTAGAGGACGACGACCAGATACTCGAGGCCTCTAGTCAAGATGACGATTTATAAAGTTTAAGCCGTACAATTGTTCTTTGTATTTCTAGGATAGTAATGTAGCGCCATTCGACCGTTTTGTGACATCTCCACCCTCTAGTCGAGCACTTCTACTGCCAAATTGCATTGCTCTTTTCGCTCTTGAAGCAGCACCATGTAGACCTAACCGCCTCGCGGCCAATCGAAGTAGTAGCTTGTCTCCTGGCAAGCCCTTTACCGCAAGTTGCTCATTGGCTTCGTCCTGAGGCGTCTGACTTGGAGGGATCACTCGGGGGTCGACTTTGAGGTGGATGGGAATGGACGAGAGATATGCTAAAAGATTCATTGACAAGAAGGGGTATCTTGCTTCCTTTCCGTGTGAAGAGATGACCCTATCGTCCCTTCCAAGGTTTCGTATATGAATCCGATCGACGTCTCGTTGTAACTGAAGAAACAATGAGACTAAATTCGCTCCTTGAGCAAAGCCCTACCTCATCGAGTAATGCCTGCCACCCTCCATGTTTATACGCATTTCGATGGCGTATGTATCCCCCGAGTAGTTCATCTGCACCGAGTCCACTGAGAATGACCCGTGCCGGTGAAGTGTACGATCTCACGGAACCGGTAGGAGAGTTCGGCGCCTCCGTGTCTCTGCTCTCGATGCAGCCTATTCCTCGAGAAGCGAAGTACAATGCTAGTGCCAGGGACATGTCCATTACTGTTCGGGAAGGCGCCATTAGTCGCTCGATGATTGGCCTGTGACGAAGAGTTTCCTCATAAGGAATGTTGATGGTCACCTTTGGACAAATAAGATACCTATTTCGCTGGTGAAATGCACTGACAAAGTTCCATGTTCTCTCCGGGGCAAGACGACGGAATTCTTCGACTTGTTCGAGACCCGTAATCCTGTCTGGCACAGAATACTTCTGCTCCTCCGAGAGGTGAGGTCGCGTTGACTGCTTATGAGGTTTCTTCTGTGAGGGCTGCGTGTGTCCTTCAGCACGATGCGGATTTTCGAAAGCAACGTTGAGGAGATCAATCGGTTCGGAGAGTGGTAGATGTCTGGAATGTATGAGTGACTCGTTATGACCAGACTCATACGAACCTGTGCGCAAGAAATGCGATGACGGAGCAGTCTATGCCACCCGAGAAGAGCACGGCGACACGAGCATCTGAATTTTTGAGGCTGGAGAGAAATTTAGTCCTATGACTCTATAGATGGGTCGCCTTGACCTGTTTAGGCGTGGAATGTCTTGAGTACGAAGCACAATAGACGCGTCTAGATGCTTGATAAACTCTTCTACAGTTTCTCCCCATATTGGTGGTAAAGGGTCGACAGGTATTGGGTAATCTGCCGCGGGGAGATCTCGATGTAAAGGCTTTGGAGCAATCTTTTGGGAAATTAGCAGCAACTCGAGGGATACATCTGACGCACCAATTGTAGATATGCACTCTCTCTAGAAACATTCTGAATGTTCAAGCACTTCAACATTGTAAGCATGCGATATGCAACACACGGGTACGAACATGATCATCCAAAGAGACTGAAAACAGGGTGTCCGCGGGTAGCTCTTCAAAGTCGTGGCTACCATTAGACATGGAGGCGAGAGTGAGATACGGCTTAGCAGGAGTGGGCCTGTGCACTACAAGTGACCGACGACCCAAAGGATCACGGCCAAAGTAGACTGTTCGACTGCTGCCCTACTCATTCTTTAGATGTCTCCTGGTTATTTGAAAGTGACTACCTCCAAGTAGACAAAGGCGTACCTGCTCACAGATCAACTTTCACTTCCACGACGAGACCATCGACATACGGGCCCTCAACTTGTCCGAAAATGCCGGATATAGACTCGTTAGAGCTGCTCAGGCGTTCAAAAATCTTGACTCCATCATTGTCTGTAGAGATAAGATCCAATCCTTCGAAGATCTGTAAAAGGGGCTCAAAATCAGGAGTGTTTGCATGTAGATGAATATTCACCCACTTCTCCATTCCAGCAAAGAACGTTTCCACTAGAATGATGAGGCTGAACCGCAATATGATCTCCCCGGAGATGCAGAACAGAGCTAAAGACGCTCAATGAAACTGATCCGATGGAGAGATGAAGGTCTTGTTGTGAATCTGGGCCTATATAGCGCATTCAATAAATCAGAGAGTGGAAAGCAAAGCCTAGTTGTGCACCTCGCTGCGCATTGAGCTTGACAAGTTCGGTCCACTCTTCTTCATCAAAGCTTTGATCGGTTTGGCCTATTCTAAAAACGATTCCACACATTGCCGCAGAGTGGTAAGGCTCAAGGGCCGTGTCGGGATTTGAACCTGGCCATGTCGTCGCGGCGCAGTGTTGGCAGCCAAATCGTGTTCAACAACCCGAGAGCAATATCGGTACGCTCTGGAGGCTCAAAGACGAGCAACTCGACCATCAATGTCACATTAGCACGGCGCCTGCTCTTCCCATACCTGCCACTGACGACCCCACTCCCCCCGCTCGTGGGTACATATGGAACACCCGAAGAAAACGAGAAAAGGAGGAACGACCCGGCTTTCAAGGCCCTCAACAACGAACTTTACGACTTCCTAGCTCTCGTGGTTCGCGGGTTCGTGCTGCCATGGTGGTCAAAGATTACACCAAGAGACAAGGAATTTCCACAGGAAATCACAAGAATTGCCGCAAGTTTGATAAAGCAGGTGGAGTCACGGGCAATGGCCGCAGACATTCCTGCATTGTTGGCGAATGCCATTCCTTTGCTGGTGGCACAACACTACCAGGACTTTCGTCTCGCACAAGCAAAGCTACCGACATCCTATGCCACTGGCCTACAGGGGCACTCTGACTCGCTCCCGCACCTTTTCCACTCATTCCAACCACACATGGCCGTCACAGCAGAAGGCACAGTGGATCCTAATTATCTCCGTCAAGTTGTGGAACACATTATGAAGGCCTGTCTACCGCCAGAGGACTGGGAGGCTGAAGCGGAGCGTGCTATAATTCGTGAGATTGTGCTCAAGATACTGCTGGAGAGCGCATTTCCACGCCTGAGCCAGCCATGGTTTATTCAAAAGACGATGCTCGAGCTGCTTGGTCCGCCCAAGGAGACAGTGCCAGTGAGTTTCATTCCTCACTCGACGCTTACGCGTTGACATTCTTGCAGCCACCTCCTGTAACCAGAAGTGGGAGTGCATTTCATACCTTTGTCATCTTATTTCTTTCAGCGGTGCAAGTCGTCTCAGGATTTGCCATTGCCGCCATAGCAGGTCTGCAAGCTACCCTGCATACCGTCACGGAGGTGAATGCCTCTACGTTTCGTCAAAAAACAACATCGCAAACTGGCGAAGACATGGCATTTCCAACATTGGAAATGCTTGCAGAGATTTTGAACATGAGGGAACGAGCTGCAGCGGCCGCCATCCTTTACCTGTTGCAACTCATTCTCGGAGCTCTTGCCCCATTTGTCAATCGGTATGTGCGCAGGGTCTGTCACGAATAGGGAGTGATTGATTCGCTCTCATAGGCTGGTACCTTACTTATTCTACACGCACACGCATCCCAGTATGTTTACGAAAATTCTCGCGCAGTCGAAGAAGGTGCTGTTCCCCGACGGATATCCAGGACCACCTCCAGTGGAGCCCACCATCGAAGAGCAAGTCCTCATACGCGAACAATTGGAAAAGCGACTATTTGATTGTGTTTTTCGTGCGTTTCTGCATAACCCGCTTCCGACGCCTGACGTTTCATCTAGCGGTTGCGGCCAAGCTTTTGTTCGGCACAAAGCTGTCCATTCAGGGCCGGACGATTCGAGGAATTTTGGATCCCTTGGGCTCCAAACAGTGCAATGTGCATCTTCTCATCTTTCTCCTAGACGCCATTGTCGTTAGCCTCTTCCCAGAACTGGCCTTGTCGCCCACCTCGAAGCGAGAACCGAGTGATGGTGCAACCGACGCGGACCTTGACGCAATGATTTATTCGCCTTACGACAAATCTGACCCACTTGATGGTCGCTCCAACTCGCCTGGTCAAGGCACTCCGTAATTCACTTGCCATGCCGACAAACCGGAAAAGGGCACGAGGGCGCACTTGCTAGTGGCTTACCGTATACGGGAAACTTGACCTTGATTCGCACGCACGGCAAGCGGCAAATGCTCGCGACACGAGGCAATGGGTTCCGACCTCGGAGGGCTCAAGGGACGGGCAGAGGTGCTGCGATCCCATCGGCTTGGGGAGTACACCTCGCTTGGATGCAAGGACGTCAGCGTTTCATATTAATGGGGGGTTGAATCTGTTGGTTTTAGGAGACCGGGTGTGAAATACAGTGAAACCTAGGGCGGGCTAAAGGGGAAACGCAAGGGTTACCATTGTAACTAAAGCGTGGCTTGAACTAGTTCTTGTTCTAAACCCAAACGGAAGGCTGTTGTCGGCTACACACCCGACGCCCCCGTAATGGGAGTAAGAACCGAATGAGACTTTGGACCTGACCTCTGCCGTCTCACAACTCGTTCTCCAGCTCTCCCCCGCGACTGCAAAGCACATTCCTTACTCAAATTCCACTCGTTTTATAATTATCGCCATTGGCTACACCTCCGCTAGAAAGGACACGCGCGCCCACCCTTCGTCGTCCGAATTATTCGATATCCTATACCGCGAAGACTTGAAAATCAAAGAAAACTGTATCTTCTTGTCCAACCTGGCTTGCTGATTGCATTCCTGGCTTTGTGCGCCTCTACCTAGCAAGAAAATGCCACTTGTGCATGCGCGCAACCACGGGACCAAACGTCGACAAGGCTCTCCTCAAGCCCTAGATAAACGACATGTATCCTTCCCTCGTGACTCGCCCAGCGACGACGCACTCGCCTCTCGGACTATGCTCCCAGGCGTCACCCCTGCCGCTGTCGGACATGACCAACTCGGTGAGTAGCATTTCCCTTTTTTTCTTGTCTGTGAGAGTTTTCTGGCTGTGAGGCTCCATGGGGTGCGAGTCGGTCGCAGACCATCTGAGCACACAGTCGCGGTGAGAACGCGGATGGAGTCGGCCCCTTCACTGCCCATCAGTGTTCATCAGCGTGTGCTTATTGGAGGGCTCGGCTTTTCGTAAACCGTATGACTCCCTTGCTGACCATTTGTTTAGCACTCGGCGCGGGAGTCGTAATCGTTTTGTTGCTCGCCTATATCTCGCGACGTCAGCTACGGAACCTCACGTCTCGCATTGCACGTGGGACGGCGACACTTTACCATATTACTACATCCACTCGCGAGACGAATTATTCCCGCCTCCCGTTGCATGAGCACGAAGAGGAACGCATAGAAAGTCCAACTAGTTCCATATCCAGTGTACAAATCAGCCGGCTGGACGATCCCGCACCACCTTATTCCCCGAATACACCCTTCAATCCACCAACGCGGACAGTTTCGTTGAACGAGGACACCTCGCTCTCAAGAAGTTATGTGAGACTACAAGCTCAAACACCGTCCGCTCCCTCTGTTCTCGCTGCCCGTTTGAATTCAACCCCCTCAATGCCATCAAACGTCGGAGCCCCGGAAAGCCATCCGAGCGGATGGGTTTCTCATCGCGGCTCACGCCCCCCGCCCATCAATACTGCCCCGTCATGCTCGCAAACTGTCGCACAACCCGCCCAGCACTCTTCAGGATACCTCTTGCAAACTGAGTCGCCCTGCGCTACCCCTCCGCCGCAATACTCGAGTACGAACAATACGCCCGTGTCCTCGTCGAGCGGAAGCGGGACGCCGAGTATCAATCCGAGCGAGTTTAACCAGGGTGTGATTCCTGAATACAGCATCACGATTCACTCTAGCCCTCGCTCGTTTCAGTACATGTACGATGTGAGTGGACGGCCAATCGCAGTCCATGTTCCCGATATCGTACTCAGCCCGGTACCATGGCTGCCTCGGGCAGATACTGGTTCAAGTGACCGCAACAGGAAATGCAAGTATTACATTGGTGACGGCGCGCCTCCTGGCTACCTCGAAGTGCCCAGTCGAAAGAGGAGCAGTAGCCGAAGGAGACAGGAGAAGAAGGAAAAGCCACTTCCTGTGATACCACCAGCGGAGATTAAGCTTCGGTCAGAGGACGAGAATATCCATCGTCGAAATGCAAAACCTCGGCCCCAGTTCACCTCATCGTCGTCCCAGGAGGGTTCCTCGACGCGAAACATGACTGAACAGGGCACGACTCCAATGACCCGTTGCAGCTCGTTGCCCACGCGTCGCAAGCCTGTCATGGTGGACGAAGCGCCGCCGCCACTGCAGCGTACTCGGTCAGCCCCGAGTATGCCACCGCCCATGCCGGTCTTACCGCTCGACTTGGAAGCAGTGTATCCATCGGGAGGAAGCCGTCAAGCCGAACCCGAGCCATCTCCAGTTGAATTTGCATATGGGGACAAGAAACACCCCGTTGCGAGCAGCGAAGAAGACGAGGACATGCCATTGGCACAGAGTCTCCTGCTGGCGATGCGAAAGAAGACGGAAGAGCTGAAGCGTGTGGAAGAAGTCAAGACGAAGCAAGTGTCCAATGTGATCAAGATGCAGATCTTTGGACGATTGAGTGCATTGGCGTCACGAGCTCGCAAGGCTATCGAGCACGAGCTAGAGAGTGACGATGATGATGACGGTGAACAGGAAGAGAAAGAAGAGGAGAACCGATGGGAGGTTGCAGCGCTGCGGGAGAAGGAGGCGCATGAGCGAACGATGCACTCGCGGTTTGTGACCCGGGAACGAGAGGTTTCCGAGGCCTTTGTGATCGGAGATGAAGATGAGTAGAGGGTAGAAATGCAATCTCATTCATTTTTTTTGTTTTTCATGGTGGATGGCCGTGCGCGTCTAAGTTGGCTGGTCGACACCGGGCCCGGAATAAGGAGTGTAGAATGAGCAGATTATTGTGTGAGCATAATGCCCAGCACGGGGATTGTGTAATCCCTATGCAAAGCCGGAAGTCTCTAGGGCACGGCCAACCTTTGACCCAACGTCGACGACCGAGTTGGCCGACTGGCAGCTATAACGACGCCTAAAAGCGACCGCCACTTGACATTTCCTCTCCACTTGTCGTTCTGATCCTCCAGCGCGTCTGGATATACCGCCTGCTCTCCGTCAGTCCCTCGTCAGTCTTGTCCTCGCCACCTCTAGCGCTCACGCAGGTCTCGTAGAGCTCTCTGGGTCTGTAAAGCTACTCGTCGATTCCCTACGCGACGACCGCCATCTTGTACGATGCCCCGCGCTGCAAACGCGTCCACCGGTGCGCTCAGACGGAACCAGGTGAGCACAGCGCACCCCTAATGTTATCTACGCGTCCGATTCTGATGCTATTCGACCCCGCAAGGCCTGTCGCCAATGTCGAAAACGAAAACTCGTGCGTGTGACATTGACAAACCAAAACATTACTGACGACCTCGAATCGCCCAGAAATGCGACGCCCAGCGTCCTCACTGTGGCACTTGTCAGAAACAATGGGCGGCACAGATATCCGTACCGCCCCCAGTCGGATTTGCGTAGGCCCCTTGTGTTTGCCAGACGGCCATGGACGATGCTCACGACCCGGTTTACAGTCACCCGAAGGAGCCCGCGTGCACGTACGACCCAATCGAGGGCCTAGTCCTCGCTCCAGACACTGTCGAAGACCCAAGCGAGCGCGTCCGAGTACTAGAAGCCCAAATAGGTACCGAGATCGACAAGACACCTTGGCATATCGTATTGAAACACCTCTTTCAGCGCAGCTTCAGTCGAAATTAAACCTCGCACAAGTCGAGGCAGTTTCCAATTCGGCGAGCTCCAGCCATCACAGGACGGGCTCTTCGCCTCCAGAATCTATTCCTTCTCGTTCATTCATGTCCAGCAGTCCCCCTGGTCACTCGCTGCCTCCGACCGGAACGGGCTTGCCCTCGAATAGTCTGTATACCCACCCGCCGTACGACAACCGACAGCCACCGTATGCAAGTGCTGGAACCACGCGTCCTGTACCGGGCCCAACATTACCGCCCTTGAATCATTTCCCTGCGTCAGGAGACGGACGCACCAGACCGGGTGTATGTGATCATTAAGGGGTTCCCGTCGATGTTGTATTGAACATTTTTCTGTTTTTAGTCTCAAGGCGACGCATATTACACTGGTCTAGAGTCGGACGTGCGCAGCACGCCTTTTAATAGCGAAACACATCATTCATCGGACCGCGTCCACCATCCTCGGACGTTATCTCATCCTTACCATCGGGATCAGCCTCACATCTCTCATCTTGTCAGAGGCGACCGAGGAGATGGCTACGGCAACGTACGCATCTCGTCTGGCAGCTCTGATGGGTTTGGGTCAGCGGTAGAGGCAGGTGTACCGAGGGTGTCCAGACTAGCGAGACAGGTGCGTCGCAAATTGGTGGCTTGACAGCTGAACAAACTGTTTGTTAGTCTGACACTCGAGTTCGCGGATATTCGTTGAATAATGACCCGTCTGCGCCACTATACGATCTCATGTTTTCTGGATGGAGCAAAGATTTACCCCCTAGACACGAATTAGCAAACTAGTACGTTTGGTTAGTCTGACCCTCTCGGTTGCTGACCTCCCGCGAAGCATCGACATCTACTTCCGCTGCGACCCTTGCAGCTCCCGCATGCTTCATCGTCCAACGCTTCTTAATAATCTTAATTATCCTCCAACGCACCCAGATTTCCCCCATCCAGCTTTGCTTCATGCCATCTGCGCCACTGCGTCTCGCTATACATTCCGCGGACGTCTCGATTCTGCTCTCAATGCAGCTGATGCACAACAATCTACCGTGCCTCAGCGAGATCGCTTCGCAGAGTTTCACGCGAACAAGACGCGTGCCTATGTTAACGCCACCATGTCCAATGGCCAAAACATTTTCGACGTCTTCCAGGCGTGCGTTATCCTTTCTTGGTGGTTCTACTCTGAAGGCCGATGGGTCGAGGTGAGGTCCACTAACGGAGCATTCCGACTTTGGAAATTGACAGTCTGTCTCTCATTTAGGTTTGGATCCAGGCTGGATTTCAAACGCGGGCGATTGTTCCGCTCGGTTTGAACTATCTCGGTTTAATCAAGCGAGGTCCAGACGGTGCACCCGTCAAAAATCCATATCTTGCAGCTCCAAAGAATGCACATGAGACGGAGACGAGGCGCAGGGCGTGGTGGATGGCCATTCTCTTTGACCGGATCGTCAGTCTTGGCGGATGGCTGCATAGTGTGGATGAGCGAGACATTGGCACTGAGCTTCCGCTCCCATATGCTCGCTACGATGCCGCAGTACGTTATACTCGGTTTTACGCCCGCCATGTCTAACGCCATTCTCCAGTTTGAATTTCCCTCAAACCCTCAAACGTTGCATTCAGAAAATGTGTTTACCCGACATCCAATCGAATACACCGACTCGCATATACTCTTCCTCAAGAGCATCCTTCTCTTTGGCCGTATCACGGATTACACGGTTCGGATGGGTATCCGCGCTCCACTCCTGGCTCATGCACATGGAGACGTTGCTTCTCCACTCTATCATACCGTTTCACCAGGAAAAAATACTGGAAACACCCCTGGCGCAACTCCAAGCGGTCCATCCAATTTGTCTGCAGGCGGCGCTGGAACAAATGCGCGTTCGCCCTCACCTGGAGGACATGCGCGTGCCAATTCTGCTGCCGCGAATGGTACTACCGATCCACGGAATGCACCTGGATTCCAAACGCTCGACAAACTTGTTGCAGTCGAATTTTTGAATTCGTTCCCGGCGCAGTATAGGTCGTGCTTGGGTGCGCTCGATGCGTCGGCGAGTGGAATTGGAATGGGGCTTGATGGGTATACGATGCCTCCTGCTGGTGGGCTTGATACGGATCTATACGTGGCTCATCTCGTTCCGCATGCGTGAGTATACTTTGGAAGGCTGGATTGTAACTGATGACTGGATAGCGCAACTATTACGTTACATAATCCGTGGGTCAACTACGCCGAGCCTGCCACTTGTCCATCAGTTGCAAGGTGCATGGAAGCGGCCCGTGCGATCCTCGACAAGTACTACCTACTCCAATCGACATCATTTGACATTACACTCCTTCACCCCTTTGTCACCGTACGTTTTTCCAATTAGAGTGATGGGAAAAGCTGACATGTGAAAAGATCTGCTGGTATTTGGCCTGTGTCGTCCAGATTCACCTGTGCAAGCGTTTGATCGAGATGGGAGATGTGGTCAACGAGGCAACCTGCTGGGGCGAAATTAACATGCTTCGGTATGCTGTGACATAATCGGTAGACTCGTGCTTACCAATGTTATCAGAAACGCTCTGATTACCTATGGCAAGTACTGTCCGATAGGGACTCGACAAGAGAAGATGCTACATCCTATCATGCAAGAGATTATCAGTATGACGACTCAAGAGCAGCCCCTTCAAGTTGGACTACCCTTATACCCGTTCTCCATCGACTCGGCCTTCCAGCTGGCCGAAAAGCGAGCTGCGGCAGAAGCAAACGTCGCAGTCGGCATCATACGCGGTACTGGTGCACCGAAAGGACATCTTAGCGGGATCGAGACGCTTCTGAGTGCGTCTTCGGGTGCGGCTATGATCGAGGAAGAGGTGGATGTGCGGGATGCCATTGCGCCTATTCCTGACGTGTCGATTGTGGGTGAAGATGGGGACACGACCATGACGGATCACGTCCCACCGCTTCCCGTAGGAGGCATCACCGTACCTAGAGTTCAGAGCATTGGGGGAAGCTGGATGACGGAGGGAAACTAAAATGTCGAACTACTTTCTTGGGCTGCAAGTAGATATGTATTTCTCTGATTTGTATCGAACAGAAACCTATCCCGCCTCCTCATTTGATCTCAATTTCGTGAACGTAGCGTGTCTCCCTTTGGTTCTCTGTTTCCTCATATGCGACAAAGCCACACTTTTCGTAGACGCGCCGGGCTAGGACATTGTCTTTAACGACGTTGAGAAAGACTTTCTTGAACGGTTTCGCATCTCCGCCATAACTCTTTGCCCATTCGAGCGCCCGTGCGACGAATGCACGAGCGATGCCTTGGCACATCCCAACAATAAACGCGTCGTGGTGAGATCCAAACGACCGGAGACACGTGATCATTCCCTTGTATGCAGCGAATCGATCCTCGTGTGGCGTTGCGATAATGAATTCTTCTGGACTCGTTCATTTTACCGTCTCCTGTATCGCCATCGTACCTTCCTCCAAGCACAATGGGTCTGTGTTTGTCTGTAGCCAGGGTGCGTAGACCCAGAGGCTTTTATCATGGATCAGTTTGCCCTCGATTTATAGCGGCCTATCGTATGAATGACCTTGATACTGTAATTGCTGACAGATTGGCCCCAGACCTCCTCTATCATGCAGCACGTTACCCTCAGCCAGCCATGCCCGCCACCGGAAACTCTTTATTCACCTATAAATATTCACAGGAAAATGAAGCGTCAGTTCAGGGCACGATAAGAGGGCTTGGAAATAGATTGAAAGATTGGTAGAGGGTTTGGACGCAAGAACGCTTTGTATCCTGGCTCACCTTATCGAATTTTGTAAACATAGCGTACCTCTTTTGCGTCCTCTGGACTCTCTCCTTGTACGACAAAACCACATCTTTCATAGGCACGCCTCGCCGGAACATTATTCTTTACAACGTCGAGAAGAACCCTTTTGAATGGAATGTTATCTCCGTCATGACTTTTTGCCCACTCGAGTGCATGATTGACAAGCGTGCGACCAATACCTTGGCTGCGCGCTGCAGGTAGTACCCAAAAACCGACTACGAACGCGTCCTCGTAGGGAGATTCAAACGATCGAATGCATGTAATCATCCCTTTATACGCAGCGAATCGGTCGTCGTGTGTCGTTGGGAGGGCGAATTCATCTGGGGTCTTCCATTCCAGCGTCTCTCCTACTGCCTTCGTTTCGCCATCCAAGTTTATATCGGGTGGAGGAGAGTCGTATGCGATAAATGTTGCTGCTTCCGCGTTTTGCAGTCGGACCGTCCATGTATCAAGCGTAAAGGCAAGTTCGCGAGTGAATGTGCTGCTGAATTCGTGTGGGGAGTCTACGAGTGCGCGAAGTCGGATGAGACGATAGAGAACAGCGTCTTGTGGCGTTAGACGGCGGAAGACGACCGTCATGACAAGGTTAGAAGTGTTGAGGCGCCGAGGTGACTCTTAGATGTGACTGGAATGGGAGAACGCTGTCAAGCGATGTTGAAGCACTGCTAGACAGTTTATTACTGCCTAAAACGTATTATACAGTCAGCTCAGATCCGCAATAGGCCCAGTAGTCCCCAAGTTTCTGGGCCCACGATGACTTTACGGCGGGCTATAGGCAACCGGAACCGTAAAATGGTAGAATTTGGTACTGATGACTGTGGGTGAATATTATTCAGGAAACCTTTGTTCTCGGATTTAAATCCGGCAGTTCGACGTTGGCGGTCAGGAGCAAAAGTGGCGAAAACCACACAAACCTCAGCTTGGACCGCACCGTCACCAACGATGTCACGATTAAACGCTGGAGCCTTTGAATTTGTCCCGGGGCAGTCCTTTAGACCGCCGCAACAAGGTCAAGGACAGCAAGGTCCACCAGGCAGTCAGCAGCCGCCCGTGCAGCCCGGATATGGCTTTCAGAACAATTTCCAGGGCAATTTTCAGCCACCCCAGGGTGCATATGGACAGCAACAACAACAGTATGGACAAGGGTATTATCAACAGCCCGGTCAAGGCTACCCAAACCAATACGGCAATGCTTATCCTTATTACCAGCAATACAACCAGCAGCAACCATACAGACCTCCCCAACACCTTCAACAAGATTTTCAACCACCGGCGCAGCAGTATCAATCTCAGCCACCCACCGTTTCCAACCCCACTCCTGCTCAAGAACCACCTCGCCAAAGTGCACCAGCCCCAGCCCCGACTGGTGTAACAGTTTCTCTGAATATCGGGGGCTCAAAACCAGCTGCAGCGGCCACACCAAAGGAGAACAAAGCCGACGCACCGTCGAGCGGTCATGCCTCTGGGACGAGCACACCCACTAAACCACCCCCCAAATCACAGACATCTGTTCCAAAAGCCGGTGCAGCACCTGCTGCAAAGGAAAAGAAGGAAAAGGACTTTAATTTCTCCATGGACAGAGCGAAGAATGACGCCGATGCCATTGTCAAGGAGCAGACTGCCATCGCGACCGAAGAAACCCTAAAAGAATTATATGGTGCCGAAGAGGAAGACGTGGTGGATACGAATGGTGCGTAATCAATTTCTTCTGCACCAAGAATGAATCTCATCTTTGCAAATTTCAGAAAAAGTCAACCTCAATGTCGTGTTTACGGGGCACGTAGATGCCGGAAAGAGTACGCTCGGTGGGCAAATTCTCGTCCTTACCGGCAACGTCGACAAGCGAACGCTCGAGAAGAATATGAAGGATGCCAAGGATGCCGGTCGAGAGACTTGGTATCTCTCGTGGGCCCTCGACTCGACTCCTCAGGAGCGAGACAAGGGAAAGACGGTAGAAGTCGGCAGAGCCTATTTCGAGACCGACAAGAAGCGGTATACCATTCTCGATGCGCCTGGTCACAACACCTTTGTTCCCAGTATGATCAGTGGTGCCGCACAAGCCGATATTTCGGTCCTTGTCATTTCCGCACGAAAGGGCGAATTCGAGACTGGATTCGAAAAGGGTGGCCAGACTCGAGAACACATCACGCTTGTTCGTACAGCTGGTGTGAACAAAATTGTCGTCGTCATCAACAAGATGGACGATCCCACAGTCGAATGGGACAAGGCACGGTTCGACGAGATCAAGGACAAGCTTAGTCCATTTGCGCGCGCAACCGGCTACAACCCAAAGACAGACCTCGTCTTCATTCCTGTGTCCGCCTATACTGGTGTCAACGTCAAAGACCGTGCGGACAAGCAGACCCTCCCTTGGTACAAGTAAGTTTCTTTATCCTTTCTCGTGGCATGTCTTATAATCGTACACAGTGGCCCATCTCTCCTCGAATATCTAGACAATCTGCCACCCCCCGATCGGAAGCTCAAGGGCCCGGTCATGATTCCTGTCTCCGAAAAGTACAAGGACATGGGTACCGTCATCGTTGGAAAGATTGAGTCCGGTCGAGTACGCAAAGGGTCCTCATTGCTCATGATGCCCAACCGTGTGACGGTTGAAGTCGCAGGTATCTTCAATGAGATGGAGGAAGAGATTGCGAGTGCATTTGCTGGCGACAATGTGCGCATCCGACTACGAGGCGTCGACGATGAGGATATTTCACCCGGATTTGTTTTGACTAGCCCCAATAAACCAGTCCATACGGTTCGACAATTCATTGCCCAACTCGCCATTCTAGAGCACAAGAGCATTATCTGTGCTGGTTATTCCGCTGTGATGCACGTGCATACTCTGTCGGAAGAAGTCAACCTTCTTGTACGTTTGATATGAGCTCTCGTTTCGTCATTGACACTCTGATAGGAGCTCCTTCACTACCTCGACAAAAAGACGGGCAAGCGATCGAAGAAGCCACCTCAATTTGCCAAAAAGGGTGAGTAAATTGCTCAGATATTTTCATATTCTCACATCTGGTAGGAATGCAAATCATTGCAAAGGTAGAGACTACTGCGCCGATATGTCTCGAAACATACAAAGACTACCCACAACTTGGTCGCTTTACCCTTCGAGATGAAGGCAAAACGATTGCAATGGGCAAGGTGAGCCATCCATCGTCCAACTTGGGCAAGTGCTCAAAGATATTCAGGTTCTCAAGCTCATCGAGGCGTCAGACGCCACCGATTAAGAGGCTTAGTAGAGATATATGTGATCTATAGCTTTTTTCAACCACTTGCTTGTACCCCCACCTTACTGATAGCGCTCGCCACACTTTGAACTCTACCGCGCCGCTTGATTTATGCGATGACCTCAGGATCGCCAGAGGCGTTTCTTAAACGTCTCAAGTCGACCAACAGTATTCCTTTAGCGCTATCCGCGTGGAAAGACAAGGATTTCTACCTCCCGTCCAAAGGGCAACACATTGCTGCATGGGCACTCGACCATCTCCTGAAAACACCTGTGGCCGTGCATAATGTACTCATTTGGAGACTATTGGATGATATTATCCTTGGGACTACGGGCTCATACTCTCAATGGCTCTCCTCCGTTTTGTACAAAACGCCGACGGTGCCCATCCTCGCCTCCCTCCTTCGCCCTGCTCCAGATGAAAAGCCCAGAAAAGATGCAAAAGAGCTCGCAGAAGTATCTCGTCGAGTGATGGAGGTTATCCTCCCCATGGCATTTCCTAGAACGCGGTTCGAGACAGTCTTAGATTGCCTATGGGCCGCTTTTGCGTCTGTATCACACCCAAGGGCGCCGAAAGAGATGAGTTATCACCAGATGGTCGCATTAAGAGGCTTCCAAGCCGCGTTTGCGAATGCAACAAACAAGGGGAAGGTATGACATTGGAGTACTCCTGAGATTGAATATTGAATGTTTGCAGGTATATTCAAACTTTATCCAGAACCACTTTGTATCGTGGCTTCAGGCTCTGCATACGTCGCAGAGCGACGTGGAGCTGGAAAAGGAGCTATGGCAGTCAGGACGCGACATCTTGACGAGTTTGGACGCGCTCAAATCCCTTCACAATCCGGAAACTAAGCCTCAAGAGAACTACTTTGAGCATCTAAAGGCTGCTGCGACATCAACGCCCATTGTACTGCAAGTCGCTCCTCGAATCTTTCGTGACCAAGCTGCCGCCACGAAGGTGCATCGGATCCAATTAGCCAATATGAAACTGGATACTTCAACATCCCGTCTCTTTTCATCGTATGTCGCGGTCTACGTCGACTGTGCGGAAGACCAGCAGCCTCAGGCTCTGCTCGATCATATGCGAGTGATTGAAGCTACTCCAGACATTTCTATCCGGGACCAAGAATGGAAGGCAATACTGATGCGCATCCGCGATGTTGTCTTTACTCGACTTGTGTGTGAGTGTAAACGTTGGCGGCTCGCTCCGCTGCTGACGTTCATTAGCGCAATTGGATAGTTCAAATAAGGCGAAATACCTGGAAATTCTCGCTATTATTGGCCGCATAGACTATAACCTCCTCCTTCCGCATATTATTCTGCTTCTGCGGCTAATGGCTTCGGTAAAGCCTCTCACATTGCCCTTCAGTATCTGATGTGCTCTAGTATCACGGGCCTACACAGCCATGTACGGACCTTTTCCAGGTCTTGATTGATTATCACTCTAGAACACGAACGTTGGACCAGCTCTGTCAGGCGATACTGGAAGCGGCTATTTCTATGCAGGAGGCTTCACTCAATATGGAGACTCGCGATACGGAGGGCCAAGGCGTCGATATTCTGAACGGACCTTTATACGGCATCCAAGGCGGAAAAGCCCTTTGCAAAGCAGTCAATCTCACATTGACCCCAGGACAGGTGCCAACATTCACAGACTACTGCGTCTCAAAGATGTGCGAGTCGTTAAGCTCCCTAAAGACCATATTGGACGCCAAAATACCCGATGATCATACCGTTCGGAGTGCAGCACTGACGGCAACCTACATCTGCCGAGCATCATCCTTCATTCTACCCCACCTGCCTAGTTCCAATCTTTCGTGGACCCGCTTGGATATGGACATAATTGGACGAAGACTGCAGGACGAGTTTATACTTTCAGGACTTCAAATTTGCTTGCAATCCGGAAGCAGCGCTACCTGGGGGTGTCAAATTCTTGGAGCATCGATATTGCACTTGGTCTCCTTGTTGAACCAAATGGATTCGTGGCCGACCTTACAAATTCCATACGCACGCGTCATTCCATACATGGAAGGTTCCATAGTCTTCTCTAATGCAGGAGTCATTCCAGATCTTCAGCTTGAAGCAGTGCGTATGAGGTTTGTAAAGATATTGCCAACTGAACTTATCGACGATTAGGCACGTATCTTATGTCGAGCAAGCTCTTTGGAGATTGCTCAAAGTGCGTTTCAACACATCCTTGACAATATGGACTGCGCCTCTAATGCAAGCTGGAATGGAAGGACCGCTGGAATGTCTTCTGAGAGCCTTTCTTGCGCATACTGGCATCTGTTATCTATACAAGAACTCCAGAACCTCGCGTATGTACTCTCAATTTATCCGTACGGCTCTCCTGATAGCGCGTCAGAGTACATGCAACAGACCAACAACTTAAGCAATTCTCAAATCTTCTCTTCCTCTGCTATGACCCATCGATTACATCATCTCAGTGCTCAGCAATTACGCCAGCTTCCTGCATTCACAGACTACTCAAGTCGGCACAATTTTGGGAGTGTTCTAGGATCCACGGTCAGTGCTCAAAACTTGCACAATTTACGCTCACAAAGCATAGAACAACTCTTTTCCATCGTTTTGCCAAAAACTGCTCAGGTCAATATCCAAAAACCCAGTACTATCAACCTCTCATCGGACAGTTTATTGTCCATCTCGCGCTCATTTGGAATTCTCCTCGGGTTTCCCTTTGAAGTTATCAAACCACACATAAATATTCTCGCTCAGAGAGCAATTCTGGCTGATATCGCAATCTCCAACCTCGAACCCTCGTCGATCCGGACACTCACATATATGAGGACGATATTGCGGACCTTTGTTTCGCGTCGAATGCGAGATCATCAAACCGCTTTTCGTGAATTTGTGCGCCTCATCTTGAGAAGTCGGCCAGGCGTGCTGACTCCCCGCAGATGTCGACTTGGGCCGTGGTCGATTCATTGTATCTTTCATGCCAGATTACCTCCATTCAAGATGAAGCGTTCAGTCAGAGCACGACTCAGCTGCTCGATTTGGCATACAGGTATGTACTCGTTTTTGGTTGTAGGACACCCGCTTACACATCACAGGTCACTCTTGAATGCTAAAAGGGCACCCAGAGACGATATAACGAGAACTGGAAAGATGATCAGCCTACAATCAAGGTCTATTGATGCCCTCTCTTCTCTTCATATGGAATGCCTAGCCATCATCCTGTTTGCAGTCGGGGATTATCTCAAAAACTCTGAGTAGGCATGTCTGTCTTCGACTACACGTGTTTAACCTTCGTTAGACTGGACGAATCAGTGGTGCGCGAGGCCCGCACGATGGCTTCGCCTATTGCAAGCCGCCTCCGGACCAACTTACCCAGATATTCTTCTGGCGTAAAGGCCCTCAGATCGTGTTTATATGTCCAACGAATGACTAACGATTGGTGTACGCACGTCCAGAGAGCGATTGAAAATACTCACGGTTCCTAGCCCAGAGCGAACAAGGACATTTACCACTCTACCAGAATCTCTATAATGCTATTTTTAAATCCAAGCTGGAATCCTTGGATGCAGAAGAAACATTTGCTCAGTTTCTATGGGCGGTGGTAGATTCTCTCGAGGGGGTTTCACAATTCTCAGAATATCACGAGGTGTTCCTTGCTGGATACTCTCTGGCGGCTCAAAGTATGTCTATGAGTCACCGACGGAATCATTCTCAATACCTCGCAGAAGCGGACAATTGGTCGCCCATTGACCAACCTCTGCACAAACTCTCTCGTAGCCTGACTCCAGATACATACGAGAAGTTCATTGAACTCGTCCAGAACTCCTTTATTACAGCCCTTAAACCTGCACAACCCACACTATTGCATGCCCTGATGGTGACTTTCAGAGCAGCTCCAGAAGGTTTGTCTCTCCTCTTGGATAAACGGTATTCCTTAGAGTGACCAGGTACCTATCGTATTCTGCGAGCCACCGCTTCTCGCAGCATTCAGCATGTCAGCAGCATCAAGATATTCCAATGGGACGAAACTTCCATGAGACTCAACCAGGAGTTGCTATCATACATACTGTATATTTGTCTGGAAAAGGTATGTAGAATGAACGCTTCTGGGCGCTAGGTCTGATGCTAGTAGCCAATTCTCCTTGGTCACGCGTCGATTGGCTCGCTCCTAGCGATCATATCCAGCCTGGTACACGGCTCCGAGTACAAATGTCTGAAGACCAGCATTGAAACATTTGACAAAATTGTATCAATCATGTCAGCCCTCATTCGGAACCGTCGTGATCTCCTGCTATCCGCTCTTCCTCATCTCGCCATCGTTCTCGCACACACTATGAAACAATTTGCGTCGGTCCAACCCAATCTTGGTCAAAGGCAACGCCAGGCGGTTTCGAACAAGCTCGCACCGTGGGTGACCCTTGATCAGCCATTGGGTCCCACAGAGGCCGCCGCCTTTTCCCGCTTGCTGGTCAGCCTCAAGACCAAAACGGTCACCCGAACAAAGTTTCAAGTTCCAACAGGACTTAATGATACCAATCCGGAGTCACAATCTCTGGCGAAACCTTTTGGAAAGCATGCGTCGTCTGTTCTTTTGGCGTATCTCGACCTAGTCACAGATCAGTTATGTGTCATTAGTCGATCGGTTCGCGCAGAACTTGCTCCTGGCCTTTACGTGCTATGCGAGCTGACCGGCGAAAGGGGCCGAGATGCACTCATGGCTGGTCTTGACCAGGAGAAAAGCGTGATGTTGAAAAGTCTCTGGAGTGCATATGAGAAGCAGAAGTACATCGGGCAAGGATGATTCCGGTGGATTCATGTAGCAACGAATATCCCTGTACAAAATACGCTTACATTCATAAGATAACCGAATCAGCCAAAATCTACGTGCAAGAGAAAAAATAAAATCAAGCGTAGTCTCCAAGACTAAATGGCGTAACTATACCGTTTGATTAGCGAGGTAGAGGAGGGGAGGAGAAGATACCAACCGAGATCGTATGTGTCATTGTTGACGCTCTTTCCAGCATTACTCGAGGATTTAGGCCTGAAGATTCTAGTGATGAACCCTTTTCTATGACCGCCGGACGATGAGTCCACCATCCTGATCGGACCTCCCGGCAGTTCGTGGTCTTGGTGCACTGATCCATGCGAAGATGAGGCGCTTCCCATTGCTGATCCGAATGGATTCCTTATGAGTGAAGTCGGTGTAGCCACCACGCTGGCCTGGACCAGTTTTTGTAGCCTGGCTCTGGAATCATTCGAGCGGGCGGATTCCGCAAGAGCAGCGTTGAGATATGGTGCCAAATGGGGTAAAGAGAGAGGCAAGACGGGTAATGGCTTTGTAGGAATTGAATAAATTTGTGTCTCTGGCAGATTCTCCAATGGTCGACCAGGTTCAGGGGCCGGGAAAAGCCAAGGTACGACGGACGTATCCGTTATCGGGTAGTCTTCTGGAGGAGGGCTAATGCTCTGAACTGCCATGTACAGAATAATCCGCCAGTCTCCGGTAGGCATCTGTAATGGTTGAGTATGTTGAAACAGCACGCTCCTATGAGAGACACACCTTTACAAAGTGGAGCACCAGTCGCAAATTTGGAGGGCCACGCTTCTCCCTCGCCAGTGCGGCGGGCGAAGGTTCGATACGAGTTGCGCTCTGTCCAGCAATAAACTTCACTAGATTCTTCCAGGTGTGTGCTACGATGTAGAACGGTGGTGCTGGTTCCGGATTTAGAGTAATCACGTCTTCAATAGGAGTAGGCGCGGGCAGTGGCTGCTGCCGAATGACAGGTCTACCGAACCCATGCACTAAAGCCAGGTTAGTCAATCAATATTGTGTACAATAGAGCTTACATATTCCTGCGAGCGGGTCGGACGGGATTTGGATCCCGGGTGGATGAACGACCGGGGGGATATGCATAGGTGCAGATAATGGAACGGCGCTTGTAGAAGGACCTGCGCCCGGCGACGAGTCATGCTCGCCGATTGGACGTTCCATGGCGGTCGAAGTGCTGGGTCGGCTACCACTCGGAGAGGAAGTAAAGTGTCCTGAGCCAGATGGCGAATGTGAAGGTCCGGGCGGTGCTACTACGTGATGCTTGTTGGGAGCATATGATGTCCTGTTAGGATTACCGCCACCGACAGAATTCGATTGGCGTACGAGCTTGTTCGGGGTACGCTGTGGACGACTTTGAGCGGGGTTTGGATGGACTGGGGGGTGGGCTATAGGAGGCTCTTCGTTCTGTGAAGGGAAGAAGTGATTGCGGTAGGGTTGACTTGGTCCAGCGTTTTGATTGCTGAGCTGAGGTGGCATCATTGCGTGGAAGGGAGGATGCTCTGGTTGTCCCATCATGGGATGATGAATTGGACTTTGGTTCATAAGGTGGCTCATCGGTTGGTTCATCTGTCCTGGCACGTTTACGTGCATAGGCGGTCGTTGAACATGTTCGGGTGGTGGCGGATGGACCAGCGGGGGCGAGATAGCATGGACTGTGTTTGCGTGAGGACGCATTGGCGGTGGATGCGCTGCATGAACTGGTGCATGCACCGATTGTTGAGCGTGAATTGGTGGGTTGAGGTGATGTGGCGGCGGTGTTTGAGAGCTGATGGGATTTACAGCAACCGCTTGCGGGTCGTCATAAAGGGGAAGATCTCCGTTTACTCGTTGAGGCGTTTGATGTGCACTGGTCGGTGGATTTGCATTGCCTGTAGTATTTGCAGATTCCTCTTGCATCTGGCGCGCCATGGCCGCGTCCTTTTCCTCGCGAATGCGCCGCGCCTCTTCTCGTTCAGCCTTTTCTTTCGCTTCCATAGCAGCGATCGCTGCTTTCGTTTCTTCCTCCAGTCGTTTTTCGCGCTCTTCCGCCGCTATTCTTTCCCTCTCTGCTTGCAACGACATTTCCGCAGCCAATCGTGCGTCCTCGAGTTCGCGCTGTAGACGTTTGTTCTGTTCGATTTCCTCTGCAAGCCACCTCGCGCGCTCTTCCTCAATCCTTTTACGTTCTTCTTCCTCCCATTTTGCTCGTCGGGCTCTTTCCTCTTCTGCCCAGCGCTCTCGGAGCTCGCGTTCCCGTCGTTCAGCCTCCTCCCGCGCCTGTGCTTCTATTCTCTCGCGTTCGATCCTTTCAGCTTCGAGGCGCCGATTCTCCTCCTCGCGCTTTTGTCGTTCAATTTCGACTTGCTGACGTTCAAGCTCTTCTCGTTGCATTCTGAGTCGTTCTTTTTCCAACCGGATTTCTTCGAACATTTTCCTCTCTTCCTCTTGGCGCATATATCCCTGTCGCTGGAGATCGAAGGCTGTGGTAGGATGCGGATACATCGTGCCGTTGAGGTTCATTTGAGAGAGCGGCCGTTGGAGTGCATGTTCCACGTATAACCCTTGATTTGGATTCTGACCAAGGGTAGCTGGCGGGGTCACCGCCTGCCCCACTCGAGGCGGCAAAGGAGGAGGTGGTGGCGGCACAGGAAAGGGGCTAGATTCGCCTGTGACAAGTCCTTGAGCAGATAATGGTCTCTGAAAGGCGTCTGGGTGGGGTGGTCTTGCTGGCACGGGGGGCTTGGGCGAGCCATCGGAATGATGGTTCAGCAACGGAGGCGGTGGATGGAAAACTGGGGGCGCGTTTGAAGGAATAGGAGGCAATCTATGGTAGTAATCTGACACAAATTCAGCAAGAGCTCCGGCATGACGGGGTCGGTGACATACTTGATGATTCTCCCTGTACAGGTGGATTTGGCTGGCGCATGCCTTGTGAAGCCTTTCTGTTACCTGCAAGGACCCTGATTCAAGACTCGATCGTAGCTAGTTGCTGGCCCTTGGCAAGAGGGCGGGTCCAAGATAAAAGCACAGCGCTAACCACATCGAGAACAACAATCTCAAAAGTCCATCCGATTCTTGTTCGAGAGTTCAATCTACAATGACTAAACGATTTATTTCTGTCCATTAGTCCTGGTATGCTGGCGGCGGCGCTCCTCCTTGGTCGTCCTTGGTGTCCTGACGTTCATTTCCGCGCAAAATCCGCTCCCTCTCCTCCCTTTCCAGACGCCTCTTCTCGTCTTCGGCACTTTCATGAGCGGGTGGACGCCTAGTGGATGTAGACGCGACCAATCCACCTTGATGGCCACCATAGCCAGGTGCAGGTTCCGTCGTCTGGGCCTGATCTGCAGCAGCAAGACGACGCTTCTCGTCTTCGGCAGACTCGTGAACAGGCACAGCAGCAGCTCCGCCATATGCAGGTGCTTGCTCGCTATTTCCGACACCGTACCCTACCGTCGGTCGATCACGCACTTCATCCTGTGCCTGGTTCAATGAGCCGGTGGCTGGCCCAGGACCCTCCTTTCCAGCTGTGACAGGAACGCCCGTCTCGGCCACTGTGGGCGCGTGAGGGACGACAGTCGAGCTGGCCGGGGTGGCCACAGGGTCATTGGGCGGTGCTAAACTGGTATGAGCAGCAGAGTCTGGAGCATGGTATGCCGTAGGTGGTGCACTGGTCGGAGCATTATAATGAGTTGGTGGCCCAGTCGTGGGAGCATCGTAATGATGAGGAATGGGCGCGGGATTGTTGTTCAAACTGCCTGGATTGATCGGCGCACTGTTTTCGTGTCCATTGTCCGTCACGGTCGCAATTGTGCTGAGCTCGCTTGCATGAGTCTCGCCAAAGCTGCGTGTTTCTCCAGTAGGCGAACCCACGTTGAGAGGTAAATGCTCAGTCTTGGGAACGTAGCCACTGTCCAAGGCATTCTGAAGAGCAGCTCGAACTGCCGCAGTCTGCTGGTGGCCGGTATACTGCTCTGGTGGGGATGAAGGGAGGACACGAAGGAGTTGCTCTGAAGCCCCGGCGAGCAGGACTAATTTTTGCCCATACTGATCGTGGATGAATTTTGACTCTTTCGGATTGGGATCGATTTACATACCTCTTGCAACGCCTTCCACTTCATTGTCTCGCTTTCTTTGATAGCCGTCCGCTTCAACAACTCGAGCTCTTTCTCAAGTGGGGCATCATCTGCCTCGGCTTTCTTGAGCTGCGCTTCCAGCTCTGCGAGCTTGGTATCCACGCCTCCAGTTCTTCCGCCTTCTGTCTTGAACTTGTTCATCTGCTGGGTCAAGTTCGCACGCACTGCTCGTCGCGGCGCAAGCTGAGCCTCTGCGTCGCGAACATTCTTCCAAGCAGCACGACTCCTACAAAGCATTTAGAATCACTTCACTCGTTTGTGACATACTCACTTGTCGAGATCGGTAGCGAGAGTATATGAGAGTGCGCCTTGTACAAACGTCAGGTATGCGAGTCGGTCAGTCACATCTACATAGGGATCAGTGTGAGGATGGTAGGCAGAATCGAGATGCAGACCCTTGATATCATCTCCCTGGGTCTGTCCCCAAAGATAGAGTTCCTTGCTCTGGGCCTTGGATTCTCTACCAACTGCATCAAAGTCCAGAGCGACCCCCTTTGCTGCGGTGATGAGGAGCTGCAATTGACGGTTCTCCTGTGATACACCAGAGCTGTATTGAACCTGGAGGCTCCGAAGAGTGTGCTGTTTGGCGCGTTTCGCAGTAATCAGCCACTATACAGTAGAGATTTAGAGTCATAGCGTACCGAAATGGACTCTAAGCCGTGATGACGACCGCTCAGAGTTCCAGATTGCTCCTGCGTTGGGGCAGCGTACGAACTCTGTCCTGGAGTGGCGGTCGCTGTGGACGCGCTATCATGCGACTGCTGAGAGCTCGTCTTTCCAGATGCGCTTGCAAGAGCTGCTTGAGCCTTGTCTGTGAGGGATGCGATGAGTCCTTTGCCTGGCATTTTGCAAGAAAGATGGAGGTGGTAGGGCGTAAGTATGACGCGCAGTTTGGCAATCACGTCTAAACCCGAGTTCGCCAAGGTGCCCGCAAGAATTCCGAAAATAATATCAAACGATTGTATAAATGTCCTTCGCACATTTGTTACCTCCGAGCTGGAAAACACAGGTCACGGAATGGCTCCAGGAGGACACGCCGTCGTTTGACTATGGAGGATTTGTCGTTGGAGAGGTGGAGCGGACTGCATATCTCCTAGGTAAGGGGAAACAGACTGCTGTTCTTGCGGGAGTGCCGTTTGTAGACGAAATCTTCAAGCAACTCGATTGCCGGTACGTCTCTACAGCCTTGATACAACAAGTATTTCTAACAACTCTTTAGGGTAGAATGGCACATGAAAGAAGGAGATACATTTAATCCGGTCAAGAGAGTCGCTACCGTCACGGGCAAAGCCCGCTTTCTGCTCCTAGGAGAGCGCGTCGCCCTCAACCTCCTCGCGAGATGCAGCGGAATCGCGACCAAGTATGCAGTACTACTACAACAAGACACTTCTAATGCGCTGTAGGTCTCGACGCTTCAGAGACATTGCACGTGCCAATGGTTACAAGGGCATCATCGCGGGCACCCGAAAGACAACCCCTGGGTTTCGGTTGGTGGAAAAGTATGGAATGATTGTTGGAGGAATCGATGCACATCGCCACGACCTCTCTAGCATGATCATGCTCAAGGACAATCACATCTGGTCATGTGGTTCCATTACCAACGCCATCAAGACCGCTCGAGCTGCAGGTGGCTTTAGTCTGCTCATGGACGTGGAGGTCAGGACAGAGCAAGAGGCAGATGAAGCCATCGAAGCGGGTGCAGACGTCGTCATGCTCGACAATATGGAAGGGGAGGAACTACTTCAAGTCGCCCGAAGATTGCGCGAGAGATGGAGTGGAAGGCGGTTCCTTTTGGAAACGAGTGGAGGTATTGACGAAAACAACCTTTGTGAGAGGGCAGTAAACGGTGTGTCTGCTTCCGTTATCAGACAGGCACTCATTAGCCTCTAGAAATTGACATTCTGAGCACCAGTGCTGTCCATCAATCTGTACAGCACATAGACTTTAGCTTGAAGATACAGAAGAGCGAGGCCTCTTGAACCGCTCTTGTCAACCTCCAAGAATGGGAGATGGCCTATACAGCCTAAGGAGAGACTACAATGTCTCGTCGAACAAATTATGGTGGGTGATAACACCAATTTCCATTGTTTCGCCGTCTAGGCCCGGATCACTTTGCGCCAGCGCTGGCTTGATGCTGGCTGCAGCCAACAGCCAAGAGCAACTATAAGTAATTTGACGATGGGTTTCTTCATGTGGTGTAAATTTGATCAGCTAAGCTCCCTATATACCTCAGCGACAGCACCCGACTTGCCATGGCCCAGGTAGCTCCTCTTCGATTTGTCATCCCGCCTATATGTTCTCTATCAGCGGTTTTCGCGGCTTTAACCAAGTTCTTACGAGTCGTCCGACTAGCGGCATACAATGGGAGAGCCTCCTCCATTGACGACCTACTTCGACACATCGGCCCCAATTCGATCACCCAATTACAATTATTACTGCTCCTCGTCGCTATGAGCAACATATATGGCCATCCAACCTCGTTTTATTCCCGACTTGATGCCGCGGTGGCTCCAGCCAGAAACTCCTTTACTAAGCTCATTACGTCGAACTCCTTTTCAAGAACCAGGATCTCTTCGTGGAGAAAATTGGGGGTCTTTGACATCATCTTACTAGTCAACTTGACCGCTCAGCTCCTTCCGACCTCGCACATCCTAACTACCCCATGTCGACCGTTGATGACCAGAGTTCCGCAATGCCAAGACCTTATATTTCCACTCTCCACATATTTTATGGTCTTCTCTATCAATTTGATCCTCGTCATCGTCCTCGACGCCAGCTCTCGACAGCTGAAGATGGGGAAGTGGTCTGGAAATCATCGTATTCAACCCCTCTAGGGTGCTAGAAAATAGGAGATCGAGTCTCCTTCGGCTGCTTGTGGCAATTTCGTGCTTCAACGATGCATTTGGCCCACCATTGACACGCTTTCCTCGGAGTGGACAGGCACTTTTCCCAGTGACGGATCTCTTGGATTCTTCCATTAGGATGACCCTAGCAGCCTTTGTGACCGCTGCTGTGATCTCCATTTCTTGGGATATCACGGCGCCTTGGTCCCATTCGGACATGGTATGTTGATAAAAAGATTCCCAACTACACTGATAGACGAGTCTAGGTCCAGTCCGAAACTGGGCAAGACTCGGTCCACGAGTCTGATTCCTTCCGTACTGCCGTCAACGACTCGATCGCTGATCCATTCAAGATAATTCCAAGTCCATTATTGGTCGAGAAGAGGCGTTTGAAGAAATGGAGACGAACACCCAAACGACGACCTCTTACCCCTGAGACTTTCCTGCCATTGGACATCCCAAAAACACAAAGTCTTGATACTGTGCAATTGGGTACACCTTTGACTGATCCCGCACTTGTTGTCACCCAGTCAGAGACTTCCTTTGACCCAGTATCAGTGGAGCCAGTCACTCTACCCGAAGCATCGTTCGAGGTGAGACCTTTCGTAGCCGTAAGCTTTTCTAATTGGGCATATAGTACGAGGAGACAGACGAACCAGTGAGGGCGGGTTCACTACAAGAGCCATTTGAACGACCTGGATCGAGACTCGGTTTCGCGTCCAAGGCGGCGCATTCACGCATTTTTGATAATGAAGAGGAACTTGAGGGCATGGCTTCGGCTTTTGGCAAAGTACGTATCACAAATGTTGGTAATAATACTCTAATAATCCTGGTAGGGACGAACGAAGCACTCATCTTCACTACAGGTTGTATCAAAGCTTGATTACCCGCCCTTTGCGCCAACTTCAGAAGCCGCGTCGAGCGATGGCTCCATGAGCCCACCATCGCCGGGATTCCTGCCATACGTACAACGATTAGAGGAGAATGATAGCGACGAGGAGACTGTATTCGATAGTCCATCTAAATCTCCATACAATTGGCGGAACGTGTTGTCGCTTCTGGTCAAGGACACTTTTACAGAGTTTGTTGCTGAAGAGTTGGAGGAAGAGGAGGATGCGCGATATCTTGTCGCTCGTCGTCCTCTACTAGAGACAATCGAGGAATTAAGTGAAGAAGACGAATGAATTTGTTTTGCCGAGTGTACTCTTTGACTGAAATCATGAATAGGCCGACGATGGTTGAAGAATGCTATCGCCGACCACGTTGACCAGTGATATAACTACCCGTGAGAAGCGTATTGATCCTTTGAAACAAACTGGTATCGCCTTGCGCCTGGCATCCCGCAGCACGTCCGACGCTGCTGTGGTGAGGGCTATGAGATTTCATATTCGGCTCTGGGGCCGAGCTGCATCTATGTACTGTTAAAAGTACGATTTATCAACTCACTCCCCGTACGGCTGGCTCTAGATGGACGCTGCTTGCTGCTGTTGTTACTATTGTTTCGGTGCATTCTGGGAATGGCTCCAAATTTGCGTCAAGTGTGCGTAGAGAGATATAATCTGCCACTTAATAAAGGCATCTACAGGCTATGAAAACTGCTGTGAGGGGCACGACAATCATCCTCCTCGGCTCAAGTATGAAAAGCATTCTACTTTCGCATCAAGGACAGCGATCTATGCATCATCTTACCACAACATTTGGAGCAAACCGTCTTTCTCCTGAAAAGGACGACCATCAAGTCGATTCAGGAAAAGGGGCACGGCCTACTGAATATTTTTGACGAACATGCCATGAATGCAATCCCTGCTAGTGACCGGGTGATTGTGACTGATTCACCCAAGGATCCAGAGGGGACTCGACTGTCACAGAAAGGGGCCCTCATGCTGACAGCGGACCAGAGGCTCTTTGAGGGCATTAGCGACGCAGGGGCACGGATGCTACTCAGAGGTGATCAAATAAGCTACAAAGAGCTGGAATTGAATGGAATTGTGGATGCTGCTGAACTCCGTGCGAGAAGAAGATGGTTGGAATGACAGCCTGTACTTGGCTCTCTACCTTTCCGCCGAAGCCACAAACACGTCATATTTCCAATTTTTATCATTCAAACTCGTCTGCTCTCCATTGATCGTTGACCAAGAACCCGTTGGATGAATGCCGGCATTTGCAATGAGGTTTCAGGTGCGACCAGGGTTTACTCATTTGAATGCACCGGGATAGCCGATTTATACATCCAAATCGCGGGAACGCGGACCGACGAAGAAATTCCCAGATTTGGTCACTCGCCACCCACCCGCCGCGAGTGGTTTCGGCAGGTTTGTTGGCATATAAAAGGGCGAATAAGCTGCTCACATTCCTTGACCATTATCCCCTTTTGTCGTCGTCGTCTGCATCATGCGCGTCTTTTCCCTCTTCTCGTTGCTCGCCACTGCTGCGTTTTGCTATGGCCAGTCGGCTACCGTCGTCATAGGAAACATCCAACAACTCACAACGATGGTATGTTTATTTTTTTCATTGCATCGACATCCTTTAGTCTGATTCTGCTGTCCCAGTCCAGCAACCTGAACACGGTCGTGTCCAATATCAATGTCGTCGTAAGCCATTCCCCCTAATGGCCTTGTAGTTCTTCTGATTTACGGCAGAATGTGCTCATCCAAGGTCCAAAAGTCGCCCAGGGTACGTGTGTTCTCCCATCGTTCATGCACATTCCTCACCCAACTACTAGGCTTGAGTGCCATTAGCAACCAGGTCTACCAGTATATCAACCAGATGGATAACCCACCTCCAGTCTACGGTGATGTTGATGTATGTCCTTCGAAACTTGGATTCATGTACTCACCTTGCACCTAGGCTGTCGCCGTCGTCGGCGTGCTCAAGACATTCGTCAAGGTCCACCAGACTCTCCTCAACACGATCATCGGAAAGCATGGCTTGCTCAGCCTGTTCTTCTTCACACGTTTGTCGCGTTCATTCCCCTCTTGCAAATGACCTCTCACACCCGCTTCACAGAGCCCGTTAGGGTTGCGCTCGTTTCTCTCGAGGCTGCAGTCGACGTAAGTCGTGCTCTTGTACCCATTTAACATCCTTTTCTCACATCTTTCATAGGCCCTCGCCCTCGGTCTCATCGATATGATTCCGACCCAAGCTCCAGAGGCGAATGGCCAGTTTGCGTCTCTCAAGATCACTATCGACGCCGCGATAACCGTCTACTCCTAGTTCCCTCTCATTTCCGGTTACGAGTACTCCTGCTCCCGACAGTCCACACCATAGTTGGGCGATAGGTGGCGGTTGAGTTTCGTAGTAAATCCTTTCAAAAATTTCTCTCAATAAAAATTTGCTTCTTGCTCGCTTTGTGGCCATGAGATGATCGACTTGACCGCCCAAGTCGAGGCGCCTTCAAGGCTTCGAGCCTGCCACGACATTCCCCCTTTTCTCAAAACCAAGGCTCGAGAAAAACATTACCGATAAATCTTTATGGAAAACGTCACCTATACGAGTTCTGGCGCCTTGAGTCGCCAACATTACGCCCTCGTCAGTAAACAGGAACAAGCGGCTTCAGCTTTGGAAGCCGAAAGAGTGACGTGGGATGCCTACGAAGAGATCAAGTCACGTATGGGCAAAAGACCGAGGCAAACTGGCTCCTCTTCCTCGATTGCCAACTTGTTTGCTGCTGGAGCGCGTGACTGGGGTCTCAGTCTACCGTCCTCGAGCGTTGCTTGGAATCCCGTATGTTCCGTCTTCATATTTATGATACTTTGTGGTCTAAACATGAGTCCCGCAATCTGTAGAAGCAGACGCGCGAGGATCTTCTCTTGTTATTGTATTGTCGGAATTCGTCCATGGAGAGTACACGCGTAATCTCCAAAGATGATCTTCAGTTTGCGTTGCCGGCGGCACTGACCCTCGCAGAAGCGGGAAAGACGGTTGACGAAAGGCGGACGGGTAGGTCTAACGTCTTTGACGCCCATGGTGAAGACCAATGATTCCTCTCAAGGGTACCTTTTCTGTTCTGAAATTATCTCGCCGAATCACGAAGCACACCTGTTGATCATCAACACGGTCAGAAAGGTATGGCGTGTCCCTTGACTATCCGACACGAGACTGATGCCCCTTTTAGGACTTGGATTCAACCTTTGTGCCACGGATTCTGCTGGCTTTGGATTATTTGATTTCTTCACCCAATGCCGACGCTATCCCGGCAGTCCTTACTCGACTGGAGACATTGCTGGCTTACAAGTCGTAAGTGAACAGACAACTCGTCTCTTCGTCCTCTTATGAAGAAAGTCCCCAAGTGCGATGTCGTGCATTACATGCGTTCCGTATACTCGGCGCGTTGGATCCAGAGATACTACATCACTGTCTTGATACACTTCCGAAGCGAATCCAAGACCACGATATAAGTGTCAGGATTGCGGCACTTCTCCTTCTAGAGGCCTGCTTCGAGGTATTACTGAAGCGCTTTGTGTTACTCTGCCATGCTCACCGCCCTTACCCAGCGCAACGTGGTAGACCTCAAAACCACGGGTGACAGCCTCATGGAGATCATTCGGTCATTCAAATTCAAACAGAGCAAACTACCTCAACATCAAATCGCGCTCGTCCTTCGCGCAGTCGATATTCTCGGTCGCATCATGCCCAACTTTGAAGCGGATCGTGAAATATTTGCTACAATCCTTTTTCAACTTGGGGAACGGGCCGGTGCTCGACAAGCATGGGGTACATATCTCTTTCATACCTCGACTTCTAAGCTTACGCCGTTCTAAGCGCTTGTTATATCAATCTTTCGTGCACTTTCGAGAGTTCCGGAACAAGAGATCCTTGTACTGTTTGCACGAAGGGTGGCAAAAGGAAAAGATGTTACTCATCCGCTCTCCTTCTTGCACACCCTTTTGCGAACGAAAGATCCGAACTCGACGAGGATCCTCTTGCAAATCCTTTCAGTCTTGCCTGCAGTCGTATGGGCTGGTGGGACTACAAATGTGCGCATGCCCGTGGATAGAGTGTCAACAGTGTTTGACACAGGCGAACACACTCCCAACGAGAACGTTCACGCGGAAATTGACGCTGCAGATCTTTTCGGCGAGAGTGTGGACAAGGAGCCGCCTGCCTCAAGTTTACCTGAGGATCAAACCGAAACCACAAAGGTTACGTTTGCGGCACTATTTGATGAATCGTCCGTAGGTGCGCTTATCGGATTTCTCAAAGCAAGGGATATGGAAATACGAAAGCTTGTGAGTCTCGCATTTCTCAGGTTTTTCATCGGGCTCAGTGTCTATCTAGGCGATTTTGGTATTCACCAAGGCGGATCCATCCCCCGCTGGTTTTGTCTCGCAGTACATGACCCAACTTCTCTCTGCTCTTGCGGAACGGCAAGGATCTGTGGATGATTCTGACCAAAGATATCAATGCGAACTTGCTTGCCAAGCACTAGAGGTCGCAGAGGTACTTCATTCTGATGATGGAGCGGCATATGCGCACGCCGTGATCGATATTCTCCAACGGGCCGATGGACACTCTCTCAGCAGTCACCCAACATCACCAACATCAAGCAACAAAAGTACTACTTCTACTGGTACTCGGCGAAGTGGAAAGGGCCGTGGTGGTGTGATCGAAGCTGCTGTAGAAAAAGTACTTTCTATGCACGTAAAGGTCTGTGGTTGAAAATTATCAATTAATATGCTTATAGCTGAGAACAGACGACGTCTTCTTGCAATCATTTGCGGGATACTTGCTCCCCCGACACATTGGGACACCCAAAGGGACATTTCTGTTACCCTACTCGTCGTAACAGCAGCAATAGCCTGCGAAGCGAGTGGCACACCGCTAAACACCGCTCAAATCCTCCTCGACTCATTTGGGCAATTACTCACATCGGTGTCGCGTACGTCTTTCGCATCTAGATAGTTGCTGACTGACAAAATTCGTCGGTAATAGTTACTATTCAAGAAATGCTTCTTCTGGCAATGTTGCGCCTCTCTGCAATAGAAGGCATCCAATTAGAACAAGCAACGGCCCTCATAGAGGATCTGCGACTGAAGTCTCGAAAACATATTGCCGATGTAAGTGAATTAGAAAAAGGGTAGCTTTGAGTTTGATCTTCTTATAGCGCTGTTTACAATGTCTTGACCAAATCTCCAATCTTCCCAAGTTTCGCAAAAAGTTGTCGGTTCTCTCATCAATGACAGTACGTCAAATCAAACATGCGAACTTTTTCTGGAATTTCCTAGATCCCGGCATTATTATCAACGCTTGAGCCACCGCGCCAGCCCGAGGCACCGAGAGGAGCGATACACGAAGGAGGGGAGCCTACAAACCTGGCAAGGAAGAAGTTTGATCCAGCTCCTCTGCGATACACTGCATATGAGCCCGCTGAAAAAACAGCCGGCCACTCGCGAAAACCGTCTCAGTCCCTTCATACTGATCTGCTCAAATCAAGACTCCCGGGTCAGCGCCAATCCAGCAGCACATCGAAAGGAGATGACCTCATTCAGTTGAGTATCCTTGGTCGAAGTACAGACCGAACTCCTACCAGCTCAGTGAGCGGATAACTCTTGCGAGTATTTACCTATTGACGTCCTGCAAGCTGTTCTCGGGGCAGAATGAGAACAATGACAATGAATCTCCATTTGCTACGACAATCTCGACGACTCTATCGGACCTTGGACCCCCACCTTTCCTCTCACGTACAATATCACCTCCAGTGTCCCCTCAACTATCTCCGAGGCGACCTATTCACTCCCCCCTTCATTCACCAGGCGTCAAGACCCCATCAGAGAGATCACCAGTCGCCCGTGCATTGCAACTTCAATCAAACGCCAAGATAGTGGACACAGAAATTAATTTTGATATCGAATGGGACCGACTTGGAGCTCAGACATCGACGACGTCACGAGGGTGGTTTGAAGGGGAGATAGCAGCCATATTAGATATGCTACGCAAAAGACAGTCGCTTATTAAATTGACGACGATATTACACGACGGGACAGGTACGCTTATTTGGTACGGAAGTCCATCAATCTGACTTGTTCACAGAGGCAAAGCTTCACGTTCGAGTCAATAATCAAACGGGCTTACTGCGCTTACGCCAAGAAGAAGATCAGTCAACACTTTGGTTGCTCAGATCGTCGGATTCAGCTTTGAGAGGGACAGTCAAAAGCGTCTTGCAAGAAAACTAGTGTACAGGACTACATGTGTTATATTTATCCTCTCCGAGATGACAGATATTCAAATTCGCTGTAAAGACCACTGGTGTACTGAGAAAGTGTCCAATTCGTCGACATCAAACTGTCGAGAGCCAGCTTCTCCTCTCGCAGCTAGATGGAAATACCTTGATTCCGATCCAGTAGATATCTCCGGCTCGTGCGTTATGTAAAGTTCCTCGGCATCGAAGCGATCAACGAGCTTCCCGTTATGCACGAGTCGGGTCTCCAGAGTTGTTTTGCTGACAAGCAGAACGTATGGCGCAAGATAAAAGGCTTGGGTGACCTTGTTTGAGGTCCAATCAATGCATGCGCCCTGGACTGTACCTCCATCCTTGAGGAATACACCGAAATCTAGAATATGCTTAGAGATGGGAAGAACTCGAAAGAGTCGCTAACCTGAGTAGCATAGCAAGGTTATGTTGTTGTGTCGGATGATATTGATGGGCTTTGATGTTTGGCAGCGATGATAGGTCTGACTGGACGCTAGACCCTTGAATACCGGAAGAACAGTGGGATCTGACATCGACCAGCCTGACGCAAGCTGTCGATGCTCATCTGGTCGTTCCAAATTCACTTGAACAAAGCCGTCGGACCCCATGAGAACAATGCAGTCATCGAAGATGGCGCAGTCGTGAAGGATTTGTGCAACAGGTACCTCCGCCACCTGCTTGAACATGTTGCTCCATGTTTGTTTGCCGCCAAAGAACGACGATCGTCTGCTCGTGCTGTCTAGTCCCACCACACCGCTGTCAAATATGCGAACTATTGATGACGTGTTCTGAAACGACCATGAACCCAACACAGGAACGAGTTCGAGCACAACGTACATGGTTATGACCGACAGCAACAACAAGGAGTGGACGTCCTTTGTGCAATCGACAACGGAAGAAGATTACTGAACCTTTGGTGTCGACTTGGCGTGACGATACTTTAAATGCCGCGATATCTTCCAGCCGATAGGAGACAAGTGCCTGTGAAACGATGAGAAAATCCAGTCATATGACGAACGTTCGACCCACCTTTCCAACTAGGACCAAGAGTAATTGAAGTGAATGGACCACTGTGCAGTACCGGATGCTAACACCTTGAAGGAGTTGGCGGAGGCTGGATTCATGCCCAGCTCGTATCCATAAGCCATTGACTCTTGAACCTCCCACCACAGTGTAAATAACCCCATTCAAACCTGCAATGCTGTCAGCGGTTCATTCAAATGCACGAAGTAGCGTTCTCACTGAATTCAGCACTACAGGATGGGGAGAAGCTGACGCTCGCGACCAGCGCATGCTGAACGAACGCTGTCTAGATTTGTGTCAGTAATGGGTTTGCTCTGGACCCTCACAGGCCAACCTTCGGGAACCCATCTACAGAGCTCTCACGAGTCAATTTCGCGGCAGTCAAATGGCGCCTCCATTCCAACACCTCCAGCGTGGTGTGGCAAAGCAAAGTCAGCGTTTTCGCCGAACTTGTCTCTTCGAATTGGAGGGTTAATGGGGCCGCAATAACTTCTCCTTGTGGTGTATCTAGAAGGTAGAGATCGTGATAAGAGCTCGACTCGTCTAGATCCAAAATGGACAGGTTCTCCAAAGCGACGACTTCTTCCACTTGCAAGAAGGATAAGCCCCATCGCATTTGTGGCGTTGTGAGGATGACTGAGGCGTGTTAGGCCGGCTCAAATCAATAATGGTGCACGCACAGAAATTATCAAGAACGATCGCAAAGAGTTCGGTAAAACCAGATCCCTTCTCCTCTTGACTAGGAATGAGAACTTTTCCCTCGTGAATCAACTGACGGTGGGGATCATCGAGTCTCACGACCTAGACGAAGCTTGAGAATATAATCTACAGGGAAATGTGAACGCACCAGATCTTCCACTCCCTGCCATTGGAGCTGAGTAGCAAGCTGTCTGATTTCTGGACTACTTCCGCTGGCAGAAGACAAGTTATCGCAGACTTCTACGAGTTTGGTGATTGTTGAAATGCTCTCAACAATGGGTTTGAGCTCCACATGATCATCTGGCGTCACATTCAGCAACAGGTGCAAGGCTTTGCTGAGTCTCCGTAGGTGCGTGATTGGAGCCCAAAGCAAAGACGCAATGTCATGGTCCATAATTGTTGGGCTCGAGATTGCCTAAGATGATCGTTAAAACGCCGCAGATTCGCGAAAAAAGAAATACTCACATGAACCAAGGGAAATATATCTGCACTGTGAGTTTCTAGCTCGCGTAGTGCATCACACAGCTGCGAAGAGTAGGTCGTGTAGGCATGTCCCCAGCTTGTAATGGTTTGGAAGACGACTTGGGGTACATCGGTCAATAAAGGATGGCTTTCAAGCTGATGTGCATGTAGGTGTTGCATGAGCTGCTGTTGGTGTTCTATGATAATGGCCATGCTATCATATACTTTTTCCAAATCGGGCAGAACGAGTGCAGGGGACTGGACGATTCTTCGTAGCACGCCCTAGGATTAATCAGCCTTTGATAGGGAATCATAGTGAACCGTTACCGAGTGGAAATCTTTCACTATGCGAAGGCAAGTCATTTGCGCCTCGATGAATTTGAAGATGACACTAAGGTGTGTGAGCTCGGCAATTTCTTCAGAAAAGAGAGTACCTCTGCCGACTTTCCTCCATAAACGCCCGGGAATTCGTTCGTAGGACCAATTGTCGCCAATTATATACGACTTCGTCCCTACCCATCGCGCCTTGCCATTTGCTGAGCCTGGTCTTCATGAGAACTCCGACGAGTTCATCTTCCCTCAGCTTGAGGTCTAGTAGGGCTGCGCCCGACGCCTTTGGCTTTGCAAAGGCTATCAATTGCGAGAGCCGGACAAAAACAGTTTCGATCGACGCCAAAGGACTGCGAAGAAAGCGTTTCAGACGCATGTCGTCCTCTGAGCGCTGCATCCAGGCTCTGAAAGGGAAGTTGTTTTCCATTTCTTCGGTGAGTATATCCTCCACATTATAGATACCCTTTGCATAGTCTGGGTAAATCATACAGAAGCAGTCGATTGTTCGGGTAAGAAGGGATATGACCGTAGGAACAAGGTCGGACGCAATCTCCTGCTCAGCAGACTTGAGTTCCCGAAGGAAATGTCCTCGCTGACCTCGAAGCTTGATGTAAGATCCCAGAACGCGAGTGAGGAAGTGATCAACTCGCTCGACGGGGATGACCGAAGGGTGTGCCATACGTATTCTTGAGCTGAGAACCGCATCATAAGTGTCTCTGAGCATACTTTCCTCGCCCTGTATTAAAGATTGTAGGATGGACATAGCAGCTTTCGGATCAAATGATCCTTCGGTGCCAGATGTAGATTCAGTTGACGTCTTATCTGTACTGTTTCGCTTCCAGAACGAAAGCGAAGATAATCTTTGTCTACGCCTTGTGACAGGGGAACTTGGAGTAGAAGGCGGATCTGGATCCGGTGGAACTGGTGTTGCAGGAGTGATGGGTCGAGACCGGCGGTTCTGGTTCAACATGCTATCTAAACTGACCATTGACGAGTTTTCAGAGTTGAACATTGTCATGCTGCCAGTTTTTGGAGGTGATGGCTGGTCCTTCAGGTACAGTTCGGTTGGAACTGCGACAGGAGCCGATGATGACCGTGGTCGCGTCAAATCGGCTCGCGTCAGTGGTACATTGGGTCGCGAAGCTGGAAGTTCAGGCACCGAGTCGTGAATTTCAGCTTTCGCGAGGGTCGAATCGGTGGTAGACTTGCGCTTGTTTGATTTGCCCCGAGAGAGGGGAAGAGAAAGCTCGATAGCTGGGTGAACTTCCTTTTCGGCCACAACGTAATTGATATCATGACTAGTCTCTGTAATGGGCGAGTCGATGAGAAGAGGTTCACTTGAAGCCTTGTCAGCGTCATTCGGCCACGTCGTCGGTGTAAGTGGTAACAAAGGAGTGTCGAAAGCGAGGAGAAGGCTCTGTGGTACAGGAGACCGGGCCTGCGAGGCATCTCGAATAGAGCGCATAGTCTCCGATATGGCCGTCATTGTGGGTCGCAAATTGGGGCGCTGGGTCCAGCATTCGTGCATTAACTCTAAGAGTTGTGGTTGCCAGTCATGGCGAACGTCTGATGCTCTTGGCTTGGATGGCAGCTCACCACGAACAATGGCAAGCATCACCGTTGGGCTGGTTTTGACGCGCCAGTACGGAACTTTACCGGTCATGAGCTCGTACACCGTCATTCCATAAGCTATTACTAATCAGTTTGACAACTCTCGTCAATTCGAATCAGCGTACCCCACACGTCGCTCCTTGGAGTAACCCCTTCCCATCTCTCTTTGTCTTCGGACGCTCTGGGTTTCTACAAAGAATATCAGCCGCGGTCTTTGACGCAATTCACACGAACCTCCGTTGTACCTGGACGATCACCCGCATCCTCTCCCGTCAGACTGACAGTGGACGGATGAGGCGAGGCACAGCTAGGTGGGTACTCGACTGGCTCCGAATGAAATAGTTCTGGAGCCATCCATCTCGTCGCACCAGCATTCGCTGTAGTCATCCCAACAGAAGTGTCGGTGGAAGCAGCTTCCATAATTTTGGATAAACCAAAGTCAGACAGCTGAGCTTGACCAGTACGAGAGACTAGAATGTTTGCCTAGAGATATAAGCTCGATGAAATGCTATACACGTTCACATACCCCTCGCAAGTCACCATGGGTAATGGGTGGTTGACGTGTATGCAGATACTCGAGACCATACGCAGCACCGACAAGAAGCTCGAGTGCGCCTGCGTCTGGGTTCGCTGCAAGGAAGGCAGATGCATTCCCATTGGGCATAAAGGGTGAGACCATTGCCAGTCCTTGCGAGGTGTTGCAGAGACCCCAGAATTGAAGTAAATGGGGATGCCGTAGTCCGTGCCACAGCTTGACTTCTCTTCTGAACAGCTGAGCCAAAATTAGAATGGCTTACCCCCCAAAGATAATACGTACCTTGTGCCGCTTAGTTGCTCCTGATCCACCTAAGATGCGCAGGATCTTGAGTGCGACCTTTTCCTGCCGAAGCCACTCCCCGGTATAGACGTCACTAAAGCCTGGAAGGAAATGTTCAACTCATCTACCAGAAAACAATGGTGGCACTTACCCCCTTTGGCAAATGGCTCTTCACTTATATCCGATATCTGAGCCGTGAGATCTGGTGCCTCAAGGGTTGCCTGAGAGTCTACCACTTGTAGGTGCATAAGCGCGGTGCGGATTTCGCCATACTCGTCGGAAGCCGGAGAGAGACAATCAAGTGCATTTTGGAGAAGAGCCATAGCCTTGTGTAGCGAAGTCGACGGAAGACACTCCAGACGCTCGAGCCCGTCTGGACAGCGGAGTACGGCGAGAACGGCGAAGGGTGTGGATGATTTGCAGCTCTGACGGGCTCTCTTGTGGTACTAGTTCAGGTTAGACAACACCCTGCTTCCAAGCGCCGACCTACATCCTCGGGAATCGCGACATCGAACTCGGACATCCGTTGCTGAAGAAGTGCTAGAGTGTCGGGAATTGCTTCGCACTGCATAAGGAGTTCTACTTGATCAAAATTCGCCCAGAGTTTGAGTGACTCGAAATATTCTGCAATGGTTCTGAGAGGCGGTCAGTGTCGCCAACTGGTGGTGTCCACACTTACCTGAGCCATTCTGTGTCACTTTCACGTTTCTCCCGGTTGCGTAAGATGATTTGAAGCAGTTCATCGCACACGGTCTGCAAGACCGGGTCACAACCATCGCTCGCGAGAGTTTGACCGACTCACTTGATGAATCGCCAGCCTCTGAACATTCTCTATCGCCTGAATATATTCCCCATCGGCTACTGTCGTCGTTGACATATTGTGAACTGCCGTCGCCGGCGAGAGAGTGGAAGGCGCCGACTTTTCCGCTAGAATCAGCTCAGGTATCCGGTACGCAGTCGGAATATGACAGGTCTAAATAATATTGTACACCGCAATTGATAATTTGGAGAGCTGTGGTGTAAGGACTAGTCTGGTGGGAGCCAAAAGACTAATCAGCGCAAGTGGGCCGGCGGTTGAGAGAAGACACTCGGGGTTCGCATATGAACACATGATCCAAAGGATGTAGAGTATATTTACGCGCTGTTCAGACATTCTCAACTTGCACTAATAGCCATCTCGAATTCCACAACTTGAACCCGACCTCGACTCCGGACATACGAATCCTTGCTCTTGCCAACCCAAACCTGGCGTTTATTTCAAGGCTTTTACGCCTCTCTATCCTGTCTTCACGTCGTGAAGTGTATCATATCAAGGTAGTTTGCCACTCAACGAACACTCATGAAAGTATCGCACCCGATGCCAAAATGACACTATTTAATCCAGGCCCGTTCCATCTTTTACTCCAGCTCGAGCTTCGGGCGTCCTAGAAAGCAGGTTCAAGGTATACAGCCGATCGCACGACGGACGGTCCTTGGTTGACCATAGGCAGAAGATAATCCAAAGTCTATAACCAAAATGAAGTCGGCAGCGAAACAAACCGACCTCAGTAGCATGTGGACAAAGAAGAAATCCCAGCCCAAACAAGAGTCTAACGAGATGGACATAGAAAAGGAGGAGAAACCAATAGCAGGTGGTACTTTTTATAAATCTCATTCTGATAACTGACAGTGCTCTAGGATCCAGCAAGACGAAGCGACAATCGCCTGCGTCTGATTCCGACGGTGAGAGCGACGTTACCTCCCAATGTTTTATTAAGCCGATGCACAGAAGACATGGAAGATGCGGTCGCTCGTCCCGCTACAAAGAAACGCCGCGTTGTTTCGTCCGACGAGGAAGACGAGATTCCGATCACTAAAGCCAGTACATCGAAAAAATCAACCGCAAAATCTAAAATTCCCGAGACCAAATCAAAGAAGGTCAAGGCAAAATTGCCAAAGGCTCCCAAGAGCGTCAGCAGCCGTGCCTCCTCAGTACCTGCCTCAGATGTGGATAATAGCGTGATCAACGAGGCGAGCAGTCCCGTAGCAGATGTGGATCCTGGAGAGGAGGAGCTTTCAGATGCACATTCAGAGGAGGCCGCAGTGGCTTCCAAGGCGTGAGTTGTTTGGCGACACTTTGTTCAACACTCACATTTACAGTGCTGAGCAACTTCTCAAGAATCAATTTACTGTCGACTTTAAAGGCGCATGGCCAGAGGGTGAACCGTGAGATTTGTTTGCGGTACCAAGTTCTCCGACTGACACTCTAAAGGGCGCCTTATGCCTTAATTACGCAAGCATTTTCTTTAATTGAAGGGACAACAAAACGAATTGAGAAGACTTCCTACCTTACCTCACTCTTATTCACCGTGATCAGCAGAAGTCGGCAGAAGGATGGAAGGGAACCTGATATTGACTCGGTGCTGCAGACCGTATACCTATGCATCAATCGGCTGAGCCCTGACTATATCGGGATTGAGTTGGGAATAGGAGAAAGCTTGTTAATCAAGGCTATCAGCGAGTCAACGGGCCGTAGTGCACAAGTCATCAAGACAGAGCTCAAAAAGGAAGGGGATCTGGGACTGGTGGCTATGGTAAGCCTTGTCGAAGACTGTGGCGCCACGTTGACCAACCGACAGAATTCCAAAGCCAGCCAGAAGACTATCTTCAAACCCAAGCCTTTGACGGTTCCTACAGTGTTTGCACGGCTGAAGGAGATTGCACTTACCAGCGGCGTCCAATCACAAGCAAAGAAAACGGGAATTATCACCAAACTCCTCGCTGCATGCCAAACCACCATTGCCGGAAGCACTTCGTCCGAAGCCAAATTCATTATCCGCTCGTTGGAGGGAAAGTTGCGCATTGGCCTCGCTGAGCGCACAGTAATCGTGGCTCTGGCTCATGCTGCCGTGCTGGACGAGAAAGAGCGACGCAAGTTTGATTTCCTCCATTTCAAACCGTGATTCTGACATGACTTAGTCAGCAAAAACTGGTCCAAAGAAAGGCTCTCGTCGAAACTGGAAGAAGCAACTGGAATTTTGAAGCAGGTATATAGGTAATATCCTTCCTCTGCCAGGTGACTATATCATTGCTGAACATTTATAGTGAGATTCCATCTTACGACCTCGTCATCCCAGCGTTACTCAAGTATGGAATATGGGACCTGCGAGCGCATTGCAAACTCACTCCCGGTATTCCGCTAAAGCCCATGCTCGCAAAACCAACGAAAGCGATTGGCGAAGTCCTCGACAGATTTGAAGGAAAGAAGTTCACCTGCGAATACAAATATGATGGCGAACGTGCCCAAGTACATCGTTTGGAGGACGGTACAGTCGCAGTCTTTAGCCGAAACTCTGAGGACATGAGCAAGAAATATCCAGACCTCATGGAGTCGCTGCCTCGAGTACGTGCTTTCAGATTCTGATTCACAGAATTCATAACGCTTTGCAGTGTATCAAGGATAATACAAAGTCGTTTGTATTCGATGCCGAGGCGGTGGCAATTGACAAGAATACGGGGAAGCTGATGCCGTTTCAAGAGTTGAGTAAACGCAAACGGAAGGACGTCAAGGTTGAAGATATTGCCGTGCGGGTCTGCCTCTTTGCATTCGACCTGCTCTACCTTAACGGAGAGGTACTTATAAAACCCTTATTTGAGCTTTTCTGAACCATTTCCAGCCTCTCTTGCACAAGTCTCTGGAGGAGCGACGAGCCCTGTTACGAGAGCATTTTGTGCCTGTGCCACTCGAGTTTGACTTTGCTAAGTCTTCAGATGGGGATACGACGGAGCAGATTCAAACTTTCCTCGAAGAGAGTGTCAAGGATGGTTGTGAGGGCTTGATGGTGAAAATGTTGCAATCCGATGAGAGCTTCTACGAGCCCAGCCGTCGGTCCGTCAACTGGCTAAAGGTGAAATTTACCCGACTTCTTGAATTGGACCTGATGGCTACGCAGTTGAAAAAGGATTACCTCGCAGGAGTTGGCGACTCGCTCGACTTGGTAGTTGTCGGTGGATATCACGGCAAAGGCAAACGCACAGCGGTTTATGGTGCCTTTTTACTGGCTTGCTACGACGCGGACAACGAGGAGTGGCAAACAATTTGCAAGATAGGCACCGGCTTCTCTGATGAAGCTCTGCAAGAACACGCCAAAACTCTCAAGGAACTTGAGATCAGCGCACTCAGGGGTGATATCAAGGCAGGAGGTGCAAAGCCTGATGTGTGGTTCGAGCCGAAGGTCGTCTGGGAGGTGCTCGCAGCTGATCTCAGCTTGAGCCCAATTTACACTGCTGCACAAGGCTTGGTGAGTTGACTAGTTCAGCCTCAGCGTCTAGTATATTGATCTACTATCAGGTTGAACAGCGTGGCATCTCTTTACGCTTCCCCCGCTTCATACGCGTGCGGGATGACAAGAGCGCAGACGATGCAACGGGCCCGGAGCAGGTGAGTTTATTTTGATTTCCTTATCGCCATTCAACGAGATTCAGATCGCGGAAATGTACCAACGACAGGCGCTTGCTCAGAGCAAGGGTAAGAAAGGCAAGGGTGACGCGGATGACGATTTTTGGTAGTCGAGTTGGTTCATTATGCACGATTACGATTCCCTCCTTCTTGAACGACAGCCTCTGTGATGCAAAAATTCACTTTTCGGTCAGACCAACGTAGAAAAGACTGGATTGAGAGTAGCAACAAGAGTCAAAACTAGTCAAAGCACCTAGAATATCAATTGGGTTAGTACGACTGACAGACACACGATCTTTTAACTTGGGAGGGACGAGTCAGATCCGAAAGATGGTTAACTTTGAAGGCAGCATCGAGAAAATTTCGCTAGCCATTCAAGGGATGCAATATGCATCATTCCGAGAAGATGTCATTGCACTTACAGAATTTCGACGCTCATCGCTTCGAATAAGGCGCGGTCCAGGTTTGGGACAAACAAACTCAGAGGGCACGCAAATTGTGGATGTAGTATAATAAACAGACAAAAGTCACAATGGAGCTTCAAGAATAGGATACAATAATCTCTGGCTGCATCCGAGGAGAGTCATAGGCTAAAGCCATCAGTTAAAAAGCAATATAATAGAATTCAATGACCATGTCATCAGTTGCCCAGACCAAATACTAAGAATGCGTGTGAGTGATCAAGGGCTAGAGGTTCTGGCCAGGACGTACGAGTAGCGAGTTCACCGATGGTCAGACGCACACGGCTGGAAGCACCTTCGCCGAGAGCAGCATCAGAAAGGCCTTGCTTTCTTTCTTGTATCAGCCGCATTCGCTGCTCGACCGTGTCCTTGATTGTCAAACGCTCGATGAATACTTCACGTTGTTGACCAAGACGGTGCGCACGGTCGAAGCATTGCTGGTCCGTCGCAGCATTCCAAGACATGTCGAGGGAGATGACACGAGATGCCCTCGTCAAATTCAAGCCTACGCCACCGCACTTGACAGACATCAACATGACGCTGACTTTGGATTTGGTCATGAATTTGCTAGAGAATGGTCAACAGCAATCGCTATTGCGCAAGGAAACCTACTTGACAGCCTCGGTTCGCGCCCGAGCGTTCATACTGCCTTGATATGTGACAAAGCTGATACCGCGTTCTCTGAGGTAGTCACTGCAGAGATCGAGTGCACTTGTCCATTGGGAAACGACCATGGTCTGGATGGCCGTCAAATCAATGTGTCGAGATTCGGTAAGACTGACCTTTTCGTCGGGGTTCGCTCTGGCCACCTCTTCAATGTAGCGCATCATATACTGTAGCTTTGTGCTGGGCATGAAGGAGGACATCATCTGCGGTTGCAGTACGGGATCGAAAATCAGCGTGCGTGAGGGTTTAGGCTCGCCATTGTCTTCAGAATCAGAGTCAAGGTCGATAATCGCATCTTCGGCCTCCTTGATCTGCTTCCTCTCCGCATATTTCGAGACAGCCGTACGAATCTGATCGAGGACATCCATCTCGTCGTCACCATCGTCTGAGTGCAAGTATTCATCATCGTCCTCGTCCGGTTTCTTGATCTTGGACGCCTTGGATTTCGGTACTTCGTCTTCGGTATCGTCATCTGACAGTATGACACGAGGTTTGTGGCTGGTCTTTCGCTTGACTCTGTCCTTCGACTTATACGAGGCCTTGTCTTGATCTACAGTGTCATCGTCAACAATAAAATCCTCCAAATCGGAGTAGTCATCGAATCGACTCTTGCGGGATTTCTTCTTGCTAAATTTTGCCTGGTAGCTGCCTTTACCGTCTTCACCGACTGAAACCGAGGTGAGCACAAGAGAACTAGTGTGCAAGATGGGCTAACCAGTCCAACTGATTTCGAGCGAGTCGAGTGTGTCATCTGCGAGCTCTAACTCTTCATTCGTGGGTTCAAATGGGGCACGCTCGAAGAGAAGGTTGAGAGATATTGTTTGTCGACAGCACGGACAATCTCGTTCGTGATCCTTGAATTGATTATCCTCCTCGGTTCGAGGACGGGCTATATGGCCTTGAATACAAGCTACAGGGTGTCAGCAAGGCGCAGAGAGACAGCTTTGCGAAACATACGGCGGCAGAATTGATGTGCACAAGGAGCTGCTACCACAGCATCGATACCAAACGGTTCGAGGCAGATGGGACAGTTGTCGTCAACCGTGGCCTCGTTTCCCTGCGATCTGGTGAGAAAAATCCGATATCACGAGGGTGAAGACGAACCATGAGCTTTTCATTCTTCATGTGTTCGATTGCAGCATCACGCAAGTTCTTTTTCACGAGGGCCACGAATGCGTTCGAGACTAGGTTTGCGGCATCTTCCACAACCTTTCTTGCTTCGGGAGCTCTTGTGTCGGTGACTGAAATGCATAAGAATGATATATCAAGTATATACGGTGCATTACCTTCAAATGCTGATTCGTATGCCTTGAGAAGACAAGGATGAACGCAGATTTGGCGAAGTCGCATGAGCATAACGAGAACCTAATCGAGCATGAGCAAATATACAGTAAGATATAGGTTGAGCATTACTTGGGAGTAGTTTCTGGACCGTGAAGTCAGAGAGCGGCAGCGCAGATGAATCAATGCGTACTTAAGAACGGTTCCGGCTTGCAAGAAACGGTTGAATCGCACTTGAGATTTCTGTTCAACAAAGTCGTAGCTACGAGCAGGTAAGTGAATCATCGTCTAATGGCATGAGCGCTCACATTTCGCGTTCTTCGGGGGACATTGTCAGCTCCACCCAGTCCTCATTACGAGGCGGGAGTTCGATTATCTTGCGGCCTTCGAGGGTAGACTGTTTATTGCGCCGCATCATCACTGGACCAAAAATGTGCTGGAGTCGTTGAGCGCCCGTAGTCTCATTTGCGCGCATGATATGTAATCTAAACCGGTCCCAGTCTGCGAAAGGATTGTGCTGAATGAAGCGAAGGAGTCCGAAAGCATCGAGTAAACCATTTGTGAGAGGGGTTCCCGTCAAGCACCAGCTGAAATGTATTGTCAGCGATGCCCAGGTAAAACGGCTTAGTGTTTACCGTTTTTCTGCGATGAGATGTGTCACTACTGATGATGCCCTTGTTCTGTGATTGCGAATATTTTGTGCTTCGTCGAGGACAACACGGTACCTAGGGGGGTTTCAGCTAGATCATTGAGATGAGGGAGTGGGGTACCAGTGAATATCCATCAAAGGGCCACACTTCTTCTTCTCTTCCTCTTCACCATCTTCTATGATGAAATCTTGCTCTGCATTTTTGGATTTCTTTTTCTTCTTGGACTCGTCCGGCCATTCATTGGCCAAGGTCTATGCGAGTTATTTCTAAGTCTGAATTTAAACCACGATGACGTACATGGTATGTGGTGAGGACGACGTCGTATTTTGAGATCTTCTTCTTGGACTTTGGACGATTGGGGCCGTGATAAATGAGGACCTTGAATGTATCTTCCTCGGTCTTCCACATGATTTCCTGTTTCCATTGTTCGAGCAAAGCAAGCGGGGCGACAATGAGAGTAGCGTGGCAATCAGGGTCACCTGAGGGGTTAGCACACATCAGACCAATCGTCTGGACGGTCTTCCCTGATATCGAGTCAGTGAACGTGTAGATTGATACGGTATAAAACCTCACCAAGGCCCATGGCGTCAGCAAGGATACCACCTTGGCAATACCTCGCATTCTCAGCCTCTCTCGACTTCATCCACGCTACACCAATGACTTGGTGAGCAAGCAAGGATGTGGTCATTCCAGGCAAGCACTCCCCGAGCTGCGTGAGGTCGAGCTTCTGGAGTCCGTCTTTGACGCTACTATCACTGCCAAAGTCCTCTGTGTCAAGGATCGTCAATCATGGGACAGTGATTCGGGCAGAAAATCTTACCCTGATTATATTGTTCAATAAAAGAGCGAACGCTGCCGGAATGGGATTAGAACATCCTCGAGCCATGATAAGAGCTTACTCTAGACCGGCATAGCGACGACCAGGGATAGAGCTATGGCCTTGGCGTTGGAAAGAAGAGAAATCATCATAGTCAAGTGTAGGATCAGCCGCAAGAGAGTCGAGAGCGGAAGATGCAAAATCGTTGAAGTTAGTTGCTTGTTGAGACGGAGTGGATAATAGAGCTGATGCGGTGGGATATGGATTCGTGACTGGAACTCCAAAGCTGGCTGTCGTCGGTGCGATAGGGAAAGAAGTTGCAGGTCGAGCATGGACATGGAGTGGGTTGACCGTAGACGGAGTGAGCGAGGCCGCCGTTGATGTGGATGGTACTGGTAAGGCGACAGTGTTTTGTAGAGAAATGTTGGGAGCAAATGAGACAGCTCCGGATGAGGTAGAAGTTGCATGCGCGATGGATGATGTGCGAGGAGAAGTATTCGTAGGGACGTTAGAGTTGACGGTTCCAAAGGGGACCTTGGAGGGCGAATCGAGTTTGACACGCTTTGCCTTCGGAGATTCGGTTTCGGAGTCTGAGAGCTCGATACAGTCACTAGACCGCTTGCGAGAAGGAGTCGGCTTCACCGTCCTCATCTGGGAGAGCGAAGAATTCTCGGACGTCAGGTTCGAGGTGATTGGGGATGGGGTACCATTAGATGAGGATGGCTAGATAGAAGCAAATTAGAATGGAGGAAGACGGGGACAGTGTCGAGGCTGACATTGGGGTTGAGCCTGGCTTGTCGGCTCGCGACGTGTGCATCGTCGTTTGTGACGTGTTGCTAGGGAAAATGAGATGCGTGAACAGGAATTGGATGAGACGTACAGCGTAGTAGTTCAAAGGACCATAGGCCCCGACCTGGCTGTTCATTGCACTTTCGTAACTGCCCAGAAAATAGCTGAAGCTGCTGCAATTGGACTCTAAACAACTGAGGGTTCCGTCTGGAAAGCAATGGGCGTTAGCTAGTGTACCAACCAGCCGAGAACGGCTTACAATTGCCATTCTTCGTGATGATGAACTGCGCGGGATAGCTTAGCAAAATATACTACTTGTGTCTCTACTCACATTTGTGTCGTGCGGATTTGCGGCCACGAACCTGTTGAGGTTTAAGGCGTAAGTGGGCGGCACGGTCGAGCTCTAGGTACAATCAGCGATCTTGATGAAACGTCATAGCTTTAAAAGACGTACATAGGGGATTTGGATGGTCCTACGGGCTACGGCTTCGAGATGAGAGGCCATGGTCGACGTGGTTGGGAGCAAGCAAGCTTGCCATCCTTTGAACCCACAGAGACTGGCTTTTTATAGAGTTCCCGAAGTCTTTAGATACTGGCTAATATAACTCTAATAGTCTCTTCGAGACACATTCTCGTACATTCAACGCGGCTGTCCATTTGAGTGCATTGCCACATGTTGCACGGCAGGCTCTCAGCACATTAACGCGTGTGAACCTGCCAATTCAGCTCTTTCAGTAATTTAAGGAGTATTTTTGTCACGGATTATACGTGACGAACGATTGCCATTTGAAACTCCGCTTGAAGCGCGTCAGTGAATAACTTTGGCCAATTGCCAACAAAGAGCGCCAAAAAAATAAGTAATATTCATCCAATACTATTAGATGAATCTCGATTGTACTATGACGACTAAATGAACCTGGGTCGTAGAATCGCAGCCACACCCTTTGCAACTTGCAAGTTCATTCTGAGGGATGTTAGCGACTTTGTCACGGAACATGTTCTACGACCTACGTGGGAGAGGAATGATAGTCGTTGCACCAGGCATACTGCGCCCCATCTCCATATGCCGTACTGTTGGTGATTCCGAACAACCGAGGGTGATCCAGGACAAAGTTGTAGACCGGTTCTGTGTCATAGAACCATGTCGTAACCTGAGAAGTGATGAATAAATCAATCCAAGTCTGTATGAAGGTTTACCCCTACCCCCTTTTTCTTCTTCGAAAGCTGTTTGGCTGCCGCTTTCACGCGTGCATTGTAGTCCTGACGAATCTGCTTCTCCCGGGCATGAGCGGCATCATCCGCGATAGTCAACATCTGCTCGACGTTATTAATTCTGCTTTTTGGTGTATCGCGTAATTTACCAATGGTGAGCGCTCGATCGGGGGAACAGAGAGGAAAATAAAATTTCGCGCTCCTGCGGTGACAGTCTTGTCGACAATCTCAAAGTAGCGATCAACGAGTTTCTGGTTGAAGCTGGCGTACTGTCAATTATCGGCACTGAACTGTTGAAAAGCGACCTACATGGTATGATTTGCATCACCCTCCTTGTCAAGATAGTAGCTGTTACCAATATCGTTGATTCCAATCCAAAAGGCGAAGATGGAGTTATCACCCTTCCACCCGGGATAGAACGATTTGCCCGGCGCATCATAGTTCAGGAAATCGTCCACCTGCGCGTACAAATGTTTCAATCCTGGTTTCCATGGAGTAACTAAGGCCTGTCAGACGGACCCGTGCATTGGGATTCTCATTTTACCAAGGGCGTCATCAATGACCGCTCCACCATACGCGTGATTATACACGTATACGAAGGAGGAGTTTAGCTGCGCAGTGGTTTGAGTCACCCAGTTATTCACCGGGCCTGCGCATGCGGTCCAGCCCGGAAACCCCGGATTTCCGAGCGGATTGGCATAGTTTGGCTGCACACCTGTAACGTTGAACCAGGTCTGTGAGTATCTACGACGTTTAGAGTCTAGCCTTGTGGATATTATTGACTTATCACGAGTCCCCGAAGGAGAACCAGAACTTTTTTGGCGGCTTGGCGGAAGCACTTGTGATGCTGAGAAAGAGGATAGCGAGGGCACTGGCATGCATGAGACCTGTCATTTTTGGCGCAGAAAGAATGCGACACTCTAACTGGGAGGTAAGAGACGAGTGTTCCCGCGAACCTCCCTTGCAGCCTTTAATATCTCCAGACGGACCTTTTGTTTGTATTAAACTTGTAATCGGAGCAGAACATGACCGAGCTTCACGCGCTGCACTTCCTACAGGGGAGTACCGTAGATGCACCGATGAAACTACCGCGAGAACCCTGGTTCTATTTGAATCTGTATGCTAGAATTTTGTCTCCATGTTGATCTCCGGACGAAAGAAGAGGGTCAAGGGCTGTTGGCCAGTGGGATGTCTTCCCGGTTGGACGGTCCGCCCCCAAGCGATGTAGAATGTCGGTACGGGCCCTGCATTTACCTCGTGATTACCCAGTTGGCAAGTTTGAACGAGCTGTCAATTTGCAGGCCCGCATCGTCGTGCGTTGGACGAAGCTATGGCAGTTTATTCGCTCTTCTACAAACAGAAAATGATGCACAAATATTCCTGCAGGAAGCGAAAGTCGTCATGTCGCCGATGTGGATGGGTTCAAGAGAGACGAGCCATCCTTTTAGCCATCAATTCCTTGACTCCACTCTCCCACTCCTGCCAGCTGATGGAAAGAACAACAGTGTGTCTTCCTAGAGCCTCCTGTCGGCCATCTCTCATCACCGGCTCGCCATAAGAGTCTCTGTCCTTGGGCAATACGACCTGCCAACGAATAGTTCCTTCGAATATAAAGCCCATCTTCTTCGCCGCCTCGACAGACGGTTTGTTTAGGTGATTTGCTTGCCACTGCACACGCCTCATCTCAAGGTCCTCGAAGCACCACTGCAACAGTAGGCCACAGGCGTTTGTCGTAACGTGAGTACGTTGGAATGGCTTGCCAATCAAGACAAATCCAATCTCCACTGATAGATTCTGTGGCTCTGTGTTGATGAGAGCGATCATTCCCGCAAGTCTTCCTCGCCCCCAACGGGCATCTTCAAAGTCGTCGGTCAAATCGAGGACAGCGAAGAACAGACGGCCGGGATTCTGTCGAGTGTATACTTCTAAAAACTCGAGGAATTGGTCCAAGTGCGTCCATGTCGAAAATGGCGAATAGATTAAATGGAAAATCTCTGGGTTAGGCCGTACGAGGTCGAGATATGCCTCAGCAAACCAAGCTGGCTAGAAGAGTTGCAGAGTATTATACTACAATACCATGAGCTCACGTACCACGAACGGGACTAAGCGAAGACGATCATTGGCCAGTGCTTTGACAGGATAGAAGTAGTTAAAGTCCCACTGATATGCAGGATCTAAAATGAATGACAAGTCTCCAAGACCACAGGGCTCTGATGGTTGATACTTGTTTACGAATCCCATGGCAGGCTGCAAGCTGTCGAGGGGAAGAGCAGGCGGAACGGAAGACCGCGTTCCGCCATACAAACTATCAATGTAACGACTTGGGATATAAATAGCTTCTGCACTAGCTTGGAGAAAACATACACTTCTCTTGCCTACGCCTTGCGGGCCATTCTAGCAGCCACTTTGTCCTTCAACCCAGCCTCCCATTCGTCCCAGCAAATTGCCAGCATCGCAGAGTGTCTGCTTGGGACCTCTTCACCTCGACCTCTGTCTACTCGTTGGCCAGTCTCCTTCTTATACATGGGAATCACTCGTTGCCATTTGATGATTCCCTCGAGTGTGAACCCAATCTTCTGTGCAGCCGAGATAGATGGTTCGTTGCGCGAGTTGGCTTGCCACTGAACCCTTCGAAGATGGAGCTCCTCGAATGTCCATTGGAGGAGTAGCCCAGTCGCGTTTGTCGTAACGTGAGTCCTTTGAAACTGCTTGCCGATGATCACTGCACCAACCTCTGCCGAAAAGTTGTACGGTTCGCAATACAAGAGTGCGATCATGCCGGCGAGTTGCCCCTTTCCCCACTTTGGATTCTCTATCCCTTTGGAAAGGTCGAGAACAGCAAAGATGATCCAGTCACTTTTTGAGTGTCCATAAGTGTCATACCAAATCAAGAACTCCTCCATGGTTTCCCAGGGTGCAAAGGGTAGCCATGTGAAGAGTTCTGGGTTCGGCTTGACCAGATCTAAAAACTCTTGCGCAAAGAGTGCCGGCTGTCGCAGTTAGGTCTAGACACCTATTTGTTTATGAAGACGTACGACGAATGGAACCAGACGGAGACGATCGTTTTGTAGTTCCTTAACAGGGTAGACAAAGTTGAAGTCGAAGGGGATAGAAGGGTTCAACATTGCTTGTAGATCTACATCTCTCTTGGGTATGGGGGGGACTTTGTAGTTGTTGGTGAACTCCATGCTGATGGGGAGGGACAATCCAGTCTGTAAGTCCTCTGAACGCCATAATAAAGCTCGACGCTTACCGATGACTCGGCCACTAGCCGAGAATCCCCGACAGACTTCTCTTTTTTAATTGGGCGTAAAGAGTGTAATAACCTTCCAACGCATGTCCTTGCCTTTTTCCCAAGCTTGTGGACCCCGTGCTTCGAATTCTACCATAATTCCAACGTTTGGCCATTCGAGCCAGATTCCAATCGAGCCAGAGGATGGCCCATCCCCTCCTCCTTTCCTCGGGGGTTCTCCAAAGGCATCGACAAAGTCCTTTCCCGTCGAGCTTGCTGAAACCAAGAAACTTGCACCATCTACCTTTGGGATGGCCAATGGAAGGTGCGAAAACGGAGAGTATCGTTGCTTGTTGGAGGAGTTTTCTGTCGTCGCGTTATACAGATCGACACTTTGAACAGTCAAGCGGTCATAGTCTACCGACGTGTCAAGTGTGCCAGGTCGGTATCCAGTGTCTGGGGCGAGCAGGATGCTGATCCCATTTTCAAAGTAGTTCAAGTAGACGGCGTCTGTGTATGACTTGATTTCGCAAGACGCGTTCTCCAATAGTTCACAGAGGACGTCTTGGACGACTTGAGAACTGACTTTGGAACCAAATGTTGACCGCAGGCGCGTCAATGCATCTACACCCAGTTTGCTCATGGCAACTCACGGGAGCCAAGTTGGGAATCCACTTGCACCTTTCCACTTCGGTCTTCCGTCTCAGCGGATTATCAAATGCCGCCCCCAATTCAATTATTCTTGACCACTATTGCAAGCGAACCAAAATTACGGTCGAGACAGGTTCGTCGGTCTGAGATGGGTGTCTACTGTCGCGACCCTGACCTCTATGGACAGGAGTATCTTCTCCGCACACTACAAGTCAAGAAAATCCCATTTGTTTCTTATGACCTGGCGTCAGATCCCAATGCAAAGCGGCTGTGGAGACGCAGAGCACCCAAGGATAATCAAGCCCTTCCCGGAATGCTGCTCGGGGGAGTCTGGCCCGGAGTGAGCCTTTAACTCTTGTTTGTGAAGTTTATTGACGATCAATAGACGTTTGAGCAATTCGAGGCCGCCGTGGAGACTGGGACGCTGGAGACCTTTCTTCGTGAGAGCTACCACATTTTGACTATCAGGCCATAACATCGTCCTAGGTATGAATGAGGACTATAATCCTGAAATTGATGGCAAAGTTCTCGAAGCGCAGCCAATTGGCGTTCCCGGCGCAGTAATGCCAGAAGCCATGACAGGTCAGAAGCCTAGCTTCGCACCAAATGGGCCAACCCCAATACGAAAGTCCGGACCAAAGGGATCTGCAGACGAACTGGTGGATGCTGGCGACGTGCTCCCTGGCTTTGGTTTCCAGGGCATGATGGTGACGATCGGAGAGTTGACTGAGCTCGCTAAGGATCTCAAATTGGATGACAAAGAGCAAGCTTCTGTTCTTGCAAAGGCAGCGAAAGCCTCCAAGCAGGCAACGTCCTCTAGCAGCAAGGAACCCTCAAAGGAGAGCGATGATACGAAACCAGCACCAGTAGACACTGATAGAGAGCATGACGCAACAAAGGAACCTGGAGAAAAAGCCGCAGTAAAGACGGACGCTTCTCAGGAAGCAACTGCCCCCACTCCACCGGCGGAGCCGAAAGCTGAAGCAGAAGTAAAGGAATCGGAGGCGAAGGAGACGGCTTAATGACCACCATTGGGGTTTATCGCATTCTATCAATGTATAAAGGAGATAGGAGGACACACCATATATATAAGTTTAAAAAGTCAATCTATCAGACGCATCTCCACCATGGCCGCTTGTGTACGTCCTCGCCTTCCTCGCGGACATTATTTTCTCGCACAATCTTAAGGAAAATGCTCTCCAAACTGACAGTGTCCACCGAAAATTCATCAAAGTCCTCCTGCTCAGATAAGATGCCGAAAAGATCCGCCAGTGTCAAAGCATGGCTTTCGTCTCCGGGACCTTGCAATGGAACCTCCCAACGAGTGGCAATGTCGTCTGCTTGACGCGAGCCAGGGATCCGTGCCATGAGTTGCTGGGCTTTAATAAGTTCATCCCTGGTCCTAGTAGCGAGATGAATCTCGTAATAAGGATATCTTGAAGCGAGCTCGGCAGTCGTGCCAACAGCTACCCAACCGTCAACATAAATTGATCGTTTCAAAACAGATACCTACCAAGCATTCGACGAGCAATAATGCAGACTTTATTGGCCAATGCGGTCGCCTCTTCCATCGAGTGAGTGGTAATGACGACCTACAATCCGGTAAGTCTAGGGTGGAAACAAATCAACCAGCATACCGATTTGCCAACGTTGACATTTCGGAAAGTCTTCCACATCGCTCGTTTTCTATAATGATGTGAGATTCAGTCAGGCAAGGCAACAATCTAGACACACGTATCAGGAGCAATTCCCGTGGAGAATTCGTCAATGAGCACCACTTCTGGGTTGCCTACAGAGGAAATTGAGGAGAAATTCTCTTTATTCGGAGAACATACCAATGAGGGAAATCGCCAAAGCGAGTTTGCGTTGGTTTCCGCCCGACAACTTTGAGGCAAGCCGATCCGCATATTGGGCTAACGCAGTAGCAGTAAGCAGAACCTCGATGTTTCTGTTCAATTCTGCTCCGGCATGAAGGCCCTTGAGGCGTCCGTAGACTTGCAGATGTTCCCGCACGGTAAGTTGGCTGTCGATTGCCGTGAATTGAGGACAAACACCGAGCCCAACCCGCGCGCCCGCAGAGTTATGGGTAATAGACATCGCGTTGATGTATACGTCGCCAGTGTCCACAGTTGTCTCCCCGCGAATCATATTAAAGGTCGTCGTTTTGCCGGCACCATTGGGTCCTGAGCAAGGTCAGAATCTAGATTTTGGGAGCAAAAGAGGCATACCCAGGAGTGCACAGATGGTACCACGAGCGACGCCAAAGCTGACGTCTTCTACGGCCTGATTCGAGCCAAATCTCTTGGACACATGAAGTACGCGGAGAGGGTCGTCTGAGCCTTCGACCTTTTCCGTCTCCTTGATCACGTCGGGCGGTGTCGATTCGGGAGGTTGTTGTGAAGCCCGACGGTGGAACGAAAGGAACGATGGCCAGGCGAATCCCCCATCGACAGCGACCAAGATGCAGAATAGTATCAAGCCATATAAGATAAGATAAAGGATCGGAGAGCCCATGTATGCGAGGGCTCCAGGCGTTGTCTCAGGACTGTAGCCCTTGCAGTCGAGAGAAAATAGGTTGACCGATATCAACGTGGAGCGAACCTATCCAAATCGTCAGCAGGAGATCACGGGGGTCCCAGATACATACCAAACTATTGATAGGCGCAAGTAGGGACATCGTATAGTCTAGGCAAGTGATGAGCGACAGACTATCACGGGGTGCAAAACCTACGTATAATTGTCATGTACCGAGACGTCGCCGAGACGGGAGCATATGTCAATGACAAGAGATATGCGCTGAGCTACAGAGTTCGTCAGCGTCTGCAGTTTGGCCAGAATGTACCTCTTACGTAGAGCATGAACATGACAACTTGATATCCAGCGACGATTGAAAAGGCAGCTAGAGCCGACGCGGAGAAAAGCGTAACACAATATGCAAAGAGAATGGACGTATATCCATAGAGAACCATGGTAAACCCCTAGGAAAGATTAACGAGAAGTGGCCGGTAGACTCTGGGTACGTACGTATAGACCCAGGTAGGAAAACTGTGTCGACACCTTTGAGAAGACGACAGAAACAATAATGGCGACGACAACACCAAATATCCCATCGAAGAGTAAGTGACCAAGCCACAAGGAAGCAGGGTTTGCAATTCCGTTCGAGAGTTGCATCGCTTGCACCAAGGATCGTCGCTCCTTCGTGACATAGAGAGTGAAAAAGGCAGGGAAAGCCCCCATGGCAGCAGCGAAAAAGCCAATCTGCGTAAGGGTCAGAGTGAGTTGGTACGACTCGCAATACATACCCATTTCATAGGATCCAACCCGGCCCCCGAGCGCGCAGCAAAAGGCATATAGTTTGCGGCAATCACAGGTGCTTCTCCACCACTGGTGGCGGATGCTATCCAGGTGTTGCTCGCGAGGTTGAGCAAAGTCGGCCCGTTGAGAATTTCGAGAGCCTGAAACGCGATGAGCGAGCTGTTACGAGTAGCATCCAGGAATAGGCCTCCAAAGCTGAGGCTGCGTGCGTTTTGTTGAATGTCGTTGATGAGGGCCTGCTGATCACTAACTGTCGTGACGTTCACACTGGTGAAGAAACCACTCAGTGGCTCCAATGCATTTGGAGGAGCGATTATTGCAGTGTTCGAACTCTCCGTGTCCAAAAAGCCGGTATTGACAGCAACCGACCAGGGGAACAGAAGTGATTGTGCGAATGACGGCGAAAAATCGGGAACGCAAGTCTTGACTCGATCCTTCATGAAAAAGAGGGGAATGCACGCTCCCGAGCAGGCAATCGCCATCGCCAGGAGTGGCCCCAGCCATGCACGACGCATGATCAACAGTCGTTTCCAAAAGACTGTGCCAGCTTGCTGGAAGAACCAGGTTCTCCGGCCGTCAGAAAGATCCAATGGGGTACGGTCTTCCAATTTGGCAGGCGTTTCTTGTGAATCCAACTCGGTGCGTGTTGCCTTTTCGTCAATGGATCCCCCGGCTGATTGTGAATCACGAGTCATTAGAGACACGAAGATGTCCTCGAGCGAGGCACCGTTAGCGTCATAGGTCTGAATTTCTCCATTGTCTTTTGCACTTTGCAATGCAGTGAGTACCTGACGGACGACTTCGGCGTCTTTGGTACGCAACGCGAATTTCGCGCCATTATCAGATATTTGAATGCATCGAGCATGTGGAGCCTTGGGCAGGATTCGGGCGAGCACTTGCTCAGCTGCTGCTACAGTTTGGTGTTTCTCTGCGTCCGTATGTGGAAACGTAACACTGGTGGTATATCCTTCGCCAAGGGAGGACTTGAGTGAGACGGGAGTTCCTTGTGCAAGTAGACGACCAGGAGCTGCGAGAACTGCAACTGAATCGCCGAGTAGGTCTGCCTCGTCTAGGAACTGGTATCGGATGAGTAAAAGCATAAGAAGAAAATAATCAGACTTACATGTGTCGTGAATATGATTGTCCTCTCGTGCTTGACAGCAGTCAAGGCTCTCCAAAGAGCACGTCGTGAAAGGGGATCTACTCCACTGGTCGCTTCATCCACAAGCAGTACTGCTCACTTGTCAATATGTCGACTTTGGGAAAGGGGATAACATACTTTCTGAGCCACCAACAAGGCCAATCGCGAGTTGCAGCTTGCGCTTTTGACCTCCAGAGAGACTACCAGCCTTGTGGCTGACCTTTTTCCCGAGGTCGCAATCGTTCAAGAGACGCACTAAATCGGCCTTCCTCTCCTTCGAGCCGGATGGACGCTTGATAGCACTCCACAGGCGCACCGTCTGATAGCAGGAGAGCTCTGGAATCAAAACATTCTTCTGTGGTACAATTCCTAATTTTCCTCGAGATGGACGATCAGCGCCTCCTTCAAAGGTCACGGTTCCACTGTCTCGACCAAGGAGATTGCCCAGCATAGACAGCACAGTAGACTTGCCAGCGCCATTTGAGCCTGATTCTATTAGCTAACCTTGTCTCCTAGTCACGCAGTACGCACCGAGGAGAATCCAGATACCGGTCTTGGGGACTGTGAACGAGAGGTCTTCTATGGCCGTCACTCTTTGTCTCCTTAGCAGATTACCCCCAGGGAACGTCTTCTTCAGGTTACGAACGGCAATTGCAGCTCCTTCGGGATGTGGTGGAACTTCTGGTCGCTTCTTCAATCTGGCAAAGAGACCTGTCCCTGGGTTCTTGGCGTTGTACCGAATATTCTCTACCATCAGTGCAAGCAGAGGATAGACGAAGATGTCTATCAAAGCAACGACGAAGAGAGCTGAGATGCGGGTTCCATGATCGGGGTCTGGCTGAGAAATCTTGGGGACAATATCTTGACCTTCGTAAGCACAGAGAGAGAGTATGGCGAACACAAAGAACCCAGGGGGGAAGACCAGCGTATAAACTACGGCTAGGGTTGCACCACCTTTAAGCACGAGGGCTATGATCGCGAATAGAATGGCAAGAAATGTTGCGGCGATGGCAGCCAACTGTGGAGATTTGCCAAATGGTGATCCGACAAGCATAGACCACGAGGACAGAGAAAAGCTAGAACCTGGTAAGAAGAGTTGAGACGTGGTTTTTCAGTCAAACCTGGTCAGAATGTTGATCAACACCATCACGCCGGGCGACGTGTTGGTAAAAATAGTTTTCTGCCATATCAAGGCGATAATGATGTAGCCAGGCAGGTAAGGGAGGGTGATGCTGAGATGCCAGGATCTGAGATGGTCGTGAGCAAAGAGCCGACGCGGAGAAAGGTGTCCTACATGAGGCGGGCGCTGTCTAAAAGCCCCATCTGTTGCATGTGAATCGTAGTCATCGAGGCTCTTTCTCCCATAAAAGAACCTGGGAGGTGATAGACGACGCCGAGGAATCCGACAAAGCTAAGGAATGTGAGCAAGAGTACTCGATCTTGGGGTGCAGACTCACAAGACGAGAACGAAGAGAGAGGCTATCCCTCCAATGTATACCTTTCGTATAAACTCGGTCTGTTCTTTGTTCGTCCTTTGTGTGAATGGGAGCTCTTGGGGAGGTTGGACAAAACGCCCAGCCCGCAGTTGAATGATAGCAGAATCGAGTGCCCATTGAAGAGGAAGGACCCTCAGCTCGACATCGCTATTATGCTTGTCAACATTGACATAGCGTAATCCAGCGTCTGCTCGAATTGTATAATTGACGCCAGAAAAGCCGGTAATGTCGTCGAAAATGACAGCAGCAAAGCATTCTGAGAAACCATTAAAGTTTTGTTGGCACTGAGGGTCAATGTCCTGTGGGCTATCGAGTTGGTGGACCAGCGACTTTTGCCAAGGTGAGAAGTTTGCAGTCACTCGGTCCATTATATCGCGTGGTGAAGGCGTTGCGGATCCATTCGTCGCGTCGACCCAGTAAAAGTTGTATCCGCTCTTGAAGGCCGACTCCAACGAAACAATGGACTGTGGCTGACCAACTCCAAGCTTGGCAGAGGCATCAGGCTAAGCAAATGTAGAGAGTACTGCAACTCACATTATTTGGTTTGATCAAAAAGAACTAATAATATGGCCTTAATTTGGGGTTTATGGCCACGTACTGAACCACGTACCTGCGCAGTTGCCCTGTGAAGCATCAGTAACGTTCCCAAATGATATCCTATAATCTTACAAGAATATACCAAAGCCTATTGGGAAGACGAGACATCTCAAGAGATTGAGCTGAGGGGATTCAAGTGAGCACGGCTTGTCGAATACCCTCCTGACTAGCGACGCACGATCCAATGTTGCAAGAGAACGATTAGATTTTTCCAAATGAGTGCGTTGAGCTGCCGAAAGAAGAGCATCCTGGCCCGCTAGACGGGAGCGGCTGGGTCCAAGAGAGCTCGTGTTAGAAGATTGAACAGGCGGACGGCATAAGAGAGTCTTGTCGACGACCGCAGTCGATGGGAATCTGACTGGAATCTTTTCGGAGACGCAAACTAGTTTGGGACGGGCCAAGGCTGGAGTAAGTCCGTCCTTTATTTGGATTCTTGAATTTCGACCTCGGCCACCAGCAATGCCGCCAAAGGGTCAGCAGGATCTGTCTCAGTTCGCATATTCAGCGATATCTTCGCTGGTATTGCAAGCAGGTAATGCTCAGAAATCACGTCTAACGAACAGCGCTAACTCGCAATTCTTGGTCAGATCGCTCTACTATCCCCCGACGCGACAGAGAACCAGATGGCGCGCCAGAATCCCTCGCAGGAAGGATAAATGTCCGTGAAATGGGCTCTCGTGCCCACAGAGACGCGCCCAAGGACGTGGAGAAGAAGAAGCGTAAAGTTGCAGAAGACGGCGCCGAAAAGAGCCAAAAACGACGCGCTGCGGCTGCCAATGCAAACTTTGGATACGCAGATATCATTGAAGCGACTCAAGACGTCGAGGGAATCCGCTACCAACCGCGAACAGCCGAAACCAGAACGGTGTACGAGCTTATTCTCGGCTCTGTACATCGTATGCTTGGTGATCAAGCGCATGACGTCGTCAGATCTGCTGCTGACACAGTCCTGGAGACTCTCAAGACCGAGGGACTCAAGGATTATGACAAAAAGAAAGAGGTTGAAGAAGTCCTGGGACATATGTCAAATGAGGATTTCACACAGCTCTTGAACCTCAGCAAAAAGCTCACAGACTATGCAGTAGAGGATGAGCAAATGAAGGATCCTGACGAAGAGCGCAATGAAGGCATGATCGATGACACTGCTGGCGTCGCTGTTGTCTGGGACGAGGAGGAAGAGGAAGACGAGGAAGACAACTACGAGCTAAGGGACGAGTCGGACGCTTCTGACGAGGAGCCTACAGGCGAGGGGGAGGTTCCCATCGACGGCGAAGGAGAAGAATCTCTCGTCTATGGTGGAGGCGCCTCGAAGCAGGTCTCTGGCGCAAAGACCGATTCTGACCGAATATCGCCTCACGACATTGACGGATTCTGGCTTCAGCGACTTCTCGCTGGCGTGTATCCAGATCCAACGACAGCAACCGAAAAGACCACCGAAGCCCTTTCCATCCTCTCCTCTGAATCCAGCGTTCGAGACGCGGAAAATATGTTGATGGAGCTCTTCGATTTTAGCCATCACGAAATTGTCAGAACGCTGATCAAGAACCGAGATGTCGTTGTTTGGTGCACAAAGCTTGCAAGGAGTGATGAACAGGAGAGGATGAATGTCGAAGTCGCGATGCGAGAGCGCAATGTCGGGTGGATTCTAAAGGAGCTACGAGGCGATCGAACAAAGCGGCGAGCCGCCGACACAGATAGTATGGAGGTGGATGCTCAAAGCGCTGTGCCAAAGACTGGGACGGTGGCTCCAGGAAGTACTCTTCCTCCGCGACAGATAGTCGACCTCGACAGCATGGCATTCTCCCAAGGCGGTCACCTTATGTCTAACAAGAAGACAACTCTTCCTCCGGGCACGGTCAAACGATCCAAGAAGGGATACGAAGAAATCTTTGTTCCCGAAAAGCCCATATCCGTTCCAAAGGTGGACGACCGCGTTCCCATTTCCACAATGCCCGGATGGACACAGCCAGCGTTCCCAAGCCCCATCACCCATCTCAACCGTGTCCAGTCTCGATTGTATCCAATTGCCTTCGGGACAGACGAACCGATCCTTCTCTGCGCTCCGACCGGTGCCGGAAAGGTGAGTATAATCCTTCTACCGATTCACAATCTCATTCTTATCCAGACCAACGTAGCCATTCTCACCATTCTGAATGAGCTCAGCAAAGTCAGGGACGAGGAATCGGGCTCATTTGATTTAGATGCCTTCAAGATTGTCTATATCGCTCCCATGAAAGCTCTTGTCCAGGAAATGGTCAAGGACTTCAGCGACCGACTCAAGATCTACGGCGTCAAGGTCGGAGAACTCACTGGTGACAGCCAGATGACAAAACAGCAAATAGCAGAGACCCAAATCATTGTGACGACTCCAGAGAAATGGGATGTCATTACGCGCAAATCCACGGACATGTCGTACACCAACCTCGTCCGCCTCATCATCATTGACGAAATTCATCTGCTTCACGACGAACGTGGACCAGTCCTGGAAGCCATCATTGCCCGAACTATCAGGAGGATGGAGCAAACACGCGACTATGTTCGCCTGGTCGCTCTCTCTGCGACTCTGCCCAACTACCAGGACGTTGCCAAGTTTTTGCGGGTAGACAGCTCCAAGGGCCTGTTCTTCTTCGATGTCACCTATCGAAGTAGACCGCTGCGTCAGCAATTTGTCGGTATCACGGAGAAAAAGGCCATCAAGCGCTATCAGGTCATGAACGAGGTCTGTTATGAAAAAGTACTCGATCAAGCTGGCAAGAATCAGTCGCTAGTCTTTGTGCATTCTCGTAAAGAGACGGCAAAGACCGCCAGATTCATCCGGGACATGGCGGTTGAAAAGGAGACTATCGAGCATTTCGTCAAGCCAGACTCTGGTACAAGGGAGATCCTTCTCTCTGAAGTGTCGAGCATCACAGATCCTAACCTCAAGGATCTCCTGCCGTTTGGTTTCGCCATCCATCATGCAGGTCTGAACTCGACCGATCGAGGACTAGTCGAGGAATTGTTTAAGGATGGTCACTTACAGGTGCTCGTTAGCACTGCTACCCTCGCCTGGGGTGTCAACCTTCCTGCGCACTGTGTCATTATAAAGGGGACGCAGATCTACAACCCAGAGAAAGGTCGATGGGTTGAACTATCGTCACAGGACGTCCTCCAAATGCTGGGCAGAGCAGGTCGTCCGCAGTATGACGAATATGGAGAAGGTATCATTATCACCAACCACTCTGAACTGCAGTACTACCTCAGCTTGATGAATCAGCAACTTCCTATCGAATCCCAACTTGTCGCAAAGCTTGCCGACAACCTTAATGCTGAGATTGTACTGGGGACGATACGAAACCGTGACGAGGCTGTCCAATGGATCGGCTACACATATCTGTCAGTGTTTTCGTTCTGTTCCATTGGTATCGCTGACACACTTTCCAGCTACGTTCGAATGCTCAAAGATCCTGCGCTCTACAGCGTCAACTCGGACTATCTCGATGATGACCCACATCTCGAGCAGAAGCGCGCAGATATTGCCCACTCGGCAGCCGTTCTCCTGGAAAAGTGCAATCTCATCAAGTACGACCGCTCCTCTGGCCGATTCCAATCCACAGAGCTCGGTCGAATCGCCTCTCATTACTATGTCACCCACAATTCGATGGCCACGTACAATCAACACCTGAAGCCGACAATGTCAACCATTGAACTCTTCCGTGTGTTTGCTCTATCTAATGAATTCCGCCTCATTCCGGTAAGAAATCATCTTGACCTGATTCTCGAAGCCCTGAGCGCTGCGTAGGTGAGACAGGATGAAAAGCTGGAACTCAGCAAGCTGCTAGAAAAGGTTCCTATCCCGGTCAAGGAGAGTGTCGACGAGCCCGCGGCAAAGATCAACGTCCTACTCCAGGCATTCATCTCCAACCTCTCCCTAGAAGGTAAGTTGGTACGCTATCCATTGCTCTTTCACTCATTTGTGCAGGTTTTGCCCTTGTCGCCGATATGGTGTATGTACAACAATCTGCAGGACGGTCAGTTCAAATCCACCCTTCACTTCCGAAGGTTCTGATCTCTTGTATAGAATTCTTCGTGCCATGTTTGAGATTTGCCTCAAGCGCGGATGGGCGATCCCGGCCCGTGCTGCGCTCGACCTGTGCAAGATGGCGGAGAAACGGATGTGGAGCTCTATGACTCCTCTACGCCAATTTCCTCACGTTCCCGGAGACGTGTTGCGAAAGGCGGAAGCGAAACAGTTCCCGTGGTATCGCTATTTTGATTTGGACGAGGCGCAGCTCAGCGAACTGCTCGGTGTGGCACTCAGAACTGGACAAGTTGTGCACCGTCTCGTGCATCAATTCCCTCAATTGGATTTACAAGCACACGTCCAACCTATCACGCGTTCGCTATTGAGGATCGATCTCGTTATTACTCCCGACTTTGAATGGGACGACAGAGTGCATGGTGCATCCCAAGCCTTTTGGATCGTGATTGAGGATGTCGACGGCGAGATCATTCTTTTCCACGATACCTTCCTCTTGCGGAAACAGTATTCGGTCGGAAAGAGTGAATACAACGAGCACAATGTCACCCTCTATGTGCCCATGTTCGAGCCAGTACCGCCAAACTACTACGTGTCCGTCATCTCCGATCGATGGCTGCATTCTGAGACGCGTCTACCCATATCCTTCAAGAACCTGATCCTGCCCGAGAAATTCCCACAGCCGACTGCATTGCTGGACCTTCAACCGCCGCCATTCTCTGTACTACGGAATCCGGAGTATGAGAGGATATACTCCTCTTCGATCCCAGCTTTCAATAAAATCCAGACGCAAGTCTTGGAGGCGTTGTATGGTTCTGATGAAAATGTATTCGTCGGTGCTCCGACTGGGAGTGGCAAGACGATCTGCGCAGAGTTTGCACTCTTGCGTCTCTGGAATAAGAAGGAGTTGAAGCATCCACGGGCTGTGTGCATTCTTCCTTACCAGGAGATGGTCGATCAGCGAGTCAAGGAATGGACAGCCAAGTTTGGAAAGCTTCAGGGTGGAAAGGAGATTGTGAGCTTGACGGGAGATTCCAGCACCGACCTCCGGCAACTCCAGATTGGCCATGTCATTGTCTGCACACCGACACAGGTATGTTCTATGGTCCAATGTTCTCGCTTGCTAAGCCAGTCATAGTGGGATATGATCTCTAGGCGATGGAAGAAACGGAAGCAAGTTCAAAACCTCGCTCTTTTGATCTGCGACGAGGCACATCTCGTTAATGCCGACATTGGTCCCGTATACGAGGTCGTCATCTCTCGCACTCGCTATGTTTCCAAGCAAACCGAGGTTGAGACTCGTATAGTAGCCCTCAGTGCCTCGCTTGCCAACGCGCGTGACTTTGGAGAATGGATGGGTGCACCCTCGCGCGCTATTTACAATTTCCCACCAAGGTACGTTCCACAGTTACCCGGGCGCACTCGTCCTAACCGATACTCAGCGCACGTCCCCTCGATCTGGATATCCATCTTCAGAGCTTCTCCATCCCTCATTTCCCATCACTGATGATTGCCATGTCCAAACCGGCATATTTGGCCATCAAAGACTACTCGCCTACCAAACCGGTCATCATCTTCACCCCTTCACGCAAGCAGGCCCGCCTCACTGCGAGCGATATCTTGACACATTGCTTGGCGGACGAAAATCAGGATCTGTTCCTCAATTATGATCCTGAGCGGTTGAAGGAGCATCTCGAACATGTCTCTGACCAGAGTCTCGTGGAATCACTCTCGCACGGCATTGGTTTCTATCACGAAGCACTCGATAAGCAGGACAAGAAGATTGTCGAACGACTCTTCGAAGCGGGTGCCATTCAACTCCTTGTTGCATCACGGGTGCGTAGTAACGGAAAGTCTAGAACATGACCTGACGATGATGCAGGAAACCGCATGGAGCTTGCCATTATCCAGTTACATGGTGATCATTATGGGAGTTCAGTACTTTGAAGGGAAAGAGCATCGTTACGTGGACTATCCCGTTGCGGATGTTCTCCAAATGATGGGCCATGCATGCAGACCGGCTGTTGATGATCGCAGTCGCTGTGTACTCATGTGTCAGCAAACTCGCAAGGACTTTTATCGCAAGTTCCTCAACGAAGGCCTGCCGATCGAGTCGCATCTCCCCACTCATTTCCTCCACGACTTTTTCCTCGCGGAAATTGCTGAAGAGACCATTGAGAATAAGCAAGATGCCATTGTATGTCGTCAACTTTTGTCAGCCTCCCCATGCTCAATATCCGATAGGACATTCTCACATGGACTTACTTCTATAGGCGGTTGACTCAAAACCCCAACTACTACAATCTCAACAACATTAGCCATCAACACTTGTCGGACCACCTTTCTGAGCTGGTCGAGACTACGTTGTCTGACCTTGTGGCGGCTCACTGCATTTCAATCGGTGCGGCGTTGCTTGACTGATCACTTCATTGTTTGACATCAATTTCAGAGGACGAAGTCAATGTTGGCAAGCTGAACCTTGGTTGGATTGCAGCCTATTACAATATCTCCTGTAAGCGTTCCTCGATGTGTTGGCGTTCGGCGTTGACCTCTTCTATAGATGTCACCATTGATGTCTTTTCCATGTCCATCACGGAGCGAACAAAGTTGAAGGGCTTGCTGGAGATCATCTCTTCCTCGACCGAGTTTGAGTCGATTCCGATCCGAAAGCACGAGGATATTGTGCTGCGACGCATCTATGATCGCGTGCCGGTCAAAACGGAGAACAATCGCTACGAGTCTCCAGCCTTTAAATCGTTCCTGCTCCTTCAAGCTCACTTTTCGCGCCTTCAACTCCCACCGGATCTTGTGACCGATCAGGCACAAGTTCTGACTAAAGTCGTCAACCTGCTACACGCATGTGTGGATGTAATGGCGTCGAATGCCTACCTCAATGCCATGGGTGCGATGGACCTGGCGCAGATGTGTGTTCAAGGTGCATGGGAGAGCGACTCGCCGCTGAAGCAAATTCCTCACTTTGAGCCGGATTTGATCAAACGTTGCAAGGCAAAAGGCATCGAATCTGTCTATGACCTTATGGAGATGGAGGACGATGATCGGACCAAACTGTTGAACATGACGCCTGGACAACTGTGAGTGCTCGAGGATGATTTTGTTTCATCACTAACAAATATGTCTAGGCGAGACGTGGCTACGTTTGTGAATGCGTACCCGAGCTTGGAGATTGCGCACGAGTTTGAAGAGGGAGAATACACGTCGACGGAGCCTATCGGTCTCAAGGTGACGTTGAGCGGAGGAGATGAAGAGGACGAGGACGAGAGTCCGACCGAGCCAGTGGCCGTCGCGCCGTTTTATCCACTCAAAAAGATTCCCAACTGGTGGCTCGTAGTGGGTAATCCTCAGACGAGGCAGCTCATTGGTATCCGGCGCGTGACGATTCCGAAAAAGTCGTTGACGGTCGAGCTCAAGCTTACGCTGCCAGCTGGTTCGCACAAGCTCCATCTCTATGTGATTTGCGACTCGTACATGGGCGCTGATCACGACATTGTTCTGGATGCGATTCAAGTTGCGCAAGGCGAGGAAGACTCGGACGAAGATGATGATGACGAGGACGAGTCGGAAGACGACAAGATGAAGGAGTAGGTAGATTTTCCAATGTGCGGTAATGCTTTCTGTGCAATAATTTCAAGACGCCCTGGCCTCTAAACGTATGCGCGATGGAGAACACGAGTGGAATTTTTGCACAAGAGAGTATACACGACGATGTCCAGAAATGGAAATGGTATGTGTGGTCATCTAATTACAGACGCAGAAGAAGGTGCACGATAGAAGAGATTTTCTTCCTCGCGTTTGCGAACAGCCGGGTCGTCCCACTCTGAAGTGTCGATGGATCCAGGACGGGCGATAGACGTGCCGGTGATGGAGATGGAACCCGACTTTTCGCTAGGGAGGATGCCATTGTGGAGGGATGTAGCCTCTGACTTGCGGCTGTACGCACCAGGCGGTCGTCTACTATAACCAGCGGGGGCGCGTGGGGCTGGGGGGATCATGGCCGCAGCGTTTGCAAGACTTGCGTCGTCGGTGAATGGATTCTCGAATCGTGGTGGAGTTGTCTCTGAAGAGAGTGGGCTGGGTACATTTGCGGTCGCAGTGGTTTGAATCTCTACGGAGCGTCGGAAACGTGGGGAAGTTGGAGACAAGGAAACGTCCATTCTTCGTGGTGTTAGACTGCCTAGCGAATCGTGGAGGGATCGCCAGGCGAGTGGTTGACCTGGCTGGATCGAGAGACGCTCATCTGCGACAGGGGTAAGGACTTCTTCGACGTCGGAGAGTGGGTGATAGTGGACGACTTGTGTCCATCGCTCGTCTTCGAATTCGTTTGTAGTCGAGTCGCTCTGGCGACTGGTCGGTCGATCGCCAAATGCAGAACCGAGGGCAGACATGATATCCGAGGCACCATCTGGACGAACGACTTCGCCCACTTCTGCCACCATCGAGAGCTGTTCGCGTGTATGTGCGTGGTGTTGATACGTCTGACTACGCGGACGACCTCTGGCAACGACTGGATCGGAATTGAGCGAATAAGCGCTACTCATGGGACTCGCAGCGTCTGAGAGACGCTCATCGTGACCACTGCTTGAGACGTAGGACGGGTTATTGAATGGATCGGCATTGGTGGCGCCCGCCGCCGACGAGGACGCTGTCGGACCAAAGCCGGCGATCCATGCAGACGGACTGAGTGGCTCGCCCTTTGAATTTCTCCGGGGTGACGAATCGCGACCGAGATCTGATGAGGAATCGAGCCGGACGGCTTGTTCGGTTGGGATTGGTGGTCGGACGGCGGAGAGACGTGCATGAGGCAATGGCGGATGAGCGGAGACTCTGCGTTGGACAAACGGGACAAAATCTGCAGTTATAGCACTCCCAGTCGATGAGCGTGCGCCAAAGGTGTTTCCACTCGTGGACGTGGTCGAAGCGGCCTTTGCAGGGGCAGAGGGGAGGGCAAGGACGGAGATGGGTGGGGAAGTGATAACCTCTGGACCTGATTGCGGGGAAATCTGCCTGTCCTGTTGTGAATGGGATTTCTCCAAACGGCCGTATCCCACGGGTTCATTGACCTCTGACCAACGATTGTGGGCAACTTGGCGCTTCCATTCGAGAAGCTCGCTACTCTGGCTGTCCCGGCGCGTTTCCGGGGATTTGTTTATACGCGCCTTTATGCGGTGAACGAGGCCAGTGAACAAGGATGTCGAGGGGAGATGTGGGCGTCGGAGAATTGGACGAGAGGAGGAGAGATTGAGGAGACCCTTTGTGCCCATTTGTCTGTTTTTATCATCAATGAGAAAGTAATTATGATGGATTTGTAGACGCACCTAACAAGATCTGCCGATGTAGTCCCTGGCTGGCGAAGGGAGAGACGCTGGAGTTGAGCATTCCGCCGTTTCTTGTAAAAGTAACTGCAAAGAGCACAGAACGAGGCCAATAAGATGACGACGACGATAACGAGTCCGGTGATAAGGCCTTCTTTGTTGGACAAGCTGGCAGAGAGGTTAGCAAATAATTTCAGCATGACCTTTGCGTACCTTTCACCGCCCGTGTTTAGGGTCCCAGACGAGTTGCCAGACGAGTCTGCGCCGTCCGATGTCCCTGCGTCGCCGGGGATGCCCGTTGCACGCGGACCAACCGTCGACGAGAGGGTAATCGTATTTGAGCCATCGACAGAGACAAAGACGGTCGTTTGAGTGTTGATAGGGCACACATTGGAAGTAAATGTTCCCCGTCGTTGGTGCGCTACTCGCAGGGCCGTTGGGACTGAATCCGGGGCGCTACTTTGTGAAATTGTCCATCAATAGTCCATCAGCGCGTTTCACCCACATGCACTTACCGATTAACAACAAGACTCGACGACGGAGTTGGGTGTACTTGTGACGACAACTGGCGGCTTTGGGATGCACGAAGACTGGCTTCGAATCCCTGTACACCCGCCCAGTCGTCGAGATGAGACAAAGGAGAGTAAACAAGCTGATGGACTTGTCTTGACGCTACAAGTCGACACAGAAACAAGAGAGAAACGAGTGTGGGGCCGGTTGGTGGATGCATATTGGCAAGAGGCAGGACGAGCAGCGTCAGGCTGAACTCGCTGCACTCTGTATGCTACTACGACGGGACAACGTCGACGAGGAGGAAAAAGTAAAGAGAACAAACAACAGCCGCTGCCTCGGGGATGATGGGCGGAGAAACCTCGTCCAGCGTCGACGGGAGCCCCCGAGGTTCACGACCCTTGGGTTTGGAGCTTTTTAGTCCCCGAATAATAATAATGCATTCCATTCCACTGGCGTTTATCTGTCGCCCTCGTTGTCACCCTGTCGCCGAAGGAACAGTCGCTAGCGCGCGTTGCCCACCATCCCTCCTTATTGGTCCCGTCACCTTCTAGTCGATCCTGATCCTCTACAGCCCATCCCGGTCCGGCCCTTGACACTGCATGATTCCATTTGGTCGTCGAGTTACTATAGGCGTATTCAGTGAATGACTTAATGCCTTTACTTTGACTTCAACTCATACTCAACTAGTCCAATCACTGTCAAAACTTGTTTCGTACAAATATTCTCAGACTTTGTTTCGTACCTAGGACATTATCCTCGCCCGCCGCCCATCACCCCCTATACAATTGCAAGAAGCTCAAGGCTCCCGATGGCATGCTCGCCTACGTTCTCAACTTCTATCCAGAGCACACCTCATGTGCTCAAATGTCTTCTCTTATAGATTATTCCCGCCGCTTGTTCTGCCGGCACACAGCATGTGCTCGTTTTCGCCCACTCGAACATCTTGCTCACTCACATCCCCTGACGTACTGTATTGAAGCATATCAGAGGCGTACACGAATCCAATGTGCTTAAATACCACGACTGCGGCATTCGTAGCCTAACCTTGCCAACTTTGTCTGCTTCCACCCAAGCATCCCCAAATGCGAACCAATCTCTTCACTCTGGCTTTCCTGGCCCTCTCGGCCGTCGCACTTGCGCTCCCCATCGTACGTCGACTGCCACCCAACGAAAGGGGGAAACACTGACGGCTTTGCCAGGACAAGGATATCAACGCCTTACCCGGCCCAGGTAAACGCACTGATGGCGACATTGAAGGTTTACCTGGACCAGGAAAGCGTGCTGATGGTGACATCGAGGGTCTCCCAGGACCGGGCAAGTAATCCGCAAGTCCCCCCCTATATGACCGCGTGGCCCTTGCGCTGATGATAAACGTAGATCATCGTGAAGAGAGTCATCAAGGGTTATCCTTCTTGTCTCTAGATGCAAGACCGAATGGCCAATTGCCCCCTATCAGTTGCTTACTTTCGTAGAATTTTCACTGGCCCCCCACACTCGTTTATTTCAGACTTTTGTTTTACCTCCGGACGCTGAATCCATGTTATGATCTTTGAGATAATCAGGGGGGCCATCGCCTCTTAGAGCCTACCAAGATGCCCAACCCAACCACAGCCTGGTCCCTGTCACAGCAGCAGCGCTCAAGAGGGGTACTAACGTCGGAGAGAATATCTCCTCAACCAAGTCGTGGGCATTCGCCCAATCTGCGGTCATCCAAACTGCCTGGCCAGCCGCAAGCGTCTTCTACGTCCTCATCGCCCGAAGTTTTGCAGCTCCAAAAGATTATCACACAACTCCAGCAATCTGCTTCGACTAAACCAGGTGCAAACGTAAACATTGGCGGTGCGAAAGACCGTGTCGAGCAAGGTTGCTTCTGTCTTGCGCAAACGCACAAGTTGTCGCCATATACGCCGTTATGTGTATCATGTGGCCTCATCTTATATGAACTTCATCCGCCGTATCGAAACTGTCCCTTTACACCATGCGGTCAACCGTTGCTCACGCCCCAGGCTCGCACGGTACTCATCCAGACGCTAAATGACAAAATTGTAGCGATGATAGAGGCAGAGGAGATGAAGAGGAGAAGGGAAGAGGAAGAACGTAGACAGGCGGCGGGTGCGTTTCCTATGCTCGCGCCTTCGTCTTCCCTCCACGTTCCTGGCACAAGTGGGAAACCCAGGACACCACCACCACCATCGTCAAATACCCCACACAAGGTGTTATCCTTGACGCAAAAGGGTGCCGTACTCACCACGACGGTACGGAAAACGACGCCGACTCCCTCTGCCCAAGGCACAAAGGGTGATCCAAAGCCAGTCGTGCAGAGGGTGCCTATGCCACCAGAGGAGCCTGTGAGCTTTAAACCAAAGGAGAACATGGCGCCATGGGAGAGTCTTCGATTCCCTCGGATCATCTACGAGCCTCCGCCGCCCCCTGCAAACCCACGTCAACCTACGAAACGACAGAAAAAGGGTCAAAAGAAGGATAATATAGAGGCGTCTGATCCCTAATCTACACTACTAATGCCCAACTCTATCCATACCCAATCGCGCACGGATTTCATCGTCGACTTCGATAACCTCTTCCTTGTACTCGCCATCCAACTCTTCTTGAACTTTGGCTTCCATCTCTGCCCGTTTCTCACTACTCTCCGCACCTTCGTCGAGGTATCCCTTCCATCTCCTCACGTCCTCTGTGATATCTTTGATATCGCAAATCCATTCTTCTATCCACTGCTTGTTCAGATCACCAGAGATGCCAAGTTGTAGCGATCTGTAGTCCAATCGTCCAAGTCGGATGCTCCTCTCTGGGTCCCACTGTACGCGAACCGCTTTACTTCCATTGACATTCATTCCCGGTCCCGAGGTCGGTACAGCGCTCTTTAGTAGCGTGAGGAAACCCTCAAACTTCATAGTGATTTGGAGAATGTGCGATTGATTCTTGTCCTTGAAACTCCAGCCAGCTCGATACATGCCTGTTCGAGTCAGTTCGTTGGTATTTTAGGAATTAAGGGCCATACACCAATAAAAAGAGGGTTTGATCCATGTCATGCGTGTCATGGAAAAGGCGTCCGAGGCGTTGAGGCGTTGATGCTCGACTGCGGCACTTGCTATCTTGGCATTGTACGCCTGGTACACGATAATCGTATCAGGTGTGGGTCTCCTAGCGCGTATCTGCTTGTATGGTACCCGCGAGGTCATCTCGAAATGTCGTAGGGTTCAAAGTAGCGTTGGCGCCGACCGTCTCGTCGCCCGACTCAGGATTATGATGACTCATACAGTTCCTTGGCATTTGTATTGCTACGCTTTTTACATAAACTCCTTTGGACGAGTAGCTGGGTCACCTCCAGCTGTGTCGTACACCAGACCGGCCACCTTGAACGCGAGTTCTAACAAACGTCGTCAGCATGCATACCAAGGTAAATCGAACAGACATACCATCAGCTTCTGCCTTGTGCGCCGCCTCTGCATACACCCTCACGACATCCTCTGTCCCACTCGGACGCACAAACGCGCGTCCCTGACTATACCTCTTCATCAACTCGTCAAGTTTCTTCTGTAGACCCTCTGGCTCGACCAACTTTCGCTCCGCATCCGTCGTTTTGAACGCGTTACGGTCCTTGACGCTCACTTTGACCAGCCTATTGGGTAAATCAGTGTAGAGCGCGTCCCATTCGGCGCCGCCGTAGCCCTTGTGCGCGAGGACGGTTTCGACAAGGAGCATGTCCGAGAGGGCGTCACCGACGGTCTGGTTGATGAGTTCTGTGAGGGCGAGGAGGTTGTTCAGGGCCGTTTGTTGGGCTGGTGTATGTGGTTCGTGTGCCTTGATTAGGTGCAGTGCGTTTGAGGAGAAGAGAACAGTTCCGTGCCCGTTTGCTTCAAAGTAGACACCGATAGAGTATCGTTCTGCTGCGTGGTGCAAATGTTTGACACCAGTAGGTACACATTGGACTGGCATGCGCTATATCAAAGGTAAGACGTTGAGCCGCATCGGTTGGGGGTGTTCACCTGGGTGAGATAGTCTGTCGATGCACCGTTTGCATAGGCAGTCTGGACGACGCCGACGGGCATACGCTCCGCAGGGATACCAGCCGCGTTCACCAGTTCGACCAGGAAGCCAGCAACAAGACCAGCAATCTTGTCGCCGTCGAGCATCCTAAAGGCACCCGTTTTGTCAAGATAGTAATACATGAGTCGATCCGCATCTCCGTCCAGCGAACAAGCACGTTGGTTGGGCTTGAGGAGTGGCGCCATGGACGGTGGCAACTTTTGTTGCGTCTTGACAAAGTCTGCACCACATCCCTTGTTGAGTACACCCAGCTTATTGATGCTCGTGTTGACGGGGATGAGTTTGATGTAGCCTTCGAGGTGCTTGGCTAGTTCTTCTGTAGCAGGATACCCGACGCCGTTTGCACAATCGATTAGCAATTCGCCTGATACGGATCCGTGGTGTTCATTCAGGGGTTTCTACAAGATGGTTGGCGAACCGGCGGTGAACGTAGAATAGGAACCTACCACCAGCGCCTTGAATGCTGCAGAGAGCTTTTCAAAGTATCCCTTGGGAGTGGGTTCACCGTATGCTTCTGGTGTACCCTGCGTATTCTTGCATCGCACAAGATAGTGCAAGATGGGGGTCGTGAGGACGCCTTCGTCCGTGTACGACGTCGGGGCGCCTGGAGCTGCCTGGAGGCCGTCTACGAGCGAGGCGACAAGTTCTGGGCCAGATGGGCGGGTATCTCTGGCGTAGATGACGTTGGCCGGTTTCGAAATATCAATGTGCAAGGCTTCGACCATGTGTTGGATCTTTTGTTCGAGATCTTCTGCGGACTGGCAATTGGCAAGTGATGTTGCATATCCTTCCCATGCTTGCTCAAGCATCTCTCCTCTGGGATCGACGAGCTTGACCCCGTTATCCTGCAAGGGTAAGGACAATGCGACGCAGCCAAGGTGCTCTGACCTCTTCTGGATTGTGAGATGCAGTGACCATGACGCCAATCACCCGGCTATCGAGCTTCTTGCTCCTGAGGGCGGCGACAATGCCCACTGTGAACATGACTGGGTCCAATCTGTCTGCTCTAGAGGAGTATAAGGAGACATAGGATATCATAGAATTGTTATTACTTCATCCTGAAACCTGCTGTCCCATATTGAAACGGAACGTTGATGGGTTTAAGGTGGCGATTGGCGAGATTCGTAAACGTGCTGGTCATGATGTCTCAAAGGGATTGATAGCACTTGAAATAGTCCAGTAATTTGTGGTTTTGAGTGATCTAAGAATGTGGTAGGGCCCAAGAACGAACGGCATGTTTGCCGAGATGGGAAACTCTGAGCTTTTACATCTAATAATTGTACTATATATGTGATTATATAATGCCTGTACTATCTTTCGCCTCATATATACTTCTCCTGAGAAGATGATAGCGGAGGTACCCTGAATCGTTATAAACATATCAAATGTATTATAATTCTGTCATGTCCGATTGTTGTTCTGTCGGCGGCGGCCCATTAGATTGATGGCAACCATTCAGACTTTGCGCCCCAGTCTCTTGTTCTCCCCCTCGTCGGTCCTCTCTGCTAGGCTTGTCCTGCATTTCTTTCCTTTCTTTCCTTCTTCATCTACTCTCTACTTGACAAAGCTCCCAGCAGCTCAATTTTCACGCTAATTCTTCAGACACAAGCAGCCCACCATGTTTGCTACCACCGGAGCTCAGGCAGTCGCCCTTTTCGCAGTCCTATCTTCTACTGCTGTCAATGCATTCTCTCCGAGCTTTTCTACGCCGAGACAATGCGACTCGCTCAAGATTACCTGGTCCTCGATGCAACTCCCACCGTCCACCCACGGCCTCACCGAGTTTACAATGAGCCTGGTCCCTCTCGACGATCCAAAGCATCATACTCCGTCCCCTTATATGCTCACTGTGCCCTGCACGATGCTCGATGAAGAGGGCGCCCTCGAGGTCCCCGCTCTCCCATTCAGAGCAGGCACACAGTTTTTCGCCTCGGCAAATTTCCCAGGAGCATCCGGTCCAGTGCGTAGAATGGTCTCCGACGTCTTTACCGTCGAGCACTCTACCGACACAAGCTGCCTCGACACGGCGGTGCCGCCAAATGCCAAGAGACCCCGTGTCAAGACGTTTGGAAAGCGTCAAGTCAACGTTATTGGCGCTACAAGTGTTGGTGCATCCGCTTCTGCTACACCGTCTCCAGCTAGCTCGTCCGCCGCTGCCGGTGCTCCGATCAATGTGATTGGTGTCGGCATCATTTCGAGCGGCGCAGCAGGAGATAGCTCACAAGTTGCCTCGTCTACTAGCGAGGCGTCAACATCGTCAGCTTCCGCCCCAGCTGCAAGCTCCTCGAGCGGTGCAGTGCCTCCCATCCGTGTGATTGGATCGTCCAATATCCCTGCCACGGGTGGCGGCAATGCAGATACACCTGCAAACGCAGCTCCTGCTCCTCCGGCTGCATCGTCTACGGGGCCTGTTCCACCGATCAACGTCGTGGGTCCTGGTGTCATTCCTGCAGACGGCGCTTCATCCAGCTCTGCCAGCGCGACCACCACCACGGCATCAGAGGGAGCACCAACAACGATTACAGTTGACAATGGAACCGTCGTCACCCCCACAGAGACTTCAACCCCTTGCACCGAAACTTCGACGGCATCCACCACGACAATGGCGATGGAGACACCGACATATGGAAATGACGACGATTCTGAAGAAGTTCCATGCGAGGACGAGGAGAACCCTAGCAGCACTGGGTACCCCGGAAAGCCAGCTACGACGACGCGCGCTGCTGGAGCCTTCAATACCGAGGTTGTCCAATATGGCTCGTTTGACGACATGGTCAACGCAGCTAACTCGGCCTTTCACGCATGGAACCCTTACAAGCCTGCGTATACGCCCTCGGCGTGAAGGCCTTGCCCTGCCCCTGCGAGCTAGATCTCCGCTTCAGCATTTTTGACTGATCTGTATTACCCAACCGCCGTGTTTTGCAAATCTTGCACCGGCTTGACTTTCTTTTCTTTGGTCCCGACGCAACCGACTCCATGCAGAGAGTCGACAGGTATTGATGTACCTATTATCCATGTTGTTGTGCAACAGGAATCTTCAGGAAAACTGATTCGTAAAACTCTAAGATGTATTCGAGAGTCCGTAAGGTATAAATGGCATGCGATCTAGGTAAGAGGGTCGATCCCTAATCCATCTTCCAATGTGTGTCTTCGTCGTCTGTGCCCCATACGAGCAATTCTATGGACCACATGAGGAGGATGAAAAAGACGTTTGCCCATCGCCAGTAGACGTCGACATTGTGGTCAATCACTGAAACCCATCAGCCCACTGCTCACAACGAGAAGAAGAGAGCTCACAGAGGAGATGCGAGTAGACGGTGATGAAAATGGTTTGTCTGTAGGTGAGTATGAGGTTGGTCAGATGCGAGCTCTATGGACTGTGAGATTTTCGCAACAATGGATATTAAGCCAAGCGTACGGGGCGACCTTCCCATCCATTTGAAGCATCATCTTCTTCCCATCCGTCATCGCCCATCTTTGCCACGATCCGTGAGGCCATTTGCAGAATTGCCAATCTAAATAGGAGGGCGGCAATCAACGGCCTCGGGAGAGCTTGGGTGATGAACTTGAACATGGTCTCCATATGCGGAATGAGGTTTTCCACAAGGGCGTGCTATGCATTGTCAGTATATCCTAGAAGAAAGCCGACCGACGCACTATTGCGACCCAATGTTCGTCCAGTTATATCCCGCACCAAACGAGTCATCTGTGCATTGCCAGATATTGTAACTCAGAATCAAAGCTACTCCACTCGACTCGACGACATTCGTCCTGCGCAAGTTGAAGCCGATTCCAGTAAGGAAGAGCAACGACGTCAAGGCGCAGCCAAAAAGCATGGCCGTCATCGGCGTCGAAGCAGCATCCGCAAACGAGATGAAGAACCAAGCAGCAGCAGCGACGTATGCGCTCGCAGACGCGATGAGAAGGCCGAATTGGTACCCTTCAGATACGCCCGCGAGCTCCTTGGATGCAATCCCGGCAGATTGGATGACGATGAGGGATGCTAGCGCTTCGAGTCCTGCCATGATGGGCGAGGAGTAGCGCAGAAAGACGCCCCACCATGCTGCGATGGTATGCACGTAAGAATTTGGTGTCGCGAGGGCGGAGAAGATGTTGAAGACGAGAATGAGTAGTGCGGGTAGCGCGGGTATTTGTGCAAATGGTAAGAGGGATGGCAGAGACAGGGTTCTTCCGGATGAAAACGTGAATGTTGGAAGTGTGAGGAGGAGCGTGGCATGGATGATAGATTGGATTGTTAGGAAAAGAGATAGTAGTAGAAATGCCGATTGAGAAAGTGTTGCAAGTGTAAGAGGCAAGAAAATCAGGTAGAAACTGAGCGTGGTAATGCTGTGGGCAAATGTCAGTGTTATTCGCAACAAGGAGACACAAAGGGGCGAAGATACAGCACGGCACTGTTCAATCTGCAGAGAATTGTGTATAACAAGCATCCTTTCCGTCCTTGAGACGGCGGGGCTCAACGAATGAACCCCAAATAGACCAATCCAGGCCTCTTTGTAGTGCGTTCTCATTCCCTAATGATATAATATTCCAGTCGTTCCCTCAAGGCGCAGGTCCAGGCTCCGGGTCTGTGGAGTTGACGTTGAGCTACGTACCCTGCTGATTTTGTGACGGCATTCCAGAACATCAAAGCAGACATTGCGCGAGGAAATGCAGACTAAAAGGGACAAATGGAGGCTGCGGGCTTAGCCCTGAGAGGATTCCTTGTAGAAGTTGCAGTTCAAGTTGAATACTATTCAACCCAGAGCGCCACACTGGCCAAGAAACCGCGGCAAAGGGTATCAATTAAAAGCGTATACCTTTTAAATACATCGTAAACAGGGATGATGCTACAATCGTCATCTACAACAAGCCTCACTGGCTCTCTCGTGCAGGTCTATTGATCGGCGGAGGAAAAGGAGCAAACGAGGTGCCTCCAGGAATATCGCCATGAGGGATTGGCGCATCAAATGGTCGAAAGTCGTTGCCTGGTCGAGTCGGCTGTGGTGGTTGTGGCGGGCCACGCAAAATGACTCCAGGCTGACGCGAAGGATAGAACGGAACCGCTCCAGCGTTGATTGGTGAGAATTGAGGTGCCGGTTGGGGCACGCCAAAGGCTGGTGGTCCACTACGGCGTGGACCTGTTCTTCCATTTGCACCTTGCTGGAGGACATTCCGCACATCAGAAGGTGCACCAGTATCCTCCGGTATCAAAATTTGGGAGAGACGCTCGTTCTCCAGTTCTGCCTCTTCAATCTCCTTTCGCACCTCAGCCAGCTGCTTTTCGAGGTCTGGAATCGTCTCCTTGGAAAGCTTGTCGCGCTTGGCGGCAAGTTTTTCAGCTCGGTTTGTGGCAGTAGTGAGCTCGGATTGCAGGTCGGCGATTCGCTTCTTATCCGCACGAAGTACTTGGTCGATCTCTGCCTCCCTTTGATTCAGAAGATCCTGCACTTGGGTATGTTCTGCTTCGACGGTTGATTCTTCATCGCGAACACGAGGTAACGATTCTTCAACTTCCTGGGCCTGCGCTTCCACCTCGACGGTGGCCGAGAGTGTCTGCTTGACTGCTTCTTGTAGTGCAAGCACTCGCTGCTTTGCACGCTGATCTGTAATAACTTGCTTCTCCGCTGCCTTTTTCAGTGCTTCTATTTCTGCCCGCGTCGTGTTTTCCGTCTTCTGCGACTCTTTTCGCGCCATTTTGAGTTGGGCGGACAGAGATTCGTGCTCCTGAGATATCGACGTCTTGGCGAGTTGCAATCGTGCTCGCTCCTCTTCGATGGTAATCCTCCTGGGGGGAGACGCAGACTCGGGGGTCACGGGCGGTGTCAGATCCCGCGATGGAACAATATCTGTGGACGAGATGGATACATCTGCATGAGTCTCCTCCAGTTCGGGCTCGCTTTGTGCGGCTGGTGATACTAGCAATATGTGTTTAGCACAAAAAAAATAGACGCGTCCTGAAGAGTTGTACCTGAGTCGTCCAGAGTTACAAAATCTCTGCACAGAGAGTCTTCCCCTTGCTCAATCGTGAGATCTACTTCATACTGCCTTCCTGGCCGCAATCCGTACAGAATCATGACTGCCTCTGATCCATCGTCTTCAACATGGAGAATATACGTATTCCAGCTGTTCCCATTGACCTTTACGGTATATCCTCGAGCCAACACCTCTGAAATCGACCGCTGGCACGGGCTAGGTGAGTCGCCCTCGAGCTGCAAAGAGGCCAATTGCCTATCGACATCGTCGTCGTTTGCATTTGCAGCCGCGAGGACAAAAGAGGCAGATATGGATGTTAAATCCTTGACTTGTATGGATATCCGGTCCAGAAACGGTCGGATAGTTTGCCACTGGGTCGTGGTCATGACCAAGGTCAATTGTGTCAGGCGAGCTGCACGGCCTGTAATGGACACTACCTAATGACTATAGGCAGAATAGTTCGAGCCCGACATTTTGTCGGCTATATTGCATGATGAGACTGAGAGCGTCAATTCAGCTCAAAGGGGCATTATACAAATCTGAAGCAGTATGAGATTGACACGTGGTGCCATATATTAGTACGGAAATCAATCACAAGTGAGCGTCTGTTCGAACATTCGTCCAAGAGAGGTCACATCGAAAACGAGTGAAATCAAGCTTAGTTGCACGGAATGAAGTCGCCGTCGGTATGTTGAGACAAAGACATGGATTTCGGAGGCCATACCGATTTTCCGGCGGTACCCAGAAGAGACGTTTGCCGGAAGATAACACCCACCCATCCTGCGAAAGAGAGCACTGCATAAATCCAGGGATAGCGATTCCCAAGTAAGAGCCTCCTGGTAGTTCTCTGTAGTCCTGGCCAAGGCTATCCCCATCGGCATCTAACAGCGGTTGTAAGTCGTGTCATATGATCAACGATATGCTATTATACTCACCGGTGTCGTTATTCCACACTTGGATTGTCATGTCCTGAGAGCCAGAGATGATTCGTGTGCCACCTGGCGAGAATCCGACGGCGGTGACCAGGCCATGGTGACGTCGGAGTGGCTCTCCCAATGACTGACCAGTGTTTGCATCCCATAGTCGAATCGTCGTCGGACGAGCCAGAGACGATCCGTGAGCCATCTGGCGAGAATCCGACGGCATTGACCGAGCCTTGGTGTCCTCGGAGTGGCTCTCCCAATGACCGACCAGTGTTTGCATCCCATAGTCGAATCGTGTAGTCGTACGAGCCAGAGACGATCCATGAGCCATCTGGCGAGAACGCGACGGCGTTGACCGAGCGTTGGTGACCTCGGAGTGGCTCTCCCAATGACTGACCAGTGTTTGCATCCCATAGTCGAATCGTCTTGTCTTCCGAGCCAGAGACGATCCGTGAGCCATCTGGCGAGAATCCGACGGCGTTGACCGAGCCTTGGTGACCTCGGAGTGGCTCTCCCAATGACTGACCAGTGTTTGCATCCCATAGTCGAATCGTCTTGTCTTCCGAGCCAGAGACGATCCGTGAGCCATCTGGCGAGAATCCGACGGCATTGACCCAGCCTTGGTGACCTCGGAGTGGCTCTCCCAATGACTGACCAGTGTTTGCATCCCATAGTCGAATCGTCTTGTCCCACGAGCCAGAGACGATCCGTGAGCCATCTGGCGAGAATCCGACGGCGTAGACCCAGCCTTGGTGACCTCGGAGTGGCTCTCCCAATGACTGACCAGTGTTTGCATCCCATAGTCGAATCGTCTTGTCCCACGAGCCAGAGACGATCCGTGAGCCATCTGGCGAGAATCCGACGGCGCAGACCGAGCCTTGGTGACCTCGGAGTGGCTCTCCCAATGACTGACCAGTGTTTGCATCCCATAGTCGAATCGTCTTGTCGGACGAGCCAGAGACGATCCGTGAGCCATCTGGCGAGAATCCGACGGCCTTGACCGCGCCTTGGTGACCTCGGAGTGGCTCTCCCAATGACTGACCAGTGTTTGCATCCCATAGTCGAATCGTGTTGTCGGACGAGCCAGAGACGATCCGTGAGCCATCTGGCGAGAATCCGACGGCCTTGACCGAGCCTTGGTGACCTCGGAGTGGCTCTCCCAATGACTGACCAGTGTTTGCATCCCATAGTCGAATCGTCTCGTCCCACGAGCCAGAGACGATCCGTGAGCCATCTGGCGAGAATCCGACGGCGTAGACCGAGCCTTGGTGACCTCGGAGTGGCTCTCCCAATGACTGACCAGTGTTTGCATCCCATAGTCGAATCGTCTTGTCGGACGAGCCAGAGACGATCCGTGAGCCATCTGGCGAGAATCCGACGGCGTTGACCCAGCCTTGGTGACCTCGGAGTGGCTCTCCCAATGACTGACCAGTGTTTGCATCCCATAGTCGAATCGTCTCGTCCCACGAGCCAGAGACGATCCGTGAGCCATCTGGCGAGAATCCGACGGCGTTGACCCAGCCTTGGTGACCTCGGAGTGGCTCTCCCAATGACTGACCAGTGTTTGCATCCCATAGTCGAATCGTGTTGTCGGACGAGCCAGAGACGATCCGTGAGCCATCTGGCGAGAATCCGACGGCGTTGACCGAGCGTTGGTGACCTCGGAGTGGCTCTCCCAATGACTGACCAGTGTTTGCATCCCATAGTCGAATCGTGTTGTCGGACGAGCCAGAGACGATCCGTGAGCCATCTGGCGAGAATCCGACGGCGTAGACCGAGTCTTGGTGACCTCGAAGAGCTATAGGCAGCCCAGGATACGTTGCTTCGAGCCCTCGAGTTACTTCCAGAGTATTCCTATGCATTTTGAGGCCCTCTATATGCAGATTCGACTTTGTCGGAGTAAAAGGAAGCGCAGAGATGTAGATGTGTGGAGCGCTGTCCTGAATCGGCACTGAAAACGCCATCAAGAATCGTTGGATTTCGTTTATGCCGTTTTGGACCTCCTCTTCAAGCTGTTCACTGCGTGAGACAGTAAAGTTACATGCGATAAGGCACTCACTCTCTGGCGTGGAATAGCCCGAAGGCCAGTGATTGCTCGTGGTACACCTCCAATGAAGCTCAGTATCTCCATCCAGTATAGTACATGTGGAACTTGTATAATATTATGAAGTTCCTTTTTAAGTATTGATCGCCAATTGTCGTTGGTTTCCGCCGCATGAAACGGCCAATGAGAGCTGGCATACCGAAGTCGTCTGGAAATGAACTTTGATACCTTGGCGTCCAAGTTTGGAATCTCCCTATTTAGATAGAAAGATGATTCAAGTTGACATATATTAAACTTCAGGCCTTCACTTCGTGACTGGAGGCTCTTGAAACACCATGATGCCGCTCGACCATGTGCATTGGCCATGTCGATATATACCTTATTGTGCGCTTCGACAGTAGGGTTACTGGAGCAGCGTCGAAGGTACTCAACGAGAGTTGGATGACGAAATTGGATTTGCTTTGTGGCTCCATCCTCTGTGAGTACGCTTCCAAGATTCCGCACCAACGCGCTTGCGCTTCCCTCTACTCTAGCATGCTTCAGGATGTCGTCCAGGTCGTCGGCGGTGAGAGGTTCAAATGCGGCGAGTAGAAGAGCAAGCATTTGATACATGACCGCATGATACTCGGGTGCTACCCGCTCGAAGATGAGGCTATACAGATCATCTATGGCCCCAGCCTGATCTATCGAGACTAGACGATTGTATGTGCTTTCCGCCGGGATCAAGCTGGTATAATCACTGAGCACTCGACATGCAGTGCTTGCCCAAATGAACAGCCCGTTGGACTTGTCGATCAGCTTCTGCCTCTTTTCTTTGGACAGGATTCCATCTAGCGATTGGTGTACATAGATTGTGATGTCACCGATATTATCGCTGTGACGGACATCGTGCAGGCGGTCCTCTAGCTTGGATTTGATGGAGAGTGGCCCTAAGACTGCGTCGATAACAGGGTCTGGGCGACTTGTCATGAATATCGTGAGATTTTTGTTTGCTTGAACAGCCGTAGATAGAGTTTCAACAAGCTCTCGTCGTTGTGATGTAGATTTGCATTCATCAAGAGCGTCAATAACAAGAATAACGCGCCCTTGACGACAAAGGAGCGGATCCGTGATGAGTGTCTTGAACTGTTCGTCAAGGGAGCTTCGCATGACGGAGAGGTTCCGCTTCACAGCACCAGCCACGTCCGGTGCCAGTTCGGGGATATGGTGAACAAGGTCTCTGGCGATGGTGGAGCAGAATTTTTCTGTGGTCGATGCTTCGCTGCTTGATATAGAGAAGAAGAATCGACCGCCTAGGACTCCTTTCTCCCTCCACGACTCAGCCACGGACATTGCGACTGTCGATTTGCCAGAGCCGGCAATGTCACAAAGCCAAAATATTGGCTTCTCTGACGTATCATCGTTGGCCCAGCGCCAGATGGTTTGAAGAACGGCTTCGCGCGTTCCTTTCAGGCAGGTCCTGTGGACTGAGGACGCAGCGAATGCGACGATTGGTAGTTGGAGCATAGCAGAGGCATCGGCTGGGAATGATAAGCGAGGGCTTCATACAGAATTCCAGCTTACCGTCTGTTAGAAGAACCTTGGTATTCTCTTCAATGACCTTGGTATTCTTCTCGATGACTTTGGTACTCTCCTCGATGACTTTGGTACTCTCCTCGATGACTTGAACATGCACGGCGGTGAACACTCCCAAGGCCTCCTGTGTCAAATAGTCAGCTTCTGACTAGGACTAATGAAGCTCGTACTATAAGGTGCCTATGCCGTTCTTCGATATCTCGATTGAGTTTCAAGATCTCCCCTGCGTCAATCTTCATTTTGCTGAATGATTTAAAGAAGCCAAGTTTGCGGTCGCGTTTGGCCTGAAGATTGATGACCGTATCATGCATAGTTTGGAGGAATCTGCATCTCTCAGTCCATTAAGACAAACTCAGACTGTTTACCTACTCGACGTAGTGAACGAGCGGCTGTCTGACTGCCTTGTCGATGGCCCTGCCCTCTACAGGATACGCCTCGATCAATACGATTCGTTCCTCGAGCGCAGATGTATAATCTTTCAGACGTTGTATTAGATCGACCCATTCTTGTTGATTGTTTTCTATCGCCTGTCGGACTCCTTAGATGAAGGCATGCTATAACAAGCTTGCCAACTGACCTGGACGACTCCAAGGATCGATTGTGTTGTTCTACAAGCTGCTTTAAGAGGAGCGAGGATATCTGATCCCTCGGCGATGTTTGCCAATACGTCGAGACCGACATTGGCCGTGTTGTATACTTGGCCACGCTTGCTTGTTTGGTTGTGTGCGCTTGATGAAGATCCAGAGGAATTCTCATTTCCGTGCTTTTTCTTGGATTTGGATGTGCCTTGGCCCGACATTGTCAAGGTGGTTGATTCCAAGATGGTCGGCGTCTGTGATGCCAGCCTCCACACGAGGTCGACGCACCTTTGTCGAGGATGCAGCACAACTCGCGCTTACTGGTGACACAAGTATGCACTGTCCACGGCTGGTTTTGGCAAGTGCTATGCATGATTCAACATCCCCGAGCAGACCTTCTGCTCATGCGGGCTGCCTTACAGATCTGCGAGCATTCAACTGCCCACATTTTGATGAAGCGTGTCACATACTTACCAGACGGACACCTCGGGGTTCAACTAGACACGAAGGATGGCATCGACGACCTAGGAGTGTTCATTCGGAGATTAACCGCCTTCAGAGAACGACCAGACCCCAGCAAAATTACGGACCGTCATCTTTCTTTTCCGTCGTTCACTATCACTATTAGCACGAGCAACACGCCCTAGCCCGCACTAATTACCCACACATCAGAGTGTGCCCGCCCTAGACCCGCGGGCCCTGAGAACTCGAACATTCGCTCCATGTCTTTATAGATCGTATATTGGCTCCTTGTAGTATCTGCTAGCAAGGGTAATTCATATCTCCCTCTTACTCTAAGATGTGCATCAGTGCGATGCTAGCCTCTATGCACTCTAAATTGAGAGTACACCTTTACAGTAGCTACAGACACGAGGTAATGCACGTGTCATCATGCAGTAGGTCAGAATTAGCCTGATGATAGCCTAAGGCTAAGCGGCGGGAGGATCAATGCTCAATGGAGGGGAGAAAAGTGACCACGTTTACCCACAGAATTTCGGCTTGTTCTGCCTCATATAACACCCGTCCCTAACATAGCGTAGTACTCAACTCACTGAGTTTGTGAGATGCAATAGATGAAGTATACAAACAGAGGGACATCAACAGCGTATATATGCTCAATCTCTGGGTCTCTTGGGCAAATGTCGCAGAGCAGACTTCATCTCTGGCCGCGGCGACGGATTGAAGAGTCTACCAACACCTTGACGTATTGATTGCAGAAAAGGTGTCCCAAAGATGGCCCAAGTGGCGTAGAGACCTCCAGTCACAAATTGCACGATAACCTGAAAGAGTATTATGTATAACGAGTCATATGATATGTAGACATGCCTGGTCCCGAAGCGTGATCCATAGAACGGCTGGCCAGTTTATTCTGATAGGTACACCATAGTCGAATCGAACTTCAGAGACTTGACCTCCTTCTCCAGCGATTTCCTCCTTTTTTGACTCTGGAGGGCGTGAAGCCTGACTATCCAGTTGGTTCACGAACGGTCGAATAGCACTCAAGTATGCAGATTCGAATCTAAAGTCCTATTCAAGGGGTTGAGTATAGTCAAAGGAGTCTAGTCAGGCTTGGACATACAGGAATGGCGGGGATTTTGATTTTATGTTCCTCCGAGTGCGGCGGAAGTTTGTGGACCGCTTGTCCTCTATACAGATCTCCTTTCTTTCCAGGAATCCTCGACAAATCGATGGCTGCCATCTTGGCGGGGTCAGTGGTCAGCTCCAAGGTTGAACTTCTCCACGCCGAGCCGTCATGGTCCGACTCTCCAACGGGGTGACAGACGAGGCTTTGTTAAAGACGTATAGAATAGGTTCGCTCAATCCTACGTATGCCACTCATTCTCGATATCGCTGGAACTCATGGCAACGATAGCAAGTGGGAAGATGTGGACCATGAAGGATCGGATTCGGTTGCCGCAGCTATTGTAGACTCTGGAAATCCTGAAAATGACAATTTGGATGCTCTGGGTTTAGGAACACAAGTCGAGTAAGTGCCGCGACCCGTCCCAAACTTTAAGATCCCACTCATATATCAAACAGTATTACTCGTATGAGTATGGGAGACAGTGAGTTGATACGCGTTAGCTTTCTCCTCTGACTTCCTTCCATAGAGGCCGCGGTGCTCCTTTCTTCCAAGTCGTTTGATCCCAAGGCATATCTAACTGCCGTCTATCCCGGAGCCACATATCAGGATCTGAATACTGGGATCAACTCACTTCGACGTGCAATTGATGCGCGTAGCGAGGCTGTTCGTATTCTCGTCGAAGAAAACTTTGACCGATTCGTGGCCGTCAAGGCATCAACCGATGGTGCGATCAAAGCTTGCAACTAGTGGCGCGCTAACAATGACCAGCACTCTACCAAGATATGAAGGACGGCCTCTTGGCAGAGGACTCGGAGTTTGCCACGAAGAAGCTGAAAGAGCATCTGAAGAGTGAGTGATTCCTAAGATGGAATAACGAGTTTGACTCCCCTTGTCAAGATGCGACGACCAAAGCCGACACTGTGTTCCTACCTGTCCTGGAGAATGCTGAAAAGGCCGCAAAGCTTCGCTCAACACTGGGTGTCTTTGAGAGGTCCAAGTTCTTTTTCAACCTACCCGGGTCTCTCTCAGAGTCCATTCAAGCCGGTCGCTTCGACGCGGCATTACGCGATTACAAGAAAGGGAAATACCTCCTCGAGTCGCGTCCTGGACAATTGCTTCCTTCGGCACCTGGTAGTAATACAGATATTCAGCAGAAGCGCATATTTGACAAAGTCTGGAGTGCCGTCGAAAAGGTCATGGATCAAATGAAGACTACACTCCTCAATCGACTGAAAGAGCCTTCTCGCTCGTTGGAAGAACACGAGAAGACAATCGAGTGTGTCCCCTTAAGCCATCCAACTAGCTTGTAACTGATTGCCTTAGTATCCTTCTAGAGTTAAGCACGTCGGATAAGCCGATTTGGGTCTATTTCGATAGTCAACACAAGCATATACTGCAGCGGGTCAAGACTGTATACGACACGGCCTTGGCTAAAGTCACTGGTACGTGGCTAACGCCCATACTTTTCATCCTCTCATCTTGACCAGAACAGCGATCGCAGCAGTTGCAGGATGCCGACAAGGCAGAGCGGATAGCAATGTCTCTTGCAACCAACATCAACTCGCTTGATGGGCTAAATACTGAAGCAACTCTTGGTGGGCACCCCTTCCCCGTAATCAAACATGATACTCATTCGCCACAGCGAAAGGAGTAGGTCACGAAGTATGGCAAAGCACACTGGACCTTGTCAAGAGTCTCTCAGAAGTCATCCTTTCCACTGTTCCCAACTTTTGGAAGATTGCAAGGAGCTATATGGAGGGTAAATACAAAAAGGTGAGGCCATCGTGCTTTGCAATTGCTGTTAGGCTGATAAAGAGCAGCAAGGTATTCAGCCTTCGGGAAGAAGCCCATCGCAATGCCGCACAATGATTCTGGACATGATACGGTCCTACGTCGCTCATCTATCGGAATTCTTCTCCTTGTCCGATATGGCAGCCTCTGCCGCAAATCCAAAGAATGCGCCATTACCCAAGTTTCTCCCAACTGGCACTGACTCTTTGACGACAAGTCATCACCTTATTCGGATATTGGGTGAAATCACGGAATGTATCAACGAACTCCTCTCCATGGACGTTTCTGGAGATACGAACTCGGGACTGCGTGCCCTTTTGGAAACTGCGACTTGGAAATTTGAGGAAACTTTATGTGCAACGTGGTTGAGAGGTAGCTTCGTCTAAGACTCCGAGGGTCTAGATTGATTCTCCTAGATTCTCGTTTATTCTTCTACCTGGAAACATGGGAGCAAAGACCAGAGGACCGTTCGACCACCCTCTACCTCGGGAGAATGCACGAGTATCAGAAGTACATCACGACCGCCGCCTACAAGATAGCAAGTGGCGTGACTGATTCGACTACAACCAAGCAACGGCAGATTCCACAAGAGTTTTCGAACAAGATTACCAAGTCGTTCCTCGACTCCCTTTATTCGTTCTTGGACGGACTGGTTCATCTTGCATCAGATGATTCGCCCATAGCTCAGGGGTTGAAGATACAAGTCCTTATCGAGGAGACGACGGGTGCTCGACCGGCTTTTGATCTCCGGCAAAATGTGCGTAGGACGATTGCCCACTTTGGGGTGCTGACTTGGTACAGAACACGCGGTTGCTATTGGTCATCTCGAACTTGGCACATTTGAACAAGGTTCTCATCCCAGCTATGCTCACCCAAATCCAGTCCTCATTCGGTATCTCCATGGAAGAAGCCCGTCGGGTGAGCACTAGTGATTGTTCCCATACCTAAACTGAGCTCTTTTAGACGTTGAACGAAGTAGTCCGAGGTGTTGATCGTACATTGTTCGAGGATTATATCAAGCCCAAGGCAAGGGTGCTCACTGGGCTTATTCGAAAGGGAGTCATTGAGAGCGAGATTGACTGGTTCAACATACCGAGGCCGACGGGTGCGTATGCAGGATGTATTGTCGGTTGTACTGACTAATTGGTAGAGGTCCGACATTATATCTATGAGATACTGATGTATCTCGTCTCCGTGCATGCAGAGGTCAGCTCCACGGCAAACAGTCTTTTGGAGCGCGCATTATCAGCACTGATAACGGAAACTGTCGATGAGGCACTGGAATGCTTCCGTCAAGTCAAGCGGTTCGGGATGGGTGGCATGCTACTTGCAAGTGGATTTCTCTTTCTGAAATATTTGCTGATATTTGTTCAGGCCACACTCGAGATTGAGTTTATGCATCAAACTGTGGTACTTTACGTCAACGAGACGTCTAACCGGACGCTCACGGAGATTTATACCACCATCTCGAAAGCATACGTACGTCGACCTGGAGCAGACGAAAATCTTCAACGCGAGCTCGAAGGTGTCAAAGAGACGCTGAAGAATACGCGGCGGATCACGGCTTTGGAATTCAAATGCTTTAGGAAACCAAAAGACAAGTCATCACGACCGAGTGTTGGAGATAGAGACTCGAGAGAATAGGGTGTACATTACTTCGGGCTATGTAATTTGTATGTTTGCAATGTGTCACACTCTTAGACCTGACTTCCGCCGTGTTGGAGAGTGGCGACTTTTAATTTTCTTTCGGTAGAGATTAAGAGACTTCTAATCTGCAAGGATGACCACACGGCTGGGACGAAGAACTCATCTCGAGGAGGAAGATGCGGCCACTTTGAAGCTGGGGGCAGAATTCAACAATGCGGGATGTCTCCTGATATCTGAAGTCAAGATTCTGTTGAAAGAAAAGGAGGGAAAGCCTGGGGTGGACAGCCCGTGCGTTTTTTGACGAGATTTGGTTGGTACTTGATCCGACGAATGCATAGGGTCTTCAATAAGACGGTAGAATATGTGAACATGTTCAGCAAGTTTAGTACCGAAGACACGATCGGATTAGTACGCGCGTAAGTGTGCTGATACGCGCCGAGGACTGACTCTTAAGATGTTGCTAGGACGTTGAGACGACAAGCAAACTTGACACAGTTTGAAACGGCTCAACTGGCGAATCTGTGCCCTAGTACTGCGGAGGAGGCAAAGAGTATCATTCCTAGGTGAGAGATGGTGTCCCTCGCTGCGGGTGATTCTCATAGATCCGCAGTCTAGCAAAATATGACGACGACGAGCTCCAGCCATTGTTAGATGAGCTACAGAGCATGAGACGTTTCCAGGATTGAACTGGAAGAGGTCGTCCGCAGCTAGTCTTGACCACCAATGCTCACGCCAGCTTGGGTCACTTCAATCTGGATATTTGTCAATGGATGATGAATATAATGCTGATTCACCACGACCGAGTCTTTCTGAGGATTGTCGTTGCTGATGGCGGGGTTGCTACGCTCTTCGGTAGCGATTCGTTCTGGCGACGAGTGGCCGAACTTGGACTCGCCCATTTCCTCTAGTTTTCTTCGCTTTCTTTTTCTTTCTAATTTCTGCAAATTTCTGCTGTCTGGCGTGCCATTCAGTGTCTTGTTTCAGTTCCTATTGGCCCCTGGTTGAGACGGGCTGCTCTTCGGTGATCTGCTTAGTGAGTATTATTCCTTGGCTCTATGCTGCCCGAGGTAACCTGGCTTAGCTCATGGCTCACTGCATCTTAGAATCCTCCACTGCCGACGATATTGCCCACTAATCCCGACAGAGGCCCTCGTGGTCCCCTACGCCTCAGATCGTCATTATAATCCATCGAATCTTGCTCTCCTTTGCCTCCTCGGCTCTCTTGGACGACCGCTGCTCCGTCCGACAAACCGGCTGCTTATCAGCTAGTCCCTAGTTTGCACTCACAATCTCTCCTTTGATCCCTTCAATTCCACTCTACAATCCGGCAATAATTTCTGTACCAACATGCCACTTACCGACGCTCTCAGGACCCCGTTGTCCGCCGTCTTTGGCCTGCTTTCCAGTGGTTCCTCCAGCAAAACAGTCACTCCAGGTCTTTCCAAAGACGAGGAGACTGAGAAGCTCACCAGTGACCAATCGCTGTGTGAAAAGGCCGACTTTCGAATCGGCGGCATGACTTGCGGTGCCTGCGTAGAGGTGTGTACAGTCCCACAACCACCAATTATTCTGGACAAAATGTTCTACGGATCGCTGAGCTGCCTCGCCATTGTGTCCTTGTGTGCCTGAGGGCAGTGGTCACGCATCGCCAAATAATTGCAGCAGCGTCTGACGGACGAATTATCCTCTGAACATTACGCAATTGCTCATCATCGTCACGGTGCCTGCCAATTTTGGATTCCGACTTGCGCTTGCTGACAATGCGGCTGACATATCGCTCAGTCTATCGAATCCATGATGCGCGTCCAACCAGGAATCCATTCGATCAAAGTCGCACTTCTCGCTGAGCGTGCAGTCATCGAATTCGATCCTCTAGTGTGGACGGCCGAGAAGCTGGCTTCAGAGATTGAAGATATTGGATTCGAAGCGACACCACTCCCGCCGACGTGTACGGACAGCGTAACGCTCAAGATTTACGGAATGGTCTGCGCTTCCTGCGAAGCCAGCATCACCAATCAACTCAAAGAGGTCCCAGGCGTCGAGAGCGTCGAAGTCAACCACTTGCTGGGAAAGGGGGTTGTCGTTTTCGACCGAAGTCTCGTCGGTGTGCGGAATATTGTCGAGACCGTGGAAGGGTGCGGTTTCGATTGCATGGTCTCAGCCGAAGACGACGCGACCCAGTTGCGGTCCCTCTCGCGTACAAAGGAGATTACAGAGTGGAGAGAACGCTTCAAGCGTGCTTTGATGTTTGCCATTCCTGTCTTCCTCATCTCTATGATCTTCCCAATGATCCCCTTCCTTCGACCCATTGTCCGGTACCAACTTATTTCTCATCGACTCTGGCTTGGGGATTTCCTTGCCTTCATTCTCACCTGCCCAGCCCAATTTTGGCTGGGGAGTCGCTTCTACCGCAACGCATGGAAAGCCCTCAAGCACAAGAGCGCGACAATGGACGTGCTCGTCGTTCTGGGAACGAGCGCCGCATTCGCATACTCTGTGGGGGCGATGATCGTCGCTCTCTTGTTTGGCGCATCTTCGTCTTCAACACAAATGACCTCGACCATGGACGAAATGCACAAAGAGATGCACGAGGGTCCATCAGTCTTTTTCGACACTTCCACTATGCTCATCATGTTTGTCTCCCTCGGTCGATATCTCGAGAATCTAGCCAAGGGCAAAACATCTGCCGCTCTCACCGACCTCATGGCTCTGGCACCGTCTATGGCCATCATCTACACCTCTCGACCCGCAGAGCAAGGAACACTTCTCACCTCTAGACTCTCAGGAGAAGGAAACCCGAAGCCAGAGGCCCCAGTTGCTCATGCCAACATCGAGTCGATAACCAAAAAGATTCCCACTGAGCTCGTTCAAGTTGGCGACATCCTCCTCATTCAACCTGGTGCGCAGATCCCTGCAGATGGAACAGTCGTCAAAGGCACGAGCGCTGTCGACGAAAGCGCTGTGACCGGTGAACCGATCCCTGCTCTCAAGGCACCGGGTGATGCAGTCATTGGCGGAACAGTCAATGGAACAGGCGCCTTTGACATGGTCGTCACGCGAGCGGGCAAGGATACGGCTCTGAGCCAGATTGTCAAGCTCGTCGAAGACGTGCAGACGAGCAAGGCGCCTGTACAGGCGTTTGCGGATAAAGTCGCTGGTGTGTTTGTACCTGGTGTAATTGGACTCGCTGCGATTACGTTTGTGGGTTGGATGCTCGTGAGCGCCGTGCTCAGCGAGACACATCTTCCTGAAGTGTTCAAGATGCATGATCAGACCAAACTCGAGGTACGTTTTGCGAATAAGTCGTCTTAGCTCGTCTAATCGCTTGCAGGTCTGCCTCAAACTTTGTATCTCCGTCGTCGTCGTTGCTTGTCCATGCGCCCTTGGTCTCTCCACGCCGACTGCTATCATGGTCGGCACAGGTGTTGGTGCCAAGAATGGAATCCTCATCAAAGGGGGGAAAGGCACTCGAGAGCAGCAAGAGTCTCAAGATGATCGTCTTTGACAAGACGGGAACCGTTACAGAGGGCAAACCATCCGTCACGAAAATGGGGTGGATCAACTCGGAGGAAACGGCCTCGCAATCTCACAAACGTCAACTCACCGTCGAGCGTCTACCTGGAACTCCAGCCAGCGGCAAAGTCGACGTCACCAATCTTTCTTTGCCGTCCAATATTGGCTCCCTCACGCGCCTTCATATCCTAACAATGGTCGCTGCCGCCGAGGCGAAGAGTGAACATCCGCTTGCGAAAGCTGTTGCTACTTTTGGTCAAAAGGCGGCTTCGCGCGCCATTCCGTCCCATCAGGCATCCGCTGAAGTCTTGGCCTTTGAGAGTGTCACCGGACAAGGCATCCGTGCCAAAGTAGCGTTGACGACAAGCGGTAACGTTGTCAATGGATGGGACGTCTTTGTGGGCACCGCTAGTCTTGTCGTTGGAGGAAATGGAGACACCCCGCTCCCTGGAAGTCTCTTGGAGTTTGAGACGGAAGAGGCCAAACTCGGACGCACCGTCGTTTTCGCATCGTTGGCGCCTTGGGCCTCTAAGAATGCCAATCCTGCGAATGCTACATACTCCAAAGTGCCGACACCATGCCTGGCGCTCAGCATGTCCGACGTGCCCAAGCCATCATCCATGCGGGCGATTCGCTCACTACAGGAGATGGGCATCAAGTGTGCGATGATGACGGGAGATAGTCAATCAACAGCGCTCGCCATTGCAGAGCAGGTTGGGATTCCAAAGGAGTTGGTCTGGTCGCGCATGAGCCCGAAAGGCAAAGCGAGTGTTATCACCGAGCTGATGAGCAAAGGAGAAGGTGTTGGAATGGTACGTCTCTTTCCGAACTACAAGAATAGATACTGACGGGTTTGTAGGTTGGTGATGGTATCAACGACTCTCCGGCGCTAGTCGCAGCTACAGTCGGCATCGCTCTTTCCTCTGGCACATCTGTGGCAATCGAAGCCGCCGATATTGTGCTTATGCGTTCAGATCTCCTCGACGTTGTGGCGGCGCTCCATCTGTCCAAGTCGATATTCGGCGTCATTCGTCGCAACCTCGTCTGGGCTTGCATTTACAATGTGCTCGGTATCCCGCTTGCCATGGGTCTCTTCTTACCGTGGGGTCTCAACCTCCATCCCATGATGGCTGGTGCGGCCATGGCGTTTTCCAGTGTCAGCGTCGTCACGAGTAGCTTGACGCTCAAGTGGTGGCGACGACCGCAGAGTAGTGTCATGCCCGGTGAACAGATTACGGGTGTCACGATGATGGACAGCGCCAAGGAGCTCGTTGCGGACGGATGGGAGGCGCTCAAAGCGAGCGTCCGTGGACGCATGAGCTCTGGAGTTAGTCGAGGAGCCGATGGATATGCGCAAATTCCTGTTGAAATGGACGATCGTGTATAGTGGGATCGATTTACTCTCTTTATCTGTAGTTTAGCTGGAATACCATCATGTTCAACGCAAATTACAATGGGTGCATATGTCTATCCCTTCTTAAAGCCTGAAAGAGTGTTAGAAATTGCCTCGCGGATGGAGAGTGGGCTTACCCAAACGTCTTCGCTCATAGAAGAGATCTGTTCTCGAGGCACCGAGATTGACAATCTTTGGGCATCCATCACGGTCCTTTTCCAATCGTGTGCACTCTGCGCAGTAGTATGCATCGGAAATACCTAATGGTTGGTCATGGTTAGCGAGCGGGTCGAGATATTTGTCATGGGCAACGAGCTTACCTGGTGCGCCACAAATGATACATCGCCCACCATAATTTCCAAAGTTGCATTCGTCACAGATGCGGACGAGGGTCTCTGGGCGGACGTATGAGTCGCAAATCGGGCTGTAAGTGGGTTGTGAGCGATAAAGGATAACAATATTGCTAATATACATACCATTTGCCATCGCACTTCTCACACAGACGACCGATAGCTGCAGAATATTAGTACACGGTTCAGAAACTGGCAAAGATGCTCACCAATACCGGTCTGGCGTCTGCACATGATCAAGTCTGTATGATAGAAAGACAAAGTTAGCCTTCTTGTGATTATTTGTGAATTTTTGGCGAGATTACGTACCGGGATGATGCTTCGACATGGCGGCGGTCGCGGTCAAAGGTCTGAATTGTTTGGCTTTTGGAAGCGTACGCGTCCTGACGCTGGCTCTATCATCTCTGGCGCGCATCTTGTACAAAACTAGCTTGTCCACACAAAGGATATAACAAGAAATCATGGCTGAAATGGAACCTGGGCGACGAGACGCGCTTCTGGCGTTTAGACAAGTGAGTCGCTGGTGGATTCGGTGCATTATGCACGACTGATGGGTTTTTAGAAAATGAGAGAGCATGAGCAGCTTTCAAATAATTTACGGAACCGTATGTGAATGGGATTTATGGCGCATACCGAGGCTGATGCAGACTTTTGTAGAACGACTGGCTCTCAAGGGTTTGGAGAAGGATTATACAAAAACGGAAGAAGACTTGAAAGCGGTCCAATCCGTTGGGCAGATTGTTGCCGAGATCCTCAAACAACTTGACGATGAACGATGTGAGTTTGTGTTTGTGTCCGCCACCACCGTTTCTGACTTGCTATAGTCATCGTAAAGGCATCTTCGGGACCCCGCTACGTAGTGTCGTATCGTCCGGCGCTACCTTTAGCAAAGCTCAAAGCGGGAACGCGTGTATCGCTTGACATGACGACTCTGACCATTATGCGGATCCTGCCCCGCGAAGTCGACCCTCTTGTATACAATATGACGCTCGAGGATCCTGGAGGAGCAACTTTTGCTGGTATCGGTGGGCTGGGCGAGCAAGTGAGAGAGCTGCGAGAGGTACGAGCCGTCCATGCCCTCCCGGCCTCTTGGAGACTAATGAACCATATTTCAGGTCATAGAGCTGCCTTTGATGAATCCAGAGCTCTTTCTTCGAGTGGGAATCGCACCACCAAAGGGTGTCTTGCTCTATGGACCTCCTGGGACAGGAAAGACGTTGCTCGCTCGCGCTGTCGCCTCGACACTGCAGACCAACTTCCTCAAAGTTGTTTCCTCGGCAATAGTGGACAAATATATCGGCGAGTCGGCACGTCTGATCAGGGAGATGTTCGGGTACGCACGGGAGCACGAGCCTTGCATCATCTTTATGGACGAGATTGATGCTATCGGCGGAAGGAGGTTCAGCGAAGGCACGAGCGCAGACAGAGAGATTCAGCGTACATTGATGGAGGTACGTCAAGAAATTGCCGCTATTCGGTACCAGGGCGCTGACCCCAGGACAGCTTTTGAATCAGATGGATGGCTTCGATTCTTTGGGGCGTGTCAAGTTGATCATGGCCACAAATCGGCCGGATACACTGGATCCTGCATTACTGCGACCGGGTAGACTGGACAGGAAGATTGAGATTCCGCTTCCAAACGAGCAAGGGCGGTAAGAGGTTTCTCCTGGCCGAGGTGCAAGACATCGCAGCTCATCGCGTCTAGATTGGAAATTCTCAAGATTCATGCTCGCTCTGTCAACAAATCGGGTGATATTGATTACGAGGCCATTGTCAAGCTCTCAGATGGTTTCAACGGGGCGGATTTACGAAACGTCGTGACAGAGGCGGGCATGTTTGCTATTCGAGCCGAACGCGATGCGGTCATCCAGGAAGATTTTACAAAGGCCGCAAGAAAAGTCGCAGAGGCCAAGAAGCACGAGAGTGAGTTTCCCCAATGAGTCTGCTCTCCATGTTCTCACGTCCGAGCCAGCCAAGATGGATTACTCTGCGCAATGACGCTCCACTCGAGTTGTATTTCCAGAACATTACCAACGTGTAGATCAAGCAATTCTAATGGCGTCACATACCATGGACTGAAAGTAACTTGAGACGTGTGTTGAACAATGTCGGTATAACTTGCTTCTGCCGCGCCATCAGACAGACCAAACGAGCACACACATTTCTCCGCACCTCGGACAGTCTCGGATGGCCAGTAGGACAGCTACTGCACGCTTATCCCATTAGGCGTTAAGACTAATACCCCTTGAAGACTGTCGTTATTTGCGGTCTACGGCGTGTCCCGACTAACGTGTTGGTGCTACTTGACCTTAACCACATGCGACCTATGAGATACCTGATTGGGGGCTGAACAACGCACCACCAAGCACGAAGTCACAGCTATCCCACATGGGAGAAATTCTCTGTTTCGGGTTCTGCGTCACATAGTCCCGCGCTTGGAGCCGAGGTTCTGCAGGCGTAACCACTCAGAGAGCCGGCCGACATTCACCCCTCTTAGTGCAGTTCCCCCGAAAAATGCAGTGAAGGATAGCGACTGGCTCAGGGGAAAGCACGGGATCTCTCTCGAAATAATTCGGAAGGAGCGCTCTCCGCCCCGCGACGCAACCAGCGTGAATGCCGACTTGTCCCTGTCCACCGTCTTGTGCGTGCGGACATTTTCACATCAAGATCTATTCCCATTCAGTCGTTGGTTGCGAGCGTCTTATGACTTTCCGACGTGAGGCCAGAGAACACCTGTGCCAGGCTTGGTTTATGGGTTCTTCCGTGCTGCATAAATAAAGCCATTTTGCTTTCACACTAGTGCTTTCGTGCTCGCACTATCCCCCCCTCTCGTTGGCTATGTTCAAGTTTGCCTCGCTCGTTGCCCTCGCGGGGCTAGCGACCCGTGTCGCCGCCCACGGAGCCGTTACTAGCTATGTTATCGATGGAACGACATACCCAGGATACACTGGCTTTTCGCCGTCCACCACCCCAGTCATCCAGTGGCGTGAGTCTTGCTCTCTGCCCACCGTAATTCGAGGCTCACATACAATCATTAGAATGGCCGGATTATAATCCTACTTTTGATCCTGCTGACTCCAAGGTGCGTCGAAGGACCAAGTGCGCTACACCCTGCCGCTAACCGTGCTGGTTCGTCCCATCGCCGTAATCTCGCATAGGTTATGTGTAATGGAGGGAATAGCGCTGCTCTCAGCGCAACGGTACCTGCTGGTGGAACAGTGACTGCGAAATGGTCGCAGGCAAGTGAGAGGTTTAGCCCAGTCTCTGATGCTTATGTTGCCACAGTGGACGCACATGGAAGGTTCAATCTCTGTCTATCTTTACAAGTGCTCAGGAGCATTCTCGTCTTGCACTGGTAGTGGCAACGGCTGGGTAATTATTTCGCAGAGGCATCGCTTCCGATACTGACCTCGATACAGTTCAAGATTGATGAAGCTGGTCTCCTGAGGTGAATTTTACATTCAAATCTGAGCACCACTCACACAATATTATAGTGGAACTATGTACAGCGGTACATGGGGTGCCGGTCAGGTTCTCAAGGCCCTCCAATGGAGCACGAAGATTCCAGCAAGCCTAGCTCCCGGAAACTATCTCGTCCGCGTAAGTAGAGATAGAGTAGGAGTAGATTTGAGATGCACTGATAAACAATACAGCACGAGCTCATTGCCGTTCACCAATCCAATGCTCCTCAATTCTACGCCGAGTGCGCCCGTACGTCTTTCTCATATGAAAGGAGGATGATAGAGACTCATGATTTGAATAGAAATTGTCGTCACTGGCTCTGGAACCGCATCTCCATCCGGTAGCTACCTTGTTTCCATCCCTGGCTACTGCAAACTCTCCGATTCGAACGTCAAATTCGACATCTACAGCGAGGCAGCGAAGACAATTACCTCTTGGGATGTTCCCGGACCTCCGGTCTGGCCAAACGGTACTCCTGCATCCACCACCCAGGGAGGCTCGACCAGCCAAGGTGGTTCATCGACTGCTTCCTCAACAAGGTCTTCGTCGACATCATCTACCCGTACCAGTACCTCGAACGGAGCGTCCCAGACTCTCTATGGCCAGTAAGTTTACCCTTGTTTCGCAGCCATTGCGTATGCTCATAGCCCTGTGCAGGTGCGGCGGTCAAGGATGGACTGGACCAACCACATGTTCTTCTGGAACATGCAAAGTCTCCAATCAATTCTACAGTAAGGCTTTATTCTCTATCGCAAGGTTGCTAGCTGACATTGGGGATTTCAGGCCAGTGCTTGCCTTGAACAAGCGATTGAAGTCTGCAGTCGATCCTTTGTTTTTCACGATATCCACTGTCACTTCTGTAGAATCTCTGCTAAAAATCCAAGGCCGTCTTCACTTCACTGGGTTTGGGAGTGGGCTGAGCTACGGAAGCCATGAGTGTGAACGGAAATACCAATGAGGCGATATGAGAAGACTTAAAAGGCCCTTTATGGTCCATTCGAGTCTGCCGGCGAGACGCGACCAAACTCCGCGACACGTGCTTGAAACTTGGTTCTCCCCGCATCGACACGAAAACTAGAGACCGACTCCCAAAAATCTGTTAAAAATGGCCGAGATGTTCAACAGTGTTACAGCGCCTATTCGTCGCATTATCAGTCGTGGACTGTCGTTTCCAACGCTCAGTCGGTTTACCAGTTTCAACAGTTCCAACACCGACCAGAGCCCATTGCCTTCTGCTGGCAAACGCCAGCGTGAAGAGAGCGAAGATGAGGCTGAGGGACCCTCAAAACGCGTCAAAATGGACGTCGACAGCTCCTTGTCGCCTGCCAAAGCCCCCAACGGCGAGCACGCAGCGGGCGAGGTGGCAGCCGTCGAGGCGATCCGTCCAGGCGTAGAGGCGCTCTCTCTCGTCGGAGCGACACCTCCACCGAATGGGACAGCATCTGTCCAGTCGAGCCCCGAGTCGTCGCGCCGGACAAAGTACCAGCGCGGTTTACGAGGGACGAGAAAAACTGGGACGAACGACCCGCCAACGCCCTCAAAGCCGCGATTGGGTCCAAAGCGGCAATGTGCCATGCTAATTGGATTCTGTGGCACTGGATATAGCGGTATGCAGATGTAAGTGCGGGATTATCATGTCCATAACGAGATTTGCTAATCGCGATTGTTTCCAGCCAAAAGGATGCCAAAACCATCGAAGGCTCGCTGTTCAGCGCGCTTGTCAAGGTTGGAGCAGTCTCTGAAGATAATTCGGACGATGCGGTAGGCTTAGCGAGCCACCTCGCGTAGTATACCCTCTTACAAGTCGTCTAGACCAAAGTCAATATCCAGCGCGCCGCTCGCACGGATGCTGGGGTGCACGCTGCTCGCAATGTTGTATCCATCAAGATTATTATGGATGTACCAGGCGTCCCCAACCTTGTCGCTGCAATCAATAGTAACCTCCCAGAGGAGATTCGTGTTTGGGATATTGTCCGCACACAAAACTCGTTCAATTCTCGCACGTGGGTCCATCTGTATGGTATTGAGACGTCATACTAATCATTCTCTGCTCTAGTTCATGCGACAGTCGCAAGTACACCTACTTCCTCCCCACATATATGCTACTCCCCCCTGAGCCCACGTCCGTGACCGCGACGGCGCTTCGTGAAAGCTCTGGGGAGGCTTACGATGTAGCCGAGCATCCCTTTTGGAAGAGCGTCGCCAATCAACCCATCACCCCGGAATCAACACTCTTTATGCTGCGCAAGAAGTGGCGCATAGATGAGGATACGCTGAACCGCTTCAAGGCGGCATTGAATACGTTCATTGGTACTCATAACTTCTGGAACTTTACCGTTGGACGAGAATACAAGGAGGCTGCTGCAAAACGTCACATCAAGACGATCGAGGTAGGTTCCATTCATTCAATGGAATGACTTTAATGTATGCCTAGGTGTCTGAACCCGCGATTTACGGCGAAACAGAGTGGGTCAGTGTTCAGATCCATGGCCAGAGCTTCATGTTGCACCAGGTAAGCGAGTTTGCCAACGTCACAATCTTGTACTAACCTTTGTTAGATTGTAAGGAGGGCATTATCCCCATAAGTTTGTCTGACTTTTATTTTAGCGCAAGATGATCGCTTTGGCCACCTTCCTTACACGCTCGCAAGGAGATGCCTCCCTTGTGCAAAATCTCTACACCTCTTCCCGCGCACGCATTCCCAAGGCCCCAGCTTTGGGGCTGTTGCTGGAAGAGCCCGTCTTTGAATCGTATAACAAGAAGATTGAAACGGCTAATAGTAAATGGAAAGACGCTGCCGCATCTGGGAGCAAGGAGCCGGATGAAGATGGTGAACATGCCGCCAACTTCATCCGCGAACCGGTCGACTTTGGGAAGCACAGGGACGAAATCGAAGAATTCAAGAAGAAATACATTTACGCGGAGATGCAGCGTACCGAGGATGAACAAGGAGTGTACGTAGATTCTTCTCTACTACGGCACCGGGATTGATAAACGCCGTAGCTTTGACTCTTGGCTTTCTTCCATCGACAACCATGAAGCTCGTTTGTACTATGAGCTTCGAGGCCAGACGGTCCCATCAGAGCTGAACGTGCCCACCAAGCCAGGCTCGACGAGATCAGCTGCAAGCAAATTTGACGACGGTGACGAGAGCGACGATGCGTTGGGTAATGGCAAGGTCAACTTGAGGAGCGTCGAGCTCGAAGGTTGATTCTTCGCCATTTGTGTACCATACAGGAATCCGGAACAGCTTTCTGCACAACTCATCTTCGACTCTTGTCACCTCTTGGCCATGCCCGACACCGACAAGGAGCATACACGAATTTTCAATAGTCTCGTATTGTTTATGAAATCTGACACCTTTCACGGCTTGAAACTGAAGAAAGGAATGCGGATAGACCGCATAAAGACTGCACGAACCGGGGTGATCAATAGTCTTTGAGCTCTTGCTCGCAATACTCCCACAGTTTCTTTGCTAGCTCTGGGTCCGTCGCAAGAGACGAAGGCGCCGTGACTTTGGCGACGGGTTCCAGATACTGAAATGCATTAGAATCGTCTGGCGATCATCTGTATATCGCACCTTTCCGGACAACTCCTTTGCTTCCGGCGTGTTGGCCGCATAGAGCTGGGTCAATGCTCCATACTCTACAGGATAAGCTATGTTCCAGTAGATCCAGCGATTAATATTGTTATGATTACGACCGAGCTCGGTTTGGATCACACCCGGGTGAACGGAGATGGCTATGAGACCCTTGTCTCCGTACCGACGCGCGAGTTCATTAGAGAACAGTATATTACCCTAGCGTTAGTCTCAGTAAGAGAGTATATAAACAAAGAGGAAGCCTACCAGTTTGCTTTGACCGTAGAATTGGTAGCGTTCGATAAAGCCAAGGCCCGGAATCCAGGAGCCCTTTTTGGGACCTTTGAGTTTGTCCCAGAGGAATCCTGCTCTTGGAGCCATGAGGTGTCCACGGGAAGAAATATTGATCACGCGTGGGTTTGGCGTCGCGAGGAGGGCCGGGAGCAGGAGCATCGTAAGATGAAAGTGAGCAAGGACATTGACTCCGAACTGAAGGTCGTATCCGTCCTTTGTAAGTTGGTCAACGGGTGCAGCCATAACGCCACTGTCAAAGTGGCGTCAGAATATCTTCTGAGACCTGGATTGAAGAAGATGCGCACGCATTGTTCATCAAGACGTCGAGTGTGGACTCTTTGCTGTAGACCGGTATATGAGTTACCGACGCCCTATTGAGGGAAGACTTACCTGAGATATTCCTCGGCCGCCTTTCGGACGCCTCGCAAGTCGGAGAGGTCGATCGGCAGCAAGTATATCGCATCCTTTCCAGTCTCTTCTTTGAGCCTTTGAATGGCATCATGACTCTTTGGCGAGTCCCGAGAGGCCATGTAGACCTTTGCGCCATTTTTGAGGAGATTCTGCGGGGCAATGTAGTCGTATCATATCGTCTAGACGACGAATCTGCATACTTTCGTTGCATGGTACCCAATTCCTACAATCCCATGAATAAATTGTTGGAAATTTTGGAGAATACAGACCTCCATTTCCCCCTGTCACAATGGCTATCTTTCCGTCCATAGATACCATATCCTCGAGCGACCATTGAGGCATTGTTGCGGTTGATAATGTGGATGGTGTTCAAGTTTCCGAGGCCAACGGCTCCATACAAGGCGGCCGCCATGTTTAAATATAGTTGTGCCTATACATGCACAATAACCTTTCTAGAACGTTGTCAGGAGGGGATGAACGGCGAGCTGAGATGGCCAAGGAGGCCAAAAAACACAATACGTATTGCCAACCTTGCCATTCATCGAGATATACAAATTATATGTAATCATAGGGAAAAGGAGACCATTACAAGATGTGGCTCGTAGAACTTCTTGAAAGGAGACTGCGAAGTGAGTAGGAATAAGGCCTCACAACCATTTACAGCCGTATTATGCACACAGGTTGGAGTGTATGTGATTCATAGAAACAGCAGGCACAAATGAGGTAGCGCAAAAGCTCATCAACTCGGACCACTGATGCCCGACTGAACGAAGAGTCTTGAAGTGAAAATTTCAACGGCTATATATCTCGACGATTGAACATATTCACCATGCTCAGCAGACCTGAGTAGAACTACGTGCTCACTGTAGACCAACAGATCACGCAGGAGTGATCAGCCACCCACCAGAGTCGTGGGAGCCAAGACTTGTCGACCAGCTCCCCGAAAATGTCCCTACGTCCGTGCCTGTCCACATATCGTGAACCTTGTAGCTACCGCTTCCAAGACCCGGAACATTTGCAAATGTAATCGTCTTAGTCGAGGTACTTGACGAAGTGTTCATGATGAAGACGTGGACACCCTTTGAAGATTTACCCGAGTAGTACTCTGGAGGCGTGGTCGTCGCAGTTCCGTATGGCTTGGCTGGGGCTCCGACAAGTTCATCTTGCGAAAAAGCCAACAATTCTTTGTTCTGAAATCGTGATAAGTAGATTGGTATATGAAACCATTTGTTTACCTTGATGATGTTGAGCTGATCCGTGGAAAGGAGACTTAGCTGAGAGGCACTGGTTAACTAACGATACGAGGTTCCGCTCTGGATACTCACATCAGTTCCGAGAAGTATAGGACTCTTCAACGCAGCCCACATAAGGAAGTGAGTCCTTTCCTCAGCCAACGTCAAGTCACCATTTCCTAAGAAAAAGTAAGGGATGAGAGACGATACGTTACTTGAACTTTATTCCACTTACCAATCTCCATCATGTCCATGTCAGAACGACCGTAGAAGTTGGTATAGTCGATAATTGCGACGTTTCTGTCGATCACGCTAGTGATATAGCTCCACGTCGGAGCGGAGTCGCCAGAGATTCGCCAGCTCTGACCAACTGATGCGCCCCAGGTCCATACTTGAGCAGCTCCCCAAATGCACAGGCTATACTGGATCGGCCTTGACTGCGCAGCCAGCGCGGTGCCCATTTGGCGGTACCGAATCGCAGAATTTGATTGCCCCCAATCAGGATATGTCTTAATAATTCGTTAGACAAGTACATCCAATGCTTGTAGAAACATACCCAGTTGTCTTGCCATTCGGAGGGGACATTGCAATTGTCGTACTTCAAGTCTATGCATAGTCTGTTGGTCCGGGATTCAAAAAAGATAGATCACGTACAGTCGATTCCCCAGGAGGAAAAGGTGGCCGCATCAATCGCCTCGTATCCCAAAGAGCCAGGATATCCAGAGCACGTCTTGGTTCCCGCATCCTAGACAAGTCAGTGGCCAGCCACTATATATAGAAACGTACTGAGTAGATTCCCAAAAGTAATCCCAGCGAGTGGATCTTGGAGGCAACGCTAGCCATTCCATTCGGAAATTTGTTCAAGTCGGGGAGGATCTGTTGAGTGGAAGGGTCTCTCCCGTTAATATTCGACCAGCAATCCTAGAGAATTTGTAAGCAGGTGGGCCATATTTATGGTAGCCACTAACGTCAATGTTGACATATTGGTACCCAGCGGCCTTCAATCCAAGCGAGACCATTTGATTAGCTGCATTGAGAAGTTTGGTCTCGTTTATATCGCCTTGGAAGCGTCATCATCCCGCCTTCTTGCAAAGGACCATGCTTACATCGGTATGCGTTCCAAGAGTTCCAACCGAGGGCAGGAAGCTTTCCAACACGTCCAGTAGGAGTGGAGCTTGGACTACTCGTAGTGGTAGAGACTCGTGTACTAGTCGTACTAGTCGTAGACACACGTGTGCTACTCGTACTAGTGGTAGAGACTCGCGTGCTACTTGTGTTACTCGTAGATGCACGGGTGCTGCTCGTACTAGTCGATGTCCTGCTGCTTGTCGACGTCCCAGGTAGACATTGGTAATACCCTTCGGATTGTGAGAACACTCTGTGAGCTCCCTGCTTTACTTACAATCATTCAAGTACGTGCAAACCGCCCCTGAACCGCTTTAAGGGGTGTCACTATTTATATTGTGTGAAATAATATTGTGCGAACCAAGAGGTTTGGCCCGTCCAGTTTATGCCTCCACATCTAGAGTTGTTAATGAAATAGAAGGACTCTAATAAAAAGGCTTACTGTCCCCACAGAGTTTGTTGGGCACCGACGAGACCCAAGACGCTCAACGCTATTATGGCTTTGAAGCTCATTGTGGGAGTGATACTTTGCAACCTCGCGTACCTTGGGAGCTTTTATGTCAGTCCCGGTCCGAATGCAGGGCAGCTACCTTGGACAAAGCTCGGTCAGTTGAGCAGGGTACATATGGCTGGTAGGGGTCCGGTAAAATATCTTTGCAATAAGACCTGGTGTAAGACGGCCTCTGAATGCATATAGAAAACTGTTATAGATATCACATTATGGCTGTATGATCAATCGGAAGTCTTTCCGGCGAGCGTCCGGGATCATTCCAGGCACTGTGTACACGGTCCGACAACGATCAGCTGTCAACGAGGAAAAATGTAGCCCCCACAAGGTTAATCCACCCTTCACCATAAACCTTGCTGCTGGGTTCTGAGTGAGCTCGTTGTCGTCAAAAGATTCTTTTCGGGGTTCGCGGGACAAAGGAAGGTAAAGTGATGAAGACCAGAGCTGCTGAAGAGAGTGAGCAACCATAGAAGCAAACAAAATGTGTAGCCGGGGTAGTTGCCTCTGTTTGGCTCTTCTCAACAGTTAGAAATGGTGGGTGCTTTACTGATGGCAATATTTTTACTCTCTTGACCGGGCCGAATAATTATCGAGGTATGGAACCTGAGCGGAATGAGACCCGATTGGACCTAGTGGAGGATATGCAACATGCGACATTAGTCCAGTACTGTAAATTCGGCTATAAGGGATGAACAGCGTGTTATTCGGCCATAATCGCTTCTGTACGGCGAGCACCATCACTCCAGCCACCTCACTCTCGCACAATTGAGTGAAAGAAGCAACCACCGGTCTCTTCGCCGCCGCTTAGCATGAGATTATCACGGACTGGGTGCCTCAGAGCGACGCGACGGACACAGAATCTAGCCGTGTGGATGACATGTATATGCACAAAAGTGATATAGACTACAGGGGCGTTTTAGGACGGACAAGCGCATTTGCGGAACCTGGTCAAGTCCGAGATTGGCTGCTGCTGCCCTATCTTGACCTCTGTTACATTCACACAATAGCGAATGAACAAGAGTAATATTGGCTCTTAATAGATAGGAATTATCCGGAGTATCTTCCTTCTATCATCATTTCGAAATTTGTCATAGCCGACGGTCTCTAACGAGAAATCCGATCACCATATCCCCGACGCCGAGTCTGCTATAGGCCAGTATATGAGCCATCGACGGCCTCGCCAAGTCTGATGGAGCAATAACTGAGAGATTCTTCGGTTGATGGGTAATATTCATATCACGTCTTTTCCTCTTTGAGCCGTTTCATGGCGTCGTGGCTATAGAGCTTACCAGAGGAGGAGCTGCAACGAGGCAGTCTGAAAAGTTCATGAACTGATCACCGATAGGCCTGACCGACAGGAAAATCTTGAGAAAGCATTCCAACAGGTATATATATCTCACAACGTCTAGTTGTACGCATTCACTTAGTGCGGTAGACCTAAGTAGAACTACGTGCTGCGGTGAGACGAATAACAACTCACGCAGGAGTAATCAGCCATCCACCAGAGTCGTGGGAACCAAGACTTGTCGACCAGCTCCCCGAAAATGTTCCTACATCCGTGCCTTTCCACATATCGTGAACCTTGTAGCTGCCGCTTCCAAGACCTGGAACATTTGCAAATGTAATCGTCTTGGTGGACGTACTTGAAGACGTGTTCATGATGAAGACGTGGACACCCTTTGAAGATTTACCCGAGTAGTACTCTGGAGGCGTGGTTGTCGCAGTTCCGTACGGCTTGGCTGGCGCGCCAACGGACTCATCTTGCGAAAAGGCCAGTAATTCTTTATTCTGTAACGATGTTAAGTAGAGATATAATGTAATGCCGTTTATCTACCTTGATGATGTTGAGCTGATCCGTGGAGAGGCGACTCAGCTGCATAGTAATAATTAGCCAAAATCACTAAGCTCCGCTCTAGAGACTCACGTCGGTTCCAAGAAGTATAGGGCTCTTCAACGCAGCCCACATAAGGAAGTGGGTCCTTTGCTCAGCCAACGTCAATGCACCATTCCCTGGAAAGAAATGAGAGATGTTACTCCTAACCTCGTTCCACTAACCTATCTCCATCATATCCATGTCATTGTGACCATAGAAATTGGTATAGCCGAGGATTCCGACATTTTTGTTGATCACGCCGGTGATATAACTCCACGTCGGGGAAGAGTCTCCAGAAATTCGCCAGCTTTGTCCAACCGATGCACCCCAAGTCCATACTTGAGCATTGCCCCAAATACAGAGACTATACTGGATCGGTCTTGATTGTGCAGCCAGAGCCGAGCTCATTTGGCGGTATCGAGTTGCCGATTTGGATTGCCCCCAATCGGAGTAAGACTTCAGTTAGGTGTTAGAGCAGTTGTCGAACGCATAACGAGTCACATACCCCGCTGTCTGCCCAGTTGGAGGGCACATAACAATTGTCGTACTTCAAGTCTATACATATGTCGTTAGTCTTCGCTTACATAGTACGATCACATACAATCGATTCCCCAGGAGGAGAAGGTGGCCGCATCGATTGACTCGTATCCCAGAGACCCAGGATATCCGGCACACGTCTTGGTTCCCGCGTCCTAGGCAAGTCAGTGGCCAGCCACGGACTATGCAGAATCTTACCGAGTAGATTCCCAAGAGAAGTCCCTGTGAATGAACCTTGGAGGCCACGCTGGCGATTCCATTTGGAAATTTGTTGAAGTCAGGGCGGATCTGTTGAGTGGAAGAATCTCTTCCGTTAATGTTCGACCAGCAATCCTAGAGAAATTGAGAACACTGTCTCATATTTACGGCGACCACTGACGTCGATGTTGACATACTGGTACCCGGCGTCCTTCAATCCGAGGGAGACCATTTGGTTGGCCGCGCTGAGGATCTTAGATTCGTTTATATCGCCTGTCAAGCCTCAGCCTTCTGTCCTCGGGGGAAGAGCATACCTACATCGATACGCATTCCACGAGTTCCAGCCGAGTGCCGGCAGCTTTCCGACGCGCCCAGTAGGCGCAGGACCAGCACTCGTAGACGTAGAAATGCGTGTGCTACTCGAGCTGGTCGATGTCCTGCTACTTGTCGAAGTCCCAGGTAGACATTGGTAGTACCCTTTTAATCATGAGGACACGTTGTTAGCCTCCGGCTCGACTCACAGTCGTTTAGGTATGTGCAGACCGCTCCTGAGCCGCTGGAAGGTGCGTAAATAAATTATACGGGATGGCATCTTGCAAACCAGGTTTTTTGGCCAGTCCAGTTAATGCCTCCGCATCTAGAATTGTTGAAGAAGTACAAGGTCTCTAATGAACAATCTTACTGTCCCCAAAGCGTCTGTTGGGCGCTAACCAGGCCCAACGCGCTCAAGATGACTATTGCTCTGAAGCTCATTGTGGGGTGGTGCTTTGCGGACCTCGTGCAGCCCGGGGGTTTATATGTCGCATACTGCTCCGAATGCAAAGCAGCTACCTTGGACAAAGCTCGGTCAGTTAAGCAGGATGCGTAGGCATGTCTAGGGCATGTAGGCGTCCGGTCAATTTTCCGTGCAATAGACTGTCTGGTAGAAGACGACCTCTGAATGCACGCTGGAAGCCATTATTGGTATTCCATCACATCACTGATGCACGATCATTAGGTCTTTCCGGCTAGAGACCGGTATCATTCCAGGCACTGTGTACACGGTCCGACAAGGATCAACTGTCCACAAGGAAGAATGTGGCTCCCACCAAAGTTAAGCCATTTTTAACTGCAAACTCTGTTGCATTCCAACTCCTTCGTTGAGTGAACTCGTTGCTGCCCATATCAGCTGCCGTCAAGGAGAAGCCGTCTCTGGGTTCGCGGTACAGAAGAAAAGTATAACGGTGAGTACCAGAGCTATTGACGAGTGTTAGTGATCTTATAAACAACGAGGGTGATACCTTACTTTGGCCGAGGACCTGGTCCGAGATAGGGCGTAACTGCCTCTATTTTGCTCTTCTCCACAATTGGAATGGCGGAAGCCTCACTAATGGCGATATTTTTATCCTCTTGACCGGACTGAATGGTTGCCAAGGCTTGGATACTGACGGGAATGAGGCCTGATTGGACCTAGTGATGCCGACGTCAATCAAGAGGGTATCTATCCTATTGAGATGTACCCAATGGCGCCATTGACCATAGATTGGCTCAGCCCTGGACGGCGCATCCTGAAAAGGTGTCATCTCAAGTCTGATCGGGTTTGAGCACGCTTACGGGATCTACAAGAACCAAAGTATAGGATGACGGTCCATTTGGACCCTGAAAACTTGTTGGCATTGTAGGAGTAAGGCTGGAAAAGGCATACAATATCATCTGTATCGATGAAAGATATCTTGGGCTCTTCACTAGTCTCTTCCTTTGTCAACTTCTCGCCGGGAGTGAACCGTTTCCCCGAGAACTCTACGCTCAGTTCCACTGATGGCGCGAAGTTCTCTGGAACGACAGAAGGGATCAGATCGTTCTCCCGAAGAGCGTTGATAAGCAGCTGAGAAGGGAGAACAAACGGCATATTGTGCTCAAGTATTTCGCTGGTGGTGGTGTGAACCAAGTCTGGAGCCGCCCTCGTCCACTCGTAATCGTGATCCCGGCCCGGATTCTCCGCTCTCTACGTCATGAAAGCCTCCTTTACAAGCCAAGTAATACCATTTGCTTCAAACAGTGTCCCGACACCCCATAAAGGCGATGGATCTTCTATTGGTAACACGATTGTGGCGGCATCAACCGGACCTGCAAACTTGGTGACATCCCAGCCGGGCCGTCCGGCAACCTTTTCAGCGGTCCACGCTAGAAATTTGTCTTCGGATATCTTGGCTACAGCCGCTTGATAGTTTCCCATCTTCGCCAGCCATGCGCGTTGAATGGTAGGTGCATCTGATGTTCCGATTCCTTCCAAGATGAATACGGATCCTTTATTGATGGGCAAGTCCCTCCAAATCTCACTATAGCGACGCACTCGACCGGTGTTCGGGTCAAGCATCTCTCCCGTCTCCAGAATATCCCCGTTGTCCAGCGTGGAGAAGGTGCCTTCGTCCGCGTTCTGTAACTCTGACCGCGTGGTCAAGATTGGCGTAAACCGAGCTTTTGGCGGATCTGAAGAGGTTAAGTTCCACATTTTGGGCATCGACGTGGTCTTGCGTTACCTGCTTCCGTATTCAACCATTCTTTGATCCCGGCCATTGCCCAGTCAATGACACAGTCATTTTCTGGGACCCTTTTGAGTCTAATGTCGACATAGTATTTCTTTCCAACGATCACAAGGACTTCGCTGTCCTCGAACGGTGGTTCTTCGTCCCAGGCTAGTGAAACGCGTGTTGAGACGCTATGCATGCCTCTCAATTGACGAAGAACAAGTCCCTCAGAGTCTTAGAGTGGCAAATTGACAATTTCGGCCAGGCAGGAATAAAGTCAGGTCGAAGGAGGTGATCTATTATATGTTGTGGAAAAATGCATTATGGAAACGATAATCCATCAAATCACATAAGAATGTCCGATTATGCCTTCCTACTGTCGTTGGTGTGAGAGCCGCTCGCGCTCGCGCTTGAAGGGAGCACTGGAGACTTTGATCCTGAACCACCTTTGACTCTAGCCGCGGCAGCAGCCTTTGCTTTCTCCTCCATCGCCTTTTTACGGAGCTCTTTGGCACGACTCTTCCCTGCGGCAGCTTCAGCCACAAGCGCCTCCAGCTCTCTTCGCTCAGCATCAGACTCGTCTGGCTTTGTTGCCTTAAATATTGCCCCGCAGACTAACATGGCCTATTCCCTAGATCAGATGAAGCTTGTTAGATGATAGATTCAACGAACCTTGGCTCGGTTGATCAGGACCTGCTCGGAGACCGAGGGATCACGAAGAACGTTCTCGCATACTCGATGGAGCACGTGAGTCACCTCCATCCTTGTGCCACGCCAACTTGCGAGCAAAACGCGACTGGTTACGTCGCTTTCTAGGGCTTTGAGCTCCTCTTCTGGCACCTCGCCCTTCTCCAGCGCCTTTTGCATGTCAATCAAGACATTCTGAACACTCAAACTGTGCACAGATGAGTAAATGTTCTTTCCAAGCAAAGGATTGTCACTCACGCGCTTCCAATAACCCCCCATGCATCCTTCGCCATAGTCCCCTTTTCCTTTAACCGGGCGAAGAAACCAGGGCTACAAATTTTGAGAAGCAGAACGAATGATCAAGACTAGACGGACATTCCAAGGAATTTGCGGCTCTTGAGAGCGCTTGTCGCCTTCATCATGTACATATTACCAATGGTATGCAGAAGCTAAGACCTGTGAGTCCCGAACTTGATTAGGTCAAATAACTCGCCTCGATTCCAAAGCTCTCGAGCTTCAAATCCTCCGCCTCGTGTCTCAACTTGTCCTCCCATGCTTTGCATTCTGGATCGTTGGGTGCACCAGGATGCTTCGACTCGACATAGGGTCGGAGACGCTACGGATTGTTTCAAAAATAAGGATACTGAGCACTTGTCACTACCCACCTCTTTGAGTTTTTCCGTAAGCTCGTCTATCCGCTTCTGCATAGCCTTGTCTCTTTCTTCGCCGATGGCGTCAATCTTTTGCTTTTGCTCGGGGGTAAGCTTTGGTCGCTTCTTGCCAGTATCTTTAGGAATCGAGCCTCCAGGCGTTGGTGGAGGACTGGTAGCGGAAACATGTGTATCAGGTATTTGGGGCTTGGCTTCCGAGTCGGTTGTGGTTGCACCTTCGGTAGACTTAGGTTCATGTTCTGTCTTGGGCTGCGTCTCTTCGGTTTGCGGAGCAGGGTGCCCTTCCTTTGGCTCGCCTTCGGGTTGGGTAGTAGCAGGCTTCTGTTCGGGATGGGCGATACCAGGAGTGGCAGCAGGACCAGAGGTCGTAGGAGAGGAGGGAGTGGCGGCAGACGCAGCATGCGTTGAAACTCCTGGTTGAGACGTAGACGCCTTCCATTCCTTTTCCATCTCCTGTTTTTCCTCTTCTGTCATCATTACTTCTGTGACGGACGACATTTCTTTCATGAGCGAAATCTCGCCGATCTGCGGCAAGCCACGTCAGACCCGGACACCGCATGCGTAGTGGCACCCACATAATCATAGAATCTGTCTCCGCCAAACACTGCTGCGAAAAAGGCGCTGGGATCTTCAGGCCCTGACATGCCTCCTACCGACTCTTGGATGCCATGTTTATCGTATACAGCTCGGAGATTCTAAGAGAGTGTAAGCGGCTTATCACAATACGCTTGCACGCCAAGCGCAACGACGTACGGGATCGCTGAGGACCTGATACGCTTTGGCAATCTCCTTGAATTTTTCTTCAGCATCCGCAGAAGGATTCTTGTCTGGATGATACTTTATCGCCTGCTTTCTGTACGCCTTCTTGAGGTCTGCGTCTGTCGCGTCTGGAGCAACACCAAGCTGTCAAATAGGACGGGGTGGTTCCATAGATAGCCATGAGCCAGAAGGATCCATATCAGCTAATGTCCGCAGATTCTGGGCATAATACTGACCAGATCGTAGTATTGGGTATCCACAGGTGCCATAGAGCCAGTGGTGGTTGGAATCAAAGAAAGGCAAGTGGAGTTGGACCAATGTGCCAGGAGTTTCTAATCAGCCTTAACGAGAGTAATTTCACCCACAGTAATCTATTTACATGAAACTTGGCGCTATGCCGTGTCTTGTCTCTGACGATCCCACCGCGCGCTCAAGCCTGGACCCGACCACGCTCTGGCATTGGCGTGAATCCGACTGTGTGAGTCCTGGAATACTCTGTATTTCGTAGAACGTGGAAAGATGATTGCGATATTTGCACGTCAGGCTGAAGTCGGACGCTCTTCATTGCAGCTAATGGCTACAGGATGCTTCCATCGCTCACAACGCTGACCATTCGATTCTATGCATATAATAGTCTCTAATACGCGAGATTCTGACGCATTGTATCCCAGAAAACGCGCCATGTCCGGGCCTCCGCAAGCCCAACCATCGCAAACTCCAGCGCGTCGACCGCCGGCATTGGTAGCCACAAACACTGTCACTACGAAAGATGGTCTCACTGTTCGCGCGAGAATCGATCCTACCCTGGTTCGTACGCCCGTGCCAAGTCGTGTCGAAAGCACTCACGCTCAACTTTGCAGTCCGTGGCAGATGTAATCAAACAACTGTGCCTCAACTTGAAAATACCCGGCAACCCTGTGCTGTTCGCGCTCAGGGATGCCGCAGAGGGGGACGAGCTGGTAACGGATGACAATCTGAGAAAGAAGATTCGCGACAAAGCAGCCTTAAAGTAACGTGAATTCTTCCACCCCTTGTATCTCTGACAAATCCTCTCATCAGGTTGACATCAGCACCTCTACTAGAGGCACTAGAGACAATTGAGAAACTCAAACAGCGAGACGAGAAAACGCTGCGCTTCTCTCTTTTCAATCTTCAAAAGTACATCAAGGAAGAACAGTTTGCGACAGAGTTTTTGCAAAGAGATGGGCTGCGTGAACTGTGTGAAGTTATCCTGACCGTCGGCGGCAACACATTAGCGGTACAGCTAGTTCCTCTTCCCATGTGCAACCGTCTCACACCTCTTATAGTACGCGTTGACTGCCCTTTCAAATCTCCTCGATCTGCCATATGGTTGGGCCTCTCTATCACCTCAATTCATCCACAAAGTCGTGCAGATTCTGGCAAACCCCAACAACCTTGTCAACGTATGCCGTCCTGCTACTCTAATCTTACGAAAGCTTGTCGATGCAGATGGAAGTCAGGTAGCATCCGGAGGTATGGCTATTCACCCCAAAGTTGCTCAGTCCTAAACATTCATAGGGCCTGGGGTCCCATCTTCATCCTCTGGTAAGCTTGCTCCAAAGCAATCCCCAGCACCAGGAAGTGTATACCGATTCGGATTCAATGTTGTGTATGAGCAAATGAAGCGCGAGAGAGGTTTACTGGAGGTAGTTGTAGGACGACTTGGATCCGGGGAGAGTATGATGGTCCTGTATAGGTAAGAGCTCGCTATTGTTTGTCTCCTCTAATCGGCCTTTAGTATGACTCTCATCAATTCACTACTCTCCCACGCGACTCCTGCTCACTGGATAGAGCTCACCTCGACCCTGGAACGACTCAACACATCTAGGGCTGTGATCCGCCTGATGTCATCACATACTATCGAGGATCTCACCAACAGCATACTCGACTATCAAGGGAACATGGTTCGCGTTGTATACTTCAAAAAGACAAGAAAAGTGCTTGTCAGCGGGCATTGGGGAGTCGACGGAGACAACGAAGCGGGCGAACAGTCTTACGTTGGAGATGGAGAGCAGGAGGTTATGCTGGATTATATCTGGAGTTGTGCCAAGCTCGAAGCTGACAGTGCACTCTCGCCTCGGTATGCTAATGGAGAAAGTAGTGCAAGGTCTCGAGGGAAAAGCAGCATCCGAGACCAAGTCAAGTGGAGAAAGCTGGGATTTGAAACAGAGGATCTTCGAAAAGAGTTTGACTCTACTGGTATGCTGGGCCTGGAGTGCTTGGTATGTGCTATCTTCCCCTAGCGAGCATGTCTGATTCCTCTGCAGAAGCACTTTGTACAAGCTGATCCACCACGGTTTGCCCAACTCGTCTTAGAGCAGAACAGTCGCGCTGCCGAACGGCGATGTCCAATTGCGCGTGCCTCCAACGAAGTCGTGGAAATACTGTCAGAGCACTGGAGCATCTTCGCGCCTGGATGTGAGTCCCGTTCTGTGACATGAGTTCGCGGGTGCTCATGTCATGTAGATTCCACATCGACCACTTTCCAACCATTCTTCCTCAGTTTTTATCGTGTCCATGCATTGGCTCTCCAATTCTTCCTACGCATGTGGAGCGACAGTGGTGCGGCGACGACTGATTTTAGCAGAGTAGCAAGCCTGGTTCGCAGCCAGTGAGTACGAATCTTTACCGGGATGCACACTCTAAAGGCTTGCCAGAGTAAAACTGGCATTGCACAGCGAAACCGACCGACCATGGCATGAGGTCGAGCACGAGTTTTTAGAGAGTGAATACCGGGCCGTGCGTGATCGACAGATGAAGGAGCTCGAACTCGAGGATGATCTGCTCAACAAGATTCCGGTTCGGTGCGTTATGCTGGCCCTATCTAAGGTGCCTCTATCTGATTGCCTACCAGGAATCTACGTGCCAAACTCTACAAAGAATCGTACGAGTTCATCCGGCAGCAACGAATACAGTGCTTGATTCAAGGCGCCTGGTTCGTCAACGGCATCCCGCTCAGCTCACCGCCAGGAATGGCTCAAAAACGCCAATCGAGACCATGGAGGTATATGCGACTGGATCGTAATCTGAAGTATATCCACTACTGTGACTCTGCTGTCAAGTTTGCAGTACGTAGTGGGTTGGAGGACCTACCGGACAAGATTGACGTCTCACAAATCGGTGAAATCGCCATCAATACTTGTGCTCTTCCCCCAAATATAAACACGGCGGCTGGGCCAGTCCAATCACTCAACGACTTGTCGTCGCTGTCCCTCACTGCCTCGCCAGTGTCATTTTCACTCCTTAGCGTGCGTGGTGGTGAATCATTGGGCGATCATGTCGCGACAGATCCATCGAGATGGGCGGATTGGACGGATGGTCTAAACATGCTGCGACGGGAGGGTGCACACGTCGCCACGTCGGAGACTGCTGGATTCGTGCACGCACTCACGGAAATTGGACTCAAGATCAAGCTACTTGGTATGATTCTGAGCTGGTTTGTTGGGTGGTGGCTGACTATCTGCATAGATCTATCGGGTGAAAAGGTTGACATCCCGTCATCACTGATGCCAGGAGAACCTCCTCAAGATACAAACTTTTTCTTCTCAGATCTGTAGGGGCTCGTGACTCTGGGAAGATTCTGGAACATAGATCTAGCAGCTATGTTGTTGTATTCTGTTCTAATCGACTAATCATTTGGGCCCTGTTATCTTCCTTGCACCCGGCAACTTGATTTAGGTCGGCCCTTTGGAGTGGGCTGCTCGAGAGCGTCGGCCCACCTTGGAAGTAACCTCGTCCGTCTCAGCCATCTGCCCACCATGCGCATCACAGAAAAGATTGAAAAAGCAGAAAAGCAGAATAGAGTCTGGTGGTCCTTTGAGTATTTCCCGCCACGAACCGCTCAGGTCTGTGTTGGCGACTGCACGCGATCGTCGATCCGTCGCTTACCTCGGTTTTTTTAATCTCGAAAACAGGGATTCCAAAACCTCGTAGATCGTATAGAACGCATGAGGCACCTTGGACCAGAGTTTATCGACATTACTTGGTACGTCGGACTTAGAGCAAAGATCTCGGCAAAGTACGCTGACTCTGTCATCATGACAGGAATGCGGGTGGGCGGACGTCAGAGCTCACGTCTGAAATGGTCAAGACGTGTCAAAGTCTGTTGGGCATCGAGACATGCATGCATTTGACATGCACAAACATGCCCAGCGAAAAAGTTGACATTGCTCTCCGGGTACGTAGCGATTTACGCGTCTGGAATGTTATTAATGACACTTGAACAGGAGGCAAAATCCCATGGTTGTCGAAACATTCTGGCTCTGCGAGGGGATCCGCCTGCAGGCCAGGACGAGTGGACAGCCGTTGACGGAGGATTCGTTCATGGCATCGATCTCGTACGCCATATCCGCAAGAATTATGGAGATTACTTTGAAATCGCCGTCGCGGGCTTTCCAGAGCACGCAATGCTTTCAGAGGAAGAACAGCAAGTCGAACTGCAATATCTCAAGGAGAAGATCGACGCGGGTGCCTCGTTTATTTTTACGCAAATGTTTTACGACCTCGATCTCTTTGTCAGATGGGTTCATAGCGTTCGCAAGGCGGGCATCACCGTCCCCATCGTCCCAGGAATCAACCCTATCCAAACTTGGAATGGCTTCATGAAAGCGACGTCGTTGGCCAAGATTACCATCCCCCAATCTTACCTCGACGTCCTTGAGCCGCACAAGAACAATGACGAAAAGGTTCGCGAGCTGGGAACAAAGCTCGTCGCGGATCTGTGCCGAGGTATCCTTAATGCTGGTCTCGGCATCCGCGGCCTGCATTTCTATACCATGAACCTGGAAAAGGGTACAAGGATGCTGCTAGAGGAACTCAGCTTCGTGCCACGAGTAGAGACTGTCAAGCCACTCCCATGGCGCCAGTGTCTCACACCCAGCCGACGATCCGAGACCATTCGTCCCATTTTCTGGGCCAATCGAACCAAATCATACTTGTCTCGTACGGAAAATTGGGACCAATATCCCAATGGTCGCTACGGAGATGCTCGGAGTCCTGCATACGGTGAACTCGACGGTTACGGCATCTCGCTCAAGCATTCGGTGAGTAACCTCTCTAGAATCCTACAATGCCACTCTCTGACACTAGCACAGAAGGAAGACGCACAAAAATTGTGGGGCCATCCTCAAACCAAAGAGGACATCGGGAAGCTGTTCGCCACGTTCTGTCGAGGGAAACTTGCAGCCCTGCCTTGGTCGGATGAAGCCCCAGCAGCAGAAACGACTGTCATTTCCGAACACCTTGCCAAGCTCAACGAGCTTGGTTTCTTGACCATCAATTCCCAACCTGCCGTCAACGGCCTTCCAAGTACAGACAAGATTCACGGATGGGGACCCGAAAACGGATTTGTGTATCAAAAGGTGATTCAAAAAGTCGTGACCGGACCAGACTCACCTATTTTCAGGCCTATCTCGAATTCTTCGTGTCGCCGGCGCTGCTTGCAGCCCTCATCCCACAGATAGAGCGCGACCCCCTTATCACCTACTACGCCATCAACAAACGTGGGGACCTCCGTACGAATACTCAGAGTGAGGGCCCCAACGCTGTCACTTGGGGCGTCTTCCCTGGCAAAGAAGTCATCCAGCCCACTATTGTGGAGGCCGTGAGCTTCATGGCCTGGAAGGTAAGAAGACTTTTTGGACATTCCTTTCATTGCTCATGATGCTTCAGGATGAGGCTTTTGAGCTCGGAATGCAATGGTCCCAAGTCTACGACTCTGGATCACCGAGCCAGGCGCTTATTGCAAACATAATGGAGACATATACGCTCGTCAATGTCGTCCACAACGACTTCCGTGATCCCGAGGCCATTTTCACGCCCTTTTACCGAGCTGCTCAATCGCTGAACAGCAGTGGCCTCACGAATGGACACGTCTAGACTCCTGCATTAGAAAACATAGGACTTGACTGCACTCTAGGTTCAACCCCTATCTGCAGTTCGGACCTCTCGATAGATTTCCTCGCATTTTTCAAAGGGATACCCGTCATTTTTTGCATCCAACTGCATACCTGTTTGTATCCTAGAACAAAATCGTGCTCGCGTATCAAGCATTTGTCTTTGTCTTCACTCTTGGTCCCCGCGTGCCCGTTCGCCGTTACAACCTCGTGCTCAGAGACCCTTAGTACATGGATGAAGATGCACTCCGGTTCATTGAGACGCGTCAAACGACTCTACGCGAAGCATATGACCGGTACAACGTTGACTTTCCGCCTCTACAACTAGAGTGGAGCCACGATCCATCTTCTGAACACGCGAACCGCGCAAAGAAGTCGGATATCCCGCAAGGGATATGGGCGTGGCGAAAATGGGACAGTAGAGATGTCAGCACTCTCGTTCGGAGATGCCTTCAAGAAAATGATGAGCTGTACCAAGGCTTGAACTCCCCTTCTTCGCGCGAGCGATTGGAGGCATCGGTAAAATGTGGATCGTGGGCTTTCTCTCGGACAGAGGGAGCATGTTCCGAATCTACAGAAAAAGCCGGTTCAACGTGACAACCGCGTTGGAGAATTTACAGGACGTGCTGGTGTTTAGGATTCTCAACAGGGATCATATTACATGGATTCCCAATGTCGAACACGCAAATGCCGATTCACATTCTGGCAAGGAGTACGAGTCAAGAGGTCCCGCCCAATCTCCTCGTTCATCGCCTGTTGTAACCAGGAGACGGGATACTTCCTCCAAATCACTCCGGAAGATCAAGGAGGGTCTTATCCGGATGTATCCTGCATCGACCATGGATCCAAATAGACGGCCAGTGCTCGTCGTCTCCCTCTCACATCTAGAAGGTGCCTCCTCGCGTAGTCAGCCCCATCCAAAGGTACAAGTCATGGCTGCATTGGAGCAACTGCGTCTTTACCTGGTAGAGCGAGCGGGTCAAGACGATGTCGATCCCCTACAACTCATTCTAATCCTCAATCTGGCTGGTGGCCGTATTACTTCAACTGTAAGTACCAAAGATTTCACACGCTTATCTAAAGCTCTTGAAAGGCTTGGGAAATGGTCAGATGGCTCGCTCGCGACGCTGTCGAGTATTTCCATGGCTTAATATCCGCCGTCTTTGTCGTCAATTACTCGTGGGAGTTTGGTGCGGCATGGTCATTCATAAAGTAGGTCACCATTCACTGTCGAATTATTTCCTCACTCTGATCTACCAGACGTGCATTACCTGCGTCGGCCAAAGCTCGTGTCATGTTTCCGACGCAAGACGATCTCTTGGATTATCTCGGGAGTGATAGTCTTCCGCCATGTAAGTCCAAAAAATCTTGCGGAACGTATTCTCTAACCGGTATGTAGCTTTAGGCGGCACTCAACGAGAATCTATTTTATATCCTCCCGTTAAATTTCCCTCCGAGGATGAACTTGAAGGTTCATCTATTGCCCCAGAAAGCCATCCCCCCAAGCCAGCATACGCAAAGCCTATACGTCCGACACTCGCTACGATCAGGCTGCATCGCACCTCGTCAGAGAATCCCTACTTTGGGTACCCGACGATTCGACAGGACGGTTTCACTAGCGCAGGACGTCCAATTTATTCAACCAGAAGGCGGAAACGCGATCTCGTTCGCACTCTCATCTGGTTGCTTTGGTCAAGGATCAAGGCAGATTCGCATCTTCTTATCAATACCATTTGGTATCACAGATGGACCTCGACCTTGGTGTTCCTCGGTGTCCTCCTGATCATTCTCCGGCGTCGCTCTCCCGCTGTTTTGACACGCTTTCTCAAAACTATGAGGATATCTATTGCATAATTTAGGTGCCACATCACTAGATGTAAAAAGTATATTCGTGACACACTAGCCAAGACTTTGAAGTACGAGTGAATACGATGTGACAAGGTGAGAGTACAAGGTATGATGATCCGCAGCAAAATAATGCTAGCAAACGAGTTACAACCAAAATGACTAAAACCCAAAAATTAGTTCCCTTCTCAATCTCGCTGCGGGGCCGCCCCATTGGATTGGGCCACGGGACGTAGGATCATCATACTATCATCAGATCCAATGAGTGTAAGCCGTCGTCCGATATCGTAGCCTGGGGCTGGTGGCGGCGTATGAGCGTATGCACCCGGCTGGCCTGGGTAGGGCATGGCGTGCATTGACGGTCGTCCACCGTACGTCAGGGTTGGGTGAGAGCCCGGCAATTCGTGTTGATGCCCTGGATGCATGTACGGATGCTGACCGATCTGAGGTGGCCCACGGGTTGAAGACGACGTGCGAGGAGGGTACGGTCCGTTTGGATAGACTTGATTGGGGTTGGCGTGGACAGAAGGGAGAACAGGAGGTTCCGCAAAAAGACAGCGAAGGTTGTCCCCAAGGATAACCTGGCGAATTGTACAGGCGTTTACATCCCAAATCTCGATAAAGGACGGTTCGATAGCCATCACGTATGGATAGTGATAGGCTATGGAAATCGTTAGAGACGATGTGAATGTATTGCAAATCAGGCTCACCAAACGCGGTAGGTCGACCCTCCCAGTTGGCAATCCACTCTCCACGAGCTCTGAAGCCATGTCGATCAACAAAAACGGCCCATTCTATGAAGTTGGATTAGCGATGTCAGAGGGAGATGCCGGGGAACGTACCCTCGTAGCACAAGAGGAAGTCATTCTCAACCTTGAAGATGGCCAGAGGTCTGAGATTCTCCCGCTTCTCGATAAACTCCATAGAGGGGTCTGATGGATCGACAAGAGGTTGCGTATCAAGGGATTCGAGATCCAAAATCTGGAATCCTCTGGCGCAGCCTATGCAGAGTCGAGACCTCAGGATGGTGAGCGAATGGCACTCGACAGGAATGTAGAATTCCTGTGATGAACAAATCAATAACGACCCGACCGGATAAAACATCTGACGCACCTTGAACAATCTGAGTGTATCGTTACCTCCTTGAAGCAGCTTCTTGAACGTAGGCTTGCTCTTCCCTCGAATGCTTTGATCGACCGGCTCAAACGTCTTGACAGTCGTAGATAGCGGGCTCGTCTTCACCACACAAACAATCGACTTGTCTATGCAAACCCCGACCTTGAAGAACGAAGTGTGTGCCGCAATTCTTTGCCCTCGTTTGAGCCCAGCAGTGGGATCTCGTGCTTCCAACGCCTCGAGCGGGAAAGTGAGAACGCTCCGTTCTGAAATGCGATTGAGATTTGAACTAGGGTGACATCTGATACATACCGGAAAGAACGATCAAGAGCTGCGAGCTTTCCATAACGTCGACTTGGGTGACCTCGAGCAGGGCAAGCATCTTCATCGGTGGCTTGTTGGCATCCTGAAGGTCCAAGAAATAGACACCGTCGTCGGTCCCGTACACGATGCTCCGCCCACCCCCTTCCAAATATCAGCTTTGAACGCTCATCTGACTGGATTAAAACTCACTGAAAGGAGCCGCACAGTTGACTCTGTTACTTCCAGCAAAGTCTTGAGCAAATGGCACCGTCTCAAAGAGATTGCTACGTTCTTTCATGAGATCTTGCTGCTTTTGGATATGCTCTAGCCATTTCTTCTTGCTGATAAATGTGCTGGCCCAAAGCGTGATCGTGTAGCCTCTCCACCCAAGGTGCGTAAACGTGATCGGAAACCCGTGTGGGTTGTTACCTGCTCTTGCCGTGAGCGATAGCGGGCTACCATGACCATGACCATTACCGCCGCCACCATGGGCCGAATTTGTATGATCGTGTTGGGGCCTAATGAGCATCCCCCTTCCTCCACCCCGTCCGTGCGTGCTAGGCCTGATCGTGACCACTTGACTCGGGTCATCCGCCGCAGATACGGCAAGGAATTCGAGGGGAATTGGCTATCGAAAGCAGGTCAGATCGAAATCCCATAAATAATTCGCACGCACCCGTCGATAAACCTTGTATTGATCATGCTTTGACTTTTGCTTGACCATGAGCAACGCGTGGTCGAACAAAAACACCTGCAGATCCTCCTTGTCCCCGGCACCACCTCGTCGATTCAACGAAGCCCTTGTAAATCATTTGCCGATTGGGAGCGGTGAGCCTGAGATCGACAAACTCTCCCGGTCGGAACGAGAGCTGTCGCTGAAGTTGGTGAAGATGGAACCGATTTTCGGCTTCTCCGGTCTTTTGATTGACGCGTGTGAGGAAGTTGCGGACCATTTGAATGACCTCTGGGATGTTGATCTTGTCAGGAGAGTTGTCGGGAGTATGCTTCAGGACGGCGTCAAGGAGCAGTGGATATCGAGCGAGCCTAGTGGTAGGCTTGGTGAGGTAACCATTCAGCTCCAGTTTCCTCGACTCTGGTAGGCGTTCGATTTCCTAAAGGCCCGTCAGATTTGTCCATAAACCAAAGTATTAGCATACCTCGACCCAGGCAGCAAACGCAGGGTTGCTGCTCTTCTCCTTTTCGAATTCGTACTTGCCGTACATCTGATGTGCACCATACTCGACAAAGGGCTCAAAAAAAGGCACTATATCCTTGAAGATGTCTCCAATCTCGCCAACAACCATGAATTGCTTTTGTCGCTTGGTCAACGCATCACGAAGCCGAGTATTGACTTCGATAATAGCCAAAATGTTCCAAAATACGTGTGAAATGAATTCGTCCCGACGTTCCACTGGGATGACATCCGAGTTTTTGATGCCCGCGACCCAGACCTGAACACGGGTATCAAATTCAAGAATTTGTCCTGCTAAAAAAACTTACGTCTCTGAGGTACTCCATGTCCCGCACAAAGTCCCGCTCGGTATAGATGACCTCGTTGATAGCCTCTTGACGTTTCTTCTCCGCATCACTGAGCGTATCGGCAACCTCTTTTGGAACGGTATGTATCCATAGCTGTCCCGTTTCCAACACAGCATCATCCTCATCGTCCAGCCCAATGGGATCACCCTCCCCGGGCTTGACAAGCCGCGGAAGGCCACTACTTTGAGGATGTCCATGCCCACTTGCACTTCCAACGGGACTAGTTGTACCGCTAGTACCAGGGATACTTCCGGGCGGCTGACTTCCAATGGTCGCTCTCCTCGCGACCTTTGTGGGCGTCGACGAACCACCAACACTACCAGGACGATTCCGTCGCCTTGTCACCTGTTCCATCCGTCGAGGACAAGTAATAGAGTAGCACACTTGATCTCGTGTACAGGTGGCAGAGTAACATTCGGTGAGCATCGTAAAGACTCCCGTCGGTAGTTCCAACGCCTCTACATGTGAATCAAGGCCGTCTCCTTGGTTGGCGTGATCGTCGTGATCATGAGTCGTATGCGAATTCAATGATTGGTTGGAGTAAGGGACGATGGTGGACTCGGTCCCTGCGTGAGGATGATATCCATTTGTAGAGGATGCAGAGGAATGTGTTTCCAAAGTACTCGACTTGGACATTGATGCGCGATGAGAGCTCCCGCTAAACGAGTTGTTCGGACTCAAACTCTGGGAATCTCCACGCGAATGAGTCTTGTTGTTTCTGCCACCGCCGACCAAAGCGAGACTATCGACGTTGCTCCGGAACTGATAAATCTCGTTTGGGTTGTCTCTCAGGCGATGATCATATGTGACATCATGAAAGAATTTCTGAGCATCTAGCGCTCGTCCCAATAGAAGCGCAAGACTTCTATCCGTGGTCTTGATGATATAACAGATCTTGTCAACGGCCTCCTGGCCATCAAACGCATCTGGATACGATAGACCGTGTTTAGTTCGTACTGAGAGTGAGATGCGTTGCACGAGTGCTTCTGCGACGCGGGAGAGGAGAGCTGGATAGACTAGAGGCGCTCGGCGTGTCCGCCGGGCGGTGATAGAAGTATTGGAAGCTGGAGTTGGAGGGCCGGTGAGAGAGGTATTGCTATTTGTTTGGGAAAAGGTGAGTTGCGAGAGCGGGGTGCGAATTCGTGTTCCGTCTGATGGTAGTGATCTACGCGCGTACGAAGATGGGGCCGAGGTAGACTCGGATTGAGGCGTGTACTGCCCGTTGCTGGAATTCATAGATGGACCCGCAGTGAGGACAGAGTCGACTGAAGGGCGCCCCTCGGCAGTATAGTCGTTGAGGTTGTTTGGTGCAAACGAAGGAGGGCTGCCGAAATCCAAACTGAGTTTCGGCGGAGCTATGGTCCGTTGATCTCGAATGTCAATTGAACTTGATGCTACAAAAAGTGTCAATCGCTTTGTGATATGAAGATCATTGACATGCCTGCACTGCTTCGTGAATTCGAAGAGCCGTATGCATAAGAACTTCCAGCTTGAGAAGTTGACTGAGTGCCTTGGAGTGCGCTAGTCGCTGCAATGGATTGAGTCTTGTGCAGTATAGACAAAGTTGCCGTATACGCACGTGTTCTTTGTCCAGAGTTTACCCACGGCAATTCACTATCCCCCTCAGCTTCGTCCGGCATCGACCCTGGATAGGCTTGAACCCGATTTGTAGAATCGAGGTTTGTTTTGTTGCTTTCGAAATCCAAACTCAGTTTCCCGCCATCGGGTTGTAGGCCGAGGCTGTCTAGCCGTGGGGGTGTTGCAGAGTTGAGCGAGACCTGGGAGCTTGCATACCTCGTTGTCGTGTTGGGATGCGTAGAAGGTGGATGAGCGCCCGGAGGAAGACCCGTTCGCTGTTGATTGTTGACGTGTGCCTGGTAGGCCTGGGCGGGGGTCATTCCTTGGCTAATGAAAAAGTCGAGAGAGGGGTCCGAGGGAGGTGGTGGGGGAGACGTAATGACACCAGCACCAGCGGCTGTATACGACGGTTGGTAGTTTGAACGCTGCTGGGTGTATTGGTGACTGTATGCTGGTTCGTTTGTGCGGATTGAGCGCGCATACTGTGGCTGCTGAGGCTGGAGATGGCGCGGCTGGTATGTCTGCTGAGGATAATGCTGATATGGAGGTCCAGAGTTTACAGGAGACGGCCGGGCTTGCTGCTGGCCATACGGCTGCATGTCTCGGTGAGCGGCAGACGGCCGTCCAAAGATGGACTCGAAAGCCTGGCTACGTTCGTCGCTGCTGTGAGCTGCATTTGCCGTCTGGGACATTGGAGCGCGTGGTCCCATTGCTGTTCGTCGGCGATCCATCGTGTTTACAGACCTGGCGTCGTTTGATGGGCCCTCGCCCTCGTCGTGGATAGCGTCTGGGACGTCTGGAGAGTCTTGTGCGTGCTTGGAGAGTATTACAAGACTAGAACGTTTAAATACGCGCTTTAGTCGATCAGCAGGCCCGTCTAACACTGGCAGAGACAGAGGACGTGGCTTTCTGGCTCGTCGGGCGCGTTGGAAATGCTCAGAATGAACGTCTGTATCTTCTTGCTCGTCTTGGTCGTCTTCTGTCCCAGGATCGCCTGCGAGTGGTCGTCGGGCTGGGCGTGGTCCAGTTTGAGATTCCGCACTTTGCACCTCAACCGCTTTGGACTCGAGCGGGGGCCCACGAGCCGCTAGAGGCGTCAAGACTTTCATTCGCAAAGGATATTCTGCCGGTATTTGTTGCACGGTGGTCCAGGTGGAATGCCTTCAAGGCGTTGTGGCGGGTGCCCCGCGGGTTTTCGGGCGACATTACTTTTAAACAAAGACTGCATACACGACACGGGAGAATACTCTGGCATCTGGGATGACGACACGGGCCCCAGAGGGCTTTTGGAATTTTAAATACTACAAGACTCGGTATGAGAAGCCTAGCCTATTACAGCATAATCTCTTGAGCATTCAAGACTCATGGCTCCCAAGGCCCGGGATAATGAACTCATGCGTCATCCCCTCTTCTTCTAACAAGGGCGATAATGAAACAGTCTCGGAAACCGCATGATTTCGTATAAGTCTAGCCCTGAACCGAAACTCCCCGCACCCTCTGCGTCATTGATGCTGGCTATAATCATATCCTACGTCCTCGCTACCGAAGTTTTGCAATCGCGCTTGGGTCACGGTGCCGTTAACATTTCATACCTCGGTGTCGCCGATATCTCGGGAGAGATAGGACTGGTTGACTGGGCGTGCCTTTTCCCTCTCGTGGACCTGCCACCTGTCCCCACCACGATTCAACGCTCCAACCCGTTGATTTGGGATTGCTCGTGGTCGATGCATTGGCGGCAGCTATTGACGTTGAAGAATGTGTGGGTGCCCTGCGGATACACCCACCAAATTTGTAACTAACAGAGTGTCCTACTCTTCTCGAATAGACGCGTCTCCTCGTCGCGCGATTATGTAGCCTCCCCGCCGAAATACTGAACTCGAGTCCATTCTAATTCTAGTTTCCCGGACACAACGGGGACACACCTGGTCATGAACGACAAACCATCTTCATACAAGTCAAAAGTCTAACATTCATATCGACTTCGTCTGTTCTCGCGATTGCAAACGCAAACGATGAGGATAGGCAATTGGTCTCTTTACAACTTGACGCCGACTCACCTGGCCGTGCCAATGGTCGACTTCCAAAGTGCTGTCTTGATCATACACCGTAAAGGTCAACAGGGATAGCTAGAATGCATAAATTCCCCGTGTTGAAGACGTCGGACGAGAGTCAGTCATGATTCTGTGCGAATTACAGCCAGGAAGACACCAGAAGGAGACTCTCTGCTGAGGGATTTTGTAACTTTAGACCACTCAAGTAGAGACTTTCGAGCACTCCTCAACTTTTTGTGCTAAAAATGCTTTGCTAGTCTCGCCAGTCGCACAAGGCGAGCCTAAACTGGAGGAGACTTGAGCAGATGTATCCATTTCGTCGTCCCCCTCGGGAGACTTGACGCCGCCCGTGACCCCCGAGTCTGCGTATCCTCCCAGGAGGGTCACCATTGAAGAGGGCAGTAGAATCAAAGCCCTGACCGTTCGTAGAGAGGCGGAAGGCCAAGCTTCGCGCCCCCACCGGACCCAAAAAGAGGAAAGAAGTCAAGTGTCTGAAGTTTGCTTTGATTATGGTGTACCTATCAGAATACATTGGTCAGCAGTTTTATGGATCAGATCACACTTCGAGGCCAGGCAGGTTGATGTATTGTTTCACTTGCTACATCATATTACGCTTCTAGGTCATCGTAATATTTGGTTACTGAGCGTCTCTATACCGCTTGGGCCATCTGAGGACACCTTTCTGCAACCAATACGTCAAGGTGTCGGTAGACCCTTTAATCCGTCACCGTGGCTGGAGATAAAGTCTGCTTTGCGACATTTGTCGAGAGCGAGAGATTGAGCATATACACACCGTTATTGTTTCGTCTGTTGGCATACTTGAGCTACAGTGAGTTTACTTCGCTATGTCAGTGAAAGGAGTGTGACTTGAGACGGAAAATCGAATGTTCGGTGGGCAAGCTTCATCACCGTCCTTGCCTCCATGGAGGATTGATTCCCCACAACGCCGTCGCTTAATGGCCTGGGAAATAGCGTTAGCTGACTTACTGCGTAACGATCTAGACGTCCTATGTACTCACTAAACTGCGTCAAGTCTGTGGCTGTTGCATCCTCGACAAAGGTGCGTCGACCTCGTGTGGAGGCTGGCATCACAGACGCCGACCATCTTGGAACCAACCACCTTGACAATGTCCGGCCAGGGCACATCCAAACCCAAGAAAAAATACAGGATTGTGGATCCCTCTGGATCTTCATCAAGCGCACACGACCAAACAAGCAAGCGTGGCCAAGTATACAACACGGCCAATGTCGGTCTCGACGTATTGGCAAACATCGCCGAGGGATCAGATATCCTCGCTCCTCTCAAGGCAGCTTGTAAAACAACACAATCGATCCTTGGAGTCGTCCAGGTCAGTTGGCAAGCTTGTTATAGCACGGCTTCATCTAACGAGTACGACAGGCGATAGAGAATAATCAACAAGAATGGGTCGATCTCATACAACGTCTGAAGGATTATATATCTGCGCTCGAGGAACGAATCGTATTGATCGAGGCGTATCCTGTACAGGGCAGGGCCATCGACAAGGCAGTCAGACAGCCGCTTGTTCGCTATGTCGAGTAGGTAAACAGTCTGAGTCTGTCTTAATGGACTGAGAGATGCAGATTCCTCAAAACTATGCATGATACGGTCATCAATCTTCAGGCCAAACGCGACCGCAAACTTGGCTTCTTTAAGTCATTCAGCAAAATGAAGATTGACGCAGGGGAGATCTTGAAACTCAATCGAGATATCGAAGAACGGCATAGGCACCTTATAGTACGAGCTTCATTAGTCCTAGTCAGAAGCTGACTATTTGACACAGGAGGCCTTGGGAGTGTTCACCGCCGTGCATGTTCAAGTCATCGAGGAGAGTACCAAGGTCATTGAGGAGAATACCAAGGTTCTTCTAACAGACGGTAAGCTGGAATTCTGTATGAAACCCCCGCTTATCATTCCCAGCCGATGTCTCTGCTATGCTCCAACTACCAATCGTCGCATTCGCTGCGTCCTCAGTCCACAGGACCTGCCTGAAAGGAACACGTGAAGCTGTTCTTCAGACTATCTGGCACTGGGCCGACGATGATACGTCAGAGAAGCCAATCTTTTGGCTTTGTGACATTGCCGGCTCTGGCAAATCGACAGTCGCAATGTCCGCGGCCGAATCGTGGCAGGAGAAGGGGAGTCCTAGGCGGCCGATTCTTCTTTTCCATATCAAGCAACGAAGCATCAACCACCGAAAAATTCTGCTCCACCATCGCCAGAGACCTTGTTCACCACATCCCCGAACTGGCGCCGCACGTGGCTGGTGCCGTGAAGCGGAATCTGTCCGTCATGCGAAGCTCCCTTGACGAACAGTTCAAGACACTCATCACGGATCCTCTCCTTTGTCGTCAAGGGCGCGTTATTCTTGTTATTGACGCTCTTGATGAATGCAAATCTGCATCACAACGACGAAAGCTTGTTGAAGCCGTATCTACGGCTGTTCGAGCAAACAAGAATCTCAAGATATTCATGACAAGTCGCCCAGACCCTGTTATCGACGCAGTCTTAGGGCCACTCTCCATCAAATCCAAGCTAGAGGACCGCCTGCACGATGTCCGTCACAGCGATAATATTGGTGATATTACAATCTATGTACACCAATCGCTAGATGGAATTCTGTCCAAAGAAAAGAGGCAGAAGCTGATCGACAAGTCCAACGGGCTGTTCATTTGGGCAAGCACCGCATGTCGAGTGCTCAGTGATTATACTAGCTTGATCCCGGCGGAAAGCACATACAATCGTCTAGTCTCGATGGATCAGGCTGGGGCCATAGATGATCTGTATAGCCTCATCTTCGAGCGGGTAGCACCCGAGTATCATGCGGTCATGTATCAAATGCTTGCTCTCCTACTCGCCGCATTTGAACCTCTCACCGCCGACGACCTGGACGACATCCTGAAGCATGCTGGAGTAGAGGGAAGCGCAAGCGCGTTGGTGCGGAATCTTGGAAGCGTACTCACAGAGGATGGAGCCACAAAGCAAATCCAATTTCGTCATCCAACTCTCGTTGAGTACCTTCGACGCTGCTCCAGTAACCCTACTGTCGAAGCGCACAATAAGGTATATATCGACATGGCCAATGCACATGGTCGAGCGGCATCATGGTGTTTCAAGAGCCTCCAGTCACGAACTGAAGGTCTAAAGTTTAATATATGTCAACTTGAATCATCTTTCTATCTAAATAGGGAGATTCCAAACTTGGACGCCAAGGTATCAAAGTTCATTTCCAGACGACTTCGGTATGCCAGCTCTCATTGGTCGTTTCATGCGGCGGAAACCAACGACAATTGGCGATCAATACTCAAAAAGGAACTTCATAATATTATACAAGTTCCACATGTACTATACTGGATGGAGATACTGAGTTTTATTGGAGGTGTACCACGAGCAATCACTGGCCTTCGGGCTATTCCACGCCAGAGAGTGAGTGCCTTATCGCATGTAATTTTACTGTCTCACGCAGTGAACAGCTTGAAGAGGAGGTCCAAAACGGCATAAACGAAATCCAACGATTCTTGATGGCGTTTTCAGTGCCGATTCAGGACAGCGCTCCACACATCTACATCTCTGCGCTTCCTTTTACTCCGACAAAGTCGAATCTGCATATAGAGGGCCTCAAAATGCATAGGAATACTCTGGAAGTAACTCGAGGGCTCGAAGCAACGTATCCTGGGCTGCCTATAGCTCTTCGAGGTCACCAAGGCAGGGTCAACGCTGTCGGATTCTCGCCAGATGGCTCACGGATCGTCTCTGGCTCGTGGGACGAGACAATTCGACTATGGGATGCAAACACTGGTCAGTCGTTGGGAGAGCCACTCCGAGGTCACCAACGCTCGGTCAAGGCCGTCGGATTCTCGCCAGATGGCTCACGGATCGTCTCTGGCTCGGAGGACATGACGATTCGACTATGGGATGCAAACACTGGTCAGTCATTGGGAGAGCCACTCCGAGGTCACCAAGGTTCGGTCAACGCCGTCGGATTCTCGCCAGATGGCTCACGGATCGTCTCTGGCTCGTCCGACATGATGATTCGACTATGGGATGCAAACACTGGTCAGTCATTGGGAGAGCCACTCCGAGGTCACCAAGGCTCGGTCAAGGCCGTCGGATTCTCGCCAGATGGCTCACGGATCGTCTCTGGCTCGTCCGACAAGACGATTCGACTATGGGATGCAAACACTGGTCAGTCATTGGGAGAGCCACTCCGAGGTCACCAAGGCTCGGTCTGGGCCGTCGGATTCTCGCCAGATGGCTCACGGATCGTCTCTGGCTCGTCCGACAAGACGATTCGACTATGGGATGCAAACACTGGTCAGTCATTGGGAGAGCCACTCCGAGGTCACCAAGGCTCGGTCAGGCCGTCGGATTCTCGCCAGATGGCTCACGGATCGTCTCTGGCTCGGACGACAACACGATTCGACTATGGGATGCAAACACTGGTCAGTCATTGGGAGAGCCACTCCGAGGTCACCAAGGCTCGGTCAACGCCGTCGGATTCTCGCCAGATGGCTCACGGATCGTCTCTGGCTCGGAAGACAAGACGATTCGACTATGGGATGCAAACACTGGTCAGTCATTGGGAGAGCCACTCCGAGGTCACCAAGGCTCGGTCAACGCCGTCGGATTCTCGCCAGATGGCTCACGGATCGTCTCTGGCTCGTGGGACAAGACGATTCGACTATGGGATGCAAACACTGGTCAGTCATTGGGAGAGCCACTCGAGGTCACCAAGGCTGGGTCTACGCCGTCGGATTCTCGCCAGATGGCTCACGGATCGTCTCTGGCTCGTGGGACAAGACGATTCGACTATGGGATGCAAACACTGGTCAGTCATTGGGAGAGCCACTCCGAGGTCACCAAGGCTCGGTCAACGCCGTCGGATTCTCGCCAGATGGCTCACGGATCGTCTCTGGCTCGTCCGACAAGACGATTCGACTATGGGATGCAAACACTGGTCAGTCATTGGGAGAGCCACTCCGAGGTCACCAAGGCTCGGTCAACGCCGTCGGATTCTCGCCAGATGGCTCACGGATCGTCTCTGGCTCGTGGGACGAGACGATTCGACTATGGGATGCAAACACTGGTCAGTCATTGGGAGAGCCACTCCGAGGTCACCAAGGCTCGGTCAACGCCGTCGGATTCTCGCCAGATGGCTCACGGATCGTCTCTGGCTCGTCCGACAAGACGATTCGACTATGGGATGCAAACACTGGTCAGTCATTGGGAGAACCACTCCGAGGTCACCAAGGCTGGGTCAACGCCGTCGGATTCTCGCCAGATGGCTCACGGATCGTCTCTGGCTCGTGGGACATGACGATTCGACTATGGGATGCAAACACTGGTCATTCATTGGGAGAGCCACTCCGAGGTCACCAAGGCTCGGTCTACGCCGTCGGATTCTCGCCAGATGGTACACAAATCATCTCTGGCTCGCAGGACAAGACAATCCAAGTGTGGAATACCGACACCGGTAAATATAACACTATAATATTGACTATATGACACGACTTACATGTCCTATTAGATGCCAACGGGGATAGCCCTGGCCAGGACGACAGAGAACTGTCAGAAAGCTCTTACTTGGGAATCGCTGTCCCTGGATTTATGCACTGCTCTCTTTCGCAGGATGGCTGGGTGTTATCTTCTGGCAAACGTCTCTTCTGGGTGCCGCCAGAAAACCGGTATGGCCTCCTAAATCCCCGCCTTCTTCTCAACATACCAACAACAACTTTTTTCCGTGCAACCAAGCTTGATTTCACTCGTTTTCGATGTGGCCTTTCTTGGACGAATGTTCGAACAGACGCTCACTTGTGATTGATTTCTGTATTAATATATTACATTCCTTTTGCCAGTGCGCAAGGAACCTTAGAGGCGACGAGTCTTCTCGTAGAGCAACTCATACCCAGTGGCATTCCTGTAGTTTCGATTGTGTGGCAACATTTTGGACCTTGAGTGGGAGGGTCTATTATCTAGCATCTCTTTGTGGTGGACCCGTGACTACTTTTTCCTCTCCAGAATTTGAACGTAAGTGACAATGTCTGGCAATCCCAGACGCTTTGACGATTATGGAAGGTAGATTGTACGAGATATCGAAATCACGACCTCGCTGAACAGTGACTAGACATCATATTCTGCACTAAAATGCTACTGGAAAGCTGGAAAAGGTGCTCACAGGGGAAGGTTTTAGTGGATATTCCTATGCTCGAGACTGTAGAGGTATAGCCTCTACACGCGAAGCAGAGGCGAGTCCCACACTACGTCCTTGGGACGTGCCAGTGCATAATGCATTTCCTCACCCTCCTCCCAACTTTTTTTTTTTAAAAAAAAAGAAAAGGTGCTCACATATCGACCATGATGCCCAGTCTTGTCTGCGGACGAAAAGGCTTTACTTTCGCTATTGATTGAAATGGAAATAAACGGATTTATAATTTATCTGAGATTTTAGACGAAGATGTGCGGGCAACGACATTATTTGAACTGCCACCTGGCAGCAAACCAAAACTTCGACTCGTCCTCGATATCCCAACGTCCGCCAACATGAGCGGCTGTAAGTCTCTGAACAGCTTAGCAATGTATTATCAACTGATAACCACTCTCTGCTTGCTTCCGCATCGTCTACGGACCCTTGTCCGCCTGCTTCGCTGGACGCGTGACGAGCAGTCCGATTCCTCAACCTTGTGCGGCCATTCCTGCCTATTCTTCCAGAAGTCTCATCTCCTGAACGCAAGGTATGCTTTCTCTCTCGTCGTCGGCGCTCATTTCGGCGCCGTTCTCTGGCCAGCGCATGAATGCTGACGAGCGCGTGTGCATAGGTCCCGTTCAACCAAAAAGTGCTCTGGACAGCAGTCACACTTCTCATCTTCCTTGTGTGCTCTCAAGTACCGCTCTATGGCATCGTCTCCTCCGACTCGTCAGACCCCCTCTACTGGACTCGTGTCATTATGGCTTCCAACCGAGGAACGCTCATGGAACTTGGTATCACACCCATTATCACATCCGGAATGATCATGCAATTGCTCTCGGGAGCCAATTTGATCGAGGTCGACTTTGGTCTCAAGGAAGATCGCGCTCTGTTCGGTAGCGCACAGAAGTGTCAGTACACGAAATAGAAAATTCACATACTCTCTTCTGACATTTCGACAGTGTTTGCTCTCATCATCTCGCTCGGCCAGGCTACTGTCTACGTGTTGACCGGCATGTATGGCCCACCGTCTGAACTCGGAGCCGGTGTTTGCCTCTTGCTCATCGTCCAACTCGTCGTTGCCGCACTGATTGTCATCCTCCTCGACGAGCTCCTCCAAAAGGGTTATGGTCTTGGGTCCGGAATTTCGCTCTTTATCGCGACCAACATTTGCGAGAACATTATCTGGAAGGCATTCTCCCCCACGACTATCAACACTGGTCGCGGCCCAGAGTTTGAGGGAGCCATTATTGCCCTTTTCCACTTGCTCCTCACCTGGAACGACAAGTCTCGTGCACTCAAGGAAGCCTTTTACCGCGAGCGACTCCCCAACATCTCGAACCTCATCGCTACCCTTGCCGTCTTTGCCGTCGTCATTTACCTCCAAGGCTTCAGGATCGAGATTCCGGTCAAGAGCAACCGCTACCGTGGCCAGCGAGGCAGTTATCCCATCAAGCTGTTCTACACGAGCAATATGCCCATCATGCTGGAGAGCGCTTTGACCAGCAATCTCTTCATCGTCAGCCAGATGCTCTTCAGCCGCTTCCCGAGCAACCTCTTTGTCAAGCTTCTCGGTGTTTGGGAGGTTAGTGAATGATCCAATTATTGACCTCTGTGCTAACTACTTGAATAGCCCCTCGAGGACTCGACGCAACTCCATGCCGTTTCGGGTCTTGCGTACTACATGTCGCCCCCTCACACCGTCAAGGCCGCCCTCCTCGACCCCATCCACACTGTCATCTACATCACGTTTATGCTCAGCGCTTGCGCACTCTTCTCCAAGACCTGGATCGAAGTCTCCGGCTCTGGCCCACGAGACGTTGCCAAGCAGCTCAAGGAACAACAAATGGTCATGGCCGGTCACCGTGAGCAGAGCATGTACAAAGAGCTCAAGAGGATCATCCCAACTGCCGCCGCCCTTGGTGGTGCTGTTCTCGGTATCCTCTCTGTCACCGCAGACTTGATGGGTGCCCTCGGCAGTGGTACCGGTATCCTCATGGCTGTCACCATTATCTACAGCTACTGGGAGATTGGAATCAGGGTCAGTTCTCGTGTTTTATCTTTGAATGTTTACTCATGGCTCGTCTAGGAATCTGGTGGCCCAGACATGGCGGCCCTCGGAGATCTCTTGATGTAAATCAGAGAACGTGTTGAGGGAACCGCCTCAAGTAGCAATCGTTGAGAGACGGTCTCCTGGTTGAGCGGGGAGAAGATGCTGGACACGAGATGCAGGCTGCTCGCACACGTGCACGATGATGCACGGGAAAACATTACCTGGTAATCCGACCTTACGAGGACGTGTGGGATGAGGCGTGATGATTTGTTAACTCACTGTAGTTTCCCTTATTTGCCTTTTGGTTTTTATATCACCCTCTTTTCCGACCGAATCCCTTTTGTCCATTACAATCCAAACGACACTCCAAGAGCGCTATGTGTAGCTGCTTCCAACATATCTCGCCTTTTCCCCATATCCTCCTGAGCCAGGCTGGTCGGTGGGTTTTGGGAGAGGGGACAGGCGGGCAAGTTCGGTTATGACATCGTCTATGACTTCTCCATCTTCTGCATGCTGCCGGAATCTATGATCGTGTCAGCAGGTCAAGCTACCGCTATTGCACAGCACGCACGATTGGACATGAGCGCTAATTGCTGTTCGCGCATTTTCCCCCCAATCCGACTCTTGGATGTACTGCATACCGTGCTGGGTATTGACCCTGAAGTAGATTCTCCTGTCGTCTCTGGAGAAGCTACTTTGGATCTCTTGGTGTTTGCGTTCGCAGTCTTTTGCCAGTCGGAGCATCACGTCGTGTACTTTTTGCTCTGGATCCGACTGCGCGCGTCCAGATATCCAACTCCAAACACCCTTGGATTGTTTCTCTTCGATGAGAGAAATGACTTCTCCCTTTCCACACCCGATACTGACGATGCAGCCAATGTCCGGTGGTGGATAGTGACCTTCTCGCCGATAGAGTGCCTCCTTTTCGCGAATGAGGTAGCTGACCGGATTGTTTGCGCCAAGCTCTGCGTTGATGAATTCTTGTTTAGACCAGGATGGACCGATGTAGATTGACTTGAACAGGCTGGGTGAGGCCATTGTCGCTCGGATGGCTTCCCAGATCATGCAATTGGCCTCTGCATTAGCTCGTACTCTATACGTGCGGAAGAGTGCTGGGTGGCCTATATTCTGTGCTCGCATGCTGGTCACCGCGCTGGCAAGATTGTGAGGACGAGACGAGTGATTAATCCAAACTCACACGTGACAGCTCTTTCCGTTTAGATTCTGTTCTCCGTTGACGTACATCAGGGAGTTCCCGTCACCAGTGTATTCCTCGACAAGATCCTGGGCCCACTGCTCCAATTTTTGCGCATCGAAGAGCTTTCCTTCGGTGTCGGGTGAATCGAACACTTCATCGAGTCCCTTCCATGCGTTATAGCACTGCTCTATCGACATTCCTAGTCTTCCAATCATCAAAGCGGTAATGCCACCTGTCCCACTAAGTAAGGTGAGTTCGGTAGCCAGCCATCATACGAGACGATGATCACCTTCCAACAATGATATCCTAATAGAGCTTGCTTAATATCTACGACAGAAATAAGACACGGGCTTACAAAATATTGGCAAGGGTATAAGTTGGCTGCCGAGAGAGTCTCAGATTCGTTGCCGTTTAGACGTTGCTCCAGTCCATAGGTAATGTGACCTAATAGCAGTAACTGCGACCAGCCTCTGGCCCCACCACCGTCTTGACACATGAGTTAGGGTGGCATCGAACGACGTGGAACCCACCGAGACTCAAAAGGCGTGGCTCTCTGCGGGTAGACATGGGGCTCTCTAAATTCTAGAAAAAGAGTCGGTGGCCGATGAACTGTGCGGAATTGGTCTTCCACGGCAATGCTGGATTTGAGCGGGCAGTCGGGTTCTATGACCAATATGGTTCGGATGAATTCCTTTCGATATATTGGGAAGCACGAGGAAGTTTGCGGAAACGTGCGGACGAGGAGCTGCCCAAGTTGCGAAAGCGCCGAGGCTGCATATGCCAGTCACGCCTCATCGAACAGTCTGGAAAGTTGTACAAATACTCTTGGTCATCTTTCATCTAGCTTGCGTTGACAAGCCATGAATCGTCTCTTATATCCAGACTAGACAACAGTACATGGTAACAGATGGGCTATAGTGTTAAAAGAACATGCTCCAGTTATTGGGCCGGCGCCCGAATGACTCTCTTTGCGAGAACGGAGTGAGTTGGCGAGATATGGAGAGGCCAGCAGCCTGAGGAGCAGGAGAACTATCGACCGTCTCCAGATCATCCGGATCAGGAGCCTCTTCATTGTTTGTATCCTCAAAAGGTTCCAGCGTCGGGACTTGACGTGGTGAGGGCTCATCAATAGAGCCACTGGTCGGATGGGAGCTAGCTCTGAGCCCACCAGCTTCGACAAGATCCATGAAATCCCGCAAATCCGTCGTATTGGGACTCTTCTTCTTGATTCTCCTCGATAGAAGTGGGAAGGCTTCCTCGGCGAGAGGAAGGGCTAGGTTGCAGTCACCCAGTTCGTAATGGCACAGTGCAAGCCTCATCTTTGCCGAGGGTACGAGCACCTGGTCCTCTGCGCTCGTGGATGACCCAGCTTCGGCCAATAGTTCCTTTAAGACTAGCATTGCTTGGTTCCACACCTTTTCCTTCATCAACACCTCCGCGAGCGCAAGTCGAGACCGAAGAGTGGCAAGAGAGCCTGAGCCCTGATCGCGCCGAGCCTTCTCGACATTTTCTGCTGCAAGAGTGCGCGCTTCCTCTTGTCGACCCGCAGATACCAGGATGCGAACCATCCAGTTTGTACTCTCCCTGACTGCAGAGTCCATCTCTCCCTGGGTCGCAACTCGCAGAGCTAATTCTTCCGTCCGTAAGCTCTCCGCTTCTTCAAGGCGTCCAAGAACCCATAGTATGCGCGAGATCCATGCAGTGACGTTGAGGTATTCAACGTGGCTCTTTCCATGGAGATCGAGGCGGCTTTGCGCAATCCTCTCTAATATCTCGAGAGATTGTTCGTACTTCTCGTTCTCAAAGTATGCTCGTGCGACCCATTTCTCAGAGGTCAAGAGGCTCGGAAGAGTTGATGGTATCGCCTTTCGGTCTTCAAAGACCTCCCACGCCAATCTTTCCATTTCTTCCAAGCGTCCTAGCTCACCAAGTAGTTGTACAAGCCAACTCTGGGCATTTGCAAGGGCTTCGCTGCGGAGAGATGAGTGGAACTATGAATCCACAAGTTGTACTCACTTGGGAGGCTCGTTCCACGACTTGCGGCCCTCAATTTCCTCCTCGCGTAGGCGAAGAGCTTCCTCCCACTGACATTGCGCATGATTCACTCGAGAAAGCCAGCCGATACAATCCAAGGTGTGCTGGTTTTTTGGGCCCTCTAGCTTCGTCCAATCCTCGACAAGTTCGGTAAAAGCAACTTTGGCGAGGTCATACTTGGCCCCATGAAAGTAGGCACGAGCTAGCCATTGGCGGGCATTCAGTGTGTCCGAGTGCTCCGCCCCATTCAGGGCCAATCGTCCCTTGACCAGATCCCTCGAGTGCTCTTCCATTTCACTCCAATTCTCCAGCTCGCATAGGCATCTGACCACCCAGCTGAGGCTGTTAAGGTAGTCGCCACTGTTTTCCCCTTGCGCCTGTTTGCGACCGGCTATCTCCTCCAACCTCCATTTAGATGATTCGGCATTATGGCCCAATTCGTACTCTGCTTGCGCAATATACCGCATAGTGTTGAGATAGGAGTGAGAACTTGGACCTAACACTTCCAATTGCTCACCCAAGAGGGACAGAAGCATATCGAGGCCCTCTTGGTTCTTTCCTTCCAACAGTCTTGAGCGGGCTTTATACTGTTTAGCGAGCAGTGTATCGGGAGCCCTTGGTCCAGCAGTTTCTAGACGACCTTCGAGGAGCTCCGTAGTCAGATCATCGAGATCAGCGACCTTGTTTTGATCAATCAGCGACTGAATCAGCCATGATAAGCTAACAAGGTATTCGCTGTGTTTGACTCCGGTAACTTTCTTGCGCCCCTCAAGCTCCTCTCGCCGAAGAACCTCTGCATCGTAATACCGTTTCTGGTCGTGGAGTGCACGGCCTAACCACGATGCAGCGTTCCATACTTCAATGGCAGCGGTACCTTGCAGCCTCTTCCTCTTCTCAAACTCTTGTCTCCTCATCTCTTCAGCTAGCTTGTGTTTGCCCTCGTAGAAGGCAGCAATACCTCTCCACCCAAGTGCTACACAAGTGTCGATGTGATCGTCCCCCAGTATCGCGCGACGTTTCATCAAGAGCTCTTCCGTAAGAGATGGTAGCTTCTCGTACTTCTTTTGATCCTGAAGCTCCCTACATAACCACGAAAGAGCATCGCAGTAAGCCACGCTCGAATCGTCCTGCAGTTCCACACGGAGGTTCAGCTCTTCTTGGGAGAGAGCTTCTGCGTCGGCGTATTTTTGCTGCTGTCGGTATGCACGTGCCAGCCAGGCCATATCGTTGGCAATTGCAACTTTGTCTGGATCCTTCATGAGCCTTCGCGTCTGTATTGCCTGCAACCAAAGAGCCTCCGCCTCCTTATATTTTTGCTGGTCCATCATAGTTTTAGCTATCCATTCCATTGTCGAAAGTGTTCCTTCATGCTGCATGCCATATGCTGATCTCTCGAGATGAAGGATTTCCTTTTGAAGCTTGGAAGCTTCTTCATGGCGTTCTTGGGAACCATAGCAATCTGATAAATCCGCCATCGTTTCAATGGTATACTGATGTATTTGGCCAAGTGATTCCTTGAGTATGTCGATGACAGAGATTAACAACTTCTCTATACAGTGAGTTAGACCATGTCACTTTGAGGTACCCATATACTGGCCTTGGTCTTTAAACCGATTTAAACAATTATACGTGGCCGCCAAGGCTTCCATTGCATCGGCAGAACGCCTCGAAGTCGGACCTGTAGTACGAATGGCAGTGGCCAAGACCTCCTCACGTATTTTCAAACTCTCGTCATACTCCCCTTTGTCGTTCAGGGTTGATGCGAGGTTTGCGAGAGCGGTCAGTGTCTCCAGATGATCGCGTCCTAGGAGCTCTTCTCGGATTGAAACAGCTTCCCTTTCCATCTCCTCCATCTTTTCCACATCCTCAACTTCTCCGTACGCGTCCGCAAGCTCTAGGGCTATTCTACTCGTCCGAACATCCTTGTCACCATACTGGCTTCTGATTTTCTCGTAAATCTCGGAGAGGACTCTGAAACGTGTGTCGCAGTCGTCATCAAAGCCAAGGAACTGTGCAAACGCAACAGCGTCGTTTGGATGTAGTTCCTCCCATGATGATACAAGAGTGCGGACGTGAATTGATAAATGTGGGAATAATAATATGTTGTCCCAGTCCGCTACGGAGGCAATCAGCCGGATGGCGGCGTCGTGGTATTTCTTGGCTTCGTCTGGAGTCATGCGGTCTCGAGCCCATGAGTGAACAAGAGGGTGAAGCCGCAGGGTGACAATGGCGCCCGTCGAGACAAGAGATACCAAGGAATACTGCTGGAGCTCGTCTAGCATATCCACGAGCTCGTCATCATCAAAGATTTCCTCTGGGCAGAAGATCTCTCGGAGAAGTTCTACTGTGTCTTGATAGTTGGGAGGCCGATCAAGCAGTTGGCACATTTCATACTCGAAATGTGACTTTGCAGCGGCGGCGATTAGCGGTTGTGGAAAGTCGGCATAGTGAACCATGGACAAGATGTTGAGCAGTTGACGAGACTTGGGTGATAGCACATCTAGCGTGACATCGAATGCTGCGTAGACGCTATGGTCATACTTGAGTTTTTCTCGAGTGCGAGCTGGCCGATCGAGTAGTTTTCTTCGATTATGCTTGAGGCGCATTGTGTACTGACGTAAACAATGCTGACTTTTGATGTAACAGCCAGCTTGCACTGGGAAGAGTTAGCAAGTGTAGGACGTTATTGAAGGAGAAAGCCGACCAATAGCAACCGGAAGATAGCCTAGTTGCTGTACTATCTCTGCTGCAATCTCCTTTTCATCATCAGTTGGTGTTGTCCGGGCTCCATCGCCGAAGCCAAAAGAGCTTCGATCGACTCTTCGCTAGACATCACGCCAAGCTTCAGGTGTCCTCTCGGAGACAGAGCCCCAAGGTTCATGTTGCGCGTTGTGACTAAAATAGAACCATGCTCGCACTCCGGAAAATAATCTCGGAGATCGAGAAGGTTAGAATCCGCATTATCAAAGACGAGCAACCAGCGCCTTGTCACTATCGAGTCTGGGTGGGCCAATAGTTGAAGAATGTCTTCTACTGCCTGAAACGTATATTCTCGCCCTAAAGTACGCACTCGGGCAATCAGGCTCGACTTGATAGTCTCGGCAGAGCTTGCATCAATAAAAAGGATGTGCTGATAGCTGCAAGGAATCAGTATACATACAATAAAAGATGCCACTCACCTATCCTCGTATTCACGACAGAACTTGAGAACACACTGAGTCTTTCCGGATCCACCAAGGCCAGAGATAATCATCACACGCTGTCCTAGATCATTTGAATCCAATAAGGTAGCGACCATGGCCTGCATAACTGCTGGTCGAGGGACGTAAAATGCTGACAAGGGAGGCAGTCCATGGGATGAGGCAAGTCCTCGAGGTCGCGCACGGACTGAAAAGAGTGTCAGGGAGAAATTTCCGAGCTATGAAATGAGCGTACAAAGTTGCTCCAGTGTCACGGCTGACGGAAACTCCGCAGTGCGTAAACAATTATCCATCGCGGCGCTTACTGCATCACCCTCGAGGTAGATTTTCGTATGCGAAAGGATCCCATTCACACCATCTTCGGATCGGATGAATTCGAGACCACGCTCAACAGAAAATCGTGAATATACGCCGAGGGATCCTATCCGCCGTTGCACCTCTTCGGCAGTCGCTTCACAATCTACTGCGAGCTGTTCTAGAGTCGAATAGACGTCTGATTCAGTGGCACCCAGCGATCGAACGGCAGCCTTGCCACTTCCTAGGCTGAGGAGGCATGAAACACGCGCATCTGGTCCGAAAAGATCAAAGGCCTCCTTGATGGCCACCAGTGTGGGATTATTATACCCGTTCACACTGCTGATAAGATTTTCGCCTCTACTTTCGTCCGGACCAACGAACACTGGTGAGAATAGACCAGGTGTAGCCCAAGCGAGCTTGATCGCCTGCGCAATTGTCATGTTTACTGGTGCGGATCTGGTAGGGTAGTTGCGAAGCAGTCTACAGGCTGCAATATTGGCCGTAGAAAGATAACCTATTGCCCTGTAGGATGTAAGACACTGCCCTCGTATATCAATCTTGACTCACAGGCGACAACTTCCGTTGAATTTGCCTTTGGTGTCCTCAAAGCTCGTGTCAAGGGGTATACTGTGCACTGTCAGGAGTTTGTTGATGGCCGATTCCAATAAATCCGTTCTCGCCGAAGGTTGACACCCTTCAGGAGGAAAAACCTGGGTACAAAGGCCCACAAAGGCCTCCATTGCATCTTGAGTAGATAACCTTAGGACTGCTAGGAGAATGCCGATTACACTATGAGGGCGGTTAGCGAATAACGGACAGAAAATTGAGACGCACGCTCCAGCACCAGAGGCAACTATCAAGTCAAAATACTCGCAAGGGTGAAGAACATTTCCTGTATCCATTTCCACTCGGTGTAAGAGCTGCCTTAAGATTTCAAGTTGGGACAAGCATTTTGAATCGCCGCCATCTGCACGTGTGGTTTTAGTAAACCAGAGGGGGATTAAAGAAGCTTGAGATCCACCCAATATAAGAATTTTCAACCGATCTGGCGTCTTGAGCCTCATCAAGGTGGCGACTAAGATATGAACTCGGCGCTTCCTGTTCCCATGATCTCGCCTAAATCAACCAATGTTGAGCTCGGTGATTGAAGATATAATCTCGAGTGAGGCCTCATTAAGTCAGAGCTTATTTTGGCTTTGCTACTGCGCCGAAGTAAGGACTAGAGCGGGGATAAATTACTGTCAAAGCAAGAAACCGGATTACAGTATATCGTCTAATTGTAACCTCGCTCTTCTTGTTTCCGCCACACTTTCCGCCTCCTGTGTTGATCTCTTCGATCGTGCTTGTCTCTCTTTGATCGTCCGAGCTTGTCGAGGTCAATACCAAAGGCATCCAGCATCTGGTCGATGGAATCATCCTCATCCGGTTCAACATCAGATGTCGCTTCGTTCTTCTCGAGTCGTCGTATTCCGCGCGCTCGGATAACCTCTCCATTCTTTGGCTCATGAGGAAAGAGATCTCCCCATCCCGCCTTGCGGGCATCGTAATAGTCCCTTTTGCCTTGTGACTTGGGAATGACTATACGAGCAATTTGTCCTAGGGAGACAATCAATGTTTATCGAGTAGAAGAGGAGATACGGACCATTAGGGGTACATGTATCCATTGTAACGTGGCCAGATCTCTTCATTGGACTGTATATAATACGCCTCCATGAATATGAACTCTGTCGCAGATGCTCTTGAAGCACTGTATCGGCTGCTTCTGTTTGATAGATTCGTTCCATTCCCTGGCGTTCGGTCTCCAAGGGGAGTGCATCACCCTCGTCGGGATATATGCCTTTGTCATCTTGGTTTAAAGGCTCGGAATGCACTATTTCGATGCCGTCTGAGCTATCCGCTGGTGCATGCTCCAGCGTGTCGACTGAAGGCACATCAGAGCGCTTATCTTGCCGAATGGGGTTCGAGGTCATCATAGAGGGATAGTAGGCAAGACGTTTGGGTAAAGGCGGCCTGGCACCCCTCCTAACGACAACATAGGAATATTGAACGTCCTCATAGAAACCTTTTGCGTGTTTTGTCTTCTTTTGAAACTCGGGTCGATGGAATCGCTGCGAGAAAGCGCAGACATCTGGAGTCGACTTTAGGGGACAGGCGCCGTCGTGTGGACACTTGCATCCCGTCAGTCACAAAATGCAAAGTATCGAAATCATACCGGAGCGACTATATGAGCTCCGCCTTCAGAGGCGTTCCCAAGTCCAAGTAGATAGTCTCGGGCATCAGCAACAGCGCGAAACCCTTCAGGTGTGCCTTGGTCGACAATAATCTAGCGCTGTCAGAAGGCGGTATTGGATTGATGTGAGTGACGCTTACAATCGTATCGGCCTCTGAGTCCCACATTTCTTTGACAAGTTGCTTTTTTGATGCAGAAGTCGGAAGTTGAGACAATACAAAAGCTGAGATCGCAATGGCTTGACGATGATCTCCTTGGATTTGCTGCAAGTCAAAGTCATTGAGCTCACGCCAAAACTGTCTGTGTATCACGGCACAGTCTCCAGTCATACGGTCTATTCGATGAGCATGGTCCACAGGATAAAGCGAGCCCTTTACCTCGCTCGATTCTTTTGGCTAATGAGACAAGACCTTGACGGTTGTCGAACCCAACGTAGCGTTTGACACTAGTTTCTTTGAGGGTCGTTTCCTGGTGTTCCCAACCTTCTTCCCGTTTCCCGAAGAACGTCAACGTCGACCTAGAGATCATGAGATCAGACCTGATCTCTTGGAACAAGACTTACCAGAAAGCGGCTCCAGTTTGGCTTCCAAAGTCTAGAATTGTCGTTGCCGTCCAGTCCCGAGGCGAGCGCAGCTTCAACTCATAGAGAACGGAAGTTATGGCAGCTGCTTGACCCGGGAGTGTAATAACGGCATACGCGAGCCCCTCGCGAGGGCCCTTTAATCGCTCATCTCTTGTGGATTCGTACTTAGGAGTGTCGGCGGTCCACCGTGACCTTGCCCCCAATGGAGTAGAGAACAGCCGTTTGGCATCCTGCCTTAATTGATGTTTATCACTTTCTGCGACCTTTTAGCTCAGGGTGGGTAAGAGTCTGAGACGTACCGTTGACGAGCATCTCCATAGAGCTGATGAGTTCAAATGGAAGTTTGATTTGGTTGATTCTATCACTCCCAAAGCGTGCTGCTGCCGATTTTCGCTTCCATTGGGTACTCTTCAAAGGTTCAGAAGAGGGACGAATATTCACCAGGCTGCTGTCGTCTTGGAGGTTCTCAGCGTAAGCATTCGCGGTTTTAAACGCGTCAGAAACTTGTCCAAACGAGTTTTCGTGCTTTTGAAAACTGATGTTGATGTCTTCGACGAGCTGCTTATCCGGGCCGTCCAGTTCTGCGGGCGGCGAGTTATTCAACTCTGCTGAAGATGCCTGAGAGGTGTTTGAAATGTATCTTGCATGCAATTGCAGACATGGACGCGTCGCCGTTCTCAGCATTCGGGCGGTCGAAGGGGTTGGCGCTGATCAAAGCTTGGTCTCTGTCACGTCCAGAGGCTACCTCCAAACCTTGACTTGACAGCCAAAAGAACGCGAACCTTTCATCATGGATGACGATGATGCCGATTATATGGAAGAGGCAAGTGCTCTCGAGCGACAGACCCGTGGTGGCTGATCATCTGCTTACCACAGGAGGACTTCAACTACTCTGATGGATCTGGAAACGCAGAACAGGATGATGACGATTTTGAAAACCGGTACTATATCGCCAAAGGTACCGTGCGATCAATGCGCATTGTGGCTAAGCGCCTCATCTCCTCCAGGCAAGAAAGGCGACGATCCAGAGGCAGCGTTGAAAGACTTTCGATCCATAGCTCAGGATGAACCAGAAAAAGGAACCTGGTCAGTCCTAGCCATCTCAAACCAACCGAAAGTCGACTGAATCAGAATGATTTACAGGGGGTTCAAGTCGCTGAAGCAGAGCACAAAGCTACTCTTCCTGGTCCTAAAGCGACCGAAGGATGCCCTTGAGACATACAAGTCACTGCTCACTTACACCAAGGCGGCAGTCACACGAAACGAATCGGAGAAGGCGATCAATGGCATTCTTGACTATGTTGGAGGCGGAAAGGGTGGCGCAGTGGAAGTAGAGGTGTTGGAAAACTTCTACGAGGCAACTAGGAATGCCCTCAAGGACGCTAGGAATGAGGTGAGAGTGTACCAGGCTACGTTAGGCTCAATCTGATAGTCAAGCAGCGTTTATCAACCAAGACCAACCTCAAACTTGCCAAACTGTGGTTGGATCGTGGCGAATACGCTCGTCTCAAGAAGGCACGTATCTCTCACATGGATCGTCAACTGCCAGGATCTGAATCGCCTGTAGCTTCTGGATGAACTAAAGGCATCTGCTCAACAGGGAGGAGACGAAGACCAGGCCGCCAAAGGAACGCTCCTCCAAGAGATTTACGCTTTAGAAATCCAGATGTACAACGAGACAAAGAATTACAAGAAACTCAAGGAGATCTATTATGCATCCGGTCAAGTCACTTCGGCCATCTCTCATCCTCGCGTTGTTGGCGTGATCAAGGAATGCGGAGGCAAGATGTGGATGCGAGAGAGTGAGTCGAGCATGCCATCATCTCGAACAGTCACTTAAAACCTTTGAAGAGCAATGGCAACGCGCCTCTGAGGATTTCTTCAGCTCCTTCCACAACTATGACGAGGCAGGCTCTTCTCAACGTATTCAAGTGCTGAAGTACCTCGTGCTTGCCTACCTCCTGATGGGAAGCGAGATCGACCCTTTCGACTCTCAAGAGACGAAACCGTACAAGAACGACCCACAGATCAAAGCCGTCACTGACCTCGTCGGAGCGTACCAACGTAAGGAGGTCCACGAAGCTGAAAAGATTCTGCGCGAGAACCAGTCCACCTTCATGGACGATCCCTTCATCAAGTCGTATATCGGAGATTTGCTCAGGGCATTGAGAACCCAGTACCTCATCACGTTGATCAAGCCATATACACGACTGGACATGAGCTTCTTGGCTAGGGTAAAAACATCACCTATAGTATCCGAACAAATGTTGACTTTGGATAATAGCAACTTAATATCGGCAAGCCAGAGGTCGAAGAAATCTTGATCGGTCTCATCTTAGAAGGCAAGGTCGAAGGCCGAATAGACCAAGTCACGGAACGTCTAGAACTAGACCGACAGTGCGTACATATATTTACATTCTGGTGCATGGATTGACATTCCAAAGCCAAATCTTAGAGAAGAGACGATACCAAGCCTTGGATCAGTGGACTGCCACGCTCGAAAGTATCCACGCAGCCGTAGTCAACAAGACCGCCAGTCGAGGTGGGGGCCCCGAACCGTTTGAATTTGACGGGCCGCGATGGAGAGAATGAGCCAGCTTATAGTCATCCTGTATCTTGTTTGTCTCTACGCGAATTAGCCTTTGAATTTGTAATGCTATGGCTACATGAGATGTTACAACAGGGTGAGATCAAACCCTGTATCATATGAACCTAAGCTCAGCTCGAACCGTCCGCCTAATCGCTTTCGGCCATTTCACGGGCCAGGAAATCGTCATCATCGTCTTCGTCGTTCTCATCGTCGTCGCCGGTATCCTCACCCGTCTGGTCGGTAGTGTCTGCGGCTTGTGATTCAGGAAGGTCTTGAGTACTAGGCTTGCTAGGACCATTGGACAATGGTTCGTGATCCAGCTTTTGGCGCTTGGGAGACAAGCCTCGCGCTAGATCTGCCGCGTTGAACGAGAATCTGAGCCTTGAGGGAGTCGATGGAGTCGAATCGTCACTTCGTGGCCGCTTTATTCCACGCGTGGTTGGTGTGATACCCCCCATGTACCTAGAAGACGGTCAATCACCCCGTAGTGCTCATAGGAGTGCCTCACCGAGATTCGGGGGCTGCTTCGGCAGCAACCGACTTTGGTTCATCTTCATCTGCCAAATCCTCGTCTCCATCGTCATCGTCGTCGTCGCTGGCCAAGGCATCATCCACCTCTTTATCTATTTCGGCCCAATCAATGTGTAACTGAACGTCTTCATTCTGCTCGGGTTCCGCCGCCGGGGTGGGAGGAGACGATTCCTCATTCTCATTGCCGGGGGCACTGGATTGTGTATTGGGGCCATGTCCAGCAGCATCGTCTTCTCGACCCACCTTCGTCTCTCCCCCATTCGGAGGTGGTTCAGAGGTTTTGGTTTCGGGATCCTGAGATGAATTCTTGGGTTTGCGTTCCATCAAGTAGTTTGCCTCTGGCTGCCTTTCCCATTTTATCAACGAGTCGTTGAACCATTTAATGTTGACAACAAATATGTTGCCCTGAGCAAACGCCTTGTCTGCTTTGACTGTGCCGAGCTACGCGCCCAGTGTGAGAACAGAAAAGAAAACATTACTCCTCGATCCTACCTTGTTGGTAACGAGATGTGTGACTTGAGGATTGATATCGACGTGACATGTCGCACCAAACTCCAAAGCAGCTTTCCAGATGGGTTGCCTGGAAGTACGTTAGAATGGGGTGAGCATGTTCATCAATCGTACCGACCTTTCTGGGCGTCCATCCAAGGGTAATATACCCGAGAACACAAGGTGAACACCAGCAAGTGTTTTTGCCTTGATTCCAGGTATGACACCTAGTACGTCGGGGGCTGATTGATTCCGTGACTTTTGCCGGGTGTCGTACAGTTTGTAGAACTCCTTGTGAATGTCACAGAGTATCCGCTCAATCCGATCAAGTTCGTGGTCATCGTTTTTCAGTAAAGGAATAGGTGCCGAGGTTGCGGGTTCGTGTTCCTTCTCATCGCCCCCACTCGGGGAAGAGACTTTGGCGACAAGGGCCTCTTGAGCCTTTTCCAATGGCCTCTCCTTCAATTGCTTAGCGGCATCCTCGGCTTGGATCTCTTCCTGCTTGGCCACCTCGCTCTCAGGGTCAACATCTTCTTGAGGGAGTTCTCCAGTCTTCGGGTCTGCGGGAGGCACGGCATCAGCGGATGCTTGCTTTGGCAGGAAGGACGCATTGATGTCGCCAGTCCCCACGAAAAATTCAACTAGCAGGAGTTCAGGACAAGCGCAAATAAGCTATGACGACGAACATGGAATTACTCGCACGAGATTGGGACTCCAATTCCATACATCCGCCCTATCGTCAATGACGACGACCATAGATTGATCGGACGGGAATAAGCGCTTGAGGTTTTTGACCCTGTCACCTAAGCATGGCATGAATCCGCTGGTCGAGGGTAGTGATTATCTTGCTTACTTCCACTTTCGTTTCGTGACAACACACGAGACCCAAACCATGCACCAGAAGGATCGAGCGCGGCACAAATCGCATTCGCATAGGAGCGCACACCCATTGTGTATACGTGCATCTCATAGAGCTCGCTGAGGTTGTTCATGAAACGCTGAAGACCTGGCCTAAAGTAATAGTGAGCGTATATTCTGCAAAAAATACTGGGGTAATACCGAGGCTTGACATAATATCGTTCAGAGTGGCCCATATGACCGTGGTCGCTAGGTAGCTGAAAGCTGATGACGTCCTCTAACGCCGGCCAGTTAACACTCTCTGGAGGCGGATCATGGTCTGGTGGTGTGGTGCTGCGGCGCTTCTCGAAGGCGTCTTTGGCCTTGATCCACTCGCCCACGGTAGGGTCAAATGTCGCGTGAAGAATGGTCTGATCCAAGTCGACAATGAGAGACAGCTTTCTGTTTTTAAGAAGGCGGTCCGTGTTCTCTCTTTCGATCTTTGCGGCGACTTCCTGCGATAATAATGGGCCCTCGGCGCCGTGGTCCATCTTGATTTTAGCCCTCTCTGTTCCAGCGATGGACATATAATCGACTCTGATATAGAAATCATTAACGAACATTCTGCCAAAACGAGAATGGCACTGACTCGGTCATGTCCTTACCGCAGTCGGCGCACATGCCCATAATTTGGGTGCCGTGCTTGCATGGCTCTGTGACGACGAGGACAGGACCATAGTCTTTGTCAACTTCGTCTCCAAGGTCAATGTTCCATAGGTCGACCCGGCCTTCAACATAAGACTCCCAAGTGCCATAGCATGTCTCTGTCGTCTTGTCTTCGCGCAAATAGTGCTTGTACGAGTAGTAGAGTAGAGGTGTTCCTCTTTGAATGTTATCTCCAGCCGCAACCAGAATCTTGGTGACTTTGATGGGGTATGGTAAGCTTTTTGGAAGGACGAGGTCGGTGGGCTCGCTCATCAGCAATAAATTCGAAAGATAGCGACCAGTAAAGGTCTTGAGATGCAGTTAAAATGCCAGCGACGCGTCGTCGGCGGTAAAGTAGACCAAGGCGACCGGGAATAACGCACGTAAATTGTTTGGCTGTCGCGTTTGGCACCTTGACCCGCGCCATATCGCACGTGAAGGGCGAAATGACAGACAGGGAGACAATATCAGCGATTGATAATCCTCAAAAGGAGGATGCAAATGCATTTCTGGCGCAGCTTGGCCTGGACGCCCTCCCATCAGCAGAGCAACTGCGATCAGAGCTTGAGGACGAACTTTTAAAACCAAAATGCAACTTTATCTCACAAAGGGTAGATCAATATCAAATGTGGGTCACTTCTGGGGGATTATACCGTGTTTTGATAGCCCGCTAGCCACTGGGAGCAGTCTCTCGATATACAGGACTTGTTCTCTTTGGAACCGAGCTCATCGCCTCTGAAACTAAGCTACAAGAGGGCAGGGTTGGATGGAAGAGTGATCGGCGTTACGGAAGTGCGTGCAGCAGACTCTCAAGAGACTTCGATCGATTAAAAGGTCTACTAGACCCGAGTCTCTAAAACTCTATCCGCACTCAATTCAACATCCATGCAAAGAGCGGCTGCTCCTCCTGGCAGCTTCGTACGTGGCAAGTCTGGCCATGTACCATTCTGGCCCGGTGGCTTGGACGAAGCTCTCGGGCTTGACGAAGATGCAGTCAACAGAAATGGCACAAGCGGTCTTCAGACAATTCCACCAGGCTTTACGCGTGGGCTCAGATTACCAGGCGAGGTGGACGAGGCCGAGCTCATAAACCAGGTCGCGGACCACATCACGAGTGAGCCGAAGGTAACGACACTGCCAGTATCGACGGTGCATGCACTTAACTTTGGCGACAGTTGTACGAAACTGACGTTCCAGTCACCCGCCCGCCACCTGAGCATTCCGAGATTGACGAGCTACTCCCACTCTCTGTGAGGCTATATCTCGTCTGAAGTGTCGAACTGACAATTGTAGCGTGTACAAGTCTCTGGGACAACGGTCCCAAAGCAGCAGAAACGCTCTTTGCCCCAAAGGCGCGATTGGGCCCATGTCGTGGATGTCAATAAACCAATGCCACAAGCACGCTTCAAGCAGCTCGTGCCCGAAATGGCTCATAACGTAGGGAAGGGATAATCACCGGCTGCGCTACTGACCTTTTCCTCAGTATCCATTCGAACTGGACACATTCCAGAAGGAAGCAGTATACCATTTGGAGCAAGGTGACTCTGTTTTCGTAGCCGCACATACATCTGCAGGCAAGACAGTCGTCGCAGAGTATGCAATTGCACTGGCCGCGAAGCATATGACCCGGTATAGATCACCTAACTTGACTGAATGCCATCTAAATTTTTACAGAGCCATATACACCTCTCCCATAAAGGCCTTGTCTAACCAAAAGTTTCGCGATTTCAAGACGACCTTCTCTGCCTCTTCCGTGGGTATCCTGACAGGCGACGTCCAAATCAACCCTGAAGCAAATTGCCTCATCATGACAACAGAGATTCTACGCAGCATGCTCTATAAAGGCGCCGACTTAATTAGAGACGTCGAGTTTGTAATCTTCGACGAAGTGCATTACGTGAACGACGCCGAGGTTCGTCTTCAGTTGCAATAGTTACAGTTTCTGACTGCGATCAGAGAGGGGTCGTATGGGAGGAAGTCATCATCATGCTTCCAGATCATGTCAATATCATCCTGTTGTCCGCCACTGTTCCAAACACCAAGGAGTTCGCGGACTGGGTCGGGTTCGTATCTATTTGATTTACGTTTCTATACTGATACACCCATAGGCGAACCAAGAAGAAAGATATTTATGTCATATCTACTCCCAAGCGACCAGTTCCCTTGGAGCACTTCCTATATGCTGGAAAAGAAACGTTTAAGATCGTAGATGCCAAAGGCTCCTTCTTGTCTTCCGGGTAACTCATCGAAAACTATGGGGGTGACATGGATTGATCATTGTCAGATACAAAGAAGCTGGTGAAGCCTTGCGAAGAAAACAAGACAAAGAACGCGAAGCTGCGGGCCTTCCTCCAGTCCAGCGTCTCGGTGCTCGTGCAGCGGCTCCTCAGAGAGGCCAAAGAGGCGGTGGGCCTGGGCGAGGAGCGGCGACGCGAGGCGGAGGAGTCGTCAAGACCGGTCCCATGGGTGGTGCTCGTACATTCCATTCGGCTGACAAGAATCTCTACGTTCATCTACTTAATCACCTGCGCAAGAAAGAACTACTTCCGGTCGTCGTCTTCACCTTTTCCAAGAAGAGATGCGAGGAAAATGCCGCGACACTCACCAATGCCGATCTCTGTACCTCTGTAGAGAAAAGCGAGGTCCATGTGGCAGTAGAAAAGGCACTGTCAAGACTAAAGGGGACAGACAAGCAGCTTCCTCAGATTGGTCGAATGAGAGATCTACTCTCCAGAGGTATCGGAGTGCATCATGGGGGATTACTTCCTATTGTTAAAGAGGTCTCTTACAACCGTTTCATCTCCTCATCCAATCTCATTCAGTCTAGGTTGTGGAGATTTTATTCGCTCGGGGTCTAGTCAAGATCTTATTTGCTACAGAAACATTTGCCATGGTCTGTCACATGTCCTCATCCTCCTGTGTCTCATCCTATTTCCTAGGGCGTAAACATGCCGGCTCGATGTGTAGTCTTCTCTGGTATACGAAAGCACGATGGGAAAAGCTTTCGAGAATTACTTGCAGGAGAGTATACGCAGATGTCTGGTCGTGCCGGTAGACGTGGTCTGGATTCAACGGGTGTTGTGGTGATTGTTGCAGGAGACGAACTTCCAGAGGTGCGCAAGATTCTGAGATGTGCGCTCGGGTATTAACGCCTTTGCAGATGGCAACACTAAACAAGATGATGTTAGGAACGCCCTCGCGCTTACAATCCCAATTCAGGCTCACATATAATATGATCCTTAACCTACTTCGCGTTGAGGCACTAAAAGTCGAGGAGATGATAAAGCGAAGCTTCTCTGAAAACGCCTCCCAACGACTCCTACCTGACCAGCAAAAGAAGATTATCGAGGTACGTCGAGTCGGTATACCTGGACGTGACCTAAAGTTGGTCAGATTGAGGCGAAGCTAAAGAAGCTGCCTGATCTTCAATGCGATGTCTGCACCCCTGACATTCAAGTTGTGTACGATCTTAGTAAGGAGATTATATGGCGCCACCAAGACTTATTGTCTACTGCTGCGAGCCAGCCGGCGGGTACCAAGCTGTTTGCACCAGGAAGAATTGTGATCCTCCGAGACGGGGTAGGTTCAAATAGACTGCTCGGTATTAGAGCTCATATCTTTTCATAGCACTTCTCGGGCAATATCGCCGTTCTCCTCAAGAAGGCACCGTTAGCTTCTGTTGCCCAAGACGGAGGCCAAAAGCTTGCTCCGTATTTTGTTTTGGCTCTAATAGATCCAGAAACAAAGCAGAAAGGTGCACGCTTCACAATGAACGAAACATAGTACTAACTCTCCAATAGCGCATGAAAAGCAATCTATCCCACCCATATGGGATATCAAACCTGAAACGCTGATGCAAGAGGAAAGGGCATATGATGTCTGCATTGTTCCAATTAGCAGTATCCTGCGAGTTACGAATCGCGTGATCAAGGTGATGAGCGAGGAAAGAGAGTGTGTGGTTTGCTGACGCGACATATAGCCGGATATCGATATGATTTTGGAGCGTCAACGGATATCAGTCATGCGTGAAATTGTCGAGCAGTTACAAGAAATCGCCACGGAGTGGCATAATGCATCACCACCACGAATCCCAGAGGTAGAATGGTCCAAAATGCGTCAGCTCGAATTTCAAGAAAATCTGAGGTCAAGAGAAGCCCTCGAAAAGCGCTTAGAAGGTAAAGGATGCACGCTTTGCGAGCACTTTAATGAACATGTGCGTCTCCTTGGGCTAGGTTTCCGGCTGTCGCTGACAAGGGAAAACAGTATGGTCAAATCCACGAGCGGAAGCAACTACTTGCGGAGATTGAGAGCCTCAAGTTTGCATTGTCAGACCAGAACCTCGAACTACTCCCCGATTATGAACAGCGCATAGCTGTACTCAAAGATCTGAAGTTCATCGATGATAATTCTACAGTTCAGCTCAAAGGGCGTGTGGCTTGCGAGGTTTGCACGCATACTCCTCCTCTCGCCGGCTAATGCTCTTAACAGATCAATTCGGCCGATGAACTCATTCTGACGGAACTTATCTTGGAAAATACATTTGCAGACTATGAACTTGAGGAAGTCGCGGCACTTCTCTCATGCTTTGTGTTCCAAGAGAAGTCGGAAGTAGAGCCTGTCTTGACACCCACACTCGCCAAGGGTCGCGAAGAGATCCTAGTCGTTGCAGACCGCGTGGGTCGCATACAGGACTATCACAAAGTCAGCGCAGAGGACTTTGAAAAGAAACTCAAGTTTGGTCTAGTAGAAGTCGTCTATGAATGGGCCAAGGGTACCACATTCGAGGACATCACAAAACTTACCGATGTAGCTGAAGGCACAATTGTGCGCGTCATTACCAGACTGGACGAGACTTTTCGGGAGGTGCGCGACGCCGCCAGGGTCATTGGCGATGCAGAATTGTTCAAGAAGATGGAAGAAGCACAAACAAAAATCAAGCGAGACAGTGAGTATATCATCGGTCACCCGACTATTTACTGAACTCGATGTTAGTTGTATTTGCTGCAAGTCTGTATTTTTAAATCACTGGCTTTCTATCAGAAGTAAATTTCACGGAGACCTTGACCATCTTAATCACGACGTCGGAATCGACACTGTCTCGATGATTGGCAAATACCGTCTGAGAGAAGGGAGGAAGAGGGATCTCCTCTATTCGCAGATGGAGGTTTCCTAAAGCAGATTAGCAAAATTGAATCTTATAGGAAGAAACAAACCAGTTTCTTCCAGAAAGGTATCCATCGTTTCTTGCCGGCGCACTGTGATAGTGAGGAGGATGGTAGGCTTGCTTTCCAGTTGACACAAAATAGCGAGAAGATGTGATAGTGCCGGGATGATGCTCAGATCATAAACCAAATCGGCGCCAAATACGACCGTTGGTCTAAGTCTCCGCAGCCTCGCGCACATTGGCTCGCGGTTTGGGGCACCTGGTAGAGCATCGTTCCAGTCTAGTTGACTCCATTGTACACCAGTATCGTCTAGTTCATCTAGATGGCATCAGACTGGACCGGTGATGAATGAAGCATACTATACTTGGTGGTAACAAAAGGTTTGAACGACATGTCGAGAGTACGTCTTCATCAATATCCGTCATATGAATAGAATATTTCTCTCCATTCAAGCTATTCTGCTTTTCGTATGCGCATTGAAGTATTCGTATGGTCGTACCCAACAAGCCGACCCCACAGCCAAGTTCCAGAACCTGTGCTCGGACAAGATCTGGTCATAGTTAGCTTTGTCTGCTAGTATATGCGCTACATACCAGGGTTATGCAAAAGATGATCTACGAGGAATAGGCTAGGTTTCCAAGTTCGGAAGCCGGTCGTCCCTCGCTCAATGGTCTTCTGAGACTCTTTCAAGGTTATCCTGAGTAGCTGGATAGGGCGAAGCAGCGATACGCTTTCGGCAGGAGGTTCGATAAGATATGTCGTGTAGCTTGTAGAGGGCATCACTGTGACTTCATAAGGATTGTTGGAAGCATTGCTGCAGTCTCAGATGAGTTGAAGGTCGTGAATATTGTTTGACACCAACGCAGCCGGCAATAGTGCCAGATACCGAGTGTATATGCGCTCATCCACCTCCTACGACGTATAAGGTTATATTCGGTGCTTTCAATTCTATACCTCGCCAGAAGATTCCAGCTGATCGATAATCCGCCTCCAAAAGCTTCTCTCGAATGTCGTCGATGGCGAAAATTGCTTGAAGTGAGTGCTTTCAATGATATTGGCAATCAGATACTCTTGGTCTAAGATGCTTTCGTCATAGTAGCTTAGTTGGCCAAACGCTTTCAGCAGGTCAAAATTACCCATCGATCTGGGGTGAGTCGAAAAGTTGTGCCACATGTGTAAAAGAGAAAATTGTTTTCATTCAATTCCAAGGCTTTCTACAATCCACATTTCCACCTTAGGCAAAGATAGAGAGTCCTAGCGACATACCGCTGGGATCGTTAAAGCGGAGACCTTGGTTGAGCCCAGAAAGTGTCTTCATATCCTCCTCCGGGATGTCAAAGTCGTCCGACTTGAGGTTGGCTGCAGCACGATCCGGGTTGTTGGACTTAGGAATGACTGCAATACCGCGCTGGGTAGCCCAGCGGAGCAGAATTTGTGCTGGAGTCTTGCCGTGCTTGGAGGCAATCTGCGCAACTGTGTCATGCTCGAGAAGGGAAGGAACAGACTGATGCATGTTCAACTCGATCCAGCTCGCTGGCCCAAACGAGCAATAGGCGGTGATGGCAATGTCACGGCTTTTGGCGAGGGCGACCAAAGGCTCCTGAGTCAAGTATGGGTGGTGCTCAATCTGAAGGACAGAAACCGGAATGCGAGCATAGCGCAAAACATCGAGCAGGAGCGAGCCGTTGAAGTTACTAGCAGGAGATCAGCCAATTTCCGAGCTTCCCGGCCTGCACAAACCTGACGCCAATGTCCTTTGCCAACCCTTCATCAACAAGCTTTTCCATGGCTTGCCATGTGGCTTGAATAGGCGTGTTGTCTAAAATATGCGTAAGGGTTATTGCCACTGGGTGTCAGGAGCACTTACCAAGTTCGACGGTCTTGCCGTCGTCACCGAACCACTCGGGAGGATAACGGTGAGAAGGGTCAACATACTTCAGCGCGACTGGGAAGTGAATCTGCAGACCAATATCCGTCAGTTCCATCACTGATGACGCACGGCCAAACGTACATGGAAGAGGTCAAAGTATTCGATTCCCCAGAGTTCAAGCTGGAATCTCGCCAATTTGGCAACATGTTCGGGTGCGTGAAAGGTATTCCAGAGCTGAGCCACTCGTCAGTTTCTCCGGAAACACGCCGGGACACCACGGCTTGCCTTGGAAGTTATGACTGGGGAGGCACGGGATCAGTCTCAGGGCTTTGAATATCACATGGTACGCACAAACATCCTCGCGCTTGACGATGCCATCCTTGATCGCGCGAGCGAGGCCCTCGCCTGCCTCTTTCTCGTTTCCATAGTCTCCAGCACCGTCAAGGAGACGATACCCAGCCTTTAGGGCGTTGTATACGGCCTTTTTTTATCAGAGACGCGCTCTAGTGGCAAGGGAGGCTTACATCGGCAGTCTGGGGCCTTGGGATCTAGAAGCGTTAAGGACGACGAAGAACAATCATAACTACAAGAATCACCTTCCAGAGACCATAGCTGATGTCGAAAAGGTGAAAAATGAGAACAGAACCGCCGCTGCTGCTGCTCTATGACATACCCAATCAGTGGCATCTGAGGACGAACAGTCAGAACGGGATCCGCGAGCCCCAGAGATGAGCTACCTTTTGGCCGGAACCTTTGAGAGTGATAGTAGCCATGGCGCGTGAGGATGGGGATGGGATCAAGAAGGACAAGAGACCAGTGGCTCGTCTGGTGGGCGTAATAAGGAGGGAATAACGTCGGATAAACATTGCCCACAACTTGGAATCAATCACATGGAGCTTATATACATATCCTTGGACCCCGCGGGACGCAACGGCCCAGGAGCCGAGTGCAGACGTCGACCAGCCAGGATTCTCATCGGTCAGACGTCAAATGCAGAACTTCTCCAGCCAGTTCTCTTCGCCAGGTTCGACCTTGTCCGTCTCATTCTCTCCCCAGCAGCTGCGACCCGTGTCTGCACCGTCTCCCGAGCTTCACGAACCTCGTCGGCCGTGTCTTTAGCTAGCTGTCGCGCGCCATCGAGCTCATCCAGGGCCTCTCTCCCTTGTTCCACGAGCGTCGGTGCAGGTTCAGGTTCAGGCCCCCCTATCCCTGGAAGTATTTGCTCTCCAATACCCACAGCGAGAACCGTCTCTGTCTGTGGTTCCCCTCGCTCGTTTTCTTGAACGGTCGTCCGGATAATCCCTTTGGTCGTCACCTCTGTTTCGACAAACGTGTGGTCTGCAGTCGGAGATGAAGACCTTGCGGAGCTTGCCGAAGACGGCGTGCTCGGGCGGGGTGCATCAGGATGCGCGAGTGCATCCAAATAGGCTTCCACAGATGGATCTGGCCCATGTCGAGTGACCGCTCGATCTCGCACTTTGCATAAGGCTGCATTCATAGCTTCGAGTCCTGCCCTGATCTGGGTGGAAAGGACGAGAGAAGCCCCAGTCCTGACCAATGGCGCGAGGAGTGGTTGCGTGACCAGCGCATTGAAGATCCAATGGCGTGTTCGCTCCATCCTAAAGGCCAAGCCAGGTACGCCCACCTTTGCATCCAATACTCTGAATATATCTGCCGTCTCCCGATTTTCTTGCGAAGGGACTTCGATATCCAACAGTAGTGAGATACCGTCTCCCTCGACCCGTTTCGCTCCTACATCAACAGTCATGAGACCATTGTCGAGCCAACCGAGGCATAAAGGTCCCTTTGCATTGATATAGTACGCAATATCCTCCACGGAAATACGTAGGCCATCAATCTTGATTCTTGTTTGTGTCGAAGTTGCCGTTTCAAAGAAACTGTCCGGCGTTGCATCGGATGCTTTCAGGGTGAAGTCGGTGTGGTTGGAAATTTGGACGTGATCGGGAATAAAGGATGGTGAAGATAAAGTCACTTTGTCAATGACCATGTCAAGTGTCTCGCTCTTGAGCTCCACTCTTGGTAAAGGAATTGTCTTCAGCGCCCGCAAAAGCCTTGGGAGTATCCATGCCAGGATGTCTCGCCAAAGTTCTGCTTTGAGAACCTCCCACTGCTTTGCGGATTCGATGGCCAATACCTGCGGGCCAACAGCCCCTAGTATTCCAAAGTCGGTCATCAGGGTTTGGATGGCGGAAAGAAGCAAGTTGGTCGTCTTGTCTGCAGCAAAGGCATCTATCAGCGCATACGCTTCCTCGAGTGCGCTCCTAGCATCTGCTTTGTATCGTGGGTTGCGATGGAGAAACTGGACGAATGAATCGTAGAGCTTGCTGCCAGCGTTTTGGGCTTCTTCACTTTGCACCCAGCCCGGATGGAGGAGAGCAAAATGGAGCCATTTCGTGGCCTCCTCGACGATATCCGAAAGTCTCTCGCCCTCAGACTCGGTTGATGTGCTTAGGTCCCTCACCAATATGACAAGTTTCTCTCCAAGTAGATCTAAACCATGGCCTGAGAAACGCTCTAGGATTAGTTTGAGATCCTCTAGTACGGCATGCAGATGTGGATCCGCTTCTACGTGGGGTTCGAGCGTGATAGATGCATCGGCGCTTGATGCCGTCGTTTGTACTGCATCTCCAATGGCCGCTGCAGTTATTGACAGCTTCTGGACATACTTTCGAATTAGAGAGCCCATTGTCGCGAGCGCAGCTGTGTATCGAGGGCTTGCTTGGGCTTGTTCGATAATCTTGAGAAGCGATCAATATGATTATGCGCAAATTGTATTCTTTGTACCTCTCTAACTCTTCGGAGAACAGCTTCCTTGATCCTATCAGGATCTTCCTCCTCCATCCGATCCCAGACGGCTCTCCTTCGTGCCTCGGTTTCCTGTATCGCGGACTTGGTGACCTCTGCGACCCGCTCTGGAATCGGTTCCGCCCGATTGGCAAGTGTTTCCAGAGATGGTATTCCTACACCACCTTGCCTTTCTTTCTCAGAGGCGAGCTCGACCTCTGTCGGGCGTATGGACTCTTCCAGCTGCTCGGCTCTATCTTCGACTAATGCGGCCACCTTTGCGACGTCGCTGGCCACATCTGCTAGGATATCCCTTGCGGTGACCAGGACGTCTGATATAATGAGTCGGAACGCATGAGAGGTCATGAGGAGCGAAAGGAGAGATTGTATGGATGATGCCGCCTTTCGCATATCGTCGGCAAGTTCTTCTTGAGAAACGACATTGGTCGGCAATCTCGAGGCTTCTTAGGTGAGTAGACTGTGTGTGTTCGCTGGGGTCTCTTACCTCCTTCTTGCAAACCGAGAGATGCATTAGCGTCAACGTCGATATTCACCTGCAGCGGTACTTCCTCCACTTGGCTCAGATGCCACAGCAAGTCTTGGATCCTGTCGTCGTCTGTATACATGTGAGCATGTACCATGACGTAGGAGTAGAGCGCGTACCATTCTTCTCCATTCCCGCAGTAAGAAGGGCTTGCACTAATGAGCGCGTATCCTCGATGATGCGCCGACCGTGGGCAGAGAGCGGTCCATTAGCTTGGATGCTTGTTGCTTTGAGCAAGTCGGATGCAAGTAGCATGCGCAGTGCCTTGTTGATCTGCTCCTGTGAGGGATATTTTCCTGCTTGAATTGCACCGATGATTTGCGCAAACTTGTCGAATTGACTCTGAGGAGGTACTTCTGGCGCATACTGGGGGAGTAGGGGCTCCCTTTCTCCGCCTCTGGGCCCTCTTTTGCGCAGACTTGAGCAACAACTGCCCATGGCGGCGAGGTCCAAGCTGTCTTGCGATGCATTGATTGACGTCACGAATTGTAAAGTTGTGGACAGGAACGTCGGAAGCAGTCCCCAAGCTCAAGAACCATGTTTTCGATTCGTCCTAGACGATGCAGGGTCCAAGCTTGCTCGTGGCCTCAACTTGGATGCCGCCACCTGCAACGCGTCAGGAGAAGAGCCGTTAGCTAGCTAAGAATAACGCGTCAGAATGGCCGCAGCCGTTGAGAGAGGCGCATACGATGCTCAGAAACGTGCAAACCAGGATGCAGCATCGACTACGCACTCGTATGTGTCGTTTAACCTGCTGGCAAACGACGACGACGAAGCAGATCAATCGTCGTACGCTTATGTGTCTTCCTTGTTCTCCAAAGTCAAGAATACGTTTGCCCCGAGTACATCCACTAAGCCACCACCGGCACCAGTCCGCCCAGCTCCTCCTGCGCCATCAATCCAGTCGCGAACCGGAGAAAGAAGAGGGTCGTTGCCTCCTATCTCCAAGAATCTTGCTCCTCCGCTCGTCTCTGTCACGCCTGTCGTCTCCGACTCTCCAGTCCTGGACTCGCCGATTGCAAGAAACGCAATATTCGGCCTCACACCCGTAGACGGTCCTGAAGGTCCATATGGCACCGCTATTCCAGGGTTTCCGATTGCAGACGATGCACGTTCTATCAAGACGTCTACAAGTGTTGGCCATAAGAAGAACGCATCGGTCAGCAAGGTGATTCGCCGTCTTCGGGGAGAAGGTACGAATTTAATTTACATAAGGGCTGTGTACTGACAGTATCAGGCTTATCCCGCGACTATTGGATGGACGACGAAAGTTGCAAGTATGATGCTAGACAGCCGACCCGAGCATGTCTGACAAATCTCTAGAGAATGCTATGACTGCAAGAGTGTGTTCACGACGTGGAGAAGAAAGCATCATTGTCGTATCTGTGGTGAGCCCACCGTCTTGTTCACTATCTTCTGTGTCTGACGAACACAGGGCAGATATTTTGTGCGAGATGTGCATCAAATATTATCAAAGGCGCACGTTTTGGTCAGGACAGCATGATTAGAATTTGCAATATTTGCCTCAAAACACTCGAGAACGATACAATGATGGAAGACGACGAGGACGATCGCCGAAGCATCGTCTCTTCCGCACCATCGATTCGACCATCCTTCGACATACTATCCGCATCTCCTTATGCCCCCTCTCAGCTCTTCAGAAAGGTGGAGGAGCCTTTTAGTCTCTTTTCGATTGCAGAGACGCGGCCACATTTAGGCTCGGACGTAGACTCTCGTCCGTATACTCCAATGGAAACACCGTCGCAGAAAGATGACGGAGATCCGTGGGGTATCCCCGTGCAAAGAGTTGCCGCTCCGTTCCGACAGGTTGCGCAAGATGAAGAATCTGACTCGGTGGCCATTGCAGCTGCTGTCAACGCTACGACAGATACGGTCAACACTCCCGCAAACGAGAATATCGTATTCCCTTCAAAGGAGGATATTTCTTCTATTCAGTTTCCCGGCGGCTCTCCAGATTTTGGAACCGAGCGCCCTAATCTCAGCCGTGCACGAGTCGAATCGGATGCGGAAATATTACAGACTCCTTTCATGCGCAGCAGGGTTCAGAGCCGTTTAGCAGATTTGGGGCTACTCGCCGGAGAAGCGGGCTGGAGAACACGGCGAGAAAGTACCGCGTAAGCTACTTCTATGGTTTCCGCAAGGCATGCAATGACGCTCTTACAGATATGCACAAGAGGTCAACTCGATTTCCATGTTTCACATCCGACTGATGCTAAGGCAAATGCTCACTCGGGAGAATCTTCCAAATATCAAAGAGTGGGAGGAAACTCTTCTCAAACTCGCGATGCAGATTGCGAGAGATCTGGTTTTGACAACGGGCCGCAAAGAAATCGACATGGACATTCGACGCTTCGTCAAGATTAAGCGTATACCTGGTGGTACCCCTCGGGACTCTGAATATGTGGACGGCCCCGTGATCACGAATAACTTTGCCCACAAGAGGATGCCGCGCGAATTTACAAACCCTCGCATCGTGTTTGTGACATTCCCATTTGACTATTATCGCGTTGAAAAACAACTCGTCGCGTTTGATCCTCTGGTGGCTCAGGAGGACGAGTACTTGATGAACTTGGTCTCACGCGTCCGTGCGTTGAGTCCGCATATCCTGCTTGTCCAAACAAGGGTCACTCGACGCGCCCTTGACTACCTTCACCAAGCCAACATTGCGGTAGCCCGTAATGTCAAAGAGACTGCTATTCAAGTTGTTGCCCGCATGACCCAAGGAGATATTATCTCCTCTATGGATCGTCTGGCGATGGATCCAAAGCTTGGGACATGTGCGCGCTTTCGAATCCAAACGTTCGAGCATCCACTTATTCCGGGGCGGAGGAAGACTTATATGCGATTTGAAGGCTGCAACCGCGATCTAGGATGCACGATCGTTCTTCGAGGCGGCGACATTGGGACGCTTACTAAAGTGAAGAAGGTCACAAGGTTCCTCGCATTCCTTGTGCGCAACCTGAAGATGGAGACTTTTTTGTGGAAGGACTCAGTTGTCACCATGCCGCCTCTCAGCAAATATGCCGTCCCGAACCCTCCTACCCAGTTTACAGGTGCTCCCGGTTACACTGGGCTACCCACGATCAATGGACACCTCGCCACGCATCTTTCACCACCTCTTGAGACATTGGAATCGATGCAATCAATCGCTACTATTGACGTGGAGGATCTACCAGATGAAGATGCCGCACAACTACGTCTCTCTAAGAGGATACAGCAATCCATCGAGCCATATTACACGACATTCATCTCTGTCTCGGCTACCTTGCGCTTCCCGCCTCCCTACCCGATTGCACATATGAAGAGACTCGATGACCGCCTGCGAGAGGTGAAGAGGAAATGGGAGGACGAGGTCGTTCAGCGAGAAGAAAAGGCTAAGAATTCTTTGCACAAATCTGAACCAACGATTACCATTACCTCTCTTCCACTCCCAATTGACGCCGCTTCTCCCTTATCGACACCGCCAATCCCAGAAGAAGCCCCCAGTTACTTCGAACATGGACTTACTCACGGATCTACGTTATCAAGCATCATGAGTCAAGAGACCTCCGTGTCTTCGATATCAAGCGACGCTACCCCAATCCACTTGAAGCAAGTGGCGGATATCGCCTTGGAGTCGGAGTTAGCTGTGGTCAAGCACGAGCACCTTCAAGCGCAGTCAGCATGGGAATGGTATTTACGGCGCAACAAGGACGACTTTGTTGTCGAGAAGTACCAGAAGATCGCATACAGGACGTACACCGTTCCGTTTGCCAACGTCGACGCACAAATGCCTTGCTTTATGCCGGTCATTGTGTACGTCGACTATTATGGTAACAAGGATCGCACTCTAGGTGCCTTCATTGAGGAATCATGCGTCTCGTATCTCAGCATGAAACCGGGCACTCTCTGCAGTGGGAAAGGATGCGGAAAGCCAATGGTTGGGCACTGCCATGTCTATGTGCACAACCAAACTAGACTTCTGGTCGCCATAGAACCCTGGGAAGGAAATATTGCAGGTCCTGATGGAGGGCAGGGCATACCAGCTGATTATCTTACTACCTGGAGTATTTGTCGCGCATGTGGCAAGTTTACTCCATTCATTCCAGTCTCGCTCGAGACCCAACAATACTCCTTTGCGAAGTTCCTCGAGCTCCATTTCTATCCCGCCGACGTGAAGCTCATGCAAGGTGCCGGATGCGAGCATAACATCTACCAACATCACGTTCGTTATTTCGCTTGGAAGGGCCTTACCGTTCGATTCCAGTCAGACCCAATTGTTTCATTCGAACCGGTATTCCCCTCACCCACCGTCTTCATTCGTCCAGATGTTCCTCTGCAACTCAAGAACCACGACTATGAGCACCTGCTCCTACGAAATGTCAAGTTTTGGCATTCCGTTGAGCAAAGGCTGCGGTGGTATGACAATTCCTACTCGACGGTGGTCGTAAGCGAGAAGTATGCGGTGGACGACAACCCGTTCGCCTCTGTCATACGGGTTCTTTTGACGAGAGCTGAAGCCGCCCGGGATAAGATCACCAAAGCAATACATTTGGCTTACTCGCAGACGTTTATCACCGACACTCTGGCTTTTGGGAAGATCAGACAAGAACTTCAAGATGCTGCGACATTGTGGGAAAAGGAATTTGAAAAATTGGACGATATGAGGCGACCGCCTCCCCCAACCTTCTTCGACAAGGACCCTCGCAAGAGTGTAGCCATCCCCTCACGATTCAAGGGCATGTTCGGCGGTGTAGTCTCCGGTAATCGCGCTGAAAAGGACGAAAAGTACCGTCGTCCTTCGGCCACGGAAACCGAAGTCGACAGTACCGACGTAGATGGACACGCCGAACCGGGCAGCTTGGATGAAAAGTCTGGTATGCTCAAGCCGGCCACTCCGGCCCCTCTCCTAGTCGAGTCTCCGGTGAAGGAAAAGGAGGACGCAAAGGATGGCGAGAAGGATAGCGAGAAGGAGGCTGAGAGTGACAGTACCATCAATGCGACCCAGGCTGCATCGAGGCAAACATCCATGACTGATCTTCGGGCCCAAGAGCCCTCGACTACTCCGGCCCCTGTCGAAGAGAATGGCGAGCCCGTGGAAGTTGTGGAAGACGTTGAGCCAAGTAAGCCAGCGGATATCGTTGTCACGTTGGAAGCACCGACTCCTCCACCTGATGAAACTCAACAACCGATCCCTCCAATCTCGCAATTGCCACGCCCCTCCAAACTCCCCCGACGCACAAAGCACAGCCCACGCATAGCGCAGCTTGTCAAACAATTCCAAACAAACGGGGATGATATGCAATCGGATGGTGGCCCAAACGTCATGTCAGAAAGTGATCAGGAGCCAGAGATCATCCCTCCGATCCGCCACTCGCGTACAAAAAGCCGTACCTCCCAAATAATCAATAAAAATGAGGGCCCTCTGTCCGACTTCGAGGGTTCATATGCGGCAAATGTTGCTCCTCTGTATTTTGCTCATCGTAGACCGGCAGGGAGGACAAGTCGTATCCCGGGACCAATCGTCTCTGGCTCTGAAGGACCATCTCGCAAAGCTTCTCCAGAAAGGTCCAAGGCCCCGCGAACAATTCGATTTGGCCAGGATTTCCGATCCTTTGGAGCCCCCACGACTCCGGTTCCTATGTCCGAAGAGTCAATCAAGGGAAAAGGTCGTGCCATCTCCAGCCCAAACATGGCCGGGCAAAAGCGCCGTGCCAATACGCTGGGTCCTAACAAGGTATCAAAGATGACCAAACATTTCGAGAATATGGCTCGCGAAGCGGAGAAGACGAGGCGAGCTTCCATCATGCGCAATCGAAAGGCACGTCCAGTCGCAACGGCAAGGGTGACCGTCGAGGTGTTGAAGACGGTGAAAGAGGGCTTCTTGGACTCGTCGGAAAGTAGCTCTTCTTCCAGCGAGGCTGACGATGAAGACGAGGGAGCCGAGCCCGCTCCTCGACCGAAACCAGCATCTCCTGTCCTTGAAAAGGATGAAGCTGCCACAACGACCGTCGATCTTACGTCGTCAACAGAAAATGTCGCCCAACCTGCGCAAGAACCGGACATGAAAACGTTACTCGAGCAGCAGCAGGAGACCACGCTACCACCTTCTGAAGACCCAGGCGACAAGCGAGAACAGTCTTCTCCACCATCTCCTTTGATTGGAGGCCTACGCGGTCTCGACCGAGTCGCCACTTTGCCCAATATGGCTCTAAGCGAAAATGAATATAGCCAACCTGAACGCAATTCCGTCCTTCGTGCCTTTTCCTTGTTCCAGAACTGGGCCTCCCGACCGGTCGATCGAGGACCAGAGGTCATCTACCCAGGGTATGTGCATCCAATCACCCGATGGAAAGCTCATTCTATGTAGGTCCAAAGTGGAACACTTCTTTCGAGAATCGACAATTGTTGTTCGCGAGGACGAGCCCACTTCATTCATTGCATTTGCCTTGGAGTGAGTACAGTACTTGTCCTCTCGTTTCAATAACTAACAAATGGTAGCTCCCGTCAACATCGTGACTACCTTGCGAGTCGAAAGAGGGCGCTTGGCCGTCCTAGCGTGGCATCGGAGGCAGAGAATTTTGGAGGAGACGATGCTTCTTTCACTGAATCGGGATCCCAGTGGGGGCTTGTCTCGCTAGATGCGCCAACTCCAAAAGATATTTTGAAAGAGGAAGGACATGCCTTGGAAGTGAAAGGGACAAGCCCAATGTTTAGTATGTGGTAGCCCTCGTGTCAATCTTCTGCTAACAATTCCCAGCATTCACGACCGACAACTTCCAGTTCAAATGCGTCATCTACCTTACTGAGCAATTCGATGCACTTCGAGCCATCTGTCGTTGCGACAAAGATTTGCTTCGATCACTCTCTCGGGTAGGTCGGCTTTTTGGCGTATCGACCACCACTGACGAGGTTCAGTGTGTCAAGTGGGATGCAGTTGGTGGCAAGTCCGGCTCAGGGTTCTTGAAAACGAGAGGTACGTACATCTCCCTCGCGAGGCCGACGCTCACTGGTGATAGATGATCGCTTCATTGCCAAAGAGATTTCTCGTTTCGAGGGCGATTCTTTCGGCGAGATTGGACCTGCGTACTTCTCTTATCTTTCCCAAGCATTTGCTACGAAGGTGCGGCTCTCCGACGTCTCGCCGTACATCACTCATTCTTTTCAGCGGCCAACCCTTCTTGCCAAGATATTCGGGCTCTACACTATTGAATACCGTTACATCTCTACGGAAAAGAAGGGTGACGAGTATGTAATCAATGGTGGCAGGTCAGGTAAAACAGTTCGAATGGATTTCTTGGTGATGGAGAACCTATTCCATGGTCGGCGTTTCTCAAAGGTAAGCTGGTATTTATACACAGAAAGTTGTCTCAACTTCTGCAGATCTATGATTTGAAAGGATCTGCCCGCAATCGTCATGTCAGCGCGACTGGAAGGGCGAATGAAGTCTTGCTCGACGAGAATTTGGTTCAAAGTGAGTCTATCTCGCTCATGCGTGACTTTACTGATAAAGATAGTGACACACGCCGCACCGTTTTACCTTCGAGAGCATGGTAAACGGATGCTGCGCAGCGCTTTATTCAATGACACCAGGTTCTTACAAAGTGTAAACGTCATGGACTATTCTCTCCTGGTTGGAGTCGATGATCAGAGCAATGAGCTTGTTTTGGGCATTGTTGGTGCGTACTCCTTAGACTCAGCCATATCAATGCTGACATTCCCCGCAGATTATATACGAACTTTCACTTGGGACAAAAGACTGGAGAACTGGGTAAAGGACCTAGGGGTGGTCAGCAACCTACGATTGTCACCCCCAAGGAATACAAGCTCAGGTTTATGAGCGCTATGGAACGGTATTTTCCTTTGGTATGATTCTTGCTGTCTCATCAGATTCGATGCTGATTCTATTAGGTTCCAGATCGATGGCTCAAACAGGAGGATTCTGTTGACGACGAAGGGAAGGGACTCCTTGAGCTATGGCGCGACTGGTAGACAATTTCATGACATGATATGCCCCGCTTCACACTTTATTTTATTCTGCACTGTATATTACTCATGGACCATTGGCTTTGATGTACTACGCTCCTCTGCACCCTGCCGTAATAGAGAAAGAGATAATGCGAAAGGGCACCGAAACCCCTGATATGCTCTGAATGAAATACTCGTGAAAGAAACAGGTAATTGTTACTTGGGATGCGTATCGACATGTTTCAGTAATCTTCAAAGTCTTCAGTCACATCTTCAACGACGTCTTGGAAACCTCCTTCAACGTAATCCTCTGCCTCCTCTGCATAATTCTCAAACCCGCCTGCTGCGTCTTCGATGCCCTCGATAATGTCGCCACCTTCTTCGGCCAATACTACGCCAGCAGCGAGCCCCGCAAGTCCACCGAGTGCTGCACCGGCATATCCTCCGCCACCACCACCGCTATGGTGTTGGTGATGTTCTGGCGGTGGTTGGTATGACTGTTGATATCCGTATCCGGATTGAGGCTGATATCCGTACTGAGGTTGCTGTTGGTACCCATATGAAGACTGCTGCTGCTGATATCCGCCACTGTAAGATTGATTGTCGCCACCATCATCATATTGCTGCCCATAGGTGGATGGAGCAGGCAAATAATCGTTGTCGTATTTCTGCGTTGCTTGTCCATAACTGCTTCCGTGAGAGTAGCCTGTATCGTAACCATGACCTGAAGGCTGGGATCGCGCCTCGAAATTGAATGGGATTGGCTCGTGAGAGTGTTTTAGGGGTTGATCGTCGGGTGAGCCTAGACGCTTGTTCCGACCATGTTTGACGGAATCCTATAGCCTTTAGCGAGACACTAGTCTGAGCAAAGCCACCAACCTTTTCGAGGCGTCGAAGCGTCTCATCTTGATCGTGAGGATCCATACTTTGGAACCACGTATACAAAGCCTGCTCCATAGAGCATTGAACCCGTGATTGTGGATTGGCAAAGAATGGATGATGGAATGCTTGCATAATCTACGAGACGTTGAGTATCAACGACGAGTCTAAAGCCGAAACTCACTTCGTTGAGTGTCCAACCAATATCCACATTAGGATCACTCCATGCTGCTACAACAAGATTGACTGTGTGTTCGACAACCGCCTGGGCTACTATGCCGCATGGTTCGTTGAGAATGTTATCAAAGTGATCCTTGGAGAGCATAGAGTGCGTCGGATCGGAAGCATAAGCATCTTCGAATACTTCAAACTGAGCCTTGTCCTCATCGACCACCGACTTGCTCTGCTTTGTAAGCACGGTGGAGAGCTCCTTCAAAGATGGCTAGGGCGGATCAGTAAATGGAAATACCTAAACAAGGGGGTCCTACCATGATGTAGGGTTGAAGTATACTATAGACGTCTAGTCCTAAGTCAGCGCGGGCCGATGTTAGATCCAAAATACATACAGACGGTCAATGCCTGCGTCAACTCTTCCACGAGTTTTTCCAATCCTGGAATCTTGGCAATAACCGCTTCCACATTCCTCATAATATCGTCCCTCCAGCACAAGACCTGCCAGATCTGCGCCTGTGTTTCTTGCGTCGAGTATTTGTTGGGATCAAAATGATATGCATTCGACTGCATGTTCTCCGCCTGCTGTAGCTTTTCATCCTTTCCTCCAAAAGAGGGCAGCTGTCCGAGAATCGCCTTGATTTGCTCAATGGACGCATTGGCTCCACCCCCTGCGCTAGCCGCAAAGTGGTTGTTCAAGTCTTCGAGACAGTTTTGACTGATTTTGTCTCCACCTTCGCTCATTACAGAGAACACTGCAGAATGTGAGCAATACATGGGAATTGAGAACATTGTACGTACTAAAATCAGCACCTCCAAATGTACCAGTGACCAAGGGAGGAGCATATCCATTGGGAGTTTGAATTCGGACATTTTCACCCACATATGGGAATACGTTGTTGTAACCCATCTTGATGAGCATCAATTCGACCCAGTTGGAATGTGCGAGAAGGTCTTCAAGTGTATGGAGCCCTGTCCCAAGCAATCTGTACGCTTCATATAGAGCCGGACCATGTTCCAACTGGCAGGTGCGTGCGAGTTCAATACAACGTCCTAGATTGCGTCTCACACAGGCCGTAGACGTGTCCCAAAAGTTTCCTTCGTTTGCGATATAGTTCTAAAAGGTCTGAATAAAGTGGATTGGTAAGGATGTTTTCGCTCCCTACCTTCATTCCCGTTCTAAGGTCGATTTCCAGCTCGGCCGGGTGCACTGGAGGCCGGAGCCAGGGATGAAACTGCCTAGGATCGCCTTCTTTCTCGGCATAGCCTTTCGGATTGTCGATGTGCCTTTGCGAGCCTGAGATGCATTCGGCATCTTGGAACTGAATTGACTCACTCGACAGGAAGGTAGACACCCAATCTCTGAGCCGTAACCTCGAATTCTCTATAGATTTGGTCAGGTTTGAGGCTGCGAGAGCGGATGCGCTCCTCACTCTGTAGCGAAACCAAACGTCTGGACAATTACGCAAGTCAGTCGAGAGATCAGATAGCTTGGCAGACGCTTACCATGAAGCTGAGTACGGAGACAATCATGATGAGCGTCTCCTTGGAGAGCTTTTGAAGACCAGCGATGTCCATAGCTTGACCTGTTAAGAATTAGCGATGGGATGCAGTCCAAATGGGTGCACGGATGTACTGTAATCGCGCAACCAGTTTCCCTTGAAAGCGTGAGCGATGAAAAGGATGCCATGTTCGCGATAGACGTACAAAGTAGACATGTCGAATATCTCGAGTACTGAACTTCTTGCCGCCAGCACTGCCTCCGACGAGCGTTTGGAGCAAGCCGCCACCACTAGCGGCGTGATTTCTGACGAGACGTTCGAGGGTGTTTTCTAGATCACCATGTCGATATGCTTTGCTATGTAAATTGTCAGCAAGAGCCAACGCGGCCCCGTCGAATGCGGCCGTACCCCTTGAGGAAGCCGTAATCTGGAATAGATCCTGCACCAAATGCATTTACGGATGGTAAAAGGACCAAAATGAGCACAATAGCGAGAAACGCAATCTGCAACGAGCGCATCGTTGGGAAGGAAAGAGGAGCGAGATCAGGAGCGGCTTTGCGCCCATTCCGAGTGGTCGAAGAGTTGAATCCAAATATTCCTATAAATTCGTAGATGCATCGCGAATATTCCCAGATTTTTCTTGTTCGACGCGCGCTCACAGCTCTGTACCGCTGTGGACCATTCGTGGGCTACTGACACGAGCGTTCGGCGTTGCTGTGTCGTCAGCGCTGAGGCCATGATTGCTTAATTTAATAGCTCCAGCGGTCATGATCCGGCGTGGCTGGCTTATAGATGCTTGGGTCCAAGCGAGTCGGCACTAACAACATCATTACTTTGACCCCAACCTCGTCACTAATATGGATCTGTAAAATTCCCAGAAAATTGCAGACCACTTGTATCAGCTTTTACAAACCCCTCTATATCAATCACAAATACGTTGTATTCCAAATCTCCTGCAGAATCGAGCACACCGATGGAGAACGCCAGAACACGCAGCGGCCCAGTGGCGACGGTCATGCCAAAGCCCATTCTCAAGCACCACCAGCATCTGGACTTTGAACGGCCGTCGTCGTCGCCCCCATCGACCCATGCCGCAGAGCGCCACGCCCACTTTGGCGCGTCTGAGATTACCCAGCGCTTTTCCTGCCTCTCTGGTAAATCACTGGCGCTTTGAGCGTCGATTTGGAATACTAATATTCATGTTATAGGCGTCGAGTACGATCGTACGCCCATTGTCGTCTGTGCCAACGCTCTTGATCTGTCCTCCTGTCGCCGGTCACCAGGACGGACGTTCGATGAGATTGATGCGCACCACTACAAGCATAAGAAGGTCGTGCGCTACACAGACGAGGACGAGCTCATCGTCGGAGCTGCAGCAGCGCTCGAAAGGCTCAATCGGCCCATCTGTGCGCCACTTGGCGAGTCGGACGCGCTAAACCTTCCCGCCTTGGTTCATACAGATACAAGCGACTCTGAAGCCGAGGACGAGGTTCTGAGCTCATCCGGCACAGACACTCGAGGTCGCTTATGCAGGCTCCGACCGAGCTCCAGCCCACCCGGTAGTGGCAGGGACCCGAAGCGGCTAAAAAAGGCGCACAATTCTGGTAAACTCTCTCGGACTATTGCTCGTGATCGCACATCCCTCGATGACTCTTCCTTTGCGTCATGTCCTGGTGCTACTTCCTGCCTCGGCGGGTTCTAATACGAGGCACGTCGCATCCGTATGTATCTTCATTCCTATCTATCCTCCTACTTCATCAAGCTCTCGCCATTAATCTTCTCTCCTCTCTGTCTCCCTTCCACGCTTTGAGAGCGTATGTGTCACGATTCGCCAGTCCACGCATCCGTCGACGTACCTCTCATTCTGCCATTTTTGAATCATCGGTGCATTGCTCTCCCCTTCCCCCCCCCTCCTCTCTCTAGTCCCACCGCCGTCTCGACCTTATTATCTCCTCCACCCTTACCATAGTGTACGATTGGAGATGATACCAAGCAATTTATCTATCATACATTTGCAGCTGTGAACCCTGATGAGCCTGCCTTGGTCATCCTGTTATTTGTCTCCCGAGAGTTTTCCTCCGCCATATGCTCAGAGCCGACCGCAGTCGACCAAGGAGCTCCAGAATAGCTTTAAGGATCCTTTCAAGTCGCTGTGTACGTCGCACAAGGCGATTTGGGACCCCTGACCACAAGAATCCCGGACGTTTCTGTGTCGAGAGCGTTGCGGCCAGCGTCCGAAACATCGCCCAGGACCGCCACCAATGGATTCTAAACCCTTTAGAAAGATCAATCAATGTCGATCATCTCGTTGACGTGCTGCGCAACTGACCGGAAAAGACAAACAGAGCCTTTCGACGTCGTTGGCAACCATATGACTCGTGAAGCAGGATCCTAAACTGTTTTATAAACCCAGAACACACCTGTTAAAGGAGCTCGTCCATAGGCAGCACTTGTTCTCGACCACCTCCAAGGATGCCGGCTACAGCGAACAGGGGCGACCCACTATCCATCGACTCGCTACTTGGAGGACCAGACGTTGTCAGTCATTTCAGATCAGACGGCAAACCTGACTTTACCAAACGTTGGACAAAGGTGCGTTCATCCATTCATGCACCATTTCGTCTTTTGAGCATGTGACGACCTCATTGACTTCCCCTTGTACTATTCTGTCTGATCTGCTCCATCGCTGTCGACTTGCCGTGTTGCTTTTGGTCAATCTGGCGTGGCGCCTGCATCTCCGACGTGCGGCGCATCCCTTTATGTCCTTGACAATCTCGGGATACCACTTTAATTGGATCAACGGGGCTTGATTGTTGACCAATCTCTTCCTCTGGACGATGGCGCTGTGCCAATATGACGATCATCCGTACATCTCATTGTAAAATGTAACAGTATCCACCTCCACCACCTCCACCGACAGATGAACAGTTTTGGCTCGTACCCGGTCAAAAGCCGCAGGCTGCTTTCCTTCGAAAACACTTCTTCTATGAAGGGAAGCTATTGGAACATCAAGCTCTGTGGATCATCCGAGAGGCAACCCGGATACTCAGAATGGAACCAAATGTTCTCAGCGTGACATCCCCTGTCACCAGTGAGGCTATGCATTTTTCCTTTGTAAGTAACTAACAGCCCTTCGAGTCTGCGGCGACATACACGGTCAATATTTTGATTTAATGCGGTTGATGGAACCCGCAATCGGAGGGAGCCCAAGCAAGACGCGATATCTATTCCTCGGTAAGCTCGGAAATTCTCAAGTCTCAGTTCTTACAAGCCCAGGTGACTATGTGGACCGAGGAGTCTTTGGCATCGAAGTACGTGCTTTTCGAGTCATTCCATGCCATCTAAGCTGCATTTCAGTGCCTTTTGATGCTCTATTCTCTCAAAATTAACTTTCCTAATAACTTTCTCCTCTTGCGAGGAAACCATGAATGCCGGAGGTTGACCGATTACTTCACTTTCCGACTCGAATGTGAGCTGCGCCTTGATAAACCTTCGCATGATCTGACGATAGCTAGGTCGACGAAAGTACTCGGATATGCTCTACGAAGCGGCTCTCGAATCGTTCAACGCTCTCCCTTTGGCAGCCGTCGTGGACAACACTCTATTCTGCGTTCATGGTGGTATATCGCCATCTATGGAGACGGTTAGTGATATTCTCAAGGTGCGTCTCTCTGCTTTTGGGCAACTGGTCACCTCATGATCTATAGATTGACCGCTTCCAAGAGCCTCCAACAAAGGGACTCATGTGCGACTTGCTATGGAGTGACCCTGCCCGAGACCACTCACACGATGAAATCACATTTGTTGAAAACTCACAGCGAGGCTGTAGTTTTCAGTATGGGTAGGTTCTACTTGTCTGATGTACATCGTCTGAAGAATATCTAGATACAAGGCTATCCGCAAGTTTTTAGATGACAACAAGTTTCGGCTGGTGATTCGTGCCCACGAGGTGGAGGAAAAGGGGTGAGCATGATAACCTCGCCCACCGCCGGCGTTTCTGATACCTTTTAGCTTTCGAAGGTTCACAACGGACGGACAAAGGGCCCATCTTATGACACTCTTCTCGGCCCCAAACTATCTCGATTTCTACGGAAACATGGGGGCTGTGATGGTGTACGAAGGTGGCAAGATGAGTGTTCGACAATTTACACACGCTCAGCATCCCTATCAATTACCAAACTTTGCCGACGTTTTTACGTGGAGTCTACCATTTGTCGCTCTCAAAGGTACGTCCCAAGTACTGATAGAGACTATCCTAATCTCCCCTCAGCAACTGAAATGCTTCATGCGCTACTGAGCGTCTTCCCGGAAGAAGAATACACCGATTCTGAAGAGGATTCTGATATGGAGATAGATTCGCCGGATCTGTACGCCCAAGTGGCCGGAGAACCACGACACATCAGGTTCAAGAATCGTGCTTCAGGCAATAGTGGAGAGGATCGGGTTCCCAATATCAAACGGAGGGAATCGAAGCGGTTCACTAAATTTTACAGGATCCTGCGTGAAGAGACTGAGGGCGCTTCTGGTGAGCAATGTGGTTTATAAGAGGCGTTTTATTCATGATACATAGAACTTGGACGCAAGGCACGTCATCCCGGTTATGCAAACGAGTTGGGCCAAGGTGGACCAGACATTCGCCCTGGCACTCCCTTCAAAGAGGTTCGGGAACTGGATATGGTCAACGAACGACTTCCAGAGCAATTTATCGAGTATCAAGAGGTTGCCAACCGTCGATCCGCGCAAAATACACCCAACCATCGACCAAACCAAGTCGTCTCCGAGCCAGAGGCTTACGAAGAGGATGCGATTATCCCGCGACTACCTTCGAACTCTGGCTACAATCCTCGAACTCGAGGTCCCCAAGGCCCCGGTGCGCGCATGTACAACGAGTATGTGGGCAACCGCGACGGACCTGAACGAAGGGACAGCGTCGGAACAACATATACTTCTGCGCCTAGTACTCGCAGGACGACATGGGAGGATAAAGACGAAATTGTGCGGGGCTTTGCGAGCATGAGCATTCGGCCCCAGCAATAGGGGGGCTGGTCATGGCTGAGCACCCTTGGGCCCTCGCGATAACGGATCGTTGCCGGGCTTATCTAGGATAACTGGTTGTGCGCTAGGGTTACCTAAATATCCATTCTGAGATTCGATCATGTGCCTATCGATGCCTCCGATCCAGCCGCACACGGCCGTCTGCTGGGTTAGTTGCTCTCCACCGTCTCTGGGCCCGTGCTCCTCTCCGTTCCCAACGACGCCCACGACGTCGAATCTGATTCAGACGTTGAGAACAGTGCTCGATACGCGAAATAGCAGCGACTGAAGTACAGGGATGAGCACACAAGATGGGCCGCAAGGCCTCGAGAACGAGGAAATGACAATGATACTCTCTAATTCGCCTGTATTAGGCTCGATTTCGAGCATCGAACCGCTTGTCGGTGGCGAACTCGACGGGAGCCACAGGTCGCATGCCGTCGGCGACAAACCAAGTCGTGGATATGAGTGGGAAACGACGGAATATGGGTTTGGGATGGGAATGAGCACTCTTGCAGAGCTCAACGCATTTGCAAACGATCCTTTCACGGTGCCCTTGAGCGCCTTGGTCAACGACTATGGGCTAGAACATCTGCAACGGGAAGGGTAAGAGATCATTAGCCCACTTTCCTCCAATGACTGATGCAAGCTCTGGTTTCAGGCATTCAACCGCAGTATCACGCACCTCTTCCGCAATATCACGTCCACTGGCGATTGGCACAAGCGCAACAGCAAAGGACGCTCGATGGAGCGCAGAACCCTCGAGCCCAGTGCCTTTTGTCTCTTCGCCCTGCTCTTCAGTCGGCTCCTCGACGAACCAGCGTGGCATACGCATTGTGACCGGCCTCCCGTCTGCAAACGGCAAGGCGGTTGAAAGGAGACCGCCGTTGGCTTCGCTCGACTCGGCATGCAGCTATGACAGCTACACGACTGGATTCAATACTCCTGCCACGTCTTTTCCTGGTGACGATGAAGAGCGTTCCGTCAGGGATCGCAAGGGCAAGGGAAGAGCGACGACGCAGGTGGCTGCTCTTGTCGACTCGCCGCCGTTTAGCCCCAGTATTGGGAACGAGGCGCCAATTCCGTGCACTTCGGTAGCCTCCACATCGTCGATGCCCGTCGGCTTGCTGTCGAATATGACCAGCACGTCTCCCGATGGATTGGGTCATTATTCTCCCGACGTCGCAGATCTATTACGCATTCCTCCCTTTGAACTCGAGCGCAAAGAGTTTGATTGGAACGAGTTTAAACGGTCTTTGGGGCACAACAACGATGATCCGTCGTCATCCTCTGCGTCAACTGCGGCAAAGCAGGCGGAGCCATTTGTACCCGTCGTAACTGGACTTGGACTGGATCTCACTCCGTCAAACAGTAGGCTGTACGGTCCACAGGAACTCATTCGCCAGCGCCCACAATCCCTCTATTTCCCCTCGCATGAACTCACGAGCCCGACGACTATCGTACAGGCTCCTAGACCAACCCATATGACGCTTCAGAACACGGGTTCGACCACTGCAGTAACTAGGAGTACTAATCGCCGCCACACTATCTCATTATACGATCCAGCAGCCTCGTTGGCTGCCCAACGATATGTTCTACCTCCAAACCGAAGAGTGCAACCAAATGCAGTCGAAGGAGGTGACTCAGAGCCTGGAACTTCAAGTCGCCATCGACCCCACTCCATCTCCATCGACACGAACGGGGATCGTAGCTCGAGTATTCGAAGCCTACCCTACTCGGCCAATCAGTCGCCCAAACTCAGAAAACAAAAGTTCTCGAGTTGGATCAAGGGCAAATCTCCAACGATTTCGCGAACCTCGAGTATCGGACCCTCTTCGCCATCCACCACCACTCGTCAAGTCGAAGAGACTAAGGACGCGTCGAGTCGTCCCAGGAAGCTGTATAAAGAAAAGGGACGGGCTCAGAGCGTCCCAAGCCCGTTTCCTTATACGGTTACTCGGGAGTCGATCCTGCACACCGATACGTTGGCCATCTCCCCAACTTTGGAGGAGTCGGATGTTGTGGCACAGGTAATCACGCCTGCAGTCGAGGAACCCATAGTCTCCCTTTTTGATACTGTTCTCCCTCGTGAGACCAAACTCTGGATACTCGCTCAGCTCGTCGTCTTACATCAAGAAGACTTTGAGAAACGACTGCAGAAGGGAGTGTGGTCAACTGCGCATGCGAATAGTGAAAGGTGGGTTGGCAAAGAGGCCGGAATGAGAAATCTTATTAAACTCAGTCGAGTAAGCACCTGATCACGCTCCAGACGTTGTCTGACTCTCATAGGTCTCCAAATCTTGGCTTTCTCTTGCACTGGATGGGCAGCTGTGGCAATCCTTCGACCTCACATCGTTCCCAGGACTTTCGTCCTCGTTACTGCTCAAGATTGCACAATGCGCAGGCTCATTCGTACAAACATTGAATCTCCGTGGCCATTCCCAGATCAAGCCATCCTCACTTCTAGCCCTCTCGTCTGCACTCTGCAGCGTATCGAACCCAACTGGGGGTCTGATTGCACTCGACAGGCCCCTGACCACGACACAACTGACGACAATTAACCTAGTCGGGTGCAGTGCGCTCACGACGCAGTCACTCCGGTTCCTACTCTTCCGCTCGCCGGGCGTCCAGCATCTCCACCTGCGTGGGTTGGACTGTGTGACAAACTCAACATTGATTGATGACATTGGCCCACACTGTCACATGCTCGTCACCCTCGATATTCGACGCTGTACTCATGTCAGGGGTATTGCGCTCGCCAGTTTTGCAATTCGCTGCCTGGACAGGATGATCGCAACAAACCGGTCTTCTCCACTGAAGAATCTCAAGGCGAGCGGACTTCGTGGGTTCAACACAGAAGTTTTGCGTCTCCTTGGACGCGCATTCCCCCTACTTCAAGTTCTCGATCTATCGTACTGCCGCGATGTCAGCGACGACGGCTTTGCCGCGTTCGTCGAATGGCCAGCCCTGAGCGGTCCTCCAAGTGTATTCCAGTCCCCCATGGAGATCCCGGAGGAGGAAAGGTGGACGCTATTTCATAAATCGGTGGAGTTGACCTCGCGTGAAGCTGGGTTAGACCCTGCTGATCCGAGCAAGCATTGGAGACGTGTTACATCACTGCGCCACCTGAATGTCAGTGGCTGTCGCCGCGTCTCTGACAAGATGTGTACGGCAATAGCACATGGCGTGCCCCAACTCGAGTTTCTAGAGATGGCGGCTGTCAGCTCTGAAGTCAAAGACGACGGTCTGTTGCGCCTATTCAAGACCACTTCGAAGATTCGCAAGATTGATCTGGAGGACGCAGCAGATATCACAGACGCGGTCCTGGATTGCCTCGTTCCTACACCGAGGACGCCACCCGATAACGAGACGGTGGCGACAAAGGACGAGGAGCCTCAGCCTGGGGAAATGCTCGAGCATCTCGTCATCTCCTATGCTGGGCTAATTTCTCCCGCCGCTATGGGGCGTGTGGTCAAAGGATGCAAGCGGCTGCGCGTACTAGAAGCCGACAATACTCGCATTACAGGGAGTGTGATCCGAGACTTTGTCAGCCGACGACGCCATCGCGAAAAGGGCCTGTTACTGTCGGAGACATCGGGGAACCCTATGGAGCAACCGGGGTCGGAAATTATTGCCATTGACTGCCGTGGCGTCTCCGAGGAGTGTATACGCGACGTTCAGGCATATACACGACCGCGACGAGGGTGGAGAGGATGGGAAGCGCGAGAATTGGGGTACGAAGACCAGCGATCTGTCGGTGTGATGGATCCATTAACGGGAGACGTCTGCGGTTCGTTGATTGGACAAGACGAGTGTGACCCTCACCGGGTGGTTGTAAAGAGCTTCCATGGGTGGGTGTCCGTGGACGCGGTTGCTGAGCAGCGGACCAAGCTCAAGAGAGGCTCGGGGATGCCAGGCAAAGGAGATATACCAAGATGGCTCACTCACTGGAGTCTAGGACGACGAGCTGGGCTCGGGTCGAATGCTGGGACACCGGAGGAGCGAGAAGACCGAGGGTGCGTTGTGCAATGAGAACGAGGACGTTTGATCTACGAACTGTGCGATTTACTGACGATTTGTACATAACTGTAACATTGTATGTGTACCACTTACACTCCGGGAATCCATACTACTTCAGGAGTACTAGAGCGGAGTTTGAATGTGATCGCTGAGTCTCAAACGGCCCACTGGTCTGCCAACCTTGGACCCTCCCACAACTTTGGGAATTTTTGGTGAGTATTCTACTCTTTGTCCGCGCTGTCAGTCGTATTACCGGCTTGCTGGCTGCGACCTTTGGGCGCCCTCTCTGCTTGCCTGGCCACCGCTGTATTCGTTGGGACATCGAATATCCCGCTCGAGGCTTGAAGCTGGCATCACGAAGTCTGTCTGGAATCGACAGGAAACCGATCCGGGCCCGCACAACGCCAGACGCCAGGCGACGAGCACTCGGGGATAGCCCACACAGCGCCGCTATCGTGCGTCGCTGAGCATTGGAATTGGTGCTTATATCTCTGCCATCTTAGCTGCGCTACGCCTCACTTGCGTTCATCGCCCGTGCCAGGCCCTCCCGCCGCCATCGTGATCGCCTCTGTGAGTGCGCCCAGCGCGTTTTGCTGCGTTCTTTCCGTGTCAAGCGAGCTCACGGACAATCTGGCACCCGTCTTGCACGCTCCTGGTCGCCAGTTGACCCGCTGCGACAGTCCCAATGGTCCGAACAGCCGATAAAGACAAGGCGAGCAAACCAGCAGCAAAGAAACGTCAGTAGTCGCGTTCCACCGTCCTGTGCTATGCTTGGAGATTAATGGAGGCTGACACGCAACGAAAAACTACGGCTACCCCGCATGGCATATGGGCATATTCAATATCTTTTGACGGGCTCGGTCATCACACAATTCCCACGACGGCCCTGCACGCATTCAACGCCATCTCCGTGTCACCCCTCTTGCCCCCGAATAGATTCTGGTGGTTCCAAAAAGGCATCGAGCTACAAGTGCGTCGTCCGCTTCGTTTCAGTTCACGTCCTTCGCCCCCCTCCCCTTCCCACTTCCCCTCTATGATCACAAGCATGTTGGCCTTCCTCAAAGGTTGCACCGGTTGCAGTTAGCGCGAATTCAGCATACGTACCCACGTTTGCGGAATATTGAACTGATCCGCCGAGTCGATTCATGCGACGGGGCGCTCTTGACGGTCATCCAACCCCCCGCTACGCGCGCGTTTGACTGCACCATATCTCGCTTCACGAATGTTTCCCAGTTTAAGAGACGTCGTCTGACCGCTGTGCAGTGTATTTATGAAGAAGGAAATGGCACGGTTCGTCTACGGAGATTAGCGGTAAAGATAGCCGTATTACTCAACAATTTGACAGCCTTAAAGAGACTGAACCTGACATGCCCCATCGGGACCGGTGAGTGCCTCTGCCGTTGACAGGTTGGGTATGATCGGCTGACCCACTAAACAGCTTCAAACGGGCTGCTCAGGCCTGGCACAACTCCAAGGAGAATCCAAAGAACAAAAAGTAGCGACAACGACAGCAAGAAACTACTCGCCTACCTATGCTCACCTACTCTTCTGGTCCCGTCTTTCTGCTTGGTCGCTTATTTTCATAATCTGGCGTCTCTTCGGAGCATACAAGTAGCACATACGTTTCATTCTGCAACCTATCACTGCTGCATGTGCCTGTATTTGGTGATGCTCGTATACCGTGCACTCTTAATCCCTGTCAATATACTGCCACCAGGTCGTTTATACCCCCCCGATGTCCAACGTTTGACCAGATGGTATACACGATCGGCAATTTCCGGTGATCCAGACGAGATGACGTGCGGCCATTACGCCCTCAGAGCCACTTTCTTGATCTCGACCGCATCAGTCGAGCTCGCAAGCAAAAAATTCGAACAAGATCAAGCATCTCTAACACTTTTTGTCCACTAGAACCTCTTGAACGATCAGATTCAGCATGACGCTTTCCTCGCGAACCGCGTTCTTGTTCGCACTATGCCTCTTGGCGTTTATCCCATCCGTCTCTGCCTTTGGAGCGGGTGAGATTCCCAATTGGACCTATCTTGAAGGTAAGTCATTGTGATTACCACAGACGGGCGTCCTTGTTGCTCTGGAGTGTCCTGATGATGGCCATCGCGCAGGCAAGGCGTTTAGGCATTTGGACATCGAGTCCATTCTCGAAAACATAGTCAGGTGGAGGGGATCACGCGGATCAGGTGCTGGTGGACTCCTTGGGGCAGCTGTAGGCCTCCTCGCATCGGGTGGCGGCGAAAAGAAATTTACAAAAGCAGACGTTAACCGTGTCTATTTTGTACGTAAATCTCAGCGGATCGTCGCCTTAAAGCTGATCTTCGTCTAGGGAAATTGGCTCCGTGACTACAGTACGTTCCAGCCACTCTGTCGATTTCCTGGCAATCCTGACTGTGGTCTAGGCCAAGCTCTTGACATCTCTGGACTCTCGCATGCAACGTTTGATACCATCATCATCGTGCTTAGGGTGTTGGCCTTCATGGTACGCATCTGACCGACCCTACCCTGATAAGAATCCTAAAGAAGGCTCCAGACCTTTGGCTACGCCACCCAGGAATTCGAGCTCATGGCTGACAAGATTGGCACATATCTCCCCGTGGAACACATTGTACGTTGAAAAGCTAAAACCGTAATCTAAATTTACTCACATGATCCAGGGTAAATTCAGTATTTCGAGGGAATCCTTTGCTGACCAGTATATTTATTCGTGCAGATAACCCAAAGTATACCCTAAACTTGCTTAAAGACTGCGTACTCATTGCACTCAGGGGTTACGGAGGTGATGAAGATCCTAGAAAGTATAATAAAAACTTGCGCCCTCCTATCAATCCTAGGGAACTTGAAATCGACCAACGCACCGGCATGAAGGTAAGCGCAGTACGATTCGTAGATAAGCGGCTAACCCCTGTGTAGAACTATATTGCCAACTCTGGACAAGGATGGGATACCTCTGCAGATCACGTCCGTCGCTCTCTTGAAAAAGTCATCCAACTTGCTCGTCAGTCGGGTGGGCATCGGAGCCCTGAGCTTTATGAAGCGTACAGATTGCTAGGGGGATGTCTTCACACGCTAGAAGACTTGTTGGCCCACTCCAATTGGATCGAGCTGTTCCTGACCAAGCAGGGCCACCGCGAGGTCTTTTGCCATGTTGGAGAAAATGTCACGGTGAATGCTCCCGGTGGTCAACGAGTCCCGCCACTCGTCACTGGAACGTATGTCCGAATTTACATTAACTAGGCCAACACTTACATTGCTGCCCCAGGTTCGGTTCCGCTGACTTTAGTAAGAGGCGTCTTCCGCTTTGATACTTCCACTCACAAATGGATAGTCTTCTCCGTCATGGGCGAGGCTGGTGACAAACTCTCCGAGTCTAGCGTTTCCGAACTCAGCAAAAAGGTCAACGACGCACAAGGCAAGCAAAATACACTTTCTACTGTCAAAAACCTGCTTGGAACAATCAACTCTGCTGGCGGTGGCGATAGCTCGAGTGATGTCGCCAAGGCAGATGAAATTCAGAAACAGGCTTATAGCTTCAACCCCGACAGTTATGTCACGGAGGATGTCCAAAAAACGCTGTGGGATATTCTTCAGGTTCGCCGAGCCTGCGGTCGGGAGTAAACGCTGACTTTATTCTTAGTGGAGAGATACAATCATGAGAAAGGTATGTAGAGCCTTGCCGGACTTCCCGTACTCACGCTAGCCCAGGTTGATACTATCATGGAAAAGATCCCCGGACTTGAGCAAACTACCGAACAGCTCACCGATGCTCTGAATGTTTGTGAGTTGTGATTCGGTTTGCAGTTGGCGGTAACTGATATTCCCCAGTCGTCTACACTACGATTGAACCATATCTAAAGGTAAGCTGTGTTACTTTCGTCGTTGAATTTGCTAAATGTCCCGTAGCCCGTTCTCATGACGTGCAGCCAAGGGCTCGGAGCTGGTAGCCGTGCTGTGATCGACCAGGATGATCAATACGAGGTGTTCGACAATGGAAACGCCAGTGATCCATCCCATTCGATGTTGAGCAAGGTAAGGAGTTCATCATGCGTTCCACATGGGGTCTGATAATTGTATAGGATCAGTATGATATTCCATCAATCAAGGATTCTCAAGCTTACTTTGACTAGCTTTGATAACATCTTGAACGAGCCCGCTGGAAAGATTGCCAAGGTCGTTGTGGAAGTGGCAGTCAACAAAGTTGTCGAAGCGTGGAGCGATAACAGCGTAGATGTCAATCATACCATCAATGGTAGGGTCTTATTTGAATCTTGGTTTCAGTATTAATGAATGCGTAGAAATCCTCAAGGCATTCCACCATCCTTACTTTGCGGACGATCGCTGTGAGATTCAACAGGCGATGGCTCAAACCGCTCGTAAGTGGCTTGAAGGGCTTGGAAACGATCAGCGAACTGTCATCAGCCGCTTGACCAAGGTTTGTTCACGATCTCCAATGCACTGATGCTAATGGTCCTTAGGAAAGTGTTCGAGACGGCAAAAACAAACGTCTGGGCTCGGACGAGAACACACCAATGCATTCTCACACAGTGGGTGCAAATCAACGCGCTCATGGTGGGCGCGCATCTGGACGAATTGCAAGTGGTGCCAAGCCTCAGCAGCATCAAGGAGGATATGGCGGACAGTCTCAACAATCCAGCTACGGACAGTCTCAACCGTCTGGCCATGGTCAATCTCAGCAATCGAGCTATGGGCAGTCTCAGCACCAGCAACAGTCCTATGGCGGCCAGGCTCAATACGGAGGTCGCCAGCCGCAGAGTGGCAACGACTCGTACGGCACGCAAGGCTCCTATGGGCGTAGTGAACGCGACGAATACGGTGGATCACACCAGACTCAGCAGCAGAGATATGGACAAGACCATGACAATTCGTACGGAGGATCTCGCGGCTCGGGCAATACCTATGGGAGCTCGGGTAATACATACGGGAGCTCCGGGAACACGTATGGAAGCTCCGGTAACACGCATGGAAGTTCCAGGCGAGATGAAGATGAGGGATATGGTGGGGGACGTACTCAACATCAGCAATACGGAGGATCTACGCGCCGTGATGACGAAGACCGCCCAAGCGGTGGATATGGCCGTCAAGAGCAGTCCTACGGCCGTCAAGAACAAAGCTATGGCCGTCAAGAGCAGTCTTACGGACGTAATGAGCCAACCTATGGACGTCAAGAAGACCGATCGTCTGGTTACGGCGCAAGTCGGGATATATACAGTCGCTCTGAAGAAAAGTCTGGCTATGGAAGGCAGCAGGAAAGCTCTGGCTATGGCTTGGGTCGCCATGACGAGTCTTCAGGCTACGGTCACTCCAGCCGTCATGAAGAGGAGAGCTCTGGGTATGGCAAACGTCAGGAATCTTCGCGCTATGGCGAGCAGACAAGCTATGGAAGTTCCGGATATGGGTCGCGCCGCGATGATAACGAGACGTATGGAGTTGAGCGCATGAACTTGGGTGGCCGAGGTGAGGAGCGTGGATATGGAGGTAAATCCTACGGCGGTACAGCTCACATTGCTACTTCTTCCAACACCGCTGATCAATCCTTAGATGACGATGATAGACGCAAGAAGCAAGGAAAGCATGACTCTGACGACGAGGATTCTAGACGCAAGCAGTATGGGAAGCAAGGAAAGCACGAATCTGACGACGAGGATTCTAGACGCAAGCAGTATGGGAAGCGAAACTCTGGTGAGAAGTTTCCTCGAGTGTACCTGTACGCTGCTGACTTGCAGTAGATTCCGACGACGAAAAGAAGCGAAAGCATCATGGAAAGAAGCACCACGACAATGATAACGAGGGTTACAGTCGCTACTAGATGTCGAAATGATAAATGTTGAGTTCAATACAGTCACAACTTTCGCACGCCACCCTTTTCTCGTGTCGATAGTGCCTTCTTTTGCTGTTTTCGCTCGTTTGAAAAGGTATCCTTGGTGCTCTGTTTCTCCTTTCTTCTTTCCTGTGGCTAATGAGGTCCGGACCAGGTATGAGTGCAGCCTTACCTGGCGCTCCTGCTTGACAGCCTGTTTTCGGGCCTTCTTTTCTTCAGCGCTCTCGTTCTTGGGTCTCGTTGTTGTTACTTTCACTAGAGGATATGTGAGTGATACGCGATTGTGTCAACGAAAAGTCACACTTGGTAGTTCCTCATCGGAGCTTGCTTCACTTTCCTCGTCTATCTTTGTCTCTTCGAGAGTTGGAAGCCCTGTCTTTGCATCGAGGCGAATTCTTTTGACATTCTTCGACTGTGTGAGCTTGATGAATCGAGGATGATTCTCAAGATTGGAATATGTACCTGAGATGGATTAGTAAGAATAATTTCTCGGAAATGACATACTGAGAATCGTTTCGCAGTCCCAGCGCTCCTTTTGTTGATCAATATCAACCGGCATCGGCATCGGTCGGTCATCTCGATCCTCACGATCGAGAAGAGCCTGTCGACGTTTTAGTTCCAGTTCCCGATCGTCCTCTCCGACCAATGCACGACGCAGTGTATTGAGCTTCTCTTGAGGAGTGCCTCCCTCTAATCTAGGCTGCAACTTTTTCCCCACCTGCTCTTGTGCCAGGAACTCGTCCAGAACGGCCTCAAAGTCCTCGCGAGTAGTGATTAGATCGGGCGCACTATCTGAGTCTGAGTCCGAATCTCCATCCGAGATGAAAGCTTCTTCTTCCTCATTGAGCTCGTATTCTGCCTCGAACTAGTGCAAAGTAAGTATACCGACTATGGTTTTGTGTCCACTCACTCTTTCGAATTGCTCGTCCAAGCGGGTCAATCCTTCGTTTCTAAACATCGAAGAGCTACTCATGCTGTATCCAGAGGCATCTGACGTCCCCTTTCTTCGTCGCTTCTTTGCCCCAGCGACTGATAGGGAGGGCAGTCGAGCCAGAGTATCGCCGCCTTCGGAGGCCCCGTCCATAACAGAGCCATTGTCTATGCGAGATTTTTGTTCTAATTTGAATTTGGCAAACCGGTTTTGCCAATCTTCGGGATCCTGAGCCTCTACCTCTTTGGAACTCGCATCTATGAGACCGTCCTCGTGAAATTCGTATTCGACCACTTCGTCCTCCTCTCGTTCTCCATCTGCCAGCAGCTGGCCAAAGAAGTCATCTTCAAGGCCTTCATCCACAAAGGCTTCGTCATCCAATGCCTCGAGTGTTTGTCGAAGGTGTGGGTCCATATCGGGCTGAAAGCCTGTCAAAGCACTGGGTATCGCCTGCTGTGACTCGTAGTTGGGCGCAATTTCCTTCTCTGACGGCAGTGCCTCCTTTGGGATAAGATCGAATACTGCATTTTTCTTGCCTCTACGCTCCGGGCGTAAGGGAGCTTCAATCAGGATACTGTCGACACCTCGTTCTTCTACACCGACCGTTCGCAAGTGCTGGGTGTAGTCGTATTCCCTGTCGTCGTAGTAAATGCCATATAGAGCGGCTTCGCCAGGTGCTCTCTGGGCACCTGTTTGTGAATCGGTATCTTGATCCTGAGGTACTCCTTTTCCCTTTAGAAATTCACATGTTAGGAAGTCATGAGTACGTCGGCGGATGCTCACTTTGGCGTTTTTTCTCTCAAACTCCTTTAGAACATGGGTGCTCGCCTCGGGATCATGGATCAAAGGATCTCGTTGTGAACGATGCACAAGCTGAAAGTTTCTTGCCCCTGGCTGGCGAAAGATAGATTTAGGTGGCATTGGAGTCCGGAGGAAGTTTCGGGCCCCGACTCCGCCACCCCCTATCGGCTTAAGCTTTCAATAGTATAAGACGTGTGTACTAGCGTTCATAGATAGAGAATAATTCATGGCTAAGTTCACAATCATTGGTCGGAATCCATGGCCGCAGAAGTCTCTAGGAGATTCGAGGTATCTCGCCGCTTTGCTTTCTTTCGAGCCTTTTTTCGAGCCTTTTTCGATAACGTAGGTTCGTCTGAATGGGGCGTAGGAACAGCCTCAGCGCCCAGTGCGACCTGCTCCTGCTCAGGCTTCGCTCGGCCCATTGAGTTGGCAGTCTTTCGTGATTTCTTGCTCAATTGTTCCGTGTAGCCTGCTCAGTGTTAATTAAAGACAGTCAAGTGGTTCGAACGCACCAGTGAATGGATCCATTGTGAACCTCTTGCGCTTTTTGTTCCCGGCTTCGGGTTTGGATGCGACTGGTCGCTTGGGGGGTGCGTCCTCTTCCGAAGAGCTGCTGCTGCCGCTCTCCTCCTGGATTCGCTGGATATGTGCGAATCTAGTATGCATACCACCCTCCATCACTGGCTGCTGGTCCTCTGGTCCTCTTTCCCGAGGTACCCATGTTGTAGTGGATGATTGTGTCGGCGCATCGATACCGAGACGTTGCATCTCTTCTTTTTCTGCTTTGCTTGCTTCTGCTAGTGCTGCTTTGATGAACCTATTGGCTGCATCCTTATCGAGTTGCATTTTTGCTACCGAAGAACTGGTTAGACGCTAGCTGACATTGTGAAAATGCGCCTACGTTCGGAAAGGTCCGTTTCGGTGGTAGCTTCTGCTCCCTGTGCTCTGGACACTTTGTGAAAATGATCTTTGATTCTCGAGAGCTCGTCCTCGACATAGGGCTTTTCTGGAGCCATGCCCTTGGCCCGAAGGTATGCTACGACGGTGAGACTCTTCTAGTCGGGTAAATAATCAGACTCACCCGTCACAAGCTGATTGACAACATAGGGTATCATCACACAGAGTTTCGCTTGGTTCAGAGTGTCCAATTTCTCCAGAGACTCGTGTAGTTTCTTCTCAAAAAGAGGCTCTAGGATGCCTTCTAGCTCGCTGAGAGAGTCTTCAAGTTGCTTTGCCCTCTGCGCCGGCGCCGCCATCGTGGAAAGTGGCTAAGTTTGAACTTGGTTTTGTCCACGATTGCAGATCAGGCACGACGCCCCTTCTCCGCAGGAAACAAGAACCAGGGAATCACTAAAACTTATATCGACCCCTCTACGACTAATCATTCGCATATTCTCATCCGCCACTGCGGTCTCCGGGACAAACGGCGTAGCCGCCAGTAATTTTCTTACAAACCAGAGGCGTAAATCGCCTCCAGTATCTCAACATGTCCAGTGTATTACTAGGAGCCTCCAATTCGCAGGAGAATCTCGATGTTGCTAATAGTACGGCCCACTCATCAGTGGAACAAGCTCAAGTCGACAAAGAGTCATATTCCGGCTCGTCTGAGCTAACTCCAGTATCCTCGTATGCATCTAGCATATCCTCCAGTCGAGATAATCGCTCGCCAGATGCCAGCGTCGAGGACAGAGGTGACCGAACTCGTGAAGAGACCGACTCGGAGAATCGGAGGACGTCAGACGATGATGAAGGGACGCCAATGCGCACTAGCACGACTGTTACACGAGATGAAAGGAATTATTATCGCGATTTACTGCTCAAAAGACTCGAGCAAATGTTCGGTACGTCGCGCTTCGCCGTTGTGCATGGATACGCGCTTACGTCCCAAAGTCAAAGCTGGTCTAGCCTTGACATCATACGGAAGAGTCCCATGGACAAAGCTAGGCGAAACTCTGGCAGCCGGAGGTTGCTATATTTCAGGGTTCCCGGAAGACCTCGCTCCGACAGCATCCAACGATCAAGTTGGTCACTACTAATGGAAATCAAATAATTTCTGATCCAATTTACTAGCTCTCCGGCGGTTCAGCACCGTCGACTTGGGGTGTTAACAGAAGCAAACCTCTCTTGAACCTCATCGAATCTGGTAAACTCCAGATCTTGCGACGCCCTCCAGGTAGTGATCGTTTCTATTACAAAGCTACTGAAAGGTCTGACTGGGCGTAGGGAGAAGGGTACTATTCGAACTGGTAAAATCTGACGGCAGCAAATACGACTCGACCATTGGTTATTCCAGTCGATGGCTGCACGATCATATGCGTCAGGAATTCCCCGCTCCCAAGCGATCCCGCAAAGAAGCAGTGTCTTCTCCAGAACCCGATTATGATTCGTCGTCTGACAGCTTTACATCAGTTTCAGAGAAAGACTGGAAACCGAATCGAAAAAAGCAGCGGTTGGAAAGTTATGACGCACGTCTAGCAGCTTCGATATATGCAAACAGTCGCAAGACCGCTGTCCTGCGCCGTACGTCCTCTCAGACCACCATCCCATCGACGAGAAATTCGACCAGTCAAAAATCTGGACTAAATGTAAAGCAAGGCGAAAAATGGAAGGATGGTGGAATCGTCAAGAAAGTTGGGAAAGGTTGGATCGTTGTAGAAGAATCATCCTCAGAAGCTGAAGAGGATACCACCGTGAGAGAGAAAAGCGACATTTCCTCCATCATAACCGTATCGGAAGCGGAGGTCACAAGCAAGAAACGAAAGCGAAGTGAACCGCCGGAATCAGGCCCAACCCCTACGAAGAGACCACACGTCGACCGACGTGAACCCGCGATATCTGACGAGAAGCGACTACAATCCGTCATGCAGCAAATCTCCAAGCTAATCAGTAAGTCTCCTTGTCTTATCGACCGACCTGGCCGACCACTATTGTAGAGGATTGCGGATACGTTGGCTCCAGGAAGCTTCCATGGAGCTCATTACCAACTTTCCTTTGCCAAAAGAAGCTTTTTATCACGGGATTTCCAAATACCTGTATCCCTCGTGTGATCGGCGACGAAGTCAAGACCGCATCCTCGCCACCACATTGGAAGGCTGCTCAGGTAGCCGCTATGGAAGAGGCTTTCGCCAAAAATCTGGTCAAGGTCCTTCCACGCCCTGATGGTGAGCCTCTTTTAGTCAAATGGATCGTGTCTGACCATACTAGGTCGTAGAGTCTTGTTTTCTACGTCAGGAGTGGATGGGAAATTTTATGACACTACTTGCGGGTATTCGGACGACTGGATTGCTAAACATTTACCCGACACAGTATCGCCAGCAATCCCAGAAGCCAGTAGCCAGAGTCCCGGCTCGACGCGACCATCTCTCAAGATTATTATTCCAAATTCGAGTCAGCAGACATCTTCTCAACCTGTTCCACGCGGGGAAAACCAACCCCCTATCATTAACAATGCCAAGCCTGTGGTCACTCATTCAGAAACACCGCCGAAGATAACGCCCCTCCCCCGAGCCGACATACCTACACCTATTATATTCCTTCAACCTCCTACACCCGAAGACGGACAGTCTACTGCGCAGCCTCCTCAACCAATGCCCCTAGAAAATATGAGTATAGACACCCCGCGCGAAGGAGCGGCACCACCCATAATTCAGTCACCAGAGAAGCCAAATTCTCCACATGCATTGGTTCTGCCTCCTTCGCCACCGCCCATGGACCCCGTTTCCTTGCCCAAGACTTTGGCAAATGACGAGATGGACATGACCCCCACGGTGAAGTCTCGAAAACGGGGCTCATTCACTTTTACTATTCCACCAGCCAGGAGTGTCGGTAAGGCTCGTCAAAAGCGCGATAGCCTAGGGCAAGGATCCCAGCAAGAGCTCACTTCGATCGATGGTACTGGCTCTGGATACGATCTCTCCCTACTGTTTGAAGCCAACGAGGAGGATACCCCAGCAGGTAGTCTTCCTCTCCATCTTGTCTCCAAGGTCCCGCAGCAACTGGGCCCAATTCCCCCTCCAGCGACATTACGTCCAGCGCCCTCGACTCCCACTCCCCCAAGACCCCTGTTGCCATTCGGTCAAGACCTTGTCGGAAAGATTGATGCCCCATCACCCTCGAAGTTTGAGACCAAGCACGCAATCGAGAAGGTTATTCGACCTGCTTTAATCAAGCTTTTTGGTCAGTGCCTATATGCTATCGAATCAGTATATTCACAGTTCTGCTAGATGCTGCTGGTCTATCCTCACCGGAAAACCCAATTCCTTGGGTCACCCTTCCGCAGCTGCTTTGCAGCAGGCGGCTATTTATCTCCGGCTTCCCGAAAGCATGTCTCCCAAGGGTGGTGAGAGACAGGGTAGATTGGGCGAGCGGGCCAAAACATTGGTCCTTTTCTGCACTTACAACCATGCACAAGGCTCTCAAAGCCGGTGACGTCAAAATACGACGCAGACCGCGGGAAAGGGTCGTCCTGTTTCACATACTGCCGACAGATGCCGAAAGAGAGCTCGGAAATCATCACGGGACTGATTCGACACTAAACTTCTCGCAAGCATGGCTAAACGAGTTCATGACGGGTGACACGACGCAAAGCGCCAATGAAACAATGCAATTCGAACCTCTCGAGGCCTCACCCCTGCGCGCTCAAACCACTCCTGCGACACCGCTTCGACCGGTCTGGGAGCGCCTAGGCAGGATCAAGATCGACGAGAGTGATAGTGAGGAAGACATTGTTGTTCCCGAGCCACCTTGGAAGGTTGCGATGGAAGAGCTTACCCGTCCGCCTCCAAGCTCTGAACTGCATCGGTTGGCCACAGTTGGAGAGGTGCCAGGAAGCGATCTTGAGAGTGATTCAACCTCTGAAGACAGTCAAAATGAGGAGGATGAGAAGGATGAGAGTGAAACGAAACTCTCATTGGCAAAACTTGTACCTTCACACCTTCCATTTTCCTTCCAGAGGCGAGGTCGGGTCATTCTTACCACAGAGGATGTCTTTGAGTGGCTTCCCAACGATCCATACGCCACTGATTGTCCGCCCTCGCGAATGGTCTGGAATCCACATAAGGGCAAATGGAAATTGCTGCCAGAGATTAGAGACATGGTAGCATTGGACAGAACAGTATCACCCATCGAAATACCTACCCGTGTGGGCGGACACATTCTGAGGCACGGAGTCGTCGAGCACAACCCAACAATCAACGTATGGGAGTGTTCTTTTGTCGGCCGAGACCTTTCTGGTGACTTACGCTGGTCACCCGATATCGCGGCATGGGAGTGGATTCTCCACGAAGATGGGAAGCAGTGGTTGAGGCGTACGCCTACTCGGACTTACGAAGCTATCCAGCAATGATTATTGTAATAACATTCAATCTTGGTAACCTATCAACACGATGTTGCACGAGTTATTAAAGCTGAATCTCGACCGTTGGCACCTTCTGCCGAGCGCTTGCAAGTTCATGCTTTGCTATCTGCTGACGCTTCAAGCGCATCGCTTCTCGAGTCGCAATCTCTTCTGAAATCATGCGTTGCTCGGCCTTCAGCTTCACTGCCTCCAATGCAAGCTGAAGTCGTCGACTTTGCCCTGGTACCGCGGGTGCAACTTTCTTGCCCTCCTCGTCGGTTTTAGCCTTCTTCGTCCTGGTTCCACCCCTGCGATAGCGATCGCCCGCGTCGATGAAGGTGTAGGGGGTTCGACCTGCTTTGGCAGGATAAAACCACTTGTATTTGGTCGCTGAATCATACGGTGTTCCATTTTCTTTCAGCAATGTGACCGGGGCGACAGTTAGGTGCCTCAAGCTGAGCGCCTTTTTGCTACCAGCCAATGCGGCCTCAGCCTCTTCAGTCACAGCCTGAGCAAGATCAAGGTGTTGTGCTAGGGGCGGATTCTGGCGACAGTCAGGCGTGATCCAGAGCGTCTAGTGACAAGACTCACCTGGCCCTCAGGTACCATCTCGAAATAGACGCGTTGCAATCGTGTTGATTCACCAATAGAATGCGTATGCACGTCGATGTCGATCCTGTTCGCCGAGTCTCGAGCCGCTTGCCGGCTCTTGTCGTAGGGGTCGATTTGAGCACCGAGATATCGCTCCATTCTCGATTGGAATTGATGATGACGTATCTTGTTCTAAAGTTTACTCGTAAGCTCGGTATCAAGTAGGGCGCGAAGTTCAGATGGGGTTGAAACGGTTATAACCAATTGGCTGGGATTTCTCAGTCCCAGACGGTCTTTCATTTCGCGAATGATATAGTATGCTCATCACAGAGAAAGAAGGAATGTTGACTCACCTCCTATAGTAGAAAAAATAGACATAGTTGATGTCAGCGAATAATCATACGGATTGGAGTGTCAGCAAGTGAAGAAATTGCAAACTTCGACCATGTATGAGTCTCCAAGTAATACTCTGATTGGTGCTCATCCGGCGGAGAAGGGAGGAAATCACACTGACCTGGGGGTATGGTTAGTTCGGTTCAAGCAGTCGTAAAAGGGAAAAAGATCAGAAAGCCATGCATGTAATAGAGTTTTTAACCACGATGAAGTCTTAAAGACTAATCGTTTGGGCTCATCACGTAGAGGGAAACGGCTTCGACACGTACCATGACCCAAAGCTGTTCCAGCTTTTTTAGTCTCAAGATTGCGCGTATACGATTGATCCCGAGCTTATATTCGCTGCTAAGCTCTTCTTCGGTCTTTCCCTTTTCCAAATGCTTATTGAAAATTTCGGTTCGTAGCTTGTCGGTGATGGGAGGCGGCGGTTTAAAGGATGGGTTAAGAGGAAAAGGCTAAAGAGATTCTTAGCATTTCAAATCATGTTTTTTAAAAACAATGAACACCTACAACAGAGCCACCCAGCCAGTTGGGCCCATCTTCTCGAGGACGTCGAAACGATTGGCCTTCATGGCTTCTCAACCAGCGTAGATGTTCTCCAGATCGTTCAACAGGGGTCTGAATCTCAGAAGATTCATCCTCGCCGTCTTCATCAGCCTCGCTGGCAAAGTTTCGCGAACTCGACGGGATCGCAACCCTTTGGTCGATACACCGTATTCGTGAAGCTCTTTTTAGAGCCTTTGAGACGTGTCGAAGGGTCCCGTTTGCGCCGAGGGAGTGATTTGGGAGGAGAAAGGGCAACATGGTTGAGGTCGAAGATTGACTACGGCTGATATTCAATGTTAGGCGAAGATTCACCGTTTCCAGGAATTCATTCCATGACATTTTCCTAGAGGATTCAACCTATGATCGCTTCTTTGGAGTTCCAGACAAACGCCAACCATGTACACAAAATAATGGGAAACTATCCAAGAAGAAGCAGTGTCCATAATGTCACAATAAATTACTATTTCTGAGGAGGAGGCGGTGGGGGAGCAAGCTTGCTCAAAAGATTGTAGCCCACATGCGCGATCCCAGTCGTCAACTGTGAAGTCAACGTATGCGGTTGCTGAGGCTGTGAATTGTGACTTGGAGGCGGTCCAGGAGGTGGTGGTCCGTTGTATTGCCCTGGCATTGGTGCAGGTGAGGATGGGTTCGGGAATGAGGGATAGTATCCTTGGCTGGCTGGCCGTGATGGCTGTTGCGGCTGTGTTGGAGGGCGGTTCGAGTTCATAGCGCCAGGAGTTTGGTTCGGGGTTGAAGGCCATGCGCCCGGAACTGGATACGGCCCGTTCATCTGGTGCTGTGGAGGTGGTTGGTTGTTGGGCTGATTATTCTTCTTATCTTTCCCCTTGTGTGGTTTGGGGTTTGGAAAAGAAGGAGGTGGGCCGGTGGGAGGGTAGAGTACCATAGGATAGCGATATGGATCGCTTGATTGTGGCGTGTGTTGGGGAGTGGGATGTTGGGAAGATGACGGCTTGGTAATCTTGTTCGGATGAGATGGTCCGGGACTGGATGATGCTGGTCGTGAGGGGGAGGGTGTGCGACCAGGCTTGGTCGGCGGTCTAAGGGAGCTCTCGGTTGAAGGCGGGGACGGCTTGGTGCTAGGTCGCGCCTTGGGTGCAAGCTCTGGCATCGGTATCTTGCTGAGGTGTACTACGACCATCTGCGGTGGCTTGTAATCTTTTTCCTTTTTCTTCTTGTGCTTGTCATCGTCCAACTTGATAATCTTGGGTCCATTCGCCTGTGGTTTTTCGTCTTCCATTGTCACATACTGGTTTAGCTCCTCGTTGTACCCCCCGGTCTTGTAATGGGTTCGCTTCGTCGCCTCGGCGACCTGAATGACCTTTGGAACGTGATCCGGGGATTGAGAGCGTAAAACAAGATACAAAAGGGAAGGGTCCTGGCACTTGTGTCAGGAAGGTTCATTTATAATACGGACGGCTTGCCTTGAGCATGTGCACACAATGATTTGCATAGTCTTCCACACTAGCGTCATCACCAATGATAACATTATTCTTCTGAACTCTATTGACTGCTTGGCTATTTGATATTACTTCCGCCACCGTGGTTGGGGTCGCTGGGCCATCAGAATTGTGCCTGCTTGGTGGAGCAGAGGGTGAGCCACCATTCTTGTCGCCTTTGAGAGCCTCTGAATAGTCTTGAAACGTCATAAGGGACGCCAACATGATAATTTCGAGGCCTTTTTGAACGTCAACTACAGCTGTAAGACTCGCACATTTTACTCACCCTTTCGATCCTCGATATCGAAGCTGCCAACGGTAAGACGAACGTTGTGACACTCCCAGAAGAGACTCACCGATTCAGATTGAAATCCAAAAGTTGCACTTGGGAGGTTCGTATTTTCCCTGCTGGCTCACGGGTCACAGCTAACGGTTATTAGAACACTTTCTTGAGCGATTACTTACTACTCACCGACTTGAACTGGAGGATCTGGCTTGCGAAGCAGATAGCAGCTTTCACGCCGCCACTCAAAAGTATGGCTAGGGGGATAAGTCTTGAATCACGTCGGATAGCAGTCTACATACCCTTCCCAGTCAAAGCACCACTTAAATGTGCTATGAAAGTGTCCATGAGCGAGCATACTCCCATTTTACTGGATATACGAACAAGGTACCGGTATAACCCAGCTCGACCTTGGCTTCTGGATTGTGTAGCTCTATCCATTTTTGCTTGCTACTTGCGTTGGATGCAGTGACAGTGCATAAGAGGCCGCCTGACAGCGGTTCTAAGTCGGCGGCATTGGGCTCAGCGTTCTGTGAAGTAAATGCTCGACGGCGAGGACTGACCGTAAAAGTTCCAGCTATATGCGTTCTCGGCATCTCCAGCATTGAATCGTTTGCGATAATAGATGGTGTTACTGCTCGGATCGGTCAAGTCTACGGCGCCATTTTCCTCGGTGCTGGCGGTGATGGCGAGTGTGAACAAGTTCTGGTCGAGAGACATTGCTGATAATCGTACTCAACGTTCCAGACGACTATGAGCGCGACGGTAAAGGTAGAGGCCAGATCCAAGTTCTAGCAAGGGCCATTTATTTCCGAAAGGCCAACCCTAGGGCTCGGCGTGGCAGTGAACTCTCAGTGCCAAATGCCAGCGCAAAATCGGATTACAGACGGAGTATACATCTGGTTTCCAGACACTCGAGGCCGTGTTCGTCTTCTCCCTAACGAGCGCAGTTGCCCGCTAAACGACACAGTCAAGTCCGAATATTGGTCCCCTACTTAGCCTCCGTCCTCTCCATCACTACTCCCATCATTGTCTTCTTCACTTGATTCGCGTTTTCGTTTGCGCTGCAAGGGTCCCGCCGCAGGGTCAGCACCGCCATCTGCAATAACAACACAGGTCAAGCGACTCCCGTTCGTATCATAGGATGCCATAGGTTGGATCTCCGAAGGCTCGCTACCGGGCTCCGCGGAAAGTGCCTCGCTCATATCATAGAGATGGATCCGACCGTCGGAGGAAACTGTCGAAACGTAGGTGTTGCCCATATTGGTGGATATATCGAGTGCCTTGACTCTGAAATTGAATTAATTTTCCGTGTCAAGGCATAGCTTATGAACATACCGATTCTTATGACCGACGAGATATGAGACGACTGGTGGTGATGATGAATGGGTTTCAGTTGCCTCATCATCGATACCTGACAGTCTATAGACCGTTACTTGTTTGTCTTCGCCGGCGACGCAGAGAAACTCGCGACTCTTGGAATCCTGACAAAAGCCGATGCCGTGAACACGCGCTGGATGGTCGATAGTTTGCAAAAGTGACATTTTCTGTCAAAATAAAGTCAGGATATTGATCGTAATCGTCCTGACCGTCCCCACCGTCGAATAGATATCAATAGTTACTCCGGAAAAAATTGCAAAGCGTGTACCCAACGGTGTCCAACGAACTCCTTCTCCTTCTACAGGGGTTGCTCAGATGATGCAGGTTAAAGTCGAACAATCTACCTTTGCCAAGTTTGATGCTCGCGCTCCCTTTACCTCTCATCAGGTCCCACATGCGCAGTGTCCTGTCTTTACCGACACTCAAGCACACTTTGGCAGAGGGATGAACCGCAAGATCATTAACTCGTTCACGATGGCCCCTCATTGTCGTGAGGACCGACCAGTCTCGGGTATGGTAGAGACATATGACACCATCTTCGGACGTTGACAAGAGATGGGAGCGCGTCGGAAACGAGAGATGAGTGATAGAACCTATAGAATATTATCCCCTGTATTCGCTGCGTAATAGCATACCCACCTTGATGCTGCTGCAGACTTCCTAGCTCTTTTCGACGCCGTAGGTCCCAGATCTTGATTGTCTCGTCTGTGGCTCCAGTTGCCAACCATTTTCCGCCTTGAGGACTGGCTGCGACGGCTTTGACGCACGATATATGCGCAGGAAAACAGAAGACTGGCTTGAATTCTGCCCCGGAATCCTTTTCTGGTTCTATCTGAAGACCATACAAAATCTTGTCGTAGCTTCCGGCAACGACAATCAAAGGTTTGGACGAGTTCGGAGTAGTTGATTGCGCTACGGTAATCTTCTCTGTTGTCTTTGCTTTTGTAGACGTCACCTCTACTTTGGGCGACATCGTAGCCTTCTTTTTCCTCGGTGGCCCCTCCGCAACACGAACTTTTGGGCCAAGTTTTGCACTTTTCTCTACAAGTTTCTCAGTTTCTCGGAGAGTTTCCTTGAGGTTTCGCTTCTTTGACGCCGATACATTCATGATGGTAGGAAGACAAGTTGGACTCTGCCACCGTCGATCTCATCTCAGGAGATTACAGTAATAAAGGGATAGGAACGACTCATTGCAAATGAACATCATTGGATCTCTGGCCATTATCAATTTGACAACCAGCAGCCAGAGTGTAGTCTTCTCTGAAACCTCAAATTAATTCTATCAGAAACCGCCATCGTTGGGCCCATTGAAGTGCCAGGCTCTTTCATCAGACGCGCTTTATCATGCATCATCATCTATTAAGACCCTGGGGCTACCCAGCAATGCCAGGCTCAGGCCCACCAGGATCTTATCATATAACAGTGCCCGACTTCCTCAACGTTTCGAGTAAGTACTCCGCTCACCATGTCCTTGCTCAAGAACCTCGGCGATGAACCTCTCAAGACATTTACGGTCTCTCTTGACTATACTGAAGCCGTTGCGATCAAAGACTTCAAGGACGTTGGTTCTCACTCCTGGACCCAAGTGGACGATGAACCCATCCTCGTCATCCCCGGCGCGCCTGCTCGCTGGACGAACCCGTCTATACCCCTACAAGTTGCTCCTGACCAAGGAACACGCTTTATCGATCATACGGGTGCACAATGCGATAAACAGGGAGTGCACAGGCTGGCCCCGGTCTTCCAATCGGTCGACTTTTGCACTCCCAATTTTGATTACAAGCAACTCGATATTATCTGCAACCGAAACAATCTTCGAAACTTGCTGCGCTGGGTCGAGTACTCGACCAAGAAGGACTTTCGCATCGACCTACACTTGATCAATGGAGATAAGACGCTCGTCATGGTCGAGCATGAGGTTTCTAAGACGGAGGACATACCAGAAGGAGCGTTTCGCGGCTATGGTGATAATTTTCGTCAGAGAGCCGTTATTGCACCGCCTGGTCAGACGAGACATAACCGTATAGTCACCTACGTGAGTACAGCGTCCCATTCCTCCTTGTAGGCCTCAACAATTGCGCAGACTCTGGGTGACTTTCGCCTTCTCATGGGCCACAAAGTTGAAGCCGCGTTTAGAGACAAAGATACCCAGGACGATGTCGACTTTCTTGCTAATGCTCTTGGGAAAGCTAAGGTTGGAAAAGCAGGTCCAACTCGATCTGAGACACCGGGGACGTTGCAAATGCGCCAAGGAGAGGACCCGTACAAGCAATACAAGTTTGTCGAGATCAAGACCATGAGTCAGCGCAAAGAGATTGACTGGAAGGACTTCTATCCGCAACTCTACCTTTCGCAAACGGCACAGGTGCGGGTGGCGCGCCACGACCGTGGAACCTTTAGGAAGATGGAGACGTATGACATCTTTTCCAAAGATCTGAAGAATGAACAGGAGATAATGGAGCTGCGCCTCGCGAAACTCGCCCTCTTCCTCAAGGAGCTGCGCTCAACCCTGCGTGAGCTCGGAGTCGGCCCTTGGAGCCTGGTGTGCAAGCAAGGCACTCTTCGACTCTATGACTCGAAGGATGATCCTCTTCCCGATTTTATTCTCTCCCGCTTCAATGTTGACGAGTAACAAAGCTCATGCCTGTAATAATATCGAAACGAATATCAACTGTTATATATATGTGCTATCCTACAGTTGTGTTGGGCAAGATTGCCATGTGGAGCCCTTTGCCAGGCGCACCTCGACCCGAACATGCCCAAACGATCGACGTCTCCACTACCTGGTGATAAGCCATATCCAAGCACCGAATGGGACAAGGACAAGAAATACACAATCGGTAGGTTAAAACGACGGATTGGACACTGAACTCTGGAAATTTCAGAACACATCCGGTACGCGGTCATCCAAGGCAGAGGATTTGAGAAGCAATGGGTATGTATATAAACTTGAGATGAAATCAAATAACGGCTGTCATAGAAGTACTGCGTCAAGGTACGAAACATACCACAACGCTGAATGTTAGGCTCACGATCCCAGTGGTGGAACTGGCCAGACGAATACAATACGTACGAGTCTATGTGTTCTATGCTTATATCGTGACTAATTGATTGTACAGTCTCGAAACCGAAGATACTTTCGAAGGCTATACTGCCATCGTTCTCAAGAAATTTTGGCGTCACACGCCAAATAAATGGAAACCATCTCCACGCCTCTGGGGTGCAGGATATAGGATCTATGCGTCCCCATTATATCTTAGTGCGTCCACGGACCTAACTCAGCTACTCCAGCTGACAAGACGACAGGCAGGACGACCGAGAGGTTGCGAAGCCTGTACGCTGGCGAAGAATTTGAAGATTCCGACGACGGAAACGAGTACACGCTCGACTACGATAGCGACATGGAGATGGACCCGACGAACGGGTATTCCGGAGACAACGGCGATCGACCTCCACCATCCGATGATGAACCCCCTCGCTCAAACTCAAACTCAATGAGTGAGCGCATCACGCCAGAGTACATCCGCGATCCGACCTCTCAACCTCTCTTCCTCACCCCGTCCAAGGCGACCACGAATGAGCGGGCCTCAGGTATTTCATTTCGCGACTCTATTTCGATCCACTCACATTCTACAGACAAGACATCGGAAACGACCTCGACGCCAGCATTTTCCGACAAGCAAACGTTGAGGCGCACGATGAATTCGACATCCGTCAAACGGATAGGTCGAAAGAGTCAGAGTGGGTCCAACGCACGGGGGTTAGGTGAATACGTACCCGAGACTCGGGCTGGAGGGCGAATGCAAGGAACGTCTGGTCGCAGTCTCGGAGCCAGTTCGACCGTGTACTCGTTACGAAACGCCGAGAGTGCAGCCATTCGGATGAACGTGGGTTCCAGCGCGGGCGCACAGAGACGCAAGATGAAATTTGTCAATGCCTATGCGGTCGAATCCATCGTCAATGGTCAAGTGCCAGAGGATTACTACCATCCACCCGAATCGCATACACGGGATACCCTCATGGATGTCGTCCCAGGCTCTCCTGGACAGGATGGGAACCAGCGGTTCCTCGACTTTCAGCGGGAAGAGCGAATCAATGACACGTTTTATCCACATTGAAGAAAGACGGGGTCCGTTGTATTTATCAAAATTGTCGCATCGTCACGTCGCATACCTGCATATGATGTCTGTTCTTGCATCGCTCATTTTGTTGTAAATAGTATACTAGTAGTTGACTTGTGTGATACACATTGAGCAGGATCGTACATGAGCTGGATGCGTAGCTAGATAGCAGGAGACTGAGTGTCTGGTCGACAGGAGGCGGATGAGGCAAAGTAGATAGATGAGCATTGTTTTGCGGGTCGTCCATAGGACAAACCCACGTGTGGTAACGTAGAGCAAGTAGAGATGTCGCATAAACCATTTGCGGCACTCATATCATCCCCCGTTGGCTACTCTGTTGCTGCGCCGAAAACCCAGGGGAGACGGGGCTAGCCGCAGGCCCATCGAGTGCATATCGTAGTTCGGAATCGTTTAGCGTACTCGATGTATTCATACTTGTCGCGTGTGGTGCGGGCGTCGGCGGTACTCCCGAGTTGCTCGAACCAATCTTGCCAATGAACCATGATGGAACCCAGCCCCTGTCACCAGTATGTTCCTTGACAGCCTACAAATTTGATTAATATCGTCATCACAAACCTGGATATACAAGACCCACGTATGACCAATGATTATAGCGCTTGAACACTCGAAGCGCATCGTCTTTGACGAGCTCGAGCTCCTCTTCTCCCTTTTTGCGATAGTCCGTCAGCGCTATACCCGGATAGCTAGTGCTGACAATGCTGCTCGGCATGATCGGCGCGCGGTCTGGATCGAGGGACCGCGAGTATGGATCGTTTGCTCGTGCCTCTTGTATCGCTACGGCCACTGGGAGATTCGTCTCAAGCAAACACCCCGCGGGCACCCACCCTGAGCGACCATCTCCGTTGCCCGACCCATTCCCAGACGGATCCTTTTGCACAACCCACCAGCCTTTGGCCTGCGAGATGATGATAAATGTGTCGTTGATTGACACATCGAATTCGTCGTCTTGCTCGGCAGTGTAGGGATAGATGGCAATGGCGTAGGATTTTGTCGCGAGAGGTTGGGATGGACCATGCGAGTTTTCAGTCTGCGGACTATGAGAATGGTGTGAGACGCCATGATCCGGATTGATTGGCGACATGACGTCTGGCCATGGTGAATTGGTCAAATTGGCCGTGGCCAGTGGAGGAGTTCTGCCGTCGACCGTCAACGTATTGCCACCTCGAGCAGCTGCTCCTGCTGATGTCCTGCCAAGTGCCGACGCCACACCACCAGCGTTCATCTGCGCTTGCCGCTCCTTGTCTCGTCTCGCTGCTTGTTTCTGTTGTGCGACTGCGATAGGCGAGCGAATGTCACGTATGTGTTTGAGCATGAATACTGGATTCTTCTTGGCTTCCTTTAGCTTCTGGAAGAGAAGCAAGGGCTTTTCATCGTAGCTGAGACAACGTTCTATACCCACTCAAATCAGTAAGTGATGATGAAAACCCGGCCGAGTCACACGCACCGGTATTACCGTAGCAGATGAACATGGCAAAGTTTTGCCAGTCTTCGTTGTTGATCTTGTACTTTTTGAGCGCGGCTGGGAGCACTTTCCACGCTGGGTCCTCGAGACTGACTTTGAAGCTGCGAATATCGCTCGCGTCTGTGATGGGACGCGAGTTGGATGCACCACCTCGTTGTGGAGCGGGAGATAGTGATGAATTGGAGATCGGTATCGACGGCGTAGCAGATATCGGCGGTGTATCTTTGCGGACGATTGGCTTCTCGGGAGAATGACTGTGTTTCTGGGGCTGTATAAGACGATGAGATTTCTATAACCTCTCCAGACCGCGAGACGGCCTACCGGAATAGAATGTTCTGGCGCGTGCGGCGAGCTCGTCGGAGACTCGTGCTCTGCCTTTGTCGGCGAACGGCTCTCCTTGTAGGGGGCCCATTTGAGAGATGGTTGCTTTTTGAGAGTCTTTTGCGGGGCGTCTGTCTTGACGCCGTTTCTGACCGTGTTTGCGGTCAAGTCCTCGACGCACATCTGAACGGTTTCCTGCAGACGGATGTTTTCTTCTTCGAGGACAATGATCCGGTTCTCTAGAGAATGCTTAAGATGCATTCCCGTGGCCACAAACGGGAATGGGATTACCTAGCTGCTGAAGGTGCATGTACAGTTGGCCGATGGTCAGGTTAGCTGCTGGGTCCTCGGATTCCGCTAAGCGTAGCTAGTATGAGCTGGATACCTTGTAAGTGTGTATTCGGGGCTTACACGGCGGGACATAGTGGTCTGGCTCGATTGGAATCCCATCCCGAATCTTGAGCGCATAGACCGCCTTGAGTATAGCCAGTCGCTGACCCACAGAGTTGATTCCAATCTCTTTCAGCGACTCTGAATCGAGCGCCTGGAGGACATCGCCCGAGATGCCGTGCTTGCGGATCTGCTCGTCGTACTGGTCGAGGCCCAGCGATGCCAGAAATACCGCAACGTCGTCTTCTGTGTAATCCATGAGCGATGCCGGGAGCTGCAAAGTGTCCGCCATCGTATGCCAAATGTCCAGGAGCCAACTTGGATTCTGCCACCCGTCGCCCATGAACGAGCTCCTCGTCGCGGCTGCAGACAGCGTCGGACTGTACAATATACAAACGGGAGGAGCTCCTGTTGCTGCGTTTGGCATCCCTCCAGCCGCACAGAATGCGACCGCGCTCGTCCCCACCAAAAACAACCAGGGCGGCCTCGTTTTCTCAGCAGCAGCCAGTAAACCATTGCTACATGTCTACAGTTTTCAAAAGGTATCTATTCCTCGCGTATTCCCGTGCCAGCTCTCATTTCTCGCAGAACCAACCACTCCACAACTTTGTTGTCCCGGAAAAGCTCTCCTGTTTGGATATCGACACCAACGCAACATGGTGTGTTGCAGGAAGCGCGTCTGGTCGCATATACGTATGGGAAGTTGCCTCAGGTGCACTCTTCAAGTCGTTTGCGGCTCATTACCGGGCAGTCACCGTGATTCGCTTCCACTCCGACGGGGAGACATTTGTCACGGGCAGCGAAGACTCCTCGATCAGCATCTGGTCCATTTCCAGGTGCGCTCCATAATCCCTTCCAATGTGTGTTCTAACAGGATCTACGTCAAGAATAGTCGATTATGAACAAGAAAATCAAGTACCGACACCCTTGTTGACACTTTCCGACCACACACTCCCAATAACCTCGATACGTCTAGGGTTTGGGACCCTTTCGTCGGCGCGAATATTCTCAAGCTCCCTCGATAGTACCGTCAAAGTTTGGTCGATTGACGCCCATACGTCTGCAGACTCGGCAGGGCCCTCCTCGACTTTGCTGGCAACCTTTGGCTTTTCTGTCTCCATCATCGACATTGCCATAGATCCGCTAGAGCGTTTCTTCTTTGCTGCGACGAGCAAGGACAATGGAGAAATCTTTGTCACTCGAATGTACACCGACAACCAAGACGTCCCACATCGGTCCTTGCTCACTGGTGGCATCGGCGAGACACATGCCGTTTCTTCATCCAATGCCAAATCAATAACCGCTGGGTACGTACTTCCGACTCGATTGTTCTAGAACTCAGTATTACGTAGCTCCAAAGTCTCTACGCTAGCCCTGACAACTACATCTCAGTTACTGATCGGCACACACTCTGGCTTGATTCATGTTTATGATACGCTATCATTACAGCTTCTGAGAACTATATCGACCTCTCAATCTCCATCACCGACGCCAGTCACCTTTCTCACCACTGTCCCCAAGCCCATAGATCTGATAGGCCATGTACAACTCTACATGGACCACCAGAATCAGGGAGAATCGATGTCCGTTCGGCCTGTTATGCCCTTTGGACGAGTGAGAGAGGTCAAAGGAGCGGGGCGAGAAGTATCACTTATTCTGCCACCGAGGCCGGTTAGTGGACATTCTACAATTTACCAATGGCTGACAATTTACAGAATCTATTCGATGTCTCTTATGATCCTGCTCAAGACGCCGCCTATTTCTCTGCAAAGCAACCCTGACTGCCGCCGATAAATCTAAGACAGCAGACTCTCAAGCCAGGATAGAAAGCCTAGAGCTCCAAGTCCAACAATTAACGGCCAAACTAAACCAAGCCAAAGCGATCAACGACGCGATATGGGAAAAAATGGTCGATAGGGTAGCACAACAGAACAAGGCTACACAACCGACAAGTCTATAGTCTAATGTCCGTGAATAAGAATATCGGCAATTTCGTCCTTGGAACGTCCATGCCGAATCCTGGCAGCTTTGGTGGAGATAATATTTAGCACGCGGGTGATGTAAGCGGAATCTTGACAGTGGTCTAGAAATAAATCAGTTTATGGCCATTATACTCACCACAGAACAACGTACCGCAAGCCCGGACAGAGAGGTTTCCTTGTACTTAACGGACATGTCCGCGGCCGTCAAACGCATCGCCTCGATGGCCTCATCGAGCGAGACATAATGCTCCGCATTTGTCGCCATAGCCAGTTGAGCCGCCGTAATCGCCTTGACTGCACCCTAGATGAGCATGAGTGATGATTAGCCAGCCTCCTCGGGGCAGTGACGCACTAGACTGTTGCGTTCGATGCATGGTATCTGGGAAAGTGTCAATTGTGGCCTTGCAATGAACCTGGATGAACTTACTTGAACAAGACCATCTATCGGACTATGTGGCCAGTCAGCACTGGACAGCTACAAAAGCGCAAAGAGAGATGGTACGAACTCGCATGTAAGTCCCAAATTATGCTCGATGCCCACTTCAGCGCTCTGGAGAATGACTGCAGGCGATGCGCCAAGGACGGCGGCAAATGCACCAGCAGCCATGCTACAGGCGACACCTAGAGAATAGGTCTCAGTAAACGTAACTGAGAGACGTGGTCGGATGTGGAGAGAACAAGGTGATACACACCGACTTCCGCTTGGCATCCACCTTCAGCTGCACTGATAGTTGAGCCTCGCTTGAACAGCATACCGATGGCTGCGGCTGTCAGCAGAAAAGTTTTGACGGTGCCTTCAACATCATCGCTAATGAATTCGAGCGTGTACTTGAGGACAGCCTAGATCCTGGTTAATCTCAGTTGGTACCGAAGTTTGATTCAAATACCGGTATCACGCCCTACGGATAATTCAGCTCATATTTGACAGAGGTAATAGTGCTTACTGCTGCTCCATTCGTGGGAGATGTACTAATTGTCGTTATTTGGACTGAGAGAGATGAGAAAAAAGTCTCTTACACTATTCGGCCACCGGCTGCATTGACCTCGTTGACCGCAATGGCATAGCAGGATAGAAAGTCGATGTTGGGGAACAGCGTACGTTTCTTGTGGATTTAGGGACGATATAACTCTCTTGATGCACACATACCGGAGGCATTGGAAGAACGGGGTGATCAAAGGCGCCAACGACTCTGGGACCTTTTGCTCTAGACTTGAGATTGGTCGCGCCATTCGTATCTCCATTAGATGCAGAGGTGGAACCATTGAGTGGTTCCATGTCTGCTGGAGAATTGATGGCCATCGAACTGCCTATGGAGCCAGCCCCAATCGCTGGTTGGGAGGTGCTCGAGTAGAGTCCAGGATAAAAACTATGGGCCGATGAGCTTCAATATACTGCATAAAATTGCGCTTACCCTCTCATCAGTCGTTGATACAGCATAGGTGCACGCCTCTTCAATCCGAGTCGGCCAGGGAGTACGCGCTCCGTTGTCGAAACGCCGGATCTGATACACTCATCCATAACTTGCCATATACGCATGAGCTAAGTATGCATGAGTATTGTTGATGGAGAGGAACTCTATAGCACCTTTGCATTGATTTGATCGTCGGAAAGATAATGGCGTTCGTTGTCATAAACCAATTGTGCGATGGTCATCTTGGAAGGGTTGAGCGCATCTAGCTAATGAATTCGATTTACCTACGTTATACTTTTTCGTCATAGCAAGCAAAGAGTCGCCCGAGCTAAACAGATATGGCGGTTGAGTCGCTGTGCCCTTGTATTCGTCTGTCCCCTCCTCGGTCTCGTGGAGTTGAGAGCGACGAGCCGGATCCACCTTGGATTTGTCAACGCCCATGTAATACAAGTTCTCATCCACTGAAAATATTAAGCGCCTTCCTCGGACAGTATCACGATCCACCTTTCGTCTTCTCATTGACTACGAAACCGCCTCCAACGCTGTTATCTGATTAATATGAATTTCAGAGATGGGCCGACATTCGTACCTATAATATTCGTTTGTCGCCAGCAAATCGCCATTCTCGTCGAAGACGGCGAAACGCATTCCGTTTGGATGCGTGGGCAAGGCTTCAAGGACCCAGACCATGTCCCTATCCATGTCATAGTGTATCCGGTGTTTCCCTGCGAGATTCAGGATCTTTTGATCACGAATAAAGGTGTATCTCGAGTCGACGGTGGCGGTTTCGATTGTTTCTGGATCCGAGCCTGCCGAGAGTTGTCACGAGAAGCCTTATAGCAGGCCAATGCTAGATTTACCTTCGAGTCCGAGAAGAACCGCTTGAGGTGTCATGTGTCCTGAACTGTGATGAACTCTCATAGCCCAAGAAATGGGAATGGACGCTCACCCTTTCCTGTGGCGGCTAGAGATCCATAAAGCGTGATTTTGATGCTATGAACTTTCTCGAGGAGGCCATATTGCTTGAGGTCGTGCACGAATATCCTCCCTGCGCGCATAGGACCAACAGTATGAGAGCTGCTTGGACCGACTCCGATAGAAAACAAGTCAAATGCAGAGATAACAGCGTGAATAGGTCGCTTGTCGACTTCCTGCTCCACGGCGGGTTTGTGGACCGGTTCTCCCTCCAACGTATTCTCAGATATCCCAGAAGCAATATAGCGAACTTGATTTCCTCCTCTGACGGCCATCCTCGCTGCTGACCTGGCGAGGGTGTTGACTGTCCAATGAAACACCCCTCGTTTCGACATGTTCCCGCGCCGGACCATGTAGGAGAGTGTGCTCAAAACCATTTTGGTCTGAACAGTATTTATGCAGATTTATTGAGGAATATGATACCCGTGGTTGTGGTCAGACTATACAGGAGGAAGCCTTTGCCTGCTGTATGCCAGACGTGGAATACACGCGCTATCGCATAAGTATTAGGGAGAAACAGCGCCCAAAAATAGACAAGAAATGCGCAATATTCGCTCTAAATTGTGACTCAAGTTCGAGGGTATCTCGAGACAGACCGACAAGATACCCTTGTTCGGTCAAGAAAGATAATCACTCGCTCATCTCCTCGTTATAGAACGCGAGGAGCTCCTTTTGAGCAGCGGTATGAGAGTGCCTTGCCATCCCCGACCGGGTGGCGGCAAATTCGAGGGGGAAAGTATTCAAAGAAGAGCCAGCGCGAAGTCCGTTTAACACAGGAGCGGAGTGTGCACTGATTCTCATACTCTCCCGCCCAAACTCAAACCTGTCCGGGTAGTAGCGACACGCCACAAGGACGACTTCGACCCGCACTTCCAGTTTTGCTGGTAGCAAATTCCTCCACATCATACCAGACGGTGGCGGTTGTATGGGAGTAAGGTCCGAGGGTGTCGGAGTATGAATTGATGTATCGGACACAAGCTCGTATAGCGAGCCAGTCAACATGCATTTCCGCCCATCCCTCTCGATGAGTCGAATACGCAACAGAACTGCGCTGTTGTCCGAGTCATTACGTGAGGGAAAGAGACCAGCCACGGCCCCGTGGTTCCCTATTACTCCCCGACTGAATCTCAGCACTACCATTTCCTCAATATAAATGAGTTCAGCACCCCACCAGAGTGCTGAGAAGAGTTGGAGAGAAGAGCTGTCCGTATCGTGGTCGTTTATCTCTGCTGGATGGGCCAATCCCCAGCAAAGTGCCAGATGAGCGGCAGTCTGTGAGGCCAGTGCATAGAATCCACTGGCCTGAAGAAATTGGTCCGAGGGTGGTTCGCCGCGACTATGATCTGGGTACTGTGTGCGGCTGTATGCAATATTATGTCGAAAATGGTACAGACTCTGTGCTGTGCGCAGATCCATTGGGGGACGCACGGTGCGAAGGACTTCAATGAGTGATTCCGGAGCACTAGAAAGTCTGTATGGTATAACCATCTCCGGGGGTAGCACAAAAGTGTCGGTGATAGCAAGTAATTTGACGTGATACAGCCGTCGCTCGGTGACCACATTTCCACGAATCTCCTTCTGAACACGGTTGTCTTCAATCAACCCAGGCCACTGATCGATGACAGCGCCTGGGATCGTGCCGCGTAGAGGGGGATCTACCGCACACCAAACCAGTTCTCCGATCCGAAACGTTCGACTGGGTTTATGGAGCTGCTCCCGAGTCGGGAACATCCTCACGGGCTCCGAAGGTCTCTTTTGAATAGAGAGCAATCGCCGGGTCTGCCTGTCTTCATCTGGTGAATCGTCCTTTGAGAAGTCTGACGCGCTGGAGGTATTTGTCGGAATCACGGTTTGGGAAGAAAGGCCCGTCCCCAGTGTGCTTGAAGAACTCATTTCAATGAAGGATATCTTCTTGAGTGATGGGCCACCAATCTTTTTCAGCTCAGGCTGGCTGTCAATGGAACGGGCAATCTCTGGAGACCTGGGTCGTTTCAGAGGTGATTGAGAAGACCCAGCCTTCAGGGCACTAGGTTTGGGTGTCCTGGGAGACGACTTTGGAAGGAGTTCTTCGTAGTTCGTTGGGGGTTTTCCAGCGAAGAAGAGCCACACTGCGTGAGCTTGAAATTCCGCTGCGGATCTGTACTTCCTGTTGCCACCTGAATTACGTTAGAAACGTCACTATTCGCCATAAACGCGACGTACCATAGAGGTAGTGGTCACTTCTTGTAGAATCTTCACGGACGGTGGAAAACACTGCGTAGCCATTAGGCCATCCATTCATTTGGTATTTTTGCGGCTCTGTAAGGGAAACAAGTCAGAATCGATCCAGTAGTCGAACGAGCACATACGTTGGTAGCCAAGTATGGTCGCAATAACCTTGCCAAGCTAAGAATGATTAGATTCAAACACTCTGCACGCTGATTTGAATGACCTTTTGGAGCCATAACTGCGACGTTGCGTCGTTGTCGCAGCGAACGAAGCCTGAATTGTTTGATGGCCATGCAGCAGGGTTCCCGTCACTGAAATTCGGCCAATCAATGGGCTTGTAGTCAGACATTAACGAGTGTACGGGGACGGCTGACACACGCTGGATGCTCGAAAGCTCCAAGTCAGCTTAGACCAAGGATATTTGGACCTGACCTCCACTGTTGCTTTCAATGAGCTCGGCAGTTTACTATAAATTCAAATCGCAAAAGACCGAATCTCGGATACCAATTGATGGAACAGGCATTTCTGTCTTTGATTTAAAGCGGGAGATTATCCTTGCGAATGGATTCGAAAAGGTGCTCGACATAGACCTCCAGGTGTTCGAACAAGGTACAGAAAATGGTGAGGAGCTGAATTGGATGTTTAATATTACGCAAGGGCTCATGGTTTGCAGAATATCCGGACGATTACATAGTACCTCGATCCTCCTCGGTAATTGTTAAGCGCATACCACTTATTCGAGGTGCAAGATCAAGATTTGGACGTTATTTGGCGAGTACAGGCCCTCGCTCTCAGCCAACACCCGCCGCGTCTGCCGCCCTTACTCAAAACAACCGTGTACCTGCCCCAGTGCAGCTTTGGTCAAGAGGCACAGGAGCAATCAGTAAAAGGTTTGACGGAAAAGATGAGATGAAACCTCCTGCTACAGTCAGTATTCTATCCATCATGAAATATAAGCTCCATTTGCCGCCGGAACTGCGCTCGTTGAGACCTACCCTTCTGCATGCTGCTAACGCCCTTGCAGACGCCAAATTCATCTGCAACCCCCATGGCTGCTCCAGACATCCAGGCCGACGAGCAAGATGCAATCAATCAAATGATGATGGCCAGCGAGGCTCAATGGCAAGAAACGGAACAGATGATGGCACAGTACGTGTATAATGAGTTTCTTCTTGATCTCTGGCTTAGAGGAGACAGGCAACAACGCGTATTCTCAGGCCCACGGAGGGGTGGCGGTCCTGGAGGGGGAGGTCCTGGGATGCGTAGGCCATTCCAAGAACAGCGAGAACTCCCACCAGGATACATTTGCTACCGGTGTGGACTGGGAGGTTAGTCAAGATTCGCTCGCACACCGACCCTTGTTCACACGGCCGTAGGTCACTGGATTCAGAATTGTCCCACCAATGATGATCCAAACTTTGACAAGAAGCGCATCAGAAGGACGACCGGTATTCCTCGTAGCATGTTGGAAGCCGTTGAAAAGCCCATTGAAGGGGGTGGTCCTCTTGCTTCGGGTGTCATGGTCACACCGGACGGTGGATATGTGATTGCTCGGCCAGACATGTAAGTCTATCGAGTGCAGATGTTCTTCTACTGACTGTTGGCAGCGCCTCGTGGGAGAAGCAGCGGTCAAAGTCCAAGGTGTTAACCGAGGAAGATATACGAGAGCGAATCCCGCGCGGACATCCACTTCAATGTCCCATTTGCATCAAGCTTGTGCAAAGGGCCGTCAAAACGCCATGCTGTAATACAACCTATTGCGAAGAATGCTTACATTCTCACCTTTCCGACAACGACTTCACCTGCCCAAATTGCCACTCAAAGATTGCGTCCCTTGCTTCAGTCAAACCAGACGCCGATGCTCGAAAGAAGGCGGATGACTATATCGACAACGCTTTCGAGGAGCATCGTCAACAAGAGGTCAAGTCCGCCAACATAGTACCAAAGGCAAGTATGGAGTGGCAATTTGTGGCTCTGACTGACAAAGTTCAAGGACGACCTTGAGAATGCCCAGGGTACTCAAAATCCATTCGACGGCATTGCACCGGATCCGAATGTATTGCAACAAGAAATCACCGAGCTTCAAGCTCAACTTGCTCAGCTGCAACGAATGATGAGCGAGAGTAACATTTCAGAGCAGAGCCGCATCAAGCTGCAAATGGAATTCGTCAAACTCAGCCAAATCATCGCGACGAAGCAAGAGATGCTCAAGGTGGCTCAACAGATTATAAGCGCCACTGTCGCTGCCGTCGCTGCGGAGACGGGAGTACGTACCGGGAATGAGTGGCGTCAGAACAACTTTCAAATGCAGCAGCCTGCTGGCGCGGACTCTGCTTATCAGCGTCTTCCAGTGAACCCTCGACGACGAGCTAACAAACGACCTGCCGATTGGGAGCTCGATGGAAGGGATGGGAAGCAACCTCGATTCTGGGAATAGACAGCTCTACTTGTGTATTGTTATTAAATAGCTGAATAAGAATCTCGTCACTATCGCTTCGTTGCTACATACTTCTCCAATTGCTTGACCTCCCTGTTGATCTTTGTTTCCTCGGAAGGTTTCTTCTTCTCCTTTTTTTTCTCCTTTCTTGCCTTCCGTTTCTCCTCCCGTTCAGCAGCTTCGTCCATTGCCAGGATCTCCTTGATAGATGGAACTGCACTGGAAGCCAGACCCTGGAGACGTGTGATTTTGAGTGGCTCATCCTCCATCTCTACATCACTTGGTGGACGCTGTTCCTCGGGTGGAGTATCGGTCCTTTTTGGGATGATTGGAGCGGAATTAGACGGTGTTTCTGCCTCCCCAAACCAGTTGCCTCGCTTCTCCGTTGACGTGCCAGCTACTGGGGAGTCCCCCTTTGATCCATTTGCTGGTAAGCTCTCTTCATCCGAATCCTCCTCTGAACCCAGCCCTTCATACTCTCCGGCGTCAGCAAAGATGTTAAAGTCTTCGCCGAATTCTGGAGTCGGTGTCCTAGGTCGAGGTTTGGGCTTTGGGACCTCCTGAGGCACACTTTGTTCCTGCTGTTGTTCAACAAGCCGAACTGGAGCTCCGGCAGCATCGACTTTGCGCTTCTTCTTCTTCGTTGCTTCCTGTGTATTTGGATCCTTTTGCTTCCGTTTTTTCCCTTTGGTTTCATCAGGGGCTCCAATTGGTCTGAATTTGCCCATTTGCTTTGCTACTTCCAGATTCTTATCAACATTTTTATTTTCCGTGGCCCTAGACTTCTTTAGAGACTGTATAATTTCGTCTCTTGTACGTTTCTTGGGAGCCGAGGCTTCTTGAAATGCCTTTTCCAATGCATCGTCGTCGATGATATCCTGGTTTTCATTCATTTTCATTCTCTGCTGTGCCAGAAGGGCAAAGTCGAGACCTAAATGTGGTCAACACTACTTGGATATCAGGCGCATCGTCCGCACCTTTGGACGGAGCAGGCTGAACGTCACTAGGTTCATCATCTTGATCCAGTCTTTGCGGAGCCTATACAACTGTTGGTACTTTACACAGAAAGACGACTTATGCCTACAGTGCTCGGCTTTTCTGACGCTTGGGTGTCATTAGTCGCCTTGTGCTTTCGTGGTTTGAATATAGAGGCAGCGGAGGGCTCAGGTTCTCTGGTCTTTCGCTTCGTGTAACTCGGTGTAACAGTCAAGGGCGCTGGCGCTGTTGTTTTGGCTGATGCCAACAAGGCTCTGAAAGCGTCCTAGATCCAAGTATAAGTTCTGGGCTTTCTTTGTTAGATCTATCGGGTCTCACTTGATCCATTGCGAGCGGTGGCAGGGGCCAAAGGTTCGAGACCCACGACTAGAACCCCAACCACAATGTCAACAATTTCGAAACATTTTCTCAACGATCCAAGCACGCTGGTTCAGGACTCTCTTAGAAGTCTGGAACTCATCAACCCAACTATCGCTGTTGACATCAAGCAGAAAGGCGAGCAGCATCAGAGTTGGATTTGCGGCTAGGCATCAACCTATCCCTGTCCAGTTGCCTATATAAAAGATCAACCCCAGGACTGTGTCTCTCTCATTTGCGGAGGAGGGAGTGGTCATGAACCGGCACATTGCCTCTTCGTTGGCTCAGGCATGCTTTCAGGTCAGCATTTCGAAGCCTTTGTGCGCAAACTTGACTTCAAGCATCTTCTAGCCGCTGTGTGTGGCAACATATTTGCTTCGCCGAATCCGTCACAGGTTCTTCGAGGCCTTGAACTTGTCCAAAACCCCAATGGGTTCGCATTGTGCATTAGCGCGTTCTCGAGCTAAATTCTTCATCACAGGACAGTGATCATTGTCAAGTATGTACACCGCTCTTATACCACGATCTGTCTAACGCCTCATATCAGAAACTATACAGGCGATATTCTCAACTTTGGTTTGGCAAAAGAAAAATATTCCGCAAAGTTTCCAGACCAGGCTTCGAAGTTGCGCTTCGTCGTTGTAGCCGACGACGTCGCTGTCGGAAGGACACAGGGTGCTATTGTTGGGCGGCGTGGACTGGCTGGAACGGTCCTTGTTTACAAGATTGCTGGTGCCCTCGCAAAGAGAGGGGGATCCCTGGATGACGTCGAGAGCCTGGCCAAATGCGTCGCAGCTCAAGTAGGAACTATCGGCGTCGGGCTCGGCCATTGTTCAGTGAGCAAGTACGGGGATTGAGTCCTTCAATTTTATGTCGAAACAGGTTCCCGGGAGTACAAGGGATGACACTCTAAAGGAGGACGAATATGAAGTGGGAATGGGTTTGTAACCCATACTCTTCACGAGCCAGGTAGTAACCCCCAGCTAGGTATTCATAACGAACCTGGATACTTGAGAAGCTCGCCCGTTCCCTCGCTGAACAAGCTCGTTGTTGACATGGTCAATCTGCTCACGGATACGACTGATAGCGAACGATCTTTCCTCAAATTTCGCCTTGACACCCAAGATCGTGTCATATTATTGGTAAACAATCTTGGAGGAACCAGCGAGCTCGAACTCGGCGCAGTTGCTGCCGCTGCCGTTTTAGAGCTTGAAAGACGAAAGATGGTCATTGAAAGAGTCTTAGTGGGGACCTTTATGGTAAGAACTCTTAATTTATTTTATGTCTCACCGACTCTTTGCAGACTTCTCTCAATATGCCCGGATTTTCTCTCTCTTTGCTACTCTTGCCCAGGGAGGAAGATAAACACACGGTATCAGCAGAGAAGATACTGCAATATCTTGATGACGAGACTGAAGCCACTGCTTGGAAAGCTGCAATCAAGGTCAAACATCCTGGTCAAAGAGGCCGGTCGACAACTGGTGATACTGTGGCTCAAGCCAGTAGAATCGATCGGTGTATGGAGGCGCCAGACAAATCTGCATTTGTGGCGCTCGTAGAACGAGTTTGCATGTCTCTGAAAGCAGCCGAGCCTGAGATAACGAAAATGGATGAGAAGGCTGGAGATGGTGATTGCGGGTACACGCTCAAGAACGGTGCTGAAGCTATCATCAAATCGATTCACGAAGGACGCATTAATGGAGATAATGTCATTGAAGACGCTCGTGCCATCGCAGAAGCAGTTGAGATGGCCATGGATGGAACGAGTGGCGCACTTTACTCGTGAGTCGTTGAACCTTTTGTGAGTGTACGCTCAGGCAGCCTCTAGCATATTCTTCTCCGCCCTAACCCAGGCACTTTATGACCAGGCGACTCCAAATACAGCCGCTGTTAGCCGCGAAATGATCTCCAAAGCGCTGAATTTTGCGCTTACTCGACTTTATACTTACACCAGAGCTCGACCCCCCAGTCGAACGCTCGTGGACCCATTGGACGCATTCATCAAAGCCATCACCAGTGGAAAATCGTGGAAACATGCGACGAATGAAGCTGCCCGCGCCGCTGAAAACACCAAGAACTTGCCAGCCAAGGCAGGTCGAGCAGCCTACGTTGACCAAAGCAATCTGGATGTTTGCGATCCAGGTACGTCTCAAATTTTCCAAGTAATCCCATCTCACACGAATTGTAGGGGCTTGGGGTGTAAAGGTCATCCTCGAGGCGGCTTGCGCAGGCCTGGAAGAATGAAGTAGTATAAAGAAGCGGTGTACCATAAGGAAATAAATATGCTGACACAGATGCACTATCTCGTCGAGGATTCTGCTGAGGATTGTGATTCTCGGAACTTCGCCCAACCCTCTTCCGCTGCCACGGCAATGCGCTGCTTGACGCTTCCAAAAGAGTCTAAAGCTGGGCGGACATCCAAGGAGAAGACCGGAGTGCCGTCGGGTTCGTCTGGTAAAGAGTAATAATCGATGACATAGCGAACTTCTTCGCCAGTCTTGCTGCGGCGTACGACCCAGTCATGGCGATCGAAAGGAGGCTCAGAACTAGACAAGATCAGCACATTTCGAGTTGGAGCTACAAGAAGCTGACCTGAATCTTGAGGGGAAAAGACGACCAGCAAACATAAAGAGTCGAGCCTTTGGAGAAAACTGACCAGGCTTGCCTTGGAATCGGGCTAGCTGCAGGCCGTCCGCACTAATCAGCGTAAGGGGGGGCAATTATTATCTGTGTATGATCACTTACCCGTCAATGCGCTTCTCCCACTTGACGACTTCCCCCCAAGCTTTTTCATTGAGAAAGTTGTGTATATCAACCATAGTGTCGACATGCTCCTCCGGAGTTTCCCATCCTTTGCGAACAAGTGCGTTGTAGAATTGCTGAGGCGAAGGATAGTCCCAGGTCGTCTGCGCATCACGCGGAATCGTCGATGAGACACGCTCGGTGGATAATGACGCCTCTTGATTCATAGAAATAGGATGTTGTTGCAGATTTGGCATTTGGTTCCGTGGATTGACACCATCATGCTGAACTGGACACTGGGCTGGAGCAGGCTCAGTTTTCTTCATGGCCGAATGATCCACAGGACAGCGGGCAGGTTCCTTGGCTTGCTGCGAAGCAACTGGTGCAGCAGGAGCTGAAGCTAATGTCGAAGTTGTTTGGCCCATGGATATGGTCGGGTTCAAGATTCGTGTCGCGGACGCTACAAAGTTTTTGGAACCAACCATGTTTTTCATCGTGCGTCAAAGCGCAAAAAAGACGCGTCAAAGACTTATCAGAGGCTTAGAAAGAGCTTACACATACGATTCTCATGCATCCATCGTACTTTGGACCGAGAATGCTTGAGATAATAGAGGCAAAGCTACATTCGGACGTCCAAGGAACGTGCACTGGTCAATATGGGTTCATTATTGCTGTTTTGGAGATTATAGACGTTGGTCCTGGCATCGTACTGCCCGGAAACGGCCAAGCAGAGTTCAAAACACGCTACAAAGCGATCGTGTTCAAGCCTTTCAAAGGCGAGGTACTCGATGGAGTCGTCACAAATGTACTTCGTGTATGTCAACGCTTTATTCGGGTAGGCGAGGCCACTTTACACATAGAATAGGCTGGATTCTTCGTGGAAGTGGGTCCTCTACGATGCTTTGTGTCACAACAGGTGTGCATGATTTTCAGATGTCTACATGACCATTGACAACCCAAAAAGTTGGTTCATCCGGATATGCGGTTTGACGCAAACGCGGCTGTACCATCGTTTTCATCTCAAGATCAGGCACGTATTCTTTTCATTTTCATTTCGTTTCTTCATACTGGTTCAGGTGATAGAAAAAGACACCAAGGTCCGGCTAAAAGTAGTTGGGACCCGAGTCGACCAAACGGAAATCGTAAGAAGATTGATCTTTCCTTGTATGCTCACCAAAATTCCCTCAGTTTGCTATTGCTACGATAAAAGAAGACCACCTCGGCGTCATTGACTGACCACACGCCAGTGGTTGTATCAAGAGTTTACTGTTGTATATTATTTTGGGACAACCTGCCATTACTCATCTTGCACTTGCGAATCATTACCGGATTTAGAGCCCCCATATCTCACACATTCGCCTTTGGACCCTCCCACTTCATGCATGTCTATGCCTTGAGTCTTAGAGTAACAAGACCAGCCAAGAGACACCTCCCTCTGTCTATATTCGATAAATTAGAACACGAGCCATCCTTAAACACTCGCGAGTTCAAAGCGCCGTCAGCAGCGCTCGGTAAGACTGCCAAAGATCACCGCTTTGGCCCCATTCGAGTTGACTGGGTGGACTTTGAGAATAAGGAAATGGAAAATGGCGCCGATTTGGGCAAGGGTGAGTACACTCTCTGAACGAGACTGCATTCTGACGCCCTTTCAGGCCCTGCCACCGCTTCATTTACCGCGACGAGCGAGACCAAGTCTGGAGGAACGTTGATATCCGAAGGAATTGTTCATCTGTATCGCACGGATCCCAGTGCAAGCGTCGTGGATGACTACATAGAGGACGATACTGTCCTTGCTGTTCTCGCAATTCCCGCATGGATGACCATATCGGATTTCCTGACGTTTATTTCTCCGGCGATTGACGGATTTATGCATCTACGGATTGTTCGGTATGCCTCTCGCGCCGCCGTGAACTATGATTGATCTGCTTTCCAGAGACGCTATGCCGTCTAGGGCTATCGCACTAATCAAGTTCAGGACGTCGCAATATGCGAACGACTTTCGAGAAGAGTTCAACGGCAAGTTTTTCAATTCGATGGAGGTATGCAACACTCCGCTTGTTACCACTCAACGCTGACGTGCATTGTAGCCAGAGACTTGTCATGTAGTCAAGGTTTCCTCTATCAAGATAGAAACACCAGATCTAGTCACTGGTCAATTCCCTCCAATACCGGGAAGTGCGACGGAGTTACCCACCTGCCCTGTCTGCTTGGAGAGGATGGACACTGCCGTCACTGGACTGGTGACGGTTCCGTGCTCACATACATTTCATTGTCAATGTCTGAGCAAGTGGGAGAATTCCCGTTGTCCAATATGTCGATACTCTCAAACGGCTATTCTCTCTGGATCACAGCCTTCCAATCGCGGACGAGCCGCTTCCTCTGCCAATGCCAATCTATTAACGTCGTGCATGGAATGCTCGGCGACAAGCAACCTGTGGATATGCCTCATATGCGGCAATGTTGGTTGTGGACGCTATGGTCGTGCACATGCGCATGCCCATTATCAAGTTACGACGCACTTGTATGCATTGGAGCTCGAAACTCAAAGGGTTTGGGACTATGCAGGGGATGCATATGTGCATCGTCTCATCCAAAATCGTGCAGATGGAAAGCTCGTTGAACTCCCTTCGGCCTCTATCACGTCTGGAAGTAGCGGCCTCGACACATCACGAGGGCTAGGACCGGGCCCTGCAGACACAATGGCTGCAGAAAAGGTCGAGGCGATTGGCATCGAGTACTCATATCTCCTGACGTCGCAACTCGACTCACAGCGAGCATACTACGAGGAGCAACTCGAGTCAATGCGTACGCAACTTGCGAGTGCATATAACAAGATTGATCTCCGGTCCCAAGAAATGGAGGTTGTCGACAAACAGCGGCAACTTGCAGAGAAGAAGCTGCGGGATGAAATGGAGAAGCGAGAAGCCGAAGCAGCAAAGGAGCGAATGAAGATAGAGAAAAAGGCGGAAAAGGCTCTCGAATTGGCGCGCAAGTTTGAAAAGGAGCTTCGCGAGGAGAAGATGGTCAACGAGGGCTTGCTGCAAAATCTGGCTGCGGTCAAGTCGAAGAGCGAGGCTTTTGAAAAGGAAAAAGCCGAGTTTCTCGGTCGTATCACGGAGCTGGAGGATCAGATGCGGGATCTAATGTTCTACCTGGAGACGCGGGACAAGGCGGACCAGGACGGTGGCGAACTTGCTGGAGGCAGCGTAGAACTCGTGACACAGCCAAAGGCGTCGAGTATGAAGAAGAAGAAGAGAAAGTAGCCAGCACTGCTGTTTCTCCTGAGTGAATGAGATATGGACCGTCGAGAGTGATCCTGTAAAGATTAACTATGCATATAAGATTATATTTATTGCCAATAGTGCATTCTACGCCCAGAGTCTGCCGCAAAGACGCACAGGTGGCCCCTTCACACTCTTTCTTCCCGACCACGTCGCCGCTTGCTCGACAGCAATCATGGTCTGTCTGGGCCCTTGAAGGGAATCCACGAGCTCACTGTTTCTGATATTCTAGGCTGACACGACAAAACCCATCGCCTTCTGCGAGCATCTCCAACTCTCCGCTCTCGGTGTACAGCCAGCGTCGATTGGCTTCCAGGCGAGTATTTTACCTGCTTTCTGTTCCTTTGCGTCTACTAATATTATACGTCATAGACCCTCACCCTTGAGTCTGACCACTTTATATGTGTACGCGAAAAGGTTGGGGAGCAAAACCAGGTCGTTATCGTCGACCTCGCCGATGCCAACAATGTTATTCGAAGACCCATTACCGCGGACTCTGCTATAATGCATCCCAAGGAGAAGATCATTGCCCTCAAAGGTAGGCGCGGTGCATCTTGAACGCGACGTAAGCTCACGCATCGTCCAGCTCAGAGGCAGCTCCAAATATTCAACATCGAGACCAAGACAAAGGTCAAATCTCACGTAAACGCTGAGGACGTGATCTTCTGGAAGTGGATTTCCAACACCACCATTGGCCTCGTCACAGAGACTGCGGTCTACCACTGGACCATCTCGGACACCACTTCCGCGCCTCAAAAGGTTTTTGATCGCCATGCTTCCCTCGCTGGAGCCCAAATCATCAACTACCGCGCTACCACTGACGAAAAGTGGCTCGTGCTCGTCGGTATCGCGGGCAACACCACAAACCCGGCCGCATTCAAAATCAAGGGATCTATTCAGCTCTTCTCTCGTGAAAGAAACGTCAGTCAGGCCATCGAGGGACATGCTGCGGCGTTTGCAGAGGTCACTTTGGACGGTGCCCCTGCACCTACGAGTCTGTTCACGTTCTCTGTGCGAACCGCGGCTGGCGCCAAGGTTGGTTTATTTGTGCGACATATAGTCGAGTAGTGCTGATGCATCGTTTACAGCTTCACATTGTTGAAATCGATCATAATCCTGCAAACCCAGTCTTCACCAAAAAGGCCGTCGACGTCTTTTTCCCTCCCGAGGCCGTCAACGATTTTCCAGTTGCTATGCAAGTCTCGAAAACGCACGGAATCGTCTATTTGGTCACAAAGTACGGTTTCATCCACTTGTACGACGTCGAGTCTGGTGCCTGCGTCTACATGAACCGTATCTCTGGTGAAACCATCTTTGTAACCGCAGAACATGAGGCTACTGGCGGCATCATTGGTGTCAACAAGAAGGGTCAGGTGTTGAGTGTCAGCGTCGACGAGCAAACCGTTGTCCCGTACATTCTCTCAGTCCTGAACAACACTGAGCTTGCCTTCAAGATGGCCAGCCGTGCCAACCTTCCTGGTGCTGATGATCTCTACATCCAGAGATATCAACAGTTGCTTGCCAGCGGTCAGTATGGAGAAGCTGCCAAGGTTGCTGCGTCGTCTCCTCGGGTATGTAGGAAGCTTTCGTGTTCTATTATGTCTCATTGCATCTACAGGGGATCCTTCGTACAGTTGCAACCATCGAACAGTTCAAGCAAGCTCCAGCTGTCCCTGGAGGTCTTTCGCCAATCCTCCAGTACTTTGGCATTCTGTTGGAGAAGGGCGGCTTGAACAAGCACGAATCTCTCGAACTCGCCAGACCCGTGCTTCAGCAAGGCCGTAAACAGCTCCTCGAGAAGTGGCTTAAGGAGAACAAGGTTTGTCTCATGACTTCTGTTACAATATTTTTGCTGACCTCTCGCAGTTGGAGTGCAGTGAAGAGCTCGGAGATATCGTCCGCATGCACGATATGACTCTTGCTCTCAGCGTGTATCTCCGTGCCAATGTTCCAGGCAAGGTCGTCGCCTGCTTCGCCGAAACTGGTCAGACCGACAAGATTCTTCTTTATGCCAAGAAGGTTGGGTACCATCCTGATTATGCTGTCATCCTGCAGCATGTTATGCGATCCAATCCGGACAAGGGTGCAGAGTTTGCAACCCAGTTGGTCAACGACGAGTCCGGACCTCTTGTTGACATTGAGCGAGTTGTGGATATTTTCATGTCCCAGAACCTCGTTCCTGCGGCGACATCGTTCCTCCTCGATGCTCTCAAGGATAACAAGCCCGAACAAGGTCATCTCCAGACCCGATTACTCGAGATGAACTTGATGAACGCCCCTCAAGTTGCAGATGCCATCCTCGGAAATGAAATGTTCACTTACTTTGACCGCCCGAGGATCGCCAATCTTTGCGAGAAAGCAAATCTTTTGCAAAGGGTAGGTCAAACCAAGCTACTTACTCTTCTTTTACTTATTATTCCATAGGCATTGGAGCTCTATGATGATCTCGCCGACATCAAGCGTGTCATCGTTCACACTCAGCTCCTCAACGCCGACTGGCTGGTCAACTTTTTCAGCAAGCTTACCGTCGAAAACTCGATGGCTTGCTTGCATGAAATGCTCCGCGTCAACAAGCAACAGAACCTCGCTGTTGTCGTTCAAATCGCCACTAAATACTCCGATGTCCTTGGCGCGCCGCAACTCATTGAAATGTTCGAGTCCTTCAAGAGCTCCGACGGTCTGTACTACTTCCTTGGCCAAATTGTCAACGTGTCGCAGGATCCAGAGGTGCACTTCAAGTATATCCAAGCCGCTACTCGTACCGGCATGATTCGCGAAGTTGAGCGTATCTGTCGCGAAAGTGACTATTACAACCCGGAGAAGGTCAAGAACTTCCTCAAGGAGGCCAATCTCTCGGACCAACTTCCCCTTATCATCGTCTGCGATCGTTTCGACTTTGTTCACGATTTGGTCCTTTACCTCTACCAAAAAGGACTCACGTCGGCCATTGAAGTCTATGTTCAGCGGGTCAACTCTGCGCGCGCACCACAGGTCATTGGCGGTTTGTTGGACGTCGACTGCGATGAACAAACGATTAAGAATCTTCTCATGTCCATCACTGGTGTCTTCCGTGTCGAGGAGCTTGTTGAACAGGTTGAAGCCCGCAACCGTCTCAAGTTGATTCTGCCATGGTTGGAGGCCAAGATTCATGGAGGTAGCCAGGATCCTGCCTTGTACAACGCCATGGCAAAGATCTTCATTGAGAGCAACAATAATCCTGAGAAGTTCCTCAAGGAGAACAACGTATGTCGTCTTTACAATATCGAATCAATGCTGACAGTGCTGGTAGCTGTACGAGCCACTTGTTGTCGGCAAATACTGCGAGAAGCGCGACCCCTACTTGGCCTATATTGCCTATGCCAAAGGCTTGTGCGACGACGAGTTGATTTCTATTACCAATGACAATTCGATGTACAAGCAACAAGCACGATACCTCGTCAAGAGACGTAGAGAGGACCTTTGGGCTCAAGTTCTCGTTCCTGAGAACGTCCATCGTCGTCAGCTGATCGACCAAGTAGTGTCGACCGCCGTTCCCGAGAGCACGGATGCGGATGATGTGGCCGTCACCGTAAAGGCGTTCCGTGCGGCCGACCTTCCGATCGAGTTGATTGAGCTTCTCGAGAAGATTATTCTGGAGCCTTCTCCTTTCAGCGAGAACAAGAATCTCCAAAACTTGCTTTTCCTCACCGCGATTCTGTCCGACCGTGGAAAGGTTATCGGCTATATCCAGAAGCTCAATGCGTACGACTACGCCGAGATTGCCAAAATTGCTACCGAGCACGGTCTGTATGAGGAAGCGTTTTCCATCTACAAGAAGTACAACCAAGACGCTCTCGCCATCGACATCCTTGTCGACAAGATTGTCAGCATCGACCGTGGACTCGAATATGCGAACAAGTTGGGCAAGCCAGAAGTTTGGAGCCGATTGGCGAAGGCACAACTTGATGGTCTTCGAGTCAAAGACGCCATTGGTACGTGTGCAAGAAGACTGACATGTGCACTGACCTCCCGGCCATTGTAGACTCCTATATAAAGGCACAAGACCCATCGAATTATGCAGAGGTCATTGAGATTGCCAGTCGGGCAGGCAAGCACGAAGACCTCGTCCGATACTTGCAAATGGCACGCAAGACGCTTCGCGAGCCAAAAGTCGACACGGAGCTCGCATACGCCTATGCAAAGACAGATCGTCTCCACGATATGGAAGACTTCTTGTCGATGACAAATGTTGCGGACATTCTGGAAGTTGGAGAAAAATGCTTCAACGACCAGCTTTACCAGGCAGCACGACTATTGTTCAGCAGTATCTCCAACTGGGCACGCCTGGCAACCACACTCATCTATCTCGGTGAGAATCAGGCTGCCGTAGAGAGTGCGAGGAAAGCAGGAAATACCCAGTATGTAGACCTTTCCTGGTTTGTTATCATTCTCATCTGTTTCATAGGGTTTGGAAACAGGTTCACGGAGCTTGTTTGGAGAAGGAAGAGTTCAGCCTTGCGAGAATTTGTGGTCTCAACATCATCGTCCATGCGGAAGAGCTTGGGAAGATCCTCAAAGACTACGAATGGAAGGGCTACTTCTCTGAAGCTATCAGTCTCTTGGAAGCTGGTTTGAGCCTGGAACGCGCTCATGTGAGTATATCAGCCAACAAAAGCGCCTTGCTCACTCCATGTAGATGGGTATCTTCACCGAACTTTCTATCCTCTACAGCAAATACCGACCGGAGAAGTGTTCGTGATAACTTTACTTTATCGGTTTATACTCACTTTGCATCAGTGATGGAGCATTTGAAGCTTTTCGTGTCCCGTATCAATATTCCAAAGGTGATCAAGGCTACAGAGCAAGCTCATCTCTGGTCGGAGCTTGTTTTCTTGTACGTCAAGTACGACGAGTTTGACAATGCGGCTCTTGCCATGATGGAGCGTTCGCCAGACGCCTGGGAGCATAATCAGTTCAAGGAAATCATTGTCAAGGTTTCGAACGTTGAAATGTTAGTTCTCAACCCTCCATTCGACCACACCTCTGACGTTCATTCAGCTACTACAAGGCCCTCTCGTTCTACATGCAGGAGCAACCAACTTTGCTCACTGACCTCCTCACCGTCCTTGTCCCACGAATTGACCATGCCCGCGTAATCAAGTACTTCCAACGAAACGACAATATCCCTTTGATCCGACCATACCTTATTGCTGTCCAACACGTAAGTGTCGAGAGCACTCTGTACGCCAAGTCTAATGTTAGCATTAGCTCAATCTCTCTGCCATTAACGAAGCCTATAATTCCCTCTTGATCGAGGAAGAGGACTATATGACGCTGCGCGACTCTATTGATGGATTCGACAATTTTGATGCCATGAAGCTTGCGAAGCAGCTTGAGGGCCATGAACTACTCGAGTTCAGGAGACTGGCCGCCCATCTCTACAAGGTTTGTGTAGCACCAGCCAGTTGCACCCGGAAACTAATATTATTCAAACAGAAAAACTCTCGATGGGAAGAGTCGATCACACTGTCGAAGCAAGACCAACTCTTCAGGGATGCGATTGTCACGGCTGCTGCATCCGGTTCCACCGAAGTTGCCGAAGACCTACTAAACTACTTCGTTCATATCGGTAACAAGGAGTGCTTTGCCAGCATGCTCTACGTTTGCTTCGATCTCTTGCGACCAGATGTCATCGCCGAGCTGTCGTGGCAACACGGCTTGAATGATTTCTACACGCCGTACAATATCCAGGTTCAACGCTCAACGGCTGACAAGGTTCGTTGGTCGCTTGAAACGAGTGCCAATTCTAACATATACTTTAGCTCAAGTCACTGGAGTCGCAACTAAAGGATCTCATGACAAAGGCTATCAAGAAGGAGGAGAGCGAGGATGCCCCCGTTATCAATCCAGGATTAATGACACGACCAATGATCACAGCTGGCCCTGGGTATGTATCTCTCTAGAGTACACTCTCTCCGCGGTTGACCAACTACAATAGGATGATGGGCGGTGCGCCATCGATGTATGTCAACGGCAACGGTGTCCCGCCTCAGTTCACTGGCTACGGCGGTTACTAGATCTGGAATGGGATTCGCAGGCTCGACCACTTTCCACTCCTCTGGTGTATCTAATCTACGATCGTCGCCGGTGTATTCCCGTTGTTTACATCTCTTTATTCATGATACTTTTTTCGCCAGTCATTATAAGATTGTTGGTGTCAGTTCTAGCACCGAGAGCGGACCCTTTTCGCCATATTCTGCCTTGGAAACAAAGTTGCGCCCAGACGACTCGCCAAATGTCATCTTCGAATGTTGTAAGAGGACGATGATGAGCAAGACAACGTACAAACCTTTGCAACAATACCGCATCCTAGGAATGCCGAGTAATAGTCGCCTTTGTCCCTGAATTCCGCAAAGTATTCTGGAACCTTGATGGCTTGAGCGTGATCTGGCTGGGTAGACGGTGTCCGTGTTTCGCTTTGTATACGATCTGCGCACAGGAATGTTGATAGTCGCGATTGAAGAGCCACCCCAAGACCTGAGAGCTATATGAGTACTGAAACCTAGCGCTCATTTGGTCGCTTACCTTGAATATTAGCCAGCTGTCCCGTAATCAAGAGTCCGAAGTACGCTGACGAGCGTTGGGAAAGTGGCATTGCTTTGACGATGGTATGGACAGCGGTGGGCAACGGGAGTAAAAAGTCGAGATCTTTTGGCGGTGGGATGGGTTGAGATTGGCCATCCATATCGATTAGAGTCTGTATAGGGATGCTAACGCTGTTGAGGAGCATCGGTTCGAAGAGCGGTTCGCAGAACCGATGCCGCTCTTTGCCTACGACAATCGACCCAAAGTCGCCAAATTGAACACTGACTAGATCCATCGCTGCCATTTCCTTTTCCCTCTCCTTGTCCGCTTTGTTCTGAGCCGTCTTCTTCTTGGTGTTTGCTGCTTCGATGACCGTCCGTTCCTTGCCCGAGACGAGCAAGGCTGCAATGTCCAGATTCCCATCATCCTCTTTCTCGGGCTCACCTTCCATTGGGATTTTGATATGCCCAGACTGCCAAAGGAATCGGGCGAAACTCAAGAGGCGTTTGTCGAGCTCGACTCCTTGTACAGGTCGGTCGGGTGGTGACAGTGCGCCGATCACAGAGGTATTGGAGCGCAAGAGATGCGCCAAGTATCGTTCACAATCACGAATCCCAATGGGCACTGAGAAGCTCGAGCCGTGATTCAGCTGCGACTCGAAGCAGGTGATGAGGTCCGTCTCGTCTTGTCCAATTTCGATGACAACTCCGGTGATCGCATTCGCGGCATACAAGCTCGCTAATGGTCGCTCAATGTACGTGAACCCAGCGACATTGAACCGCTCGAAGAACATTCGGCAGAGGAGCATGTGGGTCATCCTCGATAACTTTGCGGGGAGCGAAAGCAGTACTGGACATTCGTTGAGTTGTCGGCGGATTTTCAGGCGAGTAAAGAGAATGTATTTCCTGGTGATGGTCAGCGCGGTTGCATCGAACTAAGAGTGATGGGCGTGCCATAGTGCTTCCGCTTGGGCCCAATTGCCAATCTTTCCCTCTGAAAATGGCCAAAATACATCTATTTGTTCTCCATTGGCCAACGCGTCGTCCAAAACGGAGCCAACGAGATAATCAGAGACGCGAGCTTCGGGGGCTTGGTTGCGAAGGCCATTCGAGGTCGAACCGACGTTCATAGCATTCTTACGGAGTCCTACACGAGCCGACATTTCCTATTCGTAACGCGTGAGCGAGGATAACGTTAAGTGGACGACCCCGTGAGCGACGTACGACAGAAGGGACATGTAAAAGTTCTCCAAGACCTAATCCAGCGCGAACGACGCGTCGGCCAGTCTCGATGAGGACGACTCGGGACTCATGAAATGCCATTAGTCGACGCGGCGCAATCCAAAGTGGGAATGGCCACCTAGGCAAACAGACAGCACGCTTAGACGCAATAAAACGAGAGTATATAATGAGAAAAATAACGACAATAACACCCTATAGCTCCTCCTTGGAATGGTTAGCCCCTTCCAAGAGCTCGTTTACAAACTTGGAGAGTGGCTCGTATTTTAGTACGCCTTATGCGAATCAGCGCATGGAACGAGAGCAAATTTATGTACGTGCCTTCGTAGACCTGAGGCTCTGACGCTCCTGGTGCCCAGTAGAGGATTTTCGACTTATCGGTAACCTCGACGGAGACGTTGAGAGAGGCTGTGAGTCCAGGAATCTTGTCCTTTGCTCTCGACATGCTGAACGCTGCCTTGTCCTTGAAGGTATTGCTCAAGACTCTCCAGAGAAGAGGCAGCTTTGTCTGGCTGTTCAAGAGAAGAAGACGAGGCTTCGAGTCGGACTAGAGGCCTTTTAGCCGCCGCTCTATTTCAAAGACGAAATACGTACCTTCTTGACCCATTTTGTGAGCTCAGACTCTTTGCCGACCGACTCGACCTTGTTCGGAACCTCAGAGCTCGCCCATTCCGCGATTGGCTTTGCCTTGCGATCTCCGGGATAGTCGTGTGCAACTCCTTTGCCACCACGGGGGAATCCCTGGGTAATTGGTAAGTCATCAGGTAAGACCATAGAACAAGCCACACACTTTGATAGTAGGGTATCCTTTTACTCCCTGTTCGAATAAGCAACGTCAGTGACTATCCATAAACGCCGGGGGCTTGCGTACTTGTTCTCCGCAAAGCTGTCGGTTCTTCGCATCGTCACAATCGACAGCGTAAAAGGGGATGAGAGGAGTGAGCGATTTTGCGGCCTTTGAGTATTCCGGGGACATGTTCTTGCAGTGCTATAGGCTCGACTTAGCATGCCACGCAAGCAACGGGGTTTTGTCGAGCGATGCTTACTCCACACCAGGGGGCTACAAAGGCGACCAATGCTGTCCTCTAGAGCGGTACAATTAGCAATGGGATACTCAGGTTCCACCCCCGGACGCGTACTTCTTCCTTCATCACTTTCTTGAATCCCTTTTCGTCGAGCATTGTGACTCCAGAGTCTTTGCTGAACAGACCAGCAGATACGAGCACTGGGGAGACCAACAAGAGGAACAAGAGCGAGAGGCGCATCGTCGGCGAGAGTCAAGACGTGGCGGGTAGGAAGTAAAGGTACCACTCACTTTGGCTCCTTACCTTATTATCGGCCGCGATGAGTCTGGGACTGGCAGACAAGGAGATTGCAAAACAATATCAGCAAATTGTATCAGGAGGATCAACAGAATGGATGGTCTTGTCCTACGACAAGGGCTCGAACGATCTCAAAGTTCAGGCGACAGGAGACGGTGGACTGGAGGAGATGTTTGAAGAGTTCATGGAATCAAGGTAATACACGACTTTCTGCTCTAACATGCTCCCCCGCTCGTGCTAGACGTTGCCCAAGCTGACTGCGGCCGCACAGGATGCAGTATGGCTTCATCCGCGTCAAGGATCCCAACGTACGTGGACTTGTAGGGTTGCTTGAGAAAATATTAAACGTAGAGTGTAGACACAACTCCCCAAATACGTCCAAGTAGGTACTCTCAGAATGATGCCACCCAAGCTCGCTCACTGCCGATCCTGTAGATCAATTGGTGCGGAGATGGAGTACCAGAAAACAGAAAAGGTCACTTCTACAGTCACTCGACGGCAATGTCCAAGTACTTGCAGGGCACTCATGTCGTTATCAACGCTCGCAACGAGGTATGCAGACCGATCACTCGATTCTGCACACTGACAATCGTAGTCCGACCTTGAAATGAGCGTCATTATGAAGAAGGTCAACGATGCGTCTGGTAAGCGCTGTCTTGTTTCTGCACCCGTTCTCATAGCCGTAGGATCAAAGTATTCCGTCCAGAACGAAAGGGCAAGACCTTCGGGGCCTATCACGCCAGTTGGAACAGCCTACACTCCTATAGGACAACCGGATATACAGGCACTTCGCGCTGGCGGTCGATCTCCTATCACTCCTCGTTCGGTATGCCCAGTACTCGGTATACATCCAATGTCTAATAAATACAGGGTGGCCCCTCGTCTGCTGCACCGAGTACCGCAACTACGCCCAGCCGTCCGACTCCGTCCACCTCATTTCCGCCTGCGGCCCCAGCACTTGCACCAAAAGTCGGGCTCAAGGCTAGTACTCCTGCTTGGGATGACGAGCCTGTGAAATCTGCTCCAAGCCCGGTCGCACCTCCACCACCCGTCGTTGTGTCACCTCCGCAACCGGCCCCTAAAGCTGCTGCACCAAAGCTACACGTTACTACAGAGACAAAACCGGAAGATGATGTGATTGGTCCCGTAGTGAGTAGATTTAGAGTCAAAGATAGGAAAATTGAGCGTATCACAGGGTACCAATTACGTTCCAGTCAGCCTTCCCAAGCCCAAGAAGCTCGTCAATCCTTTTGCTGCACGAGAACAAGAAGCCGCTGCCGCTGCAGCCTCTTCGAAACCGATACCATCTCCGAGTGGTGGAAAAAAATTGACATGGTCAGAACGCCAGGCCATGGCCAAAAAGCAAGCGGAAGAGGAAGAGGCGCGAAGCAAGGCGGCCGCAGAAGCCAGCAAGTCGATCACGAGTGCAAGTCGTCCATCCTACACTCCTAGTAGCTCTGTCTCAAATGCGGGGAAAGCTGCTGTTGCCGGGTTCGCCGCGACCGGGATCGGAATTGGGTTGGCTGGGGCCGCCATCGCTGCGTCGACTACGAAAAGCGAACCGGAACCTGAGCCAGAGGCCTTTATCCCTCCCCCTCCTCCACCCCCTCCACCGCCACCGATGCCAGTTATGCCAGTCGTGAAAGAGACTCCCAAGGTTGTCGCTCCGCCTGAACCAGAACCGGAACCCGAGGTGGATGAGGTAGACTATCCTTCTCAAATCATTCAGCAATCGGATATCCCTGGTAATGAAACGAGCGCAAACGGCAAAGTTGCCATTGTCTTATACGATTACGAGGTGTGTGTGTGTGCTTTTGAATCTCAGCAAAGCTGACCGAAGGTAGGCTGCAGAGGATGGAGAGATGCATTTAATTGAGGGAGAGTACATTGAGCAAATCGAGGAACTTGATGAAGGTGTGTTTCATCCTCGTTGTTTACGACTATCTGAGCTTTCGCATAGGATGGTGGAAGGGTGTCGCCGTTACGGACAAGAATAGAGCCGGCCTGTTCCCTGGTATGTCATTTGTCCTCATCGGCAGTATCATCTGATTGTACTGTAGCAAACTATGTCGAGGTCGTCGATAGCACCGCCGTTCCTCATCAGGCCAAACACCAGGAGCCAGAGCCAGAGCCAGAACCAGAGCCAGAGCCAGAGCCAGAGCCAGAGCCAGAAGCCTTTATCCCTCCACCACCACCACCGCCACCTCCACCGCCGCCAATGCCGACAGCGGCACCTGTAAAGGTTTCGGTGCCAGAGCCTGTTGCCCCAGAGCCAGCTGCCGATGAAGGATCGGTCGCCGTTGCGATTTACGAGTTCGTGTTTTCCCTCTGTACAAGTGTACTGATTGCTTACATTTGTCTAGTTACGATGCTGCAGAGGAAAACGAGATTTCCTTCAAAGAGGGCGATAGAATCACGAATATTACGGCTCCCTCTGATGATTGGTGGGAGGGTACAGCACCAGACGGTCGTAGTGGACTTTTCCCAGCAAATTATGTCGAATTGCAAGAGTAATTGTGCGCATCAAATGCAAGGACTTTTCGTGTCAGGGCTAAGGCGTTTCCGTTAAATGCTCGTGCACATATGTAAGATGGGTACTAATTGATCAGACTGAGGGCATGAAGAGGAATTAGGAGTTACATGAGTGAGATTATCTATGTACAATGTGAACCGCAAGCATAAAGTCAGACATTGCAGGCAGATAAACAATCAGCAGGCGTTGCCAAGAGCGGAGTGTCTTTATAGAAAAATCATGGTTCAGAAGGTCCTATATGGCGAAGGACACCGGTTCCAAGTCCAAATGGAGTAAGCACCGTATCCAGCAGTGCCAACAGATACATTCTTTTGCTTCCGGTGGTTTCTCGTGACCTTACAGTCGCGGTACGGTTCGGAGCAAGTTGGGATGAGGTCATATTTGACCGAGATTGGGCTGGTGGCGTTGGCTGATCTTGGAAACCATGTCGATTACGTGGTCTATATGGATAATTGTTTTGATTCTGGCCAGAACCGGTGGCAGGGGAGGAGAAGACTCCATGAGTCCCATGATAGCCATTGGGTTGAGCGGCATAGGAGTGTTCATAAGAAAGAATATCGTATCTAGCCGGCGGATAAGCTGCTGTTGTGTGGGGATTATGCTGGGGTCCCTCAGGGTGGGATACTTGATTCTGGTCCCACTGACGAGACAGGTTCGATCCACCTGGACAAATATTAGAAAGATGAAAGATTCAAGCGCCCTTATACATACGCCTGAGGTGGTCTTCCTGCAACCACTTCTGTGCCACTGCCTTGTGCGCAGTATCGCGGAGATCCTCGATATAATAAAGCACGGTGGTGTATGTTGCATCGTTTTTCCCGTTGAATTTGACCAAATTGATGTGATCCCCTGGTAGACCCACATTTCTTGCTCTATTATCCCCTTGAATAACCGCAGAGTAGCGAGGTACAATCTATATGGGTGTATTAGCGGATGATAAATAGAGTAGAAGGACCTTACGTGGATCCGTTTTCGCCCTATCAGTGTTTCATATTCCTCGTAAAAGTAAACGGTCTCGACTTGCAAGCTTACGGGGTTGTAATCGCTCTGAATTTCATCGAGATAGTTTGAGTTTAGTGCGAGATGCCTGAGTACCTTGTTGGTGGTTTGTGTACATAGCGATAAAATTCTCGTCATAATCTTGAGGAGGGTAACACCGTCCGCGCCGCAATGCGGAGTTCCGAAAAAGAGTACGCCATGTGTGGATACAATAATGTCCCGGAGGTTATGTGGGTCATTACGATGGTCTTGTAAGTGGCAGATGATGAGCGCCTTCTGAGGTTCAGGCAAAACCCGGTGGGCAGTTCCATGACTCACCCGCTTCAGAACAATCCCACCAAGACTATGGGCAACAAAAATAAGAGGCCGCTGGAATTGGTAAGAGTAGACGCCGACGTAGCGAGGAGAAGGCTTACTCGAGGAGCAGCGTGTCGTATACGGACCAACGCTTTTGCAAAGGTTTCACTGTGGCGGTATATTGTTTGTGTCGACACGCATGTACTGTCGTGTGTGTTTGCGTCGTAGCCATAGACTAATATACGCGCGTTGGGAACATCCGACGGTAGTAAATCCCTTAGCCATAATATCTGGCTCTCGTCCTTTTCGTGAGTCCATGAGCGCTCCCTGTGGCCGTCCAAGCCATGAATCGCGACGATGCTATCGGGGTTGGGTAAATCAAGGCGCCCAATTGATTTTGGAAGATGTTGTACTCGACTAACGCGTCATCCGGGCAAGCTAACTCGAGAAAATCCAGAGATTCTCGCCTAAGCTCAAAGTTCTGGCAAACAAAGGTGTGAGCCAATGTCTGCAATGAATTCCACAAAGAGCTTACTTCATTGGAAGGTGCAGACCAGCAAGGACACAGGCAGGAGAAACAACCCATATCAATAGAATATGGTGGTCAGGGGTCAAGGAGTAAGCTGCGCGCTTTGTTGGCTCTCCTCTGCCGGCAATTACGACTTGCGGCCACCATGCCAGTAATCATTGACTAATCAAGGAGCACTTCAAATTGCCAAACCGACGTTGAGGATGAACAATGGCGGTAATGGATGGACATGGTCAGGACGAAGAAGCTCTGGCGGCCATGGCCGATAACCCCCGATTCATCTGAGATTCTTGCCACGCCTGAATAAGGCATCTTGTCCCCTCCCAGCTTCCCATGGTCACAGAATTATGAGCATCGAACAGCAGAATGAGGCAATATACTTTCATGAGTGTGTCTATCTCAAGCTGATCCTTCATCTCTTACTCTTGCGTGCCAGGTTTACCTCTCTTTGTCTCAGATTGGGCCGAGTGGCAAGCTCAAAAGGGAGCACATATCCGGTCCATATATTCGATCAATGGGTCTCAAGCATCAAGCGGACAGGGAGACTCTCCTCCGACATCGGCTACACAGTGATACGGTTACTGTTCCCAGATCACGACGAGACTCGACGATATGGCATGCAGGAAGCGCGCCTTTGCAAACTCCTTGTCAACCTCCTCGATGAGAAAGGCATATGCGTGATAGATGTGGCCTCAATTGCTTCATGGGCAAGCGCCCATAGTTGGACTGGGCGAGCTGGAAGTCTTGGTGAGGAAATAAGGAGAGTATTAAGCGCTGCTTCAAAGGTCGGTCAATCTCCCTCACTCGTCGTTGGATGCTAATGAGTGGCAAGACACGGGTATACGGGGGTCGCGGACGGACGATTGTCGAGGTCGATTCTCTGCTCGACGAACTGGCCTTACATTGCAAGTACAGTCAGCTGGGACCCCAAGAGGAGGGCCCGCGTTCACAGTCGGAGATTCTCCGAGACCTCTATCAACTCGCGACTCCAGACGAGGCAGCCATTGTGACCCAACTCATTCTCCGTGACCTGCGCCCAATTGTGGAACCTTTAGGGACCATTCATACGACAATTAACCTCTCTGCAAAGTCCCACGAAATAAGACGATTGTCCCTCGTACAGGCGTTGAAGGTCTTGGATCCTCGCTTGCTTGAGCTTCATCGTGTGCACTCGACACTCGGACAGGCGTTTGCTGCGTTAGAGAGCAATGGGTTGAATAGGTTTATTCCCACTGTTGGCGTGCCGGTGCAGGTCTGTGGATAGCCTTCCTTGGTCTGCTTTTCTGACGGCCCAAAGATTCCCAAATGCTATAAAGGCCGTTCGTGTGCAGATGCTCTCAATCAATTGCAGTCCGCTACTCGTGTCTATTGTGAGACAAAATATGATGGAGAGAGGTACACCAAGTTGAAAGGCTGACCCGGTCGGTCTAACCTCTTTCCAGGATGCAAATTCATATAGACCTATCTCTTCCAAGTGTGCAACAGATCATTATCTTTAGTAAAAGTGACCGCAATTCCACAATGGATCGTTATGCAACTCTTGGTCGGTTCCTACCTCTCTATGCATAGATCCTTCCTCAGTGTTTGACCACAGAAATCATACGAGCTAGCCTGAGCATATCTCAGCGGGGCTGCAAGCAACCTTATTTGCAGCAAAGGCTTTCAAGTGAAGCAGAGGGTCGCAGCTTCAACCAAACTCTCATCCTCGAAGCTGAGATGGTGGCGTTCTCAGAGCGTACAAGTTGCATCGACGGTGAGTCTACAATGCGAGTTCGTAGTAAGCCTGATGTGGAGCTAGAGTTTTGGCGAATACGTGACTTGATCGCCGAAACGGCAAAAAGCGTCAGACGAAAACCAAAGTCTCGAGTTCTAAACGCTCACAAGGTCGAGAATCATGGGAGTCCTGACGATGGCGATAAGACTGTAGGCGTCGCTGGTTCCATTTCACCTCTGTGTGGCCATTCTCTTGAATCAAACGGGACAGATGAAGGGAAACGACACTTTATGCTCATCTTCTTCGATGTGCTCTTTATGGATGGTCAAAGTCTTCTCCAAGACACGTACGACACGAGACGGGAGACCCTTGAGGGGTTGATCACTGAGATTGAGGGATTTGTGGGTTGAACAAGTAGTGCCACGATAGCTGCGCTGACAGATTTTAGTCAAAAATTGCATCAAGAACGGCGATATCCATGCAAAAGGGGACCCGTGTCGCACGTTAGAATCCATCCTCAGTACCAGTGCCTCCAAATTCGAAGGTAAGCGCCAACAGTTTGTACGACCGATACTCTCATTCTTAGTACAGAAGGCCTCGTCTTGAAAGCCGATGTCTCCACGTACAACTCTCGTGTGCTGCCGTGGGTCAAGGTGAATATCTGGTTTGTCGGCTACAGAGTGCTCACGGCGTTTGGCAGCTCAAACGCGACTATATCGCGGGTCTTGGAGACTGCATTGACATGGCTGTCATCGGGGCTTCTTGGGAGAAGGAGCGTGCAAGGGAGCTTCGAGGTATGATAATGAGACTCGAGAAGATATTCAGTTGACATCCATAGTTGGAACGGATACTTTTACTACATTCTACGTTGCGGCTTTGACCGATCAAGGAGTGAGAGTCGCTTATCCGCATAAGTATCAATTGATCACCAGCAGAAACCAGGGAAGCCACATCTCGAATGTCTGTTCACGGCGTCTTATGGCCTCTCCAAAGAGCAATTAGAGGCACTCAATTTTGAGATCAAGCTGAATACACCAGTTCCATACAATGTACGCCATTTACTTGTTTTCAGACCTCGGAGACTCAATATTCAATAGCTACGTGACAAAGTCGCCTACACTTTCCAGCTTTGCCCGGGATTGAACCCGCCCTCTGTAATCTTTCAAAAGCCGATGCTCTTTGAGCTCTTTGGTGCCGGATATGACAAGCCTAAAGGCAGCAAGGTATGCCTAATGTATTGTTACGGACTTAGCTTAATGTCTACAGTACTATGCCTTGCGATGGCCAAGAGCGACCAAGTATTTCTCAACCGAGGAGCGTCCATGGACTGAATGTACGTTGAATCTGAACAATATTGTCCTGCTTCTGACCTGCTATAGGTGAGACGCTCCAAAGTTATACCAAAAAGGCCTACGCTGCTGTTGGAAGGGATTCCAGCGACAAGATTGCCAAAGCTCAGGTCGCGAAAATGTGGCAGGTCCCTCCTGAGGTTTCTCCGGAAGCGAGGGGAGTGAAGAAGCGAACGACCATTGAACAAGACATGCGCGGACGCCTCCGAGGAAAGAAACAGTTAGCGGCCAACGGGTCAATTCCAGGACCTCATCGTTCCAGCAGAGTTGCCTGTTCTCGTTCAGGAATACGAAGAAGCTTGCCGCATCTGGACCAACATCCGGATCCGCTCCAGCTCCTCGAACCAGGTGGTTATCCTTCTGATAGCAGCCAATCTCCGCGGAAACGACGAAAGGTTGCAGCAAGGAGCAATAGAAGTGACGAAGTGGGATATCTGGCTCCTTCCCAGCCTGATTCAGAGCCGGAAGCCCACCTTCAAGCCGCAGAGATGGAAGACGCTGAAGAAGTCGATTGGTACTCCACAGTTGCGATGGATTCGCAAGCAACGTCAGTAGTGCCAACATCTTCGCCCAACCTTTCGCCTGCAGCTCCCTGGCCTTACCTTGAACTCATCCTCATCGACGCATTCATCTTCTTCGACTGGCCAATTTATCCTCGTCCTGTTCGACTCCCAGGCGAGCCTTCCAGAAAGCTAGGATTGGATCCCTCGAGAGTGGTCAGTACATTAGAAGCCCTCTTGGTAGCTATCAATGGAGCTACACGGTTAGCACAGATGAGGAAGCCCATCAAGCGAGGCATCATCTTCACAGAGAATACTTGTGCACCCGCATTGATATCCAGACTGGAAAGTTACCGTGAGCAGCTGGGTAACATTCGTGAATCTCCAGAAATTTTGGTAATCCCTATGCCTTATTTTGATATGTATCGATCCAGAGTCTCAGCCGGCCTGCTAATCGTAGATGTACTTTGGAGATCTCATCAATAGGATTCCTAGTTCTTGCATTATAATGAAGTAAATGACAATAATTTACGAGTATATCTTGATGAAGTCGTCAGGTGCAAGCGATCATTCTCAAAAATTTTTGACGTACCACGATGGTTGCGGGATTTGAATATCGTTTATTCGCAGTCGAGTATACGTTTGCTTGTGCTTTATCGTCTTCTTGTATCCTTTGCGTCTTTTGAATTTGACAATTTTCTCCAGCTTGCCTTTTGTATGCTCAACGACCGTGGCAGTGACTGAGACAACCTTTTCAGGAAGATAGGGGCTTCCTCTAACTGTAAATTCTCTTGAACCGAGTTCTTCAATGGCATTGAGTTGCAACACATCGCCAACGCCAACGTCTTTTAGTCTTGGGACAGTGACGAGGTCCCGGGGAGTGAGAATAAGACGACGACCGACGAGAGTGGCTACTACATAGTGTGATGGCTGCGAGCGGAGGAGTTGTTGGGCTTCTGCAAGGGATTTTGCAAGCGTTGGTGTGTAGGAAGTTACTGCGGTCGCAAAAGACCGTGTTAGTGGTCTTGTATTTGACAAAGTGGCCCCTATTATGATTAGTTGGATATGTGAAATTGGTCCAGACGGCGCTTACTGAGGGCGAGGAGAGCTGCCATGGCGAGGTCGAATCCAAGTTGCGACTGGGTTTCTTCGGAGGATTCAGATAAGGTATACATGCAAGTATGATAACATTTATTCAGAGTGTCTATTGACTGGAGAGATGCGGAGAGACCAAATTCACGTGTGCCAATTGTCGAAATCCCCCCCAGGCTGTTGCCCGTCCTAAAGTCAGAGGGGGACCAAAATTGCATTCTTATCGAGTTAGAGACAATACTTGAATAGTGTATCCGAGATAAGGACCTTGCTAGGGATCACAGTGTTTCAAAGCACGTTTCTCCTTTGACCATCTGGTGAGGCGGTAGGGAAGCCATCAATCATCATGTGAGTAGTAATAATGTTATTCTGCTACGAATTCCGTTGTTACGATAACTCCAGTAGCCACCGCACCGCATCGTTGTTTACGACTCGGTGGTTGCATCTCATTACAGGATATATCTTTCTTACAAACCCGTTCTTTATTTTCTTTGTATTATCCGCGTGCGTGTCGAATGCCTGAACCCGCGTACAAACTTGAGCGACCAACCTTTTCTCAACCACGAGCATGCATTCCGTAGTCTTGCGCAGAGCGACTGCGTTCGCTGCAAGACCTTCTCTGGTTTGTCCCCTATAAATGTTTTATCCAGCTATTTCGGCCGCTCATCAATTCTCCTGCGCGAACAGAACCTCGCCCGCTCCTATGCTACGGCCAAGCCCGGTACGGAGCCTTTTCTCTAGTTTCAAATGGCTCTCAAGGCCTCATAATATCTTTCTAGCTGCATCGGAGGTCTCCTCCATTCTCGAGTCGAGGATTGCTGGCACCTCTCTCGGCGGTGACGTTCAAGAGACTGGTCGTGTCTTGAGTACGTTTTAAACGATACTCCAAGTCTTTTCGAGTTTGTTGACGCATTTTTCAGCCATCGGTGACGGTATTGCCCGTGTCTACGGTATGTTCAACGTTTCGACGTTAAGGTCGGGTAGCTGACGAACGGCCCGCCGGCACCTCAAGGTCTTCGCAATGTACAAGGTATGCACACTTTTCTTATCATGAAAATTTACTGACATTTTTGTGCGTCTAGCTGGTGAGCCTTGCGGCCTAAACGGTGCCGCCTCGGTCACTGACCCCAAATTTTAGAGGAGATGGTGGAATTCTCATCTGGCGTTCGCGGCATGTGCCTCAACTTGGAAGCTGACAATGTCGGTGTTTCCGTCTTCGGTAGCGATCGTCTCATCAAGGAAGGAGACACTGTCAAGCGAACTGGCCAAATCGTCGACGTTCCCGTCGGAACAGCTCTCCTTGGTCGTGTCGTCGATGCTCTCGGAAACCCAATCGATGGAAAAGGTCCAATCGAAGCTTCTGAGCGTCGCCGAGCCTCCGTCAAGGCTCCTGGTATCTTGCCCCGCCGTTCGGTCAACCAGCCCATGTTGACGGGTCTCAAGCCCATCGACGCCATGGTGCCCATTGGTCGTGGACAGCGTGAGCTGATCATTGGTGACCGTCAGACTGGCAAGACCGCCGTCGCCATTGACACCATCCTCAACCAAAGGAGGTGGAATGACGGCCAGGATGAGAGCAAGAAGCTGTACTGCGTTTACGTCGCCGTCGGACAAAAGCGTTCCACCGTCGCCCAGCTCGTCCAGACTCTCGAGGAGAACGATGCCATGAAGTACAGTATCATCGTCGCCGCCACCGCCTCGGAGGCCGCCCCTCTTCAGTACCTCGCTCCCTTCTCTGGTACTGCCATGGCCGAATACTTCCGTGATAACGGCAAGCACGCTTTGATCATCTTCGACGACTTGTCCAAGCAGGCCGTCGCATACCGTCAAATGTCGCTCCTTCTCCGTCGTCCTCCAGGTCGTGAGGCTTATCCTGGTGATGTCTTCTACCTCCACTCCCGTCTGTTGGAGCGTGCGGCCAAGATGAACGACAAGTTTGGTGGAGGATCGCTCACGGCTCTTCCCATCATTGAGACCCAGGGTGGTGATGTGTCTGCCTATATGTACGTTTGCCTGCACCTTGTCCTGACCTTACACTGACGACTTTCCAAGCCCAACCAACGTCATTTCCATCACCGATGGTCAGGTCTTCTTGGAGTCCGAATTGTTCTTCCGTGGTGTCCGCCCAGCCATTAACGTCGGTCTCTCGGTCTCTCGTGTCGGTTCTGCTGCCCAGACGTAGGTCGACTTTATTCGTCGTGGAACTAAGCTCACCATTTCATATAGCAAGATCATGAAGAAGTTTGCCGGTTCGCTCAAGCTGTACCTTGCTCAGTACCGTGAAGTCGCCGCTTTCGCCCAGTTCGGTTCCGATCTCGATGCCTCGACCCGTTTCTTGCTTTCGCGTGGTGCCCGTCTCACCGAGCTCTTGAGTACGTCTTGTTTTACAAGTAACTATTCTGCTCTGACGCTTGTACAGAGCAAGGCCAGTATGAGCCATTGCCGACTGAGATTCAGGTACCCATCATCTTCGCTGGTGTCAACGGTCTCGTATGTACTTTCTCTGCACTTTCTTCACGCGCTTATGATTTGCTAGCTCGACCCCATCCCAGTTGACAAGATCACCAAGTGGGAGCAGGAATTCCGCAACCACCTTACCAGCACACAAGGTGCCCTCCTCCAGAAGATCTCGGAGGGTGTCATCAACCCTGAACTCGAAGCAGAGATTAAGAAGGTTGTCACTGACCACGTCAGCGCCTTTGCTTCGTAGAGGTGATTTTGGCAATGGTATTCGACGTCTCTGGCCCTCTGCGCGAGAGGTTGGGTGTTGTTTATCGAAAATTAAGCATGGCTTCGTGTCCCGCGCCTCTTTCGTGCTGATAGAAGTAGACGGAGGAGTTTCTCTCTCTCTTTTTATAAAATGCCTTTCGAAACCTAACATTGATTTCAAATAAGTGTGAGACAAATCTAACTTCTATAATCGCCGTTGATGGTCACGTATTCCTATGAAGAGTTTAGCCATAAGACCCCTCTGGAGATGATCACGTACGTGGCTAAAGTCGCATGTCCAGTATGAGGCTTGCTCGTTGCCCATGCCGAGGTCGACGCGGATCTCCAAGTCTTCGCGTTGAAGGATTACTTTTGCGCGGTCTTCATCGACTTTTTCTGGTTCTCCATTCTTCAGCAAGGGCAGAATCTCGCTGCCATCTGTTGGGATAAACGATACCGAGACGGTGTTTGGGGTGATAGGTGCAGAGAGATTGGTTGAGCCTGTGGCGGCAAGTACACGGCCCCAGCTTGACCACAACATCAGTGCTGCTCGTGTAAGATATCTCTACTCACTTGGCGTCTTCGCCGTAGAGTGCGGTCTTGACCAGCGCAGACGTCGAGATCTTGGATGCGACTTGATGCGCGTCTTCGTAGGTCAGTGCACCCTATTGGACTTTAGTCCGTGAATTTATGGAATATCTTCACATACTCGGACGTTGACTGTCACAAACTTGGTGGCTCCTTCGCCATCCCGTACGACCAACTGGGCGAGCTCAGCCGCAAAGTCTGTGAGTTCGTCGCGGAACTTGGTATACTCGGGTGATGTCACATCATCAATCTCCTTCATTCCGGATGCACCATTGGCAAAGACGACGACGGTATCGTTTGTGCTCATGTCTCCATCGACAGAGATGGAGTTGAACGAACGGTTGACGGCATATGTGAGGGCGTCTTGAAGTGCCTGTGGCGAGACTGCTGCGTCTGTGGCGATCATGCCGAGCAGGGTTGCATGCAGGCTTCCTGTCCCGGGAGCAGGCGTGGCAGGACCCATGTCCGGATGGATCATCCCGGCACCTTTATCGATACCAGCTATTCTTACATCTGTATCGCCAATCTTGAATGTCTTGGCCCGGAGTTTGGGAAAGGTATCAGTCGTCATGAAAGCGCGGGCAAGTGCTTCCCACTTTTCTGGTGTCGAATCGAGACTTTCGGGTGACGTCTCCTTGACGGCAGATATAATCTTGGAGATAGGGAGGTTTTGGCCAATCACGCCCGTCGACATGACCAGCGAGGAGTGACTTCCCTTGGGAGTTTCATTCGCGGGGACCAGCTTGGATAGCAGGTTATCGGTAGCAGATACCATGTCCCACGCATCCTTGAGCCCCTGCTTTCCGGTGACTGCATTGGCACAACCAGAGTTGACAATGAGCCCGTTGGCATGGCCAGAAGTCTGCTGAAGGACATCCTGGCAGACAATAACCGGGGCTGCTTGGAAAGCATTTCGTGTGAAGCAGGCCGCTGCAGAGGTTTTGGGTTCTTTGGAGAGGATAAGGCCAAGGTCAAGGACGCCCTCTTTCTTCTTGACGCCTGCATGCACACCGGTGACAACAAAGCCACGAGGAAGGTTTTCGTGTGCTGGCGTAATCGCAAGGTGGGCTTTTGACGGGGTTGCCTTGGCCCACCTTGCCGGACTGGACGAAAAGGTTCGAATGGTATTTCCAAATATCCGCTGCATGTTGAACAGCAGAAGAGATGATGGAACAGGCTATGAGGACACCGTTTTATAAGTCTGGCTCACCAGAACTACTATAAGAGCGTCGGCCGAGAATTGGGGAGAGTCAAAGGTTTGTGATAGGCGGTCACACACAACATGACTAGGATTCATGGAGCCACAGGAATACAAGAAAACGAGTAGCTGACATTCGGTGGGGTAAATCGTCTCAACAACTATGTACTCTCTTTGCAGCGCTATCGACTTTGGTCAGATATGCGAGCCCAGTTCGAACCTCCGCGGGAATAGTTTCACGCCCACGACACTCCTTGCATGCAATCTTGTCAATGTATTCCCGCCACAGCTGGCCGTCGTTGCTGTACCATCCCTGTTCGACGACCTTTTTATGATAAACTCCCAAGCGTCCGAATTGAAGTGGGTGAAGCGTATCTTGTCCTCTGGATCAGTTGTCCCTGATGTTTTGTAGCTGGTGACGAGAGGCTGGAAATATGGCATAGTTCGGACAATCAGATCTTGGACCGAAGCCGGAATTTGTGAGTCTGCGGGAAACGTCCATCGCGGAAGGGGAAGGTTTGAGGACATGCTGGCTCCAGACACCCCATCATGATCGTAAGATAAGAATGATGGTGCCAGAAATGCAACAATTCGAAGTTTATTGGGAGGAAATAGGGTTCGAAATGAATTGAGGAATGCCTCGTCCTGAGGGAAACATTCCAGCATTGTCGTGAGTTGATCCCATGGTACCATTCGTATGTATCCGATCCTAAATATTGTCAATGTCTCTCGCAGGCACGAGTGGGTACGATGGGTACGCACTTGAAAGCTGTGGCCTCGACCCACCAGTCAGGGTTTCGCGACCACTTCTTGCGTTCGGACTTCTCTTGGAGTTCTCTCTGGCATACATCCAGGCTATTATATTCGGCCCGCTCGGAAACCCATATAGCCAGTCCGTGTGTTCTCAGCTTCTCCAGGCCATATTGCTCGCACGAAAGCATGGATATTATACACTTGACGATGGTTGGATACCATATCTTTCTCCACTTGAAGAATTCCTCGACCATTGCCGTCTCACGCTCTTGCTGCACGATGACGTTGGTCAAATTATGTAGCGGTACTGAATAAGCACTGGGTTTAAATTCCGTTTCTTTTGAAATCTTCCGGGAACAGACAGCCCTGTGTTTTGACCAGTCATTCCGTTGACAGTCCACGGTACAATATGATGCTGCTCTGCCACGGGAGGTCAGTACTACACCTCCTACACAAACACGTTAAACGCACTTGCAGGCTGAGCAGCGCACATATGCACTCTCAATCCGTTTCTTGCAGCTGTCCGCCGTGCAAATATAGGGCTCCATATCTTCAAGCAGGAGCGCAAACGGCTGATGTGCTAGTCTTGGAGATATTTAGTCGATGCTCAGTTCTTCGAAAGTACTTTACCTTCTTTGTTAGGTCGATTCCCTTAAAAAACCTTCGTCTTGGGCGCAACGGATACGATTCCCAAACTTGTCAGGGTACCGTTCCCACGTTAACGACCGTCCAGGACGTTAATAACGCTGTTTAGGCAATATTGATACAATCCGGTGTCGTGGCTGGCTCCAACGTGACAAGAACAAAGGTGGTAAGCAGAACTTGACCCTTTCCGCGACGCCCAGTTTTGGATGGCTCCAGCAGAAGTCAAAGCGGCTCTAGCAGTCGCTCTTGGTAGTAATGCGGGACCTTATTGGAAAACTCTCTCCGACTTTCTCCAAGGCAAAATGTCCCGCGCAGAGTTTGAGGACCATGTAACGGAGAAGTTGGACACGCCACAGCTGAGTATGTGTGCATATCATCTGGATCAGGCTGGTACTCACATATTTCAGAGCAACTTCATAATACCCTGCTTCTGGAGATCATAGGGGCGGCGTGCACTACGGAGCCAGACACCCTGACCACACATTCAATCATTCCCACAAACAAACGGAGACGAGTTCATCCTTACCAAGGAAACTCTGATGATGGCGAGACGTTTCACTCACGACGACTCAAGCAATGGATATCCGGACTTCCCAAGGCGGAGCGGCTAGACATTCAGAAACAAGGTGCCTATGCCGAAGCACACGTCAAAGAAGAGCGCTTGCTTCTAGAAGAAGTTGGGCAAGATCGCGGGTATGATGTGGAGTCGCGGGGTAGGTATTGAGGGGTATTGGCGAACAAAAGCTAATAACTACAATAGGTCGCCCTGTGCCAGGATCTTTGGCGCTGTGCACCTTGACACGCGCCTTGCCGACCCTTCCAGACTTGCACGAGCGAACACGGGCAGTCGCCTCGGAGTATAACTTGGGAATCAATCCCAACACCTCGCGCAGCTTCGCCAGGCTATTCAATCAAGCGTTGGAGGACTTTTTGATTAAAGTCATCACAGCGACACTGACAACCATCACTCGGTCAGATTCTCAATACGAATCCATCCAGCCTCCAGCGACCGTTGAAGCACAATCAAGCTTCCTTTCTGCCAAAAATTCTGGAATCAAAGTGACCATGAGTGTCATGTCTCTTCTCACTACTATTCACATCACTCCATCCATTCTCCCTTTCCCCTCGCCCGCCGTTCTCAAGGTAATGATGCGAGAGTTCAAATGGCCCGACGAGCCACAGGAAACTGCAGTCGTGAACAAGGGCCAAAAAGGTCTTCCCCTGAGTGCAAAGCCACTTTCGGACTACTATCGCCTCTTTCGCGCTGCTCGCTCTGGCGGACCCCTCATTCTTTCGGATTACTGCGCTTTTCAATAGTCCAACTGTATCGTTTCTTGTCGATTCTCTCCTAGCAGTCGTAATGTTGCTGAATCCGATCATTATATTTACCACTTCCACTAACCTTGAACTCGACCACCTTCAAGTCTAGCCGATGGACAACCCATGGAACAATGCATGGGCAGAGCCAGAAAAGGAGGTTGTTCAAGAAGTCACTCTAGCTCCCAAAAAGGAGTCCTGGATCACATCTCCCGTGTCTGGTGACCTAGGTGCATCCTGGACAACTGGATGGGGCACCCAAACCGATACCGCAAGTGCATGGAGGTCTACAAATACAACCGATGAACCCGTAAAAGCACCATGGGAGACAACAGATGCAGCCAGGGTCGCCTATGTGCTCGGCGAGGAGGAACCAGAAGCATTCGTCGAGGAGACCCCACCTCGGGTCGACGAAGCGGAACCTGAGAAAGAACCAGAGCCTGTAGCCGCGCTCAAGGAGATTTTGAACGTCCCATCGCTGACGCCTCCTGACTTTGGCACTGTAGACCTCCCGCCTGCATCTCCAGAACCAGAGAAAGTCGAATTTGCTGCACCGTTTGCCACCCCAAATGAAGAGGTAGAAGACTCCTGGCGGTCTTTGGGCAATGCGGCCATTTCTGTCGGCGACGAAGGTGCTTGGGAGGGTGCTTGGAAGCCAGATGCACAGGATTTTGAGCGTGAGGCCACTCCAGAACCACATGTAGACGAGTGGGCCCAAGCGATGGAGGAAAAGGTGGTACGGGATGCCATAATCGTGCGTGTGTTGTCAACTGGGATGAAGTAAACGCTGACGGGATGAAGCTAGCCGTCCGAAGTCATGGATATGATTCTCGGCCGCTTCAACGAGCTATCCCGAGTCTTATGGCCAGATGAAGACCTCGAAGCTCTACGAGAGGGACCAGCACCAAGAACAGAGTGGCAAGGTGGCCTTGAGAACGTCGATGGTTTGTGAGTATTCTTTGGAATCACTTTTATAGTCCTCACAATCTACAGGACGCGTACAATTAACGACTACTTGCCACCCCCTCCCTCGGCTCCGCCTCTTCACTATGCGAACACACAAGTTGCGGCGTCCTTTCAAAATGCCATGAGAATGACCAAATCATATGGGATGCTGCAGAAGAGTCCAATTGCCCTCCTGATCAAATCATCAGAGAACTGGGAATCTTCGCGAATACGCGGCACTGCTGGCAAGCCATTCTCGCTGAGGGAGTGGACAGGAATCCACTCATCGCGGTCTGCCACACCTGCAACGCAGGGGACCAGTACCATTCTATTTGATGCTGGTTCCTCCCACAGGAGAACTGGCAGTTTGATGGATATGATTGCGCGACCCAGCTTTGACCGTGGACGTTCAGCCACATCATCTCCTGCGCCCAGGGGAAGTATTGAGAGCATACCCTCCATCATTCCAAATGGCTCTACCACCGTTGCCAGCACCCCGCCAATTGCGTCTCCCACCAAATCAGCTTTTGGAACAGAGGCACCGACCCCTACCGCCGCCCCTTCGGCCGTCGCAAGATTCTTAAATCGGTTCTCCAGAAAAGCGGACGAAGGACCAAAGCCTCCAGCACAGGTCAACCTGAAGTCGGAGGAACTGGACTACCTCGACATGATGCCGACCATAAATCAAGGGAGCTTGTCTGCTGATCAACTTGGAAAGGATATCATGGGCTCGTATCCAGGAGCACAGGCCTTGTCGGTGGGGGGTCTATTGGCAGCTTCGTCTTCGATCACACCGTCTAAGCCCAGTGGGGCGGCGGCAAAGAGCCTGAGCCAACTCACATCCGAAGACTTTGATAGTCTCCTGGACGCGCAAATCCAGCAAGTAGAGGATGATGCTCTACGACAGAGCTTGGTGGATACGGCGCTCATGCCTGGGATGCCCTCGGGAATGTCGAATAATGGGAGTTATTCCCGAATCAGTGTTCCATTATTCGGTTCTAAAAGTTCCACGGTTGGTGCTCAACCATTGAACGCTGGAAGCAAGCCCTCCAGTAACTCCTTGTTCGATGAAGATGACTTTGACGCGTTTCTTTCCTCTCCCTCCAAACCGGCAGTATCACAGCCCTCGAAAGCTCCGTCTATTCCCCTACAAAGACCGTCAAATTTTACATCGTTACAACCCTCTCAACCTCTTCCTCCTCGCCCCGCCAGCAAATCCACGGCAACAAGCTCGACAAGAAGCTCTGTTGTGGCTATCATGAGTCAATCGTCACCCTTTGGAAGCAGGCCTGGAACCCCATCCACACCAACAATTGCGCCTCTTCTCCCGCCACCACCGGGCAGTCGCCCAATGTCAGTCACCGCTCAAAAGCAGCCTATCGATCTACTCGGTGGCTCGATGCAGCAGCAGCCGAGCAAACCCGCCGCCTCTGATTTCGGTGGGTTGCTCGACTTTTCGACGCCCGCCGTCGCACCAGCTGCAAATCCCAAATCGACTCGACCGGCAGTTCAGTCGTCCACATCTGGAGGGCTTTCTGCCCAAGATCTCTCTTTCTTCGAGGGGCTATGAATTCTACTTTATACTTGGCCATCTTCTTTTGCTGTATCTTATGAATCTTTGCATATAAGTGGTATTTTCTTGAGATGAGCCACTTGAAGGATGTGATCAAGTGATGATAAATATGTACAATGCAAACTGAGCGGATCTCCCTTCGTCCGCATCGCCAGTCGAAAGCAAATTTTGTGCTCAGGTGCACGGTTAGGCATGTGTGCTGGTCCGCGGTGGAGTTTGTTGTTCTCCGCCTAACCGTAGGGCCATTTCTAGTGACGAGAATTAGTGTGGCTGGAGGGCAAGGGGATCGGAACGCACTGAAGAATTCGTAGCTCATCCAGCAGAGGGCATTACTGGGCATGAACGTCAATACGCGTGGGGTAAGCCCTCGACCGAAGCCTCTTAGGCCATCCCGCTTCCATATAATCCGCACGGCGTCTCTAATCCCGTTCGCTGCTCTGATTTCCTTGTCCTCTGTTGTTCCTCTCGTCTGTAATAATGTCTTTGCGACGTCCAAGGGCGTCGTCACGGCGGCGGCGACGGCACCTGCAAAGCCTCCAGAGATAATGTGCGATAACGGATCATACTTGCGGTGTGGGTTGATATAGTTCAATGTGCGGTCATACACAGAGAATTGAACTGCGGTGAAGGGTATTGTCATGAGCAGTGTTGTCGGATAGGAGACGTAGAATGCGGTCAACCCCTCTCGGCGATAAAGAGTCTTTGCGCATGTAATCACCGATCGATATTCCGAGTTGTGAACCTGCATTCGTTGTTTGATGACTGTCAAACGGTTTGATTCGCATCAGGCTTGGCAAGCGAGGATGACCCACCATCGAAAGGAGTCATGACCGCGTCGCTCGTTATTGCCGCTGCAGCACCAGCCACAGCTGTGATTAAAAAATCATACCAGTGCGTGAAAAAGGCGTAGAATGTCAGCGCATAATCGTCCGAGGGTCTAGACTCTTCTGGGCCATCTCACATCGTCGGGACAAACGCGAGGTGGGAGAAGAGGGTTATAAAAACACTTGGACTGACCTGTCGAGACCCAGGCGGAACTTCCCTCCCTCTTGCCCATCATATCGTTGACCGCCTCTAGTGTTCCAAATTGCACGGCATGCGCAGGACCGGCACCGGCGATGACAGAGGCTACTCCTCTCCATAATGTGCGGAGCCCCTCGGTGGACGAGATGCGCGTTATCGCATTCGACATCCCAGAGTAGATGGCTGCGGGTGATGGGGAAAGGACCTGCATACGCGTCTATTACGGTCGTTATGCCATCAAAATATGCACAAGGAGATGAAAAAGAAGAGCGAAATACGATTTGAAGGGTGATTGGGAGGGTACCGGAAAGCCATGGTTAGCATTGGACGCTGCTGGCTCGAAAAGCTTGAAGCTGACGTACTTTGATGCTATCGACAGGGAACATGATCGCATGCTCTGATATTCCAGCCTTGAAGTGGACGTCAACACTGTTGGCAATGGTTTGCCAACGCGACAGAAGAGTTTACTCACCAATGCACCGGCCAACATGTGCACTCCATGGCCCGCAGTGTCTGGGAGTGCTTCATAGTCAATTTCTGCTGACATTATGGACCAATACTGGTAATTTTCAAGTGGGGGAGATGACGAGAATACGCAAAAAGGGTCAGGCCTCGGGACAAAGCACAGAGCCGAACGGTTGAAATGCGTGTAGAAATGTTGAATCCGGCAGCGAGAATCGCGTGAATATCGATTTCAAGCCTGGCTATCGCCGTCCAAGAGTCTCTATCACGAACGAGAGGTCGAAGGTGTCGCCAAGTAGCAAACGATTCACCGACAACTCGGAGCACATCAAATCTCATAGACGCACTCGTAAGAATGTTGGAAATAAACTCGATTTGTTGCACCGAAAAAATGAACTAAGAAACTCCATCCAAGGAGCGCGCGTACAGCGTAGGTTCCGCTATAATGTAAAGGCACATTAGTCTACTCCTTTGCTTTGGCGGATCTTCTCAAGCCTGCATATCCTCTGCAGTTCTCATCCGTCCTTGTCGCTCGATAACCTCCTCCTTTGCCTCTGGGCGACCCTCTGATTCTCTCTCTGCGACAGCTCGTTTTCGATCCGCCTCTCGCTGCGCCTTGATCTCTCGGACACGCTCTGCTTGAGGGCTATTGATCGGATAATCGCCCGCGGGTCGCCACCACGGTCGCTTCAAGTCCTCGACGACGTTGACGTCTTTCTTGTCATTGATACCGAACAAGATTTCGGATTGACCTATTGTCGTCATCCGCTCTTGTGAAGAGGAGCCGAAAGTCGGGAAGGAGAATGGTTCGTAGGGTGCTTGCGTTATAGCACCTTTGCTAATAGCATCAAAGACAGAGAGCTTTTCCTTTGGTGCAGGAGTAGGAAAGGCAGTGGTAGGGAGAGAGACCATGTCGGAAGGAACACGGGTCAAATAAAGACGATGGAGTGCGTCTTCGGCAGCCTGTCGAGTGTCAGTGTAACCAAGACAGGAATCCAATCAATGCTTACCCGAAATTCTGCCATTTTGAGAGAGCTTCCAAACCCCTCTCCAAGCTTGTCCACACCAGAAAATATCCCGACGACATAGATTGGTGAATTCGTGCCACGACCGCTCTCTCGTAGTAATCTGAATACCAGAATGAGTACGCTGTCGGTAAAGCTGGGACCGTGGACGCCTTACTTGGATATAGGCCGCTCCCGACCAAAGCTCTCAACCGTATAACTCAATGCGAGTTTTGGATCTCGAAACTTGATGAGCCCTCGTAGATCTACGAGCCTACTCAAGAAAAAAGTGTGCGCAAACTTGCGCGCGACAGCAAGAGAACGGTGGTGGTAGATGAGCGCAGTGAGCGCACGCGGAACAGAGGCCAACGCATCTGCATAGGTAACGGATTGCCGTGAAGCTGATGATAGCTGGTACAGAACGTCAGAATACCTCTCATGTCAACTTGAAAAGAGACACCGACCTGTCGATGCCATCGAACAAGCGGAGCAACACCAAGCTCCTGTGCAACATTGACACACGTTTGATGGCCCACATACGCGCTGGTTGCTGCTTTGAGTACGCGGGTCGGGAGATGCGGGTAGCTCGCGTTCAAATGTTCAGTCGCGAACAAGCCCAGCAGCGTATTGCCCAACGACGCGAGCATTCCGTTTGTCGGAGGTACGGACTCGTCTGGATATACTGTAGCATGTTGCCGTGCAAACGAATCGTGTGTGCAGGCTTGTCGAATGAGCAACGCCATCTGTTCGTCGTCCACTATGAGCGAGAAAAGAGGTAAAAAGATTTCATTGAGCTCGAAGTGACTTATATACGTGTGAATTAGGACGTACGGGTCGACTTTGCTTTTGCCTTCGCAGGAGTTGACGAGCCAAAGATGGTCGCTATCCCCATCCTGTGTGCGAGCGCAATCAACGCGCTGTTTGGAGGTGGTTGAAGTGATTCCCAATGAGCAGCAGCCTCTGGTTTGCGCGCGTCTTCGAGTTCTGCTGGAGGAAAGACGTGCTTGTCCGACGGCGGCGACAAGGACATTGTCGGGACTGTGAGACGCGTCCTCGACAGCTGTTCATATGCTCTTCGCATACTTGGCCGCAGTTTGACCTTGCCGCTCGCCATGGCTCTCGAGTTTGTAGAGTCGAAATTTTGTAGGGGACGGTACCCACTTTGCTCTCTAGCATGGGATAATATGGAATATTTCTCATCAAATCATCACGGTTATAAGCATATATAAGGATACAACTTTGGTGGTCATGCCTAGAGACAATTGGTGTTTATAAAGTCGGCGGTGGGTGAGGTAAATCACGATAGAGAAGAGCGATCATATTTCTGTTAAGCGTATCTGAGACAGCACCTTTGGGAGTGAAGACATTGTCGACAGGGCAGCTTCGAGCTAGGGAGGGTCAGAGGTAGCTTGGGCGGGGCAGGTGTTGCGAATGTGAAACCAGGAGGAGTCATCTGAGCACCTGGTCTGCACTACCCAGGGAGGTTCGCAGGAAGTGAGAGGTCGAGATGCCCCAGACTGAACCATCTAGTTTCTTGAGATGCTCTCCGTCGTCGAGCCAAAAACGGAGGGTGAATTCATTGAGGACAAACTGCCAACGGGCAGTGGTGTTGGGTGGGAATAACAGGGTGATGATACGAAATTGGAACGTGTTTGATCCATTGTACAGATCCACCAACACTTGCAGTCGGCTACAGATAGCGTTCCTGAAGTGTTGTGGTAGGCTAGGTGAGTTACCCGATCGATGAGTCGGTATATCCGGATCCGCACTGGTGTATCTGCCATTACTTGTCACATTCGCTGAACAGTCGCACGCTCTTGAGCCAAACTGTACGGATTATCTGCTGCAACTGAGATCCTCTCGAGTTCAATCGGATCGCTACTTAGGTCATCGATCGTGGACGCTCGGATGTTGGCTTCCCGGACGCTACAAATCTTCTCTTTCACAAGAGAGACAGCCTGGCGGTGCATTTTGCAAGCCTGGCAGACGCGCAATGCCCTCCTCGAAATGGGTCACATCCTCCTCGTTCCCGAGTGGCATATCCATAGTGACCAAGGTGATGATACCATGCCAGCTACGAGGTTGATACAGATCGGACTCGTTGAGCTCTTCTTTGAGTTCCCACGCAAAGTGTCCTGGGTGGGCCCCACGGTCTTTGAGCTCGGCGTTGAGAACAAAGGGGAGGAATGTGTTGACCATGAACATTTCTTGCACATCATCTTGCACATTGCTGTCACTGGTGATCATCGTTATTGGGAGGCGGCATATACCTGAGAGGCGACAGGGGTCCGGGGTCATGAGGTGGGGTTGTCCGTTGATCAGAGCCAACAGATCAACGTCGTCAATTTTATCGACTTTGAATATCTGCTTGATGGCAAAGGCATAAGGGCTAGGGCTTTGCCTTAGTCGAAGAGTTTGTTGACATATTGGTCCCGGCGGTCTCGTTGCTCGGACGGCTTGTCTCCTTCAATACGGCGCTGAGGAATGCGCAGAGCTGCTGCGTCTTGGCTAATGGCAGTTAAGCATGCTCGTAAAATGTGATACAACTTACAAGAATCCTGAAATACATCAGTAAAGCCAAAAGGAGAAAAGTGCATACATACCCTGTCTAGGCCCAGATTGAACGTTTCACCCGTGATGGAGGATCGATACATCTCTTGGATCTCATGACGTTGGAGTCCGTTGAGAGCCCAGTTCAGCTGGGGATAAACTTTAATATCGTCGTCTGACCAAAGCGCGTCAGGCTGGAAAGGTCGTGGAATATTCTCTTCGTCTTCCGGTTTGTCGTCGTCATCTTTTTTGTGTTTGTCGTGGTTTCTTCTACGCGCCAATGAGGATTGCGGTCGATCCTCTTCGTCCTCGGTCAGCTCTTCATCGTTCTTGACCCTGTCTGCTGGAAGTCGGAAGATGAGTATAATTTGTGTCTGATATTGTATTACCTTCTAGCCTGGACCGTTCCACGGGCCTGCCTCGCAACGTTGGTGGCTTCCGCTGAGTGCTAGGCGCGAGTGTATCGTTGTTGGAGCTCCGGAAATCCGTATCGCTCACTTTATGGCTGTCCTATGAAACTTTTGAGCTGGATGGGACCCTATGGTTGAGCATTTCGCTCTGAACACGCGTATCTTTATCCACCCTCCGTTCGACCAAGCTGATAGGTGCTCTGGAATCTCTGCATCCACTTTCGGATGAAAGAGGATGAAAGAGGCTTTCTCTGCTCCGTCTTGATCACAACCTTTTGCAACTTGTCGCCGTCGAGCGACTGGAGGGTTGTGACCAGAGCTCGGATCCTTCTTGCAGAAACACACGCACATGCCTTGTGGACTGCTGCATTGCCTGTACAAGTGATTTGGACGTCGCTTCGCTTTGAAGCAAACCAGTGGGGTTGCTTGCGGTGACCGCAACTGTCGGGAGCTCGACTAGGGTGGCGGCTCCGCAGAGCCATGTCGGCGCTTGGCCAATCCGACATATGGCCTTCCTGCAGTCCTTGGAGAGGCCAGTAGTACGTTTTTTGATAGAATTGAGCACATCCATTGCCAAGAACTCTGGATCACCCTCGCCTGCATCTTGAAGACGTTTGAGGATGGTGGGAAACGTGTTGGATGCCATAAGAAACTCAAATGGAATAAACCCATTCCATGGACTTTCTTTCATAAGTGAATCTGCAATGTGCTCGAAAATGATTTTTAGGGGGATTTTAGCCAGAGGTTGAGGAGTTGCATGCTATTGGGGGCATATCACTCACCCAAAGCGTGCTGAAGCCCTGGGTGGCAAAGCTGAAGAACACCGACTTTCCAACAATCGCATGCAGGTTCGTCAATGTTCATCAGGCTCCACCCAGGGAGCAGAGGCCGCGGTTGCCCGTCACACTTTGTAAATACGTGTCCGAACTCAGCCTTTGTTCCCTCGTGTAACTCCTAGCCCTCGACCCCGCTATCCACCGAGTCTCGCAAAGCCGTGGCCACGTTAGGGTGAAACTATCGAATAGGATAGAAAACGCACATTTCAACAGCGCGGTTGATATGAGGTCGGTCAATCCCGATGGCGACAGGTATGAGGATGGGTAAGGACATTTAGCAACACGATATGGAGAAGGTAGGCCCTCTCTAGTGTCTCCGAAGCTAGCATGATGTCAGCTTTGTGTCAGCTCTGCTGCGTCTGGTTGTAGTGTGACCGTCTCGTAGACCTCTGTGCTAATCATCCCGCAGAGTTGCCGTCATTGGGATTAATGTAGCTGAAATCTACCTATGGCCCCGAAAGGCACATTGATGTGCCTATAGAGCTCCTCAATATGACCACGCCACAGTTCTCTTGGTGCTTCCATCAGCCGTGCAATGTCAATGACCTTGCCAAATCCTCAAAAGTGGGTGAGAAACGAGGATGTATAAGAGGTCGAACCAAATAATAAATACAGGAGTGCAATAATGAATGGAGAAATTCGGCTTAGGACTCCTCCCGCGGCACTCCACCAAACGCGAGCCAACTTTTCGGGGATCCGTGCACCTGGGTGCTACGCCATCACGCCGCTTGCAACAGGTGCATGTATCAGTCTGCGGGAAGGCAACAGTCCCCACTTTTCGTTCATAGATCTCCACTCCTTGTCTCGTTTCCTCATCAATGATCCCCAAATTCTTCCGGTTAATTGAATGCATAGAATATGCCACCTCTGTGTCAATCGGCCATCCACCCTTAGCGAGTAGGACTCGAATCTGGGAATCATTCATAGGTAGAAACATGATTTCCCGCTCGTTTACGCTTGATTGTTGGTAAGAATAGACTTAGCTAGGTCTCGTCCGATAAGTACGTGCATGCAGCAGAGCAACAAGCCTCTCCAAATACCAGGAAGCGCAAATATCGAGAAGAATCAAACTATATTGGCAAGATATCCAGGAAGGACAACTTTAGCAACAATGGTGAAGGACCCTCGAGAGATCACCGAGTCGGCAGACCGCCGTCTCAAGAGTCATCAGCCCTACACTCTGGTCCAGCAACAACTACTCCTGCTGCACAATCCACCACCTGCAAATTCTCCAGAGGTCTGCGGTCAAGGAGACGGTACCCAGCGACAAGACTTTCGAAAACGAGCCAGAGGCGTACAGCAGCCGACACCACTATCAAGACGCTGGCAGTACCAGCGTAGAAGACTGACCTGTCAATGACGAACACATTGCAATAATCTGCAAAGGCTTGGCACTGCAACGTTGAGGAGGAGTCTCAGAGGCGACCAATCCTCAAGAATCCAGCGCCTTCTCACAGGGGCACTCTCCTTTTTGAATAATTCTCCTTCTCAGTGTACGTGTGTTTCACTCTAATAATGCACACTTATCTATCCAGATGACGGCCAGCCAGTGATCACGTGGTTCTTGGAGTTTAACAACTGGTTTGAGCATCTCAACGTGGTACAACCGCGGTAACCTGAGCTGTATTTTGACGAGGAATAGGTCGATCGCGCCGAGAAGGTAATCTACGCATACTCACGGGTCTATCGAAAAAGTTTCAATTTTATTGATACAATTCGCCACTTTCTCGACGGTTTCCGTCACCAGCCAGAGTCGGACTTGTAAAGATTCCAGATTCATCGGCATTGCCATGCCTACAGTCGCACAGATTCATCCGAATTGAGGAGCAAGTATGCATAGAACCGCACTCCTCGAATGAGACCACTAGCCTTGACATGTTCGTCCACAGTGTGAATATTTGCACCTTCAGTGGCAATTAGGTGGTTGTACCGAAAGATGTTAGGAGTCAGATTCCAGTACCGCCGTGTATCGGTATTTCCTAAATATTCAGTGAGCACTGGGATGGCTATTGGGGTATCCTCCCACCAGTCATCATGGACGGCATGACATAGACAGGATCACTGCTCTCTGTCGTATTACCACCTCGCACTTCCGTCGCAAGGATAGTGCCAGATAGAAGCTTGTATGCAGCTGCATCTGTTGGAGTAATGGGGGCTGGCTCCAATGCAGTCCCCCATGCATCCGAAAGTTCAATACTGATCACGTTTCCGCGATCAAGAATAGTCTTGCCGAATGCCTTGAATGTGATGTTATTGAAGATGGCATAGTCCTTCACCAGTGTTGTATAATGGTCCATAACCGCAGCGACGGAGGAATCTGTCGCAATACGGGTATTGATAATTGCCCAGCTAGAACGTAATTGATTGGGCGCGAAGATGGAGTCAGAATTGTGGAACACACCTCTGCTCGGGTAATGCATTGGCTTTAACGCCGCCATTGACCATTGTCACTGCCTGAGTGGTCGCGACGGTGCTCTTGATATAATTGTCCTTGAAAATCATTTCTTCAACGCGGTGCAGATCCCTGTCAGAGTCCATGGAGCGCTTGATTGCCCGTTTGAGCAATTGAGGAATATCTGGTGCATGCGCTCCGAGACATTTGAGCGACTCGTAGATGGGTTGCTTCCGCGAAAGTCGAGGAGTGATTACGTTATTCTCAAATATGACGATAAGTTGGGATAGTATGCCAATACCCTGCTTTTGCTTGAGCTAGCGTTCGGAGACACCAAAAACTTACAGTGTGATGGTTCGCGGGTGGAATACTTGAATGGCCGCCCGCTGTAGTGACGTCGACACGCACGTCAAAGTAGCCCTTTTCTCCGATGCCTGGTGCGGCGAAGAGGGCACCATATTGCTGAACCAGTCCGGCGCCTTCATCAACGAGGAATGCAAAGGAATTTCTTCCATATGTTTCTTCGAGGTATGGTGCAATTTTTCCTGCTCCCTGAGTCCCACTAATCTCCTCATCGAAACCAAATGCGAGGACTACAGTCCGAGTTGGTTGAAACTTGTGTGAGAGGAGAGTCTCGATAGCGAGCCTAAAGGACCGTTAGGAGAGCCTTGAAGAGGACACGTACTCACAGAATCGAGATAAGTCCAAGTTTGTCGTCCGATGAACCACGACCCCATATCCATTCCCCTGAACAGGGAATTGAGACTTGGCAAGAATAACAGGAACTACTTACCATCAAAGTATCCCGAGAATGGAGGATGCGTCCATTGGTCTATGGTCGCTGGGTTCACCGGGACGACATCTGAGGAACGACGTCAGTGGTTCCCTCGCATGCAGTACAAGCAGCACCTTGATGCGCAGCGAGCAGGACAGGTTTCAAATCTGTGTCGCTTCCTGTCCATTCATATACAAGCCCACACGTATTCACTGTTGTCAGTTTAAGGCTGTCATGTCTACAAACGGTCAACTCCCATAAGGTAACGCAGAAACAAGGCTCACACGAGTGGAAAAGTCTTCTTGAGATACAAATGAAAGCTTGCAAACTCCTTCCAGGCATTCGGGTCTTTTTCAAGAGGTGGAAGTGTGTCATATGTCTCGGTCCTTTTGGAAGAAAATGAGTCACATGAAGATCTTTGATTGCAAATTACACTCACGCTATCTGTACAGCGCCACTCAGAGCTGCAACAGCCCGGTCCAAAAATGCATGGCTGTCGAGCACATGGAGCACAGTTTGCGCGACTTTAGCATTCGCGACAGGATACAGTGGTTCAGTTTGTGGACATAAATGCTTTGCAGACTCTGGTTCGGAACCGAACCCCAGCCCCGGCATCTCTACGTCGATGAGGAGCATAAGGGGTATCACAAGGAAACAGAAAACGAACACGACGCGCCAGATGCTGACGTGTCCAGGTCTCGAAACATGACCTGCTTTGCGAACGGGAGCAAAGATGGATGAGGAGCCGGGCAGTAGAGGCGACTGTTCGTTGGACATTGAGAGTATGGGTACAAGTAGAAGTGTCCAGTATGAGCCCAAGTCTCAGTATGAGTAGACGTGGGTCACTCTGCAATAAGAAGGTAGTTGTTGAGGTTCAAGTTGGCTCGGTGGCTGTTCCCTACGGACATATAGACCGCCTCACCCAAAAAAAAAAGAGAAGGCATGTTTCAAACGACATATGTACAAGACGAAAGCTTGGTATTGTTCAGACTGGGCGCCCATCTTTATCAGCCTCACTCAGTCTTGATCCATTTCTCGAGCTCTGCCTTTCCATCCTCTTGCCAGAGCAAGCCATCCGCACTAACTTCGCGCTTTTCTCGTTGACCCGAGGAGCTTAGCGTACTCGTTGCGTTTTGGAGGTACTTTTGCTTGACTATGCGTTCCTTCTGCTCTCCCTCCTTTGCTTCAGGGCATCCTTTCCACAACGCACGCTCCAGAATGTGTCTGGTAACAGCACGAAGAATGATGTAGCCATGTGAAGCGGAGAGAGCAATCAAAATGGCAGGCACGATAGATGTCTCGAGTGTTTCAAGTGGACCCCCAGAAGACACAGTGTGGTGCTGATGAAAGATGGAATGGAAGAATCCTTTGGACTCCGAGGGCCGGAAGAGGTACACCAGGGCACTGTTAATGAGAGCTGCAAGCCACGCAATGAAGCTCTAAGGAAACATTAGCACAGAATTGACACAACAATGGCAGCGCACCAAGTTCTCTAGCCACGGACCAATCGTATCAACGCGAGTTGGGACGGGCCGGCGAGTGTGTGTCGTCATTTTGAATGCGTCTGAACGAAGCTCAAGCCAATCGTTGATGAGAGCCATGGCTGGTGCGAGCGGCCAAATCGTCGAGTAGAGAGCAACATAACCAAACTAAAGGATCGTCAGAAATATCAAATTGATGTCGAGTATACGTACTTGGGTCACCATCTCGGAATAGTCGACTGCAATCGTCAGCATAGTCTATCTAAAAAGATTATCGACTGACCGAAAATGGAATATTCAGGTAACGAGGCTTGGTACTTGATATCGCTGATAAACTGTTTTTCACCGGTCGGGTCGTCCTTCTCAGCTTTTGGAGTTCCCATATGGAGGCCTTTTCCATTCCGAGCGTTGCTAACTCCACGGGTGATGAATGGAAGCACAACTTCGATGAATGAGTTGATAATCTGGTTGGTAACAGTGTAGGCGAACATCTGGTTCTGTAGGCGAGAAGCATTAAGCTTGCCTGAGATATGTTCCGCCGTTTGCGCCGAAGCCGGAGCCAGTTTGGACGCTTTGTCGTGTATTTTTGCGTCCGCCTTGTTATCGTCTGGCTTCGTGCTTTCCGCAAAGATCATCGTATGAACCAGAGTCATCAGATACTCGCCGAATGGAACATAGACGAATGCACTGAGGGAGAGACCGAGGTATGCAACAATTGAGGAAAGTGCAAAGGTTTTGATCGTCAGGCTGGCATCATGTGAGGATTGGTGGGCGTGGTTTTCCCAATCGGCTATAACGGCTGTCAAGACATTGACTCGTGGGAAGCAAGTACACTTACTCAACGCAACGGCGAATTTTTGATAGACGGCAAGGAATTGTGGAACCAGAGCTGCAAACAGGATCGTCGGAACCAATGATGCATACTGGTGACCGGGTCCAGTATAAAGCTGGGTCACGAATGCTTCGAGGATAAAGATTCCCGTGAGGAGAACGGCAAGCATGACCGCAGCGGTTCCGATGACGGGGAGTGAGGTGAGAACCCTAAACTCACGCTTCCACCAAGGGAAGCTTTCATCTTCGTCATTCCCCGTAGATTTTACTGGCTTGAATTCGACACGACGCTTCTCGACACGAGCCGCCCCGCGCGTTCCCCAACGGACGCTGAGCTTGCGCTCGCGAATACGCCACCACTCGACAAACAAGACCGACCAAAGGACGATCAGAATGGAGTAGATTGGGCTATATGGCTTCTCAAACTTCCAAAAGGTGACTCCGATGAGCGCTGGGAAGACGAGGGCCTGGGAGTAGGAGGAGAGAAAGGCATAGTAGAGCGCGACGGATTCTCCAAACTGATTTTTGACAACGTCAAGTTCGGAGGCTTTCATCGTGAAGCCCAGTTGACGTTTCGTCCAGCTGTCAAGCCATGTATGGTTGAAGGTCCTGTCATGAAGAGCGAACACGCTCTGGACGCTTGGCCACTTGTCCTTGTTACCGGAGGTAATACCCAGGCCTCCTTGACTAGTCGCAGAGGTCACGTACGTGTGCACGAGGCGAACGCGGTCTGCTGGACTGAGGGGTGAGGCTGCAAAATCGCGTTCTTCGCCATGATAGGCGTTTGTAAGAAGTCCGTGAAGAAAGTCTGTGTGTCTACCGAGCACCGTCAGACGAAGTTGCCGTCTTGAAACATCATGACGCTCACCGTTCGGTTTCGATGAGTTCTCTAAGTTTATCCCAGGGACACGAGACAACGATGAGAATCTCTCGATTTGTGCTGCCTTGCTTTCCGGCAGCTAGGAGACCTGCGTTATGCAGCGTGTTCAGGAGCTCATTATATTCGTTGAGCGCGCTCTGGGCCTTGTTGCGCTTGTCATCCTTTGACTTTGAGGCCGTTGTGGCCACAAACTGGATCACCAAGTCGGCCTTTTGAGACATGGGGAGGTACAAGAGTGTCCACAACGCCAGCTTCGGACTTTGCTCCAACGAGGTCAGGCCGACGTCACAAACAACCACAAGAATCATGGCCCAAAAATTGAGAGAGAAAAGATATATTATTGTCCAGAGATAGAAAGCAAACAGACAGGTATCGATCAAGTACCTAAGACATTACGTTCCCCTATACAGCTGCTGCTGCTGTTGGGAGCGTGGGGAAGGGTGAGTCGGGTATGGCGTCGCTTGGTTATGCGCGTCTATAGGCCCAGCGGACGCAGGATGGAATGAGCCACCAGGAGACGTCGCTCCGTACATTGGTCGATAGCCACCAGGAGGAGATGTCGAGTCTGTACGACTCGGTTCCATGATTTGGGGACCATGTGCACTCCATGGCCCAGTCACTCCAGCTGGCGGGTGTTGTGCCCATGACGGCGCACCCGAGGTGCCTTGAGATGACGATCCGGGCTGACTACCTGCCGACGATGGCCGTTTACTGTGAAGGTGCTCCTGCGCATAGGTTGGAAGCGTGTTCTGCAGTTGAGGGTGTTGCGAAACTGTGCCGACGCCGGCCATGGATATCCGCTTGGACTTGGGAGATGCGCTGAGCTGACCAGTAGGTGACTTTGGGCTCAGCTGCTGATTAGCGGGATTCATCGGTTGGCTCGACTGGTCAAATGTCGCAGTGTGGATACTCTGCTGACGAACTTGAGGGTTTTCTGACGCTGGCGACCCAGCCGGAGCTTCCTTCATGCCAGGCACGCTGATGAAATAGACCAGTCCTTGCTTGTCATCTCCACCGGCAGCATAATATTGAGCCCACGCCTGCGCATTAGGATCGGGATATTGTGCAGTGGGGTCGAATGGATAGGGTGGCGGACCAGAGAAGACCTTGGGTCCCTCTGCGACCGGTTGCGTCTCTGGCTGTGAAGGCTGGGTTGGTTGAACTTGCTGAACTGGCTGCGTCACTTGTTGTTCGGGCTGAGGAGACATTGTTGTCGGTTGCGGCTGGGCAGCTGTGGTGGACTGTCCCGCATATTGAGCAGTCACTGCTGCTGCCGCCGGAAGCTGCTGGTTTGGGACATGTGCGTTCAGATCGTAAGCGGGTTGTGACGGCTGTCCAATAGGTTGAACTCCTGGTTGAGTTTGGGCATAGGCATTCGCACTGGGGTCATATGGCTGTTGAACGGGCTGACCTCCGGATGGTTGAGGTTGTTGCGGTGGCTGTTGGCCGTATACATTTGGATCATACCCGCCAGGTGCGGGCTGCGGAGCTCCTGGTTGCTGGGTCGCCGTCTGATACGTATTTGGATCATAACCCGGCTGCTGTTGTGGTTGTCCTGGTTGAATCTGCGGCTGTTGAATCGGAGCAGCGTAAGCGCTTGGATCGTAGCCTGCAGGTGCCTGTTGCGGGCCGTATGCATTGGGATCCTGTCCCGGGAACCCTTGCTGAGGAGGATACGCTGCTGGATCCATCTGAGGTGGGTAGAGTTGAGGAGGATAAGTCGCTTGCGTTGGGTCCTGATATGGTGGTTGCCCAGGGTAGAACCCTGGTTGCCCTGGTGGTTGCGGCGGCGGGAAAGGTCCTGGCCAGTAGCCCGTTGCACGATAATCGACGCCTGGAGGACCAGGCCGTCCAGAGGGATGTCGTCGAAAGTCATAGGCTGTGATATGCAGTCAGAATGAGCCGGACCAATGACCTTGGTACCAACCATTGGGGTTATGTTTCGCAAGGGACTCTTCCATCATCCGGTCAAAGAGTTCCTTTGCGTTGACAAAGTTGTCGTTCATCATTGCGAGTTCAACTTCAAATTGTAAGCATTGACTCATTCGTGTGGCAATGACATACCCTTCTTCTGATTATATTTCTCGATCAACCGAATCACCTTTGGTCGCACACTCAAGCTAGACCGGTATAATTCCTTCATACTAGTTAGTAGTGCCAGATATGAGTGGCAACGGATTACCTGGATATCCTCATCGTCTGCGAGGTTGTCCTTTGTAATGTCAAAGTTCTTGAGTCGGTTGAGTAGCTTGTCAATATTGGCGGCTTGAGCAAAGACAGCTGCCTCTGCCTCTGCTTCCCGAGCGAGATCCGCGGCGGTTGGTTCTGGCATTGGTTCCTATTGATTGTCGGATTCGGCGCAGCAATATGCCAACGGTACGTACTACATAGTTGACGGGGAATATTCCGGTCCTTCCTTTGAGTTGTCCCTTCCACCAGTCTTTGTGGGTCCGATCAACAACCTTTATCACATCGCCTTTCTCAAATGCCAACTCTCCTGCATCCGCTGGCTCAAAGTGGTGTAGTGCTCGAACCCTTGTCGCCGTAGCCAGATCTGGTACGGGAGCCGGAGTGACCGATGCAGCTGGCGCAGCGACGGTGACGGCGGGCTGTGGCGGAGGAGTGGCGACCGCTGCGGGCGCATATGCCGAATAGGCTGACTGAGACGGCTGGGTGGGTTGAGATGTTTCAACTGGTGTAGCTTGTGTATCGGCGTGTCGCAAGGGAGACTGATGAACAACGTCGACTGCCTTTCGGCCTGCAGAAGCCGTATAGCCCCCGGTCGGCTGTTGAGGTTCGGGTTTAGCCTGCGGTCTGGATGAAGGCCCCCCTGATATAGCCGTAGAGCTCGGGTAGCTCGAGCTTGATCCTCCAGCTGCGGAAGAAGGGGTGTAAACACCCCATTGCCGGCCTCCCTTATCTTGCATAGACAGTTCCAGCACCTTTTGTAGCTCTTCTTCTTCTCTACGGCGTATCTCCTCGTCAACCTGTGGCGGAGGAGCCTCCATCGCCTGCTCGAATTTGTAATCTATTGGATCGTCAGTGCCTGTTGGAATGAGGTAGTCAAGGAGACTTGCTCTTCGACTTGAGGGACTCATAGCACTCGTTCATGATCCCCAATGACGGATCCTTTTCCCACTCCTGGGCCCAACTCTGGATCATCGACAGCGCCTTCTTCTTGACCTTGTCATGGCCAGTCTAGAGCCAATGATGAGTTCTTGTTTCATATCCTGGGACAGTAGTTACCCTGTCCGTAACAAGTTTCTCCAACCCTTGTGTAAATGCGCGACTGGCAAGCTCTCGATGGACCTCGATACCACAGTTCTTCGAGAGAGCTTCCGCAACTGCCAAGGAGTATAATTGTACGTTTGCATTCCGATGGGTCAAACGCTTGAGCAAGGCGGCTATGACGTTTCGCGCGCTGCAGAGAGCAAAGGCTGGTGAGCGGGACGACGTGGAGAGTGAGACAAAAGCGAATACCCTTGCTCTCCTTCGTCTGTGACCTTGTCACATAGATTCAGGATGATTTCCCAGTTCTCAGATGTCTGGTTCTCATCCGTGGCCTTTACTGTGAGGCGGTCAGCGCTCTATCTTGCCGATAGATGGAATCGTGCGTGCCAACAATATCGTCGTATGGGTTTGTCGCGCCTCTGAACATTGGGAAAGGCGCAAAGGTTGGTGATGGAGTGAGTCCAAGTTGGCCACTCACAGCTTCGGGTTTTAGACCAGACCATAGCAATCCCGAATGGCAAGGGGTAAGAACTGCGGCTCAAAAGCCGCTATATCTGGCACTGGATGCTCATATCGTTGCAGTTCCTAGAAACTTCAAGCTGCTCGAGGAGCTTGAGAAGGGCGAGAAAGGCATTGGCGATGGATCGTGCTCATACGGTCTCGAAGACGCCGAAGACGTCCTCATGACACATTGGAACGGCACAATAATCGGTCCAGGACACGTATGTCTACTCGCCGCTCTCCTCGATCTTGTGTGCCACACTGACGCCGGCCTCGTGTAGACTGTGCACGAGAACAGGATCTACAGTCTGAAGATTGAATGTGGAGATCAATATCCGGATGCTCCTCCAGTCGTCGAGTTCATCTCCCGTGTCAACGTGCCGTTTGTCAACCAGACGAACGGCAGGGTTGATCCGACGCGACTTGGTGTTCTGGCAAACTGGAATAGAAATTATAGTCTGGAGACTCTTTTAGTGGAGATTAGAAGGTGGGCTCGTCGGCATGATTTCAAGCGTCGGTCTGACTTTCCTCTAGAGAACTCGCCTCGGCTCAGAACAGGAAGCTTCCCCAACCGCCAGAGGGCTCTGTGTTCTAGATGCCGAGTACTTTACGACATTGTCTCGTAACGTTAAGAATTGGACCTAAATCTTCTATCATAGACTTGGCCCGGGAAATTGACCTTGCACCAAAGTGAGAAGAGTACGCCGCCCATATATCGGCCGCGAGGGATATTATAGTATGAAACGCGTGGGCAACGCGTCTCAGGCGTGTTTAACCTGACAATCGATTTGCTGCGCCTGACCTCGCCCTTTCAGATCCAGCGGAGCCTGGCTTAAAGCGACACATTTTCGTGGATTTATAAGATTCTAGACCTGACCCTCTCACCGAGTTCCATGTCCGACCACGAATCTCTGGTTTTACCACCATCGGTGGAAGATCTCATTGAGATATTCATTCTGCAAGAGCAAGATGCCTTCACCAGTACGCCGAATTCTGTCTATGAGCTGAATTTATATTTCGGTTTCAGGCGTTCTGCCCAAAAGCACTCGCCACCTGGTCAGGCGCCTTATTATGAACAGAGCCATAGAGAAAAGCAGGCATCCTCTTATATTCCCAGATCAATGCTAATTTTCTGCAGCTCGAGAGCACGACGAGTTCTACGTGGAGGATCAGAATATGGACCTCTTTGACACCGAGCAGGCTGTGCGGTTCTTTTCATACAGTCCGTGAACCTGAAAAGGTATTCTATTACTCATTATGGACTAGTCTCGTGGTACGATCCCATCTGGACCCGCAACTTTCTCAGTCTATCCATTCCGCTGTTCGTGGCAGCTGGTATGATGCTTCTTTAATGCTGCACATATGATAACTGAATGTCATCCAGCACAAGCGTTCACGGACGCGAAGCTCCTCCAAAGAGTAAAGGACGAATGGACTCAGAACGATAGCGACATCATCCATGATCTGGCCTCTGGAGCCACTGGCTTGCTCGCTACGAGTCTTTCGCTGAGGGACGTACAGCTCAGAAGCTATGAAGCCAGTAAGCAAGGTCAACGTTGCGAAATGTATGCTAATGGTTGTTGAGGGAACTTTGTGGAACAATGGCAAAGTGGACTGGATGGCATCTCAATCGGCAGTGTCTATCCAATTCTTTCAATGCACGGTCCCTTGGGCCCAGCTCCCGCAATCGGCGTTGCATTGCTCTCTGGTTTTGCGGCCATGAGCTATCTGCTCTACAAGATGATCACAATTTCGAACACGGAGGATAAGATCAAAGCGTTGTTCCAAGAGTTGGCCAACGACGAAGATGCGCGCGCGAGTTTCTGGTCTGTTCTTGATGATTGATCCTAGAAGAAGCCATCTGGAAAGTAGAAAGAGAACAATAGATGTTCCTGATCTCCTTCTTTTTCTGACGCCTAGCCAATCTCAAGCATTGCTTGCTGGCTCTCTCCAACGGCCGCTCACAGCATGTCCCCTTTTCTGCTATTGAGCTCCACCATCCTACCAACCATCATCAATACAATCCAGCCACAGAGAATGTCCACGACATAGGATTCACTTCTGTGAGCATATCACGTTGTCAGGCTCTCATTCAAAGCGCCATCACACGACCATAGTGAATACTGGAGTTGGTATTCCATCGCAATGGTCAGTTGACTCGTATTTCAATTTGCCACAACTGCGGCGCCTGCTTTGGTATTGGCCCGATTCTATGCAACTCGAATCTCTCCATGCGTGATAGGGGAGCTTTCAGAGATCCGGAATTCGCCGGTTCAGTATAAAGACAGGAAGCTCAGGAGGGGTTGGAAACAAGATTCTCAAATGGTCTCCATCCAACCAGCTTCCAGCGAAGGGCATGCACCCCAGGGTGAACCTCTTGATCTACAGCCCCCACAAGCAAATCTCCCCGCAGTCCAGATTGGGTCGCCCCTACAGGTGGCTGCTCCCGCTCAGGAAGAGGACGAAGTAATTGTCAACCTCGTGGAAGACTTTATCCGGCGTGAAAGTAGCATCATGCAAGGTATTACAACCCAATAGCCTTCATAATCTAGCCTATTCATTTCTAGGTCCTCTCGGTGCTCATCTAAAGCGTTCGCTAGTCCAGAAGGTGCTCAAGCAGCGAGCTGTTTCTCAATGTATGTCTCTTATTTGCCCATTTTCATTACTCATTTGTTTCAGTTGTCCGCATAGTGCCCTTGGCAGAACGAACCCGTGTTTCACACAGGATTTTCAACCGCAGCGATGCATTGACCTTCTTCAGCCTTAGTAAGCTCTTACCTGTCCTGATGCCGCTGCTCATTATGCTAGCTGCCCGATACGATCGTAACTGGACTATCTCCTTCTTGATTCAGGCGTTCACTCTTATCTCAACAACTGGTAAGATCAAATGGCGCGACAGCAGAAAGCAAATGCTGACATTTTTACAACCTGAAGCGCAGGCGATCCTGAGAAAGGACAGCATTGATAGATCTATTGATAGCTGGAAAGCGAAGGATACTGCATTTGGTGCTGCCGCTGGAGCACTCGGTGGGGCTGCTTCCTTGTTGGCAGGAGAAGCGCTTGCATTTGCAGGCTTCACTGTGACCGGTGTGGCATCAGGTATGCTCTGACCTCTCAGTTGCTGGGAATTAAGCTTCTCTGAACTATGCACAGGTAGTATGGCCGCGCTATGGCAAAGCGCAATTGGTAACGTCGCTGCCAATAGCCTTTTTGCGACCTGCCAGAGTCTTGGTGCGACAGCTGCACTCAGCGGGCCCCTCGCATGGGGTGCGTGTGGCGGGGCGGTTCTAGGATATGTAACGTACAAAGCCGTGACAGCCCCAACATCCGATCAAGTCTTAGAGAAGCTTCTCGACGATGTCTACAATGATGAGAAGAAACGAGAAATGTTCTGGAACAGGATTAATGTTTGACTCGTTCTCGTTGTTGGATGTACGCACGTGTGGGTCTACATGTTGCTTGATGCTACGTCTTGGTTTTTTACTTTCGGAAGGCTGTATTCATTCCGTTACTGTGTCCCGCGATAATCAAGACAATAGCTCAGAGTTATTCAACCATGTCAGGAACAAGCCATTGGAACAGGAATAAATGTTCACTGAGATATAAAGCATTATTTATACCGGAACAGATGAAGAACGTCTATCAGAACCTCTGGGTAATAAGGCAAGGCGGGATTCTGGATGCACATGCATTCTGGGACTGTAGCGAAGTTTCGAACGGGCCACTCCTTTCAAATGGGTATAATATTCCCATAAATGTATATTCATGATGCCCTTATTATCCAGCAACATGAAATTGAAGGGACATTCGCCTCTGTTGTCGTCAGGTTGAGAGGCTGGGCAAGCCACAGACTTGATCCCAGCGACAATGGGACATCGTTCAGGCGTCACAAAGTTTGTGAAGCAAGCTCGAGTCCTCTTGAATAGTACGAATGTAACGAACAGAGGGTCAACTACTCATTGTCCCTCCAGCGCCCACCCTTCGACCGCGGATTCGCGATAGCCTCGGAGTCACATTACGACAAAGAGGGAATGAAAGGGGTAACTATTGGTATATTCGGCCTATATACGTGTCTTGACGGTAAAGCAGTTGATGGTATCGTTCCACCCGCGCTCAGAGTGAACCTGAACTGTAATATCTTTGAAACACCTGACGCACAAGAGTTTTTCTACCTCGGTAATAGAGTTATCGAAGATTTTTCATCGACTCAGTTGATTATATAGCCAGAGAGTGCGATGCGGCTTGGACTCGCGCATTCTTGGATCAGTCAGTACGATTTCTCGCTGAACACAGTAAGTATATGTCTTCAATTCATCGCAACATACTTAATATTCGAAAGCAAAGGTGCTTTTGGGCCAAACGCGCGTCGAAGCCTTGCGTCATGACTGGAGTAGAAAAGATACTCTGCGATCTCTAGCAGCGGGTACGGCACCACTTTTGGCGAAATCTACCTTAACTTTAGCCGGGTTCACAGGGGAGGGGGTCGCTGCAGGTATAAATTTGTTTCTATCACTTATACCGCTCAATGTCACGTTATAGCGAGTGTAGCTGCTGGATGGCAGAGTATGTTGGGAAACGTTGCGGCGGGAAGTATCTTTTCAGTTTTGCAGAGTTTCGGAGCCACAGGGCTGCTAGCTATTACAGCGCCGGTGGGTGTGACCGTAGCTGGAGCGGGAGCTCTTGGCTATGGAGCCTGGAGATTCTTAAAGATGCCCGTTGGAGAAAAACGGCTCGAGGCGTTTCTAAAGGAAATTTCGGAAGACAAAGACAAGCGTGATAGATTTTGGTCCCAAATTGACGCCTAGTTGTCGACTGTTCGATTTATAAAGTTTGCCAGATCATTTGGTTCCAGGGGCGTGGGTGGCACGCTCCAAGTTGGCCCTTCGACTCACCCTCGAAGGTACTTGACCACGCTCTTGGGCCGTATGACCCTTGTAAATAATCAGGAAAATGCCTCAAGTCCGATAATGTCCAGTAAACTAAACCATACGACCGGCATCCCGTTCAGAGCTAGACTCGACCTGCTGCCAGCGTCTGTAGAGGAGCTGCCACTCAATGAAGGAGACATTGTAGAAGTTCTCGATCGAGGGGAGTTTTGGTGGATAGCCATAGCCAAGGGTAAGCTACTCAATCCCCAGCGCACTCGGCGCCTCGCACGTCTTTCCGATTCCTGACAAATTCGCCCAAAGGCAAGCGAGGTCTTGTTCTACCTGAAGCACTTGTGCGTTTCCTGTTCATTATGAGCCAGATACCCTTCCTGAACAATGGTCTAGGAGCCAATCTCGGGATCGATAGAGGCGCCTCAGCTACAAGAAGACGCTATCATAGATGACCGCATCCATGAAGCACTTCCTGAAATCACAATTGAGACATCTCAATCAGACACTGGCGCATCGTCAGATTGCGCATCCCTTCCATTATCCCTTCGAACTAGAGTCGACCGACCCACTCTTCCTCGGCTCATTTCCCCCCTATTCGAATCTTCCACTGATAGCCCTTCTCTCCCCAGCGCATCGTCTAGTAGCACTGTGCGTCCTCATCCTCAACATATGACTTATCGAATTTGACAGTCTCCTCAGAATAACGCATGTTCACCAACTGGATCGCCAATTTCACCCGACGCTTCTCCATTAACAGATGGCATCAAAGTACTCCCGACACGAGTTCGCGCTTTATCAGACGTAACAGGCACCACGCCCGGAGAGCTTTCGTTCAAAGCTGGCGACATTATTGACGTCGACGTTCGGACTTCCGCCGAGATATGGCATGGAATACTCGGACAGCAGACGGGCACCTTCCGTCTCGACGACTCTGTCGTAAGTCTCCACATGCTTCACGTCCCAGCGCCGACTAATTGATATTAGGAACCAATACTTAAAGAGCGGGTTAGGGCACTACTGGACCACACTGCAGCCTCCTCCGGAGATTTATCGTTCAAAGCCGGTGATATTATCCAGGTCTACGGTCCAAGTACTCAGGGTACATGGTGGTGGCATGGTTTCATTACCGGAAAGGGGATAGGGATGTTTCCTTTCAACTTTGTTGAGCCCCTGGACGATGAGTTTGATGATTCAGACGAAGTCGACCCCGTCACCGCGTCTCTCTACAAACCACACACAAAGTTTCGGGTACTGCATGACGTTCCATCTATAGAAGATGGAATGTTGTCACTCAAGCAAGGGGACGTGATTTCCCTCGTTTCTCGACCATTTCATGATAAGTGGGAGGGGCGCTTGCGGTCTCAGGCAGGGACATTCTTCTTAGATGACAACATTGTACGCGATGCGATAAGGCATGGTTATTCTTATCTGACTATCCGACAGGAGCCCATTATTACGAGCCGGGTTTGCGCCATCTACGACTACAAGGCTCAAAATGAGGGAGAGCTGACCTTCGCTCGAGGCGACGTCATTACAGTCATACAGCCCTCTGAGGAATCGACGTTTTGGTGGTACGGTGCTACGAAGAATGACGTTGGTATCTTTCCTTTCAACTATATCGACATTATCCCGGACGAGAAAGATGACTTCAGCGATTCAGAAGATTGGATCAAAGTCGGAAACAGTGGTTTTCATCGCATTATGCGAGCCCTCCACGATTTCCATGCCAGGGAAAGGAGGGAAGTGTCATTCAAGTGTGGCGACTTGATCACGTTTCTGGAAGACATGGACGATCCGCGATGGTTTATAGGCAGACTTGGCGGATGCGTAGGCATTTTCCTCCACTCTTACTGTGAAGAGGTCACTTTGGGCAAGCAGGATTTATCCCTGGGCACCCAAAATCAGTCGGACCTACCGCCCGGCTACGACGAATCTTCCTTAATTCCCAGCATCGATAATAGTCAGATTTATCACCCCCTTGTGGATACAAAGCGCCATGGGATGCCACGACTTGATATGGACAACTTGCGCTCTGGCGCTGGTAGCAATCCGCGTGCCAAGGCTTTGCAAGACTTTAGATCAGGCGAAGCCAGCGACCTATCCTTTGTTAAAGGTGACATAATCGAAGTACTCAGTATGCCGAGTTCTCCAGGATGGTGGAAAGGACGACTTAACAATGCTGTTGGCATATTTCCCTCTAGCCTGACCAAGGTATGCAATTTTCACAGGAATTTCCGATTTATACTAAAGACTACACAGCTGATCAGCTATCATTCCCCGGAACCTTCTTCGCTCGGCAGTGATCGTGATCACATCTATCCAAGCCCTATATTATTGTCGAGACAAGAAGCTGTTTCGCCGACGACAGAGGTCTCGGATGAAAATTATCCAGACGCATGGAGTTTGGTCTCATCTAAGACTCCGTATAGTCCGGTCAATATCCCACTCCCTTGGAAACCGTGCTTTGCCCGGGTGCTCCACGACTTTCAAGCCCCAGGAGAGTACGGTATACAATTAATATCTGGGGATATTGTCCAGATTCTGGCTATGCCCTTTGAAGAGAGGTGGACAGCCAGATCGAGGAATCGTCAGGGCCTCATTCCCGCCAATTACGTCAGACTTGAGCCCCTGGTTGACTCTCAGGACTCTGGTAGTCGCAACCCGGAAGCTACCCGGCAAACTGGCCATGACCTCGTTTCAAGCTCGTCTTCGCAGACGCTTGCGCACGAGAAAAGGAGGGCTGATGAGGCCAAGTCGTACCCTACATCCGAATGGGTGCGTGTACGCCATGACTTTAACTCGGGAAAGTCGAGAGAACTGGTTTTGAAGAAGGGTGATCTCATTCGCGTACTCAAGAAACCCCGCCAGCACTGGTGGAAAGGTAGACTCCAGCGAGATGGCACGGAGGGGCTTTTCCCTGCCAACTATGTCGAGGCGGCTCCCCCTCCGATTCCCCCAGCGGAAGGCATGTCTCAGTCCCTTTCACCGTCATCTACATCTCCTGTTGGGCAGGAGTCCGCCATCATGATGCTGGATCAAACCCTTCTCAACTTGTCTGCGTTGCTCAAAACATTCGACACAAGGAAGGATCTCTCGGAGAATGTGGAGATTCAAACCTTGTATTGGAATGCTTGCACTCGTAGAAAGAAAATGTCCAAACTTCAAGATAGCACACCGAAAACTGGTTAGTGGCGGTTTCCTCCTATTTGAAACCTATTGATGATTCCTCAGAGGCTCAAATCCGGGTAGAAGCGCTATTTGAGGCAGTAAAGTCTCACTATAACGCGATGATGGAGCTATCAGCAACGCGACACGGCCATCAAGGTACGTTGAGATTATAGACATGGACTAGATTTTCTGACGCGTAGCCAGTAATGTCGGCACGACCTCATGTCCCTAGTAGTCGGGTTTATTCATCGACATTCACTACCAACAATACGATGACCTCTTTTGGATCTTCATCTGGAGTTATTGTAGAAGAGCCGAGCTCATACAATACCTCGCCAATGTCCGGCAATCCATCCACCGACCCTTCATCAGCCTCCCTGTCAATAGATCCGCCTCCAGCAACCACGTTCCCCCCAGAACACACAAGAGCATATCCCCGGAAGCGAAGTACAGGGAATAGCACACGTACATTCTTCCTCCCTCCTACACCCGCTATTCACCCGCATGGTCCAACAACCGCACAACCTCAGCGCCTCTCACAGATTATGTCGGTCACTGTGCCTACTACTTGGTCGCCGAATTTGGCGTTTGGAACCCGCCAAGCGGCGTACAAGTTTGAGGGAGACCTTGCTGCCATCTCAGCGGACATAGAAAAGGCCAAACAGGCATACAAGAACAACAAAGGCAACGTTGCATCACAATCGACGAGCCGCAAGCTACCTTCGAGTCCCGCCGTCCGCATTCTGCGTAGAGTTGCCAGAGCGGGCAGACGAGCGGAGGGTAACGAGACTGTTGGGTCTCATGGACCACATAACAAAGCCATAATCAAACACGAGATCCAATATCGGTCACTTCACGTTGTTCACTCAAACTTCACACCAGTGACTTCTAGACGTCCTCTAGGCGGCAGAGAGTCGTAACCAGTCTCTGATTTGATTCTTTTGTATCTCTTTCCAAGGATGATGGTATTTCTATGTTCTCATGAACTCTAGTCTCGTGTCATTCTCGTCTGAATTATATTGCACTTCCTTGGACCTGACAACATCAACCCGAGCTCAGGTTGACATACCTGTTCGGCCTCTGAGCGTATAATATAGCCAGTGTAAAGTGATATATCGATGCAAACACCTCCAGAACAGGAAGTAGGCGCGCGCCGCCACTCTAAACACTTCCGCACGGCATTGAATCTTGTGCACAAGAAGAGCGCCACAGCATGGACGTACGTAAAACGATTCAAAAAATTCTATTTTATTCTCGTCTACCCTCAATTCTTACACTGAAATGCCAGAATCGAGGAATTTCAAGCTTGCGTCGGGACTTGGGGGGAGGAGAACCCGGAGAAGGCTGCTTCTATGCGCGTGCAGATTGGAGAGTTCCTGCAACAGACTTACCAGGAAAAGTCGGACGAGATTCTCGAGCGGTACAAGGCGTACGAGGGCATCGACAGTCTCTCAGAGGCGATCGACCAGGCAAAAGTGGCAGCTGCATCGAGCTCGAATCCTTCCCGTCGTAGACGTTCCTCGATGAAACAGGCTGAGGGGACAATGGATCCAAAAGAAGCACGTATCTCTCGTTTGACTGGTCACGTAAAATGCATTCGGACTGATGATACACAGTCGCCCGATGTTTGGAAGCCTGATATTGCTCCTCGAACAGCAGTACATGCTGTGACCGTGCCACTGCTCGAGGCCGAGAGGCAGCGATTAGAGAAGGCACTGGCAGAGGCATGTTTTCCCCTCTCAATACATCTTTACATGCTCAAATTATGTCAGGTTGAGAAATTGGCTGAAGAATCCCTTGCTCGATGCAGGGAGAATCGCGAAAAGGCAATAGAAGCCAAGGTACAAGCATCCAGGATAATGGACCGCGTTGAACAGGTTCGTACAGCTATGTTACTCCTGTGGTCCTCTGCTAAGCCAATGATGCGCCACAGGCGAAAGAGTCGTTTGAAGCCGCAGACATGAATGAGATCGAGTCTTGGACATTAGGTCGACTTACAGGACAAGGGAATCCTTGAGGGATCACCCCGAGACATTATGGGATTATCCAGAGATATTCTACTTTACCCGATGGTCTCGTTTATTTGTACTACTTGGGTGCGATACCATGACGCTATTTATAATAGTTAGTCTGTTGGTTGATCTGTGCCCAAGCTTTGGCAATGTTTGTTGCGTCTGACCAGCCAGTCTCCAGTCTCGACCCGTCCTCCACCAACCACCAGCCCGCCCGGATATTGTCATGTCCCGCCAATTGCCAGCAGTGATATGGCGAGAGATATTCAACTTATACGTTGAAGATGATGCATATCTTCCGGAGGAGCAGCACTTCGAGTGGCATGGAGCCCGACCTATAGCACTTGCCATGGTGTGCAAGGAATGGCGGCATATTGTCATGTCCCACCATTCGACACATCTCTGGAGCTCTCTATATATCTGCTCAGAACAAGACGTATCCGCTACGGCGACGAGGATTCAGCACTACATCGCACACTCGAACGCTCGGCTGGAAGTCATCTGTATCTCCGCCCGTTCAGCATTTCCCGACAATTTCATCACTCGGATCGGTTCAATGATCAGAAATATACCGAAAGTCGGCAAAATCGAGTGTCTAGTCGGGATGGGCGTTAAGGACAGCCTCCATAAACTTCTCAAGCTTTCACCACAATCTCACGCTCTTATCCTCAAAGGAATCATTCCTGAGGATGATCCGTCTAAGGAGCCCTATGTTAGACTCCCGCGGCATTTGGTATGCAGCATCAAAGAGATTTCCGCCGACTCGTGCGGATTCAGCTGGAATCAATCCATCACCTCGGATTTTAAACCAAAAAAAGTAGAAATCATGTCTACTCATCGGTACCCCCTATTCAATGCGCAGAACCAGCCGCCTATGATTCAAGATTGGGCGCCTGGCGCGCTTCAGACTCTGACAAGCTACAAGGTTGACGAGACATACTCGCCTGACCTGGGCGTTTCCTGCCTATCGCGGCAGGGTTTGCCTTCTCTGAGCGTCCTCTCGACGCTGGAGATTCCCCTCGGCCTACTCCTCCAAATACACTATCGTCATGTCAAACTTCCGGCACTGAGAAATCTCATCATAATGAACACGGTGAATGCCAAATTGGAGGACTGGCAGGACTTTGTTGCTGCAGAAGGGGGTGGCGGCAAGATTCACAACCTTACTATCAGGTCGATGCCACGCTCACAGGCGTCAATACTCGAACCCTTTATCAACGAGTTGCCCGGTCTCACCACTCTGACTCTCGAAGGAGAGAGTGTGGCGCGCATCACTCGTCGGATGCTGGTCGCATCAGAATTCTACCAGGAGAGAAGTGATTCTCATTCACCCTATCCTTCTCTTTCCACCCTACGTGTCCGAAATTACACAGGGGAAGGACGCTCCCTTGCCAAATTCTTGCATCTTCGCGGTTGGCTTGCGGCCAGCAGCGACCATATCACCATTAGATGTCGTCTTCATCTTATTAACTGTGGTCATCTATCTCCGGATGTCAACGCTATCATCCTTCCCTACTGCCACTGAACTCGCATGTACATTCCCGACTTGTCCCCAGTTCATACAAGGTGTATATAAATTATTCTCTGCTACACAAGATAGGTTTGGTTGGTAGTGAACGGCACGGCCACTCATCGCCACTTTGGTCTCACCCACCCCTGTCAGGATTTGGCTGGTCCACGAGCAAAAATATGGCTGATACGCCCAAAGACACACTCTTTCTACCCATAATCCTTCGTAATCATCACCAACCGGCTCTGTCCCAGGAGGATGAAGCGGAGCAGGTCGAGCTCGATCAAGAGCTCCTGGAATTTCTGGAAGGAAATCTCCGGAAAAGGAGGGAACTACTTATCAGGTCGCTGGAAGCTGTCAGAGGATGCAGGGAAGAACTGCAGCAGGCTCAAGACCCGTTGAGAGTTGGTCAAAGCTCAGGCAGCGATCAGGCCTCCCTCGAAAAGCTCGCTTCTCGCGTCCAGAAATGCCGAGATAGACTTGTTCGGGGTCTCTACTCGCAGAAGCTTGCTCAGGATGCTGTAGACGGGTTGGTTCTACAGTTGGAGACTGCCAAAGAGTTCACATCCAAGCATATGAAGCCGCGTCCGTTTTGGACAGTTCCCCAAGAGGTTTGGCTGAAGATATTCCGAATGGTCGTCCAGCCCGACTACGACTTGCCGGACGAGACAGAACAAACACCCCGAGGATGGGTTCATGGGAGTCGTTCCATGATACTCGGAAGTGTATGCCATCTTTGGAGGTCACTGGTTCTCACAGATCACTCACTCTGGGGAAGCACGGCGATAGACCTGCAGCAAAGCGTTGACCATGCGAGGATGCGGATACGCCTCTACCTTGAACGCTCAAACCGACAGCCACATACCATTATCATCGTGGGCCGTAACTGCACTACCCTGTCGGAATCCTGCGTGATTCAGGACCTTTTCCAAGACATCGAATATTGCGACACCATCCAGTGTCGAGCCGACATGATCTCCTCCCCTTGCATCGACCGCCTTCTCTTGCACATGCCTGCACCTACGACTATTGTGCTTCGTGGTGAGCCAGTCGGGGGAACAAAATCTCGCTTCTTGTTACCCGAAAAGATCATCCGTCGAATCGAAAGGTTTGACATTTGTGGGTGCAATTATACGTGGTATGATGAGCACGATCAGCTCTTCCGGCCAAAGTATGTTGATATCCGGAGCGGGCTTCGGGATATCGCCATGGAAGGGGTGTGGAACGTGCCGCATGTATGGGCACCAGCAATGGCACAGAGTGTCATGCATTTCGCCTTTGATATGTGTTTGCTCAAAACCGGCCTGGTGAAAGAGCGTTTCCCCGTCCTGACGACGATCGAGATGGCGCTTGACCAGCTAGTGCTTAGATTAGCTAATTACGCCATCTTTCCTCTCCTCAGAAATCTCATCATCCTTCGACTCGGACGGCCTTGTATGGAGGAGTGGAAAGTCTTCACCAAGAATTCAGACAAGGGTGGTTTAATTCAGCATGTAACACTGCGATCCTCAAATGAGAACGGCGGACAAGACCTTGTGCCGTATCTTGGGAGGTTACCAAGGCTAATGGACCTGAGGCTCGAAAGAGGGTGCGTGGAGCGATTCCTTTCCAAAATACTGGATACGGACGCTTTTCCGACGTATGCCGGCGTCAGGTATCTCACAGTCGCTGATTATAATGGGACCGGAGAGATATTGGTGCGAGCAGTCGAACGGTGGGCGGATGTGACAAAACCTCAGGGCATTAGGGGGGTATTCAGCTCTTCGGAGAAACCCCTTCCGTTCCACCTTGACTTGGAAGGGTGTAGCCGCCTTTCGGACTCGGTCCTGCACAAACTTGCACCCTATCGGACGTGAACGAAAGAGATATCATCGGTATCCTATGTATCTAATACTTATTAAATAACCAATGCCTTGTGTACATTTCCGTCATTTGCGGAAACGCAAGCACTCGAGGCGGCTAAGTCAATTCAACTTGCTGCTGGCCACGATACCTCATTTACTTTGGAACCCCAAAAACGTACACCATGTTTGATTTATTGATGTGGTGTGTTATTATCTTCGGCATTGGTGCCGGTAAGACGTCCTCTATCTCCACGAGTGCTGCGTATCGCTGACCTGGACGTTCTGTGGCGACCGGGCAACACCGGAATCGATCTAATCAGTACTGTACTACAAACGATTCGCAATACTCGCGAGATTACCTCCAACGGTCGTCATGAAGCTGCCGTCTTCCTGGTTTGCACCCGAGTACACACTCCTTCCGAATACGTTCCAGGAACAGGCTGAGCAAGGTTACTCCACGAGTGCATTTGACCTTGCGGGCAATGTATCCGACGATGCGCGCGTTGGGCTAGATGAGGAGCAGCTGCAGGAGATTCGTGAGATTATGCGTCGGAAGCGTGTCAAGTGAGTCTCCATTCTTGTGAAAGTCGAGGAGTTTGCTAACGACCCATCTAGTTTCGACGAAGCACGTCTGATTAGACAGAAAATGGAGATGCGCCGGCATGGAATAGACCCTGACACCGGACTTCCCATCGACTCGAAAGCCATCACTCGCCTATAGCATTCCAATTGAAGTCTGGAACGACCTTGCCCCCTATTTATCTCACAGAAAGGCGGAGAATATCTCCATATGCAAAAAGTGTTATTGCCAGTTTACTTATTCGATATGCTGTCATTTGTTGTGCAACCAGACCTATTTACTTTGGACCCAACCGCATTCGAGTGGCTCTGAATCCAGCTGAAAATCATCTCGTATTCAATCATATGTCATCTACTCAAAGAGTCTTTGGACCCTCTTATCGGTCTTCTGGAGACGCAGCACAGGATAGACTTGCATTCTTTCATATCCTAGAGGCACTCAAGGTAGAACAGGCCCTCCGTCTCCGGAATTGCCCTGATCGATGTAAAAGACACAGAAACGAACTGGATGGGTCAATAATAAAGCTGGTAGAGTCCAAGACGCATATTGACGAGTCTCATCGTTCTTCACGTAGATTCCTGATGCAGAAAGGTATCAAGGATTGCTATCATGTAGACACCATTGTGACACCTTTCAGTATCTCCGACCATATGTATCGGATGGCGGTCCTGGCGTTGTGCTCAGAGGATACAAAGCTCGATATCTCCAAGTAAGCTCATATTCTAAATAGTCCATGCTGTTGACCATTAGATGTGTGATGCTCGCCGTCGTGCACGATCTTGCCGAGGCGACGGTAGGAGACATTACGCCTGACGAGGGAATATCAAAGGAGGAGAAGAAGCAATTGGAAGAGGTATTATGGTACATCATATCCTGTTCTGCGTTAATTGGTCACAGAATGCAATGCGAAACTTTTGCGAAGAGATGCTCCAAAAGTCTAGCGTTGCCCAACGTGTATATGATCTGTGGAAGGTAGAGGTCAATCTTCCCTGTACTTGGTTACTTACATGTTATAGGAGTATGAGGATCAAGTGACACCTGAGGCCAAGTTTGTCAAAGGTAGCTTATTTCCTTGCCATGATAGTTGCTGATAGGGGAAAGATCTCGACCGCATTGAGATGGCCTTACAAGCACGAGAATACGAGAGGCGACATTCCTCGTCTATTCCCGATCTGGATCTTCGACCATTCTACAATAGTAGCATACCAAAACTCCAAACAGACGAGGTCAAACGCTGGGGTGAAGCGCTTATGGAAGAGAGAGCAAAAGATCCAAAGTGCAAGCCACTCTAGACCTCGACAATCTTGTCGTCATCATCGCTCTCGTCTGCCTTGGTGATCGATGCGGACTGGGTCTCTGGAGCTTCGTCCCGTTTGAGCAGGTTTACCAGGCGTTCAACGTGTGTGATGACCTAGAAGTACATCAGATCAGTATCTCATGGTGTTTAAATGCGCACGTTGTCGTCTGTTTCAGTTTCGTGCATCATTCTGATAATCTCGTACACGCCACTCTGCCGCTGGATGTCGCGTCCCCAACGACTGGTGCACAGCAGGATGAGTGTCTCTAAATGTGTGACCCGCAGTACTGGATCTGACTCTCGAGCTTTGGTTGAGGGTAGAAACTGGAGTTCGGGAAGGAGTAGCTCGACATCCTAGAGGTGCCTGAGACTAAGCGTGGAACTTGAGCTCGGAACATACCTCGAGTTCAAACTCTTCCGGTCCAGCTAGAGGCAGCAGTATACGCGGTAGAACATTGAGACCGGGGACCTCATCCGCAAAAGTCAAGCGAAAGACCTCTTTGTCGGACGAGAGTAAAGCTTTATGGGCTTCTTGGATGAAAGCGCAGTTCCTGATCATCGTCAGCGCAAAGAATTCGAACGAGATCCTCGTACTTGATCGTAGAAGCGACTCCTCCTCGGCGTATTATATCGGGATGCTCAGTGAATGGCAGTAGTTGAGCTAATGGCGCCTCTAATACGCCATCCTGGGGAGTTGAAAATATCCTTTGGGGTGTTAGGAAAAACTGTCGACCATCTGGTTGCTTTCTGCACTGTTAGAATACAAAGTGGAATAGGCAGGCAGAAGGGACGCACACCACTGATGTTGGCAAAGACACCGGCAAGGAAGTGTAGTTGACCCTTTCGATCCGAATCCTCCTTTTTTATCGACGCTGAGCCAGCAAAGGCCTCGACTAGCAATGATAGGGCTCTCTCTTTGATGGGCTTGCTCGAAGGGTAATTGCCTGGGGGTGGAGAAGTCGCACAACGAGATTGTATGGGATAGTAGCCTTTGGATGTGTCGTTATCCAAGGGTATTATGTCAACCTCTAGCTTTAATAGGGCCGCACACGGCCCGGGCTGCGCGGTAATATTGGAAAGCAGCATACATGCCAGATCAGAGAGGACTGAAGATGGGTTCTGTCAACTATAAGAAGTGAAGTACTCGGTATTCTGCGAGCATACTCACCAGAATGTAGGATACAAGGAAACCAAGGAAGAGCGGGTCGGATAGAGGTCCGGCTAGGAGATTAGAGTCTGAAATGTTGACAAGAGCTCGAAAAGCATCGTGTGCGGTTGCCTTTAAGAGGATTAGATTGGCCGAAGAATGAGCATTTTTGGCTGACTGACTGGCTGATCGCGGCATAAGAGTTTGAGATCCTTGATGACCTCGGGCTCTGTGTTTTCTTTTAAACCTCCAGATCTTAGCCCGTCAAAGAATAAAGTCCGCAAGGGGTTATTTGCCACTGTCAGCGGCAAAATGTGTGCCATGGCCACACTGCGCGCATTTGGATTTCGATCGTGTAGAAACGAAAGCACCTTTTGATACAGAAATATGTAAGTCGAATGATTTTCGTAGAACTTGAGACCAAGGGCCTACCTCTTTGTACTGGTCGGCCATCGTGGAGTCTAACCTGTTCTCCGACCACATCAAGGTCTCGGTTGGAATAGTCTGCCAGGCAGCCGCCAGCCTCATAAACAAGAGGATTTAGATATAAAATGCCTGAACCAAGGCCTGTACAGATGTACAGTACCCTTCTCGAGGACAGGCGGATCATAGATGCTGTCAACGACGCCAAGGAACCACCATCTCTGGTCGTTCACTTGCTGGAGAAAGAGTGGACAATTCGACCTGGCCACGCTCCTGCATCCCCGACCGCCCACAAGTTCTCTTACTCGGACAACATCTCGGTCAGGGCTCCCCCCAGCGGCAGACAGATAGCCTCAGCTAATGTTTATCTCACTGCATAGAGTTTGCTCGATGATATACAAGCCAGAAGAATCCCAGCAGAGTTCATAGACCTCTTCAAGTCCCTCAAGGTCAAGATGTTCGAAGGTCAGCGTCGAATGCAACAGACGTAAATCTCATCTCTGACACTTATTGACTAAGGCTGTTTAATTGTTGAAATGCATGATGCCCGTCCCTCGCAGGACGGCTCATCAAAGGTCACTGAACCAAGAATCGAGTTCTACGTCTTGCGACCAACGGCAGAAACCATATGGTCAGATATTCGCAACATAGTTGATTCGCAAAAGGGATGGGGAGATAAAGAAGCACTGGAACTCGAAGCACGGCTGGTGGTCAGTCTCCAACACTCGTCCTCAAGAAATACGTCTAACGCCTTTTAGCTATCGACTTCTACTCCTTTGTGCCTAGACCCATCACCGTCTGTGAATCGCACGGCGAATATCATCGTCAGAAGCGGAACATATCCAAGTAAAATGTCATTCAAGAGGAAGCAAGCCGAAGAGGATGAAGACGACGAAGAAATCATCAAGCACAGAAAGCTCATGCAAATGATGAATCCTCGAGCCGGGAAATCCTTCAATCCCATGTACGCAGTTCAGCTTACTCGCCTGCTGAAAACTCACATCTGAAATAGATATCGCGCGCTGGCTGCGAGAAAAGCAGTAGAAGAAAAGGCTAAAAAGCCGTCTCAACAGACCGCGGTGGAGGCCTTCAATCCCCAGCAACCAAACGCGGCTGCAAGACCTCAGCAGCCGCCACCTTTGAACCAACAGCCAGGAATACCAAACGGCATGCCATCACAAATGGCCCAGATGGCAGCTCAGTCTGCGCATCAGGCACGAGCAATCGCAGCCTTGCAACAGAACCCTCGACTCGTAAATATCGATGCGGCAGCGGCGGCGGCGCAGATCACTCAATCTCAGCGTTTTGCGCAGGTCCGCGCCATGCAATTCTCTCTTGCTCAGGCGCAAGCACAGGTTCAGGCACAGGCTCAGGCTCAAGCTCAAGCTCAGGCGCAAGCCCAAGCCCAAGCGCAGACCGCTGCTGCTGCTGCCGGTACTGCAACGAACCCACCACAAGTAGGTGGTACCCAGATGGACGGAGTTCAACAGAGCGTTGCTGCTACAAATGAGCATAAGATGGACGTAGATGCAATGGCACAACAGTTGACTGCGATGCAAAATGGTGGTGCATTCCCACTAACAATGCCGCCCAAGCGAACAAACCAACAAAACCCTTCGGCGTCGCCTCCAAAAATGGGATCTTCCATGCCAGGCGCACCTCAGAATGCGCCACAAATCCCCATAGGCAATCCGAATATCCCAAGCGTTCACCAAACCCCTCGCCAACAACCCGCCACACCACAGAATCCACACCAAACTCCGATGATGGCTCCTGGACAAATACCTGTTCAGCAGCCGTCAGCACCTATGCAAAACATCACGTCCTATCATCAAGGGCTTGCAAACGGTCTCCAGAATCAGATGCACGGCGTCGTCCAGGCTCAGCAGGGTATACAATCCGCCTATCCCATGATGAATAATCCATATCAGAACAACCCAATGGCCGCCGCTCAGGCTGCTCAGATGGCGAATAATATGGGAAATTTGACCGCTATGCAGCGCCAGCAACTATTGGCCTATCAAATGGCACAGAGACAGCAACTGCAGATGCAGGCCGCACAGGCCGCACAAGCTGGTATGCAAATGCATCCCCAGCAGCAGCAGCAACATCCAGGTATAATGCAACAGTTCGGGAACATGGCAACTATGCAACAAGGCATGCAACCGAACCAGCATGCTCAACAGCTTGCACTTCTCCAACAGCAACAGAGACAAATGCAGCTCGCCCGAATCAATCAAACCATCATCGCGCAAGCTGAAGCCCGGGTGAGCGCGATGTCACCACAACAGATTCAGGACCTCCTTGCCACCGCGACCGAACAACACAGGAATCAGCCAGCATGGCAAACAATGGATGACAGGGCCAAAGCCAGAGTCCTTGCGAGTTTCCAGATCAGACTCGAATTCCAGAGGGCGCGTCAGCAGCAACTGACGAATCAAGCAGCGTCGAATGCAATGTGATGATTTGTCTATTTATATCCTGTATTCTTATGTCCTGTAAATGTGCTTCTTACCCTTTATTTCTTCTGAGATTCAAAAAGCCCATCTCGCACGTAACCTGAACCCGACTTCGATTGTTGCTGCAGCCAAGGTTGACCAGACGCGCCACCGATAGTTGTTTTGGAAAGCTCTTTTTGAATCAGCAGTATACGGGCGATCAGGCGCTATGCCGTACCATAATCTAAAAGGTTCGTGGCACGTCGACGAGACACGACCGACGCACGCTCAAGCAAAACCCTTGTATCTCTAGCTCTCATCAAGGCTATCCGCGCATGCAAGGTCTGTTTCGCCCAACATTTGTCGATTGCTTCCATCGAGCCACTCACGCTCCTCGCCGTTTGCGTGACCCCGTGCAGACATTTGCAGATGAGAGGAGTCTCATAGTCTCCGAAGCTGCGGCGATTCGCGCCTCTTTCCGCGCAGAAGACTCGTACACGCGGCATAATAACATTGCAAAGCTGCTTTACATCCAAATGCTCGGATACCCCGCCCAGTGGGGTCAGATCGAGTGTCTCAAGCTTGTTGCTAGCCCAAGGTTTGCGGATAAACGACTGGGATATCTCGGCATCATGCTGCTTTTGGACGAAAGTCAGGAAGTCTTGACACTAGTCACAAACTCGTTGAAGAAGTAAGAGGTCGAAACCTTATCGTTTGATATCTGACATGCATATAGTGATATGAACCACTCCAACATGTACGCTGTCGGGCTTGCCCTCTGCACATTTGCAAATATCGCATCGGAAGAAATGGCACGGGATCTGTGCAACGAAGTTGAAAAGCTCCTGGGTTCAAGCAACACCTACATTCGAAAGAAGGTACGATGCTCGCTATTCACGTTGGTACTTCTCTCATCACCTCCGAGGCTGCTCTGTGCGCGCTCCGCGTTGTTCGAAAAGTGCCAGAATTACATGATCACTTCATTGAAAAGACCAAAGCACTGCTCAATGATCGAAACCACGGCGTTCTTCTTTCCGGAATCACTCTGGCAATCGAAATGTGTCAACAGGCAGAGGAGTGTCTGCAAGAATTCCGTCCAGTAACTGCGTACCTGAAAGTGTAATCACTACCTGACACCCTCTCACCAGATGCTTCCACTTCTTGTGCGACATCTCAAGAGCCTGGTTTCCACGGGATACAGTCCAGAGCATGACGTTTCCGGGATTACGGATCCATTCCTCCAAGTCAAGATTATACGAATGCTCAGGCTACTGGGCAGAAACGATGCCCAGGCATCGGAGCAGATGAACGATATCCTCGCTCAAGTCGCCACCAACACAGATTCGAGCAAAAATGTGGGCAACTCGATTCTATATGAGGCAGTCCTGGCCGTCTTGGACATTGAAGCAGACTCGGGGCTACGTGTAATGGCAATTAACATCCTCGGCAAGTTCCTGAGCAATAGAGACAACAACATACGGTAGGTGACTCTTACGAGGCATTTCCAAGAAATGACAATCATAGGTACGTCGCACTACACACTTTGAACAAGGTTGTCTCGATGGACACCAATGCTGTTCAACGGCATCGCAATATCGTCTTGGATTGTCTGAGGGATGGTGACATCTCAATCCGTCGCCGAGCTCTGGAGCTATCGTACGCCCTTATCAACGAAAGTAACGTTCAAGTCATGATAAGAGAGCTGCTTGCTTTCTTGGAAGTGGCGGATAACGAGTTCAAGCTCGGCATGACCACACAAATATGTCTGGCCGCTGAAAGACTCGCACCAAACAAGCGATGGCATATAGATACTGTTTTGAGGGTTCTCAAGCTGGTTCGTCCCACTTATCATCCTCATTCCGTTCTAATAGACCATAGGCTGGCGACTATGTGCGTGAAGAAATATTATCCGCCTTCATACGCTTGGTCTGTCATACACCCGAGCTGCAATCGTACACCGTGTCAAAGTTATACCTTGCACTCAAAGCAGACGTATCCCAAGAGTCGCTCACACTGGGTGCAGTCTGGCTTATTGGTGAATTTAGCACCGTCCTGATGGAGCAAGGTGTGCATGATGGTGATCAAGTCAAGCCTGTATGCTGGGTTTTCTTTGTGTGCTCTATTGACATTCGTCCAGGTGACTGACGTTGAGATTATCGACTTGCTGGAGACTGTACTCCATACTCCCTACGCCAATGCCGTCTCTCGGCAGTTTGTCTTGACGGCCATCACCAAGATTTCTAGTCGACCAAGGACAACAGAACCAACCCGCCAGAGGATAGCATCGATATTAGAGAGCTACGAGACCAGCACCGACCTCGAGATCCAACAACGAGCGGTAGAATTTGCATCACTCTTTGCACAGACGGGAATCCGAGCCGGCGTTTTGG